GGGTGTCGCTTATGGAATTCCAGCACCAGCGTGTCGTTGTGGTGGAAATCCGAGGGGCTAACCCACTCGTTGTGCTCGTCCCCGTACCCCTCAAAGCGCACGTAGTACTGGGTCCTACGCCCAGCGCGCGTTGAACGCAACTCCTTGGAGTGTACGATTTCCGATACCACCCACCCCAAATCCCCGGTGTCCAGCACCTCTGGCTCAGGGGGTGGGTCCACTGCTCTCCCAGGAAGCTCGTTCGGCTTGTACGGGATGAGCAGCGAGACATGAAACACCGGGTGGATTCTACGCATCCCCGGTGTCAATTCCAAACGTCGCGCCATGCGACCTTCTCCTACGACCTCCGTGATCTTGAACGGGCCGTAGGTCTTCCACTCCAACTTCTTGTTCGGCCTCACGGTATTGACGTGAGCCGACGACAACATCACCATGTCGCCAACATTGTACCCCTCATCCGGTACCGCCGTACGCTTCCGATTCGCGTACTTCGCCATATCCTCCCTGGCCTGTCTCAGCGCGACATTAACAGACTCCCAGATGTTGTTCATCCGCTCTCTGTACTCCTGTATCGACTCCACAGCCGAATCCTTGGCGATGGGCATGGGGAGTTCGACGGCGTGCTCCCGCCCTTCCGATGCCATGAACGGCGACATACCGATCGCCGAGTGCTTCGAATTGTTGTAGGCGAACTCCGCCATGGGCAACAAATCGGTCCAGTCGTCCTGCTGGTAATTGACGTACGTCCGCAGGTACTGTTCGAGCGTCGAGTTACTGCGCTCCGTCTGACCATCCGTCTGGGGATGGAAGGCGGTCGAATAACTAGGCTCGACACCGGACAACTCACAGAACTCCCTCCAAAATCTCGACGTGAACAGCGTTCCCCTGTCCGAGATGATCTGCCGGGGAAACCCGTGCAGTCGTACCCACTCCTGCAGGAACATCTGTGCCAACACCTTGGCGTCGTTGTCCTTCCGACAAGGCACGAAATGTGCCCGCTTGCTGAAGCGGTCGACGATCACCAGGATCGCGTTCGAACCCCTCGACTCAGGTAGGTCCGTGATATGGTCCCACGTGATCGACTGGTAGGGCTCCGTCTCCGCTTTCAGGGGAGCCAGCTCACCGACTGGTTTGGCCCTCGGCCTCCGATTCCTCTGACACTTGTCGCAACTAGCCACGTACTGGCTAATCCACGCCTTCATACCCGGCCAGTAGAAATCTCTACTCACCAGGTCCTCCGTCTTGTCCCGCCCGTAGTGTCCGGCGGTCTTCCCATCATGGAGCCTCTTCAAGAGCTCCGTCTTCAAGCTTCCCGCATCGGGAACGTACACCAGCCCGTCGTACATGAGCGCGCCTCCCGGGCTCAGACTGTACCGACTATTCGTCAAAGTTCCCTCCTTGACGCCCTTGATCAGGTCTCTCGCGACCGGATCTTCTTGTCCCGCAGGGATCAACGCTTTCAGGAACCAATCCCCTATGACGGGGATCGTTCCGCACAATCGCAACGGGGGTTGTACCGTCGCTGCGCTGACCACCAGCGCGTCTGCGTTGACGGGGCGCAACAGGGTCTCTGCCTGCTTGGGCTCCGTCTCCTCCATCAACTCCTCTCTCCTGCTGAGCGCGTCAGCCTTCCCGTTCTCTGTCCCCGGCTTGTACTCCAACGTGTACGAGATTTGGTTCAGCAACTGAGACCACCTCGCTTGTCGGTGGGACAACATCTTGTCCTTCTTGAAGTACTCCAGGTTCTTGTGATCCGTAAGGATCCTCACCGGGAACTTCCCGTCCAGGTAGTGCCGCCATATCTGGCAGCAGTACACGATGGCGAGCAGCTCGCGATCGTGTACGTCGTAGTTTCGTTGAGCCGGCGTAAGGCTCTTCGACATGAACGCCACGGGATGTAGTTTCCCGTCGTCCCCTACCTGCGACATCACCGCTCCCATCGCACCTGACGATGCGTCCGTCTCCAGTACCACCTGGCGCTCCTCGTCGTAGTGAGCGAGGATGGGCGCCTCGGTGAACGCCTTCTTCAACTCCTTGAAGGCAGCATCCGCTGACTCCGGCCAGTGGTACTTCACCCCTTTCTTTGTCAAGGCCGTCATGCCTTGAATCTTCTTGGAGTAGTTCTGTATGAACCGGCGATAGTAATTCGCGAACCCCAAGAACGACTGCAGGCCTCGAATATTTCGAGGCGCCGCCCATTCCAACACCGACTTCACCTTCGACGGGTTCATGCTGACCCCCGTAGGGGCAATATCATACCCCAAGAACTCCGTCGCCGTCGTGTCGAACTCACACTTCTCTGCCTTTGCGTACAGGCCATTCGCCTGTAGCCTCCTCAGCACTTCCCGTACGTGCTCGTCGTGTGTCTCCTGATCGGCGGAGTAAATCAATATGTCGTCTAAGTAGACGACCACACACACGTCTAACATGTCTTGGAAGACCTGATTCATCCAGCGCTGGAACGTCGCCGGCGCGTTTGTCAAACCGAATGGCATGACGAGACATTCGAACAGACCATAGCGTGTCGTGAACGCGGTCTTCCAAACATCCTCTTCTTTGACCCTCAGGAGGTTGTACGCTCCCCTCAGGTCCATCTTCGTATATACCTTCGATCCCCGTAGGCGATCTAAGGTCGCCGAGATAAGCGGCAGGGGGGTCCTGTCCTTCTCGGTAATTTCGTTGAGGCGGCGGTAATCAATACACAGCCTCAATTCGCCCCCTTTCTTCGGTACAAACAGTACCGGACTCGAACACGAGGATTTTGAGGGTCGAATAAACCCTTTCGCCTGATTCTCCGCCAACCACGCCTTGAGAGCGTCCGTCTCCTTCTGCGAATGGTTGTACAACTTCCCATACGTGGGAGTTGTTCCAGGCTTCAGCTCGATCGCATGATCGATCGAGCGCTTCGGAGGCAGCGAATCTGCCTTCGTCTTGGAGAACGCTCCGAGGTACTCATGGTACTTCTTCGGCACAACGTCCCGCAGCTTCTCCATGTACTCGGGAGGATCGAGTTCGTTTTGAATCGAGTCGGTGGGCTTGACGTCCCAGTCCCACAGGTCCGGCCTGCGGGCCCGCTCCTCATCCTCCCTCGTCATCTGCATTTGGGCCACCACGAGATTCTCCGTGATCGGCTCCTTCATTCTCGACAGCGGATCGATATTCCGCGTCTCTATCTCCACCTCGTCGGGGGAGCATACTACCTCTACCTTCTTGACGCATCCTTTCTTCAAACAGTCGTCCGCGAAGGTGACTGTATTTGTATCCCACTGGATGTGTGGGCTATGGTGTCGTAGCCATGTAATCCCGAGGACCGCCGCGTACCCACACAAATCCGTCAAGAAGAACTCCGCCTTCTCTTGGTGCAATCCTGTCCGCACAATAGCATGTGCCTTCTGGGTGATCTGTCCACCCACTATCTCTCTTCCGTCGATGACCGTGACGGTCCTAGGGTTCTCTAGGTCTATCACATCAAAGTTATGGATCCTCGCGAACGTCCGATCCATGAACATACCCGTGGCCCCCGAATCTACCATCATCACTGCCTGCACAGGAATCCCCTGCGGGTAGAACACTCCTACCAGAGTGAGGTGGCTCTCCGGACCACTAGGGTTACCGCTAGCACCAATGTGCAGCGGGATCCCATCACTACCCCCTTTCACGTTCCCAGCCGGGGTCCTTTGGTGATCCGTTATTCTATAAGGCCTGGCAGCCGACCTGCCGAGCCTTGGGGTAATAAGGTCGCGGGACTGGGGAAAGGTAACGGTAGGCATAGCGATGTAATAACGGATGTCTAACTACTACAAGGTACTAGTTAGACGCCTACGAGAACATCTCCTAAAAGGTCTCCGAGAGGGTCCCCGAGAGGGTCTCCGAACGAGACCCCGAGGCGACGCGCACCGTAGGTCGCGCGTCACGTGACGCCTATAATAGTCACAGGCTTGATACGTTCGATACGTTCGCCTTCGATCGGATTAGATTCACTTTCGTCCACAAATCGAACAATAACAGTAGTGCAGCTAAAAATAATGCGCATCAGGGAACATCATGTCAATCTCGAAAGATTACGGAAACTACGGGCTAGGATGATCGAACGAACCAGCGTTCAGCGTTCAGACGCTCAGGTGATGAAGATTGATGCGAGCATGCAAGTGATGCCATTCGGGATGCTTATCTTATAATTGCGATCGATGGCGGACGATAGGATATGGTGGTTGTCAGTCGCTCATTCGATGTGCCTGCAACTTTGCTGGTGTACCAAAACTTTCAAGTCAAACTTGAGACTTCCAATGTCACCACCATCAGACCTATTCCAAACAAGGTCGTCGAGTCCGGCGGCATCTACGTTCTCACCTACGTCGTGTCCACGGACCCCCGTACTCCTCCCAACGGATTCGTTCATCAGAACACAAAACATGTCACATTGGTCGGGGGTGGTTGTTGCGAGTCGCTTTCTCACGCGTCGCGCACCTCCAAGGTGGCTTGGGAGATGGTGACGTAGCAGCAGCCGACCACCGACCCATACGGAGATGCATCGTCGTCATTCTACGTCATCGGTAACATCACACGAAACGACCCCTTGACACTCGCTCTATCATCTATCATCTATCAGAGTCATCTGCTTCTATTGTTCAACGGTTGTACAAAGCGAGAGCTGATCCAAGAGCAAGCTCGATAGGCCCAAACAACATCGCACATCGAAACAGAGTCGATCCTATCATATCGTGTACCCTACCCTGTACACGATACCGTAACGTCGACCTCGACCATCAGGGCTGTATCAACCTAAAGATCAGGCCGACCTCTCTAGCACGATGTCCGGCTACGGTGGCCAATACGGCAACAACGCCGGTAACACCAACAACAATTCGTACATGCAACAACAACGTACAGGTTTCCCGGGTGCTGGCGGGTTCGGGGGGATGCAATCCCAGCCGACCGGGATGATGGGTATGCAAGGTACCGGTATGACGGGTATGGGTATGGGTATGGGGATGGGTGGGATGCAACAACAACCTACAGGAATGGGTATGGGAATGGGGATGGGAATGTTACCTCAACGGACCGGTTTCCCGTCCATGCAACAACAACCCCAGCCTCAACAACCTCAGCAGCAGCAACAACGTCCTACCCCTACTCCTAACGCAGGAGGTGGAGGTGGTGGTTATTCATTCCTATCCGCTCCTCCTTCTTCCTCGCAATTCAACCCGTCCGGATTATCTTCCCAGCCAACCGGATTTTCCAGCTCTGGTATGGGTATGGGCATGCAACCTCAACAGACCGGCTTTCAATCGAGGTTATCTTCCCAACCCACCGGGTACGGGGGTATGGGCGGAGGAGGTGGATTACAATCACAGCCCACCGGATACGGCGGTATGGGAGGAGGTGGATTGGGAGGTGGATTGCAAGCTCAGCCGACGGGGATGCCGCATGATCCTAGGTTACAGATGATGGCTGCTAGTTTTATGCCTTCGAACATCAGCTCGGTGAGTCTTGTCTCCAGTCTTAACTCTAGCTCGAGATCGCCTTCCCGATAAGGACGACGAAATCATACTCGCCAAAGCTCGTCCAGAACTGACAACTTCCCATATCCTCCCCCTTCACCTCCTAGCCCTTCACATCAACCGGCCACCCCTCCTTCGCCTCTCCCCTCTCCCAACCCCTTCCTCAGACCTTCCAATCCCTCCTCTCAAACCCCTCTATTACAACCCCCAAAGTCCCCTGGACGCTGAGCCGTCAAGAGAAAAAGGACTACGACCAGATCTTCCGCGCGTGGACGGGTGGGGAGGGGGGAGGGTATATCGAGGGGAGCATGGCTGGGGAGGTATTCGGGCAGTCGGGTTTGGGGAGGGAGGATTTGATGAAGATTTGGTAAGTCTCGCAGATGTGGACTTATCGCATAAAAAGGAGTGGCATATCAGGTCGGAAGGGGGGAAGCTGAAAAGGCTGATCTGGTTCTGGGTTTGGTGGATTCTGGTGATATAGGAACTTGTCGGATATCAATAATCGGGGCAAGTTGAACTTGCCGGAATTCCACGTGGCCATGGGTTTGATCTACCGAGGTAGGCCAGTCGTCGACAAACGGTCTTACAAGCTCGTCTCGACACTGACCTGACATCTCATTTTGACCCGATCAGCCCTGAACGGCAACGACATCCCCGAGACGCTGCCTGCCGAGATGATCCCCCCCTCTATGCGGGACATCGACTCGACGGTCGATTTCGTCAAAGATCTCCTCAAGAACGACAACTCCGCCCGGGCTTCTCCGTCTATCGACCTCCCCGGCACCTTCTCCGCTCAACGTGGAGGGAAACAGCCTGCCAAGGACGCCAGCGTGTACAAGCACGACGATAGCCGAGCTACGGGGTACAAGTCCAGCGCGCGTCACCTGGATCGTAAACAGGTTAGGTACGAAGGAGAGGACAAGGACGAGGAGCTCGGTTCGATCCGCCGGGACTTGGAAAACTCTAGCAAGGTCCTCGACAGGACCGCTGCCAACTTTGCCGAACGGACCGAGGAAGACGAGCGGCTCGAGCAAGAGCTCGACGATCTCAAGTACCGGGTCAGGAGGGTCAAGGACGATATCGAGTACGTCTCCCGTGGGAAACGTACTGACGACAAGGACGAAGAGAGGCGCAAGTTGGAGCGAGAGCTTCTGCACCTCATGCACGAGCGTTTGCCCGAGGTCGAGAAGAAGATCGAGGAGCGCGAGGACAGGAAGCGACAAGAGGCCAGGGATGGGATCAGGGCGAGGGATAAGCGGAACGAGACGTACGGGAGGTATAGGGATAGGGATTATGATCGGGAGAGGGATTACGAGCGAAGGGATCGATTCGACGATGACCGTTACCGCAGGGGGAGCCGGGATAACAGCCGTGAAAGGCGAGGCAGTCGGGGTGAATACGATTCGTACTCGTCTCGAAGACCCATCTCGCCCCCGCCTCGAGACAGGACCCCTCCAGCGACCCCGGCCGCTCCCAGAGACGCCGTTCACTCGCCTCCTCCCGCTCCTCCGGCACCTACCAGCGCTCGTGCCGCCGTCCCCTCGACCAAGAGCATGACCCCTGAAGAACGTACCGCCTTTATCCGCCAACAAGCTCAAGAACGTCTCGCTGCCCGTATGCGAGCCTTGGGGATGGCCGCCCCGGAGGATACGCCTTCGAGTTCGGTCGACCAGAGCGTCGAGGATCGTCTGGCTAGGGAGAAGAAGGAGGCCGAGGAAAAGGCTAAGCAGGCGGAGAAGCAGCAAGAGGAACGAGAGGCCGCGAGGAAGGCCAGGTTGCAACAGGCCGGTGGAGGTGCGCCTGAACCTCCCGCTGCACCTTCGTCTGTACCGACGCCTCCGACACCGCTCAAGAGCGCTATGAAGAAGGCTCCTGCGCCTCCCCCACCCAAGCCTCGAGCTGCGCCTAGCTCGTCGGCCGTTCCCAAGGCCGCACCTCCCGCTCCCGCTCCGCCCAAGGAGGATCCTGCTGATGCTGAGCTTCGAGCTCAGGAGCAGGCTCATCAGAAGGCCATGGAAGAGCGACGTGCCAGGCTCAAGCGGATGCAAGAGGAAGAAGAAGAGGCTCAGCGAGCGGAGGAGGCCATCATGCAGCGTCGTCAGGCTCAACAAAAGGCTGAGACGCCGGTGGCTTCGCCTCCAGCTGTCATGAGCCCTCCTGTTACGCAGACTGCAAGCAGCACAAACCCCTTCCATCGTCTAGGTGGCGGTGCATCGGCCGCGGTGTCATCTCCTTCACCTGCCGCTCCCGCTGCTCCTAACGGCGGTGGAGGTGGGTTCAACCCGTTCTTCAGACCACCTGCTACCCAAAAGCCGGTCGAGACGCCCAAGTCGGCTTCTCCTGCTCCGGTCGAGGATGAGAGCGCGCCTCCCCCTCCTCCACCTCCAGCACCCGCTCCGCCCGCTTTTACGCCCCAGAGTAGCTCGCCCGCACCCTTCTCCCAACCTCAGGCTCGCAAGGCCCCGGTCCACGACGACGAGGAATGGGATGTCATCGACGAAAAGGACAACGACAGCGATAGTAGCGATGACGATGATTACGCCGGTAGCCGCAAGCAGCGCGAGGCTATCGCTCGATCGCTCTTCGGTGGTGCAGGTTCGCGAGACACGTCGAAGCCCTCGTCTCCCGCTCCCGTCGCCAACAAGGCCGCCTTGTCTAAGCTCGGTGGTGGTGATCCTGCTGATCGAGGTGGTCTCCTCTCGGCCATCAAGATGGGTGCAGGTCTGCGCAAAGCGGTCACCAATGACCGATCCGCATCAGCCATTTCTGGCAAGGTCGTCGGTGACGCTGCACCTCCCCCTCATATCAGCTTGACGCCCCAAGAGCCGGTAGCTCGCTCCATGCCCGTGGAAGACGACTCTGACCGTCAGCAAAAGGCAAACCACCGGCAGTCTGTCGACTGGTACTCGGGTCTTGCGGCTGATGCCGGTCCTCAGGCTGTCGCTGAGCCCAGCCCAATGCCTTCGGTAGCTGAAGATGAGGAACCGCCCATGGAACAACCCGCACAAAACACCTCGAAGGGAGACGACGATGACGAGCTCGCCGAGTTTGACATGGCCACCAGTACGTTCCCGAGCTGATTCTGACCTCGCTGTCTACCGACGCTTACATTTTTGCTTCTGTAGCCATCCGTGTCCGATCCGTCTTCCCTTACGAGGGCCAGCGTGATGTTGACCTTTGTGAGTAGTCGAAATACCGTACTGTTTGCTATCGCTCGCACTGATCATGACGATCATCTGTTGTAGCCTTCAAGGAGAACATGGTCCTGATGGCTCACCCCGCCAAGGATTCGAGCAGTCCATGGTGGTATGGTATGCTCCTGCAGGAGGGCAAATCGGGTTGGTTCCCGAATAACTACGTCGAGGAAATCAAGCGTGAGTTTCTGTAAACTTGTCTAGACCCAGCCCTTCGCACGTCTGACCAGAGGTCGCACATCGCCTCCCAGCCCGTCAAGCCCAAGCGTCCTTCCCGTATATGGGCAACTCGGACGAGGAGCTACCGTTCGCTGAGGGCGACAAGTTGACCGTCGTAGACACTTCGGATAACGACTGGTGGAAGGTCGAAAAGGACGGCATGATATTCATTGCGCCTGCTGCGTACCTGGAGCTACTGAGTTAGTCCTTTCTTTCAGCTCGTTCCACGAGGCCTACAGCGGCCCTGAAAGCATGCTGAGTGTTCACGTCCTTATTCCTTCGTTCACAGGCTGAATAATGTGTTGCCCATCTTTTGTATTGCATGTTCCCATTCCGTATACAACCATGAATTTTGCCCTGTTATTTCCCGGCCGTGCAGCCAAGCCCTCAGACAATGCTCCCGACCTTCTGCCTGCACTGCCTGTCCAAAACGATCAAGTTCCCGTACAGACGCTTACGAGTACACTGGCACCCGTCGAAGCGGATGAAGAGGACATCGCAAGCGATGATGACGACGACGGAAACTCTTCCTCGGATGACAGCTATCTGTCCTATTTCGACGACAGTGACGACGACGAGCACGTCGAGGAGTCGCAAGCAGCCAAGGATCAGCGTGAACAAGCGAGGAATGCCGTCCTACAGGCTGCGGGTCTCAGTGTTCGTCGACCGCCGCCAGGCGTACCAGGACCGAAGAAACCGCGACGTCGAGCACCTCCACAGCCGCCAATCAGCGATGAACCGTCAAAGTCTCCCGCCTCGACTGCCGACATCCCTCCAACTCCTCCTCCGAGACCCGACGACCGTGACATAGACCCTGTCGGTGGCGGTCCGGATGCATACGACAGATATGAAGCGTACCTTGCCAAAGCAGCGGACGTCGCGTCAAGAGCTCGATCACAGAGTGATGCCCGCCCTGCTTCTCTGGCTCCTAGCTCGCCGGGACTCGGTTCTACGGTTCGCGCTTCTCCCTCCGCATCTTCGTCAGGAGTACCGCTTTCTGCTGGAGGTCAGGGTAGACTTGCCGGGTTCGTGAATAGGATCAGTGCCGGTACCTCGCAGTCAACTGCAGAGAAGCGAACGACGCCTGCGATCAGCGGCCCTGTCAGTATCGTTCGGGTTGAAGAAGGTCAAAGTTCAGAGGAGCCGTCCGGGCCTACAACCTGGTCTAGTCTGGTAGATCCAGAATTGCTGAAGAATATCTCGCCACAAGAGAGAAAGCATCAAGAGGTATACATCCTGACTGCCTCGATACCATAATTCTCCGCTGACCGAACCGCCGCGCTCAGACCATATTCGAATTCATCGCTACTGAGGGTGCTTGTGAGTTACAAGTCAGGTAGATTTCGAGTCTACAGCTAATCGAAATGGCTTGCCGTCCAGATTTGCGCGATCTGCAACTCATCGTCAACGTAGGCTTCCGAGTGGTATCCGATATGTCCAGGACAGACTAATATGGTATCGTCTTCTAGGTTTTTTATACGCCCCTTCTGAAGCTGCTTGACGACGCTACTTTGGGGAGCATCTTTGCGAATATCGAGGACATTCTGCTATTCAACACTGTAAGCAGGTCGTGCATCAATCGGTTCCGGACGTTGTTCACGGTGAGAAACACTCTCCAGACACTGCTCAGCTCGCTGGAAGATCGCCAGAAAGCCTGTAGGCTTTACATCGATCAAATCGGCGACATCTTTGCAAACCAGCTTCCGTCCGTTTCCGTCTACAAGGTCAGACTAAGAAGTCGATGCCAAATCCCAGCGCCACATGCTGATCTTGGGATCTGTAGCCTTACTGCATCAACCAAGCGCAAGGCATCCGCGTTCTGCAATCTGTGCGCGAAACGAATCAGGAGGTGGGATCGCTACTACAATCGATCCGGACCGAGAACACCAGCGTGCGCAGCCTGGACCTGTCCAGCTTCTTGCTCGAGCCAAGTAAGCCTTACCAGTTAGACCGGGATCCACACACATAGCTGACAAGCCAATTCAGTGCAACGCTTGACACGATATCCATTGCTTCTACGTCAAGTGAGTTCAAAGAGATATTCTCGCAAACATGCGTCAAAAGCTCATAATAACCGCTCAGATCCTGAACTATACCGAGGGTATGGAGGATCAACGACTAGTCGCCAACGCTCTAGAAGCCGTCGAAGAGGTTTTATCGAGCGTCAATGAAACGGTTCGAACAGCCGAAGATATCGAACGTCTGCGCGTGCTATCAGAAGAGCTCTGGATCGGACAAGGGTAAGCCCTCTGCCCAGGGACGCATACCAATACACACTTGCTGACGATCACTTCATTCCAGCCGTCTTGATCTGACGGCACCCACAGCATTCTTGGGAGACAGGAAGCTGATCAAAGAAGGGGATGTGGCCAAGGCCAAAAGCGGACGTAATCTTCAGGTTGTTCTCTGCAACGATATCCTGGTGCTGATCGAGTCCAAGAATCTTTATCGGATGGTATGTCAGATATCACAGCATCATAAGACTTCCTACGTTTGCTAAGCCTGCGCGATCATAGCCTTTCCCGATCCATGAGATCACGGCAAAGCAAGCTTCCAAACGAGATCCAACGGTGTTCTCGATCAAGAAGGATTATCGCGAATCCAGGAAAGAGGACGTCGTAACCTTGAAGTAAGCACCTGACGTTTCTTCGATAGCGCTGCCGAATGCCAATCAGTATTCCACTGCAGAGCTGCCTCGGCCAAAGAAGCGCAACGATGGGTACAGGCGATAAATCAGGCCAAGGAGGATGCCGTACGAGTGAGGTCGACTGAAGCCAAACAGCGTCGTCGGATCAGTGGTATTGGATATTAAAGGCAGAGTCGAAAAGAAGTAAAATGATTTTGTGCTTCGTCCAGGGACAATGTATTGTAAGCTAATATGAAAGACAAGAAACCGCGCAGCAAAGCTCGATACCCATTGGCCTAAAAATGACCTTGAGATCTGCCCTGAAGGAGACAAACCCAAACTCGCATTATGTCTACTGAAATTACGACTTGACAGCTGCATTTAATCAGGATACATGGCTATCGATACCATTCCACACTTGCGTCTGCTACATATCATGTTCATTACGGCACATCAGCGTTGACCTCCGCGGTCTGTCCTGTTTGCCTGGAAGTCTCACAGAATTGCTGAAGACCTTTTCTGATCAGATCACGATCTTTGGGATCTAAATCCGCCTGACACTTGAGGAGCTCCTCGCAAAACAGCTCGAAAGCTTCTTGGGACAAGGGCAAGGTTACGGCAACCCAAGCTTCGGTCAAGATCTGCAAATCTAGGTACGGGAGTTGAGGTCTACCTTTCAGCTGGCAGGCATTTTTGTATCTGCAGAGGTTCCCAAAGACGCGTAGCCGCAAGGTGTCTGATATGTAACAAGGCTTCTGTTCTTTTCGGTAAGCTTCGACAAGTCTAAGAATGACAGGAGAGGTGGCAAACGTAGCGTTCAGCTCGGCGGGGTGTTCTTGCTCTCTAGCGATGTTCTGGTTGCCTTTCGATTCGTTGGCAGCAGACTTTGAAGAGGCATCAAATCCAGATCCGTGGGGTTCCCCTTGAGATATCGAAGCGCCGTCCCCGCTGCCCTCGTCGGAAGTCCCGTAAAGCAATCGAGAGAGCGACTCCAAGAAGGTATTCACGCTCATATCAAAGAAGCTTTGGTTAATCGATCCATCACGGGGAGTCGTCGAAGATTGCTCCATCGTGTGTTGATAGTTGAGGTGTAAAAGGTTTGATTGAGGAGGTGATGTTGACGTATCAGTCAAAGCTTGTCTTTGTCGGAAGTATACTGTAAGACCTCACGGTACCCAACATAGATACATGCATTTATACAGTTCCAGTAATAGCAGCTTGAAGCACCGGCAATGTTCCCCCTCGATCAAGAAGCATAGCTTTCCTTTGTCTTTTCACCCTGCGGACTTTCCGTTTCACTCGAGATCACGTGTATAGCACGCTGGATTTGCCTCTTGCCGCATCAGAGGCATACAGAGAGGAACAGGCGGCGGAGATCGTGCCACCACTTCTGTCCGATATCTCTATAGTCACGAACATCGTCTATCGACTGGAGCAATGACTCTCCTTTCATGTGCTAAGGGTTGTCTTTCGTCACGCTGCCATGGCCTACCCTTAGGCTAGCCCCCTTCACAATATCATGCTCAAGTGACGAGCTTCACAAGCAGTTGGGATCAGCATTTCGAACAGTCTGATACCGTCGATCGATGATTGAATGAATTAAGTACGTGGATTGCGAGCTGCCTAGCCAGTTTCCGAAAATGTCACTTAGTGGCTTCGAGCCTGCACCGAGATACGCTGGAAACTCGCCGAACGCACAAGCTATGAATCCATGAGAAAAGCTTGTTCAGACCCAGTTCGGATCTGCACCGTTTTCAGTTAAGACTGCTTTCTGTCGCGGGACACCTTCTCGACAAGCAAACCAGATACTTTTCCTGCCTGATCAACTCGAGCCCTTGCAAGCCTGCCATTCATCTCATGCCAAGAGTCCCTTTCATTCCTCGATTTGGCATAGCATCAACTGATGACGTCCAGCCCAATACCCTATGGTCACATTATGTTCCGACTTGTTGCTCTTGCAAACATGCCCTTATCGGATCCGCAAGCTACGTATCCAACAAATCATCGGGGTTATGCATCCTTGGTACTGCATGATATGATGTGCACTGACAGACTCTCAAAGTATCGAATTCTCCGTAAAGTTACTCGATTTGCTTCTCAACAAGAGTATTTTGGCGGGCACCGCCGATCAGCATTCGAATGAAGCGGAGTCCGACGCCTCAACAACCGAAAGCGCTGCCCCTACAATTCATACTGATTGCATGATATATCAAACCTGAGGATATATACAACAACATCATCAAGACCATTTCCATCAGAAAGCAAATGCAAACCCGAAACGTCACTATACAACTAATCAACTTTGATTTTTCCGGCCTTGCCCATGTCTTCGGCGGTGCAGGTTGCAGAAGACCCAGATGGCGTTTGGATCGCATCTTTAACTACGCCTAGTTCTTCACTGAAATATTCGAAGCCCCTCTCTGACAGAGTTCTGAGCTTTCCGGAAGCGAAGCATGCGCTCGCTAAGAGTTCCAGGTCGAGGTCACGAAGTGAGGTTTTCTTCTTTACCTCATAAGCTGCCTTGTGCTTCTCGAGGTCGTTCCGAACCATCGCCAAGGAGATACCGTCCAGCCCCCAGGAAGACTTTCTTCCGTTTTTGTAAGCTTTGGCCGCGATGACAGCATTACCCCGATCGGCAACTTCCAGCCAATCAGGTTTCGGCTGGGCGGTGTCCGCTTTTGAAGCTAATACAGATAGTGTAGACATCGGAGGCGCTTCGGCATGGGATGACCTGATTGCTAGTTTATGCAAAGCCGCTTTCTAGGCTGTCCTCCATTTTGCAGTACTCCTCGAGTAGTAAGACTGAGAGTTCGGACTCGTCTTGCATGGATCGAATTATGCTGTCCATATCTTGCATCACCTCGTGAAGGCTCGCGCCAGAGTTGCCAGACGTAGTGTATGAAGGTTGCTGCATCGAACGTTGAGGGACGTGGGTAATGATTGTGCGAAGAAGGGGGTAGCGAGCGTATGGTGTCAGTCAAATTGGCCTGGCCTGACTGAATCTCAAGATCAGAAATATGTGGCACTTTACACCCATAACTTTGCTGGTTCTACGGCTCTGTCGAGACGCAACCTGGATTAAGAACCATGCTTTCCTTTCAAGGCTCGCCCTCCACCCCTTGTTTCACATTCGATCACGTGGCGCGCGCGCCACTACTGTACATCAGTCGCGATGATGACATGCGACGCCAGGCGGCAAACCTGTCGAACGGCTCAGTTGTTACCTGAAATTGCGCAATCGAGGAGGATCGATAGGTTCGAGAACCCCCTTCAGTTGCAGCCAAACCTAACGGCGGCTCGAACATCTCAGTCGTTCAGGTTTAAACATCACCAGTTGCTAGCGCTTCTGGAACGCTTGAACGATTTCCTCAACACGGATTTCGAGCGTCATGAGGTCACCGACTTTAGCAGCGTCTATACTCAAATCTCGCGTAACCGTGTTGCGGGAAGATGGCCAGCCTCGAAGAGCTCAATCCACGCGGCTGCAAAATTACCTGATGACGCCACTACAGATCGAGAAGCAGGGCACTTCTTTTGATCTCTCTCCGCTTTCGCCTAGTCTTGCCTTTCCTGCAGCGCATCAGTACTCGGTTCATTGCAGATTGGTCCAGTACTCGTTTATACAATCTCAGGTAGTGAAGCCCATCTACCTGTCCCAACAGTGAGCTCAAATACTGCAAGTATGCTCCACAGGGAATCGCTCTCGCTGTGAGGCAGACTTTTAGAGTGTTGGCCTCCATTTTCACACCAATATCATGTTACACTACGTAAGATACAAGCTCGATCCGATCTTCCTATGGTACAGAATCGTAACGCTACAGATCTCGATCGCTTAGTCCTTGTTTTAGGCTTCTGGAACTCTGTCAGCCTTGCCCTGCGCTCCGTCCCCGTTTTCCAGAGCGGGACTGAACAGGGTGTCTTCAGGGGCGGCCTCTGGAGTTTCGATGGAACTCAATTGCTCGAGCAATGAGCAGAACCACTCGAACATCGTTCCTCCTTGGAGATCTCTCGGGTCGACCCTGGCAGCCCAGCAAGCGTTCCAGAGCTTTTTCCACGCAGAGTCATCAGGCAGTACCTTGCGACTGTCTTCATATTTCTCCTCAAGTTTAGTTTTCCACCCTTCAAAGAGGTTCCGTTTCTCAAATCCTATCTCCTTGTCAAGCTCAGAACCCCCCTTCACGTAGACACCGTGTATGATGCATACTTTCAACCGACGCAGTGTGTTGTAGTACTCGGCTCTCTTGCGGCGACGCCTACCCCCTGTTGTGTCCGTTGACGCAACGGAAGGTGCAGCCTTGTTTTCCGATTCACGCAAGTCTGACAATTCCATGTCCAAACTGTCGACGTTGACGGAGTACCATTCCCGGAGATCTTCCGCACCCTCAAGCGTCCAGTTGGCACACAGAGAGGAAAGCTTTTCCTCAGCCGTTGTCTCGAGGTCAGAGCGCGGATAACCGTAGGAAGATAACGGGTCCTCGAAAATCAGACTGATTGGTCGCATGCCGCTCGGTGATGCAGAAGACGGTGGATTGGGTGGATAGAAAGACAAGCATGAACACCTGACTTCGGATTCATACTGGATCACAGTCGTACCTATCTGGTATATATACCTGATGGGATACTAGCGCTGTCCAGAATCACGCGATCTCAACGGAGAACCATAGCAATCCTTTCATAGTGTCACCTGTGTCACCTGACACATCACGTAATCATCAGGAGGTTTCTCACTCAACGCAAGGATTGGTTTCATCATCATTAGCTCCTAAATCAAAGCGAATCTGGGAGGCTGACTGAGTTGTTTATGCACGGTTCATCTCCCTCCATCACTGGATCGCCCATACCCATGTTCTTCCTTCAGTGAGTATGTAGAGCTGGCCAATTCAGCCTGACCTTGCATTCTCTTTCATGTGCTCTCTTCTGTCTCAGAAAGAATTATTATATGTCACATCTTGAAACCTTTGTCATCCAACCATCTTCCAGTGAACAGCACCGAAGCTTTTGTTTAACCCATTATAGTTTAGCAAGTTGAATATGCACCAAGCTCTTTCCTTTGACAATATCTGCCTTAGCATAATCCCCACTGACGCATCCACCTAGGCTAGCCCCTCCTCACCACTCGGCCTGACCGTAACTCCATGCCACCCATCTCTATATCCGATTCAGACCCATCATCATCGTTATTGTCTCCCATCTCGGTCTCGTTTCCCGAGGCGTGCTCCTCCAGAGTGAGGGAGTGCACAAGCCCCGTAGTACTGGACTCCCCTATCGCGATTCCGCATACAGCCTTGAAATCTCCGTATTCGAACACAAGGTCCGGAAGCTGAGAGGACAGGCTGTCAATGGCCTGTGCCAGCCTTTTCGGGTCCAGAACGATGTGGTCCCGCTCGGCTGAATCCTGGGTCTGGTCGCTCGAGTCCAAGAGTCTGATTTTGACCTTGTTCTCGACATCCTCGTTGTAATCGGTCTCCCAGCGCTCTATATCGTGTTGAACTAGGCGATAATGCCTTTCTTGCTTTTCTTGATCGAGCGTCCCCTCGTCATTCTTGTAGGCATGCCAGATAATCAAAGCTCGGCATCTGCTGATCCTGTCTCGCCATAGCTTTTCTTCGCTTGCGTACTCAGGCGCGATGGTACGGATAGTACCCCAATCCGTTCCTACAGAGAGCCGAGAGAACGAGCCGCTGAAGTTCAGTTGATAGCCTTTTGACATCGCATCTGAGGCGGCTTCCATAAAGATCGGTTCAGCTTCAATATAAGCTTTTCTGAACTTAGTAATGTCATCTCGTTGATCGTGACTGTCAGGCAGTAATCGAAAAGACTGCTCCGCCTGAGTATTGGTCGACATGACGCTCGATGAAGCGGTCGAGACCGACAAGGCTTGAGTACCGCAATGGTGGGTCATTTTGCTGAGATTTCTACTTTCGAATCGAGATTGAAATTGGGTTTCGGGAAGGTGAGAAAATTTCAAGAATCAGTGTTGCCGCGACTCACTATCGCCAGCTGGCTTATGAACCTTGACCAAGGTTTCCAGCACGCCTTGATTTGAGTAGGGTCTCCAAACTGAGATCCATGGTTTTCCTTTCACATATTGCCCTGCGGACCTCCTGTTTCAGTCGATGCAATGGCGCGCGCGGCGAACGACAAGCCTGGTTCAGTGGCGGCAGGTGACACGAGAAGGCGGCACGGCGGAGTCGGATCACCTTTATCATCTGGACCGCCTGGTGACCTGACAAGCGGCTCAATCCACCGGTATCTTAGCGTCCTGTAATGCCTTGTGAAGAGATGATGTGTGTGAATTCTCATGCTTATCGAGTCATACAACATGATCCACCTCAGGCATTACGATGAACTTAACGCAGTAGGAGCCAGATCGATTGGTCTGAAGATACCACAAGTTTGCTACTGATATTAGCACAACTAAAGTCCTCCTCTTCTATTCTCAAGAAGACGAACCTCGATGCATCGCTACTCTCCCACGGCGGATGCGGCTGATCTTGCTTTGAGCCTTCGCTGAATCATTTTCAGACTTTGTCGATTGGCTCTTAGCTTCCACCGAGCTCGGATTGCGGAAGGCTCCAGATGATACGGGACCAGAGGTCTCCCCCAGAGAAATCACAAAAACCTCTGAGTTCTTCGCTCGTAAAAACAAGAGGGTATGTTGGTGGAGGGTATTATCCGCCCGCTCTCAGACTACCATTTGGGGATATAGATCCAGACCACCTGGCAGCTGGCTAGACCACCATGTCAGAGGGGTGCCACTGCTTCGCGTCGTATCGTTCTCTGACTGTAGACAGGAACTCACATCATGAAGCGTGATTGAGGTTGTTCGTGGCTCATGGCGGCGATCTAAGGTCTGGAGAGAAGCTCATCGATACCTACTCTTGAAATACCACTGAACTCACAGTGGCTATTCGCAATCCCACACGATGTCATGGATGGATGAAATACCGAAAGCTGCAACCTCAAAAGAATACATATGTCTATCTGTATCTTACAACTCCAGCTCGTACATTTCTGCGTCCTGATCATTTTGCTGGTCGCGATTCTGCCGCGAGGCTTCGGTCTGATGCTGCTCTGACTTTTCACTCTGAGAATCGATCTTCAGGGATGCAAGCTCTTCCTCGAGCCCTTCTGCATCGATCATGGCATGGCGCATGAACAGCTCGCAAAATGTGAAGAAGATCCCTTCCGATATGAAAGGGTGTCGGAAAGCAGCAAAGCACGCTTCCTTCAGCCTCTCCCACTCGAGTTTCTCGGGAATTCGGCGCCCCGCTGTATTCGCCGCATGCCTTTGGTATATCTCCAAGTTCCTGTCGAACGACCAAGAATGATTGAGGTCTATCGCGCTTGAGGGCTGCTGACGTTCTCTGTAGGCTCCGAATAAGATCATGCCCTTTGCTGCATCCATCGTCTGCTCGTAATCTACATCGGATTTTTCTACCTCCTCTGTCCCATGCTCTGTCCGAGTCTCCAACGAGTGGGACATCGATGACAGCCGGGACCCCCTGGCGAAACGAGAACTCTTGTCCACGCGACCTCCAGGTTTACTCGTGATCGCACGGGACTTGGCAGAGGCAGGAGGTCGCACAGCTTTACGGGTAGTCCGGACCTGAAACCTCTTCGAAGTATAGGACAGACGATGAGCTGTCTGCAAGGTACCCTCGTATCGACGGTATGACTGCTCCAATGTGGTGGCTCCAGCCTCCGTCCACTGGTCTTTCAGATGATCGACCATGTCGCTGATTGTTCTCGCGCAACTTACAGCGAACGATGATGTGTCCGTACTTGCCTCTGATACCGAAATATCACTCCTGTCCCTTAGAAGATCCATGTCGATGTGTTTTTGGCTGAAGAAGTTCGTTCTAAGGAGGTCGAGGTGGATCGGTTTGGTGGGTCCAATAGGATAACGACAACCGCGAAGCGAAAGCGAATCGCTCATTCCGTGCTTTGCGAGGATCTTCTAATATATATAGTCGGTAAACCGCCATCTGTCCTACCAAGACGCCATCACCGCAGAGAACCATATCTTTCCTTTGAGGCTTCTCCGTTCTCACCTTGTTTCACTCGAAAGCGCGCACGTGGTGATTACGCCACATGGCCTCGTACGCAAACCGTGTCGCCCTAATCGGGCCCGATTAAATTGGTCGTCTCTCACGACAGCCTGCGCCAGACTTGACAATTATCGTTCCATTGATTGAAACTGATGGATCTGGTTTGTTTGTATCTGCTCTACTGACCTTTCAGGGTCGATGACACGTCGATAAGTTGATTGACGCAATATAGGACAAATCGCTAGCAAGGAACGTCCTAACTCCGCTTGTCTCTACTTCATTCGCAATGAAATGTGCTAAGCTCAGAGCCTGGAGGATAACATGAACCTTAATCCGGAATCTCTCTGTCAGTTTTCTCGTCATCTAGCATTCACTAGTAGCCCATGGTCTGTACACAACTATCTCACATACGGTCGAAGGCAGCCTTCAGCTTAAGCAAATCGTTTAGAACTCAGACAAGACGGGAACGACCGATTCCGCGATAACGAGAATTCAGATGAGACCGACACAGCTATATTCTCTCGTATCATGCACCGCGGGGAAGACATCGAGATGAAATTGTGCAGGTCGTCCAATGAGAAGACAGTCTTCATGAATCACAACACAATCTACAAAGAGTTCGGTCTACATAGCAGTTCAGTTGTTCTCAGACTTGAAAGATGCACTGTCTGGGTTGATGCTTTCTGGCACGACCTTTGGTTGGTTTTCGGTTCGGACGATCCACTTGACGAGATCCAAGTAAACCTCCCTCGGAACGAAAGCTCCACCGGGTCGAGGGAAGGCTGCAAAGCATGCGTCCCTTGCTCGAATCAACTGAAACGGATCGAGATAGGGGATAGCCTCCTTTGTCCGGTCTTTCCGATACTCTTCGAACAGCCTATCAAGTTTCGCCTTCCGCTGGTCGTCCACGTAGCCCGAGGAATTTCGGCAACGATAAGCTTCGATGACCTGCAAGGCCCGACCCTTATCCAAGGCTTCTGCCACGAGGTTTCTCCCCTCCTGATCCGCTACAGAACTTTTGTTGGTAACCTTGGCTTCAAGATCATCTTTCAGATGTTCGTAGCGCTCCAGGAGGTGATAGATTCCATCCCCTTGCGTCGAACCACCCTCGAGTTCCGTTCGAGCGGCAGTCACAAACGATTGCTCAAGACTTGGTTCACTTTGTCCGGTCGTTGCCCCCTCGTTGTCAAGTCCGGTGCTCTGAAATCGGATGGTAAGTTCAGGAACGTCGACCATTGTGTGGAGGAATGTATGCGTAGCGGGTCGAATGAGGGCAGGTTGTGGTAGGGGGTTTGGGAATCGATGCGTTCACAAGAACAACAGACCCACGACAACGTTTGATTATCGAAGGCATTGAGGACCAGTTTTTATATTCGTGAGAGGCATGAGAGGCTGCAGCAAGTCGTATGTCGCTATCACGGAGAACCATCCCTCTCCTTTGACACTTCTCCGTTCCTCTACCGTTTCACCTGGCATCACGTGCGCGCGGTGGCTGTTTGTCAATCACGTGCTCTCGCGCCACATCGACCTGCTCTCCCTGACCTGCCTCACAACATCGAAGGTCAAATGATCATCTTACACTCGCTCAATCGCATCGGAATGTCGCCTTCTGTGCAAAACTCGCAGCTCTCGTCATGCTGGGGGTGGGGGGCGGAAAGCAAAGGAGGCAATCTATCACGTATAAACCAGATGGCGCTATCACGCATGCGATCAGGTGACCAGCTTTGAGAAGCTCGGCGTAGCCGACCGTCCCTCCTTGTCCTGCTACGACGATACGATACAATACTGACACCATCTAGCGCGATGGTTGTCGTGATTGCGATGAAAGGAACCCTTGTCCTGACATCGGTTGGCAGGCGAGTGAGGGGGTAGGCAGCTCACATCGACGGATCATGACCCGAAATCGAGCCACCGGGTACCATCGCCAACACCGCGAAAGAGAGCAGAGATAGGGTCAGTGGAATGATCGATTTCAAGTTGTTGAACATGCGAGATGTTCACGGCAACTCGATAGAAATGTGGGCTGAATGGTTCACAGGGTTCTACCCTGTTGCTTCTGTCACACTCATCTCGTACAGGTTTCCGGCTGCAATCTTCAACCGGAGTCGGCGACCCTACAGTAGATCTCGGCATGATCAACCCGGGAAACGTGTCGAATTTCGCTCGCGAGTCAGCAATATAATAAGTTTTCTGAGTCAGGCCCCCTCCTCTGCCGGTTCCGCATCAATTATAGTTATTCTTCAGCATCTCCTATTGACGAGGGTGTAAGAGAAAGAACAGCGCTTGATATACTGGCCAACGCTTGAATCCCCTCCAAGACGACCATCTTTCTGTCCTATAGATCATTCCAGTTCATATCCTCGTGTGAGACCTGAGGCAACCGAGTGGTGTTGGGGTAACTTTGACTGATCGGCCAGTTCAGGTCGAATGCATATCCTTCGATATATAGTATACGATACTGTCGATGTAGCGTATTGTGTAAGCTCTGACAGGGCCGGTCGGGTGAAGAATCGGCGGCCTCTGTATTCATTGACAAGAAGCCAAAGTAGTAGTGGATCATCTAGCGTCTGGCTCCGTCTGATTGAAAGTGAATCGGAAGGCGTACTAGTACATCCGTTAGTCCTGTAATCAGAGCGAGACCACGCCTCGGATCACGGTTCAGGAGGCCATGAGGGAGATTTTAGGGGTACTCTTGACAATGTTGGGTGATGCCGAAGGTCACTGGACAAAGCAAAGGGAGTTTTGACAGTCAAGATTCATACTATCAAATTCTATGACTCGAAGGGATTTCTGCAAAGCGGATATAGAACTGTGATACGATAAGTAACCCGCAGCTAGTCTTTCATGCGCAGATATATCAGCTGCTACTGAGTCCGCTGGCAGTCGAGATCGTCGAAAACTGGGACAGTCGAATCGAGTAGGTAATGCTAGAGTGAAACGTATAGCGTCTAAGTTTGCTGTATATACGACTACTAAACTATCTTCAATCACATTGACAAGTCTGAGTCGACCTCTTTCACGGTTCGTTCCTCCTGTGTAACCATGAACCTTCTACGACATATATGTGCAAAGACTGCCTCTGGCACGTGTTGGCTCAAGAAAGGTCTTTGAATGCATGCGACCGCTAAAAAAGGGCGGTCTTTTTCGTCGATGTCGTAATGGTTGCCGTGTACCAGATTCAGCACTCCTAAACTTTCTTCAATGTGGAATACCACAGAGTCGATCCGAGTCATCAAGGAGCTCGCGGTCTGACTCGTCGCTTCCCTCTGCCGCAGTCTCTTTCTCTTTGTGCCTATCACGGGCTGCCGGACTTCGACTGCCGCAGGAAGTTTCCTCATCCATTCTACAGCTGATTCCAAGGCGGGCTTCGACGTGTTTTTGGGCCTTGTATCGTAGACGTCCAAGATTGCCTGTGCGTAGCGAGACGCGAATCCGTCAAAGAAAACCTCGTCTTCCTTCCTGTGCTTCGCTGTCAAGCCTGTCCCCGAGACTGTAGCGATCGTGCTCTGTAGCGTGCTGTCCCAAGAAACGATGCTGGTGGCTCGGTCAGGCATCTGAAGGCACTCGCCCCTGCGGTATAGCCTGACAAGAGATTTCCAGACCGACTCTTCGTCTTTTCCAAGCACCGCTCCAGAGGATTCACAGCTGGAATCGACTTGCGAGAACAGCGTGATTGATTCGGCTGTTATCCCAGACAAATCCATTGGTTCTTCTGAGGAGAAGTCGACGTTTTTTCTCTTTACCATACTGTAGGTTGCGAAGTCTGCTGTTTGAACGAAGGATTTGATATAGCTTGTGCCGAGATGAAGCTGTGCACATTGAAAACTCCCTCTGTTCCGATATCCCCTCACTCTTGGGATGCGCGGCCAAATATATAGTATGGGTCGTGCCAAGCTGGCGTGATGATACAAGCACCACCAGTTGCTCCTTTGTTTCGAACCTTGAAACGTCACGCAATCGGTCGACGCTGACCAGGATTGGGGCATCACATTGTGGAAAGGATAGCCAGTCAGTGAAGCATGGGTGGTTTGGTTGATACTTGACTCGACTTACTAGAACGCTTCATTGGAGACAAATATGGCACAGTAAAAGTATAAGGCCCCTGCTGGCGGCCAATATTCATGTCTTGGCATCCCCAAGCATTGCATGGCTGCTGCCATGTAGCTTTCAAAGTTGAGGCTTTTTGACACCTGCAATGGATGCAAATCGACAGTGGCGATGTCACGCGCCCCAGATTATGCAGTGACGTGTGATATACCTATCAAGGGACCATGGGATCAGCGGCTAGAACTAGAACTTGTCGTAAAGCCGGCTAAAAAGAGCTTGGGAGTACCCGCTTCCTTCCCACTACTCGACAGCTTACGGCATGAGTGGGCATCGCCCCTTTTGCTGGTCAAACTACCATCACAGCGGCATCACTCGTCTCGAATGTATTTTGACCAGGTGGAAGGAACGAAATCTTCAAGTCAAACTACTTACTCATATATCTTTTCCACGGCAGCGACAATGCAGAATCGGTCTAGTTCGGCTGATCAATAAACCTCGCTATGTGCAACCATTCGACGTCCTGTAAGGCTTGTTCCCGTTTAAAACAGTGCACAAGTCATTGGATTACACTTGGATAGGGCGACAAACCTACAAACGTATAGATTACAAAGCTGAACAACTGGCGTGGACAACGGCGATCATGGTAGGCTAGGCTGCTCAGAACTTGGTGGTGTCCCGCTGCAGGAACCAATGGACACAAGCGTCATGGATCTGGTCCATCTCCTCCTGGGTAGTGTAGCCTTGGTAGACGTTCCTCGCAGCATCGGTAAGCTGATGCAGCTGCCCCTCGTCAAATTTGACTTTTCCCTCCCTCGCCTGCCTGCTCTTGGCGGTCAATTGACCGGCGAGGGCATCATGGTTGGTCCACCAGATCTGATCCCGATCGCCGGTCTGGGCATTGTAAGCCAGAGGGCTCGAGTAGTAGGTGAGCCGACCGGCATCCCTCTGTTCCTTGTCGTGAGCATGAACAGCGAGGATAAACTCGTGCAGCACCCTAGCCTTCTTGACGGTCTTCCAAGTCTCATAGTACTCAAGGCCGCTGTAGCCGTTCAGACCGTAGTCTCGCTGCTCCCACTGAGTCCTCGCGTGGTGAGCTTGGGCAGGAAGACCGTCGTAGGTCTGACTCATGTTCCAGTAGGCGTCCTCGTCGTACCCGCCGCTACCGAGGTAGACGCCGGCGAGCTTGTTAAGCTGAGCGATGACCGCAACGTTCGAGGTATGGTCGTCGTGGGGACCGGTAGAGTGAGACATGTGGTTGATTGGTGTAAATCGTGAGTTGGTTGTTTATTGTTAGCTGATAGTGAAGATGAATGAAGAAGAGCAGTCGACACAGCAGTATCACCTCGTGCAGGCTGCTTCTCTCTATATATCATTCATATTGACTGGTCCGGTCAATCGGCCACTCCAGGAACAAGGGGACGCAGAGTTTTTTTCCTTTCATCTGAATTCTCAGGGGCTTTCAAGGGGGGTTGGAGGCAGATCCCCTTTGATCTTCTCCTGGGCGAGTTCGGCGCGGAGTTTCGATCCTGAAACGCACGAGGTCCCCTTTGAGCGAGCGCGCGCCTACCACTTGTTTCGGCCTACGATGCCCTTGTTTCAGGTTGCGCGTCGCTTACGGCATGGCTCATTGGCGATCGCTCGCACATTCTCCGGATCAAGTTGGATCTTTGCGGTGAAAATAGAGCCTTCCTGAACCCACAGCGAACATTCGTTACAAGTTGATGATTGGATCCGTCGGTCTGCGCGTACATAGTCTCAATGAGCACCGGACTCATGTCCGGGCAAGCCGTTGTTTCCGTCTGCTCGTCATTGCCTTGCCATGTCACAGGACAAACTTCACATACTGCACCACCAACCTATAAGTACATAGTAGTCCTAAGCACGACGACCAAGTTCGACTCTCAGTCAGATACCACTAGTCCACCGAGAAAAGCGCTTCGAAAGCAGCAGTCAACTTCCGACGAATGGCCTTTCCTGCGCGATCTTCCCTTCGCCAGTAAGCGGACAATGTGAATTTGTGGATATCGCTGACTGTTCAACGATTTGTACGAACTCCTTGTGATTCTCAAGCATACTCGCTAGAGGTGAAATACATAGGGACAGACTCCCAGTAAATTTCATCGACATGGAGACAGCGTCACTCTCAGGATTAGTTCGCTGTTGGATGATACTGATCGACAGAAATGCGTCATTCCGTGAGATACGATATGTTCTGCGATGCTTGGTCCCCACGGGCTGACCATCATCTATCACTTCACAGGAAAACAGAGTCTTGCCTCTGCCCTAACGTCGACCTCAATGGCTTCGGAAGTGAATGCTTGCTTACGTAATTTGCTTCCGTTGAGCATATCCATCTCGGAGTTGATCGAATTGTTGATCCATTTCGACAATTCGATCTCGACTTGAACCTCCATCTCAACTCAAACAAAAGGTCTAGCCATACCCATTCTGTCACAATCTAATGCTAGCCTGTTTGAGCTCCCGATAATGACCGATTACATCCCTTTACGACAATATACGGCGGGCCAAGATCCCGAAGCAGAAGAAGCGGACGGCCGACTTCCTCTTCCTTCACCTCGGCGTCGCCGACGACCGAAATCGTTACGAAATCCAGGGGTCATCGCCGGAGGGGTGGCTGTCATCTTCACTCTTTTCTTGATACTATCGTATTCGACGACCGGGGATGAACAGCGGATACCAGATGACGGACTGGGCTCAGGGAAGGGGTTGATGGAGGTCGAGCTCCCTGCTCCTGGCAAGACGATACGAGCTCAACATCCGATCGCCCAGCTTATGGAGCAGGCTGAGGAAAAAGCGGTAGAGATGCGAGACCTGAGAGAGTCAATAAGAACGCTCGAAGATGCTGTGACCAACTATAAAGAGACGTTCGGCTTGGATCCCCCGGAGGGATTCGACAGATGGTTAGTCCTAAGCTCATCCTCTTCCAAAGACGCCCTGTCTGCGAGAGTCATCAGCGACCCTTATGCCTCGCAATTATAGGTTCAAATTCACAACCTCCATATCATCCACTCCTATTCCCTCCCTCATCCCCGAAGCCCACCTCTCGGTGCTCCCGTACCTGTCCCTCCCAGCGCATCTGCTCCGTACCCGAGCTCTGGAGCTGCAGCAAGACAAGGGCGTCTTCGGGATGACTTTCCACCCCGCCTCTGATGCCGATAAAGAAGAGTTGAAGCTGGAGGTCGTCGAGGCGGACGGGTTGATCGGGATAAATAATACGGATTTCATGGTCAGCTATATGTCACCCCGTTGGTTAGTCTCTCTCGCCCTTTCTTTCCCTATTCCTCTGAATAGTGAATTCCCCCTTCCCGACGTTGATCTGACCCGCCGCGTGCTCGTCCTATAATTTACAATCACAGGGACTACCCCGACCTCCTGAAAGAAATCGTTCCCCTCCTCCCAACCGCACAACAACCCGAATGGCCACTCCAAATGACCATGTGCGTCCGCGATGGGGGGTGCAGGCTGTCGTCCGGTTGGTTGATGGAAGAGTCAAGAAAGTTGGCTCGGGATGGACGAGGTCAGTCCGAACTTCCATTTTGTAGATGTCGATGTTTTGGGTTTGAGTTCACGCTGACGGTATGAGGTGTTTATCATGGTGGTTCTCTTTTGGTGTAGAATGGGATGTCGACCTGCTCGAACAGCTCGAAGAAGAGTATAGCACTCGTCGAGGCTGGTAAGACGCACAGCTCATCCTGCTCCATGCTGTTCCTTCTACCATACTCATTAGTCTCCCTGCAACTAGGTCACAGACCTGCAACCCAGCCCTGGACGAAGCCTTCGAGAGCGCACAAGTCGACTTCAACTCGTCCAGCTCGACAAGCACCAAGTCGTTCATCTCCGATCACCTTCAATCGATGGACTTTTGCGAGAACCCTGATCTGTTGCGGTTGGTGAGTCGGGTCATTTCGTTCGTTTTTTCCGCTCGCGGGGTGATTTCGCAGGCTGATATTCGGAAATTGAAACTGGGTACGGCTGACAGAACGGCGAGCTGATCATGGAAAGCGATCATATCATGCGCCCGTTGTCTCCCATATTAGCTGTGTCGAGGGTGAGTCTGATGTTCATATGCCCAGATGTCATCGTGTCTGATACATTCTGCTGGATAAATTCTGTTCATAAGCCCATGCACGGGTAAGTCTCCTCTCATAAAAGCGATGAACAAGAAACCTAGCTGAACAGATCGTCCCGCCGCCTTGTAGCGCTGACATGCTCGGAACACCTACTCGAGCCGTCCGAGGTAAGCCATCATTATCTCCCATCTGTTGAAAGAGCTTGGCTCATTGTCGACCCGCTCACAGACCAAGCTCCTACCACCCCCTGGTCTGAAAAAACTCTACACAAGGTCGTCTGGCGAGGAACCTTGACCGGCGCTTTTCATCGAGATCGATACGATTGGAGGGCTTCTCAACGGCATCGTCTGTCGCACTTGGTCGGCAATACGACCGAGGAAGCAGAGGCTGTCGTCCTGCTCGGCCGTAGTGTTGGGGACGTGAGCAGCAGTGGCGGCGGGCTTGAGGTCGGGACGTGGAAGGAGAACGACCTGATTGAAAAATGGATGAACGTCGGCCTGGTTAAAGGGGTGAGCACACCGAGCCTTTCCTTGTTTTCTTTTTCGTGAATTCGCACTTCACCCGACTGACTTGGATACTGCTACTCAAGGATGTCCATAACATCGTACGTTACCTCTCTTAATCTTCGAACCCATCACGACTGACCCAATCTACTGCAATCCCTCTCTGATAACGATCAGTGCGGTCCAGGACCGACGGACGAAGCCTGTCGCCTCGACGGCGGACCTCAATACCCCGAATGCCCCGAGTACGAACCGTCCTGCGACCAGATGTTGAGCGAGTATGCTTGGGTGGGGGAGATGTCGCTGGAAGAGACTTTACCGTGAGTCCCCCCTGGCGCCTTTCCGCTCCTTCCGCCTTTTCATGGACCGTTTGCCGCTCGACTACGAGCTGATAATCAATAATGTTTGATATGCTGACATGGGTGTCGTTGGCAGCTATCGATACCGCCTAGACGTAGATGGGTACGGCTGGAGTTCTCGTTGGCAGAAACTCTTGTCGACGAACAGCGTCGTGTTGAAGAGTACCATCTACGTGAGTTCCTCTCCCGCCATTTGTACCTTTCCTCGTCACGTTTCTCACTGCCCTGCCTCTATATTCTTTTTTATCCTTGATATCATCGCAAATCCTAATCTCGAAATGGAACTCACTCCCAACCTCACTCAATCTCGAATCCGCCCTGAAACGTCGAGCCGAGCAGCCCGAATGGTGGACCGCCCAATCGATCCCGTGGTACCACTACATCCCGCTCAAATACGACTATACCGACCTCTGGGACGTGCTCGCTTTTCTGGATGGAGCGCCTGACGGGGCTTCAAGCTCCTCTACCTCTACCGGGTCTTCCTCGAAGGAAGAAGAAGAAGAGAAGAAAAGGGCGGCAGAAGGGACGAGAGAGGGAGTGGCTGAGGAGATCGCTAAGCGGGGGATGGGGCTGGCCAAGGAAAACCTTAGGTGCGTCTCGGCCTTTTTCCATTCCTTTTCCTTTTCGTCTTCTCAATACCGGTGGAAAAAGAGGGCTAGCTAACGCATAACAAGGGTTACTTTACTGGGCTTGGCTGTAGGTGGGAAGATATGCAGAGTTACATGTTCTTGTTATTGCTCGAGGTGAGTCAGGCGATCCCGTCTTTTGCTCAAAGGGTCCCGGTACGGTAATCTGACGTTCAACACTATTCATACATGTACTGCTGCTAGTACCGACGCGCCTGGTCGGACGATCGGGAGGCCGCTACGTATCGCCCCTAACATGCCATGACATGACATAGCATGATCTCATCGATCAACCTATCTAACCTGTCTCGAATTCCAACTTGCGGCTTGTGAGACTGAGGGGATGATTGTGTCCTCGATGTCAAGACGCATAGAGTGCAGTTATGCAATCCAGAGGCCAGAGATGGGGGATGCGAATACGAAACATGTTCGGCATCGGACGTTGTGTGTGCCGAGAATAGGAATCAAACGATGATGACGAAGCACTAGATAGTCGCGGGGAGTGGAGGGTGGACAGGTGGAGGTCGTCGTGCGTCGGGGGGTTATATAAGGTCAGATCGTGCAACTCGATCGCAACCTCTACCTCCATATCATATACGAGGCTCTAAGCTATCGATAATAATTAATAACAATCCTAGAAGTCAGATCATACCGTAGACATATACATCCAGATATACACGACATGACCTCCCCCATCGCTCAACGTCAACTCGGCTCGTCCGGCCTTCAAGTCGGAGCCATCGGGTCAGTACCTCGTCCTCGCTTTCCAGAGGTAAAGATATAGACGCTGATCGATCGAGATGCACTGGGTTGAAATATGACGTTCTAAAATCTAGGTTCGGAGCGATGATGATGACCTGGTGTGACCCTAAAGAGGTCAAGAGCGATGAAGACGCGTTCGCTTCCATCAAGTGAGTCGGTCTGACGACCTTGCTCAACCTTTCTATCTCTTTACATCTTCTCATCTCCCCCTATAACTCTATCAACCAACCTCTCCTTACCTAAACCTTCCTAATATAAACCAAAACCTCGAAACTTGTAGATCCGCCGTAGACGCCGGAGCGACCTTCATCAACTCCGGCGCATTCTACGGGAACCCCGGATCAGAAACAGCCAACCTCGAACTCCTCCGACGGTTCTTCGACAAATACCCGGATTATGTGGATCGGGTCGTCTTGAGTGTGAAAGGGGGTGCGAAGGGGGGTAAGATCTTCAGTGGGATTGACGCTAGGTGAGTAACTTTCTCCTCTTTATATACATGTGTGTGTCTTGTATCTCTCGCATGGGATTCGAATCGAACCTCCTCGTATCGCATCGCATATCATGTTCACATAATGATACACATGATACTGTACATAGCATGGAAAACCTCCGAGCAGACCTCGACCGGATCCATACCGCCCTCGGTCCCAAGAAGAAAGTCGACATCTACGAGGTCGCCCGTGTAGACCCTACGATGACGATCGAGGAGATCATGAAAAACCTGGTCGAGTTGAAGGAAGAGGGGCATTTCAAGGTTAGTCTTGCTCTCACTCGAGATATCTCGGCCTTTTCGGTACTCAAAGTTGAAGTTGATATCATCACAATATCACATCATTACATTACCACACCATGACAATGCCCCACCCCCGCTTTGCGATCAACAACGAAACGTCGAAAAACGCAGCACATTGGCGTCTCAGAGATCCACCCGACAGCTCTCCGGAAAGCCCACGCCGTCCATCCGATCGCAGCCGCCGAGATCGAGATCTCCGTGTTCAACCTCCAACCGGAAGCGCTCGAGGTCGTCAAGGTCGCCGAGGAATTGGGGATCGCTGTGGTCGCTTATTCGTGAGTCTGCCCGGCTCTAGCTTGACTGGTATAAAGATGGTATCGCTGTTTTGAAATCTTCAAAGAGCTGATCTGGATTGAGCGGATTTCGTTGTTCCTTCCTCCCATCCACATCGTATCATGTCGTTCCGACTTGACGCTTTTTCCTTCACTTCGACTTTCACATCTTCGGCACCATATAACACGATACCATACCACACACTTACCTGCAACACAGACCCCTTGGAAGAGGAATGTTGACGGGACGATACCGTTCCCCCGAAGATATCCCTGCGGACGATGTGAGGAAGAAGAATCCTCAATTCCAGGGGGACAACTTCAAGATCAACTTGGAGATCGTCGACAAGCTCGTGAGTCCAGTGGCAATCCTTCACTTCCTCCTGATTCCTGTCCGAGCGCCCGTGGCAGAGAAGGGGGGGGAAATCAAGCTGACGCTCCAACGCTGGATGTAATGCAGACGGCGATCGCCGAGAAGAAGGGAGTGTCTTCGGGTCAATTGGCCTTGGCGTGGTTGCTCCAAAAGTCTGACAAGGCGAGTCCCCCACACCCATTCGTGCCAACCCACCCTCAGCTCAACTAACTCTCTCCTGTGCCACTATACACTCGCACAGATCATCCCTATTCCCGGCTCAGGCTCAGCCAAACGTACCGTCGAAAATATCCAATCCGTCAACGTCCACCTCTCCTCGGAAGAGCTCGGCGAGATCGAAGGCATCTTGAGCAAGTTCAAGCCCGCCGGAGACCGATACGCCAACAACGGGCACGGGTTGTTGTGGGGCAAGGGAAGGGAGGATTAGCGTCAGATGCGATGTGAGCAGTTGTAGAATCGAAAGGTTGTAACGACTTGATCAGCAAATAAGACGATCAACAAACAAGAAGGCAACGATGATGTCGACAAGAGGGCTGGTCTGGTTTTGAAACTAAGGAGGTCTACATCCAAATATCGAGCGGGAGCCAGAGCATGCCTCACCTCTTCGATCGAGACCGGCATGTGCCCTTGATCTTCTCAGGACTGATCTCCAGCTATGCTTTATTGCCAGTGGTGAGATTCACGCGACAGGCATCTGGGAAGGGGGCGAACTTTATCGTTTGACTGGATATCCTGCGATAAGCGCTCCTCGAATCTCAACCGTCGGGGTCGAAGCGCGCCTCGAGAGGAGAAGAGACGAGTGTGACATCCCCATTCCATGGCCCCAAACTTATCGTTCCAACTGGCAATGCTGTTACCACCAATATTCAGACTGTTGACGGGCACCCATGGCCAGCATCTCGAATAGTTATAGGAGACATCACGGAGAAAAGCTGGACGTTGTGGGAAGCAGGTGGTGACCAGGATCGCAACCAGATGAATTTGCCGAGCGATTCATCTTCAACATAATTCAACTGACAATGCACATCTCAAGACTCATTATCTCTCCAACAGACAAAAGTAGCCCGGTCCCCAAACCTGGATGGGCTGGCGCGTAATCTTTCGATGGCAATTGATATCCGGTGGCGAATGATAACGCTTCCGGCTGTGCGATGGCTTCTTTCGGGTACAGAGTGGGGGGCCTGACAGTCATCATCCAACTCGAAGCCCAGACCATTTACTCGGGGGAAATTATCTTCAGGATGAATCTTGCGCTGGTGATCCCTTCCGGACCGCCGTATCGTGCCAAAACGGGAAAAGGACAGCGCGAAAAAGGCAAAAAGAACTGTCACCTGCCTGGATCGAACAAGCGACCGCACGAATTCGAACAAATGACTTCAGTCGTGCGCTCTCCCAACTGAGCTAAGGTGACGGAGATGTTTGTAAAGGATTGTTATGCAATATCAGAGAACATTGTGTAATGCATAACAAATGGATAATCAATCGGAACCCAATTAACCCGTCACCCTGAGGCTACAAACCCAATGGTCGGTGCCGATCTAACGATCTGCCGACGGGGCAGCCTTTTGTTGCACCCTTACTGGGACCTCGGTATAAGGCACTCGTGCTGTAAAACCTTGCTCAAGTGGTGGTGAGCCAAGACACTGGCTGTCACTTTTCACCCGACCATAAATTACGTGAGTGTCCCTAGGCGAGACTTGGGCGATTGTCCATCGGCCTTGTCATCGACATGGGGTAGTGCGGTACCAGTGGACGTTGTGACCGTTAGCCCCGCATGCTTCAGGCTATGCAAATCATGGAGTATCAACCCGCGTATCTCTTGAGATGTGAAATCGGCACAGATAGCAGCCACTTCTTAGAATCCAATGCTAGCTTGCGTCCCAGGCCGTTGTTGGCCTTTCTCTGGAAGGACCTGGCCGGACTGTTGCTGTGTTGTTGCAATTTGCCATTCATATGGCCCTATTGTGAGCAGTCCATCTGACCCATCGAGGATATCTTACCGCTATGGAGGTCCGAAATACGTCACGGCATGATTCCCCTTTAGGGGTGTGAGCATTTCAATAAGGGACCCCTGAAACGTGCTCTAAGGATGCTAAACGCGCGCGTTTCATCCCTTTGAAACGTGATCTAAAGCCTGCCTTTGACGTGAAACCACGATACCTTTGGGCCGTGTTCGATCACAATGGCAGGGTCTGGTACTGCCAAAAATACCCTGGAAAGGTTGAAAGGGGTTACTCGTTCGCCATCAGAACACCCGATATTGTATATCATACTGGATTCAAGGATAGTCTAGATAATTCCAGTTTGCACTGGAACTCAAACCGGATTTCATATCGAGTGATAACCGAATCCCACGATCGGTCCACGATGTCCGCCGTGTATCTGGATTCAGTGCCTCCGTCGCCCACCACCCGGAAACGACTATTCACACCAAGCCGAGAATCTTTCTTGAAGGAAGACCTGCTCGATACTCAAACTCATGGCGATGTGTTGGCCGATTCGTCAAGTTCATCGTCCTCGCCGATCGCCCGCTTACGACCAGTCTTGTCAGCACGGAGACCTGTCAGGACATGTCTATGGATTCTGGGGGCCCTGGCGGTCTGGACTTACCTTTACACCAACTCGGCCCTATTCTTCCCCCAATACACTCGTCCTGCTCTTTCTCTGCCGCCCGGAGCAATCTCGATCGATACCATCGTCAACCTCACAGAACAACGCCTCTTGCATCTTCAATCCGGTTTCCGGGCAGATCAGACCAAGGCCGAGCTCAATGTAGACATCCCCTACGTTTCCCTCCCGAACTACCGGGACGAGCTCAGAGGGTTCTACGAGGACTATTTTGCGAGACCGCATGACGACAAACACGGCACGATCTGGGACGTGGTGGAAGAGCGTTTAAGCTTGTTCCCAACGGATGGCAAAGGTAAAGGCAGAATCCATCAGGAAAGCGCAGGGAACAGCCTTAAAGGTGGCTTGCCCAAGGCGATCTACGCTACCTCTGTGAAAAACGATCTGCCGTTCTTCTTCTACAGCTGGGTAAGACATCAACCTATATGAAGCGCCTCGTGCCTTCACGATCAGTCGTAACTAAAATAGTTCGCTCGTTGATGACAGGCAAATGCAAACCTAGACTGGACGGTGTCCTGGTACGACGACCGCGCCATTGCAGCCTGGATCAAAGAAAAGTTCAAGGCGTACGAGGAGGTCAACCTGGAAAGACGAAGAAAGGCTTTAGCTCAGGCTTTGCAGAACGGCGACTTTGATGAAGAAAAGGAAGGATACGAAGGCAACTTGTTGGGCTTCATAGAAGAATTTAACGCGCTTCCTCGCGGAGTCTTGAGATGTGGGCACCACTGACATCCTTCACGCGCTGGCTGTGTCACGGTGCTGATCACCGATCATACTTTGTAGCCGACACATTCCGATACCTGAAACTGCTCATGGACGGCGGAATTTACACCGACAGCGATACTTCGTGCGTTCGACCTTTATCTGAATGGCCTGGGCTACAAATACCTTCTCCCAACGCCCATATCCTCTCGGACCCCCTCTTTACCCTTGCGCCGTATCTCCTCTCACTGTCCCCGGACAAGAATCCTACGAACCCGAAATCCGAAGAAGAAGCGCCTTCCAGCCAACTCGCAAGCGGAAAAGCGGATGCAGGGGTCCTGAACGGGGAAATGCTACAAGAGGCCATCTCTGCGAATTTGGACGACGCGACCGAGCTGCCAGCGCTAGTACTGGCAGTCGAGTTTGACGCTCCGCACACTAAAGCGGATTGGAAAAAGCGAGGGTACGCTCGGAGCATGCAGTTTGTTCAGGTGCGTCCCGGAGCTATGGTTTCCGCCCGAGATCATACTTTTGCTGAAGAATATTCCAAATTAGTGGACGATGGGCGCACAACCTTATCATCCAGGTAAGTTAAGTGACCGCTCAACAGCTGAACATGCCATCTGAAACGCAATCTGGCCATGCCCTACAGTGTATCTGGACGTTGTTGGACAAATTCTGCGATACTCGGAACAATTCCGGATCAATCAGACCGACCTAGGTTCCGGCACTGATTTCAACAGGCGCATCGTAAGTCCCCTTTAAGCGCTCTTCGAACGCATTCTCCGTGCTGACAATTTGGACGACAGCTGGATTGGACCGGACCAGGCATCTTGTAAACGCATTTCCTGGAGACCAATTCAACTATCAGTGCTTACCAGAGTGTGCTCTTGCAGTACCGATTGTGTCTTCCGGTATCTCTTGAACCGGTACGGCATACACCCGAAACAGCTGTCTGGAATAAATCACCCGGTGAGGATTGGAGACGTCTTGTAAGCCAAAGCCCACAACGTGTCTCGATGGAGCAGCGCATATTGATCAGACCTTCCTGAGCAGGATCTACCCGCTCGGAGCGTTTCAAAGCAAAAGCTGGAACGGCTTTCAAGGCGACTATCAGCTCGTGTATCATCAGTAAGTAGCTTTCCGCGCCCGCGCTTCCGTCGTAAGCCTAGCAATTTGAGCATGTTTCGTCTCCAGGATTCTGCATCGTTGGCACCACGACAAAGAGGGGAACAAATAGGACTAGCACTTGCCACCCGACGTGGAGGATCATGTATGAGCACACAGAAGTTACGCATGTTCAGCCGGAGGTATCGCCTGTTTGCATTGTATTGTATGCCTTTTGGAACCACTCTCCATGAGTGGGATGGACGAAACAACTTTTTTACAGCGAACGTGAAGCCGAGCAAGATCGTGCGAAAAAGACGTAAGGTCGTGTCTATGCCAGAAAAAAACTCCTTCTCCCTCTCTCTCGATCCATAAACTAGTCTTCGTCCCAGTTGCCGCTTTGTTTCTGTGTACAAAGAGCGCGATCAATGAGCTTTGGACGGTCTGTAGCGAAAAGGCGAACTTACGGGAGGTGCGATACCGGCTTGCTTGGAGACGATGATGCTGTCTACCTGCAGGATGGAAACGGCAACGGCGGTGCTGTGATAAGGGCATGCACATCGCGTCAGTACAGCTCGTATGATCTCGCCCAACAAAAAATCGCATCGACTCACGCCAACTTGATGGCCCAATCCTTGGCGGCAAAGGGGTCCATGATATTGGCCTTGACGGTCTCGATCGTCCCATCATTAGCCCCGGTGATATCCACCCCGACGTCGATCTTTCCCTCGCTATGCGCCTTGTAGAGTGCGCTGACAGTGTCCTCGCCATTCAGACCGGCATTCTCGGCCAACGTCTTGGGTACCACCTCCATCGCCTCGGCCCATTTCCGGATGGCGTGCTGAGCCAACCCAGAGGTCTTTTCACCGTACTCTGCTACCCGCTTTGCCAGTTCCAACTCGGCTCCACCTGCACCGGGTACGAGTCGACCGTCCCGCAAGAGCACTCGGACCGTGTTAATCCCATCGTCCAGCGACCTCTCCAGGTCGTCCAAGTGGTTGGCAGTCGCGCCTCGAAGCACGATCGTCGCCGTCCTCGTCCTCTCACCAGCCTCTTGCCTGAACACCGTCACCCGGTCTCCACCGATCTCGACCGTCTCGAAAACGTCGACGAACCCAGCCTCCTCGGCCATGGGTGCACCCAATCGTGCCAGCGGGGTGGCACCGACAACCTTGCACAGACGTCGGAGATCGAACTTGGAGACAATCTTGACGACGGCAATGTCGAATCGGTTCAGGTAGTGAAGAGCCAGATCGCCGATTCCACCTCCAGCAATGACAATCTGGACGCCCGAATCGGCAATCTCTTTGATGTACTGCAAATGTTCCCGGCAAGCGAGTTTAGTCTCGTCAGCGAGCCTCGCCATCATCAGCCGAAATCTGAATACGCACTCCCTCCAGCTGCTTCTCCTCGCCTCGCGAAAAGTCCAAGAGCTCGTCGGCCTTTTTCAGCAGGACCGTCCCCTTGGTCTCAGTCTGAGCGATATCGAGTCCACACGAAAAGACGGCTACCTTGGCCTTGGTTGCCTTCTTGACATTACCTACAGATGATCAATCAAGCTGATCAGCATGGCACGAGCATTCCAATACGAATCCGAATCTACCTACCATCCGGCTCCTTTCCGAAAACCATCCCCCTTACGACCCTGCTCCCCTCGACACCTCCACCGAGGACCTTGACGATCCTGATCGCATCGACGTTGAAATCCTTCGGGGTAGTCGGCATGACGGCCAGAGAAGCTTCGGCTACGAGTTGGGATAGACGGGCCGAGGCGTTGGGTTGTTTCGACGTCAGAGCGGGTTCGATGCAGAGGGCGAGTTGAGAGGCGGTAGGAAGCGGGGTGGGGAGTTCGGCCTTGACGAGGTCTGCGTCAGGTTATAGCCGGACGGTGTTATTCATGTGTCAGCGGGCTCGAGAAACGAAACCGATAAAGGCCTTCAACAACTCACCCTCGAGCTCTTTTCTTCCTTTTGCGACGGCCATCTCGTACCCCAAGATGACCTCACTAGGGTGCAAACCCATGACCAACAACCCTTCCGCCCGTTTCAACAGTTCTCCAGCCAAGATCAATACCAAATTGGTAGCGTCCCCCATCTCGCTCTCTTGTGATTCCGAGGCCATGACCAGCAACTTGGCAGCGGGGTGGACGACTTCGATCTCGCGGATGATGGTCGCTGCGTCCGAGGTGACGAAGAGCTTGCCGAGGTGGTTGATGATGAGCTTGTTTCGGCCTGCCAGATTTCAACATCGAAGCAAGGTCAAGGTTCCGAAGCGGTCCAGGAGGAAGGGTATGTAAAGCGAAAAGGATTGGTCAGAAAGATGCAGTGCGAAACCGATTTGTAAAAGCTCCTCGTGGTGACATACCGTTAGGTCCGAAACTCGTCCGCACAATCTCGGTCAACTCCCCTACAGCCTGGATGTTTCTCATCACAGCCTCCTCTATTCCGGACATTGTCTACCAGAATCAGATATATAACCGAGGTAAGTGATATGATCAGTTACTCTGAGACTCGCATACCGCAGACCCTCAACGAAATGTTGTCGGATCAAGAGCTGTAGCTCACCTTGTAACCGTCCTTGAACAGCTGCATCTGTCCGCCCTTGGGCATTTTGAGAGACATTTTGGGCAGGTAGATATGCTCTGCTTTTTGGTTTGGATGGATTGAGAAAGGTTTGTTATGGGGAGTTGAGTTCGAGATCAGAAGACCTGGACTTGCACTTTCGAATTGATCGATGCTTGAAAGCGACGAGGTGATGTGCAAGAGAGCGAGGTTGATTAATTGATAAGCCATCAGCTATCAGCCTGGGAAAACATGATGACGTGTATTATTCCGCCCCTACAAAGGTCAGGTTTGAATCGCCGCCTCGGATCATATCGATGCGTACCCGACCTTGACACTGTACACTGAGCGGTCGCGACAGCGACAGACTAATGTTGAACCACCTCAAAGTGTTATCGAGCGGATGGATCTCAGAGAGTTGTAGAGGTCAGATACACATGTAACAGTTCGCCTCCACAGGCTTCTGCGCCGAGAAGCCATTTCGCGGCTGCAGCTGTAACTGCACACATTCCTTCGCTCAAGAGCAAGAGACCTCAGAGACGGACGTTTGGACAAAGCAATATGACTTGTACATCTACGGTCAAGATCTCTAAGAGGCAAGAGTATAAGAGCAGTGATTGTGATATTGTGATCCCTCAAGCTGTTCAGACCTAGGCTGCCGGCTTCACGATCGTCCTTTCCCCCCAAACGCGCGTCATCTCCGCGCGGAAATCGATCGACCCTATCCCAACTTTCTGGCCTCGGGTCAGCTTATGACCTCGCTGTAATACCCCTAACTTCTGAGCTTCTGCCGTATCGCCAGCACCCGCAACCCGTAATCAAGGAGCCATCAAGCATCACCAGATAGCCCGCCACTTGTTATAGGCCTCAACATCAAGAAGAAAGACGCGGCCGGGTAGAGCCATCATAGTCTTCACGTTCTCGTCGACCTGTAATAATAGACATCGACGGTCGACCCGATGAACACTCTACGAGCTTCAACAACAACGCTACGGAGCGTTAAAGCTCGATCAGACTATACGGGTCTCGGAGTACGGATAGAAGAGTCTGCTGCACGGAGGTCTCCTGTTGGTGTGGATGGTCGGATAGCCATTGCAAGAAGAGGGATCGGGACAGCTTCGGGTTCGGGTTCGGGTCTTAGTTCGTCAATATCAACATTAGGTCGAGGTGAGCCGAGTCTTCGGGATCCAGGCCGACGGTCTGAGCGTTTTCTTTTACTCATCTAATTGTGTAATATGGTATCTCCTCTTCAAAAGATATTCCTCAGACGAGATGGCTCTTTCCTACATCAAGTCGAGCGTATTCGACAAATCCTCCGATCACAGCTCGATCCCCATCTATCCTACTACCATCTACTAATTCCCGGATACCTATACGCTCACCGCTCAACTCGAAAACTCTACTATCACAAACCCTTGGGATCACACGGCGTTGGGAACATTCTACATCTCGAGCGAAATCTACTAGCCTGAAGGATGACGAACGGATCAACCTTGAAAAGGAGGTCGTCGGGAAGGAGATCGAAAGAGAATCAGGGCAAGGTGTAGGGCAGGGGGAGTCGACGTTGAACCCTTCTGAGCCGGTCCCTTCTACACCGAAGGAGACCCTTTCGACTAGGATGAAGGAGGCGAATTCTGCTTCATCGCCGGCGACGACTTTGTCATCGGCTTCATCATCACCATCACCATCGTCAACGACCGATGTAGCGGCCTCAGCGGCTCCGGGGAAGAAGACGTTGATGTCGAGGTTGTTTCCCAAAGACACTTCGTCGGCTTCGATCAGGAAGTTGGTGGAACTAGCTAGGCCGGAGAAGCGGAGTTTGACCTTCGCCGTCGGGCTGGTAAGTACACTCTTCCCTTTCAAAACCTCCCTTGGATTCAACTGGGTACTGACGTACGAAATGTCTGTTTGCCTCAATTTCAGCTCCTGGTCTCGTCATCCGTCTCGATGCTCATCCCCCTAACAATCGGCAAACTCATCGACTTCTTCTCTTCCCCGCAAACGACCTTTTTCGGCCTCTCCTTCCCCGTCGCCGCCGCCTGTCTCGCTCTGACGTTCGCCATAGGCGCAGGGGCGAATACCGGTCGAGCGATCCTCATGCGTCTGAGCGGAGGACGGATCGTCGCTCGGGTGAGGGAACAGGCTTATCTGAGTACGTTGCGGCAGGAACCGGAGTTTGCGGATAGGGGAGCGGGGGATATCGTCAGTCGGTTGGGGATTGATACGAGCATCATCGGGGAGAGCTTGACCAACAATTTGAGCGATGGTTTGAGGTGAGCATCATACGGTAGCTTGAAGAAACGCAGTTGGAGTCGAGCTGATTGGGTTTCGATGCTGTGATACTTGTAGGGCAATCATCTCTGCTGTCGTCGGAGGTAAGCCCGCACGCTCAGACTGCTACCATCCTCGAAACCCACTGATATCTTGTTCCTGATACCTTGCGATTGCAGTCGCTGCCATGGTGATGATCTCTGCCAAATTGACCGGAGTCATGCTCGCCGTCGTACCGCCCGTCTCGATCGGAGCCGTCATCTACGGTCGATACCTCAGGAAGCTCAGTAAACAGACACAGGAGGCTTTGGGAGAGATGTCCAAGGTGAGTCTCTATGCGACCTCCTATCGATCGGGTGCAGCCAGCGGGAAGACTCACGCCAACGATGATCTCGTATAGACCGCCGAAGAGAAACTCAACGCTTTCAAGACCGTCGCCTCGTTCAACGCTCAACCGATCGAAGCCCGACTGTTTGCTAAAAAGGTCGACGACGTGTTTCAACTGATGAGGAAGGAAGCCATCGCCAGTGGCATCTTTTACGGAAGTTCCGGGTTGACGGGGAATCTGGCCATGTTGTGTCTCTTGGGTTATGGTGAGGCTGTCTTTTCTCTGGCCGCTTTAGAATGTGGTCGACTGAACGTCTTGACGAATTTGATACAGGTGGACATCTTGTCTCGAGATCCGAGATTACTGTCGGTGATCTGACTAGTTTGCTCATCTACACTGGGTGAGTATCGGCATATTCGACATCTCTAATTACTTCTGCTGATTGTTTGTTGCATACAGCTACGTCGGTGGCTCCGTCTCCGGTCTTACCGGTTTCTGGACCGGTCTCATGAAGGGTGTCGGAGCCGGCACGAGGGTGTTTGACCTGCTCGACCGTAAATCCGCCATCCCCCTCTCGGTTGGAAAGACGCTCGAACCGGGGCGAGAGGGACCCATTCGATTCGAGAACGTCAGCTTTACTTACCCTAGCAGGAAGGAGGTCGAGGTTCTCAAGGGTGTGGACCTTCAGATCGAGGTCGGGACCAGTCTTGCTATTGCGTACGTACCGCCAATCCCTGCCGTATAGTCAGGTTCGGGTTCTGACAGCCTTTCGATTCCGTATGGTACCGCAGCGGCCCGAGTGGAAGTGGGAAATCCAGTATTCAAGCCTTGATCTGCCGGTTCTACGATCCTAACAGCGGTCGAGTGATGTTCGACGGCGAGGACATCCGAGAATTCACCCCAGAGTCTTGGAGAGAACGGATCGGGGTCGTCTCGCAGGACCCTACGTTGTTGTGAGCAAGAGTTCCGCGCAGCGAAAGGCGTTCCTCCTCGTATATTCATTGCTGATCATCCGATTTGCGTTTCTGGTAGTACCGGCTCGGTCCACTCGAACATCGCTTATGGACGAGAACAGACCACACGGGAAGAAGTCGAAGAGGCCGCTCGGATGGCGAACTGTGATTTCATCTGGGACTTGCCTCAAGGGTTTGACACGCAGAGTAGGTATCTTGTGACCCAGGCGAGTCATTGATATCGGAATGTTTGGGCTGATAATCAACGTTATTTGGACAGTCGGGAAAGCGAGTTTGTCTGGAGGACAGAAACAGAGGAGTGAGTGTCTGTGCCCTGAAGCTCGAGAGGCAGACGTGGCGAGGTGATAGTCGTGGCTAATCAAGGTTTGATTCTCCGCTTGTAGTCGCTATCGCCCGTGCGCTGGTCCGCAAGCCTTCTCTGTTGCTTCTCGACGAAGCTACCAGGTGAGCGCTTTCCCCAACAGACCAAGATCATAGTCTCTCTCGCTGATTCCCAAACCCCTTTGTATCGTCTCCCTGCAGCGCCCTGGACTCGACATCAGAACACTCTGTCAACTCTGCCCTGGACCAGATCATCCGTACCCAGAACATCAGCGTCATCCTCATCGCTCATCGTCTAGCCACCCTGGCCCGGGCGGAACGGATCGTCGTACTGGAGAACGGAAAGATCACTGAAGACGGACGCTACTCGGAGCTTTCGAGACGACCGGGAGGGAGGTTTAGGACGTTGATGGCTGCTCAGTTGGCTTTGGAGAAGAACCGTTCGAATGAGGGTGAGGATGACGAGGAGGTCGAGGTCGAGGTGGCGAAACCTGCGACGGGGGCTGGAGAGGACCCGAAGATCAACCAGGTCTAGACGAAAGGGGAGCGAAAAGCATAATAGACTAGATCACATCAGGCTGGATTGTACACCACATGGTATGGCTTGGCCTTACACCCACCCACTCACTCATCTTGTAGCTTGTAGCAGATAAAGCGAGTCCATGATGAGCTCATGAACCCATAGACTTGATTGTCATGAGAGATGATTTGCTTCCGCATCATTGACCTCTCCATCTCGCGACCGCGACCGATGATGATCATATTCGAAGAATCGGAACTTGAGTTCTCGCCCTCGACAACTTGAAGTTCCGTACACAGGACAGCCAGCTATCTTTCGAACCAAAATATAATCAAGTAACTGAGGACCGAATTTTCGTAGATAGTCATCGAAGCGGGCTCGTAAAGATGGCTTAAGCCGCGGAACAGGACTACGTTCTTTCGTCTGGCAAGGGAGGACCGCGAGATCCATCATGCCTACTCAAACGGCAAAACCCAAAGCCAAGTCCCCCATGCCTCCTGGCAAGCCGACCAGTCCATCGACTACTTCAAATGCTCCCCCGGAAAAGGCGTCGACGACCTCGACTGCGAAACCAGCAGCGAAAAAGGACGTGAATTCCAACAAGCCTACCCCGGAAGAGAGTCGACGAGCTTTCAAGCAGTTCCAGAAGGGCAAAGGGCGGGCACACGATGTCCTCGGACACGCACACTCGTGTGCCAAGTGTAACCACGCTGCCGAACTCGCCAACGCCGTCATGGACCCCACCCGACCGCCTACGATGAGCCCGGACTGTATACTGTACACCCATCCGACGGCGTACATCCCTGCAAGGGCACCGAGGTGTTTCTGTTCAAAGGAGCCTAGCCCTTCTTTGCAAAACACCTATGCTACCTTGCATGACCTCTTCATCAGGCGTCTGAAGTTGCACGACCTCCCTATCGTCTTTTACGAAGAGGTTGCCGAGCTAGAAAAACAGATGATCCCGGAGATGATGCGGGACGCCATGCTAGGAAAAGCCTACATCGGCCCGTCGAACAGTTTTGCTCCAGAGCTGTCTTATGGGTACGAAGGGGATCCTAACGGGGTTGGAAATGGAGGAGTGGGTGGAAGGACGCCGAGGAAACGGAGGAGACATCCGTTCAGGGTCTCGGATTATCCTGATCCGGAAGCTAGGCTGGAGATGAGGATCGAGTTGCTCCGGGCCGTCAAGGGGTTGAGCAAGGAGTGAGTGAATGGTCAATTCTCAGCGACGAGGCCCTTGCACTGATGTTCTGCACGTCTGTCAGGTTATTATTCGATTCTACGGCGCCGTTGGTACTCGAAGAGCTAGCATATTGCGGAGACGTACATGGGTACAGGTAGGTTCACTCACAACCGCAAACTAGCTTATCTATCGGACACTAATCCCGTCGATTTTCTAGTTCCCTCACCCACGGCCCACCCTGCGCATGCGTCCTCAACCTCTGCCGTCCATGTCTCAAAGTCCTAGCCTCCCGCCTGATACCCAATACGACCCCCCGTCCCCTCCCCCGCTCTCCACCGGATTCCGCCTTTCTCTTGTACTCGGCCCGGGCGCTCAAAGCTCAGTATCTCAGTAAAGAAACCGCCGCGGCGATGGAGAGGAGCGATTGGGAGGAAGACCTCAAGGCGTGTCAGAGACGGACGGGGGACGTGCTCTGGCAGATGGCCATGGAGATTGATCTGGTGAAAGCGTCGAGGGAGGTGATCGGGGTCATGGAGAGGGCGTATGACGAAGTGAGTTCGAGCTGGGTCTGTGGGGACTATTCGGCATGCTGAGGTACTGATGTGAGGCTTGAGCATGAACAGGACTTTTATCAGGGATTGTTACCACTTTACAAGCCTGAGCCTGGGTTCGAGAAGGAGAGTTTCAAGCCCGTCAGGAATATCAATCAAGTAAGCTGGCCGGAACTGCCTATTCGATGGCATGGAGAATTTATATGCTGACGATGCGGGTGCGAATGTCCATCAGATCAACCACTACCTCGATCAAGTCGGGGAAGACTTCGAAGACGAACTACAAGCCAAGAGGGAAAAGGCAGAGAGGGAGAAGGAAAAAGGAAACAACGCTTTCAAGAGGGGAATGTTCCAGAGAGCGGCCAAGCATTTCAGTAATGCTATGGAGTTGGTGAGTTCTACACTCTCGCGGATGGCGGTTGTTACGTGTGCAATTGCTGATTGAGCCGGCTGTGCGATGTTCAGGATCCGTGTGAGGTTGTCTATCCTCTGAATCGATCTCTGCCGTTGATCAAGATGAGAAAGTGAGCGATCTCGATGCAGGGCGACGGACAACATTGAGATTGATGACAAACTGCATGGGTGATTACAGATATAGAACAGCCGAACGTGATTGCACTTTCTGCATACACGTAAATCCCAAGTGAGTATGAGCAATCTATACTGTCCGGTTCCTGTTTGCTCATCCTTCGATGACCTTGGAAAGGAACACGAAAGCGCTGTATCGTCGAGCTTTGGCAAGGAAAGGTCTGGGTCATCTGGTCGAGGCAGAAATAGGTTAGCTAGACAGCCTCCGCAGGACCGAGCAAACGGAAAGCTGACTGTCTTGCACATAATGCAGACCTAAACATGGTTCTGGTGCTCGAGCCCACGAACCAGGCGTCGATCAATGAGCTCGAGGAGATTCGGCAGATCCTATGCCAGACCGCCGGCTCGTCCGCAGGCAATACCGTAGCCATGATGAAGCAAATCCCGATGGTCGTAGATTCCGCCACCGCGATCGCCGAGAGACAGGACTCGGAAACCTATTGGAAAGAACGCCTAGCAACGACCGTGAATCCTGACGAGAGTTTGCATCGGGGCAAAACCGGTTACCCTTGTGCAGCGTACAATCTCAACAAGGATGGGTGTCCGGCAGGCGCCAACTGCTTCGACTCGCACGCACCGGATCAGTATTCGCTCCGCGTCAATGCCTTCAATCGAAATGTCTGCACTAACAATCTCCTTGGACGATCCTGCATCCCGGAAGATTACGACGAGGAGGATGAGGATGAGGAGCCTTACATCTGCCCGTACATGCACGCTGAGACGGAAGATGAGAAGAAGGTCGTCTGGAGCGAAATGCAAGACCTGGCCGACAAGCTGCACACAGATATGAGTATCGACAAGACTATGACACAAAAGGGTTTCATGGAGTGAGTCAGTTTGGCCGCTTTGGACCGCTATGTACTAATGTTCGGCAATTCACCAGTGCCATGAGGGCGGGCGTGATGGCGGGGCAGATCAACCCTATGAATGGGTCAGCCAGTATCAGCATCCCGCCCGAGATCCAGCGCATCCTCCAGGATGGTATGCAGAGCATTTTGGAGAGGAGCGTTAAGGACGGGCCGGCTCAGTTCGAGTATGTTGAGACGAGTTTCGCCGGGTCGTCATTCCTGCATGCTGATTGCGGGCCGCTCTATACAGTCTCGAACAGATGAGCATATCCTTTGATCTGCCCATCCGCGCCTCGAAGGGCCCTCAGCCTCGAGCGATGAAGAAGCAGGGCACGGCCAAGAATGGCAAGAAATAGACTAGCTGGATAGCCTTCTGACACAGGGCCAGATACGAAATACACTCCCCATGGATTCCCTTACGATCGCGTGATATCTAACGATGACCGAGTACCTGATTATGCTGTATCAGTAACCCTTACGATGTATCATGTCTCTCCAAAAGGTATCAAATTATGCATGCGATTCTGCGTTATACAGCGAGATCGCTTTGTTCAATCCTTGTTTTTGCCAAGACCCCCAAAGAGTCTGGGCTTGCCGCTCGTCGAAGCTGTTCTTGACGGACCGGGGCTATCGGACTGTTGACCCGGGCCAGCAGCAGCTTGATTAGGCGCAAGTAGTCCAGCCATGGCTGTCCAGAGCGACAATCCGCCGAGCTGGACCTTCTCGTCCGTCATACGATCCGCAAACATCGCCAACTTGCGTGCTTCCGACTGATGTAGCGGACGGCATGAGCTCTCCTTTCGTGCCGAACGAGCTCACACCCCTTTCACTCACAGTGTCTCGCCGCCCAGCAACCGCGGATGGTGGTGGCTGTTCTCCTTGAAGAGCCCAAGTCCAAGAGAACTCGTTGTCAAAGATGTATTGCCTTTCCGAGTCTGGTTCATTAGAGTTAACTTTCGCTTCCATCTTATCCCGGAACTCTTTCTCCAACTTGGCTCCGTCCAATTCGGCTTTCCGCAGGTTTTCTTGCCGATGCTTCTCGGCTCGTCTGGCGTATTTCGCGTACTGTCAATAACATGCCATTCCATCAGCGACTTCATCCATGTGCTGGAGTACATCCTGCTTACCTTTTCGTCCCACAATTTCTATTTCAGAAGAGAAATATGGTCAGTATGGACAATGTCAAAACTAAGTTCGAAGACATACCTGACCGCGAAGGTATCGCTCCGCCTTTCGGAAACGACAGTAAGCGCGAAGCGGGGTAGAAGCATAGGTGCTCAATCTGTTAAGAGCTCACCTGAGCTTCCTTGATCACACCTATCTCCTCCAGAGGCATGGAAAACGCCGGCAGATCTTCTGGTGGCTCAAGAGGCCGGCATTCTCCATGTACAGATACGCGTTCCCGGATCATATTGTCTTTGAACGAACCTCCCTGTTTTGAGCAGGCAGTGTCAGCATGACAGCCGCACTGCAAGCTTGTTCCCAGACTCACATTCGATGTATTGTATATCTCGTAGTTGCCAGCGAAACCCTTGGGGATGTTCTTTGGCACCTTGATCTCTCCACGCAGGTCAACCTTGTCATCGTCCTCAAAAGCGTTTGGCTTGTCTCCCATTGGAGTACTAGGTTGGGAAACCTCTCCATCGGTGATCTCCCAGCTAGTCAGATCCGGAGTCTGAGGTTCACTTTGTTCTCGATGGAGTAAGCTCGGGGCCGGTGATGCCGTCTTGTACATCTCGGATGGAAGGAATCGGGCTGTCGCAGATCCAGGGACTCCGGAGACCGTGGACATCCGCTCGACCCCATCTTCATGCTCAGGAATTACGATTGGGGCGAGCACTGGTGGTCCACGACTCGTGCGAGTGGCCATGATTGAAGGTGCCTCCGGAGTCGCTTCTGTCGAGAAAGACTGCTGACGAGAAGCGATGTCCAGCGAAGACATTGACAACTGCGGGTGCAGACCATCTTCGTGTTTGGCCCTAAGATCCGCTGATTGTTTAGTCATTGGATGCCGGCTCGTCGCAAACTTGCACCAGCTAGCTATGGCCCGGTAGCAGTGTTTGGCCGGTTCCGTGAATGAAAACATGGGGAGGACGTGGCATGCGCCATCGTACACCTGCAAGTGAACTTGAGTAGGAGGGTATTTCTTCTCCGGATCTCCAAGTTGCGGGAGCATCTTCTTGACAGCGTCGCGAATGGGGTACCGGTCTGGGTTTGCTGCCTTGTGTGCCCTGTACAGGTAGGCCTTATTGTCAGCCTCGGTCTTCGGCTTCACGGCCGTGGAAGATCGACTCACGCATAGATGATCTCGTCCCGTAGTACCTCCTTGTCCCCAGCGAGGACGAATAACGGTGGGAGCCCCGCAAGGTTCCCCAGAGCAGGCGAGACGTACGGATGACTGAGCTGGTCGTTCGTACAATAAAGCTGGATCTGGCTTCGTATATTGATATGCTGACCATCCACATCGAGGGAAATGGCGTGCCGGTTGGCAGCAGGGTCGCTGATGGACGGTCGTCGGTCCTTCTTGTCTGATGTAGGACCTGGATGGTGGTGCGGATGTTTCTCTGTTGCGGGAAAGAGCGTCGATGCGTGCGATCCGTCATCCTTGGAGTCATCGACCTGGATAACAGTATCCCCTCGGGCCGTTGTATCTTCGCCGGGAGGAGGAGCATCGGGCACGGTTGTGGCTGAATCGATCTTGACAGGATCGGGTGTGGATTCGTCCAACTCGTTGGCTTTCTTGGCACTACCGGTCAATCGATGCACAGCATCCTTGACCTTGCTCCTCACGCCTTCCTGAACTGTTTCCGTAAGCTCTGGAGGAGGTGGGGGCCATAGCGTGGATGGGCGCTACATGAAAGGATCATCTTAGCTTCATAGCTTGTCAGATTGGGTGACGGCATTTCTCACATGAATGAAACCGTATGGCGGGACGATATCCGTGGCGGTGTTTGCGAGCACAGACGGGAAAGAATGCGTCAAGTCGCACCACTGTTTGTAGGAACGTTACTATAAGCCAGACTATCGTTTCGACAAGCTCAAACTCGTAGACAGTGCTCACTGGCGAGATCAACAACCCTCCCGCTGGTGTCGGCAAACCTGCGTCCCGAATGACCTGAAGCAGCCTATCATTATCAAAACCCGCAAACGGGACAATATGTCAACTCGAAAAATCGCTGATTAGCAACCTCTCCTCAGAGATGGAGACTTGCGACAACGCCAAATTCCCTCCCGCGCTATCCCCAGCAATAATGAGATTCTTCGGATCCACCGGCCGATGTTTCGCACACTTTGGCGGATCGATCAAGTAAAGGTAGGCGGCTAGACAGTCTTGTAAAGCGCAAGGCCAGGGGAATTGAGGTGCCTTTCTGTAGTTTACGGCGAAACACCGGCCGCGCATCTTTCGGGCGTATCTCCAGATGGTATATCTTTAGGGCAGATCTCAGCATGTGAGCGCTAGGATCCTCTATTGGTGTTAGTTAGGACTTGCCTGTGAGTATTTACGCTTCCCCAATAGGCCGCGCCTGAGTGATGTGATTATGGATCCCTTTTCAGTAAATCAAGAGGCGCGGAGAGACAGAGACATGGGAGAATATTCAGCAAGACTGACCTCCGTGTATGTATAAGATACAGCCTGTGAAGACGAGAAAGGATCCTGGTCAGTGATCAAGTTGGGTTCTACTGCCAGTCCCAAACTCACGCAAGTGATCCATCTCCGGAGTGACTATGTTGCAAAAGCCCACAGGGTCAGCCAGACATAACGGGATTAACCAATAACAGCCAGATCTTACATTCCCCTTCCACCCCATCATCCGACGGTTCCTGCTCCTGCTTCTCCTTGCCGTCCTCGTGGTCCTTCTTATGAAGCCCCAACCCGAACCTATGCTTCCCCTTGTCTTTATCCTTCTTATCCTTCTTCTTCTGCTTTTGCGCATCTTCGGCCTGTTTCCTCCTGATCTCCTCGTTCCTGAAATCCTTCTTGATCCCTATCCACTCTCCCTCCACCCCAGCTTGCATGCGCACTCTCCACCATTTAGTCCCACCCGCCATCTTGGTCGCCAACTCGGCCCCTCCTAGAGCGCGGACGAGGATCTCGGCGGCGGAGACACATGAGGGGTTGAGGGGGATGAGGACGCGGTGCGTCAGAACCCAGGGCGGGGAAGGGGTCTTGGTCAGACCGAATTTCTGGAGATCTTCCACTGTGTGTCTGCGGGAACAGTCAAAGCGAATGTCAGCCTCGATGAAACGGTATGTCAATCCAGCCTCATGCTGCTCACTTTGTCGAGATCTCCAAGAAAGTCTTGACGAGTACGAACGCTACCCATCACCCCCATCATCACAAGCTCAGCATTCCTATCGCCATCATCTCTCATCTTCATCACCATGTTTGCAACTCACCTTCATCGAACAACAACTCTTCCCTAGCGACGCTCGACTTGCTAGCCTTTTTGCTGAAATAGTGCCGGAGGAACGTCTCGAGCAGGATGGGCCCGGACTGGGTGACCACGGATGCCGTCAACATGGTGGTCGTTCCTGGTATGCTATACTAGTCTGAGCAAGTACGGTGCATGAACCAACTCAAGCAGGGATATGCAGCTATATAGCTGTGCGTGTATGGTAGTCAGGTAGGGTATATGGTATATGGGAGGTCGACGTCGTCCTGACAATCAATCAACCTATCTTCGGCCACCCCGGGACAGCTTCGGAACCAAATTACCAGATCATCGGATGCAAATCCACATAGATCGTCCGGATCGGTCGATCTGATCCGCAGCCTGCGGATCTCACTACTTTGGGATGCTGAAACACGTTGACATACAAAGAACGATGTGTGGGGAGCAGACACGCAGGATGATATGTCACGCATCTATACTGCATTTGCATGGTTTGGCATGTCGACGCTATCGAAGGACGGTGAGACCGCCTCGACGCGATGAAAGGAATTGTGAAAAAGGAGGCACAGACGTTGTCGTACTGGATACAAGGTTTAAGATGGGTCTTCTCCGCCTTTTACTCTAGAGCATATAACGGTTCTATTATTTGCCGTGTCGTACCACCACACCGCGTCTAGATTTAGATGTCGATGATGGTCTTGACGGGTCGACCCTCAAAGCTGATGGCGTAGACGGCCTCGAACAACGGGTAGGCGTACGTTCGCTTTCGGGAGACGAGGAAGTTGTGGACCTCCTTGGTGGTCAAGGTACCCTGCAAGAGCTGTCCGTTGAGGTGGTTCTGAAGTCGATTCGATTGAAACGTCAGCACAGAGGATCGGATAGCATAGTAAAAGCGAGAGGAGCTGGAGCTCACCTTCTCGATCTTCTCCCACGACTCGCCCGTCTTGGCAAAGATCTCGGCGCACTTCTTGTTCCTCCCGCTGTAACACGAGGTGATCAGATCGGCCATCCCAGCCGGCTCCGAGAAACTGCAAAAACGGCGTTCACGTCAAAATCGTCAAATCATCAGCCTCGGGAGCTCGTGTATCTATGGCTTGCAAGAGGTAGGACCGGCACTCACGTCTCCTTCTTGGACCCGGGGAAGAACTCGACGGTAAACTCGGCCATCTCCTGCAATCCCATCCTCATGATCGAAGCCTTGGTGTTGCTTCCCAACTTCAAACCATCGACGAACCCAGCGGCGAGGGCGACGACGTTCTTCAGCGCACCGGCGAGGGAGACACCAGAGACGTCCTGCACGGTGGACACCTTGAACCGGTTGGTGTGGAAGACGGCGGACCAGAGGGCGCACTCGTCAGCCGTCTTGGCACCCACTGTGGTCTCGCAGAACTGCTCGTTGGCAACGTCCTGCGCCACGTTGGGACCACCGAGAGCCGCACAGGGCGTCCCGATCTTTTCCTCGATCAGGGTCGCAAACGTGCTAATGTCGGCTCCGTTGACTTCGACACCCTTGATGGCCGAGATCGAGATGGCACCGGGGGTGATGACGCCCTCGGTCTGGAACTCTTCGAGGACGGTAGACAAGCTGTTCGCAAACACATGCAACAACAATCAGCTCCAGAACCCTGGTGCCCGCTTGTTCTTCTGGTGCATTCTGCTTGACACCAAGAGCACACTCACAACTGATGAGGAGTGACCATGACGAGCATAGTAGCGTCCTTGACGACCTGCTTCAAGTTGCCCACGGCGACCAAGTTGCTAGGGAGCTTGACGTCGGGGAGGTAACGGTCGTTCATGTGCGTCGAGTTGATGACCTTTGTGAGTTGCTTGCCGTGGACCTGTTCGGCATGAAGGGAGAAACATAGCAACAGAAAAGAGAACGGCAGAAAAGGTGAAAAAAGGACATCCATCAGCTCTCCGAAACTCCACAAATCACCCCATCCCCCAAATAAAACATCAAGAAAACCCCGCGCTGACTCACAATCTTCTCCCTAACCCACATCCTGACCTCGGAATGGAACTCTTTAGGCCTACTAGCCACGTTCTTGGCGACAATCTTGGCCAAGGCGGTCCCGAACGATCCGGATCCGACGATGGCTACCTTGTGTCGCTTTGATGGAAGCGGCGAGGGAGGGAGGGAGGCTTGGACGGGGGAAGAGGGACGGGTGATATCTACAAAACAACGCAGTGAGGAGGAGGAAGAGGGAAGAGGTGGTTATCAGATTATTGTGTGTTCTGTTATGCAAGGTATGGATCTGCTCCGCTTGACGGCCCGCAAGGATTTCTCCAGAGGCGCCAACTTTTGCGTCTTGCCAGACCTTGAACGTCGGAATACTCGACACTTACCAGGCGTAACGACGTTGGAGTGGATGTCCATACCCTCCATCTGAGCGGAAGGGACGTCGGCGTCGTTGGTGTTGGAGAGGGGAGAGAGCTTGTTCATTATGGTTGGCGTCTGTGCTGCTTCGTTTTTTTGGGTTGCGGCTTTGAGTCTGGTCGAGTGGTTTCGAGTTAGATCGAGGTTGTAGTTATGGATACAGTCTTTTGTGTGGGGTTGTGATGTGTGATGGTGGTGGTTTCGATACGTGAGAGAGGTAGAAGAGGTGGTGAGGTTGATAGTTGTAAAAAGCGAGAGGGATGGTCAGCTGGCAGCACCACCCACCCCCTCCGGTCAGTTAGCGGCTGGCGAAGTTGTGTGGCTGAATGACCAAAAAGACGTCACAATCACAGCCTACCCTCGAGGTTTGCGGAGACGTCGCCCTGGGCGATCCACGCATCATCATCATCCATCAACTTTTTTTTTTCCCGCTCGGACGTAGAGTGGGGAGCCAAGGGTGCAGCACAGAGCGAGCGAAAGAAGGGGGGTTAAGGGCCTGATCGTTTGCGCCGTTTGTCAAAATTGTTATTGGTAATGAAATGATATATCACCAGAAACGGGTTTTATCATCACGGCGTGATGATCCCCCTTCTTGATTTTCCAAAAAGGCCTAATCGGTTGGCTGTTGAAATTGGTATTGAAAGATTTCAACACGTCCAATTCGGTATTGATCCCGCCTAGCAATTTTCAGGCACCGTTCAGCACCGATTTTGATGCGGAAACAAGGCTTTGCCGTCATCTTCCGAAATCTTACGAAATCGGAAGACATATTCATGGTCATCGGCCTCGGTGACCATATCATGAAAGGATCAGCGCAATTGCAAACCCGTCGCTGATCGTCTTGTAGTCGTTCGTATACACAGACCTCTCCCCCGCGTAGCATGGATCCCCACCAGTACAATGATACACGCGGCTACAGTAGCCAGCCTGCTATGGGCTTTCCTTCTCCTTCCCGGCCTCAGTCCCGCCATCCTAGCTCCAATCCGATACACAACATACCATCGCAAAACACCGCGGTGGGACATCAATTCGCACCTGTAGAAAACTGGCGGGATGCCTTGTCATCAGCCGGCCCATATCTGCAGAATTCTTCCGAAATCGGATCATATGACCCCGATCCGATTTCGTATCATGAGACTCAGCTAGGCGAGCCACCCAACGGGACTCGTCGATTCTCTCGACAAGCCTCTTCCAATTGGGTGGCAGAGAGCCAGTCGAGCCGAAACTCCCAGCCGTTCCCCTCAATTGGAGGGAGGGACGTCGACAACTCACAAGGTTTCTACACCCAACCTCCCACGATTGCAGTTGGTAGTCAACGTTCAAGGATTGGATCCCCGGAGGTTTCAGAACCTGCCACCCCCTTGCTGGACAAGACACCCGCCCCACTACCTGCGAGCAACATCCGGTGGAACAATATGCCCTGGCTGATGGAACGCCTAGCGGCAGAGCTAGCGGGTCAGCGAGTGGCCACGAATGCTAAGAACAACGACGGCAACCTCGCTCGAGCGCAGTGGGAAGAGATTGTGTCCGCTCTCAACGACCTGGCTATTTCGAAGGGGGTTCACAACCTCGGTTTGACTGTCAGTAAAGTGCGGAACAAAGTTGCGGAAGTCAATAAGGAGCAGTATACACCTCGCCGAGTGATTGCTGGCAAGAGTGGGAAGAGTGGTTGGCACTTCGATCGGAAGACGGGCCAGGCGCATGCAGAGCCTCCAGTTTGGGAAGCATGGTTGGCTACGCTAGTGAGTCAACGCCTCCTTCCGATTTCGTCCGATTTCGGAATATTGATCCGATGTTCTTGGTTTCAGGGCGATGACCGACCACTTTATGAGAAGTGTAAAGAACCTTGGCCCATTTACGAGCTATGGGACAAGTATCGAGGAGGGAGAGGTGCAACTCGCGAGACTGTCAAGAAGCCAGGTAGCCGCCCTTCAGCGGTAGCTCGGAACGCACAGCAAAGCGACGAGGGGGAGAGTTCAGGCGGGGAGAATGAGAATCCGTCTCAAACGCCGGAAAGATCCACTGGTAGTCGCAAGAGATCCCTAGCCTCTAGTACCCCGCAGAGCCAAGCTAGCCGAAGAAAACGCAGGCGCCAAGAATCCTTGCGTGAACAACAATCTCAAGAACAGAAGTCCTCGCTTGAAGCGATGGTACAACTGTTTCAAAACAGTCGTCCCCCCTCTGTTGGTGAGAAGGCGGCCAAACTTCTGTCCATGGACAAAGTTCGATGGGGGCTGACCGCCAGGGAAGACTTCGAAATCACCAATGCCATGATGGAGAGTCCATCGAAATGCGAGTTCTACCTTGGCATGTCGCCAGCCGAACGACAGCGGTGGGCGTTTGGGTACCTTAAAATTGACAGGGTACCTCCACCCGTCGATGAGCCGTCCAATCGGCATGATGATGACGATGACGCCGCCGGTTCGATAGAGGATGAAGATGATGAGCGGGAGGACTTGGACGGCTTGGGTCAATATGGAAACTGGTAAAACTGGTAGTTGTACAAGCAGATGGCTTCCGGTCTCTTTTTCTGTACGAAATCGGAAGAATTCGGTTGACAACATAGTTCTTCCGAAATCGGAAGAAATCGGCTGGCGTACCTGTCCTCCTTTTTCAATCATCGTCCCTGTTTGCAAACAATTCCGCTGTGATTTTCTCTCGTAGGTTGACCATGTGCTGATCGACTCTCCCACGAACGGTACTAGGTGCAACTACGGATTGTCCTCCATCGTTCCCTCCATCGTCGTTGTCACCGTTCGAGGCTACGAGGTCCCTCGGAATTTCCTCCTCCGACGCCTTGTTTGCCATCGTGAAGTTGTGCAGAGCACACAAAGCATAGATCAAATGCGCTTGATCGTCTATGGAGTAATGAGATCCAGCAACAAGGATCTGCGAAAAACATTGAAAACTGAATCATTCGGCGAACTTCACATGACTAAGAGATCATCCAGTAGCTTTTACTCGCCTTGTACCGACTCTTCATGACCCCAAAGATACGCTCGATACACATCCTCAAACTTGAATGCCGGAAATTGTACAGGTCCTTCTCAGTGCCGGGCTCCCTGTTGAGCCGACGCCACTGTTGAAGATGGTACTTCGAACCGATATGAGGAGTCAAGACGCCGTCTCGCAAAGCGTATCCAGCATCGCCCAGAACGTATTTGCCGTCAGGGATCTTGAGATCGTATTGCGATCGGGCAAGTTGGAACACAGAGCTGTCTGGCTCACATCCCTCGGCTCCTGATAGCACATACGTAAAGCGAAGGTCGAAATCGCATATAGCCAAAACATTGAAGGAGAGGGTTCCTTTCCGATTTCTGAAATGACCTGCGCGTTCCTCAGGCGGGTGGCAGGGGATATGCGTTCCGTCGATCGCTCCAATCGCATCAGAAAACGGTCGATTCTGCTTGTATCTAAGTTTACGGTGTTTGGGAGCGTGGGCAGGAGGCCATTTGACCATCTCAAAGTAGAAATCTTTGTCGCAGAGCGCATTCAAGACTTTGTGCACAGCCCTGCAGCATAACCCGAAATCGGAAGAAATCGGAAATAATTGGAGAATTCAACCGGACATGTTTCGTCTCTTGTTAACTCTCCAACTCACTTGCTGATCGTCTCTTGACTCCGATTGAAGGTGATACCAGCCTGTCTGTGTCCGGCTGCATGCCTGAACACATGCAGACCGATTCCAAGTATCTCCTGAGCTGAGACATGTTTCGATGGCTCCAAAAGTCCCTTGTCGGTCAGAGTGGCTAAGAGTTTCTTGAACCCATGGCGAGTCATACCGCAGGCGTCTTGGCATCGGCGAGGATGGACAAGGTGATCCTGGACGTATTGAGCCCCACTTAATGAGGAGATCGAGTAAGGCTGTCGAGGCTGTCGATCTCGTCTTCTGTCTCCGCGTTCCAGAGCCTGATACAGCTCCAAAAACATGATGATCTCGATCTTGTCATCTAGGTCGCGATCACTTACGAGTGACCTCATGATCGGTTGACGTGTGGAAAATGAGGATGAGTAGGAGGCCCCTTGTCGGGTGAATGACTCGACTGTTGAAAACGAAGCAAATCCAGACCACTTCTTCAGTCAGGGTGAAGGTGAGACTCCTCGCCATCGGTAAACGTCGTCACCCGAGAATCAATTCCACCTGATTCCTGTTTCATCCAAAATCTTACGAAATCGGAAGATTTCGGTAACTCAATCGGTGATGTTAATCTTGTTGCCGTGTGCTCATACACAGTTTATCAGCTCTTAGGATCATAGGTCAAACTTGGACAATCGCGAAGATCAAGGTAGTCGGATGCCTGCATCACATGATATAGAAAAAAAAAAGGCTTACAACGACACGACTTGTATATAGAGGATTTTTTCTATTTCACAGCATATGTATATGCGTGGTGAAACCCTCCGAAAACACCACGCCTCGATCGTACTAACCATTAAAATTGCAGTCCGTATTTCTCGTATCCGTGTATCTGTTCGTTATTAAAAAATGAAATGAAAATGAAAAAAAAAAGAGTCGAAGCCCCACCAGAACCGTCGCGAGCAGAAATCTTCCGATTTTGGAAGCTTTCATCGTTGGTCGTCCCGCCTCTTGCCCTTGTTCTTGCCAGCTTGGTCGCCGGACCGCCTTTGACGCTCCTCTTGTCGTCGTCGAGCTTCTCGAGCGGCACGACGAGCCTCGGCCATGGCGTCAGACGGATCAGACGGAGATGGCGACCTGTCCGAATCGTCGTCGGCCCCAGTGATCCGAGCCCGGACGTTGGCCTGGTGCTGGCGTCGCTGAGCCATTGGCGACTCGTGGAAGCTATGCTGGACCAACGTCTCCAGGGTCGGGTGCTGAGGCGGCGGGTTGCCGGCGTCGCGATCGAACTCCCGAGTCGTTTCGTCGTACACCATGGCTCGCCTGTACGTCGCCATCATGTGTCGGCCGGCCGGGGTCGTGTCGTCTCGAGGAACGTCCTGATTGTTGAGGACGTCAACTCCGCGCTGCACCAGACCGGGCGCAAGGACCTCGAGGAGCTGCACCATTGCCAACTGCATCTGTTGGGAGGCGGTGAAAGCTCCGGCGAACCCAGCGTGGGCTGCTCGGAGAGTCTCGGCGGTACGAGCGATGTTGAAATTCAACAACGACTCGGCCTGCTTCGTGACCAAAAGAGCGTATTGCTCGTAGACGGTTGCTTGATTGGAGTCTTTCAACGAGCAGGCGTTGTGCTGCCCGAACGTGACACAGTTTGTGCACCCGTGTTTCCAAGATCGAGACCGACAAGGCGCACTCCTTGCATCCAGTTCGCCTTCCTTGAACCGTCGCTGGCATTGGACGCAGGGAGGATCGTTCAAGGGGTCCTTGTTGGTACCCTTCTTGTTCTTGGCGATGGCGGCGGCGATGGCATGGCCCTGTATTTTCCGATTTCGGAAGATATCGTGAGATTTTGTCAGTAACGCTGTTGCTCGGATTCACTCGATTCGAACACAGTAAAGACTCACGGTGGACGTCACCAGACCGAACTTCTTGCGCATAGTGTTGTTCCAGCCGGGACCGTGGATATCGATGCCGTGTGACTCAAGCCAATTCTGGCGAGCTTTGATGACATTGGCAGGGGCGGAGTGCTTGCCGAGGAACATTCCCTCGAGAATTCTCTTCTGCTCCTTGGGGTCCGATGTCCTTGTGGCCAGCTTGAGGCGGTCGATGATATCCTGAGGGTGATCGTCGACGTCGAGGATCTGTTGGACGAAAGAGAAATTGACAAAGATTAATCTCCGATTTCGGAAGATTTCTGCCGACATGAAAATGCAACTCACGTAGGTCCAGGTGGTGTTCTCGCCCACTTGAACGAAGAGCTCGGGATATTGGGTTCGCGACGGCAAACGTCTAACGGCGAGGTTGGGGGCGACCACGATCCTTCGCTCGAGCGCGGCCGGCGCCGGTGCCGGTGCGGGAGGCTCGACAATGCGTATCTAAAGTAAGGCGCAGATATCTATCAGCCGATTTCCTCGACAGGGTGTTCGTTCTACAAGCTAAGTCTCACCTCCTCGTCGCTGCCCAGGTCCGCCGCTTCCATGAAGATCTCGTGACGACGGCCACGCGTAGCTTCATCGTTCTCTTGCTCCTGAAAATAATGATAATAATGAAAAATGAACGGTTAGACGAGAAAGAAAAAGGCAGGATAGGCCATAGGCCAGGACAGGGACTTACTGGGCGAACCGGTCGAGGAACAAACTCAGCATCATCCCGCTGCTGTTGGAGGTTTCGACGTCGCAGCGGAGGAGTTGGTGGCATAGCCATCCGTTCTCTTTTGACGCCCTCGGTCTTCACCTCGATCGTCGCCTCTCGTCCTCGATCTGCCCGGCTGGGTCGATCGAGTGGTAATCCGGCGGGGTCGAGGGCATCGCTGCGAGCGCCTGACTCCGTAGCCGGTCGAGACGAGGTGGTGGCAGGCGCGGCCGGAGCAACAGTTCGGATGAGTTGAGCGAGTCGCTCGTTTTCTCGTGCTTGCGCATTCCTGTGTCTTTCCTGCCGATCACGCTGTCTGCGTTCGCCGAGAACTCGTAAACCCTCCCTGATCTGGTCGGGCATTGTCCGGTCGAGATTGGCGATGGTTTGTCCGATCTGATCGTGTTGAATAATCAGCAGGCAGTACGCGATACAGAAAAAGCTTTGCTCCGAATGAACTTACCTCCCATTCGTCCCAAGCTACTTGACGTTGGTTTGAATCCTGTACAATGTTATACACAAGTTATGAGCGAACAGATTTCTTCCGAAATCGGAAAAGTACGGATGAAGTTTGCAACTGAATTGCTAACGAAAATAGACTTACAGTGGCCTCAGAATTATCGGGCAACTCGTTCAAAATGCCGGCAAGGAGATGAGGCTCCTCGTTCAGGTTGTACTCGTAATCTTGATATTGCAACTATGTTATACCAACGATGATGAGTCAACGTTGATCAGGAGCGCATATTGTTTCAAGCGACACGTACAATAGGCCAGTCCAGCACTAAACGAACCGCAGGTGTGACACCTTGTGTTGCTCGTTGTCGAGAGGATTTTGAGGCGGGCTACGATAAAGACAGAAATCGGAAGAAAAAGGAAATTAGTGATCGAGTCGAATCGAGTGCGAATGCAAATGACGATCGAGCAGACTGACAGTAGCGGGCCCAGCCGAAGATGAGGCTGGAGGTGGAACCATGGTCCTGGCGGCGGAGGTAGCGACCGGGATAGATCCTGCAGGCATCTGCAAGCCGGCCGGAGGTTGAGGGGTAGGAAGTTTGGCCTGTTGAGACCTTTGAGCCGACACCGTACCATCCATCGGATCGTCTTCCTCGTCATCCACTTCGCTCTCGTTTTTTTCACTGCCCCGGGCTTGACGTTCGCGTTCCTCTCGTTCTTGGCTTGTCAAAAGAAACTCCATCCCCTCCATCCGTTCGTCACTTCCCAACAAACCCCCGCCCAAAACATCCCCGAGACCTCCTTGTTCTCCATCATCGCCGATACCGTATGCAGCGATCCTTGCGTCCCAGTCGGCTTCGACTTGACGCGGATTGAGATCACGATCGAGAAACGGATTCGCGAGGAGATCGTCTTGGGGAGGAGCGCGAACATCAGGTCTGTCGGCGTCGGGGCGCGGACGAGGAGCCGGTCGAGCTGGATGAGTCGCTGATGTCGATGCGGGGAGAGAGGACGAAGCTGGTTGAGCTTGCGAGTTGATTGGAGCGGTGTTGGAGGTTGATAGAGCCGGGGGAGGAGATAACGATCCTTGAAAGAGACCGGACAAAAACGATTGCCGTGGTTGAGGTTGAGAGGAAGAAGATTGGAGTCCGGGGAGGGCAGGAACACTTGCGGACTACGAAAGAAAATAAATAAAAAGCAAGTCCTTTTCAGTGGTATTCTCGTCGTGCGGAACTCGATAGTACTCACACTACTCGCAGCCTGTCGATCCTCGCCAGTCCCGATCCTCTCAGCGCGAGTCGAGGCCTACAGATTTTTTCCGAAATCGGAAGAAATAGGATTAGCTGGCATGTCGAAGGAAGTGGAGCACAAGAAGAGGTCCTTACTCGTGTGTTCTACGAAAACGGTAGATTTCGGATGAGCTAAGAAACTTGCAAGATCAAGAGCAAGAACAAGTTGTACTTACTCTAGGAGCGGAGCCTGGGGGTTTCGACGACTGTCGGCTCTTGGGTTCCTTGGGTGCCTTGGGCATGACGTAGGGGAAGAGAACTGAAGTGTGGGGAAGGGAAAGGAGGTGAGGTGAAGGTCGAAAAGTGAAGGGGGATCAAGAAGTTGTGAAGGAAGAAGAGGTTTCGCGAAAGGTTGATTTGAATAGCAGACTTTGGGAAAAGGGGAATTCGAAGTACGCAGGGGGGGGACCAGAGGGTTATGTATTATCCTACACACGACGCGACGTGTCTGTTATCGCTACAGATTTGTTTTGATGGTTCGGTTAGAGGTCAGAGGTCCTTGCACAATGACGACGCGATGTGTTGTTGTCTGATGAGAATTGATGAAACATAGCGCGTTTGTTGTTGTTTGATGAGATTGGACGCGTTTGTTGATGGTCGGGGTTCCTTTGATTCTAAATCAGTGATGCCCGAGGTCAAAAGAACAATTCTATCGATGTCTAACCGGTCGTCGAAACTGTATCGTGCTCAGGCTTCTATGCGACAAGGCCGTGATGGCTAATTTGGTCGTGAAACGGGGGAGACGCCCGCTAAGCGAGCCTTATCGTTCGGCTGGGTAGTCATAGAATGATTTGGTCAGGCCCCAGAAGTTGACCGATATCTTCCGAAATCGGAGGACAGCGCAGAAAGGAGGGGATTGGGCAGAAATCGTAAGATATCGGAATTCTTCTGAAACAGAACGATAGTTAACTTCAAGGTTGTTCGTTAGAGGCTGAAACCAGCCCGAAATATTACGGCAGGCGACGCGGATGGTGAAATACTTCCATTCCAATAGATACCCAACCGATCGCGTCACCAGGTGGCTAACCGATCGCGACCTATTGAAATGATATTGAAATTAGGCGAAAATAGTGGTCTGTACTATTGGCGTTCCAATATCAATTATTTCAATATCAATAGCGAGTTGCAAACGATCAGGCCCTAATGCACAGGAACTAGCCGATTGCTATGACGAATCACAGATTGCACCCGGCTCGGTTGGAACGGACATTGGGTGGATCCCATTGCGCTAGACAGGTTTCCGGCGTTCATCTCGCTCCCTGCGATGTCCGCCACGTCATCATTCATGCCCACTTTCGATGACACGTGTCGACTCTCTCGGCCAAATCCTAGCCGTCGTGTTGCCGCAGCCAAGAGAGAAGTTTGGGGCCGAGACCCCTTTGGCGGAAGTAAATACCCGGAAAATGACGTTGTGATTCCCCTCGGAAAGGCGACGCTCTAGCTCCAACGGTCTCGCTCTCGTTCGCTGTGTGCAAAGTCGAAAAATTGGGAGTGACCTCACCCAAACTCGTGCTCACCGGGTTGGGGAGGATACAACTCAAACTCATCATCTTCCTCGACATCATCGTTGTCAACCTCGAACCTTTGGACTTCAACCAAGACCTAATACACACAACAACCTTCTCGTTGACGATCACGACATAGCCTTTTGGCAAACAGAACTCCAGACCCCCTAGCATCAACCCACAAACAAAAGTAACAGCACAAACAAGTAACTCAGGATGTCCGTCTTTACTCGAGAAGCTTTCCAGGTGAGTGACAGTTCAGAGTAGGGGCGACTATGTTTTGGGAGATAGCAGTGCTGATTCTGGTCTGATCTCTCTTCGTCACGTCCTCCGCCGCTTGTCGCCGCACCCCTCGTCACTTCATCTCGAATCCTCGACCATTCATCCCCAACGACCGTAGATGTCGGCCATGCCCACCCCGGCCGAGAGCCCCGTCGTCACCCGCCCCTCGACCCCCGGGTTTGACATGTCCGAGGACGAACACATCATCGAGATCGACGTCGAGAGCGTCTTGTTCGACGTGAGTCGCTGCGTTTTTTCGCTTGCTACGGCGATACGTGGTCACGATGTAGGAGGTTGTGTGCTGATCCGGATCGGTTGAATTTGGCGTGTTGGTGTTGATGGTGGTGATGGTGGTGGTGGTGGTGTTCATGCGGCACAGATGGACGGGACCTTGATCAACTCTTCCCCGGCTGTCGTCGTCGCCTGGAAGTTGTTCGCCGAGACTTACCCTCTGGATCTGGAGGACATTCTTGCCTGTAAGTCGGCGCGCGGGCTCGGCTCCTGATCACATTCGACAACTTCGATGCTGACCTTGGCTTTTCGCCAACCTCTTAGCGGCCCACGGAATGCGAACCATCGACGTCCTCCGTAAATGGTGCAAGATCACCGACCCCAAGCTGCTCGAATCCGAAGTCCTCCGATTCGAGACCGCCATCCTCAACGCCGCCCAGTCCGCCGCCATCTCCGGTGGACAGGGTATCGAGACCTTGCCCGGTGTCGCCAAGCTCTTGGACCAGCTCTCTTCGGAAAAGGAGTCCCGTGGAGGTCGAGAGGGATGGGCGGTCTGCACGAGTTCGACGTTTTTCTACGCGTCCAAGGCTCTGCCTATCGCCCAGTTGACGACCCCGAAGGTCTTTGTCACCGCCGAGTCTGTCACCAACGGAAAGCCCGCTCCGGACCCATACCTCATGGGAGCTAGGGGATGCAAGGCTTCTCCCTTCTCGTCTTTGGTCGTCGAGGACGCTCCTACGGGTATCAAGGCCGGTAAGGCCGCTGGATCGATGGTCTTGGCCACCTGTACGTCGCACACGGCGGAGCAGCTCGAGAAGGAAAAGCCCGATTTCTTGGTCAGCGACTTGTCCCAGTGAGTGCCAGGTCGAGCGTATCAAGAGTTTGCAGGAATCTGAAGGCTGATCTCTCGTCCTTCTGCATAATTTTTTAGCGTCACTGCCAAGTGGAACGGCGAGACCAACACTTTCAGGATCAGGATCGAACAGCCTCAAGGCCGAAAGACCCCCGGTGCCACCCCCGACCAGACCCCGGTCGTCACCCCTGCCGTCTCGCGAGCAAACTCCTTCTCGTCCGTCAGCGGTCGAAGCAAGTTCGTCAGCAAGGGTAGCGACGAGTTGACCGGTGCCGACTCGGTGTTCGGCTCGCCGGCCGAGTCGAGAGCCGGGTCGCCGGAACCGACCGAGGAGAAGCAGGGGGGTGCGGATTTGGGAAGGAAATCGAGCGTCCATCAGCAGGTTCCCGGGGGTGTGACGTTGGAGGGGTTCAAGAAGGCTTTGGGAGCGAACGCTAGGAAGCCCAAGAGGGACGTCGACCAGGACGCCGACGCTCAGGACGAAGACATCTAGAGCGACTTGACCGATGCTCCCTCAATGTTTCCTCTCCGATCACCCTCACAATCACCACCAACGATAGATGCCTCGGGGGGTACCACAAGGTGGAGCCAAGCGCATCATCACGCTTTGAGTTCTGGCCGACGTGTCCCCTTCTTCCCAACCCCCTGTTTACTTCTTATTCTCACTTCATGTCAAGACACCTGTATCGCTAGAACTAGAGAACGTTTCAGACGCTATATACATATATCAGAAACCTGCGCGATTGAGGATCACCGAGTGTCCATACCGATTCCAGCGCAAGAGAGCATTTCGCTACGCAATCGTTGGTGGAATACTTTTTAGCAGAAACCCTCCGGGAGATGGAAGAGCCTGAGCGAGTCTTCCAGCTCCTGATGCCTATAGGCTGAGCTCAAGTCAATGTTACATGGATCGGCGCGACCCTAAAGCTCAGGGGTTCGAAAGCGAGATCGGTCTTTCTGGACATACGTCGCATTCTCAGAAGTGAAGCCGACCTTTATATAGCTTAGTATCGGAGGCATAGCGAATACCACACCGACGGCGTGAGCAACCATCGCCACGTCCTTCTCGCTGTGATATCGATCGGCCTCAAGGGCAACCTGGTAAGCTAGGCATGTTGCGACACGTTATCTCGTTCCACTGTTGTTTTCGCCGCGATGACATAGACTTCGAGTTTGAATACCTCTTTGCTGTGGAGGCTGCCGTCGTGGTCCTTGCCGACACACTCTGTGATTCAGTCATACTGTACGGCTCAGTTCTGGCTGAGCGTAAACAGCATGAACCGGCTCAACGGGTTACTGTTGGATTGAGTGGCGGCGGTTCCCGACGATCATTACCTACGAGCACAATGCAGCCATTCTTTACGTTTGCGAGATATCTGTAAGCAATTTCTCGTCATACCGCCACCGCAGGAATTGTAGAGGTCGCTTGTATGGTCACTGCGGAGATGATGAAATATGAGATTGAGCTGCATTTTCCCCTGTCATTTCCAAGCATAGCCCGAGTCACGTCGAAAACCCAAGACATCGCTTGCGACTTCCCATCTCAAAAGGTTCGTGCCATCTGCGCGGGTTTCAAAATAAGACCCCTTGAGGTCGGTTCTCCGCTAACGCCGATCCATGTGAGCGTCGTGTCGACCATCCCGCTGGGCCAGCCAAGCTAGTAACATATCTTGTGGCCTGCTTTCACAAAAATTACTGGCAGGAACGGAGATCTCGAAAAGAAAGAGTTCGGAGATAGAATCCAAAGTCTCTGCCGGCTGTTTCCAAGAGAACCTGTGTCTTATCATCGAGGTGTCCCGACACAGTAGGTAGGCAGCTATAGTCATACAATTTGCGTAGGTCCCGCAGGGGCGAGAAGACCTTCTTCCTGGGGTCTCTGTCTGTTACGGCGTACGAGCAGGTCCATCAAGCTCATGCTTGTTTCACGTCCTCCACTACGAAGTCAAAGCTACAAGCATTCAAGAAAAAAGGCAGAGAATTAGAGTTTGCTATGAACTCCAACACGGCAAAAGCAGCCAATGAGCCGATCCTCCGTCAAGCCAACTCTCTATCCCTCAAACTCCCTGCACCTCATACTCACATCCTTCTCAGCATCATTAGCTGTTCTATCAGGCCTTACTCATGGATGGATGAGAACATTGTATGTAGAAATGTTAGTGTTGCTATTTCTGAGAGTAGGATCTTGGAGGGACCTGGTCCTACCTTATAGGGTGCTTGAGGGAATGAGTCAAAGCGTCTTCGGGAGAGCTCACAACGGTTCTCGACCGCTGTTGCACGGACCAGCTGCGCAAGCCTTGTGCACGAGCAGGCTCTGCGGAGATGATACGTCCAGCCGCATCAGCTGTAGCAACAACGAGTTGCGTCTGATGTTCCCCCGGATGTCGTCAGGTCAGCAGATGCATGTGAAGGTGATCGTAACCAAGTATCGAGAGGCGAGTGAACAGGTGGCTACCGACGCGACCGGGGTGGCGCAGCATACGGCTTACTACACTTCTGTTTCGCTGTTTCAGCAGCTCCTTCCATCGATCCATCGACTCGTTTCACCTCGGCGAGTGACACCCCTACCAGAAGAGAAAAGGTACGCGGGCACACCTTGCACGTTCTTTGCTCCTCCTCCTTGTGCTTCTGAATCGTGTCTCATATAGCAAGCCATCATTCGGCTAGCGTGTGTGGCGTTTCTCGGTTCCTGAGGCGAGAGTCCGACCGAGGCTGCCGGACGCGGGGAGCGTGGTTTGTTGTTTTTGTGCCGCGACCGAGGGGGTGGGATAGGGAATGAGATGGATGGGATTGATGGCATCAAGAGGTTGATCATCACCAAATGTCAGAGGTGCGGCAGGAGGACAGGAAGAAGGCAGCGTCTGATCGCCATCAGCTTCCTTTTGATTTTAGAGTTTCTCATCTGTCGTCAAGGTTCAGGCTGGATCCACCTCATCAATCCACGCTCGGACTCGTCACGATCACCTCGCGATCGACCTCGCAAAGTCGTTGGCACGACTGTTAGATATGATCAAATCGAGGAGAAACGATTGCCTAAAACTACGCAGCATCACGTCAAGCTAGATCCACTCCAACGAAATACCCTTCAGCTGGAAGGTCCCAACAGGTGGTCTCATCGGAGTAACGAGTACGGATCGGACAAGATCTCGAACTCGGGACGCGTGCTTCTTGAATCCCGCTCGAGGTCGATCTTTCTGATCATTCTCAAACACATATCCAACACACGACACAGCACATTCAGCGTGTTCAACACAGGAAAGGACCAAGTAGATAGACAATCAACAATAAACAAAGCAACAAGACACGCCGGCCGGTCGGCATTCGCTCGATACGGAGTAAACCGGCGACGAGCCTTGGTCAAAGGAAGCTGCGAAAGGACCTTTCGACCTCGACCTCGGACCTCGTATTTTCGTCGTCCCACCTTCAACATCTTGTCAAAGAAAAGAAGAGTAACTCTCGACTTCGAAGTATCAGAGATAGTCTCTGCGCAAATTGAACGGGTAGAGAGAAAGGCCGAGGTCAGCTAGTAAGTTAGCATGCGATATTGTTGCCAATGTCATGACACCGTCGTCGAAGGCTGACTGGACAAGATCTTATGCTTACCTCTTCCTCTTAGAGACCCACCTTTCCCCTATCGCCTAGAGTATTGCTATCTACCTACCTCGACCCCGGGACATCGTATCTCGATCCGCTCGCAGAACGTGAAATACGACCATCGAGATGTTACGCAAGAACAAGACCTCCAGGTCACCTCTATCTACCCCAGCCAACCTTTCCGATCAACCAGGATCAGGACCTCAATTCCAGTCTCAAGCTCAAGCTTACCCGCAGCGAGATGGCACGTCAGCCCAGACCTCACAGATGGGAAAACAGGCCAAGCTGTCTAGTTCGCCTACTATCGTGCTGGAACCCGTCGCTGGATCCGGACCGGGTCAAGGCATGGGAATGAGCTCGTCGGGAAGTTTCTTGTCGTTGAATCGGTTCTTAGGAACAGGAGGTGGAACCGGGAATACGGGGAACGATAAGGATTTCGGTCCTGGTTTCGGGGTTGCACCTGGATCAGGATCAGGGTCAGGTTCTGCAGCAGCCGCAGGATCGAGTATAGCATCGAACCCAAACTCTGCACCTGGAGCACCGCGACCATCCGGATCGAACGCTCACAGGTCGACCTCGAGCTCTTCAGGGCAACACTTGACGGTGCCTCAGAGCGGGAGCTCGGGATCGGGATGGAAAGGGTTCGGATGGTTTGGAGGGGGGAACAAGTCCCGCTCAGGAGACGGGTCGGGCGGACGTGGAGAGGACAAGAACGCCGGGAAACGAAACAAGGACGATATCTTCGCGGGCAATGCGAACACCGGCGCAGGACAGCAACAACTTGCGAATGCGGCGGGTGCGGGAGGGAGGAGGTCGCCGAGGATGAGCAAGGGGGTCATCTCCGGTCCGAGCAATTTCGTCCATCGAGAAAACGGGACGGCCAGGATGTCGACGTTGCAAAACGGGCTGGCAGCCGGGTCGAGGTCTCCAGAGAGTTTGGGGCTATCTCTGGTAGACTCCGGCGGATCGCGGCAAGGACAAGGTGTAGAGGTTGGTGGTGGTGGTGGAAGTGATGCTGGATCATCACCAGGGAGGACGTGGGGTCGACGAGCAACCGTAGGTTCACCAGAAGAGCGGGCTGTCTCTCCCTTGTTTGATCGGATGGACTTGCCGCCTGTGCCGCCGCTTCCACCAGCCAAATCACCAACACTGTCGAGCTCGTCCTCGTCGCCGCGTTTGCCTTCAGAACCTGCCACCCCGGGCCTCAGTCGAGAACGCACAGGGTTGAGGATATCAACCGACTTGTTGCGCGGCGACGGCGGGACCAAGACCGTTCAGGGGAAGGGCTCGAATGCCCCAGGAAACCTGGGGACGACGTCGAAACGACCTTGGGCGAGGAGCGTGGACGATCTGAGCAAGTTGTTGGGTATGGAGAAGAAGCCCAAACACAAGGTCCTCCTAGGCGGTGTGCAGAAGGATTCGATCGTCCTCGTCCCCGGGTCCGCAGGGGATTACCAAGGACCCGCTAGTGCGGGCGCTGGATTAGGGATCTCGACGACCGATGGGTCGCCAGTGATACCGACAAGCGCGAGCATGATGTCGTTCCCCGTATCCCCATCTTTAGGCAATGGAAGGCAATTTCCCGGGGTGACTAGCAGTGCGAGCACGCCGACGAGCGATGGACCGATGAGACCGCATACACCAGTCGCGAGCGTGCCCATCTCGTCTGGATCAGGGGAAGGCCCGCCGCTAGGTAGGAACAAGTCGCGAGAGGTCGTCAGTCAGCTGAGGCGATCAAACAGCCGGGAAAGCTTGCAGAATGTCTTGACGAGTGTCACGGGTGGTCAGAAAGCGCTGGAAGAACCCACAGGCAGGAAGCGGGGTGCGAGAAGAAAGACCAACTCGTTTAGCGGGAAAATGTTGCTGGACGTCATGTCTGGCGCGACCGGGTTGATCAAGGGCAAGGATCACGATGTCGAAAACCAAAATCTGCCGAGACAGGTCGACAGGGTGATATCGTCTGGAGGCAAGGCGTCGAGTCCAGCCATTTTTTACGGAGGCGCTACAACCCAGGTCGATGCGAGCACGGTCGTAGGTCGGAACGGGAGTACTGCTGCCAAGCCAAAAGCACCTCAGGGACACGGCCGTAGCCAATCTTTCAATCTCCTCGGAGGGCTCTCGATCGGAACCAAGACGGCCCGGGACAGACAGCGTTCGGGGCAACCTGATATCGGTCGGACTCGCGATGGGGATCAGTTGGGATTGCGTTTGGAGGATGGCGGCCTGATCCGTACGCCATCAGGCAATGCCAAGAGGACCTCCCAAGTCATCCACAAAGAGGGCTTTCTTTTGAAACACAACCCAGCTGCTTTGCGCAATACCAGGAGCGGACGTACACCTTCGCCGAACGTCATCAAAGGGCTGGGTGAGGATTACTTTTCGTTCAAGAAGGAGACCGAGGCGTCGCGCAACTGGAAGCCGCACAAGGTTGTCATCAAGGGGACCAAGCTGCACTTTTACAAACCGCCGAGCGATAAGAGGGCAGGGATCGAGGCGCTTTTCCCGACCGTAATCGTGCAGGAGGTGAGTTGAATGCCTACATCTGTATCGTCTTGGCTGCTGATATCTGAAGCATCGTGCTAGACCGGATCTCCTACGGCCGTGATTGGAACGCCGAAGCACGGTCGACGACCGGCTCAACGAGTGTTTTGGGGCACAACACGGCATCCGGACCTCAAGGTCAAGCCAGGTGTGATGGCAGGCCAGGCCGAACGCATCATTGGTGGTTCGCTCGAAGCTTTGGCACACGAGCTAGTCTTCGCAACACAGTTCGACGGGACCAATCGTAGCATCCCAGACCGGGAAGAGATGATCTCCTACAAGGTCTTTCTCTGGACGGTGTTGCTCCAGTATCATGGGACGACGCATCTTCAAACGTTGTTTCGCGAGATGGACAAGTGCTTACGTCGAGCCATCGACGCAGAGGATATCTCAGTAGAGTCCTTTGCTTCACGGATTCGTGTGGTGCTGGATGTTCTGATAACGGATTTTGGAGCTTTACGGCTGCCTCCCGACAGTCCGCTCTCACCTATCATCGCATCTCTGCTGGAGACTGGCATGACACTGTGTCAAGCAGAACCTTGGGGTGCCAACACGTTCGAATCGGCCGTCGGCGACGCAAACGTCGAAGCGCCGACAGACAACATTACACGCGATACCCCACAAGAGCTGCTAGCGGAACTGGAAAACTTGCCTCTCCAACGTGTTGCGGATGCCATGTCAGACATGTTGTTTGCCAAGCTGCGCGCTCTTCGGCTCAGTCTTTGTCAACTCGATGGTCAAGAGGGCAGTCAAGGTGATACCCAAACGACTCTAAACCTGTTTTACTCGCACGGATTCAGGCCGAGAAACGTATCGAAGGCGGTTCTTTCCGATGTTCTCGCTCGATCAGGCGATTCTGACGCGCTCGCGGATCGTGCGAAACGGCTGAGTTTCTGGATACATCTTGCAGAACTCTGCCGATCTCAAGATATATATGCTCCCTTTATCGCGATCTGCCAGGCATTATTCTCTCCGCCCATCCTTCGTCTCGATGGACTCTGGGACCTTGTTCCCATGCACGACCGTGACACGATTACAACATGGCGTATCCTTGCTGGCACACATCACGCAGGAAGACTACCTTTTCACACACCGCTTGCGAGCAACACTCTGGCTACCGAGAAAACAAGGACGATACCTTACCTTGGTCCGACGGCACCAAACTCGTCCGATCAGGAATCAGGAGCCGCCTTTGCGAGCTGGCATCCGCTCGCTAGATTATGGGTCTCGGAGGTTGAACTAAAATCAGGCTCAATACCGTCTATAACGAAAGACGACGCCTCAAGAAGGTTCGTCTCACGCTTATACGGGGACGCACTTGACGGTGGAGAGCCAATGTCACGTTGGATGGACCTCTCGCGAGAAATCCAGCCATCTTTGCTGAGCTCTTCATCTTCGCGATCGTGGTCTCGAGCCGAAGGGCGGAGCATGTCATCCCTTCAGCCTCTACTGTATACAACACCTCTGCCAATCAACACCCTCTTTGCCACCGGGACGAATCTGCCAGACGCGTCTTCGGCGCTCTTGGCCAAACCGGAAAGTCGCCGACCTCCTTCCTTGTTGGACACGAGTCGCGCAGCACGGCGCACATCGATGCCTAGCCGCCGAAGTAGTCTGAGTGACAACTCGAGCTACAAATGGCGTGATGGAGAAGCGCCTAAGAGTGAGGGCATCGGGAACGCCGTACGGCGGATTACAGGGCAATTGCACAATGCCACCATTCGTATAACCGACGAGATCGAATTGCAGGTCGCGGATGGTGATGGATCTTCCCCCAACGCTTTCCCTCTATCTCGCACAAGCAGTCGCACTCGCTGTAGCCTCGCGACAGACAGGATAAGCCGCTCAGGAGCGAGCTTGCATCTGGCTGTCAACGTCAAATATGCCTCTACGGAGCGCCTCATCGACCTGCTGATCTGCGGAATCGAGGGGGACGGGCTGGGATCAGATGACAACGGCCAGATGCCCCTTAACTTCTCCCTTGCTAGGAAGTTTGCCTTGGACCTCGACGCATACCGTCGCACGTTCTTTGCCACATATCGGTCGTTTCTGGAACCGACCTTATTATTTGAGGCAAGTCTAGTTGATTCGGACAAGTCAGAATCTCGACTGACTTCTTGTGGTATAGTCTCTAAAGAAGCGATTTTACCGGGCGGGAGAAGCCGTCATGCCAACCGGAGCAGAGCTCTCATCTGCAGCCCTGCAGTGGTTGACTGGCTCGACCTCTTCAATTGGCGAATCGTTGCGTTCCGAAAAGCTCTCTTGTTACATCCGAACCCAAGTCATCGAGCTTCTGCGCTTGTGGCTTCTAAAAGGTGACGGACTTCGGTCAGCGTTGGATGATGCAGAGCTTCTCGCACGCATGGCCGAGTTCGTATCCGAGACTGAGAATATCGATTCTGGCGTCCGCACCGAGGAGGAACACGTCATTGTTGAAAGTATACGATCTTGGTGGACCCTTTTGACAGACCGGATACTCGCCTCAACCAAATCTACCTTGGTTGTTTCGTTAGACGATACGGGGGAAGCGACCGACGATGAAAAGGATGACCCGCCCGGCGCAGATACCGACCTGGATGCGATCGTCGCCGAGCCGCCATCATCCGGCGAAGAACTCTTGGGGATGCTGGCAGGTATCGGCAGGACCCTAGTTAGCGGTATCAGCGCAACGGTAAGCCTTGAAAATGTCGGAATTTACCGAGACATTGTCTTAGTAATATTTTCGAAATTCCAGGATCTTCATACCGTGTGCGGTGTCATTGAACGGCAGTCTCGCGATCCTCTCGGATGGTATCTGTGCGAGGTGGTTCCCTCAAGGTCCCGACAGGAGCGTCATCAAGTTCAGATCGCATGTCCACACCGAACTTTTCGGCAACGTCTCGGAGCGCCCGCGCATGGCCTGCCTCGGTTCCAGACGTTGTTACCGGCCAGTGTACAGACTGCCTTGGATGGTTACCAGGACGTCAAGCTATGGTTAATCAAGGCTATCACCGCATCAGGACGAGATGCAAACATGCGGGCGGGGTTACTCACAGCCCTGTTCGAGGCGCTTGCCCGGTCCAATAACCCTGAAACGATCGAAAGGCTCGAAAAGCGGGCTTCGATAGCATCACTTTCCGCCTTGACTGCCAGCTCCAGCAGCATCACGGTCCCGTCCTTTGTAGAAGCAGTGATCACCGACGTCTTGCTGGACCCGATTGTCCGGTTGGAACTCGATGTGTGGAACATCGCCGTCAAGTCATTTATCGGGCGTCCAGACGATCTCGTGGGGATATTATCCACAGCGCGGCTGAGATATAGTGGTGAAACAAGATCAGCTTCCACGCCAGATGTCGGTAAGTTTACCGGCCTAAGCTGCTCGACCCGTATGATAAGTCGGCTCATGACGACGCCATTCTCCTAGCCTGGCTCATGCGGTGTCTGGCCGAGATCGTTTGGTCATTTCCAGAGAGCCCGGACTTCATGGTCAACTTCGAAAAGCAACGGTAAGCATATGAGCAAAAGTTCATGGCTGGAAAGCGCTGACAGGCTGGTTGAATCACAGCCATATTTATGAAATCGTCAATGTCGCAGCGACGAGCTTTGTATGCACCGATTCCCGCCAGAGAGCGCGGTCAAAAGCTCTCCTTGCTAAACTTGCGGCAGGCACTGCCGAACCTTCGGTAATACAACGCCCCTTGGGTGCCAACTTCGTTCTTTACCAGACGATCTTTGGTTCCTTGATAGGCCAAGAAATCGCAAGGCAAGACCGCGAGATGCAGACCATCGTACAGCTGCTCAAACACCGCGGCGAGGCCAAGACCCGTATGGCCAACAAGGAGTACGAATACAGCACGATCATGAGCAAGAGCGCGAATCAGAAGACTCCCAAGGCGAAAAAGCACGTCAGCGACGCCTTTTGGTGGTCTTCACGACCAGCGTCTGTTGCCGCCAAGGATCTGTTGTCGAGCGCTTCACAGGGTCTGGCTCGGTCGACAGGTAGTCTAGAGTTCAAGACGCCGAAAGAATCGACGCTCACGCTAAATCTGGCTGGATGCCGACCGAATGCGATCCCCTCGGCCAATCGGTCGTTCGTATTCGAAATCGTCACGCCAGAAGGATTGCGACATATCCTTCAAGCCAAGTCTCGAGCAGACATGGAGAGCTGGACTGACACGATCAGTAAAGCCTCGGAGATGGCGCTGTTAAGACGAAAGACGTTTGTCGAGCCGACGATCATCGAAGTCGCGGAGCCACTGCCGCTGTTGCGTAAGTGCGGTCCTCTGCTAGATTGAAGAATCCGGCTGAAACTTTTTCTCTCCCGCAGCAATGCGTTTGACCTTGGAAGCAGAGCTAGCGAGAGATCACGGTCCGGAACCCAGTCTCTACGCTATACCGCTCGCAGCAGAAGCATGTATGGCCATACTCGAGCAGAAGTTCCTCGAAGAACCAGGGTAAGCAGACCTGAGGTGGGATGTCTCTAGCCTTCCGACTGACGTTTGTGCAAATCTAGGCTGTATCGTATCCCTGGATCGTTAAGCCGAGTCGACGCTTTGGTCCGACAACTAGTCGCTGGTAAGTATCACCTGGACCGCCTTCCCCTAACACTGCTTAGACACGTCTGACGAAGGCAATTACTTCTAGGCCGCATTCCGGACCTCAGTCACGACGAGACTTATGCGGATCCGACGACCATTACGTCTGCCTTCAAGAAGTGGTTGGCCTCAATGCCAGAGTCCATCGTGACGGACGAGCGGTATTACGATTTCATCCTCGCGGACAGTAAGCAATTTTGTCCTTTTCGCTTGACAATTCGGATCCCAGGTTTCTAAGCCGTGTTTCGCCTAACTCACAGAAATAAGCGAACGAAACGACCGACTCTATGCGATCCGTAGTTTGATCTGGTCTTTACCTCCGGCCAACTTTGCTCTTCTCCACCGGATTATCCAGCACCTAGATCTCGTCAACGATCATGAAGAGGAGAACCAGATGACGCCCCGGAATCTGGCGACCTGTCTCGCGCCGACGTTGTTCTACCCTTCGGCCAAGTTCGGGGGGATGGACGCGGCGATGCATCACATTGGACACGCTTTGAACCTTATCGACGTGAGTTCTGATTCGGATCCATACATGGATGCGGGCCGTGGCTGAAGGGCTTGTGCTGACCGCGCCTCACGTGTCCATTCGATTCACTTGCAGACGATGATCTGTCAACGATACTGGCTCTTTCACGATTTCGAGAGCGGCGAGGGCGGGGGTGCAAGCGCTCCTTCGTCTCCCATGCCCGTAGTCGAGGCGTTTGACAACCACGCTGGAGCTTCGGATCATGATCCGATCGAAGAGCTGGTGGCTGGGTGAACAGACGACTATGCTCACACGCCTCTCTCGGCACGCAACTCGTCGGAGAGTTTTCCGCCTCCACATCCGACACGGCATCAAAAACGCAACGACGACCTCTTCAACGCTCCAACGGTATGATCATAATCTCTTCTGTTACGACCATGCAACGATACCCTTGACGAGTCCGTGTAGCCATGTACGATTATCCGACTATGAAGAAGATTAGGGCCTGATCGTTTGCAAAATGCTATTGGTAATGAAATCCGAGCTATTTGCTAGTGTGGAGTACGGACAGACCCATTTCTCTGATTTCATTAGCATTTCAGAAGGACATGATCGCTTTGTGTTTTTCCGATTTCGGAAGATTTTGGAAGATTTCGGGACACGAACGCGGGATCACGACAGGCCACTGTTTTCAGCACCTCTCGAGGTGCTGAAGCGTGCCTGGGATTTTGCTAGACGGGAACAAATCATAGACGACCGTATTGGAAGTTCCAATACCATTTTCAATAGCCAAGCGATCACCCTGTATTGAAGGGGAAACATTATGCCGGGTCACACGGGGTTGACCTAACATGGCTGGTGGGCTATATCATTTCAATATCAATAACAATATCACGCAGAGAGTGCAAACGATCAGGCCCTTATGCCAAGTTTCGAGAGAGCTGGGGCCCGGAGCAGAGCGAGATGGGCGATCGAATCTGTCCCAGACAACATGTGTCGCATGTGTTTCGAGTGAACCACGTACGCATGTCTCGGAGGAGGAGTATTGCAGCAGAAGGAGCGGGAAGATATATGCTTCCGGGTATTTCTGAGCGGGGGTATATTCGCGTGACGAGCGCTTTCTAGCCGAGTGAGAACCACAGACCCACGGCGATCAAATCCTTAGGAGGAGTGCCGTGGAGGGGTCACAGTAGTACGACGTAGAGCTGACAAGTCGGAGTAGTTGTGCTCCTGCTGTAATCAGATCAGCGCATGTGGTCGATGTAATAGGTTGTACAAGGACCTACTAGTCTACCTTACGGTGTGGAGCACACACCTGTGCATCAATCGGAGGAGCTAGACCGAGAGACCTTTCCCGGCGATCGAGCGAGCCAGGTATCCGGTCGATCATTAGCTTCGAAGTGCGGGGGGTTTCGAATCCGACAAGCATAATAAGCAATAGTCTCGCCTGGCTTATCTAGAGCTCAAAAGAAGTATCACTCGCCACTGCCGTGATTCGAAGTCGATAGGATCCACACAGTCTTCCTTGGAAAGGCCTGACAACGCCGAACATGCAGCAAGTAGCATCTCTCGCCATGCCGGCGAGGCCCCAGGATGGATCCCTGTTCGCTTCCGATCGACTGTTCAAGAGCAGTTCTGGGCAGGGTACAGGTGGGTCACATCGAGGAACCCGGCCGTGCAACCTGGCTGATCCTCACCAGCGTCGGTGTTGTCATGATCTATAGGCGAATCGAGCAAGTAAGCAACGCGCACAAGGAAGGCTGTGGGTATGAGGATGTTGACGATATTCGTCTGCTCTCGTTCGGATCTAGACCGTTGAAGAGACAGGGCAAGGGGAAATCGTGCATGGGGTGTTACCAGTAAGTCGTCCTGTCTTTTTGCTGTACATTGCTTCAAGCTGATGGATCCGACGTACTATGCATTTTGTCACGTCGCCTATTAGAGCGAAACAGGTAACGACGCTCCATCATCTCAGACATTTCAGGGATCAATCGACTGACCTAACACGAGATGCAACCCTAGCGTTGTCGAGGATATCCCTGTAGTCGTTGTAGCGAAAAGGGCATACAGTGCGTTCCGCAGAGCAGTAAGTCGCCTGAGTACTGCTTACTTCTCGACTAAGCTGCGATTACCAACTCACCGTTTATCAATCGATGATTGATGTTCCAGCTGCGGCGATCGCTTCTTATAAGCGACAAAAGGACAGTGAGCTTGTGGTCAGGAAACATTCTTCTTCTTCAGGCGAGTCTTGTTTGGCAGCGTTGTGAGGTCCGTGCCCGTCTGATGGGCTCACTTCGGAATGGCTTTGGTTCCGATAGGTGAGAAGGAGAAGAAGCCGGTACCATCGGCCTCGAATTATGGTAAGGGGATTGCGATTGACACAGTTCAGACGGTGCCGTCTCGAAGGATATAGACATGCTAACATAAAGCTCTCGCCACAACTCGAAAACCTCATATTGAATAGGAGGATGGAGACCTGATCCGAATATCAAGTTCTCCGAACCGATCTTACCGCCACCAGAAGCATTCGGGGATCTCGGGCCTTATCCTCCTCCTATGCCGCAGACTCAGGATGCTTCGATTTCCGTGTCGATCTTTGGTTCTCAGCCGATCGAGAGGTTTCCCTTGCCGCCCGCACCGCCTTTAGGCTTTCAGTTTGGGAATACCCACACCACTTCGAGCCCGAGCACGGGATCTTCGCACCTGGAGGACAAGCCGGTCGTGTTCGGTCCGATGGGGGCTTATGGGGACATGAACGGACACAACAACGGATTTGCGGTCCCCGTCTCGATTCAGGGAAGCACCATGGGCTTGCCGAGCACCACAACCCATATCCCTCGGATAGACAATGTCGAGATGAAACCAGTCTCTAAGGTTCATTCGGCTGCGCTGGAACGGGATGCAGCGGACACACTGGTCCCAATCATCAATGACTACGAGCCGTTCTGCAATACATTGGCAGTAAGCATCACTTATCGGTGAAGCCCTGTTCCTTACTTAGGGCTTCGACTGATGGAGCGATCTATTCCTGCTATACAGCGCCATCGAGCACAAGCAAGATCGGGCACCGACTCTGACCGCTCGTCTGCGTCGATGAGCATGGGACAGTACATGTACAACTTGCCTTATGACGCGGGTAACCCAAGACCAGACTTGCACTCGCTCGTATTTAACGTCAAGTTCAGGGAAGAAATGTAGGCGACTGCTCAGTAATCCTTATCAGACGAGGACAGGGTAGCTGAGTTCAGTCATGCGTCCTTCGTTTCTAGGAAAGCAACCTTTTTGGCCAAGAGTCCGCAATTCATGTTGAGACGAATGTCGACAGGGACATTTGACGCTATCACCAGGACCGAAGCGGGTGCCTGGTCTGCTGCCGTCGTGAGTTACGATCTCACAACGACTGGCAACTTGGTGCGAATGCTTATGTTCGGATAACGATCCAGGCCATGATTGCGTACCCGTGGAATCCGCTCTGGGCGAAGTTACACACGAGCCAGGAAAGGCAACAGCTTTTCAAACTGTTGGAACGTGAAGCGCTTTCGCATTATCATTCGATCAAGACTCGGCCAAAGACGTGGCTTGAGGCGCTTGCAGCGGGATCATTGATTGTCACGGCGTTATTCGAGATCGGGAAGTATACCAAGGTGAGAGCATCGATGACGCTAAGATCACTTTTGGCTATTTCTGATCGCATCTCTTTGTATCAGGCTTGGTTCTTGGCATCCGAGCTTTATCTGTGAGACACAATAAGAGCCGAAAATTGTCAGAACCATTCATTAAACTTAGCCCCCTTGCGCCTTCTAGACATGCCGTTCAATTTGGCCTTCATCGAAAAGGCGCCGGTTCCGTCCCAAAGGGCGCGATCGGGAAGGCGATCTTTATCGGTCCAAGAGATTCTCGAACCGGACCTCTTAGGCCGGAAGACGGTTTCTTGTCGCTGGGCGACGACATTTGGTTAGTAATCGCAAGGTGGTCCGTCCAAGAATCCCAATTGACAGGTATGCGTCGTGAATGTGCAGGTGGAACCTCGTCCGGCTTACTGTTTCAGCAACCGTTGGTTTGGATAATACCGATAACCCGGTAAACCTAGAAAAGATTTGGACACCTTGGCCGACTGCGGTACGTGCACTTTTTTACCATTAGATGCTCCCGGCGGGACTCAGATCTCAAGTTGTCTGCATATCAACATCGCAGATAGGCACCCTTCTTCCGCCTCCCTGCAAATTTTACGATTCGGCGCGAATGGCGGTGCCCTTGAACTTGCCCAAAGAGGATTACGAAAGCCAGTGAGTTGAAGACTGCTTCCCGATTGAGAACCGGTCGCACAGAGAGGCTGAACGGCAAGTTCATCCGTGATTGTAACAGGACAACGTGAGCAGATCAACTGATTTAAGGACAATGATGTGAATCAAGCTAATGAATAACGACCGTTTGTGACCATCAGACGTTTGAAAGTGCAGCTGGTGCGTCTCCCTTCCGTCCAAAAACAGGCGATTAGCTGTCTAACCCGTTTTCTGCTGCCAGGTCATCGTGTTCTCTGAGGTCGTCTCCTTGACGCACACGCCATCTACTCAATCTCCACCTTCCTCCCCTCTTCCAAACGTTCCACTCACGCAACAGGGAGATCCGGAAAAGCACTTCAAACTGCAAGAATGCCATGCGACGATCCAGGCCGAGGTCAAGTCGGCCTTTGACCCGTTGGTCAGATCAGGAAGTAGGGATCCCATGTTGTATGACTTGGTAAGCCTGGTTAGATGCCATGCGTACATAGAGCACGTTTCGCTGACAACGATCGGGAAATGATGATGATCAGTGGCTCGTGCTCGGCATCTCCGAGATCTACCTGTTCCTGGCTGAAGACTGTGATCATCGAAACGACCGGATCGTCAACGCCTGTCTCAGTTTAGCTGGCATGTTATCGAGCTTGTGTTCCTCTCATAACGGGTTGTTATCAGAGTTGGACGCGTTGACGATATCGACACTGCATGCGGTGCGGACGGCTTGCAGGCAGGAAACGATGAGGTATGATCGGGTTGGTGTGCCCAAAGGTGAGTCCCCGGTCGTATACGAGGCGTTCTGATAGAGCGGGAGGACTGATAGATGTATGCGCTGCAGACGCTTTGTACGATTTGCTGGTCATCGAGGCGAGTCATGTGGATCAGATCATGTCTCAGCTGGCGACTACATCTCCAATGGCGTAAGTCTCAGTGTCGCTCGCGGTCAATCTCTCAACCCAGTATCTCTATGCAACGCGCTGATCTGCTGTCTTTTAATCGAATCCGACTTGAACCGGATACAGAGCCAACACCTTTGCCTGGTATCAATCCAGCGGGATCTCGCACTTTGCAAGTGACGCCGCTTCGTACCAGCCCGAATGGAATGCGAACGACGGAGCGGTGTTGGAAGAGGTCGCGCCTGAAGTGCCCATGGGGCCTGAGAGTAAGATGTACTTTTAGCCTTCTCTAGATTGTGAGTTTGTCTTTGTGAGGGATGTTATATGGACAATTTGTAGAACGCAATATGAAACGCATGATACCCAGGCGTTGACCGCTATGTCGTGCGCTTGAATCTGCGCTTTTGATTGGTCACCGTGCGATTTGTTGACAAAGTAGATGATCACTCAACCATTGACCTCGAGCGACAATATCCTCTAACGGACCATGAAGTGACAACACCTCGATCCGTAACGTCTGATATTCCTTGTCTGAATCTCGCTTTAGATTCGTATGATAACCCAAGACGCCATCCAAACAATATTCTCGCTCGCAGTCCAAGCCTGGTACTCCTACCTCCAAGATCACGTTTGACGGTATCACTGCATCCCGTTACGCCAACATGGCTCTCGATAGCAACCTCGGTGGAGGTGGTGGGAAAGGTGATCTGTAAGCTCGACAGGAGTCTTCTACTCTACAATGGGTGCTAATACTGGGCTATTACATCCAATGACATGTTGGATGTGTCGAACGATATCACAGCACCAACCCCTTCATCACGAAACCTCAGGCATCGCCTATGAAACGACCCCCTTCCAGGCCCGGCTCGGCCATGTCAGGACACAGTCGATCAGGTATGGGAATCGGAGGTGGGAGCATGGATATTGTTGGGGATCGAGATGAGGGGATGATGGAGCGAGGCAGGGATCGGTCGGAGGGCGAGAAAGGCGCTTTCGGTGGTGGTGCGGGAGGCATGAAGTTTTCGACGGGTAGGAATGTGAGTCTGCAGCGTGAATTCTAGAGGATGCGTCACGGAAGATCGAATGATTCACTTGTGACCATCGCTATGTCTGGCCGCTCAGCTCGACCGCTTCATCCCCTCCCGATCCTCTTCGGTCGACCCAGCCCTGGCAGCAGGCGACATGTCCAACTATTCCATCTCGAACGACGACGACTACATGACCAACGTCTCTCTGGCCAGTACCAACGCATCCGATTCCAACGGTCAACCAGGCGCACCGCATACCCGGATCTTGTCCTTTGCCGCCGCACCCCCCTCGTCATCATCCCATAACCCTCATGCGACCTCTCACCTCTCCCTTTCCCGGCAATACACCAAGACCGGAGCCGCCGGTAAAGGTGCTGCTGCAGGATCCTCTGCTGCAGCAGCAGGAAAGTCCTCGAGAAAGTTCCCGCAGACTCCGGATAGGGTTCTAGACGCTCCCGGGTTTATGGACGATTATTACTTGAACTTGATCAGTTGGAGTTGTACGAACAAGGTCGCGATCGCTCTGGTGGATACGGTTTACATCTGGAACGCCGAGACGGGGGATGTGACGGGTTTGCATACTTCCACGTGAGTCCAGCTTTAATGCAGTGGACCACGCAGAATCAGTGAGGGATGGGCAGCGGACCTGATGGCGTTTCTGTGTTGGGTTCTGTCAGGGAGACCGAGCTACCGGTGGTCACCTCCCTCAACTGGGCATCGGATGGGTCGTATCTAGCCGTAGGGAACGAGAGCGGAAGCGTCGAGATTTGGGATACGGACACCGCCAAGAGGATCAGGAACATGACTGGGCATCTCGTAAGTCGTCCACCTTGCTCTTTTTACGTCTGAGCCATCTCGAACTGCAAGTTCATCTGGTCTTCTGCCTCCATTAGGCCCGAGTACCCTCGTTGTCGTGGAACGGATCCGTCGTCTCCTCGGGGTGCAGAGACGGATCGATCTGGCACCACGATGTCAGGGTGCAGAACCACAAGGTGCAAGAACTCAGAGGACACAACGCGGAAGTTTGCGGACTCGCTTGGAGGGGTGACGGGCAATTCTTGGCATCGGGAGGGAATGACAATATCGTGAATTGTTGGGAGTGAGTCAAAGTAGCGTCGAGTGAAGGCTTTGATTCTGACCAGGCAGCTGATGATGTGTGTTATCGGCTTATAGTGGGAGAATCGGACAATCGATCATTAGTAACGATGTCAATCTTCCGAGTCAGGGGCCCAAATGGCAGAAGCACAACCATACCGCTGCCGTTAAGGTGAGTCGCTTGAAGAACACGTCCGAACGGGCTTCAGGCTAATCTCTCTGCTCGCGATGCCTGTAGGCTTTGGCCTGGTGTCCATGGCAGAACAGCCTGCTGGCGACTGGAGGCGGGACTAGCGATCAGACGATTCATTTCTGGTGAGCCGGGCACCCCCATATCGGGACTCCCTTGAAGCAGCGAAGTTGAAGATCTATCGTGCACTTTCCAGGTCCTCGACTACGGGAGCCCGAGTTTCATCACTTCCAACGTCATCGCAGGTTACCAGTCTCGTCTGGTCACCTCATACCAAAGAGATCTTGTCGACCCACGGCTACCCGGACAATCACTGGACGCTCTGGTCTTACCCCTCGTTGAGCAAGGTGCACGAGGTCACCGGGGCGCATGACAAACGAATCTTGGGCAGTGGAGTCAGCCCCGATGGATGTACCGTAGTGACCGGCGCGGCGGACGAGAGTCTCAAGGTAGGTCAATCTGCGGAATGATGCTCGCAGAGACCTCGCTGATCTGACGTCTTGCCGATACCCCAGTTTTGGAAGATCTGGGAGGCCAAAGCGACTCCCAAGCAGAAAATGATGGAGAGGGATGAGAACGGTGCGGTAAGGAACAAGCCAAGCGTCAGCATGTGGCGATGATCTTGCTCGGGCAGTGATGGCGCTTGCGGAGATTATGGACTTCTTGCGTGATTATCGGCGCAGTCGTTTTGTACAGATCCAGATTTGGTCTTCTTGTGTAGTCTTACCCAATCATACCTGAGACGGGCCCGTGTTTCAGATCGATCTCAATCTGTACTAATAAGGATCTGCACAAACGCCGACTATTGCTTGGAGTACCACTCGATAGGAGCGTTTGTAAGCTTGTATTTCATATCGTAGCTTAGAAAAGGGTGCTTCCGGACCCCAGCGATGTATCACATAGCCTCCGGAAGATCGCCAAGATCGATGAAACTGATAAGGCCCGTCAAAAGGCTGAGAGGTTGATTTGAATCGCAAAACAAGCCAAGCAAGCACAACTGCTAGCCATCAAGGAAGCAGCAGAAGAGGCTCGAGCAAGAGCAAGGCTGCACCGAGAAGAACAACAGCCTCGAGAAGAGCGGGATCGTGATGAAGGGCGTCAAGAGCAAGAAGAAGAGATCCCGGCTGTGGCGACTCGAAAGAAACCGGCGCCATGGATACTTGCCCGAAAGTAGAATAAAAGAAGAATACCGCATACCCCCTGGCTTGAGCGGCAAGCTATAAGGCCTGGCAGCCGACCTGCCGGGTCTTGGGGTAATAAGGTCGCGGGACTGGGGAAAGGTAACGGTAGGCATAGCGATGTAATAACGGATGTCTAACTACTACAAGGTACTAGTTAGACGCCTACGAGAACATCTCCTAAAAGGTCTCCGAGAGGGTCCCCGAGAGGGTCTCCGAACGAGACCCCGAGGCGACGCGCACCGTAGGTCGCGCGTCACGTGACGCCTATAATAGGATCCCCCTCCTAGATGCGAGCTCCGAACGCATCAAGCATCGCCGTACTCTTGGCGGCCCGGTACCGGCAACTCAGGGTGTCGCTTATGGAATTCCAGCACCAGCGTGTCGTTGTGGTGGAAATCCGAGGGGCTAACCCACTCGTTGTGCTCGTCCCCCTACCCCTCGAAGCGCACGTAGTACTGGGTCCTACGCCCGGCGCGCGTTGAACGCAACTCCTTGGAGTGTACGATTTCCGATACCACCCACCCCAAATCCCCGGTGTCCAGCACCTCTGGCTCAGGGGGTGGGTCCACTGCTCTCCCAGGAAGCTCGTTCGGCTTGTACGGGATGAGCAGCGAGACATGAAACACCGGGTGGATTCTACGCATCCCCGGTGTCAATTCCAAACGTCGCGCCATGCGACCTTCTCCTACGACCTCCGTGATCTTGAACGGGCCGTAGGTCTTCCACTCCAACTTCTTGTTCGGCCTCACGGTATTGACGTGAGCCGACGACAACATCACCATGTCGCCAACATTGTACCCCTCATCCGGTACCGCCGTACGCTTCCGATTCGCGTACTTCGCCATATCCTCCCTGGCCTGTCTCAGCGCGACATTAACAGACTCCCAGATGTTGTTCATCCGCTCTCTGTACTCCTGTATCGACTCCACAGCCGAATCCTTGGCAATGGGCATGGGGAGTTCGACGGCGTGCTCCCGCCCTTCCGATGCCATGAACGGCGACATACCGATCGCCGAGTGCTTCGAATTGTTGTAGGCGAACTCCGCCATGGGCAACAACTCGGTCCAGTCGTCCTGCTGGTAATTGACGTACGTCCGCAGGTACTGTTCGAGCGTCGAGTTACTGCGCTCCGTCTGACCATCCGTCTGGGGATGGAAGGCGGTCGAATAACTAGGCTCGACACCGGACAACTCACAGAACTCCCTCCAAAATCTCGACGTGAACAGCGTTCCCCTGTCCGAGATGATCTGCCGGGGAAACCCGTGCAGTCGTACCCACTCCTGCAGGAACATCTGTGCCAACACCTTGGCGTCGTTGTCCTTCCGACAAGGCACGAAATGTGCCCGCTTGCTGAAGCGGTCGACGATCACCAGGATCGCGTTCGAACCCCTCGACTCAGGTAGGTCCGTGATATGGTCCCACGTGATCGACTGGTAGGGCTCCGTCTCCGCTTTCAGGGGAGCCAGCTCACCGACTGGTTTGGCCCTCGGCCTCCGATTCCTCTGACACTTGTCGCAACTAGCCACGTACTGGCTAATCCACGCCTTCATACCCGGCCAGTAGAAATCTCTACTCACCAGGTCCTCCGTCTTGTCCCGCCCGTAGTGTCCGGCGGTCTTCCCATCATGGAGCCTCTTCAAGAGCTCCGTCTTCAAGCTTCCCGCATCGGGAACGTACACCAGCCCGTCGTACATGAGCGCGCCTCCCGGGCTCAGACTGTACCGACTATTCGTCAAAGTTCCCTCCTTGACGCCCTTGATCAGGTCTCTCGCGACCGGATCTTCTTGTCCCGCAGGGATCAACGCTTTCAAGAACCAATCCCCTATGACGGGGATCGTTCCGCACAATCGCAACGGGGGTTGTACCGTCGCTGCGCTGACCACCAGCGCGTCTGCATTGACGGGGCGCAACAGGGTCTCTGCCTGCTTGGGCTCCGTCTCCTCCATCAACTCCTCTCTCCTGCTGAGCGCGTCAGCCTTCCCGTTCTCTGTCCCCGGCTTGTACTCCAACGTGTACGAGATTTGGTTCAGCAACTGAGACCACCTCGCTTGTCGGTGGGACAACATCTTGTCCTTCTTGAAGTACTCCAGGTTCTTGTGATCCGTAAGGATCCTCACCGGGAACTTCCCGTCCAGGTAGTGCCGCCATATCTGGCAGCAGTACACGATGGCGAGCAGCTCGCGATCGTGTACGTCGTAGTTTCGTTGAGCCGGCGTAAGGCTCTTCGACATGAACGCCACGGGATGTAGTTTCCCGTCGTCCCCTACCTGCGACATCACCGCTCCCATCGCACCTGACGATGCGTCCGTCTCCAGTACCACCTGGCGCTCCTCGTCGTAGTGAGCGAGGATGGGCGCCTCGGTGAACGCCTTCTTCAACTCCTTGAAGGCAGCATCCGCTGACTCCGGCCAGTGGTACTTCACCCCTTTCTTTGTCAAGGCCGTCATGCCTTGAATCTTCTTGGAGTAGTTCTGTATGAACCGGCGATAGTAATTCGCGAACCCCAAGAACGACTGCAGGCCTCGAATATTTCGAGGCGCCGCCCATTCCAACACCGACTTCACCTTCGACGGGTTCATGCTGACCCCCGTAGGGGCAATATCATACCCCAAGAACTCCGTCGCCGTCGTGTCGAACTCACACTTCTCTGCCTTTGCGTACAGGCCATTCGCCTGTAGCCTCCTCAGCACTTCCCGTACGTGCTCGTCGTGTGTCTCCTGATCGGCGGAGTAAATCAATATGTCGTCTAAGTAGACGACCACACACACGTCTAACATGTCTTGGAAGACCTGATTCATCCAGCGCTGGAACGTCGCCGGCGCGTTTGTCAAACCGAATGGCATGACGAGACATTCGAACAGACCATAGCGTGTCGTGAACGCGGTCTTCCAAACATCCTCTTCTTTGACCCTCAGGAGGTTGTACGCTCCCCTCAGGTCCATCTTCGTATATACCTTCGATCCCCGTAGGCGATCTAAGGTCTCCGAGATAAGCGGCAGGGGGGTCCTGTCCTTCTCGGTAATTTCGTTGAGGCGGCGGTAATCAATACACAGCCTCAATTCGCCCCCTTTCTTCGGTACAAACAGTACCGGACTCGAACACGAGGATTTCGAGGGTCGAATAAACCCTTTCGCCTGATTCTCCGCCAACCACGCCTTGAGAGCGTCCGTCTCCTTCTGCGAATGGTTGTACAACTTCCCATACGTGGGAGTTGTTCCAGGCTTCAGCTCGATCGCATGATCGATCGAGCGCTTCGGAGGCAGCGAATCTGCCTTCGTCTTGGAGAACGCTCCGAGGTACTCATGGTACTTCTTCGGCACAACGTCCCGCAACTTCTCCATGTACTCGGGAGGATCAGGTTCGTTTTGAATCGAGTCGGTGGGCTTGACGTCCCAGTCCCACAGGTCCGGCCTGCGGGCCCGCTCCTCATCCTCCCTCGTCATCTGCATTTGAGCCACCACGAGATTCTCCGTGATCGGCTCCTTCATTCTCGACAGCGGATCGATATTCCGCGTCTCTATCTCCACCTCGTCGGGGGAGCATACTACCTCTACCTTCTTGACGCATCCTTTCTTCAAACAGTCGTCCGCGAAGGTGACTGTATTTGTATCCCACTGGATGTGTGGGCTATGGTGTCGTAACCATGTAATCCCGAGGACCGCCGCGTACCCACACAAATCCGTCAAGAAGAACTCCGCCTTCTCTTGGTGCAATCCTGTCCGCACAATAGCATGTGCCTTCTGGGTGATCTGACCACCCACTATCTCTCTTCCGTCGATGACCGTGACGGTCCTAGGGTTCTCTAGGTCTATCACATCAAAGTTATGGATCCTCGCGAACGTCCGATCCATGAACATACCCGTGGCCCCCGAATCTACCATCATCACTGCCTGCACAGGAATCCCCTGCGGGTAGAACACTCCTACCAGAGTGAGGTGGCTCTCCGGACCACTAGGGTTACCGCTAGCACCAATGTGCAGCGGGATCCCATCACTACCCCCTTTCACGTTCCCAGCCGGGGTCCTTTGGTGATCCGTTATTCTATAAGGCCTGGCAGCCGACCTGCCGGGTCTTGGGGTAATAAGGTCGCGGGACTGGGGAAAGGTAACGGTAGGCATAGCGATGTAATAACGGATGTCTAACTACTACAAGGTACTAGTTAGACGCCTACGAGAACATCTCCTAAAAGGTCTCCGAGAGGGTCCCCGAGAGGGTCTCCGAACGAGACCCCGAGGCGACGCGCACCGTAGGTCGCGCGTCACGTGACGCCTATAATACAAGCTTACAAAGAAAAAAAGAAGACAAACTGAAAAAAGACACAACTTCGATCGCACAACCTCCGCGGCCTGAGCGACGGGCCAATAGGAAGCCCAAACCGCATACACTCCACTCAAGTAAATTGCCTTCCGTCTTGCTAACCAAGTTCGTGGCTCAGATGCCTGTGAAAGGCGAGTCAAATACAATATTCCATAGAGGGTTGGTGTTGTTTGACTTAATGTTCTTCTTCGCTTAGACCGGTAAAACGAGAATAGGCTGCCATCCTCAGGCGTCTTTCCATATCTGGCGCTGCATGGCCAAAAGATACTCCGCTTGTGATACGGCTTCGGATCAATGTCCAACCAAAGACACTTTACCTTGTAAGCTTCTTCCGATCTTAACGTTGCGTCGCATTCGGGAAGCCTGTAGACATCGGGCTTTTTCATGTTGGTTCTAACGATCTGAAACGTATATACCAATTTGAGGTGGAAGAGGGCCTTATACATGATACATACAGTACATAGATGTCGCTCTGTACGCCTTTCAAGGGATCCTTCCGTACTGTCGTGATCAAAGTGAGGATCTGGCGTCATAGCGCGACCGGCTTTGCGAAGCTGCAAGTGGGAATCCCCTGAGATATCGCTCTAAGGGAGCAATTGTTGCCAGATGTTTCAATTTCAGTCTACTCGTCCCCGCGCAAAGTCTGTGGGCACAAAGTAAACAATGGCCATTTTTCAAACAACGGGAAAGTCATCTAGAAAAGTGACCAAATCAACTCCATGAACGTGATGCATTAGCCCACTGTTGTGACCACAGAACATCACATAGCCTCTTAATAAGACGCCTCCCTCATATTATGTCAATTGAACTTAGTCCCAGAAAGAGGGGAAAGCTTGTTGGCCTTGTCACGGCAGGTCTCAGTCACCGCAAGGCCGCGTCACGCCTTGGTGTCAGTAAATCTGCAGTATGGAGGACTCTGCGACGAGAGAACCTCCATAACACTCAGAATTCTCTCCCAAGATCTGGAAGGCCCCCCATGCTTGGAGAGAGAGAAAAGAGACGCCTGATAAGGGAGGTCATGGCACACCCGGGTGAGCCATGGCTTTACTTTGCCAACATCTTCGGTGTGTCCATATCTACCGTGAGGAAATTCGCCAACTCTATGGGCCTGTTCAAGCGACACAAGAGGAAGAAGCCTCTCCTTACTCCTAAAGCCATTGCAGCTCGCAAGAGCTGGATGAAAGAGAACATAGGACAGGATTGGAGGAGGGTGATATTCACGGATGAGTCATCCATTGAGCTCGGTCTTGACGTGCTCCAGAGATGGACTATCCGCAAGGCCGGTGAAGCCTATCTCCCTCAACACCTCCAAACCACCTTTAGAAGTAGCAGGAGGACTTTGATGGTGTGGGGTGCTGTAGCATACGGGAAGAAATGGGACTTGGTTCGGCTCCCCCTCGACTCCAAGGATCTGGAGCCTGAGGGGGTGGCAGCGGGGAAGCGGCAGCCGAAGGGATTGAATGGGGAGAGATATGTTAGGTGGATTGTGAACGGCCCTCTCAAGCGCTGTGTGCAAGAACACAAGAGGGCAAGGTGGAGAGATGTCCTGGTCCTGGAGGATGGAGCTCCCTGTCACTCATGGTCGGGTACCAAGGCTGCACGGGCCAAGCACAAGATTCCCTCACTCACCCATCCGCCATCTTCACCTGATCTCAACCCTATTGAAAATGTGTGGCACCTGCTCAAGATGAAAGTCAGTCAAGAGGAGAGGAGGGCCACCAATCTAGACGAGCTCTGGACACAGATTCAGAGATGCTGGAAGGCAATCCCTATTGAGACAATCAATAGATTGATCGACGGCATGGAAACTAGGCGGGCTGCTGTACAACAAGCAAATGGCGGTTCGACACGGTTCTAATTCAGCGAACTGGGTGATGTATACCATTCGAGTCTTCCCCTGGAGTTCGACATGAGTGGCATCAATATTGTACGAGTTATAGCAAAGTGATTTTATGGATATGTGTTCGGGATGAGGTGTTCGGCGACCATTGTTTACTTTGTGCCCACAGACTTTGCGCGGGGACGAGTACACCAGCGGTTAGCCGTCCAAGTCTACGTGATGAGTGATATCACTGTGCTAGACACTCGATGTACGAAAATGAGATAATAATGCTAGCTACAACCCACAAAGTTTCGCGATCTATCTACTGATACACGGATACCACACTTTCCTAATACTCCCAAAGAACAGCCTATGGCTACATTGCAGACTCGACATTTTGAAAGGAGAATGATCAGACGTCCTTGTTGGATGGGGCAAGATGCCTTGACCCAAATCGCAGGGAGGCCGAGAAAGCGAAAAAAGAAATAGGGGGCGGCAATCGACTGCGTGGGAGCATCGACAGCGCCTAGATCGAAAGATAGCCTGTATCAAACTCCTTGGGGAACAACCTCTCAAAGATCTTTTCGTCAGGGCACGCCAAAAGGGGCGGAAGAGGTTCGGTCGGTTTGTTCGACGTGGCGGTCCCGTCCGGGGGCGATTGCTTTTGTGCGTCGTTTCTTCTCTCACACTCGTGCTCGTAAATATCCTTCAAGGCCTCGCAGATGCTCCTGAGGCCAAAGAGGAAACCCATGTCCGGATCGCGAGGGTGTTTCGGTGGGAACCTGGCACGAGGCTTGCCGCTCACAGGGTCGAGGGGCGCATCGTATCCCTTGCCGAGATGCGAGACGTCCTCGTCCGGGGTCATGGGCGCAAAGTCCTTGCCCGTCGTGGGGTGTGCAAAGTCGACGACTCGAATCCGGATCTGACCCCGTTTGCGATGCGCTTCGATGGCCTCGGCGCGGGATCCGACACGCCTGTCATCGGCGCTTCGGCTGCGGCGAGTAGAGCCATTCTTGTGATGCTCCTGCTTGCGTTCTTGGAGATGCTTACGCTCGGCCAAGAACGAAGTGTCATCATCGTCATCCTCGTCATCGCCTCGGTTCGCGGCTGCCTTTTTCGCCTCGAGGTACTTGTCCTGGACCTGCTTGTCGCCATCGTATACGAACAGCAAGCTGCATCCATAGAACCGGAATCCGTGCAAGCGCGACACGATCGCCGCGAGTCGATGGAGCTTGTGAATGAGGCCCGGGATGTGCTCGGCCAACAGACGGGAGCCGTCGTAGAGGAAACTTTCCAAGACGTCGGTGAACTCGTCCTCCTTGACCTCGCGACCTTTGTACTTGTTTTGCGAGACAAAGGCGTTGCTTACGTTATCCCAGACCTGAAAAAAACCATTCGACATCAGCCCAGCCATGACCTAGGCACGAAACGTTGCAAACTCACCTGCATACCGCAGATCCGCGTACCCAAAGGCCGACTAGTCGTGTTGTCGCACTTTTTCCGCTGACTCTTCTTTTTCAAAGGCGTAGCATCGCACCCATACTGGCGGGTTCCCATCTTCAAGTCGAGCACGCACGGGTGTGCTAATCTGCCGGTAAGATCCTCCATGAAGATGAAGTACTCTTGGCGTGTCACATCGTCACTGAGGGTAGATGCATCCATGTTGAAGCCGCCAGGTGCTGCACACAATGAATCACTATGAGTGGCCAGACACAGGTATATCCGAGATATTCTGACTTACACTGTGCTATCTCCTGGTGATCCGATTCCTGATCGTCCATCGAGAACATGCCTCGGTCCACACTTTCTTCCCGAGCGGACCGCTTCGGTTGAGCGGACCCGGACTTTTGCGAGGGAATTTCGTGGGTCGTGATCGCCAGCCTGTTTAATTCGCTCATGACCACCTCGCTGTTTACTCGTCGTAGAGGCTCAGACGGTTCGTCGTCATCGTGATCGTCGTCATCGCCATTTGCAGTCTTGTGGATAGGGGTCATGTCCATACTACCCGCGATGTTGCGCTCCACTCGACCGCGAAGACTCTGGGTTCCCGAAATCTCGCGGTGCCGACGTTCAGATTGCAGAGGCGGTACATGGTCTTCTTGGTCGGTGGTATCATATGCGTCCTCCAGGTCAGTCGGCGCTTCCTGCCCCTGATGCAGTCTCCGATTGAGGGCATAAGACGCCGCCCGACCCTGTTTTCGCATCCTTCGCAAGATGGTCGCAAAGACATGATCCTTGAGCTTGGTGTTGACAGAGGTCGATCCGGTTCCACCAAACAGGGGACAGTGTTGACCCTGGTTGATTGGCGTCAATGACGACTGATTGCTTAGACGGCGGTACTGCGGCAAGCTCGGCGTGGACGTTGCATGATGCAGCGGAGGCGTAGACGACAAGGAAGGGGACGGCGAGGCATTGAGCTCGGCGCGTCGAGTGAATGGGGATCCAGGTGGAGGCGGAGGCGTGAAAGCGGTCTGCGTATCATGCGAGAAATCAGAACGAGCATCTGGCGAAAACGCGTCCGGAAAGTCGTCTGGGCGCGCAGGCGTTCTAAACAGTCGCCTCTTTGCTCTGTTTCCGTTCATCTCGTCCTCGGTCGTTTCGGCTCCTGCGGCTTGCCAAGTCTTGTATCGGTCGAGGTCAGGCTTCGAGATTCGCCCACCGCGACGGAATAGCCAGTCCGGAACGACGTGCTTGTTGTACATTAGAGCTACCTCAGGAACTTCCTTGCTTTCGGCCGGTTTGGTGTCCGTCCCGTTTGTTCCCGCAAAGGATGCGGCCCGTTTCATGCCTTGTCGTTGGGGTCCGACTGCCGTCGGCTCGGACGGCACCGCAGCGGCGACGGGAGCGGGTTGAGGTTTCCGATAGTTGACGAGCATGACGCCCAGATAGCGGGGTATATAGCTCAGTAGAGCGGGAGCCATCTGTTCGACAGCTTCATAGAAGAGGTTCTCCCGTGAGACCAGAGGCTGTCGTAAGATGGTGGTCAGCCAGATGAAAACGCCGAGCGACCGATACTCTACTCTATACACACCTTGCATACGGCTCTCCGTGTAAACTTGTAGATCTCGCTATGACCTCCTACCTTGTTCTTGAACGGTTGTAGGGGCACAGTCATGCGATCTCCGGGTGAGCCTTCTCCAGCGGCGACCCTAACCTCGCCCCCCGCGTCGTCTTCATCATCTTCTTCAAGAGTTTGCCGAATCCTTCGTTGAGGCGACTTCATCTCGCTGCGATCGTGCTCGGGGAGGCCAGCGTGCTTCATTTGGTCATTGGCGAGATGGCTCTGCCGAATATATGACGGACTACGTCGGGAGGAGTGCGGAGGTGACAGCGCTCGAGACCGACCGTTATACGGCGGTCTACCGAGTTGTCTTTCGCTATGATGATCAGATTCGACCGCACTTTCGTACATGTCGTCCCCGTCAGATTCGCTTCCGGAAGAAGAGCTCAAGCCCGAACTACTCTCCCACGTATCCTCGCTGGTCCAGCCATGAGGGAAATCTGCCGCCGGAGGCCATTCGGAATCATCCGCCACCGAGGGTTTAACGCTGGGCTGGACCCGGGATTGTACCCTGCTGATGGCGGGCGATGCCATACGTGAACGACTCTCCCGAGCGGCTTGCAAACCGACGACGCTAGGCGCCGACGTGGTACGGTCCCTGGCCTGAGGTGAGGATGCTCTCGATCGATAGGGCGATTTCGTCTGATGTGGCGCGATGCCAGGCTTGTCCTGCACACCCTTGACCAACTGTTCGTGCAGAACTTCGACCGGCTCTGCTGGCACCGTCTTTGAACGTTGATGCTTGCGCGATCTCTTACCTCCCAGATCGAGGTTCTGCAGATCGAGATTGTCGAGAGCGCGTGACAAGTTCGGCAGACCTGGCTTGTCTTGCCGCTGACCGTCCTGATCCTCGTCGCCATCCTCTTCTTCGCTGACCGTCTCGGACAAGACCTTGCTCTTGTTAGTTGAGGTCCTGCTTAACCACCCCCGTTCTCGGTCCTTTGCCGGGGTCACGGGGACCGCTGGTGTCGAGACTGTGGACGCTTCCCCACGTTCCGCTGCGCGTTCTCTCTCGACCCTGTCTTTTTCTCTGCCCTCCCGTCCGACTGGCACGTCGACTCCATCGACGCGAGCGCTCTCCTTGAACAGGCCCATCCCCATGCTCGCCTTTCGTCCGCCTTTGCTCCCAGTGTTGACACCCGTCAACAAAAGATCACGTTGCTGCTGCATCCTCGCCTCGTTCAGTACACGAGCGGCCTCGGGCGGTAGAGGCACCTCCTTCGTCTTCATCATCTCCTCCTTCAACATCCCCTTGCATCCTCCTGTCGCCGCTCCGCCATCCGCCTTGCCGTCCTCACCTCCGACCTTTACGACGGTCTTTTTCAATTGACCCGAGATCTCCGCCTTGGCACGCTTGACGGCCTCTTCGATGGTATGATCCAGATCTTTGCCGAGTCCGAGGTCGAAATGCACCTCCTCATTTGCCGGGTCGACTTTAGCTTGAATGGTCGCGCTCGGTCGAATGTTATCTCGACTGTAATCCCGTTCCACCCTCCCAGAGTTTGTACGTCCCGGTCGAGGCGGCGCATCCTGCACCGGTGTACTTGTGACACCGGGAGGTAGAGAAAACTTGGTATCCAGTGAAAAATGGGGCAAGAATAGGGGATCCAACTTGAGAGCGTCTGATGGGGTGGTGAGTAACGAGTCGGTCTGGTTGGTAGGTTCGTCGTCCCATGGCCCGTAAGTGGAGTCCAAGACGGATGGTAAATCGGTCAGAGAATGTGATCTCGGTCGGATCCTCCTCGTCGATCGACCACGAGGTTTCGCGGGGCGCTTTTCGTATCCCGACTGCGTATTATTGTCCGTCCGATCTTGCAGATCTTCGTTCTCCTCGTCCGTCGCACCATGATCACCACCTCCACCACCGCCATCCCGATCCGTATATCGACGACCGTGCCGACGCATCCCATCATCCTCGTCCGAGTCGTCCTCTTCAAACGTCATCGCACCCGACCTCAACCCCAACCCGGGGACGAAACGCATATACGCCATGTCTCTGTCGTCAGGAGTACCATCGCCACCAGTCCCATCATTCCCGTTCAGCCCGACCATATTCGTGTGACTGCGACCGTGCTGGAGCTGATGATCGAATCCTAGTCCCAGTCCGCTGGAACTCGGCCTGGAAGAGATCCTTCCGGGTCTCAGTCGAGGCGAGTTCAAAGGCGATTGAGTGTAAAGCGGGAGCGGCAGTGGCAGACGTCGATGGGAGTAAGGCGTTGGGGATGGCGTTGGTGACATGGTCAAAGCGGGGGAAGAGCGACCCGACCCTGTGTACCCATCTTCCATATTTGCACTACCCTCATAATTCCCATTGCCATTAACGTTCATATGAGCGTTAGCAGTAGTCCCGTTCGTCGCCGCTCGATCCCGTTGTTTCCCAGCGTACGACCTCGATTGAAACCTCATAGCTTTCGCCCGTGGCGAATTCACTAACGAGGGCGTCGACAGCGGAGTATGCGACGTCGAACTCGAATTGGGATTCGGATCTTGTCGATTTTGAGGGTCATGATACCGAAACTTGTCGAAAGGGAATTCTTTCCGTTGACGAGGAGACAGCGTGTAGCTGTACGAATCCCGCGAGGTCAAAGTGTCGTACGGAGTGTAATAAGAGGTTCCTCCTGTAGATGGAGGTGGGACGGAGAACCCGTCTCTATCCCTCTCTCTATCTCGATGCCTTTCTCTTTCTGTGTCCCCGTGGAAAGCGGAAGTGGTCGTAGTAGAGATGGAAGTACACGTCGAGCTCGGCGAAGAAGGAGGTTCGGCCTGGGTATGGGTGTGCGAGTTCGTGATAGAGCGATTACGTCGCGGAGCGGGGAGCTGGTAGGACGTCCGATAGTCCATGGATGGGGATACCAAGGGTGATACTGAAGACCCTATCGATTTGGTACCACTTGACTTCAATCGAGCTCCGGTGTTGGGTCGAAAGCCAGCAGTCTGGGTCGACCGAGTTTGTGATTTGCTACCATTACTGCTGTTCCTCTTGAACAAGGGAACAGGAGGTCCATGTCCTTCCCTCCATCCGGATATATCGAGGTTGTCGGTATCATTCGATCTCCTAGACGTGCTAGGGGGTCGTCGGGAAGAGGAAGACGAACTGGACGCGGTCGACCCTATCGATTCGTCCGTCGGCCAACGAGGTCGAGATCCCCGCGTAGGCGGTAATGGTCCCAGGCTGGAGCCCGTAGTCATAGTACTGTTGCTGTTGATGTTATTGTTATTAGGGTTGATGTTTCTGGTCGTTCCCTTGGTCGAGATCGACCGGACGGATCCGGCCTGACCTGATGACTCGTTCGGGTATCCGTCATCTTCTCGAACGAGTCTTTTCACGTCGTGCACATCTGTCATGAACTTGCGGGCTCCCGAGTTGAAAGTTCTCGTTCTTGTTCAAAGGTCGAGGTGGATGTCAAGAGGTGCGTTGTGTACTGCTATCTTCGAGGCTTCGAGGTCCGAGATTGTGATCAAGAGGCTGTGGCCCGGTTGATTGGTAACGCCGGTCTACTGAAGTGTACGGACTTCAAGAGGCGGTTTCAAGAGGAAGAGTGCGTGGGCTGGGTGTCACTACGAGCTAGCTATATGATTATCAGGACACTAAGCAGAGTTGTAAGCTGTAGGTTTAGATGTAAGTGTAGGTTGTATGTGTATGATATCGTCATGTCCGAGGTCGATATGGTCATCATTCGCCTCCTCTCCTCTCGCTCGCAAAAGCACGTGAAGGGCGCGAGAGCGGGGCGATAGATAACCCTAGCAAGAGTTACAGTAGCCTAGAACCTCACCCACGTTCTACAACGACGACGATCTCGACCTGCAAGCCCATATTCACCCCCAGTGTACCCCCGGGATATGATCATCTCTGCGTAATTCTCCGTAGATAAAAAGGGGGGGAGGAGACACCTAACAAACTCGGACCGAACCCAGCCAGCCCAAGCGACGATCACGCGCGATAAGGTCTCGATGGCGACAGCAACGACCAACATCGAGGACGATCACATCAATCCCCCTTTGCCTTTCCTCGGGCCTGCTACGCAAACTGTATGTCTCCGGATAAGAAGGTCATGGTGGATACAACAAGGTGGGAAACACCGGAGACACAGTACCGATTCTACGCCCTTCCATTATTACTCATCGTCGGATCCGAAAGTCCGCCTTCGACCCAAAGGTACTCTTTCACCTCGATCTAGACTGACGAGACACGTGCGACCTCGACCGTGCACGTTCCCTCCAACTTCTTCTTTTCGGGGAACTCCTCGTACGAGACCAGACTAGCGAGCTAGCGATACCCAACAAGCCCTTCTCTTCTCATCCACCACGCTATACCCTCCCCTCGAGATCCCGTTCCAGCCTAGCTTCCTGGCCCTTCAACACCTCGACTTCGAGCTCCATCGCCCGGCTCGCCATCTCGAGCTGGATCGTACCCGTGATCAGGTCTTGCCACCGGTTTTCAAGGGACGATAGGTGTTTCCCCGTAGATTCCTGTCGGGGCGTGTATAGGTAGGTGTGAGGGGGAGGTATATCGTCAGCATCTTGCGGTTCGTATCGCCATCAAGTCGCAACACGCCACTTCGTCGTGTCATACCACACCACTCCACACTACACGACATCACATCCCATCTCATCCCGTCTCATCCTCCGAATCAATGCCGCATCGCAAAACTCACCTGAAAGACCCTCCGCTTCCTATTCACCTCGACGACCTTTTCCTTCCACACCTCGACCTCGGCCTCGACCTCTTTCGCTTGGGATTCGAGCTGATAGTTCCGGATCAACCAGGCGTTCGGGCCGTAGGTGGAGAGGAGGGAGAGGTTTTCGTTCCTAAACAGTGAACGTCGCACACATAGATTTGTTCGTCAGCCCAGTTCCACAAGACAAAGACTAGACCCCGGATTCGTTCCTGTCTTGTTCTCGATTTGGGAATCGAAAGTCGGAGCTCGGAACTCACCTCCCATTCAACATGCTCAGCCCGATCCTAGCTTTCCTCTCGGCCTCTTGCCACTCTTCGGTGGAATCCCCTTCTTCCGGCCTGAACGGGTTCCACTTGGACGGGTCGATCGCCTTGGTCGTCTGTAGTGTCTGGGAGGGGTAGGCGGAGAGGAGTTCGGCGAGGTGTGGTGAGGTCTATGGAGGTCGTGCCAGATTCGGTTGGCATTCGATGATAATACAAAAGGTGTTCGGGCGTGAGCTAGCTTGTCCGAATGGATGGGTACTCGTTGAACCGGTTGTCACGTACGAAAGGCTCCAGATCGGCCGGTACCCTCGGATCGTCCAATCCGACTTTCGACATCCTCTTCATCTCCTTGTCCACTTCAGATTTGACCAGGTCTTTCAGGCCTATATAGCAAGAAATACAGGACAACGTGGGGACGTCAATGCTTGATCTATTTCGATGACAACTGCCAAGAACGAGGTGAGACTTGCCTGGAATCTCCAGCTCCTTGTCATAGTAAGGCAGCGAATCTACCGAGGCGTCCATCGTGTTCCGAGTCTATTTATTGGGATTCTTGCTTGGTCTGGGTATCACTCGATCAGACCGGAGATTGGAATGGTTGCAAGTTAGTACACGGATGATATTCAAGTGGGTTGATCGGTCGACCGACGACCTTGAACTCGAGCTCGGTCCAGGACGCGGATCACGTGATCTGAACAAGCCCATACGCCACAACAGCCCCGGTGCGCAGTTACTACTTGGTGAACAGGATATGACCTTATCAGTAACTTTGAGGGCGCATCGCATAGTGAACGCTTGATTCGTGGGCAGCGGACCGAATATCAAGCCGATGAGGGGAATGCATGGGTGATTAGGAGTCGCGATGCCCACGAAGTCTTGCCATCATTTGAGGAATCCGTACAGTGATTGTCGTCAAACCTGGTGATGACTTCATATTTGAGCGGTTTGTATAGATTCGAAGCATCTTGCCACTGTGCTCTTGATTTTGAGAGGTCGATCGCAAACTTGCCATAGTGTTGAATCGCTCTAACGACTCTCGAGCTGATGGATGAACCCAATCGTGGACCTCCCATCATCTCGCCGAGGGCCTCATTACGATCCGGTCAGGGGTCGTAATCGAAGTCCCAGCAAGGTGGTTGACGTTGCCTTTGTAAAAAGGTGTATGAACCGCAGGAATTGGAGAAACTCCTGTCTGACCTATCCGGGTTACCTCGTTCTGGCTCGCCAACGTCGGTCCCAGTAGCAAGATCGGTATCGCTTGTGGGCGGTGACCAGTTATCGTAAATGGGCGGGATGAAGTCTATCAGTCTTGCCAATTCGATAGATACAATGGGCGGTCTGCCATATGTAATGAACAACGAAATTTGCCATGAAAAGAGATGTTGAGCTGTCTCTGTCCTGCTTGTGAAGATGACTGAAGCGGTCAACTGACTGCTATAAGTTCGAAAGCATGAGCTCAAAGTCGCAAAGTCGCAAGCTTGCAACGGTCGCCTTATGTTTCCGCTGAAGGCTTCATGTGGAGCCCACTACATTCCTTGTCTTCACAGCGATCAGCTCGTACTTCTCACCGCTTGGATTGCTCGGGACAGGCGACGCGCCACCCTTACGAGGGATCGTCTTCGGCGGGCTCGACAATTGAGCTCTGACCCCATGTCCTCGCGAAGTCGCGCTTCTCAAAAGCCGCTCATGTATTGTTTTCGGCAAGGGAACAGATACGACCTATCGAGTCGTCTCTGACCTGGAAACCGCAGGGGAAGAACAGGTCGTAGCCACTAACGGCTCATCTAGTAAGAGCCGAACTTTGCGCGATCCCGCCAATGACATGGCATGTTGTGCTTTGTAGCTAATAGATGCTCATCTATTTCATGGAGATGAAGCGCAGGGCAAGGATGTGAGTACGATGTTACCGGGTTTATTACGGCTATCGACCGGGTCTTATGTCTCGGCTTGGATGTGCAACGTGTTTCATCGCAAGTATTTCACGGAGTATGCGTTTTGACCGAAAACATAAACGCGAGATTTCCTAAACCTTTATGCGTTTTGAATGTCAAACGCGACTGGTCCGGACGTGACCGTCAACAAGTCGAGAGGCGAGAGGAGCCAAGTTCAAGTTCATACGTTTCTTCGAGGTTCGAATGATAGATCACTTCATCACCATCTTGCATTGACACACACCACATAGCGATACACAGAAAGAGAGGAGTAGAACAATCCCACCATGTTCGCCTCTCGAAACAACCACGCCTTTCGGGTACATCAACACCAACCTGACAAGGAGAACATGATCGCCCAAACTCCTCTCCGACCGGGAGGTATGCCTTTCAAGACCCCCATGACCCAGCGAACCTTGCAACCATCCACCTCGAAAGCTATGTTCGGTACCGTCGGCCCGAAACGTATGCAGACGAACGATAAGGACGGGTCCAAGACGGAACTGAGACCCAGGGTCGGGCCGAGTTTGATCAGGGAAGCGAGCAATGTGGGAGAGGGCGCGAGTCCGTTTGCTGGGAAAGGGAAGGGTAAAGGAGTCGAGCTCGGGAAATCGCAACAGTTGGGTGGAAAGGATGGGGGATCCAACTTGGATACCAACCTAGGCAAGTCGATCATCCTCTTGCATGCTTTTTCTGAACTGAAAGGACCCTTTTTCTCATCCACTCACCGATTGCGCGCGTCTCACAGCTCCTAAACGCCTATTCACCTCGACCAAGACCCCTCTCAAACAAACCGCCCCACCTAGTTCATTCCAAAACCCCCTTCCTCCCGTCTCTTCCACCCCGCTCCCATCCGCTAGTCGGTCTCGCCGTCGATCGAGACAATCTTTGAACCAATCTCAATCACCTAGCAACAAGAACACTCTGCTGCAAACGCCCGGTCCGGCTCATCTAAATCTGGAGAGCGACAAGTTCAAGACCCCCTGCAGACCCAGTTCTTCGTTCCATAATGCATACTCGCTGTATTCTCCTGGAGATCAGGACCTCTTGGAGGACGACGAAGAAGATGATGATGAAGATACCCCAGCTAAGGGAGGGGCTGGGAGTTCGTCCGCGGGAGGGCTGAGTCTGAGGCAAGAGCTCGTTGCGAGGTCAGGTGGGGTGGACCTGGGCACGGATTTGGGGATGGATTTGGGCTTGGGGATGGGGATGGAGATGATGCAATTGAACGTACAAGAGGTGCAAGAGGAGGAGGAAGATGAGATCGAGTATATGCCTCCGAGGGCGCAAGGTGAGCCTTTGATCCAAACTTTTTCGCTCTTCGGAAGACATCAGGAGCTGATCATCGACTTGATCACCGCCATGATCGTTCCCTTCTCCTTATCCTCTATTCTTTGCCCCGGGAATCAATCCGCTCATCTGTCTTCTTCCGTCAACACAATACATTGGTTTTCAACTTCAGCACTCCCTGATGAACCCCCCTTTGACTACACTCCCTTGGAAAAGATCGGCAGATCGCTCTTAGGGGCTATCAAGGGGGATTATCTCCTCCCCCACCCTGAAGACGACGAAGAGGAGTTTGATGGGTTTGTCAATGGGCAGAAATGGGACGTTCTGGATTTGGATCTCGGCGATGAGATGGTGGGCGGTGTCGCAGATCAGATAGAGCAGGGAAGTGAAGAGGAAGGAGAGGAGTTGGCGGGAAGGAAGGTCTCAGCAAATGGCATCAGGATGATCGGTGAGCTTACATCAAAACTGCTGTTAATGCCCATCCGAAAACCGCCGGGAGCTGATGATAGACTGCATATTTGGGTGAGCAGAGGAAGAGCAACCTTTCTTGGCGAAAATCGAAGCTATCAGGAAGAGACAGGAACGACGATCCGCTCGGGAGAAAGATCTGGCTGCGAAGGTTGTGGAGCCGAACGAGATCGATGTCGACGCCAAGGACGTTTCGAGGCAGGCATCTGCGAAAGAATCGCCAGCGAAGATATTGTCGAGACCAGGGACGGCATCGGCAACCGGTAGCAGGCCGGTTGAACGAGTGCCTCAAATGATCAGGAAACCGATGCCGACCGCGACCACCAACAGGCCTCGATCCGCAACTCAGACAACGACCGCCTCGAGATCCGCCTTGACCATCAGTAGGAAACCTATTCCGACCTCTCGCTCCGGGTTATCCGCTACCCCTGGTAACACTACCGCTTCCCGTTCCACCACCGCGGCCCGTGCTACCATGACTACCGCTCCTCGACCGACTTCCAGCATGACGACTACTACGACCAAATCTACGACCACTCGACCTATTGGCCGAGTCCCTCTTCGTACACTGTCCAAGGCCAACATCTCCACTGCTCCCAATATGTCCTCTACCCTGACTTCCAAGACCGGAACAAAGCCCGGTTCCATCGCACGCCCTCAAGTCGATCCCGTTACGACCCCGAACATTCCTCAACCGGAAGTATTCGACGTATTGGACCTCGAGCTGGAGATGCCCGATGAAGGCGGTTTGACCGAGCTGGCTCTTTGAAGAGCTGGCATTTTCAGCAAGAAGAAAGAGACGATCGCCTTGTTTCGGTAAATATGGAGCCGTGTTTTTGTAGCCTCTGTTCTATCGTGCGCGCCTTTGCGCTTTCTCTTTCCCATTGACCTTTGCTGTCGCAATATCGAGCAGAGCATGTATCGAACTCAGCCAAAGCAAAAAATATATAATAGTGGCTTGGCACGAATGAGGCGACCCGTCCACTAGCTCTACTGCTGTCCCAACCTCTCGTTAATCTTCCGCTCAACCATCCTCTCTACCAACGCCCTCAACCCACCCTGACCCTCTCCTTCGGCATCCTCACCTTCTAAACTCCTCAACACGTACTTGCCCACGCAATCCACCTCGACATTGACCGTGCCCCCTACATCCTTGCTCGTCAGAGTCAACTTCTCTTGCGAGTGCGCGATGAGCATGATCCCAAACTCTCTTTTCGGGGAAGAGACCGGGGAGACGTGAGTGAGGGTTAAGGAAGCGCCGTCGATGGTGACGTAGCCCTTTTCTATGAGGTACGGCATAAAGTTCGATTTCGATGTGGAAGGGAAAGCGAAGGTGTAACGGATGGAGTTGCCGTCTGCGACCCGGGAGACGATCTCGGCTGTCGCGTCGACGTGGCCCTACCGGTTACGAACACGAATCATCGATAGATTTGATGGTGAAAAGAGTGGGGAGTAAGAGAGAGCGAGGTGGTTAGTACAAAGTCGATGTGGCGGTTTGGTCGGAGAAGACCGGGGACTCGAAAGGGATGCTCACCTGGACCATATGTCCCCCGAACCGGGTATGCGCTGCCATGGCCCTTTCGACGTTGACCTTGTCTCCGACCTTCAATTGACCTGCGATACCAAGATTCATACCCATCAGTACCTTCTTCCCTTATAGTAGCCTCCCTGATCACACCGCGGAAAACCCACCCAGATTCGTCCGATTCAGAGTCTCCGGGGCCAACCCCACCTTGAACGTGTCCTCATCAAACTCCGTGACCGTCAGACAAGCTCCATTCACACAGATGGAATCGCCGATATGACAGTCATCCAGGATCGGTGCGGCGTTCTTGAAGGTGAAAGTGAAACCTTCGAAGGATTCGGCTGGGGTAATCGAGGAGATGGTTACTACGTGTTCGACCTGCGGGCGGTGGAGATTGAGCTGGGGTTCCGTTGCAGGGATATGAGGGGACTTACTAGACCTGTGAACATGGTTGTAGCTATGGGAATGTATGAATATGGCTTGATGGAGATGATTGGGTGATGGACGATGTTGTAGCTCATCGACCTAAGCAAGTTAGATGATGTCGGATATGACCAAGCTGTCCGTGGCAGATCGCTTACGTAAGATCAAACAGTCGGATGACCGAGAGCTTATAACCTATGCAACATGGCATCTACAATCCTCAAGTTGTCGCATTAATTATTATTATTGATAGTAAGCGTCATCACACCCATGACGACCGAACAAGCACACGCTCGACGATGACGATGATGATAGCCACACTGAGACCTCCCGAGGTCATCCTCAAACAAGACTGTCCGATCGCCTGGCCGATCGACGACGCGATAATTCTCACCGATCCTGCGCAAGAACAGCTCGAATGGATCAGGTCGAGGTATCATCAGACGTTGTTCTTGCCCGAGGTGAGTCGACCTGCTCATCGGGATCGCCAGTCAAGCCCCCTTTAGAAACTTAATGCTGTTTATTCACATGTTCATAGCAACTCGCACCGCTCGAACAGCTCGCCCGGGACCTACAACGCATGTCACTCCCCCCTCAAGCGTCCACATCCACATCGACCTCCACCCTTCAAATACAACACGACCCTTCTCAACCTGAACCTAGCTCCGACCTTAATTCGAATCCTATATCACAGCTCCTCCTCACTCTCCCGGAGATCGAAAAGAAGCACCGTAAACGCCTTTCTGAACCTATCGAACGGTACATCCGTAACGCCATTGCCATACCTGGACCGACAGCGACTACGGCTACCGAGTCTGGAGTTGACGTCACAGCTGGAGTTGGTATGGATACAAAAGAGATTTTTGAGAACGACCTGGAAAGACGGAATTGGAGAGAGGGGATGAGGTATCGAGCGGAAAGCGGGGGGTTTTCTATTCCAGAAGGAGTGCAGGAGGATAGGGAGGTCGGTAGGATGAGGAAGAGGGTGACGGACGAGTTTGAGAGGAGAGAGTGAGTTCCGGATCATGAAGGTCGGAGGACGAAACTTGAGACCTGCTCATTCATCGATCATTGACGGCGGGACCTATTCGTCAACTTCAATAGGGTTATGATCCAGATCATCCTCCTCCTTACCCATATGCAGCTTCAAACCTCTTTCAAATCGAAATCATCATCAAATGACCCCGAACCGCCAAACACAGACAAAGACGATTCCCGAAAGACCAAAAAGAAACGCCTCAAGAAACCCCCGAAATCCTCGTCCTCTTCTACGCCTTCCTCTCCCGTATCGGACCCCGCCGCAGCGCTAGACCTCCTCACAGACCGCTTGACCGTCTGGCAAGCCATCGGAGGAACAGAAGTGGCCGTCTATTCAGAGAAGGACGTACGTGGGTGGATCAATGGTAAGAAGATCCTTGCAGGGGAAGGGGATGGGGAAGAGGACTGGGTCAAGAGGTTTTGGAGGGTCGTCGTCTGGCCGCTCTTTGGCTCTCGGCGGCGGAATATGAATGGTAGTGGGGCTGGCGATGGAGGTAGGTCAGCGGATGTCGAAAAGTTTGTCAGGGGGATGCATAGGAAGGTCTTTGGCGCGGACGTCGTCATGGAAGAAGACGTTGCCCCTAAAACCATCGCGATGGAACTAGAACCCGTAGTAGCTGCGCCGAAACGTACGATGAAGAGAGAACCGTCTGTGATCGCGATCAACCCACCTGGATTCGGAACTTCGAACTCGGGCCAGTCCACGTTCATCCGATCTGCCAGTGTACAAGCGGTACAGATGGGTACGGGGAGTTCGAGGCGCAGTTCGATGGAATCTAATTCCAGCGTCAGGATGCTCTCGACCTCGATCAAAGATCCCAGTCGAGCGGGTAGTATGGGACCTCCCGCTCCCGCTCCGGGTCGACGTGTTTCGGGCAATGGCAATGCACCCGACTCGCTGGATCTGGACGAATCCGAGCTCGACAGTCTGGGACGAAGTGGGAGTTTGAGGCGATCGACTTCTAGAGTCAATAGCGGGATGAACCTATTCAAAGGCCGGGAAGTCGGGTTTAGCCGTTCAAACTCGTTCAAGCCGATCGAGAGTTCTGGCTCGAACAGCCAAGCAGGAACCTCCTTGGGGCAGAACGGATCGGGGTCAGGTTCGGGTACCCTGGGTGGCGGGGTTCCGCTGGGGAGGACTTCGAGTGCGATGGCGGGAATGAACGTGATTTTGGGTAAACGAAAGACGATGATCGTGCCGAAAGACAAGACTTCTTCCGGATCGTTTATCAAGCCGACGGACCCGGCTCATCGGACCGCTGGTCCAGGCGGCAGTGGGGGTCTGCAAAAGAGCTTCTCTACGAGCATGTTGGCGATGGCTACCCCGTCAAAACCCCGGTACGAATCTCGCTTGACAGCAGAATCGCAACCGATACCCATGGCCGCAGCACCGGCATTGAGCGCGTTCGTGGCTGAAACGCCGAGCAATGCCAGCGCACGACGTCAGACGGCCGATAGTCGGTTCACTGCGAACAAGGCCAGCTGGGAGAGTACAAGACAGGTCCTCTTCCCTACGGCCAGTGGCAGTCAGGGCGAGGGAGGTAGTTCGCTCAAAGGGGAAGATCAGCACGGGCTGGCTGATTTCATGGAAGACACGGACGACGAGGATGATGGGGCCAGTTTCTTCACGAGTGGGAAACGTCGGCGACTCGATTCGAACGCAAAAGACAATCTTCGGCACGTCGTGCTCTTCCGCAATCCAGCTGGCGATGCGAAGCAGGATCAATATACGCAACTATTGACCGCGACAAAACGTTTCCGACCAAAGTCCTTGTCGGTGCTCGGGCAGACGTTCGTGAATCAGCAGGAGCTAGCAGAAGTCATCAGGAGCGAAAGCGACAAATGGTCAGGGCTGATAGCGACGAGCAAACGGGCGGGAGAAGCGTGGTGTGCCGCCTGCAAGATCGTCAAACAGGAAGGACACGGGGGCGATCCTGATTGGTCTCACGTTCCGCTCTACACTCCCGGTCCTGCTACAGGAGCATCATTCGTCGGACCCGATCTGACTTCGCCCTTCATCCCGCGCCGTATTGATGCGGCAGAAGAGACGGGCTCAGCGATCCCTCTAGGCACTTTTATCGTTCATCACCATCGGACGCTATCTCAAAATCCGGAACGACCACTCTTGATTTTAGAAGGCGACAAGAACGGTCCTAACCTGACAGAGACTCTTGGCGACACTATTCTTTACTCTCAACGCGAGACCTACGCGACAGGGCCTCGCGAAGATCTCGCCCTAGACCTATTGCACCTGTGCCAGACGTTATCGGCGGATTCTAGCTGGAATCGACCCACTTGGCTGGTTTTCTTTGCGCCTTCCTCAGCTAAAGCCGTCTTGGACTGCTTGGAGCTGACCGAGTTCGCTTCGGGCCTGCCTCTTGCCGGTGCTCCGCGTGTCGAATCCATGCTGCGTTTCCGCCTGGCTTCTGTGGGGAACACGACTGCAGCTTACCTGAGCGATCGGGGACTCGAGGTTGAAGCTGTCGCCAAACAGCCAACGGCGGAAGGTGTACGAGATGCTCTGCAGGAAGCTGATTGAGGCCGAAATTGAAATCTTCACGGTTCATGCGGTCATCGGGAAGCATGTACTTGTCAGGCCGGCGGGGTACGATATTATAAAGTCAAATGCGAAAGAAGAGCTCTGAGTCCATCTACTTGAACAACTAGTCGCTGTCGGATTCTGTACCGGATGCGTGCCAGGACTGAAGGTCTGAATCGTCGTCTTCGTCATCCCATTGGGTCTGTTCAACGATTCCTCGCATGTGTTGTCTCTGAAACTCCCAGTCTTCGCGATATTTGGCCCATCGAGCGGTCTCCGGGACCCGTTTCGATTGCCAAGGTTTCTGAGCCCAGTATAGTTTCCTCTCCATCTGAGACAGTTGTTGCACGATATGGATGGGACGAATACCGATTATGTGGGATGTGGCATCTATCACGGTGCGCAGGGATCGAGGTAGTCTGATGGCGGCCATCGTCGGCCTCACAACCTTGCCGGCGATGTAGATTCGAATGCGCGATCCGAGTGGTAAGTTGGACCAGTCGGTCTCAGGAATAATGTCCAAGTCAGGTAGGGGAGGCGTCTTGATCTTGTCGGAGGTCTTGCTAAATTCTGACCAGGCGGCAATGGCGTGATCCGTCATGTCGTGCGGTTGCGTTAGATCCGCTTGCGGGTACAGGGGGAACAAATCCGCGAGGTTTTTCGTGTTCCTTAAGTCTACGAGAAAAGGTTCAGCGTCGCGTTTGACCTCGGTCACAGGCGAACGCCGAATCGCAGACTCACGTGCTGGATATGCCCTGCTTGAGAGCAAGAAGTGTTCCGCTCTCGCCAGGAAGTCATCAACATCGACGTTCTCCGCCCGTGTAAAGTCGCTATAAGAGGCGACCTCGAACATTAGCGTTCGGTCCAACAAGCGAATTGTTGCTCTCGAGTTTTTGGTGCACTCACATAGGAACGGCCTCGACAGCACCGCGCTTGAACCATCCAGCCTTCAGCTTCTTACTCACTTCCGCAAGCCACTCATCCGCTACCGGCAGTCCGATTGCCGGGTCATCCCTCGTGACTGGTACCCTGCGAAGGATCACATATGATCGTTGAGTTGAGCCTAGAAAATCCTGCTCCGCGGGGCCAGGAGGATCCTTGACTTGTATCCTGCTCACCTTGGCGTCCCATCAAGACCGTAAATCAGTTTGAAAGCGATCAAGACGGCTCCCACCAGTCGAAGTTCAATGGCACTTGACTGCCCATGTGGACGTTTAGGACCCCTCCACCTTTTGCTCGCCGTGGTGATGCCTTCGACAATTTCTTCTTCTTCCGTATTGACCGCTTTAGGAGGGCTCGAATTGGCATCTCCACTGGCATCCAATTCAGGTGTAGTATCTCGGCTGTTGGGCGCGGATGGGTTTACGTATGGCTGTCCGTTGTGAAAATGCTCCGGTCTCGAGATGGTCAAGGACGTGTCCAGGATTTGCAGGATTTGATACGCCACCAGGTAGATCACCGCTGCGACCGCAAACATCTGGTCAGCATCTTCGCAGCGCCATGTATGCGTGCCGAATCCACTCACGTCCGCCGCCCAGCGTGGTGACCAGACGCCACAGAACCGGAGCTGCATTCAACTCTGGAATCCTGATTCCTTTCTCGTAGTCCAAGTCATCTGCCAGGAGTTTCATCCGTTCCCAGAAGAAGTAAACGGAAGGAGATCGCTACATGGGAACAACGCACCTTTTCTCAGCCGGATCAGTCCAGGACAGACTTCAACGATTCGAGCCTCACCTTCGACCATGTACCTCCAGACAGCAGGTCTATGCTCATATGAGGCTTGATGGAGTCGGGAACGTAGGTGGATCTTCCGAATTCAATATATGGAAGTGTTCCATCATCCATTGCTCTATTACACAAGCAATTCGGTCAACCATTTGCAACTTCGAATCCCGCCGAGTCGAGTTACTCACCTCATGATATCAACCAGCATAACAGGTATCCTCATCATCCAAAGGCTGAGAACAAGAATGTGAACGACCGTCTCCGCGTTCACGCCTTTCAGATGCGAACCGCTCGACCATTTCAAATTCGAGCTCCGCTTGACTCCATAGGGAAACCCCGAGGTAGAGATGAACCTCCCTTTATTGTCCTTATCCATCAAGTGTATATTCCCGTTCGAAAAAGGCACCTTAATAGTCCCCTCGATCAGGACTGATTCGACCGAATTTTTGCTCGTGACCGATTCGTCATCCGAGAAAGCAGACAGGCGCTCGAGAAGGTCGGACTCGATGTCCCTCTCCGATTCTCCGTATTCATATTCGTCCTTGTCCGTCTCTCTACCGTCCTCGTCCTCGTAGTCTCTTTCCCCGGGAATGGCATATTGATCGCCGTCACCATCACCTTTTTCATTCGCGTTATCGATTTCGTCATCTGTCCATTCTTCAGGATCATCATCCGTAAACTCTTCTGAATCGTCCTCGCCCGGTTCTCCCTCGTCCTCGGTAGCGTCCATATCGTAATCCCCGCCATCGGGCCGTCGTATCCTGACCTTTTTCTTCGTCCCGTTCTTCTGACCTGGAGGCCGCCCTCGTTTCTTCTTCACACCGCTTGTGGCTAAAGGTGGCTCCGGCACAGCAGGATCCTGAGTCTCCTTCTGAGCCGATCCTCTGCTTTTCCGTGGTTTCGAATCTTTCCTCCCTAAAGGTCTCCCCCTCTTTTTCTGCTCTACAGCAGGTGATCCCCTCCTCGCTTCTCCTTCTCCTTCTCGTGATACTGCTGGACGACTTGATCCCCGCTTACTAACGGCTGGGAGAGGTTGCGAGGCCGACCGGGAGGGGTATCCGGGTTGTTTCTGAGCAGCCATGTCCATTGTCGAGGGACCTGGACCAGCTTGACCGTTCTGTTCCTCGTCGTCTTCACCGTGAGGAATAGGTGGTTCTGGGGTGGGATAGAGTTCCAGCGTGAGGATCCAGAGGTCCCTAGCGATCACCTGGAATCCCAACAAATCTCAACAAATCACTCGCCAAAGTCGTATTACTGGAATTAGAACTCACCTCGATCTCTTTCGGCACGCCCCAGGCTTTTTGTACCGCTGCCAGCTGATGCCTAAGCATGAGCTGGAACAACTCGAGCCTCAAATAATGCTTGGCTTCTCCCTCGAAGACTGAACAGATGGAGATGCCGCGACTGGGTCAGCTCGAGATGCCTCTCTGCCTTGTTCTGGATCGACGACGAACTGACCATCAGGATCTTTCTCCCCAACCTGTCTCTTTCTCTCTTTCGGATTCGTCTGCCTCAACCTTCGGCGATGCAACTGATGCTGCCCGATCTCCGTTAGCACAGCTTCCTCCGTTCTGAAACCCTGAGTGAAACAAGATCCGAATCATTAATATCAGTCTTCCGGGGTCGGACCAGCTAGTCAGAGTGAGATCTAGCGGCTCACTTGTAAAACGTGTCCCTCTTCGCACGTAGCTATCCCGCCTGATTTCCTCCACCTGCGGGATCCGCAAACGGGACAAGCTCTGGGCATCTTGTCGGGATCGCACTATACTGTACTCATCGAGCGATTGTTATGCCACCGTTCGTGATTCCAGGAAGAAGTGGTCGCCAAGACGTTGTGACAAACCATTTTCAGTAATCCAGTACAGATCAGTAGATTCTAATATCGTAACAGGTGGGCCTCAGGGTCCTGGCTCAAACTTTGTTTACGATGTGGATTTTCACGATTTGGAACCGTAATATGGGGATCTGGAGTTTTGCAACAGCTTGCAGACAAATGGCCTTGAACGTCTCGATTCCGATCTCTCGGCCCTCATGATTGCGAATCTGAATCACACCATAATCACACCATGAAAAGCACAGCCCAGATCCCCACGGAAAGTAATGCTCGAGACCGATTTCATCCATAATTCTAACAAGGCCGAACAGACAAAAATGACAAAGCGAACGAGTACCAGCCAGACAACCACCGTCGACTGCCTAGGCTATCTGCCGTCCGTCTCGGTATAGAGCATTCCAGCATTCCCTCATCCATTCGTATCCGCCGTCCGTTCCTCGTCGAATTGTTGTGTCGGGGTAAAGATGAAGATCGGTCCCGTTTCTCTCCCAACCTTGTGAGTCGGACCCAGGTCGAATCTAGTGCAAAGACAGAGTAGAAGAGGATCGATCGACCTAGGTCCAGGTCGGGAGAATTGTTTGATTTGGTTGGTTTGGGGTGAAGGTGGAGAGGCGATAAAGAGAGGTGGGAGGAGTCGTCGTCGTAGAAGAGAAACAGGAGCCGGAAAGAAGAAAACAACGGGGAAGAGGTTGTTTACTTCTTGGAAGCCTTGGCACCGACGTCCTCGACGGCGAGACCTGAATCGACCATGAGAACAGATTGATATCAGTCATCCACCTCTCCGCTTTGGATTGACTAATTCCCAACTCGTTGACTCACCAGGGGGCAAGCTCTGCCTCAGCTTCTCGGCCTTCTCACCATCCTCGAGGACCAAGGTGTACAAGTATCGGGAACACCTGATCTTGAACTTGGTGACCTGCTTGCCCTGGGCAGCGGCGGCCTTGGCCTTTTTGGAGAGGACGGCGTTGGGGCCGACGGGGGTAGGGTGGAGGAGGGTCTTCTTGACCTTGGCCGCTGTGAAATTAAAGAAAGAGGTTCGAGTCGGTTTAATCGAAAGGGACTGGATAGGAGACGAGAGGTAGGTCGGACGAGGTCGAGATCGAGCAGACCAGCCGAATACGACTTCGAGCAGATCGCCCTGCTCGGAATGTCGACCTCGTCCGACCTGACCGTGTTGGAGAATAGGCTCACACTTGGCGTCCTTTCTCCTGGCGATCTCCAAGAACTTCTTGATGTCGGTGATTTGCTTAGGCTGTTATTCCAAATTCGACCGTAGCAGGTTCATATCCATGCGTTCGTTCGGTAGCGAGTATGTGATCATGTTGCGAGTAATTTGTAGTTTGAGAGTGTGATTGTAGTGAAACCGTAGAAATGATCGGTTTATTGGGTGATTGTGTCGATCAAGAGTGTCGATCAAGAGAATTCGTCCGTAGCGAGTTCCACCACACATCGTCCGTTCGTTCATTCGTTCCAACATCATCCGTCCGTCGTTCACAGTCCATCATCATCCATATATCGTCAAATCCAACCGTTCATATAGAGGGGAAAAAGAAGAGCAATAAAATCCAGCTCCAAGATCAGCCTCCTGTTCACTTCCTCTCTCTCTCTCGACGCCGTTCCAGCCATCATCCGAGCCGGAGTCGTCGTCGTCGGTACGCACCATTTTGAAGATTCTTTTCCTTGATCGAGATTTTTACCTTGGAAAAGAAAAGGGGGTGTACGGGGGGTAGTTGAGACGAGGTGAGTTTTACCAGGGAGGTCGTTTGAATTGCTAGGACGGGGGAGAGGAGCTAGAGGAGAAGCTGCAAGCCGCAAGGCCAACAGGCAACACACGGGCAGAGCGAGAGCGAGAGCAGTGTGAGTGCGTACGGCATCGGCTGGTACTGGGGGTTACTGGGTGGAGGTCGTCCCTCGCGAGGTAAGGTCGAGATCGTCGCGCGTGAGACCCAGGATAGAAGCGCAATATGAGCAAACGCGCTTGCTGAAGCCTGTATGGCTGAAGGTGATCTTCGATTTGTATCCGCAAGTCGCGTCCCAGCCGTCAGACTAGCTCGGAGTTAATGCAGAGACTCGTCGTCGACCTGTATCCTCTTTCCTCCTTTGCCCCTCGCTCGACCTCGTGAACAGAACCACTATCGACATCAACCCCATCGACTTCAGCACCGATCGACCTCGCCTCTTTCTCCTTCTTCACCGAATCCTCTTCGATCACCATCACCAAAAAGGACCTTCAAGGAACAACACTCATCCACAATGGTACGTTCAAATGGACGGACGACATCGCCACACCGAAGACCAGTTATGTCCGCCGAACGATAAAAAGAACGATGGAGATCAAACCTTTCCATGAGGAACGTCCCAGCTCGTCCTCTCTCGAGATCGAATAATCAGGAGCCAACCTCGCCGGACAATACTTCTCAGCCTTGTCACTCCCGGACTTACCTATCAACTTTTCCCGACGGCGGGTCCAACTCTTCATCCTGGGTCCACGTCGTGTCACACGACGTAGGAAGACTCTACGCTTGAGGGCTTTTTCGGTTTCTGTTTCTTGCTTTTTCGAGAACGGTTCTTCTTCGAGGGTCGTTTCATCGTCCTCGCTTATGACTGGTCGAGACGGGAAGACGAACGGTGATGGAGATGGCGAGTGGTGAACGAGATGAGGTTCCGGGTCGAGAGTCCAAGGAAAGGAGGGATGACGCCTGATCAATGGAGGGACACTGAATCTAGCGGTTCAGTCGGCCGCGACGGGTCGCGAAAACCGATCAACTCGACCGACGATGGATACTAGGGGTGATTCCCTGGTCAAGACCGCTAACAACGTGCTAAACTCGAAGACATCTTTCGGGTCGATCTCCTTTCCAGCTTCGAATGCAGCCTTCCTCTGCCTCCCTATCACCTTGCTCTTTCACCCTCTTCCTCTTCCGTTTTAGACTGGCGATCCTCGCTCGCGAGCATAGCCAGTACGACCGACCAGAAGCAGGACGAGACCTGAAGAGGAGAAGAATCCGGAAAGAACGGAAATGAATCCGAAAATGGCCGAGTCGTCTCGAAACCCGATCTACGTCTCCTTGATGGAAGATGTGTGTGACAGGAGTAGGGACGGTCTCTTAGAGCTTCCTCCCTCTGTGGGGAACCCGGGAAAGAACGAAAAGACCTGCCATCGAAAAAAAGGATGGGTGGGGCCGAGGTGCGAGGACGGGAATGTCTGGCGTGGGTGATGCCGGGTGATGATGTCTCGATCCTTTTCGGATCGGGATGGAGTCTACCGTGCTGCTTCTGGCCGATTCTCGAGAGACGATGCGCTTTGGGGACGTTTCTTCGGGAAGACTTGATCTCCGTCTTTCGTCGTTGGTGGCCGTTCTGGCCGTCTTCGTTGAGGCGGTGGTCGTCCGAACGAGTAACGCATAGTTCGAGTGAATGAGGAAGACTAATCTCGCATTGGTTCTTTTCTTTCTCGCTCTTGCTTCTTTCTCTTGGCGCTGGTTCTCTTCTTTCCTTTCGCGACTTCCGACTATTTTTCTTCTTCTTCCTGCTCAATGATCTGCGCCATACCTATCCCCTTTCCTTCTTCCTGTTGCTCTGTGACGTGGATCGGTCTGGATTTGGGTTTGTCCTGGTTTGTTTTCTTGTCATCGTTACGCTCGCCCTTTCGAACGGAATAGCCCAAAGCCGCTAAAGGAAAGAAGGTCGCCCCCGCCCCTTGTGAGTCGACGGGTCTTTCGGGTTCCATTTTTGGGTCTTTCGCTGACCGCCTACCTCGAACGTTAATGCCATCGCTAGACACCGCCGGAGGTGCCAAGTCCAAGAAGACTGCCCAGAACCCTCTCTTCGAGAAGAAGTCGAGGTCGTTCGGTATCGGTGGAGACTTGCCCCCCAAGGCTGACTTGACCCGATTCGTCAAGTGGCCCGAGTACGTCAGGCTCCAGAGGCAGAAGGTCATCCTCAACCAGAGGCTCAAGGTGAGTCCGCCGGTCCGATGACAAGATCGGTCGGAATCATACTTATGATATATCGCTCGCTCTATTAGGTCCCCCCTGCGATCGCCCAGTTCGGCAACACCTTGGACAAGAACACCGCCACCCAGCTCTTCCAGCTCTTGAACAAGTACAAGCCCGAGTCCAAGCAGGAGAAGAAGGCCCGTCTCCTCAAGGAGGCCGAGTCCAAGACCGCCGAGGGCGAGAAGTCCACCACCAAGGACTCCAAGAAGCCCCTCTTCGCCAAGTACGGGTTGAACCACTGTGTCGCCCTCATCGAGGCCAAGAAGGCTTCTTTGGTCGTCATTGCCGACGACGTCGACCCCATCGAGTTGGTCGTCTTCTTGCCCGCTCTCTGCAGGAAGGTGAGTTAGCGTGATCGACCGCCGATATAACGGAAAAGCAACGTCTGACCCGCTCGTTACCTTGTCTTTATCAGATGGGTGTCCCTTACGTCATCGTCAAGAACAAGGCCCGTCTCGGAACAGTTGTCCACAAGAAGACTGCTGCCGTCGTCACCTTGCAGGACGTCCGATCCGAGGACAACCAGGCTTTGTCCACCCTCGTCCAGGCCGCCAAGGCCAACTTCGGTGACAAGTACGAGGACGCCAGGAGGCACTGGGGTGGTGGTATCCGAGGAAACAAGTCGTACGTTGGTGACGGCGTGACATGCTGTTCTCGATCCCCATGCTCATCTCGAAACCACTTGTCATCTACAGCATCGCCAAGCTCAGGAAGAGGGCCAAGGCCGCCGGTGTCAACCAGAACACCGTCTCCACCACCCTCTAAACGGGATTCGTGGTTGGAGTTGTCTAGTCGTGTACTTTTTTTTCTTTTCTTTTTGGATTTTATTTTTCAAAAGAGGGATTATGAGAACAGACATACACCACACGCTCGTATGTGGCAGGTCAGCGATCCGTCGTCTCTCGCCTGTATCTAGCACGTAAATAGTACTTTGTGCCTGCGTATAGCTGGGAGTTGGATGGGCGATGACCTGTTTTCAATACATTGCGTCTCACCCTTTTGCAAGAGCTGTGCGATCTGAAACACCAAATGACTTGAGTCGATATTGTTACGGCATGTGCGCTTGAACGATGAGTGAGCCTGACATTTAAGCGTTAACCTCGTCATCCCCCGTCTCGCGCGCTTTCTCACGGCACCCCCCACACCGCTGCAGGGTCTTCCCTTCGCGGTCGCTGGCACATCATCATCAATTGCAAGTCGAGCGATCACTAGACGACATCATCAACACACCCCTGCCTCCCTCTCCTCTCTAGACCTCTTGTTTGATCTCCCCACCTACGTATACAAAATGAGCACTCCCGCTTTCGACCCTTCCAAGCTCGCCAAGCTCCAAGCCGCCAGAATCGGTCAGTCTTGTGGTCTAGCGTTCTTTAGATTCGGTCTGCTCGGAACTGAACAATTTCTCTGTCTCTCTATCTCCATTTCTTGGCAATGTGAAATCTATTCGATATCGCTCTTGATCGGATTCGCAGGTGGTAAGGGAACTCCTCGACGAAAGCAGGTCAAGAAGTCCGGAGCTGCCGCTGCGGGCGATGACAGGAAGTTGCAGGCCGCTCTGAAGAAGATGAACGTCCAGCCCGTCACTGGTGTCGAGGAGGTCAACATGTTCAAGGAGGATGGCAACGTTTTGCATTTCGGAAGGCCTCAGGGTGAGTTTCATCGAGCGTTTTTGAGGATTAAAGTGGAGCAGGTCAGCGACAGAGGTTCGGACTGGACGGTTTAGGATGAGATGGTTGGGAGAGGTCGGGAAAGTTAGCGGGAGCATCGGCCTGGACGTCATGAAGTTATCATCGAAACGAACTACCGAGGAACTGTCAGAATTACAGAGACGGTCGGGAAGATGACGTCAGGTGGAAACAATCTCAGGCTGGAACAAGATTGACACCGCTAGTCGCTAGTCGAGGCCATCCTGCAGTGCGCAGTCGGAAGAGGATGAAAGATGTGCAGGCGGAATAGGCTGGCCATATTGAGCTCGACCTTGACGTCGATGTTGAAACCGAAACAGGGCACGAGCCCGGACCGGAACTGTTCAATCCGAACCCTCGACCGACCTTGAACCGCTTTCTTACCTCTGCCGTGATGACGCTGACCCTCCACCCCTCCACGTGCCTCTCTCATAGTCCACGCCGACCTTCCTTCCAACACCATGGCCATCTACGGTCACGGCCAGGACAAGGACCTCACCGAGCTCGTCCCCGGTATCCTCAACCAGCTCGGACCCGACTCGTTGGCCTCGCTCCGAAAGCTCGCCGAGTCTTACCAAAACCTCACCGCCCGTCAGGCCGCCGAGAAGAAGGAGTCTGGGGAGGGTGAGGATGAGGGTGATGACGTGCCCGATCTGGTCGAGAACTTTGAAGAGGTCGACGAGGCGGACGCCAAGAAGGATGAGGCCAAGTTGGAGGAGTTGGCTTAAGCGGAGAGGTTCAGGGCAGGGATGATGAGTAGGGGATGTTGGCATCGGGATCGGCAGGATGGGAATATACCATACCATGTCGCGCTGGATGGCTGGGAGGAGGGAGGAGGATCGACGACGGATCTCTGCTACGTACTGAGCAGGAGAGGACCGGATTTGAAGTCTATCGGGACTAACCTTCCTGAGAAAGGAGGATGGGAGGCCCCTGTGGAAGACCAAAATAAAAAGAGTACGACACCTTATATACACACACATACGAGTTTGCTTTCACCTGCGATCGTCATATTCTTTCCCACTCTCCTCTCGTTCTCTGATCACGTGTGGCACTTCGTAGCAGGCCTTGCGAATCAGGATCTCGCTCGGCGGTGGGTTTAGGTCTGCGACGGCGATACTGAGCAAGAGGTCCAGCTGTGTCGCATGTGTTGTGCATTTCGTAAGATCGGGAATTGAAACCACTCAACGCGTAAATTGATCGAGCGCGTCGAGCTAGCGTGACCTCGCGATCTGACCATCTTCGTTAAACCAGCAATCATCCTACTCGTCCATAGCTCATGGCCGTTGCATAGCTGCACATCTGCATTTCATATCGCACTCTAGCTCTTTCAGACCGCTCTGTCGCAAGCGATTCATCTTAGTCACTCCATCGCGTGTAGTCAGATCTACGATGGCAGGCGGTCAGAGCACGCTCCCGGGAGCTTCGAACCCGTTCCGAATGGGTCAGAATGTCAAGCAGACAGGTCATCTGGCAGATCCTGCTAAACAACGTCAGTCCCTGCCTTCTTTACGGTTCCCACTTACAGCGAATGCAGTCTGAACTCCGAACTGACGTGCTCGGCGGATGAAACAGCTTGGGTGGAAAAGTATCGGCCGAAGACGATCGAGGATGTCAGTTCGCAGGAACACACGGTGGCCGTCTTGAAGAAGACTCTGAATAGCACCAACGTGAGTGAACCTGCTTGTCTTTTATCGTCATCATCCGTGAAGGATCCGTCCTCAGCTGATTGTTTTCGTTGAGATGTGTAGTTACCGCACATGTTGTTCTATGGGCCACCAGGAACGGGGAAGACGAGTACGATTCTAGCCTTAGCTCGACAGATGTTCGGGTAAGCACTTTCGTGACCCTCAAGGTTCGCATTCTGTGCCCACACTGATATGGGTCTATATCTATGGATTATTGGTGATTGACAGTCCGGACTTGTTCCGAGCTCGTGTATTGGAGCTGAACGCCTCGGACGAGCGAGGTATCTCGGTCGTAAGGGAGAAGATCAAGACGTTTGCTAGAGAGACACCAAGACACGTCTCGGGAGCCGCATCGTCAGTATCTCCCTTACCATAACTATCTTCGAATGGCTTCCCGTTCTGAAGTGATCTTACAAACGCATATCTGCAGAGACGGGAAAGTCTACCCTCAACCTCCTTTCAAGCTGATCATCCTGGACGAAGCCGACTCGATGACCCAGGACGCTCAGAGCGCGTTGAGGAGGATCATGGAAACTTACTCGAAGATCACTCGATTCTGTCTCGTCTGCAACTATGTTACCAGGTAAGCTGTTTTCATCTGCTAGCTCAGAACAAAACCGACCGAGCTGACCATGGGAGGTGGTGATAATCAGGATCATCGAACCCCTCGCTTCCCGTTGTTCAAAATTCCGGTTCAAGCCTCTCGACTCATCAAGTACGATGCAGCGTGTACAAATGATCGCCGAAGCCGAGAGCGTCAAGATCGACGATGGGGTAAGCTCAATAGCCTTCGACCCGCTCGTTTACGCTTCGGCTGACTTGAATTTGTTTCGCGGCAGGTGATCCCCTTGATCCTCGAGCTGGCTGGAGGGGATCTGAGAAAGGCGATCACGTACATGCAGACTGGACAACGATTACATGGGGCACAGAACCCTCCTACGCCTATCACTGCAGATTCCAGTAAGTCGCCTTAGGCTCATCATTTCTGCAACCTTTTGCTAAACACTTTTCTTGGCAGTTCATGAGATCGCGGGCGTGGTACCGGACGGAGTGATCAACTCGCTGCTGGCAGCAATCGGCATCGATACCGAATCTGGCATGATCGATCTCGCAGGTAACAGGGGAGGAAAGGGTTACGACAATGTGCAAACGACGGTGAAAAAGATCGGAAGGCAAGGGTACAGCGCAGGGCAGGTGTTACAGCAGGTCAGTCCACGAGTCTAGCCGAATCGCTAATACCTTCAGACTATTCGCTGATCAATGCAGGAATGTCTCAGATTCACGACGCGATCATCCCAAGCGCATTCATCCCGTCGATTCCGAAGAGTCTTGCTGCGATGGCCATGGCTGAAGCGGACTATGCTCTCTGTGCAGGTGCGGACGAGGAGCTACAATTGTTCGAGACGTGCTTGAGGATCCAGGCAGCACTGGGCAAGAGCAAGTAAACAGGTACTGGCGGAAGGAGCCATGCCCTCGGCCTGGAGCTCTTTCCATTAATATGACGATGAATGGCAACGATTGATTTATGTAAGCTATTTAACGATACCGGATAACACTATCATCATGTCCTGCCTGCTCGCTGTTTCTCGAGGTACCGGTCGGATGGCAATACCGTTGCCATCGCGGGATGACTGTCGATGCTGCCCTCCCGGGCTCTCAGCAACCAGAATGGTTCTGAAGCACTGCTGAAGAGTTGATTCGACTTGCTTCGCCTTCCCTACGGAATGTTCTTGTCACGACCCTCTTCCTTCTTGCGCTGACATTTACTGATGGCAGGATCCGCAGAGAAGCAAGTCAGGCAGCCAGGGCCTACCTACCTAGCCGTCTGAGGTTCCTCACGAACTAATAGGCGAATCGATAAAACGTTTGGATCTTTCGCACAAAGACGCAACAAGGACGTCTCATTATGCCATCAAGGAGCCGAGGAAGGGGACCGTGACTATCTCGTTTGGGCCTGATGGTGGCAGCTGCGCCCCGCTTGCGCGTCCGACTGACACCATTAGTATTTTTATCGCGTCATCTCAGCCTCAGCACCGCTTTTTTACGGGGAGGGAAGTCTCACCAGAGCACTTCCTTTGTATCGGAATTTGAAACAAAGGCGTCATCATGTGTCGAGCCGGGAAACGCAAGCGAGCGCCTACATAATCGTTGATCAAATACAACGCTTGACGATCGTGCGACGCTTGTAAAGATAACAGGCGTAGTCTGATCTCATCAGATCCCATGATACACCTTCTTGATCAGCCGAATCACTCTCATCAATAGTAATTACGATGCGTAGCTGTAGTGTGAGCGAGGCGGTAACATCCGTTCAAAGCCTTCTCGACACAATCACCTCAAAAGTTCACAGCTTCATCACTCGGCACCTTACCAGCCGGAGCTCAGAATGTCATACTGATACGACTGCTTCTTCGCCTCGAATGCCAGACCGGCCTCCAGAATCTTCGAAAGCAGCGTATGAGGAGAGTCAGACCGAAAGCGATCTCGGATGGCTGGATCTTGGCTCGACATATACCAAACAACCAGACGATGATAATAACCTTGAGAAAGATGCATGGCTATGCTTTGACTTGGAAACAAAGCTGAGACGCCAGGCGGATCAAGACGATTTTCTCCAGGGTCTGATGCGCAAAATGAGGCGGGACAGAGCAGAACTCGTTTCTTGGGAAAACTCCCTCAGCAGATGCACCGACGAGTATAGCCGGTCGAAAACAGTGCGGGGAAGGAAAGAATTGGATGCGTGGAAAGACTGCCTAGACAGGGAATCTTTTAGGAGGTGGAATGAGTATTACAGACTACGCGAAGAGCACAACCACAACCTGACTACTTTTATGTCGAGAAACGAAGTGATGCACCTCTTGAAGCAAGATGCCGATGGTTGGTTTGTGATCCCGGAAGTAGTGGAGTTGTAGCGAGGAAGATTACTGCTTTCCTATATCGTAGATCTAGATGGATTTCGTACTTATATCCATCATTAAGGCTGACTAAATGATATGCGCATTGCTCGATTCTGTATCCTGTCTGTTGTATTACCCGAGACTACCGATCAATAATACTCCCTCTCCGCCGGAACGATAAAGCTGTCAACGGATTTCTCATCATTTCAGTCAGCGATTTGTATAGTTGGCGTACTGTTTCAGCACGACTGCAAGGAAGTACTTCAAACGGTTTTCTGCGACCCGAGCTGTTTCTTTCCGTCATCGCTTCTGTTCAGTCACGATTCTCCGTGTCTCCTCCGCCCGAGGGGCAATCGCGTCAGAACCTATGTCTAGCGGGAAGAACAGTCAGCATAGTTTGCCACTTCGTACCCTCACCTGATGCTATCTGAGGGACGCTACCCTTCCTCAGGGTGGGCCGACTCCGAACTTGGCAGACGGCTCCGGGGCGTTATATAGCCCTCTTGCAAATGAGTTGATGTCGAACAGTGTGGACTCCCAAATAACTCAAGGACAAGGAGGGAAAATTCCCTCTTCGATCGTTACATGCCTACTCTGATAAGAAGACGGAACTCTCTTATAATGGCGCTGATGCCGACCTCATCAGCACTACCTTGAGTCAGACGCTGTCACGAAGAGAATATACGCCACGGCCTCGACGCCGGCCCTGCTGCGAATCCGGTGTTCAGTGAGCACAACCAGCTGCTTCGGCAATGCCTAGGACCTCAGAAGCAATCCTTTGTCTCCAAAGCAAAAACCAGGGGCCGCATTCTGATGCTCGGTCGGAACAAGGGGTCTGGAAGGGGGAGTTTCAGCTTCACTTTTCAGGCATGGGACACTATATAATCGATCGGAGCCGTTCATGAATTTCAGGCTATAGGAGGCACAGCGACTATTTATTGCAACAATCCAGTCCATCAGCGCGCAGATCAGCCCCTGTTCCCATATCATGTCCTCTTACGGCTCCTACAATCCTTCCGCTTCCGTCTACGATCCTTCCGCTTCTGTCTATACGGGTGGAGACGTTTACTCCAACTCAAACGGTGCTCAGTCCCATGACGCTCCTTCTGGTCATAGCGGGGAGGAACAGAACCCTCTTTATGATGGCTCCCACGCTCCACCCGGGATCTCGTCCCTTGCCGTTTCAGACGGGTACTCTGCAGCCCATCTCTCAGGCGGACAAGACAGGGCGTTACGCGAGCCGAAGCCGTTGCACAAGAACGGGACACATTATCCAACGCCATACTTGCCTCCACGCGATAAGCGACCTCCAACTCCAGAGATAAATATACCAAGCGGCGATTTATCACAGTATGACAACGTAGGGAGGCCACTTACCGTCGGGAGCGTCCTTAGTTACGCTTTAGAATTCGGGAGCAACCTCTCACAAGCGACCTGGAACTGCTATAATGGGTTAGGTTTCAGGCCCAACGCTCCTCTGGAGGCTCTCGATGTGGAATACGACGATCAGAACGGTAGCAATCCCTGTTACGAACCGTCGGAGTATGCAAACGTGCAGATACCTGGGGAAGCGGCGAAAGCGGCGAACCGATTTGTCAATCGTATCGAAGAAACGAGGTATCAACCGTTTCCCTACGAAACAAAGAGATAACGACCGTTTCCCTAAACCCATATCCTCCTTTGTACATCCCACTCCATACCCATATGCCATCCACATACATCCCGTTCGAGCAATTTTTATTACGCAAGCTATAGTTCTGATGAGACATATCGACTTCAACCGACTACGTGACTATCATCGCTTCATGCGACGATGTTTGAATTGTGCTGCGGTCTCAGCATCACATACAGATGGTTTGAGCATAGCTATGGCGTGTTACACAGCCTCTGGGGAGTCGTCATACGCATCAGGGGCGATCGGAACAAAGGATCTCATCCTCCTCTCTCATCGACGATCGACGTGATCGCACGTGATCACGTGAACAATCGAGGGATCATCGCCAAGCGCGGACGCGGGAACAGGAAATCTCGCGTTTCATCGAGCTTTGCTAGCTCCTGCTCAGATCGATCACGACATCCACGCTTCTGCCCCTGCAAGCCTCTGCAATGCAATCCTTTCGTCAGTATGACGAGATCATGATGCTGGGGGATGTATTCCTTTCTTTCTAATGGGGGCGAGCCCGTCATCGCTTGCCACCACTCTGCGTATATATGTATGGGGAGCCAGCTGCACTCTTCTCACCCTACAGCCTAATGAGCGCTTTCAGCTCGATCCCCTTCAGCCTTACCATCGCTCAACTCTTCGGCCTTCCATCGCACAACATGGTCGCTCAATCAGTTCTTTCCGCAGATGCGCTGACGGGAATTGTCAACTCCACCATCGAAACGGTCATCGCGTCAATCTTTCACCCGGATTTTCTGTCTTACTTTGACGACAACGGAGACCATTCCAACGTAATACAAAGCTACGTTGCTTCGAAGGTCCCCAATGCTTTCACTTCGGCACAGGACGATTTCAAGTCTTATCAACCACCAGAAGCTACGACTGCTTCGACGGTTGACCCCGCGGTACAGACCGACCGAAATGTTCCTCCCCGACCGACCGTTCCATCGACTCCCGTTCCGCCTGGACATTCCGATCCACAGCCCGCACAGATCAAAAACCCATATTTGTCCCCACCTACCGCTCAGGGAGAGGTCCCAACCGACGCACTTCGGCGATCTCCTGTCAATCGAGACAATGTCTCGACTAGAGACTTCGCAAACGAGGAGGCGGACGGCAGGTCGATCGCTTCCTCTGAAAACGATACCTATGGAGTCAGGGACACAGGAGATACTGCATCTATCTTTTCCCTCTCTCGCTCACTTCGTAGAGCTCCCGGGGCTCAGAAGGATCCTACCATGCAGACAGTACCTCTCGCCCAGCCTGTCCCACAGCAGTCCGGAGCGATCCCTCAACCACAAACAGCAGCATACGACACGGAACCCGTGGACGATCCCAATTCGCCGTACCATGAGGCGGGTGAACCTGCAGGTATCCCAGGTCAAAGTGAGATGGATACACGCTCGTTCAGATCTGCTGGTAGTCGCCCCCGGAGGTTCTTAGAGGATCGTGGTATGCATGGCCCGCGATACCCTCTCGACCCTGATGACACGTACAACGATGCGGGCCCGAACGATTGGAGGTCGATGTCCAGTGCGCTGACAGGATTGCAAGCAGAAGTCGCTAGCATGTACAAGAGCTTCCAGAGCTTCCAAAACTCGATCTTACACTCCCTCAACTCTCTGAATACACGATTTGACCAGATGAACAGCCGACTGTCAGAAATGACGAACGCTCTGCCCGGATTCACAATGTCTTCCAACCGGTCCGCTGCGCCACCTAGCTCTTTCCAAGGTGCTCCTCCGCAGACCGCTGATCCGTCAGCTCCAGTCAGGCCTGAAGAACCGATTCGTCAGGTTCAATTCCCTGATCAGCAAGGCCAACTAGGTCCCGAACAGCCGGTCCTGAACTCCAATGCCCCGCCCGTGATGGCACCGCAGGTCAGGCCTGACGATATGATTCGCGGTCCGGTTGACAACGCCCTCCTCGATGAAATCGATGCCCCGAACACCGCTCAAGCGGTCAAGCCAGACCAGTCGATCTCTGGAGGCAGAGGAACAGCGCCGGAAACCGAGCGGAAGGCCAAGGGCAGAACTCACTTACGAAAGAGGTATGACCCTGAAGAAGGGAGTGTGTAGGTAATTCTTTGTAAAGGCCGTACTGTATATCTGGCCATATGTACTAGTACAATCCCATCCACGTCGCAATGTATTCGCCCCACATACCACTCCACACCAGACCCCCTAGTCGCCCGTTACTAACAAAGAACTTCCAGCAACTCTCCCGCTTCTCGAAGTCCACCTTCAACAGCTGCCAACCGAGATGCACAGCAGTCCCCAAGACGGAGACCGCATAGTAGATTGGTCCCAACGTCATAGCCTGACCAACGTAGGTCAGAGTGCCCACGAAGAACGTAGACAACCCGGCCAGGATCGGTCGAGTCGCCAAACCAAATCGCAAAGCGGTCGATTTGATATTGACCAAGACGTCATCCTTCTTGTCCTGTATCGCCAAAGTCAGCGTAAGCATTATGACTTTCCGTCGATCGAAACACCTGATCAACTCACTTGGTGTGCGTAAATGGTGTCGTAGTACACACACCACGCAACTCCTCCCAGATACAGCGGACCGGCGAGGGCCAAATCAACAGCCCCAGTCATCGCTGACCAACCCAGCAGGGCGCCCCAGTTGAAAGCCAGACCGAGGACGATCTGAGGGTAATAGGTGATTCGCTTCATGAAGGGGTAGATGAAGACCAGGCCGAGAGAAGATGCGCCGAGCAGAATGCTATCAGGGTAAGAGTCGCTGTCAGCTGGGTGCAGCGTCACATCTAGCGTCACGCATTCGGCTCACCTATACCAATTGAGCTGCAACAACACCGCCAACCCGACGAAAAGCTGTCCGATCAAGAAGATAGATGCCTGTCGCATGCTGACGGCACCTCGCGCCAGCGGCCTGTTCTTGGTCCTGTCGACCGCTCGATCTAGACGTGCATCCCACATGTCGTTGATCGTGCATCCAGCTCCACGCATGACGACAGCACCGGTCAAGAACAATGCCATGTTCCAGAGAGGAAGCAAGGGCGAGGGTAGCGGAGTCATGGTCAAGGCGGATAGCGTGATGGACCAGGCTGAGGGAAGGAAGATGTTAGCTTGTCTGACCTAGCTATCAAGATTGAGAGCGTACTTACCACAAGGCCAAAACAGTAGCCAGGTGCCGATGGGTTTATCAATCCGGATGAGTTCTAGGTAAGGCTTGACAGGTAATAGAACCTTGGGGAGCTTGTCGATGAACGTTCGAGGCGGAGCGATGGCGGTAACGGCGACGTGATCGGGAAGTTTTGATTGAAGAGTAGACTTGGGTATCGAGGATGGGGCATCGGAAGTGGTAGAGCTGGAAGCCGAGGCGGATTGTTGTTGTTGTACAGTGGTAGTGGCAGGAGAGGCAGTCGAATTAGGGGTGGGAACAGGAGCAGAATCAGAACGAGAGACCTTTCCAGAAGACGCAGAACCAGAAGCCGAGGTAGAATATCCCCTCGACATCCTAGAGACGCGGTTCCTGCAATACGCAAAAACACAGACCAACGTCAGTCTTCACGGGTCATACGTGAGAGACGAGCTCGGGGAGAGTGATAAGACATTACTTGATTGGCACTCGGAAAAGTCTGGTGACCCATGGTCGATCCGGTCCCCGAGGACTCTCCGTTGGCCAGACCTTTTCGGTGAGAGGCGGTCCAGACGTCAAAAGTGATTCCTTGCAACCAGGCGGTGAGGTCGTCGATTTCCTACGGGAAAGGAACGGAGTGCTGTCAGTATATGTGTAATTTAGAAGCGATCCCGCTGATGCTGCTCACCTCGGCAGCGAGGGAATGCGGCATCCCATCGTACTTCCTGAACGTCAATCCCGGCTTTCCGTAGCTCTGGCCAGCAGGCAACAGAGGCAGGTTGATCTGAGGTACCGATTGCAGTAGCTCGATGGACTTCATGCCGACTGATGATATGGTCGGGTAGGTTCAGCATGCTAGGTCGCGAACCGTATCAAGGGAAGGTACGGGCAGGCTCACAAGAGAACTTGACGACCTGATCGTCGGTACCGTGACCCCAGAAGACGGCAAGGTCCTTTGCATGAGGCGAAGCGATCTGCAATATCGACTCGGTAGTCTGAGCTACATCCAGATCTCACGGTGATCAGGCTCACAAACTCACCTCGGCGATCTTGTGGTTGAGCGGGACCCATCCACTGAGGGCGACGACCCCTCCCAACTTTTTCGTCGTAGTGATCCCCGTCAAGATAGAGATGACGCTCCCCTGAGAGAACCCTCCGATGACGATACTCTCTTCCGGGATCTGAGCGTTCTTGACTTCCTGAGCAATGAGCTGTTCGAGCGAAGTGACCGATTTCATGAGACCAGGTTCATCGTCGATCCTCTTCGAGTTGGTGGTGAGGTTGTCCAAGGTCGGCACGTCAAACCATCTACCATAAGATGTCTAAGTCAGTATTATGCGTGATGGTATCGAGGTAATTTGCAATCGGGTGCGCACCCAGGCATCTTGTATCCCGAGTTCATGGTGATGGGAATGCTCTTGGCCGAAGGCAAGATGAACTTGAGGTTGGGGAACTGCCGACCCAGCATGTGTGCCATCGGGACGAACGAAGTCCCCTGATCTCCCAGACCCTGTAGTCTCAATACAACATGTCGTGTATGAGCGACATGAAGCCAGAAGTAGTCCCGACAAACTTTTACTGACATGGAGAAAGATGACGGTCCCGGTATGTTTACCGACGGCTTCGACGACCTTGACCGAGGAGATGGCAGCTGGCAGCGACATTTCTTCCTGCTTGACGACAATCGGCGGTGGAGTGGTCTGAGCTGTGTTGTCGGATGTAGTCGAACCTCTGGAGGCAGGAGAGATGTAGTAGTATAGGATAAAGAGCAAGGTCAGGAGCGAGGTGATCGCGCCTGCCAACTTCCTGCTCGGGAAACCGGCTCGGAGACGAATCTTGGGCAGAAAGTTATACGGAGATTCGGGCAAAACCTTCGAGTTCAACAGGGTCTGACGGAATCGATACGTATAATGCAGAGCAATAATTATAGGATGTAGAACGTGAACAGGTGATTGTGTATGGGTCTCGTCATGTTTCGGCGCTGACAAGGCACAAAACATCCGGGACCCTACCGCCCACAATCGAGATCCCCGATCGTGTAACCCTTGATCACCTGCCACCGTCTTTCCTTCTCCTCGTCCTCCTTGCTGGTCCGCTCACCGGCGCTGAACGAATCCAGAGACAGGGACTGTACGCTATGTGAAAGGCTCTTGAAGTCGAACGACGGCGGTAACGTATCCGGGTTGAAATTCCGGCAAACCAGGAAATGTTCTGCAAGGCGTAATCTTATCAGCCTTTGTAGGGTTCTATTTTCCCAGGAAGACTTGTACTTACCTGCACTCCCCGCTCTACTACTTCGAGGCTTCCTCACCCACACCCCTCCTCTACGGCCATACCGATCATACCCCTTGACCTCACATCCTCCTTCCTCATACGGATTTCCGAGCGTATCGTCAATCAGCTCGTCCCCCTTCTGCGGGTAACTGAAGAACGGCTCGAGCTGCGAGATGAGGATCTCGCCGGTAGGATCTGATGGCGAGAGGAAGATCTTGAAGATCAGGGTGGCGCCTGGTGCCAGTAACGGTAAAGCTAGCGTCAAAGCCTGTCATCATGCAGGACATCGTCTCAGTCTCGTAAGCTCGATTTCAAGGATACCATTCAACGTACTGCCAGTAACAGCTGAGCATGCAGATACGCATCCAGATCATGTACCCCCGTCACTGCGATATATTCCGCAATCAATCAGAGGAGATCCGGGATTCTTCGATCGATACGAGCTTACCTTCTGGTGCTCCATCACAGACAACCAGATCCGCCTTTTCCTCCTCCATAGCGTCCATCATCTTGTTAAGAGTGGATGGTACGGTGATGTCCGCATGCAAGATGGTCACTCCTGCCAGAGGCGCCTGAAGTACATATATTCCCGTGCGAGTAGGTTCAGCGTTTAGATGATCTTGATGAGACTTGGAGAATGAGACACTTACCATAGGCTGGAGGTCGATAGAGACGATCTTTGCCGGGTCTTTCTTCCCTGCAGGTCTGTCGAAACGACATATGTTTGAGTCCTGACTAATGTTCACAACCGTCTGAGGTTAATAGCAACTCACCTGAGCTTTCGTGACAAGACCTGACTCCATGATCCCGGTGCGGCACAGAAATCGCATGCCACTCTCACTCCTCGGAAGAGATCAAACTCCTCATCTAGAAGGTAAATATGTACGATTAAATGCAATCAGTGCCATAAGACTAAAGTAGTGGGTGGCCCGCAACACGAGATACTTACCCAGGTGGAGAAGCTTGTAGGCTGATCTTGCTCGATAACCTATTCCAGCACCCGGATACGGCTTAGTTTTTGCCAGAACTTCATCCAGATCTCACTTTATTCCCATACCTTCGCTCTTGCCTGATACCGTCAGATCTGTCAGTCTACGACTTCCGGCTGCAGTTGAGGCTAGCCAAACTCACATAGTCGATAGTAAATGTCCCGCTTGTCTGCCGACGATCTGCTCATCTTGTCCGACTTGTTCCGTATTCGTTTGATAGCCTGGAAATTTGCTAAACCAGGAGACTGGAGATTGGCGGGTTATGTCTTATCAACCTGATTGTAGATCCCTTTGCCGATTAGTTGATGGTGGAAGAGGGTAGGAGGATGATGGATCGAGGTCTGTCGAATTATTTTCGAGCCGGCTCGGTCAAGTGCGACGCCAAGCTGCTGGACTCGAAAACAAAACAGATCTACAACTACTACTTCTACACCTCTAGGATCTGATCAGGACCCTCTCAATACGCCCAAATAATCTTATACACACATACATACTCTTGAGGTGGACCAGAAGTGTCTTGACCAGGCAGATGTCGATCTAATCCAGCGATCCCGGCTACGATCATGCTGGTATAGCCATCTCCCTGCAGTAAAGATCGTAAACAAAACACAAAACAACTCGGAGGTCGTTGGTCGGGAGGTGGACAGGAAGGAAAAAGGATGGCGCCGAGAAGGGTTAGGAAACCCAGGAATCGATCTCATCCTCTTGCCGATAAGATTGTGAGTCATTAGTTTATCTGAATGCGATCACAAGCGAACCCGTTGACCTTGAGCGCGTTTCACGTCAGTTCCCTACCATCTTGAGGAATGTAGCACCTACCGAAAGACCATACCCGTTCTTGAAGCGCAATCTCAAAGCTTATGCACCGGACCGGAGGTCGTTGAACAGAAGAAAAGAATGGGAGCTCGATCTTTTCTGTTCGAAGCGAGACAGCGAGGAAGACCTGCTCTCGGCATGGTAAGCATCTCCCGCATGCAAACCCTCCTCGCCTCCCAATCGTACTGACTTGCGCGCCGTCCATAAATCCCAGCCGAGTCGACCGGGAACTCATCCTCAACATTCGCTCGGCCTGGCTCTGTCCGGAGGGGGCACCAGAGAAGAAATTCGCGGTGACAGCGAATTTGCGTCTCCAGGTCGAGCGTTTCCCCGAACGTCCCGACCATCCGCCGGACCAACCCGGTTGGATGAATTACGGATACGTATATGACGGAGAGTTGACCTGGCTATCGGATGGGTCATTCAACAACAACCCAGGTGACATCAGGGTCACAAGTTCTGCTCGGTCTAAGAATGTCAGAACGCAAATGCTTGTCTGGCTATCCATCCGGAATCAGGAAGTCGAGGAAGCAGAATCGCCAGATGCCACGGACAGTCAGGATTCGCAAGCAGACTCGCTCGCATATTGGAAGATGCAGCAGGAGGAGGGTCTCATCGTGGTGACCGAGTCAGGGTCGCTCCGTTCATGTGCAGGCTCCGCCGAGTTGAGAAGCGGCAAGGTGCCAGGGTGGACCATGCTCGTCGACTTTGATCTGAAATGGAAGCCTACGTACCGGAGACATATACAGCCGCTGGAGCCAAAGATACAGCCAGCGAGGACATCGGTGGGAAAGGTCACCTTCCGCCTCGAAGGCGAAGACAAGGGGACCCAAGTCATGGACGGATGGCGCTGTCCCCTATGCGTACCCTTGGACTATGGCTCCTGGCTCAGACTGCATCACCATATCGAGCGGGAGCACCCGGACGTCAAGGCCGAACTGGGCCATTACTTGACGGTCGATATCCGAGAACGTCGGCCAGAGGTGGAGCTGGAGCCCGTGTCGATGAGCTCGAGGTTGGAGCTGGGTACGCTAGCGGACCGGTTGCCCGAATTGATGGAGGGTTACAATGGCGGAGACTTTGAGCATTTGATACGAGAGCGAGAAGAGGTGAGAGCATATCGTCCCCGTTACCGCGCGTAACGTGGTAGCTGATGAAAGTTTTGGCCGAAATAGATCATATTCGGGTGGATACATGTGAGCCGCTCGCAAGGACGGAGTCGAGTGCTCTCTGTACTTATTTCATCATGTTTCAGTTTACTGGCAAACGAAGATTTCTTCTGTGCATGTGGAACCGTTGGGTGGCGGAAAAAGGGTAACTGAAGCCTTGTCCCTCCTGGAAAGTCGATCGGTACTGATGATACTTCTCGTCGACAAAAACGTAGACCCCTCCTCATTCACTCTGGCAGGAAATACATTTGCGATTGGATCGAACGGGATCGCCATCGCCTGATCAAATACGACCTAGGAGTCGAACTGAGGGACCACTTGATGATCATGGTCGAATACAAACATATCGATTCCATGACGGCCTTGATGGCCTTGCGGAAATTAAAAGATCCACCTGTAAATTGACGAGCTTCACGACAGCATTACACAACACATACGACAGATATGACATGCATGCCCAAAGGTATCCTCTTCAGCCCATCGCCATTCACATTTGACTGTAGGCACCCGTCTTGGAATGTCCGAACCGATCGTTCAAGCCCCGAGCGTCTTTGATCAAGCTCGAGCGATCCTTTTCGCCCATCATCTTGCCGCTGACACCCATCATCGTATCTCTATCCCAGACGATGGGCGCTTCTTTGCTCTTCGGAGCGTTGCTGACCGTGGTAGCATGTTGGTCCATAAGGGATGACACCCGGTGATTTGCCTGTAGGGCAGCAAGAACAAGACGCAGGCCGTCCACGAGTGATCAGCTTGAATTCGCGCAGGCCTTGATCATGATGTATTCATTAGTGATCACTGAACTCACGTTGTGCTGCTCGATCGTATTTCGAATCTCCATATCCCTCATCTTCTTCCGTCGGATCGCATCTTCCTCCTCGGCGTCCGCCTTGGCCTTTCTCTTGCCGTTCTTCAACCTTTCCAATTTCTGACCAAACCGAGTACACGCGACGGAAATCATTTAGCTAATGCTATCTTTTGAAGATCAGCCCGTAAGGTTCGTAAGGAGGCTCACATCAGCAGGGGATTCCGTCCAAGCGCTCATATCCGTGTTCGCCTCCTCAGTCCTTGCGGAGAATCCTCTCGACCGTAACTTGGTCGGGTCCATCTCTGCGCGTATCAGCAACGGACCATCAGGACGTCAATTCATAGTGTCGTGTCGACAAGTCCGCTAGATACGTCTTGGGACTCACTCGAAAGCAGGTCAGAAGCTTCCGGGGGGTTGAGCATCCATTCTTCCCGTTGCATGACTTTTGGCTTTTCAGCTTCCTGCATCTCAACCTCAAATCAGCATGAAATATCCCTGAGGAGAATGAAGAGAAACTGGCGAGACGGAGACGCAGACGCACCTCTCTGAGCTTGTTCACCCGTTCTTCCCGTTCCAAAAACTCTCGCACAGCATCCCCCGGTTGATCGCCCCTGTATGCCATCTCCGGTCTTGGTCCGACATCATCGTCATCATCGTCATCGTCTTCATAGTTTGCATATGCTGTTCGTTGCGGCAATGCTGGAGCTGTTGTCGGTACTGTTGCTGTTGCTGACGCAGAGCTACCCGGTAACGTGGGCCCGTATGTCTTCCTGCTCTCGTTAGAAGCCGAAGCTACCGGTACGGAGCTTGATGAGGTTGATGATGCGGAAGCTTGAGCCTGAGCTTTAGCCCTTCTAGCAGCGAGGATATGAGGAGGAAGAGCAGGTCCAGCTTGATCTGGTGACGGAGACCTCGATCTAGCTTTCGGCTGAGGTCCAGACTCGGACTCGGTTTCGGGTGTCGCCGCCCGTTTCTTTTGCAAGTGAGGAGGGAGGGCTGGTCCGATATCAGACATCTTGGGTGAGCTTGCAATCTTTGTTGCCTGTTGGTAGATGCAAGGTGCGAGCAGAGAACAGGTCGATAGGACGAAGGACGGTGTTGTAATATCTTCTGCCCTGCTCAACGATCAACGATCAGCGACGACAGGTGACGCGCGATTAGCAGCTTAGCAGGAGCCCGCTTGATAAGGCCAGAAGCCAGAAAGTCATGGAGTGATTCTCGGTCTTCCTCACTCAGACTCAGATTGTACTCGTCGAGCGAGGCGGCGGGACGAGCGGATTGGGCGAGTCCGGGTTTAGCAAGTCCCGATGCCCCTGGTTGGGCAGGTCATGATTACAAAAGTTACCGGTCGAAATACAGCTTCAAGTCGTGCAGTGGTTCGTTAAACACATCTCCCCCCAAGGCCGCCAATCATTCGACCCATCTACGCTCCATCGCTCCCTCCCTGTCCATCGTCTATCCATCAACTACCGTCTCCCCCAAACGCAGCCTTGGCCTCTGTCGTCATCTCTTCCGGTCGATCCGTAACCTCCTTCCCACCCGCTCCCAACTCTCCCTCGACGCCCTTCAACCCTTCCAACAAGTTGTCCAGCCTCTCTTCTAGCTTGTCGGCTACATCGTCCGCCACGTCGAACTGCTTCAAGAGGTCCTCGAGGTCCCGCTCGTTCGTACCCTGCGAGACGAGCAGTTCGAGCAACGGACCTAGGGTCGCCTTGTCCTCGTCGGAGAGCTTGGCGAGACCCTCGACGATATCGTCTGGTAGTTCGCCGTTGTTGTTTCCATTTCCATTCACGTTCTCGTTTCCGTTCGGCTGGGAATTACGGGCCTCAGCATTTAGAGCGGTATCGTTAGGAACGTCCGAGGCGGTGAACCTGGCCTGCGGGGCGTCGCTCTGATCTTGCGGCAAGCGTGTGGTCGTGGCCATGGCCTGAGCGACCATGTCGAGGTCAGACATGCCGTTGTTCATGATGTCGTTAGGCAAGGCAAGAGAGATCGGGGATTTTGTAGAGAAGGTAGCGATGTCGACGATGTGATCCGAATAGATTAAGGATGAGATGAGCTGATGAGCTGATGATGATGAATATGCCCCGACCGCCCTCCCAACCTTGCCTAGGGCCGGCATGAGGCCTAACCCTCGACCCTGGAAGCTAATCAAGTACGTTAAACCCTGCAACCTCCCTTTCTTGATATGGATAACCTCACGACGACTCTCACAAGGCACTTGACGATTATTTGCAGCAAACATGTCCAGCCAGAAGCAATTCATGTAGGTCCTCGCTCTTGCGCTTCGCGGCTGTATTGACGATATGCTAAACGAGATCCTTCCCGAACTCACAGCCAAGCGGACGATGATGACCTGGACGACCTCTCCTTCGGCGGACCCGCTACAGCGAACCAGCCCCTGAACCCATCATCGTCCTCATCATCAAACCAAGCTGGAGGTAGTGGTACCCAATCTCAGTCGAACGCGTTGGGAGGAAGGATAGGCTCTACCCCGTCGGGTGGAAGGAGGGAAGATTGGGGTGGTGTCAGGACGGAGACGAGGTTTACGGGGGAGAGCACGCTGGATGAGCCTGTTTCGGTGACGATAGTGAGTTTTCTGTTCCTACGTATCATCCAGAAACCACGGATTGCCGTCGAGATGCGTGGAAGGATGGTTCTGATGCTACGTTTGATCTTGTTTATGATCGCATGCAGATGCGCGACTTGACGTCAATCTACGATAAATTGCTTCAAGTCCTTTATCCTCCCAAACAAGGCGGTAGCAACGAGCTCCTGAGGTGAGCCAAGACTACATCGTCCGAACAACTCGGTTTGAGCTTTAAGTCCGAATGCGCATGACACTCAATTCGAACTCGCCTGCACTGCGTAATAGGGAATGGGACCTCTGGGGTCCGCTGGTCATCTGTCTGGCACTGGCTATCATCCTCTCTATCGACGTAAGTCCCTCGCCCGTTGTCTGAAACCTCCCCGTCATCATCACATGTAAATTTCACGCTGACCTACCTGCCAATACTTCCCCGCATGGACACACCACTATAGTCACCGGCTAACCAGTCCATCCAGGTATTCTCCATGGTCATCTCCCTAGTTACGATCGGTTCGGTCATCGTTACCGTCAATGCCAAGCTGCTGGGCGGTCGAGTGTGAGCAAACGGAACATCTCCCTTGACCATCTTGCACAGGGTTACTGATCCGGAACGCTGCTTGGTTTGGCACCTGGCTCATGACCTTATAGATCGTTCTTCCAATCACTCGTAAGTCTACACACTACCTTCTCTTCACACCTTGCCGTACAATGCCACCTCGAGCTGACTGATCCGTCTTACCCGCTTTGTCTATCGCAGTGCGTACTCGGCTACTGCCTCTTCCCCCTCCTCGTAGCTTCGATCGTCTCGTTCGTTCTGCACAACGTCTGGATCCGACTGCCGGTCAGTCTAGCCGCATGGGGCTGGTGTGTATGGGGTGAGTTTTGCGCAAGCTGTCATCGCACCTCACCTCCGAACACATCGTGTCATATAGCCATATTACGTGAAAGCTGACAATAATCATCCACGCTCTTCAACCGTGCATACGAAATTCATAGCCTCGATGAACTTTTTGGGAGGGACCAAGATCCAGGAAGATCGATCTTTCCTGGCCGTCTACCCGCTGTTCTTGTTCTATTTCGTGTTCAGTTGGATGATCATCATCCAGTAGGTGGCGTCGACGTTACGCTGGAGGGTTTTTGTAGGCTGTCTCTCCCAGACGAGAAGGGAAACGGGTATTGGACAATAGATGGTATTTCGATCGTCGAGCCCGATTTAACGGAAAGATGCTCGCGTCGTCGCTGCCTAGTGCCGTGCGCAGCGACTCTTTGAGACCTGCAAGCTCGATATTTAGGTGCTTACTCCCCTCGGAAGTGTACCCTGAGCCATATTTCTTCAATCCGCCATACACTGCGATGTGACTTGTTTTGGCGGATTTTTTCCGACTGCAACAGAAGGACGACCGCGCCTCTGCTGCTAGCTGAATGGACCATGAGATGCCTCGAGCGGTATCGTTTATCAAGATGGCCTTCACCGCCAATGTGAAGCTTGATCCAGTCGATGGCATCCCCGTTATACGCAGCAAGAGTCTCCTTGATGGGATTCTCCATGACCACGCATACGCCCTGGATTTCAATCTGATATAAGTTGGGCAAATGATGGATATCTTGATTTGATAAAGTCTTCATAATCCGACACCTCGTCCAACTCTTCCTCTTCCTCTTCCATCGCCTCATTGCGATTTCGTTCTGAACGACGGCAGTTGCCATATATCATATGCGCCATATGCCATATGCCATATGCCATATGCAATATGAGGATGTGTGTGAGCCAAGATCTTTTTTGGATCTCTCGGGTTTGACGGACGGACAAGAGGTAAGCAGGGAGTCGAAGTAACCGGGTCGATGCCGCCGGAAGCAAAATGCGAGGTTCCCCGGCCGAGGGGCCCCGTGTCGACGACCCATGGCATGGCGGGGTATGAGTACATCAATAATGCGCAACACTTCTCATTCTCCTCACACTCTATCTAGTCTGGAGCGAATCAGCAACAGAGTGAACACATTGACAATAATGATATTCGAGTCCCCAGACCCAGTCCCTTCCAACCTGCCTCCCTCGGGAAGGATCGTCTACGACCACGTCCTCCCCGAAAAGACCGCTTTCGACCCCAACTCGCCAGCGTTCATCGATGGGATCACGGGGAGGATCATCACCCGGGCAGAGTTGCGTCGAGATACGCTCAGATTGGGTCAAGGGATCCATGAGCTCAAGCCTAGAAATGCCGGACGGGAAGGAAAAGAACCCGTCGTCCTGATCTTTTCGCCCAACACGATGGACTACCCCGTCCAATTCCTCGGCGTGCAAGCGGCAGGATGTATCGCTTCCCTCGTCAACGCTTCTTACTTGACGGACGAGCTCGCCCATCAGATCAGGGACGGTACGCCTTTCCTCATATTCATCCACCCGACTCTGGTCGAGATACTGGAATCGGCCTTGGCCCTGCTCAAGGCGGAAGGACACGACACGGCAGCGATCAAGGTCTATTCGACTTCCTCGGAAGGCATCTCGTCGGACAAGGCCGACAAGCATCATTACCCGAGTTACCAGACCCTCTATGCAAAATTGACGAGCAACATAGCAGTGGGGTACGGCCGAGCCGAAATGTCGGCACAGGAAATCGACGATACACCAGCCGTGCTCTGTTACAGCTCTGGAACAGTGAGTCTTTTGCATGCCTCATGCCATATGCAACACGATCCATGTCACATGACCACCCCCACCTGCCCTCTTTCGCACCCGCGCGCGCTCACTCACTCATGATCCCCGTTTGACCCCTTCTTTTCGCTCACAGACGGGCAGGTCCAAAGGCGTCGTAACGACCAACAAGAACTTCAACTACTTGTCCGCTCTCTGGAGCGCGCATGTGAATGGCCACAAGGTCTCCCCGGACAAGGACAAGTATGTGTCGGTCTTGCCTTTTTACCGTGAGTAATTTGCTGCTGTGGTGGCGCGTGAAAGGGCGCATCGGGGTGATGAAGAGAATTGATGGTTGAAATATTTTGGGTTGTTATAGATATTTACGGGCTGCTGCAGTGAGTGATCGGCTACTGAAAAGCTCTTTTGATCTTGTCCGGAGCTCACGATTGAGTCTTTGTAGAATCCTCATCGCGCCCCTGGTGGAAGGCATCCCAGCGGTGATCCTCCCACGATTCATGCCCGAGACCTTCCTGGACGCCGTCTCCCGCTACCGGATCACCATCGGGATCGTCGTCCCTCCCATCCTGCTCATGCTCGCTCATCATCCGCTCGTCGCGAAACACGATCTCAGCTCCTTGCAGATGCTCATGTCGGCGGCAGCTCCGCTAGGCGAAGGGCTGACGAACCAGGTGCTCGATCGATTGAAGAAACAAGGAGGCGAAAAGGCCAAGGGACTCAAGATCACCCAAGCTTACGGCCTGACCGAGACGACGGGAGCTAGCGTGAGCTTGAAGATGCAGTTCGTAGAGAAGAAATTCGGGTCGGTGGGTACGCCCTACGCGACGTTTCAGTACAAGGTCGTCGATGACGAAGGGAAAGACTTGTCACCGGGTGAGACGGGAGAACTCTGCATGCGAGGACCGGGGATCATGAAAGGCTATTGGAGGAACAAGAAGGCTACCGAGGAGACTTTCTTGCCGGGGCCGGAGAGATGGTTCAAGACGGGCGATAGCGTGCACATTGACAAGGACGGCTTCATCTAGTAAGTAGGGGCGTAGGCTTCCTACTCGAACCATGCTGCACAGCTAATTTGGGTCGAATTGCGCTACCAGTATCGTCGACAGGATCAAAGAGTTGATCAAGTACAAGGGATTCCAAGTCGCACCCGCCGACCTGGAATCCCTCTTGGTGACCCATCCGAAAGTCGACGATGTCGCCGTGATCGGAATCTACTCCGACGAACATGCTACAGAGTTGCCTAGGGCCTATGTCGTCCTCTCCAAAGACGTCGCGAACCAGGCTGAAGCTACGCAGGAGATTGCGGACTGGGTCGCAAAGCAGGTGAGGATACCTCTATGTCGAGCGTCTGCAAGGACGACGTGCTGATCTGGACGATATAGGTCGCTGGGCACAAACGCCTGCGAGGAGGAGTCATTCCTATAGATGCCATCCCCAAGAGGTTTGTTCAAGACCCGGGCGATTGCGCTGCGAGACACGTTTTTACTGACATTGCCTTGAACAGCGCGGCGGGCAAGACATTGCGAAGGCAATTGCGACTCTTGTCGGACGCCAAGCCGGCGACCATGACATCACAGGCGTCCAGAACGAGCAAGCTATAAGAAGTGAAACATCAGTCCATATTGTGAGAAAAGGAAAATTTGGTCGAATTCTGAAGTCATCGTTGTATAAGCATATGAATGTGATTGATTACCAAGCCTGACCATGTATCCAACGCCAAGCTGAAGAACCTGTTGTCGGCAAGGACGACTTTCCAGCCTGAGAGCAGGATGGAGGCGGGGCGCCATGTAGCTGATCAACCCACGCGATCGCGCTGGAAATCGCTACTGCTCAACTCGATACTTTGCTTCTGGAGGAATGCATCGAAAGCAGACCACTCCAATGCAGAGTTTCTGGCAGACCTATACAGGTCTATCTCTAACGTAATCCTTGTGTCAGACGAGACCAATGGAGTCCTGACATCTAAAGTAACTCCCAACAGCAGACAGAGGCTGTATGCATCGCTTTCAAGCGATTTCCCCATCATCTTGTGACAGGTCACATGGTTCAATTGGCATTGTATAGTAGAGAGTCATGGATAGAATGTATCTGCCTAAACACCAGTATTTTTTGAAGAATGTTGACGGTCAATGTCTGGGGACCCATTTTTCTCTGAACGCTGAATGGTAAAAGCCGTGTGAAGCAAAGGGCGGGATCCCGTCACACTGTTGGACTATTCCCATTGCGTGCTTAATAACGAATAGCATTACAGGTATATTCGCGCTCAGACGGAACGGCGAGCCTAGCACATCACCAACGAAATGTTCCCTCTTCATGCCAGGCTCACCAACGTACTGATCTCCAACCACTTTCCACCCGGATATCTTGAAAGTAAGCACAGCTGAATATAACGGCTCTCTTTGCGTCCAAGGCTCCCTGTTCAGAGATTCGAATCATAGCTCTGGAACAACAACAACCTTTGCCATCCACGGTCCCAGCCTCTGAACCCATCTTCAGGTTTCAAATTGTCAGAGCAGGCGGGAAGAAGTTGTTAAGCTGAATTGTGCAACGGATCAGAGAGCGAGATTTCAACTGTTAGAGGTCAATGTCAGGCAAGCCGCGACTCCCTGCCCGGCCATTCACCTGGACTTAGAGAAGAAGGTTCCCACATTGAGTTCATGACACTCTGAAAAGATGGCGCCGCGAACATAATCTCAACACAAGTAGGTTCAGAGTGCGACGGAACGGAAACGTCCCTTGACCTCATACGTTTCTCAGAACATCGTCTCCAACGCTATCATTTTGACCCCGACCGAGTCAGAGGAGCCAGGCCATCAGGTCTTGGACAGCGACCTGCTCCTAGAGATGTCTCCCGAACCTCCTCAAGCAACCGGCCCAGTTGTCCCCGTGCCAAGAGGAAAACTCCTCGCAGTCCCGCACAACACAACAGATGGTCACTCCGAGTGAATCGCGGATGTCTGTGCCCTGAACATGCGCCCGTACGGAGGATCCGCTCGCCTCAGCCTGGCCGATAGCGCAATCCAAGATTGTCCTCTGAAACGCGCCTCGACCCGGACTTTGTAAACAAATCGCTATTTCGATCGACATCGAGACCGTCCACGGCGGATAATCGAGATCCTTGTTGCAATAACATCCCACCCACCTAGCTCAAGAAGAACAACGCCAGCACCTAGACCTTCTGACAGAACTCCACCAACATGACATCAGATCCTACCAAGTGTACTGTGCTCTACAAGATCCTGACTCCGGATGAGCACGCAGGTCTCCCGACCTCGGACTGGAAGGGCACTTCTCTCGACGTAAGATCAGGTTCCCCTGAACTCGTTTGGTCACGACTCGATCTGACTCTACCGAACACCACCACATCTTGCTTCACAGCTCAAGGACGGCTTCGTCCACCTATCCACCTCGAGCCAAGTCCCTCTCACGCTCGAACGGTTTTTCAACAAGGACTTTTTCCCTGGGGACGATCTCGTACTCGGGTTCATCCCGCGTTCGTCGATCGACGTGGACGACAAGCTGAAGTTTGATGAGTCTGCGCATGGGGATCGGTTCGGACATGTCTACGGGGTGAGTCCAGGAGGACGTGGCTAACTGATAGCTGGATGAGAGATGGTGATTGATGTGCTGATCCTTTTGTGCGGGCAGACGATCGACCCTAGCAAGGACTTTGTCAAGGAGATCAAGATCGCGCGTGAATCGGATGGCAAGTTCCTACTGCCCGAGCTGGATTTCTGAGCTATAGAAAAGGGGATCGACAGCGCTGTAGAAGAAGTGGTGTCGAGGTATATTCTGCTACAGAAGCATCGTGATCCGCCCCAAAGGTACAGCCATGCAGTCCAGCTTCATTGCAAGAGGCAGAATCGTGCTGCACACCCGCGCCAAACAACCGCTCCCTGACCTGCCCTCCTCACACGAGGTCTCGAATGATTTTGGGTTGAGCATCTGTATATATGCGTCTCGTCATGGTCGCGTCTCCTCCCCAAACTACAAGCAAAGACCGCACCCTCTACTCCTCGGGAACCTCGACCGAACCGTCATCGATACCCTCGATAACGTCGTGAGGGTTCTTCCTGTCGACGGTGCATCCGACCGACTGGGCGGTTCCGAGAATCTCCTTGACGGTACCAGAGAGGTTCTTGGCGAGCGACTTGTGCTGCATCTTTCGGGCGATCTGAGAGGCGAAGAGAGAGAGGAGACCAGAACAAGCATGAGCCGCCTGGCCGCCATCCGATACCTTTCGCGCGACCGCTCCTACTCACCGAGACGATCTCGTCGAAAGAAACGTTACCAGTGTGCTTGATGTTCTTCTCCTTCTTTCGGTCCCTAGGAGGCTCCTTCAAGGCCTTGATGACCAAACTCGAAGCGCTGGGGACGACGCTGACCTTGGCCTGACGGTTCTGGATGGTCAACTGGACGGTGACTCGGAGACCCTTCCAGTCACCGGTGGCCTTGGCGATGTCTTCACCGACCTTCTTGGGCGACTACGAGACAAGGATCCAAAACAGAACGGGAGAAGGGTGAGCGGCTTGTTTCGGATGGTCGGTTCGAGTTGAGCGTCTAGGGACTCACAAGACCCAAAGGACCGATCTTGGGGGCCAAAGCGGACGAAGCTCCGACCTCACCTCCGGTGGCTCGGAGGTAGATGATCTGTACGGGACGAAACGAGAAACCATCGGCCGTCAGTTTCCTGGTCATACAAGTGACACCTAGAGCCGGGTTCGGAAGTCGGCAGAAAAGGTCGAAGTCGAGGTCGATGTAGAGCGGGGGAGAGCCGTGGTGAGACGTGCGAGAAAGCCAGGTGAAGGATGATCTCGGGAAGACGAGCGGGAGGTGCATGCGTGGTATGTGCGTGTGTGTATGCGTAAAGCAGGCGTATGTGCGTGTGCGTGTGTGTATGTGCGTGATAAATTCGTATCACAGTTCGTGTATTCCTCCTGCGGGAACGTCCATAACTGAATTCGGCTTCCAGGACGGCCCGAGTCCGCCATATCTTCAACACGCTCAGGACGAGCAGCATAACTTCTGGAGGTCGCTATGTATTACGTCGAGTCCGTCCCCAACCTGGCGTGCCAAGACCGTTTCGCAGGAATTCAGCCTCTTTGGCTTTGGAGGGGTATTTAGAGTATCGTAGTTTTTGCTTCGTCCCGGAGTTGCTTCAGCGGTTAGATGTCGATTTCAAACTTGGTAAAGTTGGACCAGGATCACGGCGGGTGGCTCGAGCGTTTGAAGAGGCGATATGAGGAATCCGGTAATAGGGTCGACGGGTTGGCATCCACATAGCCGTTGAACGAAATCTCCATCTTTTGGTCCATATCGTTTTCGAGCTTCCGGATTCGATTGTCGAGGTCCCCGTTCCTCTTGATCCTTGTCTGCACGCACACATGCACACACACACACACGCATACACCGCACGTTCACGCTGCAGCAAACTTCCGCCCATCTCCGTTGAATCCTCTTTCCACCTCCCCTAATCGCTTTCGCACGTCCATGACCACCACCGGCTTCGTCCCGCCCATAACGATAACGAAATATCGTCCCCATCGACCTCCAACCTTCATCCCCCCTGACTTCGATTCCGAACCCGGACTCTTCCGTCGTTCCGCCAATAACATGAATGCCCACCTTGATCTCGTTGGGGTCGATCTTGGGGGCCATTTTGAAGGAAGGGGGATAGAGCTAACTTTTGAAAAGGTTGAGGTCGGTCGAAGAAGGCAAAGATCCGGGGGCGTGCGGTGACGTCTGAGATCACTTGGTCAATTCTGGACGGGATCTCGATCTGGCTCGGGAGGGGTCTGCGAGGTGGTCGCAACGGTGACTGAGTGGTGTGTGAGAAGCGACGGTGGTGGTGGGCATCAGAAGCGCGACCGAGAGAACGACTGAACGGGGATGCCGGCATGCAACGGGACTAGCAAGCGCGCGTCGTCTCTCTCACTTTTCGCGTTCGCAATAATCCCCGAGAGGAAGCGCATCCCAGCCAAAGAGAGAGGGGCTTTGACGCGGAAACCGGTAAGCGCAAGCTGACCTCGATGCGCTTCTATCTATCTTCGCTTCTTCACTATTCTTGCTTGTATCACGCGTTCGCCCTTTGCCCCGCGAGCGAGTCGCTGAGCGAACCGCCCGTGGACGACCCAGCCCTGAGCTCACCCAGCACCAGCAGCACCTGGCTTGCAGCCAGAGTGTCCGTACGGCAGCATCGTTTCGGACAGGGAGCAAGGACATCGATCAATCCACATCGTCGACCTCGTCAACCTCGACCTCTTGCTCTCCCCTCCTTTCTTACTTCAGGCTCTCCTCGCAAAAGAAAAAGCAACTCACCTCGGCTTTTCACCACCTCGATCAATCATGTCTGAATCTCTCGTCTACAAGGGATCCCTCGAGGGACACGGAGGATGGGTCACCGCCATCGCTACCAGCTCGGAGAACCCGGACATGATCTTGACCGCTTCCAGGGGTGCGTCTGGGGGTCGACATGGAATGCAATGGGGGAAAGGGTCGGACAGAGGAAGGAGCAACGGGATGGAGGAGGTTGAGCATGGCGGGATAGAGCTTTGGGAACAAGATGATCGAGCAGGACGAAGGGAAAGACACTAGAGATCTTTGAAGGATGAAAAGGAGAATCGAGGGAAAGCCGGACGATCGTCCTGTTCAGGATCGAACACCAAAGACCCGGAATACGGTCGAGAGACGCTCGTCGATCTAAAAAGACCTCGATCGGGCCGATCAAAACCTGGCCCCCTCTTTTCTACCTGATCGTCTGTTCCTCTACTGCTCGATCATTTCCAAACTCTTCCCACCGAGCTCAAAAACCCCTTTACCTGCCTTCTTCCTTCTCATCGAACCCACTCACCCACATTGCATTCCAGAAAGCAACCGAATTACATACAGCTAACATGACACTCGATTCGACTCGATAGACAAGAGCATCATCGTCTGGCAACTCACCCGAGATGACGGCGAGTACGGTTTCCCCAAGAAGATCTTGAAGGGTCACAACCACTTCGTCTCGGACGTCGTCATCTCGTCTGACGGTGAGTACCGGGATTGCGGACACAGGATGCTTTAGCGGGGCAGAGCAGGTTGGCTGATGAAACGGTTCGACTCGCGCTCGCTTTCAGGCCAATTCGCCCTCTCCTCGTCGTGGGACCACACCCTCCGACTCTGGGACCTCAACACCGGATCGACCACCCGACGATTCGTCGGTCACACCGCCGACGTCCTCTCGGTCTCTTTCTCGGCTGACAACAGGCAGATCGTCTCGGCCTCGCGAGACAAGACGATCAAGCTCTGGAACACTTTGGGAGAGTGCAAGTTTGACATCAAGGAGGAGGGTCACTCCGAGTGGTGAGTCTGGCGCAAGGGGTCGCGAAGCGGGGGACGAAAGCGGCGGCAAGGAAGCTGATTGAAGGTGGTTGTGATCTTAGGGTTTCGTGCGTTCGATTCTCGCCCAACCCTGCCAACCCCGTCATCGTCTCTGCCGGTTGGGACAAGGTCGTCAAGGTGAGCGTCGTCGTCTGGTCTTTGCCATCTCGTCTCTTGTTCCGTTTTTCTCGTCCGCCTTTCTACCCAACACCGAACGGAAGACGACACCTTCCGACACGCCCGGCGTCCACGCCACCTCGATTTCATGATGACTCGATATATATTTGCTACTTCAGAGGGGTGAAATAGACCCGATGAGACCATCTTTATCCACCAAGATCTCTGACCGATTGAGGCTAGGCTCTGCCTTGTTTTACCCTCCTTCCATACACCTGTGGTGTACCGAACGAACACAACTTGGAACGGCGCGTGCTGATTATATCGACGATGTTCTATCATTTGCCCACGCCAGGTCTGGGAGTTGTCCAAGTGCAAGCTCAAGACCAACCACCACGGACACACTGGATACATCAACACCCTCTCCGTCTCGCCCGACGGTTCCTTGGCCGCTTCCGGTGGCAAGGACGGTATCACCATGCTCTGGGACTTGAACGAGGGCAAACACTTGTACTCTTTGGAGGCTGGTGACATTGTCAACGCTTTGGTCTTCTCGCCCAACAGGTACTGGTTGTGCGCCGCTACCGCTTCGTGCATCAAGATCTTCGACTTGGAGAGCAAGTGAGTCCTGGTTCCCGCAATGTGACAGTTGTTTCGAGCGCAAGAGACACGTGGCTAATATGGTATGGTTCTCCCCGCGCGACAGGTCGATCGTCGACGAGCTCAAGCCCGACTCGCTTTCTAACGACAACACCAAGAGCCCCGAGGCCATCTCGCTCGCCTGGTCCGCTGACGGTCAGACCCTCTTTGCCGGTCTTTCCGACAACACCGTCCGAGTCTGGACCGTCGTATAATTGCGAAGCAGCGCATGAGGTATATCGACAGGCTCGACGACGGAGATGGGATGCAAAAGGGAAGATGATGATGACGAGGAGGGAAAAGAGGCGCGGGTCGATTGTGTCTCTTTTTCTGTTGTGTAATCGTTTTCAAGAACGAAGATGAGATGTGTCCGCCCCCGCCCTTGAATATGCCTCGACCCCCAGTGTCTGCGTGCAAAGTGCAGGTGATCCTTGCCTTGCGCTCCGAAATTGTGCGGTACTGTGCTCTGCGGATCTAACTTTGCGATAGTCTACTTGTCAAAGACTTGGCACTGACCTTCGGGACATTTCCGGATCGATGCGATGCTGGACATGGCGTACCGGGCCGGGTACGACGTGTTTGCCTAGTCCAACCATATCCCGAGTCAGTGACCAGAGTACTATGGACCAGCGCCAGCCATCAGCAATTAGCTCGCCATGACCTCATTGCATTCGAGGGTACCTCATCGCGACGACTATCCCGATAAACGTCCGATTCTCCGATTCCGCAAGATGCACGCGCTAGGCTGAACGAAAGTATGGCGCTGTGGAATGTGATCGTGGTCAACGGGTGTTTGTCGACGACGTTCCCCTTTCGCCTTTGTGCTCTGAACCACCCGAAACTAAAACAAAGCGCTATTGACGGACGAATTGCGCTCGGATGAAACGAGCATCGAAATCACTCCGGGTTCCCCATGTTTCTCCGCAATGCCCTGTCGATTTCGACCTAGACTAGAGATTCGAGAGGTATATAACCGGGTGCGATGGAAAGTGGCAGAAGGTAACTTTATCGTATAGTTAGGGGCAAAATAAACGATTCTGTATATCTTGCAAGATGCTTTGGAAATCTGTCGCTGCGCTCTCCACCTTGGCCGTGACGGCTCTTGGGTTCAAGGTCAGTCTGTTAGCCTCGGTCAACGTCCAAGTCGAGGGTTACCTCGGCGTTTGCGCGACATCGCTAAAGATATCTTCCGAATGCTATCACGGCCCTACAGAACCCCTTGAAGGACTTTAACGGGTCTGACCCGCAAATGCAGGTCAGTAAGCGCAGAAATGGAACGCGCACGTGACCTGACTGCTGATGATATGTCTTCTACCCGCTTAACCCACCACACAGTATTGGAACGGTAACTACTACCTGTTGACCACGACCTGGACGCATATTGCCATCACCACCTCACCCACGCTCGAAGGACTGAAGACGGCCGAGCCGAAGATGGTGCATTCGTCGGATGACCCTTCTAGGTGTTGCAATCTTTGGGCGTGAGTCTGGTGTTTCGTCTCTGATTTCGCCTCCAGGTCGAGCTGACCATCGTGTTCATATGCCACGGTTGATATAGTCCTGAGCTGCATTACATCGACGGTAATTGGAGGATGTAAGACTATCGTCCGCATCCTTCAACTACGCGCTCGGTGCTCATCCATCGTGATTGCGCCTCCTAGCTACTACACCGCCGGAACAAACGGTACCTTTGACAATCAGTTCACGCACGTCCTTAAAGGAGGTCAAGATCCTCTGGATACCTACGAGTACGAAGGTGAGCACCAGAATCAAGCTCCCCTAGCCCGCACCATATCCACAGTCTGACCGATGACCTGGGTATTCGTTCGACAGACCGGGTCGTCATGACCGGCCGAGACGTCTGGGCGATCGACTCCACCATCCTCCAAATGGACTACGGAAACTTCCTGATCTACTCTTCTTGGGATCCCAACACGCCTCCTCCTCCGGGCAAGGCGGATGATCGGGACCAGTGTCTTTACATTGCGTGAGCGGTTCCGAATTTCTCAAGTAAAGATATCACCATGGCTGATGTTCAAGAGGGTTAGGAATATGACCTCTCCTACTACCGTCGGCCGATCCGTCAAGATTTCTGCTCCGACCTACGAGTGAGCCCGTCTCTGTTTATTATCTTCTCTGACATCCGGACGGAACGCTTATCGTCTCGGATGACAGTTGGGAGACTGTCGGAACACGAGTCAACGAAGGCGCCGCGCCGTTGTACCACGGCGGTCGGACTTTCCTGAGTTACTCTGCTGCCGGTAAGCCCACATTTCCCTTAACAACCCTTTCCTCACGAGAATCTCGCTGATTCCGGAAGTCATTCCCACTCACCCGCACCAGGCTGCGCGGGAGGGGAATACAAACTCGGTCTCCTCGAACTCGTCGGTGGAAACCCCATGAACGCCTGCGACTGGAAGAAATACCCTGAGCCGGTCTTTAGCGCCAACAAAGAGGATGGGGTGTATGCCCCTGGGCATAACGCCAACTTCTATTCGCCGGATGGCAAGGAGACTTGGAATGTTTACCATGCGGTGAGTCGAGTTGGATTTGAGCTCAAGGACGATGAGCTGGGGGCGAGTAGGAACAGTTGCTGATCTTGCGTGTTCCGGTATCGGTGACTTCAGAACAAGGTAAATTTACGACTGAAACAAGCTAGGATGAATACAAATGGTTGATTGCTGAAACTCGCATCTGATGCATATAGGACGTTGCTGGTTCCTTGCTGTGCGATGGTGCGCGAGACACTCGAGCTCAGATCATCACCTGGTAAGCCAACCGTCTTCGCGCCTGGCCTTCTTTCAAGGAGCGCGCTTGAGACGCTGATCATCATACATCGATAACATAGGGGCGACGACGGCCTTCCCATCTACGGAGAGCCTTTGCCTTTGGATACCGAGATCGCTCCTCCTTCTGGTGAAGTTGCTGCTTAGGTTAGGGAGTCGATTGAGAAGGAACCTGGGCAGCAAAGCGGATTATAAAGCGAAATAAAGCGAAAAGAGGAAAATGGCGCCATATGCCCCTTTGTGATTTATAATCAAAACAGAGTTGTCGAAAGAGGAATGCGAACATGTGATCGTTGTTGTGCTTGGCATCAGAGATATGGCGATAAGCGTACGTTGCATATGCAACGAACGTTCCGGAAGAAGCTTATCAATCGACGAGCGATGCCTGAAGTCTGAAACGTTTCTTTGCGTTTCAAGACGAATCACGACATTCGATCAGGTGGAGCGAGGCAGGTGGAGGTGTGTGACGTGCGGCCCTTCCCCCGCCCAGATCCCACTGGCGGAATCAAAATGTGCCTGACCGAGATTAAAATCTCCCGAATTTACTTCCGAGGCGCGGCGCTAGATCGATCTCGTTCGATTGATGGGTAATCCAAAAGTTTGTTGGCTTTTCGTTTGCTTATAACGATGCTTCAACACTCTTATTCAGCCTTCTCGATTGATAAGCAGAAAGAGCCAGAGTATCAGGTTTTGAAAGGTCACCCACCAGAGCTTCGAGAACATATATCAAGGAGATCTTGCGACAGGCCTGGATCAAGTCTGGTAGAATCGAGCCATCAAACAAACCACCATCTCTTTCCGATCGCCAAAAACTTTCACATCGCAAGTTACGAAAATAGATCGCAAACATGTTCGATATCATTCGGGAAGCCCCGCTAGGTATGATCGTCAACAGACTCACTGGCGATCGAGTATTCCGACATCCAGAAGACGCACCAGGTTTCGAATGGATCCCGAGATCCCTCAAATTCGTGGAGAAACGCATACCTACCCAGTCGGTCGTCGATGAGAGTCTGGCGGTGACGCCGGCTTCGACGAAGAGCGAGACGATCGTTGATCAGACCGATGTACTGGATCAGCTGGATCCCCTCACGGTGGTAGACTGGTACGATGATAACGACCCGGACGATCCATAGTATGTGGACCGCAGTAATCTGGTATGCCAGCGTTAAATGACTGATTCGAGCCGCCTCGTCCTTATCTCGTAGCAACTGGTCGATGCTCAAGAAATGCTTCGTAGCAGGTCAGATCATGTTGATGACATTCGCAGTTTACGGAGGAAGCTCGTAAGTCCCCATAAGACTATCCCCTGCGTCGAATCACTTCGTTCACGAGCTAAATGTACGGCTGGTTTGGACAGGATCTACACCTCTTCGATCCCAGGGATCATGGAGAGGTTCAACGTGGGCGTCGTCACGGGAACAGCCGGTCTATCCCTCTACGTCCTCGGCTACTCTTTCGGTCCGATGCTCTTGGCACCCTTACAGGAGCTACCGAAATACGGGAGGAACCCTATCTACATGGCTTCGCTGTTCATCTATATCGGCTTTGTCATCGCTTCGGCCGTGGCGAGCAATATAGAGACGATTCTCGTAGCGAGGTTCTTTGCTGGATTCTTTGGGTCGCCAGTCTTGGCCACTGGAGGTGAGTCGGCAGACTGGATGACTTGTGTTTATTAAGAGGGGATTCGAGGCTGATTAGCGTTTCCATCGATATTTTCATCGTGATACAGCGGCCAGCATCGCCGATGTTTTCGGTAACAAACCCTTGATCGTCCCAGCCGCCGTTGGTCTCTACGCGATTGGAGCCGTCCTGGGACCCACCCTGACCCCCTTCATCGGGGGGTACGCGGCCATGCGTTTCGGCTGGACCGCACCCAACTGGATCTTGGCCGGCGTCTCTGGATTCGCGTTTATCGTCCTCTTCGTCTTCTTCCCAGAGACGCACCGACCGAACGTCTTGTACCGACGATCGAGGCGACTGAGAAGAGTTACCGGGAACCCGAAGTTGGTACCGAGACAGGCGGGGTCGGGCAAAAAGTTGAGCGTCAAGGAGACGCTTTGGCTGCCCATCGGGATCTCGCTCGAGCCTGCTCCGTTATTGTTGGGTATCTACCTTGGTGAGTCCAGCAGCGTAGGAGAAACTTGTCAAGGTCATCCGAAGCTGATCAAACGTTACCTCTGTACTCAATGGTAGGTTTCGTCTACGCGCTCTTCTACGTGAGTTGAGCCTTTTCTTCTTGCATCAGCGCTTACGCGGTCGGTTTCTGACTTGGCTTGATGTCCAACAGTTGTTCTTCGAGAGCTTCCCTCTCGTCTTCGGTAACATCTACGGGTTCAACCTCGGCGAACAAGGTCTTGCCTTCTTGGGTACGTCGAGCATCGAGCTCATTCTGCCGATCCCGGTGCTGAAGATGCTTCTCGTCATCTATAGGCTACCTGGTAACCGCTTTCTTCACCTATACTAGTTATGTCCTCTACTTGCGATACCGTATTCGACCTTTGTCCGACTCGGGACACATGACCCCAGAGGATAGGCTTGAGATTGGCTTGATCGCTTCCACCTTGATCCCGGTGTCTACCTTGATCTATGGTACGCTTTGGCTGTCAGTATAGGTTTTGCTTCGAACTTGAAAGCTGATATGCTTTGACCCGTGCTACAGGCTGGACCGCACGAGAATCCGTTCACTGGATCGTGCCCGTCATAGGAGCCAGCCTATACTTGCCCGGAGTCTACCTCATCTTCCAGTCGATTTTGATCTACGTCGGGACCTCTTACGCCACCTTCGCGGCGAGTGCTATGGCTGGAAACACCTTGCTCCGATCCGTTATCGCATCTGTGTTCCCGTGAGTATTCAACTTTAGGTTCGACAATGATGTAAAACGAGACTGATGTCCTCTCCGCCTTACGTCAGCTTGTTCGGTCATGCCTTTTATGAGAATTTGGGTTTAGGACCAGGATCGACTCTATTGGCAGGCATCTCGATCATCTTGATCGTGCCTCTCTGGGTAAGTAGCAGATTCCCTGCATATCACCGACGGCATCTCACTTACTGAATTCGCCTGCTCTACAGTTGATCAAGAGGCATGGAGCGACATTGCGAGCGAAGTCCAAGTACAGCGATTACGACCCTAACACCGTTGTCACGGCGCACTAGATGAAGAATAGAAGAAGACAACGCTCGGTACCAAGCGCTTGTGAAGAACTTGAGGATCGAAACCTACTGTATCACATAGCTAGATGTCTACTTTTTCTATAATAATATACATGTATGATATCGTTCAATACACCGTTCGGCAATATCAAGCAAGGCCTACGCGCAGGCAATAGGCAGAAATAAGGACGATGGAATCAGCGGACAACAAGGATGGTGATGTCAGAGAGAAATGCGACCTACTCTGAACAATACGAGACCCGCACCCGCAAAGAGTCGAGGAAGATGCTTTGGCGGGATAGGATCGGCTCCCGCCCATACGCCAGTCCTATGAAATCCTAAAAGTGTGACGGAGGTCTCAAGGGCCATACGAAGCCACGGTGCTCATCCATTGGGTGGTCAGGCTTTCCGCCTCCCATTCATCCTTGTTCAAGGCTCGATTGCTAGCAAGAATCGCATCGTAGCCCTTTCGTAGCACCTCGAACGGCAGAGTATGGAACAACAGAATCTGAGTTCCCAAGAACGGATACGAGGGCCAGGTGATTAGGCTTGGCATCACGATTCAAGACAACCCATTATCCAAGGATCCTTGTCGCTTTTTTGAACACGTCTTGAACACCTGACCGTTATCGATCGATATTAAGGAAGAAGTCGTTGTTGCTGTTCAGGTGAGTCACAATAGTCTCCTACACCGCCAATATTCCAACCCCTTCCCTCCGCCTGTACCCAACGCCGGTCCCTGAACTCTTAAACAGTCTCCGGGTATCAAGCAAAGTGTCGCTTCTCTTTAGATCACGGCCATACGAGACTAAACGCGCAGCTTTCGGCCTGCACAGCTATCAATCGGTCATGTCATGCATCTGGCTTGTCGGTATTTGGGAGATAATATACTCGGCGATCGACGGGTGCCAGCGGCGAAAAGGGTTCAGGGACAGACAATATGAGCTGAGAGCCAACAAAGAACAAAGAGTGAGCAGGAGGAAGAATGGAACGATCTACTCGGCGCGCTCGAATCGTTCTCATCGTCGCAAAACCGATCAAATGCGAGAACGTGTCCCTGGAATGATATGGATATCTTGATGATCGGTTGATATTTCAGGGTGAATTAATGTGATTATGATTTGCTGCTACAACTGTGGGGGGTATGCTGTTGTGATTGGCGTGATCTTGTTGAGCGAGAGCTCTTGATGTTCTGGTATATACAATATGCGTTGGGTTGTTGATTTTTGGGTAGCCACTGGTCGTCATTCTTATCTAACCGTCTGGCGGAGCAAAGCGCTCGGGCATCCGCCGCCGCACCCTTCTCCTCACTCGCCACTCAGCCCAGCCCTAGAGATTCACATAGGCAATGTTAGATCTGCTCTCAGTCCGGCCCTCAGATTCTGCCTCGACTTACGTATATGCCAGCGTCTACTAATCCCACACTGAGCACGAACCACAGCGATACCATGGTCATCACTGGATTAGGCTTGTGGGTGATCATGTCGTAGAGCAGCCGAATCAACGAGAACGTAAAAACGATGAGGTAGGCCAGGGGGAAGTATAGCATGAGCAAGGATGCTTGGCGGTTAAAGTACGATGCCGCCGATTGCCGTGGATCGAGGTCCTCCTCATCATCCTTTCTGGCCCGTTGTTGTTCCAGTTCATCCAATGGCGGCTGGTTCTGTGCGAAGAACTCGTGCAACGTCTGGCGGTTCGGGTCTTTGTCGTCGTTGTCGAATGAGGCGTCATCGTCTTCGCTGCTTTCCGCACTCTTTCCTGTCGAGGCACTCGCCAAAGGCACGAGTACGTTTTTCCGTTCGTCCTGCATGATCGCCTCGTGATCGATCGAGACCCGCCTGCTATTGCCGTTATAAGGCAGGTTGTAGGAGGAGGCGGTTGTGGACGAGTTCAACCCATTGATGGGCAGACCGGTCATGAGCAGTCCACTTTGGGGAGTCGGGGTTGACCCGAGGAGAATCGAGGGTTGCGCCGAACCTCGTCGAGAATGCACGACTTGGTCTTCCGGTATATAATCCAGATTTCCATCCGTCTCGACCATATTATAGTCTCCCTCCGACTCGCCGATCGACCTGTTCCTCCCATTTGCGTTTTCACGCTTCGAATCCACCGAACTCCTGGTCGACCGGTCCACCAAGGTGGTATCCGTGTTTTTTCTGACCCGATCCATCGAATTCGAATTCGAGTGTCCCATATCATCGTCCCTAGGCATGTCCCATCCGAAAGGTTCCAGGGGCTGACACAGGAGCCCACCAACATTGTTGATGTGCAATTTCTCCCAGGGCGGTATATCGTCTTTCAGGTCCTTCATCGGCCAGGCTGAATCACCCCCTGTAGCGAGCTTAACTTTGGTCTTGACGGTCCGAAGGATGCCCTCGCTGAGTTGGCCCGAGTCCGAGGCAGACCCTTGAGTGGAATTGACTGTGATCGTATCAGGTCGTCGGAGGAATCGAAACAGTTGGCTATAGAGCACGATGACGACGACAAAGACGGATGCCCTGCGAATCCGAGTTGTTGGGAGTCAGAAGAGGTGTCTGTGAAGCCCGACTTAGAGCGCGATCCGTTTGACTCACCTAGGGACGAATTGCACTAGAGCCCTGTCGTTCTTGTAACCGCCTGTACCGTAGTAACACAACGACCCCGCATTAGAGGGTGCGAATCCGATATATCTCCACCAGACTGTCATGTTGTAGCCACCCAATCGTATCGCGCATCAGCTTGTAGCTCAGGTAGTCCGTATACCGGCAAGATGTTCGAAGAATGACTGGAACTCACGGCCAGAGTGCAAGATCGACACCGTCCAGATCGTGATGGGGATAAAGATCCAGTACCGATCGATCCTGTGCGTAAAAGAGCTCATCGGATGTTTCTGCACGGCAAGAGTATGACAATCTCGTTAGTATTCGTTGCTGTTGTTGATCGAGTGAAGATGTAGGCGTTACGTACGAGGAGGGCGAATGTAGCAATGGCGAGTACCATGGTCCACAGGTGTTGAGTGAAGAGGACAGAGGTGAGGATGAACCCTGCGGCGTTCTGTAATAGCAACGAGGACTGCTGTCAGAATCTCATCTTCATGTAAAGGGAAGATATCTTGTCACTCACACAAGCTCCTGTACCCAGCTTCATCGGGTGTCCAGCTAAGAAAGCTATATTCGGTACAGCCCCTATGACACTGTGAATCAGAACCCCCATTCGTCAGCTCAGATCGACTTGTATATCCAACAAGTCTGCCGAGCTCGTATGCTACACCTACTCACCCCAAGGACAGATCGGAAATGACCATGCCGAATAACAACCTCACCCTGAGCTTGGTCAATCCTTGTTTCGACAACGGTCTCAACAGGTAGAGCGAGGCGAGTATGGTCAGGCATTCGATAACCATGGCCCCGATGGACGAGGTCATGGCCAGCTTGTCCGAGAACGTCGCCGAGTTGGACGGGAGTGGCGTTGTTGACATGATTTTCACAGATTGTAGTGCCGAGACGATCACGAATTGCAGGAAGAGTGGGGTCGTCGACCGTTTGACAAAAGAGGCGGAAAGCAATCGCGGATTTGTGAGATATGACGTTCCACCCCTGGATCCTCGATCCTTTCCCTCGTTTGTTGTGTTGTACCAGTCACAATGTGGTGACAGAAGATTTGGTCTAGCTAACTCGGGCCATCTTGTACGGATGACCAGCTATTGTATATTTATAAGGTTCGAGGGCTCGACAGGTTCTAAGGAGTCGAGTCGAGTCGAGATGTCGATGAGGATTTGGCTGTCGCCGCCAGGCCAGAAGTCGAAAGAGTTGTTGTCTTTTTGTTTGTCTGATCGAGAATCTATCGATCTATGGTCAAGGCTCTAATCGCCGATCTACGGCAGCCGTGATGGTGTATGTGTGGGTGTTTGTGGCGGTGCCTTGATCTCCCGTTTGATGTCGTTTGATCAAACGATCAATCAATGATCAAAGATCAAGAGCTGATCAATTATCGTCAAAACACGAGTCGTTCGTCGCCTTGTCTCCCGGAGGATTGCGGGTCGGGTGGAGATGGTGGCTGGATCAGAATCTCCTGGATATGGGTCGCAGAACAGGTTACCGATGAGAGATGTCTATTCCGACTCTACGCCGTGCGTAGTTACAGTTCAGAACGCTAGGTACAAACAAAGAGTACAGGAAGAGAGAGATCGCCGCCCTTTCGCGCAGAGCCAGAGCCAGAGATCCCCTTTCCTCACTCGCGTATGCCCAGAACTTTCGTCCCTTTTTGTCCCTGGAAAACCCTCTCTCTCTCGTCTCACGCCTCCCCCGGCTCTTCCCGATCGCCCTCGTTCGTTCTTCTTTCCAAGCCGGTGTTTCGAAATCCCCAGGCCTCCGCAGAAGGGCAAGAACAGAAGCTTTCCCGGAAAGGCGTCGCCCCCGGTCCGGTAATGTATGGTGGTCTGGTGTGGTGACGACGACGAGCATGGGAAACGACCCGGCTTGTTGTCGGCCGCGGTACGCTCGTCGTCATGGGACATGCGAGCGATCTTACGGAACCGGGTCGGTGATCGACGGGCTCAAGCCATCTTCGTACAGCAACAGGGCGACGGTTGCATTTACCTTTCAGACCTTCCATCACAAAATAAAGCCACCAGGACGTACAAAAGAAAAGAAGAGAAGAACGCTCCTCCAGGCCTCCAGTGTATACGGCGAATGCAAATGCGAGGCAAGGTCGTATCAACAGATCGATAACCCTCGGTCTGCTTGTGAGGTCGACGAGGGGATGAAACCCGGCGATTGCCTCGAACCCCGAGCTCTTAGGATTAGAAGATGGCAGGCAATACGAGATGACGATATCGATGCTATACGTATACCACTTTCTCCACGTCATACCAACCCCTTCAGCCGCAACTCATCAGCCGACCAGCTGACAGTCTGGCGGGCCATATTCGAGCTGATCGCCAGCGAGAAGGTCTCGTTGTACACACAATCGATGATCAAATGATTTCCACGTCGCTTACCACGTTTCAGAACAACGCACGCAATTGAAGTTCAGCCTGCATGTCACCGCTCGCTTGGCCTCGCGTGGTTGTAATTCATTGTTCGATTGTGTAGTCATTGTGCGATAGCAGCCAAACCCTTCCGACATGCGATCGTGATATCGTAATGGACATCGATCACCCGCCATTTGACGCAGGGAGCATATTTCGGCTCGTCAAGAAAAACCAGGATGATCCCGCAGGTTGATCCCGCAACTCGACTCTCCACAATGCTACAGCCATGTTCAGTCTCGAAAACCTCATCGCATCTCGAGGTTCTCCTGGACAAGCGTTCCATCTTGGAGAGTGTTCCTTACAGGTATGTTTCATCGTTGTTATAATGTCCCATCATTATTGTTACCACACACCGAGCATTGATCTAACAAGTCTGGTCAGTGCCCCACTGTCGTTGCTATCATGGTCAGGCAGCAAGGATCGCCTAGGAACAACCAGCAGAAGTATAGCCCGCTGACAGACTTAGCTCTGATCCATGGTACCGGCTGCACCGAGCTCATCAGTTCGCCGGCATCAGCCAATTCGCCCCGCTTCGATTGAGGGTCAATAAGAGTTTCGCTTTCGAGCAGATGGTGATGAAGTAGGTCTGATCGATGGCCTAGAAGCAGTACCGCCTCGAGACGCTGGCAGTCTTCGTCGTTGTCTTGTGGATTTACGGATGAGAGCGGTCTTGCCTCATTTGGAGCAAACTTCCGTGCTAAGAAGTCATGGCCAGCACAATGGGTCCTGACAGTGTCTCTTCAGACTCGACGAGAACAGGCGTGCCGAGTGACCTGCCGACCTCAAATCAGAAGTCGACAGTTCAACCCTAGCACCCGAGATTCAGCGCAACCCACAAGCCGTCAGCTCCGAACCTTCGATGGTCCCCAAAGTAACGGTCATTCATGTTTATCGATTCATTATGATGCTCCTTCTTTCTTCGTGTATACGGATTCAGCATTTAGGATACAGTTTGTGGTTGAGATTGCTATGCACGGATTATGAGGGTCAAGAAGGGAAATGCCGAGAACTAGGATGCCTGATTATGAGCTGAAGAGGTTTATATTTGTCCATCCCAGTCCTGACCCGTCGTCCACGCCTTCCTTCCCGGAATGATAGATAGGGGTCGTTTAGGCAAGGGAATAAAGGTCGACGTTGTTGCCCTTTTAGATGACCATGGCAGCGCCAACAGCGATGGCGGAGAGCAACAAAGCAGCCCTGCTCAATTCGATCCCTCCAACGGCGGCGTTAAGGGGGACGAGCGAACTGGCGGCAGCACCGGCTCCACTGGTTGCAGAGCTGGCGGCACCTCCGATGGCAGAGGTAGCAGTTCCGGCAGCTCCACCGACACCGCTGGTCGCTGAGCTGGCGGCGGCACCGGCACCGCTGGTAGCAGAACTAGCAGCTCCAGAGACTGTTTTGTTGAGAACGAGGCAAGAGCAAGACGGTCAGTTCACATCTAGTCGAGGATTGCGGACGAGGGCATCTCCGCGCTTACTGGTAGAGACGACACCGTCCGAGTTGGTAGTAAGGCTCTGACCAGCAGCACCGGCCCCGGCCCCGCTCATCATGGAAGAAGCGGCGGTCCCCATAGCACCAGTTCCGGTCATGGTCCCAGTCATTTGTCCAGTAGATCCTCCGACGATCCCACCCGAAGCTCCTCCAGCGCCAGTCATGGTTCCTGTCATGGTCCCGGTCATCTGTCCAGTGCTTCCTCCGATGATGCCACCCGCAGCTCCCGTTCCAGACCCGACGGCGGACGAGGCGCTCGACATAACCGAACTGACCTCTGAGGCGATCGAGGATGCAATCGACGAGATGGGTGAGACCGCCGAGCCGGTAGCAGTCGCCGCGGTGGTCTGACCAGCACCAACACCTACTCCACCAGCCCCGGCTCCCGTGGACGTGGCACCGGCCGGGAGGGTGGTCGGAGCGCTGACGAGCGAAGTGGCAGTCTCGGTGTCGAACAAGAGGTTGAAGTTGAAGAACTGCCAAGAAGAAGGATGGATATCCATTTCAGCGCGTCAGCTCAAGGACACGAACTGGACTGTTGTTGACGATGTGGGAAAGGCGGGATTAATTACCTGTTCGGGCTGATTGGCACCTCCGCACGTGGACGTAACAGCGTTGTTGTCATTGACAATCAGACACTGGTTTCCACCGGTGATGGCGCTGCAAGACGGGAAGGATCGCCATGGACGACATCGGTCAGCATCATGGTCGACTCCGGAATCAAGTTTGAGCGGGGAAATCTCCTCACATGTGGTCATCGTCGGTCAGGTACCAGGTCTGGGTGGGAGATCCGTTGCAGACGGCCAGTCTGTCGAGGGCAAGACGTCGAGAAGTCAGTATCCTAGGCCTGGCGTGTCACTCTAGAGATGGAGAGTCGCACAAGGACTCACCTCGCTTGCTGGTCAGGCGTGTCCGAGGCAACGTCGAGGCACAACAAGGTGCCCAAGAGCTGGACGGCATCGTTGTTCCCGAGCTGGATAGACCATTGTTGATTGGTCTGAGTGGCCGAAAGGGCGTTGTTCGGGTTACAGCCACTGAGGATAACGTTGGACCCTACACGAGGGGTCCCGTCAACCTGAAGACAGTTACCGTTCTGTTGAATGGACTGGATAGCGATAGCATTGATACCCTGAGCGGCGAGAGCAGCGACGGTGGTGAGAAGGGTGATCGAGGAGACCATCTTGATGTTGATGATTGGCTGTTTATGATGTGGGCGGTGCGAATTATCTGGTGGGGTGGATCGATGTCAAGTCGGATGACAAGGGAGGATTCGGTGCGGCCGTCGTTATATATATGAACGGTGCTGGCTGATGTCGACCTCTCCCTCTCGGCCTCTCGTACTCTTGCCGCTTCGAGGAAAGGGAGACAACGACGACGACGACGACCCGAGACCGAGACCGAGACTCGGAAGGCGACAAACTCGTTTGTGATGTCACCCCCCCAACCCCCCAAAACCCCGGACCCCTCGATCCGAATTGATTCCATCTCGTGCTCTCGCTTGCTGACGAGCTGGCCTGGTGCTGCTGCTGCTGCCGCTTGCCTCGTGCGCTGTGGATGATCACGAATGATGATGAATTTAGCGAGGGCTCGGGCATGGGAGATCGTCGTTCTTTTCATGACGCAACCGACCGACCTATGACGACGCCACGGACCCTGAATCCAACGGAGGCAATGCGCGGTGATCATATCATCATCGCAGCTTGCGAATGGTCAGACCCCGTACGCAGAGTGCCGTGGAAATGTGCGTTGCATACCTGATCTTGGATTCCGTAGCTGCCCTAGCAACGACAGGCCGACGAGCTCCACAGTACTGGCGGACGTCGGGCGAAATCCTCGATCGTGGTCGATCAATCCAAATGGTGCCTCGCGCCTTGCCTGTTGCGCTCGTGGGATCGGGCTTCGGTTTCGGTTGGGGTTTCGGTCGGAGAATTTTCCGATATCGTCCATGTTTACCCTACCGAGCGACCGAGCGATTGTATGAGAATGGCTGCTATCATGCCGAGTTTGATGTGTACCAGTTTCAAGGAATCTGAAATCTACTGAATGAGCTATGAGCTTTGTGACAGTGACCATCTCGCGATCAAGCGGTCGTGATGAGTCGAGCTCGGAGCTTACTCTAGCTCAGCCTTCCATTTGCAGATTTGTTTCGCAGAGCAGCCTGATCATTCACGACTCGTTCGTTCTATCCCAAATGTTTACACAGCTTGCGGCCGAAAGTCACAATGTACAGAAGAATACGTATGCTTGCACCGTAAAAGACCCATAATCATACATCCACCACCCATATGGTATAGTCCGACTCGCATCTTTCCTCAACCCCTTGTCTCTCGAGCTCTCAGGACAACCTGCTAGCCAAACTTTGTCCTCCCTGTCGCCCCGCAGGTCGTCCAGACCTGTCCCCTCCCAACCTATTGGCCAAAGAACCCCTCCCTTTCCCTTTGGGCGCTTGTTGGTCATATGGGCGCTGTCTCTGCGACCGGGCCGAATGACGAGCGCTCGCCCTGGCTTCTTCTTGTTCTTGTTCCTCTTCGAGGGTGATGACCGTCGCATAAGGGTCGGTCTGCAGAATAGTGTCCGAATACATTTTGCTAGCGATCGCGATGCATGGAAAGGGTTGTCAGATCTGGTTGCTAAATCTACCTGTTCGACCAGCAACTCACCCGATCCCACCCGAACTCAGCAAATCCTCTTGCGGACCCATCTGTACTTCTCTCCCCGTCGCACCCCTCATGGCGTGGTTCAAGAGGTTGCCCCTGTTCTCCCGCTTCCTATCCGTAGACCTCGACTCGTCTGCAGCTCCTGCCCTCGCCCCTGTCCCTGCACCGCCGCTGGAGCTGACACCGATCCTGCCCGACAGAGGCCCCGCGGCAAAACCCATCCTTTCAGACAGCTTCAGCCCCTGTTGCTGCTGTAGAGACTCGAACCGGGGTACCGTAGGCGAAGGCGACTCGACAACGACCTCTCGCCGAGGTTCGAGGATATAGACGGCCAACTTGTTCCCATCGGCCATGACCCCGTTGAACGTGTCTACCATCTTCTGGCCCTCGGTCCGAGTGGGGAAGACGAGTTCGGCCGAGATGGTATCCCTGCTCATAGGTTGAGCGGAAGAGGGGGGAGGCGACGTGGTCAACGTAGCGGAGAGGATAGTAAAGTGTGCGGAAAAGGCGTGCTGTGGCCGAGACGAGGTAGGGTCAGCGATCAAGAGAGAAGGACCTGGTTTCGATCATCACGATGAAGCTCACCTTGACGTCCGATTCAGAAGTTCCCGAGACGAGCCCATCGATCCGGACGGTAACGGTAAGATCGACCGGTCTCGTCCTGATGCTCATCGCCGACGTCGACGTCGCAGCGGCACCCGTCCCGTAACTACGGTCTCGTCCGCTCGGCTCGTCCATCCTCATCACCACGTCCTCCGAAGTGACACCCGTACTGGATCCAAGGAGTTCCCTAGGACCTCTCGAAGAACCCCCGCGTTGCCCAGAACTCGACTGACGATGAGGGACGACCGGTCGAACAGGCCCGCCGAGGGTACGTGAAGGCGTCCTCGTCGGCCCGGGTCCGCCTAGGAGCTCTACAGGCCTCTTGCCTGCTCCTGAACTGCTCCCAAATCGGTTGTTCTGAGCCGGTTTCGCGGGCTGTCGGACGATCTGATCCGAGACCATTCCTCCCGAAGAACCCGGACGTCGAGGGTCTGCTAAGAGGTCCCTCTTTCCCCCTGACGCCGAGCCTGACGTCGAGTCGATTCGGTCGACCAGCGAGTTGCGGAAGAGATCGTGAGTCCAAGCCCCATCTGCTCCTTTGGTTGAAACTGGCTTTGTGACCGGTCGCTGTGAGACAAGACGAGTAGAAGAAGAAGGCATGAGCCGACCCTGCCCCGATTTCATTCACGTGTTCACTTGTTACCAGCTAGACTCACCTCGTACGGCTTGACACTCTCTACTTTTCTCGACCTCTCCGGCCTGACTCCGGATGCTGCATTTTTCTTTGCGTTGGCGTTTCCATAGAGGATCGCTTTCTGCGTCGGGGCGTTGGTCACGATCGTCACGTACATTCTCAGCTCGACGGTTTTAATGTATGGGTTGGACGCGTAGTGACTCACGATTTGGTCGTCGTTGACGTTCTTGACCATGGTGGAGCAGACTACGAGTTTCTTTTGCACGAGCTTGTTCTCTTGACGAAATGCGAGATAGATATCTTCACGATTTGAACGGTCTTGAGAAATAACGAGAACTGTAGTCCTGTAGCCTGTAGCCTGTAGGATCGTAGAGTTTCGAGGATCACGAATCCTAAGGTCGGTCGCGTTTCTCACTGCTGAAGGCGGAATCGAATTTGAATCCGAAGAGCGTGTGAATATACTTCCGGGTGAAGCGTTACGTTACGGGGGTGATTCAACTGTGCGACATTCCTTTGGAAACAGGGAGATCGTCCGGGACAAAAGAGATGAAAGAGACATGCTAGCTATGCTAGATTATGACGAACCTCATTGGTATGTAGCTCCTCGGCATATCTCATCTTCCCTTCCGTCTTGTTTGTTGGCCCTTTGCTTTAACATTGACCTTGTTACGCTTCGCACAAGCCTTGCATCAACCTGAAACACCCGCCCGGGTGCGTTCGCCATGCCCACCCGGATCACCTCGCACCGCGGTAAACTCGACCTCTTCGTCACCGTCGACGGTCAAGAACTCCCCATCTACGACCTGCAATACGTCGGAGGCGAACCGTCCGCATGGATAGCCTGTGATACGGGGAAGACTTACCACGTCCACCTGGCCTGCAAGGGTTACCCCTCGTCCAAGGAGTTCAGGAAGATGACTAGTAGCTTGAACGCCGAGTTGAGGTTGGACGGGGTGTTGGTCGAGGAGATGTCTTCAGTAGGCCCTAATTATCCGCTATGGAATTGGCGGGAACAAGAGGATATGAAGGACATCGTCTGGAAGGGCACGTATACGAGGCCCGGGTATAAGAAACCGTTCATCTTTCAGGCTCCGGTAAGCTCGTATCGTCAGAGTTCATCTTCCCCAGCTCGACTCATCTTGACTTCGGTCATACCCTGGCCACAGCAATTCCAAGAAAAGACCTCCAACCCCATCGACCGGGAAAAATACCAAGGCTTGGGTTCCATCCAGGTTCAAGTGCGTCGAATTCAAGTCATCCCATCGAGGCGGTCGGACCGCCAGTGGAGTAACAAGTTGGCGGAACGCGATTCTTTCTCCCGGGTCAAGCTTCGAACGGAGGTCCCGGAGGACGCCAAGAAGGGGGTCTTGAGCAGTCTGACCGAGTGAGTGGAATCACAATCATTATTCATTTTCGCCTGCCGCAATGTGCTGGCATCATGCGCACATTCTCTCATCATATCTTTTCTTACTCTATCGCATGTAGACTAGGTCAACCCGAACCGACGATACCGACGGTCATGTACGACGTCGTCGGCGAGAACCCGTACGACAAGCAATCCCCGATGACGACGTTGACCCTGCGGTACGCGACGAGGGAGGTCTTGTTAGCTAGGGGGATCATTCCCAAGGCTCTTTCCGGGAGAGGTAAGTGTAGCATCTGAGCAAGATCCATGAAATCGAGAACAGTGGATACTCATACCAGGTTGAATGCACTCGATTCTTCTTAAACAGGTCAAGGCCAGGAGGACGATCTCAAGCGGGAATTGGAATACGATGCAAAGACCGAGTCGGCCAAATCGGAGACAGGCTATTCTGACGCCGAAGATATGCCCGTCGCTATTCCTCATCCCAGCGGAAAATCTAGATGCAACCGTAACGACGATGGAGGCAGTACCTCGGCACGTCAACGCAAGCGACAACGGCAGAGTTACGGCAGGGACGTTGGTGGCTATGACGAAGAAGATGAGGATGACAAGGAAGGAGTGAGGAGGATGATCAAGCGATTAAAGGAGGCTTATGAGCGGGATGGCGGAAGGATCGACTTGACTGCAGATGATGAGGATACTTGATTCGGGTGATGAAGTTCGAGCCTGTATTGCTGTTGGTTCCGAGTTCGAGCATAATACGCGACTGTATGACATTTTTCTGAATATTGTACAGGTATCCGTAATCGAAGTGGTATGTTGTGGAATGAAACGGTATTTGCGTAGGGGCTGGTCGACGTTGGCAGGTCTGTGACAAATGCGAAAGCAGTGGATAGGAAGCCATTGATACCTTTGTGCAACGCTCTATCTATGCAGATACCGGTGCGAGGTCGTTTAGACCGGGAAGTGTCAGCGGGACATGACTGGAATGTACCTCTATCTTCTTCGACCTACCCGTCGCTTTCAGGTCGTGGTTGACAGGTCAACAGCAGGACGATTCTGCTCGGAACGAGGTGGTGGCGACATGGTGTGCAAAGCGGCGCACCCTCCTTCTCGCAGGCGCGCTTCGGATGCTTTTTCTCCTTTTCTTCCGCCGCGACGTTGGGGAGCTGGGAGGGGGGTTTCCATTGATTATCGTCTCCTCGTTGTTATCAACACCTACTCTACCACTGCTAGCCACTACTATACACATCTAAACGGGATCTCAGGATCGTCAAACCTCCAGACGGTTGCATCATATTTGATTTGCTGACCGGACCCCGAACACTGAAATTCTAGACACCACGGAAAGGCTCGCGAGCAAGAACAAACCAGGAGCGTGGAGCATATTCGACAGTCCCACCTTCTTTTGCCTGCATTCACGGTCCGAGACTGGCCTTATTGAGGATCAAAATTGTACCCAGGGTTTCTTTTTTGGACACACAACACCGACGAGATTTGAAGTGCAAACAAAACCCAACAGCGGCCGCCAGAAGACGAAAAAAGGAAGGGTCATACAGCCGGAGGTATAAAGTCAACCTAAGCTCAAAGAATGGTAGAAGACAAGTATATCGGCTTGGGACTCGCTATCGGAGGTACGGTCTGTATCGGGTGAGTTTTTAGTCTCTCTATTTCCTGCTTCCTGCTATGTGGCTGACCGTAACATGTTTGATCTCGTTCTCCTGTTTGACCGCTCTTCACCGTTGGGACCTATCTCTATGCTGGACTTGACTTGACTCTACTCGAACAATCATCATGGTGGACGCAGGTCGAGCTTCATCATCACCAAAAAGGTACCTCACCTCACCTCAGTCCTTATGAATCCGGCGCATCGGAAGCTTACAGGATCATAATCGTCACACTTTGTTCTTTGCGAACGATCCAGGGATTGAACGATGCGGCCAAAAGAGGGTTTCAAGGTCAGAAGAATGCTTGTGAGTCCTGGAGATCTGGTCATCAAGATCAAATCGAATCGAGTTCTCTGCATGAGCTCGGCTGTACCGATGAATGTCGGACTTGCACCCACGATGATGCTGATGTCAACCGAATTGCGACAGCGGACGATCTGGCTTATTTGAAGAACCCGATCTGGTGGACGGGGATGATAACAAGTGAGTCCCGTCAAGCCAGCCGCCATTGAAAAGCCAGGTGGAGGCGGTAGGGGGGAGGGAGTCGCTTGATTTCGAGCTGATTTCTGGTTGTGTGTCGCTCTGTTTCGGATTGTAGTGATCGTTGGGGAAGGTGAGAATGCGGGTAGATCTCGAACAGCTTAAGCGTTTGGACTGATGAACAACAATCCCGTGCGGTTCGTAGTGGCGAACTTTGCGGCATACACGTTCGCACCGGCCATCCTGGTCACCCCTCTTGGAGCCTTGTCCGTCATCATCGGGTGAGTCGACTCCTCATCCGCTCGACTCCATTCAGATACTGATAGCTGAAAGTTTGGCAACACAGGGCTATATTGGCGTCGTTCTTGTTGGATGAGAAATTAGGAAAATTGGGCATCTGTGGATGTGCATCTTGTTTGGTAAGTCGAATGACGTCTGGCAGAGAGGCAAACCAGGCAACTTGACTGATAAACATCCCGCTCATGGTTCGCGGTCGCCAGATCGGATCGGTGGTCATCATCCTTCACGCTCCGGCCGATCCCGAGGTCAATTCGGTTGATGAGATCTTGGACTATGCCACACAGCCGGGTGAGCCGCAATTAGAATACATGTCGAGGGGTCCAGGACGAAGCTGACAATGCTTGGATGCGATAGGCTTCCTCTTCTACCTCGCTTGCGTAGCCATCTTCTCGACGTACATGGTCTACCGGGTCGTGCCCAAGTACGGTCCCAAGGACCCCATGGTTTACCTTTCGATCTGTTCGCTTGTCGGGAGTGTCTCGGTTATGGCCATCAAGGTGGGTTGATGCGGTTGTCAAACGCAGAAAACAATAGGAACTTATATAGTTGTTGGACCCGGTACAGGCCTTTGGAATCGCATTGAAGTTGACGATCGCGGGGAACAACCAGTTGACACACGCTTCGACCTACTTGTTCGGGTTGACCGTATTGGGTTGCATTTTGGTGCAAATGGTAGGCGCCGCTGGGCATCTGGAAAGCCGGCAGCGACAGTCGCTGACTGAACAGCTCGAAATTCACAGAACTACTTCAACAAGGCCTTGGACACGTTCTCAACCAACGTGTGAGTCTGCGTGCTCGATGCGGACTTCAGCCAGATGTTTTGTGTTGACGTCGCCGTTCTCTTCATGCACAGCGTCAATCCGATTTACTACGTCTTCTTCACGACTTCGACCATCATTGCCAGCGCGATCCTCTTCCAAGGGTTCAACACGACCGATGCTGGCAAGACCGTATCCCTAATCTGCGGATTTCTGATCATCTTTATGGGAGTGTACCTTTTGAACTTGTCGAGGGAACCGGAGCAGCCTAAAGGTCATTCTGCTCTGGAAACCGGTATGATGAGTGAGTTCGAGGTACAGCGACCAGACCGGGGCTACTAGCTGATTGAGCGGGTTTCCGCAATACCAGACCCACGAATTTCCATGTCCGGCCGTTTGTCGACGGACGTCAATTCGCCCCTCTGGTCGGGAGGCGGCGGTGTCACCAGCTACTCGGCCGACGGAAGTCCTCTTGCGGCCGGTCATGGTCGTCGGTCGTCCTTGTACCGACAACAGAACAATACGCTCTACTCGTCCTTTGGAGAGGAGAACATCGGGTTGACGGATCTCGCCGAAGCCGATGATGAGAGCGACGAGGAGCGACTGAAGGGCGAGGTCAAGAAGGATGGCCGGCATCGTACCGATATGGACGACGGACATAGGTGATTGTAGGGCAATTTCGGTTCGAGTGTGGTAGAGGTAGCGAAGTCTTAGGGGTCAGGGGTGAGGATGGCTGCTTCAGGCCGACAATAGAGAGGAGCAGGATCTCCTCGGCTGCCCACTCTTTCAACCTAATGTCTATGCATCTCACCATCATGCCAGTACCCCGCCAGCCTTCTCTTTTGTAACTTGTACCAGTCGTGTCATGCTTGGAATTGTGGATATGATCATGTGTCACACACTGAGCACTGAGCCTGATGACCCATTTATACAACCTCTTCCTGCTGCTTCGCCTCGACAGGCAACGCCGGATACCTCTCGGCCGGCACATCCCCATACACGTTCAACCAACTCTCCCACCTCCCATCCCACGTCACAGGCTGACCCTTCTTGACGACCTCGTACCCTTGTTCCTCGTTCATCCACCTGACCTCGCGTTTCAACCGTTCCTGCCTCAATTCGGATTCGGTCGTAGGGGGTCGAGCTTGTTCGTCGGCGGTGGGCTCTCGAGTCCCGCTGGCGAGCTCTCGGGCGGTAGCGAGGCGGGTCTTGAGTTCCGAGTAGTAGGATTCCCGGTTCTTCTGGATCCGAGAGTGGGTCTCGTTGAAAGCCTTTTTATAGTAACTCTCGGCATCTAGGTCAAAGTCGAGATCGCTTGGTCCGCTCAGCGACGAGTTCGACGTAAAAGTCGACGAGGTCGACTCGGTAGCCATGTCCTGCAACATCTTTTCCTGGCCCATCCCGCTCTCTACCCCACTGCCGACCTCGGAAACCCGCCCGCCGATAAACTCGCGTTTCTCCCCGAAGATCAACTTCAAGCCGGCTTCTCCTCCGATCTTGTACTTGTACCTCTCCGTAAAGAGGTCCCATATCATATAGGGGACTTGTTTGAACCCGAGATGGTTGATCCAGGGTACGAGGAGCATGGTCGGTTGTTCCGGAAGGGGAGAGGGGGGAAGGTGAGCGTGCGAGGGAAGGAGGGTAAGGGGATCGACTGGCGGTGTCGATGGGACCGACGTCGGAGTCGGGGTAGGGGTGGGCACCATGGGTCGGTTCATGAACGACATGGCTGACAAGTTGACTGGGTTGTTGACAACTGGTGCGGCCTCGCCAGTGTTGCTCATCCTATTCCTCGCCCTTTCCTCCGCTTCCACCTTCTTAGCCTCGATCTCCTCCTTGGTCTCGAAAACCCCATCACCCTCCAAGACGCGCTCGACGACCTTTTCTCTGTCCTCCCTGACGATCCCGTTCATATACCCGTCCTTCAACCCTTGCATGTATTCTTTCAACGTATGCCGGCCGATGATGATCGCTCCGCCCTGAATTCTACGTCGCTCACGATCTTCAGGAGAGAGTTGTCCGGGAGCTCCGGCCATAATGTCGAGGACAGGGGGTTCGAGGGGAGGAGAGAGGTTGTATTTCTCCGAGAGATGGCGCCGACGGGAAGTGAGGATGTGGTCAGAGATGTGACGGGTCAATGCGCCGTATTGAGGGCAAGAGACCATGTCATAGTCGATTGCAGCGGCGACGAGGACGGGCTACGAATTTGGTTGGAGCAGGATGTCGAGTCGGGTCAGTGCGTTACTCTCTAGCGATCTAGCTCAACATGAGTCCCCGAGGCAGACTCACCTTGATGTACCGCTTGAAGTATTGCAACCCTCTCTCCCACTCATCATCCTCGGGCCACTTGGCAGCGTAAACCGTAACCTTTCTGCCATACCCCAGAGGTCCACCTTCGATCTCCTCTTTCGACAAGTACCTGACCCTATCCGCATACTCCTTCTTCAGCCTCGCGCATTCCTTGCGGTCGTAGTAGTACGCGTAAGAGACCGTCCCGACGATGGTGAGGAAGATGGACCAGTTTCTGGAAGGGAGCTTGGGTTTCCAACGGAGCAAAGAGGGGGGAACGCCGGTATGTTCGAGGGCTTTGAGGGCGGCTGGGGCAGGACCAGGAGCGGGTTTTACGGGTTTCGTAGTGACCGGAGGAGCGGGTGCCGGTGGGGCCTCGACCGGTGGTAGAGGCGATGACGGTGTGGGTTTACCAACGTCTGACATGATGGCCTCCGGCTGTCGATGATGATACTGTCGGCGAAGTTGACCTTTGTAGATATTCGTTGTAAACCCGAAAAAAGAAGCAGGCCTGTCCAAGGTTGTTTCTGACCTCTCTTTGGAATTATTTGAGATCGCGGAAGCAAATCTTCCCTAGATCGCACTTCATCAACAAGGAGAGAGCAGCATCACATTCATCATCATCATCACTTGCATTACTTGTTCAACGGAAGGAGTTCGATACGACTGATGGCAGCACAGACATATTATATAGACATATATCGCCACTTCGAGATTGAAGCTACATTGAATCCGCATTGATGAACCTTGAAACGGACGAGATCGACTGAAGATCGAAGGAGATATGGCTCGAAGATTGCTGGCTGCTTCCTGGCGGCAATTCGCAAGAGCGAATACGAGCAACAGCTCGATCAACGTCAGATATGGGCAACTTGGACTCGTATCGACCGGGATACGTGCAGTACATGTGAATAACAGCCCGGCGTCTGAACGGGTGCATCATGGTCGAAGATGGTCGAGTACGGCAGCTGCACGGCTGGAGAACGAGGAACCCAACGAGCCCGATCAATTCGCTCCTACAACCATTTCCTCATCAAGCAGCCCCACGCCAACAATCGACTCTGAGCAGACTGAACCAGAGCTTGACACACATATAACCGACCTCAAGCGAAAGTACGACCTTCCAAACTTCTTGAGACCCTATCAGGTCGAGGTCATTCACGCTTGTATGAGCGCTTTGGAAGGGGGGGTGAACAGGATCGGGGTGAGCAGTCCGACAGGAAGTGGGAAGACGGTCATGTTGTAAGTCCAGAGCACCATGTCATTCGTATCCATTCCGATTTTCTGTCCCCCAATGTAAACTCGTTACTGAAATGCCTGTTTGCGTGTTTCCTGAAGCACCAACCTCATCCCGCTCCTCCGCGCCCTTCCCCTCCCCAGAGGCCATACATCCAACCAGATCCTCATCCTCGTGGGATCCATCGAACTCGCGAGACAGGCCATGACTACCATCTCCAAGACCTTTCCCGAATACAGGGTCGAGCTCGAGCAGGGGACCAGTAAAGGGACCGGGTTCGCTGACGTGTGAGTCAGGTTCCTGATACGGTGTGTGGTGTCGAGACCCAGGGCTAACGCTCGTGTATATTTCGTTTCTCTGTGATTTTACTTCGTTTTGTGAATGGGTTTGGTAGGACGGTTGCAACGTATCATTCCCTCAAAGGAGCCAGGTTGGAGAGGTACGATCCGTTACGGTTTTGTGCGGTCATCGTGGACGAGGCGCATCATGCTGCGGCGCCCTCGTAAGTCCCGTTTCCTTCTGTGTCGCTCAGTCGGAGTTTTTATGAGCTGGAGTAATGGGAAGTGAATTCGTACATGGCTGATTTCTGCTCTTGTCTGGGTGACGGGGATACAGCTATCTGAACTTGCTAGGGTATTTTAATCGCGCTGTAACTGCCAAGGAGAAGAACTCGAAAGAGACGTCCGACGACGAGCCAGAATCGACTACTTCCACCTCTACCCTCGAGACTCGATCCAATGCGCCCCGATCACAGGCCACCATCCTCGGCTTCACGGCTACCTTCTCCCGGCACGATCAGCTCGCCCTCTCCTCGGTCTTCGACGAGATCGTCTACCATCAAGACGTCTGGGATATGCTCCAAGCCGGCTGGTTGGCACCCGCCAGGTTTACTACGATCAAAGCCAAGATAAAGCTAGCAGAGTGTGCTGTAAGCGAACGGACGGGGGATTTCGTGGCGAAAGGGTTGAGCGGGAAGGTCAATACGGAAGAGGTCAACGAATTGGTCGTGAGGACGTGGTTGGACCGGGCTGGTGAGTAGTGCGCTGGATCGGTTACGCCACCCAGCAGCGAGCAGCGCGATAGCTGAAGACACGACGTAACTCTTGGGGGGCAACGAAGCTGGCAGGAAATCGACCTTGGTCTTCTGCGTCGACCTGACTCATGTGGAAGACCTTACCGAGGCGTTTCGGAGTCGAGGAATAGACGCGCGTTGGGTCTCGTCAAAGACGGCCGATCGGGATAGGAAAGCCCTGATCGAAGACTTTAAGAATCAGAAGTTCCCCGTGCTTATCAACTGTGAGTCGTATAGACCGTGGGAACGGGCACGATGAAAGACAAGACTTAACGAGGCGTGTACGATATAGGCGAGATCTTGACGGAAGGAACGGATATCCCGAATATCGACACGATCATTATCGCTCGACCTACAAAGTCGCGGAATTTGTTTAGCCAGATGGTGAATGTTAAAGTGCTCTATGGCTGTCAGCTCTCCATGATGTTGATAATCTGGTCTGCGGCAGATCGGTCGAGGTCTTCGGAATTCCCCCGGCAAGGAGGATTGTAGGATTATCGACCTGGTCGATAACGTTACCAATGTAGACGGACTCATCTCGGCGCCGACGTTGTTTGGGCTTGATCCGATCGAGGACGATGTAGAGGGTGAGTACCCATCGTTCGCTGAATTGCAATACAAGAGCGAATGTGTTGGTAGAACAAGATCTCATTCCGGAAACCATGCAGATCAAACGGTCGCACAGCTTCGAGAACGAGGAGAAGAGTATCAAGAGATGAAAGCGCTTGAAGAGGCAGAAGTCGCCAGGCAAGAAGCCCTCGCGGGTACTGTGACTTACGAGGACGATGATGATCCTTTCCGATTCCGAGAGCAATCTGAGCTCGACAAGACGAAGAGCTTTCAGAGCCGATATGCATGGGTAAGCAAGGCAACCAGGACGAGTCTAATGTGGAGCGATGGTTGACCGAGATTTTCTCGCTCTCTAGGTGAATTGCGGTGACAACAAGTATGTGATGGAAGCTTTGGGTGAGGCAAATAGAGACCCATCCGATACCTTTCGCTTGGTCGGCTAAGAATGTCCTGTTTTCGCAGGAAATGGCTACTTTTCGGTTGTGAAGGAGCACGGAAAGTATCTGGTACGACACGCTGCCCAGCTACCGAAGGAGTTGCGGGAGATGCGCAAGAGCAAGTCACCCTATGGAATGCTGCAGCTAGCTGGTTCTGCAACTCAGTTCAGGCAGGCAATGGCTATGGCTGATAAGCTGGTGGAGCGGACCGTTCCGAACACCATGGTCTCGCGGTGAGTGGGTTGATGGATTCGAAGACGTAAAGCAATGCTGACATGAATGTTTGCAATCATGCCATAGCTTGTACCGTTGGGCGTCTTGGAGAAGAAACCCCGCGACTCCGGGTCAACAGAAGTTCTTAAGGAGCATGCTGCAAGGAAAGATGCCCCCGGGATCTGAACATAGGTTTTTAGCGAAAGATGAGTCCGGTCTCGACGAGTTTGATACCATGCTGTGCGGGAGGGTAAGCGAGGATCTAGAGCAGGTACGATATGTCAGTGCTGATGCTCTGTTTCCGACCTTTGCATAGGCTGCTAGCATGATGTGAGTTTTTTTTTCAAACTAAAAAAGGTGATGAGATTGACACTGAATATCGATGTTATCGCCGTCAGTACGGCGCTGAAGCATGGCGCAAAGGTAAGCGGTTGACGGGGTTCCGTTTACAAGCTGCGCGTTGATGTCGACTTCGTGAGCCAGGGTCGAGCCGAGAAGCAAGCGAAACAGACGAGCGCGGCGGACAAGAAGAAGGATAGAGCGAAGCAGAAGGAATCGGCGCGACTTGCAGCGCAGACTGTCAAGGTTGGAAAACTGTAGCGATAATAAATCTCCGATACGCTTGTTCTAGATGCCGGAACTGTATATGACGATAGAGCAAACGATATACCCATCTTATGCCACATGAGCGAAGCCCCTAGAATATCGCCAGCCCTCGCCTTCAATCACCTTCTCAAACGGCCGTCTTGACCCTGACGACCCATTCCCTCCCTGCCCAATATACCATATCTCCCTCGCCCACCCGCTCGAGGACCTCCTCAACCCCTTCACCTTCAATGGCCTTTCTGCTCGCCTGTGAGATGCTCTTAACTTCGACCCACTCGCTCGAAGCCCCATCGCATTCGTCTATCCACCCATGAAATCCATTCCCGGAACCCGTCCCATCACACGGATCGGATAACGCCAACCGATACCGTCCGAGTTGGGCGAAATAGGCTTTGCCCCCTTCCTCGGTGTTGGCGGTGAGGGATTCCAACAGGAAAACCTTGGAGGTAGTTTCAGATTCAGACGAGGAGGAGGAGGTCGAGGTTTGAAGAGGAAGGATCTCCCAAGTCTCTTCGAACGGGACATATTCGTCTGAAGCGGGGATCACCGTGGGATTGGGCATACATCCGGACTCCAAGTACGTCGGGTTCGAATCGGGATGAGAAGAGTCTTGGGGCAAAGGTTGTATGACGACGTCGTCCGGAGTCGAAGTATCCAACGGGCTCTCGGTCTCTTCAGGGTTGGCGAAGCTTTCCGATCCGGAGAGCGGTAGGATGGGCGATGGGTGAGGGGTACGGGAGGAGATGATGGTTATGAACCTGAGTTTCGTCTTGTCTGTAGCATCCGGCAAGCAGTCGTGCTGAGGTCAGCTTGAAGTAATCAGAATCGACATATAGAGGCCCATGGCATCTGCTCGTCTAAGGGAGGCGGAACCTCGAGACTCACCTTCGGCACTCCCATCCAGAACCTGCCTGACCCCAGCCATAGCCCAATCCACCTCTCCCTTCCGTCCACTCGGTCCCGAGGCATCGTTATAGATACGGAGGTCGAGGAAATACTTCCCCAGCTCTAGAGAAAAGACATCTACCCCGCTGGATTCTGGGCAGGCAGACGGTGGAGCGGGAGGCCAGCTGAGGGAAGTCCGGCGGAGCGCTCGCAAGTGAGTCTTGGTCGATGTCGACATTTTCTATAGGATCGGATGGTGGCGTGAGGGACGGTGTATGGACCGATCGAGAGTAATTAGAGTGAAGAAATGGGAGTCGACAAGCGACAGGGAATACGATGGTCCATAAGTGCATCTGATCGTAGCCTTCATATAGCCTAGGATTACCCGCCCTTTCGCCCATCGCCGAGGGTGTCCGGATAAACCCCTTGGATTTCTTGCATTAGCGATCCCGGCCATGGGTTCGAGGCGAATCCGACCAGGGTTTCAGAAGCGCATATACTGGAGCGACGGGATCGATGCCGTACGAGAGGTCAAAAGTGAGTTGGGGTCTCGACTTGTGATCTTGAGACGGCGATGTCAAGCAATGGGGACCGGCAGGGGGAAGATGTCAGGCGTTGTTACGAACAATTCAACTTCGTCTACATGGCTACGCTTCCGAAGAGGTTGTAGTTTTACGAAGGTAAGACGAGGACCGAGTCGGTCAACGTCCCGACCACCATTGCTCATATGCCCTCTGCCGTCTAAAACAGGCGTTCATGTTTGCGTGTGGTCAGGCTGAAACACGACTCGGAGGCTGTGTCACAGCCGTTCGAGCCCTTACGTAATCACGAGAATGGCGGGTTACTTCCCCCGAGTGCGCGGCGTGTGTGTGGGGCTCCCATCTCGGACAGTCGACGGATCTGGGACGAGGGAGGTGGCGAGGTGGTCGATTCTTGGGATTCTCTTGGCTCGACGACGTCGTCACACCCAGCCAGCCAGCCAGCCAGCAGTCGAAGGATGGATGACCTCGTCGTGTTCAAAGGTAGGGGGTCATTGCTGAGTGACGTCGAGTTCAATGGCAAACAGACCGTTGCGAAAGGAAGTGCGCAGTGAGGAGGGGGGGGAGGGCTGCGGGTGTAGTTCTGCGGAGTATTTGCGATGCGCAGCCCTGGCCAGATCCGGACTGCGAGGTGCATATGATGAGGATGATGGGTGGTGATCCTGCAAAACACATCTCTTGTTTTTTTTCTCAACGATTCGGATACCTTACAAACAACCTAGTAAGCTAGTAACCATAGACGTTAGAAGCTAGAAGAGCCGTGTGATACCCCCTTCTCTGATCAGCTCGATCAGACGTCATTTCGAGGAGACGGCCCGGCAATCCGGAGGTTTCGACATCCACAACAACCTGAGAACAAAACCTAGCTCTCGAGCTCGTCTTTCATCTGGCCGATCGATACATATTATCGACCAATCTTCTGAACGGAGGAACAGCTGTTGTCGTATCTATACAGACCTCGGTTCTACTCTGCCATTGAGCTCTTGCTTAATACGGAAGATCGCACAGCCGTTTGACAAGATCAGCATTGGACTTCGGAATTAAATCATCCTCAGACGAGCATTCAGATATTTGAACCTACCCTCCAACCAATTCGGTCACCATCATCACAGCACATTACGACTCAGAAGCTGGTTCCCAGCGCCGTTTTACTACCAGCACGGTCCTAACACGGTAGATCATCCGGAATCCGGGATATCAGCAACCTCAGCCCGCTTCGGACCATATCACCACCTCACTATCTTCGACAAAAACGACAATTCTTTTTGTCTACTTTGACTCACGCCTGCGGGAAAGCGATAGCACGACGAAAATGTTATCAGGTCCAGCTCTGGCTCCTCCATTACCTATCGACCTGCAAGACTTGAGCTCGGGTCGGGTCACCCGATCTGGGGAGATGGATGCTCAAGTGGAGATGAACGATATCGATCCGTTCAAGGGTTCACCGGCTAGGTCGCTCGGAGTCGATGCCCGTCATGCAAACGGCAATGCACAGACGGGGACCGACTATCGAGGAAAAGATGGGATGGGCGATGGGATGGACTTTAAATTCGGAGATGGAGATGAAGACGAGAATGCGATGTTCAGTGGGAGTCCGGTGGATTACCATGATGCTCATGCTCGGGGGTTTGACGAAGGAGGAAAGATGTCGTTCGCGGCCGGACCTCCGGCAACGGGAAGTTTGCATGGGTATCCGCCTGTCCTCGGCATGAAGGGGGAACAGATGTACAGTCACGCTTCGTCTTCGTCGTCGTCGACACCGCCCGGAGCAACAGCAACGGTCACAAAGCGAGATTTTCTAGCGGCGTCTCAGGAACATCCTACCCGGATCCCAGCTTCCGCCTCTCCTCCTTCCCCACCCCATCCTCTCTCGCTCTCTGCCTACCTCGCCGCTCATCCGGAAGCTACGGTGAAAAAGGCCCTGAAGAAGACTTATCCGAAACCGAACCCCCTGATCAGGCTCGCCAGGCGGTTCAAAGTCCGACATAGCGTCATCCACGGATTGACGGACAAGGAGATGCAAAAGCTCGAAGAGAAGGAGGGGAAACTGAAACGGGACCAAGCGGGTTGGAGGTTGGAGCACGAGCCCGCTACAGGACCGGACGGACGACCGAGAGTGGTGGTCTCTCCCTTGTTCTGGAAGGTCTACCTGAGCATCCTCCCTACGCTCGAGAGGGACCCACTGAGCGGGTTGGTACCCCCGCCGCTTTTGGGGTCGACGACGACGATGCCGTTGAGCGTCATTTCGTTGATTCCGGACATCATGAGGCATTATCGGGACGTGATCGTCAGGGCGGAGAAGGAGGTGTTTTTGGTGACGAATTATTGGCAGTGAGTCGTGGTCTCCCGCTTACGTACGGAAGGGCACGGGCAAAAGCTGAAACGAATACGATTCGTGACCGGACTGATCCGTGACAGACCGTCCAACTCGGTGCAGACGATCACGGATGCGTTGAGGGAGTTGTCGACGAACACGATAGCGAGGACGCCAGCTGGACAACCGGTGAAGAAGGTCGTCGTCAAGCTCGTTTATGATCGAGGCACTTTGGAGCAGGTTAGTCGAGACAAAGGTGGGGAAGGGACCGCTTTACAGCACCCCTGCTGACGCAATGTTCTGCCATCCGGGCCACAGATCTGGAATGCGCACGCGCCTGTCCCTACGACGGGTTGGGAGGCTATGAAGATTCCCTTACCAGAGGAAGTACCGGGAATTGACATCGAGGTGGTCGTGAGTTTGCGCGAAGATATGGGGTCGTACCACTACTATGCTGACCATGCTTTGCTGTTGCTCGCCTGGCCTTAGAACTTTCACCGTCTTCTGTTGGGAACGTTCCACGCCAAATTCCTCATTGTCGATCGCAAGGTAGCCTTGATCAACAGCAACAACATCCAAGATCGACCCAACCTGGAGATGATGCAGCATTTCGAAGGACCGATCGTAGACTCGTTCTACGAGACGGGTCTGCATTCCTGGTTCAACAAGCTTTCACCGATGTTGCCCTGCGTTGGAGACACGTATCAAGCCCCCTCGGATGGATACAAGTTTGGGCACGATAATCCCTACTTTGCGGACATTGAGATCGTTAAGGCGGCCAAGGACGCCAGGATGTTGTTGCGGCAAGAAGCTGCTCAGGTACATGATATGGATGAGAACGCTTTGGACAGATTCAGGGGAATGGTCCGTAAGGCGATGGAGCAGGCCACGACGACGGCGAACGAGAGGTGGGACGAGATAATGGCTGGGGCTGGCGAGGGTGAAGGGATCGGAGCCTGGGCTGGCAGGATGCGGGCCGGATTCTATACGAGGCCTAACAGTCGTCGACCGTCTTTTGATGGTCACACGCGGAGAAATTCGGCACCTATCGTGCAACGTCACTTTGATCGCCTCGACATGGCCACCATCGATTCCGAGATGAGCGGAAATTCGCCCACTCTGGTCAACGAATATACAAATGGGGACGCCCCGTCGACGACTACGAAATCGGGCAACAAGGAGTCATTCGACAACGGTCAAATCTCACGCAAGATCAAGATTGCCGAGCCAGACGGCATCATGCCTGGGTCGCATGATGCAGAAGCACGACACAAGCACATACAAGATGGGTCCGAGGCTAGCACAATGCCGCCGTCAGCGACGTCGACACTCAAGGTCGACTCGGCTGGTCGGCCACGCTCAGGTTCAGGGCGGTTGCAGCAGTTGACGGAAAAGTTTAGTGAGTCTCGTGTGATCATTGTCGAACCGTATCCTTCGCTGATTGTCAGTGACCAAAAGACGCAACTGGTGTCCTGTCAGAAGCGGCAGCTACCGTCGAAGACAACGACGACCTTGATGATTTCGCGCCGCATGTTCTGCACAAACCTCATACGCCTTTCCCGATCGCCATGGTGAACCGAAAACCGCACGGAAGTGAGTAATCAGGATACGTTCGTGTAAGCAGAGGTGTCAGTAATCTAATCTCCTCTGCTCATAGTGCCTGGTCACCACGATATTCGGAACCCCCAAAATGCCGCCTGGCTAGCTGGGTGTCGTTATGCTCAACACAAGATCTTCATGTCAGTCCATCTCTGTGCGGTTTCGCTCCGGAATTCTTTCTCTGAGCGCCGCGATTCATGACCACAGTCAAACCCCTACGCTGAACGCTAGGCCTATCAAGCGTGCCATCAAACAGGCTTGCAGGCGAGGTGTAGAGGTCGTTCTGTATCTCGATCTCGGTGAGCTGTCGTTGCGCAAGAGGGAATCGTTACATTGGCTAACCTCGCCTGTTCTCCTTCGCTAGGATTTAACGACAAGGGCGAGTCTATCCCCTTCCAGGGCGGGACCAACGAGGAAGTGGTGGTCGAGCTATATGACAAGCTGCGTCCGGAAAAGAAGGAGCAGTATCTCAAAGTCTACTGGTGGGTTTGACACGAGAACCTCAATTTCAGACTCTGGCTGACTGGGACGATCCTGCTGTCCGAATAGGTATACCGGTAAAGACCAGATCCGTCCCCTCAACGCCGTCAAGAAACAGCGAAATTGTCACATTAAGTTTGCCATGTTTGATGACGAGGTCGCAATCTTTGGAAACGGGAACCAAGACACTCAAAGCTGGATGCACAGTCAAGAGACCAACGTCATGATCTACAACAGGGAGATCGTCAAGGAGATGATGCACAGTGGGTATTTTGCTCGATGGCAAGCATGAAGATACCCATGAGCTGACGGCCGGCGCTCCTTATCACAGCTCTCCACACCAACCAAAACACCCATCGGTACGGTTTGGTGGATCCAGCTGATGGTCTTTGGCGAGACAAGGACGGCAAAGACCTGAAGACTTGGGATCCGAATCACAAAAAGGCTTCAGGCTCGATGGGTCTTGCCGGCATCATCGAGACTATCAAGAAGATGTGATCGGAGAATTAGACGAATGAGCATTGTACAGCGACCCCCCTTTCACACCCTATCATCTATAATCAATCACACGCTTTGTATATCCCGAGATTGTAGACATAGAATGTTTAGTTCCTGCCGCCTATCGCTTCTTGCCAGGAGGTGGAGGTAGGAACGGGATTCCACCGCTCGTCGCTCCTCCGGCACCTAATCCCATCAGGCCACCAGAGGCCTCCTCTTGTCTCTTCCTGCCTTCTCTCCCCGGGATCTTGATGCTGAAAGTCTGACCCTCCTTCAGCGAAAAGTCTTTGGTAGGTGCAGGCGGCTTGTCGGGTTCGGCGGAAGCGTTGGGATTGGAGAGATGCTTGGAGTGGGACTGCAAAGCAACATTGAAGTCGAAGCTATTACGAACACCGTCTATCATTAGCGGAAAGGATAGGTAGGTCTCCTATGATTACCTCCACTTACGCATCACCCCTTTCTTCAAATCCAACTCCAATATACGCTTTCTTCCCTCCGTCGCCTTCCACACGTAGCACAAAGTATCTGGACGAATCGAGGACCGGCTCGACCGAGTTATTCGAAGGAGAGTATAACGTCGAGGCAAAGAGCTCCCCTGTTTCGTGGCGTACGCATAAGTTTCGTATCCAAACCGCACCTGGCAGCATCAAAGGAGGCCTACCAGTGTTGCCATCTTCTAATCGGATCTCGCACGTCTTGCCCTTTTCCAAGACCCTCATACGTCCTTGCCAGAGCAGGCCTTGCTCAGAGTTCCATTCTGCTGCTTTATAACCTTCGTTCGACGTCCTTGGCTGTACCCGGTAGACTATATATCAGAACGGAAAGTTGAGGATCTCAAAGGCAAGGGCTTTCTTAATTGAGGTCAACGCTCACCCAGCACACGCTTTCCGATGAACAGGATTGACTCGATCTCGTCCGATAAGATATCCATGATGAGATTGTATTGATGTGTGGTTGCAGAAGCAGGGGATGGGCGAATCAAGAGTGTACAACTACCCAGCTTGTATTCAAGTCAGCTGTTTCTCACGTTGGGCGGGCCTGTACGCGTCATCAGTTCGCGATGAAACCGTTCAGGGCTGCAGTTGCGAACATCACGATAATAGAATAATCATGAATAGCAAGATTGGTATTCCCTGCGAATCAATTACATGGTATGTTGGTACAGGTGAAATCAAACAGCGGGATTATAATAGATAGTCCGTCTTGTCGCAAGCGGTCGTTTATCAGTTGCGCCTCTTCGTCGGCCGCTCTCTCGCCTTGGCGTCACTGTATCGATGTGGTGAGACGGTTAGTTTTCGCCAGGGAAAGGACGACGAGCTTTATGGACTCACGCAAATGCTCTCTGCTTCTTCTTCTTGTGATCGACCTTCATTCCAGCACGCTTAGCACGTCGAGAGGCTTCCAGCTGAGGTTCCCTGACCATCCTTTCGTTTGCGTCCATCCTTCGCTGGGCCCGCTTGTCGACGGTACGCGATCGGATGCCTTCCCATGTGCGAGAGAAGGCCGTCACCCCGACCTTTTGTGATACAAGGTCCCTGATCTCCGTGACAAGCATGTTGAGATTGTCTGCAATACAGCCAGTCTTCATCAGCACAAGCAGATATATCTGACATCCAGACAGCAGAACGCACCCAATTCGACATCACCTGGTCGAGTCACCAAGCCACCGCTCTCGTCGAGCACTCGGTACATTGGCTCGCAGACGTGTTTCAGATAAGACTTAACTCTCTCCTTCGACATGTGGTCGATGAGGGCAGCGAACGTCTGGAACACAGCTGTGAGAGGTGGTGTCCATTTAACCTAGGTATGTCGACGTTTGCAAGCACGATTTAGCCTTGTGACTCAGCCTGACGGCAACGAAACGCGCCCATACTCACAGGCTGTGCTATCAATTCCGCAGCCGAAGGCTTCTTGATTATCAGGCGTCGAGCGATGAATGATAACCTGGACATCAGCCAAGACAATCCGTTTTGACGAGAAGATCCCTCCGTCAATGCGGTTTCTTCGGCATTATCATCCTCGTCATCAGATGCATCGGACTCTGGGTCGTCTTGTCGGCTCTCGGCATCAGGCACAAAGCCGTCCTGTAAGCCAGGCCAGTCGTGAGTTTCATTTGTATGTCATATAAGCCGATCATGGTAACTCACGATCCAGGTCTTGCCGATGGTGAACAGCAATCTGACAATCTGACCGCAGAGTTTGTTGTTCGGAATCCTCCTAGCAGCGCCTTGGTCCGCCCCACTCGCGAGAATCAGACAACACTTCCTGGCTACCTCATGATCTTGTCCTGCGTCACGGGTCTGCTCTTGGTTGAACCGGAAGACCAGCAGTTTGGCCGCGGCCAAACGCACCCAGTCATGCGGGAAGATCAGGAGGGGTACGACCGAGTTCCAAGCGATGTGCTTGCTAGCATCGGCATGACGTTCCGCCAAGATGGACAAAGTGTTCAACGTTTGGTACGGTAAGGCGTAGTCCAGATCGACCGCGTCAAAGGCGGAGATTTGCTCCTGCATCTCGGCTTCTTGAAGCGAATCGGCGGACGAGATCAGGATGTTGTTTAGGTCGTCCACAACGACATCAAGATGAGGTTGCAATTCTGCATTGCCGCTTTGCATGGCCAGCGCGGCAATGACAGCGCCTGACCTGGCCAGAGCCGTATCCTCCTCCCTTTGAGCTGTCCATTTCCCGATGGTCTGTACCAACTTTTGCATCTGATCAGCGTCGTAGCGCTCGATCAGCTTTTTCAGAAGCTCGCCTGCCATCGCTCGGCACTTTTCGGAATCGTCGTTCGCGATGACAATGACCAATGCGAGGAAGAACAGGTCCGAATACGCCGTCACCAGTTCGTCCGAGAACTTGGCAAAGCAGTGTGACAATAGCTCCATGACCGACACTCGCCCGCTTTCGTAGACGTAGCTGAGGTTGGAAGCCAGGAACTGCATCGTGCTCTTGAGCCTGCCCTTGCCTTGGGGATAATCCAGCATGAATTGCAACATGGCAGATCGACACAGTTCTTGTACCGTGACCGATTGACTTGTAACCATAACGGAAGCGACCTTCTCCATCAGATCGTAAATCTCGGGGACGACGAATCGCTTGGAGAGAATGGCCCGCAACAGGGCAAAGGCCGGAGCCTGAGTCTCGTGCTCGTCCAAGTCGGGGCCAATGATCTCGACGAGGTAGGCCAACTGCTTCTCCTTGACCATCGCAGCCTTGCAATCTCGGATGATAACAGCAAGACTTCGAATGGCGGTTTGCGCAACCTCCGAAGAGGCAGATCCTCCATACCGACGGATGACAGCGATGATCTGGACGATCATGGCCGGGACAGCATCATCGACCGCCTTGACGGGAGTTTTAGTGATCGCCGCGGACGCTTTGAGTGCTAACCCTAACACGAAGTCTGATTTCGAGTAGAGCGCGTTGCCGACGGCGTTCACCAAGGGAGACAAGCGGCCAAGGATCTCGGCGTCGGCGAAGTCGAATCTGCCCCGACGGAAGGCCGTCACGAAGAGGTCCAAGCCAAAGCCTACAAACTTTTGCGAGTTCTCAGTATAGTGATCCTCATTGGTAACCAGCTTGCGCTTCATGTGAACGCGGTAATCCTCCTTGGCGGTGACTTCCTGGTCCTTTCCAGCCTTGGCGGGACGCAGAAACTCTGCACTAGAGCTGATGAGGGTATAACAAAGGCGAAGCATCTCGACAGGACCGAGAAGCGGATTGCTGTTCAATCCACTGGCTATCCTATGAAGCGCCTCGTCAAGCTGCTGCATGGGCTTGACGGCCGAGGTTTCTCGCATGATGTTCTTGAGCGGGACAAGAATCTGGTTGACCCGAGTCGGGGATACCAGTCGCGAAACAAGTTGGAAGCTGTCGTAGCCTCGAGAGCTAGCACCCCTGACTTCACGCATCTTGGTTTTGAAGCCATCTGCCACAACATCCTGACCGGACTGTCCCCAGATGACCTCGGCCGAGATTGCAACGACGTCGGGGATTGAGTCATCGAGACTGCTGAATAGTTCAGCGGCCTCCGTCGTGACGAAGGCCAATATGGCATGAGTGACGACAGCTAGAACGTGCAGTTGTGGACCTCGTTGCAAACTGGCGCGTAACTCCTTGACTATGCGCGAGAGCCAGTCAGGACCCAAGGTCAGAGCGATCTTGCAGATCGTATCCTTGACTAGATCCCGAGTGTCCTGATCTTTGCTTCGCAGGATCTGACTCAAGACAGTAACGACCCTGCCTATCTCTTGATCTCGTGTCTCTTCTGGCAAAGCCATGGCAACCTTCACGACGCCAAGCGCCACGGGGATTCGTACCGAATCCTCCGTTTCGTCTTTTTGTTCGACGAATCGGATGAGGGTTGGAAGTAGTTTTCCTGTAACGTAGTCGGCAATCTTTGCAGACTCCCTAGCGGCAAGGTCGATTTGGGGTTGCTGGTCTTCTTCATCCTGCTCGACGTCTTGCTCGGCTGCGGCTGTATCCACTGTGCGCTGCTGCATATCGAAATGGAAGTTGTCCAACAGAGCAGTGATTGCCCTCACGTAATACCTCTGCAAAGAGCTCTTGACGGTACCAAGCCTCAGATAGTTGAGCACGCAGGCGTGGTATTTGGACCAACCCAAGTCACGAGCGAGCTTTCCGATCGTGGTGATGGCTTCATTGATGAGAGTATGATCGGTCTTGTCACTTGCGCCACTCAACACGTGTCCGAGGATAGGCATGAATAGACCGTAGACAGTAGCGTCCCTGATCGTTCCGGTAGCGACGTGATCGGTCAATCGCCTGAAAGCTCGGGTTCGTCGATGTGTCTGCAGATGGTACACGTTGGTGAAAAAGCTTGCTTCAATGTCTCCTTCAGCCAGCAAAGGTCGCATCTCGTCAAAGACCTCCAGACCTCGACAGTGTTCAACCATGTGAGCGATCACCAAGACGGCTTCAGCTCTGACCAGCTCGTGTCGAGAACGTAGAACGTCCTTGAGACCTGGAAGCACGAGATTCATAATCGTGTTCTCGATGGCCTGATCGGGATCTGTTGAGCTGAAAGTGCTGACGAAATGCTTGATGGCTTCACCAGCGTTGGATCTGATGGTCAACTCCTCCGGGTCTTGTAGGTAAAAGAGCGAGTTGTGAAGGAGGGGTTGCCAGTAACGGTGTCCCAAGCTTGAATGGTCCATCTCGTGCAAGGTTTGGAAAGCCTGAAGACGGCGATCGAAATCGGGCTCTTCGACCCTCTTGGTCGAAAAGGCGTTCAGCCCCGCAATCACATCAGTCACCACGCTCAACTTCGGATCCGCCTCCACAAAGCTTTGCAAAACCAGCACCAAGTTTTGCCTGGCTGCGCGGGAATGCAGTGAGCGGAAGAGCGTCGACACGATGTTGAAGTTGGTGCGATAGAACTCGGATTGAGCATCCTGAAATTCGGGCACCTTTTGTAAGACTGTTCCGAGAGTCGCAAGGATGTCCGCCTTGACCCGTTCCGACACCTGCTTGGCAGGTTTTCGCAGAATCGGCACTAACAACGTGACCAATTTGCGGGCCTGTTCACCAGGTTGAGCAAAGGCACTGATACGTGGCAGGACCCCGATCTGTCGCCGAGTCACGTCATCTCGGCTGAGGTTGACTTTACTGATGTTGGCCATGCAGGCGAGTAGATTGTCCAAGAGGCCAGACATGTAAGGCTTAAGGAAGGTATCGGCCATCCTTCCACCCTCGACGTCTTCTTCAGCAGCGGCTAGCAATCGGTCGACAACGTCCAAAACATGTCCGATGACGACCGGCTTGACCTTAGGCTGGCCGATACATGCAAAGAGCTGTGACAGTACCCTGTCATCATAAATGACGAGAAAGTCATACATCTCGGGTCGTTGCGACCAGGACGAGAAGATTTCCATGATAGCGGATGGCGCTTGGGTGTTCTCTTGTGGCAGTAGAGCGAGACGCGGCGAGATGACGCGCTTGAAAAGGTATGGCATGTAGGGCGCAAAGTCGAACTCCGAAGGCGCCTTGAAGAAGGCTGACAGTCTTCGCAATCCGGCATTCCGGATGGTTCGAACCGGCAGTCCGCCTGAACCGTTATCCTCTTGGTCTTCGTCTTCTTCCTCGTTCTGGTCTTGGACCTCTGCAACCTCGTGAGAGATGTGTCTCTGCGCGTGGTATGTCAATGCCAGCGCCGAAGACAGAAGCGTAGGCCAAAAGTCCAGGATTTGCGTGGACAGGTGCTTGAGGACGTCACCGAGCAGACTGAGAAATCCGATCTGAGTCCGACCTCGAACCGCATCCAAATCGCTGGATGATATATCCTCGCCGGTCGGGTCCAGGGCTGTATCACGGATCCAAAGCGGGAACGACCTTAGCATCAGCTCGACGAGTGTGGCAAAGTCGCGGCCCGAGCAGTTGCCCAATGCAGCCAGAATTGCGTTCTTCCGGGCCGCGGGACCTTGGTTTGAGCTGTGGCGTCCCTTTTTGGAGATCATGATGCCAAAGAGTATCCGTGTCACGACCGGAAGTAGGTTCGCACGGTGATCCGGGTTGATAGCCTCGGTGTTCTGGCCCAAGGGGAACTTTGTCAATTCATCCCGAAATTTGGACTCAGTTAGCAAGCCACGCAAGTTGTCCTCATAAGGTACGATGTAGGAATGCTTGTAGGTCAGTAGACACGTGAGGGCGAGGTTTTGGAGAGGATTTTCACCCTTGCTGAGGATGTCCAGATAGGCGGCGAGGATGTCATCCGTTCGGTAAAGCGCTTTAGGATTGCCGAAGTGGGAGAAGAGCGAAAGGTAATTCGACAGTCTCTGCTGACGTGCGCGACGTCCAAGAACCAATCCGCTCGCTTGCTTGCCCTCGTTGAGATCTTCGCCGTCATCCTCGTCATCGAAGTTGCTGACGTTGAGAAATATTGGCACAATCTCTCTTCCGTGTTTCTCGGTGAGAGAAGGTAGCTTTCCCAATAAGTCGAGCACCTGAGCTTCGTAGTTGACAATGTCTAATCGAGCATCGTTAACCTGGTCCTGATATTGATATCGTCGTAACAAAAGTGAGCATACCGTACTTCCCTTACTGCTGTTTGTGAACATACATCGATTGCCTCGACATCGGTAGATTGCGTTGCTTGCATCGACAATTCCCGGTTGGTGGCTTGATAGAGCTTGGTAGCGTTTGGACAGAGGAATGATTTATCCAAGTTGGCCTCCGTCGATGTCGAAGCCTCCGCTTCCCCATCTTCGGTAGCCCAATCAGGTTTTGGCACAGAGATGAGACTGGCGAGTTCACCAGCGTGGCACTTGTTGATTTCTGCCATGGCGATCGACCAGAGGATTTCCGGATAACGCTTGCCAATCTCGCCGAGAACCTCGAGGGTATCGCTGTACAGGGGTCTGAAGTTGACCTTCAATTGACCTAAGTGAGACCGACGTTCAGCATACATCCTAAAACAAGGTAATAATAAAGGCTTACTGAACAGATATCGTATGATGGCTTCGATCAACCAAGCATATTCCGCATCAGGTATATCGAGACTACGCAGCACAAGTCCAATCTTCCTAATCTTTGTCGTTCTCTCCCTGACGTTCTGCAGCGACATTCCTGCCTCTTCAATCTGGATACCACACGCGAAGACATTGTTCTCGTCCGAGTCTGCGATCTCCCCATCGAGGGTGCGCAGAGCGGGGAATTTTCCAGTAACAAGGATACGGAGTGCACCAGTACGAATTTCTGGGTCGTCCGATTGCAAACGTCCGGCAATAGAAGAGACAATGGTTTCCAGGGGAGATCTACGGGAGTGACATAAAGGGCTAGCAGCTCAGCCAAAGCGTAACATTGGTCCTTGGCGTATGGTTCCCGACTTACCGCTTAGGTAGCGCTGTCTCTGCCAGTCTTCCGACACCCGAGACAATACCTCGCGACCAGCTCCAAGCCCGCATCAGCTCGTTGACGTCGCCAATGACCTGCTTCGCAGCCGATTCGGCTCCTTGAACTCCCGCGCTGACGAGCTCGCCGAGCGCCTTGAGCCCGCAGCTCAAAAGATAACCACGGTTGTACGCGGCAGCAGCGTATTCCGCTTTGGCTTCTGTCTCTGACAGCAGACAGAGTCGTTCACGCATGCCACTCAAAAAGCGGGTCAAAGCTGGAAGAAAGTCGTTTGCACTCCTGTCGAGCTTCGTGCACAATTTGAGCAACTTGCAAGCAGATCTGATGTCGCTGTTAGAGAGATCTGCTTTTCGGCCGTCCCAGTCGCTCAAAAGATCCCCGGTAAGCCTGCCGAGACGGGTCTTCCACTGGCCACCTTCGACGTTGACGAGACCCCCGTCAAGGTAGCCCTGGTCTGCAAGAAGCGCAAGGACACCGAGAGCTTCCGAGCGGTGGGAGTCCAGGGCTTCCGTACAAGTCCTGAATATTGACTTCAAGATCGTCAGTATGCAATACTCGAGAACAGTGAAATGTGTAGACGAACCTGGCAATGTCGGCAAGGATGAATTGCTCGATTCCCTTCCACCCGACTCTGACGAGGACTCGCACCCAAGCTAATCTGTCCGAGACATCCAAGACCTGCCAAGTCGCTTTGATCAAGCTGATCCCAGGCGACAGCCAGTCCTTGACTTTTCCCGCAACAAGCGCGCCAGTCAAGGCTTTCAGGTATTCTCGTTTGAAACCGGCACCGGTGGCAACATGCGGGGTGAGCCCTTGCATGGCTATCATGTAGGTCTGTAGGGTCGTCGTCTTCTCGTTGCTGGATGTCGGCAACCTCTGACCTTTGCGCACACCCAAGAGTGTCGCAGAAAGACGAAGCACGAGTTCCATCTGGGCCACAGTGAGCGAGGCTGGCAAGGTAGTCTCATCAGTAGAAACGTCTTCCATGGGTGATGCCGTGATTGGAGCTTTCAACAGCTTGAGGATGAACTCATGAATCGGTTGCATCGCGGTAGCTGATCCGTGGTGGATGAGCGATGTCGTCAGAAGAACGAGTACGCGAAGGAGAGGAGCCGGTTGATCGATCTGCAGCAGGTGAAGGACGAGATGCGTGTAGATCTGTGGTGCTCTCGAATGCAGCAAATGAGGTGCTCCCTGTGCAGACAGCGTGGTCAGCATAACTTGTTACATTCCTATCACGTCTGATGCTCACCTTCAGGCCCTCGCTGAGAGCCGCCGCCAGACCTTCGACTGCGTCTTCATCGTCTAGGTCCTTGACCATGACCACCACCATGTTCCGCATAGGTTGTCCCCTTGCCCGCCTCAACAGAACTGCCCACACCTTGGCCGCACAATTGCGGACGTGCGGCTTCATCTGTTTGCTGAGGTATGCCTTGCATGTTTTCCAGATACCCTCCAACCGAGCTTCGGGCGAGACAGTCTCGACCTGGGCAGCAGCCTTCTTCTTCCTCTTCAGTGACTTGGTCGAATTCGTCTTGGTGGCTTTGCTATCGGCCGTCAAGAGGGCAGAAGAGAGGAGCTTGAACACCTGTGAGGCCGTGGAGTAGGTCTTTTCTATCAAGACCGCCTCGAGACCGTTGACAGCTCCGATCCTGAACAAGTCCTCGACAGCTTGTTCGGCGCAGCCAACACCTTCGTCGAGGACCGTCTCGAAGAACTTTTCGTAAAGCAGGAGCACTCCATCTAGACCAGAATTCTGCGTAGTCGATTGGCTCGTTATCTCGGTGAAGAATTCGTGAAAGTGTTGTTGTAGCTGAGGGATGTGATGCAGGATGAGAGGGAGTGACCGGGTGAGAGGAATGATCTTCTTGGTGAAGGCTTGGTATGGTAATGTCAAATAAAGCAAGGCGAGATCTTCGAGAGCTGTGCCGAGGGGGGTGACCTTTGTGGAGGCGAACATGTCAGCCTTTCCAATGCATATACCTCTGTACGTCCACGGCAGACTTACCGTCTGCGCCAAGTCATCCTCCTTCGCTGCTTCTTGTACATCATCCCAGTTCAGTCCTTTGCTCTTGCCCGTGTCGATCTTCAGGTGGCCGAGCTGTTTGTTGTAGGTCTCATACTAAGAAACGGTGCAAGGCAAGGTTTAGTCCCCAAGTTACGAAAGCTAGCTAGCTAACCCGACTGCCGGTACTCACTCTGAACCTCTTGGCCGGCCGCTCTTCAGCCATCTTGAGGTGGAGAACTACGACAGATCTAGCGTTGAAGAAGGACTGTTGCGAATTGACTAGATTAACAGCTTGATCCGTCACGAGATTTGAACGTTTGGACATGAACTTTGAGCGTCAAAATCGCTTGTGAGCGCCGAAATCGAGAAATCGCCCGGTAAGGAACCTGATTACTGGTCACGTGATGTCTATATTAGCCACCGAAAATTACATCCGGGCTGGCTGACTCTGGGCAGATTATCGACGCTATGACATAGGCTACTGGGCGACCGGCTAAGTGACTACCGCCTGCCGCCTGACAGTCGAGACGCAGGGAGAAGGCAAGACAGACTGCCAGCGAGGTTGATACAGTGCTCTTGCTCAGACGTTATGCGCCAGATCCTGACTGTTTGCTGAGGGCCTGACTGCGCGACTATCTGCACACGGATTGCATGCACATTCGAACCGCTGCTACAAGCATAGTAACGTGGTGGCAGAGCTGCTCTGATCCACGATCGAAGCTGGTGGCGTAGATGTGAAGTCAACTAATCGACTGAAGAGGCTCCCTGAGAGATTGGCACGAGTCGCGAGTCGAGAGACCAAAGCCAGTCATTTAGTAGTAACGGACAACGCCGAAGCGGCTGACAATTGGTATCCCGGTTATGCCACGTCAACCTGCAACCTGTTGGAATATTCACTCGCAGCCCCAAGCTGATTAGCGAGATCGAGTCACGTGAGACGTGAGAGTTGCGAACACACGTGAAACGCATATTTCCGTAGATCTCGTTTATGCGAAATGACGGACGCGACTCCTACGGTCCAACGCGTCACCCCTGGGCTCGACCGCGTCGACCGAGGCTGGATCCTCGACTCTGGCCGAGTATATAGTCGATCCAGACCGAATCGAATGTCATTCCTCTTCAATCGTCACTTCCCTCTCTTTCTCCATCAAGCAACCAAGGCAAAGCCTCTCCACTACTCTTCTCCTCCCCACCACCACTCTCAACAACTTTTCAACAACATGTCCGGTCGAGGTAAAGGTGGAAAGGGTGAGTCTACACAGGAACAACGGTCACGAACAGCCTCTTCTCGATTACGACGACTGATTCGCTCGACCTGGATCCTCATCATCAATACGATAGGTCTTGGAAAGGGAGGCGCTAAGCGACACAGGAAGGTTCTGCGAGACAACATCCAGGGAATCACCAAGCCCGCCATCAGGCGTCTCGCTCGTCGAGGTGGTGTCAAGCGTATCTCTGGTCTCATTTACGAGGGTTAGTCTCTTCGCCACCGATCCCAATTCGCCGATGACATTCGAGCTGATGATCCTTCGGCCTCTCGTTTCGTTCTCAAATCAATAGAGACCCGAGGAGTCTTGAAGACCTTCCTCGAGGGAACCATCCGTGATGCCGTTACCTACACCGAGCACGCCAAGAGGAAGACCGTCACCTCGTTGGACGTCGTCTACGCTTTGAAGAGGCAGGGAAGGACCCTCTACGTAAGCATATCCTCTTCGCTCCCTTCCGTCTTGCGACACGCAGCTGACCCTCTTCTTCCGCTTCCAACAACAGGGTTTCGGAAACTAAGCATAGTCTCTTACCAACCAAGAGTCCTCACCAACTTCTCCACCATCACGCTTCGATATTCGCTTTTCGCTCCTACCCACCCGCACGCCTTGCAATCTCTTTTCCTGCTCTCGTCGCTCCGCCTCTTCTTTCTTCGGCACGGGATCTTTGTGTTCGGATTTGGCCAATCTGGATCGTGAGGACCTACCACCCGTCTCGGAGCTGGATCGACGGTGTCTGTCGAGGCGATAAGAGTATTCTTGTATCGCTCGCTTGGAGTTCTCCCCCTTTCGCTTTTTGACAAGGATTGTAGTAGTTACTTCTCTCTCGATGAATGAGATGATCTGAAGATAACCAGTTCTCGGTGATTATGTCCCTTTGCTAGCCGCTTTCTTCGTATAAGGGTGACACAGGTCAATCACCCCTTTCGAAATCGTCCCTCGTCTTGAGAATATTTGGCCCAAGCTATAACATGGGCCGAGACTTGATGTTCATCATCGACTGATACATACTACTAATATGAGGATTCCTCGACTGATATTAGTGCGGAGTATAGCTCGCCTATATGTAATCATGATCTGGGGCTAGAATGCTGGAATCATGGTTACAAGCGGTAACACCCGACGTATCGAGCGTTTACAATCGAGATCAGATCGATGTACCAAGCAGCCCTATAGCTGTAGAACACCCCGTTCATCTACACCCGCTCCTCGGCCGATCAATCGTACCAGTCAACCAGAAACTGGCGGTGTGGGCGCAGTCGACAGATGAGGCTGGTCGGATTTTACAAGGAATGGTCGATCTCGTTTGCCAAGTCGGCTTCGGCCGGTCCGTCTTGGTACGCATCGTCTGGATTTGCATGACATCGCATGTAGTGCCATTAGCAGTCACAGGGCCTGCCTGGCTCAAGGCCGTCCGCAGTGTCGGTTCTTAGAACGGGTTGTTGTAGGAGGATCCCGGCGTGCTCGCGATCATTCCTCACGACGGATAGCGTTGTTTGGCGAGTCTCGTCAGGAGTGTCGGATCTAGGTGTATTGTGCTTGGGGTTGGGAATAATCCTCGTCGAAACCGGCAGAGCAGACGGCTCCGTCGCACGCGGTCGCACTCGACATCGCAAGCGATGCCACAGGAAAGCCATCGTGGTCCCTCTCACGAAGCCTCTTCCCATGTCATCGTCGAAGGTACCCAGATCTCCATCCCGCCCTCTGCCTGCTCATCGACCCATGCTAATCCGTCCCGCTTGACCATCGCATCAAACGCGCTCCTCGTCCTGATATCATTCCATCCGAGTAGCGCCATCATCTCACGCTCTCTGAGCCGGCCAGCTCGTTCGCCAGCGCAACCCAATAAAGTGGCTTGATCCGTATCCAACTCCGACGCTACGGATCGGACGTAAGATTGATGAGAGACCTGGACGATCTCGTACCCCGCACCTAGGGGTTTCAAGATCTTGATCGCCCTCCCGATATCCTCTGGGGAAAGGGTTCCTTCGGGCTCGTCCCGCAGCCGATGTAGCTTTTTGAGGAGGTCGTTCATCTCCATCATCCCTCCGTTCCTGTCCCGATTGGATACGCAAACGTCTACGACCTGAACGGCGAGCTCGTACGTCCAATCGCTCATCCCCAACATGTCACCCCAGGATAACGACAGTCCAGTCTTTCCCTGACCTCTCGCTCCACCACCGACCAACGGGTCCACCCCGATGGCAGCACACATCTTCTGAAACTGATGCCTCAACGCCGGATCCTTCTTGATATCCGCATTATGGGCCTTGGAAAAGGTGATCAAGGCCGTTCGGAAGGATTCTAGTTGAGCTTTAAGGTCGGTGATCTGTTGGGTAGAGATGGTATTCGACAGGCTGGCGTATTGTGCGGTAGAGGCTGATTGCCTGGAGAGGCCAGAGATCCCGACGCCACGACGCATATTGTACGAGCAGGGAGCAGAGGGAGGGAATGGAAAGTACTTGTTTATGCCGTGTGATGTTATGGTCAGTTCCAGGTCAAAGTAGATTCATAAGAGTACTAAGAGTAAGTTGGGTTGTGCATAATAGGTTGCGAATGGCTAACCCAGCTATACAGCCAGCTTTCTAGGACTCGTCATCGTCGTCGTTGCGCGTCGCCCTTTCCCCTCGAGCGACCAACTCGTAGTAAAGTTGGCGATAACACCAGATATACCAGCTGACAGGAACCCTCATCGATACCTTGAATGCCACCCGGAGATAGCGAGGCTTCCATCAATTATCAGTATACTTTGTCAAGACCGCCCATCATGTCGACCGACCAACAAGAACCAAATCCGGACGATTTCGACACCATCGTACTTGGTACGGGTTTGGCCGAAAGCATCATTGCGGCGTGAGCTCATCGACCCAAGAAATATGAAATGTTGACATTCGAAGCTGAACACACCGGTGTCCACTTGCAGATCTCTAGCCAAGGCATCCCAGAAGGTCTTGCACATCGACCCTTTTCCGACTTATGGAGGACCCAGACACTCGTCGTTGACCATCCCGGAGCTCGTCGCGCACCTTCCCGACCTCGAAAACTCGTCTTACGAATACCCTGCAGGCTCATCCGCAGCAGCGGGAGGTAGTTTCCAACAGGATGTGGAGACAGGTAGTCGAGGTCGACAATACGCCATCTCGCTCTATCCGGCCATCTTGCCTGCCAGAGGAAAACTCATTGATACGCTCATCTCGAGCGGGGTCAGTGGGTATATCGGGTTCAGGGTCGTCGACGGGATCGGGCTGTGGCAACCCTCGACGAGTACTGGTGCGGGAACGAGCACGAACCGAGGTGAAGAATTTGCGAGCGATATCAAGAAGGTGCCGAGCTCAAAAGGACAGGTGTTCAAGGACAAGACGCTGAGCTTGATGGAGAAGCGAAAGTTGATGAAGATGTTGATGTTCGTCGCCAACTTGGACGAGACCAAGGCGATCGATGATGCCTTATTGAAGGGTGAGTGTCTAGCCCTAGATAGAAAGGTCTCGAGACATAGGCTGACAAGATAATGGTTCATGTGATGGGTAGACAAGATTGATATGCCTTTCGTGCCGTATCTACAACAAGCCTTCGATCTACCCCTTGCGATGGCCCGGGATATCGCATTCGGTATCGCACACTGCACAACGGGAAAAGGTGAGAGTTGTCGGCCTATAAAGTTCAGGCCGTCGCTAATGTTCCAATCAAATCTATCCGTTTGATCGTGACCAGAACCAGCCTTGGTCACCCTCCTCCGCATGCAACGGTACCTCCGCTCTCTCTCCCGCTACTCGCCCACCTCTTCCTTCCTCGTTGCCCAATTCGGCGGGATCGGGGAGATCGTCCAGGGTTTCTGTCGGAGTTGCGCAGTGTATGGGGGTACTTATATCTTGGGAGACATGGCCCGGATCAAATCGGGCAAGCAGACGGAGGAAGGGGTCGAGATACAGATCGAAGCGCAAGAGGGGGCTTTGAGGGGGAAACGTCTGATCGGAACGGACAAGGCGTTGAAGCAAGCTGGGTTGCTAGATGCGAGCGGCGATGGTCGTGGTTCGAGGCGAAAGATCGAGGAGTCAGAACCGAGACGGTCGAATTGTGTGGCCATCGTCTCTGGTCTTCCGCCCATGGTCAGATCGGCATTTTCGTCGGGGCGAGATGGTGCTCAACAGACAGAGGAACAAGAGGACGAAGATGAAGTAGCAGGGAATGACGTGCTTGTCCTCGTCGCACCACCACCGGAAGATCAGGAGAAAGGCCAGGAGGTATCGCGGATCTTGTTCATGGGCAGCGGGACTGGTAGTTGTCCAGAGGGCGAATGTGAGTGCCATGAACTGGGTCTTATGATCCTTATCGGAGCGTCGACGCAGCTAAACGGTGATGCCTATGCAGATGTTGTGTACATTTCGACTCCCACAAGGATCGGCGAAACCAATCCAGCCAAAGCCTTACTAGACCGGCTCTTTGTTACGCCGACATCGACAGCACTACCGACGAACGGGACCGACCAGATCCCCGCTGTCCCCGCGAGACCGCTCTTCATCGCATGTTACGAAGACGAATCGCCTTACGATCTGACCGACCGGCCCGCCGGGTCGGCAAGTGCGAGTGCAAGTACAGGTCGGCTCATCAGCCTGGACGACACGGTCCGGACCAGGCTCCGTGCTGGTGGGGCAGTTTCGAGCGGGTCCGAGTGGTTGGAAGGGATGGACCTCGAGGCAGAGCTCGCTCAGGCCGTGCTGGACGATCTGGGCGTCGAGATGATCACCAAGCGAGAAGAGGGCGAGGGTGGCGAAGATGAAGAGTTGTAGCGGGCCGTCGAGGCGAGAATCGCTTGGCCGCCGGGGAATATCCAAACACGACTTGCAAAAACGTCGACGCTGCTCGTTTGTGGTCGCTTGTCGCCTCGAAACAAGTTCGGACCGAAGATTCCGCGACCTGTTCCGAGACCCCGCGTACCGCCGATATGGCTCGTTGAACAGATGCGGTCCCGCTCCGCTCCAATGTGGGGTAACAGGAAGGACCTCGGACGATTTCATACGACTTGCTGAGCTGCGACTTTCGCGATTTCGGTAATACGGTGTACGGGATTCGTGTTCACAACCTTGCGGCCAAGAGGTGTCCGTTGGATCTGCGAAGTCGGCGGTTTGATATTTTCCCGACAAAGTTGCTCGAAAGGCCTTTCGAGCCTAGTGAAATGACCAATCTCGGTCGCTACTGGCGACCTCACGCACATCGCACATCCCCGTCCACATGCCCCTATTCACATGTCTGTGTCGGTCAAAACTCGGGATGAGCAGCGAGAGCGTGAGAGGGTGGCTGGCCCAAAGACGATCGCACAATTGATCCCTCGTTGCGTGTGTTTGTGGGCGTCGAAGGAAGTGGACACGGTGCAAGTGATCCGCCGTAAAACGAGGCGCACGAGGTTCCTCTTCGCAAGGGCCTGATCAGCTGAGCGGACCCTACCCCTACCGAAAGGGATTTGTCGCTATCTGTGTCACATGAGAACGCTCGTGCTCGTACATTCTCGCTGCTTCTCGTGAAGGCGGAGTGATCGGAGTCTGTACATCACTTGGCGGCCAGGCGGCTCGAGCAGCGAGCAGGTGGACAAGCATCTCACGGGCACCGGCGTAAATGCTGCCCTCACCCGGATCGACCGACCAGCTGCTCCGTATCGTATCTCTCTGCGTCGCATCGCAATGCCGAGTGGGGATGTGGCATCGTGTACTGTACGACGACATGGATGATCAACAATATGCAACGATGTTGTTTCTGATATTCTGGGTAGTCGTGGTGCTGCCATCATAGCTGTTGATCGTTAGATTGTCGTCGAGGCGATACAAGTAATTGTCCGCAACCGAGCTCCCTACAACCCACCTTCCCCCACCTTGTCCCTCCTTTGGCTCCTCCTCGCCAGCGGCATTGTCCCCCACACACTCACCCTCCCTATATCTTTGCCGCAAGACATTCCACCAAACCACCGACGTCGTCGTCGTCGTCAACACTCACTAGTCTCTCTCGTCCGGACCAGAGACGCTGTTTCCCCTCAATCCCCGACGTATTTTCGCTTGGAACGACGCCCCACGGGCACCCGAGGTCGGACCCTGTCGACACTTTTCTAGGCGGCTGGTACAAAGATGCAGGACAGGAGCAGGACATCACATGATCATCGCAAGGATCAGCAGCGACGGCAAGGAGGGAATGACGATAATACTGGTATAGCGAGAGACCAGGAGCAGAGGAATGCGGCGTATAATCAGCAACAAGGACATCAATCGCAGAATCGACAGCCACAAAGGGAACCATTCTTCAGGTTCTTCTCTTCCCCCAACGTGAACCACCATCACCATACCACTGCTGCTGCCGCGGGGGACGAATCAGTGCGGGCCAAGCTGGAGCCCCTGAACTCTGCCGCGACGCTCTCGACGAGCCCTCAAGGGCACCACCAGGGTATGGCGAATTATAGCTATAGCGCCATGGCGAGGTTATCGATTGCGAGCGACGGAAAGGACGTCGAGCAGGGAAAGGAAGGCAGGTTGCCATCGATCTTTGCCAACGGGGAGTACGGCGGCAGGGAGGATGCGATCTCCAGGTTCGGGTTGCCGGGTCTTGGACACGAACGGTCACCTTCGGGGTCGGGTGGGAGTAGTCCTAATCTCGTCTCTGTCAGAGAGATCCAGGAGAGTGAAGAAGGACATGGGGCCAGATCGAGAAGAAGATCAGGGTTGTACTCCCCCGGCCAGGCTGGACGAGACGATGGGTTGATCAATCTCCCACCATTGAGGCACGGATTCGCACCGTCGAGTCCCGGAGGCAGCAGTAGCAATCACAATCACAGCGAGTCGAATTCGAACTATCTCCGGGAAGAAGGTGGTCGAGTCACCGGACCGCAGCGGACAGGTCGACCACATTCCCAATCCGTCTCCAGCATGATCACCTCGCCATACTCGCATTCGGCAACACCATCAACCTCCTCCCTCCTCTTGCCCTCTCCATCTGGATTGAGCAACCTCCGACCAAGCTTTGCGTATTCTCCACCACGAGCGAACAAGACGCCGCTGACGGGACCTGCGAGCGCTAGGGGCAACGAGTTCCCTAGACTAGAGAGGCACATCAGTTCGAGCTCGTTGCCAGGCGAGTCATCAGGGTTCTTGCGACCACATCATTCGTTCTTTCCCAGTGGCGGTCTGAACGGAATGTTCACATCGAGATCGGGCAATGACTCTCAATCGCATCAGACGGCACAAGGGCAAGTGCAAGGACAGGATCTTCCCACGGCAGAATCGATATCACAGACCGTCTCCCCTGCCCCGGTCACAGCGAAGAGAGGAAACATCGAACGTCTGTTCCGAGCGGCGACGACGAGAAAAAAGAGGAGTGGGAGCGATGCGAACAAGCCCAAGGGCGTATTGATGATGACCGAGATCAAGGACGATGCAGACGAACAGTTGGAAGGTCTGTCCGAGGGCGATGTCAAGGACGCAAAGGACCTGGATCCGAGTGCGGTGAGACGTTTGGCACATCTGCAGTGCGAGCAGAGGAGGCGAGAGTGAGTCGAGGTCTTGCGAGTTGTCAAGATGTTTTGAGCGCTCATCGGTGATGTTCGGCTTGATTAGGAGTATCAATGGTGGATTTGCGACATTGAGGAGCATCTTGCCAGAAACGACTGCGGCCGATTCCAAGGCTGCCATCTTGCAGAAAGGTGAGCCTGCAACCCGATCGGTATGCATTCTGTCAAGATCCCCGCAGCTGACCGCCCTGTGAACATGCTCGTAGCGATCAACTATATCCAAAACTTGGAACAGGCCGTCCGGGTGGCAGGGGGACGATTAGATCCGGGAATGACCCAGATGCCAAACCCATCAAATCAAGCTCGGCCGCAGAAACGACGATCGACATTGTCCACCTCGTATTCGGAAGCCATGTCTTACCCGGACGAGACGGCATCCGGCGTGAACGTGGCTGGCGGTCGAGGTCCTGAGACGGCTTCGTCCTCAACGACCGACCTTGTGGGGGGCAACACGGACAAGGAGAATTACAATGACGATGATGAGACGATGCGGATGGACATGGATGTGCAGGATGATATGGCCATGGCCATGTCGGACGATGACGAGGCCGAGTTTCGGAAGCGTGGGTATAGCCGTTCGAACGGTTCGTCTGGCACTGTGCCAGAACCTCAACAGCACCAGCAGCATCGCTATCAGGAACCGCAACAGTCACAACCCCACTATCACCCGAATCACCATCCACAACCCCCGCCGACGCAAACCCAGACCCCCACCGTCGGTGGTCATAAAAAGGGAGGATTCTCGCCTCTCGATCTGCTCGTCGGGGTAGCCGAACAAGCTCGACGCGTGACGGGAACTGGGAATCACAGCAAATCCCAGGCGCATGTCGACTCTGCTGGCAATCATCACGGCCATGGTCTTATTGGGAATAATCACGCTGTCAACGGATCAGCCGGGAATAATGGCTTGCCGGTATTAGCGGGGGAGAAATTGGTCAAGACGGGGACGAGGGGATCTTGGGCGCATATCGAGGTTGGGGATGGACGATGAGCTAGCTATACGAAGATGGGAATGAAACCGCAAAGGGGCGAAGCATCTCGGATGCTGCGCTTCGCAGAGGCGAAATTAGGGACGATAAGGGTATCATCATGGATCGCGTGTACTGTGTGAGCAGCACCGGCTGCCGCAATTTGGTTCTTGGGTTATCGTCGGGATCTCAAATGGTTGTATGATAATGAAAGGAGGCGTGATACGCAGTAATATCCTCCGAGAACGAATGAATTGGCCTGGATCGATATCGTTCATAGCGATATAGAACTGATGGTTTCTTAAACCTTCTTCACCTTCCCCATCTGGCTTGGTGACCTCGACAGGGCTCTTTGCCGCCCCAAGAGACGCGACAGAAGCACTTGTATCGCCTTCCTTTTGGCGATGATGTAGGTTGGCCAGACCAAACAAGAACAGCACCTTGCCGTAGTCGGGACAATCACATTCCAATAAAGAAAGCCATTTGGTGGACGGAACGACGAGTTGATCAATCCACTGACCTCGTGACTGATAGCGGGCACAATTGGACTGAGATAGATGCGGTACAGATTTACCTTATTGTCATCTATGTTGGTCTCGGCGGCGGATATCTGGGTACTAAACCTCGTTCGAGTTTTACAATCGATTGGGAGCTTCTGTATCAAGGCGACAAGACGCAGATTTGAGAAAGGAAACTAGCATTTGAGAACAGGGCGGAATGGGCAATTGGGGAGAAAGATGGCATGACAGACACCGGAGCGTGTCTGCTCACAGCGGTGACGAGACTATTCGCTGCGATGGGAGAAGAGTGGGATCAGGGTACGGCTACTGTTAGAAGTGAGGACCTGCGCTTGCTTCGTCCGAGATGTAATCCAGACCCTGCTTGATACGGGCCTGCTTATTTTCACTGTACACTGAAATTGGTATAGGTCTAGAGATATTGGAGCTAGTAGATCCGGAGTCGTGGTCAAATGGGTCATGACGAGAGTGAGACAAAAATAAGTGGGCATCGACCTTTTCGGACCTGCTCCATGAATATCGCCATGGTTTCTGGCTGTCAATAGATGTGCCAGGAGCAGTACCTTCTTTGTACTTCGTGGGGGCTTTGAACCATTCTCGAGATTCTTTCACTAACAAAGCTGCCTTCGCATAGGCATGAACGACAGTCCCGGTCAACATCAGGGTGAATCTAAGCGATCGACCCGGGCAGGTGCCTTGGTCATGCGGAGGTATAGCGCTGGCAAAGTCTATTTCGATGATGAGTTCCACAGGCGTCAGCTCGTCCTGCTATGTCTCTATCAGTTCTTGGCTACTGGCTGCTGTGCTCAATGAATATAGGTACGTGAGCGGGTTTGGAGACGCTCACAATGATCGTCGTTTTTAGCGTTTGTGCGTATTTTGAACCTATTCTATGTGCATCATGTTGTGCCGGCTGCCACCTGACGGCTCTACTTTTTAATTGATTTCCATACAACGTTTCATTTTCCTTTATTTCTCTTGTTAAATCAATAACTTTTCAGTCAACCTTGGTCTTTTTGGCGTCAGAAGGACCATCCTCGAGACCTTCCTCTTCAACGGGTCCGTCTTCAGGAGCCGATCGTTTGACGCCCTGTATGTCAGGCAAGATTCGGCTTTGAGTCAAGTCGACATACCGACGTGCGTAGAGTAGCGACTCACAGGTTGAGCTTTGGTCATCTCGGGTTCAGCCACCTCATCATCATCATCCTCCTCTGCATCTTCATCATATTCATCTTCTTGATCATCAGGTAGATCATCGAGATTCGCCTGCGGGGATAACAGGAGAATTTCGGCAAGTTCAGTCAGAACGTAGTCATAAACGACTCTTCTGGTTTGGACCTTTACGCACGTTGTAAAAGGCAGCTAGATTAGCTTTGTGGTTCTGCTGGCCGTCATCCTCGTCTTCGTCGTCTTCGTCTTCGTCTTCATCCTCATCATCTTCATCGAGTATCTCATAGTCGTCGTCATCCTGCAACAATAATAGGAAGCCTAGTCAGCGTTTCAGAATCGGATTATGTTGGATTCATTCGGATCAGCTCACATCGACGACGACCGGGTCTTCTTCGGCACCGGTACCGACATGTGCGGCGGTCGTCTCAGCTGCTCCCTTTCCCCCCGCGGCAGCGTTGACCTCGGTTGCTGCAGCGACGTCGGCTTCTCCTACGGCTTCCTCGTCTCCTTCTTTGTCGGCAGTGACCTCGTTCTTCTGAACAACCTCGGGTTCTGCCTGCAGTTGCTCAGAACTTTGAGCGGCGGTCTCGTCTTGCGTCTTGTCTACATGGCGTCAAACATCAGTATCGAGAGCAACCGATTTAGTGACGTCCTGGACTTGCCAGCTTCACTCATAGTATCGTGTACTTGGCTCCGAGTTACTACACTGGCAGAACGCAGGTGATATCCTGGGATGATAATGTTGATAAGTTGGATTTTCACAGGCATGACAAGCTCAAGGAAACCCCGAGATTCTGCTTCGGGCATCGACCGGTCGGTCATGCGGAAGCAAAAGGGTCACGTCTCATCCCAGGCTCTGCGTCAATGGCTTGAACAACTTTTAGAAGGGTCATGCAGCCGTAAGGAGCATGGGCTGAAGGGGCTGGTCTGGAGTATCACCTTGAGTGCTGCTGAAGTAGAACAGGAGACATTCCAGATCGTGTCGGCTACAATCGAGTTGGTCAGTCACGGTCTCAAGCTAGTGGGCTGCCATGAGTCACAGCCGGCTTTTCTGCTTGATCAGAACCGTTCACCATCGTTGTGTTCATTTGGGAAAGTCTTGATATACAAACGCTGAACGTTACAACTGATCTTGAGCGTGGGAGCTGTATAGCTTGTGAATCGATGCTCTTGTTACACTGATGCAACAGATCAAAATCCCCATCCGTAGAACCTCTTGCAATAACAGGAAGATCGGTTCAGCGCGTCGTCCCGGCTGAGACATTCGGTCAGGTGAACAAAGCAATTGTAACATGGAGTCTTTCCAGTCTGTTCCTTATCGCCTCGCTCACCGGTATACTTGACGTAAGGCGCCGGGTTTTGAGGATCAGGATCGATAGGACTGTGGAACCAGCCATTGCATTCCTCTTGAAATCGACATAACAACTGCCAGTAACCCTGGCGGCCGGTCTCCCCCAGCCCCTCTATCCACTGAGTAGCAGTCATACCATCCAATGGTTGACCTTGGAATTTGGGACCCAGCCACATAGCAAAGGCATGAAAGATGTTCTCACGCATCTCTTTCGCAATCAGTACCTCGGGAGACTGAGTGAGCGTGTCCAAGTTCGGGTTGATTCCAAGGACAGGGTCCTCTCCGAATCGTGGTTGCTGCGAAGAATCGTACGAATTGAAATTGACGTCGGCGGACTCGGGAGGTCCGTTGGATATGATCGTCCTCCCAGTACTGCCACTGGCAGCTTGGCTCATGGTAGTTTGCGTGGCTTGACGATGAAGACTGATGGACCTGTTCTGGTGACCCCCATGTCGCACTGGCGAGTTTCCGGAGACTCTCCGGTTGCCTCGCTGGCGATCTTCGCTGACTGTAGCCCGGGAAAGAACTCTACACACCGGGAGTTCTCTGCACAAGGTCATTATTGGCCATTCTGATTGTTTCGTCTGGACAGTCGGGGCACTCACCCTAACGAGGCAGACGTCGCTTGAGACCCTGAGTCGGAGCTTGGCTGTTGGGGCGGGGTCATACTGAAGCTCGAAGGGACAGTATCAAGTGGGTACGAACGTTCGTCTGTCATCTGAGCTGAAATCGTGTCAGGTCAATAGGAATTGACAAGTCGAGCAATTTGATTAGCGTTCGCTCGGTACTGTCCGGGGGCAGGATAGAAGCTCATCGAGTTCTAGGATCTTATACCTGAAATCCTTAAGTTTATGAGATTCCGCTTGATGAAAGGAACGCAAAAGTACGTAGGCCTCACTTGCGGCGGTACCACTCCAGACGATTGCCTTGGAGCGGTGGATTTCCTTTGATTCATATGCCGTCCTGTCGCCAGGATCAAGCGTCACCCATCATCCTCTATCAGATCGACTATGCTTTACCCTCCTGTACGATATCGTAGCTCTTCAGCCGCCTGATACACCCATGCGCAGCGCAATCACGATCTCAAGTGAATCTGACATGCAGTTCTGCGCCAGCTGCCAGTCGGTTTCAAGCTGTCGAAACCAGCACATCATCTCAAAACGCCCGATTTTTAATTTCCCCTTATCTGCGCCACCCCCTCCGTTACTTCGGAAGCAATTCGACCTCGCTAGATCGCCAGCTTACCCAATCCCTCGCCGGATAAATCGCCCCCGCGCGCGCACCTCAATGGTTGGCGACGAGTCTTAGCCCAGCAGCCCACGGTGATGCAATGCCGTGGGCTCCCTTGCCTGCCTGCTTGCTGACTCGATTGCCGAAAAGATTTCTCTCTAGGACGAACAGGTCGATCATATAACTCGACCTCATCTCATCCATTCGAGCATTAACCTCGTAAAAAACACACTACAGAGACCGCTTATAAACACACATACGCACTTGCCCACCATGTGTCCCCACGTAGACGATATCCCTCTCGACAAGTCGAACGCCGTCGCCATCGAGACCGACAGTCCCCACATCCCCATGCCCAACGGCAACTCGAACGTCGAAACATCCTCTTCCTCCAAGGATGCATCAACACTACCCCCGGCTGCCAAGCCCGTGCATCAACAGCAGAAGAAGAACGCTTACGGGCCTAGGTATTCGGACTTCTTGAGCAACACTAGCAACTGGAGCGTGAGTCGCTTTTCTTTCCCTCTCCTCACGAGATCGACTTCGGGGGAAAGGGAGTTTTCGGGTGGAGCGCGCGAGAAGGGACTGACGAATATCCATCCTATCGACCTCTTTTGCTCTTTTCGTCATTCTACCTTGACAAATTGCCCCTTCCCTCATGGTTCTCCTGATCTACGATCTCTTCTTCGATCCGACCCTTACCTTGTTTTTTCCCCGGCTGCCGGGCAAACCCTGGATCACGGACTTGGTGGAATTTTGTGGAATTTTGCTTGGCGCGGAAACTTTGGTGCATGCATCTTTTTCCACGACGATAATGAAACCACCTCTTCATCACGTCGTCGATTGTCATCCGGCCGTTTTCTACCGGCCACCGACAACCCTCCATATTTCCTACTCTACCTCGGACCGAATCAACCTCCCCTATGCAAAAACATCTCGACGACTCGCATTGATTCGTCACCCATAGATCATCGAATCTACCCTCCGAGAGGGTGAACAGTTCGCCAATGCGTTCTTCAACCTGGAGACCAAGATGAAGATTGCCAAGGCGCTGGACGACTTTGGTGTCGAGTACATCGAGCTCACCTCGCCTGCCGCTTCGCCCGAGTCGTTCGAGGACTGCAAGGCTATCTGCAACATGGGGTTGAAGAAGGCCAAGTGAGTCGGGTCGAATCGGGGCATTGTTGAGGGGGGTCGAGAATGGGGAACTGGCGAGGCTGATCTCAAGTAATCGCTGTGCTTCACTAGGATCTTGACTCACATCCGATGTCACATGGACGACGCCCGACTCGCCGTCGAGACCGGTGTCGATGGTGTCGACGTCGTCATCGGTACCTCGTCTTTCCTCCGGGAACACTCCCACGGCAAGGACATGACTTGGATCACCAAGCAAGCCATCGAAGTCATCGAGTTTGTCAAGTCCAAGGGCATCGAGATCAGGTTCTCTTCCGAGGACTCTTTCCGATCCGAGCTCGTCGACCTCTTGTCCATCTACCGAACCGTCGACAAGGTCGGTTTGAACCGAGTCGGTGTCGCCGATACCGTCGGTTGTGCGGACCCTCGACAGGTCTACGACCTGGTCAGGACCCTCCGAGGTGTCGTCAGCTGTGACATCGAGTGTCACTTCCACAACGATACCGGATGTGCCATCGCCAACGCCTACGCCGCCTTGGAGGCCGGTGCCACTCACATCGACACCTCGGTCTTGGGTATCGGTGAGAGGAACGGAATTACCCCCTTGGGAGGATTGATCGCCAGGATGATGGTCGCCGACCCGGAATACGTCAAGTCCAAGTACAACTTGCCCATGCTGAGAGAGATTGAAAACTTGGTCGCCGAGGCCGTCGAGATTTCCGTCCCCTTGTGCGTATGCCTTGCTTCTAACGGGATTTCTAGTCTGCGATGCTAATATTGGAATCGCGCCCCACAGCAACAACTACATCACTGGATTCTGCGCCTTCACCCACAAGGCTGGTATCCACGCCAAGGCCATCTTGGCCAACCCGGCTACTTACGAGATCTTGAAGCCCGAGGACTTTGGAATGAGCCGATACGTCTCGATCGGACACCGATTGACCGGTTGGAAGTGAGTCTCTCTTCGCCTCGTTGGCAGCCAAATTGGCAGAACGTCAACTGAAAAAACGTCGACTTTACCTCCCGCAGCGCCGTCAAGAGCCGTGCCGAGCAGTTGAAGTTGGAGATGACCGATGAGCAGGTCAAGGACGCTACCGCCAAGATCAAGGAGTTGGCCGACACGAGGACGCAGAGCATGGACGATGTCGACAGAATCCTGCGTATCTACCACACCGCCGTCACCAGCGGTCAGATGAAGGTCGGTGAGCAGGAGGTCTTGCAGGAGCTTTTGGACAAGGTGGGTCACATAGCGTTTCGAGAAGTGTTGTCGGTCTTGATGGCTGATGGAGATTATGATGCGCGCTCGCAGCACATGCCCCAGGACAAGTAGACGCTCGAGAGGGCACAACATTTCGGTCCGCCTATCTCTGATGGCGTAAGACCTGAAACTACAAAAGAAGAGGAACGAAGAGGACGCGGTTTACACGCCGCGGTCGGGAGATGACTCGCATACTAGATGACTCTGTCTCATTTCCTCTGAGCTCAACGGTCGATTGTTTCCATCTTGCCTGCTTGCTACTGGCTTTTTGTTCTGTCTTCTATCATCATATTGAATACGTGTATCCTTCAGGATGTGATCGGTCAGGTCGATGCATGAATGGACCTGCTTAAGGGTCAGCCAAGTCGAGCGGAAGCTAATCGTTCGAGCTTGGTCCACGCCCTTGCGCACAAGGTCAAGGTCGTTGTTGCACTTGATGCTACCTATTCGTACACAAGACTCTTGTCTCTCTGCACACCGAACATCCTGCTCTCACGCTCTACATTCATTTCGTATCGGTTCTCGAGCTTCTGATCACGATTTCTCACGACCCCTCTGACGTCCCGCTCGAACTAGACGATTCAACTGGCACAAACACGCACGCACAGCACATTCCGCATCGATCGCGACATCAAGAGCTACATTCGCTCAACTCGGACGACAAGAACAAAAATACAGCGAGACTGAAGTCAAACGAGACGAAAATGCTCAAAAGATGCATGTCTTTTGTAGCGGTGGCTGTGATAGGGCTGTCGAGCTTGGTCGGGCGGGTAGAGGGAGTCAAGTTTGAGATGACGGCGAGGGCGTACCCGGAGACGAGTGAGTTGGGATTGTTATCGACAATCGGGTTGTTTAGTTGTGGACTGATCATTGTGGCGGGTTCTCTACGTAATGATGCTGTTCCAATCCGAAGAGTGGTACGTCGTCCACCGATGCCATGAGATTGGTCTTCTCGTCCTGGCGAGCTCACCCTTGTACTCCCGTCCAACTTTACTTGATCAACTGTAGCATCTGGAACTTTGCAAACGCCCACACGCTCGTTATCGTGACTGCAAACGTCTCACCTGGAACTTCGAGCCCCGCAGGCGGACAGCTCGATCGGATAGACGTCGAGATTGTCGATGGGAGTCACAAGGGGAACGTCTATCTCGCCAAAAAGGTCAGTCGGCCGATCTTGGCAGTGGAGGTGGGGTTGGCGGTAGCTGACTATAGCGAATGACTGTCCCCAGAACATCAAGGGAGAGACTAGGTTGGCCATCACGACGCACGAGATGGCAGAGGTCGGTGTCTGCCTGAGGCACACTCTGGAACCTTGTCAGTAGCGGTCGCTTCACTTTCAGACTCGTGGCTCCGAGCAAATCGCTGATCCTCCTGTGCATGGAACCGACAGCATCTTCTTCTTTCAGCCATGGAGAGTTGACGAGGATCATCGATCTCGACGTGGACATCGGGTCAGACGCCGTAGACTACAAGTGAGTCGTCTCGTCGCATTTTGATTTCATCTTATGACCAGCCTTTGGAAAGGGAACCTCTTTTTCTCACATTCGTTTGTCTGCTCGCAGCGCTATCGCCAACCAGGAATCACTGTCGATCCTCGAAGTAGAGATGCTCAAGCTAGAGGGGGTGGTCAAGGAGATTTCGGACGAGATGGACTACCTCAAACGGAGGGAAGAGCGGATGAGGGATACCAACGGTAGGTCTTTCATGCTGTCACGGAAGTTCGTAGAATTTGCTGACGACCATCTGATCGATCTTGACCTCGGTATAACGTAGAATCGACTAATGCTAGAGTCCAGAACTTTGCAATATTCACGATCATCGTCCTAATTGCCCTAGGGGTATGGCAGGTGAGCTCTCGCCGCAGATCCAAAGTACAAGCCTCCTTCGAGCTGAATTCGACTGTTTTGCTAGATCTTGCATCTGAGATCCTTCTTTAAGCGAAAATACCTGATCGACTGAATGTCGCCGAGTGTCGTCCGAGGTTTCGGAAATGTCGTAACGATGATTGTTGATGATGCATGATCTCACGAAGAAGAAGCGCCCAGACTACCGGCGCAACTGCGCTTCTCCTCAACAGCCTCGAGGCTGGACGGTCGTATAGAGACATGTCGGCGTTGACTATGAGCCATGAGGGATATGCGTTTGTCGATTTACGTGTTGATCTTGGCGCGACCTGATCAGCCCGGGGCTCATTACGATCATCATACTACTATTCCCCTCTTGCTACCATCATGATCTAACAATCCCATACATTAGACTCACTGCAATCATAAAGATTACCCTTCTGGTCTCGCGATTCGACTCCACCCCAAGTCAAGATACAAGGCTAGGCTTGCAGATCGACCCGGTCAAGCCTCGAATCCCGCAGGTTGGACAAGGTCCACAAGCTACCGCAATCATCGACATTATATCGTCAATCCTGACTGCATGAACAGCATCGGTCGATTCAACTCGAATCCGTCCTGAGTCCTGCTCCATACCCCATTATGGAAGGCTCCAAGGGCAAAAGACCCGCTCCAATCGAAGGATCTGAGTACTTGTCCAAGCTCTTGAAATTCCTCTCGACGAACAAAACGAGGTTGGCAACTCCGCCTCATGCATCGACTGTAGGCACTCCTGTCGGTAACGTCTGGCAGCAGACGTACACCATTGCAACACTCGGACTCGATCCCCAGTCTTCGCCCTTGAATCCGACGTTGGCTCAAGTGTTCAGCTTGGGTCTGGCTTCTCCATCAACGACGCCTAGGACGGCGACGGGGAAGAATACGGTCCGAGCGGATGTCAAGCCTCTTACACTGAGACTACCTCCTGATAGGCTCCTCTACCTCTTGCTGCTCTTTCAAGACTCCCCTACCTCGTCCATCAGTTCGTCACCGAACTTGGGCAAGACGGATATCCCCGTCCCCCCTGGAATTCAGCTCGTCGCGGGAGCTGGCAGGCACATCAAAGGGAGAGAGGGAAGTCAGGAAGGGGACGTCAAGTCGATCCAGAGTTGGGTGGGCAGTTTGAAGAGCGTAGGAGGAGTCTTTGGAGCGGGAGGTAGTGGAAAAAAGAAGGCTAGCGATTCAGGGTCAACATGGACGACCTGGTTTGGAGGTGCGAAGCGGGAGACTATGGATAATGGTGAGTCCCGAACAACGTTTCTTGCATGATTTTCGAGGTTCAGCTGACGGTGGTGATGATCTGGTTGTTAGATGCCAAGTTGCGACTGATTTACGCCGCCTTTACGATATTGCCGTCATTGGCCATCTATCCACCAACTGTATCAGACCCGCTGATCAAGGAACTTCGGGATGAAGATGCCTATACCTCGTTAGGCGGTATCGACGTCAGGGTACCACTCAACGTCTTCCGCAGTCTCTTATCGTATGCCAATCTTCCTTGACGTCCTGTCTGTTCGCAACCAACTCACGCTCCCATTTCTGTTGTAGGCTGGAGCTAGACGGTTATGATCCAAGAGGAGTCTTGGTGCCCTACTTGCCCGGACTTCGAAGCCTGACGGTCAGGGACGTGCCGGACGGGGAGGATTGGCTGGAAGAGCTCCTGACCGTTTCCCCGAAGGAGGAACAAACTGGCCTCAAGACGCAGGCGGAACAGACGGTCGAAACCGGTGGTGACGACGAGTACAAGGGCAAGCCGAGATTTCCCTCGTTGAGACACCTCTCCTTACCCTCGACCTCGCTGTTTGGTTTCCCCGAGATCCCATATACAACTTTGACACACCTCGACCTGTCATCGAACCTGCTCAATACCATCCCCTCATCACTTTCCGCTCTGATCGCACTAGAGAGTGTCAACCTGAGCAGCAACATGATCGAATCCGTTCGAGGCGTCGAAAACATTCTCCCTTCCCTCAAAGCCATCAACTTGAGACACAACCGGATAGACTGCTTGTCTGGTCTCGATCGGCTCTCTCGACTTGAACGGGTGGATGTTAGGCGCAACGAGCTGTACGAGAGCGACGAAGTGGGAAGACTCGCACTCTGCCCCAACCTGAAAGAGGTCTGGGTCGGAGCGGGTAACCCGTATCTGGACAGGGAGGAAGAGTGGCGAATCAACGTCTTTCGAGCGTTCGCCGAAGAAGGGCGAGAAACGGCCTTGTTGGATGGGTACGAGATGACTTGGGCGGAAAAGCGGACGGTCCAGGCGGAGCTGCAGAAGATGGGCAAAAAGGCGGGCCCGAGTTCACCCAACCAGTCTGGGTCTCGCTCCTCGAGGCATGCCGAGACATCACAACACCGGAACTCGGTCAAGACCCCTGCGGCCACCCTGCGGAAAGATCCCTTTGATGGTGGAGCTGCGACCAAGACGATGCGGGTACACCATTCGCATGCAAGTAACCCGGCGGAGGTGGATTCCGGTCGGTCTACACCGCTGAACAAGCGGAAACGCCAGCGGATCGTCGACCTAGATGGGACTGTTCGCATGGCTTCGGAATCGGATGATGGAGGTACGGCGAGGGGTCTGCAAGGGTTGAAGCTGGGAAGCAATTCGAGCGGGGGTGAGGGGGGTATTACCGGACCGGTCGTTGGTCTGGGTCAGCTTACGAGCGAGCCCGATCAGGCGAGTCTATTGGAAGCCATGGGTGCGGAAGAGCCTGGCAATAAGCAAGTTGGGCCGTCTACGACAACTTCTTCCCATATTCGATCGAGAACGACCGATCACGACCAGGGCGATGACCCTCCCGTAAGAGCGGCAGGCCGAACGGAGAAAAAGTCGAGACGGGCTCGAGCATCCGCTTCGGTCTGGGAACCGAGCGCGGGACAGGAAGGGTCATCCGATTTATCTCCCGAAGAGCTTCGAGCTAGGATGGAAGCTCTCAAAATGGAGGTGGGAGATTCCTGGTTGAAGGTTTTGGCAGGTCAACAGCAGCAGCAGCAGCAGCAGCAGCAAACCATCGCCAATGCTACTAGAAAGCCGCCCCGCGTCGTCGAAGAAGAGCCGGACGATCCAGGCAGTCAAGCATCCCGCACGGGTCAGGAGGACCCGGACCAGGCCGTCGTACAGGTCGTCAAGCGGTCCAAGGCGAAAAAGAAGGCGGTCGGCGAGATCAAGTAGTAAGAGTGGGAGGCGCGTCGAGAATGAACGATTTCATATACATCTCCGGATGGGTTGTAAACGCCACAGAGGTATGCGCATAACATATCATATCATTTACGCTAAGACGACCGTCGACATGGATGACGGCTTGGTATGCAAGTTGATCGTTCGGACGCTTATGTCCCTCAGCGATCGCCAGCTTGGTCTTGGTCCTGGGGTCTGGCCGTCTGATCGCGCGCGATCGAGCAAAAGGTAGAAGTCTGATCGAACCGACAAGGGTACATGCATGCATGCATGACTCATTTGACCATGTCCGACTTGTACAGTGTCATTCATCATCTAAAGACTAGCGACTAGAGAGCTGGAATCGTCGTAGTACTCTCTTCTTTTCCTTTCAAGCCCGACCTCTCCTCACTATCTCCATCTCGAGCCGAGCAATTCTGCTGCATCGTACGCTCCTCAGTGCTCTTCTCCGAGCACCCGCTAGACGGTCTCTTCCACCTTCGGTTCACCTTCAAATCAGCCTAACATCTCTCGCTCCTCCTTCAAGGCGATTCACCATGTCTGAATCTCCTCTCTCTGAAGTCCCCGGATCTCCTCCGGTCGTTGCTGCTGCAAAAACAGCGGGCAAACGGGCTAAAAAGGTGACGGCGTACAAGGACGAATCGAGCGAGTTGTCTTCCGAAGAGGACGTGAAGCCGGCTTCCAAGAAGGCCAAGACGAATAGCGGAAAGGCTCAGACAAAGGCCAAAGCTCCGGCAAAGAAGCCCAAGGTAGCAAAGGATTCCGAGGAAGCAGTTGATGAGGTCACCGAAGAATCGGCTAAACCTGCTGCCAAAAAGGCTGCTCCTAAGAAACGTGTGCCCAAGGTCGACCCCTTTTCGGAAGAAGCCCTCGGCTCGCATCCATGTCGATGCGGACCTCCTGCCTCTCTCGGTCACAACGCCTCTAAAGAATCCAAATACCACACCTCTCAAGGTCCTACTCATCGCATTGGCGCCCATACGTCGGCCTCGGGAGGAATAGAGAATGCGCTCGTTAACGCCTCTCAGCTGGGCGGGCGGGCGCTGGCGTTGTTCTTGAAGAATCAGAGGAAGTGGGAGAGCAGTCCTCTGGACGAAGATGGGGTCAAGAAGTTTAGAAAGTTGATGCTGGAGAGGGATATGGGAGGTGAGCCTTGGCCGCAGTCCGGCCAGCTTTGTTGGCCTATGGTCTGATATGCCTCTCAACACTTGCAGGTTTAGATTACTCGGCAGACTATATCCTGCCTCACGGATCGTACCTCATCAATCTGGGCAACCCAGATGCGTGAGAATTCCTTCCCGTTCGCTTGTCCGATAGATCGCCAGACTCAAGACCTGCCCCGTATGCTTCACTTAGGTCAAAGCGGGAAACCTCTTACAAGTGTTTCCTGGACGACCTCAAGCGGTGCGAACAGCTTGGGATCCATCTGTACAACTGGCAGTAAGTTCGTCACCGTCCCGTGATGATTACCATCATACTGATAAGCTCGACCTTTGTATAGTCCCGGGTCGACGGTGGGAGCTTGTACCAAGGAAGAAGCGTTGAAGAACGTCGCAGCGAGTATCAACCGGGCACACAAAGAGACCGAATTCGTGATACCGGTCATCGAGAACATGGTGCGTTCTCAGATCTCCGTTTAGCGTTCGTATCCCCAGTCTCATAGTGGTTCGTACGGCCTACAGGCAGGAGCGGGGAATATTTTGGGAGCAACATGGGAGGATCTGGCTACCATCATCGAGCACGTAGAGAACAAGGACAGGGTGGGCGTTTGCATAGATACGTGTAAGTTTTGTACTGCCGTTAACCAGTGCAAACAAAGGGGACGCTGATGAAAGTCCCTCTTCAGGCCACATGTTTGCGGCTGGCTATGACATCCGTACGAGGGAGACGTATGAGGAATCCATAAGCTCGTTCGATCGGATAGTCGGGCTCAAGTACCTCAAGGGGATGCACATCAATGATAGTCAGGGAGGCGGCTTCAATTGCAAGAAGGACAGGCACGACAATATCGGATTGTGAGTTCTCGGAATAAGCAATGTGTTATGCGAAGGTGCTAATGGTTATCGACCCTTGCGCATATAGAGGGGAGATCGGAATGGCCGCCTTCCGATTTGTAGTACAAGACCCACGGCTCGCCAACATCCCTTTGATCCTGGAAACCCCGACTTTCGAAGAGACCGAAGTGTGGCGACGCGAGATGGAGATCTTGTACGAGCTCCAGGAAGTCGATGGGACGGAAGAAGAGGTCGAGGCCAAGTTGAAGGAGATGACTGAAAGCTGGAGAGAAGAGTTGAAGGCGATGAGGGAGAAGAGCGGCAAGGGACCGAAACCGAAGCCGGCCAAGAACGAGTCTGCGCCCAAGGCCAAGGGGAAGAAGGCACCGGCAGCAAAGAGGAGGCGGGGAAAGAAGGCATCAGAAAGTGAAGAGGAAGAGGAAGAGTAGGCGAGCGGGCCCGTCCAAGTGACCTTGAATGATCTGTAGCCAGGTCAAATCTGACTGTATCGAGGACCATATATGATCTCCGTTTCGCACAGACGATCAATCGGCATCGCTGTTTCATAGATCTAGCTGGAAATGCGTCTATGATGCAGTGTCACGGTTCTCACCTAGATGGCCAGTCACGCGGTCGTCAGCATCCAAATAATGGTCTACATATCATCTGGCTACAACAATCCTGTCATACAACATCTTATACAGAAGCCATAAGCCAAAGATCCCTTCGCGAAACCGTCCTTCAAATAGCTCCCCACTGAGCCTTTTTGGATCCTTTCTTCCCTCCCTTTCCCCTAGCTGACTTGGCCCCGCCCCGTCCTCCTCCCGCTCCACCTCTCGAACCACCCCTCCCGCCCCTAGCCGAACTGCCACCCCTCCCGCCACCACTCCCACCTCTCCGCTCCTTGGCGATATCCCACTTTTCCTTCCTCCTGGCCTTTTCCATCTCCCGCATCTTTCTCCTCTCCGCCTTGGTCTCAAAGCTCCGATAGTCGCTAGAGATCTGTTTGATATTGGTCTTTTCTTCAGGCGGGGCGAGGGTGCTGATGAGCTTCTTCGCCTGAGGGAGTTTGGATTGGGCTAGACGTTTCTTGGTCTGTTTTCTCGACGAGGGGGGAAGGAAGGGGATGGGTTCCGGCGCGGTCTCTGATGCCTTCTTCGTCTTCTTCTTGAGTCCCATGAGTTCGTCCTCGAAGTCGTCCTGAATGGTAACTACCGCCATCTGATCGTCGCCTTCGTACTCCTCGGCGTCCTCTTCCTCACTATCCTCGTCGTCATCGTCGTCGTCCCCACTATCGTCCTCCATCTCCTCGTCGTCTTCACCTCCGGCCTTTTTGCCCCGCCCGAATCGACCCGAAGACCCTTTATACACCGTCCCGTCGTCTCCGTCTCCTTCCGGATCGGCGGGGAGACCCATGGCCATCCTGACTTGACGAACGTTCTCTTCGGCTCTTCGTTTGAGATCTCTTCGGGCCTGTTGAAGCAGAGCGTAATATTGATGTTTGTATCGTGCCGTAGGAAGAATATTCGGATGATTGTCAAGCAAGGGTAGCATAAGGCGGCGAAAATTAAGTCATGGGAGAAACAGCAAACGAGTTCAGTCAATCACAGACTCTTCAGCGAACAACAATAAGGACGCTCAGACCGACCTCGTTTCGCTCGGCCAAGTGCTCATCATGGTCCCGCTTCTTGGCACGTTGACGTCGCTCTTCAATCTTGGCCTGTTTTCGCTTTCTAAACCCTGTCAAGAACTCCCTATGCAATACGAACAGCGCATGAAAGCGACGCAAAATCGGTATGTCAACAACTGTTCTGAGAACAAGGTTCCATTCCATCTACCGGACTTTGGCGGACGACACTCACTTTCGCTTGTCATCATCAAAGACGATCTTTTCCACCTCGTCCTGTTTCCCCCTTTTCGCCCGCTTGATGTACCCGGCACCTTCTGTCAAGAGCGAGACGTTGCTCCGTTGACCGCCGTGCGAGCGGGAGGGTCCCGCCATCTGTCGAGGCGGGAAGATTGTGTGGAGTTCCGAGCTCATTCTCGGGCAGATTGTCTCTATGTAGTGCTCTTGTCGATGATGATGTTGGGTTGGTCTCAGACTTGATTGTAGTTCACGACTTTGCAGTCGAGACGTCGAGAACTTCATCATCAAACGGGGAGGATCGATAGAAATCGTTATCAAACAATTCGATGGGAATTACTTCCGGCGAGGTCGGGGTCAATAGCTTTCGATGGGTTGATGACGTGTCAAACCAAACTCATCTCCACTTCGACCGTGATCGGCGATCAGCGACTTCTGCTGAACAATTCAAAAGATGATGAATCGTCAAAAGTCGACCACAACGACAACATATCGCCCCCGTACATTTCTTGAATTCACTCACACAGTCATCGTCTGTCTTCTCTATATACGTTACCATGACGGAAGAGGAAGAGTTGCAATTCGCACTCGCACTCTCCCTGAATAGCGAGCAGCCTCAACCTAGCACCTCCCGTTCTCCCTCTCCGATCATCCCGCAACAGACCCTCCGCCCAGAACTTCCTAGCCGTACCATGTCCATACAAGACCAACTCGCCGAAGTGAGAAGACAGCGTGCGAGACATTATCAGGATCACCAAGTGGATCAGGCTGTAGAGGCGACGAAAAGTGTTCCCAGGATGGGAGAGACAAAGGCGGGGATAAGCAAAACGGCAGCGGGAGCGGGGTCAAGCAAGAAGCGGGCTTTGGAGGAGAAGGAAGACGTCAAGACGACGATGAACGGACGCAGCATCATGGACGAAGAAGGAGATGATGATGACGAGATCGAGTTCGTAGGGATAAAGAAAGTGAAAGCCGAGCCGAAGCAAGACCGTACCGCTCGAGTGAGTTCGCGTCACCACCGAGTTCGACCTTGCCAACCCGATCAGTATCATCCAGCTAACTCGGCTCCTCTTTTCAGCCACTACCGACATCCTCTTCTTCCTCCTCGACGAATACCATATCTAGATCTTCCACTTCCTTTCCTTCCTTCCTCAACCCATCCATCCGCCTGACCCGTACGCAAGGCCGCCATCCCTCCTCTTCTACGTCTGCGGCTTCACTTTCGCGCAACACAATCTCCTTTGACCAGATCGTCCGGAAACAAGACCTACAAAAGGCTTTCATCTATTCATTCTTCATCGGTCAGGACGAGTTGTTCAAGTATCTACCTTTGGGGGAGTGGAGTGAAGGGAGAAAGTGTCCGGTGAGTGTCGCTGGATTCCGAAACTCGTTTTCTGCTCGCGCGGGGCCGGATTTCGAGTTCGACTTCGGTTGGCTTGTTCCGTCGACCTATAATGCCAACTGCGCTGACATTGATGACCTCGTCCTCCACATCCTTTATTTCTTGCATCGTCAATCTCACTCAACATCCTGCCCCGACACTGAACCTCATCTCTAGATAATTATTGGCCGGGACATGAACCAAGACCCCCTCGCGCATCAGATCGCCGCCCAACTCTCCCTCTCGCTCAACCCTTCCTCTTACCAGAACATGGACAGTAATACGTTTTCCCGGATCTCTTTGGCTGCCGCTCAGATCTACGAGGGACTTTATGGGGAAAACTATCGGGCTGTTTATGTGGAGAAGACCAGGGTTGGGTGTGGACATAGTAAAGTCGGAGTGCTGGTATTCGAGGGGTTCCTCAGGGTGAGTTCTTGGTGCGGCTTTTCTGAGTACGAGGTCATGTTTGGCGTAAGGTATGACACGGGGATTGACGAGATGGCGTTTCTTCGGCACGGCAGGTGTTTATCACGAGTGCGAATTTGATGGCATTGGATCTAGAACATGGCGATAATGTGAGGTTTTGAACATGTTCTGGATATACTACGACAGGAGACTGATGATCACGACTTTGCAGCACTGGTTCATCGTCGACCTCCCCGAACTTCCCGCTCGACGTTCCAAGTCATCCCCCACCCCGGATTTCGAGCAGGAACTTCTCGAACATATCCGCGCTCTCGGATGTCCCAAAGATTTCGTCAATTCGATCTATGCGCGATATGACTACTCCTCAGTCAAAGACGTCAGTATCGTCGCTTCCATTCCTAGTACGGCCATGTACAAGGACGAGGAGAGGGCGAGATACGGGGCGATGAGGTTGCGTGAGGTTGTCAGGCCGATCTTGGAAGAGACGGCAAAGGGAAAGGATATCGAGATGGAAATCTGCACGGCGTCGATAGGGGGGATGCAAGAAGATTGGTTGAGGGGGATGAATCACTGTTTCACGGGCGGCCGATACAAGCCTCTGGAAAGGACCGACATCCCGGCCTTCACGATGACCTTTCCCACTCGGTCGGACGTGGAAGCGACTCGGGAGGCCTCGCAAGCCGGAGCTAGTCAGATCGGGTCGCACTTCAAATATCTAGATTCGAGGTCGGAAATCAAGGCGATGTTCCGGCATTACCTCTCGAAAGACCAGGCTTCGGACGGTACCGGGAAGGGATGTCTTTTTCATCAGAAATTCTACATGGCCTTCCCCAAAGGAACGAAAGACAAGGACGAGAAGCTCTCAACGAAATCGACCCCACCTCTCTACCTCTATCTCGGATCTGCAAACTTTAGCAAGGCTGCGTGGGGGAAGCCTAACCCGGATGTCAAGAAGAAGCAACCCGCTACGGGGGAGATGATGCGTCTAGCCGATGTTTGCAATTACGAACTCGGGGTCGTCGTCCGCGGTCGAGACTTGTTGGGGATGCTGGAGCCAGGTAGCGTTTGGGAGGATGTGATGCCGCATCAGAGGTGGACGGCGAAATACAAGGGACAGGAGAAGCCGTACAATTCGGAGGTCTGGGTCAAGCGATGAATGAAGGAGTACGGAACGGATCATTCAAGCGGGGAAATTGGTAAGCATTATTATTACGAATACGGACACGATATGAAGATCACGACGACGAGTGTATAAGCAAGCAATCGCGAAGGACGCGTGTATGTCCAGCTTGATGACCTGTATCAACTTTCGTCAGACGAGAAGCACATGCGAACGACTTATGTCTGGCTTACCTGCACGGCGAGATGTGTCGCCTCCGAAGAGGCAAGATAAAGCAGCAAAGCGAGACACTTCAAGGACTATTTTAAAAGTCTGTATCCGGGGTACATTTGTCTGGCAAGGGAATATGCGCTTCGGGGCGACTGCCATTCGTGAGGGTGGGGTCTTCCTGAAGGCTGACATACCGAAGAGTGATCGAGTGAGACCATTCCATGGTGCATGTGTGCGCGAGATTACATCCCGCATGTGAGAATCGCGAGCAAATATTCTGCCAAATGAGCCAGTCCACAGTAACCTGATAAATGGCACTTGCACCTTGCAAATCGCCAATATCTACCTATGTACCTCCTCATGGTCGTACTGCTTGTCCTGTCTGAATCGAATATCGTCGAGATAGCAATATGGCAGATGATATAATGGCATATACAAGAACACCCAGAACCAGCCCGCAAAACAGATTACCACACAGAGCGCGCTTAGGCAAAGACCCGTCCGACGGCCAGCTCGTCCTCCTCCAACTCGTCCCTCTGCCTCGTCCGCCTGTCGTCCCGTTCGGACTGGACATTCTTCCTCTGCTTGTACTTTTGCCCCTGGATACGCTTGAACGAAGCTCGTGCGGAGGCGGGAGAGATGAACTCTGATGGACGCGCAGGAAATCGGATTATAAAGCAGATGGTCAGCATCGATCGATTGTACAGAAGCAAGGCAGCTGCTGTTTGACTCACCTGGGTTAGCAAAGATGGTAGGTCCGCCGAAAGATCCTTCAAAAATCCTGATCGGCGTCAAGACGAATCGAGGTCCGATCTCAACCAAGCTGGTCACGGGCGGTCCCGAAGGCTGAAGAGGGTCCTTTTCGACGATCTACAGAGCGGTTCGTATAGTTTCAAAGGTAAAGCGGAATCAGTCTCGGCCATCCGAATTCATTGAATCTTTACGTTCGGAGAGAGTGAGGAAGAGAGACCCACCTGAAAGTTACGGAACCAAATCTTGTTATCGAGCAGGGAGAAGGAGAGGATGTGGTCGATGAATGGTTTGAGCTTTCGAGAACTCTTGGGCACGCTGAAGGTCTGTGATATCGGCGCAATCGAGAATTAATCTTCAGTATTCCTGGTCAGGCCCCAAGTCTCTCTCCGGAGCACGACTCACGTGCGTCAACATCTCCCTCAGCAACTTCCACTGCTCATCACCATCCCAACCTCCGTCGAAGCAAACCAGGCCTCGGCTCCCCTTCAGACAGTTCCCCGTCATCTTCAGCTCGTCCATCGTGTGAATGTTCTGCACGTGACACTTGACCGAAGGACCGTTAGGTGATCGGGTAAGCCAGAGGTAAAGATCTTCGTGCCGACGAGCTTCGAAGTAGAGGGTGTTGTTGCAAGAGTGAAGGTCGGCGAGCTCGTTGACGAGATGAAGGGATGATTTCGAGTCGAGCTTGGCATCTGCCGGAGAGGACGAGGTCAGTCAGCGTTGTCGAGCCAGGACAGGTTGTGATCATACGCAACTAACCTTTCTTCAGATGCGGAAGGATAGCCTCCAAATCCAACATCAAATGCCTCATTCTTCCGGTGATTCCTCTCGAACTGAGCATCAACACCTTGTCCTTTCGCCTCTGCTGAGCCTTTTCCACCTTGTCCACCTCTCCCAAGACGACAGTCTTCTTCTTGCTCAGATCCTTGCCCTTGCCCTTGTCGGCCTTGCCGTTCTTCTTGACAGGGACTTCCTCGACCTCCTCTTCGTCGTCATCCATCTCGACGTCTTGATCGTCCTCCGAGTCTTCCTCGCCGGACATGGCGACACCAGCTTCGAGAGCCATGTCTTCGCCGGCAGCGAGAATGTCGGTCCTAGGGAGCTTTGATCGGGACTTGCCCTTGGCGTTCGAGGCCGCTTTCGCGGTGGTTTTCAATAGGGTAGACATGGTTGAGAGAAATTTATATTCAGTTATGCAGAGGTAAACAGGTGTGGTGCTACAAGAAGTGACAATGTAATGGATGATGATGATGTACGATAATCAACGGAGGTCGAGGTAGCTCGAACTTTTGGAGAGATCACGTGACTCGACCAGCCCGTGAGTAGCCAACAACCAAGGTACGTTGATGATGATGTCGATATCCGATAGATTTCAAGCTTCGATCCTCTAAGAAACAGTCTACAGGTTACAGGCAGCACTTCAGTCGAGACCTCAAGGAAGCGAGATATCAAAATGGTAGGTTGGCATGAAGGACGATTGGGAGAGCGACAGGTCATCGAGCTAACCATACTCGATCGATTCCGGATGTCTAGCTTCCTCTGTCTCTTCTCAATGCCACTCAGGGCAAGCCCATGGTGCGTCCTATCACAGGATGCGGTTTCCTTCTCCTCAAAGCAAATGTTTATCGTGGAAGGCTGATCTTCTTTCTACTAACGATGCCTTACCACAGCTCGTCGAGCTCAAGTCCGGCGAGACGTACAACGGACACATGGTCGATTGCGATACCTTTATGAACGTCACGCTGAGAGATGTCTACCTGACGAGCCCGGACGGCGAAAAGTTTTGGAAGTTGAAGGAAGTCTATATCCGGGGGAATGTGGTAAGCGTCGGGTTCTTCACGTCGATTGCTACCTCTCCCACTCGTGTCGCTCAAGACCGCTCATCCTATTGCTATTCGTCGACCGGCTGACACCTACGCTGACAATCACTCTACCTGCTTCCCGTTGTCTTTCGATTTCTCTCTCTCGCTCGCAGATAAAGTACCTCCGTGTAGCAGACCAGATCCTCGATCAAGTACAAGAAGACCAGCTGAAATACCGAGAACAAGCTCGGGGCGGAAACGGACCTAACAGGGGTGGACGGGGAGGTGAGTGCTTGCTTTCCCCAACCTTCTTTACCTTCATCAGAAAGGTGCCTCGGAGTGTCTGCTTGACACGTCTCGCGGTAGGATTGAGACGCAAGAGACATCGGAGCTGATGCCAGATTTCGCGGACTTGTATAGGACGAGGCGGATTCAACAACTCTGATCGGGGCGGACGAGGTGGAGCAGGTGGTGGGCGAGGCGGAGGCGGTGGAGGTGGGCGGGGAGGACCTGGACGTGGGGGTCCTGGGCGAGGCGGTCGAGGACGGGGCCAGTAAAAAGCCTATCCCGGCCCATTATTCTATGGATTGTGACAAGGAGAAAGATGGAGATTGGCCTTTGGTGAGGCTCATGTGTAATATGGTCTATCGAGACGGGACGTCCAGAAACTCGCTGGGCCTCTCCGAGATGAAATACGAAAAGTACAAACAAGCTATTGGGCGTCCAGGGCCGTTTGCAATGGAAGAAGCCTCCGCCTTGATCGCCTCGATGAGAGTAGTTGAGGCTATATACCCGCTGCTTCCTACCATTGTGCTCCGCCTGGATGATATCCGCTTAGTTCTCGATTGTTGCGAGTATAATATGTGATACTGAGCCTGGAAGCTGGCGACGCGTGGTGTTTGCTGTTACGGGAACGTTGGCAGACGACTATTATGCACGACATGTACATATCGTGTCCTTTCAGTCTGATGGTTCTGATCAGTATCAATGCTCATACGGACAGCTTCCAACATTGAGTTCTGTGCCAAATTTTGATTGCCTCAAGGTTGTTATCTGTAGTTGCCGTGTTAATAGCCTCGATCAGCTTGTCCATGATCCTTCGGTCTATGGGTAGTACCCTGAGACTGTGATCCGAATCAAATACCCCCAACACCTCCTGGGAATCAACCCTTAAGCCTCGCTCCCCTATGTTTTCCCACAGTCCAACAATTCCGTTAGGTCTTCAATAGATTCACGACCTACGGTGATATAGGACATAATGTCAGTGTATTGGATGGGTCGCGTTGGGGCTACGACTCAGAAGCGAACTTCTCAGTCCGCCGTGTCGTGAACATGGGTCTCGACCGTACGTCAGCCTTATTCGAGGCTCTCTGTGCTGTTATCCTGCCAAAATCTCGCAGAGTACCGTGCCTTCCTCCAGATCGTCCCGGCCCAGCCCTTTCTCCAACAGGTCCGCATCCCTGTTGTACCAGACAATCAGATGTAACGATTCGCACCCCAAAGGCTATGCTTTCATGCAGCACCTTCTCTGCATCGCCAAGTCGCATCAACGAACCAGCCGGACTCTGGAAGTAAAGAATGGTATTATGAGGGTCGAACGTTTCGATACTTTACAACATGTCGTCGCCGTCGATGCTGGAATATCCCAGAGATTGGGGTCTACGATTTCTATCTGCCAAATCAAGATGATCTTGCAAGTACCGCTCAGAAGGGAGAGTTGTTCTCCTTGCTAGCTTCTCCGCCGGTGTTGTCCTGCTTGCCGAGAGCCGAAGGGAACAAGGTGGTCGGTTTCCCCCTACCAGGAAAAGCCGACCGGTCAGTCAACATGAAAGAGTGATAGGACGTGAGAGGAGACTGACTTCATAAAGTGCCTCTGCTTCGAGTTGTTCAACTTGGCGGTGACGGGCGACATGAGGTTGTCAGTGGGGGACGCAAGGAATCCTCTGCAAGCAAGTGTGTGGCGAATAGTAGATCAATCAGCATGCGATACGGTCCTCGCGGTTTCGTATGAAGCAGAGAGGAAAGAGATAGGATAGGGACGTTGGAATGACAGTCGCCGATATCGCTCCCTGTTTTCGTCCAGCTTGTCGCTCCCAAGTCTCCTTGTCCCAACAATCCCGTATCGTGCTTGAATCAGGAACTCCACAATACTCCGTGCTCGCACTCACCCTCGACCTTGCCCAGCCTTCGCTCCCCCCCTTCCCAAAAGCCCCTTCTTGTGCAAGAAAGTAGGCGCAGCTTTATTCTCGTCTCCGATGTTCTGGGTGTTGGCGTTGTTCTCCATGAAGGGGTTGGGAGCCTTGTTCTCTCCTCGTTGGGCTGACGAGGCGAAACCGAAAGCGATCAGCATCGTAGAATGCTGTACGAAGATAGACTCGTAATCTCACTAGAACCGCTAGTCTGGTTGTTCTGGTTGGTCTGCATCTTGCAAGTAGCGATGACCGGTAGGATTGGTCAAGAAAGGATAGCTAGGTCAAGTTCGGCGAGCGTAGGAAAACTGATTTCGTCCGTGTCGGTTCGGATAGTGCCGGCTGTCTATCTGAGCGGTTTTGAGTGTTTGCTGATCTTGATGATTGTGTACTGTTGGTGGTGACTGTTCGAAGTGCTGATGTCGGTCGACTGATTTATGGATTCATCAATTTCATGTCACGAAGATGCGAGATGCGAGAAGTTCAATCAACAACAACAACAAACCATCCCTCGCTCCCGGTCAGACCATGGACTACTCGGGCGCCCACCCACACATATCAGCTTGATACGCGCTGACGACGATCTGGCATCTGGGTTTATACGAAAATGCGATAACAACAAGGTCTTTACAAGTGGTTCGAACAGGATTGGAGTAAGGAAACAGAGACAAGTCTATCCCGATGGTCAAACGGTCGGGTTTGGTATAGGACCAGATGGACATCGCGTTTACTACGATTTGCAGACACAAAATGGTGACGTCAGCGGAAGGAGCCCGTGTCAGGCTGTTAACTCTGGACTCACGTTATAGAACCTCCTGTTGGGGTTCTTGCCGAAGAGGTCGGTCCTGATCTCTGGCAACATCTATCAATGACCGTGTCGGATAAGCTTGCATGATCGCGTATCTGCCCCGCATGCAGACCAACCTTCTCCTCGAGAATCTTCAACCTCTCGTCCAAGGTGTTATCCACCTTGATCCGCCTGTTCATCACGCTTCCAATGACACCTCCCGAAGACTCGTCGGAAACCTCGGTCTGAAAGTCGAGCTTGCAGTCTCGGCCGGAAATCTCCTTGTACCTCTTCAGAGCGGCATCACCGGCATTGTTGATAAAGTCACCGGCGGCTTTCTGGTGGTCGATTGTGACCTCTGGTGCCATCAACATGAGAAGAACCTGAGAATAAGGACGGATTCTGTGTATAAGCCAATATATTCCCGCGGTTCCGTCATGCCGGCAACACTTACCTCCAAGATCAGGTCCTCCAAGACCTTGGTGTACTTGCCCTGATCATTCTTCAAATCCTTGGTCTTCTTGGTAGCCTCCTCAAAGATACTCTGCAAGTGTTCCTCACGAGCTCGCAGGACCTGGAGCCGGGACTGGTTCAATGCAGTCGATGATGCACTGATAGTTCGAGGACGATAAGTAGCGCTCCAGACGTAGGCTGATGGACGTCCAGACTTACATCTTCCATCCGACCTCGGCCTGCTTTCGCTTCTTGTCGAACTGAGCGTCGATCGCAGCAGTCTCCTGTCGCACGATCTTGGCCTATTACCAATGAGTTACAGATTCAACCTCGTCAACATCAAAGGCGGGAGAGAGGTAGCTAGATGGAGTGGTTCCTTGCTGACCTTCTCAATGGCAAACTCCTCGTCCGCTTTGACCTGAATCTCTCGAGCCTTCTCCTTGGCTTCTTGCGAGATGAAAGCGACCTATATCGTCAACAAAGAGTAGAAGGCGGATGCACGTATGGGTTCCGAGATATGAAAGGGGCACGAGGATGCGTAGATGAGTGCGATCGAGTCGATTTGACGGCGGTTCCGGGTATTCGCAAACAGACAGCAGTGGGTAGGAAGATGCATGGGTGAGCAATTTGACATCAAGGTTCAGGATCAGCTCCTCGTTTCCGAACCAATCCAGGCAATAGCTCCATCAATCGACTGACCATCTTGTTCATCTCGGCAGCCATCTCCCCATCGTCAAGAGCACCGGTTCGCGAAGACATTTTCGGTTGTTGTTTGGCTTGTTTGTTCCGTGTCTATGAGCAGCTATATCAAGCTCGTTACTAGTATGTGCGGATACACGTAGGATAGGACGTCGATATTACCATTCTCGGCTTCGCTACTCAGCTACTCATCATCATCATCACTCAAACGCTGGTCCTTGCCCGGGATGACGCGGGATGCGCGCTTGACCAGACTGCCACGATACGCGCTTCTAGCCAGCAAGTACGGTTCTGCAGGCAGGCATTCGATCTGAGATGTGATTATACCCACTCTCCCGACCCTACGGCATGTAAACGAACCATGCAGTAGTAATGCGGATATAGTATACAGACGGAATGGCATCACCGGGCGATCATGAGAACCGGTCTCAACGAGAATCTCCAGGTTTTTCTCTCAGCTGGATCGTGACCGGGCCGTCTCGAGCGAATCTATCTGCTATCGGAGTCGAGAATCGTGTAGCCTGCGAACCAGCCGAAGACTCTTGTTCATTCAGAAAGGCGTCGGGTATACTAATCTTGGCTCTCTCATTGATGGATATAGGTGAAGTCGGTGCCGGTTGCTTCGCTCGGCCGTCATTGTCGGTATCGTTGTGGTCGTTCGAAGAAGATTTAGGCGACGTCATGGACGCGATTGAGGGGGAGGTGACGATTATAGTATTGATGTTATGTTGGGCTTCGTCCGGGTCGCGAAAGAGCATGGCGTGGTTCTCAGCGAGGTAGCGGAGGAAAGGCGGCGAGAGATTCAGTGAAGGGCAAAACACCATGAGCAGGTTTTGCATGGTCATCTTGTTTGTCGAGCGGTGTTGATCTGTAAGCGCCAAAAGTCGCGCTGTCATGCCGATCGAGGTCAGCAATTGGCTAGTCTTAACGCTGAAAGGCTAGATGGCCTACCCAAATCAGCGAGAAGCCACCAATTTTCATCGGGAAGCTTTGCCAAGGACCGCCCCATTTGAGTACGCATCTCGTTCAACAGCGATTGCCTTCTTTCAGCCTGTGTAGCAGCAAGCTCCCGATCCCGTTTGCCGAGACTGAGTAGATTGGCCTGTCCAGCCATGGCATCCCCAATGGCATTCATGTAACCTTGGTCCTGTGCGGAACAACCGTTGAACGTGGTCATGATCTCGTCAAACTCGTTGAAGAGGCTCGTCAAGATAGGGGTCGGTACTAAAGCATTCGGGGCCGCGCATGAGCGTCCGCCGTGAGGAAGTGATCGGTAAAGTAACTCACGCTCTCGAAGATAGGATTTATAGAGACTGGCTACTGCGTGCGGGTCGATGTCACCGGGATCACACGGAACGAGATCCACGTCCGCGCCTGCGATCGTTCAGCGGTGAGTATCAAACCTGTCAACTCGAGCTGACTGTCACATACCAGCATCGAAATGTTTTCGTATCAGGGCAATGTGACTGCTTCTCCCGGATATACGGAATATACCCTCTTCCTGTGGTGCCCATATGCATACTGGGTTCAAGGAGAGACTCAGTCTTCTTGAAGCGATAGCAACAACGTCACAGATGACTTACGATGATCAACACAACGGAGCGCAACAGCAGGAAGACTTGCTATCCGTCGTTTCCTCCCTGTTGTCGAAGATTCTGCTTGCAGACTCGAGTCCATTATCGGCCATTTGAGCGCAGCCTCCCGAAGATCTCGCCCAAAGACCTCCCCCTTGACCCCTGGGACAGGTGCTTGCCTCTTGAACAACGAAGCTTCGATTGTTGGGCCGTCCATCCCATTCAGGTTTAGCGCTCCTTTACCGCCGTTGGTCGCGAGGGACATACTGGACCCGCTTCGACCGGTCGAAGAACCAATACCCGAGGACATGCTTGATGGTGGGGCGCTCGATTTCGAATTACGGAAGGCGGACCAACCAGACGATACCGCAGATCCTATAACCCCACCCCCAGCTTGCAAGTACCCTTTAGTGTTGCTGGCTGCGCCGGTCTCTTGTGACCAGGCTCCGATCCTGCGATTTACAGCACCGAAACCCGTTCGAAGCCCTGATGCCAGCCCGGTAGGATTTACGGTCGTCAGTCCATTGGCGCCGATTTGCGAGAGTGTCCGAGGAGCATCGAGCGAATGATGGCCGCGGAGAGGATCGCTTGGTGTAGGAAGGTGGACGGAAGAGCGACTCGGGGGAGGCAATAGACTGTCTTCGAAACTCGTCGCGGTCTTAAGGTTGACCCTCCCACCAGCTTGCGAATGAGCGCCCCCTAAATCAACAGCGAGGGAGGCGCGATGGTCCAGATTGTTAGAGGGTTTGCCTGATGGTATTGATATGGATGCTGAGGGAGAGTGGCGTTTAGGCAAGACCGGAGCACCTGTAGTCGTGACCTGTTCCCGATCGGTTTTTTTGTTGGTATTTAAGAGAGAATTGGCAGCTTTTCGCGGAGGAAGCGAAGGTGCTTGTGTTGCCAAGGGCGATCCTGCAGGAGAGCTCTCTTTCGGGCTTCCTCCAGTTATCATGATCTTTCCCGCTGAGGCTGTCCTCTTCAGCCAACCCGGTTTGGATGCTACAGGCGGAGGTATGGTCTTTTCCTTCTTCCGCGATGTGCCCGTGCCCTTCGCCTCGGGTTCTGTAACCTCCTCTTTCGGAGCTGGACTCTTTTCTCTCGGAATGAGAGCTCCTGCAATCAAGCTACTAATCGACGATTTGCGTCGATGTTCCGGTCGAGGTGATGACGATGGAGAGCGGGAATGCAGACCGCTAGGGGAAGCTCTTCCTGATCCCGGTCTCAGACCAAGCGATCCGTACGACGAATTGCGTGACGGATGTAGTGAAGGCGAGTTTCTGCGGGCCATCGAGCCACCGCTCTCGTCCTGAATCAGTACACGCCTCGCAGTATCAGTCTAGATGATCAGGTCTCCCTCCCTGTCTCGAACCTGGTTCAGACTCACCTCGAATCCGAGGCCTTTTACTTCTGCTATCTCCGTATCGTCTAGGATCTCAAATCCTTCTCCTGATTCGGACCTCTTGCTCTCGCTCTCGGTGATGCCAACCCGGACCTCTTGTTGTTGATCTTGTACATTTATCGAGATGGGTACGGTCTCGACCGGTTTTGGCGACCGTCTTGCGTTTAGAGCCATGGCGGATGGATCGATCAAGTATTATGAGCCGGGAAGCAACAGGGGATCTACAATTGGCCGGCGTTCAATTGTCTTTAAGAAGAGCAAAAGGCTGTGTTTCAAGAAGAAAGGGCTCACTTGTTGGAATCTCCCCCGTTCAAGAACAATAGCACCGCATCAGGGGGTGCAGACGGGTCGGCGGCCGAAACGTAAGTCACTTGAGTCCCGTATAGACGATATTGCTCGGTACTGGTATAGCTGGTCTAGCACGCTCAATCCTGCCTTGCCGATGCGATGCTATGATGAGATCGAGATCTTCCTCGAACTGATGTTTAAGGGTCTCGCGAGGCTAGCGGTTAATCCGCGACCGGTTGGCTTGGAATAGCTCGATAGATGTCCGAAGACCATAGGTCCAGGTCAAACAGCGATCGCACACGAACAGGCGTCAGTACTTCACATGAATCTTTGAGACGCCCCGTATCACAATCTAGCCTCTTTGCTAAATGTGTGCGATAGAGCTAGCTGAGTGCTGAGAGCGACCACTCTATAATCATACAGATTTGCCCCCGAATCATTACGTGACACCGGTGACCGGAAGTATATCCTCGATGACGATGTGTGTGCCTGTTAATAAGCTGCAGAAGGACTACTTGATACAACCCGGAGAGAGGTTCAAGCGATACTCTATCGATACAGACTGGAGATCGTGTTCTGGTTGCTTTGAACGTTACTGAAAGCAGCTTGGGCGAGATACATCAGATGTGCAGAAACCTGGTCAGAGGTCCTAAGATGGGACCCAATAGAGCCTTGCCTATGGTGAAGGGCAGGCTTGTAACTATAGTGTAGACGAAAGCGATAGCCAGGACGGGAAGCCAAAAGAGGAACAACATCTTGTCCACTATAAATTTTATTAAAGGAACTCCGATCAGCTCCAAATGCATGCTTAGTACAGTGCACGAGAAATATGGCTTACCTTTAGCTGGCGGAGGCGGTCGTTGCACTTCGTAAGCCAGATTGCTCCTCCTCACAGGCGTATGCACAGTAACCTGCTCTTGTCGAATCCTGCTTGACGTTTCCTTGGGCCTCCTGGAACGCAACTCCTTCCGCTTTGACGGTGTAGCAACGGGTGCAGTCATATTGACCGAGCCGATAGCCTGGGCGGTCTGTACCGCTTGCTGCCTAGCCACTTCCTCCTTTCTGGTCTGAATCGCCGAAGATTTTGTGGGCGCGGCTACGACCTGAGGAGTTGGCGCACCATCCGGGGTTTCAACGCCACTACGAGAGATGGCAGCCATGAACGCGCTCATTGGCATGGCCAACCAAGTCTGAGCGCCCCACTGTGTCTCTGAGCCTGGTATTTGGGGCATCTGCGGCATCTGAGGCATTTGAGGCATCTGCGGCACAAAGACTTGTGCTGACGGCAGCTTCTCCCACAGTGCAGGCGGTATGAAGTCTTTGATGTGTGGCGCAGGCGGCATACCTCGAGACTGCGGGAGGTGGGATAGCGTCCTCTGCAGCCAGTTGGCATTGTCTACGGCCATATAGGGAGGCGGATGATCCCCTTGCGGCGACGGCATGGAAGGTAACGGCGTGCGAGAAGCACGAGGTGTGATACTGCCTCCATCGGTCTCGCCCCGTACATCGTACTTGGACTTGGGAAGTAGCTGGGGCAGATTAGGACTGGCAGGTTCTCGTACCGCCATTATGTCGGCAGGAGTCGTCAGTCTATTCGGCGAAATCGCCCAAATGTCCTCCTCGACCGAGTCGTTGTCCGTCGCCGAGCTCGGGTTGTCGCCATCGATCGAAGACTCGCTCGTCATTGATGTTCGACGCATGCCAGGTTGAGCTGGAGAATGGCCGTGCATCCGCCTGCTACGGCTATAGACGGTAGCGTACTCGGCCCCATGACCCGCTCGATGAGCCAGCGTCGCCGCGGTTTGATTGCTGAACGTACAGGAGGCCTCACGCGCGCCAGCAGCTAGCAGCAGTCGAGCGACATTGGCGTGTCCCGCCATAGCTGCAAAGATGAACGCGGTATATCCGTTTCGATCGTGGATGTCAACAGTAGCATCCGCACGAAGCAGCAAGTGCACAAGATCGCCAAATCCAAGCAATGACGCTAAGTGTAACAGCGTCTGTCCCTCTGGTGAAACGTGGTTGAGTGCCGTCTGACCGGAATGCTTGCGTCGCGAAAAGCTTCTAGATCTCGAATCAGTCGGCAGGAAGGCGACCAGGAACTTGATGACGGCCGCCTGAACGTCCTTGTTCGTGTTCGAATAGATCGCGCTCGCCAATTCATCTGCCAGTTGTTGTTCTTCGGACGACATGTCACTTTGAGTATGCGCCATTTGATGGCCAGGCGGGCCGTTGCTGCCGTTCTGATAGCCTTGGCCCTGCTGATCAGCTCCTTGTGGACCTCCCATGATACGCCGCGCGATCTCAACAGCGCCAACAACCTGTCCAGTGACTCGCAGACCGACGGCGGTAAGCGCCATTTCCATACTACAAGATATCAAGGAAAAGTCAATATCAGCACATGTACGTTCCACAAGCGCATATGAAGAGAGGACTTGCAGTTTCCTGTCAGTAGTATCGTTGTAGGTGAAGATGGCCGGCTGCTGGCCTTGTAGTAGCTGGACAGGCTGGCCATTGTCTCCAATGACCTGAACCTGCACTGGGCCTGGGTTTGGATTCGGCGGCAACAGACAGACGAGCGTAGTGGGTCCATACGACTGGACCGTGACAGCAGGGAAAGCGCCGAACATACAAACCATGCCAGGGTGGAAATGCTCTCCCAAAATTGTGACCTCGACGCCCCCGTGAGTGGGTCCTTCAGCCGGTACCAATCGGTTGATGGCTGGTCTGGGCTGAGTGGGGACAGCTGGTAGAGGTTGCGGGACGAATTGCGTCGAGCTCGGTTGATGAGGCACTATAGGGGACCATCCCGAATTGGAAGCGTCGTGAAGATCCGAAGTGGGACTTGCAAAGTCTTGAGGTAATGTTGAAGGCGAGCTCTGCGGCGAAAAGTTGAGCATGGACTCGAAATCCGGCTCCGGTTCCAGCATCCTATGCCCCGGCTGGGTCGGATTACGAGATCAGGATCAGCAACCGTGACTGGCGAATTCCTAAATGATTCCGACAAAGCTCACCGACTGTTGAAGCAGAGCGGAATGATCCGTTTGCCCAAAGGGATTGAGACCCAACTGAGACTGCATCCGGTGCTGATTAGCCATACCGTTGCCAAAGTCGGGTTGTTGCAATTGAAACTGGCCGGCATTAGTACTAATCATATGAGCAAATTCTCCGCTCGCCATCGGGTTCATGTTGGGATCCTGCAAACCGAATTGCCACGATTGCTCGTCCAATTGCATTCCATTGGCGTTGTTGCCCAAATCGTGTTCCTGGTTGTGAAGCTGCCCCTGACCGTTACTGGCGGCCCACTGTGATAATTGCTGCGAGATCGCGGGCAAGGCGGCGGACAGGCCGTTCGGACTACCTTGCTTCGTCCAAGGAGTTTGCCCCTCGTACGGTCCGCCAGTCATGACCAGACTGGGCGAGATTGCTCCCGAGCCTGGCTCTGCCATTCCCGTCGGAACAAAGTAGGAGTTTCTGTTTCCGGTGGCTGGCATAGGCGACCCTGGCACAGACCGGCCGTTCAGCGGTGTCATCGAGAGGCCAAGTGGTGTAAAGGATCCCCGCGGCGAGACTGGCCCTGCGTTCGAGACGGCCGACTTGGCATCCGATTGAGCTTTGCGGTCATAAGGCTTTGCTTGTCGAGGTCGCTTCGAGGCCGTCGACTTTTTATCCTCTTCCGTTGAAGCAGAACTTTCTCTGATCTTTTTCGTCTTTGGCTTGGACCGCATCGGGTTGACGCCTCCTTTCGAAGACGCGCTGACTCCGCCGTCAGTCAATGCGCTCGTGACAGATGTAGCCTTTGCTGTCGGTGTCTTGTGATCGTCAGTGATCATGACCGGCGGTGTGGTTGCACTCGCAACTAGTCGGCCCAGGTGGTCATGCAGCTGGAAAACAACCCTATTTACGCATGGATCGAAATTTCAGCCATGAGCGAGCGATACTGAGTTTTACGCCTAATGAAAGCAGCTTGGACTGACCTGAATCCAGTCTTTTCCTTGTGATGCTTGCAGTAACACGTCAGCCGAGCCGGTAAATCGCACTCGCCATCGATCAGCTCTACCAACGGTCCGCAGTTGAAGAGCAATATCCGCTCCTTGTCCTCCTGCGTCAGTCCCTCTTCATCGACAGGCTCGTAGGCAGGTTCCAGACCTAGGTGAGACGTCGATACCGCCTTCTGCCCAAGCCCATTGACAGGTTCGTCCGACTCAGACGGTGCCACGCCCTTTTTCGCGGTAGGCGTCCTAGCCTGAGCACGCCGACGTTCCCTATTCACACATCGAGCACAAGCATACGCCCTGACAGGGTGATCCGTGCACCACACCTCGGTGTAGAGGAACAGGACCTCTTCTGGCCGATAAGGTCCCAACGAATTCGGATCCCCTGCCTTGTCTGCGGTCTTCCGAGTCCTCCGTCTGGCACCCATTCCAGCTCGGATCTTGACGGCCTTGTACGTCCCAATCTTCTCGAATGGACTGTGCCACGGGCTCTGCGGGCCGGTCCCAGGCACATTCATGTTCCCGTTCATCCCATCTACCACGTCAGCTTGTTGACCGTACGGCGAGTTGAACCCATCCGACACTTGACCCGCGGCCGCGGCTGTGTTTCTGGCCACGGTGATCTTCATTTTGATCTGCGTTTCCACTCTCGACTTGGCCCCCCGGCGTTTGATGCCATGGATGAACAGCGGAAGACTAGCGCGTACAGAACAAAATCTATCAATCTCTTCGTTCTCATACGAGGTTTTTTCAGTTGATATCGATCGGGACATACTTGTTCAACGTAGACGAAGGCGGACAAGAAACCTTCCAGTGCTTGGTGCTACTATCGTCCTCCTCATTCGAACCAGTCGGGGTCGGCATCGTGCTGGTCTGTGCGCTATACGGCATCCCATAGGGGAAGGGTATGCCCTGTCCGACTCCCGCAGACACCTGCTGATGATGCTGCTGTTGTTGGTGACGATGTTGAAGATGAGGGTTACCGTGGACCTGATTATTGTTGTTGCTGCTGTCGCTCATCAACCCCATTCCTGCAAAGTTCGCTCCGATATCCCCTACACTCGATGTCGAAGCGATGGACGTTCGTGGTTTGGCAGACCGCCTTGGTTTCCTGTTAGACCCGGGAACCGACCTCGCTTGATCAGATTCGGCATCGGTCAGGCCGACTCGCAAACCGACAGGAGACGGTGGAGGCATGCTAGCGGGGACGGGGACGGCTTGGCTGAAAGGAGCCGGTCGGAAGGTGTTGTTACGAGCCATGACGGGCGACACTGACGAGGATGCTGCGGTTCCTCTTGATCCAGGACGATGCTGGGCAAAACTAGAACTAGAAGGTCCTGGTTCACCCATGCTAGGTCCATTCTGAGTCAATGGCTTGACGTCTATTCGGTGTGGAGAATGGCGAGGTGATTCGTAAGGGCCGCTAGTGTTGCCGATGTTGCCGTTCGAAAAGAGATTCCTCTGTTGCGCTTGGGGTTGCGTATACAAGAAGGATGGATTGTTCTGCGTATAGCTGTGATTTTGGTCATGAACGTTCGGCATCCCGTCGAGGTTGTTGAAAAACGACGTCCCGTTTCCATTGGGGTTCGCAGCCATAGGGGTGTCATCCGTATATCCCAGTTCCATATGCATATCCCCCGTCCCGTTCTCATATCCGTGCTGGTGAATGTTTCCCTGGACTCCTTGTGCTCTCCCAGGATGTCCTCTTACATCGTGTACCAGTCCATCCTCCATCTTGACCAGTCCATCCATCGTCTCTTCCTGTTCCACGTGGTCTTTAAATGCCAGACCTCGCGGTGCGGTATCGATGCCTCCCTGACGTTCGGGTGTACTCCCCGGGAAACGTATCACGGGGAATGGACTCCGGTCGTCCTCGATCGAGTTCCGGCTAGAGATTGTTGGGAGTGATTCCGAATCTGCAGAGGTCGCTGTGTACTGGGTGGACGTGGGAGAAGGGGACGCTTCGATCATTGCTTCATAGTAGCGACGATGTGAGCGTTTCCAGTGCGAGTATGAGAGATGGAGGCGATGGGACTTGAACGATCCTAGTCGACGACGATTACGTTCGCGAGAGAAGCCAACTTTGAACTCCTTTTTCTACTCTCGACTCGCCAATTGCCGTTCTAATCAGGCGGAGGAGATGTTGATCGCCTCGTCTGATCCGGTATCTTGACCGCTTGCCGCTTGATTGTTCGGCCAGCCGGTCTGCGTGCTGGGAAAGGTATACACGAATACGATGTGCTATTATAAAAAGGTCGCTTCGGCAGTGCGTAGTCGTAGTATCGTCTGCTCTCGTCCAGGCTTCCGGATCAAAGTTCAACCACCACAATTACCACGATCGAGCTCCCTTGAAGAGTCCATGAGGTTGCTCGTGAAAGAGTTGAGAGCGTGCGTGCGGAAGCAAAAAATCCCGTGTGAACCAAAAGTTACCAAGTCCTCGGACTGCGGCTTCCAGTCAGATCACACCCTTTTGTGAATCGAGTGCGACTAGCATGGCGACTGCAAGATCGGGTCCACATCACCGAGATATACACACACGAGGTCTAGAGAGTGTCTTCAACAGAATCGGTCTTCACATACAGATATACTATAGATTTCGGGTGTCCTAAGGCTCAGCGAGACCGCCTCACGCGACCTTTGTTTCAGATCGACCTCATGTCATACGCCACCTGCAATTCGTTGCGATTCAAGGTGATCCTCTCATCCTGTCCGTTCATGACCTCCAAGAAGGTCGCCCGGATTTAGGGCTCAGCCATATGCGCTATTTATGGCCTGGATATACCGATATCATGAGAAGCCATCCGCGATCCGGTATCTGGTCTAAACACTCAGTTTGAGACGGCAAGCGCACAAGTCTTTGTACCGAATGCCCCGTCCAACAGCTTTTCAAGACTGGGCTCGGTAGTCGACGACCTATGGTCGTTCAGACCTCACCAGATGAAGCTTCAAATGACGACTGTTGGTATTGCAAGCCGTCATAACCTTCTCTGTTCGCTATTTGTGCGAAATCTTGATGGCAATTCTGAATGGTAGCAGCTGGGCCTAGCCAGGTCATCTCAAGCATCAAAGATAATATTGTTCACATCTCTGGAAATTAACAGACTCGCCCACGATGATGTAACAGACGTTCAATTACGCTTACCTCACAGAACCCTGACCAGTTCGGGTCACAACTATATCGGGACCGATCAGCTAGCTCCGGATTGTCTGCCTTCTGGTGGTGGTAGTGAGTTTATATGGTAGCAGTCGACGGTCGTAGCGGTGATTTGCGCGACGATGAGAGTAAAATGGCCATTCTCGATCCAGGGAACGAGTCAAGGCGAGCCGAAGGACTTGTTCTGGTTAGTCCAGAGAGAGCTCACAGTCCAGCGGGCTCCATATCAGATATGGATGAACAGCGCAGTACATAACCAGAGGCTTCATTGCAACCGACCCAGTCACAGTCTACGCCAACGGTTGACTTAGGTCGACCGAGATCGATCCCAGAACAACGGATCTTGATTGTTTCGGGACTTGGGGACCAATAAACTTTATTTCATTTACTTAGATTTCATGCTGAGGCAATACAGTTCGATACGTCAAGTCAGAGCTCTGCTCTACTCGATCCTGTAGACGAGCTTGGTTCCGGAGACCTTGCCGGACTGACAACAGGATGATTCGGGACGGTCAGTAATCAAAGCCGGTCCAAGTAAAGGTGAACCTGACGACGCGGGACTCACCTTTTGGAGCTCGAACCCATCAAGAATGTCATCGAGACCGCCGGACTCCTTGACGGGGTTGGGCTTGATGTTGTGCTTGGTGATAATGTCCGCGATTCGGGTATGGAAGTTGTTGAACCAGTCTATGATCAGGTAGGTCAAGATGACGAGGGTGATTATCAGCAACAGAGGGTAGGTCGAGGCGGATATCAGGTCTGCTTTCTAACTAACCTCGGTCACCGGGGATGACGGGGAGAGTCATACCGGGGAAGAACTCGAAGGACTACAAGAACAAGCACACGCGTCGTCATGTTAGCTGGAACATCTCGCAACCGACGTCATGTGTGACCGCGACGAAGACGAACAATTCCCATGAACGTATACGCCAAAATAGTTTCCACGGTTACGCTCTTCTCCTTTGCCAACAATTGGGTCTTCTCGTCGGCCTGCAACAAGGCGCTCAACTTGCGCTGTTCCCCGCCCAGGGACTTGTCGTCGGAAAATCCGTTGAGAGCGATCCCAAAGGATCCTTTCTCGGAGATGGTGTCCAGACCGATGGAGAGGGTGTTGTTGGTGATCCTCTTGATCTCGGACGAAGCGTGGTCAGCGTCCTTGTACTGCGAGCGAGGTAGGCATGATAGGGGTCAGCAAAGTGATTCGACGATTGAGCTTGGGTAGCTAGGACGCTCACGTCAACGACCTCATCGGCCCCGTAAGACTTGACCAGGTCAAAGTTCTTGGGACTGGCGGTAGCGATGACCTTGTATCCAGCCAGCTTGGCCAACTGCGTAATACGGGATCGAGCATGATAAGCTTCTTGCATACCAGGAACTTGTGAAGGATTGGGCAGGCGACACGACTCACCTGAACGGCGAACATGCCGACGGCGGTCGATCCACCGTAGACGAGGTACCAGTGATCACCCTCGATCTTGGCCGGAGGGTACTCGTGCTTCTGTCGCCTATACAAGACTCCGGCAGCGGTGATGAACCCGACTCCATAGACCGGAGCGTCCCTCAACCCGACGCTCTCGGGGACTTTCCAACAAGTATCCGAAGGTACCCTCAGGTACTGGGCGAACGAACCCTTGGTCGGGAACTTGCCGCCGTGGACCATCCCGGCGATCTTGTCACCGACTTGGAGCTTGTTGGGGTTAGGGCAGATCGAGGGGATGGTGACGACCGTTCCGGAAAAGTCACACCCGATGATGGCACCGGGGACGGAGAGGCCGGGGATGGAAGCGTGCTTCCAGTCTACCAGATCGACATCAGACCGACCGAAGGAAGCGGTATGAAAGATGGTAAGAACCTCGCGATTACTCGATAGCACAGCACGTACCGGTAGGGTTCTGGGCGACGTAAGCGACCTTGACCAGGATATCGTTCTCCTCCAGCTCGGGGAGAGCAACCTCCTGAATAGAGGCAGTCTTGCCCTGAGAGTTTCGCGAGAGATGTCATCATCAGAATGGTATCGCATGACACCTGATAGTGACTGTGGAGCGGGGAGAGAGCAGGAGACTTACGGACTGGTCCTCGACGAGGGCACGCATCTTTCCGGGAATTTCGAGAGACATCTTGTGTTGAGGTTGTTTAGCTTTGGGTTGGGTGTGGTTGGGTGTCGTGTACGCGAGGTCTGAGATATATAGCAGTACTATGGGGAATCAATTGAATCGATGGTGGCCTGGTGGGAAGTAGTGAGTAGTTATATGTACCAAAAATGTGCAACAAACTGCGTGGAACGAAGGGGAAAGCTTCTCGCAAAGGTTGGGTTAGATCGAGTGGTTGATGAGTCATCCTGTTACGTAAGTGAAACAACAAGTTCCGATCGACCGGTTATGACGATCAGCCCGGTCGAAGATGACCAAGACGATCCCCAAATATAGAGGGGACCGAGAGTGTGATAATCATATGCCTTCCTGGTCGCCGATGGTGAAAGGGCGGGCAAGATGTTCGACCTACAGAGAAGATAGAGCGGGCGAGAATGCATGGACAGACTCTGAGGATGACAGTCGAGTCTGAAAACCTCGAGCGCACGGAGAGTACCTTGGACGCGGATCTCGACGAAGATCGAAGGATCCGGGCAGCTGTTGTTTCCGATCCTCGCGTTTCACGTTTCGAGACGTTTGTCTTTCAACCAGTACCATTTTCTCACATCAGCTCGTCATATGTTTATCATCCGGCGGCAAAGTATTTGTGGTTTCGTCTTCTAGGTGTTGTAGCAGTCTGCGAATCAGACGATCTAGCCAAAGGGGGTGGTGTCTGATGACAACGGTGGCGTGATCTGGCTGAAACGGCATTCCTTTGTTGTCAGGGTTCTGTGACGCCATTCAAGTAGTTCGTAATGTTGCTCGTATATAGGCATGCTGAAGGTGATGGCAATATGGTTCTGACGGGGATGACCGTCTGTCGTTCTGCTCAAGCCCGCAAACGCTTTCATATCACAATGAGTGGAACCGACGTCAACCTCTCATTGGCATGCCCCGACTTCAGCAGAATCGCAACCGCTGAATCAGCCCAGAATAATCTCGACAGCAATAACGAGGTCTCCTTCCACGGCTACACGACATCCGTTATCGCCAGCAGTGGCTTCCCGAGCTTTCGAGTCGACTCTGTTGACTCTCGCCTCCGGCGGGGCTTAGCGAACGCCCTACACATACGTCCCAGACAACGGACTTGGAAGGTGGCTTACCTTCCAGAGCTAGAAAATTGCAGTAGAGGGTCAATTCATACCGTGCCCGGGCTGTCGAACTCTGATGCTGCCTCGGTCCTCAGCAAAGCGTGGCGGGGAGTAGGTGGCAACCTGCGAGAGCAAGCGCCGCGCCTAGCCTCCAACCTCCAAGATATGGGATTGACTTTTCACCAACGTGCCCAGCAGGAAAAATTGGACAGGTATCGTGACAAATTGATCGCCAAAATTTTGAAGCTGTATCAGAACAGGACGTTCAGGGTTGCAGACTGGGACACGTCGGATGACTTCGCCAACGCCACTCATAGTCGTATCCGCGAGATCTGCCTGTGGTACAATGTGGCCAACCCTGATGAGATCGACGAGGAAATCAAGCGATTGACAAAGGCGATACTGAAGCACATCAAGAAAAGACCGGATGGAGAGTTGGTTGAAGCGGTTGTGAAAGGCGCATTTGGGAAAACTGGTTAGGAATGTATGATTAGATATGTGGCAAACTCGTGGTCGCATGTCCGGCTGCGGTTCTTGCTTTGGGGCCGGTGCAAGTATGTGAAACGGGTATGGATATGCAGTGGTGTAGAACTGCAGCTCTTGGACCTCATTGGACCGTTTGGCCTCGTTTGATAGCGAGTATGTACAATCTATGCGACGCTCGCTGGTGCCGACGACATCCGACCTGGATCCACATTCGGGTCTGTCTTGGTCGTGGTCTCTTTCCGTCTCAAAATCTCCACCTAAACGCGTTGGCAACATAAGCCCAGAATGGACCGATCGAATCAGCTTACGTTCACTATGATTGGATATTCCCTTATGCTGTCTTTCCCGGCCCCCCGCCCCGCTTGCTCTACTCACGTAGTTACCCGGAAACCAACCCGTCCTCCCATCCCTCGTTCTACCTCTCCACCAACCCAGTTCTTTCCCCCCTGAAGAAGCACCCTCTTCGAACCTCTGCATGACGGCGACAATCTCGTCCCTCTTCAACGCGAGTTCGTGTCCCGCCGTCGGTTCAAAGGGGAACAGAGCTCTGGCAAAAGTGATCGACCCCGGTTGTCCTTGTGCTTTTCCTCCCACCGCATTGGGACTGCTATTGGTATTGACAGGTCTTCCCGTGGCGTCCAGCATGGTACCAGGGGCTAACCCTAGAGCCGCCCTCTGTTTCTCTTCCTGCAGCTTCGTCAACAACCTGATCAACTTGGACATCAACCAGGGTAATCCGATCGAGGACAAGAGGAACAAGATCAGGGGTTTGCTCGAAGGGCGCTTAGATCCCGTCGGTCCGTTTGGTGGGGAAAGACCTTGATCTTTCGGTCCGCCTGCCGCTCGACCGATCTTCCAGTTCCATTCTTCTGCCCAGTTCCCAGGGTTAGATGATGAAGAGGAAAAAGCGGACCGATCGCCCTTGATCCACGCGACGATCCTCTTCCCCAATCTCAGGACCGAAAACACCCCCAAGACCTGTGCCAGGTAAGTCTTCAGCCCCCCTAGCTGGTCGGCCACTCCGACCATGGCGAAGAAGGACGAATGGGTCGCTATGTAGGTGCTCTCAAAGAGTTGAGCGAGAGAGGTGAAGGCTCCGACTAGGGACTCCATGACTGCGAATGCAGGGGCGGTCGAATTCTGGATCTGGTTTGACAGGGAAGGGGGTTGGTTATAGGGATCGTTATTGTAAGGAGAGTATCCGTTGCCGTATCCACCGCCATAGGCTCCTCCCATACGTGAATAAGCTGAGGGTCATCAGAGGAGAAGGAAGATGAGAGAACCAGACCACTTTGAGCTTGTGCTGTCCGTCCCTATTGACAGAGGAATAGAGGTGACCCACGAGAACCGCCGTATCCACCTCCATACCCTCCCGCTCCGTATCCTCCACCGTACATCCCCCCAGAAAGTCCTCCTCCATAACCTCCATAACTAGCTCCCCCATACCCTCCACCATATCCGCTCGACATGGGGTTCATCCGGGAAGCGTAGGAAGAAGGAGCCGCCATCGAATTGTTCGGATTGTATCCTGTATCGAACGACGTGGACCAAGGTTCGCTCGTCAGCACAACTCGATTCCGACTCAGCAATGAGCGGCTCGACTCACCGTTCACATTCGCACCCATATCACCGGGTCTTTCTGGTAGATCAGGTGCTCTGTCTGTCGTCATGGTCGTCGTGTTCCCGTTGGTCTGGTCGTGAGCGGTCGTGTGAGAAGGTCCGGCCTCTGCGTTGTTGCCGTTGCCGGAAGTCTCCCAGGTTTGTGGCGGTGCTTGTAGAGCTGGGGCTGGTGATGACATGTCGGAAAGGAGGGTAGTAACACTATGACCGATGGACTGAATGTAAGTGAGAGCGAGCTGAACAAGCAAACTTCACAAGGATGTGTTTGTATGGTCGAGGTAGATAGGTACTCGCTCCGGCTAACAACTCCTCCTCCCCTCGCCGCCGCGGTCAACGCCGGGGGACGAAGCGGACATCGTCACATCATCCACCATCATCGACCATACATACCATACAAGATCCTTTGATCACTTCAATCATATCATCCATCTACGATCCTCACCATCGATCCAGTCTAGAACACATAGGGGAATTATTTCCACACAGGCCGCCCGCAATGCCCGGTAAAAAACAGCCCGTAAAGGGTAAAACCAGTCAGTATCCCACAACTCCCGCTCGTTCCCGCGAGAGAGATGTTTCACATCGTCGCCTATCCCATGAACTGAGTGTGTTGTACGCATGCAATGAACAGCTTCTTCCCGACCGACTGCCAAGTCCACAGCTGCACCTAAGCCTGTAGCGCCAGCGGTTAGGAAGACGATCAAGCCGAAGCGGACGGTTTTGCAGGCGGAAAGGGACGAGGAAAGCGATCAAGAGCAATACAATGGCGGAAAGTCAAAGGAGGTCGAACCGCGAACCAAGTCGACGAGGCTCAGGAAGACTACGAGGCAGGATCTCGAAATTAAGCAGTCTCTAGACGAGGACGAACAATATGAAGAGGGCGAGGATGATAATTCGGACGATGAAGGTGATCAAGATGAGGAAGACGATCAGGATGACTCCGAAGACGCCTACCAACCCGCACCTCAGCCCAAGAGCAAGAAATCTCAACCTCAACCGACAATCAAATCGACCAAACCTAAAGCCAACCCTAAACCTCAGCCTAAATCCACCAAGAAATCTGTCGACACCAGCTCAAAGTCGAAATCTAGCGCCACCGCCCGACCTCCTCTCCGAACTCTCAACCCCCACTCGAAAACGCAGCAAAATACTGCCGAAAACCGAGCAAGGGGTGTCAAGCGATCTGCGAAACAGCTCGAGAGCGATTCTGAAGGAGATTCGGAAGGAGAAGCAGATGGACGGGGAGGGAAGAAGATCAAGGCGGCGGATGGTGAGGCTGGCGAGGACGACGAAGAACTCGAAGAGGAAGGTGAAGATCAAAGGGCCGTACAAGTGACAGATCACTCGGATGACGAATCTGAAGAAGAGCAAGAAGCAATCAGTACTCGTCCGCTGTAAGCTATATAGCGTACATTCAGTCATAACCTGCGATCAAGCTAACGTTGCGATCGTGCTGATCGCTTCCGGACGGATGCTTTCTGGCTTTCATAGATTGACGGAAGCTCAGCAAAAGATTTCCGGTATGTCGACGCTATCCCTTCTTCTCTGTTTTTTTTTTGAAATCCTGTATCTCGCCTCGCTTGTCTCCTATGCCATACCTGTCTCTTCCTTTACCTTTGTCTTATCTCTCAATCCACCATAAACTGACTGCGCCGCGCCGACTCCGCCCCCATGACCTCATGCCAATACGTAACAAACGAACATCTGATCGGTTCTTTCACAATCCAACAGATAACAGCAAGAAACAGCAAGCTAAACGAAGCAAGGAGAGAAAAAAGGTCCTAGACAACGCCTGGCGGGAAGCGGCCGTTCAGATGCAGGCGAGAATGACGGGTGAACCTGAAGGGGGTGGGTCCATCGGGTGGGAGACTTTGTGAGTCGACTGCGAGATCGGACACGTTCGTTTCTGTGAGCGGTATGAGTGATCATTTAATGAACGACCATTCTTGTGTATCACGCCTATACGTAGGATGGAGGAGACTGAATCGACATTGAAGACGATCGGGACGATGTTACAGGAATTGGAAGAACAACAGGAAGACGTTTTGGGAAAGACCTTGGACGAGGATCTCGAGACATACAATGTCGGTAGCCTAGGCCCACTGATGCCAGTTGACCTCTGATCCTGCACTCCTGAAACTGACGAGCCGTGAACGGTCATTGAAAAGGAAGCAGCCGCGCCGATGATCGACCAGCTCAAGGAGCATGTCAATGTCTACTTGGCTCAACATGGAACCGTCATCATCGAAACCGGCGACGAAAGTGAGTCTGACCGATCTTTGCGTACTTGCCGGGGCCGCGCCCAAGCTGAAGGAGAACTCGCGCATACTTTAGTGAACAAGTTCCCCAAATTGCTGGAAAAGGCGCAGAAACGTGCGGTCCAGCAGACGAAACGCAAAATGCGGGAGCAATATCAGATCGCTCAGGTAGGCGCTACGCTAGCGGTGAGAGTGTTTGCGCTGCCTGTGGCTGATTGCCGTCCGCCTTTTCCTTCGACAGAGGAACCTGACGGCCAAAAATTATATCAAGAGCGTCGCCAAGATCATGGGCGTCGACTTGACCCCTTTCCGGGATTGAACATCGGCCGTCCTCCAGCAGGATTGAAACATTTTTTTCATCGCAAATAGCATCACAAAGAGATCAAGCGAGCATGTCATATGTAATAAAGTGCATTAGATTGTTGGATTATAGAAGGGCAATACACGTGTAGATCACCCGGCGAGGACGATGCTTTGTGAGCCTGTGGGCAAGTGATTATACAACATTGTGCTTTCCTGGTCAAATCATACTGAGTTACAGGCGCAAGATCTCCCACGGCGATGCCTGCGGGAAGATCAGTTCTTCTGCCACCGCAGTTGGGTACGATCTTTACTGGCTCGAGGCAAGTTGGCGTAGATGTACTGTGGCAGCAGGCAGGACGTCAGGCTGCTGAAGACCCCAAAATCCGACTTCTCAAGGCCACTCACGTTGATGGCGTTCTGAACACCGTTCTCTCCACGAATTTTCTCTCCCAGCATGGCAGCCCTCTCAATCATGACGGTGTCACGAGTTGCAGTGTGCAAGGCCTCGGCCATCTCATCGACATCGAGACTGCCGACCTTGACTCCGACTCCAAGATGGGTAACTCGCGTAGCCGTAAAGTCGCGAACAGGGTACGGGTCAGCACGGGAAAGTGACAAAACAGGGCTCTCGTCGATACTCATCAGAAGTACTGGTCTCCGAACCAGGGTTTGATCAAAGTGGGCAATCCGGCCGTCAATGAGGCACCCACCGTACCAGCACCTGCAATACGCCATAGTGGAAGTCAGCCGGCGCCATCGTCACTCCGACCTGCCATTGACTCACCTCCGTGATGCAGCGCCGCCTTGACCTTGGGGAACAGCCAGCCGTGAGGTACCTTGTCGACCGGATAGCAGTTGGCAGAGTAGCTAGGTGATTCCGACTTTTTCTCGTCTGAAGTATCCGCTCCCTTGGACGACCAGCCCTTGGCGATGATAGCCCTAACATCGGCTATGGATTATATGTCAATATATCAGCGAGTCGTCTTCGCCTCGAGTAGAGTGTCCTGCACACTCACCTTTGTCGACGGCTTGAACGATGTTTCGGGTAACCATGTCGGGATCGGGCACGGTAATAGATCCGAACCCCTTTCAAGGAAGACAGGTAAGGCACGGTAGCCGGAAGAGCTAGAGTGGTTACACTCACGATGTAAACCAAAGGCTTGCCGTCCCTTTCTGCTTTTTGCATAAAATCTTCCAGGTCGTCAGGTGGAGACCAGTCGTTGTCCGAGTTTGCAAGGTTCCAGTATCCAGCTGAAATTGCAATGAGTGTTAGAGGCCATACTCAAGCTGCAAGTTGAACGAGCCGACTCACTAATAGCACTTCGGAGAGCAGAAGCCCAAGAAAGTGAAGCAAACGGTCAGCGGCGAGCGTCGACCTCGTACCCTACTACCCTTGTACCCACATGTCCTGCAAGAGAGATGTCAGGACGCCGTCAGTATGTATGCTCGCAGCGGATTTCATGATGAAACTCACATCGTGCCAATCGAGAGGTTTAGGAACTACGCGACAGAACCGATGCTACGTAAGTAAGGGCAGCATTTGCATGACGGCTGACGGACATACCGATGAAGGGCGAAAAGTTGTACCTGTGCGAAAAGGCATGCATCAGAACCTGAACAAAATGGTTGCACGCGCGCTCAACTCACATGAAGGGAACCTTTGTCTGTGACAAGTGAGCCATGTCAGCCGCTGGCAAACCCAGCATTTCCTTCCTCCAGGGGTTGATCTGAGGGGCTGTCGCTTTCCATATGATGTTGTCGAATATCACGTATGAGGAATAGTTGAAGCCAGGACCCATCTCGACAGCGGGCACCATGAAGGCATGAGGGTACTTGACGGTTCGGGTCCAGGGCATGGTGAAGGCTCTCATGTAGGGAATCTTCAGGGCTTCCGCGATATGGATACCCGCCATAGTGCTAGGACTCTCGATCAGGACGTCGACTCCCTGGCAAGATTCCCAAGAGTCCCGGAGCAGGTCGTCGAGCCAACTCTTAAAGTTGCCGAGGGATTCCTTGAAGAATCCAGGGGAGAACATGGCGTGGTCAACCGAAAGCTTCATCAGAGCCGCTGGGTCGCCTCCAGCCTGTCGGTGCTCGATACCGTAACCCTCAACCCATTCCTTGAACTCGTCTGGCGCGATAGAAAGCTGTCAGTCATTGCCCCTGACATTTTGCAATGAACGCCGTCGCTTACCATGAGTAATGATGACACATTGGTGTCCATCCTTCATCAAGCCAAGGGCTAAAGCGATGTACGGCTGAATGTCGCCTCGAGACCCGATCGTACTGTGTCGAGCGAAGAGGATCGAAGTCAGCGATTTGTCAGAAGTGAGGTTGGCCCATTCCACCCTCACAGCATTCCAAACCGACGAGTGCTGATTTTCTGTCTTGAACCGTAGTCATTGACGACGGCCGGCAGATGGGCCAAAGCATGATCCGGTACCGAAATGTTCATCGAGTCCTTGGGTGTGACCCCAAGCACCTCAATCGTCCTCAGACGGTCCCGCGTCTTCTGCTGGAGCGCTGAATCATCATCGAATGCATCGACGTTCAAAGTGTTCATGACAGCAGCATCACGCTCCCGACTGTTTTCTTCCTCGGCCTCTCGCGCATCCAGCTCCGGATGCTTTTCATGCAATTTGGCATGCTCGACAACCAAGTCGTTGATTCGCTTCATTGTCTAGCAAGGAGGATCGAATCGTGTGGGCATGCAAATCGCTTAATGAACAGTACGCAGCCGAAACTCACCTTGGCTCGAGCTTTGGGGCTGAAGAAGTCGAAATGCAAATCGTGACGCCCAGATACCTTGACCGACATGCCGCGGAACTTGAATCTGAAGGCGTCGATCGGTTCGGCTCCTTTGATGTCGTGAACTGGGAATCGATACTGAACGATTTTTGGCGACTTGATCAGCATACGAGTTGACCGGAGCAGCCGGTGACCAACTCACCTTGATATCGGGCACGGGACCCGCACTCTTGCGCCAGAAGCAGAGATACTTTTCCGACAAGATGATGTGGCCTCGGAAAGGCACGGTTCGGTTCAAATAACACCGCTTCATCCAGACCGGTTCCGAAACATTGATGCCGAATATTGCCTTGGCAATACGAGCGTTCTGCTGCTTCTTCTCGGTTCTTACTCCGCCAGGATTGCCAAGACTCTGGTTGGCATTCTGGTCAGCCTCGGTTTCCGAGTCGCTGTCACTGCTTGAATCCTCGGAATCTGAGTCGTTGCGATGCAGATCTGCTTCCTTCTTCTGTCTCTTTGGCAGACGCTTGGGGGCCGGTGGGTCAGTGAGGACGTGCTCGGGCAGACCAGCACCTCCTTCCACCTCGGGCAAGCGAAGAAGGTCAGACTGTCCGACCTGGAAGACGGCCAAGGGTCGGTCGGCATCTCGCTTGTACCTCCTCCCGGAATCATGAGCTTTCTGAATGGTTTCGTGCAGCTTGTCGGCAAAGGCAGCCCTCTCGTTCAGGATTCCAAATTTGATGTTGACAGCCGTTCGCATCTCATTCTGATCTCCGTAGCGGAATTTCATGGCGCGAGCTGGCAGGATGGAGGCATTGGACGTGAGATCCTGCGGGTCTGCCGTAGGACCTTGGAAGGCACCCTGGCCGGTCCTGGTCTCGCTGTGAGCAGCGTGCATGCCCAAGTTGCCAGTGTTGCTCTCGCCCTGATTCGAGTTGGAGGGGGGAGTCGGCTGCGGTACGCGATCGTCCTGAACGCTCGCCGTTGAACTCCCATAATCTCGAGCTTTGGTGGCCTGTGCTGTCGGCTCGGCATGACCGGTCTTGCCATCTGAGACGATATGCGAATTGGATGACCTCTTGAAGTGTCCCATGAAACGCTCAAAGCCGGACTTATGGTTTTGTTGCCGCTTCTTCTCGGCATCCTCAAAGTCTTGATAGGTTGGGTTGTCGGGATGCATGCGGTCAAAACCGTCGGACACATCTTTGCACCGTCTTCCTTCACCATCGTCCATGACATCGACGTGGATGCTGACAAGTCTAGCGAAGTCCATGTAATCGTCAGTTCCCGATTCCCGGATGCGGTCCAATGGTAAACAAATTCGCAGCATCTCCCAGCCGCCATCGTCCTCCAGGAACAAGCCGTCTCCCTCCATGGTCGGCGCGTCGGGTCGGTCGCCCATCTTCTTGTGTCGTAGATCGAGCCTATGTTGGTACCGCCTGGCGCGTCCATGCTGGAAGAGCGCAGACTCGAAATCTCGATGCCAATGAAGCGCCGATTCTTGCGTATCTACAGTAAACTCGAGGAACTTTTCACCCTTAGGAGAGTGATAGCGCAACTTGATATCGAAAGGCTTGGCCGGGTCAAGGGGATAGAGTTGGTCAACCGATTCGACTGATGGGGAGCCAAGCCATCAAAGAAAGGTGATTGATTAGTTCTCTCGGTTTCGGTCGAACGATTCGGTCGGACACTCACGTAAGATCGATCGTAGAGGCTTTACTCGTCCTTCCTCATCGGCACTAGGGTAAGTGGTGATCATCTCGGAATCCAATTCCATCCACACCCTGCTGGTCTTGTTGGCAAATACGGGATTGTGCCTGTGTATCGTAGCGGCTCCAGTATGCAGGAGCTTGCTAGATTCGTCTCCGGGCAACATCATCTTGGGTGGCGGCAAGACGGCATGGAACGTCAACCGATGTGTCGTCAGGTGGATGTTTCCCAAGATCAAGATTCCTCGGAAAAGACCTCCCTTGCACTCGACGATGAATTCTTCGGGCTGGTCATCTTCAAACAAGTCGGCAATGGTGCCAAACTCTTCACAAAGCGCCGCAAGCTTTTCTTGCCTGCTGATTTTGCTCCTGCGTTCAGTCTCAGCAGCAACGAAGGCCTCGGCCTCTTCATCATTGAACGATCGGACACTAGCGGCATCGTCACCTTGCTCTTCCGCCTTCGCCTGAGCCTCTTCAGTAGCGAAATCACGACGATTGGCATCGGCGATCTGCCTCAAGGTGCGATCCGTGTCCTGTCGAACTTGGGAGGGCCGGACGTTGTCTTCACCCGGCTGATCACCCTCTTTGGCGGTCCTCAACAAGGCGCCGGGCACAATCTTCTTTGTGAGCGTCTCCTTGTCGTCGTGCTTGAGACTGTGCTTGATCTCTTCCTCCTTGGCGTCGATCCTCTCCTTCTTGATCTCGGTAGCACGCTCTTCGATGTCGTCAGCATCCGCACCGTCGCCCAGAATTTTCCTCGCCCGCTTCCTGTCCTCCTCGACGGGATCCATACCGATATCCTCCTCTCCCACGCCATGCTCGCCGGAAAAGTTATTTACACTCAAGACGGCCAGTCGATGAGAAAGCGCGCTCTGGTCGACGGTAGGTTTGCGGTAAAATGCAGGCAGGACGATCTTGCCTTCAGTAGGTTTGATGGATTCCTCGATCGAACTGCTCTGACGTTGCATAGGAAAGGCTTGTAATGGCCGTACCCACTCGCCAGACGATTTTCGTTCGGATTCGGGTCGTTTTGCAACCGCATCATCTGCCCCGACCTCGTTCTCGCCCTCGGGTCGATCTGCGACCGACACACCCTGAGGCGTCTTTTCCTCATCCTGCCCATGGCCACGTTCCTGTTTCGTAGTGGCTTGCTGTTGCTGCTGCTGAATCATCGACGACGCTCCGACCTCGGTATTCTTCCTGGTCCGATAGTGCTCCCTCACCCAGACCTCTTGTTCCTCGGGGTGCATACCTGAGACCTTGTTCGTCTCGTTCATCAGCATCATGTCTTCTCGCAGACTCCTTCCTCCACTCGAGGTCGAAGTCGAAGGCATGGTACCGAGAACACCCGGGGAGTTTACGGAAGACGAGACGAGGGGTGCCAACGGGGTCGACGTTGATCCTTCACCCTCACCCGCTCCCAGAGCCGCTCTCAACGCTGGCGTAGACGTCGAACTCATGGCATTGACATCCATGGCCTCACCCGTACCGTTCTCCGTCCTGGCGAAATCCCTAAACGTATCCATCCCACCCCGTTCCTCTGCAGGAGTCTTGAACGCCATCGAGTCGTCCGAAGGTTCCCTCGCTTCGGTCAGGTTCTCTGGTCGGTCGAGATGGTCGCGAAGCTTGCCACTACCGGTGTTAGGAGTACTTTCGGGTTCGCTAGCACGGGGAGCGGGAGTCGAGTTCGATATGTTGGCTTCGCCGTCGTCGTTCTCGTGATTATTGTCGTGATGATGAACGTGAGGGCGATGATGACCGGAATCCGAATCGTCGAGCGGGTGTGGTGGCGAACGATGATCGTTGATATCGACCTGTTTGCCGTTGTGGTTGTCTTGTCCGGCACTGCTCGGGAAGACCTTGGCCTTGAGAGCGTCCGGTTGAAGTATGCTAGGGACCACCATCGTGCAAAGTTGATGATGATGACGACGCCGAACGGAAGGTCCGGGTCGTGATTATTTGTGGGTAGGCAACCGACGGAGGTTGTAATCGAGAACGAGTTCGCCGATGGATAGGTAGTAGTGCTGCGAGACCTAGGTCGGCTTGGCACTAGGGAAGGGGAGAGAATAGGAACTCGGGAACGGGTGTTTCCTGGATGTTGTTCCGTAGTATTGTATGGGTGGGTAGTAATTGTGTGAACTTTGCGTGCAGTAGTGGTTATTGCTTATGAGATACCACGAGGGGAAGGAGAAAGAAAGATGGTCGGGATATATGGGAGGGCTGCGAAGGCTCGATCCTGGCAACCAAAGGGCGATCGACGAGAATGCTCGAACGGCGACGACGAGGAATCGCTGATTTCGCGGGGACTAACGGCTGACGCGAACGGAGCCTGGTAAGCGGGCTTCGAGCTTTCGAACGACGTTGGCCGAGATATTTCGAGATCACGAGTAGCGAGTAGATCTAGCACCCTAGCGGCTAGCAGGTCTAGCAGGTCCAAAGGTCTACGTCGTCCCCCCTTTCGTAGCATTGACCGTAGCAATTCGCCGCTGCAAGAAGCAAGAAGGGTTGACGACTGTATTCCAGCGGAACACACAATGGGCCAAGCGAGTGACGTCACCGATACGCCCGCGCGATCCCTCGACCGGAACCGGATCCATTCTAGCTTTCGTCATCCCTAGTGCAGGTGCTGAATGACCGAGCCGGCGCCTCTGTTTCAGGAGAGCCCGAGAGTAGCCGCGGGAGGGGGGGTTGGCCTCGTCGATCAAACGATCAAACGGCGATCAAAAAAGAGCAATCGTGATCAGATCGTCTCCGTGTCTCAACACATCAGTGTCGAGCATGTCGAGTACGTTGTCTGATGTCTGATGCGCAGCAATCATGTCAAGTCAGGAAGACTGGCTAAACAAATGGCATAGTGGTGTTTCAGGCTGTATGAGCGATTGCTATCACATGGTCGCCCCTGGTGTTGGCCATCATACCTGTCCCGCTATCTCTCTCGCATCCTCACACAGTTGAGCATGAGTTTTCGACAGAACGGGTAACGGGGAAGATGCGACATGTCGAGGTGCGATGGAAGTCGTGGGCAAATGACAGGGTTTTGCGGTATCGTCTGCCATCGACGATGCTAAGAAAGTTCCATCACTCATTCTTTCGGCAGGATAAATTTGTTTGCGCCTCAAGCAAAGCCGAGAATACGGTCGCGCCTCGCATAGGCGCCGTATTTGGCAAGCGTTCTATATGACCGGAGACCTCCCTGGATCACCAAGGTAGCAATATGAGGCTTCCATTCTTGCAATAATAGAGCTTCCAAACTGATTCAGCCTCCGAGCTATGCTCTTGAATTCCCTTAGCAAGAAACTAGTTACTGCTTTGAGCAGACAACCAACCATGGCTCCCAGCCACCGCTGTTCTTGCAGAGCTATATTGCTGACACTCAGCCATTAGCGTCAACTCCTGTCATCTACGCAGACAGTAGTAGATAATGCTCTACATCTCATGTGTCTCGCAGCTTTCCAGTAACCTAACCGACGATTCGTATATGTCATCGTAAAAGCTACCGTACCACGTAGCAAACGAGGCGAACGGTGCGGGGTCGTTAACACCTCTACATCACCAAAAGACCAGATCCGACGGCTCATCTAATCGTACACGCGCCAACCCGTAAAAAGCGCAGTGGCAGCAGCAAGGCTTCTCATTCCGTTTGTTTCGTCGTTTTTCCCGTGTATGTGACCCAAACATTCTGATCAGCCTTTGTTTCGTAGGAGATTTTCTCTTGTCATCCTTGCGTATTCGTGTATGTGCGTCAAGTCGTTAAGAGTTTTCGAAGAGGCATAGAGAGAGACAGGAAGGGGGATGGATGATGAGGAGAAAAGGGGGGGAGTCGGTCCTTCTTCCTTAGGACGTGATAGATTTTGTGCATGTGCGAGAGGACCGCAATGTTTAAGAGGTCGGAGCGGTTGATTCGAGCTTGTCCCACTCGGCGAGGAGTAGCGCTCCCACAGCTGATAGAAGAGACGGTGAATTAGCGTGCACGTTGACGGCGAGGTATCGCGAAGAAGGTGCTTACTGGGTTCGAGTTCGGTCCCATCTCGACTGACCTAATCAGTTCGAAGAGGAAAGACCCCAATAGTTGCGTCAGTCTCTAGTCGAGCGCAATACCTTCTGCATCATTTGATTGACGCACCTTGACTTCCTTATCCTGGTTCCATGGGTTCCTCAAATGCCTCAACCGGTGGAAAGGCAGGACCCCAGTCTTGACCCACTCGACATCGAACACCGTACCGATCTTGGCCAATTGGTTCTCAGCCGGTCCCGGTCCAGAAGCGTCGACAGCCTGAGCTACATCGGAGGAGACCGGATCGACCATATCGTGCCTGATGATACCATCACCGTCAGGCTTGTCGTCACTCGCGTCGGGCTTAATACTTTCGGCCTTGTCGGGGTTGCTTCCTTGCGAACCGGTCGAATTGGATCTGCGTTCCGCAGCCCGACTCGGCGCGCGGTTATCCAACTTGAAACCGGAATCCTGGGCCGCCCTGATCTGTGCCAGAGCGTCAGCGTCTAGAGTGTTCGATCGGGACTCGGACTCGGGAACTGAAGCCAGTCTGATCGGCGGTCTTGTCTGGCTCGCTACGTCAGGCAACCGCATAGCCGAATAGTTGACTTCCTCGCTGGGTGACAACTCGCCAGGAGATTGCGTCGTCATCCTGAATGTGTCCGAAGAGGCATGCGGGATCCTAGGTCGACCCGATCTAGTCATTGCAGGATCATCGGTGGATTGCGATGTAGAGCCAGACGAACGCTCCGCAGTCCCGCCGGAATTGACCGTCCCGGATGAAGGCGTAGTCGGGAGTTGGCTTCGCGAGCCACATGAGATGCTACGAGCGTTTCGGGCGAGTGAACCGATGCCGCTTCGCATAATGGCCCATCCGTAAAAGTTGCCCTGTTTGTTGGCTCCGAAGATGAGGTAAACCTCGGGCGAAGTACGGAAGGCTTGGTCTGATCAATGACCAAGTCAGCAGGTATAGTCGAAGCGACGTGATGACAAAACAACAAGCTAACCTAGGATCGCCTCGTTGTGAAGTTGCGTCTTCCACTTGCCTGTCTTGATGCTCGTCTCAAGCTCCTCCTGTCCAGCACCGGCGTGGCTGTCAGTCAGAGGTTCTCTCACGAATCATACCACGTGCACTCACCTGTGTCAAGCTCTTGAGGATGAAATATCGTTTCGGGAAATGTCGACCCAGGAAAGAAGAGTTGGTGGATGCGAAACTGTGTGTGCCGGATTGCGATCGTTCGCGATGCCACGCCGCGAACGCAGCTGGAGTGACCATATCGGGCGGGTACTCCATCGCTGCCGGACTGAGCGGAGTCTCTGATTCTGGCGTTTTGGTGCCATCCTGGGCGGCTTTTGCCTCGCTTGCGGCCTCGGCTTTTTGTTGCGCCAATAGATCCTGCACGTACTTGGTATGGAGACCGGCACCCCGTTGACCACCTACACCTGCCTTGAGGTCGTCGTCCATCTTGCGCACCCTGCAGACCAACTTGGGACACCGCGGATCGAGCGGTCGCAGGAGGCGGTGATTGAAGTAGGAAATCGCTAGCAAGAGCTCGTCCTGAGTCTCGAGGTTGACAAATGCGCAAGACGATCGAGAGATGAGAAAGATGGACGAAATCTTGATATGTTCCTTGTAAGGGATGCTCTGCGGAACGGCTTCGCGGGGGATGGGCTGGTTGAGGAATTTCCACATCTCCTCGTGAGTGGCTGCGACAGGAATGGCAACGGGGGTCAGCACAGGGACAACGCCCTGCTGGTACCACAACTGAACCTACCGTTATTGGGCACGTTCCCAATCCACATGACCCATTCGCTCCGGTTGGCCGGAGCCGCAGGGTGATAATGCTTCCTCCCAGCAGCACGCCTGTCTTCCTGGTCCGGGCTACCGGGAGCCGGTCGCTGAGGCAGATCGTGCTTCGTCGCCGGTGGGGATCCCAATACCATCTGTTCCAGCACGTCGTTGATGCTAGACATGGACCTCGCATTCGCTCGATGGCCTTGACGGCCTTCCGGGCTTGTCGGTCTTGGACCTTGAGCTTGGTGAAGCGGTCCTTCGTTGTTGTTGCCCCCCACAGACCATCTTCCACGACGCGACTGGCGACCACCACGACCTCCGCGATTGTTCCCGTATTGAGTCGCTACGGGCGATGGCAGCATGGGTCTCGTTGCCTCAGCCATCTGCGCGTAGTTGAGGTACGAAGGCACTCCGCCATAGTATCCGGTCTGGTACGGCATATAACCTGTTGATCCAGCAAAAGATCCGCCTTGTGACATATTGGGGTACCCGTTCCCAGGATACCCATCGATTGGCATGTTTTGGACAGCCGATCCGAAGCTGTTCGGATGTCCAGGCGGTGAGGGTCTGTATCCAGCTCCACCCCTTGGTCCATTCCTTGTCTGTCCCGCTCGTCCATTGGCACCGCCCCCGCTCGGACCGTGTTCGTTCGCATCCCCTCGACCTCCTCGATTTCCCCTGGACCCACTTCCTGCACCTCCGCCTCTCGAGCCGTGGTCCCATGAAGGCACTCCATAAAACCCCGTCTGTCCACCTCCAGCCGTGCCCGCTCCGGGCCCTACCGGCTGTCCCGCCCATCCGTTGCTCCATCCGCCCACTGTATTGGGCGGCTGCGCAGTCACCATCGACGGCGACAGTGAAGACATGGTCGGACTGGACATTTCATTCCCTTGTGGACCGGGGACAGACGGGTCGTCGTCCGAGGGAGGTAGCCAAGGTTTCATTCCCAACGCCGGGCTTACCGGTGGGCTGTTGACTGGACTCCCGAAGTACGCTCCACGGGAATCGTGTGGAGGAGGAGGAAGAACAGCGCTCGAGTAAGGGTTGTAGTATGCCTGCTGACCGTACATCCCTGGCACCGGAGGCGTATGTGACGTCGTGAGGTAAGGGTTGTTCATCACCTCGTACGGACTGTGGGCGGACGACGCCGACACCGAAGATGGCCGATACAACGCCGGATCGTTCGAATTGACGACACCAGGATTGGATTGCAAGCCAGCAGCAAGTGCGGTGTAATCCAGATTAGGATCTCCATGCTGGGGCTGCATACCCGGGTACATCATCGATACTGGCGAATGCGATGAAGAAGGTGGGGTGACTCCTGAGAACGTCCCATGCGGGACGGCGTTGTACGGATTTCCACCACTACCCCCGTTGTTGGCGTACCCATGCTGTTGATGCATCGCCTGATACGCCCCGAGATCCATCAGGTCAGGTCGGTTCGAAGCCCGGTCGGACCCCGCCTGAGCGGGCAAGAGATAGTCTGGGAGTACCATCGGTAGCTGAGCCCTATATTCCGGTCCTTGATCCGGGTTTGGCGCCGTAGACGAGGTAGTCTGGCCTGTATGCAGCATCGGAAAAGACTGGGACGAATGTGGAATACGTGCCATGTCATCTTCGTCGCTGTCTCCATCCACATTGCCATCCTGGTGCCCCGGTTCGCCTTTCCTCCCGTCCAACTCTCGTTCTCTCCTCGACCTCGCCTTTTCCAGAGCGACCGGGAACGAAGCGCTGGGAATCAACCCCCCTGCCCGAGCGGCCAGCGACCTCAGTCTCCCTTCCATCCAGTCGTCCGGCTTGCTCGCTTCACCTCTGACCTCTCCCTCGATTTCCGCGTCTCTCGAATCATCGTCATTGACGGCCTTGGTTTTGGGCTTGATCGAAATCTCGTTGCTCGATCTCGCCCGGGTCATGCTAGGTGGTATAGGCGCAGAGCCAGCGATTCCGACCTCGTTCACGGTCAACAGACCTGCCGACTGTCCTTGTCCAGATTGCGTCCCTTCGCCCGCAGCTGTATTGCCGTACGGATACTGGTATTGCTGCTGATAATCGGTGTACGATTGAGAAGGGTCGTGAGGTTGCAACAGACCATGTCGGCCTTCTTGCTCTTCTCCCGTACCACTGGCACCGCCGACAAGGGGTGGGGTGACCGTCGAGGCAGAATGAGCATCACCTTCGGAAGCTCGCCGGCCCGTCTGCGTCCATCCTGAAGGAGCGTTCGTCATCGTCATATCCTGTCGACCTGGTCAACCGTGCGTGCAAGAAGTCCTTCCGGAAGAGATGATGGTGTCGCTGGTCTTCCTCCGGCTGCGGAGTTCGAGGATTAATTATAGGTTGAAGAAGATGAGGTGCGAGGAAGAGGATTGCAAAGACTGTCGTTCTGATAGGTTTTGTCAAGAACGAGCTACCGAGCAAGGTAGCATCATACGCTTCTCCGTGACCTTGCGTTCAGATCCTTCTTGTTGGGCTATTTCTAGTAAGATGAAGCAGTTGGTAACCTCCAACGTTGATGTGATGTATCGCGTATGGCAGGTCTGCCTTGTTCTGATCGTATGTCTTGTTGTGTCGTGCCACTCGAGATGTTTAGTTATCCCCGGTGGTCGAAAGGATGTTCAAGAAAGAGGGTAGCGGGATTTGCCAAGAGGTCGGGCCTGAAAAGGATCGTCGTCGAAACGTCTGTCGAGGTCGAGAAGCCGAAAACTAGGATTGACTAGTATAACGATGCTACCCCTCTGCCCTTGCTTTGCAGGTGAGTTGGTGAATGGCGGATATTTGTTGATATTCTCGCTAGATTGGTCGCTACAGCCACATTAACAGGTGAATGAGGTCGATAGCGGTTGACAAGAAAGAGAACACGGGCGACGGGGTGAGATCTCTTTTTCACGGATAATCTCGAGCTACGAGTCATGGATACATGGACTAGCTGCCAGCTAGTGGGATGTGCGGGTCAGACTACCCTCTTTCTTTCCTCTCGACGGTTGACCGCGAGGAGTAAGGGAGCATGGCTAGCATGGGCGGTGATGATGCTCATGTCATGCTCAAACAGACCCGGAATGATTCGGAGATCCGAGCGTCAGATTCCATATCACAAGGTTTCCCGTCCCCCTCCCCTCCCCCCCTTTTCTCTCTCTCTCTTTCCTTCCGCTCTACGATACCGAGGTCCGGGTCGTCTCATGGCTGTCAAGATTAGCGGGCCACCGCCATCGAATGTGTCGATTGGGCAACAACCCATGCAACCCAACCTGTCCCCCCGTTGAGAACATGAAGGTCGCTCAGTTCTCAGTTCTTCCGAACTTCCGACCCACCCACGCCTTTCCGATCGACCAGGTACATTCTCATCCTCGCCCGCCCCGCCCTCTCACCCATCCAAGCGATACCCTCGGAGGCTATCATCACTTCACACGACCCGAGGGGCGTTCTTTCCACTCTGTCGTTCTTTCTTTCCGTGACGTCCTGAAACGGGGTTCTCAACCAGGCAGAGCTGACGGAGTGAGAAGCGAGGTGTTCTATCCACGGAACAATCACACGGAAGGGGGTCTACGTTGATCCGTGCTGGTTCTCTCGCCACTGGCGCACGGGTTTCAAGAGGCAAGAGGCAAGAGGCAAGAGGTCGCCTGAGACGGATTTCACAAACGACGACAACGAGCGATCGGGCGATAAATGAAGAACAAAAGAACTCGTTTGAGAAAAGAAAGAGAACCAAGTTCGTCTACCTCGTAAGATGTTCTGTTGTTCTCGTACTTTCCGACTCGAACTCTATCGGTCGATCAATCGAGATCACCGTCATGGCCACGCTACGAAACGTGGTTGCGCGAAGATCGTCTGCCCGATGCCCGAGCTCACCGGTCGTTGGTGCCTAGTGAACACTCGACATTTCGTCTGTCGTTATTGACCTCTTGTTGGTTGCTGGTTCTTTCACGATATCCTTTGATATACAAGTACGTACGTCTGATATCGACTTCGGCTGATCCTTGGTCGATGTGCCAGTTTTTTTCAGCCAACCCCTCCATACGACAAAAAGAATCTCCTATCCGTCTCTGCGAGCGACAACCGAAGCAAACGTAAATTCGACATGATGATCGTTCCATTATGCAACAGTGACAGTGACATCTATCTATCATGATTGAGACCTGACCAGGACGGCGTTTCATGATCGACGACTAGCAAGGAGCATGAAACACCGCCCGGGCAGTCCTGTCATATCCCATATTTGACTTCTTTTCCCGTATTTTCGAATCGAGCGCTCATTTCCCGAATGAACCCAGGAATGAATTACCACGACGGCCAGTCACCGACCAGGGGTTTCTTTTTTCGCTTCTTTCAGTCGACGACCTTGTTGGTCCTCTCCCATCCTTTCCTCGAGGCGACTCCGTTTCCATTCCCGTTCCCATTGACCCCCACGGCACTGGCAGTTGACCTCCCAGCCGAGGTGTTCTCCAAGACCTCGGCCCTGCCAAACTCCTCTACGGCGTCCTTGCCAGCCCTCTCCGCCGCTTGCAAGGTCGACCTGACGTCCTTCTTCTTCCCTTGTCCGGCTCCAGCCGTGGTCGAAGAAGATCTCAGGTAAGACCTGACAAAGAACCTCGCAAAGAGGTAAGTGAGGGGAGTGAGGTAGATGACGTTGAACCAGACGGCAAAGGCCTGAGCGCTAGTGTCGAGGCAGGGGACCCAGGGTTCGTCGCCGTCCTTGAGACCAATGGCGGATTTGATGGCCGAAGTGGAGGTGGGGAACTTGTAGTAGACAAAGAGGTGGAGCAGGGCAGAGCCGCCGCCGACGATGAATTGGGTGATCTGCGCGGTGGTCAAGGATCGCTTGATCGCCTTGGGCACGCGGATGTTGAACGAGGTGACGGTGTAGTAGGTGTACTAGAGCAAGGCAAGAGGTAACGCCGGGAATTTCAGTATACTGGATTTGCGCAGCTCGAAACTGGTCAGACTCACCATGAGCGAGTGGATGAAGCTGTTGAAGAAGAGGAAGATCCAGATAGGAGGGCTCATGTACTTGATTCCGACAAAGAGACACCCACAGGCTCCCATATGATGGTAAGTCTGCAAGGTCGAGCTCTGCTTTCCCTTCAAGAGGATGATGGCGGTATCGATAAACTCGTAGAACTTGGAGATGTAGAACCACCAGCCGTAAAAGGCGAGCCCCTCGTTCCAGAGTCGACCGAGTTGATCGGGTTTGGGGAGGTAGGCGTTGACGGCGGTCTGAATAGTACCGGCGGTAAGAGGGTGAGACTTGAACCAAGATTGAGACGACGGGGACGAGTTGTAGATCGCAGCGTTGCCCAATCCAGAAGTCCCCTGCATCCTGCAGAGGGAATCCATCGTTCCCCTAAACCCGTTTGGCGAGGTGAACGGGTTCTCGAAACTCCTCCTCGCAGCTCCGACGATCCCTACAAACGTCCAAGCCGAGTAGACGGCGAGAAAGACGTTGTGGGCGACCATGAACCAAAAGAAACCGGACGTCTTGCTGATCGCCCAGGGCTTCCCACCGCGCTGGCGATTGACATAGTTCCAGGTCTTGACGATGAGAACGTAGGAAGAGGCCAGGAGGAGCGGCCATTTGTAGTCCAGAGATCGGAAGAAGAGGTTTTCGGGGATAGAGAAGGGAGCTCGGCTAAAGATGGAGGACTTGTCGACGGTAGGGATCGACAGGGTGGGCGGATAATCGTGGGGGAGGTCCCAGATCGCAAAGTTGGGGATGAGCGAAAGCTTGACCGAGACCATGATGTAGGTGAGATCGTCTCCAAAGTATGCTCTCTACTGGCCGATTCTATCCAGATTCCGGAGATCTGAAAGCTGCAGAATGAAGAAGAGGTCAATGCAAAAAGAGAGATTAGCATTCCACGCAAAAACTCGGAAAACGAGCTGCCTTTCGCGCGGAATGCGATGACGAGCATGACGAGAGGACATACTCCGAGGTCGAGGTGGATCCGCTTCGAGGTCGAGATGGAGAATGTCTTGGATACCAGCTGGTGGCAAGGTGGTGAGTGACGATGGTTGCTCCCTGTCTCGACCTACGTCTGACCCTTTTTGTATGAAATGGGATACGAGTTTGCAACTGCGCAGAGCAGAGGAGGGAAGAGTCGATTCTCGAAAGAGCCAAGACCGATTCTCGCTGGGCACATGGGCAGGCAGGAAACTCAAATTCCCCCAACTTTCGGTCGGAAAAAGTCCCGATTACCGGAAGTTTCCCAACAAGCTAATAACCGGATGATCGACGACCGGTCACGAACGGGCCCGCTAGCAACAATGGATCGATTACTGTTGTATACCGTACTCGTGTACATGCTTCAAGACGTTACAACGTTACACCTGGCACCTGGAATCCAGTGAGACTTCCTCGGCGATAGCTCTCCATCACAGCGACTCGCATCCTCTCCAGGAAATCGTCCATCCACATGGCTTGCGGGGCACCAGCTTCCGACTCGAGCGGGTCGTAATCGGGCTGGATCAGGATGTCTTGCAATTCGGTCTCGGGGTCGGCGACGATGGCACTCAGGTCGATCGCACGTTGCAAGTTTCTGAATGATACAAAAAATATGTTTAGCCGAGGCTCGATTGATCGATGCGGCAAGGCAAGGACGTACTTGGGGAGGTGATCGGAAGCGAGAACCAGCAGATCGTGCAACCGTAGCAAGACGTCTCCGATGTGCATCTTCTTGAGCCGCTCGTACCCCATTGACCGCAACTTGTGTCCTGTCTCAAAGGTGACTGTCAGCACTCGTGATGCGTTATGCATTCGACACGATCGACTCACGGTCATCACCCTCATCGCCCTCGGGAAGATATTCGATCCAATTTGTCGCATCGCTATCGTCCGCGATAGTCACGAGCTTGAGTACGGCTCGATGGACAAGATCTATTTCAGACTACGTGGAGCAGATTCTCATTCAGTTGTTATGAAAGAAATCAGACGTGGCAGGGCAAACGTACCGAATGCTCATTTGCCCAAGCCAACTGCTGAGACAGCATCAATCTGCTCGACGGACACACGGAATTTAGCAGACGGCTCGAAGCAATTCGAGACCTCTGCTCACCCTGACATCTCCTCGACGCCAGCCGACCAGACTCCTTCGACCCTTGCGAGCTCTTCCATCACGGTCAACAGCTCGAAATTCATCTTCATCTCTTCCAGATGATCAAAATCGACTTGATCGAGATCGTGTGACCTATAAAGTTCCTCGAAGGATCCTACGAAATCGTCCGGCAACGTCGATCGCAGACGGCTCGCAAGTTCGGCATTGTCAGATACTGCAAAACGAGCTGGTCAGCGCTGTCACAATGCTTGATATTCTATCAAACTAGACATACTCAGGTAGTACCGAATGTATTTGTTAACCAGTCTCACAGCGTCGATAAAGGTTGCATCCAGACACAATAGCCATTCTACCGATTGGTTGATACCCTTTGTGCGCCGGCTGGCGTCCCCATGCTGGACCTTGGGATATGCGTGGTACCGGATGAGCATTTCCTTTATCGTGAACTACAAAGAAGAGAGATGATGACGGTTAGCAGCTCGCTCCGCAGTAAGATATCGCCTGCGTCGCTCACGTCGACGATGTCCCCCACTCTGCTCGAGACGATATTTGCAATCTTCCTCGCGTCAAGATCTTGCTCCTGAGCCTGTTGAAGGGCTTGTTGCTTGCCTTCGAACGAGAGGTCCTCCGTTGCTGAAGCGACTACTCCCGACAAGACAGCGCTGTTCAGATGAGGTCTCCTGAACATCTTACCCGTCCTACTCACGCTCAAGGTACTTGGCATAGGCCCTTTCTCGGTCTCCGGATTCGAGTTCAGCAGAGTAGATGGCGACGAGCTGATCGGCTTTGTGCAGTCCTCCCAACTGGTCGATGTAGGATTCGAGTAGTGTACGGATACTATCTTCGTCTACCGGAAGTCCGAGCGATCGTCGATAGAGCGCAAAGTGGGTCATGAAAAAGTTGAGCGTCGTCCAAGCACTAACAGAAGCTTATATCAACGATAACGTTCTGGATCCAAGGTCAACGTTGAACATACATCTCATCCTCCTCGCGAATGGCCTCGGAGTCTTCAACGAACTCATTGATCACAGTTTCTCCCTGTCCCAAGACGATGGCCTTCTTGATCCGGTTGTACCATTCGTTCGCTTGATCCCTGATAGGCGGCGGGCATTGCTGAGCCGGGGCTTTCTCAGCCGAAAGTGAGGTGAGATTGAACTTACGCAACACTATCTCCCTGATAACGCTCGATTTGATCGAAGACTTCCGCTAATTGCCTCATCGGGTCTCCGCCCGTAGCGCCTGTCGGCACTATCGAGCTGTCGCCATAACGATCTTGCCAGTATCCGCTCAATTGTCCAAGCTTGGCGTCCAAGCTACAGATGACAGATGAGTTCCGCGGTCGCAAATACCTCAACTAGTTCCATAGCTTACCGGATGATCAGCTTGGAATTGAGGTGTGCCCATAGGTGGTCTTCCCATGTATGACAGGCAGGTAGGGTGTTATCTAGGTCGCCGGTGAGACAAGCGTACAGTGCTCGCTCCTGCTTCGATAATGAGGACTGTAATTATCGGGTTCGTTAGCTGGATGCTAGATCCCGCTCGATGTCTTGCGTGAATACGAACGTTCGTAGCTATTGCCTTGCAGGTCTTCTTCCACAGATCTCGCCGCATATTCCCAGTGACGACCGCCTCTGTTCCGTCGCCTTCCATGTCGACATCTGCTGTAAGTCCTGAATTAGTCATCAGCACGTGTGCGAGCAGAACGCGGGACGTACCCCCGACAACCACATCGATCCCCCAAGCTTTTCCCCCATTGATACTGGCTACTCTCCAGCTCTCGTCGTGCTCGTGGCAGTATGACTCTGCTTCCTCGAGCTTGCCTGCGCGTATGTATTGGTACACTTTGTCTACTGTCTTCTGGTCCAGGGCCTATAGACAATGATGAAGGTCACATCAGCACAAGCCAAGACTGACCATCTCCAAACCGTGAAACTCGCCTTGTCCTTCCCTGCCAGGTTTCCAGCCCCCCTCACACCTCTTGTCCGCACGTTCGCATCTAGATCAAGACTTGTTGCCGCATCCGATCCGTCTACCATGCGCAGGTTCTTTAGTCTCCTTGCTTCTTGCAGGGTCTCGTGGCGGTAGCTGGATTTGGCACGTTTTGAAGACGAAGCAGTGGGCTCAGACGGTTCGGCGAATGTCTCCAGGTTACTCTTGATGAGCTGCAAAACGAAAATTTGTCTATCAGTTGATTGATCATTTGGAGTAGCAACAACTTAGACTCACGGTCCATTCCTGAAGTGTCCGGTCGGAATGGAAGATGGCATTGACGAGACTCTTTGGCGAGAGGTACTTGTTCTGCTCGAGCAGCTCTTCCGGCTTGACACCCATCGGCTGCTGCACCTCACGGATTCTAAAGATCACCAACAGTTCGTCAACAAGGTGTACTTTGTGGATCAATGTGAGCTGTACTGACAAGGTGATTTTGGCGATCAAGTCCCATAACTGAGCTTGTTGCTGGAAGTCGTATTCTGCCTGAGCTGCTTCTTCATCTTCCCTACGTAGCTCCTCAGCACTGCCTTCCAGACAATCTTTTCAGCTCAAAGGCCATTTGAAACATCCAATGGCTAGTTTGTTGCTTACGTTTCGGCTGTTGCACGAGACCATCGAGCTGCCAACCCATCCTGCCCATCCAACAGAGCTTCCTTCGAGGACCCGTCGTTCCGCTGAGCTTGTACCGATTGCGCGAAAAGCTGATGTAAAGGAGTAGCCATGTCTACAGATGGCACTTGGGAAGCCCAGATGATAGAGGGAGCAGAAGAGTAGTGCGCTGTGAATAGCTGTAGATGTACCCGACTTGAACAGCTTTACCCTCAGATGTTGAATAGCTTGAACCCCTGGCGATCCCAAGGTCGTTGTCCGCTCAAGCGCGTCTTACGGCATCGACAATAAGAGCTCATGTCGGTTGACCGCAATTGCTACAACCTACAAATTTATAAAGCTACAACTTAATGGAATTCAGAGGCCGGTATCTAAGAGCCTCGGTAGGTAGTATACGAGAACTGTGAAAGCAGGAGAGGGATATGATAATGGCTCGACGGGTCTTCGTAGTTGAAGATTATCTGGAAGCAAGCGGTATGACGACATCAGCTTTGCATTCATAGCGAGATGATCCCCAGCCCAGCCCACCTCCACATAAGGATAGAAAGTAGGCTTCGAGGAGGCCTTGAAGTATTCTCCCGTTCCGAACTTCATCTTGTAGATCCCTGATGCAAGCTTGGTTGCAGGCTCTAGCAGCGTCGAGCACCGGCCGTCATTATCGGTTTGTCTAGTACCGGCTAGAGCTTCAGCGTCTCATCGGACCACATCGAAGCCGCCAAGTGAAAGCTTACCCCTGAGCAAGGGAGGAGAATTCGGCACTGCCGCCCATCAAGAAAAGCTCAACCTGGACTGCCGCGGCTGGTTTACCAGTAGTCGAATCCAAGACTGTGATACCCATGCATCAGAACCAGCGCGCATCTCTTGACTCTTAACGATCCAGCTGCTGACCATGGCAAGTGATTGGAGATTTGCTCATCTTCCGTTGATTGCGTAGTCAGCTGTTTGACTGAAGACAGTTGACCACAATCGAGGATCATATCGAGATGATGAAAGGGTAGATTGTGCTTGGATATGGTCGAGGACCGGCCATGACCGGTGGGGTGAGGGTGCGCGCTTCTATTTGGCAACGTCACATGGCGCAAGTTACCCCGGGCACTGACCCGAACCTTGTAAACGTCACAAAAGTCTCGAGGCAAATAGCATTGTCTTGATATCGGTACCAATCTCGACAGTGTCAGCTAGAGCAACGGAATCGAGTCCTCAGGAAAATCCGTACAATGCCCCCACCACCTCAGTCGATCGGAGATGGCGGTGTCCTCCAGAAGAGTCAGTCTTGCCCGCCGCTTCCCGCACGCATAACGGATCGCTCAAAACAGATTCGTCATGTCATTTGTTTGCCTTTGCAGTGAAGATGGGAGCTGTGATGGGAGGTGAGTTGTGTTCTCGTGCTAGGGTCCGGGAATGAAAAGCTGACGATTGATCCGGGCTGGGTACCAGGATCTGTTGGTCTGACCATCGGGTTCATCTTCGGTAGTTTCAGCATCTTGAAGTCAGTCAACGGCAACCCATGCTTCGGTTTATATATGCATCGCTCACCGATATACCTCTTCTGACCTCTTCTACATCAGGGGCGGACCAGGACCTCGAGGAGCGTTGGCGACTTTGTCGCAGTACATGCTGTCTTCAGCAGCTACATTCGGCTTCTTCATGTCCATCGGTTCCGTGAGCACGAACGGCCATTCATATTCCGGCATGGTCTGGCTCACTGACCAGGACCGCAATCGTACTTCACCGCAGGTCATCCGTACCGACTCTCCCTACTCTCTCAACGACGCTGCCTTTGTCACTACCGGAGCTACCACATCAGCCTACTCGCACATGCTCGCTCGCCGTTATCGAGTGTTGGAGAGCGTCAGGGGCCGACGGGCTAACAACCCTATCGAAGTCGAGGTCAAGGCTCTATGAATGGATGTTCGACCTCGTCGCGAGGCGAAACCCGCGAAGGGGTCCACTGTATAACATGGAAGATCGACACGAGATATATGCATACCAGATATTCACCATTACGATGGGTCAAACGACCTGACGTTCTTTCCTTGGCACTTTCACGTCGAACACCGCATCTAGGATTTTCTACAACGTACATGGGGGCTAGTCAAACATTATTCTACAAGACACAGTCCACTCTGGATCACCTCGCCGTGAGCATCTGCATCTCGTCCTGCTCTCTCACCGCCTGTTGGTAATCCTCCATGTCAGGATCAAGCGGGAGGATCGGAGGCTCTTGTTCCCAGATCTCGTTGAATAACCTAGGCTGCTCTCCAAAGTCGATACCTTCGCTAGGCAGGATGTTGTTGTCAACAGGTGGGAACCAGTTGTTCGTCTGATCGGCTTGCTGTTTCGATCCTTCTGATTCGGTCGCGAAGGCCGGTAGTGGAGCGTTGTCTTGCTCATACTCGGGGTCGACGCCGTTATCGTTGCCGAACTGACCGACCTGCTGCGCCCACCTACCGGCAATGATATCGGCAGGCCGTCCGCTCGTACCGTAATTGTCAGCCACGGGGTTTGAGAACGGGTAGATCTGGTCGAGGTCGCCTTGTTGCGTACGGAGGGGAGATTCGGGGGGAGGGTATCCGTACGCCAACGCATCGGGTTCTGGGTCAGGCGGAAGATACGCAGTGAGCATGGGCTGCATGTCAAAGCGACCAGCTGTACGTGGCGTCGGAAGTCGGCTGGCATCGATGTTGTCAATTGGGTATCCTGGCATCTGCTGATAGGCTGGCTCGTTGAATTCTGCATGTCCGATTTGCTGATCATGATCTTGCATCGGTTGATACATGCCGTAATCGTCCTGGTGCAAGGGCATCGGTGGCGGAGGCGCGTTCATATAGCCGGGTTGCTGCTGGTCCCAAAGGTACTCTCTAGGTCGGTCGTCGAGAGGGCTGAACTGGTCATCGGGATGGAACTGCATGACTGGTCCTCGCATGGCCCCCTGGTGGTAAAAGACATCGTCCTCAAACTGCTCGGGCCTGAGATCGTAAGGTTGCTCGTATGCGTCGTCGTAGAGTCCGTCATCGTAAGGCATGTCGAACGGGTCTTGGAACATCGGGTGACCCGTAAACTGTTGATTCATGTTTTGATTGTCTTGAGCCGCTCGCTTGGCCGCTAGGTTGCGAGTCTGCATGCCGTTCAAGAGGATATTGGTGTCCATCCACTGCTCACGCATAGCTTTTGCCCTCGCAGCTGCTCGCTGGGCACGAACGGCGCCCTTTGACAGCTCACCTGGAGCATCCTTGCGTCGCCTGTTGTCATTGTATCTGGCTGTCAATCCTGATCCTCTGCCAATGATATACTGCACACTGACCTTCGACCTCGCTTGTTGACGAGTTTGATCTGTTCCGGAGCCACCGGTTCTGGAGCTTGTTGCGCCAATGTTTCCTTGACTTCGCTTTCGAGCTGGTCACCTGAAGCGCCCTGAATGAGAAGATTTGCAACGGCGTCACATTTTTGGTCCTCGATTGGGTCTTTGCGGACTCGTCTCTGCGAGCGATAACAGTCAGCCATTGAATCAGTCTCAAATAAAGCGCGCAAACTTACTCTGACGATATCTGTTCGCCGATATGCTGGTTGATACCGGTAGTTTGGGTACCTTCGCAGGTGATCTCATCAGCTCAGACAAGAGAAGCAGCTACAGCAGACTATATTGTACTGACAGCCTGGCGTGTTCTTCTTTTTCAATACGCGCCGCTTCCGTGAATTCGGCTTTGACATTGGGTGGGGCCTGCTCGCACATCTCCTTGTCAGATCAGATCTTGAAAGGTCTTCCCTGACCTAGACTTACTTCGGCCCACATTTTGGCTGCCTGAGAAGTTGCAAGATGCCGCTGTCAGGTACCATGTGCGGAATCGACGAGCTTTGGTACTTACAACGACGCTGATGTTTTGGTGTTTCACTTCGACACTAGTCGGGATCAAATCATTGTCCTGTTTCAGGCGGTCAGAATCGCTTCGTCCGGCTGGAGTTCTATTCGTCGTGGCTCACTGTAATATGCTTTCGAAACAATATGAATCTATTGTGACGCAAGGTTACGTTCAGACAATGACATATCATGCCATAGATCTGCCGGTACTCACGCATTTCGGGGCCTCGGGATATGCCCGTTGGGCTGTTTTCGAGCGTGGCTTTTCTTGCCCTTTTTGTTGTCTTTTTGTAGCAAGATCTCGGTCGCTGACGGTGCGAGAACCTGATCCCCAGCATTTTGAGTAGGGGTTGCATTCCCGGTTTGGTTCAACGCGGTAAGCCCTCCATTTCTGACAGGCTCATGATCGCCAAAGATGGCACCCAGCAAGTCCTGTTCGACCTCATGTACAGGAAGATCGCTCAACTGATGCCTACCAGGTCCATCGCTGGTGCGTACGGCCGAATGAATCTCTGGTGGGGAGGCGGAGCCATCCTGCAACATCCGCTCGGTAGCAAACCCTATTCGACCTGTATCAACACATGCAGCTCAAAGTTCAAGGCCCGTACTGTCGTCAACTAACCTTTGTACATTTCGAGTCTTGATGGTATCGCCTCTGTTCTGTTCAAGACATAAGTCATCTTGTCCCAAGCTTGAGTTGAACCTCGATGCACCTACAAAAGTTGCAAACGCGCCACCACAATGGATGTCTCTCTTTATGCTAACCCACCGGTGAATAAAGGTTGACAAGTTGGCGGAACAAGGTTTCCTTTTGTCTCGAAGATCCTGAAGGGGCTGATCGTGGTCTGTTATACTTCCCGAGCACTCCTAGCGACGATCCCCCTGGCAAGGCGTGGCAGGCTGACACGGTGACTCTGCCCATAGACTCGCCGGTTCGAGCTTCCCCCTCCGCCTCGTGCTACTGCCTGCCGATCGGTCAGGGGGGGTCAGGGGTGGGCAGTCAAGGAGGGCCGAACAAAGGAAGCGTACCAGGCGTTACACCACACAATGCGGAGGGAGACCTGCCGAGCAGCAACTCAAGCAGGACCGACCGAACCCTCGCCGACCGCCTGCATTCCAGTCGTTATCAGTTGCGTATAGCACGCCTCGAGAACCATCGAGACCGGTGGCCATGGGCGCTTCACAGGCCCTTTGATATGCAAGAGCCTTGTAAAGCCGACAAAGGGACCTTGCCACCGTCCACAGCCGAGATTCCATGCTTTGATGTTGATGATGCTAATTGATACAGCTTTTCAAGACTATCTTCGAGGTCGAAAACCACGCACTTGCGGCGTGAGAAACCCCCATCCCACAACCACTGCTCGTCCACGAGCGGATCCGAGCTTACTTGCCCGCCCGACGCTTCATCTTCTCTTCCTTGCGCTTCCTCTCCATCTCCTCTTCCAGTCTGTCTTGCTCCCTGGCCAGTCGAGCAGCCCGAGCTTCTTCTTTCGCGATTGTCGCCGCGTTGGCCTCCATGTCATCCGAGTCTTCATCAGAAAAGGTTGTATTTCGCATGTACCTAGTAAAATCAAGTGAAGATTATGACGTTAGCATCACGTGCACAAACAACCATCCTTGAAGGCGCAAACGTACTGTTCGCGATCTTTCCCACTCCGGGAGAAACTCTGATACGCATCGAACCCAAGACTAGCCAGGATACCACCCCCACCACCACCATTTGCTCGACCAGAAGATCCTCTTCCACTGTCTCGATCGCGATCGCGACCTTTCCCAGTAGCTCTTCGTTTGCTCCGTTCGTTTCGATCCAGATCGTCCGAGTCAAGTGAGGATTCCGTATCAGGGCTTGGTGAACGGGGTCGTTTGCGGGGGGTTGGGCGGGATGATCTTGGGTCAGAAGCCAATCTCGGTGTCGGACGGGAAGAGGATGGCGAGCCAGCTCGATCCATCTCTCTTGGTTTCCTTGGAGTGAGCACCCGTGGACCAGGCTCGGGACGGCGTGATGATCCTTCCCCTGAATCCCCCCCTATCTTGCTCGATCCAGCACGATCTGATGTCTTGTCCCCATTCCTATTCTTCCCATTTACTGGTGCTGATACTGTTCGTCGTGTTGAATCCACCTCCCTCCCTTTCCCCTTTATATTCCCGTTTCCTCTTGCAGCAGGAGGCACATCGACCAATCCCGCACGTTCCGCCGTGAGCTTTGCCAACCTGCTAATCCCTTCCTCTTCCAATGACATCTTCCCCGGTCCACCTTCCCTCCAGCCTCCTCGCGTTCTTGTCGAAGCCGCTTTCGCCCCCGGAGTAAGCCCGAATTCTCGGGCATCGGCCAAGGCTTTCCGTTCTTGTCGGGTCAAGACCACCGGAGCGGCGTGAGAAGAAGAAGACGAGGCGTGCGATCGATGGCTGGCGTAACCTGGAGTACCGGGTGTAGGTGCAGAACTTGATGATGAGGGGGTTGGACGGGCGAGGGAAGGATGTGAGGCTTGTTTGATCTTGGCCATCGGACTGTAATCACTCTGCGGTATGCACAAACATCGTTCTTGTCAGTCAGACCCTCCACACATGATCGACATGAGAAACCTGAAAGAGCTCTTGCTCACCGGCTTGTCCTTTCCCAAAATCTTCTCCTTGATGACCCTCTTCCTGTCCTCCTCCCTTTTCTTCTCCAAATACGCCTTTTCCTCTGCAGCTTTCTTGGATTTCTCGGCCAACTCTAGGTCTTTCTTCCGGGACAAGATTCGTAGGCGTTTGGCTTCTTCTTCATCTTCCTTCTGCTTCTGCTCGGATGGAATGCAAGACGAGGGATCAGTACAGCCCTGTCCGGTACGAATACGACCTGATCGGGTGCGACCGCGACGTCACGCTGTAGGACAAGGAGGTAGCACAAGGCTTACCTTGATCTTTGCAGCCTTCTCCTGATTCAACCGTTCCTCTTCCACCTTTCGTTTCTCAGCGATGATGGCCTCCTTCTTGGCCTTTTCCTTTGCCTTTTCCGCCAGGAGAGCTTGAAACTGTGATGGTCGATGAAGACGAGAGGCAAAGCGCGGTTCGAGTCAAGTCCTCTTTGTTCTGCGTCCGGACTAGCTGACTTACAGAGCTCATTTTTGCAGGCGAGCCCTCTGCCTAAAGGAAGGAGGTCTGAGCCGACTAGCTTGTAGCAACACTGCTGGCTTGTAATTGTTTATGAGATGTATGCGGAGTAGGTCGCATAAGTAGAGTAAGGTAGAGTACTCTAGCTAGAGTAGTGACTATGCGCGTCGCCCCTAGCGGCCTCCCCGGGTCTCGATGAATTCATCATCATCAGTGCATGCACCAGCTCTACAACTCTTGATATCTCGGACCTAGCACCTGCACTATCTACTACCCACCACTCATCCTCAAGCTGAAAAAGCATCAAGCGAAACTACCGATCAAACATCCAGAGACAAGACTCGAGCAGGGAATCCAACGGGAAAAGATGGCAGACTCGAAAGCGAAAGGAGGTGCTTATGGCGACAACTCGGTCAGTTCGTCGCACTCACCCAATCTATGCATCCGGATATTCTGCCATCGATACTGACAATCACATCTCTTTCCATCTGCTATTCGTTGTCTTGTTTCCCTTCGCTACGCTTTCCTCCGGACAGAACGATTACCGCCGTAAATGGGACAAGGAGGAATACCTAGCGAAATCCAAAGCCCAAGATGCCGCCGCACAGGAATACGCACAGGCAGCTCAAGCTGCCCAAGCGGCGGGCAAGAAACCTCCTCCTCGGCCCCGTGCAGGAGATGCCAATATGGGGCCTAAGCCGACCAAGGCTCTGGAGGCGAGGGAAGAGGATCTGGGGATAGAGAAGAATTTGGGGAAGAGCATGTTGGTTGCTGCTGGTGGGAAGGGACCGGGGGCCGGGTTTTATGTGAGTGATAGCGTCTCATCAGGGGAGAGTCAGGTGGCGAGCTGGGAGCGGGTGAAGGAATAGGAATGTGGGCGAGGTTGCAAAACACCGATCCTGAATCCACCTCAACCCAAGAACACCTTCACATCCTCTCTCTCCCCTTGTTCACTTCCATCCGCTCGTACGCAAGCTCATAATGACTCGCATCTGCTCATGTTTGAAATCGTAGTGCGAAATGTGTCGACGGACGTTGAAAGACAGTATAGCGTACCTCGATCACGTGAATGGACGGAGCCGTGAGTAGTCGTTGCGGCCACGCAGCGAGGGTATCGGGAGATAGCGTCCCCAGCAGGTGTACTTATGCTGCTTCCTCGAATGCCCCTTGTCTATTTTGCTCAAATTTCGCATGAACTACCTCGATCCCGGGACACGTCTGCCATCTTCCCATCCTAGACCTCGCCCGACTCGGCCAGACCACCCAAGTTCGCCGCTCAACGGTCGCCCAAGTCCGGGCACGTATCGATCTCCTTCGAGCCCAATCCCAGTCCAAAATCACCAGCAAGAATTTCGACTTTGAATCCCGCCTGAAGCTGGTCGTCCAGGAAGAAGAAGCTCGACGGAAAGAGAAGAAGGAGGGCAAGAAGCGGAAACGCGAAGAGGCGCGATTGAAGGCCAGCACGGGGCAAGACGAGGATGACGAGGGGGTCAAGAGGACCAAGGGAGCGTTTGGAAACGCGAAAAAGGAGCAAGAGGAGGAGGATAGGAAGCGGGAAGAGGAGAGGCAGTTTGAAGCGATGATGGGATTTTCGGGCGGGTTTGGGGGTGGGGTCAAGAAGCGGTGAAAGGGCGTCCAATACCCGGATTGCATTTAGCGTTGTATAGAATACAGAGATCGATCATGAATCAATAATGTTCACCCTGTATCTTTTGATGGCCGCGAGGTGATGGTGAATGCAAGTGGGTCGCCATCGATGACGTAGTTTGAGTCTGCTTTCCCACGCGTCATCCCCTCTGTTTCCCCGCTCTCGCTCGCGAGATGGCTCGGCTCATCGGGGTGGAAGAGCTCCCGCGAGAGAGAGAGTGAGTGAGAGAGTGACGAAGGCAGCGACCACGGCCACGGTCGAGGGTGATCACATCCGGTCACTCCTGACTATCATCCATCAACACCTGTTATCCGAATCGCTTCTAGCCCTGTCAGCTACTAGATAGAACTACCCCATCAATCCTGTCTTGAAGAAAAGGCCTGTCATCGGAGACGAAACCACGACTCCCTTTAGCAGCATTATCGCTCGCGGGTCGTCGTCGTCACTTCCCGAACCGGATCAGCCCGACATTCGATCATACAAGCTCGATAGCTAGTCTCCCAGTCCCATCTACATCACGCAGACTCTGTACAACGTACAATACCGAGCAAGTCTTGACAAGCAGTTGAAGAGACAACCATGTCGTACGTCGCCATCGTCAAGGCGTTGTACGATTACGAGGCACAGGACCCGGCCGAAGAGTTGTCCTTCAAGGAGGATCAGGTGCTTTATGTCATCGACAAGGAGGACGATCAGTGAGTCACGAGCTCGAGTTCGAGTCTGTCTCTTGAGTGTCTGCTCTGCAATGCTAATGCTTTGATCGATGGCGTTTCTGGCAGATGGTGGAAAGCCAAGTTGAGACCAGAGGACGAGGTCGAGGAAAAGGTCGGATTGGTGCCTGCCAGCTATGTAGAAGAGGTGAGTCCAATCAAGCTTGTCTTCTTTGCTGCTTGTGATGCTGAATTATCCTCGCATGCTTGCTGCAGTCACAACCGATCTCCCACGCACGTGTTCTGTACTCGTACGAGTCTACGTCCGAAGACGAACTCTCGGTCGAGGAAGAAAACGTCGTCTCCGTTTATGAACACCAAGGCGAGTGGGATCTCGTCAAGGTCATCCACCCGACAGAAGGAGCAGCGATCGGATTCGTCCCTGCCAACTATACCGAGGCCCTGCAATCGGGTGAAGCCGAAGACTTGGGGTTGGCCAAGGGGAGGTTGGAAGAAGGCGGCCTGGTGAAAGAGGTCGACCCGGAAGAACCTATCAGTCCCGGTGTAGGTGCTGGTGCGGGGGCAGGGATGTTGGCTGCCCCGATCCCGAGAGCCGTGACCGAGTACGCGACCCCGGCAGAGAGGGTTACTAGCAGCCATCATGCCGCTCCGGGTGATGTCAAGGACGAGGTGGAGACCTGGAGCATCTCGGAACTGGACAAGAAGGGCAAGAAGAAGAAGGGCACGCTCGGTGTGGGCAATGGGGCCATCTTTTTCGCTTCAGAGACGGACAAGGTGAGTAGAGTAGAGTGGAACAGCGTTTTTGCGTTTGCACACCCTGACTCTACGTTTGTTATCGTGAACAATCAGACACCTGTGCAGCAATTCCCTATCGACGCCCTTCTCCTGTACTCAACCCCGTCGTCCAAGACGATCCTCTTCCAGTTCGCGACTGCCCCTGAGCCGCTACAATACCACTGTGGAGACAAGGCAACGACCGACGCGATCATGGCCAAGATCAGACAATCCAAAGATATCGCCGCTGGAGGTGGAGCCGCGCCTGCCCCGGCCGCTTCGCCGCCTCAAGCCGAAGGTTCGCCTTCGACCCGCGGAGTCAGGTTCTCGGCCGAACCTGCGACTGCGTTCCCCCCTCCTCCACGACGTGCGGCGAGCTCGACCATGAGCGTACCCAAGGTAACAACGACCAAGGCGACGGCATTGTACGACTTCGAAGCTCAAGGCGAGGACGAGTTGACGATCACCGATGGCGAGGATCTGACCGTGGTCGACAAGGAGAATGACGATTGGTGGACCGTGAGGAACGCTAGCGGTCAGCAGGGTGTTGTGCCCGCTCAATACGTGGAGGTGAGCCTCGCGCAAATGCCATGGTCCGAGTCAGAGGGGCATGTAGGCTGATTTCCTGTCGGTTACCGCTTGCCAGTTGGCGAGTGGAGCTGCCACAGCATCCGCTTCGACTGGCGCTCCGGCTAGGCTCGACTCGGATGACGAATCGGTCGACGACGGTGCGGCCGCTCGTCAAGCTGAACAACAGGCCGAGGCTGAACGTCGTGAACGGGAAAGACGAGAGATGGAGGAAGAGGCGGAAGAGGAGAGGAGACGGGCCGAGGATGAGGCAGCACGAAGGGCCGAGAAGGAAAGGCGGCGAGCGGAAAGGGATCGGAAGCGAAGGGAAGAGGAGGCTGCTCGAAGGTGAGATTGCAGCTCAAGGTGCGACATGGTTGAATCGGTGCTGATCTGGGGCTGCGTTGCCAAGTAGACGCGAGGCCGCTCGACAAGCACCTCCTCCAGAACCGCCCAAGCTCAAGCAGCGTCCTTCTGCCAACGACGTGGCGGCGGCCCGAAATCTGTCCATTCCCAAGGGAAGGGATGCCCCCGACAGGCCTCGAGGGGGAGACAGTGGGAGTGGAAAGAACAGTAAGTATGGCGAATCGATTCAGCGGTCAAGACTACCTAGCTGATCTCGGCAATCTTTTCTAAATCAGGACCTAATCCGTCGCGAACGCGAGTATGGCACGACAAGAGTGGACAGTTCCGAGTTGAGGCCGAGTTTTTGGGTATGGGCAATGGAAAGATCAGGTTGCACAAGTTGAACGGTGTCGTCATCGAGGTACCTTTGGAAAAGATGTCTCCGGAAGATGTCGCCTACTTGAAAAAGGTCACCCGGAAAGAGAGGGAGAGGTCCCGATCGGCTCGAGACCCGGAAGACGACATGCCCCTGGCCCAGGTCGTTCAGACTCGGTCTCCCGCGCCGACTCCCTCAGCCGAGACTAGAGCGAGGATGTCGCCACCCACCTTTTCTCCGCCTCCGACCGCGGCACCGCCTCAACAGGCCTTCCGACCGAAGCGTAGCAACTTTGACTGGTTCGAGTTCTTTCTTAATGCCGGCTGTGATATGGACGATTGCACGCGATATGCGGGCAACTTTGACAAGGATAGAATCGACGAGAGCATTCTGCCCGAGCTGGATCCTTCTACCTTGAGGTCCCTAGGGCTCCGAGAGGGAGATGTGATCCGGGTCAAAAAAGCCATCGCAGCCAAATATCGCAAGCATACGCCCGAGGAGCTAGATCAAATCAAAAAAGACGAGGAACTCGCCAAGCAGTTGCAGGACGAAGAATCAAGGGGAGGCGGTAGTTCCGCTGCCGGGCGAAGTAGTCCTGCTACGAACCTGTTTACAGGTCCGGATGGCAAACTCGCCAACAACACCCGACGTGGCCGACCCGAGCGCAAGGGGACCATCAGCTCGGTCGATCCATCCAGTATCGCTGCTGCTTCCGACCAGCTGGCAAGGAAGCCATCGCCGCCTCTCCTGGCGCCATCTCCACCTCCCGCTCCTGCTGCACCTGAGCCGCCAAAGCCTGCTCCTCTATTGAGTGGGTTCGATGACGATGCCTGGAACATCAAGCCGGAAATCAGCAAGGCCGCTACTCCCCAGCCTCCGGCTGCTCCGACACCGCCTCCTGCACCCGTCGTCGCTCCCACGCCACAGCAGACCTCCCAGACTCTGTCAAACCAGATCAACAACCTCAGTCTGAACAACACCGGCAGCTCGGCCAATAACAACGATATCTTCTCTCAGATTCCTCAGAACAGAATCGTGTCTCCCAATGCTACCGGTCAAGCCATGCCTCAGAGCTACCATGCGGGTCTGGGGATGGGCAACTCGAACATGTCTATGGCTCAGATACAACAGCAACAGCAGCAACAACAACAACAGCCGGGACCGCTTGCCCCTGTACCTGCCAATCAGGCACTGCTGAACCCGTTGATTCCGACTACCACTGGATTCTCCGGCTTCGTGCCAACGAGACAGTCGATGAACCCACAACCCACAGGCATGATGAACCAGCAGACCGGAATGGGCGGCAACATGAACATGATGCCTCAACAGACTGGCTACGGTGGTGGCATGAGCATGATGCCGCAGCAGACCGGCTACATGGGCGGCATGGCTCAACAGCAAACTGGATACTCGAATATGCAGCCACGTATGTATCAGTCGTCTTTTCACGGTTGCGGTGGATCCTGACCCTTCACGGCCTAACGTTCGCAGAGATGACCGGTTACAACCCTATGCAACAACAGCAACAGCCACAGAACGCCATGTTCAATCAGCTCTCGGCCATACCGCCACAAAAGACCGGCATGCCTCAGACCGAGCAGACCAAGTTCGATCCAGCCAATATCTTTGCCAAAATGAAGACTCAGGGCGGTGCCGGATCCGGTCCTCCACCCGCACAGTCTGCCGGTGAGTTTCATCAGGTTTCAATGTCTCGGCGCACCAGCTGATCCACCTGCCATTTGTTCCCATATAGACAAATATGACGCGCTTCGGCCACAGGCCACCGGTCTCATGCCGCTGACGACCGGTTACAACGGTGCAATGATGCCTCAGCAGACTGGCATGGGTATGATGCCTCAGCAGACCGGCATGGGTATGATGTCGCAACAGACTGGATACAATATGGGAGGCATGGGCATGAACATGGGCATGCCAGGACAGAACTCGATGTACATGCAGCAGCCACAACAGCAGCAGCAGCAACAGACCGGGTTCATGGGTCGACAAGGTGGATACGGGTATTAATCGCTCGCGAGGGTATTGGAAATCGGTCGGGTTCTGTGTGTTGTAGGTCAAAGTCCACGGTACCGAGCTATGCCTCCTAGGTGGTTCAGGTAGAAGAAGCGTTCGAACTTGTATGATGGATAGAATAATATCAATCTGTGCACTGTGACAAGAGGCCATCGAAGTGTAACCAGCATACATAGGTTACGGAAGGCATACATAGTCACAAGAAAATCGAGGGTAATCTGCTTCGCTTGTCCTTTCACTCGTAACGAGCGAAGATGCTCCCATGGCGAGGATCAGCGACGATCTTCGAAACAGAACAAAGAAGGAAAGTGGATCGTCGGGCTAGTCTCCACAATCGAGAAGCAAGAAGCAGTATTCGACAATCGTATATAGCGGGCAACGCATGCGCTATCTATTCACCTTCTTACACTTCTCCTATATCAAAACATATATCCTTCTTATCAACGCTAGTTCCTTGCTACCATATCAAAGTGAACGACGACTTCGCCATATGTATAACCTTGACGAACCCGCCTGCTGGCTTGAGAACGACGGAGCGCGCATTACTCCCTTCTACGCCCAGGAGGTATTCTGCCAAGGGAGTCCTACCTGGCTATCCTACTTGTGTAGCAGGGCCAATTCTACCTTCACTGTCATCGTGGACTGCCGTCTCTACATCCAGAGAATGTGCACTGTGGCTTTCCCTGACGTTCAAGCGATGCTGCATATCGACGGTATCGAAGTGGCCGCGCTTGTTACGGATGTACGCATCGGGGAAACTCTGCTTGAGTTTGAAGGGGTGTATGACGGAGACGAGGCCATCAGGCCATTTCGTTTTGAGAAATTGGTACGTCGATAGCTATACACCAAGTCTAGCTTCCCTGATAGTTGTCTCCTTCACGGTCCTAGCGAATGAAGGAGAATGGCTATAAGCCGTGTGACGAGATCCTCCGTGGCCTCGGTCACATCAAGGTTGAGCTCCGCAGGGCGAGGTTGAAGGGTCCTCGAGCTAGCACCGATGATGTCAAGCTATCACGGCTTCATCAACGGCCGTATGACGAAGAAAAGGTCAAATTGAAGTTGGCGCACGTGGCCAATCTTCATCGCAAACAAGAGGTAGAAAGCACGAACGAAACGTGGAACCTGACCACGGACCCTCAAGACGATAATCCTTTCTATGCGTTCCTCTTTAAGCACAACTCGGAGGCTGTGTGGCGTGCCAGTGGTCATCTGAGGAGGAATCGCCGTGAGTACCAGTTTTCCACATTCTCACATCGCTCACAACTCATCGACGTGCCCGTGCTCTAGATGAACCCGTCTTAGGGAGCGAGAAAAACCCCATCATCCTCTGAGGAAGCCCTCCAATAACAACGGCCGGAGAGACCTGATAACAGGGGATATATCGTGGATCCACGAGAGTACCAGGGCGAATTTTGCGAACAGAGTCGTCAGAGATAGTCGATATAGCCTTCCGATATTAAGATAGTTGACAAAGCCATATAGCGGTCTTGTATACAAATTGTTTGAGTCCGGCTTCTGTATAGGTCGTTCTAGTTCTCCTTTATGCGTCAAAGTATATAGATATGCACAGCCGGTATTGTCCAGTATCGGTGATGGTCGTAAATGATCGTAGATCGATTGGGTTAAAAGATAGGCAGATACTATGCTGCAGTCTTTCCCTTCTTGACCTCTTCTTCGTCGGTATGTCGAAATGTGAACTCTTCCAGCTGCGAGCCATTGCGGAGTAGCCGTATCAGCAGTCTGTATGGATGAGAATCCCAAGCCAACCTTACCTGAGCCTGGAACTCTTTCTCGACCTCCTCCATGACGTTCGCCTTGACCATCAGGTGCTCCGCATCGACTGGTACGAGCCCCCGATAGACATCAGCTGCAAGTCTCGCTTCGCTCGCTCCCAAAGAACACAGACTGGGACTCACGATCGGCCACTATAAATTGCTCATGACCAGCTTCTGCACGCTTCTTGTTGAGGTGGATGAGCAGTTGTTTCGCGGCCGGATCCCTGGACAATCAAGTGAAGTTTATTCACAAACGGATGAGCGTATGCCTTTATCGGAGCAAGATCAAAAGAACCGTACGTTTTCACCAGCATACCTACGAAGTGCACCGAGGTGTTAGCCAAGGATGCCACGGTCAATACCGACCGCAAAGCAGATCTCACCTCTTGTGATCTCGACCTTGTCCCTCGCAAACCCGGTTCCTTGCCGGGTCGTATAACCCTGTTGGCCCGAGCCTTGCTGAGCTAGGTACGCCAAATCCATTTCTATGTATGATTCTGTAGGGAGAATCTGGTATCGACCACCTTTACAGACAATCAGGATGGGTATCGATCATGGCCTTAAGCAGACGATACGTCACCGAGTCTCTTGAGGCCCGGCTTGGCTCGCGCTTCGAGCGTGAATGCGTGAAGCGAATGTTGCACGGAATGACTTGATGATATCATGGCAGGTCGTAACGCAAAGAGCAAACCCATCTACAACATTATTACAATGTGGGCGAAAGATACACTATCTTACACCAGTACGTCTGAGAATACATAATTGGGAGGTATCCATACCAAGGCTTTCAGATCACGACCGTCTCATCCTGATCTTGCCCTCTTTGGCGGCTTTTGGCCGCTCGCCTTTGGTCGAGTTGATTTTGGGCACTTTGCGTTCTCGGTTTCGGTTCTTGACGTTAGCCGTGGTGTAGTAGTTGGTCGATTTCTGCTTGTTGGTCGTCATTCGAGGAGCCTTGGCGGGTCGCTTGCCGTCGGTTTCGTCGAGATCAGCGACAGCGGCTGTAAAGGGAGAACAAGTCAGCGTATGAACACAAGTTGAGAAACAGATTCCGAGGTCGCGGTTGAACGTACCTCGCTTGCCTTTTGCCTTGGCCGATGCAACAGGGACAGCTTCCTCTTCCTCAACCTCCTCTTCCTCGTCATCCTCTTCATCCTCCATGTCGTCCTTCTCAGCATCGTCCTCGAGCTCGAGCTCGTCATCGTCTCCGAGATCACCATCAAGACCACCATCATCGCTCTCATCGCCCGCCATGACCGGCTTAGACGATGAACCGGCCTTGGGGAACAAATCATCCCAAGCCATCTCATCTTCGGCCTCGGCCGCCTCGACATCGTCCTCGTCGTCCGACTTGTCGTACCCTTCACCGGGTACCATCTCCTCGTCACTCTCGTCATCGGCGATTCTACGGTTGTCATCGCCGATAAATTTGCTCATGGTGATAATGTTTCGCAAGGGCTGCTCGACACCCTTGACCTTGCGTTCACCCAACGTCTTGGCGAGTTCGGCCTCCCTGGCAGCCAGCTCCTCCTGCACGGCCTTCTCTTCGACAGTAAGCTCGCCCTCAACCTCCTTGCCAGCGTCGGGTTGACCAGCGTTCTTGTCAGGAGGCATGGCAAAGTATGGGATCTTGCCTCGGATCCAGTCATTCAGCATGATCTTGGCGATACTCTCCTGATCGGGTTCACCACCCTTCAACAGCTTGCCCATTCGCTTGGCGATCGTGCTGAGCAAGACCGTCGCGCCCTCTTCTCCCTCCCATCCACCTTCCCTAGGCTCGAGTCCGTACGTCCGCTCGATGTATGCCGGCCGTACTCGCTTCAACAAGCCCGGGATGTGTTCCGCAGGGGTCTGCAGGTTTTCCACTCGGACGACTCCCTTGAGCACGGTATCCGTCTCGGAATCCTTGGCCGAGATGGGCACGATACCGGGACAATCAATGAGATAGATCCTCTTCATCAAGGTGATGTATTGCCAGACCTGCCCACAATGACGCAGAACCGATGAGTCTACCGATACATTACCAAAATTATTCGCATCGCGGACTTACCTTGGTTTCACCGGGAATAGGAGCGACGGTGCAGACCTTTTTCTTCTTGAGCGTGTTGATGATACTACTCTTCCCGACGTTCGGATACCCGATCAGACCAACCGAGATCTGCTTCTTATCCGAATGGAGGACCGAGAACTGTCGCAAGAGCTGGATCAAGGATCCCTTTCCGAACGAGTTATTGATGGACGCGTGGAAAGCAATGGTAGGTGCCTGAAGGGAGAGGTGTTTCACCCATCGAGCCTGATCATGCCGAAATACCGATATGTCAGTATTGGTTCGTGCGCTCCTGATCGTAGAGAAAGAAGCCAGAAGAAAAAAAGAGATGTCGGACTCAAAACTAAGACATGCGTCACGACGAGCCAGTCTCGGGCCCAAGGCAAAGTCGAGACTTTTCCCCGGACCGTTCGACCTCCGCACCTAAACGGGACCCTTTGACAAGAACACATCAACTCTATCGAGTCCCCCAAGCCCCTCCCTATGGGTGAACGTCCCTATAACGACACCCGCAGAAAAACTCTACGGGGTCTAATCCCCCTTCCGTGAGAAAGGGGGGCGCGTCACGGCGTTTCGGACGATCCAAGACGGACGCTTGCCTACTTTGACGTGACATTCAGGACGTTCGATTGGGTGCGGAAGGGGCAGATTCGTTCTCCCACTCTCGTAACAGACCGACGCTTAGGTAGAATGTCTCGTCGTTTTATAGACAGAAACGAGCGTAGGCCTTGACTGGAGTGTGGGGGCGGATGATCCGCCGGAATAATGGAAAGAAAGGAAAGACGAGAGAGAAAAAACAAAGTCAAGAACATCGCTCGCACTCACGGTCACCCAGGTAGGCACGAGATCGACCTTGTTCAACACGTAGATCAACTGTTTATGGGCCTTTTCCTTTTTCAAAAACTCGACGACGGGTTTACACCTGGTTCCCATGGGGTCCCTGGCGTCGAGCACGTGGATGACGACGTCGGACGAGTCGAGCACCTTGTAGAGTTCTCCCCAGATACGACGGGAGGTACCTTTGGCGTAGATGGGTTCGGACATGAGGGATCGGACGGGGTGGAAGGAAGCGGGTTGTTCAATGTATGCATCCGGGTTGGCCTCTACGACGATATTCAGGTGTATGGTCAGTGATGGCTCGACTAGTCGAAACATTCGAGCTTAGACTCACCCTTCTCGGCGTGAGCATCGGCGACATCCTTGCCGAGCTCTTCCAAACTCCCCACTTCCAACCTCGGTCGTTTCCTCTGCGCCTTGGGTCCGAACGTTCCCGAAAACGGCTCCGTCTCCACGATATGCACCCTCTTGCCCTCCTGTCCCTTGCCCTCCTCTTCCAACAGGCCCATGGGCAGCTTGTTCCTCCTCAACAACACGCTGTACGGGTTGGCCACCTGGGCCGAGAGCGACGTCCGAAAGTGGTCCAGTGCGTTCTGGCTGATGACCCGGGTGTTTCCGAACCATCGTCGATCGGGCTGGACTCGTCCCATCTCGTTGCCCATCTCCTTTTCCGTCTTTTGAAAGGCGGCGGATTGGGTGATCTTTCCGTCACGGTCTCGGACGGCCTTTCCACCGTTGAGCATCTTGACGCGGGAAGCCGACTTGGCATCTCGGTAGAAGTTTTCACCTGAAAGATACGAATGATTGGGGAGGATACGTACGAGTCAGTGCGGGGTTCGACAATTTTGAGGTTGATCCGTAGGTCGACTGAACTCACCCTTGACACGCTTGAGCGTAAACTCTCCCTTGTTGCCCCCCGACTTGCCCGCCGACGCGGTCGGGGTCTTGACGTGGTTCTTTCCCTTGCCCATGATGGAGTTGATGGTACAAGGATATGTAGAGGTGGGTGGGTGGATGGGAATCGAATCAAGTCTGATCGATCAGAAAGAGGTCGAAGGGGTTGTGATCGATCATTCGAGGGTTTCAATCATGGACGGAGAGGGGGGGAGGGGGACCTTGGCTGGTGGGAAATTCTGAAAAACGGAAGCAGAATGTAGTTGAAATCTCTTTCACGTGATTCGGTCAGTCCCGAGATCGGACTTGACCGAATGGAGGGGGATGATTAGACTGACCTTCTTGGAAAGACACGATGTCTACATGTCTAGCATGTCTAGTCTGTTGATCTGTTGTCAAAAGGACACCTGTTTGTCACTCGAACCCCAAAACTACCATCGATAATTGGACACATCGTTACAAGTTGAAACCCGGATACCATGTCGTTGGAGTCTCCGACCGGCTTGTCGGTAGCAGTTCACATCGATGGCCGCTCGCTGCCGGTCTTCTCGCCCAAACACACCAGGGAACCCCTGGGTACGGAAAAGTCGGAAGGATGGATCTGTAGCCAAGTCGACAAGGTCAGTCAGTGGGCTCTTGATCAAGGCTTTCTCTTCCGACTCGAAGTCCTGATACAGCGTTGGCATCGACCAGATATACTCCATCCAGCTGGATTCGACGGCCTGGAGGGCACGCGCTTCTGGCTTCAAGGATTTGCAGCTCATAGTCATGGTGGATGGAGTGATTACGGAGAAGAGAGCTCTGCAGGAAATTTATTCCGCTGTGACTGTTATGAGTGGGCCTTCAAAGGCCGCGGCAGAGGTCTGGCCATACAAATTCGAGAAACCGGTGAGTCCCGAGCGATCAATCTCGACCTCTCAGGACCAAACTAAACCGCCGTATTCTTTTGGATACTGTAGAAATTGCAGGAAGAAAATCACGATGAAACGGCTGGACCATTGAACACTGCCATCGGCACGATTGAAGTCCGGATCGTACGCGTCGTATATGACCCGCAGCCCAAGCCTTTCGTTCCGCAAGGAATGCCGAAGATGACCTCGTCGATGTCTGAGAAGCAGAAGAAAGGCGCTCTTTCTGCAGTCACTCAGTAAGTCCAGTTTGTATCTCCATGTCCGGGTGCGAACGGTAGCTCTGACCCTTTTGTTCACTTCGTTACGAATATAGGTTTGGGGAAACCGTCAAAGTCCGGCCCACCAGCTCCGTTTCGGTCGTACTCTCACAAGATTCCGCGGAATACCCGTACTGCAGACTCGTCCTCCGCTACGCTTCCAAAGACATTCTCACAGCGATGGATATCATTCCAGGTAGGTTTCACTTCCCGTTAGCCTCGATCTCGACATCTCACCCGTCTTCTGTTATAGTCGAACGAAGGGAGAGAGTCTCGCCTCCAGTATCGCCCGAACCAGAGGTCGCTCGCGTCAAACAACGAGAGGAGAGTCCTGTCCCGGCGGTCTCGGCGGCGGCAGACAGGCTCCGCCGAGCCAGGGAAGAACTTGAGAAAGCTGAAAGGGAGAATGCTGCCTTGGAAGCGTCCATCGCTTCAAGGTCGGGAGCGGGAGCGCCATCGGGATCTGGGAAGAGGAAGCGAGGAGCGGGGGACGTCAAGGATGAGGAAGACGAGGAAGACCTCTTGCGAGCTAGAAAGAAGATGGAGAGGGAGATGAAGGACGCTCTCAAGGACTATGACGGGACTGCCATCGACCTCACCGAGGAGGAAAACTTTGCGCCCGTCTTCGTCAAGGGGGAGACGATCGATTTGACCGACGATTAGCACGAACATTACGACTTTTGATTCAGCTTGGGCTTCGACAACAATAATGACAATAACTTCACGAAACCTATCAGATGATTCTACGTTTGTACCAGACTATCAGATATCCGATCCGCAGTCGATTACGTTTCTCGTAGCCCGCTTCGTATACCACTTCTCGTCCGGGTGCGTCTCCAACAAGACCTTCAGTAAGACTTAGTCCGGATACTATGTAGAATGATTCTACGTAATGACCTAAGCCCTTGCCGAGACCCGGTCAAGCGACGCTCTAGCTGTACACGCCGGGATAGCTTGTGGCTGCCAGGCTTCGTCGCTATTATGGGAATAGCCGAATCGAACCGAGCTTGCCTCGCTCGTTCACCACATATTCTTCAATCGCCGATCGTTGTCATTCTATGTAAGGTGGAAATATGATCAGGATCGCCGAAAGGCTGCATAAGTAAAGTCTAGTCAGTCGTACATCGTAAGTTCGTCGTAATTTTGGAAACTCAGTCCCCCAGATACATCTCGTTAAGCGCGTCACTAGCATTACTAGGCGCCGGTCAAATCAAGCGTCTCCCCTTTCACAATCATGACGGGCGTTTCGTCATCCGAGGTCAAATCGATAGTCGTGCCATGGTACCGTTTCAGTGATTCCGTCATCTCGCTCTGCAACTTCCTCTTCACCGTCGCCTTGTCGTCCTCGTCTTCCCCTCCTCGTCTCCTTTTGGTAGTCAACTTGCTGGTCGAGGCGTTCGCGGTCGGCTGCTGCAGCGAACTGGCTAACTGTTCGGCCTCCTCCAGCTCCTTTCGTGCGCGTTGCAGCCTCTCCTCCGCTTGTACGGCCGCTTCCATCTCCTCTCGAGCTCGCCTCAGCCTCTCTTCCGCTCGCTCGGTCGCCTCGACTTCCTCTCGAGCACGTCGCAACCTTTCCTCGGCGGCGATTCTCTCAGGATCAGGGCTCGGGATGCGCGGCTTGCGAGATTCGTCGTCGTCATCCTCTGAAAGCGAGTCCAAGTTCGAATTCAACTCGGAGTTCAGTTCCGATTCGTCAGGATCAGACGTTTGCGAGTCGGATCTCTCCCTGGCATCAGCATCGCCTGGAAGCCACGAGTAGAGACAGACATTCATTAACCAGGTGGAAATACATAACAACTCAATGACACTCACGAGGAACGATGTCCATGGCCATCAACAAGCTCTTCGATCCGTACCGAAGAGTCAGCTTGCAGTAGGGACTCGAATCTTGGTCTTGAACGCTCAGGGTGGTGCAAGTATATATACTTTCCTCCATCTGTTTGATCTCTCCGAGCCTGTAGTCGTGGTGATGTAGTAATGGTGACTAAAATGGGATATCGTAGATGCTTCTTAATTCACTTACTGAGTAACGAGCGACATAGCACCCTTCTTTGACTTCTCTGAAACCGCCCCGGTCATCTGCACTGCTTGCGGCTGATACACCGAGCGTCGTTTCGTCTCCTTGTATTGTAGGCGCATGAAAGTGACCTCGATCGAACCACACGCTGCGCTTAATATTCCGCCACCAGAACCTTCATCCTCTTCAGCGTCTTCTGCTAGCAATTGCTGCACAGAGCAGAGACACGTCAGGCGCGGAGGTCGAAGAGGTATTCGATCAAAGCTTACCGGCTTTGCGAATTTGTATTCTTGATAGGACTGGGCGTCTAGCTCAGGTCCTTCGAATTCAGCGATTTCACGTGTGTGGTCAATTAAGCCGTAGGTCTGCGTTACGATTCCATCAACCTTGAGCTTCGCTTTCAAGTGTTTATGTTTGTTCCTCTGATGAGCGGTATAGCCTGACGTATCTGCAACAACCTTGTAGGTCTACATCGACAATTCAACTGAATGTTACGCGCACGACAGGCTAGCATTGTTGTGATACACACCTTGCCTTCCTCCGAGCAGATCCAACCCTCGCTGCGGAGGGGCTCGGCATCCGAGAAGTGCTTGACTTGATATACCGGGAGAGACCGTCCCTCGACCTGCACCTTGATTTTGATGGTGTCGTCTCGGCAGGGTAACCACATACTGGACGTCTGCGCTATCGGTGGTGCAACGATGTCGTTCCTAGTACCAGTATTCTTTAACAGCTATAACCTCCAAAACTAGTGGCGATCAAAAGCATAGTCAAGCTAGACAAATGTACGAGCTGCAAGTGTACAAGTGTGCAAGTGTGCAAGTGTGCAAGTGTGCAAGTGTGCAAGTGTACGAATTACGAACTCTAGAGAAATCGGGTAGCAACAACCCAGGCGGTGACGTAAATAACGTAAGGGTGGAACCGTGGGCTGGGCATCCAAAACAATAACAAACCCTGAGCGCTCGGTCGGCAGCGCTCATCATGAATCATGCACATCACTGATCGAGCAGCTAAGCAGCTAAGCAGGTCACATACCATCAATAACGATACCATACTGTCAGGAGAGAGACATCCAACCCTAAGGCCAGATACTTAGGAATCTGCCGCGTCGACACAGGCATCTTGAGTCTAGCTAGCAAGATCTGCTCCCTGGTCGGCGATTGCCTACACAACTCCATCACCACTTGACCGCAATCTACCCATGACGACATGCTCTGCCATTCCGCCAACTAAAGCTTGACGAATTGACGACGAACAGCAGCGCAAAGCCTCACGAAAGAACGAATCTGCAGTAACTGTGATCTTGAGAGTAAAGGTTCTCGCGGCTCACGGAAAGCTACGTACGGAGCTGGTACCAAGATGGATGTCACTCGACGAGCCCTCAAGCGGCAGGAGGATGCCGCAGCTGATGCAGCCGCACAGGCTGAGTTCAACGAGAAGAAGTAAGCCTATCTCTTTCAACATGACTGCCGGGATCTCGTAGGGTTACTCAGGTCACTCTCGCCCTGACTTATAGATGGGTATGGGTGCCGGACGAGAAATCAGGCTATCTTCCCGGTTGGATCGTCAAGGAGGAGAAAGCAGACATCACTCAGCCTTTGAAAGCTATCAAGGGGATTGAAGGTGCCCCGGGTGATTACCTTCCTTCCTCGGCAACCAAGCATGGTAGAGAGATGACGCTGGAGGATGCTTCGCTCGTCGGGGACACGATCGCCGATGTCGTCCTCGCCAACGGAGGTGATGTGAGTCCAGTCTTCCGAAGAACGCGACAATACCTTTGATGGCCGAAAAGCTAAAACTGGTCGGTTTGCTCTATCATGAAAGATCCGGAGCATACCGTCATATACTCTGTCGAAGATGAACCCACCCAAATTCGACCGGGTGGACGATATCGCAGATCTAACCTTTCTGAACGAAGCAGGGGTGGTGCATAACCTGAGATTGCGATATGCAGCGGGTATGATCTACGTGAGTCGGTAGCATCCCTTGTCATTGATCATCGAGCTGACCAATTGTACCAACGCGATAAACCAGACGTACTCAGGGTAAGCTATATGCCCTTTCCTTCTTTGTGATAATTGCGGGCCCCCATTGAAACTTTGATCACATCAAAACAGACTTTTCCTGATTTCCATCAACCCTTACAAGGATCTTGGATTATATACCCCTCAAATCGTAGCAGCATATCGAAAGAAACGGAGAGATGAGGCTGCACCGCATATTTTCGCAACTGCCGAAAGAGCCTGGGTGCAGATGGGCGAAGAAAGAGAATGCCAAAGTATTCTGATCACGTGAGTTGAGTCATTGTCTTTGCGGGCAGCTCAGTGTCTGATGATCTACCGTGCAGAGGAGAGTCCGGTGCTGGGAAAACGGAGAATACGAAAAAGGTCATTCAATACCTCGCTGCTATCGCTCCGTCGACCGAACGCGCCTCGGTCGCACCCACTATTCCCAGCTCGCCATCAGGTCCCTCAATCGCACCCCGCGTCGGCCTGCCCCACTCCATGTCTTTCAAGGGAAAAGATGAACTCGAACTCATGAAACGGCAAAAGTCGGGTACACTGGAGGATCAGATTCTGCAAGCCAATCCAATCTTGGAAGCGTTCGGGAATGCGCAAACGCTCAGGAACAACAACTCAAGTCGTTTTGTGAGTACCTCTCATGTCTCATCGACTTGCGCTGCGTAAACCTCATTGGACAATGTTTGGTTTTCATAGGGTAAATTTATCCGAATCCTCTTCACGTCAGCGGGCGCCATCAGCGGTGCCAATGTGGACTGGTATCTGTTGGAGAAGAGCCGTGTTACATTCCGGTCGGCGGGAGAGAGAAACTTCCACGTTTTCTATCAATTGCTGGGATCGGGCAGGGCGGAGAAATCGCTACGAGGCAAGTTCGAAGTTGCTTTTCTCAAAGACCTCTTTTGTTCACCCTGGTGTTCGCTCGCGGGTAGACAAGCTTCTTCTGGGCGATAAACCTGAAGACTACGAATACCTCAAGAACAGTCGGAGCACGATCGATGGGGTGGACGACTCTATGGAATGGCGACATCTCAAGGTGAAGCCTCATTGATCCGGGGTTTCAAACGGCAAGTTGATGAAATCCTGCACCGTGGCATTACCCAGACCGCTCTAGCAACCGTCGGATTTTCCTCGGAGGAGCAATTTGCAGTGTTTCGCGTAGTCGCCGCTATCTTGCACGTCGGTAACATCGAGATAAAAGGCGATCGGTCCGATCAGGCATACATCACATCGCCAGAAGTCGTTGAGAAAGTCTGCCATCTACTAGGCGTATCGAGCTCCGACTTCAGTCGAGCAGTCTTGAAACCCAAAGTCAAGGCTGGCCGGGAGATCGTAACGCAAGCGAGGACGAAACGTCAAGCGGACGAGGAATTAGGAGCTCTCTGCAAGCACATGTACGAGAAAGCTTTCGGAGGTCTTGTGGACAGGATCAACAAGGCACTGGATCGACCTGCTCTGAAGTCGCAAGTGTCGATGTCCTGCCAGATGGGAGACGAACAATGAACTGACCAGCCTCTTGCTCAACAGACTGTTCATCGGTGTCTTGGATATCGCTGGATTCGAAATCTTCGGCAAGTCTTGACCGATTGATCGGGAAAGCAAAGGACCTGAGCTGATGTCGCATGTAAAGATAGAGGTGAACGGGTATGAGCAACTTCTCATCAATTACACCAACGAGAGACTGGTAAGTCGATTTCAATACTTGACCAAGATCTGCTTTGCTCATCCCAATTCATCCGCCCGTATCACTCACTGCTCAGCAACAAGTAAGTTCTGTTTGTGCTGGTTTAATTCGGAGGATCTTTGCTGACAACTGACTTGAAACAGTATTTCAATCACCACATGTTCATTCTCGAACAAGAAGAATACGGGCGAGAAAACATCGAGTGGAGCTTCGTCAATTTCGGCTTGGATCTGCAACCGACCATAGAGCTCATCGAATCGACGCAGCCAATTGGTATCCTTTCAACCCTGGATGAGGAGTGTATCATGCCCAAGGCCACCGACATTACCTTCCTGGAGAAGCTGAAGGCCGAATGGGACTCTTCTAGCAAACCTACTAATGCTCTGAGACATCCAGGTTCTGCCAACTTCCAGTCGACCCGATTCGGTAACGGCTTCGTGGTCAAACATTACGCTGGTCCCGTCGAATACAGCACCGAGGGCTGGCTGGCAAAGAACAAGGATCCCATCAACGACGATGTTGCAGGGCTGCTCTCGAGATCCAGCCAGCCTTCAGTCGCTGCCATGTTCTCCGAGTATGGTGAACAGGCCAACAGCACCGGCTTTGTTAATGGCAAGCGTGTCAAGCGAGGCGCTTTCCGAACAGCCGCGCAAAAACATCGCGAGCAACTTGCATCCTTGGTCAACCAGCTTGGATCAACACAGCCACACTTTGTCAGGTGTATCGTGCCAAACTCCAATAAGAAGCCTAGCCAAGTCGATGTTCCTCTCGTTCTGGACCAGCTTCGCTGCAATGGTGTCCTAGAAGGTATTCGGATTGCACGTCTCGGATACCCAAATCGACTTCCTTTTGTCGAGTTCCGGCAGCGATACGAGGTGTTGTGTCCCAACGTGATTCCCAAGGGGTACATGGATGGAAGAAAGGCCTGTCTCAAGATGACCGAAGCGCTTGAACTCGCCTCTGATGTCCACAAGATGGGTCTCACCAAGATCTTCTTCAAGGCTGGGGTTCTAGCCGACCTGGAGGAGAGGAGAGATGCCCATCTATACGATATTTTCGCCCGCTTTCAATCGACCGCTCGGAGATCCATCGCTCGTCGGAAGCTTAATAAATTGCTCAATCGTGCCATGGCGGTCCGAACGATCCAGAGAAACGCCCGTACCTACATCGAGTTACGAGACTGGCCTTGGTGGCAACTCTTCAACCAAGTCAAACCTCTATTAGCAGCTACACGGGAGGATGACCAGCTTTCGAAGAAGAGGACCGAACTGGCTCTAGCGAAGGAGCGCGCAGAACGGGACGCAGCCGAGAAGGCCAAGCTGGCCGAGTTGCAGATGCGGCTACAGGTGGAAAAGCAAACCATCGAGGCATCTCTTGCTGCGGAAAGGCAAAGTGCCCTCGAAAAGGATGGGCTACTTGAGCGGTCGAAACAAACAGAGTCTGAGTTGCAGGAGGAAGTCCAGGCGCTGCAGGGCGATATTGATACGCTCGAGGAACATTTGGAAGCGGCGGAAACGGCTCGTCTCGCTGCCGAAGCGAGATCGACAGATATCCGCGCCGAATTCGAGGCAAAGACGAAACAGAACGAAGAGTATCAACAACGCGATCTCGCGAATCAACACAAGCTGGCGGAAGCGTCCGAGAAATTGCTGGCTTCCAAGCAGAATCTAGCCCAGGCCGAGCGAGAGAAGGGCGAGCTAAAGACGAAGTTGGAGGAATCCAGCAAGCAGGCCGAGCGAGCCAAGGACGACTTCCTCAGAATTAAGGAACGGGTACAGTCCATCGAAAGTGAGGCGGAAGGCAAGGTCAAGGACGAGAAGACGAAAAAGTGAGTCCAGCATCTGGAATTATCGACGAAGCACGGTCTAATCGATGTACGCTATAGCCACGATTTGATGAACCGGCTGGAGACTGTTATGCGGGAGATGAAGTCCAAGGAGGAACGCCTGACGACCATGACGACGGCATCTGCCGAGTACGAAACAATGTTGAAGCGGAAAGACGCGGATATCGCTGACATCAGGGCGGAATTGAACGCTACTCGGGCCCAACTGGACGATCTCAAGAGGAAGTTTCGAGACGCGGACATGCTGGCCGAGACCGCTAAGAAAGACCTCCAGTCATCCAACGACCGCAACGACAAGCTCGCCGGTAACATGACAAGGGTTCAGCAAGAACTCGACGGGCTCAGAAAGCTCATGTCTGCTAAGCAGAGCGAAGACGCTCAACGAAAGGAGGCCGACCGAAGTCGTGAGCAAGAGCTGCTTAGTCTACGCGCTCAGCTGGATAAGGCAGCTCAGCAAGAGCGTACCCTTCGGGAAGACTATAACAAGGCTTCGGAGGGGCACAAGAAGGAGCTGAAGAACGCACAAGATCAAGTCGCAAAGCAGATTGCGCTGGTATCAGATTTGACAGCTCAGTTGACGGCGGCGCGCGATCAACTTGAAAAGCAGACCTCGTTGCTCAGCACCACCGCCAAGGTCACGAGGGGTCTAGAAGTTGACCTAGCGGAATGCCGCAAACGCTTGATCACGCGAGATGGCGAGCTCGACGTAGTTGTCAAGGCCAAAGAGGTAAGTTGACCCCCACCTCGCCGCAGATCGTCTGGTACTGGGCTGATCAATACATCGAAAAAGTTGCTTGAGAGGCAATTGGGTGTTGCAAAGAGCAAATTGTCTGACCATGAAGATGCGATACTAGTGATGGAGCGCGAAAAGGTCGATTGGGCAGGACGCGTTGACAACGTCAATCGAGAGCTTCGTGCCGAGCGAAACAGATCGGAAGCGGTCGACGGCGAGCTCAAGAACTTGCTGGCGGAAAACAGGGCGATGCGTCAACAAGCTGACCACGCAAAAGCAGTGGCAAAGATGCAGGATGATGAGATCGCACTGCTACGCTCTCGTGAGAACAAGACGATTGTCGAGCACGTACATGTCCTGGAAAAAGCCAAGAAGGTCACCGATCGCGAATTAGCCGCCACAAAGGCAGAAAGGGATCAGCTTTCGTCTGTCTTGCGATCTATGGAACAGCAAAAGAGTCGACTTATCGGTGACATCGAGGACATGGCGCGACAGAACGAATTGCTACGCTCCGAGATGCGCGCCGTTCAGAAGACCACAGGGCCTTCTATGGATGATCTGAACCGCGAGAAGGAGGCTCGGAAGAAGGCCGAAGCTCGCGCCGCTCAAGCGATCCCGCAGGCGGAAGAGATTAACAGGCTGAAAGCTCAGCTCACTAAAAATCAAGATACAATCGCCAAGCTAGAGAAGGACGTCGAGCGTTCCAACAACCGATCGGTCCCTCAAAGCAACGAGATTACGCGATTGCAGGCGCAAGCTGCAGTGGATCACGAGCAAGTGGTCAAGCTGCAAAAGGATCTGTCAGCTGTCAAAGTCGAGCTCGAGCGGGCAAATGCATTGGCGCTCAAAAACACTCAAAGTCAACACCGAACAGCATCCGGTCCCAGTCCCTCCATCAAAGCTCTACAAGAACTACATCTCGGAAACGAACAGCTCTCAAAGTCCATGGCGGAGGAATTACGCCGCAACAGGCTCGGGCCGTTGGCAGAGGCCAACGGTCGGGTTCGCAACGAGAATAACCGACATTCTCTCGACATCGGTTCCATGAGGACTTTGATGACTACGGTGCCGGACGACACGGGAAAGCTTGCTGCTGCTCAGCAAAAGATGGCTCGGGATCTACAACTCCGTAAGGCGATTGCTAGTTACCTTGATCAATCCGGTTGTGCTTATCTGTTGATCGCTACAGTACAAGCCGATCTGCAGACCGCTCAAACGGTTGCCAAGGAAGCTCAGAAAGCTCGTACCGACGCCGAGAGTAGGCGGGCCGCCGTTGAGAAGCGTCTCAAGGATCTACAAGACAATGTGAGCGTCAAATCGCTTAATAAGAATGACACAACTCGACTGACCATTCGCGGGAAAGACGGATGACTCTGCTTTTGACAATGCCGCTGGATTCGCAGCTCGTCTCAACAAAGAGATGGAGAAAGAGCGAGCGCGATATCAGAAGGACTTGCAGGACTTTGAGAGGACTGTTCATCAGACCCGGACCAAATATCAAGGTGAGAGACTCTTGCTTTACGTGGTACCGAACTATTTGTTGACCTGACACTTGCTTTGTTACAGCCGAGCTGGCTCAGCTGACCGAGGATTTGGGCTCACAGAGGGATGACATGCTTCGTTACAAGGAGGCCAATAGGTTACTCAAAGCTAAAGAAGAGGAACTCCGACGCGAATTGGAGGACGAACTGCACAGCTCCTCTGGTTGGAAACGGGAGAAAGAGCGTTTGGAAACTAGAATCGGTCAGTCCTTTTCTCGAGGTCATCTCGCGATCGATCCTGATTACCAACTTTGACTGCGCACTATTAGTGGATCTCAACACCGCTCTAGAAGCTGCTTCTTCCAACTCTGAAGTCAATCAAGGGCAACATGTCAAGCATGTTGCTCAGATGAAAGAGCTTCGCCGGAAGTTGGACGAGAGCGAAACGTGAGCTCAGGTCGACGGGACTAACTTGTCCGTTCTGGTGGCTGACAGACTTGCACGGCAGTGAATGTTCTGCACTTCGCCAGGCCAAACAAAAGCTGGAAGAACGTTCGAATGCGCTATTCGATAAGGAGCTCAAGAACAGCCGGCTCGACCAGAACCGGGCGGTACAGCAGCTTTCTCTCGAGAAACAGGAAATGCAAGCTGCTCTCGATAGCGCCAACGACAAGATTAACCTGGTCAAGCAGAAGCAAGCTCGATCCGAGGCCTACGCCGCTGAATGTCTACAAGAGCTTGGCAAGGTCAGAAAGGTTAATACCGATGTAGATCGACGCAACGTGAGTGGCCGGTTTTTCAGTTTGACCCAACTCTACCGAGCAGGATTCTGACCCGAATCCTCTGCAGACCGCCTTGGAGAAGGAGGTCAAGGCTCTTCAGGTCAAGATCGTCGACCTCGAGACGCAATCCTATGCCAATTCGCCTGTTCCCGGCGCTACGAAACGGCTCGAAAGCAAGCTTCGCGAGGTGCAGCTCAAGCTAGACGCCGAGATCGAGGACCGAAACGAAGCTCTCCGTCAGAAGACCATTTGGGAACGACAAAGCCGAGACTACCAGGCTCAGCTCAAGGAGATGATACAACAGCAAGAGCGACTCGTGCAAGAGCGAGGCGCTTATGAGCGGGCGATTGGAGAGCTGCAATCATCCCTGAAGAAAGCTGTAAGCCGATCGCCAGTCGTATCAACCCCCTGGATACGCGCTGATCCTCGCTTGGCGTCCTTAGATTGATGCTCGATAAGCCAGTCAGAATCATAAGGACCGTTCTGTTCTGTATCGATAACAGCGAGTTTCTCTTTCGTTTGAGACGACCACTTCTGTGCACGACCCCTTTTACGCTACATGACCCAGGAATGACTTTCGCTTCTTGTCCCTATCTAGTGCTCGATTTTAGGTTGCTCTCTTGTAGATCTTCGAGCTTTCGAGTTATCCTATCGAATCATACCCTGCTGTGCAAAAGATCCCGACTGTGATCGGACTGAAACCGAATCAAGGCCTGTTCCGACCACACCCGCTCCCGTCTGGTGCTGATGATGATGTTTTCGATAGAACAAGATCATTTTCTGATTCTTATCATACAACCTTCTACCCCCGGCTCGTCCTCGATGTGGTCCAGCGATTGCCAATGTGTCCATCTTTTTCTCGTCTTCCGGTGATCCGCGTGTCGTTATACGATTCCGTTCTAACGATTTCGATTCCCGCCATGACCTGGCTTGCTAGTCCCTCGCCGAGTTGAGCGGGGTAAGGCGACACTCCTTCCTCCACCTCCGCTCTCCTTCACACCAATCCTTCATCCTCGTACCCTTCGCTCCGCATCTATGCTTCCTCTCCGCTTGATTCCTTATCCCGCCTGTTTAATCTTCCTCCTCGCCGGTCTTGACATACTTGTCACGGATGTCCTATACGTTTCAAAGTCGAGTCAAAGGAAGGGTGCGATAAGGAAGGGGATGAGGTGATCGTTAGCCTTGTTTGAGGAGGCCAGATAATTAGGTTCAAGCAGACAGAAGCTGAAAACGTACCTTCCAGAGCTTGCCTCGGTTGTGCCTCTCCCCTATTTCGAACGCAAGTCAACCCCGAATTAGCTGACTGATCGAAACTTGCGTAAGGAACCAGCAGACTTACAGAAAGCGGTAGTGGCCAAGTCAAAGGTGATGGAGAAGGCAAAGGCTCCCAAAAAGATGGACGAGACGAAGACCGAGTTTCGCCTGACAAAGGTGTTGTAGAAGAGCTGTAGTTTGGGCAATTTCGAGGGATCAGGGTGTTCAAGAGGAGTGTTCATGAGGGTTGCGGATGGAATTGTGATTTTGAGGGAAGGATCGTGATAACCGAGAGGACACATCGATACAGGACGATGAGGAAAAAACAAGCAGTACGGAACTCAATCAGTGCTGTTCCTCCCGGATCGCGGCTACCGGTTCGGAACTCACAGGAGCCATCTTGGAGAGAGATTCTACGAGTCGGTTGAGAGCGAGGAGATGTACAGGTGATTGGCGGGGTATAGATAGATACAGAGTGTTGGCTATACGAGTTGCGAGTTGAATGTGATCGGTTTGTCTTGGTCGAGGTTCCGATTGGTGTTTGCACGGAAGCGAGACTTCCCGGTGGCATCCGCGGTGCGATGATGATAAATTACTTCCGACCGGAAGTAAACCCCCGCGTCGAGAACCCCGTCGACGACGACGAAAGGGAGTTCGACGTCGATCAAACGAAGGTCCTTTCGACATGACACTCGTCGTCGCCTAGAGTCCTTCCCCAACCCAAATTCAGCCCCAACATGGGGTCCGGTGCACTAAACATATACAAAGTCGGCTATGTCACCATCCATCCTATCGGCAAGAGACCCTACAAGCTCTCGCACTCACGAGTCAATCTCGAGGTAGACGGAAGGAAGGAGGCTACGGCAAAGATTGCTGTTGCAGTCAGAGATCAAGTAAGCAGCTATAGTTCTTCTCCAACCCAGTAGACATCATATTCATCTTCATTGGTAGCTCTTCTCTGTCAAGTTGAATCTCAGCCAATTATTCCCCAAAGAATCCTTACGGGACCCACAACCTCCCCGCTCAATCGTCATCGCTCGCAATAGGGCGCAACCTGTCCTTGAAGACTGCCATGATCTCGTAGCTGAGCTTGAAGTTGACGGCAAAACTGTTGCATGTGATGCCTTTCAACGAAACAATACGGTGCAACCACACCATTCATGGACAGAGATGGAGGATGGCAATCCTTTCCGCTTCAAAGAGGAAGGCGAGATCACGGTGACCTTGTTTCGGGTTCTGCTTGGGCGGTGCTATGAAGCGAGAAACCACCGCTTTGGGGAGCACGAGATCATTGCGCAGTACGACGATGATGACGAGCCTTGGTGTAGCTTCAAGTTCTCCTATGAGACTCATCCGTTACGGGGACATGGAGCTGGAGAACAAGCCGAGGTGGATCAAGCCGAGAACGAGAGGCGAGAAAGGATCGAACGAGAAGGAGCCGAGCAACAAGCTGAGAATCAGAGGGCTCATGACAACAGACTCGAGGCCGAACGACTCGCCGCCGTACAAGCCGAGCGGGAACGAGCCGAACAGGAGAGAGTCGGACGCCAGAGGGCAGCTGAAAGACTCGAGGAGAACGATCGACTTGAGCGACTCGCGGATGCGCGACGCCAGCTCGAGGAGGATGAGCGAACGGTGCAGAGAGAGCGAGAACGTCTGCGGATTGATCGGGAGTTGCTCGAGATTGGACGAGCTCGCCTACGCATCGATAGCGACCGAGAACGACTCGAGCGGGAACGCGCCGAGTTTGAACGGGATCGGCTCGCTCTTGAACGGGAACGGGAAGCGAGTCGTAGGCGTCATCGGGCAAAAGTTGAGGTGGACGGGTCGCCTGAGAGACGTCGACGTCAAGCGTCTCGGGTTGACGCCGTCGACCTTGTAGTGGTGGATTCTGATTGATGACGGGAGGGCGTCCTCGATGGAACGATAACGACTTGACGACCGGATACGATCACGTTTTCTCAGTGTCCAATATAATTTTGTCTCCAGATGTCCGTACTTCTAGAACCAGCCCGACGTGGTTTGTAATACAAGCTCCATCGGTCGATCCGATTTCTTGATCCATCTTATGCATACCCCTTCCTCTTCCCTCTATCTCGCAGCAGTCGTCTAGTGGTGGGCGTCGGCCTTGGGCAGGTCCTTCTCCAAGAAAGCGAGGTACTCCTTGGCGCCAGCGTTGCCCTCACCGGCGTCGGCAGAGACGTCCTGAGTGGCAGCAGCAGGGGCCGAGGCGAGAGTGGGCTCGGTAGCGTCGAACTTGGAGAGCTCGGCAGAGAGGTCGGAAGGAAGGGAAGGAGCCTGGGGGGAGGCGGGGGCGGTGTACGACTTGACGACTCCGACGTGGGCGTCCTTGGCCTGTATGAAGCGAAAGTTCGATACAGAGAGGCAGGGCCGGATGAGTTTTCTGCTACTGAGGCTCGATCGATCGAGCGGAGATCGGTCGACGACGGGCGTACCTGGGGAACGGGCTTGTAGCTCCTGAGCTGTTGCAAGTACAGGTCCTGAACCAAGTCTGCGTGGCCGGCATCACAAGTCCCGCAGCATCACACCACCATCGACCAGTCGATGACATCCAGGCGTTTCGAGTAGAACCAAGTAAGTTTAAGCATTGACGTCGGTATTAGGATACGTCAGGGTTTCGGAAGAGGAGCAGGAGATATAAACAAGATGTTGAAATTCGTCAGCATACAGCTCCTCCGATTTACCCGATCCCGTTCTTGACAGTCGCTCACCCTTTCGAGCAACGGTGGTCGAGAAAGACCTGGCAGAGACGCCGACGGACGAGACCCGGAGAGCCTAAACACACTCGCAAGAAAACAAACCCAACAAAGCGGTCCGGTACGCGGTCAACATTTCGTTCCAGCTTGTCCAATCTTCCTAGTCTTCCCGGCGGGCCTGGCTTACAGCGGTTCGGAGGATAGCGACCATTTTGAAGATACTAGTAAGAATGCTTGCAGGAATGCTGGATGAGGCGAGTGATGCAGCTTGTGATCGACATCTACCTCGACGATATCATCGTTGCAGCTTCGAGAGAGGCATGGGTCATGGGCAGACAGCGGGGCCAGGATCCGCGACTGGCTGATGGCGCTTTCTCACGAGACGCGCGAAAAACACAGGGCCTCCTTAAAACTTGACGACAGTAGTGTCTCGAAATGGGGCACATCTATCGCTTTCAAGTTTGCGCTCAATCCGGCGTTCATGGACTCCATGATATAATGTCTACTACTGTACTAATGGTATATAACAAATCATGCGTCCCCCTTGTCGAACCTGATGGCCGCAGCAGTCCTGACCTGTGCGACGTCGACCTTGTGACCGACCAGAGTCCTGATATCGTTGATTCCGTATCTGTCGCGCGAACGTGCATATGGGTCAACTTCGGTCGAAAGCCACCAATTTCACGAATCCACTCACTTGATCATGGTAGGTCGCTCGAGAGACATTCCCCAACCGAGGACTCGCACACCCTTGGGCAGACCCATGGGTTCCAGCATCTCTGGTCGGAACATTCCCGACTGCGACAGCATAGCATGTGATCAGTCGACGGCGACAACTGGTCGGTCTTTCGGCCATGACTTACGTTCCCGACCTCGATCCACCTCTTCAGGCCCTCGTGGTACGAGAAGATCTCCATACTAGGTTCTGTGTAAGGGTTGTAAGCGGGCTTGAACCTCAGCTTGTTGTTTCCAGTCTTCTTGAAGAAGGTCTCCATCATCGCTGTCACAGCCAATGCGACACAAGTCAGCAAAACCTTAGCAGTTTCTGACAAATGGCTTCGAACTGACCGATCAGGTGACCGAGGTTGATGTCGTAGTCTGCTACTACTCCCTCGACCTGATGGAACTCTGCCAGATGGGTAGCATCGGTAGCCTCGTTTCTTTGAGCGACATTGGAAGAAGATCTTCAGATAGACCCTCCGTTATTAAACAGTGGGCTCGTGCTTACCGGAAGACTCGGTCGATACTGAACAACTTGCATGGCTTGAAACCTCCCTCCTGGTTGGCGATCCGATAGAGCATATCGGTCGAGACGGCGGTGGTATGGGTTCGGAGCAACAGCTTCCTGCTCTCCTCGTCCGAGAAGGGAGCTCGGTAACCGATAGAACCGTATCCACCGGTCTCGTGTACCTTCCTGACTCGCTCGTAATAGTCTGCTGGGGGCTCGCCGGCACCGACGGGGTCTGTTTGAGGCCGCATAGAGGAGATTGAGTAAGAGTTCGGATTGATTGCCAGTGCCAGGGATTAAGCGCACCTTTCACGTAGAAGGTATCCTGCATCTCTCGAGCAGGGTGCTGTTGAGGCACGAACATGGCGTCGAAGTTCCAGAAAGCAGACTCAACAAACTTGTTGGTCGGCATCTCGGTGAAACTAAAATTCCAGGTCGATCATCAGTTCTGGTAACGTCATATCGGGTTTCGCTGTCAATGCTCACCCCATATCGAAGAAGATCTGCCTAAACTCCTCTCTGACCTTGAGCAGAGGGTGTAGAGCACCTCCGTCGGTAGGATCACCGAGAGCAGCCATGTTGTACTTCTTGAACTGAGCTTGTTTCCAGGCGCCGCTGCATCGTGACGGGCATAGACCTCATTAGCGACTTACGAGCGAAAGGTAGATAACTTGTCGAACTCACGAAGTCAGCATCTCGGTGGTCAAGTCGGTCTCGAGCTTTTGTACGGTGGTAGCGAAGTTGGAACCTCGAGTGATATCATATCTCGTGTGTTTTCTAAGAGATCGGGAACCTGTGAGTGAGCAGTAGGCATCAACAGAAATGGATGTCGGCTTGTAGCCCACCGTGCAGTGATCAGCTTTCGCTTTCTCAGTTCAGCCAATAGCTTCTCGCCCTCCGGATGCGTCTCTGTCTGACGGATGACCTCGAGCTGTGACCGGGCGACATCGTCGATAGATTCGACCTGTACCGCGAAATTCAAACGTAAGGTACGAGGACGGCGCATTAGTCCTGTGTTGGCTGAAACTTGAAGCCAAATCCGACGTACAGCCTTCACGAAACCAGCTCCTTCCTTCGAGATCCACTTGTTCTTGAAAGCCTTACCTTGACCGATCTTGGTGGTATCGGGTCCCAAAGCCTTCTACTCGGTCCAGATAGCAGACTTTAGCGTTAAACATAACGGCTGAGACAGGGAGAAAAGCCCTGCATACCTGCAGATCCGGCACGGTCATAGGTTCGCCCTGACCCTTCAAGGGAAGCGCAGCCCACACTCTCGCTTCGTGAGATCCGTTCGTTGCAATCTCGACTCCCTCTGCTGTCAGGACGCTAGTGCTTGTGTTGATGATCTGAAATTGTACCATCTGTATGTCACAAGTTTCGTTTATCAGCTTGAGCTATACCACACAACAACTTGACCGAGACGTACCTCCCGGCTCAACAGACTATCAAGTACACCCTTCAACAACACCTGGTTGTCTCCCTCGTTGAACTTGACTTCGGAACCATCTTCGAGCTTGAGAACGAGTTCCCGAGAATCGAGCGTCGAGCTGGATGGGAGCGAGTCAAGAGTGTGGAGGACCAGCGATTGGACCTGTTCTGAGTTGAAACCGGCAGACATCTCGACCAGCTTATGGCGTAGAGATCTTGCGTACGTCGAGAGTTGTGACAGCTGTGTCTTGGCCTGGGTGACTTTGCTGTCAGGTATGTCGCAAGGGTTGCAAGTGATAGCAAGTGCGCACAAGTCAACGTCGTGCTGCCGAGGTTGTGGGAAATGTCGATTTCACGTGACCTCGACCTGTTGAGGCTCGCCCATGCCCCCCGGATGATCAATGAGCACTTGAGCAATAATGTTGACGCTACTGCTACTGATACAGCTCGGAAAGCGTCCAAGTCCCATAGTTCCTGCGATCCATTCTACTCCATCTGTCATCGCTTCGAATTAGTTTCAATTTCCCCGCCATGTCTTTCATCAAGCAAATCCCCAAGTCGCTCAAGGAGCTCCGAGTGCACATGTGCCAAACTTCGCCCAGCTCGCAGGGTCTGAGGTGAGCTATACCGAACACATGTGTTCAAGATGTTCAGATATGCTCACTATGGTATCTTCATCCGCTTTTCACTCTATTTCGGTTGTAATTCGGCATACAATCTGGTTTTGACGACATACACAACGATCTTTTCGTCGTATTATATAATTACCGGATAACACCATGGCCCTCTAACAGACAATTCGTCCTCAGCAACTATCCCGCTCTCAAATCATCCAACCCTGACCTCAAAGTGCTCATCCGGGAAGCCCGAGGTGTTGAGCCTCGAGTGTTTGCTCGATTTGGTACGTGTTCTTCTTAACCCTTGAATGAGATCCGGTCATGATATTATGCTAATAGCGCTCTCTATAATACTTCACTTCACCTTCGCTTGATCAGAACACGGCCGAGAAACACAAACTTCCTTCGCCGACATGTCCGAGAGCGAAGTATCGGAGAGGTTGTCGAACCTCGTCAAGTCGTAATCAAGACAACGACGAATCAGAAGACTAGAACAAGGGGATGAAGTGAAGGGCTGCCGGGAAGGCAAGAATCGAAGGACCTTGACCTTCACAGAGCCGAGAGATCGAGAGCTGGACCAATGGAGGTACAGGATCATCACACGCCGGATAGATGGAGGACGTACCGAAGGGACGGTGTTGGGGGCTTCAAGATGTACAAGATGACGAGGAAGCCGTTGTACTTGTCGGGAACATACAAAATTCGAACTGCTAGTTGTGCGAGCCTGTCCATCGAAGAGGCGGTTCCTTCGTAGACCAACGGGAATCACTGGACATTTGGCTGTCGGAGTCCGGTGCGCTAGCCGCGATATAAACGACGTACAGATGGTAACTGGTTTCCGAAAAGACAGTGAGAAAGATCATCTATACAACACTTCTACTGAACTTGCACAACGTCCTCCTGCCCTTTTCGGCGTTTCGACCCGAGACCCACAATACCACGCGCCTTATCGGTTGTCTCGTGCACCATCGTTCGTAACTTGACTTTCCGTTCCTCCCTCGCCCGCCTCCGCCACTCTTCGTATCGCTTGATACTGTCGGGCTGGTTGAACGGGTCATAATTCCAAGTCTCTTTGAAACGCTGAAACCTTGTGCCGGAGGTGACGGTATCCTTGTCTTTGGTGACGGAGCTGGATGAGCTGGAGGTGCCGCGTTTGGGGTCAGCGAGGTCGAGCTGTGAGCTGTTGTTGCTGTTCGTGACGTTTGTCGGCGCGGGAGGCATGGTGAGGAGTTTTCAAGGTTTTGTAAGTGGGATTAAAGGAAAAGGGATGAAGCTCGTTGCTGCTCAATGGATCGGCATGACCCTGATCGCCATACGGCAAGTCCAGAGTCCGAGGCGATATATATAGACTCGGAGCTGGGGAGGAGTCGAGTCACTCGGCGAAAACTCTCATGAAAGGAAGTAGCGAGGGGTCGCCACCAGTCGTTTCGAGAGAGGCCAAGGCACGCCTGAGGCACGACAGACTGTTTCACCCGCGAAATCTCTTCTTTTGTCCGACAGAGACCGTGGAGCGTTGTTGCTGCGATTGTGGCGACGGCTAAGGTTCCACAAGGCAAAAGCCATCACGTTTACAGGTATCGATATTTACATCATCAAGTCAGACTTGCGGCAGCAGTCCAGTAGATAATACGAACATTTTTGTTACAACACGCCTGTAGAACTGTCTACTCGTCGAGGGCAAGACTTTATTGTCTCGCTCGGTATCCTCTGATATCGGTCCGTAGTCGCTCATGTTGTGGCGCTCGAAATCAATATTCCTGTAGAACACCACACGGGTCAGCCAGGATATATAGCGCACCGAACAGCGTTGTCGCTTACCATCGATCAAGGAATTCCAATAACTGTCGTCTTGTTGGAAATTACCTTCGAAGTTGCTTGCCAAGCCGAGAAGGTCGTCGCCCATTCCTGCTTCGAAACCAGTAATCTGCTCCCCAGCCATGTTTGGCTCGAACTTGTAGGATCCAGCCATTCGATCAGAGATCCCATGGAAGGTATCCCTTTGCGGCTCTTGGAAAGCCATAACCTGATCCGCCGTGATTGGATCGCGGCTGGAAGCTACGCGCGTGGTACCGTTGGGACTCAAGATCCCCTCCCAGCCCTCCGGATCCATGCTGGGCCCGAGGGTCGAATCGGCGTTCATACTCATATTTCCGTTGGCGTATTCGTTCTGTCGAGATAGCATTGGCATCGGCACCATACCAAAGTCGAGATCGGTTGTATTGATGTTCCCCAGGGCCAAGGACGAGTTGGCGGAAAGCCATTTGTCGAGCAATCTCTGAGGGTGTTCATCTTCATGACTCCCAATCGATGCTGGCGATTTGTGCTCCTGATTCGTTCCCGCCGAAGCACCGCTCAAACTCAACCTATGTTGATGACTCGTTGTCAGGCTGAGCGGTTGGAACGGTGCTGTTGTAGCGACCTTGGACAGAGCGTTTGGCCGAACGGTGCCATGGCCCGGCTGTACCGCACCACTCATGAAAGCGGGATATGATTGGTTATGACTATGGAATACCGCTTGAGGTACCGTCGCTTGGGAGATAACCGGTTTGACGTCCTTGATGGCAGGAGTATCCGGTCCACTTCCTGAAGTCTGTCTGGACGCCTCGCCCTCTCGCAAGCCCAGCAGAAGGGCGGCATCGCTTGTGTTGACCGTAGAAGGGTCGAGGACTTGACAAGCTCGGCGATACAACGTTTGAATCTATATCATCGTGGGATGAGCTCCGAAACGCCGAGTCTGGTAGATCGCAAGCTGAAGAAACTTACGATAGCAATCTCTCTTCTCGAGGTCAGATCGTCTACCTTGTCGAGAGGACGTTGCTCCAAGAACGTTGCTAAACTGGACCGCATTTCCTCTGCATCCTCTCCCCGCTGCGAATATAGCTCAGAGATCAGCGATCGCAATCCCTGCAAAGGTGAGCGGCGCGACATACTGGAAGGATGATCGCGTATATACCCTGGGAGGTTCACAAAATCCGTTGCGTCAGCATGACCACCTCATCTGCGGTGAAAGCTACGGAGCTCACAGCAATCATAGCAGCGTTCTAGAACCGTGATAAATCAGCTGAATTCACCAGAAAAGTGTGCAACAAAGGGTACTTACAAACTCCCTGTACTGTCCTCCCACGTAGGCGTTCTGAACTCCAGGGTGGTCGGCACGGAATACTTGCCTCTAGAGATGGCACGGAGGGAGGTCAGCTGGTCGGGAATTTGTGGCTGATATACGTACTAAACTGGGCTTACGATGCGGAAATCCATCTTGGCGGCATCAAAGCACGCTCTTCTTGAAAGTGCAAACTTGTTGCTCTTCAACTTTCTCAACAGCCACGGCCGGTGCAAGGTGATGATGATGAAGACTGTTGACGGGTCGGTATTTAGTAGGCGTGCTAGCTTATTATTGACGCAGCCAGCTTCAACTGACAGATTTCGGTCGCCAAGTAAAATCGGTGAATGGGGATGTAGCTGTACCGCGGATCCTTGTCGAGGCTCTTGTCTGGGTTGATGTATCGGAAGTGCTGTGATTCAAATAGGTCAGTAGTCTCTCCGAACTGGCAAGCGTGATCGGTTCCAGTGCTTACAGGTGGCAAATCGTCAATGAACTGCCGCAGCTGTTTATCCAGAGTTTCTACCTCTTCAAATCGAGCGGGTTCGTGCAGCTTGTTGAACAGGTAGGTGATTTCGGCCACGATCTTGGCGAAACGCTGTCGCAAGATGATGAATGTCGACGTCGTCGGTTCGTGGAAAGGTTTAGCAACGAGCGTTTGGCCCGCCACCACTTTCGAGAACTCCAGGTTCATGGGTTCTTTCGTGTCGCAATATGCGTCGATAATGGAAGGCGGTCGACCCAGGATCAAAGAATAACTGTCCGAGAAGGCGTTAGCCAGGCACTGCGAGGAGGAGCACCCGGGCTCATACTCACTTCCTGTCGGCATGGTACAGGAAGGACCAAACGCGTCGTCGATATTCCGTTTGCACCGGACTATCCACAAGCAGAGTCAATTTGATTGTGGTTGGTAAGCATCGAGGGCGAAGATCACGTACTCAAGGCCAAACTTGGTTCCATCTCGATGTAAACCGATGGCCTGGGCTGTCCTCAAGCTTGCTCCCAATTGACTCCAGCATTCAGTAAGACCTAAGGTGTCGACCCGTGGTGTTTAGCGTTCATAACTTAAAACACATCAAGATCACGACTCACGTCTATCGTGTATGAGAACCAGATACAGTGCGCTCTATAGATCCGACGTAAGCTGAATGCTACTAGCTCGCCTGTCAGCCAAGTGTGAGACTTACGAGCAATCGGGTAACAACTAGTTCCAGACTTTCCGGCTGGATCGCAGTAGCGATAAGTATTGAACGTCGAGCTGATAGCAGAATGATAAGCCCAGATTTCGCTCGCGTTGAATAGCAAAGTTACTAACAGCACCAATACATCTTCAGACTGATCATCTTGCGCTCCTGATCGGTACCGGCCCATTCCTCGGGAGCCAGGCGAACGCTTGTGGCCAGTACGATAAAGATCAGAGGCAAGCTTCTGACGTTGTGCGGCTCAGGTCCCACTTCACCCTTCTTGCGGTACATGTCCTCGAAAGCAGCCCTGAAGCCAGCTTCATGGATAGGGTACCTGACGTAGTTGATATGCTTGAAGAACCAATCCACCAACTGGCTAGCTAGCGCGTATTGAGGCAGTTCGTTGACGAGCTCCAGCAGCTTCCTGGGCGAGACCCCGCAATCTTCGATGAGCTGTTTCATGTTCTCGGAAGGTTGTCCACAATCGTCTAGGTTGAGCTCGAGTTTGGCGTCTCCTCGGAAAGTCTCGACTCCCGGGACAGTTCCATCTGTAGCAAACCATTTGGCCGCATCGACAGCTGTCTCTCCGGCCGATGCGCTACGGCTCAATGTATCGAAAGGGTTTCGACCGTCCCGACTGCTACTACGATGGCCGACCGAAGGTCCACTCGAGGATTGCCGCGTGACATTGATCGACTCGGGTACGCTGAATTGAGGTGGTGCAGTGTCTTGAGCATGGATAATTCCATTCATGCTACCTATGCCACCCGTACGACATCAATCATCAGCCAAGTCCTCCTGGGTTGCTGCACCACTAGCACGACTTACCTCGACGGTGGGTCTCGTCGTTCAAGATGCTCGCCACGCTGAATGGACTGGGTGCAACGGAACCCCTCGACGGACTGAGCGCATCGTGAGGACTACTGTGGTCTGCGAACGGGCTCAAATACGAGCTTCCCGGTGTAAAGGTTGGTACTTGTACGCTGCTCCGACGTCTTTGCTCGTCACCTTCTAGATTGGACGTAGCTGGGCTCGAACCGTATTCGGTCACGCTCATCCTCTTGGTGCCAGGGCCGGTACTGGATCCAGCGCCGGGGGTAGATGGCTCGGTCTTGACGTCGTTGGACTTTTTGGGCTTGCGTCCAGCACGAGATGCGGATGGACCCCTCGTGCTTTCCGGTAAAGGCTGACCGGGGATGTAAGGGGTCTATAGGAATCGACAACGCAGATTAGCATGATGACCTCTTGTTCCCAGCACTCGACCCACTCACGCATTGTTCAGGGATCTGATACAGTAGCGAAAGAGAGAATAGATCGGCTGTGAGCTTGAAGGGGAAAGCTACCATTTCGTCACAGCTGTATCTTACCTTTCGAGCTGTTCAACACGACGGTAGACCTCGATCAGCAGCTGTTTGACATCGGCTATCCCATCGCTGGCCCGACTCACATGTACAGTGTTGACAGGGGATCTGCCTGTTACACTTCTGCTTTCTCTTCGTGCACTGAGCACAACTCAACGCGATCCTAGGCTTTTTCCTCTTCGGAGCCTGCATGGCCGCCTGATGCGCCGCGCTGTGCCCGGGAGGTAGTTCCAAATTGGATTTCCCCAACATCGTATTCGTACCCGGTCGAGAGGGTTGCAACTCTCGCAACTTCCCTTTGGAATCTTCCCCCGACTTTCGTTTGACTCCGGCTACGACGCCCGAGATGGCGTTCGGGTCCATGTCGTCCTCGTGGTCTACGTCACGCGACGTTGTACGTGTTCTAGAACCGCCGCTGGAGGATGTCTGTCGCCAACAATCTTTTCCGCTCAATCCTAAAGGATCGCAGATACAGCCAGCGTTATCTTCTTCTTCGTCCTTCGGGCTGAATCCTAGTCCTAGACCTATGAGAGATCCTCCTCTGACTACAATCTTTCCTCGTCTGTTTTCGAGCCGCTTCAAAGACTCTGGTGACTCGGTCTTGACGCGATAAGGCGGACCTGTCAATAACGGTGGCGGGGTAGGCGATCTATCCCAGTTCTGAAGGAGCTCTTGTATCGGTCGAGGTTTACGTTCGACCAGTGGCGAAGGCGCTCGATCTTGGTTAAGTTGTCGTTGGTCCTCCTCGTCGTCTTTGTCGTTTTTGATTGTGATCCCTGTCGACGGCGGTGGACCTCCTTTGACGGCGTTGACCGTGGAGGGTGGATTTGGATCCGAAGCTCGTTCCTGGTCGCTCGCGTTGTCGGCAACAAGGACGCCAGGGGCTGTGGGATTTGATGAAAGGGGGTCCTTTGAAACGTTGTTCTCTCGCTTTTCGGTCCCTTTGGCGTCGACAATCAGAGAATCGACGTGATCTTTCGGACGAGAACCGGGAAGCGAACGCCGCTTGTACTTGTTGTACTTGGACGCAAGCGATACGGGCTTGTCGTTGGTGGCTGTGGCCGAAGTTTTCGGGTCGGGCGGAGGGGGGTTCGGGAAGGTATACGAAGGTGCTAATTCGTCTGTATGTACTACCGGGCGTGTCGGTCCTGCTTCGAATCTGGATGGGAAAGACGACAGCGGACTTTGTTGCTGAGGATGCGGTCTCGGCGGGACGACGTGCGAAAGTTCGAACGGATTGTGATCCGTAAGGCTGCTGAGTGCCGGTGAGAATACGGGAGGATTCGGGTTCAAGTTGCTCTGAGTATGGGGGCGCGAACTATGGAACGAGTTTGTGGGAGAATGTCCGATCGTAGATGTCTCGCCGTTTAGAAGATACGGTGCAAACTGGAATGCCGGCGGAGAACGAGGTGACGAGGTGAACTGCGAGTACCTCCGGTTCACCTGCTGGTAATACGAGTCGGAGCTGGGAAGCTGGCTCGGCTGAAACCCTAGAGATCGTCTCTGTTGCTGGTAGTGATGGTGATTGAGATGCGACCGCTGCTGTTGCTGTAACAGGTCTGTTGACGATTGACCGTGTGGAAAAAAGGCGGGAAAGCCGGATGATCCAGGTGTCGTGACGACCGGAGAGAACGGGTTGGAGATGGTATCGAATGGCGAGTTGATCGATGGAGGCGGTGCCGGTGGGAATGAAGAGACGTCGATGTGCGGTAGCATCGAAAGGTCGAGGGTTTGAAGAGGAGGTGGTGGACAACCGGCGTTTGATGGTTGTCCAGGTGGTCGTAAGGGTGGAGGTAGAGGTTGTGAAGGGGTCGTATCGAAAGAACGAGCAAGTGTCGCAAAGTCAACAGGAGGTCCAGCAGGAGTTGAAAAGGAACCCGATGAAGATGGTCCAATATGTGAAGGTTGAAGAGGTGGTTGTGTGAATGATGACGATGACGACGCCGACGACGGGAGTTGTGATGGGATATTGTAGTTTGTATTTGAAGCCAAGAGGTTGTCGAGAGCGACAGGATCATTCAAAAGGGCGTTCCATTCGTTTGCAAACGGAACCGAGCCGTCGATGACATTATCATCATCGTTGACGTCCGATTCCATCGGGAGGTTTATGGAATCATCGGGTGGTCGAGTCAATGGGAAAGCCGATGGAACCATCATGTGATCGGTCATGGTCATATCGCCGGGTCCGAAACCGAAACCCATGGCAGAAGCGCCCACGGCCAGGTTCATTTGATGATCGAGATCGTCGGTTGTCGCCAAAGCCAAAGCGCGATCATCAAAGAAGCCCGTGCGCCCGGTGTTTGATGGATCATCGACAACGACGTGATCACGTTGGTTGTTCGAGTTGTTGTCATGGTTGACGGGGTTGTCGTTTTGGTCGAGCCGTTCCGTCAAGACGGATCCCAACCCCAGGATCGCAAGGATCGCATCGTCCGAGAGTTGATCGAGATCGAACGACGTTTTGAGTGGTAGGCGAGTCCGTGCGCCCGCACAGTCCGAATGAAATCACGGATATGATGAGGAGGAAGGAAGAAAGTGAGAATAGGATTTGAGATCGAGTCAGCGACAATCGCCAGAATGAGGATCGGAGCCAAAGTCTGCGCGTCGAGGTGCCTTCACGTCGAAGTCGTTGGTGATGATATGAGATGACGGGCACTTTTCCTGGATGTTTGATAGGTAGTATCGAGGATAGGGTCCAGGACATCCGTGACACGAAGCAGTATGGAGGACGGTGACGAGCAAAGGCTCGAGGAAGAGGTTGCGATCGGGTATCGAAACGACGTACGAGGAGAGAAGTTTCAGAGCCGAGGTCCCGAGGCTGGGCGAGGAGCGGAATAATCTTATCTGATAGAGCGATGTCTCGCGCTTTTTCGTGAACAAGCGCAAGCAAAACGAGAACCACGTCAGCCTTCCTCGTCATCGAATTCCTCTCCTTAACTCGCTTCGAGTGATTCTCACGCGTTTCTAGACCGACCTTGAGCGGCTAGCGAGGTAGCCGAGAGCGGGGCGGACTGATGCCAAGGTTTGTGTGGGAGAGTCGTTGGACCCGAATCAGACTGACCCGACCCGAAGGAATCGTCCGCGTCGTCCGGTATATATACAAACCCGAAAACCATGCACCGCGTGACTCAATTTTAGCAGCCGCGCGGCCACAACAGAAGTGCGCCTCTACTTGGCTGCGCGGACCTGAACGCCGGCTTCTATTGTTCTACGTCTAGTAACGTATACGTTTCACCTTGTACAAGTTTTCGAGGCCATCGTGTTACTAGTCTAGGGAGAGTCAGTTGTTATATGCAAGCCCCTGAAGATTCCCTCTCTCCTATCCTCTCGTTCCCTGTCGTGAATTTTCCATCTCCTGTTCGACCTTGTCGCTGCCCTAACTCGCTGCTCCTTCCCGCTTCCAGTATCCCCGTTTTTATGCGGAACTGCGTCGATGTCAGTCGTGCCCACCCAGTACTAATGCCTATGCCCACACGATCTACCTCGGGTGTTCCATTAATATCCCTTTCCTTCCGATCGGTCTCAGCAGCAGGACGACGCTTCGCTTTCGCTTTCGTTCTTCCCGCTGCCTCGCCGGTCTCCTTTCCCTTTCCCAGTCGAAGTCTGATCCTTGGCGTCGAATGTTCTCCCGCCCGGACCTGGTCAAGAGCACCGCTCAATACCTCAGGCGTAGGCTCAGCCATGTCTGCCTCTGGCGTACCCATAGGTAAACCTGCCTGCACCATCCTCCTAAAATTCGACATCGGGGGTCGAGAAGGTGATATGGCTTTGTCCCCTGTAGATATACCTGTATACCCTTCAGGAATTTTTATTCGAAGCGAAACTATCGGAGGTCTGGTCGTTTCACCTTGTGGCATATTTTCCTGGGTCTTACTCTTTCCCTTGAAGTCGTGTGGCGTCGAAGGGAGGATCTCGAACGAGTGATCATCGCTACCTTGCTTGTCGTCCGGTGTTATGGTAGAGGGTTGCGGCTTGGTACTGTTCACCACGATTTCTGTTTCCTTTCTCACTGTTCGAGGTGTGTTGACGGTAAGGATAGCAGCACTAGATTCATTTTCGAGGATTGAAGACTCGGCCGGATCGTTCAGAGGCATCCGCTTTGCGACTTTCTGGACTTTTTGCTTCTTGCGAGAAGATCCATTGTCGTCCGTTGACAATCTCTTTTGGCCTCGAGCCTGTTCCACCCAAGCTGCAACAGGCTGTCCACCCGACCAGCAACTCCCAGTCGGATATACTAAAGCATTATCCCCTTGACTTCTCACAGGCGGCGGTCGGGTTTGAATTGGCGTGTCGGATGGCGGCTCACTGGCCGAAGGTCCTGATAGAGTGGCGATCTTTGTCGAAGGCCTTGGCGGATGCATCGTAGTCCGCTCGGCTTGTGTTGGATTCGCCTCCGAATCGTGGTTGATGATAGATTCGATATGCGCCTTGCTTTCGGTAGTCGCTAGCGGTTCCTTGAACAAGCTTGGTGGACTTGGGGAAACAAGTCCAGCATTGGCATTGGTGCCTGGCGCATCTGCCTTCTGTTGGACGACATCGGCGATGGAGACAGCGTCGGCTTGGGCAACAGGCACTGTAGATGTACACCTCGGCGGTGTACCCTTCCGTTGAGTATTACCTTCGTCGTTCGCGGGAGTCTCGCATCGGCGAAGACAATCCAGATCTGCCGCTTGTAAGGCCAGCGGAAGAGCGTTCCCGCTTTCGCTTTCCACGGCAGTCAATGGCGAGCTAGCCCTCGATATTCCCTTCGCTGTTTCACCCTGCGTTGGCTGCTTTTCAGTGATGATCGGGACAGTGCTGCCGTGAGCGTAAGGAGCTCGTTCTTGAGCCTCGAGCCCAGGTGCAGAATTCGCTAGCGCGATCGAACAGTTCTCGGAGACGTTCGGTTCTGCCTGTTGTACGTCCTTGTGGGCTATCAAGCGCGACGAGCCCACTTCAGAGTCTTTGGCAAAGGTGGATCTCCCTTGAGCTGCCAATATCTCTTGCCAAGCGCGTGCATCTTCCGCAGCCTCTTTCTCGGTCACAAGATTCCGACATTCTTGGATAGCATCCGAGTTGACAGACGCCTCTTCTTGCCTTTCAGATGCGTTCGGTCCTGGAAGTCGACCCGCAAAGAAGTTGAGCGATGTGTCTTCAGTCGTCGACTCGGAGTCCCATGGGTTCCTCCGTTGACGGTCCAATATTTCTTGAAGGTCATCTCGAAGCATAGAACCCCGATATTTGGTCTTCTTCCGCTTCGGCTCTTCTCTTGTAGCCGCACCAGAGACTTGTGAGACTTGAGACGGTATGGCAGATGATGAAGCTTGCGAAGAAGGCATCGAGCCAGACCAAAACGCCGCACTTTGCCGAGATTGAGAGCTTGGTTGCGATCCACTTAAACACGTTGGGGCTGGAGTCATCGGTAGGCTCATGAGTCGACCTGGTGGACAAGGGGAAGGAGAAGGAAAAGGAAAAGACGGAGATGAGGGACAAGGGGTCGTTGGAACGGAAACTGGATCGTCGGGTTTCCAGAGTTGGGTCAGGACATCGAGCATACACGGCTCGGGCCCGCTCTGGTATATACCATGTGGATCCCCAATCGAAAACCGTCCTGGCGGCTTTGGAACGATGTCTCGTTTCGCTAAGATTGGATGTTCCGCTGATTCTGCTGAACACCAAAGGAGGTCAGAACAGGTTCCGTATACGTCGCGGCAGTTCAGCTACTTACCGGTAGCTTGATATGGATACGTTGCCGCCACATGTTCCGGGCTGAGGGCGCAATAAATGCGGAACATCTGATAGTGCCACCTAGAGTCTTGCGGCCTGATATCTACATTCAACTCCTCGACATCGTACCTGTCGACCAACAACGCGGGAATCAAAGTGAGTCAAGGAATCACCAGGGATTTGTGGAGCGTCATTTCTACTAACTTTTCACACATTCGCGATCTCTCCGGCAGGATATGATTGTATATAATTTCCTTGCATCGGCACCTTTTCAGCTTGATGTCGATAACCTCCGGCTTGCAAACGTGTTCCAGGTTAATTTCTCGCCCTTTCGACTTGGCTCTCTGTGTTCGGTCGACAGGATCAGTCTCGATGTCACCCGGCGATCGGCTCGACACAAAGACAGCTGACCTGGACATTCATCAGAAATGGCTTGTAGTTCCTCTCCTGCAACGCTTCGCCGTCAAACACAAGATGCGTCAGGCCTCCTTTTCCATTGGTGACGAGGGTGGTGACGAGCTGTTTGTCGAAGAACAGGCTTGCCTCGATATCGTCGTACTCGTGATCTGGATCGTACTGATCACTCTGGCGACGTTGATGATGAAGAAACCAAGCGGAACAATCTACGACAACAGTGAATTTCTGCGTATCGCCATGGCGCCAAATCGATGTTAGCTGTGGCGCTCACGTCGAATCCCGCTTGTCGCGCTCAGGGCTTACTGAATAACCTTCCACCACAAGCGTTCCGGTTGTCTTTCTGTGATTTCCGGGACCCCCGATCCCCGACTTGACTTCGACGCCGTCCAGGAAGTAACAGGACTTGTCCTCCTTCAGGATATGACAGGTGACGAGTCGGGTGTACGCGCAGAGTTCGGTCGACAGGACGGTCTGATCCATGTTGTATCACTATGCATATGGGTATGATATTCACGATCAGTCACCCAGCTAACCCGGAACAAGATCGCTGGCCCTATGGCTCGTCACCTTATAAGGAATCGACGGGTCTCGATGGTGGACCTGGCGAAAAGGACGATCGCTCTACCCGAACTATGCGGGAGCAAACCACGACGGAACAAAAGATGAAACTCCGAAACAAAGCTATCAAAGGAGGGTGATCATCGGTTCGAGGGACGGCTAATCATTCTACGAAAGGACCCCTTAGAATGCCCGAACCCGATTCCCGATCGCACAGTGGCGTACAGTGGTGATCATGAAGCGAACACTTGTACACTTTCCCCCTCGACAGGCATTGACCTCGACTGCGGAATATTAGGCATGCCAATCAAGTCGATATAATACACGGGCGCGGGTCCGAGGTTACATGCACAGAGCGAAAGGCGTCGCGATCATGTCAGTCGTCCGACTCTCCTCGTCAAGCCCAGCCTGGACGTAGTCTACAATTTCACATCCAGATCTTGCATCTAATCGAGGTCTCCGGTGAAGAAGTAGTCACCCGACGACTTTTGGGTCTTGTCCAACAAACTGTTCAACTTGTTGATTCGCGGTCGGCTGAGTCGTAAAGGCAGAGGATTAGCTGTCAGTGATCCAGGTTCCCGGGCATACAAGTAGCAATGCAACTCACAAGTTAGTTGGGTCTCGTCGGAAGGTGATCTCGAGCGAAGCCAGGAATCGGTTGAAACCGGTCAACAGACCCTCGGGCCTAGAAGCGAGCGGGGAACAAGATCAGCTTCAGTGTCGAGTTACATGCCAACGTTCCGCTGTTCCGATACTCACTTCCTGGCAACAGCGTGGATACCGGGCTGACCCTCGTATACGATGACTCGGTCGGCCAAGTAGGTAGCCATGATCTGAAAGCATGCATCGCATATCCTGAGCTCGTGTTTCTAGCGACTGGACGGGTCTGTCATGTGATACTCACGAAATCGTGCTCGATGATCAAGGCACTCTTCCTTGAGTTGAGAATGAAACGCTTGATCAACTTAGCAGCGCTGATACGCTGCTCGGAATCCAAGCTGTCAGTGAAACAGAAAAGCCAATCAGCCCACCGCATTACGTCCTGTTCAGCTCTGAACGCCGCGCTGCACTTACTAAGCTGAAGGCTCGTCGATTAGGTAGATATCGGCAGGCAGACCGAGCACGAGACAGATGGCCACACGCTGCAACTCTCCTCCGGAAAGCGTCTGTACTTCTTGATCCATGATGTTCTCGAGCTGCATGGGCTTGATAACCTCGGTCTGGAAGGTCGGGTCCATGAACGCTCCCTTGATACGCTTGAGGAGCAACATCCTGACGGTACCCGGGAACTTGGGCGAGATGGTCTGGGGTTTCAACGAGACTCGGTAGTTCAAGTTTTCGGCGTCCTTTTCGTTGTCCGGCTTGAGCTTGCCGGCCAGCATCTGCACGAAAGTCGTCTTTCCCATTCCGTTCTCCCCAACGAGGACGACGATCTCGGAATCCGAGAATCCACCGGCTTCGACCTCCAGCTTGAATCCTCCGAGCGTCTTGGTCAAGGCCGGGTACTCGAACTGCTTGGTATGGGTCGAGTACATCTCGTCGGCGTTCTCAGAGATCCTGAAAGTCAGGTTTTCGTTTCGGAACCTCAAGTTTTCGGTAGGGATGTATCCGTCGAGGAAGATGTTGATACCTTCTCGGACCGAGAAGGGCATGGTAACGACACCGTAGATCGAAGGTTGACCGTAGAAACAACAGATGAAGTCCGAGAGGTAGTCGAGGACCGAAAGATCGTGCTCAACGGCAATGACGTAGATGTCATGGCTGAGCAACGATCGAATTACTCGAGCGGCAGCGAGACGCTGTCGGACATCCAGATAGGATGATGGCTCATCAAACATGTATCTGTATATCGCCGAGTGCCCATTAGCTCGGTATCTCTAGACGGCCCATCTAGACGACACGAGCAGACTTACACGTCGGCCTTTTGCACGGCAGCCAAGGCGATGGCGAACCTCTGCAATTCTCCACCACTCAATTGTCCAATCTCTCTGTCCATCAAGTTGACCAACTCCAACTGATCTGCCAACTCCTCCTTGGCACCCTCCCGCTCGAGCTTGGCCTCCAACATCTTGTGCACTGTCATACCCTCCTTCTTGATCTGCCTAGGGATCAGATCGACATACTGAGGTTTGACAATCGCCTTGATGTTGTCCTCGAGCACTTTGGTGAAGAAGTTTTGCAATTCGGAACCTCGGAAGTGTTTCAGAATCTCCACCCACTCAGGAGGGTCGTCGTATCGTCCCAAGTTAGGTTTAAGCTGCAATTTCATGCATGTCAGCACATCAGGGTCCATACCCTTAACCACCACTGTTGTCCAGATTCGCGCCTCACCTTCCCAGCCAAGATCTTCAACGCCGTACTCTTTCCGATACCGTTCGTCCCGACCAGTCCCAAAACCTGTCCTGGTCTTGGCGTCGGCAGCCTATGCAGCTTGAACGAGTTTGCAGTGTATCGGTGAGTCACCTGAGAGTCGAGATTTGTGGGCAAGTTGAAAATCTGAATGGCGTCGAACGGGCACCTGCAGGCAAGAAGTGACGAGGCTTAGCATGACGTGCGCATCGTAGGGATCGAGATGCAAGAAGTGAAACACGTACTTTTTCACACAGATACCACAACCAATACAGAGATCCTCTGAGAGGAACGCCTTCTTATCAGTAGGGTTAACCTCGATACAGAGCTTGCCCATCTTGACGACAGGACACGACTTCTTGCATTCTTGTCGACTGAGACATCGTAACCGAGTAGGCAAGCATGGATTATCAGTTCAGTACGAAAATTGCGGTGGATGTTTAGAAGTGTGTTTTACCATTTCTTGGGTTTACACTGTAATCACGGCCAGATTACGTAGTTAGCTCACAAGCTCAACCCATTTTTCATTTACAATTGAGACCGAATCAGCGAGCCAACGTACCTTGTCATCGCTGACCAAAGCGATACGAGTCAACTTGTCCTTCTCTGCGTCCTTGGATTTAGAAGGAGCCATGGTGAAAGATTGTTGTAAGACCGATAGATGGTTGAGGCGAGTTCTTTTGTGGTCAAGGTCTAGCTCTTCGAGGAGGTTGCGTGGCGAGCCGGGTCTGGGATCGATTCCTTTGTCTACTAGAATAGACGAAAGCTCAAGGTGATCCCGGATGGTAAGCTTATAGACACAACGACTGCCGATATCACTAAGCCAGAGAAGGACGATGTTGACAAAAGGAAGACCGACCTAGAGCGAGCGTCATTGCTCGGAACGCTGAAAATGTCGGATCGTAAAAGTGGCGCGGAAAACGAATATCCGTTATCGTCGTTCAGAGAGACTTGAACCTCGGCGAGGTTCGTGTTCACCCAATGAGCAGCTTTTCAATTGGAAGTCGAAGAAACACCGACATACGATACCACCTACTTCATAGCCGAATTACGAATGGTCAGCCCGTGAGCATCTGTTGATGGTATTGTAGAAGAGTGATATGGCAATCACCGAAAGCAGAGACCAGGTAATAAACCCCATGCATCAGCTGCACTAATGAGGTTGGACAGAACCGCAGGCGCTCCATCTAGCTTTTCGACTTGTGACAACATCTGGCGACACAACAGCAAGACTCGACTGAGACAAGAACGCTTCCGCCTTGTAAGATCAATGCATGGCGTCTATACACATTTCAGGCGGTCGGTCGTGGGACTTCAAGGGATATAGCATCTCGATATACATCGCTACGTTTGCCACACACGGCTCGTACAACTTGTAGATTCTGCTATAACACCCCCAAACTGTCAGTTGATGACAGCGGCGTCAACCCCCTCCCTGTAGTACCATCTTGCTATGGCGTCAGACCGCCTCCACTTGGCCATCCAATAATTGCTACTGCTCAATCTTTCACTGGTTGTATCCGTTGTTGACATTGGCTCGCACTTGAGGCGCGCGCATGGTGTTCAAATTGCCGGAAGGCGGTAAGATTGCCTGCTGTTGTTGCTGCTGTTGTTGTTGTTGCTTCTGCTGTTGCAACTGTTGCTGTCGCTGTTGACGAGCGAGAGCAGCATCCTCATCAGAGTGTCCAGGCTGACCGGACGGTGCGACGTAAAGGCTAGGGTCGATAAAGGCGGGAATAGGTTGAAGCTGAGTTCCGAGTTCTTGCTCGATACGGTAGAGCGAATGTCGATCCTCGTACTGCGTTGCAAAACGAGTCAGATCGATAGTCTAAACCCAGCTTTTCCGAAATACTTACGGTTACAAGGGTGATGGCGAGACCGAGGTGACCGAATCGTCCGGATCGTCCGACTCTATTTAGGCCAAAGCATTTCAGTGAATTGTGCTGTGCGAAAGCACTCCTGGCGTTCTACCTACCGATGAAGGTATGTTTCGGCAGTCTTGGGAGCGTCTGTAGAGTGGCGAACCGCCTTATCAACATCGGCGGCATACTGATTGAACAACCCTGATCGAATTGCTTACCGAAGGAAATCACTACGTTTACAGCTTGGATATCGATACCTCGCGTAAGAAGATCTACAGGCAAATCCGATCAGTAAACGTACATCCAGCATGAATCTGGCATAGAGCCTCTTACCGGAACAGACGAGGTTTCGGCATGCCCCAGCACGGAAATCGTGGAACACTCGGTTACGGTGGTTCTGTAGCATCTTGGCGTGAGAATAGAAACAGGAGTAACCGAGCTCGGTGATCTTCTTGGCGAGAAGTTCGACACGGTTGGTAGAATTGCAGAAGATGACGGATTGGTTGATTTGAAGCTGAAACATTGGGTATTGGGTAATATATATGATGTTTAGCTAGGTCGGCGACCGAGTATGATCGGACAGGCGAGACTGACCTTGGAAAACAAGGTATTGAGACAGTGAACTTTCTGACGTTCTTCGACAAAGGCGTAATATTGAGTCACACCTCGCAAGGTGAGCTCTTCCATCAGATTGATTTCGTAAGGCTTGCGCATATTTCGGTCCTGGACGATCACGTTGGAGCGGTCAGGGGCGTGTGCTGGTTGCTGACGATGCTTAACAAATTTGGCTCACCCTGAAGTCCTTGACGAGCATAGGGAAAGTAGCGGAGAAGAGCATAACCTGTCGTTCGGGATGGCACATGCCCAAGAGGCTCTCCATCACCGGCTGGAACTCCGGACTAAGCAGCTTGTCCGCTTCATCCATGACGAAACTCTTGCAATTCTTAAGATCGGCAATTCCCTTTGATGACAAATCCAAAATCCTCCCTGGAGTACCGATCAGAAGGTGGACAGTCTCGCCTAGTCGAAGGATATCGTCCTTCAATCCGGTTCCTCCTGTGCTGACCATGATTTCGAGACCGAGGTGTTTTCCGAGAGTCCGACAGACTTGAGATGTTTGGAGGGCCAGTTCTCGGGTTGGTACTAGGAGGACGGCCTGGATGTGGGGTACTTTGGGGTTGACCATTTGTAATGTGGGAATGACGAAAGCTCCAGTCTGCCAAGTCAAGTCAGCCGATCAGCCTCGCCTCCTTGTAGTCACGAGTAAATCAAATCGGCTCACTTTACCGGTTCCGTTCTTTGCTCGTGCTGTATACAACGAACATCCTTATTAGCAAGACGGCTTCATCCCTAGCATGCGATCACTGCGCTCACCCAGAATATCTCGTCCAGTCAATGCCATAGGAATCGCTTCCTCTTGGATCGGACTGGGTCTCTCGAACCCAGCCTCGAAGATGCCCATAAGTAGTTCCCGCTTCAGGTAGAAGTCTTCGAATTCGCTTCCTTTCGTGTTCAATACATCCTAAATGATTACATGAATGGATACGAACGTCAGCCGAGGATCTTCAACAAGACCGAGAACACGATCAAGGGCAACTCGCTTCAGTTTGAGGCCGCGTGTCTTTTGGTGGTGCCTTCAGTTGACTCCTCCAGTCTCCCTGACCTTCTCCGTTCCTATACCGAGTTTATATGAACGGTGGTAAGCGGAATCCGGTCAATTCGATTCGGGTCAAACTTGGGCTCACGGTGTTGATGATGAGGCCATGTTGTGGTGCGATGAGCTTGTTGATCTGATTTTACCAATGTAGATATCTAAGCGTTCCTACCCATCAGCGAATGCTTGTCGCCTGGATATACCTACGTGTGTTTGAGTTATGGGATCGAAGATTGACTAGTTATCGAGACCGGCGCGTAAGATTGTGACGTCCTCCGTTTGATGTGGGGAAGGAAGTGTTTGCGTGAGTGTGGCAGTCCCGAGTCTAATCGACTTGATCTGGATATTGTGTGTTAGAGAGTCTGAGGTTGTGATGAGTTCCTTGTCGTCGTTATCAGCAGCACAGATGAATAGGGCGAACACGAATATACCCTTTGAGCAGCACGGAACAGAGGTCGCATCCCGTTGAATAAGAGTGAAGCCGAATGAAATAGCGAACTCGCGCGTGTGAAAAGTACCACGAGTCCTCGATTCCGCTCAAAGAACAGTAGTTTGGTATCAATGTGGGGGAACTCATCGGTCTTCATAATTTGTAACAGAGCATAAGCGAACCCACGAAGGGTGGTCATCTACTCAAGTTAGTACTATTACTAGCTTCTGGCTTTTCGAGTTTGTCGTGGCATTCCGATGGTCGATCGCGGAGATCTGAGACTCAATGGGCTAGACCTGCCAGAATGTCCGCGCTTGAATTAACAGGTGATAACTGAGGAAGATTTCGGCGCCGCTACGGCATGTTTTATGGGCACTCGCCGCTTCAACTCTGATCTAGAGCATTCAGTTACGAGCGTTCACGAGACATAGGGACCATCGCCAGTTCGATACTAGATGACGGGGTTTTTCCCCGTCATTTCACCTTTCGGCTTGTTGCGTTTCAAGGGTGCAACTCCGCAAAGCGACCGTCATCACGGATCCGGGAGACAAGCGTCAGGCTGATTGTTTTGCCTTGGAGAAGTTTGATTTCAAAGTGTTCATGAGCAACAACGATCGGACTTGCAATGTTTCCGCTTCGGCCTATGTCACCGCTCTAGAGGAACAGTTTGCGATGGAGAAAACGCCTTCACCTTGTGGCGGTGAGCCTGGTAGCCCTCGGGGATGCATTCCAGCTGTATACTATGATTGTGCAGAAGTATATTAGCTGTCGTTCCGTTAGTCTTATAGCCCACTGTATCTGATGAAGGACGCTCCATATGTCATCTGGTTTTTGAAACGGCCGCTTCCAATGGCTAACGGTTGGGGCAAACGCGAGACGCCGCATCAGATTATATTCCGAGAGACTGAATCACCTTTTCGGATCGCACTCTCAGCTCGGATTGTGATCGCCGCTAATCACGAGCGTTGGCAGCATTGGCTAACCTATACTCTGCGGTGTCGCAGATCAACAGGATAGACTCCCCGATCCGCATGAAAATCGCATCCATGGGATCTGGTCCATCACGACTCCGTATCGCAGTCTGGGACCCTCAGAGCTCGTTATAGTTGGTTTCAAGATTCGGTTTGGGTTTTCGATCCGAGTGCAGGTACGGGCACAGGTGTTACAAAGAAACTGACGTACAAAGTGTATGACCGAGGAGGCGCGGTTGGCATATCTTGCCATGACGGCGGCATTGATCTTGTTCCACACTCCAAGTCTTACTCAGCAGTTTAAGTGGGCATAGGTTACGGATCGAGCAGATACAAGGGGTATAGATGTGACGTTTCAGGTTACCTTACTCTTATGAGCCCGGTCATCAACGTAGTGAAGGAAGCACGACCCACACCATCCGCAATTCAAAGCAGGACTATCTGCTTTCTGCGCAATTGCCGAAAGTGATTCTATCTGGGATCAAGCTCGATCAAGCAGGAGTTTGCGGCGGATGCGGGAACTTTACATGCGGAAGGTCGTTCAGGTCTGAGAACCTGAATTTGTATGTGCCTTTCCGCGGATGGAAAGATGAAACGGACCGGGCGGGGATGACGCAGATTGAGTTTTGATTCCGAGACGATCAAGCCCACGTGGCTGGGCTGGTGACGTCGTGCAAGGGCGGGTAAGTCCGGGCGCGTCAGAGGGGGTTTACCGATCGGGGAATGTGATGGGATGATCGAACATCTACCTTCTGGGGCTCGGAGCATTCGCTGCACCTTTCCCTCTTTCGGTCAGACAGGCAGAGTTGCTACCGGAGTGATGAGGATGGATCTGATTACCTTACGTACCGAACAAGACTACTATATAACAGATTACGAGCCCATAGCACTCTCCGCGTCTTCATCTTGCCCATCTATCTCTTTGGCTTTGCATCAGTAACAACTATTGTCCTACGCACACGTTCGTAAATTCAATACACCAAGTCCATCATCTACCGTCATCATGCCTTCTACCAAAGGAAACCCCACCGACCCCAAGTTGCACGACAAGATTACCGAAGAGATCAAGCAACAGACCAACAAGGATGGTGAGTCCTCTTCTCCCAGGCTCTTCCCCCGTTCCCGAATCACGAATGACGATCGACTGATATCCATTCTCCCACACAATATTAGGTAGCGGCGCTGGCCAGATGGCAGCTTGGAAAGCGAGTAAGATCGCCAAAGAGTACGAAGCTCAAGGTGGAGACTACGATAACGAGTCGGGCAGCAAGAACGAGCCTAAAAAGGGGTGAGTAGCCGCTTCCTCAGGCCGCTTCCTCTGTATATGCGTAGCTTGGAGGGTTTTGTTCTGGCACAACGCTGATACTCATGGCTTCTTTGTTCGGTCAACGTTGATAGAACGCCTCAGCACAAGTCGGATTCCAAGAAAGCTAGCGAGAACAAGTCTACCGCTAGCAAGTCCACCAGCAAGAAGGCTGACGACAACGAGGATGAAGATGAGGATGAGGACGAGGATGACGATGCCGATTTCCAGGGCGACGACGACGATGAGGATGACGAGGTAGAGGCCCAGGATGACGACGATGATGATGACGATGAAGACGAGGAGGACGATAAGAAAGCTTCAAACTCCTCAAAGTCCAAGTCCAAGTCAACGGCTGGCAAGCGAAAGAGGGTCGGTCTTCTTGCGCATCACACTGCATACTCGAATCACGTCAGGCTGATCTTGGCACCTCTTACTGTACGTGATCCTTCTCCTGTATTCCATTCGATTCCGACAATATACAGACGGACGAGCCAAAGCCCAGCTCGAAGAAGGCGGATAAGCCGGCGCCTGCTAAAAAGTCTGTCTCCCATGTCTCGTCTCAAACCGCGATCGAAATCTGATCGTCTCTGGGATGCACGTGATTCAGAACCAAGAAGGCCGATGATGACGAGGATGAAGATGTGGATGATGACGAGGATGAGGTGAGTGTCGCGGCCAGCTCCCCGATCAACAGTTCTGCTGTAGAGTCTGACGAGATGTTGTTCTTCGCTGTGGACACGGTAGGACGACGAAGAGTACGACGACGAGGTTGCAGATGATGATGAAGAGGAGGCTGTCGCTTCGGACGAGGACGACGAGTGAGAGTCGCCTCAGCGATGCAGTGCAGTCACGTCGGAAGATGATGGATGCTGCAAAAGTATGTACGTCTAGATGAATCGGTTGTAACAATCCAAATCAAGTAAAGAAAGGAATAATGCAAAGTGACCGCCCATCTGGAGAACATGCTGGCCGGCCCCTGCTTTTTCTGTTCCTTGCCACGCCGATTCGAAGTGATGTAGAATGTAGCCACTAAACCAACTCGCCGAAGACCTGTTCGAGCCGCTTCCAACTGACTACCACCTCGTCTTCCTTACTCTTGAAGTCCCGGTCTTCCACCCGTCGGAAGTCTAACCGGTAAGACTGTTTGTCGAGCGAGAAGAAGGTAGGGAGAGGGTCTATTCGTAGACGTAGGTATGGCGATGAGGCTGCGAGAGCGAGCGACGGGAAAGAACGATTGAGCGACCGTTTACTATCATCGCAACAGCTTTTGGATAATAGATATAGACTCACTGGTCCCACCCCGGATCAGACCAGGATGAACCCTCTCCATCCTGATGTCCCTCGGCAACCCAAACTTGCCCGCCCACATCCCCTCTGCGGCCGTCTCCATCCTGATCCACGTCTGGCCCAGCTCTTCCCCCTTCTTCCTGTTCACATCAACCCGGGTCCGTATAGGCAGGGGCAAAGAAGAAGCCTTGGAAGCTACTGAGGCAGGGAGATCGGCAGTGGCTACACGGCGCATCTGAGTGAGACGGCTGACGACCCGGGTAGGGTAGTAGAGAATGAGGACCGAGATCGCTCCGCCGATAGAGACTAGGAAGCCGGAGAGGATGGACTCTGGGGAGATGATGTCGGTGATCGGAGCGAAGGGGGAGGGTGCGACTGCAGGTGAGGTCGCTACGACTTCAGTTTCAGTCGGGAGAGCCGGTGTTGTTGGTGATGGCTTTACGGCCGTTGTTGAGTTCTCCGGTGATGGTAAAGTAGACATTTTGGTCGCCTGTTCTTGCTCGATAGCGGCAATCTTCTCATCTAGTTCGAGCTTCATCTGCACGGTGTCCGCGGCTAGGAAACTGTACCAATTGGCAGGGAATTTGTAGAAGTAAGTTACCGACTCGACCCTACAGAGAGCTGGAGTTGTCAGGAAGCTCACCATCCGGGCACCATGGCGACTAATCAACTTGATCAGAACAAAGCAAACATTTCCTTTCCTTCAGCTACCGAAATCTCGCCCTCCTGATTGACCGGGACCGACTCACGCATGACCACCCATAGCAATTTCGGCCTAAAGTTCAACGGCCTCGCATAGATGGTACGTTCTTGAATGACCTCGTTCGTCTTGGGATCCTGAGCGATCGTTCGCCATGGGAAATCTCTAGAGATAGAGGGGGAGACGGTCGGTGACGAGGGCGTCGATTTCGGTTTTGTAGCTGTCGGTCTGGCTGTAGAGAAGTTTCGAAAATATGTCCGGGAAAGCTCTCGGAAGAGCGGGCGGTTGAACCTATTCATTGTGAGGTTGTAGATAGCGTTCGGGTCGAAGGTTGCTTGATTCAATAAGAGGCGTACCAGCTTAGTAGGCGATGTTGTACAATCAGTTGTAGACTTGTTGCAAGGTTCGGGCAGTCCGATCAGGATCTACTGGAAGCGCAGAACAGAACGGCCCAAATTATTATTTTTTGGGCCGTTTTGGGGGTCTATACTTTCCCAATAATCCGTCCAATGCTGATGCTATCAGTCTGGTTTTTGGCTCATTTTGAACCTGAACTAACTAAGAAGTAGATCTACAAGGAATCTGAAGAGGTTTTCAAAAATGGATATCGCCGTAGAAGTCTAGCTGCGGGATGAATGGACAGTTGTAGTTGCCCATCTCTCCCTCTCGCGTGCTGGTCTGCAACCTCGAATTGGAGTCAACAGACCAACAGGGGCAGCGTCGACAACGGCAGGCTACGAATGGCAGATACTGGAATAGATATGGGTGACTGTTGTGTCGCAGATCGCAGAAATTCGAGAAGGTGCTGCCAAGGTGGTCCCGGTCCAGAGGGGGAGCGGATGCAAAGTACTAGCTGATGGGGCACGACGATCCCTCGCTTCGTTCTTCGGTTTATCCGGGATTGACGGGGGGGAACCACCACCCCCGGATCACGAGGGTGAAAGGGGGCAGCGTCCTGTCGAATATACATCTCGCCACACACCAACTTGCATGTACCCAGATCGATAATTATATAATTATTATTATTGACTATTCCAATACCATCCAGTAGCGCCAGTAAATACCACAAGTAAACCACAACGCAGCGCAACCATGTCCCCCGTCGCTACCAAACAGTCACACCCCACCGGGTCGACCAAGAAGCTCTCGTCCGAGCAAGTCATCCACTTGGAGCACGAACACTCGGCTCACAACTATCACCCCTTGCCTGTGTGAGTCGTCTGCCTCGGAACGTCGGAGTCGGAAAATATAGATTAAGGCTGATGCTGTGTGCTGCGTTATATTACCGCCACCCTGTTCGCTTTTGAAACACGCTTGATATCAACACTGCAATCGGTCGGAATATCTAGCGTCTTTGATCGTGCCCTTGGAGCCAAGTCAGTAGCAATCAACCACTTCTCACCTTGATTCCTGCTCTCCCCACTCATCACAGGAAACTGACGAACACTCGCTTCTCTTTCGGTTCACAGAGTATGGGATCCCGAGGGCAACGAGTACATCGACATGTTGTCGGCTTATTCGTGAGTGGGATTGCATGTTGGCCGTCGATTCGTGGAGGATTCGGGTCCAGAAGGCTGATCGTCGCCTCATCTCGCGCTCGGTTCGCTCTTTCGCAGCGCTGTCAACCAAGGACACTGCCACCCAAGATTGCTTCAAACCTTGATCTCGCAAGCACACCTCTGCACCCTCTCCTCCCGAGCCTTCCACTCTTCTCACCTCGGCCCCTACGCCGAGAAGATCACCAAGATGTTCGGATACGACATGGTACTCCCCATGAACACCGGCGTCGAGGCGGTCGAGACGGCTATCAAGTTGGCGAGAAAGTGGGGGTACATGAAGAAGGGGATCGAGGAGGGCAAGGCTAGGGTCATCAGCGTCGATGGTAGCTTCCACGGGAGGAGTCTGGGAGCGATCTCATTGAGCACGGATCCCGAGAGCAGGGATGGATTCGGACCGTGAGTGCTTGGTCGAGCTTGCGGTTCGGGTTGTTACGGGCGCTTACGATGTGGACGAATACCTGGTCATCTCGCAGATTCGTTCCCGGTCTGGGTCCTAAATGGGAAGGAGGTCTTGTCAGATACAACCACCCCGAAGATCTCGAAGCGTATCTGGAACAGTACGGCCACGAGGTCGCTGGGTTCCTGGTCGAGCCGATCCAGGGAGAAGCTGGGTGAGTTCTTGCGTGATCGTTTCGGGCAGAGCTGGGGTCGGCGTGAACGTCGAATCAAGGCTGATGCGACCGTATCGTATTTCCACTCGTTCGATAGTATCTTCGTCCCGGATGACGGTTACCTGACCAGGTGCCAGGAGATCTGCAGACGACACAATGTCCTCTTCATGGTCGATGAAATTCAGACCGGGCTTGCGCGAACCGGCAAGATGTAAGCCAAGCAACCACAACTCTGCCGCTGATAATGCCGCTCCGTTCGCTGAGACTGTAATCATGTGATGTAGGCTCTGTTCCGACTGGGACGGTGTTAAGCCAGATATCATCACCCTCGGCAAAGCGCTTTCCGGCGGTATCTACCCGGTTTCAGCTGTTCTTGCCAACAAGGAAGTCATGCTATGCATCAAGCCTGGTGAACACGGATCGACTTATGGTGGAAACCCGCTCGGTTGCGCCGTGGCCATGACCGCTCTTGACGTGCTTGTGGACGAGGGTCTGGTCGACAGGGCGCAGAGATTGGGGGAGGTCTTCAGGTCGAAAGTCAGGGAGATCGGATCTCCGTTGATCAAGGAGGTCAGGGGAAGGGGGTTGTTGAACGCCGTCGTCATCGATGAGACGAAGAGCAAGAAGGGGAGGTCGGCATGGCAGTTGTGCTTGTTGATGAAGAGTAAAGGGTGAGTCTATCGCCTGCGGATTTGGGCCGCTCCCCGTGGTGGGCGGGAGACCGGGATTACAGGTTGAACGCCATGTCGACTCATCGAGGCTGACGACATCTTTTACGACGACGTTTCCAGACTTCTCGCCAAGCCGACTCATGTCAACATGTAAGTCTTGCTTTCGAATAGTCCCGGACAGCGCGCCGTCGATGCTGAACGTTCGTCATGCTTCGCCTTGTATCACAGTATCCGTTTCGCCCCGCCCCTCGTCATTGAGGAAGAGGACCTCCTCAAGGCCATCAAGCTTATCGAGGAATCCCTCGTTGAGATCGATACCGTGAGTTTGAGATACGCTGCAGTCAGATCGTCCCTCGTTATGCTGACTTGATGTCGGTTGGTGCCACAGCTCGACAAGATCCCTGGGGACGACTCTGAGGAGAAGAACACGGTCATCGGACTTGAGGACTGAGGGACGATATCTTGTCAGGTCCTTTTGTGTTCCTAGCATGGTTACTAAGCGAGTCGGTTCAGCATTGGGTCAAGGTGGAGAAAAAACAGGAAAATCTATATACAGCAAGTTTTTTGTACGCAATCATATCAGGATTTCTCGGATATAGCATAGGATGTGGTTATTGTTCGATATTATCATGGCTGACTGACCGTCCGGATTGGATATCGTAGGGGCGTCAGACCCTTGTCGCACCCTTGTCGTACGTAAAATGGATGCGTATACTTCTCGTCCGTTACGGCCGAGTACAGATGGGTGACATATGCGGATACAGACTGACGCTCGACATTGACTCCCGCTGATTCTCTGGGACAATCAGTCCTCCGGTTGCGGGGCATCAGGGGGCTCGCGTCCAACGGAGTTTTGAGTCGCCCCTTGCGCTTGCATCGTCCTGCTGGCTTCCTCGCCCATCTGGATGATCTGTTGTGGGGTGAAAGGCCCCCATATCATCTGAACGGCTCCACGCGAAGGAGCCTGGGCGGTATTGCCAAGCTCGACATCCTCCCTTTGCTGATCTTGACCTTCTTCATCCCCGTCTCCACTCTGCTCGTCGTCATCGCTCTCCTCATTCGCATCTTCGCCGTGCTCATCGCCGTCGTCCTCGTTGTGATCGTGATCGTATGCCGGTGGCGCCTCGGCGGGGACCGGCAAAGCCTGCCTGATCCGCTCGAATCGTTCGGCCTGATCTTGTAGCAGGTCATCCTTGGCTCGAACCATTGCTAGGAGTTCGTTCTGCCGGATTTGGAGCTGTTCCGCTCGCTCGCTTATGCGATCACACTGTGCAGAGTTGAGAGACAATTGAGTAAAGTATTGCAACGTAAACCTTATGTCCGGTTAGTCGTATTGACCTCTGCTTGGGATCTCTCCAATGCCTCATCCACGCGTTCACACCTGGCATTCATGTTGTTGATCTGTGTAGACGTACAAGACGCCTGAGTATCGTGACAGGCCCTTTTCGTTCAGCCAAAGCACTGACATCTGCCTCGGCTTTCTCCACTCGCATGACCTATCCAGGCATGCAGACCAGTTTGATTTGCAGCCAGAACCCTTCATCCGGCCGATTCTACTCACCATAATGTCTGTCAATTTCGTGAAATCGCTGTGCAGGGTATCATATTCCTTCTTCATTTTCTCGATTGTCATGTCGTTCTGAGAACAGCAGACAGCGCCATCAGCCTCGACTGAATATGAGCGTGACAAACAAGCGGACCAACCTTTGCTTGAATCTGTTCGACCTCTTCCCTTGGGCCCTTTTTTATTGCGTCCTCCATCCCTTCCCTGATGCGATCGAAATCCTCCTGCTGCTTCTTGCACCTCGCCGTAGCTTCTTCAGCTTGACGTTTCCAGTATTGAACCTCATCCTCTAGCTTGGCAATGAGCTGCTTCTGCTTCGGGACCAAGTGGGCGTTGGTCAAGCAGAGCTTCTCTGTGAGATCGAGAATTTCGAAGTTCTGATGAAGGATTTGGTCTTGAAGATCGCTGTTGGCCGTCACGCATTCCTGAGGGGGGATCTTGGCTACGCTCGAGTTCATCCTGCTAGTACTATCCCAGACCTGAGTGGCCACCGTTGATTGCCTGAAGTAGTCGTACTCTTTCAAGGTTGTCCGGGGAATGAAGACAATCGTTAAGGTCATCGGGATCATGAGAATCGAACAACGACAAACAACGACGCGAAGGGGGACGGACTCCGGATTTGATGGCGACAAGGAGCCGCGTCGTAAGGAGTAAAAGAACATGAAACGCAAAACAAACAAAACAAAATGCACACGCGTCGCCCAATCCGGTTAGGTCGGGACCGTGCGTCCTTTCGGCGGTGGATCGAGCTACGAAGGTGCTATCTCGATCAATACGTCCAGCCGTCGATCCGCTGATCTGCTGATTTAACCGTGTACTGTACATTCGATGAGGACGCACGGACGTGTCTCATATCGCATCAATCTCATCAGATAACAGACAACAACAACAAGCGCCCAGCCCCCGTTGCGCGTCGCACGATCAAAAGCTGATCATCGAGATCTCTGGCATCCAGTTGAAAGTCCTCGCTGGCTGCTCGCCACACCCAAATGTGGGCCGATAACTTTGACTAAGCTCGGACTGGTATTTGAAATTGGCCAATACGATCGACGACTGGCGTCCGGGCAGAGTTCGATGATCGTCGTTCCGGTTAAGTTTTTTTGTCTTTTTGATGGGGTCGTCGAGCATCGGTACGGTGTCGAGAAGCTCAAAGAAGCCAAGTCAAGGTACGAGAACTATATAACATCTCAATGTGGTCTAGTGCTCCTGATTGATCCTGTACCGAGCTCGTTCCCCCTCCCCTACTCCCAGTCCATGACGACTCGTCAATTCGACATCCTAGATACGCCTCTTGCCGCTTTCAACTTCACCCACCCAGACCATGATCACAAGTTCGAACATGTCCTCGAACGAGTCCAGTATTACTCCCAAGAAGTGCTCGTACTCGTCTTTCCTCTCTCCGGGGGAGGCTACAGGTACCAGGACCCCCGTACGTTCTCTCATCTTATCGCTTTCTGTCAGATCTACCCGTTGTAATCTGGTTTACCGAATCCTCTTCACTTGAACATCAGATCACGCCAAGGAGAGCCGTCTCGGCGGCGGTAGAGAGGAGCTCGAGCTCGATCTCTCCCGCATTCCGCCGGGAAGCATCAATCGTGAGTTTTGAACCGAGATCAGTATCCAAGAACTGTCTATTGAAGTCTCTGTCTTGTCAGGATGTCAAACCTGAAATGACCTTCCTTGAGAGGGCTCGATCCATGTGCGGCTCTCGAGCGGGATCTGTCGCTTCTAGTCTATCCCCCTCCGATGCGATTTCGCATTCAGCTAGGGACAGCTCCACGAAGTCGTACAGCTTGAAGAGAGCTGGAACTGGTCCTTGGAAGTCTCGAGGTCGAAGCACTGCTGTAAGGTCTACACCAAGCGTCAGCGACGCTGGCGTTACTTGCTATGCTCCGTAAGTACGCCAATACATCAGACTATCAACCATCATGTCAGTGTGTCAACAGACGTTGAATGCCTGAACGATTATCCGACAGGGACGACGATGAAACCCTGGCTCCGCAGCCAGGCGGCAAGGATCTACTGGCGAATCCGCGCTCAACCCCCAGATCATCACGAGGTTCCACCAGGTCTGCCATTGGAGTACCTACTCCCCAAAAGCCCCTATTCGAGACTCATGCTCGAGGCTTCGAACCGGCAGAGTTCCGCATGATTAGCAATTCCCTGCTGGATGTCTTGTTTATGGACCCGGCGAACAGGGAGAAACTGGAACAAATCCAGGAGAAGTATCATTTTGAAAGCAAGATCGAATTGCTCAACATGATGACCGAGACGGTTCAGCGAGCAGCGGAAACCAAGCTGGCCACTGCTATCGAGGACCCGAGGAAGTCTTACAAGAAGAAGGTTGACATCACCGTCTCCAATTCGGCGGATAACCCCTTCTGCGTTGACTAGTTTCCGCTCCTTGACCTTGCCTGTGTCTGTAATCACGCCGAACTCCTGTCTGAACCTTCCATATGCCGTTCAATCCATATGTTTTTGTCGAGTTCTAGTCTGCACCTGAGTTTCTTTGTATGTATTACGAACATGCGTTACAAAAGATGTGTTGAGATCGAAGGCCAATCTCCTATACTATACAAGGCCTAGATGGCTCACAGGTTCATAGCATGGAATAACTGTATTCGTTCATTGCTGCGAAAAGAGAATGCGGAAATCGGTCAAGAAGATCACCGGAATCTAACAACAATAGGCGACGACGTGATGTTCATGTGACCGGATTCGACAGCGGCAAAGAAGGAAAGGGCGTTCGCGCGCAAGGTGCCGCTGGTCCACCCAGTACCCAAACCCATTCCAATGAACGTATCTGATGTTCCATCAATAGATCGATCATCATATCAATCCAGCAACAACCATGCGCAACAATCATCACACAGGCACGGCATGTGATATCCACAGCTGATTGTACAGCCTCGGCTGGAACCCTATAGTAAACCGACATCGACTCGCATTACGTGTCAGTATCCTGGTCGCCAAACTCGAGGGTTCGAGCCAATACATCATATCAACAAATTATCAACTTATACATAGTAAAGCACGTGAAGATATCGGCATATCGCCTGCTAGGAAGTTTCACGATTTGTACGAATAGCGACAGTATAGGTGGCTGGAGTCTCTTCACACCCGCTTAGATGCACCTCCTCAACGGACCCTCGGACCCCCGGCCGGCCAAGGCGTTTTTGTAGAATTTTGAAGCCACAAGACCCGAGATCTACCGAACGCAGAACCCGTGGGAGGCAGACACAGGGATCGGGTAACGAAGGACCCGTACGCCAAGACTGGACCTACTTCTGGTCGCCCTCGACTAGGTCTTGCCGATCTGATCCCCGTCGCCCACGTTCGACCTCGATGCAGTCCAAGTCTCTCTGAAGAGGAATCTCGACAACGGAGAACGACATCACACGCATCAGTCAACATGCTACAGATTGACTCCGATGTAGACGGCAATGAAGGCTTTTGTGTTCGCCCAGACGAAACCCTCGGCCAACCTTGCCATAGTATCCGCAAAAACGTCGACGGCCTCTGACGCGTTCAAATCGAAACCCCGCCGATTCCCTACGCGGGCTGTGCCGATATTGAAACCGACATGTCGGTTGTTCGAGTCGAGAAGTGGGGACACAGGTACATGAATGACTATATTATTGATCTCAATTGATGTTTAATTACGACGAATCGATGCGAAGAGAAACAGGTAATCGAAGGTGGCTGGATGTCGCATCTCTGAATGCGGAGCCACAGTTTCAGACGGAGACGGGCGAAAACAGTCCTAGAACGGTTGAAACCTCGGTTCCACGACGTCACCGGACAGGCGCTTGTGGCTGAACTTCGGACGGGTTCATTTAAGCTGTGCGATCAGGGACCCGTACGCCTGTACATCCCTGGCTGTCAATGTAGCGGGTTCTGATAATGAACTACCACCGAAAGCGATCGAGAAGCGGGGACAAATCGCCGGAGAAACCAAATGGGAAGCGACATCGGTCCAGAGTAGTACCGAACCCAGGAATCGTTTCCAAAGTCCGACCGGGAGACGTATCAGGTTTGACCATATCTCTTCGAGAGCGGATGAGGCTGAAACACGAGACGAGTGGACTGAATTCTGATACTTGCACAGTCAGCCTTGCACGCCCGGTGATCTCGCGTTTCCTCTTTCGGCACGATAGCAAGGAACATGGCGGCAAGCGAGGCGACGGCCGGATCTGGAGACGAGCGAAAGATAACGTGCTGCGCGGCTTTGTTCCTCTCTTCTCTTCGTTCGCGTGCGATGACGAGGGATCTACGGATTCGTGTTGGTGGAATCCTCGACGGGGTCGTCGTCAAATTCTTGCTGATCAACACGGTGGCCGTGTATTCCAACCTGCTTCTGCGCAGCTGCGCAGCCAAGGTTTCAAGTTGGAACACAGCGGACCTTGTGCATCACCGGTCTTTTAGTCGGCAGTCGGGGAAACAAGGGATCGGCGCTCCAAATTCGCTTCGAATGTCGCTCACGCCACGATGTTTGACATTGTATTACGTCGTGAGTATATTGCAGGTCGAGACATGCTGCGACAGATCCGACAGATCTCGCTGGGTTCCTCCATTCACTCGGAGTCATGCTAATTGGATAATTCGACAGCGGTACAGCGATCAGTGCTGAGCAGTGATCGTTTGATTGTTGATCGCTGATCAGTGGTTGATGTGATACAGGTGGATCGAAAAGAAGCTACACGCGCTCGCTTGCAGAGGTCGACATTCTTTCTATCGGAGCGCATCGGGTTCTGCTACGTACCGTAGAATAGGGTGAGGTACACCGCGGACACGTTGTTCGAACGTCAGATGTCGACGCCGAACGGATCCGTGACCAGCGTCCCGGGAATGATCCGCTTGAAACCAACTGGAACTCCCTTTGTTCGCTCAGCCGCGGCGTTGGCATCATGACATCCCGTATCATATGGATCGTTCCATGCTCATGCTCATGCGAAGGCAGGGGAGGACGAGCCCCGTGATGCCCCTGGCATCGGGACCGCGCCACCTAGAAGGTGAAAGGGGTCGATCCACCTCGACCCATGCCGAACGCGCCCTAGGCCTCTCTACCCTTGGCCTCTCTACCCTTGGCAAGGGCAAGAGGCGACGCGCACCGATATCGTCGTGTCCGGGCCGGTCTTGCGTCTTCCTCTGTCGATCACGGAGTCTGGGCAGAACCACACAAAAAGAAGGCGATAGGATGATCGCTTGCAGTCCGAGAACAAGGGAGATGGATGCTCAAACGGGGAAGACGAAGGAGAGAGAGTGTGTGCGTTTCTCGGGCATGCGACTCTTTGTCTTGTGGGTTATGGCTGCGCAAGCTTTTTTTTCCCCGCTTGTAGCGCATGTGGTGGTGGTGAGTGGTCATGACTGAGTGATCACGGAAGCAGAATCACGGCGCCGGTCAGGGGAGGAAACGATACCACCGAGTCGGGGGGTTAGGCAGGAAGAGAGGCAGCGAGAGAGAGACCGCGATGGATAGGGCGGACCTGGTCAAGGCACACACCCTCTCGAACTCTGAATTGCTCTCTCACAACCTACAGATCCCCTTCTCGTCCTCCTATCTGTACGTGACTTTCCCAAAGCACACACAGAGCCGTAGCCCCGTAGCCACCCACCATCCCGACCTAGTATTCCCTGCCTGCCGCCGCTCCTTTCCGATCGAGGACCGAGACTTCGGCTTGTCGTTCAGATTCTGTCCTACGCTGAGCCGAAAAACTATCCACGACTCCGACGATCGCTTGGTGGTGCCTTTCTCGAGCGAGATAACCACCTCCACCTCGTACTTCATACCAGGAAGAGTCGCAAAGCTCGGCAAACAGGGAGTTTGTCGACCAAAGGAATCGGTGGTTTGTTGACGTTGACAGCCGCGCCGGAGGGGAGTTGCTTGGGCGAAAAACAGATCAGATCCTGCTGGCAGACAAATCGCTTCGTTTCCCTGTGCCCCACCGTTTCCTGTCGTCCCCCTCCCCACATGCATGCTTTTACAGTCTCGCTCCGAATTTTTCCATCGATTTGAAGCGGCGAGGGTCATGAATGACGATACAAGAGCAACCACTTCGACGACATCTGTATCATCATCACCATCGACGTCGTCGGCAACGGAATCTCCGACTCCATATACCGACTTGCCCACTTCGTCCTCGCCTGCGGTCGATAAAGAAGCGGCCGAGATCGGTAAGGTCCCACAATCGAGCCAGGTGGCGTTCATTAGTGCACAAAGACAACTTGTCCCGCCCTCCAACAACTATACATCCACACCTCGTACTCTAGCTAGTCCAGCGGAGTTTACTCCACTACCCACCCCTTCAGATCATCATTCCGTTCAACCCGACGTCATTGATCACCAAACGAGCGACAACAGGACGAATCACGAAGAGCAAGGCGATCCTCGACAACACGATCTTTCGCCAACGCGTCTGAACAGGGTCGATTCGACGGATATCGATCGAGCAAGTAGCTCGACTCCAATACATTCCGAGAGCGGTAGCAAGCTCCAAGACGATCAGCCAGTTCTTACTCGCACGACTATTACGGATCGGCACGGCTCAGAGGGACATTCTTCGGAAGAAGCTAGCGATCGGTCGGACAAGCCGGACAAGCCAGCTTTGCAAAACGACGTGACTGGCTTGAAAATTAGGATCGAGCATACTCGGCCGTCTGTCACAGGAGAAGCAACACTTTTGGGTAACCATCCGAGTCGACTACCTACGGCGTCGACAAGCAGCAGTGACACGGAAACGGTCAGAGCCGTCGTTGAAGAAAACGGCGAAATCACGTCGGACGCCCTTCCTACGAACGAAGGCCGAGGTTTCTTTAGCTCCACTCGCACCGCTGTCACCACCCCCAAACAGCAGCAATCCAAACTCAGCGCCTTGACTCGAAGTCAAAGCTCCGCCGATGATCTCAGTGAACAACGTAGTATAGGAAGTGAACGAGATTCATTCCCGGTCGAGCAACGATCGTCCCGTGAGTTCCGTCGTTCTAGCGCTACTTCCCACTTCCTTTATATCACACAACATCATCACCCTGCTGCATTGTCCACTACTGACTCATACGCTATTCCGGGGTTTATTTGCTACACAGATCACGACAGTCATACGATTATTATCACCTCGCCAGACTCGGCGACTCCGAGAGAGACCGACCTTCCATCATCCTTCCATGTTCCAGGACAAGGCGATCGACAACTTCATCAGGATACACCAGGACAACCGCCGTCTCAAGAACAGCGGCACAACCGAACCACGGATACGGAAGACCCTCTACCTGAAGACGTACCGTCCGCAATAACCCATCCCATCCCTGCCATCAACCTCCTTCCTCCCGACATCTCGGTAGCCGCAACCCAATCCAGGTTATCATTACCACCCACGTCCTCTTCGTCGTCGTCGTCGTCACAAGGCGTCGCACAAGGAGGTGGGATGAACGAAGGACCAGGTCTTGTCGCCGATTCCGGTCGAAGTATACGAGGTAAGTTTCTTACGCGACCCCGCTTGTTTCTCCCGCGGAGTTTGGGGTTCTTCCGAGTGTGCCAGTGGCGAAACACGATGAGGGCCGCTAGGGGTCCCATCAAGGAGTGGATCTGGTTATCGGAATGTACGGGAAACCAATGAGTCGTATACTCGATGCCATGAGGGATGAGCGCATCGCGCGGAAATCGACTCGGGGCCGTTCGGGGAAGCGTATTCAGCGCGTGCGCGGGGAGTCAGCAAACCCAAAAACAGAAGTTCGGCGTTGAAATGAGGCGACTTCGCCAGGATGACCATCCTTTCGTTCTCTTTCGTAGTCACCTTATGAAGAGATGACAGTTGAGCCGAGGTGGATCTGCATGATTCCAGAATATGCACGGGGACTCGGCCAATGGGACAACGGGAAGAAAATGCCCCGGCTGTCAGGCTGGGAATGAGGTCGACCGCGGCTCCGAATAGATGATGGGACATCGTGTGTGCGCATGTGTGTGTTTATGCGTGCCTGCATGATGACCTTCGCCAGAGACGGTGATCACGACAAACGGATGGGCAATTCCGACCTCTTCCCACTCGTCACGTCTCTAATCCTTCCACTTCAATGTCTGCCACATTTCCGCCATAACGTCGATCTGATCATCTCGTTTCTGCATTTGCTGTCTCAACGTCGCAGGATACGGCGCAGCACCTGGACCGGACTATAACTCGACCCGGCCTTACAGCGCAGACTACCGCGCAGGTATCGACCAGTCTATTCCGTACGAATTGCCCACCGGGTTTCAGGATTCGCAGGACGTCGTACGAGAAGATTATAGCGGATCGAACTTCCAGAGGTACCCCGGAGCCCCTGGCGAGGTGAGCTGTTTTTCCGCGGGCGACTCGGTCACAACGATCGGCAAGCTGACGATTCTGGTCGGGATTCATCGGGTAGAATATCAACAAGGCTCCTCTTGCTCTGTCCAACGAACCGCTCAAGACCAAAATCAAGCCGAAAGGGCGAGGCAAGCGGAAAGCCGAGCAGGTTGTCCAGGTTGAAGTCGAGACAGGCGGAGTTCCGAATCCGAGCTATCCACCTCCGCAGCGAAACGGGGCTGGTGTGAATCCGACAGACCCTTTAGGATCGGGACGTAATATGGAGGTGCAAATCAATCACGACTATGCTTCAGGCAACGCTCCACCGCCATACGACGACTATGCCTACCCGGCAAACGGTCTTCCTTCGTCGACGTCGTATGACCCGGCGCAAGGATTTTCCAGCCCTTCGGGTCAAGGACCGCTTTTCCCACCGCAGCCGTCGAACGGTTCGCATCATCTCTCGCAATCAAACTACTCTGCCGTGGCTCCTCCTCAAAACTTGGAGCAGTCGCCGCAGACGCAGCGTCCGCACGAACGTGTCCCGGCTGGACCGAGTTATAATGCTATGGCTGGGCCTAGTAACCCGTATCTCCAAGGGCTTCCGCCAGCGATCCAGTCGCAGATGCCTGGTGGCGCCGATTATGGATCCCTCCCAGTGGGCGTTAGTGGAGGCAAGATCTTCAAATGCATGGGCTTCCCAGGCTGCGAAATGACATTCACACGGAGCGAACATCTTGCACGACACGTCAGGTAAACGGCCTTGTTGAAGTTGAATCTTGAGCCATGAAGCTAACAATTGAATTTTCCGCTGTTCTCGCAGAAAACATACTGGCGAACGGCCCTTCCCCTGCCATTGTGGCAAAGCCTTTTCCCGCTTAGACAACTTGCGACAGCATGCTGCTACCGTTCATAACGACAGCGTCGACCTGAACGATCGCATGCTGAGAGCTTTGGCGCCAGTACACGCGGCGCTTTCACAAAGAGCTGGTAAAGAGCAGCGTCAGCGTGGAGAGGTCCTTTCGGTCCCCAAGACGGCAGCCGAACGAGCGAAATCGGTTCAACCAAAGAAACCCAAGAAGACAGCACCTCGAGGAGTTGTCGAGGGCAACAGTGGGCATGGCCCGATGCAGATGATGCAGTCTCCACATCATTTCGGACCTGAGATGCCCCCACCGCCGCCCGTTTTGATTCCAGGTCAACCCGGATTCCAGCTGCAGCACCCCATCTCATCCTCGATCACGTCGAATCCCGACGTCGTTGCCCACTATCCTACCCAGATGGTACCGCCTCCCGCCGGTGGACCTCTTCACGCCATGCCTATGAGCCATCCCCAAGCGCATCAGCCGCATCCTCCGCCTTGGTTTCCCCCGCACGCCACAATAGAAGGACAGCGGCCTGAGAGTTCGTACAGACCAGGCACAGACGGTCGGCCTGGCACTGGATACGCTTCACATCAGACCTCCGCGGGGGTATCGCCGCACCTACCGAATCCGCCTCAGTCTTCGAGCCTTTCCGGTTACGGAAATTATGTTCGATCGCCGCAAGAGCATCCTCCTGCGGGATTTCAATACGAGCCGTTTCCTCACGGGATTCGACCAGGATCTAAGCACCCAGTCTCGCTACAGCTGCACCATCCGCCTCGATCTGCTGGACCCACTATGGGTGCGGGTCACTCGGCCGCATCGGTCGATGGTAGATTTTCGGACCGGCCGGGCACCGCATCATCCCCCTACTTGCAAATCCCTACCCTGACGTCAGCTCCACCATACGCTCCGACCTACCCCCACGCTCAACCACCGAGTGCAGGTGCGCAGTTGAGCTTTTCACCCCATCCCCCTCGTTCGTCTCATCCGGCAGAGATCTATCAACAACATCCTGGAACCGCTCCGTCGTCAGGCCGACCGGGGACCGGAATACTACAGCATCAACAGCAACAGTCGATGCCTCTGCATTCCGGGCCCTATCAGTCTTCCCATGGCTCTTCCGGGCATTCGTCACGCTTGACCGGCAACTCGTCTCAGCACAGCATGGGACGTGTGACGCATCAACAGATTCAGGAAATTTACGGGAACAGTGGCGCCACGCAAGAGTCTCCGTTTTCGTATCACCCTCCACCGACAGCGACCCAACCACCTCCGACTCAGTATTCGTTCGGAAGCGGAGTGCCGGATTATGGTGTGCAATCGCATGGGTTCCAACCCGATCTGGACGTGAGGAAACGCAAAACCGAAGAGTTGGACAGCGATGTCTACGACATGGAGAGGCGAAAAGGCCAGAAGACGGAGCTCGGCAAGGTGGCGACGGGCGTCTTCTATCCTGGACGTGCCGAGAGGAGAAACTCGCTCGCCATTTCTTCCCTCATCACCGGCGACGGGCAAACTCAGATCCAACCGCCTCCAGAGCACGGTGCGATGGCTCCTGACTATGGCAACGGTTATTATCAGGACAATGGCGAACCGGGCATTTCCGATCAGCACAACATGGCCAGCTACACGTTTGGTAACGTCAACGGGCCCGATTATGGTTACAACGCTGGTGCGCAACCCTCATACATGTTGGAGGAGCAGCAACAGCAACAGCAACAGCACCTGCAAGCTCAGCCGCACGGTGCTCCGGGCAAGCCGGGTCATCATGCTATGGATGTCAAAGCGAGAGCGCTGCTCGACAACGGTGGCTACGACGTATGAGAGGGCAGTTTCGATTGAGTAGTAGGAGTCCGACGTGACCCCTTTCAGGATAATAGCATACAGCATCAGTTTCAGTATCAAATTTCGTTGTACCATATAATTACTTGCATAGCGAGGCAACTTGCCTGCCGCTCCGTATATTCGACTTTGATTACGCTTGGAGCCTTGTCGTCAGCGCAGTCTAGAATTATACCGTCGGTCCCGACCTCGTCAGCCAATCGATCGATTGTTGCAAGAACAGTCAGAAGCTGATGGAAAGGACGTGGAAAACAACGATCAAGCAAGTCACAGTCATCGACAAGCGGAAGGTACAACCAATACGCATTGCATTACAAAAAAAACGAAAAGATCCGCGATGTTAAAGAAATCGTTGTAATGCCGTGGTCGTGCTCGACACTGTATTCTGAGCATCCGAGTACGCGCCAATCCCGCGGTGGCGTCAAGTGTCGATAGTCGACGAAAATAACCCAACAGGTGCCCATCTATCCGGTGCATAGGAGATCAAGCGTACTGTAGAAGCAAGGCAGACGGAATCACAGTCGAGTCAGCTTCAGGCAGCCTTCCAATGAGCCTCATCACTCACTCTGTTGAAAGTCCTCGTAAAGAAATCATTCCCATTCCCTCCCAAACCCGCCTTGCCCCCATTCCCATTCTTGCCTGCATAGATGCTCTTTACCGCATCGCTCATCCCCGCTGCTTTTCGTTTCGCCTCGAGTTCGGCCAGTTCGGCTTGCACTTTGCTGGATAAGCGTGCTGGACCACCGGGGCCGTCGGTAGAAGGTTTCGTTCGTTTGCTTGAAACGGCATGAGCATCATTAGGTGTAGAGTCGGTAGGGATGGCTTCGGATTTGCGTTTCTTGCCAGAGACCGCAGACGAAGCTGCTTTTTTGGCAGCTTTGGCAGCGGCCCGGGCGGCTGAGAGGTCATGTAACATCTGGGTCTGGTATTCCGGTTTGGGGTTTAGGGGTAGCCACCAGACCGACCCCGTCCCCGATCCGAACCCGTCCGATGGGTCGAAAGGCTCCGAACAATTTGGGCAGGGCAAGACCTTCTTGCTGATCTCCTTGTCTTGCTTTTCCTTGGGCGATGATGAGCCAGACGTTGAAGCGATCACGGCCTTGATCCCAGCTTCACTGAACACGCAACCGCAATGTCGGACAACTCCGAACGGAAGAGCTCCGGTCATCTCTTTCATCGTCAGAGGGCAGATGAAGGGCGACCGGGCGGTAGCATCTAGGTCTCGGTTGGTGGATGGTCCCGAGTTACCTGGTGGCGAGGAGATGGAGTAGGTCGGATTGGGGGTGACATTCAGGTTTAGCAGGTCCTGCCACAAAGAGAGAGAGAGTATGTGTTTCAAATTAGCTCATGTGTTTAAGACATGTAGAGATGATCAGACACCGGTTGTCAGCTCACCTTGACACCCTTGACGTATCCACAGATCTGATCTCCGTCTCCGAAACTGGTTCGATCCAACAAGTACTCGATGATAGCATCCTTGTTGTACAGCTTGCCCAGCGGATCCGCCACCACTGGTTGTGAGAGTGGTCGCTACATTTTTTGCATCACAAAGAGGGTCCTCGTTTAGCCAGAGAGTCTACATGGTTCGTTACTTGGTAGTCCGTCTTTGACTGACCTTGCTCAAAGCACAGAGCAACCACAGAGCCCGAGCCAGACCTTTCTCGTCGGTCTTTTCCTCCTTTGCCTTGGTCTTGACCAGGTCGATCCTGTAAGGGATACTACCACCGTCGTTACCCATCTCGATTGGAAATCCTATATGAATAGGTATGAAGCTACCTCCTAAGCTGGTAGATGTATATGATGGGCAAAGCAGATCGATACGATGATGTTGTCGAGAGAGCAGAGTCTATCGCACAAACACTCGTACTCGCATCGAGATCTCGGAGCTGAGACTCGTCGCTCACCTCTCTCTTCCCCTTCGACCCCTGCTCCGGACGTCCTTCAAGAGTGCTTTCATGGTGCGTCTAGCATCTGGCAAACCCCGACTCTCGACCATCGATTCAACACTAACAAGATGGGAAAGTACTACTGTGATTACTGCGATGTCTTCCTGTGAGTATCGGCCGCGCAATGCCAGGATGCGAGAGTGTGGGAGCGGTCGCTCACCTTTTGAGCCTTTCTGAACCGATTTGACAGCACCCACGATTCTCAATCAGGTTGGTCGCTGGAACAATCTATCAGGAATCACTATAGTCCCAGAAAGCCGCTTGCTGATCCTTTACCACGATGCACTGCTATTTACAGTAAGAAAGGCGCACAACAGTGGACGAAATCATGTACAAAACGTGATAGATTACTACAACGGCAAGTCCCGCCTGGCACCCGTTATCAATCTCTTCCCGCTTACCATTCGACTGAAATCACTCTCGATCTACGACTTGCAGGACTCGGACACAATCAAGCCCAGTCGCTTATCGATAGGATCACTCGACAGTATGAAGGTGGTGGTGGACCGCCAATGGGGATGGGGATGGGAATGGGGATGGGAGGACCGCCCGTGATGCGGTCGGCCAACCCGCCGTTCATGGGAGGAGGCCCGCAAGGTGGGAACACGGCTCTTCTATTTCCATCCAAAGCATCTCCATACTGACAATGAGGTAACCGCTCTTATTCTCGACCTTAGGTTTCCGCCCACCGCAAGGCTACCCTCCTTTCCAAAACGGACCCCCGGGATCTCAACCCTTCTTTCCTCCTCCGGGCGGTCAAAACTTCCCTCCTCCTCCTGGTATGAACGGATTCGCCCCCCGTCCGCCTTTCGGTGGACCCGGAATCGGAGCCACATCTGCACCTACACCTTCGATGCAATCGCCCGCTTCGGCACCACTAGGGGTTCCTTCTCCTATGGGACAATCACAGGCGCCGCCAGCAGGAGCCCAATTTACGAGCGCTCCTCCGGGGGCGGCGAATGGTCGGGCGCCGATGATCAACCCGGAAAGGATGAGGATGATGGGGATGTAGAGGTCGGGCCCGAGACTGAAGCGAGGAGTGGGGTATATCATGGAAGACGATACGGGATCGCTCTGGAGTGCGCAAAGAGAATCATCTCGTGGGATCCCTTCGGGGTGACGGACAAAAGCGAATGGGATGGGTTTGCAGGGATAGATCAACGACGTCGAGGTCGGGCTGGTTGTAATGATTTCTTCTTCGATACGAGCATTGAATACCAAAGGTCTATCTGGCCCCGAAGCTCGTCGTCTCGCGAAAGTTGCTTTTGGTGTCGCTGAAACAAGTGAGCTTATTAGCTAGTGGATACGGTGGTCGCCCTCTCGATATTACAGTCAGGTACGCAAGAGGTAGGAAACTGCGAGCTGACAGCAGAATTGGGGGTCTCTTCGTATCAAGCCAGTCATTCAGGCAATGCCGTTCCATGCTATACTATGCGATACAACCTTTCAAGACCGGTCTCCCCCATGCTATACAACCTTGTCCCTCGATCCCGTTTCATATCGACCTGTGTCCGGTATCTCGTCTCTCGATGTAAACGTCCTTTTCAGAAGAACTTGACACCTTCGGCTTCTCCCTTGACGATCTGCGCCTTGCCTCGTTTGACGAGTGTCTCCAGTGACCGTCGCAGAAGGACAGGAGGGAGTTGATGGAATTCTGACAAGGGCGAATGTGAAGGAAGAAGCAAGATCAGATCGGCAAGAACCACAACGGTAAAGTGCGGGAAGACGATCCTGGATCTCGTTTCCACACTTTGAGAACAGGGTGGGCCATCTGGTATTTACCGGTCGTATGTGCCATATCCCCATCGGTAATCTCATAGAACGTCATGATTGATCCTCCCATCCCATTTTCTATCACCTGTAAAATAAATAGCAAGCATACAGTTACTAGTCGGATTACTACTTCACTTGGAATTAAAGTAAGAGAACTTTGATCCAAGCTTACCCAGTCGTAGATCATCGAACCCCATTCTTCCGGTTTGCGCCAATAGATGAGGAAAGTATTTGGCTGTCTCGGTGGATCCGGGGAGAGCAGACCTGCTTCGACGGGATACCATCATTTCCATAGATCAGTACACGATATGTAAGGGAACGGTCGGGTGGACTCGCCTTCTTTCTCCATAGAGGAGACGAGCTGGCGTATCGAGGTAGGCAATAACCGACCTGCATTTCGGCAAAATCGACGCAGACGCCATCTCGTCAGAGCCCTTATCGCAACATCATCTTATACTGTAGACCTGCCTACTTACGCCCGATAGACTTGTTCTCCAGTACCTCTCGACAGTCCCCTCCATCGGCCGCCCCGGCGTCTATCCGAAATACCCTATGGTACTTGGCCCATGAGAGGATCAGCCGGGTCCAGAGTGTGAGCTGGTGAGCGAACGTCTGCGGATTTGGCTGCAAACTGCGATGGACCAGTGGGGTACACTTTCAGTTTTCATACGGTCATTGTAGATTCTCCTTCATATCACTCACGTGAAGAAGGGTGGAAAGGACCAGATGGCAGGGTAAGTGAACCCGCTCGACGAGGTGTACGGCCGTAAAGGGCTATTCGAGACGGTCCCATTCGATGCTTTATCAGGTGTCGGTTGATTTGTCACCGATTTGCTTGATGCGGACTCCATTATGAGGTCAATTCCAGCTTGTTACGATTGCATAATGTCGGTCATTCTTCTTCAGCTAGCTAGGTAGGTAGATGGCTAGGTGGTTATCATCATTGACGCTGCCGCTAACGCTCAATGACGAGTCGATCGATTCATCACGTGACTTGTCAGTTATCCAGCCGGCCCTAGGGAACGAACAACCCATCACATCCTCGAGCTTTGAATGATCGCAACGAGCATATCGTCGATGGAGATCGGTCCAGGATACTTCTGGTTCTTCTACAAAACGATTCGTCTGCTCATCGCTCAACATGTCTCGGCCGGAAGACAGAGATCGAAATCAGGAGGCTACCGTCTACCTCGTAGGTCGTTGGTACAGCTTATAACTCGATACGACTTGAGCGCTCAACATCATGCTCGTCCGTGTCATATAGGGTAACCTGGATGAACGATGTTCTGATGCCTTGATCTGGGAGTTGATGCTGTAAGCCGAGCCTGAAATATCGGAGTGACCCGTCTCCGAGCTGAAGAGATTGAATTCAATCGCTACTTTAGACAAGCTGGTCCTGTCGGTAAGTCGCAAACCGCCTCCATCTGTCGTCTTCTTAGACGAAGCTGACCTACTCATGCTCACTTGCGTTTACTATGATTTGTGAATCGACAGGAAACGTACATCTACCAAAGGACAGGATCTCACAGACGCATCAAGGTTTCGGCTTCTGCGAATTCTTGACCGAGGAAGATGCCGAGTATGCGTGCAAGATCATGAACCAAATCAAGTTGTTCGGAAAGCCAATAAGGGTCAACAAGGTCGGTCGCAGGCTCGCCCAGACTACCTTAGTGTCGAACAGAAGCTAAGAATTCCTCATCCTTTCTACCATATAGGCCTCATATGACAAGAAACAGCTGGACGTCGGAGCCAACCTGTTCATCGGCAACTTGGACCCGATGGTGGACGAGAACGTCTTGTACAACGCTTTCTCAGCGTTCGGTCAGCTGGCTCAGACGGCCAAGGTGAGCTCTCCCTCTCCTCCGCTATCTGATCAACCCGCGATGGTACACGTGCTGAATCCTTATATCGACCATGACGCAGATCGCGCGAGATCCGCAGACAGGAGAATCCAAGGGATACGGGTTCATCTCGTATAACGACTTTGACGCATCCGATGCCGCCATGGAAGCCTTGAACAACCAGTACCTGATGAACAAGCCGATCACGGTGCAGTACGCTTTCAAAAAGGACGGAAAGGGAGAGAGGCACGGGACGGCCGCGGAGAGGTTGTTGGCTGCTCAGGCAAAGTGAGTCGAGGTCAAATTCGGTTGTCGGGTCGATCGTTAGAAGAGAAGGGTAGATGGAGCTGATCGACGGTGTGATTGAATAGGAAAAACTCGCTCATCCCAAGCGCGGCTCCCCCGATGGCTCCGGGTCAGGGCTATCAGCAAGCCTTCCAAGGTAGGCTGCACGTCTCTTCTTGCTATTCTCGAGACCGCATACCTAATCAAATCCTCTCTGGTACCGCTTTTCCCGGGGCCAATCCGCAGGCCAATTTGCTGGAGCAATGGCACCCCAAGTCCCGCCTGCCGGTTTCGGAATGCAAAACACCGTCGTCGCACCTCCGCCTATGGGAATGCCTGTGTATCAGCCCAACCCAATGCAGGGTCAATTCGGCGCCATGCCACCACCACCACCGCCACCTATGGGCTTCCCTCAAGGCGGCCCTCCTGGTGGAGGTACTCCCGGATTTCCTCCACCCCCTCCTGGCGGGATGCCTGGATACCCACCTCAGATGCAGATGGGTGTTCCACCGATGGGGATGGCACCTTATGGGATGCAGCCGGGTATGATGATGCCACCGCCTGGACCACCTCCATTCATGACTGGGGCAAATGCCGCTCCGCTGCAGTGAAGAATGTAAAGCGCATTGTAACGAGCCTGCCGCCACGTCTGCGGTTGTAATACCCCGGAAAATACAGAAATTTATGGCTACATGATGATTGCCCGCAGGTAAATGGACGGATATGATACGGGATACAAAATTCCTGTCTGGCACTTCAAGCGTGACCTCCTGCCATTCTGCCCCAATTCGCCAGCTCTGTACTCAACATCTTTCCTCCCTCACCCTTGAAGAATCCGATGATCTCGCTTCGAGTGAGCAATGACCTGCACATGATGAAACGTTGCATGTGTGGGTTAGTATTCGGTCTAAACCGCGTCGCCGGGAAAATAAGACCGATGGAAAGAAGATGCTCCCAGCCCTACAACCCAGCGTCTTCAGCGAGCAGACCATGATACAGGAACCGCTCAACCTGGGCTCACCGCTTGCAACGTCGTCCCGCTCCATTTCGTCCTTCCGCTCGCGGCCAACTCTGTCCGTGCGAACCGGTTGTATTCGTGTTCTGCCATCGCAAAGTTGAACTCTTCTTTCCCCGCATAGGAAAAGTGCTTGGCTATAATTAGAATGACCAGGTCGGGTTGGGAGAGCCCTATAGAACGAATGAAAGCCTTAGTTGTGGGTAAGAGGGGATGAGCGCCTCGTAGGTCTCACCATGTAATTGCTCGAGCTTCTTTCCCCATCCGGTCCCTTCTGTCTGACCCTGCACTCGAGCGACCACTGTCTCGGCTGTAAGCGGCAGAGTCGGATCTACCAGTAGATCTGCAACCAGCTGAGCGAACGGCCTGTACAACAGCCTCGGGTCTGTTGTCAGACTGCATAACCGCGAGACGACCGTAATGACGCTCTCGTCGGCTAGCAGCGTCTGTAAGGACAGAAGAGTTAACAGCCGCATGTATTCAGATTCCGCTATACAGAAACCTACCTGTATCTTGGTTCTCCATCCGGCTGTCCAGCGGTGTTCCTCTTCGTCTGTTACCGAGTCTAAGCCATCGGATGGTAACAAAGCGTTTTCCAACAGGTTCTTCCATGCCGAGCCGCCATCGAGAGCCAATGGCGAGACTACCCTGAATATTCGCTGTGAGAATCGGGATTTGACACGTTTCTCCAACAGAAGGGGCGTGTCCTTCGGAGATCACCGGATAAGATCAGCCCGGAAGTATCTCAGCGATTTCAGAGCTACGACTTACGACTCGGCTGGTCACTCCGATAACCGCCACGCCTCTACCTGTGCTCTCGACCGGTCCTGTCCTAACGCTTTGCACGACATCCACTGTAACATTAAGGTAATATGCAATGATTAGATCCGACCTGCTATTGAGTTTGCAGATCGCCACGACTACTTACATAAGCAGTATAGCAACGCCTGCCTGGCATGTTCGGTGAAGAGGTCGAATCCTTCGATAATTACGATAATCGACCTCGCAGACGAGGCCGTCAAGAACGTCAAGAGGTGCGATGGCAGCGTTGTCGGAGCAGAAGCCTGCGGAATGAAAGGTTGTCAGTGGTTTGACAAACACGAATGAGTCGGCACCACACGCACATCAACCACCAGACTAGTTTCCTCCTCTTCATCAACCTCCTCATCTTGTCCTTCCTGCTGAGCGATCTGTCTCCCCATTTCCCTGATCGCCAGCATGTCGTTTGTCTGCGCCAGACCGTTCAGGCGGACGACGATCGGTATGCTTTGGTCCGGTTGCGGCTCGTCCGCCGGCGTAGGGATCGATTTGGCAATCTCGATGGCTCTGTTTACTGTCTATTCATTGAGATTCGTCAGTCTCAGATCGGTTCGGGATAACGAAAGATCGTCCCTGAGCTCACCCTCGATTTCCCGCTCCCCTTAGACCCTACCACTAGGCAGCTATTCCCCTCCCCCCTTTCGATCGTTCCTCTAAGCAGATTCACTAACGACGTCAATGCTTCATTTTCCGGTCCTTCTGTCGCAAAAGGGGCCGGGTTCCAGGATGGCGGTGCGGAGAGGTTACTTAATATCGTATTGAGTCGGGCCTGGATGAAAGGAGAGACTTGGTTGATGGCAGCTGAAGGAGCTGGCCGGGATTCTGTGGGATGATCCTGGACTTCAAGATCTTCAGGGACGGTATAATCGATGTCTACTCCCAGGTCGATTTCCATATTCTCATCCCCAGTTCTATCTTCAAAAGCGGCGGCGTCCCCGGTCTGCTCCCCATCCACAGCCATCTCTTTCCCGACCTGATCATTCATGATTTCCTCGTCCTCGACGTCAGCCTCGACCGCGACGACAGCCTTCCCGCTTCTCGTCCTCCTCGCCTCATTAGCGTCGCCCGTAAAGACAAAATTCCTCGCGCCGTTCAGTTTTCGACGTCGCTCGTTTTCCAAAAACTTTGCTCGAGAGATCTTCGAGTCGAGTTCGAAGGCGTCCTCGCCATCATCCTCGTCCGAGTTCGAATCTTGATCATCCGAGCCCGACGAAGAGCCTTCGTCTCTGACAGCATCTGAGGGATCGACTTGTTTTGTGCCGGCTCTAGCTTTACGTTCGGGAGCGGCGGGTTTTACGGGTTGAGCCTTCGGTGTCCGCGGTTTGCGCCCAGATTTTGGTGCGAGGACGTTGTCATCGTACTTCTTGGGTATGACCCTTTTCCTCGGTGTCCGTAAACCATCTTCCGTCTCTGGCTCATGCGCATTGGCCTTGTTTGATGACTCTCCGTTGTTTTCTTCGTTCAGACTTGAAACGGCTTTCGACACCTTCGTTTGAGCCGCTCTTCCTCTAGATTTCGATTTGGAAGCGACTGGTATTTCTTGCGATTTTTTGACCCTCTTGCTAGGATTGCGTTTCAATGCCGATGCTGCAGCTGCAGTAGAACTCTCCCCATCGGCCCCATCCTGCTCTTCCTCTTGCTCCGATTCTGCCTTTCGTTTTCGCCTACTCGGCGTTTTCGTCGGTGTCTTCACGGTGACCCCACTCTTCCGACCAGATTTGGGCGTTGTAGGAGGTTCTCGCCGAGGTCTGCTCTGAATTATGATCATGTCCTCCGCTTCTGAAGCTGCTTCGTTCAGCGACAGAGGGTCCGGCGAAGGGGTGTTTGTGCTTGGTCTGACGCCAACCATGGTCGGCAACGGGAGCGACAGACTCTAGATGTACCCGTTTAGAGCGATCCTAGATGAACTTGATGTGATCTGGAGCTAGTAGGTGATGTGCAAGTAGAGGTAGAGGTAGAGTTGTGCAGGGTGTCCCAGAGGAGATTTGGGTTTGTTTACTTTTGGAAAGAAGGAACTGAAGTGGAGGTCAAAGAGAGAAATCGTCACCAAACTAGTAGCTAGTGTTTGATGCTCGCTATCTTGCATATACTCTGTAGAGACACAGTAGAGACCTTGGAGAGAGAGCCAAGATTGCCACACAGAGGCAGCAATACTCGTCCACCATGAACGGTCTGCCAAACAAACCGATCCAAACCTCCGGTAGCAAACCTCACCGTCCAGAAACTTTGGCCAAATCGCACCTCGCGCACTCGTCCATTCGAGGTCAGACGGCTCGCCAAAAACAGAAGCAAAAGGAGCAGCAGAAGGGGGATACTGGAGCTGGGTCAACGTCGGGTGGTAATGCGAAGGGGAAAGATGAAATCGGGGCGGCCGGTGCCGGAGGAGGAAAGAAGAAGCAAGGAGGAACGGGAAGTAAACCGTTCGTCAAAGCGGTCCTCGCCAATCCTTTGGCGCCGCAATGGTAAGTCCCTGTTAGCATAGTCAAGATCTACAATTCTTATTGATTTCACTCTACCTGATCGGATCGTTGTACGAAAAGGCCGAACCTCCCTACAGAGGGCGCAAAAGACATCCTCTCAACCTTATGTGGCTCGTTTCCCGGTATCGCCGAATTCCACCTCGCCCGAGGTCGACACAGCTCGAAAGAAAAACAGAGGGTGAAAAAGGCTCTCAAGAGGGAGAAGAAGCAGAAGACGGTCTCGGTGCCACTGTTATCTTCACCTTCATCGAGCAGAGCTCGAAACAATGACGCGGAGGACGGGCAGGGTGAAGCAAGAGGGAAAGGAAAGAAGCGAGATCTGAGCGATGTCGATCCCGACGACCCGGATGAGATGCAGGTCGATCGCGCGTCTAAACGAGCCAAGGTTGAAAGTGCAGATGACGAGGTCGTTGAGATCGTGGATAGCGATCAGGAGATGGAGATGAGGATGGGGACTGGGTCGGGGGCAGGGGTTGATGGGGAAAATACGGGCGGACCGCAGGAAGAAGAAGAGGAGGAAGAGGAAGAGGAAGAGGAGGAGGAAGAAGAGGAGGAGGAAGAAGAGGAGGAGGAAGAAGAAGAAAGAGAAGAGGCAGCCAAGAAAGTGGAAGAGCGGGAGGTGGTGGCTGAAGAAGAAGAGGAAGAAGAGGAGGAGGAGGAAGAGGAAGAACAGCTCGAAACCCGCCTCGCGCCGTCCACCATTCCCAAACCCTTTAAACCCCTCCCGGCAAGACCTCCCTTCCTGGACAGCTTGTTATGCGGGATCAATGAGGTCTTCAAGAAGATGGAAAGACAGACCGCCAGTCTTGCACAGGAGGTGGAAGATGTTGTCAGAGACAAGAAACCCGGACCCAGCCTCAGTTCTGGGAACGGAGGTGGAGATGGAGTTTTCAGCTTGTCAGAGCTGATGACGACTGGCACGGATGACCCGGTCGCTTCCGCCTCGACAGCCATTCCCCAAGCGAGCTCGTCCAAGGTTGCCAAACCGGCGCCTCTCGCTGCCGACCTTGCGCCTCTTCGAATCATCTTTGTATGCCGAGGAGACATCGACCCTGTCGATCTGATCGAACCGTTGCTACTGTACGTGACGAGCTGGAACGCGCTGGTCAGAAATTGTCGTTCGCGCCTGCAGACCAAGATGAGGGAGGTCAAGGCGCGGCAGAAGGAGAATGGGAAGGACGACGATGCAGAGGGGACGAAAGCGTTCTGGGAAGCTGCAGTCAAGGCGTTGGTCAAGACGGAAGAGGTGTATCTCGTACCACTGCCTCAGGGTGCCGAGATGGAGTTGGCAGGTGCGGTAGGGTTGAGACGGGTGGCGGTGATGGCTCTGACGGTATGCCAGGTTGCGAACTTGCATTGTCGGAGCTTTTCAGCTAACCTACAGTTCTCTACTGCAGACCACCTTTCCCCGTGTTAAGACCTTCATCGACAAGCTCAACTTGCTCCAGGTTCGGCCGCCCCTACCGACCTTCCCCGTTCAGCCATATGATCCGACAGATCCTTCCGCCATCCTGCTTGGTGCAAACTTTGCATCGACTCGTCTCAAAGCGGTCCAGACGACCGTACCCAAAGACTCGAAGACGAAAAAGGCGCAGAGGCTGGAAGAGGTTAAAGCAAAGCGTCGCGAGAGAAAGCAGGCGCAAAAAGACAGGAAGGAACAGATAAAGAAGCGGGGAACATTGATCAATGGCAAGCTCAGAGGAGGGACGGATGCCAAGGAGCGAAAGTTGGCTGAGCAGCGAGCTCAAGCGACAGAGAAGAATCGTTTGAGACAGAAGAAGCTCAAGGCGAAGAAGCGGGACCGAGACCAGGCGGCCGACGGCGCGGCGCTTCCGGGCGAAGCGTCAAGCTTGATACCGGTACAGCCCTTAACATTGGCGAATACATCAAGCCAATGATGGCAATGACGATACGATCCGCCCTCCTGTAGCAAAATACCATCCAGGCTACTTGCTATCGCCGATTGTCTCGAAATCTCTCTTTCCGACTTCCCGGCTATTATACCTCATTATTCCCGCTGCGTCGGCTTGATATCCACATAGATCTTGCCCGGGTTGAACAAGTTATCTGGATCGATTGTGCGCTTGATAGTATGCATTAGACGGACGGTTTCCTCGCCGAGTTCCGGCTTGAGGAATTCCTGCGATTAGAACGTGGCATGAGTTACGTCCTTATAACTGTATACTCGAGTGATATATCACTCACAGCTTTGCCCATCCCTGCACCGTGTTCTCCAGACGAGGTTCCGTCTAGTGCGATGGCTCGCTCGACCATGACGTGCTGGAAGACAATGGCCTTGAGACCCTGGTATTTGTACTGTCGGAGAACGATCACTCACAACGGCATCCTTGATCTCCTCCAATTCTTCGTCATTTTGGAATACGAACAGGCTGTGAACATTGCCATCGCCCTACGATCCCTCGATTCAGTTCCTTGAACCGATGTACCCTAACAATGTCCTTACTCACCACATGACCGAAATGACAAGCCAATAATCCACGTCGAACCGCATCTTCTGATGTTTCCCTGACCAGCTGCGGCAGTTTTGAGATCGGCACACTGCGAGCACACAGTGTCAACCCGTAAGCCAAGTCCCGCGCAACACTGCCTAGAAGGGCTCACCAAACATCCGTGGTCCACACCCTGCCATTCTCCTTCAACGCCTGTACACTCCAGAGAGCAGCCTTCCTACCCTGCCATGCAGCCTCTGCTTCGGCGTCGCTTCCAGCGAATTCGAATCCGATACCGCCTTGCTTCTTTGTTATCGCCTGCAGCGTCTCTGCTATCTCGCCCATCGAGCGGTCGGAGCTATAAAAGATCGGGATGTAAGCCACATGTGTACCGTTCAAGATGCTGGTGACCACCTTACTAACCCTTGCAGCTTGAAGAACAGGGTATCTTTCTCCTTGAACTCTCTGCCTGCCAGACCCCCCTGATTGATCGCCTTCATCGTGAGCGCATCCAAGAATTCGACACACTCTGCTCCGTACGGAAAATGTCAGTTCATCCAAAGGTATCAGACTTGTGCACTATACTCACGAATAGGTAGACCCGCTGTGACAGTTTCCGTAGCTGCGCGCACGGCGGCCTCTACACCCGTATCGAAGCTGACTACTGCTACCCGCGTAGGGAGAAGAGGAGCAAGCTTCAATGTTGCTAGAAGTCACGATCCGCTCCTGACGTCAGCTTTCGCCTGGTCTTCCGTTACTGTGTGGTGTGGTAGCTACCTTGCAGGATGATGCCCAACGTGCCCTCTGCACCGATGAACCTGTATCAACGGGGCACTTTCAGCAGCGCTCTTCTCGGGCTACGACGAGATGATGACGTGACTGGAAACGGACATCTTGGTGGTATCCCATCCTGCGCTACTCTTCCTGCTTCTTTGTCTCGTCTTGATGATATCTCCATTTGGCAGCATCACGGTCTAGAACGCACGGCTTGACTCTCAGCCTTGACCATTTCATGCCAGTCCAGGTCGAATTCGAAATCTGCTTACGGCATTTAAGACCCATTCCCCTCGCATGGTCCCGTATCGAACGGCGTTCGTGCCAGAACATCCTGTCGACATCATCCCCCCGATCGTCGCCCCTGGTCCAGGATCGAGCTGCACTCGGGATGGTTTAGCGAGATCAGTGCCGCTTTCGGAGGGGAATCGAGAAGACGGCTTACCGGGAAGAAAAGAGGGATACCCTTCTTCTTGAGCTCGGCGTTTAGGTCTTCCCACTTGACACCAGGCTCGACGACTACGTCCCCGTCTGCCTCTGTCCAGTCGATGCAGCCATAGTTGTGGTCAGATTGGCACACCCCTGAGTTGAATCTGCGGAATCGGATATTCGCCTCACCATTTATCTGCAAAATTCTGTCCATACGCGACATATCTAGCGATATACCCGCATACGGCTGCAGAGTTCCAAACCGCGAAAAAAAACACTCAAAACGTTAGTTCACATTTCGGATCGACCCTGGTAAAATCAAACAATCGATGACTGACACTACTGAAGTGGCCTTCCAGCGATGTTCCGCCAGAGTACGGCGTGATAGGGACCTTGAACTGCGTAAAATAGCATAGCCAAAAGGCGAGACTTCAGTCAAATCAGAGTGACAGACTGAGGCATGACATCCCAAAAGAGGGGTACGTACCTTGCGGGAAATGTCTACGACTTCCTTGACATCTTCGATGCTAAATGAAAGCAGGCATTCGGTTTCAAATTCTATACCTCAGTCTAATGGACTGTACTCACCTTTCTGCCCAGACGACGACACTAGCGGGATGGCTTCCGTGGTAACTCCAGTCATTAATCCCATGTGACCTCAGATCATCCTCATCCGTCGAGACATTGTCCTCCTTGCCTTTCTTCTGGAACGAAGCTCTAAGGGCAACGATCGCCGCATCGTAAGCCTTCTTGCTCCCGTGCACAGGTCTGAACGTTCCGGGTCCGGTGACGCTCTCGTCCTTTGGATCGAGGTCTAGAGGCGTGTTCTTGGGCGGTGCTGAAGAGAACAAGTGCACTCCCTGGGATTCGAGCAGGGAAGACAATGCATAGCCTAGAGCGCCGGCTCCGAAGATGGTGAGAAAGGAGATGGCAAAGGACTGATTGGGTGAGAACCCAGAATACCGAAATCGAGGGCTGGCCGTGGTGTCAGGCTTCTTGCGTGCGAGCTCCGAGGAATATCGGAGCGACGAGCTGGATAGGGAACGCCGGAATGAGACCGGGACGAGCCGAACGGGTTGTGCGAGTCGGAGAGCGCGGGGGATCATCGTAACGGTACCTCGTTGCGCCCTTATGAGTCCTTAAAGGTATTGGCCTATGGGTATGGTGTCTAGGATTTGTTACTCTTCCAGTGGCCAGTGGGCTCTGGGTGTAGCAGTGGCACACTCGATCGAAATATCCACATCGATCACCGAAGGGACACAACGATATTCAACGTCCCCTCGGTATGTCGGATACAAATTTACGAAGCGGAAGTAAACAAACATCCGAGAACCTCTTGCCGAGCTTTATTGCCGAGACGAAACAAGATCGTCGTTGCGCTGATCATCCAACGGGTTTCAGCCTCGGTCGGTTCGTGTGTGAGCGTTTCATGATTTTCGATTGATGATTAGGGAGCTGCAAGTCTTGTTCAGTAAGCCAAGTAGTCAATCGCGTCCAGGCTGATCGATCCTACCCGCCATTACACGTTCTGCCTGCAGGGACAATATGATGTTGTAATCGAACTTCTCGCACGGGCTCAAAGCGCGTTCAGTTGAAAATAACGACTTGTATACTGGTACGCCCCAACAACGCCCTGTCTTTCAGAAGCCAGTTCTAGGTGTCTCGTGATGCGCATCTTGCAGTCTTGGCTGTGAGGCATTCTATCCATGGGTCTCGTCTCGACATTTGTCAAGCGCTGCTTTGTGATTTCCTCGGGTCGAGCGCCATCGATCATGCCACCGTATGGTGTATCCTGAACAGAAGCACATGAGCACAACGCGGACAACTCTTCCACTGGAGATATGGGCAGCACAGTCACCAAGGCCATAGATCATTCGATCCCATCTCACCAGTATCGCAACCTAGCTGCTGCCCCGCCTACAGTACCGGTCGGCCTCGTCCGCGCGTGTGTGTAATGCTAGCCAATAACGTGAAGCGGATCGTTTCCCCACCCTCCACCTGTAGGGACCTGCGCTGTAGCCGCCCGGCGGCTATCATGTTCCTATCGCGATTTGATGGGAACTGAAACGCATCCCTCGGGTAATTCCCCGAGGCTCGACGACGAGAGATCTCACCCGATTTTCTGAGTCCAGAACCGCTCGACGTCGTCGTCGAACCTCGAATGAATACAAACGACAACGATACATGCCTACGCACAAGACTCCTCTCTCGGACTTCAGGTAAACCATCTCATTCTCCACAGTCATGTCGTCCTCCGCTTCCACTTCCAAGCCCCGCCGGGTCGTCATCGTGGGCTCGGGCATCTTTGGAATCTCGACCGCGCAATGGATGTTGGGGAAGGGAGGCTACGAGGTCACCATCGTCGATAAGAGCGAGGTCATCCCGGCTCCTGATGCTGCTAGTACTGGTAGGTAATATGTGGTGATTGCATGACCTGAGCGAGTGGATGGCGGGGCTGACGAGCTCATCGCTGCTCTGTGCGTAGATATCAACAAGGTGAATAGAAACGCTCCAGGCGGAATTTCGGGTCTGACTCGAGAATCGTCGCCTGTTCCATCCACCAACACAACGCTGAACGCTTCTCGCTGCAGATCCTTCGAAATGGAGACTATGCGGATCCGGACATGGTCAGTCCTGCCCTGAACTTCGCTTGACGATCGTCCAGGTTGGCTAACGCTCGTCGATTCCCCCGCTGCGAATCAAACCCCTAGGCTACGCTCAATATCGATGCTATCGAGATGTGGAAGAAACCCGAGTGGAAGGGTACCTTCCACGAGTCTGGTGTGATCGTCTCCAGTACCGAAGGGCACCCGTCGTGCGGTTACGTCGACAGCAGTTATGATAATGTGAGCTAGCAGTCAGCTTTGTTTGCCGTCGTGGGTGAATGTCAGCGAGCTGATGTCCAATGTTACAACCTGGCAGGTCAAGCAGCTGGACCCCGGTGTCAGGCGTCTCGAAGGCAAAGGCTTTCACTCGGCCTATCCCGATTGCCTAGCGTCTTCATCCGGATCGACCTCTTCCCTCGTTCCCGACCGACTCGCTCATCTGGCTCAGCGTGTAACCCACTCGCGCAAATCCCACTTGGCAGACTTTCCTAGAAGACGCGGATACGTGAACCCTACGAGTGGCTGGGGGGAGGCCACTCGAGCCTGTGAGGTCGTACTGGAAGATATCAAGCGGATGGGTTGCAAGCTCGTCCCCGGTAAAGAAGTGACGGGGATGACCTTCATCGAACACGAATCCACTCGAGGTGGCAAACGGACTGTCAATGGGGTGAAGTTTTCGGATGGAAGCGAGATGAAGGCGGATCTAGTCGTCATCGCCGCGGGAGCTTGGACGCCCGCCTTGTTCGCCCAGCCAATGATGGGAGGACTACCAGCTGTAGTAGCAGCTGGACAATGTGTTGCCAAGATCCAGTTGACCCCAGAAGAGGCGGAAGAATACAAAGATATCCCGGTTGTGAGTCGCCGATCTCGGGTTTCGAGACTCTGCGGTGGTTGCTTATATGCGAATCAAAACCCGCCCCCAGACCCTCGACTTGACCACCGGGTTCTACTGTTTCCCTCCCAACCCGGATGGCATCATGAAGCTCGCCATTCACGCCGACGGCTACGTCAACACGTCCAACCCCCCGGATCCCAAGTCGACCAACGAAGGGTCCGCCCAGTCTTCCGGCATCTCGGCCCCACGTACCATCCTCACACCCGGAGCCGCTGATGGATCTATCCCGAAACGTCAGGTCCAGATCCTGAGACACGAGCTGAGCAAGGTCTTCCCCCGTCTGGCCGAAGAAAAGGATTTCGTAGCGACGCGGTTGTGTTGGTACACGGACACGCCGGATTCGAACTGGTTGATCGATTGGCACCCAGAAATGGACGGGTTGTTGCTTGCCACCGCCGGATGCGGACACGCTTTCAAGGTGAGTCTAAGCGCCGCTGACTGGAATGATCTTGAAATCTCATACGAGCTGAAACACACAACTTTCGTGCGACTCGCAGTTCTTGCCCAATATTGGCCGAGAGATTCTAGCCCGAATCGAAGGAACCCTCTCTCCCGAATTCGCCCACAAATGGAGGTTTGAAGGACGAGCATTTGCCGATCGTGACCCATCGAGCGACGCCGACATCCGAGGCGGAGGCGCTGGGAGGAAGAAGCTCGTACCCGAAGAGTTGGCTGAGAGGAGGGACCTAAGGGCCGATGCATTTACGCTCAAAGCGGCTTTGTGAGGAAATCTGAGCACGAAAAGGGTATAGAACGTTCGCACCACAGATAGGAGCTTGTAATAGTAGCAGGATCTTTCCCAGGTAGATGCCAGGCTAGGTTGTATCGATCTTGTCAATACATTTGTTACCGTTTCCGGTCAATCGTTCACAATCCTGCCACTTGTCGTACTGATTGGCACTTTATGCTGTCGGCGTGAGGCCACAGCGACATCATCCATTCACGCCACTCGCCGGACCATCTCGGTTCTCCTGTGGGATAAGGTGCTTTCATCTCGGCGTGAAAGAGTAGCGGACCACGGTTCGAGCTCTGCATGTCGTTGCTACCAACATCCACGAGCGAGTGGCAGATGAATCCGGTGGCGAGAATCTTGTACAGTATCGTTTATTATCATTGACATCTCGTTAAAAGCAAGTGTAACAGTGCACATCGCACAAAGATCTATTCGACAAGATCGACCGCGATAAGCAGACGTGAGCATCAGGTCAGCACTAAACCTGACTTGACCGCTTTTCAACAAATATACGGACCGTAAAACAGCCATGCCTGCACCGTCATGAAATCGTTACACGTCCAGGTATAAGAGGATCGGTTCGCCCGGACCATCGATCTCGGGTACTGTGCACTAGATTGAGGAATGGTATGGGGGGCGAGTCAGCTCCGATCGTGAATTGACTTGAGGTACAAATCGAGGGGTTTACCTTGAGGTCGAATGCTTTTGCTAGCACGATCTGATAGTCAATGAAACTCGTCTATCAGCATTCCCCCTTCCCAGCGTGACTGAACAACACGACCGACCTTGAAGATCTTTTGTACGTTGATGGAGTGAGATGTCGAACAGAAGATCTGTCGGTAATACCAGTCCTCCATCATCGTTAGCCTTTCTTTCTGTGATGACATGTCCGAGGCCGGTTTATGCGACCAACCAATGGCGCATGCATGGCTTTTGAAAACCTCTTGGCCTGTCGTGTGATCTCATCCTGCTCGTCCCGCGCAAAGGTGGCAAACTGGTCGTATTTGGTGCCAATTAAGACGGGAATCGCCGTCTACGGAGGAGCAACGACGATGGTCAATGTCAGCTTGGGTTCCTCGATCCTTGCGCTCCAATTTCGCTCGAGACAGACCTTGTTGAACCCCCTGGCTTGCCTGTACCACTCTTTGATACTGTTCAACGTCGACTTGCGAGTCAGGTCGAACATGAACAGGATGGCCACCGCGTCGTTAGACACAAGGGGCAACATCGAGACGAATTCTCGTTGACCGCCGAGATCCCATATCTAGTCGGAGAAACGGGCAGGGAGGCGTTTCACTCGGTAAGCTGGAAGAGTTGGGTGAATAGAGGATATGCAGAAAAACCGGGAACTCACGGAAAAGGTGATCTCGGTACTCCGGATGCTGATCGACTTTTCCATAAAGTTCACTCCCAATGTCTGGATATAATCCTCACTACCGGAAGTACCGATCCATCATAGATTTATCAGTATTCACAATCTCAATGAAACAGATGTCGATGTGGCACTGCCCGATTCTGGAGAGATGGCAGGTGCACTCACTCGAAGCTTCCCTCGACGTATTTCACCATCAAACTCGTCTTTCCAATCTGACTATCCCCTACCATCCCCACTTTGAGCACCACACTGTCCGGTTCCGGCAGCCCAAAGACATCGTTCATAGTGAGCATACAGCTCGGGACATACCAATGCTGATATGCACCACGGGCTTCAAGTAGAACTGGAGGGCCGCATTGCATATGGACTCACCTGGAATTATCCCCTCCACCCGCTCCATTCCCGCTCGACTGCCCCGCACCTCCAGCAGGTTCCCTCGAGGATGATCCCGCCGAGGCCGATGATTGGGGTCTTTCCGACATGCTATGCCTGTTTTATGATTAGACTCCCAGAGGATTTAGTGAGGATCCGTAGAGAGATATGAAAGTTGGGCTCAGGTTTAGGAGCGGTCCTCTGAAGGTGGTGATGTTTAAGGTTTGGCGGTGTCGAGAGCGGATCTTCAGATCTCTATCCGGTGATTGCTGGGTCTGAAGCGCTTTTGCCAGCGATACCCCTACTACTATTGACAGCTTCGAATGATAGCTGAACCGCACAGAATTCAAGCCTTGTGAGCGTGTATAATGTGGAGATGGATGCCTTCATCGGCATTCATCACACGAGTTCATCATTACAGCTATCTAGACTCACCTTGCAATGCGATTTCCTTCGAGGTCAAGTTTTGCGTTCGTCTCGCTTCGTGATATGAATCAGACTTGTAGCCGTGTTCAAGCACGGTGCAGATGAGGTCTGCGATGACAGATGATAGAATGAGGTTGATCGCACAGAGTATGCAGGCCGTAAGAGGTATCCGGCGTTGGCCGGTCCAGCGGATTGAGACTGATGTTGCTTGTGGGCTGAGCTAGCAGCGTGCGGGCTTGAGGGCTTTTGTTGTGCAGCCTTGTATTTCAGGGTAGACAGAGTGTGACTGCGGCGAGTGATCTTTGATGCACGGTGTGCCGTTATGAGCTTTTGAACTACGATGCTGAAGAGCTGGCAGAGATGACCTTTGGCCTTTGATGAACCCAGGGTGGAATGATCGAATGTTGACGTTGTGGCAGCGTTAGTGATAGCAAATATGCATTTTCAAGTCTGGGCATCAATCGTAGAACTGTCAATCAATCCGCTAGTAAATGGCCGCTGGTTAGAAAAACAGGACAGTCACAATTGTCGCTCGCTTCACAGCCGTCGTTGAAAGCTACTCATCCGCTCCGATCACGCTTGTAAACATCTCCGGCCCTGGAAAAGTACTCCAGGTCGTCTAGCTACTGGATAGGGATGGGGGAAGTGATGTTTCACTTTTTGCGATTTTGTTTTTTCCATCGACCTTTTTGCATGGTCAATTTCTCAAGGGGTTTCCGTTCTGATTCATCGTGGACGTCATTTGTCGAGAGAGTCGCAGCTTCCAATTTGTCTGTGGTCGTGGTTTCCCGGGGTCGAGTCAAGGTCGAGGTCAGGCCAGGTCGTCATCGAGATTTCGGGTCGCGAGCGAGTCAGCCTGGCATCCGAACAGACCAAGTCATATTTCGTTACATCGTAGATCGTAACCTCGACCAACCTCACGCATGATATACAACACAATCACAAGCTTTGCACGACGGCCCTGATAGACTTCGTTCAAGCTAGCCATAGCTCTAAAGTGACATAGATATAAACCAAAAGAGACACGCAGACCCCTCTGCATCACACCGCAATCATGCCCATCCTCGGCGTACCTACCAACGAACCCACCCCGACCCACCCCCCTCACTTTTCCCTAGAAGCCATCATCCGACCCAACATCCTCTCTCTCGTCCCGTACCGATCGGCCAGGGACGATTACGATTCGGGCATCTTGCTCGATGCCAACGAGAACGCTTTGGGACCCGTCTTGCCGGCGCTGCTGAGAGCTTATCAGGAGGGTACAGGTGGGAAAGATGGCGAGGCGATGCCCATCAGGAAAGAGGAGGACTTTGCCGACGAGATCCAGGGGGTCAACGGATCAGGTACCAAAGTCAACGGGGCCTCGTCGTCCTCCTCGTCCAACCCGTTGATGAGCATGACGACCTCCCAACTGGCCTCGCTCAACCGGTACCCTTCGCCCACCCACGATCCCCTCAAACAGCTCATCGCCGAGCACCGGGGTGTGCCGTCGCCGAACTGGGTCTTTCTCGGAGTGGGATCCGACGAAGTCATCGATCTGCTCTTTCGGGTCAGCTGTGTACCGGGAAAGGACGTCGTGATTACGACACCGCCGACGTATGGGATGTACGGGGTCACTGCCAACGTCAACGATGTAGGGGTCGTAGAGGTGCCTCTCATCACCGAAGAGGGCAAATTCGAGGTCGATATCGAAGCAGTGAGTTCCCAGTCCTTTCGCAGTGATGAAATCGCTCGAATCATAGCTGACTCAATCACTTTGACATTGCCTGAACTGCCTAGCTCGAACGCACCTTCCTCGAACAACCCAACGCCAAGCTCCTCTTCCTCTGTTCCCCCGGCAACCCTACTGGAACTCTCATCCCCCTCTCTACCGTCCGTAGGATCGCCTCGAACCCGAACTACAAGGGTATCGTCGTCGTCGACGAGGCTTACATCGATTTCGCTCCGGATCCGAGCGGGGATACGGCTGTCGGGTTGGTCAAGGAGTTTGCGAACGTCTGTGTTAGCCAGACGTTGAGTAAAGGGTTCGGGTTGGCTGGGATTCGGTGAGTCTTTGAAGGCCGATTATGGGGGCGATCAAAGTACGACGATTGAAATGACCTCGATCCGACGTTGCGACTGTTTCCCGACCGCAGTCTCGGTTTCGCCCTCGCTTCTCCTCCCCTGGTTCAGATCATGACTAACACTAAAGCGCCGTACAACATCTCGGTCCCTACCGCCACACTCGCACTCACCGCTTTCACTCCCTCGGGAATCTCCCTGCTCGACTCGCACACCGCTCGTCTCCTCCGCAATCGGGACGATCTGATCGCCAGGCTATCTTCCGGCGAGATCAAGTCCATCGGCAAGATTCTCGGGGGCAACCACGCCAACTTCATCTTGGTCCAGATCCTGAACGAACAGGGTCAGACGTCGAACGAGCGGGCAAAGATGGTCTACAAGAAACTCGCCGAGGAACTCGGGGTCGTCGTCAGGTTCCGAGGGATGGAAAAGGGATGCGAAGGGTGTTTGAGGATAACGGTCGGAAGCGAAGAAGAGGTCGAGGTCTTGTTACGTCGCATGAAGGAAGTGCTCGGTTCGTAGATTTGCATATTATTCTGGTTACTATACATGTCGTAAAATCGCCACTCGTCCTAGTCGATATTCATGGGGTTGTCGGGATCGTTGATGACTCGGGACGGCTTATAAGACTTTCGAGGGTCTTCGATTGACGTCGTGAGGAACTTGCCGTCGTTTGAGTCGGCTGCGCGTCTGATCGTTTCGGTCATCATGCGCTTCAGATCCACAGGGGACTGAAACCCGTATTCTTTGCAGATGTCCCGCAGACCCTCCTTGTTAGCTGGATTAGCAAATAACAAGGATAGGATATCTTGATTCAACATCTGAAGTTCAACAGAGTCCATGCCGAGAGGGTGGGGCTTGAATTTGGGAGTATCGACGATCGACCCGACCGAGCTGGTGAGACTACCGGAAGCACGAGACGATTTCGAGGGCGAGGTCGCGGCGAGACGCTTGCCGCCGGCTTCTGGTAGAATCGTCGCGTTGTCGTCGTCGTCGGGGGTGTAGTCCAGGTCCCCACCTCTACAGAACACGGTGAAAGGTACTCTTGTCAGCATGTCAGAAGAGCTCGTGGATCTAGCTGCGCCGAAGCACGTAAACTCACGGGGAAAGACAGGTGACCCCGTCGTCATCGCCATCGTCGTCATCGTCATCCGGGTTCGAAAACAAAGGCTCCCGAACCGGAGGAGCCGGAGATCTGGTCATGGTCCTGGCCCTCGAGTTCAACGGATAGGGCACAGCGCGAGAGGCCCTAGAGATTGTCGACTGAGCCCTGCTACCGGTACCGATCTGGCTGGCGGACTCCGAAGGAGACAAGCTCGAGGCTACCGAACCAGCACGAGTGATCGACCGGGCTCGATAACTACGAGCCACGGATCCAGCCCGACCACTGCTGATTCCGAGCTCGGTCTGGGTGGGTTTGATATCCTAAGAAGAGAGAAGTCAGACCCCGACCTCCGAACCTCGTCTCGAACAGACACTCACACTCAAGACCGAGGCTTCTCGACGAGGTGAAGGCGACGGCGAACGGTGAGGGGAGCCCGCGATCAAGCCCGAGATCTTGGCGACCGAAGAGGATGTCTAGTTGCAAGCCGAAGCCGACACAACCAATGTCAACCATCGGAGCCAACAGGGAAGGACAGGCGTCGGAACTTACTCCAATCTCCGATCTAGCCAAGCCGAACTTCGACCTTCCTGGAGTACCCAATGCTTTGATGGGTGTGCGAGGTCCCGGGCAGTCACTTGGGGAAGGAAACACCGATTGCGATCGCTGAGCAGTCGGCGTACGAGGAGCAGCGATGGCGAGTTGCGAGGAAGACATGGCGAAGATGCAAAAGGCGAAGATGCTATTCGTATTGAAGAAGGAGGAGTCGAGATTGACAAGACGAGCAGAACAGAGAGTAAGTACGTCGTCGAACAGCAGTTCCCGATCACCCTGGTATATATGTATACTTCTCCGAGCTTCTCGATACTTCTCGATGAGCGACGATCGACGACGAATTGACGACGATACGACAACGACAACAGCGCTTTGTTCGTCAAAGGACCCCCCTCGAAAGAAACAAAACGACGATCCGGAACGACAAGGCTCTTCCCCCAAATAGAACGAAGCGACGATCCGGACAATCGCCTTGGCCGAAAAAGACAAAGCGATATCCACCTTCGGGCCATATAAACTCTGTTCATTTGGCTACTCAGCTTACTCGAGCTCGTTCGATTGGAAATCCGGAAAAAAACCTCGTACGATTGCAAGGGACAATTCTAGGGGATAATTGTTTGCGAATTTGGTTGTGAAAATGTCATACACATGTCATATCTATCGTCGACTCAAAACCCTCTCTAGAAAACGCAGTCGATACCGTGCGTGTACATCCCCTCGTTCCAACCCCTGCGAGCCTTTCACCCCTTCCCTTCGGACCGGTCAATGCCTCTCTTTACTTCTTGCTTCCATAAGTAGCCTTCCTGCCGAGATCGAACGGGATGTAACGGTACTTGATCATGTGTCTGCGAGATCATCGATCACCATTCAGCTTCGGGGTTGCGGCATTACGTGCGATCCACAGTCACATCGACACTCACTGAATCTGCCTCCTCATGGTCAACCCGAACAGGGTGAAAAAGTAGACCAACAAGATGGGCCAATAGACCGGAATGTCCGTCGCCCTCGTCGTCGTCGCCAACAGGGCCAACAGAGTGGCCTTGGTGGCCGAAAGCCAAAACTTGAATTCGGGCAATCGTCGGATGAACGGTCGAAATTCCTCCTCGTCGCCGTTGTTGTTGCTCGAAGATGACGAGAATCCGTTCATCAACCCCTTGAGACCTGGTGTGAGAGGGAAGCAAGACGGTTCGGATCGTCAGATGGACTGCTTAGACATCCTCGCTGGACAGGCTCGATTGACTCACCTCCCTTGGATGAACTCGAACCACCAGCACCGGGCAACCCGGGCGCTCCCTCTTCCACATCGTCTTGAGCCAGGTCTTGTTGTATCGACGGATCAAATTTGGGTTGCAAGAACGCCAAGAACAGGTTGAGAAGGTAGATAGCGAGTGCGTCTAAGAGGGAAGAGATATTCGGTCAGCTGAGATGACCGACGGCAGACAGATGAATTCAGAAAAGGCTTACAGCAGATGATGTACCACTAGAGATTTCGCAACAATGTCCCATATCGGAAGTACACAATCAGCCCTGCTATCCCTCAAAATCAAGAACACGCCATCCGGGCCGGCTGACTTACTCCCTGAGCGATAACCACAATCAAGGCAAAGAGGAAGAAGAGGAAGCCAGTAGCGAGCCACCTTTGGGTCGTCAACGGTGTCGAGCGATCCAGGAGCGTTTGATATCTACGGATTGCCAGGTGTCATGAATCAGCGAATGAACAGCCACGAGGAATACCTGTACTGAATGCTTGTCAAGCCATCCGGTTCTGATGCCCCGATACTCACGCTCGTTGAAACTTGTTGCTCCGGTCGACGATCAACTGGGCGACATTCTTCTCCCCACCCTCTCCCAAGCCCCTCCCGCTCCCCGGGCCCGGCGCCCTCCCAGCGTTTCCATAGACACCCGAGGAAGGACCCGCACCTCCATATCCCCCTGCAGAACTATAGTTGCCGAATCCTGCAGAGGCGGGAGGAGCAGGAGGTTTGGCTGGGAAACCTGCGCCGGGCCCAGCTGCGGGTCTCGAGGAGGACGGGGCGGACTCGGATGAGGGTTGGTTCGAGGAAGGAGGTGCCGGATAGAGGTTATCCAGCTGAGGGTATGCTTGAGATGCGGACTGTGCGACAGCAGATATTAAATCAGGTTGGACTAATTCTCGACTGTAAAGTACACGTGTAGCGGGAAGTCGACTTGCCATGATCGCAGACTTGCTCGATGCGGGTTCGTCCTTTTTCCGTAGGTCCAGTAAAGGCACGCGATGTGTCGAATCTGGTTTCCAGAGATTCGCGACGAGCTGTATGTGATTTGACCGATGCCTGCAATGTACGCACGATGTACAGCTCGACGAGTTCAGATTGGGACCACCTTGCATTGTCTCTCCTCCACGACATACGACACCGAGGTCGATCATGGATTATTTGATAACAAGTTGCGCGCACAAGGGGGGGGGGGAGGGCAAGATTATTATTGAGATGACGTGTCAATCGATATTTATTATTTATTCGGGCCCTCGGAGATCATCAAACAGCGAGTTTCGAAAACCAAAAATTATCAAAGTAGCCTACGTAGCCGTCGACTTGCGACTTGTGCGACTTATACCTCGCAGCTTTGAATACACAGTACGTCACTCGTCGACTCTAACAAACCATCTTCGACAAATCCCTGCGCACCAAAATGGAACGAGCACTTCCCCCACCCACCTTTATCCGCCAATTCGGTACCCCAAAACACCTCGATCCGAACGAGACGTACGACCTCCTCTCCTCCTTCCTTGTCGCCCAAACATCAAAGGCCCACTATGCACCTTCCACCCAGACGTCACAGCTGGAACGTCTCACCGATGTCATCGGGATCCAGATCGGAGCCGTAGATCCTACCGATGCCGAGGAACACGAGAGGGAACGTGAACGGTTGGAAGCGGAGGAGAGGGATAGGTTGAAGAAGGCTCGAGAGGACGCACTGGGAGTACAGGAGGAAGAGGCCGAGGAGATGGTCAAGGAGGAAGAGCAGCAGGTGGCTGAGCAGCGGGACGATGATGACGAGGACGAGCTGGACGATGGCGAGGAGGACGAGGCGGATTCGGACGAGGAAGGAGCTCCTCTTCCAAGCAACGAAAAGGGACAGGAGCAGGACGAGTTGGAGGATGAGGACGAGGATGTCGATATGAAGTAGGACCGCTGAGCGACGTCCCCATCGCAGGCTCCGGCCTTCGTCGGGCGGTTATTGGAACCTTGGGTAGCCGCATCCGACCCGCCTGCTTGCCTTGCACCTCAGGCGGTTTCTTCTGGATGTCAACCCTTATCAACGCAAGATCTTCTCCTTCCATCCAAAACGGAGAACTCCGCACTCCGACCCACCATCCTCATCTTTCTGAAGCATATAACCTGGACGACGAGCCTGGACGTTTCCCCCTTCGAAGTCCGTCGATCGCTCTCCACGCATTCGCCGCATTCGCTCTACGCACGACCCTGTACGACCATCATCATCGCCACCGGCATGACCATCATCATCACCACCGGCATGACCATCATGTCCCGCTTCGTGGTTACACGACATGGATATCCATTGCGACCTGTACATTTTTCCTTGTAAACGTTGTACCCTCGTTCCCGCGTTACCCCGCCAAGGCTTCCTCTGCTGGCGATTGCATACACTATGGAAACCACAAATCTCGTATCATACGAATCTACAGCAAAGAAATGCGGGACCGTGTCCATTCGCGGTCGACAAGGGTAATATTCGACGAGGAAAAGATCCCACAGGTCCGGAAGTGCGATAGGCATCTGCCTCGTAGCCTCGCCTTGCCTTTGTCCTCGTCCGCATACTGCTCGCTTATGTTCACGACCTCCCTTCATTCCGTCGTGGTCCTCCTGCTCGGACATGTTGTACTGAAAGCGATTGCGTCAAGAAAAGGTGGTCCTCCATCGAATCGTTCTTCCGGAGATCAAGCCTCCTCAAATTTTGCCTAGAATATCAGATCGGTGTTGTCGACGGATGTCAAAGTTGGATTTATGCGTCGGTCTTGACGTGACCCTTGTCCGTCTTCCGGTCTGCAAGTGGTGAATTGCGTTTCAGCAGGCGTAGATGCGTCGGTCCTGTTGTGACCCTCCTTCAGCCAAAGGGTCGTTGTCTTCTAATCTGCAAGTGGTGGTCTGGTCAATAACAAGGACAGGCGGCCTGGCAACACGATGAGCTTACAGGGTCCGCCTCCGTCAACGCGGAGATCAATCGCAAGCTTTCCTGACGACATCCTTGTGACTGAGTCATTATACGTTGAGATTTCGTTTTCCCTCTTGGCGATACATCGACAGCAGATTCGTGTCATCTGGGTCCTATTCGGAATGCCATCTTCATGGGGGTCGAATCCTAGAACTGCCGTCGCGCCGCCGCAGCCGACTCCTCATTGTGGTCGCGCTTCACCACCCACAAGCGATCCTACGCTTCTCCTCCAAACACCTCTCCAGCCTCGCCCGTACTTCACCCCTCAACCTCAGCCCTCCGATCCAGATCGAACCGTCACGAGCACGACCGCGGCCTCGATTCGGGTTGTGAAACATTGCTGGAATGGGCGCGTTCCCCATCTCGGAGATCCCGGCGTGCAGCACCACTTGACCGTGGGCTTGAAGCTCGGAGAGGGTCAAGGCGGCTGCGAAGTGTCGGAGAGACCGGATGGCGTGGTATGGTTCGGAGACGATCGTCAGGTGGATAGAAGGATTCGAGGTGAGGTGAAAATCAACAGAGTCCCGTTGTGGATCATTTTCCTGGTGCTGTCCTCGATTTCCAGGTCGAAACACCGGCCAGATGCTCTCTAGCAGACACGTCGTAAACGCCGCATTGTCCAATGTCGTCCTCGCATTGCCTTCCACCCAGATCTTCCTCTCTTCGATTCCCAACCTGATCAACTCCCTCGCCATAGCCTCGGCTTCACCATGTATGTTCGCCACGGCCCCTCCGGTCACGATGATGACTGCCCTGGGGTGTTGCTGAGCGACCTGGGCCGCACGGGCGGTTCGGAGTTGAAGGCCTTCGCTGAGAGAGCCGTCAGCAAGTACAGGGACACCGAGGACAACGATCGCATGTCGAAGAGGAGATTCTTGACTTGTTGTAGGTATAGGATAGTCTGTCAAAGCGGCGATGGCGGTTTCGAGACCGGCGGTGGGCGAACTGATCAAGAGGTCTCGGAGTTGTTTGCGGCGTCGCAGTGGGATTGGGATTTCGCGTGAAGTCGAGGGCAGAACTGGTGGGTTATGACGAGGTGGACCGGACATGGTGGAGATGACACGTTCGAGATGGGGTCTTGTGGTGGTCCCGAAGATGTACGGAGGTGTACTGAATGTGACCTCTCCCCGTCGATAGCAGTAGTATGAGAGAGTCGGGGTTGACCGTGACAAGCGAACCGGTGCGCTAGTTATAGCCTCGCTTGTGAGGGGGAATGATAACGTAATCGGTTCTACACACGGTTCATCCGGGGATAGGTATGGCTGGCTCTCAGCTTATAGCTACATGGCATTCTTTCGAAATGGATAGCCCCTATCGCAAACAACAGCTGGTCAACAGGTTAACACTACACTTTACTCGACACGAACCATCGTCGCTCAAACTGCCCCCTCTGCTCGCTGCTTCTCTCATGGCATCCCTTCTGACCAGACTCGCTCAATCATCCACCTCGCGATCCAGCTCCATCCTCTCACTTTCACGCACCATGTCGACGCAACGAGCCACCCTCAACCTGAAGAACCCTTCCCTCCTCAAGTCCAAGGCGTTCGTCAACAATGAATGGGTCTCTTCCAAGTCGGGCAAGGTCTTCCAGGTGACCAACCCTGCGAACAACCAGGTCATCGGCGAGGTCCCCGAGATGGGAAGCGAGGAAGAGGTCGAGGAGGTCATTGCGGTCGCGAAAAAGGCATTCGAGAGTTGGAGGCATAGTACGCCCAAGGTGAGTCTTCGGCTCTCTACCCGTCAAAGATGGACATGAAGAGGCTGATCCAACTCTGAGTTTCTGCCCGAGAGTATAGTCCCGTCAAGACCTGTTGGCCAAGTTCCACAAGCTTATGCTGGACAACACCGACGACCTGGCCACCATCATCGTAAGCCACTTCTACCTCAGCACTCTAGTCGTTCGAGCAAACTAAATGCCCCGCAATGTAGACCGCCGAGAACGGCAAGCCTCTCCCTGACGCCCGCGGCGAGCACCTCTACTCGTCCTCTTTCCTCGAATGGTTCTCGGCCGAGGCCATGAGGAACTACGGGGATACCATCCCCAGCACGATCCCCGGCTTGAGGAATGTCACGATCAAGCAGCCCGTCGGAGTCGTCGGGGTCATCACGCCTTGGAACGTGAGTCTTGGTTCCGGCATTGCAGAAAAGGCGTCTTCGAGAAGAGGAGGGTTGTGGCTGATCGAGTGTTTTTTGGGATGGCCGATAGTTCCCTTCGGCCATGATCACCAGGAAGATTGCCCCGGCGTAAGCAACTCTGTGATCCCTCGACGGATGTCGTTACGATCCGAAGCTGATCATCGATCTTGAAATGCGATCTCGGTCGTCGCTCAGTCTCGCTGCTGGTTGTACTTGCGTCATCAAGGTACCCGAAGAGACTCCCTTCTCAGGTCTGGCTCTGATGGAGGTCAGTCCCGGGCATACTTCTTCTCAACGACATGATCCCCTAACATTGTGTTTCTAATCCCGCAGCTCGCCCAACAAGCCGGTTTCCCTCCCGGTGTACTCAACGTCATCACCTCGCAAGACTCTCCCAAAGTCGGGCAGGTCATCTGCGCGAGCAAGACGATCAAGAAGGTCTCGTTTACCGGGAGCACGGGAGTGGGCAAGATCTTGGCCAAGCAGTGTGCGGGGACTTTGAAAAAGTACGTCGCGCCTGATTTCGGGCCCGGATTGGCCCGAGGAGGTGATAGCTGATGAGACGCGTTGATTGTCTACAGGCTCTCTTTCGAGCTCGGCGGAAACGCTCCCTTCATCGGTAAGTATTGCACTTCGATACAAAGCAGCCCCGCAAACTGAGAGCTGAGCAAGAACTCGCTCTCTCTCTCGACAGTCTTTGACGATGCCGACATCGACGCGGCCGTGACCGGTGCCATCGCCTGTAAATTCCGATCGTCCGGTCAGACCTGTGTCTGTGCCAACAGGATCTACGTCCAAGATGGGGTCTACGACGAGTTTTCCAAGAAGCTCGTCGAGGCCGTCAAAAAGTTCAAGGTCGGAAACGGAGCTGATAAGGGAGTGTGAGTATTAGGTTGGAACAATCCATCAACAGCGAAGCAATCGAGCTGATTTACCGGATTGATCCGTCGTGCATCAGTACCCACGGACCACTCATTCACGGCCGGGCACTGGCCAAGGTCGAAGACCACGTCAAGGACGCCGTCGACAAGGGTGCCAACCTCTTGCTCGGAGGTTCCCGTCTGACCGGTCCCGAATACCCTTCGGAAAACTACTACGAGCCGACCATCATCGGGGACGTCCCAGAAGACGCTGCTTGTCTGCAGGAAGAGACGTTCGGACCGATGGCCGCTGTGGTTAGGTTCAAGAGCGAAGAAGAGGTTCTGAGGTTGGCCAATGATACCGATGTCGGGTTGGCCGGGTGAGTCTCGCGTGATTCGTTCCTCGAATCGGCCTGAGTCGCTGATGATGTTGTGGATCAGTTACTTCTTCTCCCGTGACGTCGGTCGAGTATGGAGGGTCGCCGAGGCTCTCGAGGTCGGGATGGTCGGATGCAACACCGGTCTGATCTCGCAGGCTTCGATCCCGTTCGGAGGAGTCAAGGAGAGGTAAGCGGGATCGATCGGTAAATCATAGGTTGACTCGTGTTGACGATCTACATATCGCAGTGGATACGGACGAGAGGGTTCAAAATACGGAATGGCTGATTGTGAGTAGTCGAGTCTAACCGCAAAGGCTGGCGAGATGTTCGGGGGCTCGAGTTGACTGTCTTTCGATTTGTGCTTGCAGACGAGGTCATCAAGGTCATCTGTATGGGAGGGCTGGGTACCAACTAGGTGATAAGCACAGCAAAAAAAAATGGACAAGATACACAACGGACCCCTTTTGTATTTGTATAGGCAATCTACAACGACATGATCTGAAGACGTCGGCTGTGCAGCGACTGCGACGATCGGGAGTAATTAGCTTCCGATCAAGCGATGTGTGTCGAATTGAAAACAAAGAGTTTGATCGAGATCACGGCTCTTCACATTTTGCGGAATGTAAAGTAAAGGTCATCCTATCCGCCTGTCCTGTCCTTTGTCTTGAGCAGCTTACAGCGCTGTTCATGACCTAGATAGTCTTTGCCTGATCACCTTTGGGAGGTGCCGAAATAGCATCGACACGCACGTCGACGGCGATCGACCTGAAACGACAACTTCTCCTTCTCCTTCCGCTATCACGACATTAGATTGCTGCTTTTGTTCCGAGACGACCACCACATCATCACGAACATCCTCACGACAGAACAATCGTCTAACGATATCGCTAGGACTACATTTGATCGGACTGAACCTAGTCGACAATAGAAACATCGGAGGCAGGACCGACCGATAACTCATAACGATAGAATCATGTCCCTTAAAGCCGAGCTGGAAACATGGACACAGGCTCTGGAAGCCTATGATGCTTCTGACTTACCTCGATCCCTCGAGATCTTTACCACCATCGCCGAGTCCTCCAAGGTACATTTTAACATTGGTCTCATTCACGCTACCCAGGGGCATCATATCCAGGCGATCAGGGCTTTCAAGCAGGCGACAGAGCTCGATAGGTTCTTTGCGGTCGCCTATTTTCAGAGAGGGGTCAGCTTGTTCTTGACGGCAGAATGGGAGAGGGCAAAGATGCAGTTCGAGATGGCTCTATCGAATATGCGGGGGAATGACAAGATGTGAGTCACACCTTACCTGTTTATTCCTAGTCGTCGCAACGATTGGCTGGGGTATTGATCGGGACATCTTGCATGTGCCGTCCTTTCCGCAGCGACTACACTCAACTCGGCCTTCCCTTCAACCTCTTCCTCCCAGAGATCCACTTCAACCTAGCCTTATGCCATATCAAGCTGAAAGACGTAACCAAGGGAATGTACGAGCTCAGGAAGGCTAGTACGAGGAAGATGACTCCGGCGCACGAGGTGATCGAGGAAGCTATCGAGAAGCGGGGTGAAGGCTTTACCGTGTTCAGCATAGTGAGTGCCCTTGTCTCTCTTGATTAGGCGAATAATCAACTGAGACTGATACCTCTTCGCGGCCAGCCTGTCGGCGTCCTATTCAGGCCATCTGAAAACAAGCTGAAGAATCTCGCACCAAAGGACTATAAAGGGAAAGCTGTAAGTAGCTCGCCTCGATCGGGAGTGTCGCCGATCGATCGAAGAACTCGACTGACGCAATTGTGTTATGTGTCTGGTAGAAATTGATCGCCGTCTCTTCGACCGAGGACGAGTATACGACGTTCACCGGTGTAACCCGTCTGGGCAGGAAACAGACCCCCTCGGGTACCCCGATGGACGCACATCAAATTTCCCGTTCCAAGACGCTTATGAGGATGGGTCATAAGCCGGACGACACGGATGGAGAGAAAAAGACGATCAAGAGCTTTTCGACGAGAGATCTAGGAGAACAGCAAGAGGTGCTAGATCCCCAAAGAGATGGAGAGAGCAAGGCGGTCAAGGACCTAGGGGATCTGATGGATAGGCGATTTTCACCTTCGTCGTCCATCGGGAGCGGGGCTAGGGAGACTCTATTGTCGCCGACGGGGAATAGCCAGCCGGTTCCCGTGGTACCGGACAGCGGGAAGAGCAAGGGCGGGATGTTCATGAGGCGTTCGAATACCCTCAGGGAGTATATACGCTCTCCTAGCTTCCTGAGTAAAGGATCGAGCGGGTCATCGGCGACCGAAGATGCAGGCAAGGGGAAGGACAAGGACAGGAAGTACGCTCCTCCGATCGTTACCAGAGGACTAGATGCTCTCGGTCGCAATCCGGGTGGACAAGATATGGGCCGATCAGCTTCGGACCCGTCGTTCGTACGGCCTCCCGAGATAGGTCCCAGAACGGCCCCGGTCGATGGGTATAGGGGTCAACTGCAGCACGGTGTTGGAGCTCTGACAGGTGGAGCGGCGAGTGATGGCCGGCTAAGTGCGATGGACTCGACCAAGAAGCTCTCGCCGCTACGGCCAAAGCGGCCAGACGGGCGATATAACACCTCGGCAGAGGTACATACACGAGGTGAACAAGACGTTCCTCCGCCCATCCAGAGATCTCTTTCGGCGGTGCCCTCTCTGACGGATACGCGGGAGCCCTCTGCCAGTTTCCGGTCCGCTCCGGTGTCCATGCACGATGGTACCGATCGCGGGCTCACCCCACACCAGGACGACGCTTCAGTGTATAGCCACGCTACCGGTGTGACGGGCAAATATCCCAACGGAGCTGCCGGGCCTGCGTTTGTCTTTGAGGAGGAAGAAACCAAAAAATCCGCAGGGAAGAGCAAAGCGCGTGCAGAAGTACGCATGACAGAGTTGTACGAAGGCTACTATGCCAGCACGGACAGCAAAGACGATGACGAGGACGGCGGTTCGATCCCGATCCCGCCTGTCCCGGTCATCGGCAATCGCTCTTACAAAGACGACTACAAAAGGCCTAACCAGGGCCAGTCCGATCGGCCCAATCCGACGGTCTTGATGCATAGTCTCGAGAACCTGCGGATCCAGCAGCGAGAGAAGCCGGATACCAGGTTATCCCCAGCCTCTTCTCAAGACAGCCCGATCGTGACGATACCGGTATTCTCACCTTACGATCATGGTGGACATTCGCTCACCAAGAAACCGACCCTGCTCACCCCAGCGAGTGGATCGGGTAACGACTTCAGGCGACAGCCTACGTTCCGACGAAGCCCATTGAATAGCTCGAGTTTCGAAGACGGCGAATTGATTGACGTGGATATGCAATCGATTCGAGTCAAGGTGAGCGAAACAAACCATGTCAGCCGTGTCAGAATGCTCGGCGTTCTGACCTGTCTTTCCGCTTTACGTTTGCAGATCCGCTATAACGACGATATACGTGCCGTGGTCATCTCATCGCAGATCGATCTACGCGAATTCAGGACATTGCTATGTGACAAGTTTGAAATACCGGACCGGTTCAAATTACGCTTTAGAGATGAGGAAGGCGACCAGGTCAGCCTCAAGGACGACGGCGATTGGGATGCTGCTTTGGACTACGCTAGAGTCGCGGCCGCTGGACGGCCAGAGGGCAGACTCGATGTATGGTTATTATAGGTCTTTACGAAAAGAATAGTATACTTTGTCTTCTACACTGGCTACGCTTATACATGAAATCGGACAGGTTTCGGAATTTCGATTATATTTACAAGAGGTCATGCTTGGACGGCTGAATGCCGAGGAATTGCAGACGCTCAGGGCAAGGGTAGAGATCGGCAGGTGCATGGTAAAAGAGTCCTTCAAGCAGTTCCTTGGTGGTGGGTCGGTCTTTTTCGTTGCCCTTGGTCGGCGCATGTTTGGCCCAGAAGTCTTTGGCGATCTCCCTGGCCATCTGCTTCCCTTTGTCATAGTTCCGCTTGTGGTCGCCCAAGTCCCGGGTGGCAAAAAGGTCGAATTCGTTCGGCTTGGCGACTTCAGTTCGTCGTCGGGAACGGGAGGAAGAACAGACGACAGCGCTTTGACTCCTAGCTTGCATTTCGGGACGAGTGAAACTCTGCATGACCGGCTTGCGTGGAACTTTCTTGACCATAGGTTGAAGCTTTTCGGGCTGAACCAAGTCTGGTTCAGGATAGTCGAGATGACCGCCGTCGTCGCTACCCTGGAAGAGCGACTCGAAAAGCTCAGGAAGTTGTTCCTTCTTGGTAGGTGCAGAGCTTCCGTCATTAGCTTGCGGAAGACAGCTGGTCGAAGCGCTGCGCCTGTTTTGAGCAGTTCGACCGCTCTTCTTTAGTTGGGCGATGTCGATCGGGGTAGACTTCTCAGGTTTGATCTGAGTGGCAACAATAGGCTGACCGACCCATTCAGAATGCGCTTGGTCGATCTCTCGAAGCATCTCCTGGATCAAAGGGTGGAATTGCGACTCTGGCTCATACGGGTTGTTATGATCTTTGTTGGAGTCAAAGAGCGGTTCCTCCTTGAATTCAAATGGTTCGTTGTATGTTTCGTCCTCTTCGTAGATTTGGACTGGCGGAAAGGGGAAGCCAGAGGCGGATTCCAGTTTGGGCGACGGGGTCGTCACTCGAGAGTTGGTACGGCTCGAGGCGATACTGTCGACCGACCCGCGCGTCAAAGCAGGACAATCGAGGTCGTGGGGGTTCCATCCACGAAGAGGCGCCTTGGTGGGCTCCATAACCGGGATGAAAGCGAAAGGATTGCCGGTCTGTGTAGCCCTCCTGTCGAAGCTGGGTGGAAAGACTTCCACCGGTGCAATCGTTACAGGCAAAGGAGCAGTTCGACTGCTGGTAAGAGTCGGTCGCTCGTGGTCTGGAGTCGCGATGATTACCGAAGCGCGTCGATCCGACTTCGCTGGAGGCGTCTGGGGAACTGCCATGGGTTCCACGTTGGCAGGGCTGGTAGGGTCCGAGGCCGAAACAGACCGCTGAGAAGGATTTAAGGAGGCGCCGGTCAACCTCTTCATGACTCGAGGCCTACGTACAGGTAGACCAGGCAAAGGTTTGTTGAGGTTCTTCTCGATGGCTACGGTGACGAGCGGATCGACCGATATCAAGCCCTTGATCAACTCGGTTTCGTTCGGATGGTCAGAGGATTGAAACGTGACCCTTCGGGTCGCGGAAGGACGACTGATCGTATCGTCGAGGTCTTGCACCTTTTTCAAGGCCGAACGAAGTGGACTGACGGGAAGAGATTGGCCGTGTCGACCGAGCGGGGGTGGTAAGGTAGGACTGGACATGATCGGTGGCGATACTCGAGTCCACCTGTACGTTCTAAGAGGTGGCGATGTCAGTTCAAACTGAGGAGATTGGTACAAGTGAAGATGCATGAAAGTAAGCGAGAAGCATCCCAACTGCCTATGTTATATAGTCCAAATCCTCTCGCTCTAGAGACGCGTCCGGTCGACCTGTCAGTCCGAGGTCAGCCCGGATCGCCAGACTTGAAACGCGTCTGAGGGTCAGATGCGCGTGAGCAAGCCCTGCGCGTCATCGAGGAATCGATCATCAAGCGCGATGTCGTTGCTGCTGCACCCGTTTCTTTGCGCAGTCCGCAGATGCAACCGTCTGGCCATACTTTGGTCGCAGTCTGGTCACAAAGTGTTACGAGATATCATGAATTTGCAAAGGTGTGATCAGGAGCTATACATCTCTGCCCATCAAGCGCTCGGAGCCGTCGATGATTTGCCTGCATCTCTCACGCTGCCGAATACCAAATGTGATCTACCTGACCGCGCCTTGATGCCTCGAACAGGACTGCCGACTGAGGCACATCGGGTAATAAACGGCAAGGCCGCCAAATCATGGTACCAGAGGAGCTTGCCTTGAAGAGCTTCACGTGAGCAGCCGATTTCAAAGGAGCAGGCTGGTGCGGAATGACAGGCGGGTTACAGGCAGATGGGTGGAACGACATCTCGTGTAAGGCCTGAAGGTAGAGACGCACCCTATTGTCAAGGATCTCCTGCAGATATTGAGTTGGAATTAGCCTTGCATGGCTTCATGTGTTATAAGACCATGATGAAAGCAAACATGTAGTGTTTGTGAGAGGTATAACTCAATACCTTCAAATCCACCGACAAATTGCGCTGAAGGGGGTTGTCAGTCGATTGGCCGCTGAAATGTTGCTGTTCTTGTTTATGGTGAAAACTTCGAACAATCGCAATTTGCCAAGCTGAAGCGGAATCCGGAGTTGATAACCCCATCGCGGAGGATGGCAACATGGGTGGAAAGGAGATACGAATCGGAAGACGAGAACAGGCGACTAGGCATACGGCATAGAATCGCTCACCCATGAAGCTCATCACAACGTGCGGGGCAAGATGGAGCGGCGAAAGGATGAACCGACAAACGAGAGTGTCCTCCGTCCGACTACGGGTAGCGAGCCTGAGCCGAGGAAAAACCAGCCTGCGCTTCTACCCGGCAGGAAAGCAGAAAGAGTAACTTCTGCTCGGTATGCATACACGAATCTGAGCCTTCCTTTTCCATAACTAGCATCTGAACAGCGGGTTCTGCGAGTCAGTCGGGGCAACTACAAGGCTGGCACGGGGCACCGTACTGTTCCTTACAGTGATAATAATCATCACCCGTCACTGGCTTGGGATAGAAGGATACCTATTCCTCATGACCCTATGAATTTGGACCATTTGGGTGCCGTTGAGGGACATAAATGGGGAGGAACAGCTGAACCTGTTAAGTGGTAAAACGGTGAGTCTCGCCGAAGGACACCACACAAAGCCAGGTCCCTGTGGCGCCGGGAGTTTCACATAGGCACATACCTGAAGGTCATAGCAGGTTTGATGTCCTCCAAGCCAAGAGCACTGAAATGTGGAAGGCGCGAGCCAAGGGTGCCGTTCACAGTGCGCGTGACAGGATATTGTTGGCGGAGGACTTGGGTACAATCGACGCAACTGGTGAAGTCCCCAACAAAGCCACGTCGGAAGGCCTCAAAGATCTATCAGCTCAAACGGTCTTGTCAAAGCATTTTCAGGGCGACTTGCCGTTGACGAGGCCTTGAGCCTGATGAAGATTGCAAACATCAAAGCCGGCGAGCAGAGGACAAGGCCAGCGTTGACGCTTACCCTTGTTGTGGACGACGGCACGTACCACACGATCAAAGTCGGCTTGACTTTGACCCAGATCCACTCTCCTGAGACCTGATGTCTTGTAAGACATATGGAAAATGGGACTTAACCTGTGGGCGGTGAACCTATGTCTTGGAGGTGGAGTCCTGATCAATATGATCATAGAGAGGACCTTGACTTCTCTGTGTGTCCTCCTGGCCAACTGGATCAACCTAGTGGTCCATGTCTACTGGCTGAGGAACCATAAGGGGTACCTCATCCTCGCAGAGAATCAAGCCGAGATGAAACAGATCGGGGAAGCGACGACATGGAGACCCGAACTTGAGACAATGGCGCAAGAACATGGCATGCGTCTCCCCATAAACCCCACCCATTGGCTGACGTGGTTCAAGTAGGCATCTGCCTCATTGCGATTTTGGTATTGCTAGGTGCTTTTGTGTTACGAAGATATACATCGGCGTAGGCGTATTCAAAATAAATTCCCGACCCACTCTTGATCTCTCCTCGATTATGACGCTTTCAGAAGTATCCTTACATGGCATGACCCCTATCGTTCGCCGTTTCATACAAATTATACGACGCCCCGTTCGCATACTTACGGTTTCATAGTCATCACATCACACACGTGCAAGCTACTCGGACGCTAGGGTCGATAAAAGCACGGCGACAACGAAAATCCAGGCATGACGCCTCGATTCGTCGTACCCGATCTCGTTAATCTGCGGATTCCACGTATCTCGAAAGGAAACTCGGCTGACACAATTCAGTGTGTGGAATGGTAGACATTGGCAGCGGTGATAAGCCACGATGGTCATCTAGCTCACCTATACTGTGGGTTTCGTGTGATCTAGACGCGTGAATCGTCCTGGATCGAATTCGATTACATGTTTGAGGCCACAAATCGCCTCCAAGGTTTTCAAAGACTGCCTCATATATGGGCTCAATCTTGTCCCCTTAGCAAGGAGAGTTGTTCAATATTGCTACGATATAGCTGCGAAGCCCCGCATGCCTTCTAGATCATGCTCATGTGCCATTCGGGCAAGGAAGGGTGACACGTTGACAGTCAAACCCTTAGAGACTGATCAGGACAAGCTGTTGCGGACGTGGTATTGTTTCTTGTCGCGATGGGCAACTTTATGTGTTTCGTTTGATACATGTGATACATCTAAAAGTCGGGGAATAAATTATCATGCGGGCCAGTCCCCGTCTTTCCGTACGCAGTAACATCTGCTTCCTGATATCGGTCGAACCTGAAGACGAACGATGATTAGTCAGGCGATTGGGCAACGCGCTCGATTCCTGTATCAGCTTACTGGCTAGCATCGCCGTCTCCCTCAATCTTGGGCACATAAGGTGCCGGTATCTCTCTCCGATAGAGCTTGTCCCAATCGACCTCAGCGTACCAACCGTGGCTGAAGATATCTGCTGAACCTCCTCGCAAGTTACCGAAACGTTTGGTAAGATCGCCCGTCAACAGGTTCTTGAGTAGATCCCGTGCAAGACCGTCAAAGTAGGTCGGATACCGTACTTTTCCCTGCAAAGCGGATAATATTAGCCTACAATTCGGCGCGATCGGCGAGAATTCTGGCAACAAGGGCTTACAGCAATGATCTGCATGTGAAAAGCAAAGTAAGCGCAATATTCGATCGTCTAGTGCGATCATCATGCAACTGACCTTTTCATACAACTTCATCGGGTTGCCATCCTCGGTGAAGAATGGCGGATATCCGGCCTTTAGTCCCAGGGCCAAAGCGCTCGATATCAGCCATCTTGACCTGTTCGACGGGACCGCTCGTCGCTTACCAGCATTTCAAAGATCAAGACTCCGAGCGCGTACCAGTCGACACTCTTGTTGTAACCTTTGCTCTGAACCACCTCGGGGGCCACTGTAAAGCAACAACAAACGGGAATCAAATAGTATCAGCCTCACATACTCGACCGGAATATCGTTAGCTTCACGATATACTGACGATAATCCGGCGTTCCACACAATGTCCACGTGATATCCGGTACATGCTTGGCGAACCCGAAATCGGTGACCTTGATATGCCCATCTGCGCCGAGCAACAGATTTTCCGGTTTCAAGTCCCGGTAGATGATGTTCAAGGAATGTAGGTAGTCGAGCGCCAATGCCACTTCGGCCGCGTAAAACTTGGCGACCGAGTTGGGGAAACGCTGCTCGATGAGGGAGAGACAAATGTCCAGTTAAAGAGTCAGCTTGACGATAGTATCATAGCTTCCCTTTGCCGCGCTTACCTGACTCTTTCGTAACAGACTGAACAGTTCCCCACCTGCTACGAAATCCATGACCATGTACAGATTATTGACATCATGAAACGTCCCCCAGAGATTGACCAGGAACGGATGTCTGACGCGGACGAGCATCTCCCTCTCCGAGTTTGTGTGTTCGACCTGTTTCATCCGAACGACCTTTTCCTTATTAAGGACCTTGATCGCGTAGAATCGACCGTTGTGCTTTGACCGGACGAGGTGGACACGGCCGAACGAACCGGTTCCTAATCTATCTCCACAGAGGATTGCGCGTCAGCGTGGGTCCACCAGCATGTCCTCTCAGGTGGCAAGGATAGCCTGAAATCAAGCCGACACTCACGTTCGTTCGATCTGGAAATCCGCCAGCGCATACCTCCCCGCCGTCTTTCTCGCCGCAGCCTTGACATTCGCCGATGGCGTGGTCGTCCCCGGCGTCCCTCCGGCGGCCACAGCAACCTGCTCGAAAGCCGCTTGAGTGGCCACGGCGTTGATCGTGGCAACACGTGCCTGTTGTTCGGCGTACTGGAGTGCTTGTTGTGCTTGAGCGGCCTGTATGATAGAGAAATGCAGTATAGAGGGGGGAGAGTTTTCGTTTGGCATGAGAACCCCGACAATTCACACCGACCGAGACCGGCAGAATTCTTACCTGTTCTTGAGCCTCCCTGACCTTGTCCTTCAACCGTTCTTCCTCTGCACTAGGCTGTCTCACCTGACCTTGCGGGACCGGGCTTTGCACACCTCCCGCTCCGTCCCCATTCCCATCTTGCATCGACTCCGGCTTGTACCCGACGTATCCCTGCGTAGATGCAGACGTGGACGCGGAAGCGGGGTTGGAGGATGATGAGGACAAGCTCAGACCGCCCACGCCCATCATCTCGACCGACATGGCACGCTGGTCGTTGGGTTTAGGAAGGACGTGTTGTGGGATATAAGCTTGAGGTTGAGCATGGCCTTGAGCGCCCGGTGATACTGCCGATGATTCATGCTGATTATGGTATGATGGAGGTTGCTGCTGTTGCTGCACGGGATGCGCGGTATAAGTCTGAGCCGGGTAAGTCGGCTGAGGACTGTTGAGGTTGATGACAGGGACTCCTCCGACCTGTATCGACGGTACGTCCATCATCTCGTCTTGACGCTCGGTCCTGCTAGGATCGTTGGTATACTGAGTGACGTTGTCTCGATAAGACGAATGACCGGACTGGGGTGGGGAGGGTCGTTTAGTTTGTTGACTTTGCTGCTGATAAGATCCTGCTCCATCGAGTTGGTCGGTAACAAGCCCAGGAACATTTCAGCTGCAGTCATTGATATAGGTAAATAAAGGCCTCGACCGACCGTTCGAAAAGTGCTGAGATACAGGTCGAGCTTGTCCAAAGTTCGAGCTCGATCTGCAAGCACAAGCACGAGATTCGCTCGCGATGCCCGTCAGTTGACCCGCCCGACCAAGGAACGCCAGAGCCCGTCTACCAGATACTCACTGTTGTTCTCTACTAGACGATACGCCTGTCGAATTCTGATAGGCCTGACCGCTACTGCTACTACCACTACTACTGTTGGCAGCACCACTCCCACTTGCAGTTCCGGTAACCCGCGCGATCGTCGCTCCAAAGGATCGTTGTTGCGTCAAGGGTGGAGGTTGAGGATGACCTTGCTGTTGATGCTGTTGGTGCGAGCTCGGGGTCTTGTCTCTCTGGAATTTAGACAAGAACGAGTTGGGCATGGTGGGCTAGGTGAGCAGGCGAACGGTGGTGTCGATGGAGAGAGAGGAAGGGTATCGGGTAGCCAAGGGCGAGGAGAGGGCGACGAGGACGAGGTGTCAGGGGCAGATGTGTGCTCGGCAAGGTTGGTACTCCCCCCCACACTAGCGCCTAAAAGAGATGAGTTGATGGTCGAAATCCAGTCGTTCTCGATCTGAGAGATCCGAGAGTTGCGTTGTACCGTCACTTTCTGAGACGCTACGAGCTACGCTGTATTGCAAGCTTGCTCGCAACGCATGGATCGCATTCGATGCCATATGAGATGAGGGAGGAGGGAGGCAGGGAGGGAGGGCAACCTTGATATCGAACGGAAGAAGGGTCCGAAGGGCCGATGCTGGCTGCAATGTGCTCGCTACCGCCCGCCCCCGCCAATCGTCACTCTCGCTTCCTCGTTGATCCCGCGCAGATCGAATTCAAGCCACCCCCATTTACCACCCTGGGCTGTCAGCTGCTCAAGTCTTGAGACGTCCTGGTCACGAAAATATCGTAGCTCGTAATGGATCTCTCGCTTCTCGTTATGATATTCGTAATGTACAACCCTAGACCAGCCTCATGATGAACCGGTTTCACCTGGCACCTCCCGCCAAGCTCTTCCCCGGCGTTCAATACCGCAGCAATGTCATTCTCGAACGCTCTCCCCATACCTCCTACACCTTGACCAAAAAGGGATACTCCAGCAATTCTTTGGCCGTGGGTCGTTTCTCATGATCGATCAAGAACGAGATGTCCAGGAAATCCGCCGCTTCCTGTGAAATGTCGGACGGGTTCGTGGGTCGAGCCGCCGTCCCAATCTGTCCATGCGGGGATGGAGCGATCAGTTACAGTATAGAGGTAGAATCCATGGTCGGTACATACCCGGAAGATGGCCTGCATCTGCGTCAAGTTTGGCCATGGGTGCTCTCCCGTCAACATCTCTACCACCAGACACCCCACGCTCCAGATGTCGGCCTTTTTCGTATACGCCGTCTGTTTGACCACCTCGGGCGCCATCCAGAAGACGGAACCTTGGAGAGAGGCTCGGTTGAGGCGCATATTGGACAACAGGTCTGCGAGGAGGGTCGTCAGATCAGTACAACGCGACGAGATCCCCGAAGGCCCACGCTCGGCTCACTGTTCTCGACCTTCTTCGAGATCCCGAAATCGGAAATCTTGACTCCACCCTTGTTATCGACCAGGATGTTCGCACCCTTGATATCTCTATGGATGATGTTCCTCTCGTGCAGGTAGTCCAAGCCGGTCAAGATTTGCCTGACAAAGTTCTTGACGAGCGCTTCCTCAAACGCGCCATAGTTGTTCAAGAGAGCGGTGACGGATCCACCGGGGACGTATTCGAGGAAAATGTTCAGGTGCGATTGGTCGGTCGATGAGTCTGTCAGAGGATTCAAATGGAGTGGAAAACATGAGGGATCAGCTCTCGTTGCTTGAGTGGTACTAGACCAAGTGGTGCGAAAAAAATATCTCACCGAGATATTGCACGATGTTCTCGTGCTGCAAGTCTTTCAACAGCGCAATCTCCTGTTGCATCGCAGTGACCATGCTCTGTTTCCTTTCTTCGCTTCCCGTCCCACCCATCTCGAGATCGACCTGCTTGACGGCCATGAGCAGACCTGTCTGGGCGTCCATGCCGAGGTAGACCTTGCCGAAGGAACCTTGACCGATAAGAGCTCCCTTTATCCATTTGATGGATCGGTTGGCTACAAGTTCGAGATGACACGTGACAGGTCAAGGAAAGCACGACTCGAAAACGATTCTCGTCACTCACTGCCGGTCGACGTCACAGCCTTTCCATGCTGGTCCTCCTCTTCCTCTTCCTCTTCCTCTTCCTCTTCTTCCTCCTCGCTTCCTTCCTCATCAGACGTCTCCTCCTCGGAGCTCTCCGACGCCTCCTCTTCCGAGTCTTCCCCTTCCTCTTCAGGTACCAACCCAGGACTGTAGGCTTTGCTCAAGCGGATATTCTCTGGAGCCAAAAAGTGATCGTCCTCGGCCTCCTCTTCGGATTCGGCAAAAGTGATCACGCTAGCCCGCCTGTTCTCCACCTCGGCCGTGATCTCATCCACCGTCAAAAGGCTCGCAGTGTCCGAGACACGGCGGCTCTTTCGACGACTCGAGACGGTGCTGAGCCGTCTACCCGTTGTCGAGCGCACAGAATTCCGACGGTCCTGCATGATCGAGGCGGGCCGAGGTCGAGAACCGAAGCTAGGCATCGAATCCGAGAGCGATTCCTCAGACGGCTCAAAGGGCGGCAAAAGCGGCGCTCCTCCCGCCGGTGTGGATGCTCCACTATCGTCAAAGGCGGGTCTGGACTCGAGCCCATCGTCTCCCGATACTGATAACCGTGGGACTTCGCTCACCTCGAGTCGCTCCTCGGGAATAGCGGCGGCAGGAGGGATTGATGCATTCTTGTAGCTGGAAGCTCGACTCATTCGATGAGAACTGTTCGAGCTCGCCACGCTGAACCTAGACGGAAGCCGATTCGCATCGAGGCTGTGACGAGTCGAATCGATGCTGCTTCGCAGTTTATCCAAATCACCCTTGCTCCCGAGCCGCAGCATGCTGTTCCTCGCTCCCTTTTCGAGATCCTTCCTCTTGGCAGCCGGAAAGTATTCAGCAAGATGGCTCGAGATGAGTTCGCTCGGCGGTCGATGGCCAAAGAAGTTGTACATCCTGCGCCCTCGACTAGCCAAAAAGGATCCTGACGAGGGTGATTTGGGTAGGGGAGCCTGTGGTGCAGCCACCGGTTTGGAAGCATTGTCGGATACTGGCACGCCCAAGGCAGACATGACGCTGATCGTGCTGGCTCGGTGCGTTTGATTGGCACCTCGCAACGAGGTGGCCGTGCGAGGCGAGTCCCGGGTACGAGCCGACATTGCCAACGAATAGGTTGGGGATGTAGGCGAAAGTGCAGAGGCAGGCGGGTTGTCACCAAAGATAGATCCGATATCCTTGCGGTTCGGGAGGATTCTCATCTGTTTCAGATAGAGTCCGTTCTCTCTTGCAGGGTCTGTAGGTGGCGCATAGCAGACCGCGAGCAGCTCCGCTTCTGTGAGTGGGGCAGCTGTGGCGATTGAGGGTATATCAGTAAATGATTCCATAATCACAGCCTCCTGCCCACTCACAATCGTCATTCTTCTGCAAGAACACACCCCACCCATCGACGTCTAGACAACTCGTCTCGTCATTCTCCGATTCACTCTCACTCAAACCCGTCGCTCCGCCTCGCGCTATCCCTCTCCATTTCCCAAACTTGCGCAGGGCCTTTTCGAGCACCTCGAACCCGTTCTGACAGGCTTCCACGTCGATCGTCCTGGACGTCTCGTCTTCCGCCAAGATGAACTTGACCAGCTTTCGCTTGACGTCCTCGAGAGACAAGGTCGGCGTGCTAGATTTCTCGGAAGCCCAGCGGTCTGACCAACTCCTTTGTCCCTTGACGTGCACGTATTCGTCGTTCGGACTACGGGAGGGTGAATTATACCATTTCCGGTTCTCGCTCGACATTGGATAAGTCGGGGTGATATCGCCTTGCCCTTCCGAGGCACCCCGATTCGCGTCAAATCTGGACTTTGTAGGCGATCCGGACCCCTTAGTTGGACTATGGCCTTTGATTGACCGGGGGGCCGAAGCGGCATAAGGATGGACGCTGGTCCCCGAATCCGTACTAGGCCGTTTGGAACCAGCTCGTCTGGGATCGGAGGTTGATATCGTCGACAAGCCTCGACTCGCCGGAGCTTGAGACGTCGGAACTGTACTCGCTCCTCTGCGATGTGTCGTCGTGACGGGTATACCTAGAGCCCCGCTAGACGTAGCCGGTCGACCTTCCGACCCTCCGCCTGACCTAGTCGAACCGAATGATCCGCCGTTCGGCCTCGACGCCCCATTGCCCGCAGACGACTTCCTAGCGAAATCTTCAGACCTCTCCTGCCAGAGCCCGTCATTCGGTCGACCAGCCGTCGTTTCCTCGGGCGGAAGTCCAGGAAGTGGCCTTGCCATGTACTCGTTCGATCCCCTCCGAGCTATCGGCACAGGATTACTGGAAGACGCGCCCGGAAGGGGACTCGGCGCGCGTCTAGGATGGGTCGATGAACCGGGAGGAGACGTCCCGTAGTTACTGGAGTTGGCGACGGGAGCTCTAAGTTTCCCGTGCGAGTCCTGAGGTCCGGGGACGTTACTGCTCCCTCCAGCAGCGGGGTACGCATGCGCTCGGTTCCTCAGACTAGAGGCTCTTGTCAAAGATCCGGCGGTGTTCGGCGGGTTAAGCGAATCGACAGATGAACCTGAACCGGGTTGTAGGCCTGCCGTCGTATGCGCGTTCGTTGCCATAAGAGACCCGTTCGATCCTGGGCCATTCATGTCCGAAACTCCAGATGCCGGCATCCCTCGAGGCGTCGTCGCCGTAGAGCTCATGCCGTTGCTGTTGTGTTGGTCTGGGCGTACATTGCTGTCTCCCCTGCCCGGCTGAGCAGAGGCATTGTTCTGCACGTTGATCTGGCCATGCGAGCTGCTATGCAAATGAAGCGGGGGTGGTCGAGTCGCATGTAGTCTTCTTAGAGAACCTCCTGTCCCGCTGCGACTTCTAGACAGGCCCGTCGCACCCGTCTCGTTCTGGTGGTCCTGTAGCGACTTGGCGGGATCATTGGGTGGCCGATTGGCATAATCGTGATGCGCCACTGAGCCGCCTTGATGGCCATTCATTCTGATGTCGATACCCAGCCCGACTTCTCCATGGCGTCGCCCTGCATCGAGACTCTCGGACCCTCCCGTCCTACGCATAGTAGACATCGTCCTTTGATGTCCACCTTGCTGTTGAGCCTGGACGCTGGCGAAACTACTCGCACTGGCCGGCGTACTTCCCCCATTACTGCTATCCCTCCCCGTTCCCACATTCAGCCCAGCCAGGGAGGTGGAATTCCTCTTCTTCAACTCCCTTATGGCTCCTAAAAGGCGGACCCTTTCTCCAACCTTGTTCACGCCGAGTTCCTTTAGCTCGTCCGCTCCGAGCTCGAGGATGACGCTGCCCGTAATGTCATTGTCCTCGAACTTTTTGGAATGATGCCCGCATCGTTGCAGTTGAAGGAACGAGTCGATCTCTCGATTGGACCAGGTGGCCAGATGAATGTGGAAAGGGATGTTGGAAGGGGGACGGTAAAGGGGTGGCGTAGATGGTCGTTGCATCGTGGGTGCAATCGAGCGTCTAGTTGTCCGACACAGTATCTTCCTCTTTTACTGCTGCTGCTGCGACGTGTATTGTGTTCTGATTCATAGGCTCGCCTAGGTAGCTTGTAATTTCATCCTGATTGTGACGGTGTGCTTGTAGCTTGTTCTTGTATCCCGAGTGTTTGTCGAATTTCTCGACAGCTTGGCGTGTATGTCCGAATTCGAAGCTTTCCTGATTTCCTATCTCGGTACCGAGTTGTGTGTTCCAGCGGCTGTTCCCTTGCTATCGCGACACCTATGATCGACCTGGGAAGCGTACGACTGCTGGCTATGTAGAACCGCGGATGAGCAATCGCAAGCCTGATCTGAGCCCTGTGTCGGGTCGAAGATGTCGGGCAGCTGGGCAGGTATCTGGCAACAAGCAACAAGGCAACCACAACAACGATGTCGGGTCACCGAGAACAAAAGAGAGAAAGCAAGCAGCCATAGCGCCCTAGGAAGCTGAATTTACTTCCGGTGACCTCGTCGAGTACACGTCATCTTTGGGTCGAGAGAATGATATAGATATCCATCGTGAAAATGGTCATGACAAGGAGGGTTTACACGGAGCAAGGAGCATCGTCATCGGAGAAAGGGAAAAGACCTAGTAGCCCGGAGAAAGGGGGTTGATCTCGTTTCGTTTTTGTATTCACATTTTTCAGTCGAACCGAGTCGGCTGCTGCATCTATTGAGGTCCGGGTCCATCGCTCTTCAACCTGATCGGGATACACAGAAGACGTCAGGACACTTCCAACATCAGAGCTTGTGATGATGCTTACGAAGATCGACCTGCTCGCAAGATCTCATCCGTGTTGAGCAGGTTGGTAGCAATGACGGCGCTACAAGGGAAAGGATCGCCTCGTCGACATAAGCTCCTGACAGAAGGCTTTCTCTCATATGGATTGTCGCTCCGAATCGAGACTCACCATCCGTGCATCATCTGCCTCTTTACTCTGTAGTTGTCCCAGACACCCTCGACGGTAGGGTCAAACGGCTCTCCGCTCTTCAAGTGCAATCCGACAATGTGACCCTCCTCGGCCTCTTCCTGCAGAGCGACGATCGAATCCTGGACGTCGAAACCACCGTTGGCCGCGAGCGTCTTCGGGATGATCAACAGCGCCTCGGCGAAGGCGGCCACTCCGAGCTTCTGTCGGCCCTTGGCTTTGGGCTTGGCCTTTTCGTTCAGGTACTGAGCGCATGCGACCTCGAAAGCTCCAGCGCCGGGGATGAGGGATTCGTCTTCGATGGCGTTCTTGACCGATCGCAGACCGTCCCGGATGGCATCGGTGATCTGAGCGATGGTATGGCTGTTGGGTCCTATGTTTCGTTGGACGATATGAAGACGTCAGCGACGCCGAGTCGGCCTGAGAACCAAGCCAAGATTGCTGCTCACCCTTGACCAGAAGCGTGACACTCTTGGGCTCCTTGACCTTTTCTACGAAAGTGTACTTTTCCTCTCCAAGCGTGTGTTCATATACGAGTCCTGCGTAACCCAAAATGTCCGGGCTCAGGTCGTCTACCGAGTTTTGTGCGACACCACCGCAGGCGTATTGCAGCCTATCCATTGCATTCGAAACACGCTAAGTTAGTCTCCAGCCATTCCAATATTTTTCGCATGGATCCGGACTCGCCTCTCCATGTTCCTCCTCTTTGCTCGCCTCAATGCCAAGATCCCGTTCTTGGCCAATACGTCCAGACTCATCGGGTCGATACCCTTCTGGTTGATCAAAACGAATCCCCTCTTCTTGGAACCATCCGACGGCTGTCCGTCTGTCCCGAGAGCTTGATCACAGACCTCGTTCTTCAGAGCGACGATCTTTCGGAGTCGGTCGTCGATGAATTTTCGCTCGGATTCGACGAGCTTTTCTCGTTGTTCCGCCGTCGAGTAGAAGAAACCCGAGTTGACCTCGCTATCGAGAGAACCGCCGAGATATCACAACAGTTAGCTCTTACTGGTTTAAACCGCTCGTCACAAGGTGCCGACGCCGACTCACGTCTTTTCATACTCCAACGACACGTTCATCGTGAGCACAAACGCGTTTTCCACCTTTTTCGGCATATCCGCATGCCTCGCCCCGTGATCGAGCACCAAACCCCGAATCAACGTGCTGTCCGTATCCGTCTTGTGCATCATCTTCATGATCTCTACCATGTGCAGGTCGATGGGTTCACGGAAAGCGTCGACCCCCTTGGCGTCGGCCGCTGGGGGAGGAGCTTGGATAGCAAGGACGGCATCGACGATAGAGGTTGCGAGCGAGGTTGCGAGGGCGGGATGGAGTTTGGTAGAGAGGGAAGTGTGAGCGACGGAGATCAAGGTTGATCTATCGATCTCGCTCGTGATTTTGAATTCGTCCAGGAACTGGCGAGGCAATCAAGAGGATCCCTGATGAGCCGACCCGCACAGAGAGATCGCCAACGACCCCAATTCCGAGCCGAACCCACCTTGAGCGCCTCCTTCTTGGCGATGTCGAAACCCTCTCCGATGACCCTCGGATGCACGCCCTCAGAGATGTACCTATCGGCCTGCTTCAACAACTCTCCCACGAGGAGGACGACCGAGGTGGTACCGTCCCCGCATTGCTCGTCCTGAGCCACAGCCGTCCGTGCGATCATGGCGGCAGTAGGATTCTGGATCTGCATCTCGGATAGGAGAACCTTGCCGTCCTACAAGGCGTAATAGCGAGATAGACATGTATACCGGCTTATCAGTAACCGCGCCGAGATGAAGTCTGCGATTGCTGTTTTGTCGGGTAGAACGCTCACCTTGGTCATCTTGATTCCTCCAGCGCCGTCTACCAACATCTTGATGGTACCTCGAGGACCTAAAATTCGCGTATCATAGCTGCTGCTCAGCCACACTGCTCCTTGCCAGGCCTCTCGGGCGGTCCCACGGATACATACCGAGGTTGCTCTTGACGACGTTGGCGAGACCCATGGCGCCCATGGTGTTGACCTGGAGCGCCTGCGTCCGCCTGACGCTCTCGGCTTTGGGATTGATGAGTTCGATAGAGGATGACATTTACAGGATATGCTACTATGATCAGTATGAAGGTCAGAGTGGGTTCGATTGGAACAAGGATGATGTTGACCTTTGATCGTGCTTCGAGCTCTAGCTTGCGATCAAGCTTCGCGTCACTCACTCAAAAGATCACAAATCCCCCCATTAAGTAGTGCAACGCTCGCTCGGGTTAGAAGCGCGCGCAGGGAGGGGTGGACAAGGTGGATGACTTGGAACATCGATTACTCAACAACCGGGGATACTAGAGCCTCACAAATAGCTTCATGTGATCGGGAAGCGACTGAAGCCTCCTAACAGTTGCTGATTGTCGTGAAAAAGAGTCTTTCATACGGATCAAATCGCGTTACGATCTGACCCTACGATCCCGTTCGATTGTCGAAATCGTTAGGCGCGTACGAGGAATGAGCTGGGCCCTCATCTCCCCCTTTCCCACCTCGACCCAGCGAGCGACTCTAGACCATCCTATACTTCGATCCGATCCAGTGCGAATAGAGACCACAGCGAGTAGGTGTACCATACAAGCCAGAAATCTTAGTAGCAGACACACATACATATCTTCTCTCCTTTCTCTCCTTCCCCCCCTTTCTTTTCCCTCGTCTCGCCGAACTCGATCCATGTTCGCGCAGCAACATCATCGAGGCACCCCGACACCAGATGGTGCTCAGCAACAGCGGGCAAACGATATACTCAAACAACAGCAACAACAACAGCAGCAGCAGCAAAGTAATAACGGTGCAGGGGTCGGTAACGGGATCCCCTGGCCGCAACAGCATCAACATCATCAGCTCAGGGATGCTCTAGGGGGTGGAGGATCGGGAATGTCAGCGCTGGCTCAGACGAACGGGACGCAGAACGGAGGAGCATATGGTAGCGGAGGTGGGATGCAAGGGTTCGGGTCGGGAAACAAGGGATCGACGGGGAACAATGCCGGTAACAACGGCTTCGCCCATCAAGGCTTCTTCAGCCATAATCAACAACAGCAGCAATCCCAACAGCCGCCTCAACAGCAAACACATCATCAGCAACAACCTCCGCATCAACGTCTGCAACAACAGGACTGGCAGCAGTCATACGGTGGCTCCGTTGGAGCGGGTCAGGCAAATCAAAACTCGACTCCTGGTCAACCTCACCTCCTGCCCAACAATCTCGCCGCACACCTGAACAACCCGGGTATGCCAGGCCAGTCTTCCGGTACTCCGCAAATGTCTGCCGGGAACATCCAATCTCATATGCAGCAAGGTGGAGTAAATGCTGCTACGGCGGCCCTTTCCGCTCTCCAATTGCGCGAACAGCAACAACAACAGCACTCGGCCAAGCTTTCTGCCGCCCTGCTCGTCCCTCAAGGGTCCCAATCGATGAACAACCCCAATACCTCCCCGCAACCTCATCCTGGCTCGTTGCAACCTCATCACCCTCTCCCGAATCTTTCTCATAGCAACAACCCCTCCGGCAACCCTTCCTCGTCGGGCAAACTCCTCCTGCTTCCACCCGGCCGAGCGCCTCCCCCAGGCTCAGAAGAATCCAAGATTTATATCCTCATCGCCGAACTCCTTGATCCTCAGACGAGAGAGACTGCCCTGCTCGAACTATCCAAGAAGAGGGAGATGTACGAAGACCTCGCGCTCGTGCTCTGGGGAGGGTTTGGGATCATGAGCTCGTTGTTGCTCGAGATTGTCTATGTCTACCCGGCTCTAAGCCCACCCAGCTTGAGTGCACACGCGAGTAACAGGGTGTGTAACGCGTTGGCGCTGTTGCAATGTGTAGCGAGTCATGCCGAGACGAGGAGCTTGTTCTTGAACGGTACGTATGGCGAGACGAGTTTGGTTGGTCAACGCGCGTGTGAAGTGCGGATGAGAGCTGATCTCCAAAATCGATCCACATAGCCCATATTCCGTTGTTCCTCTACCCCTTCTTGAACACGACGAGCAAGACGAGACCGTTCGAGTACCTCAGACTGACCTCGCTCGGTGTCATTGGGGCTCTGGTCAAGGTGAGCGCTTGTCTCCCAGTCTGCATGATGACAGGACACTGGTTGATCTCGGCATCTCGCGTTCTGCAGCAAAATGACAACTCGGACGTCATTAACTTTCTGCTCTCGACCGAGATCATCCCCCTCTGTCTGCGAATCATGGAAACCGGCTCGGAACTTTCCAAGACGGTGGCCATCTTCATCGTTCAAAAGATCCTGCTCGACGACCTGGGTCTCGCTTATATCTGCCAGACTTACGAGAGATTCTACGCTGTTGGGACTGTGCTCAGCAACATGGTCAACGCGCTCGTGGATACGCAGGCGGTCAGGTTGTTGAAGCACGTCGTCAGGTGTTATTTGAGGCTCAGTGATAACCCGAGGTGAGTTGAGAGGCGATTTGACCATGTGGTGTGTCCAGTCACTGACGACAAGTATTCATGATGCAAACAGGGCGAGGGAAGCGCTGAGGGCTTGTCTTCCCGATGCGCTCAGGGACGGAACGTTCTCCACCCTGCTCAAGGTAAGTCTACGGGGGAATCGATTTCTCGGTTGCTATTAGCTGACTCCGTTTGATTTATTCAGGGAGATGCTGTCACCAAGCGATGCCTCACTCAATTGCTCCAAAACCTCTCGGAGCGATCCGAGTGAGGGAAGGTTTCGAGAGTGACATTCGGGTGCGATTCCCATCTACACCCAGCTCCGGACGAAATGGTTGCCGATACCAACCGCACCTCAAAATTCCGGTCTTCAAATACCCTCATTCCCAACATCTTGGGACAGTTTCGAGAACGATCTAATGGATACACACACGCCCACATACGACATCGACACAGACGCCTTTCACCCACACAACTACATCCACTTGCCGTCTCTTTCCATCTTGTTCTCCTGCATAGGTCAAAATCTACCACGTCGTGCCGATCTTTCGACCTCCACAAACCATTCCAGATCGAATATCGCGACACCCTTTCTCGTCTTCTGGGCCAATACCGGCTATAATCTTTCGGGATTCGGAGCGCAACCATATTTTCACGCTACGGGTTGTTGAATCATACGATCTTCCTTCTCTCGTTTCTCTCAAATTTGTACCGAATATTCGCCCGGAACCGTCTGCTGAGACGTCCTGGCGGTTTTTCTTCCCTTATCATCTGCCGGGTTGTTCAACATTACACTTGTATCAGAAATCGATGTGATTCGAATTTAGGCATAGCCTCATCCTGCCATGCGGCGCATAGGGTACAGCAGGTCTTGATCTCGTGCATGTGTGACATCTTGATCCCACAGAATTTATTGCGTCTTTTTCGTCAGCGCCGGACCCGCATCCTCGTTAAAGGCCACTACTACGTAAGCTACCATGACAATGTTGGCAGACACGATGGCGGCGATTGCAGCAGACGTCGAGTTGCCTGAAATCAGGTTTGTGATGCCTTCAGTTCGAGGTCGCATTGTTTGTCATCGACAAGGCTCACTCACCGTCAAACGCGTGCTTGATGGTCGTGAAATACGTCGCGATAGGAACGACGGCTACTAAGAATGCGAAGAGAAGGAGTTTGGCCAGGACGTTACTGGACCAAACCAGGAGGTTAGGTTTGCTGTGAAGTGTTCGACATTGTCTGATCTTACCTCTGGAAACCCGTCTCGGCCTTTTGTGCCACGACGTATTTGGGCTTGGCCTGGACGACCGTCTTTCGGACGGCCTTAGGATCGACGGAATCCCAGCTATAATCCCATGACAGGTGTGAGCCCGATGACGTCTCATATACTTGTTGCTTCCCTTGTAATGCTACTTACTGAGGGAAAGTCATCGGCAAGCTGGTCTGATCATCCGGGTCCAGCCCCTTGAAATCCTTCTTGATGACGTCCAAACAAGCGTTGTACACGATCTCGTACCCTTCCGAAGTCATATGAAGACCGTCCGTAAAGAACCTCCTCATGGCCTTTTCATCCCGTACGTCTCCGCCTGCCGCAGCAATGAGAGGCGCCCAGGTATCGATCACCCTGAGCTTGTCTGCAAACTCTGGATTGGTCCGCTTGAACTCGGCCCCGATCTTGATGATCTCGTCCCTGTATCGCTTAGTGTTGTCCAACGAGCGGTCGGCAGGAGTTCGTTGCTCGGGCGGGTATTGCAGCTTGGCTTCTTCCCTCATCTTCTCAACGAGCGGAGGTGGGGTCAAGAGGAGGACATAGGCGTGCGGTTGGTAGTACTCGGACGAAGGGGAGAGGATGGATCTAACGTAGTATTTCATGTTCTCCGAGTACTTCTCGAGAGGCAGGTGCTGGTGTCTTTGAGGAAAGGTGGAGTCATTTGCACCTGGATGGAAAGGAGGATCGATTGCGGCTCTTCGAGGTGTTCTCAGGTATCTCGAGCCGGCTCACCTAGCCACAAGGTAACCAGCCGAACGACGGGACAACCCTTCTGTTCCTTCTTCTTGGCGAAAGCTTTCTCGAAGATCGGCAAGTTCCTGAGAGCGACATGGCCATGAAATGAGTGCTGGGATCAGAATGTGTGCGAGATCTCAAGCTAGGCAATCATTGCAACGCACCATTCCGAGGTGTAACCTGAAGCCGCAAGTGGTAGTCAATCAGATCAGCTGGAAACTCGACGCCGTTGAAAAGAAGTCCTAACCTCCGAATCCTCGGTTCAGTACATCAAGTCGTCGAGAATAGGCGGCTGATGGAGGATATCAGAGCTTCAGCTACACTTGCCGCTTTTTCGACAGAGCGGTTCGAAACCGACAGGTGAATCGGTGTGCCAAAGATCCAGCAGCCCATTCTTGCGTGATCGAATCTCCCTAAGGAACGGACCACAATCGTGGTCAGGATCTGTACCGGTATCCATCACGCCATAACGATGAATCGACCTACGAAGAGGACGATAGTGTCCTGGAAGCTCTTGGCCATGGTAAAAGACAGGAGATGCACGACGGAGAAGAGGTAGCGACGAACGTGTATCTTGCAAGATAGCGAAGTCTTTCAAGTGGCAAGTGGACCGAACGATGTTTCGATCGCAGATATCGCAGTCCATGAAACACTGCTATGCTTTCAACTGAAATACGAAGTACAAGTTTCCCCTCTCTTGCTCAATCGATGAAGAGGCTCGAGTTCAAGTGATGAGCCACCGCGCGAATTGTTCGGTATACCGGGCCGTTTGTACCAACTCGATCCCGCGCACTCTATCATTGACAAGACACCCTTCATTTTCAGACAACTGCCACTTGAGCAAAAACAGTGCCAGAATCAAACAATAAGGGGTATATAATCTCTGGTCTTCTATCTTCTGTATGCATGTGAATTGAAGGAATACAGCCTATTGGTTGTCTATCAATAAGTGAACTAAGATTGTATGTTTTTTGAGGTTAAGTCTCGCTTTTGCGAAGGTCCCGCGCACGACATCTTTGATCACGCAGCTCAAGTACATCATCCAACAACCTGGCAAGTCATGTTCATCAATATTGCTGCTAAAGTCATCAAATCACATGCATATGAAAGATAGGAGACTAAAAATCCATATCCACTTATTGAGATGATGATAGTACAGATATTGATAGAGATACAGAGGTTCAAAGTTTGGGTACATCCTTCAAGAGAGTGAGCTGTCAACATGAGAGTGCGCGGGAGTCGAGTTGGTACAAACGGCGCGTCATAGTTCGGACAACCCTGCGGTCTCCGTCTTCATTTTGATCCATACTTAGTTCACCAGTCCACCCTTTCGGACGAGACTCTCCTCGACCTCTGAATTGATCCCCAGACCTTGTCGGAGGTTCTGCCCGTTCTGTGGAAGGTTTGCCATCCTTCTAACTTCTTGCTCCACGCTGACCAGCCTGGAAGATGTGTCGGTAGTCGACAATGAAGGGGTAGGGACAGCATTACCATGTCGCCCAAAAGCTTTGCCGAAGTTGGGCATGATGATATCGTGGTATAATATCGGTGGGTCTAGGTGCTATATGAGCAGGTGGAATGATCAACGTGACTGGTAGCTATTACCATGACCGGTTGTACTACCGATCCTGACGATGGTTGAATCTTGCCTTCAACCTAGCGATTCTGCGCCCGAAAGCAGCAAGATAGAACAGAGCAGGCTTCGGATCGTAGACAGCCTTGTAATTAGTAATTAGAGGACTGTGGCCCACACTTGACCACATGACGACTCGCCTAGAAACCTGGTTCTAAACTGCCAATACGGTCTCGACCGGTCCGGCCCTTGCACAGCATGATTTATGGTCCCTAAACGAGCTCACAGTTCTCGCCGATCTCACTAGCCGTTTCATGGTCATCCGTGTACAGTACAGCATCGAGCGACATCATCATGATGCATGATGAGCTGGCGATCCTTCCGTTCGTTCCGATGTAAACCGGCTGCAGCTATATGACCTACTGTTCTTCTCTCGATCGAAGCGCAAAATGCGCAAGTAAGCGCGCAAGAGATGAGACCATCAATCGTATACAGATATACAGATCTAGAAGTCACCGCAATCGCAACGTTTGACAAGGATTTGACAACAAAATACCGCCCACGTAGTTCGCCCATTCCGTCCAAAGTCGACCAAGGATGTCTTCGAACAACACTGCCCTCGAGCCTTACAAGGTCGAATTCATCGAAAAGGCCATGGAGAGCAAGGTCTTGCTGTTCGGCGATTTTACCTTGAAGAGCGGAAGGTGCGATCTAGATCGAAGGTGAACGGGCTACGGAATACTCCTCTGACTGAAATACTGTCATCATTCGACAAATCGATCGTATCCGGACTGTACGGTCTCAAACACATATCTGATACCAAATAACAGGCAATCCCCGTACTTTTTCAACGCCGGGCTGCTTTACACCGGCTCTCTCATCTCTCGTGCCGCCTCATCCTTTGCATCGACAATCGTCTCGGGGAAAATCCCCGACTTTGACGTCCTGCTCGGACCGGCTTACAAGGGGATCTCATTGGCCGCCGCGACAACCATGACGTTGTACGACAAGCACGGTATTGACAAGGCGTACTGTTATAACAGGAAAGAGAAGAAGGATGTGAGTTGTGATGGTGGTCGACAGCTGGTTGGTGAACTGTGATTGAACTGACTAATGATCTGCTGATTCTCGGTAGCATGGTGAAGGAGGTGACCTCGTAGGAGCTCCCCTCAAAGGTCGAGTGGTCATCATCGACGACGTCCTCACTTCAGGAGTAAGTTCAAGTTGGAAAAACGATAGAGCTAGGCCTCGCACGTCTGACTTGGAGATGCCTACCTCGCACCCTCTCCCGTCTGTAGAAAGCTATCCGGGAAGCGATCGCCATCCTCGCCAACCATCCGGAAGCCAAGCTCGTCGGTATCCTTCAACTGGTCGACCGACAAGAACGGGGTCAGAACAGCCAACTCTCGACCGTTCAAGAGGTGGAAAAAGAGTTTGGCGTCCCCGTCGTACCCATTATCGCCTTAAATGACATCATGCGATACATGGATGGCAAGGACGATCTGAAGGAGAATCTGGAGAGGATGAAGGCGTACCGAAAGGCTTGGGCTGTCGAGGCTTGATCGCGGTGTCGATGATGACTGAAGCCTATCGTGTTGCGACGTGTCAATGCGTGAGGGTGTTCGGTGTGTGAGGATGTGCATATGTGTATTGAATACAAACAAGATAAAATACAAATCGTATATATGCGATAGTTCCGATTCTTTACATGCGTGACGTTACTTTAGTGTTCTCCAATATTTGGTCTTGAGTGATGGTGAGCCTTGAGCCTGGAGATGTTGATTTCTCGGCGTGATCTGATCCTGGGTGATCACGAATGGAAAGAGTGGGCGGGTGATGCAGGAAGAATGATGTACTGATGAAAGTGTTACAGAGGGATGCCGTGAGAGGTCCCGAGGGCGAAATGCGTCCGCCTGCTCGGTCGAGACAGTCGACAACGAGCGTGGATGTGTAGGCGAGTGTGTGTTTGAGTCGTCAATGCATGTGGCGGGAGTCGTGAAGAAACGAGAATGAATGCTAATCTCCAGGGAGGAGGGCCGATGGCATTCCCGATTCTATTCCTTGCCTCGTCCGGTCTTGAGCCCAGATAGCATTTTGCCAAGTGAAGCAATTTGCTGCTTGAGCTTGGCAGGCGATCCAGGGGTTCCAGATGTATCCGACTTGTAGGCTGGGACTGCAAGCCTACCTTCAGAATCGTGTTGAGCCTCTTGCATGGCGGTACCAATACTGTCCTTGCGCTGAATAGCTGGCTTCTCACTGATACTTTCGAGGAAAGGTCGACTGCCTCGTGTGGAAGACTTGTTCTTGGCCAGTGGGGGTCTGTGAGATGCGGGAAACTGAGAATCAGCAGGAGCTAGGCTACGAGATGTCACTGATTGCTACAGACCTGGAAGGCGGGTCCGTCTCTTGACTGTGTGGCCCGTGGTCACGTGCCACACCGTCCACCAAGCTTCCCTTCGATACTACCGACTGAGATGGTGGTTTGTTCGGGTATCGAGTACTACCTTGCTGCAGGCCAGGGCCCAAGACTGACTTGCTCGGCGTGATGGTGCTTGGCCTGTTATTTTCGATGGAATGGATATGAGCTGGTGATGCAGGATCGCTGTGACCGCGAGACACTGACGAGATGTAGCCTGTGTACTGTGAGAGAGGCAAGCTATACGTTTGGAGTGAGCCCACAGGAGAAGTGTTCTGCGACCATGCCAGAGTAGGCACGGGGGACATATCCCGTCCGTCAAAGCGCTTCACACGGGTCTGACTACCTTCCAACCGGCGCGGGCGTCCGTTGGTGAGTACGTTGCGTCCACGTTCGTCTTCCTGCTGTGTGAATGTCCCCTTCTCGAGCGGGCCGTCCAGGGTCATAGGCGCAGGTGGCCTTCTCCAATTGTCACTATCCAGGCCGCACGGCAAGCTTTGTGTGGGATTGAAGGTAGAGACTGCGCTCGTGGGCGACAAGCTCAGCACGGGCGTAGCTGCAGTCGTGTCATCACTCGAATTCATGCTGGATATAGATCGGCCCTGACCACCAACGTGCTGCATCTTGGCGGGAGCGCTGCGGTACGCGGACGAACCCGAGTCACGCTCCTGAATCTTCTTGACCAAAGCTTGGAGTTCGGGATTTCCGTGAGACTTGGACATGAGGGCTTTCCATCTCGACTGTTTGAGTTGGCCGGGCTTCACATCTTCCCCAAGTTTGGGAAATTCGTCGAGATCAATGACCGACCCTTCTGCCGATTTGGTAGCTTTAGATAACTGTCTGGCAAGGGTCTGCGAAGCTTCGGCCAGATCCTGAAGAACGGCCTCTTTCTCGGTGTGGGCAGTGACATGAGAATTGGGTGCTGTGCTTTCCGGCATACCTGCCATGAGGGCAGCTGCAGCAGCCGAGGCGGCCTTGTTCTTGCTTCGAGTACCTCGCTTCTTTCGCTTTGCCGAAATGGGCCGGGAGGCTTCATCATCCCCGCCGTTCGGAGTGCTTGCCTCTAGGGTACTTTCGACTTGGGCGACTGTAGACGACCCATCGTCGACGATTGACCTAGGGGTTTCCTGGACCCCATTCAACAATGCCGCCTCCGTCGGGACCAAAGGCGGCGCGAGGGTTTGTAGGTCGTTTCCAGAATGTGCCGATTGGGTGGCCATTGGGGAAAATCCGCTGAACAGCGTTGGGGTCTTGGGATGCGAGACAGACACCCCTCGCGGTTCGATAGGACTCTTCTTGAACTCTAGAGGCCCGCGATCCTTGACGACGCCGGCATTGAGATATGACATTCGAAGCGCACTGACCGCCTTTTTGCCACCGATCATGCTCGGCAGGTGTCGAGCCCATCGCCCGAAATCTCGAGCCGACGTGCGTCGGTCGGTATACACGTTAAAGACCCGCTCGGCAAGATAAGCAGCAACTTCCCGACCGATACCGGTGAATCTCGATAGGAGGAACTCGACTGGATCGTCGAGAAAGCCGTCAAAGTTCTTGTTGCCGGGCACCGGGTCAGTCCATGGGTTTCGATGAAACAGCATGTTGAGAAGCACGACCCCCAATGACCAAACATCGGCAGGGCGAGGTTCGTAGCTAGGTCCAAGCTCATTTCGACACTCTATGTATATCAGTTAACAAGACGTCAGCCATCTGCTCGCCGCGACTTTGAACACCACCACTGCCTCACCATATGCCATGTATGGACGGCTTCCACACTCTACGTCTCCGCTGGTCTCATCGGTGGTCGCGAGACCAAAGTCTGTCAGCTTGACAATGACCTTCTTGCGTCCCGTTCCAGCATAGTCATCGCCGTCACGAGCTGAAGCCAATTCATCGGAATCGCAGCAGATGAAATTCTCCGGTTTGATATCCCGATGGCTCACGCCAATGTCATGGCACAAGGCGACAGCTTCGCACATTTGCGCAAACATGGACGCGATCAGCTTCAACCGACGAGCGGACAACAGGGCATTTGCCGAGTAGGCCGACAACAGGCTAGGAGTAGTTGGCGTTGCAGCGTGACCACTTGACGGTTGTTGATGTAAATGATTGTAAGGCGAATGCATATCGTGGCTGAAATGGCTTCGATGCGAGAACGCAATGGGCGATTGACCAAGCCCACCATGGGGCGTGCCCATCCCAGAGATCATGGCGCTAGTCGAAAACGGTACCGCCGAAGATGGTAGGTTGCTCGATGACAACGGGATGTTCCTGGCGTGAGGATGCGGTTCGGGTGACTCGTTGTGAATTTCAGGATGGTGATTCTCGGTGGTGCTGGGTGGCGGCGAATCTCGAGAATGTTCAAGCCAGTAAAAGCTATGTTTGACCGCATCAAGTCAGTAACGGCGGATAGACAGAATGTTGGGTTCGATAGCATACAGATCTTCTCCTGGACACATTTCCAGCAGTAAGAACAGCCACTTCTTGGTTTGCAGCGTTTGGTACAACGTCACGATGTTTTGGTGCCGAGGCAAAGACATGTGAATTGTTGCCTGTTGTAAAGGATGAGTATCGTCAGACGACGGGTATAATGCGCAAGCTGATTGTAGGTTACTCACCTCGAAGAGCTGAACGTGTAAAGCGTCACCTTCGAGATCTCTCTTGGAGAGGCATTTGAGCGCTGGGATAGCAAAGTTGTAGGTCAGCTCTGTTTCAGTCATGTCCATCGGTAAACTCACCAAATTCTTGTCCACCTCCGACCTCTTTGACCAGATACACGGTCGCATAGCTCCCCGAACCCAATTTACGCACAACCTCAAATATCCGCCTCTGTGCCCGTTCATCCGCATCCAAGCCGTTTTCACGAAGAGAAGCGATGGATCCTGCGCTCGATTGAGGCAGACTGCGGCCATTCTCCTTGCTTCGTGCCACCGGATCCACATCCTCTATGATCTCGCCTCGGAATGCCAAACCCTCACCGATCCTGTATCCAGGAGGAAAGATGCCGTCGTCGTCATCATCGTTGTCATCTCTTCCATCCCATGCCGACTGATTGCCCATATCCATCCCCTGGACTTCGACTTGAAGCCCGGCCACATCGTCCGATCCAGAGTCCTTGTACAGCTGATCCGGTCCTCCACGTGAAGATTTCCTTCGTGCAACGGTGTAATCGTCGTCGTCGTCCTCGAAAGCCTCGTCCCACCCAAAATCGGCAAACTCGATATCATCTCCGTTGCCCTTGTCCCATTTCCCCTGTTTCTTGTGAGGCGTCGTACTTCGCGAAGGTGCATTCTCGTCGACCTGGCCCAGCATGGCCGTCATCGGATTACCACCGATCTCCCTGCTCATGCGTCTCGAGGGAGAGATGGGCGGACTGCCGACCTTCTGCACCGGCGTCCTCGATCTAGACCTGGACGCTAGCGAAACCGAGACAGCGAGAGCGACGGAAGAAGGTCTCGACCGGTTCAGACCTGGGTGTTGCGGAAGGTGTTGTGCGCCGGGTTGACCGTCGGCTGCGACACTGGCGCGCAAGTACTGTTCGGCCGAGACGAACGAGACGTTGTTGCTCAACAACCCTGGCGAAGTCGTGCCAGACCCAACCCCAGTGTACGATTCTCCTCCCCCTCCACCGTAGGCGAATCCGTTTTGCACAAAGGCCGACATCCCCTTGGAAAAGCTCGGCAGACGAGATTTTTCCCCCAAGTTTGGACTCCCGACGACTGACTGGCTGGCCGAGGTCACATTCGATCCCTGACCCGAGTGGACCGGATATCCGAAACCGAAAGGAGCAAAGTTCGCCTGGATCTGAGCGTGGGCGAGTTTCGGGCTCGGTTTCGGAGACGCATTGGCTGTGACGTAGGACGTCTGGGTTGTCGGCGCCAGATGCCTCAGCACAGGGGAAGGAGAGGCCTCCCCCGAACTAGTACTAGGGCGCTTGAAGTGATCCATCGTGACGCCGTCGTCGCTACTGTCGCCGCGTTTTCCGTCTGGTCAATATCTCGAGCTGCTCTAGGTTGACGAATCGTAGCCGCTGATCTGGCTCTGCCACAAAGATCAGCCAGCTCGAGTCGAACCTCGCAGTCCGTGTGAAAAGGCGGTGGTCTAAACCCTTCCTGCTTCGTTGTCTGTATTGATGCTGACAATGGATCTGGCCGAGATCTTGTAAACAAGGTCTCCGTAGAGAGCTCGTAGTTTTAAGAATTCGCTATTCAGCGTGCCAGCGCAAGATCTCCAGCAGAGCCAAACGAGACCAGAAACGGCTCCTCCTTTCTTCTCTCCTTTACCTTTGAATCCCCCCCTGTCCTTGGCTCCACACGTTACACAGCTGCACCTGACGAGATCGACACGATCGGCTCCTGGTCAAGCTCCTGGCTGTGAGCACGCAAGAACCAAAGGTCGACAGAGCAGAGATGACGTCCGTGTCTTGTCTTGCCTACTCCTAGCTTGAGGCTCTCCCTGGCTTTCCTCCCGAGGATCCGTTCAGGATTCTGAGCTCAGGTTTGAGTCGATGCTGCACGTGGAACTCTTCTCTCAGTCCTCCAACGTTGTGTGGGTTCAGCTAAACCAAGAAGGTGCCTATGACGACGGCACGATGAGAGCGTGGAGCAAAAGATGGAGGTCTCGAGTCGGATATGACCAGGGGAACCGTGATGGTGGAGGAGGCCGAACCCTCCTTTCAGTCCGTCTCCTTGAAACGCCGACACGTGAGCGCAGATGTGACGTGGAGGCACGGCTACTGTTTGCTGTCCCGTCTTCGGTATCCCCTTCTTTAGGACCCGGCGAATCGTACCACAGCGACAGCGACAGGGACTGTGGGTACGTCACAATCTAGCGGTGTTTCCGTTCCTTTCTTCTTCGACTCCGTCGAAATCCAGATCAGGGGAATGGGAAACGTGGATCGAAAGCTTCCTTTCCTTTATCCAGTGACTCCGGCTTCGAGCAGCACCGTCAAGATACGGGACGAGTCCGGTTTGTAGTTTCCAGGTCTGGTCTTATCTGAGAGGAAGCTCAGATTCGTCCAGGGTACGATATGACGGCCGACAGCGGGGGTATCGTACTGTGAGCCTTCCGAATGCTTGATGGGTATTGGTGTGCAGGCAAAAGGGAAGAGCAGGCGGTATTCGCAGAGTAGCACGCTAGGAAAGGGAGATGGATGTCGGCAGTATAATCAATTTCGATCCAAAGAGTGAAGTGGTGTGATGGTATCCGGGTCTGTCTGTTTTCTGAATGCCGATTGATTTAGAAATGCCGGTCGAGTGAGATGAGGTGCAGGTTGTGGGAATGGGTATGGTAAGATCAGGAATCAGGGTTGGAGTGCAAATGATTCGAGGTCGTTCCGAGTTGACGGGATTGTATTGCGGTCGAATTGATTGTCCAAGATACGAGATGTTTAATTTGTCGTTAATCGAGGTCCAAACCAGACAAGTTCCCCCAGCCCCCAAATTCGGTCGTCGTAAAGAGTTATCGGGGTGCAAGGTGGATCAAGCCCCATCGACGGCAAGTGTAAGAAGAGTCCGAAGAGGTGGATACAATGCAGTATGGCGTGGTGCACACGGACCGAGGTGCGAGGTGATGAATGTCGAACACGGTCAAGCCCGAGCAGCGTCGTCCATCGTGGTGATCATCGTTCGTGGTAGCACGAGGCGCAAGCACCAGAGTGAGAGCCCAGCGTCGGGGATCGAATAAAAGATCCAAAGGGATATACCGGGCAATTATGATTTCGGGGAGTGAAAACAGAAGGAAACTACGGTCAGCGCTATTGTTCTTGCAGGATGGCCGGCGAGCGAGGTTACGGTCAAGGGAGTTTGATCCCCCTACCGCGGATGAGCTGACCTGGTGGAATGCGGAACGAGATCGTCGACGGTTAAAGGGAGATGAACGGCCGGGGGTCGAGGAGGATGAGAGGGTGGAGAGGAAAAGAAGAGAAGGAGATTTGAATGGAACGTCTAGGCTGATATTGCTGTGTACAACTAGCACTAACTGTGTGACTTCCTGACACCCTGACTGCGATGACATGACCACCCATCCCCGTCATGCCCCCATCCCTCGAAGTTGTCCCTCCGCTTTAAACTCGGGTCGGGTGTGTGTCGTTGCGGGTCTTGCCGTGCCGTAAGAGGAGGGGGGGGGGTTATGCCGGCAGCCTAGCCCAGCCCCATTCTACCCCACAAAACCTCGAATTGCCCTTCCTTCCTTTCGGGTCCCGCGTGACTCGAACACACACATTCCCCCCTACTCGCTTCCACGCCGCCCTTCCACATGGATCTCGACATCTGCCTCCGATGAGTATCACGTGTGATGAAACTCGCTCGGTAACCCAGAACATGCGATCAGCGGATCAGCGGCCAGCGTCGCTCTCGCTTTCGCGCAACCTCTTGCGCCGATGCAATCATCCAGGTTGACGGCCTTGCCTCTATGTGTTGTCAAGGCGTGCTGGTGCCAATGCCAGCAAAAGAGGGCAACAAGGCCATGGAAATGGTTGTCATCAACATTGAAGGGGGTACAACTTGGACACCGTACTTCTGCCTGTAGCTTTGAAGGTAGACAACGTTTGCCTGTTCCATGTCGGCAAAGTACCTCAACTGATCCAGCTCTTCCTTCTTGGTCTTCCTCGCATCCTCGATCTCATTGATGTGCCGAGTGAGAGCGTCGGTGGCCCTTTGGTTGCATGTAGGCAATGTTCGCCTGTTCCATGCTAGCGAAGTACTATAGCCATGTGGCATAGGTCTCGCCAGCCCGCAGAACAGAGGGTCGATGGACGCAGAAGGGCACGCCTGAATGTGGGGATAAGCTGCTGCTGGCTGCATGACTGTCGTCCCAACTCCACTGGCAACAGGGACCGCGCCTTCACTCGCCTTCTCGGACCAACGGTCTAGATGTGGTCAGCTGGAAATAGCCAACCTCAGCCAGTCCAAACTCATTGGGGAGGCCTTCTGAGAGAACCACTGTATGCACCGGCTGTCGCTAAATCTGTCTCGGATTCGTCGGTCAGTCGGTCGCATTGACATGTAATCGCCTGTCATTTCAGCTTCGACACAGATTCCCCCTCGCTTGCCCTTGCCTAAAATTACAATTCCGTTCGCCGAGATGGCCCGCAGCTCAGCCTATCAGAGCTGTAGATTGTGCTCACTGAGTTACGAATTGCTTCTTTGGCCGAATCCCAACGGTTCCTCTCGAATTCAAATCACTATCCTCATCCCCTTTCTCAACATTATAAATTCCACTCCTAACCCCTGGCCCCTCCCCTTCGCTTGTGCTTCCAATTCGTCCAACTCTCGCTTGATCAGCGTCATGATCCCCAGCCCCGAAGGATCTGGTTTCAGCGGTTGTTTCACGTGGATGATGTAAATCTTGAGGCCTGCAAGAGGCAACGGGAAAGGTAGTGACAAAGATGAGGAGCTTGATGAGACGGATGGAGATTGTGCTTGTAGTAAGGAGACACAGGCGGCGAGTCGGACGAGTTCGGCGTATAGTGATTGGGGCCGAAGATGACCGAACATCAGATGGCACGGTCGGTCAGACGCGTAAGAACATTCGATCTGGATCGGTTATATGCAAGTGCATTGTGATCAGAGACCCCGTTCATCGTCAACGCACGAGGCGACATCACGCGCACTCACAAAGACGGCTCCAAGTCTCCCTTGATTCCAACGCCTCGCCGCCTCCCGCCAGACCTGAATGTTTACATCCGTCGCGTCTTCGACCCGGACGTCCTCGTCGATCGAACTCTCCACATCCCCCCAGAACAATATCTCCGGTCCGTCGGGCGGTGTCGTCATCGTCTCCATGTCGTGCGACGCGAGGCACGTATCGGCGTTGATGAAGAATGCTGATGATTCGCACGTCCCTCGACTTGTTTCCCCATGCTTGACAGGCATGTGAAGAGCGCTCAAGCCGATACGGCGAGTAGGGTCAATACGAGAGATGCCCGAGATGGGCAGTCGTTGATAGCGCAGGCACGAAGGCATGCTACAGTATCAGGTACGACAAAACGTCAACATATATGAGCCGAGCCGACGGGTAGGATTTTGATGACGAGGCAACACCTACGGGCAGTATTGGATCCCGATGCCGTCCATTGGAGCACATACTTGTCTAGCCGGCTCTTGTCTGCCCATCTCTTCTGAACCGCCGTTATTTTCCTTGTTGACCCGTTCGCCCGGCTCGTCGGCCGTACAGTTACCGTCGTCTTTAGAACGTATCAGACTATCCATCATACCTTCCAACCGGCTCTTGATCCCGCTCAACCCTGATCCCATACCGAGAATCGTATCCCCAGGCGGTATCGGCCGACCCGCCCACGCACCCAGCTCCGGCCAAACCTCTCCGTCGTACACGGTCGAGATCTTTTCCAAAACATTCCGCTGTGCATAAACCTGTATCCGGACGGGTTTGTCAGAAGGGAGCGATCCGGGTGGGTAAGGCGGCAGGCTTCGGGGAGGGAGGGAACCGGTAGCGAGCACCATGGCTAGGATATGGTCGAAATGAGCGTGGGTGATGAGCTGACAGCTGAGAGTGACCGCCAAGGGTAGTATCAGCATGGGAAGCGACTTGTCAGGCCCGTATGGCTGATAACTCACGTAAGTAAGCTGAAGAACCACCCGGCTTTCAACAACGGGGATACGCATTCCGCTGGCCATTGCATTCCTGGGAACATCGATCCCTCCTCTATCAAGGGCATGTCATCCTCCTCCGATCCGGTGGACACGCCGAGAGATCTCAACGTAACCTTTCCGTGTGCTTCGTCCTCTACTTCCAGTACAGTCGGAAATTTCTCCGACAGACCAGAGTTGTGTGGAGTCATGTCTGGAGTGGCTGGAAGTGGTTGTAATGGGAGCTCGACCATGGAAGAATGCGAAGAACCGGCGAGCTGGATTCGTTCCCGCAAAGCCGTGTTCACTGCTCCTTGCTGCAGAAGGGAGCTCAAGGCACCCATTCCGGAACCTACAACATCGAACGAGTCGATGGTGGTCAGAGAGCTCTGCAGCCCAGTCTCGTGCAGCCGGCTTCGACATACCTCCCTCCAGCCCGACCCAACCGTCTGTCCAACTCGTTTCGTACGGCTTGAGTATGTATCCTGATAGTCCTGTTTCCGTAGGTCCTCCCGACTGGCCTAGAACCACCATCTCAAAGGCCAGCGGGCGGTCCGAGCGAGGCATGATACAGAGCCGTACCACTTCCAGAGAGGAATTGTCCCGAACTCAAAGTAAAGGTCCGATCTCGTCTTGCGTATATTGCTAGGCAGAAGACTCTCCAGACTACTTGAATGGCTTAGAAGTAGACCTGAGCCGTGTGACCAGGCAGAGATCTGGACATGTCGTGCTTGATCCAGGGACCTCGAATCACTTGTCGAAATCCACCGACGTCATCGTCCGGGGTTTGTTATCGTTCGGCTTGAGCAAGGTCGATCGGGCCTATTCAACGGCAACGTCTCGAGTTTGACCCGCAGATGTCGATCACCGTGAGCTCAAAGATTGTGCTTTAGCAGATGATGTCCCTTGCGTATTCGTTGAAGTCGTCAGGTCCTCCCCCGAATTTCCTCTTGAGGGACATGTCGAGTGGGAATTCTGATCCCGTAGGTCAGGTTCGAGATATGCTCCCGCAACCTCGACCCATCGATATACCATGATATCATCATGCCCAACTTCGGCAAAGCTTCAGGGCAATGTGGCGATGCTGCTCCTACCTCTTTGTGGTCGACTACTGATACATCTTCCAGGCTGGTCAGTGTGGAGCAAGAACTTAGAAGGACGGCATACCTTCCACAAAATGTGCAGAACCTCCGGCAAAATCTGGGTATCAACTCAGATGTCGAGGAGGGTCTCGTCAGGAAGGGCGCTCTCACTCGGCGCATCAATGAGATCGAGGAGGCGAGGAAGAGCTGGATCAGTTGAGGTACTTTGCCGACATGGAACAGCCAAACGTTGTCTACCTTCAAAGCTACAGGCAGAAGTACGATGTCCAAGTTGTACCCCCTTCAATGTTGATGGCAACCATCTCCATGGCCTTGTTGCCCTCTTTCGCTGACATTGGCACCAGCACGCCTCGACAACACACCAAGGCAGGGCCGTCGTCTGTCCTTGAGGCGGGGCCGTCCACCTGGACCCTCGCCTCGGCTCCAACCGTGACGGAGCTCACATCGGAGGGGGCGACGGAGATCATCAAAAGGTGCATGGCCGAAGCGGAGGCGAGTTGTTGCAAGAGGTGTCGCGAAAGCGAGCACAAGGATGACGGTAAGTCTGACGGTCTGATCGATGTTGGCGAATCCGCTAAATCGGCCTCGATTGAGATCAGAGCACAACCCAAAGCACAAGGGCAAGAAGGCTCGTTCCTAGTCTTATACGGCTGCTCTTTCGACAATAGCATCATTTCAGATCGGGTTTTAGACGAATAAATGTAGCAAAGATTGATTTCTGCGGTTTGAAAGAATTTGTACATCATAGCGCTCTCCCTTCACAAAAAGCTGTTATTATGAATGTCTCTTTCGGTTTCGACAAGTTGATTCTCATGCAGGAGATCCACCGGCATATTTACTATCCCTATTCGAGAGTGACAGAGTGCTCGCCGAGAGCAAGATCCAAGTTCCAAGCGCTGATGGTCTGCTTCTCGGAATCGTAAAACTGGTTTGCGGCTTGCTGACCGTCGAGGCTGATAGTCTTGTTCTCGGTCTGACCGGCAAAGACAACCATCTCGACGATACTCGATCCGTCGTACCCGAAAGTCCCTCCAATGGTCAACGTATCGTTCGCAAAGTCCATAGTCACGTCCGAGAAGTTGTCGCCTACGTCGAGGCTGATACCGTCATCCAGTCGAAGCTCCCCACTAGCCTCGCCCGAAGCGTCGGGGGCGACGACAATGTGGAAGGGAAGTTGTCGATTCTGGTCGGTAGTATTGGCAGCTCCGGTCCTCAAGGGAATAACGGACCCTCCCAAGATATGAAGAGGAATGGTCTCGTAGCCAACCTCATCAACCGTAATCTCGCTTCCGGTTCCCTGGACCGGAGTCAAGTCGAAAAAGTCGTAGTAGGTGGCGTTGGGCACGTAGAAGGTCACGCTGGTCGAGTTTTCCGCAACAACGGGAGAGACCATGAGAGCGGGTCCAAAGTAGAATTGATGCTCGATGCTGATCGTATTGGCGTCCTCGGGGTGCACCCAGGAGAGAGGCCACATGGCTACAGCACAGCGCGTCAGCACCGTAATCCTCTTCAAGGAAGTTATCGCGGACGCTTACCAGGCGTCCCATCCGTGTGGGTCTTGTGAATAAAGGTGTAGATGTAGTCCAGGAGTCTCAAACGAGTCTCGACAGCAGCCTTGCCGGCGACAGTCGACAGGGGGTATCGGTAGAATTCTTGACCGATGCTGCCTATAGACGAATGAAACAGGAGATTTCAACTTGACTGTGCAAGAGAGCAGCCGGCAAGACGGCATGCTTACCGATCTCATTGTGGTTCCTGTAAAAGGTATTGAAAGCTCCGAGCCAAGCCCATCGGGCCAATAGAGTTTCGGTACAGTTGCCGCCAAATCCACCGGTATCAGCCCCCACGACGGGTCCTCCGAACGCAGCGAACAAGAGGTTCTGGCGAATAACCTGAATGTACTGCTCCCAGGTCGACGTCGAGTCCCCCAGCCAGTTGCCGTTATGAGTACCGGTCCCACTGAAACTGGACCTGGCAATGATGAAGGGCTTCTTGTCCGGGTTTCTAGCGAGCTCGGCTTCCCGGGTGACAAGACCGTGCATGGCACCATAAAGGTTATGCTCGTCGTAAGTACGGGCGCCGTTCGCCTGAACAATGTCGGTTCGGACGGTAAAGTCGCTGATATTTTTGAGCCCGGAGCCGTCAGCGTTTTGCATAGAAGGTGCCGCACGTCGATCTTGAATTCGGCTATAAAGTAGATTCCAGAACGTTTGTCAGCAACCAGATGCAATGCTTCGTGTGGGTTGATCACCTTGCGGCTTACTAAGGAGGGTAAAGCCATTGCGAGTCGAGGCCCGGGTCGACAGTATCCGCCATGGTCTCGTTCGATTCCTGCGATTGTCTAGCAACGGGTCGCTGCGAAGTCGAGATGACGTTCCTCTTGGCAGTTGTAGAGGTATTGCTGTTGTCGAACGGAGTAGAGACGTTCATGCCGGCAGTGAAACGCTCAAATCCTTCAACGGTCGCATCCAAGGACCGCGGGGCAGGCCTGACGGGGGGTACCTCCCTCTCGGCCGAGATACGCTGGACGTTCGCCTCGAGGTAGGGCAAGAAGGAGGCGGGTTCGTTCCTGTCAAGCGGTGTTACAAGACGATAAGGTGAGCGTTTGTCTCTTGGGTTTGCAGACAGTGCTCCAAGAGCTCACATGTCAATCCAGACCCCGCTGATGTTGACCCCATTCTCCGGATCGAAGAAAGCGACCATCTCGTCCTGCAACGAGACACCGGAGAATCTTGATGAGTCCATGGCTCGGCTCAATAAGCGAAAAAAGCTCAAGGTCGACTCACGGTCCACCATTGGCGAGCACGTTCGTCGGTAAAGTCTGGGAAAGCAGTCGGTCCGGGCCATACAACTCCCTCATAAGTCTGATTGCTGTTCTCCGGATCCTTGTAGAATACTCCATCGCGGTATCCGTTCTGAAGCGTCGAATAGTTGGAAACGTCGTCCTCGATTCGGCCGGTCGCGACGGCGGGGTCTACCATCATGATCATGTTCTGGCCTCGGGAAGTGAGTTGATCAACAAAGTATTGGACTTTGGCAAGCTCGAATCGGTCCGGGTCCAAAGTCATGATCCATCGACGGAACCTGTGAAAGTAGGGAGTTCAGATGTACGCTAGTGAGCTTTTCGAACTCTTGTTTACGTGGGTAATCGTGCGGTTTTTTACGTACATGTAATCGCTACGAAGGTCAAGTTGAATAGGAATGATAAGCTTTTCGAGCCCCCGTCTCTTGGTCTCTCAGCTTTTCGACGTACATGTCCAACCTGCGACATCAAGTTCCATACTCTTCGGTAAGCTTCTGAAGTTCCTTTCCTCCGTTCGGCTCAAAAACTCACCATTGAATCTGCAAAGGAATACCCGCTGCGCTGTACTGTGGAGCCAAAATCGGCATCCGAAACGACATTAGCTGTAGGCCTCGTACTATCAGGGTCTACAACTCATAGATACGATTTAACTTACGTTCGCGACAGTCTCGGCAGCTTCGACGATATCGTTGGTTCCGTATCTATTGAGCGAGTTACAAGGTCGATCAGCCGGGGTACCAAGCTGTCTCGAGCGAGCGAACCGAACTGACCGGCATTGATGGAATCCGAGACTCCAGTACGGGACCTCAGCAGGGAAGCCTATGGCAATATGCAAATGATTAGTTGAATATCCAGGATTCAATACTCGAGACTTACCGATCGCCTGGACGTATTGTTTCGAAGCTTCGGCTGGGGTGGGCCCAGCGAAGAAGTACAGATCCAAAATCCCTCCAAGCACATTGTACTCGAGGTATCGTCCGCTCTCTGGGAACTTGACGTCCATTCCGTTCGAGTTGAGCAGGAAGACACCGTATGCCGAAGGGTTCTCGCCGGTGATCTGGTTGATGAAGACGGGGTGGGCGCCGTAAAGGTTGGTGTATGTGGGGAGACCGTAAGCGTCCCTTGCCCAGATGGTACGGGTGTAGTTTTCCATCTCGATCGGCAGACTGTAAAACGAATGGCAGTGAATGTCCATTTTCAGAGTAGACGCAATCAAGCGAGGCTGACCTAAAGTTGTCGTTGTGCTGACCGAGACCTTGAATGTGAGAGTTTTCGGGCAGGGACGTCCTCAAACGCAAATACTGCTCTTCAAAGATCAAAGCTGCGCCCGAAGTGTTGAAGAGGACCGCTCCGTCGTCCCTTCGGGAGATGGCGAACGAGAACGGGTTCTCCTCCCAGTCAAAGACGAGGTTGCTAGTCTCGTTCGTGGCTCCGCCGGATCCATCCTCGCTGATAGGAGACCACGCCCCGATAGCATAGTCGACTTGGGTAGGTACGACGTGAGCTCGACCATCAGAGTCTCTAATCTGGACTCGGAGACGATCATCGGTCTCGAACCTGACCTTCAATTCGAGCGTGTTGTAGTCGGGACCATAAGCGGTACAGTTCCCGATGAGCTGAAGTTGTCCGTCGACACCGCCCTCGATGACGTTTGCAGAAGTGAGTTGGTAGCCTTGACAAGCGTCGACGTCACCAGTGTGTTGGATTGGAGATGGAATGTTGATGATGGCCGGGTCAGAAGAGACTGGAGCGGTTTCGGTGGAAGAGTCGGTGTCGTTGCCTTGCTGTTCTTGACGAGGTCGGAGTTGGCCGCCGCCTAGTTGGTAGATCGGGGTCGCGGTCGCGAGACCAGCGACGGCCAAGGTGGCCAAGGTGGCAGTGAAGGACTTCATAGATAGGTGTCCCTTTTCTGCGAGGATGAGGTTACTCGGGGTAGAATGTCGTCTATGATCATGTGAGAGGGAGACGTACTTGCTAGTGGGTGGTGTTATATACTCGTGTCATTCATCGCCTTTTCAGCGATCAGCGACGAACGACCTCTTGTGCTCTCTCTTGCGGTGAGTCTTCGGACGAACGCGGGCGCTACTCGAACTCGTGACCTCGACCCCAGATTCCCATCTCGTCCTTCGCTCCGTCGTCATGCAGGCAGTCATGCAGTCAAGAGTTTGCTCGTATGGGCTCGGCGCACAGCAGTCCAGCGCACTTGAGACTGGAGTAACCCCTCTTTCGATGCACAGACGAACCGCAGAATGACGAAACCGCTCATATGGGCCTGCGTTCCCTCCGGTGCCCGTGCTGGGGCAGGGGATCGATCATGTGACTCGGCCGTGCACATGTAGGAGATTACATGGATCGTGGATACGTCGTCCCCGGCTGGAAAATTGTCTTGGAACTGGGGGTATGAACGTACGGGGTCCATACCGAAGCGATGCGCAGTGCCATACGTCATGTAGCATGTAGAGTAGGTATTATCGCTCCGTCCGTTTCGCAGCCCCAAAGCGCTTTGAGAACGACTGATATGGGATGTACTAGTAGCGCTCCCGAAATTCGTCACGGGAAGCAAGCGACCGGAAGTAATGCTTCGACACCGCAAGAACTATGATATATGCTATACAAAGGTGGAATTTAGAAACACTGAAGACACATCATCACAAGAAGGGGAAAGATTGACCGGAAAGGGAGGAGATCAAGGACCGGAAAGAGATCATAACGTGCTAGGCGAGATTCGGGCTCTAAAGCGAGTCTCCATGAACCCTCTTGCTGTGGTGGGGCGCTTAGCATAGCGAATGAAGGTCGAATCAGCGATCGGAACACCAGTTGGATCACCGATATGATACGAATTCTTACCGTCATCATCGTCCTCGTCGTTCCCATCGTCCTCGTTCTCTTCCCGAGCCCTCTTCGTACCCCTCTCCTTCAAGACCCTGCTGGCCTCGGCCTCCGCCATCACCCTGTCCATGATGGTAGATTCGCCCTCACTCGGATCGCTGTCGATCCGGCAAGTCGTGCTGGTGCTGATACCAGCAAAGGAGGGCGCGGAGGGAAAGGTCGCCAGGGAAATCGATGGAGGGATGGCGTGGGGCCCGTGCTTGGCTTTGTACGCCATCAAATACTCCACATTCTGCTCCTCCATCGAGGCGAAATACTGCAAACGAGAGGAGTCAGCTCTTCATATCAACGGAAAGGATTTGATTGAGTGGTTAGAAGCGTACCTTCAACTCTGCGAGCTCCTCCTTCTCTGCCTTCCTCTCCGCCTTCTCTGCCTTCCTCTCCGCCTTCTCTACCTTTCTCTCCTCCTCGATCACGGTGACACGTGAAGCCAGCGCCCTTCCTTCCTTCTCGATTTCGTTAAGTCTCGTGGTAAGAGCAGAGACGGCTTCAGACGATTCGGCAGGGGTACCGGTCGAAGGAACCGAAGTCGATCCGGTAATAGAAGCGGTCGAAGGGATGGAAGTCGATCCGGTAGGAGTAGCGGTCGAAGGGATGGAAGTCGATCCAGTAGCGGGAACGGTCGAAGGGACCGAGGTCGGTTCGGTAGAGGTAGCGTTCGACCTGGAGCCGTAACTGGCGTTGCGAGGGTTTCGAACTTTACCCCAGACTTTTTTCATGTTGAATACGGTGTAGAGGTATGAAGTGGTTTACTACTGGAAGCGTAAGCTAAAGCTTGGCCAGGTGCAAAATATTGATAATTCTTCTCGTCAGTATTTGGTCATTGTTTTGTTGATAGAAGTGGTTGATGGCGATCATGGAAGTGGGCTGACGACTTTGCTCACTCTATCCGCTGCGCTTGGCTGCACTCGCTCGCACTCGGCTCGTCTGTGCGCTTTCTCTTGGACATTCCCCGATCGGGAGACCTTCGGTCCTGTTTCGATCTCGAGCTGATGCCAGGGCGATCGATGATCGATGATCGATGAAATCGAAGCTTGTCGTCTGTTGTTCCGCCTCGTTGAGCGATTGTTTGATTGATGGGTCTAGAGGATTGATCAACATTTCCCTGCCTCTCGCGCCTTGTTGTTGACTTTGTGCGACAGTCCACGCGAAGCGCGTGCTTGGCGTTTCAGCCTTCCTTCTATCGATCTGCCCCTGGGTGGATCGGATCGGCTGTGTTCTCGATCCGAACGGGCACAATGAGAGATCGGAACGATTCCCAGGGGAGACATCGGAGATAGTCGCAGAGAGGTAGAGACGCTTGTCCGCGGTGCAAACAAGACCCTGCGCCCTTGCGAGAACGTTCGGCGCTGCGGTTTTTCCTGATCGCTGGATCATTGTGGAGCTTGCCTCCCGTTCCGCGCCCCCTCGCCTCCCCCCGTCTCCCTCTTGCTAGCTATATTTACTCGAACTCTCACCTACCCCCCTTTCTCCTCTTCGGTACTTCGACTTCCCTACTCCAGCGACAACAGCCTTCTTCCCTACTCATCTCCATTCGTGTCGTTACACTTGTTCGAACTGCTGGATGCTGATCTCATGTCACCGTCGTTCTTCATGCTATTCCAATCAGTTCAGGCGAGTGGATTCCAAGTCGTGTAAGTCAGTCCAGCCCTCAGTAACGGACGGCGTGTTTGCTGACGATGCGATAAACACCTCAGCCGTTGTGTGGTTGAACGGTTCTGTTTGCAGTGCGACTACCCTCGATGTTGTGAAAAGGGAAAGCGAAGCCGGCGGTCCCATAGGGTTTCGGCGCTCGTAAGGGGCCGTCTTCCGTCGGGCTGCCGGTGGACTTCTGAACATCGAGTCCAGCCTCTCGACGCCCCCGCCTTGTAGACGGTGAGATCGCTGGATACCGTCCTCTATGGAGCACCCGTGTCTTCAAAGAGCGGTGGTCGCTCTGGCGGGTTCGGCTGGGACCTCACGGATACTTGGCGCCCCGGTAAACGGTCGGGTCATGATCGTGGAGAAGGGCCGGCCCGACGACGAAGCGATCATCACCGAGTCACCGCCATCAACAATCTCGATATCTGACCTGGGCTCGATAAAGGCAGTGGATGTCAGCCTCGCAACGGAAGAACGGCGTGAGTCATACCATGTTCCTGCTTGCTAGTCTTTGTGTCTGATGTCGTGTTTTATTTTGTCATCTCGAAACACAGGCTTTCCTCCCGCGATTTCTCCTCTCGATCTTTTCCCTTTCCGTCTCCTCTCCTCTCCTTTCCTCTCGTGAATTCTCGAAGCTCTGCGATTGTAAAAGAGAAACCCGGCTCCCTCCTGCTCGGGTTACCAGAGGGGGGGCGGCAAGCTCGTGCGGTGAATCGGGTGAGGCGGTCGGGTGATGAGTCGAGGGAACCAGCTCCACAAGGGGTGGCCTCGCAGGTCACGCGGCAGTCCGGGTCCAGCCAGGGGTCGAGACCTCAGCGGAGTCAGGTTCATTCGCTGGCAGTCCGCTGAGCCCCTGTAAGGCGGTCGCTGCGAGTAACCTACCCGAGGTGATACAGAGAGCTTGTTGTCTAATCGCAATACATGCTCGCAACCGGAGGGGGGGATCGCATACCGACCGTTCCGCAGGGTCTAGTTGGTCACCTACAAGGGTAAGTCCAAGAGGTCTATTCAATCCCTTCCGACGGTCTCGAGCTAACGCGCTGCAACACCAGTGAGTCGGCCATCGGTACATTGCCTGTGGCCCGGTAGGCAGCACCTTCGGGCGTCAAAGCCAGTCCCAAGCTCGACGCGGGTGAGTCCATCCGTTCAGCAATCCAGTTCAAAGTATCTCACATCGTCTTCTCCTTAGCTCTACCCGGGGATGGTAAAACGGACTGCACGTCGAGTCTCTCGTAAGTCTTGTGCTTCCACCACTCGTCGACAACGAACCCGTGATATTGACTCCTCCCGTTCGCTTTGCATCGATGTCGAATTATAGTGAGATCCTTGTACGCATGACCATCTCGTAAGTCTGCCGTGACACAGTCGATCGATCCCAACAGTTGGCTGATCTCTAGGCCGCCTCGGATATCGCAGGAGCTGCTTCAAGACCAACATCGGCTTGCGAGATCAGTTCTCGAAACGGGACAAGATCGACAAGAAGGCCTCAAGATCGGCAAGAAGCAGACGGGACTCCATGAGGGCGGGGCCGACGAATAAAGGTAATTTATCTATGGACGTGTTTCCGTCGAGTTTGTTCCCTCTTCCTGTACTCCTAATCTCGATCGCGCCAAGAAGATACGAACAACTACGAAGCCGCCGGATCAAAGCGTAACGAAAGTGATAGATGCGAGAAGCGATCATCACCTAGGTGTCTAGCCACACCAGCAGCACGGCAAGATATTCGAGGGAAGACGAAGGAGAAGAGGAGGGAGACGGGTCTGACTCAGTCTTGCGGCGTTACTACGCTGTTCGTCCGATAGTTGCTTGTATGTAACACCAGCGATTCGAATCTATTCTATACAATACTCGCCTTGTCTGAATCCGTTAGCATTACATTCCCAGCACGCTGAAGCAGTTGATGGTCGTACTCGGGACATTATCTATCAATTGCGCAAGGCAATCTCATGGTCGCACTCGCTGAGAGAACAAAGCATGAACATCACGAAATGATTCCCTTGAGGGCAAACCAGCAGTTTAGCTCTACGCCAACCGATGGCCGAACTTGACGATGACCATGGTGAGGGATGAGACGATGTATAGGCGATGGCGGTATGACCGATGAGTTCGACGACTCCGCGAACACCTCGGTCGACCGCGGATAGAAGGTGACTATCAAGCCAAAGCATCAACGCTCCTGGGATGGCTTGCGGCCGTTACACGACCATCGACAACTTGTTGACAACAGCGCCTGGATGATCGGTGAGTTGCTGAGAGAACCAGTCCTCGCGTTCGTTCTGTCTATCTGCTCTAATCTGCAGGCTTGAGCAGACCCCCTGCATTACCCCGAGCTCCGTTCGACGTTGAGGTGCGAGAAGAGGGATGTACCTCTCTTCGTATGGCATGGCGGGCGATAGCCGATGATCGTTGTGTCCCGTGGTAGGCAATATCTGATCGTCGTGCGATGATCGTTGTCGTGATGGACTCGCACAGTTGAAGGAGGAAGAGGGACAGCCCACGATCCACCCAGGCTAGGTAGCAAATACCTGAAAACCTGTTCCCGGTGCCGCTCTGAAAAGATCGGTAGCAAATACCGGATCCCTTTGCTTGTCCCTCTCCGCTCGGCGCCGTCCTGGAATAAACAGTATGATTCGCGATTGTCGCTCTTTGCTCAGTGCCGATGACTGGTTGACTTGCGAACAGCCATGCAAACAAGGACACGATGCTGCGATCCTCCCAAGGCCTCGGGGTGATCGTGCTCTAGAGGCAGCGAATGGGCGAAAAGACAAGGAACGCTTCCGCGTTGTACGCGTGGGAAACTAGCAGAAGGTACCAACCGAAGTAATAACGCTTCCTTTCAAGTCTCGATCTCGATGTCGTCGGCGTGATAGAATAACTTCATGTGAGCACCGCCTATTCGCTCAAGTCAGGATAGAGAGTTGACGAATGGAATGTATAGCCGAGGCATATGAAGAGAAGTCGGTTGAATTCCAAGAACCCCTTCGTAATCCCATAGCGCTTAGCAGGGTAGGTGCTGCACCTTTCCCTTGACGGATAATCCCTTTTTAGACAGATTGGGATCGGTGTTCTGTGGTTCCGTCAAGTTCGTTCGCCTTGGCATCATCTGGTATTGGGTTGCGCTACGTTCCGACCGAGAGTCTCCTAATTTTCGCTGCCGAGTCCATCGACCTTGCATTACGTTCTTATTGTACAGTTCCACACTATGGTAGCGTAGTCATTGCAACATTACGATGCTGTCAGTGTTGAACGATTATTGCTTTCCTCGTCATATCTATACCCAGATCTGAAGATCTAACCAGCTATGTCGACAGATAGTACCGATGTATCCGACGCACCTCAGAGTCTTTCCTTGACAGCACGTCCTGATCTCGGTCAACCACATTATTGACTTCAGGGTGCGCGGAAAGCTGGAGAAATCGGCTCACTCAGTGTGAGTGAAGGTCAATCGAAGAGGATTAATGACTGAGTCGTGGGGTTCTCTCAGATCGACTCGGGTTCACTTGTGAGAACACGGGCCTGTTCAATTGTACAACCAAACCAGTTCAACGTATACAGTAGCTTGTAAACCACGTGAAGTAATGACTGAAGAGTATCATACAATCCGATCGCATCATTTCGTGATACTCAAATATCCGAATTCAGAAATCCGACCGATGACATGGAGGAAGGGAATGCTTGCGGCGTTACTACGCTGTCCGATCGAGACTTGTGTCATGATGTGATGGCGTCGGGATAGCACGAGAATCTCGCTCAAAGGCGGGAAGAGTGAAGGATCATGCTGGGGGAGACTCGTGCCTCCCTTTCTTCGACTCCCCCCCGTCTTCCATGTCTCCCTCGTCCTGCCTGTCCGCCTTCCTCTTGAGCTGAGTGGGCTTGCTGTAGCTACTGAGATCGGTGTGGGCGGTTGGAGGCATCAGGTAGAAGCCTCCAAAGTCGCTACCAGAGGCAATACTGTCCGGAGCCTTCATCTCATCCTCGATCAAGGACAGGTGATATTCGACGAGCTTCTTCTGTCGAGCGAGAAATTTCTGATGGAGTTTCTACAGTAGAATGTGCTGACAGTCAGCCAATCTTGATCAAGGTCTCGGTGACCTCGGAATGAACGTACTTGTTCAACTTTCGCTACAAACTCATCGGTGACCATGTCTTCCTTCGCCTTCACCTTGCCATCCTTCTCCTTCAAGATCCAAATCGAGCGCTCATGTTCAGAAAGATGTTGTTTGAGCGATGCGACAGCGATAGTTTGGTCCTTGAGCTTCTCGTCAACAACCCCGAACTTGCCGTCGTGTTGGGTGAGCTTCTCGTCAACAACCCCGAACTTGCCGTCGTGTTGGGTGAGCTTCTCGTCAACAACCCCGAACTTGCCGTCGTGTTGGGTGATCTTTTCGTCCTGCCCATTGATGACTTCGTTATGGGCAGCATAAGTCTGCTCTGCCCTCATCATTTGATCCTTTAATGCGATGACCTCTCTAGTAAGTTGGGCCGGCCCCATATTGTGGGTTCGAGGAGGCATCGAAGGAGGCTTTGGTCGTCGTAGAGGCTGGAGAGGTTTCTCGGAGAAGATAGTCGAATCGAAGGAGGCTTTGATCGTCGTAGAGGCTGGAGAGGTTTCTCGGAGAAGATAGTCGATTGAGCGGGGAACGTTGGAGATTCTGTTCGGGCAGCAAAATCATCAGCAAATCTTCCACCCATAGCGAAGAAGTCCTGTCACGTACGACAACGAAAGGATAAATGATCCAGTCAATCTGAGGGGTTTGATCGAGGTTGTCGGTTGTATAGATTATCGAGGCAGTCGGAGGGATTGGATCGAGGTTGTCGGTTGTATAGATTATCGAGGCAGTGGGAGGGATTGGATCGAGGTTGCCGATTGGATGTATGATCCCGTCCGTCTAAGGGTTTGGAACGAGGTTGTCGATTGAATAGATTGCGATGTGACTCGGGTGTTGGTAGAAAATAGCAAAGATATCCCTGACGTGTGATATCGATTTAGACTGACCGCCTGACCCCTCCCCCCCTCCCCCCTTCAGCTCTGCGCTTGTCGCTCCACTTTGCGCTTTTGCGTGGGAACTTCCCGATCGGGCAACACTGTCGGTCTTCGATCTTCAGCTGATGTCAGGGACGATCGATGGATCGGGGATCAAAGCTTGTTGTTTGTTGTTCGATGTTGATGAGCCTAGAGGATTGATGGAATTGATGATCAAGGTTCCGCTCCTCCTTGTCGCGCCTGTTGACTTTGTCGACGATCTGCGCCTCCCACGCGCGCGAGCTCGGGTCCTGGGGCGTTTCACCTTCGGCACACCGGCATCTCCGAGATCACCTGGGAACCGAGGCATCGAGGCAGGACCTAGACCGGCGATGTCTCGATTCGTGCCGAAACGTTCTGGAACCTGCTGGATAAGGCTCCAGGTTCGTGTTCGGCCTCATCCGCGGTGCAGCGACTGTCATCCTGCCAAGGCGAAGAGGCGGCCAATGGCCAGTGGCCAATAGGGAAGATGCTCGCGCTCGAGCGCACTTCGCCGCGACAACAACACATCCGACAGATCAAACACAACAACCACGACCCGTGCCACAATAACATCACCACTGCTCTTTCTACTGCTCACATCTCGACCTCTTAACGCTCACACTCTCCCAGCTTCGAATCATTCTGTATGTCTCTAGCCTGTTCGAACTACTGGATTGCTGATCGCATGTGGACTACGTCTTCTTCAGGCTAGGGATGCGATCCGGGCGGGGTACGTTTGGGCCGGTAAGTCCTCTCGACTCGGTCCTTGAGTTCAGAACTTGATCGTCCTCTGTGTCTGTTGGCTTCTTCTAGTCTTTGGAGATTGAAGACGATGTCCACGCACGACGATGTATACCGCTAAGTATCCGAACTCTAGAAACCGTCCCTCCGTACCGAACCAGGCTGACGACTTGATGACCCGGTTGATTCTGTCACCGCTTGTCTCTCGTTTCCTACAGCCGCTCCGTCTCCTGGCATCCTTCTTGGATACTCGTACTGTAGCGCCCTTACCCTTCCAACGGTAGGGGTTTGACTCGTTGTTTATCTAGGGAGGATTGCTGGCCGCGACGAGCATCGACCCCTCTCCTCTCGCAAGACCCTTGAATGCCCGGCTGCAGCTTCCCCGCCCCGACGGGGGGGATGAGACTCGTAAGGCATTCTCGATTGGGATTCGTGATGGCGAGCCTCAACACCCACGCCACCTCGTGATTTCGACTCTCGAGTATCGTCACCGGACAGGACTTTCGGAAGCGGATCGGGAAGTGAAGGGCTGTTGCCCGACCGCTCAGCTGCAGATGAGTCATTAGGGTGAAGCGTGCCAGTTCGCCTGTGATGTGGAAGTCAGTTCGCCGTACAATCACAAGATCGAAAGCACCTCGAAGCTGGCAAGTCCGACCGTTGTACCGATGTCTATCGATCACCGCCGTCGTCCCAGAGGACCTCGTTGACCTACTCTCTATCCATAGGCGGATGTTATCAGTCGGGGACGCTGATGTCGGTCGCGGGATTGGTAAGTCGATCGTGACGAGGCTATTGGTTATACTCTTGAGTTTCGGCTGACCTTGTGATCTAGTTCGGCTCGCACGGCCCACCCACGGCCAGGGTCAGCTTGTGATTGTCGGGGACTTGCGGTGCGCGATCTGGCAGAGTGACATGAGGGAGCAGCGATAGAGGGTGGATCGGGGCTAGGGTCGGGGTGGGATTGAGAGAGGAACCGGCGGTTGATGAACGGAGCAAGGGTAGGGGAGAGAAGAGGAGGAACAGACGATGGGGCGTGCGGGCCTCGATGAAAGGTAATTCGATTTTCAACTCTCGGCGTGTCTCTCCCTTCCATACCTCCACGACCCCTTGACCCTCCGACAACATCCGGGATCATTATATCACTCCGGGCACAAGCGCTTCGTCACAACAATCAATAACATAGGGGATGATCGGACACACGGGCCTGATCCGAAAACGATCAGGTTTCTCGTGAGCATCCAGGACGAGGTGGGAAGTTGGAGTCGCGACAGCTCGTAATTGATGTGCAAAAAGACATTTTTCAATCCTGTATCATGACGGCTAGTGTACCGATATACGATGCGATATTCGTCGCGCCTTGCACATTACGAGATCTGAGCGATCCCCGAATGCCATGTCGATGTATTATATTCAATCAGTATACCACGATGCATTACTATATAGACGACCAAATTCCGCCTCAGTTTCATCTTCAGCGTATCCGGGATTCACTTGCTTCGCTATCATCATATTGCAAACATCAGAGTGGCGTGAGGGCTCACATGGGATGCAGGATTTGTTTAAATCGACAGGGGAATGAATGTATTGTGACAGGTTCTATCTGTTGACGGTATATGCTACTGTCATGTGTTCCTTCCCATGTGCAGGTTTTATACGCAATTCGTGATTACAGCAGAAAACAGCTTCGGAAGTGATGTGGAGCGTTGCGTCTTTCCCTTCCAAGGACGCCTGCAGCAAAGAGAAGGTCAACTGGATAAGCGGCCAGGTACAGGCAGGCTCATGTTACCCGCAACTTGGAGCTGGAGATGTGATTAGCTTGAAGGAACAAGGGCCGTCAAACATCTGCGGATCTTTCATCGGTGTCCTCGTACTCACGCCCAAGTAAATAAGGACGCTCAACCTATTCCGACTTATGTCTCAGCCTTCTTCGTTCACGTCTTAAGAACATTTCAGCGCGAAAGAATGGACGAAGCAGATATCTATGATCAGGTGAATGGCCCTGAATCGAAACGATCTTATACCATAGAATCAAGACATACAATCACTTCCTAGGCGGGAAGAGATTCTGTTCGTCGTGCTTCCCTCGGATAGTCAATAAATTCATCGCACGAGATCGGAGCTTCCCCAATCCCATTTATACGAGCTTGTCGTTATCGATGGCAACCTCTGTTCCTCAAGCATGTCGTCGTTTGTGTTCCGTCTCTTCTCCCGCTCTATCGAAGTGTGGAACAATCGCTGGATCGGTCACACAAAGTATAAGCTCCTTGCGAGTGGGATGATACTGTACAGGGACTATGTACCCAAACCATCGCAGGTCCTGGACCCCTATGAGGAATACGTTGATAGAGGACCGTCAATGCAACGCATTTGAAGCCGCCATATATCATTCGATACTTACGTCACCGATGAAGCTCCCCTACTATCCGTCCGAATATATCTCAAGAAGCACACGCGGTGCAAGCTGTTCTTCCATGTTGTTAACGAGGCAACGTTGGAAGTCGGCGCGGTAACTGAGATCCACCATTGCAAGCCAAGTCAGACCGATGTAGCGAGTGTACGACGGATACGACGGACTCGAGACTCACCAGAGAGGTCCGAGCCCGGTCAAAGGATCCATGTAGGTGAGACGGTCTTCTAGGCGACTGACGGAAGCTGGTCACGATGGCGACACAGGACTATACGGTCGGTGTGAAACAATCTTCGCACAACGACGGGTGGCTTCCTTCTCCTTGTATCTGTAGTTGATAGGATGAATCGCATGCGTTCGACTTCGAAAGCGGTGCTAATGCCCATGATATCGTGACGAGGTTACAGCCCAGATCGTGACTGTCACGATGGCCGTATAGACAGCTGGCTGCACCGATATTCCGCCGCATGGTTACCGGTATAGATTGGATATGTCGACCAGAGCCCGACTTCGAGGTATAGGAGGGAGGATTGCAACGACGAGGGATACCAGAAGAGGAAACAGGGATAGGACGAAAAAAGAAAAAGAGAGGAACCGATAATCACCTGTCCTTATCGTCCCAACTTATTGCTCCGAAGCCTCGGTCTCCCACCTTCCTTTCCTACTCCAGCCCGCTGCGAACCTATCACAAAGGCAAAACGAGGAGCTTCGTCGAGGCACGAGCAGGAGAAACTATACTGACCCTTGGCTTTGCGGTGAGCTCTGCTCCATAACCGCGGGGAGGGGCGACCCGGAGAGCTCGGCTCTATCCGAGGGTGAGAGGCCCGACTGATCGCAGCTGACCAGACCGGGGGAGAGGCGACCCATCGAATGCGATGGGGGTTTTGGGTGAAAGGCCCGGCACTCTTAAGCGGCCACCGGGGGAGAGGCGAGAGAATGACCGAAGAGCTCGAGTTTCGGGGGGGAGGCGACTTTGGGACGGGCACGATAGGATGAGCGATATGATCGGGTGAGATGAACAGAAGTTGAGTTCGGGTCAGTCAGCTATCGTCACGAGATCGAGCTTGAAGTGATACTTACAGTCTATATACCGATACTATTCTACTGTCATGACCGTTTCCAACTGTAGTGAGATGTGGAAAAGGGACGTCAACTTCTGGATGATAGCTAGGGATAAGAACGTTCGAAGCAAGAGTAGAGACGGAGAAGTCGAGGCGAAGACTTTTCGCCATCATCGTCGTCGTAGTGTGTGTCTTTGCGATCCTGTAAAGGTTTGACGTCGATATCAAAGCCTTTTTCTTCTCAACTTTTATAGATTGGATGGTGGGCTTCGTGGATCGTGGAGCGGAGAGTGCGGATGAGGCGATGGTGAAAAAAATGCGCTTTCTTTGCGCTCTGCTCAGCGCTTTTGTTTGGTGGCACAGGGAGATATCCCCGATGATCACGTGCAAGACTATGCTGTTGGCTTGTCTTTTTCTACTCGCTGAATGTGCCTGGGGTATCGGCCTCGATCTCGTGGCCGGAAAGTGATCACCGGATAAGAAGTAGCCGTATGTTTTTGATCGCCGGAGGGGGTGAAACGCGAAAATGATGGCGATGGCGCGCGCGCGTTCCAGCCGTGATCGAAGAAGGGTCAGGCGCAAGAGCGACAGCAATCTCATCAGTCCTCTAGGCTGATCAATCATTTCCAGGCTCGATCGAGACACTCTGCTCTACCGATCAGGTCCGTCGAGATTTTAGACAGCACGTGTGCCTTTATCAAATATCAGAGAACGCAGGCCCAGGTCACACCGGCGCTGATGCCCTGGAAGCCTACTACAGTTCAGAGATCAGAGACCAGAGATCAACATCGAAAAACCGTATCGCCACATTCCTCGACCTGAACTTTTTGTCAGCTCCCAATAACCGCGTTACCAACCCATTTTAGTCGCTCCTGGTCAAACAGAACTTACGCATCAAGGTCTGAAAGGCTAGGGTGGGAACGTCCTCTCCTTCCTATACCTACTGCCGCGCAGATTCCTCCGTGAGTCGGTAAAAGTAGCTCCGGACAGTATCGCATTTGCTGATCCCCTTTTCTGTTTTGACTGTGGCAGGACTATACCTTGATCGCTTGAACACAACAATAGCACGTCCACCCGACGACCTCACTGCCCATTCCCACACAATCGAAACACGATGTCGACTCGCCCTTCTCGGGCTCGCACCCTGACTGCAGCTCAGATGACTCAACGAATTGCGGATCTTCCGACCATTTTGACTCGAGCCAAAGAAATCTATGTAGTCTTGAACTGGGTCGTCAATAAGCAGCAGGTTCAGATCGACGAACAGAAAGTCGAGATGGACAGGCAGAAGGCTCAAATCGATGAGCAGCAAGTCGAGATCGACAACCTGTTAGGCGCGTCGCTATAACACAACCAGAAGAAATCCCAAGTCCATGATATCGCTCGAGTCGATCAACATCTGTCGGAACACAGCATCACCCTCCGGTTGACGACTTACAACGTTGGTTCGCTCAGTAAGGACGTCAATTCGCTTCGTAAGGGTGCCGGTTTGTTCAAAGAGAAAGCTGCCTGTTTCAATGAACATGAGAAAGAGGTATACACCTCGGAATGTTGATCGTTACTCCAATATCAGATCAAAGCCCTCAAAGATGGCCGGGAATCCTTCGAGAAACGGTTGGCTCAGAAGATCCTGAGGAGGGGCGCCATTCGTCAAGAAAAGATGGCTGCAGCCTATCATCAGGTGGCTAAAGACAAGTTGAGGGAGATCGGGATGGAGGAGGACAAGGCCTTGACCATTCCCGGACTCTACCTGGTCCAAGCCATCGTCTACACCAGTCTGAGTAGCAACAAGAAGGTGAAGGCGGAGGACAGAGAAGGCAGGGCCGGAAATGACGGGGAGGAGGTGAGTCCGTCGGGCCTCTGCCCCGGGCTGGGCTGCCGGACAAGTGAGTGGTAGAGAGACCGACGTAGGAGTGTACATCTATATAGTAATAATGGATACCCAGCATCCCGTCTTTAGTAATAGTATAACGTTCAGATGTGAACAACATATACAGCGGTGGATTCGGACGGCGCCCGGCGCGTGGTTTGGCGATCAAACGTCCGTCTTGTTTAAGAAGTACTTCACGTCGCGAGAGCGACCTGGCACGCATCGAGACCACGCTCATCACAAGATCGAATCACGAGTCATAGATTATACATCATAATCATAGACCATTAGACCATACTACATTCCCTTCTTCTTGACTGGCGTCCGCATGTCATTATCGAATGTACCGCATACTCGTTCGCAACTCGGATTTATGTCCACGCAGACCGTAGATTCCATTCCAAAGCTGGAGGCATACGTTTATGAAGCCATCGCCGACTAGGTGGTGATCCGAAGCTACGGACTACATCCACAGCCATGGTGGCCGGTCCTTCCGATGAGTAGGTTGAGGAGTCCATTGGACGGATCATGGCTCGAAATGATCATTGATGGTTCCTTTACCCTTCACTGTGATAGATCGTTCTTGCCGCAGATCGTCGGGGTACGAACAGATCCGACCGAAAACATGTTCTGCCTTGACTGACCATTCATCTTATGCCTGTCTTCAGGTCTTCTATGCGGTGTTCGACCCCATCCGCGGACCGATAGTACCCTATCAAGTCCCGGAGACCCTGATATCTCAGCCAGAAGATTTGAACAAGTCAGTCGCAGGTATCAGCAGTCGGACAGACCGGAGACCCTCCCCGACACCACCCTCTGGCACTCCAGCACGATCACACTCGAGCTCACCCCAGAGGGCTGCCTCTATGGCATCCAAACGAGCCCTCTCCGTTTCTCCCTCCCGGACCTTTCGTTCAGCATCAAGAAGGTCTCCATCACCTCTCACTCAATCGACGCATAGCATCCCTTATAACCCGAAACCGCTCATCGCACCGGCCATGATCGAGTTCAACACCATCGCCGAATTCATCATCCCCAAGGCTCCTCTGAAACATCGGCTCGTCACCTGTTGTTCCGGGAGATACAAGATCGTCGGTTTCCCCTGCATGATCGAGGACTCGTATTACGAAAGAAACGAGTTCATCTTCAACATCGCATTCGTGTTCGATCGGTTGTCGGATCTGAGCGCTTTCGAGCCGGTAGTGAGGAAGTGCGGGAGGATCATGCGGGCAGCCGAGGTGAGTACCTCAACGCCAGGAATCGAGACAAGAGAGGTCATCAAGCTAAGATGTGTTTGAGGTCGATCTAGTTGGATACACGCTGGCTGTCGAACAAGACGTCTCAGGCAAAGATCCAGTCCGTTCTCGAACAATTGCATGAAGACCTCAACTCGTACTCCGGCACGAGTATCGTCCTGGACAATATCAACTCGCTGGACCTCTCTCTTTTCCCCTTCTATGGTATGTGGTCTGAAGATTCTCTCATCCCTCGGGTTTACTAATCTTGTCCGCTCAATTCGCAGCTAATCCGCCGGCAGTCCATGACTGGCACGTCCCCGTAGCTCTCATCGATTTCAAGAAGCTCAAAGATGCCAACTGGGATATCACCGCGAGCAAGGTATGTGTAGACGTGTTGCTGTCTTTGGTCAAGCCGAGTCCATATGGGGGCAGCTGACGCTTTCGTGAACGACCCAACAGATCTGCCAATACATCGACGGGGTACAGCACGTAGAGCGAATAGCACAACTCGCAGATGCAGATCTCGAGAGCGTCCGTTCGTGTATTCAGCATTTCCTGTAAGTGTGCCAGTCGGGCGCCGTGTCTACGTGTCAAGGCTGAAGATCATGCCGCTCCTGAAAAAAGATACTACCAGGTGGTCATGATGATCGACATCTTTCAGTACTCGAACATGTATACCTGCAAACCCGCCATCCAACGCAAGATCAAGGACAAGAGCGTGTCAGAGGAATGTGGAGCCTATGTCACACATGCTGGTGAGCCTCAGAACCTCTTAGAATCAGCCGGTGACTTCACAAGCTGATTGAGCCAATGCTGGTTCCGTGTCATAGGCTTTCCCATTCCTTCCTGGCCCATCCTAGCGATCCTCTATTCTCAGCTAAGACCCGGAATCACAGTACACGAATGGATGGAGACCAACGAAGTCCGTTCGAGGGGAATCGATGTCCGACGGTTCGTCACTTTCGGGATCATCAAGGGTTTCCTACGTCGTGTCCATCGATGGCCGATCCACGTAGATACGGTCTCGGGCAACGCACGGGATTCGGTTCGACATCGATCGAAAGAACGGGCGAGAATAGGGGATATCGATGAGGAGCCCGACTTGGCTTTGACTAGCGGTCTGGAAGCGCTCAAAGTGGGCGGGGGAACGGGTACGGGTGCAGGCAGGAAAGACAGCATGGTGACATCAGGCACGACCGGGACGAGCGCACCGGGACGTAATGAATCGAATATCACGCTCCGAACGACTGTCTCTACAGCGGGCAGTCTAGGTACATCGCCCAATTTCGGAGGAGGGATCTGGAGAGCTAGGTCAGACTCTCCATTACAAGGCGGATTCATGCAAGTGACTTCGATGACCGGGCGACAGAGCGGTAGTCAGACTGCCAATAACCCATCGGGAGGAACGGGGACGAAGAGTCCCGGGTATTTCCAACCGCAGACGTCGATCTTGTCCTCTAGTGTGAGATCCACACGAGGCGGAAATTTCATCTCGACCTCTCACAATACTTCGGCATCAGCGCCCCGGGCTGGCGGAGGTCCTTCGTCACATAATTCCAACTCGAACCCTGGCCATACCGGTTTCCTCAATCCCGGCCAACGTCCCGTCGGGCACCATCGAAATTCGAGGGACGCACGAGCTCGAGCGAACGGGTTCAAGACCCCTGGAAGCGCGATCCCGCAAAGGGAACAAGAGACCAACCTCCACGCGAGCATGTTGGGTTATCTTGACGGGTTGCATCACGCCGACGAGCTTCAGGTCAAGTTCAAGATGGGGTGGACTAGGTTGGAAGAGCATCTAAGAAAGATTGCTGGATTGCCGGAGGATCTGCGAGGGCTGAGCGAGGAAAAGAGGGAAGCGGCGGGGAGGGGCGATTACGGGAAGGTCGTCGTCGTCTTGCGCTGAGTCGTGATCAGGCGGTCGTCATTGTCGTAGTATCGTCGTTGTCGTCGTCAGTTGTACCCAAGTCCCGGTTGTATGGAGGCATAATGCTTCGAGCTGATCCCACAGCAGCTTGAACCGCGATCGCGCAATGTCGCTTGTCGTAGATCCTAGACGTCCAGTGCCTTCTGTTTGATCTTTCGTACCCGCCCTTTCTGTTCTGGGCCGATGTCGACCGGTCCGAAGCGTTTCATCGGCCAGAGCAAGTAGGGAACTTTGGCGGTGATCAGACCGAGCGGGACCTGGCACAGCAAAGGGTTCAGTTCGCGATCAGTCGTAAACAGGAGGGCATGTGTAAGAGTCACCACTAGATACGACTTACGGGACCGTAGGTATTGCTATCCCGAGAGTGGTAGTGCGAGTCCCCTTCGACCCAGCAGTGGCCGAGAGGTATCCGTACAGGTGTAGGCGGGGAGGGGGGCAGCGGGTGGACCTAGAACGCATTCGTGAGAGACATTGAGTTGATCGTGCGAAGACGATACCCGTCGACGTCCTCTCATACTCACGAGATCACCCTCCAAAGCGATGATTCGCTTGGTCGTCATCAATTTCGGATTTTGCGGGGACCAGAGCGTGACGACGTCCCCTCGCTTGTACAGGTTCAGGGCCACGCTCCATCTGTCGAGCAGGACGACGTCGTGGTGGAGAGGAGCCGAAGCGTGTCCGGGATTGAAAGTCGGTTGCATAGAGGCTCCGGACACGCTGGCTACCGAGTAGACGTGTCGGGTGAAGAAGAGGGCAGGTGGGAGCCAGAAGAGGAGACGTCTGTAGTGGGGATTTGCAGGAAGGATTAGCTTTGAGGGATTCGGTAGGTTGTCACCGCCTGACGATCAGCTCACAGGCCGTCTCGAAAGTGTTTCGATCGCGTCGACATGGTAGATGATGAGTGCCAGGCGACCGATTTTGCTATTAGCTAAATGTACTATGAGCTATTAGCTATTAGCTATTACCCGTATTTGGTTGCATTTAGGATCTGGTTGGATGGTTGCGATGGTTGACAACCTCGACTTTCCATCTCGGCAGTACCGGTGAGGTCCCTCCATCCTCAATGTCAATAACGCATATTCCCCCTTGAAAGTGCGAAAACGCATCGTTCGTCGGAAGCGGATGACGTGATACTACTACTCTGTACGCGATATCCGTTATGGGGATCTCTCTTCTAGACCTCGATAACAATTCGATTTCGAACTCGACGTGCTCTTTGGTGATCCTCGCAGTTGATGCACATACTATCATCTGTGGCTCCGGTGGATGCGTCTCGGGTTCGGTGTCGAACGAGGGTGCCGTTGATAAAGGGTATTACTGAGCATCAAGAACACGTCCCCGAGTCTCGTGTCAATTCGGTTGCTTCCGGGGAGGATCAGTCGTGCCCCCGCGATGAGCGAGCGAGCGAGGGGGGGGAATTGAGTCTCGACTTTTTCTAGCTTGTTCAACCGAAAATGAGCAAACACGACAACTCCCCCGCCTCATCCGATACCATACGCATGCTAGATAGAGTCAAGATATTTCGGACTATATCAACTTTGACACAGAGAACAACGCTACGCAACATGTCATCCGCGCTCCCCATCAAGACTTATACCAAAGAGGCCGAAGTCGCCGTGCAGGCCGTGCTTCGAGCTTGTCATGTGTGAGCTATAATCACAGATTGATTTACAGCGTATCGACATTGGCTGAAGCTGAAAACGTTCATTATTGCGTTTCTGATTTCGCATTCGCAGTACCAAGTCGGTACAGGACACCCTCAAGGTCGACGACAAGGTCTCCAAGCCGGACAAGAGCCCCGTTACCAGTAAGCCTTGTCCTTACCTCGAACTCGCACTCGATGAGTTCCCGCTGACCCAACACATCTCGACTCCAAACCCTCCCGTGTAGTCGGAGACCTCGCCGCTCAAGCTCTGATCACCCTTCACCTCCAAAACGCCTTTCCCGAGGACAAGATCGTGGGCGAAGAGGACACGACCGAGTTGCGCAAGAACGACGGGCTGAGGAACAAGGTCGTAGGGCTCGTCAACGAGGGTTTCGCAAAGGGAAAATTGGGCAAGGAGAGCGAAGGAATCTGGGGAGAGGGAGAGTCGTTCTCCGAGGACAGGTGAGTGTCGGCTGGCAGCGTTTTGTGGTGGGATGGACCAGACCGTGATCGCACAGACCCGAAAGGCTGACCTTGCGATACGTCCTTTATCCGATGAACCTCGACCCGACCCGAATCCCTTAGCGTACTCACCGCTCTCGATCTCGGCTCGCATACCGGTGGCCCGACCGGTCGATCATGGACTATCGACCCTATCGACGGTACCCTAGGCTTCCTCCGTAAAGAACAATATGCCGTCTGCCTTGCCTTGATCGTCGACGGGATCGTCCAGCTCGGAGTACTCGCCTGCCCCAACCTGGGTACTACAGCTGTCACCGACTCCCAGACCGGAGTGCTCTTCCTCGCCAAAAAGAACGAAGGAGGGTGGATGCGTAGCCTGAAGGACGATGCGAAATGGGAGAAGACCACCATCCCGGAACAACCCACACCATTGAGGTTCCTGGAGAGCGTCGAGAGTGGACACTCGGCACACAGCGTACAGGCGAGGATCGGAGAGCTACTGGGCGTACAGGAAGGTACTAGTTTGAGGATGGACAGTCAGGCCAAGTATGGTGCTTTGGGTCGAGGAGAAGGGGGTTGCTAGTGAGTCTCACATGCGGAATCGAGCGCGTGCGGGTACCGTCTAGAAAGTCTTCTCGAGATGAACACTGGCTCTGCGTCGGTTGCATAGTCTGAGAATTCCTACGAAATATATCGGTGGAAAGGATTACCAAGAAAAGATCTGGGTGGGTACTAACCTGTCGCCTCCCGTTGCCGCCGTCCTTCCGCTGACTTTCTTCTCTCATCTCTCGCCGTCACAATCCCCTTGTACATCTCGTCTCATGTTGAACAATACGTCTCGCACGCCCCTAAAGGACCACGCTTCGGGATCGCTCCTCATCTCCGAATCCGGTGGAGTTGTCAGCGACATGCACGGCGCACCTCTCGATTTCGCCCGAGGCAGAACGTTGAGCGCGAACGAAGGCATCGTAGCCGCTGCGAGTGGGGTTCATGCGAAAGCTGTCGAGAGCGTCAAGAAGGCGATCGAAGAGTTCGGGAAGAAGGTTTAGATGTAGTAGTCAACGAGACGAAGGGTATATGAAATAAGTCGGAAGGTTCAATTCCGGTGTACAACGGCGTCTCAATCAAATGGAGATGAACAGGGACTGCGTGCAAATCACTAGTAGCCTGTCCGAGCTGTCTTTCCGCCCCTTCCGCTGTCCTCCTTGGACCGCTCCCGCTTCTCGCCCCTCTGCTCTCGCCCCTTCCACTCTCCCCTCTGCTCGCTCGTCTCCATGTCCCTCTGCTCCCTCGTCTCCATGTTCCTCCTCTCATCTCGTTCCCTCTGCTCTCGCCCCTTCCACTCTCCCCTATGCTCCCTCGTCTCCATGTCCCTCCTCTCATACCGATCCCTCTTCTCGTCCCGCTTCCTCTGCCGTTCCCTCTCTTCTGTGTCCCGTTCCCTCTCCCTCCGCAGCTCCTGAATCCTTTCAAGCTTGAAGGCCATATCCAGGTTTCGGTCCCATTGTCCAGGACTGATAGGTGGCAACGACCTCCTCAGCTTGGGATAAGGCAATAAAGGTCCCAAAGAGACGAGGGAGGCAGATGTAGGCAGAGAGGAAAGAGAGCTGGCGGTAGGTAAAGACGAGAGAGAGCGGGTATTCTCCTCAGTCGACAACGTAGAGGGCCCTTCGTTGGAAGAACCTAAATAACGAAAGCAAGCAGATGTTCAGCGTCCTCAAATCCACGTCGTTGAAAGGTAGCTTACAGATCCTCAGCAGGTGCTCAGTGTCTTCGAGAGCCGCCCGACGCCTTCCCGCTTCTTTGACCAGATACCCCCTCAAGGCCTCATCCCTCTCGTTACTGTTTCGCTTCAGGCGGGCGACGTCCGCCTCTACATCCTTCAACCGAGTCTTCTCCGCCTCCAAAGTCAACATACGGCCATTGTGGCCTTTGACCTGTCCGTTCAGCTGGGCAACCTTCCCTTCGAGATAGGTCGGTGCCGGTTGAGCCAAGTGAGCCCGACTTGACGTTGGCTCCTGGGAGGATCGAGGTCGGAACGGGGCTCGATTGAAGTCGGCTCGAGGAGTGGTAGGGGGGTCGAATGGATGGCCGTGAGGGGGCTGAGTCGAGGGTCCGGCGGAAGACACATCGGCTCGAGGAGCGGTAGGGGGGTCGAATGGATGGCCGTGAGGGGGCTGAGTCGAGGGTCCGGCGGAAGACACATCGGCTCGAGGAGCGGTAGGGGGGTCGAATGGATGGCCGTGAGGGGGCTGAGTCGAGGGTCCGGCGGAAGACACATCGGCTCGAGGAGCGGTAGGGGGGTCGAATGGATGGCCGTGAGGGGGCTGAGTCGAGGGTCCGGCGGAAGACACATCGGCTCGAGGTCGTATTGAACGGATGAATCCTTCACGGAAGGGTACGACAAATCCGGTGTCTCGGGAGCTCGACATGACTTTGCTGCGGTGGGAAAGAATCCCTTACCAATCCTCAGGAGATGTTCAGCATCTTCGAGAGGTGCTTGCAGTTTTTCCGCTTCTTTGACAAGATACTCTTTGAGTACCTCATCCCTTTTGTTGGTGAACTACTTGAGTTGAGCGACCTCTGCCTCTACAACCTTCAGTCAAGCCACCTTCATACCCAAAGCCGAGATGAGACCAGGGTTACCCTTTACCTGACAGCTCAAATGGTCCACTTTCTCTTTCATATTGGCGTCATCGGGTGCAGATACAGCTGCGCGGGGCCGAGCCGATTCGGATAGAGGTCAAGGACCGATCAAGTTGCACTCGTCGAGAAGGTGGGCCATGGTTTGAGGTGTACAATGGTCGATGCGGCAGCTGATGCTCGGATCAAGCGCCAACAAGGCTAGTTCAGTCGATCGAGGGAGGAAAGGTGGAAACCGCGGCGGGTCGATACACGAACGAGAGGACGATGATTATTGAGGGAGATCAATGATACGTTTGATATCGAGGGTAAACGGGATATTTGGACTGTACCGCACATAGCAGCCTTCTCGTATTGCCATATCTCATAGCGAGTTCACTTATTGCTTATTGTGTGGCACACGTCGAAGACGTCATGTATATATGCATATATGTATAACGATATGAAACTCTGAGCACAGACATGAACTTCAGCTACCTTCAACTCGGATTAGGCCGATAGAGATATCCTCCTTAGCAACGTTCTTTCGATCTGGCTACCTCTTTCGACGAGCGTCACGGCCGTGTACCGTCTAGAGCGCAGAAAGCATAGTGAAGACACTAAGATGTCTGAAGTGCTACTCCGATTAAGAGGGCTCACCTTACGGCGGGACGACGGGACCGGATCCGCCATCCTCAACGTGAGATCGCCCTGAATTCCTCATCAGACACGCAGAGTTAGCAAAGTCTGACGAGCAGAGTTCCCTCTCGCCTTTCTCGGTCAGGATGTGGACCTGGACTTGCAGAAGAACGATGTTTTGATTCTCAAAGGCAAATCCGGGAGCGGAAAGACGACGTTGTTGAAATGCATCGCACAGCTGAACGTATACGACAAGGGACAGGTTCTCCTGAACGGAAAGTGAGTATCGATGGGAAGTACTGTGGATTCGTCTCTTGCTGATCAACAAGCAAGCCTATTCTCTATATCATAGGGAGCCTTCAGAATACGGTATGATGCAGATGTCTCCCTTGCCCTCCCCATCGCCATCCGCTGACCGGTTCTACCTTCCTGTAGGTCTGCCGGAATATCGAACCAAAGTCCTATACATTCCACAACGTCCATCCCTCCTCCCAGGAACCCCTCACGACTTTCTTCGGACCATCTCGTCCTTCTCCTCCCGCCGGGGTAAAGGTAAACTGGCGTCAACGAGCAACGAAGCGTTCGACCGGGCCGTCAAGTTGGCGAGAGGGTGGGGGATCGAGCCTTACTTGTGGGACCGGGAATGGGCGGAATTGAGCGGTGGAGAAGCACAGCGGTTGGGGCTCGCTGTAGGATTGGGTTTGGGAGGGGCCGAAGTGGTGCTACTTGACGGTAAGCCTGATGTACTGTCGTACCACTTCGGACCTAGGACCATGAACCTGAATCTCCCATGCATTTTCGCCCTACGTAACCCTTAGAACCGACTTCAGCACTAGACGAAGAGACAATGAAGACTGTCGAAGAGAGCATGCTGAGCCTCTTACCCAGCGGCAAGAACGTGAGCTCCCAATACTGCCTGCTACTCTTTGGATATTTGCTTCGAGCTGATAAAGATGAATCGGGCGGGTGTGCAGCCGGACGGGACGCTGAAGGCTTTCATATGGATTACGCACGAGGCTTCGCAGGCGGATCGGGTGGGCACACGGACCTTGGATATATCACAGCAATGAAGCAAGCTATATCATACATCGTAATTGATAAAAGACGAGCCTGATGCGGACGACGAGGAAATGGCTGCTGCGCAAACGAAACCGATGGAGCCAGTGTCGACCCCAGCATCCGAGAGTCGAGTTGCACGCTATCATCGATCTCGTGTACCTCTTCCGCTACATGTTCCGGCCCCCCTCCTGCGCTGCGAGGCCTTATGACCGGCTCCATGTTCGTGACCTCTTTCCCTCGTAACTCGACGGCCTCAGTATCCTTGGTATCTGCGACATATGTGTCGCAAGCGTTCTACAAGTAATTGTTATGCATAGACACCCGCAGCTCGCGGGTCATCCGTACATATCGCCGTCCTAGTCCATTTCTGTGTCTATTCACTGCACTGTATCGATGTCCTTGAGATTGATGCGCTGGGTGTATAAGGTTTTGCAAAGGGTCGTCGCGTGTCTTTCAAAATGGCCGAGAGTGTTGATCATCGGCTCGTCATGCTGATTCATTCCGTCTGTGGGCCATTCTTGTTGTACAAAACCACCCGGCACGTTGGGCATGCTTCTTGGACCTCCTTTGACGAAGTCAAATGTCCCGCGCGATTGCGCATCAAATCCCTCGTGTCTGGGGTCCAGAACAATGGCATGAGCGGAAACGCAGAAATATGACCTTCAGCTTCAAGGACCGAGTCACCTGTCCTGTTGGGAATGTGCGCATCGTCACATATTGCGCTTAAAGGTTCACAGCGATAGTATTCCCTGTCACGCATGGGTTTTTCTGAACCTAGTCAATCACTTTTGCTCCTCATTCGCGTGGAGAAAGACAGATAAGGTCTCCGAAATCACTGAATCGCTGGTGAAACAAGCCTGTGGAATGACTCGGCATGCTTGTTTGATGCCGAGAAAATGCTGCTGGAAGACAAGGCTTGTCGATCAAGTGACCCGGTTGAAGATGTGCAGATGAAGGTGATGGATTGACCTGAACGTTGATCGGCGGGAGCTATCACTGTGGCGACTGGTCGTACTTGCGCTTTCCCGCCGACGCTTCCCTCTGCTTGTCCGATTACTCCTTTTCCACCAGTCTCGGCATTACCAACCGACGTCATGTCAGTCTGCGAGACTGAAGGTTATGAAGGTGGGGATGCGATGAATCACAAACTGTAGCAACCGAAACAACTCAAGTACTTGACACCGATTGCAAATTCGTTAATATTGGATTGAGGATGTAGAGCTCAGAGCATTCATCGAAGTATTCGAGGCGTCGATGGTCTGGTGGCTTTCCTTGAATGGGATCAATCAGTGCATACGAGTACGTGGTTTCAGTCCGGAAGAGAATAGAGCCAAAACTGTCCTCGTAGACAGCCTCCTGGAAGATTTCCCGAAGGTCAGGCATTTGGCGCTGTCTTCAGCACGGTAGATCTCATCGTTTAAACCTGCAAGGTCAAAGCGATAGCCTAGCTCGTCCCGACCAGACTATGTTTGCCAGACACGCAATTCAAATCAGAAGTCTCAGGGTTTCTGTCGACTTAGACTTCTGAGAGTACCTCACAGTTCAATAAAGGCTAAGACCACTTGACCTTTCTTTATGCTCCACCCCTGTCCATCTCATGAGGCAGTGTGGATGTTATCAATACTCTAAATTCTGCAGAATGCCCGACAACTAGATACTTGGATTGCCAGCCCTGGATCCGCTCCCCGACCCTGATAGACGCTACAGAAGAGCACGTCAGGGTCAGATGGACTCATCACCTTTCGGATACGGTGTGCACGCTGGATCCAGGTGCTGTGCGTGTTTTTACTTCAGATCGAATGGTGATTTCGGTAGTCACTATGATTGAGTTTTCCGAGTTCGCCCTGTTTCTCCCTTCCGATGGCTCAAGGGGGGCAAGAGTACCGGCATCCCGAAGGGTGGCCATCGGCTGACGATAGGTGGCTTCGACTCTCGGTTGGCTCTCCAATTCCACAGACCGGGATTTCGGAGGGCGGTCCGAGAGTCTCTGGCAGAGCCTGCACAATGGGTTGCAGAGACATTTCGCCACACTGGCAGCACAGTCGACCATGATCGATTAACTTGCGAGTAACAAATTGCAGATCGAATTAATTCTAGTCCGTGGTCAATACCCCTCATCGAATCGCTCTTTATAGTACGATGTAATGATTCGGCTATGGGCGGACGATGACATTGCGACGATCCATCTTTGCTCCCTTTGTTGTGGTGTCTCCGACCCAAGATTGAAAGAGCGTATCGGCAGATCGGCTCAGTGGTAGACGTGGGCTTTTGCTGCTGACCGGGACTAACCGAACTAGGATTGTGGTGGGGAGCTGGTGTCACTTTGGTGAATTGATTAAATTGGCGAACAACTTTGTCAGGGCTGAAAACCAACATGATCTCTACAATCTATAAATGACATTCCAGGCGCACGAACATTGCAAGCAACGGAACGGACCCTCTGACCTCTATAGACGTGATTGATTGGCCCTCCCTTCCAAAGCGCAACTGACTCCCGGCGTTTCCGATTGCACCCGATTCGTTAAAAGTTAGGTTTTTATGAAAGCGCTAGCAGAGGCTGCTCCCCCGTGAAATAATCTCTCTTGTTGCTATTTGACTCTATATTTGCGGAGATTCCTTCATTCCGACAGGGAAGTACGAGCCGCGACAGGTCATTCTGCCTACAAGCTGCAGCACGTCATATTTCTGCCCGTAACATATTCCCACGTAATCTGCTGAAAGAGATGGGAACCGCTTATGCAGGCTTGAAACCTCCAGGTAGGCCCCTTGTATCTGACTGCGTTCGTGTGTAGTGCATCCATGAAGCAGACATATTACAAGGTTTCAATACATACGAAAACATCGACAAGGCACAGATGCGGCAGACTACCTGCGAGGCATACGACCCCCCGGGTTCCGTTCGCCATTGATGTTGAGGACCGTAGCATTTGAAAGATCGGGTCCAGAGTTTGGATCGCCGTAGTAGTCTACGATGACACCATTGACTTGGAAGCCTGAACCGGCATAATTGATTTGATGCGGGCTGTTGAATTGGTTTGCGATCCCCCCTGACATGACAGAGCTGATCTGTACGTTTGATGTACCCCCCGAGCTGAAAGAGTTGATCTGATTCCACGTTCCCCTTGAGCTGATAGTGTTGCTCTGGACGGAAGATCCATCCCCACTCTGCCATCCTCTAGAGAATCCCGTGCCCGGTCGCCTGCTGCTCCGTCCGCTCGAGAAGCCGTCTGGGCCGCGCCGAGGGGAACGGGAGCCTCGTATCTCATCTCCCTCGACCAGAGTGGCGGCATCAGACCATTCATCACTTTCTTCATCGCCTTGTCCGGACTCGGCTTCTTGATTCGCTCCAGTGGATGCGTCAGGACCGGGGGACGAGCGTTGACGATTCAGGGCTGTGGACCCTCGTCTGTTGCGTCGAGACCTCCCTGACTGACCGTGGGCTGGCTGAGTTCGCCTACGGTCGTCTCCTCCCAGTACATAGTGGCTTCCACTGTTGTCGGTGTAACGGAGTCGTCCTTGTTCCGGGTCCCAAATGAGATCGCCGCCCTCAAGGTCGCCAATAACTTGTACACCTCCGTTTTCATTCCTGACTACTCTAACCCTTGGAGGGAGTGGGCCACGTGCGGTGCTGACAGGCTCAACTTGCTCAGGGATAGTTCCCGGCACGTTTCCTTCGCTGTCGGACCGTCCTAAAGGGGCCTGAGCATCCGCAGGGTTACCTACTTGAGGATGGATGCGCGGGACAACTACGTCTTCAGGTTCGGATCCGGATTCATCGAGGCAATCGAAGCAACCCATGTTGAGATGTCAGAGTATTTCGCTGTGCTTGCGTGACCGAGAGAGCGCGTAGTTTGGGTCTGTTTTTGAACTGACAGAAGGGAGACTAATTATTCGATCCTTCCCCTTCGACAAGCAATCCCTCGCCTGTTGTAGGTTTCCTGCTGCCTCGGTCTCTTAGCACTCGAAGAGGCGAAGATGCGAGCTTCCCCAAGGAGGTGACTCCTTTGTTCCGAATTACATCAGAATGGTGCGATGTTGTATCTGCAGGGGAAACAGCTGGACAGCACGCTATCATATCAAATACTAGATTGAAATGAAGCATGGTTCTTGGCGCATCGATCACCTGATCCATGGGTGCGCAGCGGCAGGACGACGAGGGCAAGCGCAAGCGCCGTCTGAAAAGACGAGGGGTCGTATTGCGTGCTAGGCTTCTCAATAGAGTTTCCCCTCTCTACCCGCCTGCCATCGAGTCATCGGATGGTTCTCGTCGGAGATGATAGTTTTAATGGAGAAGCTTCATTTATCGAAATGACAGTCTCGATTGGTTCCGCCACGTTTCCAGCGTGGGGCTAGTCGCAGTCGACCTGAAACGCGAGACGGGCCCTCTGCGCGCGTGTGGGTGGTCCAAATAGAAGCGCAGGGGGTTCGCGCGCTTCGAGGAATGTCAACACAACGCGGGCTGAATGTTGTTGTTGTTGTTTGTTTGTTTTGATGGGATCGAAGGGATCGAAGGGGGTGAAGGATGATGATGGCGATGACGACACTGATGGCGACACCACGACAACGATAGCAACTCGACAACGACCTGGACAAGCACTCTCTGGATGCGGCGGTAAGGTATGGAAGATCAAGGTAAAAACGAGCTGGACCCACGGCTGCAGGAAGTCTGGTGAGTCGAGAGGTTGCCCGCGAGGATGAATGTTGAGTGTAATTCTACGTTTTTTCGGATGAGCTGATGAATGTCTTGTTCCCACTCCTCTTTTTGATCGAAATGTGTGGATCGTCATCAAACAACAACAAACAATCCACGACGCTACATACGACCACCACCAATCCCTTTCGACGACCCCTCGATGCTGTTATCAGGCAATCCATCGGTTTCGTAGAATCGTCCATCATGTCGACCGCACCTGCCCCAGTCGACCGAGAGCAAGACAACTCCACAAGATCAACTACGGCGACTACTAGCGGTCAATCGATACGAGCCGCCAGCACGAACAACGGCTTCTCCGCCGGTATATATAGTCCACCATCCACATCTCACTCCGGCCTTACCCCTAGAAAACACGACCCCACTCGAGATAGCATCATCGCCAATTCCTCCAAAGGCTGGTCACCCCTTCAGCCTAAACGCCCACAATCCACGCACCCCGCTTCGAGAGCGACGTCTCCTACCCATCCTTCCAACTACAACCACCTAGACTCGACATTAGACGACGAGCAGAACATGGCGGGCGTCATGCACGGCGGTCCGAGGAGGACTAGTTCGAGCTTCAAGCATGTGACGGGGAACGCACTCGTCAGCAAGTCTCCCTTCAAGTCGGGAGGGATGACGACGGACGGACGGTCGTCGATGTTCGCTTCTTCCACCTCCTCGACTTTACACTTCCGTAGCAAATCGACCGGGACGACGACTTCCATGACCTCCTCAGCTTCGGCCTCGGCTTCGTCCACAGTTACCACCCCTCGCAAATCGAGCAACCTTCTCTCCGGCATCGGGCTCGGTATCAGCGCCTCTTCTCCCCGTCGTTCGTCAGGTAGAAAGTCTTCCGGCTCGAAATCCCGTTCGTCCTCTGGTTCGGGAGCCCGAAAAGTCTCTGCCGAACGTATCAAGACCCCTCCGAGCGATCGAAGGCGAGTCAGCGGGGAAGAACGACGGGCTTCCGGTGGTGCTCTTCGGTCCATCGACGACCCCATGAACAACGAGATGCCCGAATACGACGACTTGGGGCAATACTCACCCGACGTGAGGTCGAGCTCGGGTCGGATGCCTAGACAGTCGATGGGGTTCAAGGGACTCGCCAAAGGAGGCCTGGTTAGTCGGTCGCCGTTCTTGCAACAGACGGGCACGATGGGTGCAGATGCCGACGAGGGGAGTACTCCGCTGAAGAGGAACGTCGGGACGGCTTCCCCTGCCAGAGCAGGCGGGCTGGGTGCAAAGTTTGACTCTCCCCGTCAACCGGCTCAGGAGGACGTATTCTCTTCCCCGCCCATATCGACTCAAGACGGTTCGGGGCGTCGTATCAGCCCGATCTACAAGGACAGGGTTGGGGCTGGGTCCACGAACGATAGTCCTAGCAAGAGGCGACCCTCTCAACAAGGCTCTGCTGAGAGTCTGGTTCCCTTCCCCTCATCGTCGTCGTCACAAGAAAACTCCTCCTCGTTGCGAGCGGAGAAGCCTCTTCCCCCAATCCAACAACACTACGAACCTTCGAACACGGCCACCCCGACCAAATCGTCCATCACCAAACGACGACTCCACGGGCCCCGACTTTCCGGTTCCGAATCCCCTACGGCGACGAAACAAGCCAAGACGGTCACTTTCCAGGCGGTACCCGACGTCAAGGAATTCGAGACCGAGAGCGTGACCGAGGATGGGGACAAGAGCAGGGACAGTAGGGATTCCGATGTGGAGATGGACGATGTGGATCTCACAGATGGAGGAGACTTTGACCCTTACCACGCTATGCACCATTTCCGAGCCGATGGGAGAGGCGGAGGGAGCGGAATCGTCGAGCTGCATGATCAAGCTTATGAAGAGGAACAGAGGAGCAGTCCGGTCTTACGCGACGAGTACGAGAGCAACGATGGACACGGGACGAGGAGCACGGATAGTCATGCTTCCGAGGGCGTCTATAGGGACGAGAGTATGACGGCCAATTTCATCGACTCGCTCGTGGAAGACGGTTACTTTTCGCCGCCTTCGGTACAACATCCTCAGCTTCCGAGGCATGTCTCGGATACGCCTTCGATGCCTGAAGAAACGCCAGTGTTGAACGCTTTCATGGACTTTACGCCCAAGCTGGAGACTCCTTCCTTTGGAAGTTCGTTGGGTTTCACCACGCCCGTGGCGGAGCAGCCTCCGGTCATCCTCGGACCCGTTGTCGGTTCAGGGGAAGAGCTTCCTCAATCAGAGGAAAAGGATAGTGCGGGAGTACCTTATGGTAGGACCCATCATGCCGAACGAGTCGCGCTCGCTCACGCTATCCCCATCCGACCGGCCGAAATCGCCCAGCCTACCTTGCCTAAGCCATCGATCTACGGTGGTGAACCCGTCTTGAGGAGCGCCAACGTAGCTGAGCCTGCTTTACCGGCCCAGAATCGATACTCGGGATACGAGGAAGACCGACCGCGTGCGCATCAGGATGGCGCGTTTGTCGATCCGTTTGTGACGATCCAGACGGCTACCAAGGTGTACAACCAAGTCTCGCCGGAATACGCTTCGGCGAACCGACAAGAAGACGGAGTACCGCTCGGACGGAGCAGTCATGCGGAACGTGCCAAGGTGGCCCGTCTGCTTGCTACCCAGAGCCTGGGACTCGGCTTGCCTAACCACCCTAAACAGCCGAGTTTGCCCAGCACCGGTCGGCCTCAGACGCGTTATATCTCGTTCGGCGAGAGCGAGGACGGAAGCGAACTCAGTGAAAGCGATGGAGAGGATATGGAGCGCGTCTTGCAGCCTCCCACACCGGCGCACAGTAATCGATCTCAACCCCTCCTGAACACGCCGCCCAAGGTAGAAGAGACGTCCGAGAGGAGACCACCTTTGTCGCAAAAGCTGGAAATGCTTTGTAGCCCGATGGCATCGTCGTCCGCCACCAAGAGGACGCTGCCGAAGCCTCCCCAGCCTCAGCCCTTGGACATTCCGAGCCCAAAGCTGGCGCCTGCTATCATGCCCGAAGATTTGCCTAGAAGCACGAGTCCTACGGTATGTCCTGCATCGCGCTTTGATCCGATAAATGGATTGCTGATGGTTTCAGGGCCTTTCCGCAGGTCTTTGGAGTAACGATACCATTCTCTCTACCGAATATCGGGATGACCAGCCCCTTGTTCCCTGCTCCCCAACCTCGAAGCGAGCGACTTTCGACCGAGAGTGAAGCCGTTTCCGATACAACCGCACGACCCCTCACCCCGCCGCCGTCGTTTACCAAACCAGCAAAGGCGGAAAGTCCCCATAGGATACCCGACTTTGACTTCGAGAACGACCTCGGTAAGAGTTTCGAGATGGACACCGAGATGGACTCTGGATTGTCGACATTGGAAGACTTTGCTCCGCTGCCACCTCTTCAGCCCAGGCTTTCCCTCGACCCGCTTCGTATCGTCAAGCGGTCAAGCCAATTCGGGCTTGAACAATCCCTCAATGGCAGCAAGTCTGATGGCGTCTTGAACAGGCAATCGACCGATCCTGCGGGTGGCAGCATCAACGGCCAAGTTAGGCAGCGAATCTCGAAGGACATGATCCGCGCCAGGATGGAGGAACGCAAAGCGACCCAAACTTCGATGTCCGAAAGTGGATCAGACTCGGAAGACGATCTCCCTCTTGACATGGCTGCACGCAGATCTGTCCATCTTGAAAAGGCTTTGCCGCTGCCTCCATCTCTGTCCGGCGGACCGCTCGCAAGGCCTCAACTTCGTGCTCGAGCACAAACCAAGTCGGCTCAAGACATCCTAGCTCAGGCCGACAAGGACGGTATGCCCGAGGAACCCAAGAGCGCCTTGGATCAGCTGGTGTTCGACTTTAACGGCTTACCTTCTGGAAGCTCGTCTCAGCGCCCGCAGTCTTTGGTCGTTCGTCACGTCTCTTCGGAAAGCGTCTTGACCACTGGACCGGCCCGATCGGGATTACCTACCGCTTCCTCTTCCACCTTGCAACCGATTTCTGAAATGAGTTCGATGGACATGTCCGTCGACGACAGTGTGGTGTTGGCTCCGGTATCCGATGACCCTTCGGCTCGACCGAGGCGCAGAAGGAGCATGAGCACGGGTGATGCTCGGCCCAAGCCCGATCGAGTGAGCCACATTGTCACTATATACCGCATCGCCAAGGCTAATCAAACCGGTTCCGATAGACATCGAGCGCACGCATGTCGATCATGAGCACCCTAGATGACCTGGATTTCAAGGACAATCAATCGATGCTAGCCGCTTTCGAGCAGGATGTCAAGCATATCACGGCTGACGTAGGTCTAGAGACTTCGTTCGGCCCGCAGTAGCCTTTTTCGCTGATGATCAGCTCTTCCAGCGTCAATACCGTGTGCGAGAGCAACATCAGACCATCTACGCCAGCTCGGACGACAAGATCAAGCACAACAAAGCAGGCGACGTGGACAGTGGGCGAGCTTGGAAACAGTTGCGAAAGGCTTCAGACATGGTGAGCATTCAACGCAGTCGCGATCCCTCGTTCGACGCTGACCTTCGCGAGACTAGAACCAATACGCGAAAGAGCTTAAAGCTTTGAAGGCGAAAGCGCAGGGTCAGAACAAGCCGATGGGCACAATCTTCGTGAAGGGTGAGTGAAACAACGGAAGGGCCACATAATCACCAGAACGCAAGCTGATTCTGTTTTGTGATACCTGACAGTGCTCGGAATCGAATCTTTGGCACTGCCCCTGCCGAGGGAAGAGACGTCCTTCTGTGTGACGCTAGACAATGGAATCGACTATATTCGCACTCCTTATTCGACGTTGAAGGAAGGTGCACGAGTGAATCAAGAATTTGCACTGTGAGCCTCGAACTGCACGTCTCTGCAGGAAAGCTGCGCTGACACCGCGCCGACATCGAATAGGGTCGAACATGCCAACTTTGAATTCACTCTGGGGCTGGAGATCAAGCGCGACCCTCACATAATTCAGATGTTGCACAACAACGTACCCAAACCGATGCTGCCGAGCAGAGCCGTGGATTCGGAGGTGGCGTCCGTTGCTTCGGGAGTCAAGGGAGGTGGATTCCGAAACCTCTTTGGCAGTCCCAGAAAGGGCTCAAAGCCTCCCAAGGCGATCATGACCGAGATTCCCCGACCGGTTTCGCAAGAGACCAACATTGGGCACTACTTCCCGCCAGGCGAAGCTCTTGTTGGCAAAACGCACATCGCTTTTAAGCCTATTGCCAAGAACTGCGATTCGAGGTTACTGGAGATCCGATATCCGATGTATGGTGCGCTGCGACGAGAAAGCGCGTTACCGCCTATTCCCGTCAGCAAGGGGGACCGCCCCAACTCTCAGCCGCCATCGAGAAGTTCGGGGAACACGACATCTGCGGTCAAGAAACAGGTCTGCAAGATAACTTTGCAGATCTTCCGTCTGCCGCCTCTGCCCGGGCTCGACCAAGATCAGCTGCCTCAGAGCATCGATGAGTGTCTGAGGGGGATGAGGCACCACGCATGGCACGATCATGAGTATCACGAGGGCCTCTTGACCCAGAAGGGAGGGGATTCGAACGTGAGTTCTGAACTTGCTCATATCGGATCTGCAAACGCGTCGAGCTGACGAGATGTCCACCGCAGGTCCCAAGACGACGTGACTTCAAGGTGATTGGTGGCAATCTGGTCGCCAGGAATCCCGTGACCAAGAAGACGGTATTCTCCATCGACCTGCGCAAAGTCGTCGCTGTCAATGACGAGAATGCCGTCACACGCCCGGCTCCTTCTACACCATCGCGACGGACGCAAGACTTTGACAGCGATATGGGCGTCATGCCGCGATCCTTCCGCCTGCTGTTCGATGACGGGGAGGATATCCTATTCTGGACCGACAATGATGAGGAAAAGGCCGGCTGGTGCGTAACTTCACCAGTATTGCGTGCGGTACTATGACTGACGATTTTGTTACGAAAAATACAGGATGAAAGTCTTGACTAGCCTCGTCGGTAAGGTGCCCTCAAATCCGCTCTGGGCCGAACTCCTTGCCGCTCGACACCGCCACGCCGCTGCGCGAGCTCACGCCAGGAAAGCCTCATCGGCAACCGCAGCAGCGTCTGATGTTGCCAGCGAAGTTTCCAAGTAGTTTCGCCTCCTCTTCTTTACGACATTTCTTTCGATGGACACTCTTTTTAACCCGGCACATACTCGATTCGGGATGTTTCTACGCATCATCCAACGCTTGTACAATTCATACCCTCTTGTCGATGTTTTCAGTCTTGATTCTTTACGTTGTTTCGTTATCAATGTACGCCACATTAATATCTCCGAGACCCTAGACTTGCTACATGGAGACGCATATTTTGGTACAAAGACGCATTTTCCAACCGTGTCTGCAATAAATTATAGATTCTCTCTCGCCCCGCTGTGCGCACCCGTCTGTTGGTGCCCACCCATCTGCCACTTTTCCCTGATGAAATCGACCGCCAACTGGTACGAGTCCCTCTTCAGCTTTCGGTGCTCCTCCTTCAGCCACGCATCGGGAAAGACGTTGAACCCGTGAGGCACGCCCATGGCCGTGACGACCTTCAAGGCTGCGTCCCGCTTGCCCTCCTTGACGGCTTCTATCCAGGCGAGCGATTGTGTCGAGAGGGTGTCTAGCTGGCAGAGGTAGAGCAGAATCTGGAGGATCGGAGATTTGATCTTGTGAGGTCAGTATCGCTTGCCTATGACTGATAAACTTGAAAAGCCGTCGACTGACCTCAGCTTTCGGGTGCAAGGCCGAGATGGGCACCAGACCAGGCGAAGCTCGAGGATGAGCCGCCTGATCTCTCGGCAAATACGTCGGCATGAGATGCGTCTCCAAGTCGAGCTTCTTAACGATTCCCTTTTGCACCTTGGGCTCCATTCCTTCTGGGTAAGGACGTTCGTTGGGCAACAGCCTTGCGTCGAGAGAAGGGTAGTACAGGAGGACGGGGATCGTACCCGCATGAGCGACGGGGAATGGGCTAGGCCAAGCTTCGGGCAAGGTAGGAGGTTTGATATCGAGCACCAGCTCCAAGGCCAGATTTCCACCCGAGGAGAAACCGCTAATGGCTACGTGTGTAGTATCGATGTCCAGAGCAGCACGCTTGTGTTTGGCGAGCTGGTCGGCGATGCCTTTCCGGAGTTCTCGGTAACCCGGTCGTTTCGCGTCCAACACGGCATAGACGATATCCTCGCAATCGTGGTTGGCCTTGGGGAACTGCTCGTAAGGCCCCAAAGCGTAATCCACGCTGATGACGATACATCCGAGGTCTCGACACAGCTTCGCACAGAACGGTGCCTGCTCCGCCGTCGTACCCAGGATCATGCTTCCTCCATGATGGTCGAGCACAACGGGGACATGCGTCGTCCCAGATTTGACAGAGGTATCGGGTGGGATGAAGACGGATACGGGGATGGTCCGATTTGAAGTCCTGCACGGGACTTTGATGGTGATGGGATGGGGTCCTTCCGGGTTGGTATACTTCAACGCCAGGTCTGGGACGAGCCTGGGCGCCGAGACCAAGGCTTTACGCCAATTGATGCTCCATGGGTGGTCATGAAGTCGTGACATTTGTGTTGGATGTATAGTCTTATTGAGTGAATACCACAGAGCTGCCTGTGTCGAACGGTCATTTGGTGTGAAGTGAGTAGTAGTGATTGATCGTTCTAACCGGATCACTGGACAACGACGACTCGACTCGACTCTGGGATTTGTATGACGTCATCTTCGATCTCGGCACCCAAGCGGTGCAGTAGTCTAGTCAGTCAGGACTCGGATCGCAACGCAACAACTCTCGTTGAGTTCGGTGCAGAGATCCCGTCGCCTCTGACCTTGATAACGAGCAGGCTAGTGATCGTCACAGTGTCACACCCTTCCGTCCCTCTGACTTTGACCATCTATAAGAATGACGAACGACTCACCTCGACCGACTGCGAGGTCGCGCTTCACAAACAAGCCACCTCCTCGCGAGCGCGAGGCGCATCAAGGTCGCTCTGTCGCTGATCTACCATCCACCGAGTCTTGTAATGCCGCCGCCCTCTTGTACATGAATACCATTTCTTGGCGCTTCGGATGTTCACTAGTCGTGTGTTGCCGCGATCGCCGAATCGACGGCGAAGCATGCATGCGCTCGCGCGCTCGTGACCTCGCGGCGAGCGCGCAAAAGAACTTGGAACGGTTAGCCACCCTTTCATTCGTTCTCGCCATAAAACGATGTCGAGCTGACCGGATCGTCGCGCTATCTCGAATCCAATCTCGTCAGCGGTAGGAATTGAAGCAAGCGGTGTAAATCACTCCACAAGGTGTGACGATGACCTACTAGCAGTCAGAGGAAGGAGCCCGTAAATGAAGAACAAACAACTCGCGTTTGTACAGCTAGGGCGAATTCCGCTGCGAACATGTAAGGGACTCAGAAAGCAAAAGATGAAGGACATGATTCATCTATGATCTATAAGAATATCATTCAAGAAGCACCTACCCGGCAATCAATCCTCCAGAAGACAATGACTCGGAAATGGGCTTCGTCAGAGATCTCTGCAATCAGGGCGACCACAACGACGCGAACGTCACACCCAAACCGGTCAACGCTGTGAAGGATGGCTTCGAGCTAACAAAAAGTTTCTGCTCCTCCGAAAGCGCATGAAGAGGAGAATGAGTCATGGAAGTTTGGGTTGGGAAGTCGCATTACCAACGATAAAGGGGGTTCTGGTACGGGATCCGAAGATACCTGAATCTGTATCGTCTCATTCAGACGAACCCCTTCCAGGCTTTCTGAGCGACTCTGAGCACTTCACTAATAGCGTATACACGCGAGGTCCAGACGCGATCAACCCCGACGGATGCCCATTAGAAGGCACCTGGCTGAACCATACACCCGTCAGGGAAAGGGGCCTTTGAGAAGTGTTGATTACAACTCGGCTTCAGCGGATCACCTTCAAAAAATCGCAAAGAGGGGTTGCAAGTTTGGATCAAACCCATCAGAAGCGCCAGGTTCACAACGACTGCCTTCTACCTCTAACGGCCTCTGGAGAGAAGATCTGGGTAGATGTTCCAAGAGGTCTTTGATCGAAATGTGGTGGTGGACACCCTCATCGCGAATCCTATCCTCGATTGATCACCTCAATCGTCCATCTTGAGACCGAAGAGGTCCAGATCGTTCATCTTGCAATCATCCAGAGGCAAAACGGTAGCGCGACCAGCTTTCACTGCACATGTCCAGAAGGCCTGGATCGAGGAGAAATCGATTCGCTGTTCCGGTATGAATGGCGTAGATGCATGCGATAAGCAATCAGCATGTTCCTTGAAACAAGGGATAGTAGTAGTTGAACTTCTCGTTCACTCGCGGCAAGATCTTGCACCGTAATTTGACATGCTTCACCCCTTCGCTGCTCAATCTTTGTATCTACCGCGTCGATCTACGTTACGCCAAACTTCCTACATTCAGTTCCAAGGAAACAGCAACAGACATAAGATGTATCTGGCGCCGATTCCATTGGCTTCTACTCGTAGGCGTCTGAGCAAGCGTTCTGTTTCTGTGATGATCTTTGCCTGCTACTGGCCTCATTGCGTAGGAGACAGTGAGACCCGGTCATACCCGAGTTTGCGCATCATTCCATTCTATAATCGAACCAAACACATTCTCTCTTCTTCATCCCTCCATGGGGCTCAGACGGAAAGACCTAGGCCCTCTTGTTTCGCCTCCGCTTCGGATTCGAATCCGTGTATATATGTTCCCTCGTCCAACTCCTCCATCTCCCTCGAGCTCTTCGTCCGGCCGGCTCGGTCCTCCCTGACGGGACTTCACCTCCTGATCCTCATCGTACCCAACCTGAACTTCTCATCCCTTATTCTAGAACGACAACAACGTACGACGAAGAAGATTTCGGAGAGCGCGATCGATCAGCCAAAAGAATCTTCAATCGGACGCTCATCAGGGACAGACTAGTAAGCCGTGACTTACCAGAGATCAAAGCCAAGATCATCCTGTACAGGTAATAGAAGAACGAGACCAAGTAGAGTCCGAGCTTGATGAAGCATTCCTTCTTGTGACCCGAGAGCGTCCGGAAGATCTCGGTCGCGTCGTACATGTGGTTCTTGGTCAAGATCCTGCGTTTGCGGGCAGTAATCGATGCAAGAAGGAGAAGGAGATATCAAGCGTCGTCAGCTCGGACATGCGGATCTGAAAGAGGAGAAAAGACGGGGCATGACGCACTTGTTGACGTTGTATCCGACCAGAGGAGCGTTGACCAGGAACGATATCCATTGTCCGGTCAACAAGAAGCAGAGCGTGAGAAAGGCGTGGGCGAGCATCTCGGGGAGGACGAACTGTCGATAGCACAAAAGCGGGATGAGATGTATGATACAGGTGTCAGTATGGATCTGCGAGACTGGAGCTGAGGTGGTAGAAACTAACGGTATTGAGCTTGTTACACAGGTCGATAGGGTTGATGTAATCACACTCGAGGTCGGAGAACATGATGATCTGCAAGCATATTCGAGCCGAAGAAGATGCGCGAGTCGACCATCAACACGGTACTGCTGTAGAACTCGAGGCAGAGGACAGGGGACTGACAAAGAAGACCATGGAGAACAAGAGCGCGGCCGCCATAAAGACGGCAAAGAGGAACAACCAGGCTGTCGTGTTCGATCATGTCGTTCCAGGTCGAGGGTTTGGTGCCAGTCCGGAATCGTACATCAAGCAAAGTAGTTCGTTGCATCACGATAAAGGCGATAAGGTGTATGAACATAAAGCCAGGGAGTAGAGAGGAAGAAGAGTAGGCTGGATCAGCACATGTAGACCCAAGATGAGGCTCCATTGCTCGCGTGAGCTCGGTTCTCACCTTCACCACCCATTTTTGCTGTCTATTTCGCTATGCTTTCTGTCTTCTTGCTTGAAGGGTCCAATTAGGGATCGAGCGGTGTAGATTCTAGTACTATATGACTATATGATGGGATGACCGATTTCTCAAGGAGGGTATGGTTCAACTTGAACGAGCATATTCACTTCGACAGCGGGCATCATCGTCGTCATTCCCCAGGAGGAGAAGGGGGGCGCGAAGCTGATCGGTGTGCGAAGAGTCTCAGGTCAGAGCGAGACGAGGCTGGCGTCGAAATCTATCGTCTAGGAAAAGAAGCTAGGTCCCTTAGGGGCGGAGTTAGGCGTTTCTACGTTCACTAGGCTGCCCAGCCAGCCACGTCTTTGACATATGACAAGCGGGACATGTCCGGTACAAGCCGCCATTCGTGTCTTGGAGGCCGTCATTCCGTATGAGTCCTTAGTCGTCGAGGTGCGCGGGCGGGACTAGAGCTCTCAATTGACCAGCGCGAACATGACTCCTTCCTCCTTGCTTCCCATCGCTTCGATCAGGTCGATTCCACTTGGCGAGGACGTGATACTCATCACGCAGGAAGTGCCCACGAAAGTGGTCCCTATCCGGTTCGCAAAATCATGATGTTTAGCACGTGCACCTTGCAAGCCGTTTTTGTTTCCCTCCGACTTACCTCTTTCGGTGCCTACCCGGTTGCATGCGACGAACACCACATCCTTCCCAGGCTGGACATCCTTGAGACCGTCAGGCGTATATGTTGGGGTGGGATCGTGCAAGGGCATCAACCTGTGCGCCCAGTAATTGAGGGTAGACATTTCCGGCCCGTCTTGCGTTTCTTCAGTCTTTGCGGATGAAGGCGCGTCTAATGGAGGTTCGCCTGGAGGTTCTAACCAATTCATCCTGTATGAACCATCAATCGAGGTCAGGATGAGCTTTCCTATACGGTATTGCAAGGCAAGGTCAGGTGTCAAAGGCTCACGGTACGACTAGCAAGTCGGCCCTAGTCTTCCGGACAAAGTTGCCCAGTTCGTATGCATCAAATGGGGCCAAGAAGTCTTTCGGGTTCATATCTATGTGTCATACGTATCTGTCAGCTTGCGTTTTAACTAAGAGGTATGAATCAGGGGATTGGGAGAAAAGTTCAACTTGCCCATGCATATTCCGATTACTGTTCGACCCAAAGGTTCAGGTAGGTCTAGCACTTTGAAGCCATCGCCTGTCAACAAGAAAGCCGATTCCATCAGTTCTGATCTTCGACCTGTGCGATGGAATCCCAGAAGAGGAAGACGTGGATATGGGCTCACCTTCCTTGGCCCATGTCTTGTCTGTATCGAACAAAAAGCTCTTGCGGTACGTATCGTAGACGGTGCCTTGCGGCGACACAATGACAGCAGAGTTGTAAGCCACGATTCCTTCCTCCTCTCCGTCACCTATTGTCGAGCCTGTTTGTCCTCCCTGTCGTGCTACCCCTGCGGTCTGCTCCGTGGTCTCTCCATCGTCATCTTCATCCTCCACGTCGTCGTCTTCCGTGGTATCCATCCCGGCTGATACATGACTCTTCTCTGGATACCCAGCGACGACCCAACATGCGCATCTTCTCGCCAGTTCACTACTGAGCGTAGCTGTCGGCCCTGTCCTCGGATTCTCCAGTACGCTGGCGATCTCGGAGGACGATTTGTACATGTACCCCGTCAGGCACATTTCGGGGAGGACGAGCAGGTCGATCTTGTTTGGTTGGATTCTATAGGTATTGAGAGTTGATACGGGGATGAAGAGTGAGCTTGGACAATTCCTGTGGGCAAGCCTCGCATACGATCGACAGGACTGACCGGCTCGTCAGCTCTCGTATCCGTTTAGCATTCCCCTCGACATCCCCGAGCTACCATGTCCCAACAAGATCAGAAGTTCAGCTCGATATTGACGATCATGGCACTGTAGTGGATGACCGGCTACTTTACCTTTGGGTCGAACTGCACGCACGCTACCGTCAACGGCTTTCTTCGGTAGCCCGGTGCGGGTCGGGTCGAGCTCGAGCTGCTGGACATGGATCGTGATTGCGGTCGTAGGCGTGAGATGGAGGAGAGGCGAGGCAGGCGGGAATGTGGGCTTAATGCAGACAGTATGGTAGACGAGCTATCTGATGGTATCGACTTGTTGCTGTTTAGCTTACTTGGGCTGGCGCTGGAGAGCGATCTGAGCTTTGCTTTTCCTTCTCATTCGGTCCCATCGACTTGGTGATCGGTCGATCCCCGCCGCGTCGGTCAAGTCCGAATGACGATGACGAGCCGTTTCATAGCGAACAAGGTTATCGTTTCAAGACGAAACGACTAGACAACCATGCGGACATTTTAGATTGCGATGAAGTATTTCCATGCTTTTCCACGTTGGAACCCATATGTAAGCTCAGTTCCCAATCTCCCGTTCATCTTGTGCTATTTCTACCAAGCTTCGGACCACACCTTACTAATCAATCACGAGATCACGATTCATGTCGAAACACCGCTATAATTGTGATCGCCTGGCGCGTTAGTGCCGGGCAGGGTTCAGTGATCATCGTCAGATGTGCAGCGGTCTGACACTGATTCCCTGACCGGTAGTTAAATTCGGTGCAAGCTCGATAGGTCACACAATCCTTTGCGCCTGGAAGCTTTTCGCATGCCGTTATCACTTAACAGGCGAGTCACGATAGGGCAAAACTACAAAAACGCTCTAGGAATCGAATGGATCGTGCTCTACTCTGTTCTGGCGGAGAGGGATTACCCAAGGCGAAGGGACACGCAGTCTTTGAGATGGTCCGAGATCAAGATCTTTGCAATACGTGTTACGTTGGAAGGACGTGAAACAAAGACATAACTCGATTGCCGCTATGCCACTTGCTGACCTATGTCTGCGACACCCAAGAGCAGGTCTCTATAGCGGTCAGAGCGGGAATCGAGACGAGAACGAACCACATGACGGCGAGGGCGAGCGTGATTGGGATTCAAAATCCGGTGGATTTTGATCTCGACATGGTGATGGCTACGTTTCGCTAATTCCAGAACTGAACACGTCCGCATGCAACCCAGAGCAAGCCATGACCTGAGTATCACGTCAAGGCCTGGGCTGATTAGTGGAAGAAAGTTAGCGATCATGTTCCGGTCGGAACATGACAACACTTCCTACAGGGGCGTTCATGCTGAGACGAAACAGCGAGCGAAATATCTTATCGCTGAGAAGGTGTCCTGCCCCACGGGGACCTCATTGCATAGCCACAAGGCTACTAAACGTTGCCTGTGGAATCCAGCTCTGAGCTTATACAAAATCATCAAAACCGGATTTTGCTGGAATGATGGTCCTCAGGACGACAGTTCCGAGGTAGCCTTCCGACTGGCCATTCGGAACATGAAAGATGCGTCTATATGAACTATGCGCTTTGCGTCACATGGCGAACGACCGGGCTTACAATCAGATTCATTCGAAATCCAACACGGTGTATACTGGGCTATATCGCTAGAGCCTGAGTAGACCACGGATATACAGTGAGTATATCGTGAGCATTTAACCGTATCACCGCAACAATGTAATATAGTCTTTGCTTTGCGCTGTGTAGCACACTCAAACATCATTAAGGGGCGTCCGATCCTGAAGTCATACTTGTCATCATGGATGGACAAAACGACCACAACCACGATCATAACAAGCAAAGATGGTACAAGGTCAAGGACTTGAAGGACGACCTCAAAGATCAACTAAAAACCTTGCCATACCCCATTTGACCTTGTAATAGTCTGTCCTTGGCAGTAGAGGGCCTCATCTTGCTCTGCCAGACTAAGCATCCGGATCTGCAGGAATGCAACAATTGTCATGTTGTACACTGATCATCCGAGAATTACAGTCGTGACTCTCCAGAGTACATGCCGGACAAGGAGGAGATTGAGATGAGGAGGATTTGGCATGCAGGAGAGCTAGTATAGCGAAGGGTCAAGCTCATCAAGCTGCAAGGAGCACAGGAACATCCAGGGATGTCTATCGACTCTGGATACTATCATTGAAGTCAAGAGCACCCTTTTCCAACCCTTGAGGAACTACAACAGGTGGTAATCCTTTTGACCCGCAAACAGGACGAGGCGGCGGCTCAGGTGACACGAGCAGACGAGTTGGAGGTCCTGATCCAGCAGGCTCAAGCGGACCTTTCTCATAAGCAGGCTCAGCTGGACCTGGCCGAGCGAATGAACCAGAATCTTCAATGCCAGGCAGTGGATCAGGCCGCTGAATCAGAGCGATCGAAACAGGCCGAGATTCAGCAGCTGCAGAATGTCATCATTGGGCTGTGAGAGCAGGTTACCGAATTGAGTAAAGTCATAGGGGTCAAGGATGATCTGCTGCAATCCCGACATGACGAGATCAAGCGATTGCGAACGCTAAAAACGTCAGCCTTGAAGGTGGGTCTGCTCGCAATGTGGATCCATGTTGGCAAAGTCGAGATGGCTGACTTTACAGCTTGTGATTGCAGGTTGATAGTAAATAGGGTTTATCGAAACGAAGCGCGTGAACCTTTCATGCGTCAGAGTGACTGTAGTAGTACGACTGAGGAAGTACAACGGGAAGTAAGGTATCACATATGTATCTACAAGCGGTGAAGCACAACAACGGGATATCAAACACGTATATAGACAGCAGGGTCAAAGGATACAACCAGAATCTTTTCCTAAACTGATTCTCAAAAAAGATCTCATCAGACCGCCTGCATCCCAGTCCCTTCTTCCGCCACGGCTCTATTCGCTCGTCTCTCCACCCTTCCCGTACCCGCGTCGAGTGCGATCTCGCCGCCTCGACCTTCTTGACCCGTCGCGACTCCTCCAGCTCCAGGAGCTAATCCAGGCTCTTGGGTCGGTCCAGCGTTCGCCCCTGTCCTGACACCGTTTCTACGAGGATGAACGTGTCCACCACCTCCCCGAGCAACGTTTCGGTTCGCATGGGCATTGGGTGCACGTCGGAGCCGTTTGACCGCTTCGAGCGTCCCGGCTCCCGCTCCTGCACGAGTTCCTGCTTTAATCCCGGACTTGCCGAACAAAATTGATCCCAAGGTAGTCCAGACTTTCTTGAAGTACTTCCCAAGCTTTCCCCCGAGAACGAAGACGACGAGCATCCCCACGACCCAGATGAACGTATCCAGCACCAAGAGCGAGTCTAGCGTGTCCGGGAGGTTGTAAGCCCGGAGCGTTGGAGCGGGGATGAGTAGTAGACGGACGATGTGAAGGTAGAGCTTGATCGGGGATGGAATGAGAGGGGATGAGAGAGTCGGATGAAGCAGCGCTCGGAAGATTGGGTTGAGGGCCGGAAAGTCAACTGGGGTAGGCGGGGTGGTCGGGGTGACCTCCGACTGGGCTGCGGACGATGGCGAGGGCTGGGACTCTTGCTTTTCGGCTTGATTTCCGCCAGTTCCAACATCCTCCTGACCAGCCGATTCCATGCTGATGGCCTCTTCCTTCCCAACCTCCTCTTCGCCCACCTTCTCGTCTACCGCCTTGGTCCCTTTCACCTCGCCCTCCTCCCCGACCGACCCCGCAGTTTCGACCTGCTTTGGCTCCTCTTCCTTCTTGCTTTTCAAAGCTTCCTCGTGGTCTCTCATGATATCCCGGTTGGAGCGGGCACAAGTCGGACAGACGTACGCTCCCGAGCTATGGCAGCGGAAAAGAGGTAATTGGAGAAGGGTGTCGAAAGGAAAGGTCGAGACAAAGCAGAGTACGTAGAATCAGCCATCGGTTGCTCCGGAAGTCGGCCCACATTGCCGAAACTCACATCCCAGCCAACCTTCTCCTCTCCTCTCCTCCCACTTTCAGACCCCCATAGCCCGACTCGGCCTCGGGCCCCGTCGCATTCCAGAATCCACCCAAGCCCACGACGACGGTCCTGATCCCCCAGATCGGTCTCCATGATGACGTATGGAAACTCGTGACGCCATCGATGCAGATGTTCTTTTGCGTCTCGAACCTCCCCGAATGGGTCAGGATCTGGATGTCTGGTGGGGAGAGAGGGTAGGTGGGAGGGAGGATCACGCGGGCGTGGTAGATTCCTGCGAACATGGTTGCGCAAGACACAGCGGGATGAGCAAAGAAAAGGATCAGATATGCAGAGATATCAGCCTTGAGAAGCGATAATGACCTCGCCGTTGATCGTCAATCGGGAGCATACCTCCTTGATAATCGCTACCCTCCGCACCCTTCATCGTAACGTGCCAATCGAACAGATCATCCTCCAAGGGTGCGGCCACGAAATCCTCTGGAGGATCCAGGAGAAACTCTTTATGTTCCTGCAAGATCCTCTTGATAGCCGTCGAGCGGGTGTTGGCCTTGGGTGGCATGATGGTCGGCGAGCTTGGTACGGAAAGGCCGTAACTGATGAATAGCTGATTGTGGCGAGCGTCGATCGACTGATGATGTGGAAGCTCGATACAGGCCACAGGAGATTGCCGTTTTCGATATTTTGACTGTCACGACCTGTGCTTGAAGAGTTGGACTCCTGTTATATTTCTCCCTTTGTATGTGTAACTCTTTGAACAAGTCATTCGACAACCACACACTCTGGCACTGTGCACTCTATCAAAGGGCGGAGGTTGCTCCGAGGAACCACGCACCTTGATTTGCTTCCGAATGCTTCCGCCCGTTCCCCCTTCGGCGCGGTCGGGGCCACCTCATCATCAGATCATCATCAAGAGCCTCGACACACAATTGCATGGTCGTACTCGTCGACAAGCATGACAAGGTCATGGTCACACAATCTAGCATCAGTCAGTCAGGGAATCGCAATGGCAGAACCAAGATCACCGGTCAGGGAACCAGAAGTTGTCTTTTACGACGCGCCTTGTGAGCTATCCCTGCGAGCTCAATATATGACATGCTGCGACCGCGACATGCTTGGCTGACTACGACCGTTGACCCGAACTTTTCAGTTCAACTGTATGGACTGGGTTTCAGCAACTCTTCCTCGCATCCTTCAAGAGCTGCTGTGACCTCGTTCATCCCGACATCAAGCTCGAACAAGATTCAGATCATCGACCGACGAGCTTACGACCAGGACTATGAAGACGAGGACGATGATGATCGGGCCAACTACGGTTACAACAGCAGCAACAATAACAACAAAAAGCCTCAAGCGAAGCCGGATTACAACCTCCTCGCACAAGCTTCTCATCCTTTCCCACCTACCCGGGTCACTTGGGAACCTCGACCTGCCACAAACTCCTCGTCATCTTCTTCCCGGCTGACAAACACCGGCACAGGGGAAAGACAGACGGAACTCTTAGCTACTACCGGGGATGCACTCAGAGTGTGGGAAGTCGAGACTTCAATGGACGGGTGGGCGGAGCCGAACGACGTGGGGGACGGGGGTAGCGAGGATGACGAGGATGGAGATCGATTCGGATATCGACGGGATAGGGATCGGGCAAGGGTCGGGTATGGTGGAAGGCAAGGGGAAAAGGTCAGGTTGAGGGAGAGGAGCAAGTTGACCAATGTGAGTCTTATAGAGGTATCGCGTGGCATGTTAATTCCCTCCTGACCATTCACTGACCTGTTGATTAAACATACTTCCCCCGGCCCACAGGGCAAGGTTCCCGCCAATCAAGTCCCTCCGCTCACCTCCTTCTCATGGTCCGACCACTCTCCCAACCTCCTCGTAACCTCGTCCATAGACACCACCTGCACCCTCTGGGATATCCACACCTCCACTGCCCTGACCCAACTTATCGCTCACGACCGAGCCGTCCATGACGTCTCCTTCCTTCCCCACTCATCCGACGTATTCGTCAGCGTCGGTTCCGACGGGTCTCTCCGAGCGTTCGACCTGAGGGCTTTGGAACATTCGACCATCTTGTACGAGGATCCCGGGAACAAACCGTTGATGCGGGTAGAATTTGGGAAGAAGGAACAGCATTACTTGGGGGTGTTTGGGATGGGAGAAGAGGCGGTGCAAGTTTTGGATATGAGGAGTCCCGGGGTGCCCGTCGTAGAGCTAAGGGGGCACAAGAAGGGGAGAGACGGGGCAGTGAACGCGATCGCTTGGGGATGTGAGGGCAGAGCGAGTACGGGGGGTGCCGGGTGGCTGGCGAGTTGTGGTGAGTCGTCGGCTCATGGCTCACGAGTGGCAGATCGAGCGGAAAAAAGAGGCTGATCATATGTTCGACTCAGGCGACGACGCTCAGGTCTTGTTGTACGACTGTACGCAACCCTTGCCTTACCCTCAATCATCTTCCAACCCTTCTTCCGCCGCTTCCTCGCCTGCCAATTTCACCCCTCCTCCTCCTGCAGCGGGACAAGGCAAATCGGGCACGGCCCCAGGGAAATCTTCCTCTTCCACTCATCTCTATCCTACGAAATCCGGAGCGAGCACGCCAGGCGCGGGCCAGAGCCGGACAACGTCCCGAGGCGGGACCTCATCATCCACCCAACCCGCCGTTGTACCCAAACGGTACCCCGTGAGGGCGTGGAACAACCAGCTGGACGGGTTCTTGTCCTCGTCCCAGGTCGGGAGCGCCGAGTTGAACAACCTCGCGTGGGGTTGTGAGGGGCAGAACGGGCAGGGCGTCTGGTTGGGAGTTGTCGGAGGGAGGCGGTTGAGTTGTTTGAGGTTCTGATCCGTTCATGTGGAAGGGATGGGGTTTCGACCCGTTTGGGATTCGGCTGTCGTGTTCATAGTCATACAGTAGTCGTGTACGGTTTTGGGAGTTGTGGGGTCCGAGATCATGCATGGATCAGAAGAGAACATGTTACCGATGACGTAGCGATCGACCGTTATCAACGACGATTTGCATCCGCTCAACCTCGCTCTCCTTGGCGTTCGTCTGCGCGAATTGAAGGATCAGTTCGACATCAGTTCATCGGCAAACACGCAATAGGATCTAGAGCCAAACTCATAGAGAGAGACTCGGGCCGATTCCAAACGAATACAGATAGGCAGCGGAATAGCCACTCCAACCATGTCAGGGGGAACAGATGCCGTCCCAGGTGAGCCTCTAACCGCCTGCTTCACAAACGTGCGGTCCTCTGGCTGACACCCTGAATCCTCGGCGTAATGACACGACACAGTCAAGGTTCTCTTGATCACCGTCTTTCAATCTATTATCGAGGTCGTCATCCTATGTGCGGCGGGCTATATCTTGGCTCGAGCCGGAATTCTCGACAAGCCTACCCAGAGAAAGCTCAATGTCGTCAACGGTGAGTCCTGGTCTGATCATAGGGTGGAATGCCTTTAGGTTGAATATCGAGAGCTGATTCGACGTTTGGCTTGTAATTTCGACGGGCAGTCTCGTTGATGACCCCGGCATTGCTGTTCTCCAAGGTGGCCTTCTCGTTGACCCCTTCAAAGCTCAAAGAAATGTGGATCATCCCTCTCGGGCAAGTCCGCAATCCCGCAGCACCTCGTCTTCTGCCTTTAACCGCAGAACACACAATTAACTCTGGATTCGAACCTCTATAGCTTCTTCATTGTCACGATCGTCTCGGCTGGGGTGGCGTTCGGCTTGGGTACGGTGTTTAGGTTGAAGAAGAGTCAGAGGGCGTTCGCCATGTGTGCGAGCATGTTTCAGAACAGCAACAGTCTGCCCATCGCGTTGATCCAGGTGGGTGCCGGTTGCCTTGTCCGAAAGCCAATACAGAGAAAAAGGCTGACAGATAGATGTCTCTTTCCGCTCTCTTTTCCTGCTGGGCATTCGGCCGAGTAGTCGCTTGTCGTCGAGGTGCCTGGCTTGAAATGGGGTGATGATGACACCAAGGATGCCATGCTCGGTCGAGCTTTGGCCTATCTGGTCGTTTATTCTACTCTGGGTATGATGGTATGTACCGACAGATGATGGAAATCGTGTCACCCGGCCACAAGCTGACATTGTGCGAGCGCAGTTACGATGGTCTTACGGCGTCAAGCTCCTTTCGAGCGCCGATGAAGAGCAGACGGATGTCACCACGGAACAGGTCACCAACACTATTCTCACGGAAGAACCCCAGACCCTTGACAACCCGGGCAGCGGCGAGCCTCATCCGGCGGCGAGGGAGACGGACCCGTTGTTCTCGAGCGTCGATCGTATCAAGGCCGACGAGAGGGAGGAGACTGCGAGCAGGTCATCCGCGGATGGGTGGAAGCCTAGTGTGGGGTCTCCCGGTCTCAACGGAAGTGGGAATGGCGCCTTGCCCATCTCGGCCCATACGCTCGAGACGGTTCGGGAAGGTCGACGATCGAGTCCCAGCCCTAACGCTCGGACGACTTCTTTCGGTGCCGTTCACGGAAGTGGACCCGGATCTCGACCTTATCCTCGTCGACCTAGCCAGATGAGCCGAGCCGAGAGCGGGAGGGAGTTCTGGGGTCTTCCTCAGGCTGGACAGAGTCGGGCGGATCAGAAGCGGTACGGCCAAAACGGGACGTTGCATGATCATCAAGAGTCTTGTGGCGATACCAGCGATAGCGAGGACGAGGACCAGGCGGATTCAGAGGATGAGGAATGGGTGAGTCTTAAGACTCTGGGGTAGCCGTAAAGAGCCGGACTTGGCTGATGAACGCTTTCATTGTGCGATGCAGGGCGACCGCAATCTCCCTTACACTCGCCGTCGTCAGACCTCGGCTCCGTCGCACACCCGCCTGGGTGCCTTTTGGCGTCGGACGAAACACCGAACCAAGTCGATCCTCCGAAAGGTCAACGAGTTCCTCACGGTCCCCATGTACAGCGCTCTGTTGTCCATCTTTATCGCGTTGATCCCGCCCTTGCAGAGGTTGTTGAACGAGGCGAAGCCGTTGACTCAGGCGATCAAGAGCGCTGGGCAGTGTTCGAGTGAGTTTAGGTACAAAGATGGTCGGATCGACCAGCGCACTAGGCTAAACTAGCCATCTTGATACCTTTCGCAGTTCCCTTGACTCTGGTCGTGCTCGGTGCATTCTTCTACAACCCTCCAACGCCTGCTGCTTCTACCGACAAGAAACCCAGCTCTGACAACGCCAACGGTAACGGCAACTTCTTGCAACGCAAGATCGACGCGATCAAGAACCCTCGTGCGAGCACGACCCATCCGGGAGAGAACAGGACGGTCTTTGTGGCGGTGATCAGTCGAATGATCTTGGTCCCTGCAATCTTGTTGCCTGGGGTCGCATTGGTGGCGAGGTACGATTCGTTCGAGGCCGCGGCAGATCCGGTGTTTGTGGTGAGTCACCCCAACTTCTTTTTGACTCGGGATTTCGTGCCTCATCCCGGATGTAAGTTGATATATTATCGTCCCCAGCTCGCAGCCGTCTTGATCATCTCGTCGGTAAGTCGATACGGAACGAAGTCTCCTGCCTCTCTACTTTCATTCCTGCTAATCCACGCTTCAATTCTACAGCCCCCCGCCTTGACCTTGGCCCAGATCACTCAGGCGGCCTCGGGTGATGCCTTTGAACGTCTGATCTCGAAGACTATCTCGTGGAGTTACGCCATCTTGACCCCTCCGTTGACGTTGGTGTACGTCGTGTTGGGGTTAGTGTTTGGGCGATTGTAAGAAGAGGCGTGCGCGAAGCGCGAGGGCGCGAGCAGGAAGGTTTTGGTTTCATGAACCGCAGGCTTACAACGACAACAACTACTACTTTACATACCTCGAGGCAGAGAGCACAGTCTATATTATCACACACTGTCCTTGTACCCCATGTCTGGCATGTCTAGGGGCATGTCCATCATCATACACGAGACGATGACCGACGCATAGGGTCTGCCATCGAATAGACTCTCTACCCCGTGGGGGTGAGGCCCGACTCGTTGTGCCCGGTCTACCTCCCTCCCCTCCTCACTCCCCGGTCTCGCTCCAAGGTCGGCAGGATCGGTCAAACGACCTCGACGGGGGTCGTTGCTCTGCTATTGTCTGACACTAACCGCCCGGTCTCTCTGCTCTGTTGGCTGCTCGTTTGTTCGTGCATAGCCGAAGGGAGGGCACGCATGCAACAGCAGCACAGTACATGTGGGTTAGTGCCAGACACGATGACCAGCACCAGGGTCTAAAAATCTTTACAACGCAATTCAGACGATCACTATTGCTACTACTCTACTTCTATTACAACCACCGGCCTCATCCTGTCCACCTCATAATCGCTCTATTCCATCTCCCTGACTTCATAAATTCCCCTATTTACCACGCACCTCTTTCCAGAAAGCCAGCACAAGCCCGGAAGGAAAACTCTAGACTTGGAATGGACATCAAACGTGCACTCGATCATCCTCTTCGACCCCTAGTTCAGCTACAACAACCTTTACACCACCATCTTCCGCATCATCTAGATCGAATATAGCCTCGGTTCAGCAGGTTGTATTCTTCTGATCACCTGCGCCGCTTTCTACCTCTTTGCCCAAGCTTGGACTGTACCAAGTCGCAAGCCGTCGTCATACCCAGACGACTCGACTGTGCTGCCTAGAGCTAAGAAACGATGCCCTCCTTTGCCGCACCGCTGAGCCATGTCTCGCACAGCTTGGACAGGCTACACCAACGTCCGGAGAATGGTCGACGAGATTCGTCACTCTTGAGCATCGCCAGTGGGAGCAACAATCATCATGCCCACGCACCCAGCGTTCCGCATTACCCGGATGAACGGTCATCTTCCCGGCAACGATCGAGATCCCCGAGCAAGATCTCACACAAGGGTCATCTCAAGTTGCATGTCGCCGAGACGGTTGTGCTCGTTCATCCGCCCGAGACCAAGCTGGAGGTCTTGGGAGAAGGCATCGTCAACCAGGTCAGCCAACCCCAAGAGGATACCGTGCTCAACGGTCAAATCGAGGTCATCATGGACAAACCCCGGGTGGCACGTTCGATCCGGGTCGAGCTGGTCGTCACCTGCCGACTCCAGATCCCCGGTGAGAACAACAGCCCCTGGCACGATCGGGAGATCTTCAGCCGATGCGTAGAGATTGGCAATGTCGATGACGAGGAGGACGAGAGTCAGGGGATCAAGCTGGAAAAGGGAAGTCAGAGGTTCGAGTTTAGCATCATCGTCCCCGCCACGCTGGCCACGTACGACCGACATCCGCTGGGCAGGATCGTACCCTTTCTTCGAGCAACGGTCGAGGGCTTCCCGGTCCAGACGTCGCACCATCATCACCCGTCCTTCAACCTTTTCTCCGGGATGGGCATGGGCATGGGCATCGGGAAACAGCGGGATTCAAGGAGTCGCAACAGAAGTCGACCTTCGAGCCGACCATCAAGTCGAGCTCCCTCGCCCAACAGAATCCCCAGGAACGGATCTAGCACTCATTTGCCCCGGAACCCCTCGAGCTCAAACTTGATAAACAACCTGCCAAGGACCGGGTCGACCTCTCATTTCAGGCAAGACCTGTTCGACGCTTCCACCTGGACAGCGGCATCGACGACTTCGAGCCCGCTCAACTCTCCCGGCCTAACAGACCCGCCCGAATTTGAGACGGGCGATGTGGCATTCCCGCTCCCTACCCCGACGGAACTGAAACCCCTCAAAGGCCAATTGTTCGCCGAGAAGATCTTGGTTGTCGCCAGTAACCCAAGCAGTAGCAAGGATGGAGAAGGATTGACCAGTCTGAGTCTGCAAAAGACCGGGAGGTTAGCGGGTGTTGGGGATTGGAAGTTGAGCTTGACAAGCGATGCCGTGAGTGCGCTCAAACGGGATATTCCCTTGATCGAATGCGCCAGTATGCTAACTGCTCTCGGTGCCGATATTCACAGTTCTCGGTGGGATCGTATGTCACTCAGCGGATCGTCTTTCTCTCACCATCACCGTTCGCCACGATCTTTGCCGTCCGACTGCTTCTCAACCAGACTTATAGCGTGACGGATCCGACCCACTTTGATCCCAATTTCACCCCGGCCCAGTTGGCCGAACTGACCTGGCACACCTGCCCCAAGAGGTCTTTCCTCGTCAGTATGGACGGAGCGATCCCGCACGTCAAGAGACCTACCCCGGATACGCCAGCGTTGTGGAGAGGTAGCCTGGTCGGCTCGGGGAGGGCGCGGACAATCAAGGAGGAGGAGATTCCGTTTGAACAGGATTACAAGCTGAAGACCGGCAGGAAACGGCTGCCCGACGACAACAAGGCGAGGCCGAGCACGATCGAAGGGTAAGTCCCTGGCTACATTGCCTATTATCATCTCCCTCTTGCTGACTCGCGAGAATCATTGCCCCGATCGTCACAGCACCATCACTCCCATCCGGGTCCACCACGAACTGGTCCTCCAGGTCTTTTTCTCGGTCGACGGGGAAGACTTGCAGGGGAACCCGCTGGAGGGAGACGACCCTTCGGGCGTCATGAGGATGTTGGTGTTAACCATGCCAACCGTCTTGCCATCGGTAAGCCGTTACACGCATTTGATGGGAGTCATTTTGGAATCGGATGGCTGACTCGGCGTCCTTTGCATTACGCAGTGCACATGCACGTTCGAACGAGTTACTCTGCCAGAATGTCAGCCGCCGTCCAGCTTGATCCTGACTGAATTCTTTCAACTGACAATATCGCCCTTACTGTAGATTGCGAAGTACAACAACCATTCAATTTCGAAAAGCCTGGTGCTTGCGCATGTGGAAATACCATGGAAGACTTTGCTCGTAGAGAAGCCGTCAGAACGGCGGAAGAAGAGGATGACGAAATCAATCAGCTCGACGTCGATGGCATGTCCCTCGACGGTCGCCAACGTGGCAGGCGAGCAGACAGGAGGAAAGCCGAATACGACGGTTCACATACGCCGACCCGGGAGGACGAGCGTTCGACTTCAGTACAAGCTCGTAATCGTCGTTAGCATATACACAACAAATACGACATTCTTTACACACCCTCGTAAACAGGCATATCAACGTCCATGCATTCCTAACAAATTATGATTGTACATTATCGTTTGTCTCTGTGTCAAACCGCGCATGCTCTAGTGATACAAACCGGATACCTCGTGTACTAGTGTTCGATGCTGGAGATCGGTCAAAAACGCTGTGCATACTTCCGGCTATATCTGCCTAAGCACTGGAAGTTGAGCCTTGCCTACACCGGTTATCGTCAACACATGTACTGTTCGTAGTGTTGTATGAATGAACCTTGTCGTTGCATGTCGTAAAAGTTTCGTTATTTTTTCAGGTATTTGTTCTATGAGATGGGCGGAAAGTGCTCAGCAAATTCATCACAGAACGACACCTCGACTTGGCAATCCGCACCTTGGCCTTCTTGATGAACAAACCATCTCCCTTCGGAGGCGCTCGGCGGGGAGGTGGGGGTGGAGGTGGGGGTGGTGCCGCCGACCTAGGTGGCGATGCCGGCTTTGCGGACGGAACAGCTGCAGGCTCGCGACTATGAGCGGTAGCAATGATTTTGCCAGGTGGGCCATCGAGAGGTGCAGACGAGATTGATTTCTTCTTAGGCGGCTTGTTCGAAGTGAATTTGCTCTTGTTAGCACCGTCCGATTTCGCAATCGAGGAACTGCCAGTGTCTGATGTATCGCCGGCATCTTGTCGCTTGCGCTTCTTCTGGCGTCTTTTGCTGGCGGAAACATCGGGACCTTCGTCCAGCTGCATAGACGTGTCGTCTGGCTTGTTTTTTCCTGCCGGTCTCTTGCCGGCAATCATGTCGCCGTCAGCTGCCCTTGCGCCTACTGCGGGCAGCGGCTTATGGTCGCGCGTAGCGGTCGAGGGATCGAGGACTTTCGGTTCGGTTACGACCGGCTGACCCGTTGGGGCCTGAACGTCTCGAGCGGGATTGATGAACATGCCATGTTGATACTGCCAGAACAGGGAAGAACAGTCAAATCGACGTCGACTCTGCAGCACTGTGATTACCTTCCTTACCTTGACCAGAAAACCGCGCTCCCTTGCGTTACCGACTATTGTCCGCCACTTGTCATCAGCCCTCTCCAGGGTGGAGGCATTACCAACGATAAAGAGGGAGCTCTTGGCACGAGTGAGGGCGACGTTCATTCGCCTGACGTCCCTCAAGAACCCAATCGAGCTCAAGTGATCACCAGAACGGACCGTAGACAGGATGATGATGTCCTTCTCCTGTCCTTGAAATCCGTCGATGGTACCAAAGCTTTCGGCAAAACAGGCAGAGTCAGTCTTCTTGTATGGCCTGATGTCCGTTCTCAAACCACCTACTCAATATCATCGAACGCTGCTTCTCCAAAGTTCTGCCTGAAGCTGCGCTTAAGCTCGTTGAATTGCTCTCGGTATGGACTGATGATTCCGATCTTGCCTAGCAATGCGTCGTGGCCGCCATAGAGGTTCTTGAGTCCCCGATAGAGGCTGACCACGGCGTTCACCTCTGTCGGATTCTTGAGCGACTGACGCCCCGCCTTGACTTCGTTACCCTCAGTAGCGTAGAAGCGATAAGTCCCGAACACCGTAGACTGATGCCATGGTGCCTTGGTCTTGATCGCCATGTTGGGGCCGTCATGCAGTTTCCCATCATAGAAAACTTGCGACGGAAGTCGTGAAATATCGGGATGCATACGATATTGGATACTGTTTAGCAGTGCAGTGTCTAGTCAGGCTGGGAGCAAGCGCGCAAGACCGATATTATCTGAGCGTACCTCAACAGATGCATAGCGTCGGGGTGTCCCTGAACCATTCTGACGAAAAGTGACTGATTGTAACCGAGACTTTCCGCCTTTGTGGAGATGACAGTCGGAGGCAACTGCTGAGGGTCTGCAATATTCCTGACGTCAGTCACAGCGCGAAGCGAGACCTGACACCTATCAAGCTCTTACCTCCTACCAAGATACACCTCGTGCAACCATATTTGAGAGGCACTAATGCACTCGGTTCCACCGACTGCGCCGCTTCATCAATGATGACAGTCTCGAACTGGAACGAGGCAATCGAATCATGACCGGCTCCTGCCAAGGTCGAGCAAATGATATCGGCATCCTGTAAGATCCTCTCGCGCGCCTCGCGGCGAGCTCCATCAAGCTGTCGACCCGAGTCCCTCGCGGCGTCTCGATACTTGTTCATCTCCTTGCTCTTGACGATCCTTTGCTGCACCAACGTGGCGAGTTCGGATTCGATCTGTTGTCGGCGGTCCACATCGTCACCAGCCATCGCTAGCTCTGCTTGTTTGGCTTCCCTCTTCTGTCGGATCTCATCGAGCGCGAGCTCGACTCGCTTGATGTGAACGTCGTTGTCCCCTCCCTTGGCCCTGACCGAACTGACGCGAGCCTCGATGAGCGAGTCCAGAGATACATCCTTGACAGCAGCATTCATGCTACTCTCCGCTCCCAGCCGAACAATCTGCGGAATGACCATCTTGCCATCCGAAGTAGGCACACCGTCCTTGAGTCGTCGAGTGACCTCGTCAATAGCCGCGTTACTTGGGGCACAGATTAATAGCTTGGCGTTCACAGTCTTGCCAGAGCCGTGGAGACTGATGTGGGTCGGTCGTTCCGTCATAAAGCGACCCGCCAATCCACTGATCGTCTTGGTCTTTCCTGTACCTGGAGGTCCCTGAATGAGCGCGAACCCTTTGACCCTCATGGAACCGATGATCGCCTTTGCCTGAGGCTCGTTGACATTGTAAGCGATCATGGCCTTTTCCCACGTGACTCGTGGGATCTCGGGCAAGGTCGTGGGTTTCGCTTCGAGGATTGAATCCAGCAATTCCGGTTCATAGAAAGGTAATCCTTTGAGAGCCGCAAATTCCCGTGCCGCGGTGCTCATATTCATGTGCTTGCGTAACTGGCATCGGGACTTGACAGACAACGAGGGACTGTCGCGCGAGACATCCATTCTGATATGCAGAGTGACATTCCGCGCATTCCTCTTGAAAGACTGAACCTTTACGAGTATTGTCTTGCCATCGAAAGAGAGCAAACACGTGTCGAACTCGTTCAGGTACCACATGTTCGGGATTGTGCCAACGATGCTGAGCTCCAGGTCGATAAAGTCGTCGGTATGTTGGCGCGAGGCAACTTCAACGGTCAATCTAACCGGGTCGCTCGACTCGGACATCTCGTTCAAGGACTGATCCCGGAGTTCCCGAAAAAACAAAGGCATGTAAGTCCTTGAATACTCTTGGACGTCCCGGAATTTGCCAGAAATCTTGGTAGGAAGTTTGTCCGGGAAATCTCGTTGGTTAGGATCCCACTTGAGCATTGTCGACCACAACATGGTCATATCTGGCTTCAGACGAGCCTTTGTACGCTGGGCGTTAAGCCGTTGCCGCTCTGCTGGACTCATTTCTGGTCTGCTCAGGGTAACGAGTTTCGCCCGTGGGGGCAATACCGTCAGCTTAGTCTTGGCAGCGGAGGCTTTTTGCAACCGTTTCAAGGCTTCCAGGCCTCCATCCTCTTCGTCCGAATCTGAGGAGCTGCTCGTCTCCGAAGGAGTCTTGGCTCTCGGTGGAGGGATCGTCGGTTTGTTTAGTCTCTTTAAAATATCCGGATCGATCTGTCTTGCGGGTTGCTTTCCGCGATGGTCCGCGACGACGTCGCGTCTGATTTGACTCAAAAGACCACTCCCACGCACTACTGGAGCAACAGGTTTTGGCGTAGGCTTGATGAGTGGTTTCGACCCGGGTACACCACTCTTTTTTAACATATCGGGCAGCTTGTGGCCTTGCGATTTCTGCAGTTTCTTCTGCGCCTCCCGGTTTGACGCGGAACGTTCCATATCCTCGAGGGTATCCGCATCCAATCCGGCAAGGAAATCGTCGCCAAAGTCGTCATCAAAGTCATCCACGTCGATGACCACGGGGGATGAGGCGGGAGTAGTCTTTCCGGACGTGGTCTTGGCGTCAATTCGTTGTGGCAACGCACCCTTTTCGGCATTCTGCATGAGCTTGGTGAATGCGTCGGTCTTGGTCTTGACCTTGCTGGACTCCCGTTCCTTGCCCTTGACAGTCGGCACCGCAACAGAGCTCGACACATACTCGACATCAGAGTCGTCTTCCGGCTTCATGAACGGCTTGATGAGCACCGCCAGCTCGGCGAGCTCACTATCGTTCAGCTTGGTCTTGTGTCGTTTGCTTCTTCGGCAGAATCCGTCGACGGTGATGAATGACTTCATCAGGCTATCTGATATGGACTGGTTCGCTCGGCCTTTTGTCAGACGATCGAGCAGCGATTTCAAGAGTTCATAGGTTTGATGAAGCGTCTCGATTTCGGTGAGTCTCAGCCAAGACATCAGGCTGTCCAAAATTTGCTCTAGTTGCACAATCATTTGGTCGCCCACGAGCGAAACCTTGTTGGGTGCCTCTATCGCTGGCGATTCTGCAGTATTGATAGCCGTGCCTTGTGCAGCCCCCTCGAATGTTCGATTCTCCTCGACCAGCAGTCTTCCGAAGATCAGTGCGTCCTGCATCCAGTCTACCATCTCTTCATTGTCGTAAAAGGGTGCCCATCTGGGTGTCCTCCTGATGATGACAGACAAGGCCTTCGTCATGCAGTTCCACAAGCCCGTTACCTCGTCCGACATCTTGCCCTTGGCAGTCCTGATTTCCAGAAAGACAGGATCTCTGAGAAAGGCTAGACCGCTACCCGCCCCGCTTTGCCTACAGAGCACTTCGAGAATATCGGTAAAACAACGGACGAGCCATCGAGCGGACTCGACAGCCGTTGGAAGCGATTGTGCATCCTGGATCCACCGTTCGAGGTAATCCTGAAGCGCGACCATGCTTTGAGCCGGGAAATGCAGCAGCATGGCTCGAAAGCAATCGACTCGTTCCTCGACCTGGTCAAAGATGTTTTGAACGAGACCGATGATGGCGTCGTGAACATCGTCGTCAGAACACAGCAGTAGCCTTATCACGGCTTCCGGTACCCGAGCCGTATCAAAGAGCGCTTTGAGCGTCGATGGTGGCGAGACGGCCACAAAGGTGGTCACCTTGTCACCGAATCCGTTCTTCATCGTCTTCATAGCGCCCGTAATCGATGTGATCGTTCCCGCCCATTTCCCTTCGGGTTCCCAGAACGAAAGGTCAGTATAGCCCCAAGCGTTTCCTCGAGGCGTAGGCAGGTGAGCGAATCGCATCATTCCACGCATCAAGATGACGATGCCGTAAATATCTCTCGACGTCGCCGTCGCATACGTCTTTTTCCATAATTGCGTGGCAAACAGCATCTTTGGGAAATAGTCGCTCGAATCCTTCGCTTTACGGGAGCGCGCGTCCAAGGCTTGTTGACCCATCGTAGACAAGATCCGCCTGATATTGTCGCCGTCCGACATGAAGACCTTGTAAAGGAAATCGATGGCTGTATGCCGAGGAACGTCCCAATCGGCTCCGTCTGGGTATTCCTTGTGATCCAGAGCGATCCCGGTGATCGTACTGGAATGAATTTCCAAAGCGTTCAGCATGGCAGCTTGCAGGACCCGATCGACCTTGGATCGCGTGGGGCAGAGGTCGATGAACACGTTGTTCAAGATCTACGCATTCGAATGTCAATTGAATGAGTTCTTGATGAAGCGAAGGTACACCATTTTGAAACCCCTCGTTCCTCGCAACTCACCTTGATCCCGACGTCCATCGCCTTGGCACGAAAAGCCGTACCGAACCGTCGATGCTGCAAGCCTTCGAGACAGAAGCTAACCAACCTCGCCAACGATTCCCCAAATGCGCCCTTGTCCGTACTCGTCGCCACAATCCCGCGGACGTCTAGGTCCCGCACCGAGACAAGAAAGTCGATCATCCACCCAGCAAACCATTCGGGTCGACCAGGCTGGGTGTGGAGAGGTTTCGACCTTGCCCCCAGATCCAGCAGTTCCAGTACGACTTTCGAGCTGGTGTCCTCCAGCTGGAAGTTCGGGTCCCAGGCGGCCCGCAAGACCTCGATATACAATTCATTCTGCTGAATGTTGGCAGCGATCGATAGTGGGAACTCGACCGAGGGGTCGGCCGAGGTCCACAAGGACGCTTTTGGGCATACTCTGAGAGCTGCCGCCAAGACTCGTAGCATGAGACTAAACGCTATGAATGGTAATTCGACGGCCAAGAAAGATCAGTCACGAGTGCTCGGTTCGGGGATAGTATGCTATGACTTGCCTGGATCCTGTGAGCCGAATGAACCGGCGATGGTGACAATCAGATTCCCCTTGCCCGACTTCATGACGCTCTTCTCGATGACTTCCTGTCCCAAACACCCGCTCTCCAGGAGGATCAAGACCGCTTTCCACCTATACAAGCTCGACATCCTCGCTTCCTCCTCCCCATTCACCCCGAACGACGAAGGTGTTGATGAAGCTTCCGTCTTGCCTGATTCTTTCTGCTTGATGCCTTTTAGATCCATCAAACCCGTCCAGATCGTCCCCATTCCTAGCTCTGTCCATTCTTCCGACCGGATTGGCCGGGTTGCACAACCTCTGACAGTTTCCGTCGCCCATTCACGGATCTTGTTCCGAATTTCGAGGGTCTCCTGCTCGAAGGCTTGGCCTGATAACAAGGTGATGTACCCTGGACAAAGGCCGAGGTGTGTGAGATTCTTGTTCTTCCTCCTCTCCGCAGGGGTCATCAGGACGGCCGTCTTGATCCGTTCTTGAATCTGAGGGATTGCCAAGACCCCTTCTCCGTCATGCCGACAGAACAGTAATTGCAAGTAAGAAGGCTTGATATCGAACAAGTTGGCCGTCGATCCAGGTTCTGAAGGTGATGTCGAATCTAGGGCAGAGATGACCTGCTTGGCTTGCCAGTTGTCTACCGCCTTTTGAAAGTTGACTCGAGTCGCTGGTGGGAACTTGTTGACGTATCTTAGTACCAGCCGGGATCTGAGTGTCAACATGCCATATCGCAACGGTGTAGTTCCTAGACGTCGTGCGGAGATGGATGACTCACTTTGCTGTGAATATCGTCCGGGCCCTACAGAACCCCCTCGCACATCCCTCGCACCGCTCGACGAGCTCTTCCAACCCTTCCTGCCATTCCGCCGAGATGCTCGTCCGATTAAAGGCGAAGAAGTAGATCAAGTACGTGGCCACTTGTTTGTGTACGGGGCTCGCCGTTTGGGGGCAATACCAGTGGACTTTGCCATCTGAGGGGCTGACGGGCGATTGTTTCAGGTATTCATGCACCGAGGTGAGAGGATCTGTGGGCGGGCTTCCTTGGTCGGCTTCTCTCGTCTTGAGAAAAGCCAGAACCTCTTCGTCCGGAATCACCGGCATGATGGGCGATGTCCACCTCTAGTATACCCGGGGTCAAGGATGTAACTCACGCCCGATGAGAATAGGGGTTGCTCGACAGGGTGACGCAGCTATGTAGCTCTCCCCGGGACGATCATCCGCATAGGCCCTGGGAAGTATTATGAGTTGCAAGTCTGTCAAATGACTTGGATGTATCGCTAGGTCGTTGGGATGTGCTCGATGGTTCAGATACACGGTTGGGTGGGATGATGCGACGAGCCCCTCCCTGCACTTTGAGAAGGTCTCGAGAGTTGAAATGCGGCGATCCGCGATCATCGAAGTTTAAACGACCTCGCTCACAAAGAAAACAAATCAACAATCCTCCATTGCCATGCATCGCATGTGGTCAATTTCGATCGATGCAACATCGCAAACAGCGCAATGTCATCGGCTCTCGGACCAGTGCTACAGCGAATCTCGGGTGCTTTGTCTCTCATCGAGGTGCGTTCAACATGTCTGCCCAAGCTCAGATCGAAATCGAAACCGAATGGCTGATTGATCATCTACTAATGGCCGTACTCTGACCACCAAGTAGAAGCGCGACCCCACGAGACGATAAGCGCAACCCAGCTCATCATCATCATTCATCATTCATCATTCAACATTCATCGTCTCATGCATCTCTACTGATCTTGGAATCCCATAACAAACGCACGTAACGGCCTACACGTAGCATCCTCATCATCATGTCCGACAGAGGCCGCTCAAGGACGCCTCGTTCGCTCTCGCGATCCCCAGTCCCGACTAAGAAGAAGTCGTCCACGGATGACGTCTCGATGGGGTCTCGTTCCGCTTCTCCCGCTCGACGAACGACCAAGTCTCGTCGTGCTCGTTCCGGTAGCGATATGAGCGTCAGTCGAAGCCGATCTCGCAGTCGCTCCAGGGCGCCCAGAGGAGACCGGGCGAGATCGATGTCCAGGTCGAGGTCTAGGTCTAGAGGAGCGAGACGGTCGCGTTCTCGAGGAGGAAGGAGTGATGGATCCAAGGTCATCGTCATCAGTCATCTCACTCGAAGCGTGAACAAGGGGCATCTAGAAGAAATCTTTGGACAGTACGGGAAGATTACCGGGATCGATTTGCCTGTCGTCAGGGGAGGTAAGTCGTGCTTTTCATCATCGAATCTACCTTCATCCTCTCGCTCGGTATGCTCATCGACTCTTGCCTGTTTGATGATCCTCTACTCCCTTCACGTAGCTGGGCACAACCAAGGCAAAGCGGCGCTCGAATACGCCCAGTCTCATTCGGCCGGTAAAGCGATCGAACACATGGACGGAGGATCGCTAGACGGCCAGATCTTGCAGGTCGAACTCTCGCACCTCCCGCTTCCTGCGCCTGGACGAGCGGACTCGAGGGACAGGAATGTTGGCGCGAACAGGGGTCCGGGCCGGTACGATTACGCGGCTCCTGGACCGGGACGAGGAGGTCCGGGTCCGAGGAGGTATTCGCCCGCACGTGGAGGGAGGCGGGATGGCGGATACGGCGGAGGTGCGAGGGAGAGGAGCAGGAGTCCGTTTGGAGGTCGAGCGGGTTCTGGTCGCGGCGGATATGGAGGTGGATATGGCAGGGACAACAACGGCCCGCAGCGTGGACCGGGTGGATACGGAAGTGGGCCTCGAGGTGGTGCTGGATTCGACGACAGGCGAGGGGGATACGGCAACAGGAACCCACCCAACGCGTACAACGACCGTGATCGTTTCTCTGGGCCAGCTCCTGGTCCTACCGGACCTCGTCGACCGGACGACAGGCCTCGTCGTGGTAGCCCGGACGTGCGCCGACCTTCCCGTCGTCGTTCGCTCAGCCGATCCGTCTCTCGTTCTCGTTCGTACTCTCGCTCCGTCTCGCCTCGACCCAGAAGACGAGGAGGTCGATCTCGCTCGCCTTCCTACTCTCGATCGAGGTCCAGGTCGAGGAGCGTATCGAGGTCCAGGTCGTATTCCCGATCGGTATCGCGATCCAGGTCTCCTCCGCCCAGGAAGGGCAGGAAAGACTCCCGTAGCATCAGCCGAAGCAGGAGTAGAAGCCCCGTCAGGAGGAAGAGGAGGAGCAGCGCTAGTAGGAGCCCTAGCAGGAGCAAGAGCCCGGCGCCTGCCAAGTAGGCTCTGTGTGGGGATGGATTAGATGCAAACGACAAGCCGAGAGAAGAAGTCCAACCGGATTTCGGAAGAAAATATACGACGCCGAAAACGTCCCTGGTACCATATTACCCTACGATACGATATATCCGACCAAAAAAAGATCGCTCAGAGATCTACCATGTATTCCCTCCTCCTCTAGTCTGTCTGTCATCGTTTTCGATCTAGTGTACCGCTAACAAACTAGACAAATAACGGATTTTCCGATTGTCTACTTTGCAGTCTCCGCAATCATGTCTATGCAAATACCATGTCTGAGATTTCGGTATGAAATGGACAGCTTTTCAGTGGCTAGACCAACTGTACGGCTAACAATGACCGAATCGTGAAACTCCGGTGCAGGAGCCCGTGTATCTAGTGTTGGAGAGCTGCTGACGGTCACAGCTACACTCTTGAAGGAGACTAAAAAGGGTGGGACGATCCCTCTGAGTCGAGATCCTTGCCTTTGCCATGCTTTACCATGCAAGGTCTGGAGGCTAAATTGTCAGCAAGTAAGAGATAACTGGTCCCACTTAATCGGTCTGTATGCGTGCAAGATCGTTTGATATGGCGGGTAATGTCGTACAAGGATCCAAGAAAGGCCCAGAATTAGGCAACGATGGGGCAAACAAAGTCTAGAAGCGAAAAAAGATCGAAAACAGCGAGAGAAATCCGAGAGCTCGCCGGGAAAGTGTTTCCGCGCAGGAGTACGGGGGATCTTAGGCCGGAGTATTGTAGCTCCAGATCCGAGCGTGACAATCTCCAGATCCACTTGCTAACATGTTGCCACTCTTGGCCAAATCGATCGAGATGACTGATTGTTACCGAAGAAGGCGGTCAGCGCGAAGCGAACTTCTGATATCTCATCAGAAAGCTGTCTCACCTGAATTCTTGTGACCTTGCAACATGAGATGAGCTTGTTCGCTAGCCACATTCCAGAACTGAATGCTGCGGTCCTTTGAACCCGAGACGACCCATTGACCATCAGGGGTCACGCCGACCGACAGAACGTAGTCCTGACATGGTGAAGCGGGAGATGTCAGCTCGATCCGGCTACAGATAGTGTGGACAAGCGATAAATGGACCAACTTTGTGACCGTTCAAGGTATGCGCGCATGTACCCGAGCTATTGACGATCTGGCCACCCTTCAAGTTTTGCGAAACGGCCCGTTTCGTTCCCGAAAGGTCCCAGACACGAAGAGTTCGATCTAACGACCCAGACACGAGACTGTTCCCGTCAGGCGAGAAAGCGACACTGTATCGATTGAAAAAGCAATCAATATCGACCTATATGAAAGCCTCCGCCACTAATTGGATTCTCACCTGTACACGGAATCTTTATGACCCCGGAGACGCTCGATCTGTTGTCCGGTGACGGTACTCCAAACTCGCACCACGGTATCCAGACTTCCAGCAGCGACGAGCCTGGAATCCGGTGAGACTAATCGAGATCAAGAGGCAAAATAAGCACATCGCTTGCGTTTTCTGACTGGACTTGGTCCACTTACGAGCGACCGAAGTGATTCCAGCATCAATCGGACCGACTTCACCCTGTACCACATCGTCGATCCTCAAATCAAACACGCAGCTGCCCGTGGCCATGTCCCATATCCGGGCGCTCTTATCACCCGAACCAGAAACAATGAACCCGCCGTCCCGAGAAAATTCGAGCGAGTAGATTTCTTGTTGATGACCCTGCAGCAGGTGACGAATACGCTTCGTCTTGATGTCCCATATCTACAAAGAGTCCATGGAGATTAGCTTGAGTCGCAAGATATTCATGTCTAAAGCACGCTGTACTTACTCTGATTTGACGATCTTCAGCCCCGGTGGCCAAGTATTTGCAGTCGGGACTAAAGGTGATGCTTCGAATGTACAAGTCTCCGGCCTGGGATGCGGTTTCGTCCGACAGGATGCTGGCGGAAATAGTAGAAAAAGCGTTAGTATCAAGAAGTCCCGCCATGATCGGGCAAAAATACACACTGCGTCTTTGCTCCGGTCTTGGTATCGAAGATCTGCGCAGTCCGGTTGCATCCTGTCGCGAGTAAAAGCCCGTCATTCGAAAATTTGACGCAACAAACGACACTGCAATCCAAGGATTCGGATGAGCTTGGACATCAAACTTGGCAAAGCTGGCGCTCCTCACCTTTCGTGTACCAAAGTATGGATCGGGGCGATTTCCAACTGCTTCTTTGTCTTGGGGTTCCAAACCACCGACCATCCTTGACCTTCCTTTTTGAAATCCCTAGGAAGCGTGTCCGGGTCCAACTCGGATAACATGAGAGGAGGAGACTTGGGGGCAGGTGTAGGAGTCGGTCGACCGACGGAAGTAGCGGCAGCACCGCTTGCGGTAGGGGGAGGTAGACGATCTCGTTCACCTGCACCAGAGCACATCAGAGACATCTTGAGCTGATGAGCGATCGGTCGTACGAGTGGTATCAAACTTACTGGCGGTAGGCTTGTCAACATCCATTTTGGCGTATCCCCTGTACGAGTCCCTCTCTCTTTCCCGCTCTCGATCACGCTCGCGTTGTCGTTCCCTCTCCCTCTCTCGATCTCGGTCCTGTTCCCTTTCCCTCTCTCGCTCACGTTCACGCTCACGCTCCCTCTCCCTGTCGCGCTCCCGCTGTCGCTCTCGCTCGAGTTCCCGTTCCCTATCGGCAGGGTTGGGCGGCAAAGGCCCTCCAGGAGGCGCAGGCAGAAAACTGGGCAAGGTTCCGACTCCACTCGCGCTGGTCGCACTGGCGGGGACGGGAGGAGGGGCGCCATTCCCAGCGGGACCCGCACGAACGTGATCTAATTCTCTTCGTAATCGATTGATCTCCGCATCGTACCTGTTCACGCAGAGTGAGGTAAATGGTAGGCCGTAAGTGAAACGCGCTGATTCCAGTCTGACGCAGACGAGAACAGGCCAACTTACTCGCCCCTAATTTTCGCGTGCTGAGCCTCGAGTTCATAGAGACCCTGCCTAATGAGCGCAATCTCCTGAATCTGCTGATTGACTGTAGGTTTCAGACATCAACACCGGGGACCTCTTAGCGTCAGCACAAGAGCTCTGCTGGAAGGAGACCCAGATTCATCCCAACGACTCACTCTTGTTCTCATATTCGTCCCTCTGGCCCTTCAAGACCATGCAATCCGTCTGCATCGCCTCGTACTCCGATCGAACTTCGTTCAATAACGAGGCCATCTTGTCGTGCGCGCCATTGTCGTGAATCTGATGATGAGCAGATTGTACTTGATGAGGGTGATGACCCGCGACTGAAGGTCCACCGGGTCCGCCCGATGGGATGAGGACAGCTCCTGGAGGAGGTACACCGCCCGGGTTGGATCCGGGAGGACCATCTACGATCCTAGCACCTGGTCCCGGAGGAAGAGCCATGACGGAGGGTTGGTTTCCTGAGTATGCGTTGTGAGATAGAGTGGTGGCAGAAGGACCTGCAGCGTTCAAACTGGAATTCGAGTTGTTGGCGTTGGAAGCGATAGGCGCGGCCGAAGTGGTAGGCAGACGATGATGCTGTGGGTGATAAGAAGGATTGTTCATCGTCAAGGAAGATGTTCGACGGCGTTCGAGCGTAGGAGACGATCGACGACGCAGAGAGGTGTCCGGAGGAAAGGTATCAAGCGGCGGACGACCGGGTGGTGGAGGACCGGCAGCAAACGGATGTGGAGGAGGCGGAAGCGGGCCGTTATTGTTCGACGACGATATTCCCAATTGCGCCAGATCGTTCGACATGGGTCGTGCAGCCGGCAGAGTTTGATGCGAGTAGTGTGATGGTGGTACATTGATATTGGTATTCGAAGAGGACGACGAAGCGGCGAGACCCGAGCCGACCCGACGATCACGGTCCATGGCGAGTTCACGTTGCATCCGTTCATTTTCCATACGTTCCCGTTCACGCAAGATGATCGGGTCGATATCGATAATGGCATTGGCATGGGCGGATCGACGACGACCGCGAGTCGAGTGCGAGACCGACAGACGCGATGTAGAAGACGGTCCGGCAGGCATAGCCGACGATGAATTTGCGAGTTGAGGGTGACGGGGAGAAGGTTGAGATTCGTAAGGATATGGGTTGTTGTTGTTTTTGTCGAGGTTTTTTGACCGAGGTGATTGATCGATCCGGGCCGAGTGATTTTGGTTTTGATGGTGGTTGCGATCGGACCAGCCGACGAGCCCGACCGACGTGTTGTGGTGATGTGGGTGATTCGTATTGTTCGTTACACCGGTTCGAGGTCGACCGTACGGAGAATCCGTCGCAAAGGGTGACGACGTGCCCCCCGCAGAAACGGCAGCGGCAGCGGCAGCGAGACGGTCCAGTTCAGGTAAAGATTCCCGTTTCACAACGGCAGCGGGAACATCGTGTGGTGTACCGTGTAGCGAATGAGACAAGGTCGGGGTCCGAGTTCGAGCGGCAGAATGTAGGACCGTCGGGACGGTAGTCGTCAGAGGTGGCAGTGGAGGAGATTCCAGAGCAGGTCGACCGAGTTGACGGTTGTTATTGGGATTGTTGCGTTTGTTCGAGGCCGGCGACCGAGGTGCACGTTGACGGCGAGGAGCAGAAGCGGCAGGTGGTCGGGATTGGCCCGGATCCATTATAGGTGATTAGGTTTGTTGCGTGATATGGGATTATGCAAAGAGGTAGCCGGAGCGAGTGGGCGGGCGAGCGATTAATGTTTTTTTGTGATTCCCAGCAGATTGCAGCGGGAGGAGGACGTGTGGGGTGGTAATTCAAGAGGTGTGTATATCCGAATCGTCGAGATGGCGTGGATGTGTCGTCCGAGATCGTGTTGTACGGAATGAACGAACGGAGCGTGTGTCACGGTTCGAGCGGGAGTAACCAAGATGACGCCGAAGGAAAAAGATGACAAGAGATTGAAGAAAAAGGGACGGTTCCCGGTCAGATCTCTCCTCTTGCGTCTATTACGGTGTACGGCGATGACGAAGACAAGTCCCGCTGAGATGATACGATCGACGTAAGGTGTAGGTGCAGGTAGAGATGGAGGGGGTGAGCGTGTCGCTTTTTTTTCCTGCCTCGCGATCACGACGTCTTCGATCACCGCCGAGGTATCCTTTCCCGTCCCGACAACGACCGAGATCGATCCCGTCTCGTATGCTCCTTCCCGGAAGGCTGAAGCTAGAGGCTATGTAGACTGGCGGGATAGGTCGCGACGAGGATGTTGAATCGATGGACAGCGACCTCTTTTTCTCCCTTTTGTCCTTGTTCGTCTTCTTCGCTCGTCGTCTTCGTATTTCGCTCGTTTCGTTCGACCACTACTACGTCATATGTAAAGAGAGGATGGACTCACGTTATAGATCCCGGCCATAATCTTTCCCAAACTCCCTCGAATATCGGGCGAGGACGACGACCACCACCACCACGCACGCACGAGGGCGGAGACTGGTAGTGCGAGCGAGAGCCGGCGAGAGAGGAGACCGAGGTGTGAGGTGTGAGCGGTGTGGTACGCGAGGAGGTAGGAGGTGTGTGGTTGGTAGGATGGGCGAATGGAGCGAGGTCGGGGAGGTCGGTGGGGAGGATGGACGGATACTGTCCACGACGTAACCCACGTAGGACGAGGTCGATGGGGGTGGTGTTTCTCTTGGACGGCGGGCAAGAGTGTGCGTGACGTTGGCACACCCTGCGTTCGCTCTCTCGTTGCGGTGCCGGGGTTCGGACAGGGACGGCGGAGAGAGAGAAGGGAAAGTAGAGAGAAGGAAGCAAACAAGGCGAGGGAGACGAGGAGGGGGAGGAGGAGCAGAGTGCTGGCTGCTGTGTGAGATGTGTGTATCGTGGTCGAACGGTAGCAACCTCGCTCCCTTGACGACGTGGCAATCTCTGCCGTCACGCGCGCCACTCTCTCGACACTCTGCTCGAGCTGCTGCTGCCCTCGCTTTGCTTTGTGCCAAAATCCAGTCAGCCCGCAGCGATCACTCGCTCGTCGAAGAGGGGAAAAAGGGATCTGGCGACGGATGTTTTCCCTCCTATCCGAGGGAAAGGCAAAGCCCCCCCAACTCCCCGGCTTTGGCGCTGACACGGTTCAGGTGGCTGAGATTTCCATGTTCCTCGAAGCGAGAGTGCCTTTCGATCGTTCTCTGATTTTGACCGGAACCTTGAAATAGAGTGTACACACGCCGGGCCAGCACAGCACGATGCAGGATGCATTAGTTGCGTACAAAGCGTAGGAGTCTGAGATCTGATGATTTGAGTTCACGAGTCAGTTCCGTATGACGTGTATGAGCCGTATGAATTTCGAGCAGTCTGCAAAGTGCGGCCACCCAATTCTGTTGATCTGCGACACTCTCTACACAGTACCACCCGAACCGCCAGGTGACATACATACGAAAGAGCCCGCAGCTAGGACTCGACATACCGACGGGAACAATACCAAGGAAACCTCGGTACGATGCCGTCCGAGCAATCATAGACAACCGGCGAAACAGAACGGCAAATCCCCAGTCGTCCAACATCTTCGCCTCGCGATCTTTATTGGCAACGCAAGTTACAATCCTTGTTCCCATGCACAGAAGATCGTTTGCACGATCTTGAGAATCCCCAAGACGTTTCCCCGCCATAACGACCGTCCTCTAGACCTCTAGATAGTCTTGTTGGCGAGATGAGCTGTTCTCTGACTGGACAACGTCCCTGTTACTTATTGGCGGCTTGATCCGAACCGACGTCCTCTCAAGGTTGTCCACCGCAGCGCGCAGCCGATATGGATCTGGGTTTCCAGAAGCAACGTCGAGATGAATACATCCGCTAAATACCCGATCGACGTTCCTTCGGAGCCGCGAGCAAGTGTCATCGAGTTGAATTACGTGAATTACGTGAATTACCGGAAGACGCGCGCCTGAGTTGGTCGAATTATAAGTCCGAATCGCGCTTCTTTCTGCATCTTTCGCATTTCCTTTTCGCGAGTTCAAGCCTCGACGACCCCTTCCTCTCACCTGAACCCCCCAGACCGATTCCATCGTCACGAACCGCGGATCGCAAGCAGGTTCCCCTTCTGTCGAGAGCAGAGCAGAGCGAGCGAGTGAGCGGTTCCCCTCTCTCTGGTCCTGGTGCCAACAAGGTCGTTGACATCGTACGCACACAAACGTCACCTGGAAATCGACTGGCCCCCCTCTTCTCTCTCTCTCAGCATCAAGTTTATTCAGCAAACTTTTCCGCCAAGGTGAGTTCCGGACGGACGGGCCGCTCGTCCTCTGCTCCTCCTTGTAGACGGAGGAGACGAGGGCGAGTTCGCAAAAGGGGGAAAAGGCAAAGGCGGAAATCGACAGCGAGTGGACAAGGATATCAGGTCAAGACAGACGGAGGAAGCTGCAGAAGAGGGCCTGGGAGTTCGACTGGAGCTGGATTCGGGACTGGAGCCGTAGGACAGGCGTGAGGGACTCGAGGTGGATCAGGAAATAGACTTAGGGGAATATCGGTCGATATGGGTGTCGGATGTCCCATCATGAGCCGGGATAAAGGACGGAGAACTTCATCAGACGATGTTGGGAGGAAGAGCCGGTTATCGATAGCAGAGACTGCGCAGCATTCAGCGCGAACTCGCGAAATATCCAGCATCTCGGCTCGACAACCTATCACTTCCTACTTGCGGGTCACCTGCTTGCCGGTCTTGCACGATCGATCGTTGTCGGAACCGTATTCGCCAAAAACGGAAGCAAGAAAGAGGTCCTCCGGAATCGATCATATTCACCAATCACCGGACTACGTTCGCTCGCTCACTCGTTAAAGCCGTCTTTGCCAAACCCCTTTTGCGGGCCTATACCATCTCGCGGCGGAACGGCCATACTGATCAGCTCATTGCCCTTGTCACCAAATCAGATGAAGGTCGAGCTCTGTAACTTTTCCGGTCAGAAGATCTACCCCTCGAAGGGTAAGATCTACGTCAGGGGTGACTCCAAGGTGAGTTGGAAGAAGCTACGGAAATGCGGCTGGGAATCGATGGGGGTATCAAACGTCCGGTCAAAAGGGATGATGACATTGGCAGGACGGGATGCATGACCGGATGTGATTCGACATCACCTCGCTTTTCCCGGTTGGCTCCACCACTGCTTGACCGGGCTGATGACCTTCCCTTCCACGTCACATAGGTCTTCAGGTTCATCAACGCCAAGTCCGAGTCCCTCTTCCTCCAGAGGAAGAACCCCCGAAAGATCGCCTGGACCGTTGTGTACCGACGTATGCACAAGAAGGGAATCACCGAGGAGGTTGCCAAGAAGAGGAGCAGGAAGACCGTCAAGCACCAGGTCAGTCGGAAGAGATGGAAGACGTCGGAATCACGGGTGGATCAGGAGAGCTGATGTCGTGCTTGAATAATCATGGTGTTCGTAGCGAGGAATTGTCGGTGCCGACCTCGCTTCCATCTTGGCCAAGCGAAACGCCAAGCCTGAGGTCCGAAACGCTGCCCGACAGGCCGCTATCACCAAGGCCAAGGAGGCCAAGAAGGAGAAGGAGACCAACAAGAAGGCCAACAAGGTGGGTTTCTTGCTGTAGATCGTCGGCTCACGGGAAGCGCTACCACGGAGACTGACCGCGAACTATCTCTGCCTCCTTTGACCATTCACCCTGCAGCCCACCGGAGGTGCTACCGCCCCCAAGGTCTCCAAGCAGCAGATGAAGGGAGGCAAGACCGGTGGTCGTTAAAGAATTGAACGATCCTAGTCTTTCCTTGGGCTCTTTCTATATACTCTTCTGTGGGAAAATGGTGTATCTTTCTCTAGCTAGTCTCCTAGAAACGAGTCCCGGAAACATGCCCATTCTCTGTCCTTCTCTCTTCCGCATACAGTTTCGGCCTCATCCGGTGACTGACGTCTCGTCAATCGTTAAGCAGTTGCTGTTACACAGTAGTTGGACGCTCAACTGTCATCGCGTTGCCCGTGATGAACACTCATACAATTCAGACTTGGCGCAAGGTCGGCGTCTATTCCATAGTAGCGGCGATGAAACGCGAAGCTTGATTCCGGGCTGCTCCGCACGATGGTTCCTCGCCCTGGATAGCTCGCTTGTATGTATGCATCTGCCACACATGAGAGTAAGATTTATGTGTCTCATTTTGTACAATGGAAGAACAAGCCCGAAATTGGTGAACGGCGCCAGAGAAAGCGGGTAAGGGGAGGGTGCATTCGCAGCAGCAAAGGTGTCCAGCAATAGCTCGTCATCGTCCACATGAATCGACACCTCTGCTCCTGGGAGCATGGGAAGGTCTAGGTCATGGAGTCTCGCACTGAGTGACGTTCGCTCGGCGTCGGGCGGTTGAAGATGTGCTAAAGATCTCCGGGCTGTCAATGTATCCACTTGCTTGCCGGACAAATCCAGTTCTAATCTCTTTGGAACATGGGCTGATATCCAGACGTTCCCTCAACCACCTGCAAGTGAGGGACTTCCTACCCGATCACGATGCACGCCAAGTGGGGACGAAGGTAGCGTCCGTGTCGTACGGAGTGAGCGACTGTCGGAGGTTCCTTGTTAAGGAGAACTGGACATCCAGTTTAGATGGGCAGATACCTCGAGGTGGTTAACTGTACATCGCACGTCTTCGCTCAGCTGTTGAGCCAGTTTTGACGGCAAAGTCGAAGCTGGAAGCTGAACGAGGTTCAACCGCAAATGTTCTACGAAACTACATCACCAGTATCATCTTGCGATATATGCGCTCGATCGAGATGTACAAACTCGGTCTGGTTGACGGCGAGTTCGACAATAGCACACAGCAACACATCATTGTCGTTAGAGGCTCTCAATAATGTACCCAAGAAAGACGATGTTTTAGACGACAATTAATAAACAGGGACTTCGAATGAACAGCAGAAGATATTCGCATAAGCAGCCTTGTCTAATATTCACTGACGCCCGTACCAGTATATCGAGCTGTACGATCTACGTTGCACAAACTAGCAACCTGCAACATGTCCTTTCGCTCTCGTTGAATCCCTAGGTCCCGTTAGCATACAGTCGATGTAACGAAAGCCAATCTCATAATACCATGGACCACTCATCATGAAGGAAGATGGAATGAACGATGCAATATAGTACATCCTTGAGATCGCAGGGCCGGTGAAAAGCTTCGTCAAGGTGACTACATACGGCGAGGGAAATGACTGCTCCATGCGGGTTGATGAAAAGGCTAAGAGGCTCGATCGTCCAAGCGTTCTCGAATGAACGACCTTCGCCTAGTATAATGCGTGGCGAAATGCAGGGTCATTTGACAGAACGACTTGAATCTACAGTCTAGGTATGAAACGGCACTCGATAACGTGGTATGAGAGGTATATGAGAGGTCCTTTGAAGCTGCAATCAAGCATGATTCGAGCCAGCTTCACTCGAAACTAAATAGTATCACGGGTACCATCGCAGAGGAGATTGGTACCAGACCTTGAGGATTGACCTCTTGAGTTAGGATGAGTTGAGGTATAGATGTATGTGCACACCGGCGCACACCGTTGTCTGGCTGTTTCAGAACTATCAGTATGCCCTTGCCGAAGTGTACGCGGATCCGATGACGTAAGCGCTCGCCTCGTCGTCGTCATCCATCCAGGTCGTCCAGGTCGTCGACCTTCATAGTGCATGCTACCTAGTATCCAAGATAAATCGTTGGATGATGGTCAAGCTCAACAGAGTCCCCAAGTCATAGTTGGTTTCTAAGATGCAAGCAGTCACGAACAGTCTGTCTCAGATAACTCGCATCGGCATCCGATGTACAAGCTTCCGATCGCCGATCAGCGCCGTTGCTTCACGGACAACCATCGCACGGTCTAACCCGAGACTACTTAGCACTACCCGAAATGTGCGAGCTCAATATGAGCGATTTGGCTTCGAGAACGCTCGTCCGTCAGGATCTGCTGGACCATCAGGGAATGGTGGGAAACGTCCCGGCGGTAACCAACACCCACTCATCCTCGCGCTGAGGCGGCGGCTGGGGGATCGGGGGATCGTTCTCTATGGTGTAGGACTCACGGGATGCGGTATCTACTACGTTGCACACCTGGAGAGAGTACCTGAGACTGGTCGGCTACGGTTCATCGATACCAGTCCTGAAACGGAAACAGCTATGGGACTGGAAGCTCAGAAGGAGATTCTTCAACAGTACCAGGGAGCCTTACTATCGCCTTCGCATCCCACAACAAAGCGGGTTCGGGAGATCGCTCGACGCATCGTGGAAAGCAACATGCTCGGTCATATGAAGGAGAGTCACAGCATGAATCTGTCTAACATCAATCTCGGATCCATCTTCGGCGGGGATCAGTCTGAAGAAGGCTTGTTTGGGTCAGGCTCCGGTGGACAAGAGAGATTGAATTCTGCTGGCAACAAGGACGTCGAGTGGGATGTCTACGTAATAAAAGACGCTCAGAAGAACGCTTTTGTGCTTCCTGTGAGTGTCAGCAGACTGAACGATCACGAGAGCTATTATCTGAATGATCCTTGAATTCCGTAGGGCGGAAAAATCTTCTTTTTCGAGGGAATCCTCCCTGTCTGCAAGAACGATGACGGAGTAGCCAGCGTGATGGGTCATGGTAAGCGAAGCCCTACAAATAATCAGCGAACGCTGCGCTGACCATGCATACGCAACACTAGAGATTGCCCATCAAGTGGCTCGTCATTCGGCTGAAAGACAGAGCTCGATGAAGGTGTTTTTTGTAATGGCTTACGTTTTGGAAGCGCTCGGCGTCGATTTTGGTCTTGCAAGGGGCTTGATCACGTTCTTGATGCAGTGAGTTCCCCCGCCGCGAAAGACCTTCCTGGCCACCCGCTGAAAAGCTCACAACTCCCATAGACTCCCCAACTCGCGGCAGTCGGAAAGCGAAGCAGATCGCATTGGTATCCGCCTTATGGCGTAAGTGAACTTTAGATCGCCTCGTCCATTGCATCTTCTCATTCCGGTTCCCGATATCGTGCAGTAAGGGTTGCTACGATCCGCGGGAGGCTCCCCGAATGGTCAGTAGGCTGGGGCCTGTGGGACTAGCGTGCAAGAACCTTTGCTGATGCATGGTTGGTATCAGTGGGAGCGCATGAGTCAATCGGAATCCTCTGGGGGTCTCAGAGGAGCGATCAGTACCGACTTCATGAGTACGCATCCGGCCAATAGTAAAAGGATAAAACAGCTGAATGAGTGGATGCACGAGGTGAGTATTGCGGTTCGTCTCGAGGACTGGAACAGGTTTAAAGTAAAAACATTACATTCCAGGCTCTCGACATCCGAGCAGCAACGAGCTGCGGCGACACCCCGAGTCAATTTGAGGCTTTCAGGGAGAAAGTCCCCCTGGGATCGACCGAAAGAATCTGGGCCTGACTGTCTCTGGCGCAACTTTCTATACGGACCAAGTACAACTTGCAAATAATACAACCATTTCATATTTACGCCCAAGACTGCGTAAAGGTTCCTTGTCGCATAAGATCTAGAATCGTCGAAGCAGACCTGAGACAGAACGGCGGGTTGAGATTCAGCTTCCTGCTGCTGCGTTCCAGAAAGATCAGTTTCAGACATCACTCACATGTTTCCAAGCACATCGTTACCAGGAGCGAACGGTACATCCCACGCGTTTTGGCCCAGGTCGTTACCAGCGTCTGCCATGACCGAGTCTGGTTCTAGACTCTCGAATTGGTCAAAGGGTGCCGACGCAGGGCCTAAGGTGTCAAAGATGCCATACTCTGCTCGACCGTCCAAACCGTTGTGTGATTGAGTTGGAGTTTCTCCTAAGCCCAGACCTGGAGATGCGGCTGCTGACAGATCGAAAAAGTCTTGGGTAGACAGCAGAGCATTGGCGGACGCTGGATTATCCAACCCATCCGTGAAGTAGCTATTTAGATCCGGTTTGTGACGCCGCGGCGCTCCCGGCGTAGAGCTGCTACTTTGCCTATCTGGCATACTCGGCCGTGTCCGTGTCTGTGAAGAGGCCAATCGACGTCTCCTTGTAGGGGCCGGAGACGGGGAATGTCGGCGCTGAACGGGACGTAACCAGGCTGGAGAAGGTCTTGTGTCGCTGGTGACCGTGCGTGGCGTCTCTACGGGTATGTGGCAGACTGGGAACGATTCGAATCAATAAAATGGCTTCGACGCAAGCCAAGCTGACGTATAACTCACTTCGACAGAACTCCTCGATAATATCGGCGGACCTCAGACCGCAGAGATATCTCCCGCTAAACCGCCGGAGCAGACCAACACAGGACCTCAAACCTTCCGTGGCTGGGGCGATGAGGCCGGAGAATTCAGGCGTCTTGCAATTCAGTACCACTGCCACGAGTGTTCGGCCAGCCTGCGCCAATTGATGAATGACATGCACTCCATCTGTGTCCAATGAAGTAAAGGTCAGCACTGCGTCTGATCAGAAGTATCGATCGAGCCTACAATATGTCATCATGCCTCGTTGGCTCTGCAGGCAATCGATAATCAGAATTTTGATAGGGGCAAGCTCTTCTACACAAACTCACGATGTGAACGTGGTTGGCACAGATAGTCAATGCCGAATCCATAGCTTTGCGGCAGTATAACAAATGGCGAGCGCGCTCGTCATCCGTCTCGGCTGGTGCTTGTACGAAGCCGGAGAATCGGTGTCGATACACAATCATCCGGACCAAGTGTTCCAGACAGTGTAGCCGCTCAGCCTGCGTGATCCTGATTGGGTCCTTGCTCTCTACGCATTCGACGTCATAATGCCAGTGCTTTGGCAGTATCGACACCCACTCCTCCAGCAGCTTCTCTTCCTCTGCAAGAGAGCCGGCCTGACATCGCCTTGATATGGTCGCAGCGGCTTTTGATAGGAAAGAAGAGCCAGCGAAAGTCGAAGGAGATACGCAAGAGTCGATCACGCCCTGCTCGCACCAGCCGTTAATTTACAGACTTGCGAGGAGAGCAGGAAGCGCGAGCATACCTCTAGAACCACATGAAGCCGTATCACAGCGACGAACGCACTCAACCTCGTTTGGTGGTTTGGGGGTTGATCTAGAATCTTCTCCTTGGTGAGGTATTCGTCATCAATTTGCAGAGGCTCTGGCACATCACAGTCTCGAAGGTGGATGATGGGTGGCCGCCCAAACAAAGCCGCGGACTGTTTGTCCCAACTAGATGAGGTGAAGACGCTATCAGTTACAGGTCTCATCAATATGACTTGGTCACCGACCTGTAAATCGACCAGAATGTCCGCTGAGCGATTTGGACAGAGCCAGGAGAACGAGAGTTAGCGGATCATTCCAGACAAAGCAAGGCTGCGACACACCTTGCGCATTTCTTGCTCGATAGCATTGAAGTGGTTATAGCCCTCGACACTTCGATGCAGTCCACCATCTAAGCACAGAGTCACGCTCTCAGCTAACAAGGAGAAGGCCTTGCTAAGAGTGCCCAGACCGAAAGCAAAGATCGCTGCCAGGAATGCCGCCTGGATCGAGTATAGGGTAGGTCTGTCTGCAGAGGGGAGGTCTCGCAACCGCTTAAACAGCTCGAAGTATTGTTTTCCGGCCGTACTAGGATCGTCCGCCTTGGCTCGAACCCGGGGATCGTCGACATGCCGGGATGATAATGTGCAGACAGCAACCACGAAGCAAGCGAAGCCAGGTTCAGCCCACTTTTGTGGGTCGGCGTAATCCTATCGATAGCAGCGAATGAGCGGGAGCTCAGCACAACGATTCCCGTATATATGACAATAGGCGACTTACCTTGAGAAAGCTTGGGACGTGCAGGAATGGCCAAAGGAGATGGCTTGTCGACAACTATGATGTTGGGGAAGGATACATTAGTTACTTCTTTCTTATACCTCCAACCATCGCCATACTCACATAGCATCGAACCAGAGTGTCCATGAGGTCACTCGGTATTACGTTGGTGATGACACGCCATGTTGCTTCGGGGTTGAGCATTTGACTAGGACGAGGAGCCCGATCAGGGAAAAACTTCTCTTCCCTTTGATTCCCAGCAGGTTCCGTCAGTCCTCTCGTCAAGTCGGAGGCCGCCTTGCCATTTCCACCAGCGCTCAGGGTGCGACCACGGGTTTCTACTACCGAGTCATCGGACATCGATCGTGGTGGAGGCGATCCAGATACCTTGTTCGCATCCATATCTCGGAGATCGTTTGTATGGGTCGGAAGCACATCGGCATTTCCAGCTCGTTGCCCCAAGGGTTCGGATTGTTGCTGCAGAGAATTGGCGGTCAACAAGTCAAGAAGAGGGAACCCGGAAGTTGCACCTGCAGCATGACCAGACACGAGTAAGCGATGAACAGCCAGGGGCATTACAATTCTTTCTCTCCGGCTCTTGCTCACCTTGCCATTTTGTCTGGCCGATCTCATCCACATAAAGGTAACCGTTACTCAGGTTGAGGCCTTCCATTCCTCTCTCGACATCGTTCAAAGCATCAAGGACGCTGTCGTCCGGATCGGCAGTGAAGTCTTCCAATGTTGGCTGGTTGAGATCGAAATCGCCAAAGGTAAGTCCAGCTATCGGGTTGGCTGAGTAATTCTCCGAAGCTGAACTTGAAGGGATGTTGTCCTGCATCATGCCGATGCTGTAGCTGCCGAGACCGACGTTGCCGTTTCGCAGTGCATTCGCGTTCAAGCCATTGAAGCTACCGGTGGACTGGACATTCGGTTGGTAGGCACTGTTGCTGCTACCGGCCGACATGTCAATTCCAAAGGTAGACTGTGGGAGGCCCAAGTTGGCCAGACTAATGCCGCTAGCATTCCTACCAAGCTGGTTAACCTGCTCTGGATTGATCGGTCCTGAACCTTGTGCGCTGCTCGCTCCGATTTGCAAGCCAGGATTGCCCAGCAAGGTTGTCCCATGTTGTCTAAGCAGGTGGGCGAAGTCTGTCGCCGACAACCCGTCAATTGCTCCGGATACTCCTTGCACATCTACAGAAGCGCTGTTTGACTGTCCTGGTTGCGTCCCCGCAGATAACTGGCCGTCAAGCTGATTGATCAAGGCGTTGTGAACACCCGGTGGTATGCTGCGCAACAATGCCTCCAAATTATTAAGCCTGGCTTCCAGTGTCGAGGTGTAAACTTTCTGATTGTCAACAGCTTTAATGCCTCCGCCTGTATTGCTGCTTGAAACCGCAGGAGGTTTCCGTCCGGCTTTGGGACGATTGGGATTGGCAGCTGGAGTCCCGTTCCCGACACTGCTATTAGGGGTGTCCATGTCGTCTCGTTCTCGCTTCTTCATCAGGCGTCTGCTAGGCGTTTCGAAAGTGCAGACAGTACCCGTCTGTTTGCATGGGCCGCATGGCTGCTGTGTATCACACTGTAGGTCGAAACTTTCGGATCAGAAGCGCATCTAACACTGCAGCTCGAGACTCGTCGAACTTACCCTAATCTTTCTCCTTCGGCAGCGATCACAAGCATGCGCCAATCTCAATCGCGGCTTCTTGGATGTATGGTCATCTCCGTCCTCTTCGCCATTACTGTGTACGACATGCATTCCCGCATTAGGATTCGGTTGATGCGGCGGTCCCGAAGGCAGATTCGCCGTCGTAGACCCCGAGCCGGACCCAGTAGTCGCTTGTCCTTGTGCCGAGTAGAGATCCTCAAACGATCCCGGATGACTGCCGAATCTAGCGATGGTCTTCGTCTGGTCGGTCTGGTCATTTTGGGCCAGAAAACGGACGTCCTCATCCTCCGCCTTGATTTGTGGCGATGAACTTGTCGAGGTGGAGGTACTTCCGCTGTTCATCTTGGGCCAGCCGGTATTCCTTCAAGGGTCTTTCCTCCGCTGGGATCTCGCTTTGACACAACCTATCCTGATGTACACGAAGGATGTATCTCGTGATGATATCACGTCTTTGGTTCGACCGCTCAGCTATTGCTCAGTGGGCGATGGCGAACAAGGTCGAGCGACAAGACGGATGACGATTTCTAGTCACTACTGGCTACGGGTGCGGTGTTGAGCTATGCAACGATATGCGCATTTCATGCTATTGTGATCGTCCCACAAGCTATGTTGATAGCTGCGACAGGTTCTTTGATCCTCGGTCGTGGATCTGTTGTTGAGACTACCGTGTTACTCGGTGATCGGTAGGGATGTCGTCCTGACGTCCTGGTTGATAGGCACTTCGCATCAGTAGTCAGTCGATCCATCCCCGGTCGCCCGAAGCGATCTTGACGAATGGGTCGACGGGAAGGCTCACCTCTGAACCTAGAGATGATAGTAGTCATTTCGTACATGGCCGCCGCAAGGAAAGCTGTACCCTGTCAAATGAAGCGCAAGAGTATAGAGGTAAGATAATTGTGTACTAGGCTTGATGAAGTGAGGTAATTGTCGAACCGGAAGTGGGGACCCGTCACACGACAGAATCCTGCACGAGCGCCTTTCAGCGTGCACATGACATCTGCGTTTCAGATCAGCCGGCATCAGGTCCTGCAATCTTTTCGTGATCACCTATTGTGGCGTAGAAGGGGCATTTACTAAATTCAATCCAGGCTTGCATGTCTATGTTTCTTTTCGAACCTCGATGATCAAGTGACAAAGCGCGTACAGTATCCGTGATTCCCCAACTCTACTTACTCATGATCCACATCGTTCCTTCACCATCTTCATACCGGCAGATGGATCCTTGGTGAACAGAAGGATCCGTTTCAGACGAAATCTCCAGAGAATCTCGCTGAAAACACTATTTCGGGTCTGCTCTTACTGACCAATTCAGTCAAGCGACATACCCGAAAATCAGTCAAGCGACATGCCTAACATCCAATCAAAAGAAGTTCCGCTTGGTTAGTGGGATACAACACTCCAGAAGTGCATCACAGTCGCAATCCCTTTTTAGCGATCGATCACCGCATCGATTCTGTCTACTCATGTTTGCGTGAAGAAAAGTAAGACCCGACGAAATAACAGAGCTTACACGGATGTGTTGAACTCGTAGCCTTGTTTTGGGTCTCTCTTCACGTCAATGCCAAGCAGCTCGGTCTCCTGAAAGATGTCACGGTGCGCATCCCACTCGCAAAAGCATTGACGAACACGAAGGAATGCGGCTTGCGGTAGGTTTCAGGAATGCTGTCGCAATAGGTGACAGCGCCGATGAAGCTCACCGTTAGTGTCGAAAATCCTAGGAGCTCAACTCGAGTGATAAAGGCGAAAGCTATGTTACCTAGTGCTCCTTCTTGTGATGTCACGACATCAATAAGAGAGACTTGACACAATTCGGTCGATCGCCTTAGAAAAGAAAAAGGAAGCCAAAGTAGTTGATAAAGTTAATTCATAAACTACTTATCACTACTGTTGCCGAAACCGCTAGCTTGTGCCCCAAGCTCTCCCAGTAGCTTCAAGATTCCATTCCGGGAATTCCAGACCGGCTTGGACATAGGTCAGCAATGAAAGATCCCTTATCAAGTCAAATTTGGACTAGAAGCGAAAGCTGTAGTAACCGTCTTCATAAAATTGCGTTTTACAATCGCACGACAAGCCCTATTGTAGGGATATACAGACACTAGACATGATTCTTCAGCCGTTCACTCGGAACGTGTATTGTGGCAAATAAATATGGGGCGACATAGGCTATGGCGAGCATAGCTCAAAGACAAGAATTTCGACGCCTCAGACGTCAAGTCCTGTCGACGCGCTGGAGCAAGGGGTGTGAGGTGCCGACAATAAGGGGACGCGAGGGAAAAGGTGATCAATTATAAAATTCCACTGTCACGTAGAGCGTTCTGGAGGATGGTTTCCTTGACGGCCGCGAAGACCAGTCGGATCTAAGATGAAGTCTGTCGAATCAGCTCAAGCTCAGGTTGACGACAGCGATAGCACTCACGTTGGACGTATCAGTCGCCTGTGTCAGATGCGGGTACACACTCAGTCGTGCCCGGTTCGTCTGGGTGAAGCGCCAGAGGATATACTTTGCGGCTTTGTTTATATCGGAACCACCTGAAACATGGAAATAAGTCTTGATCAGTCTCGAGAACACTAGCCACGAGGTCGCGAGTAACATGCTCACCGGTGTATTCCGGGAAGTATTTCTCGAGAGGGGTCTTTGCGAGCTTCATCTTGAATACATCTATCTTGTTGAGGAACAGGATGACTGATGTGCGCAAGAACCACCGAGAGTTGATGACCGATTCAAAGAGTACTAGCGATTCTTGCATCCGGTTCTGAATAGAGGAAACGTTGAGTCGACGGCTCATCGCGCTGACACCGCGGTCCGACTTACCTGTCCGCTCTCCTCCAGTAGCACCTGGTCATACTCGCTCAATGCCACACAGAATATGATCGAGGTGACCGCCTCGAAACAGTGGATCCACTGCACATCCGTGGAACACCTTTTCATCAGTACATGGGATGCTTTTTCCAGCAGTCAATCGCAAGCAACCCACCTTCTTCCTCTCCGACCTCTGCCCACCGACGTCAAACATGTGGATGCTCAACTGACCCATGTTGAACCTGGTCTCAGAGATACCGGTCGTCTTGGTACGCGCTCGTAGTACATCCGCCTCGTCGGGAATATAATCCGGTAATGAAATGCGTCGTACATGGGAGAAGAAGCTGTTCCAGTGACCGTCGTCAATACGATGCGCGAGTCGAGATGTCATGCAAGACTTCTGGCGCGCAACTTACTAGGTTGCCGAGTCCATGAGGTAGAATTCGCTCTGTCGATCCATGACGCTAGGGATGATGGGATCATGCCATAGGCTTTCAATCGCAAGCGCGATCTCGGAAGGTAGGTTTTTGCCCGGATCAGAGTCGATGCGGAATTCGAGGATCAGGTCGGCGTTGACCCGGTTGGCGGGGTCTTCCGGATCGACGCCGAGCTTTCGACATGCCAGGATAATGGCTTGGGCAGAGTCGACCAGGTTCTTGTACCTATGAGACGTATAACGGTCAGCCGAGAGCACGAGACGTCCGCGCAGTCCCTCGGTCGCGGGCTTACACTACTTGTCTGAAGTTCATCAACTCTTCCCGCGAGTACCCGTTCTGATGAATGATCTTCATCTGCTTGACGATGGTCGACTTTCCACTCTCTCCCGAACCTGTAGAACGACATTCATAACCGAGACTCGGTCAGACCTGGTCGGGGACAGATGGCTCGCGGGGGAAAACGCAACCCACCCAGCAGGAGAATCTTGCATTCCTTCTTAAACTTTTTGCTGTCCTCCTCGATCAACTTGTCGATAGCATATGATCTGTCTCTCTGTGCTCGAGCCGGTTGACCGTCTTTGCCTGCTACGGGCCCAGCCACCGCTGATTGTCCCATCGTATTGGCGGAAGATGCCGGTTCCGGTGCAGCATTGAGAGCCGACGTAAAGTCGTTGTCGGACATGGGATTCGCAGTCTCGGGTGTCCCATCACCGTCCAGTGGCCCTGCCGGAACGGCTGGTCGGGTCTGTTCGTTGGCTGTTTGTCCAGGCTTGTTTGTGATGATAGTTTGAGTAGCTGGTGTCGCCCCCGCTGCATTGCTCATCTGGACGGCAGAACCAGTTGTGCGGTTGTTGGCCGATGGTCCAGCCGACGGACTACTAGTAGAGGTTGATGGCTTGGAAGGCTGAGCCTCGGGGGATGAGAAGCAGGAACCCATGATGATAGGGTAAAGAGTAAGGTGGTGTTCAAGTTACGAGGTCGTGTCCCGGTGATATTCTGGTCTGCGGCCCGAGATCTGGATACCCAACTGCTCTCGAGGAAATGAGTCGGTTGACGAGATCCTTGGGGCCCTAGCTAGTGATCGTTGCAGGACCAAGTTGTGCGAAGACTAGGTCGTTTGGTATGCCTCGTAAGCGACCTCCGGATCTGACCGGAAGACGTTTTTTAGATGGCCCAGCAGAAGATGGCCGTTCCACGATGGCTAGCCGAAATGGAGTAGCGTATCAACCGATCCAGTGATTGCGATGCGGCCTGGATATAGGCTAGATCTACTCTAGACGCTCTCAACCTCGAGCGAGCTTGCGATAGGGGGCCTGGCTCCGGCCAGGTTGTGTGCGTTGATGAGCGGTAAATCCAAGCCTCTAAACTAGATGAAATGATGGAGGGTCCGAATATCAAGATGGGTAGGGGATAATCCTGGTCATACTGGTCAATCGGTGGTGCGTTGACGGTATATTCGGTATGCCCTCTTCACCCCCCTAGCCTCCCCCCGAGCACATGCGACTGGGAGACGAGGCGAGCAGCGAGCAGCGAGCAGAGCGAGAGGTGCGTGTGTGTGAGTGTGTGTGTGTGTGAGCGAGCGAGGGGCGGGCGGGGAAGCGGCGGAGGAGCAAGGAGCAGCAGGCACCATCCAAGCCAGGCAAAGCAAGGGGCGACGCGCGTGCACTGTAGTACTGCTGCCTCTCGTAACACGGTCAAATTTCCTCCCTATCCTTGCCCCCTATCTCTCCCGATATGGCCACCAGCCATAATGAACTCGCAATGTCGACTAGCGACTAGCTCGAGACGATAGATATTCCAACCGGATCGCCTCGAGGGAGAGAGGAGGTCGATCTTTGAAACGTGTTTGTGCGCAAGGGGGAGGGAGGGGTTCGAACATCGAGGTCCGTTGTGCCGGACGGTACCTTTTGCAGTCTCCCCAGTTTTCTCCCGTTCAGATTCTGTTTCCGCTCGTGTGTCCCCCCGTTCCCAGCTGACGCTCTCTCTCTCTCAAACAGCCATCTCGATTCGACCTCCCCCTGGCGATGGCTTGCGATATCATAGGGCCGTACGAACCCAGTGGCGTTCGGGGAATGAGCGATGCAAGGACTCTTTCAACGGTCACCGGCGGCCCCTGTGGGGTCCTGACAAAGAATATTTGCCAGATCGTACTTTGAAATCTTACTAAGCGTACCGTTTGTTCATCGGGAAGATTGTCAATGAGCCGTATCGACATCACGAGACGTCTCGTGGACAAAAGTGTCGAAGATAGTTCTCCCAACGAGTCGTGAGATGCATGGTACCGGTGATCAGCTATCAAACATCGTACAACTCGATCTGGGAGCTTCAACAAAGCGATGATGCGGTACGCATACTGCGCGAAGACGCAACTTGGGCTGTGTCGAAACGTGATTCCCTCTTCCATAGGTGATCTTGGAAGTGTAGAGCGATGATGGCCAGGACGTATGTCAAGGCTCATCAAGAAAGCCAAAGGTCCGCATGTCGAGGTTGGGTGTCTGCCATGAGTCTACCGCAACTTTGTATACTTGGGGTTTCGAGGAGAAGCATACGGAGCCTCGCGCACTCCATGGAGGTTATAGATTCAAGTAACATGAACATTCACCGGGAATCGTTACTGAAATGAAGGATTCTAAAGTCGCAGCCGGAGAGTAAGCCTCGCTTCTTTTCCGTACTGGTCTGCCCTACCGAGTTCGAATTGGCTCGATGAGAAGGGCCAGACCTGGTCTTACAACGCTAAGCCTGCTGGCTCGTTCCGCTAGTCCTTCAGGTAGTACTTCTCGGTTGATTGGAAGATGTGTGAATGGATCTGCTCGCTTGGGTATCTCATGGAGCTGCACGAATGGCGCAGTCTCACATGCGTCGCATAGGCATCTCAGCCGGCAGAGCGAGCGCATTATTGTCGTGGGGCCAGTCCTTGGACGACAACGAAAGACATGAAACCGGCGAGGACCTGGCTGCGGAAGCTATTTTACGTCCGATGCCATTTGTTTACTTTTCGGAAGCTGCAACTTGCTCGTCCACGATACGGACCATCAATCCATCAAAGGACTAACTTGGACATCGATTGTCAGAATGTCATCACCATGAGTCTGGTCTCGCATACCGCCGACATTAGAAGTCACGAGTCACTAGAGATCCCCTCGTCAGACTGAAATAGCAGAAGTCTTCAGCATGTCTCGATCCCAGAGACCCAAATCCATGATCTTCCCAACCGGATATGGCCGGAACACACCCGGACTCGGAGGGTCCGTTGTTGGTGACAGTGACGGTGGCAGGCGTGCGGTCTCTAGACAAGGATACGATCAAACGGTGGGCAGTGTACTCCAATAGCTCCAGTGAAAGCAGACTCTGATCAGGTCTCTTCTCGGTCTGCAGGATTCGGGTGAAGCTGCAGCAAGTCTGCCAATTTCCTGTGTGTTGGCGTGCCTTGCTGATGTGATGACTCTATCGGCGTGTAGGGCGATGAACAACGGCAGATCAAAGCACTTCAAGAGATGCTACAGAGGAAGGATCAATCCATACACAAACTTGCCTCGGAGCTCAACGATACTCGAGCCGACAAGGATCAGCTGGAGAAGCTGTTTGACGGATCTCAATTGTATGATTGTCCGGCTCTTGATTCGGTCGTACCTAATCGTTGATGTGGTTTGCTACCTTCCAGGGAAAATCAAAAGTGCTTGCAACAGATCAACGATTTCAGAGAACACGTCAGGGTAGGTCTTAATCTAGCCGTCGAAAGGGTTGCACAGCTAAGACAATCGAATTCACGTAGACGCTGGAAGCCGCGTTGATCAGAATCAACGGGCCTGGGTGGAGGGTTAGACCACACGTCCTTGATTTATCGTCGAAGAGGTACTGATCCTGGATTTCTTCGATGTTTCTCACCAGGAGGAGTTCAGCATACCGCCGACCCCTGGTCCGAGGTCTCTAGCAACACCAATCCCAAATATCGGGATCCTGCAAAAGAACAGGTTCCCCTTCGGTTTTACTGGAGCCGAAGTCAAGGCCGTGTCGGAAGCCGATTCGTCAGACGACAGCATTGAGGAAGTAGTTGACAGCATGAGGCGATATGCAAACGGCAGCAAGGTAGCCAATCGAAATGAACCGGCTCAGCTCAATCGCATCAGGTCTCCTCTGATGGAACAGCTGGACGATCACACTCTGTCAAGCTCCATCTCCGATGATGACGGAGACATCAAGGAAGGCGGACCGGGACCTGTCCCTCTCCACGACGGCCAAACCCCCGTTGCCATACCCATCTTTCCCACGACGCCGGATCTCCAGCCCATCATCTCGCTCATCTCGTCCTTGCACGCAACTTCCCACGCCCAATCGAGCGAGCTCGTTTCAGCAATTCTCGACAATCACGATCAGAAGCTCGCCCTTGATCATGCCGAACGAGAACAGAACCGGCAGACGGTAGTTCAGCAGGTACAGGATGCGCAGGCGGAGGTCGCACGAGCTTGGGAGGATATGAGGCAGCAGGACGACGTGCGAGAACACAACTTGAAACGATTGCTCGAAGAGGTGAGACTCGTCTGTATCGCCGCAGCTGTAAATGCGATTTTGATAATCGTTTGGCGTGTACAGGCGATCGAACGTCTACAGCGATTTGATGGCGGCGTTCCCAATGCTCTTTCCGGCGCTATGCCGGAAGCGACCTCGGTCTGAGCCTCTCATACAGGCTTCTGGCCACCAGTACGACAACAAACGATACCATCTCACGATCCTTCCAAATTACCACAGAATCGCATACCATAATGAGCCTTGTTCCCTTCTTTCGCAGCCAGACATATGGTTCCCACGATTTGCATTATATCATTGTGTTTTACATGTACATGTATGCTCTCTTTTCGGACGATGGTCATTCGAAGAAATCATCGGCTTCCTCTTCCTCTTCCTCGTCATCTCCGGGCTTATCGACTGGCCCAGCAGCCTGCTTCTCCTTGCTATCAACTGACAACAATGATTTGTTTGTTCGCCCGGATCCGTCCTCCTTCAGCGTCTCTTCCGGTCGAAGACTGACGCCCTGCTTTCCAGCTTCCGTCTTGTCCTCCATGAGCGCTTTGAGCTTGTTCAAGAGCTCCAACCGAGTGACGGCGGGTTTGTCTTCCGCGGCGGGGGTCGAATGGAGATGTTGGGGTAAAGTGAGATGACGTTCTTCCTCCTCGGCAGCATCTTTTCCCTCAGCAGATGCTGCGAACAATGCGATGTACTTTTGCGTCATACTATGCAAGACAACAGGTATTGTCCATGAACGATCTGATCAGGAGATGCGAATCCACAAGAACATACGGGTAGTGGAGGATATAGTTGAGCATGATCCGAGCTTCGAAGAGTTCGATTTCCATCTTGTCCTTTGTCTGTTGATCCGAATCGTCCGACTTGATCCCAGACTGAGCTCGTTTGATGATTCTCAAAAGCTTTTTTCGTTCTGATAAAGGAATAGTGATTGGTGTTAGGACAAGCCATCACAATGGTCGTGGCTGTAACGATGGTCGGCTCACCGAAAAAGCGGACCTGGTTGGAAATAATCTGAGCATCAATACCGAGTATCGACTAGCTCATGAAAGCATGACACCACTCACCATATGATACTTCTCGTGATTCTTCTTCTCGACGTTCCCCAATTCTGCTTTACGCAAGTCCGCCTTGAGACTCTCTAGGCGCCGCTCCGTCTGGATCTTCAAACCCGGCTCGATACCCTCCTTTTGTAACAGCCTACTAGCTTGTCTGATCAAACCTTTGATCTTGGAAACTCCGAGCTTGCTGGTATCTTGGTTTCGGTTCTGTGGTGGCTGTTTGCCCTTTTTGGCTTTCGAATTGGGTCCCTTTTGGTAGGGCTTGTTGTTCCTCCTGGAAGAGGAAGCTTCGGCGTTGGGCGGCATTTGAGTGGAGTATATTTGAGGCAATGAGGGAAAGTTGGGATATGTGTACGTGCCAGAAGAGGGTTTGCGAATGTCCGAATAGCCAATATGCCTGAGACCAGACGAGGTCAAGCGTTCAAACTTCGGTCGACCGTTATGATCACCGGGGCCCCAGGGTGACGCCGACTCTTGGTGATCACGTGAAAAAGAGCATCCGAGGCGATCGATCAGGGGTTCGAGAGGGCATGGGAGCATGAATCATGAATCATATAGATCATACATCCTTCTGTTGTCCGTGTTGGAACAAGATCTGACTCCATCACTCTAGCTTACGTCTACCGGGTACAAATACAAATACAAGGAATCCAAGACCACCATGTCTGCCGTCGCTCGACCCCCTATTCGCATCCTCGGCCTCTGCGGCTTTAGCCAAAACAAGCATGTCATGCATCAGAGACTAGGGTTCCTACGAAAAGCGCTGAAGCAACAAGTGGAATTTGGTAAGCTTGGATTCAAGCAATACGGCTCGAAGTGTTTCGCAGTCTAGCTGACGAGATCATGCGCATACTTGAAAGACTTCGTCGACCCGCCTTTCGTTATCGAAAAGGTGGATTATGCGACGGGCAACACCAAGTTTGCCGACTTTGATTCGGAGACAACGATGGACGAGAACATGACACCAGAGACTACACCGAGGTCAGTCCGGATACTACTTCCATTTCGGAGCGACTGGCTGAGACGCCTCGAGATAGAGCATGGTTCCGTTCGAAAGACGAAGAGGTGAATGGCAAGACGATCAAGACCTACATAGGTGAGTGGTTGAGAAGGGCGCCATGTCACTTCGTATACCGCCGCTGATACAGCTCCATATACATGTACTCAGGTCTTGACCAAGCTTTGGCAGACCTGCATAAGTATCTGATAGAACAGGAGACACCGTTCGATGTGAGCGCTGGATCGACGCTACCAAAAACCACAAATCGATATGACTAATCATGCCGGGAGTATAGGCGGTATTTGGTTTCTCTCAAGGAGCCTGCATGGCAGCTCTACTAACAGCTTTGGTAGGTTAGTGCCTCTAATTTGTCCCGATACAAAGCTGATACGGCTCGTATCGATTAGCTGGAGCGTCCCGGACTGCATCCTAGCTTTCCCGCTCACCCCAAGCTCAAGCCGCTGAAATGTAAATTGTATTGATGTTCGCTAAGTGGGGGACGCGAACTAACGAGCGAGATCTGTCTGTTTATTAGACTGCGTCAGCGTCGGCGGTTTCGTCTGTGGCGATGAAGCCTACAGCAACTTTTACCCTATCGCCACCCCGACATTGCATATCGTCGGCGTCAATGATACGATCGTCACACCAGAGCGGAGCCAGACGCTTATTCGGGTCTGCGACGATGCGAGGGTGGAGAAGCATGACGGTAGTAGGTTTCGATGGTCAAAAGCTTCGAGCATGCGGCAGCTCATACCCGCGATAAACCCCCAGGTCACTTCATTCCCTCCAAGGCGAACTGGAAGAATTTTTTCGTGGCCTACTTGACATCCTTCACGGACGAAGGGCTGCAGGGGGACGTACCGGGGCCATCATCACAGCAGGGAGGCGCCGCCAGTACTACTGCCAGTGCCAATACTACGAGACCGGGTACACCAGAGGTGACAGCGGGCGAAGAGAAATCAGCATTATAAACACGAACGAATCCTGCCTGTACATTGTGCAGTGTATTGTACGTCTGTACTACATTTCTTGTTCAGTCGTTGATCATCTAAGACGATCTCTGCAGGGTCGAGTAGGTCGCGGGTTTCGCTGATTCTGAAACGCGAGCATGACATGGAGGGTATCGTTGGTTGTGGTGAACGAACTCGCGAGCTACAACTCGACGTCTGCCTCGTCGTAAGCTTCGTTGACCAGCTTGTAAATATAAGCTGGCGAATGGTCTCCCCTGTCGATCGATAGTTCAGCATGTGATTGGAAAGAAACGGTCCGTCCAGAACTCACTCGTTTGTGATGAACAGGCTGATGAGCTCGGGCTTGATGTAATCGTAAAACGGGTTTGCGACGTCGACCTTGTCCAAGAACTCGCCCTCCTCAAAGCTCAAAACCTCACTTGGATCTCCAAAGTCCAATGCAGCCGGGTCATTGTACAGATTCCAGGTCGGGGCAAACTTGTACTGCCCCGCGACTACTACCACCGGTGTCGACTGCGCTCGCGCCGCGACCGCCGCGAGGAGGGATCCTCCTATGGCAAATAACCCTCCATTGGCTAGGACCGAATGAGCGCCCAAGATGACCTTGGTCACACGAGGCATCAACGCGTAAATCGATGAATCGGGGACCAAGACGGTTGGGATGTTGTGTTTCGCTAATGCCTTGGCCATTGTTGTCCCTAGCCGTCTGTAACATTGTAGATTGTGGATGAACCATTGAATCAGGCGAAATGTCTTTTCTATAGCATCACTTGTCGCACTCACGAGGGTGAGCTCTCGGCACAAATGACGGTGAAATTCCGGTCCTTCCATGCACTCTTCAAAAAGGCTTCAACCGTCTTGGAGTAGCCGATGGTCAAGATGATCTCGCTGTGATCATAGTTGTGGGGTCTGAGCACCGCATATGAACGGCGCGATGTCCAGACATTCCTTTCACTCACGAACTGTGGATATGCTCCTTGGCCCCCTTGGCACACGTCTCGTGTGTCGTCTCTATCTCATCGACGACCTCCCTGATAGCGTCGACCAACACCGGCTTCATCTGCATGGCCTTTTGTTCCCTCAGCCTGGCATTCTGCTTGGCGGTCATCCCGCTGGTGGCCGACCGAGGTTGTCGAGGGCTCTGAGGTGGTGTCTCTTGCCTTGCGTTTGGCAGAGAGTCGCCCAATGCCGACAAGCCAGGAAAGGAATTCCGATGAGGCTGATATGACCCCGAGGTTTCGTTTTGAGGTACAGGGGAGAAGAGCGAATCCATCATGGGTCCAGGAGTCATGACGGTCGTTTCGAGGCCGAACAGGTTGGTTGTGCTCCCCGCTCGTTCCAGCTGAGCGCGCGTATGCCTCATCTGAACAAAGGTAGACAGCTGTGTCGGTACCGGTCTGGCTTGTGGTGGGGATGCGTAACCTGTCGAATTCGGATACGACGATGGCGAACCAGTGGCCTCGTTGGTGAAGAAGGGGGACTTGTTCGAGTTGTCGCTGAGCCAGTGACTAGCTGGTACGTGAATCCCGGGTGTGGGCGGCATGGGAGTACCGGGGACGGAATGGCCCTCGGCATTCGATCCCGAACGCAGGTCTTGTCCCTCTTGTTCCAACTGGCTGAGACATGCTGCTCGATATTCTTCTCGGATCAGCCGGAGCACCTTGCGCACGATGTTGCCGACGGCCAGCTCTGCCAGATGGTTTCAAAGAGGTACATTCAGCTGTTCACGACGTCTCAATGACATTGAATGTCACCAGCATGGACATATACTGACCCTTGGGGTTGGCGGCGATTAACCGCTTGCCGACGGCTTTGATCTGCTCCAGCAGCTGCTCGATGCTGTTGTACCGGGCTGATCCGACGAAGCGGTAGAGGAGCTGGGCGGTCTCGAGCGCCGTCTGCCGTGATGAGATCAGGTCTCTGTTCGACGTGCCAACATTAGAACTTGTGCCGCATTTGATCAGTCTGTTGTGCTCGAATCAATGCTCACCGGCGTTGTAGCCGTACCACGAGCTGATCTATGTTTTGGTTGATCGACTGTGCGATTTCACAAGGGGTTGTGTCAGTCCAGAATGGAGAAGTAGCTTGGTGCGAACTTCTTACCATCTCCGGATGTACCAAAACGAACAGCGTATGACCTACACCGATCTGGTTGCCTGACTACCGAGTTTAATGGATAGCCGATGTGGATGACGAGAAGACGTCCTGAATCGTCAACAAGGTCAATCGAGGTCAAGGTCGAGGTCGAGTGCTTTGACTAGACTTTCGATCGCAGGTCGAAGCGCGCGCGAGTCCTCGGTTCCCAGTCTTTGGGTCAAGCGCATCCGTCATCCATCCATCCCAATGCCATCAACCCTTCTTCGCTGGACATGATTTCGCCTGTCGACATCTGTGGGAACAACTCCACTTGATCTATAATTCTTTAACAAGACATCGGCTCGGTTGAAGACGATCCCGAAGTGATCTGCTCTGCGTAACCTGCACTCCTCCTCCCTGGCTCCCTGGTTCGACTGAGATCTCTTTCGCGCGAACGTCATCAAGTTTAGATTCCGACGTGGAGACTGAGCTGGACAACCTTCCGACCAGCGACCTTGTTCATTTCACAACAACTCAAAGCTATCAATCGACGAAGCGACAACACAACGAGTGTATAAACGGGCCTTGTTCGACGTTCACTAGTAAACATGAACATCTTTAGATTTCTAGGTAAGTCCGCTCCTCACTTCCCAAGGACGACAACGAGGGCGGTGAGAGCGTTCCCCTTTCTCGCCAAAGGGAACCTTCCACTACAACCTCGAGTGAGCGATGGCTAACGGTGTGCCCAACCTGGATGTTTGGACGATACAGGGGATATTTCCCACCTGGCTTCTATCGCCATCTTGATCCTCAAGATACAAAAGTCGAGATCATGCCGAGGTACGCTGGTAGCTGCTGGTCGGGCATGAGACGAGACACTGGTCCACTAAACGATCGTTCCTCGGTCCCGGTCGTTCCGTTACACATCTCTCTCATTCTCGAAACTATAGGCATTTCATTCAAGACGCAAGCCCTCTATCTGACCGTCTTCCTCACCCGATATGTCGACCTGCTCACCGGGCCCTGGATATCCGCCTACAACACGATCATGAAGATCTTCTTTATCGGTAGTTCGGCCTACATCTTGTGGTTGATGAAGTTCAAGTTCCGGTGAGTCTCGATCTTACGCTGGTTTCCCGGGATCACGACTGTCGGATTAACTCTTCCGGCCTCTATCTGCGATTCTGTTGATGTTCTCAGACCAACCCACGACGCTTCGCTAGACACCTTCCGGTTGGACTACCTCATCCCGCCCGTCGCCATCCTAGCCCTGATCTTCAACTACAAGTTCATCCCCTCCGAGATCTTGTGGTCCTTTTCCATCTGGCTCGAGAGCGTGGCCATCTTCCCCCAGCTGTTCATGCTTTCCCGGACCGGAGAGGCCGAAACGATCACTACGCATTACCTCGCGGCGTTGGCGCTGTACCGGGGGCTGTACATTCCCAACTGGATCTATCGGTAGGTATCAGTACCCGTAAAGTGATGATGTACAGAGAAAGACTGACAGCTCTTTGCGTTTAGATACTTTACCGAGGGCGCCTACGATCCCATCGCCGTGGTAGCTGGGTTGATTCAGACCGGTCTGTACGCCGACTTTGGTTACATTGTGAGTCTCGAGACGGCCTCGGCTTCGGGTCTCCTATCCTGCAATGATACTGAGCACGCATTCGGTGTTCCCTATTCTGCCTATAGTACGTGACCAAGGTGTTGCGCGGACAGAAGTTCGAGTTGCCCGCCTAGCCTGTGGGACCGTAAAGATGTATCAAAGACGGGCGAGCCGACCATCCCGCCTGGTCTTTGTCCATTGGGCAGCTGTCAGAGAAGACTGAGTTGCTGCTCGGTTGATGATATATATGACGAAATAGAAATTGCATGCTTGTTCGACATGCGTGATGTGTGAGATTGATCGATGACGTGAGGGGCTCTCTTCCTGCTCCCTGTTCTGTTCTCTCTCTGTCTCTCGATCGAGCGACGCGTTGAAATGAAATCGCGTCGCGCGCGAGACTAGGAGAGGACGGGAGAGCAGCGAGAAACTAAATTGCGATCCCATCATCATCATCATCCCCGGAATCCATCAGTCTTCCTATCACTCATATCCCTCACATCAACCTCGTCACCAGTTACCAGGGTATACAAGGCCAGCCCTCTCTTGCTCACCTTCTTGAGGGTGGTAATTACATAGGATATCGACGTCGAGATACCGCGCAACAATAGCGATCGAAAACGCACAGTAGAGCCTCCGATACCGGCTATTGCAGCAAGATGGATGGTTCTGGGCGAACAGACATGATCGAGACCAACCAGATACATCACCTACCTAGTCAGTCGTCTGAGCGGTCTGGCGTACCATTAGCCAATAGCTCACACCCCTCGTATCGCTAGTCAAAATCACCTATCGCCATCCGTCGCACGACCAACCGCTCTTGGCGACATCGACATCAGACGTACCCGTCTTTGTTCACGATCAAGAGAAGAGGCCGGCGAGGCTTCCACACGACTCGTACGACACGTTTCGAGGTAGTGTCAGTCTGAAGGATGTGCTCAAGGTCGTGTGCCGGGCATCGTGAGTGTTCTCTTCTGCCGTGTCATCGAACCATCTCCCCTCCCATTTCGGCTGACGTATCGGCTCGGACCGGGGTTTCATCCCAGACCGGAGATCATACCCTCGACGCAGATTAGCGATGGATCAGTCTACATACCCAGCCGACAGCCCGATAAGGTCAATAATACACCAGAACCACGTCCGATCCTCTCCAAGAGACTCGCTCGCCTGAGTCGGCCCTCGTTCACGTCCTCGTCGGACGGATTGACGCCAGCTCTCACTTCCTCTTCTTCGAGCTATCGCGATCAGGATCGAACCGGGTTTTCCATCCCGTCGACTCCCGTATTCTATCCCGACGCTCTGGACTCATCACCTGGATTTCCACCTGCGTCGGAACTCGATCCCTTTCAGAGTTCGCCTGCCGTGATGAGGTATCCCTCTCGGCGGCTGGGCGGAGCCAGGCGCGGGTCCTCCTCATCGAGCAAACCTCTGGTCGTCCCTACTCCTTGGACGGGCAAGGGTACCCTGTTCGATGTGCTGACCGAGCCGGGCCAGGGAAAGACGTTGGTCACTTGTAGCGTGGTTCGGACGGCAGATTTCGCGCCTCGTCGCAAGTCGGTGATGAAAGAGAGCTCGTCGCACAACATTACCCAGCCGGAAGAACCTCTCGATGAGAACGACGGTTTGGCAGCTCTTCTTATGAAGGAGGCGGACGAGGCCGAAGGTTCCGGGGACGAGGAGAACCATGTGGGATCGCGGGATACGTCGACCGGTTGGGGACTGCTAGTCGAGATCAAGTTGAGAAATCTCGGTCGGCCGGTCTCCCTGGAGCAGACGTCGAGGTTGAGGACTGCAGTCTTTGGTGAAAAGTCTCGGCCGGGTTCGTACCGGAGGGTCGAGACGGCTGCTGCCAGGAAGTTTCATGAGGTAGCGGGAGATTCCCGGCAGGGTAGGAACGCTACCGACATGCGTAAACCCCGGATCAAGGCGGATAGGATCGACGTCAAGGCTAGTCTCGCTCGCAAGACGCCCAGCCAGATGGTCGAAGTTGCGCCTGCCTCGTCTTTAACACCCGGGACTTCGCTCGGTTTCAGCAGTCTAGGCTTGGATTCGTCCGATCCCGACCGGATGAGCACCATCGACGAGATTCGCAGAGGATTGGATTCCGATGCTCTATTACCCGTAGCAAGTTCGATCCCTCAGCGCTACCCTGCAGCTTTGTCCGCGTCTTCCTCTCTCAAGCGGAAAAGCCTGGCCATACCGCATGACCAGATTCCTCGTAATCGGAGAGGACCGAATCTGGTGGGCGACTGGAAAAGAAGAAAAACCGAGCAAGACGAGCGAAGCAAGCATCGCGCTCCTTCCCCTTCGATCAAGCTGGAACCGTCTTCGTCTCTTGTAAACGACATCGACAAGTCGTTACCGAGTGACGTCTCTTCGAGGCGGATCTCGCCCTCGAAGACGGCGAAAGCCGGTGACAAGCGATCGCTGCTCGAAGCGATAGTCTCCTCGTCGTCCGGTCGCATCTGCAAGGTCGAACCGCCTAGTCCTGAAGCAAACGTTCTTTCGGCGTTGCCCAAATCTTTTAGCCAACCGAGCAGAAGGGAGTCTGGTAACACCGGGCGCAAGTCTGCTGTCCCCATGAGCGAGCCTGCCATACCGCAGAACGGCTCAAATTCGATCCGTCCTATAGGCAGTCTCTTCCGCCCGCGACCCAACATGAAGAGGACTTTGTCCGAGATAGCCGAACGGGAATCTCAGAGGCGTGCAACACAGGTAGATGCGGCCGACGACTCTGACGATCTCACCGAGAGCGTGTCGCAATCTCTGGCTGCCGTTGAACCCATTCATGCGCTACTGCAAGCTCGTTCCCGGGCACCACCAGCCACCTTGAACAATCTGTTCGCACAAGCTGAAGACAGATCCATCTGGACGCGCGACGGAATCGCGTGGGGACAGCCGCTGGGGATTTCCTCTTTGGCGTCCACCTCGAATCCCGCTACCTTGCCTTTTTCGGACGACTCGAGTAGCTCCAAGACTCTTCAATTCAGTCCTCGGGAACCGCCCGCTGCCTTTGCTGAGCAGTGGTTACAGGCTCCAGATCTCGATCACCTGTTTGGCCTAGACGTCCACGCGCCCAACAACGACCTAGCCCCGAATCATCCATCTGGGTCATGGGAGATCGGGAGCTCAGCGGTGACTTTGGGTAGCTCTAACAACGCTGGGTTTCCCTTTGCCGACGAAGCGTTCGCCTTCTTCGATTCAACTTACACGAGCGATTTCGACCTCCCGTCGCTCTATTCACCAGTCGACTTTTCCCAACTTCCGCCCTCGTCACCACCTCAGAGCGAATCGGAACTGCCTCACTCTGTATTGCTCATGTCGTCTCCTCCGGAAGGATCTGGCTTGGCAGACACGCCCATCGAAATCATCTAATAATGCATCTTACATTGCTCTTGTACCCTACTCGTGCGATCCTGTCTATATTTTGTTGATCATGTCCACAATTATAGTCTACGAATCCCAATCTATGCGATTAGCAATCGCATTGATGGGGCTAACGATTTTATCCTCAACGGTATCTCCCAGCCCCGCCGCTATTAATCGTGAAAAACTCAGCCAAAGACTTGTTCGTGTCCAGCCTACGGTCGCTTACCGATCCTCAAGACCGCGGTAATCAACTCGTGATTGCCCAGAACTACAGGTCGGCCACAATCAGATGGGTTAGTAAACGGGCATAAGGCTGCGCGATTCCTTTTGAGAGTTGTCATGAACGCTCACTATCGATATGATCCGCTGACATACGGGAAGCGCACTTGTGCATCAGCGCTTCTGGTCAGGGTCACCATTCAAGCGATCATCGACTTACCGGATTTAGGGCCTCCCCTTGGATCGAGCCCCTCTGGCTCGTGTTTAAATTCGTGAGTGATGATGGGCATGCGGGCAGGGTTCCATCGATCGTCCTTCCAACCCTTGACACACATTGCGCCCAAGGACATCAATGGCACGGTACCATCTCCCATACCGAACTTTACACCTCTTCTGACTTCTGGAACAGATCCTTCCGCGTTGACTTCGGTGTCGATCCAATTCTTACGAGCCATGGGCATATCCAGAGGCTTCCGACAGGTGATAGCAGAGCCATTAACCATACGTTGCAGCTCGTCGGGCGTGCACTGTGCATTCCAGTCGTGTTCAGTATGAGCAAAACGGAGTCGAGACAGGCCGTGACCACTGACCTGCGCGTCATCTCCCTGGGTCGCAATTTCGTCGTGCTCGAATTGGCCTTGCATATAGAAGTAGCTTCGTTCCGTAGGCTTGCCGTAACCATAAAAGCAATACTGCTTCATGGACGGCGCGTTGGGGAGCCTGCATAATGTGTGTAAACCGTCAGACGAAGCATGTCGATTGTCGAGTGGCTTAACAGACTCACTGAACCTCAAGAGGGTTGGACCACTGTGGTAATCAGGTATCAGTATAGCCATGACGAAGGAATGCCACATGCACAATCTTCGCACTTTTCGATGGTCCTTGGCGTTCTCCTGGAGGATTTTGACATCGTTCTCGAAACCATTCGAGTAGTTGGAGTGGTACATCCTTTGGAAATCCGGAGGCGTATGGAGCAAAGTATAGATTCCGGCGTCATTCATGGTCAAGTTTGGTTGGATGTGTTCCGCGTCCATCTCGCTGTCTTTTGGCTCATGAGAACGGCTCGGACCTGAATCTGAGGTTTGTCTGAACGAGAAAAATCTTCCGTGCGTGTCGCCAGTACAGTTGGCGGGATCTTATGACATGCAGACTCACGATAATCAGCATTTCGCAGGCTTCTCGAGCACTGTGGGGTACTGACCATCTGGAGCCGAGTCGTGAGTACCCCATATCCGGTCGCCTCCCTTCATCCACATGCTCGCCGATCCCGGCCATTTGTGGAAAAGATTCGCCCTTTCCTTGCGAGAGAAGAACTTCTCGAGCACCCAGCTGGCCGCTGGATGTAACTCGATTGTATCCTTGAGGTCTCCACTCAAGAACGCCGTCATACTTTTTGTTACACCGAGCAGCGTGCTTGCGATACCCGCATGAGCTTCAATATGCTGTTCTACCCATCGATCGTCACGATTGCCGCATCTGAAGCCCTCTGCATCGTCCGCCGCCTCGACCCATTTAAGGAAGAAGTTTACTACCGAACCTCCCATGGAGTGAGATATCAGAACTGTTTTTCTTCCGGTAATTCTCTTGTTCTGTTCGATCCGGTCGCGCAGCCGTGTGAAGAAGGCATCCCGGACCTCCAAATTATGGCTGTTTGCGCTGATATCAGATTGAAGTCTTTCGGCTTCGCACCGAACCTCGATCCTTACTATGACAAACGCCAATCGTACGAAGCTGGAACCAATAGTCGAAGTACTTGTCAATAATGCAAAGTGCACGACTTGATTCCATCGGGCTCACCCATTTCCATCGACAGAGGATCGTAACCGATCGCTGCGAGGTTTTCGATAACACGTTGCCATACCCAATAGCCTTGAATAAACTCGCTCGCAGCGTCGAGACCCTGTGCAGCTCGGACCCGGTGGTTTGGCGGGTCGAGCCCTGTCACGGGATCCAAAGAAAGTGCCTCCATCCAAGCTTTCCGATCGGCAAGCACGGCCGACACCATCTGAGTCGTTGACCACAGACGCTTTCGAAAGGAGCCCTTGGCGACCTTGCTGGCACTCCATTGTTCGAGTCCTAAGAGGAGAGATTTCACCTCGTTAAGCCTTCACTATAACCGCGTTCCGCTCGAGAGCGAACGCACCTGTAGACACAATCTTTGGGGCGGAAACTCGACGTGAGTTAATAAGAGTTTGTCCTTGTGCCGAACTCGCATTCGAACTTACACCAGGAATCAAAATGACAGGGTAGTGTGCGCCAATGCCGGGTTCTTTAGCTATCAATTCCTCCGCAGGCGAAAACTCTTTCGAGTTGAACGCCTTTCTTGTCTGCTCGACGACAGACAAATTGTTGGCGAGGTCTCTCCAATCCCAATCGAATCCCCAACCTTCAAGATTCATCGAGGGGAAAGGATTTGTAGTATCTTGAAACCAAGATGTCATGAATCCGGCGTTGGCCTTGGACCCGGATAAGAGAGACATGAGATCCGGCGGAAGCGTCTGGGGAGCGAATTGATAGGCCGAGAAAGCGAGCCCGATGGCGATACCGGATGAGAAGGCGAATCTCCGCCCTCGTGCCCATGATGTCCAGGTCGTAGCGCTCTTGCTCTTGTTCTTCTTCGGTCTAGGCTCTTGAGAGCTAGTAGTCAGTCTTTCTGAAGGAGGCTGATGCAGAGAGTTCGAATGCGACATGAGCGGATGTACAATTTCTTTCAGATAGATGCCGGTGACATACCACGGATTTCGACTTGATAGCAGTACTCTCCTGTTTGACGTGTCCCACGATTTGTTGCACAGGTTGCTGAACAGGTTGTTTCAACGGTTTCGACACCTTCAGCACCTTTTCAGCAGCTTCTTGTTGTTTCGCGCTGCTGCTTTCCCGCTCATGAACCGGTTCCGAGACTTCTTTACCTTTGTGAGCATGTTTCCCCTGCTTGTTGCGTTTCCGGGTGCCAGGGGTCTGACCCCCTTCCGTCTTGTCGACTGACAGGACGGAGAAGGCGTTACCATCGACGAACCTGCTCATCTCGGTTGCAAGGCGCGACGGAAAGAACGGCGAGAGCAACTGAATGCTATACTTCGCTGCGCTGATAGATCTACCAGATGGAGACTCAACAGTATTATTACTGAGATATTGAAAATGTATTTCGTTCAAAAATCGCCTTATCGAGGTTGACGAAAGTCGTATGCTGACAGAATTTGCTTCCGGGTCAACACTCCGTCATATGCTTCCGGACGGCCGCCGGCTTGCTTCCACCGGTTCGTCGACTGGAAACTAAGACATTCTATCATGTAACAGACATATCTTTTCAACGTACAGAGTCGAAAGAAGGCCCTTTTAAACACGGGTTCCGACGAGCAATGCAGGTCAAACGAGCCCGCAAACGGTAGCACGACTGCCAAAGTGCCCGGTCTTCTGTTGATGAGCAGAAAAAGCGCGACTGAACCGGAAGCGCGCGCATGCCCTGACCGCCCAACTGATGATCTTGATGAACGATCTGCCTGGATTATGATCCTAAGTAAGAGATAAGAGACCGCTTGGCGTCCTGCTCGATCGAATTCAAGTAACATCATATACACTTCGTCGATATGGCCACCATCAGCTTCGCTTCAGCAGGTCCTTCTCGCCTCGCCAACGCCGTTCCCCGGCTCCTCTCGAGAGCAGTCGCTTTCCGGTCCAACATGATAGCGGTTCGACCGATTGCTCAAAGCTCGATCACTGTCATCTCCGCCAATCCTGCTGCCGATATGGAAAGCTCCACTAGCGTTCAGTCCTCCTTACGATCCCTGGTCGACTCCCTGGTCGAACTCTTCCCGCCTTTTCTCCTCGCGGTCCCGAAGAAGAAGGTTTCCCATTCGAGGAAGAGCATGAGAAGCGCTCACAAAGGATTGAAGAACAAGACGAGCAAGTATAGTCTCCTCCACTTTTGAAAGCATATGTACTAAGGATTGTTTTCCATCAGACATCACGCTCTGCCCGGGATGCGGAGCACCCAAGCTGTCACATAACCTCTGTCCCGAGTGTTTCTCGCAAATCAACCGGAGGTCAGTCGCTCAAGGACGACCCCCTTTGTATCGTCCATCTAACTTATCGATCCGGCTTTCGTGATGCCCCTCGTACCACAGATGGAAGCAGGAAGCTCGCCAGGTCGGGTCATCAACAGCCGAGGCTACATCTTAGCCCAACCCGTATTTCGACACTATCCTTCCCCTGAGCTCTCAAGACATCTCCCCTGATGCCGTTATCGTAAAGCGGCATATGTATCATTACCCTTCGCATCCTAATCTTCCGTATAGACCTCTTCCGATCTTGTTTTGGAGGCAGGTGGATGTGGCCGTCACACAATCATACATGAGATAACGCATTCATTACATGTCGCATGGGATCAGAGAAACTATGCTTCTAGTATGAGAGTAGGGGTCCGCCAGCGCTTGGTCCAGATTCCCTCATCCCACATCGTCTGTTCTGTGGAGATATCACTGAACCCTATAAAGGGTCCCTCCATCCATGACCTGATCGGCTTCCTCGTGCCTCCGTCAAGCTTGTCCGAGTCTTTCCATCTAAAGAGGACGAGCGGGGAGTTGGGTAGGGAGGATACCAAACCTAAAAAGCCAACATGACGTATAGAATTGATTAGCCAAGGATCGATCGAATAACCTGTTCCAGGAATTTGGTGGCTGACCTCTTCTTGATCGTCACTCGGTGTCGCGAAAACTTGTCATCCGGCGAAAATCGGGCAGGATGAGCCGACCGAGTGGGCTTTCCGGCAGGGGTGGTCTTCTGTAGGATCAAGAACAGACGCACTCAATCAAAGCCTCCTTGGGCAGTTCCAAGACACGAAGAACGAACCCTCAGAGTGTAGACCCTGAGGTAAGGAATTGAGAAGCGCGATCAGATGGAGTTGTCGAGTCGAAGATACATCGGTTCGACTTACCTGTTCCCCTGTTCGTTCAAAGTGTACATGAGATGCATGATCGGAGGAGTAGAGCTGGCTTGTGTATTGGAGAAGGTGAATACCGGGTGATACTGGACGTTGAGATACGATACAGGACGTGTGTGTCATTCACAAGCAATTGCAGGTCTAGGTGCAAGCTGTTGAGCTCCCAAGGCGGTCAGGCGATAAAATCGGTCGGAACCGAAATAATCCATCCCCTTACGCAACGTGATCTTGTATTCGCGTCGCCCCGCACGAGGCCGAAGGCAATCGTCTCGACTAGAGACATGCACACTAGGAACGTCACAGAGCAGTAAGGCCAGTAAGGCTAGTATGCAGCACAGAGTATGGCTACGGACTGTGAGTGCACCTCCAGAGCTCCCCCTATCATCGAGATAATCAGCTTCCAGAACTCCAGAACATAGCGTAAACCCTGTTGTCTGAGATTATCGAAACATGGCAATCGCAAGCCATAGCTGCTTCATAACTTCCCGAAGGCACTGAAGCGAAGGGAAACGGATAAAGGCTACTCTTGTCTGCTTCTGCTGACCATGCAAAACCACCGCGAGGAGGCAGGAAATACAATGGCAGGTAGCGACGTTCAATCAGCTGCGGACCGGACGCCTACAAATGGCCTATCACCAGAGGACGAGGACGAGGACGGGGTGAGTTCGTTCGCGATGGTTCACACTCTAGTCATCCTGACATTGGCGTCATCTTAGTTCGAATCCCTGACAGCGAGACTCAACATCGAGAAGCGAATTCAGTTCGGCGCTGAAAAGTTCTTGGAGGTAAGCAACAGCTTCAGCCGCTTTTCAGGCGCCTCAACTCATCCTCTGCTCGTTGCAGGCGTTAGATTCCGATACCTCCTCAATCCCAGAAGAGGCTCGTCCACCGCTGAGAGCGAAGGTCTTGGCTGAGCTCGCCGCATCTAATTCAAAAATTAGAAATCTAGAGGACGCAATAGCAGCCAATGGGAGACAAGATTCTCAGCTGATAACGGATCAACGGAATGACTCCACACGAGTGCCTCAAATATCAGCAGATTCACCAACGACTCGTTCTCTGAGGCCAGTAGATTCCAATTCTACTCTCGCCTCTGAATTCAGTGGATCGACCCGGAATAACAACGATCGCTTGACCTCGCGCCCATCCCGGTTGCGAGTCGAAAGTAGGATTGTCACAGGACGAAACGATACGGAAGAAACGGGCAGTTTCCCTAGTCTTTCGCCTATCGATGGGGAAAGTCTTGCGAGGGATCACCGTAGCCTCAGTCAAAGGTCATTGACGACAGAATCTCATTACAATGACTCGTCTCGCATAAGAGCTCTGTGGCCGTCGGATCAATTCGCCGACGATAGATACCAAGACCAGATGGATGAACACGTCATCGACGAACTTCGAAACAAAGCTCGGCAGAATCTAGCGCATCTCCGTAGTCTGAAACCCGTTCGAGCACAAGAGCAACGGACGATGCGAGAAGTTGGTGGTGCCATTGCTAGTTTGACCCGATTCGCCAGGCTGTCACCTCAGGTAGCCTCCAGCATAGACTTTGAGGATCTGGTTGATGTGTCGGTATCAATGCCAACATCAAGCCCGCTCCCAAACATGTACTGAAGCAAATTTGATTAATCTGCAGGACCTTGTGCTATGCAATGGAACCCTACGCCAGCCCTTTGAGGTCGGCCTGCTACCGGCTCTATCGGAACTTCCTGCACGATCGGCATTCATGGCATATCCTCAGAAAGCGAGGCGTAGAGTGGCTATTGATTCGGTTCGTCTAGGAAGACTTCAAAACAGACAGTCCTCGCTATAGCTTACTTGCACTTGAAATACCTCGCGCAGAACATTTGGACGAGCCAATCGCCAGATCCCAGAAATGGAACAGGCCCTCCAATTGATAAGAGTGGTCATTCTACTGCCCGTCGCTGCCCGCAATGATCGTGATCGGCCCGGCTTCGAAGGTATGACGGCAGACGGCAGTGAAGACGTGCTTCACCACGATCCCGTGCTTTCAGAAGCACTCGTTAGGATTTTGGTCAGCATGGCAGAAAATCCCGAGGACCCCTTCCAAAGTATCAGTCTTGAGACACTGGCAGAGATAGGTTAGTTTCCGTGCTTAAGGCAGTAATAAGACATACGGCTAAGACATCTCACTGGTAGCTGTGATTGATCTCGCCACTCTCATCCAGGCCGACGGTCTCAGATTTATTCTGCAGATTTTCGAAAACGGACCTTACAATCTCACGCAAACCTTGACTCCTGTCTTGATGTCTCTCCTCAACCTGCCGGAGAGTCGGAGACTGTTGCCCAAAGATACTGGTCTCGGAGTGATCTTTGCAGGCTTTACGAATGCCTATGGGTCAGGACCAACCCATATTGAGAGACTGAGGGCGACTTCCGTCAACACCCTGACTGTCCTCAGATCGTGGCCCGGTCGGTATTAGGCTGAGCTCCTTATGGTAAAATGCAGTCACTGATCTTTGGCCAAATGAAATCCTTGCGACTACAGGTTTCATGATGTGCTGCATGTCAGGTTCACGCCAGATTGAAAGTTTGGTTGAAGCTCTTAGTGTCCCGGTGATGGAAATGCGGGTACGTGCGCCTTAACTCGGTTCGCATGATCTCTTTGCCGACGAACCGATCGCGATATATATTCAGGAAGTGCTTCTGGACACCTTGTTTGATCTTTTCCGATTGGAGAAGCCATCATGGTACCACGACCTTCTACAGGACAAGCAGAGGACACATCGTTAGTGCAGTCTACCAACAGACCTTTCCCCTCTCCCGTACTAACTGTGCAGTACTATTTCCATTTTGATAGAGCCAAAGTCCGACTCGCGCCACTCACATCGTTCGACGAAACCCAATGTCCTCGATCACTATACAAGTCTCTTACTGGCTGTCTTTGTTGATTCGGGACTTGTTGAGGTATGTATCGCTGGTTCACATGCCATTTTATTCAAGATTTCACAATTGTATCTTCTGCAGGCACTGGTCGAAGTCGTAGAGGAACAGGTTCCCGTTCTGTCGAGAAAGGCCACACTGCTCATCAGCGAGCTTCTAGCACTGGCGGCCAAGCTGCTCCCTCTCAACTACGCTGCAAAAGTCCAGGTAGGTCCCGCGACCTGACCAGACGCAAGGTGATTCTTCTGATATCACAATCCGGACATCGAGTAGAGCTTGCCCAGACTGTTCTGTTCGGCGACGACACTAGATGATTCGCAGCAACGCGTAGCCGCTTTGGACGCGCTGTCTTCGATAACGGCTTCCGTTCGAGGACAACGTGCACCTGCTTTGGCTGATGCACCGAAAAGAAAACGATCTCAATCCCAGTCAGACCCGGTAGAACGTGGTCAGCGGCAGGTGGAACAAGTGCGAAAGAGACTAGGTATGCAGATGGATGACCGACAATTCCAGGCCGCATTGGTCGAAAGTCAGGTATGTTCTATAAATCTCACTTGGACGGGTTTACTTGTGTAAATATTGTCTTATTGATTTCTTCGCGTCACAGGTACTGTATACGAAGGACCATAATAAATGGAACTACGACGCGCTTGTCGAGATCATAGAGGGACCTCTTCTAAACGCCCGTAGACTGGAGGAGGCTTTCAGAGTGTCCAAATTCGGCCGCCGTCTTATGACGTTCTTTCAGCCTTTGTACCGCCGTTTTAGCGACATTAAAAGGACCAGAGTTAGTCTCGCTCAAGGTCCGTCGATCAAGCTGTGTGGCGCTAACCTCCCTTGCGGTACCAGGCGAATCGCAAATGGGTCAAGCTCGGTAACATTCTCGTCACCTCGCTGATGTCCACGCAAGACGGCTTGCATATCCTTGCTGAGGACCAACTCTTACGACAAATCGTGGACTGCTTCATGGAATTGGATCAAGTCAGTGTTGCTCTTAGAGTGCGCTTGGCCGTGAGACTCACGCACAACAATACAGTACGCAGGCCATCCCAACCCTCAGCCTTACTTCTCGAAAAGTAGGATGGAGAATACACTGTCATACGGCTATTTTGAGATGATACAACTGCTCAGTAAACGTGCCGAAGGCCTCAAGTGAGTGAGAGAGCCTACAGAAGTCGCTCGGCGTATAGACGACCATCTGATCTCACACCGATTACTAGGCTACTGGAGAAATACAGTTACTTCACCTGCTTCTACCACTTGAGCGAGCTACGAAGCCGAGATGACCTGATCCGAGCGATCATCAAGCATTTAGACTACTCGAGGTTGGTGGACTCGCTCCTTCGATAAGAGGACTACATCACTGAGATATCTCCGCCTAGTGATGGTCATGCCCGGATCATACTATCGAAAGCATTGACTTCGAGCTACATGGTATGTTCTGTCTCTCGTAATGTGAGGATCATGGCGCTGATTATGAGTTCATGACTTCAGCACACCCGTATCTTTGCAACACAGCGATTGAGTCGTTTGCTCGAGGAGGACAGCTCTTCGATGTGGGCATTAGAGCTCCTCGTTACGCAGCTGTATGATCCTGCGTTTGAAGTTTGCGAAGCAGCCGCCCAGTACCTCGAAACTTTGTGCGAGGACACCGCTATACTAGAAGCTGTCGTGCGGCTGCGACCTACTCTAGACCATCTTGGCGAGGTTGGACAATGTTTGCTGTTAAGGTCAGTATTTTCACTTGCTCCAGCCAAGCAGAGTCTGGTTGGCCTGAATATTTGCAATATAGGTTTCTTTCTACGTCTACCGGTTTCTCATATCTACGACGCGCAGACTATATCGATCGGGAAATCGACGAGTGGTACAACGCAAGTCGACGTATCGTTCGGCGCATATGGCGCAGTCAGTCTGACCGAGGCGCGGCCATTTTGCAGTACCGCAATGTTCAGTACGTATCGCAAATCGAAATGTACCTGGCCGAAGGTCTTCGACCGGAGATGACGGTCCAGGGGATGTTCAGCCATACGTAAGTGATACTACATAATGACACAGTGGGGATAATCAATCCTGACAGTAGTCACCAACAGCACACGAGGAGCAGCTCCACCCAATTTCTATGCCGAAATCACCAAAACCGCCGAAGGATGTCGCGTGCTGGGCGCAAAGGGCCATGTTGCAGCCTTTGCCAACACGTTGCGTCTTTATGCGGAAGAGGGTCAAGACGAATCGTTGCTGCTTATCCTTAAGAGCGCGTTATGGGCTCTCGTACGTCTGAGCGGTGTTTTAATGGACGGGCTAAAATCTGACTGCGACCGCCAACTACAGGGAAGTATCGGATCCACACAGGGTGGACTCCCCTTTCTGGAGGAAGCGGACATTGTCGAATTGGTTGTGGAACTCGCGGAGCATTCGTCGGTCTTGAGCATTCGGGGGTGAATCACGACAATTTTGAAACCGCGGGGGAAACATGGCTGATCAAGATGTTATCCCTAGAACATGTTTCTTCGTGTTAGGGCTGATAGCATCGACTACAGCCGGATGTGATATTCTGGAAGAATACGGTTGGATGCCCAGCGTCACCGCTCGGGGAGAAGTCACTTCCTTGTGCCTTCCGGAGGATCTGAGCGACTTTCTAAGCGTGAGTCCCGGGTCTTGCCTCGATGACATGACGAGATGCGTTTGGTTGACCTCGCTTTGCTGTAGCTACCGGACCTTTCTCCCTACACGAAAACAAGCCGATCTATCAGACGGGAAGGGCTTTCGACTCTAGAAACGAGACTATTACAGGACGTCTCGAACCTTGGCAATTACGTCATGGCGACGCAGGCCATGCAGAATCTCGCGCGGTTAGTCAGTTGCGGTGTTATAATTGGCAACGAATCGCTGAGCTCAAACGCATTCTAGCTTGCGAAGTCGCCATCGCGAGCTCTTCAGCTCGACAAAGCTATACTTGACCGTCTTCCGTATGCTATCGCTCGAGCACTACAAACAACCGGTTCGAGCCTTTGTCTTGGACATGTTCGACCTTCAGTTGACTGGAGAGGTTATAGCGGAATTCCTCGAGCTAGATATTCACTACACCGCAGCACCGGAGTTGGCACCGCTAGCCAACGAGCCTGCCATGCGGGACGACGTCTACCAACACTTGGCGGGACTTCCTACGCCCGAACCTGGGCAGGCACCAGCCAAAGACACGCACCCTACAGTAGTACGAGACAGCCGGCACCGACCTCCAGCGGTCTTCATTGCCGGCTTTTCCATAAGCCCGTGGCGGTCGACTGAGATGCCCAATCATTATATATAAAACATATGAAGCACACATATGATGGTGCCGGTACCGGTTCACCGCGAATGCCCAACGTCGATCGTAAAAAAAAGTAGATGAACAGAAGCCCCGGATTCGTGTGGTTCCAAGAATATCTAGAAGGGTATATCGAGAGGTCCGGTCGTTCGAAGGGAAAGAAATGCGAGGTCAACTTGACCTCATTTCGTCCCTCGCACGTTCTGACTGAGCCATTGCAGTCCCTCGAAAAGGCCTTCTCCAGTAGTCGCGCAGCTGAATGACCGGATATTTTGAGCTACTACGAGGAGACGACAGAGATGACGTGACCGGGCTTACCTTGGATGGACATACCAAGACCTATCCTTCATCCGGTGCAAGCCAAGCTTCTCGGTAACCTCTGCAGGCGACATGACTGTCAAGACACGAAAACTCATGTCAACGAATGCTCATCCATCGTCCACCAAAACGCTCTTGGAAGGTTTGGCTCACCACCCTCGAGATCTTGCTTGTTCGCAAACACCATGAGCAAACAATCGCGCATCTCCCGGTCTGCCAGGATCCTGTCCAGCTCCTGTCGCGCCTCGTCTATACGATCCCGATCTTGCGAATCAATGACAAAGATCAATCCCTGTAAGGAACAGCCATTCCGGCGAACAGCGCAGAATTTATCAGCAGAGATTCGGGAAATGCACGTTTCGATGGGTCTCGAATTGATGGCTCACCTGCGTGCCCGTATAGTAGTGTCTCCAGAGCGGTCTGATCTTGTCTTGTCCACCCACATCCCAGACGTTGAATTTGACATTCTTGTATGTCACGGTTTCGACATTGAACCCTACGGTAGGGATGGTAGTCACGCTTTGGTTGAGTTTGAGCTTGTAGAGGATGGCTGAGAAAGGCGGCCATAGCTGTCAGTAACACGGTCGATCTTTCCCCACTCGAAGGTGACGTACTGGTCTTTCCAGCTGCGTCCAGACCCAGCATGAGAATCCTCATCTCCTTGTTGCCGAACAAACGGCCTATGCACGCGAGAGGTGATGTGCGAGCGTGGTCAGATGAGCTATGTTAGCCAGGAAAGGAAGCTCTCGCTATCTCACCCATCGCTTTGCTAAGTTGTCCACCCATATCGTCGATGATATCTCGGTACTGGTTGGCCGTCAAATGTAGCTGAGGCTGGGTCGGAGTTGATTGCTGATGCGGGAATATCGATCAAGTCAATCCAGGTTTACGAGGAACAGTAAATGCTAGGCCCACCTTGATTTTGCCTTGAAGGGGGCTCCGAGATGGCTAGGTGAAAGTTCACTCGGTCGATTACGCTTGGCCGATCCGGGGAGGTGGTGGTAGGTAGATTGATGAAAGGGATCTGATAATCTGAACGTCCTCGGTCGACCGCTTTCGGGAATGTGGGGCGCGGTTGATCGAGGTCTCGATTGACTTTGGCGAATGAGCTTTGTATTTGGGCAGCCGGTTCTGATTGATGATTGTTTGGCCAGTGAGCCAGTGTGATGGGATATGACTGTAGTGTAATTGTGGAAGACTTTGTCAATTGATCGATCAAGAGATGAACGTCGAAACGTCGAGGACTAGGGGAATGTGATGTGTAGCCAGGCGGCAGGGGCTAGCAGCAGCCAGGAGCTAGGAGAGTGAGGTGATCCCGAGCGCGGGGGCCCCATTTCAAGAGAGCGAGCTAGCGAGAGCTAGCTTTTGTTTTGTTCCCATCTCCCCATCTCCCCCATCCATCTCCATCAATCGAACACCATCAACATTTAACAACGCAACAACGGCAATCGACGTCATCCACGGTCTCGAGCTCTAATCTGGCTATCTTTCTCGTTACTAGGCCGTAGCCTTTCTCTTCTGGTGGATCCAACGTTTCCACATCTTGGCGAAACCCACGGGTGTCAGCACAGGACGCCGATCAACACGAAGTGGATGTCACCGGCATAGGCGTCTGCCCCTTCGTGCACAACCGCAATCTCAACCTCTCACGGTACGAATGGCATACAGACCACCGGACAGGCCCTCATCGACGACCAGCAACTCCAGATCGTCCTTGTCGCTCTTGAGACGTCCATCTTCTCTTCGATCTCTCAGGTCCAACTCTTCACAAACGGCATCCCATCCGTTTCGGTCATCAGTCTCCCAAGCTAGTTTCACGGGAAGCCATTCGTTCGCCAGCCCCCAGGCTGTGAGATGGCCAGCGGCGATGGTTCTCGGACACTTGAAAGTATTGGATCGAGCAGGGGATAGGGCGATAGCGTACGGCAAGGCGACTCGCGAACTGCTCGATGCCGAGAGTGGTCTAGACGTATGGATGCACGCTTTCGCTCAGAGGTCTTCTCAACGTGAGTTAGTGTAGGTTATACAGGTAAACGTAACTGATGTAGATGCGGGCCATCGCGACGTGTTTTGCTTGCAGCGATGACGCCTCTGAGGCAGACGCCCGGCACGCCAGGAGCCCTTCCCTCTGATGAAACTCGCACATTCTCCCCTGCGACCGTGGCAGACACCACAGCGGACATGGTCAACGTCGACCCGAAGTCGAGTCGTCAGATGCTATCTGCCGGTCGACCCAGCATAGACCAATCAGCCAGAGATAGGAACGTTTCCGGAGCATCTCAATTCCCCATGCGTACCAGCGGTCCGACGACTCAGGTAGATCCGACGGCTTATAAAGCTAAAGAGATCACTCAGCCAGCTTTGATCTCGGCACCCATCGAGTCGGTCCCTAACGATCTGCCATATCCCTCGTTGGCCATCAAGGAATCTGAAACTGCAAGCTCGCTTGCGTCTGCGACTTCCGCCCCAACTCCTAATGCCCGAGCGGCGACACCGAAAGGTGGGATTCTCAATGCTTTCCGTGGCGGATCCAAGAAGGAAAAGGAGTCACGGAGGCGATCTCTAGATCCTCAACCCAGGGAATCGCATGGTGGCCTCGATCGCGTCCAATCGCGCATGAGCCAAGACAATGCATCACGACCGGCTGGTCCCAGAAGCATGGCCAAAGCCACGCCTTCTCAAGCTTATGCTAGCAGGAATAGTATGGATGTCCCGGTAGAAGGGCGAGCATTGTTGTAGAGTATTTGACAAAGGCAGACAAGATAGGTATATGGAGAGTACAGGCCAGGCAGGCTATTGGCATATGGATTCGGATCGTATCGTTCTTTGTCGTTGTTTTTCGCCGTATTGACCACCGTTTATAGGGCCGCGACCGCTTCCGCCACGTCTCGCAAACGTGTTTCGCCGAGCTTGCCAGCAAGTGCTTGCGAGAGTTCCTTGGCAATCTGTGTATCGCCGACCGACATCGCTCCCGAAAGATCTTGCACGCTCAACTGGCATCGGCATTTGGGATATCAATGTATGCACCACAAGGTTGATACATGAGCAACGACGTACCGTATTGCCCAGCGCCACCATGGCACGGTAAGCTACCTCACTGTCTCCAGTCTCGTTGGAGATTATCTGCATTGAACAGGGTCGAAGCAAGTTCAGGCTCTGTCAATAACGCCAACTGCACATCGGAATGACTCACGTTCAATATGAATTGTAAAATGGCGGGACCATGTTCCCGAGGTAACTGTCCTTCTAAGGCTAGCACGGAAAGGCTATATTTGGAATTCAAGTTAGAACGATCAAAGACGGAAGGAAAAGATTGCTAGTTACTTGAGAGCAATCGTCGACATAGCGACCCTAGTATTCTTGTTCAGATTCTCAAACGATTGTTGACTCGCCAAGTAGCCGAGAAGCTGTGCAGAGACGTTTGTCAGTCGTTGCCTCAATAGAACAGGGTGACAGGGTCCACTGACCTCCTGCGTCCGAGCCTCGGCCACGACGCGTCGCCCCGAAGCCGTCGCTGGCAGATTGGCAATGGCTCGCATGACAAGCATCGTGTTGGTCTCTCTCGCTCGGCTGTCTTGCCATTCGGCTGCCCATTCACAACAACCCAACAACGAGTCAATGATAGAGAGGTCATGACCGGTCGTAAATTCTACCATTGTCGAGCTCGTGGCGCACAGATACCGCGCAAGGTCAAGGACTAGCGAACCAAATCGACGGTCAGCTGCCTCGCTTACAACACCTCAATGCCGACAGGACTGACCAGGGAATCGCTTGTCAACGGGCCAATCGTTCGCGAGCTGCATGAGGTAAGCGACGTCGTCCTGACTCATCCCCGATGGACCGTTCGCCGAGAGGCGGTCGCAAAGCTCCGCCATACGCGATCCAGAATTGATATCGGATGGGAGCTGCGACGCGAGTTCGGCAATCTTTTTCTTGACGGGTTCAATGTTGATGGTCGCAAAGTATTGAGGGCTTCTGATCGGCTGGAAAGGCTTTACCGATGCAGCGGCAGCCGGACTGCTGGCCGACGGCGTTGTATCGAGATTGGAGGAACCAGCCGTATACGCACCGCCTCCTGTGAACGGATCCCGGTAATTGTTTGCACTCGCTCCTGCTTGGTTGCCCGAAGCCCGATAACTAGAGCCCCCGGTGAATGGGTCAGAAGACGATCCGGTTCCGATAGTGGTGCCTTGGGTGTTGGTCTCTAGGAATTTCACGATCTGATCGGTGTATGTTGTTGGCAAGTCGTTCTTCAACAGGAATTTTTCGGCAACGGTGTACATGTTGTCTGTAATCGAGTGGTTCAGCGAACACCCGACCGAAGCGATCTACGTTTCGAGCTTACCGGTGGCATTGTACGGCAACTTGAGAGGCGGCATATTCTCAGCGATATCCACGTCAAAGACGTAATCGTACTCTACACCCTGGTAGATTTGCTTCCTCCCGGACCCGACCGCATCGGTCACTTCGCCGATTTGCTGCCATGTGGTCGACGCAGAGGCCCACTGATATGCCTCTACCTTGTCGCCGCTCTTGACCATGATCACTTGTCCTTCCTTCTTGCCTGTGGTCAAAGCTATCAACATCGAACCGGGAAGCTACGAGGACAAGGTGGGAGATCACGTACCAGGTCGACCGAGAGCTTCTCGACCGGGCAAATCGGTCATATTGACATCTCCCACTTGACTCTTGTTCAACGCCCTGGTACGCAAGTCGCGGTCTAGCTTTTCACGCTCGTCGAGGCTGGCATATCTGGCCTCCGCTTTCGTCCAGACCCTAACGGTAGCATCGGATGCTCCAGACACGATATCGCCGTTCGGAAGCACATCCACCGTCCAGACCGAGACGGTCGGGTGGGCGATACTTTGAATCAATTGATGATCTTTGAAACGTTTTTATTAGTTAGGTGTTTTGACGATGCATACCGACGACGTCGATACATATACTTACTTTGCCAGACTCTTGCTGTGCCGTCTTCGCCTGCAGACACACACCCGCTACCGTCTGGAAGAGCTGCAACGCTGTATACGAACGAACTGTGTCCGTGATAGGTCTTGAGTGGCTTCGGAGAGTCGAATGACCAAAAGAGGACGTTGCTGCACGCAGTTCTTGCGACGTTAAATACTATCACGAGAGAAAGCCTGCGGGTTTGCGCTCACCCATCATTCCCCGCGCTCCAGAATCCCTTGCCATCTACAGTCAACGCTAAGCTTCTCACGCAATCCGTGTGCCCAGCATAAGTCTGCAGCAGATTGCCATCGTCCGAATGCAGCTGTATGACCTTGTCGGCCGAAGCAGTGAGGTACCTGTCGGTGCCAACGCACTTGACGTCCCAAACAGCTTGCAAGTGCGATGTGATACGAAGAGCAGGTTCCAGATTCTTCCAGACTATTGCCGACCTGTGCCGAGAATCGAAGGTGTCAGAGGATCAGTGACGCGTTCCTCAACCGATTGACTGTTACTTCGACCTGAACGCACTGATCCCAACTACCACTTATCAAGACATCACGGCCTTCCGAGTCCTTGCCGCGATCCAGGGCACAGACATTCTTGCTATGCCCCGTCAACTCTCGCTCCGGCTTCGAGTCCTCGGAACCAGCAGCGTGCAACGAGATCCTGCTCGAAGCTGAACCGAGCGCGTAGTATGCTTTGGAACGTGTCCCGGATCAAAGACCAGTCTTAGCTCGATGACGCGGACCTGCGACTCAGTCAGCTTGACCCTACTCACCTTGGTTTTGATGTGTCAGATTGGAGACCGCACTGATGAATTTGCCATGACCATCTGCAAAATGCTTGGTCTCATGCCAGTCGTTGCTATTGATATCTCTCTGCCAATGTTTCGCCGAAGCGTCTCTCGAAGCGGAGAGGAGCTGATCGTCCGAGAGCACCGACAAGGCTCGGACCTGAAAAAGCAAGCTGGCGTATCAGAAACCGATGTAAAGACGGTGATGATGATCAGGATCTGCTAACATCTGCTGTGTGGCCGTGCAGAACGGCCGAAAGCTGATACGAGTCGGTCGAGGTTGACATAGTCGATGCAGGGTTCGTCAAGCCTTTTGATGAGTGACAATGGTATGACGGATATGTTTCGGCGCGACTTCGGGACAGAGATCTACTGTTGGATGTGTGAGGTCTACCCGTTGGATTACAGTACTATTGTACGGCTGTCTTTGCCTGGTCGAGGTGCCTTCAGGTCTGCAGCATCGATGCAATAGTTGCTGATTGCCTGTTCACCATTGCACCCTGCACGCTGAACGCTAACGTCATCATCATCATTCCTCCCGCGCGCTTCCAGGCGTTTCCATCCGAGATCGACTTCGGAGCGTAGACTCGTCGTTGACCCCTCGATTGCTAGTCTTTTCTCTTTTTTGCCCATCGCACGGGGCGATCCGATGTTCCCTGCCTGCACTCTCTCTCTCTCGATGACAACTAACGTGTGGCAATCACATTCCTCGTCCTCTATAACACCCAAGACTCAACCTCCAGACTCTAATTCCATAGAGTCGATCATCGATATAACAACCCAAAAGAGGCCTACCGCAGCCCCACACAACTACACCTTTTCGACCACAGGCATCTTGCCACTCATAGATTAAAACTTCGATTCATATCGCTCAAACTCGCCATGTTCTCTGTCGCTCGAACACTCCGTGCCTCCAAGGCCTTGCCTTTGCGAAATGCGGCCGTAAGTATCGTGTCTTGCCGCAACTGAGATGGAGTGATCCCGGCTCACATAGGTACATTCGCGCTCGACAGAGGGTCATTCCCTCGGTTCAAACTCGATATGCTAGTTCCAAGCCCGAGACCATCATCGGTATCGATCTCGGTACTACCTTGTGAGTTGCCCTGGTTGATCTAGTAAATGCGGATCACCGTCTCATATCTCGCTTCCTCCGCCATGCTCTTCAGCTCGTGTGTATCCATCATGGAGGGTCAGACTCCTCGAGTCATCGAGAACGCCGAGGGTGGTCGTACTACCCCCTCCGTTGTCGCTTTCACCAAGGACGGCGAGCGTCTGGTCGGACAGCCGGCCAAGCGTCAAGCCGTCGTCAACCCCGAGAACACCCTTTTCGCTACCAAGCGGTGAGTCTCACTACGGGCGGAACATCGCTTAAGACCCCGACTTCCGTGCTCACTCGAGCATTGTTATACTACGGTGCAGACTTATCGGACGAAAGTTCAAGGACGCCGAAGTTCAGAAGGATCTCGACAACGTTCCTTTCAAGATCGTATCGCACTCCAACGGAGACGCTTGGGTCAGGGCTCAGGGCAAGGACTACTCGCCCGCTCAGATCGGAGCTTTCGTCGTAGGAAAGATGAGGGAGACCGCCGCTGCCTACCTCGGCAAGCCGGTTAACCATGCCGGTAAGCACCATTCTAGTTCCTCTTTGTCTCGAGTTTGAGTGGATGAGACTGATTTGAGATGATGTCCACGTTCTTTCATCAGTCATTACCGTTCCGGCCTACTTCAACGATTCTCAGCGTCAGGCGACCAAGGACGCTGGTGCTATCGCCGGTCTTGAAGTGCTCCGAGTGATCAACGAGCCTACTGCTGCCGCTCTCGCTTACGGTCTCGACAAGTCCGACAGCTCTATCATCGCCGTCTACGACTTGGGCGGTGGAACCTTCGACGTGTCCATCCTGGAGATGCAAAAGGGAGTCTTCGAGGTCAAATCGACTAACGGAGACACCCACCTCGGTGGTGAGGATTTCGATATCACCCTCGCCAACCACCTCGTTAGCGAGTTCAAGAAGGCCGAGGGGATTGACCTCTCCAAGGACAGGATGGCTATCCAGCGAATCCGAGAGGCCGCTGAGCGAGCCAAGATCGAGCTTTCATCCACTTCCCAGACCGACATCTCCTTGCCTTACATCACCGCCACTGCCGACGGCCCCAAGCACATCAACACCACCTTCTCCCGAGCCAAGTTCGAGGCTCTTGTCAAGCCCTTGGTTGACAGGACCATCGACCCTTGCAAGAAGGCTTTGGCTGATGCAGGTGTCAAGCCCAACGAGATCAACGATGTCATTCTGGTCGGAGGAATGAGCCGAATGCCCAAGGTCATTGAGACCGTCAAGGGTTTGTTCGGACGGGACCCTAGCAAGGGTGTCAACCCCGACGAGGCCGTCGCCATCGGTGCCTCCATTCAGGCCGGTGTTTTGAGCGGATCCGTTCAGGACATTCTGCTTCTTGGTAAGTCCAGCAGGACCTGGTCACGCATACTTTGCTAGACGGCAACTAACGGCTATCACACGCAGATGTCACCCCCTTGTCTCTCGGAATCGAGACCTTGGGAGGAGTGTTCACTCGATTGATCAACAGGAACACGACCATCCCCACCAAGAAGAGTCAGACCTTCTCAACTGCCGCCGACGGTCAGAGCGCCATCGACGTCAAGGTCTACCAGGGTGAACGTGCACTCGTCAGGGACAACAAGGTCAGTTTCGGCGTGGCTTGAGTGGATATTGGACCGACTCACTGATTGTTCGGTCTCTCACCTTGCAGCTTTTGGGCAACTTCGTCCTGAGCGGGCTGCCTCCTGTCGCTCGAGGTGTACCTCAGGTTCGTTACTGGACGTTGGTTCTCGCACGTACCGCTAGTATACTGATTTGATGTTTTCCTGCCCACTTCTAGATTGCCATTACCTTCGACATCGGTAAGCTTTAGAGAGCCTTGTTCTGTCTCTCACACGGCTAACGTACATCTTTTCCTATCAGACGCCGATGGTATCGTCAATGTATCCGCTGTCGACAAGGCTACCAACAAGGAGCAGACCATGACCATCACCTCGAGCTCGGGTCTTTCCGACTCTGAGATCGAGCGAATGGTTCAGGAGTCCGAGAAGTTTGCCGAGGCCGACAAGGCCAAGCAGGCTGTCATCGAGCAGTCCAACAAGGCCGAGGGATTCACGCAGGAGATCGAGAAGAACTTGCAGGAGTTTGAGGCTCAGCTCGACGCCACTGAGAAGGAGACCGTCAAGAAGCTGGTAGCAGAGCTCCGTGAGATGGCTGCTGCTGGTTTGAGGGGAGACGACATTACCCCCGAGGCATTGAAGGAGAAGTACGACGAGGTAAGTCATCATGTTCCTCATTCGTGCTTGATTTGCTGGACCTCCTGCTAAAATTGTACCATCGGTCGCTGTAAACAGACCCAACAAGCCTCTCTTGGTCTGTTCAAGAAGGTTTACGAACAGCGAGCCGCCAACGCCAACGCCGAATCTGAGCCTTCGTCCAGCGAGTCCACTGACGGCGAGAAGAAGAACTAGACAATTTAGAAAAGATGCATCGACACCACCCACGACAGGCTGTGACCATTGTACATATAATATCAAGATGACAACATTTCTCAAATAGCAAACAGTCGAGCAGTTCAGTAACGATGATGTTGACAAGCCGTGGTGCTAGCGCGACAAGTCTCCGCTCAGCTTCGGGTGTCGCACTGAACAGCTGGATGGGACGTTATGAGCTCGAACCATTCTATGAGCGTTCGATGACCAGTGAATCCTGTAGACAATCAAATACCAAACATCAGAGAAGTATCCACCTTCCAGTCACAGGCTACCTTGAACTAGACTCCAGCACGATCTGTCGGCAAGAAGTTCCTCCGTCAGTCGCACGATTCAGCTGCAAACAGCGATCGACCAGGAGTCTGGGCATGCGCATCTAGCTTTGTCTCGAAGCTCCTATCGCCCATTCCAGCATCTGACGAGGCCTTTGACGAACCGGAGTACAACTCGCTTGCGATATCTCGATAATGCCGGGTTACTACAATTTAAAAGGTGAGATCTACGCTTAAGAGCCACAATGGTCAACCGCTAACTCCCCTCGACGTGCGAATTCCAGCGCTCATCAAGGCTATTCGGTCTTGTAAGGTAAGTTGTCGTTGTTCCTGTACATGCTGGCAAAGGTGACTGACAATCGGACGTTTCCTGGATTACACTGCTTGCTCAGACCTTGGCCGATGAGCGCTCACTCATCCAGAAGGAGTCAGCTGCTATCCGTACGGCTTTCAAAGAAGAGGACTCCTTCTCACGACACAACAACATAGCCAAGCTGCTCTACATCCATATGCTCGGTTATCCTGCACATTTCGGTCAGATTGAATGTCTTAAACTTGTTGCCAGTCCTCGCTTTAGCGATAAGCGTTTGGGATACCTCGGCATCATGCTGCTGTTGGACGAGAATCAGGAGGTTTTGACACTGGTGACAAATTCGTTGAAAAAGTCAGTCCTCTTCTTGCCTCGAGGGGGCCGAAGGGATCATGACAGGCAGGGGTGACTGACCATTCGATTCCTCCATAAAGTGACATGAATCATTCCAACATGTACGCCGTGGGGCTCGCTTTGTGCACCTTTGCCAACATCTCATCCGAGGAAATGTCGCGGGATCTCTGCAACGAGATCGAGAAGCTGCTCGGGAGCAGCAATACGTACATTCGGAAAAAGGTAGCGTTGTTTAGGATCGTCGTTCCCGAGAGTGAGCGAAACTGAACCACAGCTGCTTTCAGTCGGCGCTGTGTGCATTGAGAGTGATCCGAAAGGTTCCTGAACTTGTCGATCATTTCCTCGACAAGGCGAAGGGACTGCTCCACGACCGAAACCATGGCGTTTTGCTTGCGGGGGTTACGCTTGTCACTGAGATGTGCAGGCTGGACCGGGGCGTCTGTGATGCGCTTAGAAAGGTGAATTGCTATATAGATATGCGGATGACAAATCGACTGATTGAAATTGTCTTGGTCAACAGACGGTATCCTTATTGGTAAAACACTTGAAGGCGTTGGTCACCACCGGCTACAGTCCAGAGCACGATGTGAACGGGATCACGGACCCCTTTCTACAAGTGAAGATTCTGAGGCTCTTGCGAGTGCTTGGAAGCGGGAACGCTGAAGCGAGCGAAGCGATGAACGATATCCTCGCACAAGTGAGTCCTAGCCAGCTGGTTCTAGGTGTTCTCTGATTGATCGTGTGGTTTATGGTCCAGGTCGCTACCAATACCGATTCTAGCAAGAACGTCGGCAATGCCATTCTATACGAGGCAGTTCTGACGATTCTTGAAATCGAAGCAGATAGCGGTCTCAGGGTGATGGCTATCAATATTTTGGGCAAATTCCTCGGCAACAGAGACAACAACATTCGGTCTGTCGTCGCATTGATGATTCTGCTGCTAAATAGTAAAAGGCTGAACGGTTTTGAATATTCTTCCCGTAGTTACGTTGCGCTCAACACGTTGAACCAAGTCGCGGTGACGGAAAATGCGGTACAGAGGCATCGCGATGTCGTCCTATCTTGTTTGGCCGATGGCGATGTCTCTATTCGGAGAAGAGCTTTGGAACTCTCTTATGCCCTGATCAACGAGCAGAACGTCAAAGCCTTGATGAGAGAACTGCTGAGCTTCCTGGAGGTTGCCGATAATGAATTCAAGCTGGGTCTTACGACCCAAATCTGCTTGGCTGCAGAGCGTTATGCTCCTGATAAGCGTTGGCACATCGACACCATGCTCAGAGTTCTTCAAGTAGTAAGTAGATTCCTCTTTTGCCACGGTGTTCCGGCCTGGACGACCTCTGACCTCTGCACCGCGCTTGGCAATTATCCCCTTTTGTAGGCCGGAAATCACGTCCGTGATGAAGTCATGTCGTCGTTCATCCGACTCGTGTGCCATACGGTGGAATTGCAGTCATACACTGTCAGCCGGTTATTCCGGGCATTACAGGCCGACGTGAGCCAAGAATCCTTGACCTTGGTTGCGGTTTGGATCCTGGGCGAATTCGGAGATTCTGTCCTCCAATCTTCATCCAACGGAATTATGACCGACAACTCGGAAGAGGTGAGAATAAACCGCGCTTCAACCTAGCTACCTGATGGCTGATTCGTGCAATATATAGATCTCCGACGTAGAGGTACTCGATCTCCTCGAAATGGTCATCAAATCGCCTTACGCCAATTCTCTGATTAGGCAGTACACCCTAACTGCGTTATCCAAGTTTGCCATTCGGTTAGGCGAGGCCTCGAGTCCCAATGCGGCGAACCAAGTCGAGAGGATTCGGGATATCCTGAGCAAGTATTCTGAGAGCCAGGATCTCGAACTCCAGCAGCGCTCAGTCGAATTTGAAGCTCTGTTCACCAAGGGAGACCTTGTGAACGGTGTCTTGGAACATATGCCCGCTCCGGAAATCCGGGCAACGATCATGGGTACAGGTGAGCAATATCTAATCCCTCTTTCGCATCGATCAACTCTGTGCTCACGTTTCATCATAGTCTCCGAGAAGCGCAATGTCGGATCGACGCGGACCGATACTGACTCCTTAGTGGATCTTATGGGCGACGACACCCAAGGACCTAATACCGAGACGACATCGAGCGTGAACGCCCATGATCTTCTGGCAGATATCTTTGGCGGCTCTTCGGATCCAGCTCCGAGCGCCGTGTCGTCGAAGCCGGCCAACCCGGTCAATGATATCATGAGCCTGTTTGGCAATTCCGACAGCGCCCGTAGCCCAGGACAAGGTCCTGGTTCCGCCGTTGCCAATTCTGCAGATTTGCCGTCTGGACTGCTAGCGAGCGGTTCTGCTATGCCATCGGGTACATCGCAACAACAAGCCGGCAAAGACGCCCCCAAGGAGGTTCCGACACAAGCGAAATCGACCCTTCAGCAATACACTGCTTATGAGAAGAATGACTTGAAGATTACTCTTACGCCCAAAGTCAATCCTTCTCAGCCAGGCATGGTTCAGATCCTTGTTCGTTTCACGGCGACTGCCTCCGTTACGCTGGAGAATGTGAACTTCCAGGCAGCAGTACCGAAGGTTAGTCGAACCTAATCGGTCTTGCGGAATGGAAGCCTTGCTGACAATCAACTCCGGGGCTTACAGACGCAGCAGCTTCAAATGCTGGCTATGAGTAATGGAAACGTCGCACCAGGCACGGTCGAATCGCAACAAATGCGCATTATTGCCCCGCCGGGAGCTCAGATCAGGTTGAGACTGAGAATCACCTTCCAGCATGGATCGCAGTCTATACAGGAACAGGTGGACTTCAGCGCCTTTCCTGCCAACCTGACTCAAGGCGGATAGCCGTCGTGTTATATTACGTGGTTCTGAACGTTGTATAATTCTGCCGATTACTATAGACATGCTAGACATGCAGCATGCAGACAGATTCATCGACCCATGACCTGGTAACTTCGGCTTCGTCCGCGCGAAGCGTAATTTCGTGCCAAAGGTCCACCTTGTCAGACTTACTGAGATGATGAAAGACATTCTTGGATAACACTGCATTCATTCCTAGAATTCCTAGCCAACCTACAGTTAAACATTGACATTCTCTCTGATCTCGACGTTCGTGATAGAATTCGATCGTGCGCATGTCTAGCAACTCGCAGGCGAAAATCGGATCGCTAAAGGATCGAATCGCTAAATTCAACAATCCCGACTCTACGCCTCTTGTGCCCCAATCTGCATTTGGTTATGGCGCACCACCTAAAGCAGATCCGAGTCAAGTTCAGGGGAAGGGGCTGATTGGAAACCGGATACCGAGCTACAACGCTAAGAACATAGCTCCGGAAGTCATATTGGGCACACGAAAGAAGGTGGAGAATAGAGGGCTCTATGGTAACAGGATTCCAGCTTTCGCGAAATCAGATGGACCGCTAGCGTCGTCTGTTGAGCGACCCAGGTCACCGCGAGATGGCAAACTTGGGATACGGCGAGATCCTGGACAATCGAGTGCTTCTGGAGAGGATGCAGGTGATCTGCACGGCGTTGGTGGAACGGCTGTACCGGATGTCGGTAACGAAGTCCCTGTAAGCGTCCCGACGACGGCCGGGCAACAAGCCGGTACCCTGCAGGATGGTCTGATCCATCCTCCAGACGGGAACAGCTCGGTCGAGACGACATCGTATGACCGACCTGAGAGCCCATCAGCCCCGGCGCAGTTAGAGGTCGACGAATCAGCCGAACAAAGCATGGAGGCGAGCGGACCGGCTAGTGGGACACGAGAGGAGTCACCAGCAGGCGGAGTTGACAGTGATGATGATTTGAACGGCGGTCAGCCCTCGCAAACCATATCCTGTGGTCAAGAAGAACTAGCGGATCTTCGAGATCCAGCGAAGGCAATTCGACGAGCTAGTAGAGAGATGGAGCCAGCACACGCCTCAACTATTGAAGAGGTCGTCTCGCCAGAGATCGCCAGCCGTGCCGAAACCATCACGGATTTGTTGGAGTCGAGCCTTCCCGATTCTCCGGCCGCCGATGCAGATATGATCAGTCTTAGCCTGGCGACGCACTACACCACTGGGTCTGACAATGCAGCGGCAGATTCTCTGCCGACAGGGATCTCGGTAGCGACGGCAGTCTTGCAGTCAGATCCGGGCTTGGACCATGCATTGGTATCGCCGGTGCCGAACTTAGCTTTGACAGAATCCGGGCAAAGTACGCCGGCGGAGGTGGTTCCCATTCTGTCGTCGTTACCTCTTGAAAAGCAAGGTGACGTGCAGGAGGATTCGATCATGGCTGATTTCCACAATCAATTCACTCATGCCAAATCGGGTGAGTCAGCAAGCTGTCTAAGAGTATAATCATGATAGGGTTCCTCGTTAAGCCTCTCTGCCATATGATTGACAGAGTTGGAGTCCCTGATTGAAGCCGGTCGCACGTCAACTTCTGACCTCCGGCTAGCTGGCGAGCGATTGGCAACGCTGCGAGCTCGAGTCAACAAAGCCAACGATTATCTACCCAGATATGATCAAAGCCGATATCAACAGGTCAGTCTGACTCCTTGTTATTTTTGCTGCATCAAATTATTTACACGATTCCGTCAATCGATATTGCTAGCAACTCCTGGAGCTGGATGCACTTGTGGGCTCGCAGCCTCGGCAACGCAAGGCATTTAGCTTCAAGAAGGCCAAGTCCACACCGCCCGCCGTCGAGGCAGACCGCAAATCAGATCCAGCTGAACTGTCCGAGGTGGACTGCATTCGCCCGGTACCCGGGCCCGGTCCTGGCGGTTCAGATCTTGCTGCCACAATTCATCGCCTGAAGGACACCCGCGATCGATACATTAAGATGGCACACCTTGAGACCCTTTCAGATTCGCCTTCCGATAACTTTTCTTTGACGATCGAGGATGTTGAAGGTTGCATCATCGACCTATGCGATAAGCCGCTTCTGCCGGCCCTCTCGGATCTTAAACCGACCCGCCAGCGTAGGTGCACAGCCCTCTATATGAGCCGGGTGAAAAACACCATCATCGTTATCGGGCACACGGTCATGGGAAGCATATTACTGCAACAACTTCAGGATTGCATTGTCGTGGCTGGAGCGCAGCAGGTAGGTGGATCACGCTCATCCACGGCACGCCAACTTCTGAAGCAACCTTCGGCTGACCATTCCCACGAGACAGTTCCGTTTGCACGAATCGGTGCGCTGTACTGTACTGCTCGACGTCCGCTCAACCCCTGCCATCGAGAAAAGTACCGACATCAAGTTTGGCGCGTATCCTGAGGAGTTGCAAGCCGATGGAGAGGCTGTAGGTTCAGCATCCTCCCGCGGTTTGATTATGGAGAGGCTAAACAATGTCATGACGTCTAAACAGGTTGACATGGAGTATCAAGTCAACGACTTTAATTGGCTACGGGAAGGGCCTTCGCCCCACTGGTCATGGCAGAAGCCGGTCAGGTGGCCCTTCACCACCTTGACACACGCCACAGATCTGAACGGTATGTACTCTTGCGTCATGTCTGTTGCGTCACCTCTGCTCTGCATGGTCTCATATCCTGATTGTTACAACTAGTCACGCGGACTGGCCTCTTGCGGTCGTGGCTACCTAGATCGGACTCTCATACGAATAAACCTAGGAGGATTATGCTTGACGACCCCGACACGACGAATGAAGAACCCGGTTGGGCTTCAAAGATTACGAGGACCAAATATGCTTAGGCGCTGTTCCTATTGTTGTACCAAATGCTTAAGGCGGAAAATGCGCCATCGTCTCGCACTATCTGGATTGACTGCCTGCACGTATCTTCAGAGCAAGGTTCGAGAGGGTGCTGTCAATCGCCTGTAATCTCAGGACGTTGCGGCCTTAGTCCCGTGCATCCTCAGAGTCCAAAACGAGCGGAGAATGCTCTGCTTACAAGTAGATCGGTGTTCAAGGCAGCGGAACGAGCGGCAAGATCCTCAACACATCGTCCCGGATGCTCTGGTAAGGCCAAGTCGCCTAGAGTGCCTGTGCTTGCACCCTTTTTGACACAGCAGTTATCAATCTTACGCTGTCCTGATTGACGATCGTGTCTCCCGGCTGCATTGTGTGACGAGGCCAGCCGTTTCTTGACGGAGGCTTGTACACAATCCATCATCCGCTCATGGACAGTTCGTTCAGACATCTTTCGCGCTGTTGTCACAGCCATTCGAGCCTTCCTGACCGTTGTCCCGGGAGGATACGGTGTCGCGAAGCCCCGGACGGGAGCTCTCAGTGGGGTTTGATACGGGAGCGACGATGTTTCCGTGCGTTCTTGTAAGGGATGCAATGATGTACGCTGAAGGACGATCTCTGCAGGACTCGACCCCTCGAATCGATCCCAATCTTGCCAGTATGAGGAGGAGGTGTCTGTCGTGAGCCTGGAGGTTCTTGCAACGCTGTCGTCTGAATCCAGAGACCAGTCACCACCGCCGAGGAAAGAATCGTAAAGGTCTTCAACGTCAATAGGTGGGGGTGGATCTTCCAGAACCATTTGTCCTGTGAAACTCTGCTTAATCAGTCCCTCGCACCGGAATGTTAAGCTGTGTGGCCTGTAATCCTAACCTAAAACGCAGCGCTGCCAATCAACTTCAGCGAAAAAGGGATGCAGCAATATTTCAGCAGTGCCACGTCTGCCGAGCCTATATGGGGCCAAGCTCAATAGGCTGCCCGTCAACAGATTTGGTCAGTGGCAGGACGCAGTCGAGCGGGATTCACGAGACACATGCCTTGTCAGCAGGTCTGTAAAGCATCGTCCATGCGAAATGCCGAGAGGCGGTCTGAAGGGTCCCTGCAATTAAAGCAGCGCGATGATATCACGGTTCTGCCATTTGAACCCGTGTCATCACGCGACTCACCTGGAACTTCGTGATTCTCTCAAAGGTGTCCGAGACCCTTTCCTCATAGAAGGGAGGCTGCCCATATGCCATTTCGAAAAGCATAGCGCCTAATGACCAGTGATCGACTTGATGAGTATAACCAAAGTCAGTTCCGTCAAATCCGGCGGCGTGGCTGTCTGTTCTCCATGGCTCTCCACTCTCGCTCTCAGATGCAGCCATGTCCTCGGATGTGTTGAGCACTATGGGTATCAAGGTTCGTCATTCGTTCGGGCTGGCCATGCGATGTAACCCACCTTCAGGGGAGATGTAATCCAGCGTGCCATGAACCGTCGAACATGCGGATTTGGGCAAGTATTTCGGACCCGGCCATAGGATATCGTCCATGTTCTCGACGGCACGAATTCCACCTCCATGCATGACGACTGACGATGTCGTTCTCTGAGCGCGATGGCGATTGGTAACCACGAGCGAGGCAGCACTGCCAAAGTCTGACAAGACGGCCTGAGCGTTGGGTGTCGAAACCAGGACGTTGGCGGGTTTGACGTCTCGATGGACTATGCCATTATCGTGCAGATACGCGATGGCCAAGATGATCTGAGAGGCATAATGGCGGATCTCGTGAGTCGAAAGTAGTTCATCGGGTACGAGGCTCGGCCCGATGACATCGTCTCCCATCCTGGTCCGAGTTCGCGAAGCTGAGGCTTTGAGTCGGTCACTCAAGATGTCTCCGAGTGATCCACATGCGTAATACGTCTGGACCAGGACGAGCTGTGTGTCGTTCTGGAAAGCATGAAATAGGCGCGGCGTCCGATCTGCGCCCTGTTCTCGAGTCGACCGCGGAAGGGCCAGTATATCTCGCTCCTTCCATAGATCCAGGACCTTTCTCGAGAGCCGGCACGTCAATGGAGGTTTTCATTGCCATGATCGCGACGCCGACATACGTTGGTCGAACGGCAGGCTCTTGCCTTGGTAACCCGTTTACAAGCGTAGATCTGTCCAGTGGGCCGGAATCGAACAGCGTCAACCTATCAATCTCGGAGTGATCAGCGGTCTGAGCGGGAATTCGATGTAGAGCAGCATCATAATACTCGCTTCGCTGAATTGACCTTGCCCAATCCGCCCGAGCACATCGTAATGGGACCAGGCTGCGGCAAGTTGAAGTAACGCCGGTGATGAGCGATTACTCAGGTCTAGCTCAGTGACAGCGAAAAGACGTACCCGTCATACTCGATGTCGTGATTCGCAGCAGCAAGCTCTCGTGTCGCCGCCGTTCATCGAGCCGTATGATTCATCACCCTCAACGCTCCTATACTTGCATCCTTGAGGGTGGCTTCTCGAGTTTCGATCTATAATGAGTCCTTCGTGGACATGTCTGACTCTATATGCTTTACGTCCAAGGGTCTTTGTGTCCAAATAGCAGATTGACAAATACTACTGTGTACTGTGTACTGTATGTAGCTATCGATTCAACAATCAGGAAATCGTCAACAAGGTTGCGTTCGCGAGTTTTCTGGCGGAATTGTGAGAATGGTGGCTGGCACGATTTGGCTGTAATTTACTAGTCAGCGGTGCCTAATTACATTTTCTGAAGATTCAGCCTGTTCGCGCGTTTTTGCTGAATCGATCACGTGACCTCTTTTTTACTTCCGAGACGCGTCTCGGAAGCATATCCATAGGTCGTTCGTCGACTTCGAACATCGACGTAGAATCGACTTACGACGTGTTTATGCGATGGAAGGTAATATCGTCAGATTGCTATCAAACTAGAACATACCGATAGGTCTTCGTTTGAAAACCACACCTGTTCAGGTCCCGTTTAATTCGCACTAGTACATCAAGAGATATAGTCGTTTTACGTTTACGTCGACATGGACATCCCTCCTTCCCCTGCCTTTGACGATATCGAAATCGACACCTCGACCGACGACGGCTCGGTCAATTCCCAAGATGAAGGTCTTCACCAATACCTACAAGATAGAACACTGCGTCAGCGTCAACTAGCCGCCTCTATCGCATTGGTAGCCGAACATGTCGTCGGTCAAAGATCTCGGTCGACGCACAACTCTCGGCCTACGACCTCGATTCTTGTCGATCACGGTAGGGCGATATCCGTCATCGATGGCTGGACGAACGGTTCTGTGGTAGCCTGTTGGGACTCTATAGGCATGTACCCGCCGGCGTTTCACCTTCTCGTTACCGAACTAGAAGATAGGGACCTCGTCAGCGCGACTCTCGAAATCCCCGTTCGAGTAAAGGTGGGTGTTACTCTATGGCTCCTACGTAAGTCGGCGTCGAACAGAACGACGAGGGAGGTGTGGCAGTTGGCCCAGGCTACTGTTAGCAAGTAAGCAGGGTATTCTAGGGTACCCTGCCAGTATCGTGCCGTCGCTGACTCCCGTTTTGACGTCTCGATCGACCGTTCTAGATGTTTTCACGAGGTGATCGACGCCCTATTCTCTCCCGACTTCTACCTTCGCTACGTTCGCCTCGCTACCCCTCAGAACATGCCACTAGATCACCCTCGCTACCAAGACCCTAAATACAAACGGCTGCTGCGTAGATGTCTCGGTGCTATCGACGGTACGCTGACGGCGGCTCACGTACCGTCGAGCCAACATAAGCGATTTCGAACACGCAAAAAAACCTTATCGTGGAACGTTATGGCGGCCTGTGACTTCGAGGGGTTCTTTACATACGTTCTCGCTGGGTGGGAGGGTCCTGCAAACGACGCTAAGGTTCTTAGGTCGGCGTTCGAAGAGGGTTTTGACGTCGCAGACGGATATTACTACCTCGCCGACGCCGGCTACCCCTTGACGTCGAAGACGATCGTTCCCTACCGTTCCACACGTTACCACCTTCGGGAATGGATGGAGGCATCAAACGAGTGAGTCCTGCTAGTAAAACATGCCGTAGAACACCGCTGAAGCAGCAGCAAAATGACATCTACGGGAATAGTACGAATCGACCTACAAATCCCGCGGAATTGTTTAATTTACGCCATTCATCGTGTCGAAACGTTATAGAACGATCGTTCGGCGTTCTGAAGGCTAGATATCCGGTACGCAACTGCACAACATCCTCACGAACGTCACTGATCACTTCATACGTCGCTACACCCCCCCGTGTTTCAGATTCTGGCCCACGGCTGTCGATACAACATCGACACCCAACTACGCGTGATTTATTCGTGTTTCGCCCTACATAACTTCATCATGTTGTACGGGAAGGAGGAGGACGATATACAGGTCGACGATGACGTAGATGATGGTCCCGACGACGAGAACCAGCGGGTAGCGAGGGCGTACGAGGAGAACGATCGAGGGAGGGCCGAAATGGAGGTGAAACGCGATAAGATCGCGGAGAGGTTCTGGGTGGAGTACGAGGAGGTCCGAACACAGAGATCGAGGCGTTAGCTACTAGTAATTTGTATGGGGAACATGCCATCTCATTTATGTGCCATCTGATCACCAAACCAGAGCGAAATCACCACCGCCGGAGGACTTACTACGTCGACGTCGATTTCGACACCTTTCACCCGCCGTACCGCTCTAGATAACGTCTCCGTTTCGCAGACCGCAACTGCTCCTCCTCCTCCCGGTCCCTTTCCTTCCGTAGCAGGTATTCTAGGCGGTCTTGACGGAGAGTTGGAGGTAAAGCGAGGAATGTTTGCGGTTGAAGGGGGTTATCCGCGAAAAAATTGATGAGCCGTTTGTAGTCGGCGTCAGGCCAGCCAGCGGCGTCGGAGATCGTTTTAACAACCTTATACGCCTCGTCAGACCTAGGATCAATAGCAGAGGCGGCTGTAGCGATGGTGGCGAGCTGTCGTTCGATAGTAGCGTCTCGTTCGGCGTCTCGTTCAGCCGTTTTCATCGAGCTCGACTTTCTACGTTGACGACGTTCAGCGGATGACGGTGGTTCGACGGTTCTAGGCTCGTGAAAGAAGTCTCAGCCGGTGTAGGCTGCGCTTGGACCTGAGGAGCCGTTTCAGCTCACCCTTCGTCGTCGCTATCGTCGTCGTCAGGTCGATCCGAACGCCTAGGTCGTTTACGTCGTTGACTTTCACTATCTTCATTGTCTCTTGAAGTTTGCCTTGGCTCGGGTCGATTCGAGGTGATAACGTGCCTCCCGGTAGCGGTAGAATCAAGGAAGAGGGCTGCATATCCTTCGTAGTTCACCCAGGACCTGTTCCTCCAAGCTACTAACTTCCGGTTGGTAGCTGACTGTGTTATAAGTAAGTTTGTTCGAAACAAAAGGCAGACGTCAAGATAGGTCGAAGACGTCGCGCGTTTACGTAATCGAAGGAAGGAGCATATTCGAACGTCGACCTACATCGACGTTCTACGTCGACGAACATCTAGACGACCTTACTAACCTTATCGTTCTTCAAACCCTCCCAGAACTCGTCATCAGCCTCGATCATCTGCCTCTCCTCGTTCCAGCCGGCCCCAGATATATCCCGGAGGGTAAACAACGGTGTATACATGTGGGTTTTGATCTATAAGGTCGATGTTGACGTTGGTCGGCAGTCGTACGTTTACTGATCGTTCTTACATACGTATGCCAGCCTCGACTGGCAAATCTTATTGTCGGCAGGTCGTAGAACGTCCCGTGCGTTAATAGCAGCCGTTACCTCGCTGAAAACGACACCCTTGAACGAGTTATCGGCCTTACGACCTCGCGCAGCGTTCTCCGTCAAAACACGCAACATGACCGCGTCTAGTTCGTCGTTCCATCGAAACTGAGCTGGCTGTGACGTCACAGCCGGGGACGGGGATGCCTGAGAAGGTGTAGGGACCTGGCTAGGTCGTTGACTGACGTCCGACGCCATCGAATAGCTACGAATCGACCTTTCAGGGGAATCCGACATCATCGACGATTCTCGCGTGAAAAACGGCGACTGTTCCATGGCGGGGAACGATACCGAGCCAGCCCTTGCCCATGGGTCTCCGTAGTATGCGAGAGAGGCGGCTCGTGAACCAGAGGTGAAGGGGGAGCCGGGAGAGAGGTGACTCGACTCGTTTTGACTCGAATATCGGATGATTTCTCCTCGATTCGACCTATCGTTCGTCGGAACTCGAAACCCGTCATGCCCTGCCGACTGGGAGCCGTTTGGCTGGGAGCTACTAGCAAGAGACTCCTGCGAGAAGGGCTGAGAGGGTTGTCTAGACATTACTGGCGAAGAAGGCTAATGTTACGTTGATTTTTACGTTTTTCAGTATTTCCGTTTGATGAATTTGATGAAGGTGCGTTCTTCCCAACTTTACTAGCGATCCCCATACAATTCTTGGAAGACGAGACCTTCATTAACATCGACGCGTTTGGTCGCGTTTTCAGAGAATTCCGCCCGTTTTTGGGCGGAGAGGTCTGAGCTGAATCGTCGGCCAATTCGTCGTGAACACACGCTAGCAAACGCCATACAACGTGTCACATCGTCATGGCACCCTCAAAAGTTCGCCGATTTTACGTAAATTTCCAGACTTTTCCGCCAGTCGCGTCCTCGCGAACGCACCCCAAATCCCGCGCCGGCCCTCGGGATCGAACGAGAATGTTGACGAGTCGATTTTGTATCCGAAGGGGGGGGTTCGCAGTCGGCCGCCCAGGCCTGCGCATCTGTACCAGATCAGATCATCAACCTCTTAGACATCAAGAGTAGTGACTACGAGATTACACCTAGCTAGCGAATAGATCGAGCACCCTTGCACAAACAGTGATCTTGCGAGATGGTTAAGGACACCGTGCTATACGACACCCTGGGCGTGGCCCCGGATGCCACCGATATACAGCTCAAGAAGGCTTATCGAAAGCTTGCTATTCAGGCGAGTTTAATATTTCTCATACCTGTCGGTGCTACGGCCGTCCACCCACCAGCTGCTGACCTAAATATCTAAACGATGATAGTATCACCCGGACAAGAATAAGGAGCCTGATGCCGAGCTCAAGTTCAAAGAGATCGGGTAAAGATCTATACGCTCTGACGGTGTCGGCTCGAGCGCGGACGTTGACAATCCCCTTTCGACCTCAGGGAGGCCTACCAGATCTTGTCGGATCCCAACTCTCGAGCGTTCTATGACAAGGTCGGCAAGAACAAGATGTCAGCGGCTGAAGATGGCGAGATGGAGATGCAAGATCCCAGCGAACTGTTTGCGACCCTGTTCGGAGGCGAGCGATTCCAACCTTGGTGAGCCGAACGAATCTTGCTGATATCCTTTGATATAGTTTTACTGGAGCTTATATATGCTCTGAACAGGATCGGAACTATAAGTCTGATCAAGGACTTCGCGACGTCAATGCAACAATTCGAGGAGGAGGAGGCAGAGCAAACCGCAGGGGCCAGCGCGAGCGCTGATCCAATCCCGCCAAAGACGAGTCACGATGCTGGTGCTGCGAGCTTTGCAGAGAAGTCATCAACTTCCGACCAGGCGACAACTATACCTAAAGCAGATCCAGTCCGAGATACCGGTGCCAGTGAGACCCCTATGCATGGGCACATGACGCTGCACTCGGCCACCCCGCCGCCGCCCCAATCTGGTAGCTCCACGCCGACTCGAAAGGACGCTGCGGACTCGCAAGTCAAACCGGAAAAGAAGTCTGGTAAGAACAAGATGACGCCGGAGCAAAGGGCGAAGATGGCCGCCTTGGAAGAGGAAAAGGAGAAAGCTCGGGAAGCTCGGATCAAGGATCTGGTGCGAGAATTGACGACATACATTCGACCGTTCGTCGACGCCAAACACCCAGGGGAGGCTTCCGATGCCGAAACAGTCGCATTTGAGAAGAAGACACGACTAGAGGCAGAAGATCTGAAACTCGAGAGCTTTGGGGTGGAGCTGTTACATACCATCGGCAACGTATACATGACCAAGTCGACCAACTTTATGCGAAGCAAGAAATTCTTCGGTGGAGGCTTCTTGGGTCGACTCAAGGAAAAGGGAAGCATGCTCAAGGAGGGCTGGGGCCTACTCGGTAGCGCGTGAGTGCAGGTATCTCTCGTCGTTGCCGAGAACTCGTACTGATAACGCTTGATTGAATAGAGTTGGGGTCCAGATGGCGTTAGTGCATGAATGACCGACATTACAGACGGTCGATACTGATCACGATTGACCATCACAGAATGGAGGAGATGGCCAAGATCGAGGCGAAGGGGGATGCATCTCAGGAGGAACTCGAGGCCATGGCAGCCGATCTAAGCAGTCGACTCCTGCTGACCACGTGGAAGGGTACCCGTTGGGAGGTTATATCCGTAGTGGGCGAGGTTGTGGACCTGGTCCTCTCCGAGCCAGGGCTGAATAAAGCTACCGCGATGAATCGCGCCAAGGTATTTACGCTCGTTACGCTCTTAATGAGCTCGAACGCGTGCTGAGCAGAACGTTGCACTCGCTCCAGGCTATTCTAACCATCGGAGGTATCTTCAAAGCAACGGTACCAGACGAGACAGATGATGAAAGACGAGAAATCGAAAGGCAGGTAGACTGCCCTCAACAAGTCAATATCGCCTTGCTGATATGAAATCTCGAATCGCAGACTCGTTCTTAATGCTGAGACCAAGAACAAGAAGAAGAAGGACAAGGAAACTAAGCGCGAAAAGGAAAAAGGTGGATGGTTTTCCGCGCATCCCAAGAAGGAAGGCGAGCAGAAGCCTACGCCGGAGCCGGTGGCTTAAATATAATATCGGGAGAACTGCGACGATAGTCTAGAGGTCCAGCTCTGACGTTGCCACTGTGGCTAGGATGTGTGACGAGACTCTACCCAAATTGATGCCATTAATTATTGGTTTAATGTGCCCGCTATCGAGTGGTCTCACAGATCTTCCGCATTGTCACCAGTTGGAATTTCACTGGCTGAATCGCCAGGAATATCAACACTCGCAAATACCCAGCGCTTGTCCCTCGATGCGACAACGCTCGGGCGCCTGAGGTCAATGGAAGTGTCAACGCCGACCATGGGTCTGTGTTCATTACTCTAGCAGCTGACTGCTTCACAATCGGCAAATCTGCTAAAGCAGTGCTGTCATTCGTCTGGGTAATTTTCGGGGGAACGGCCACTAATAATGTTGGGACGCCTAATCGAGTCCGATGTCTTCAGGCTACCAAAGTCGCCTGCTTGAATGTTCATCTACGTATATTGAATGGACAAGCAATTCTATTTGATACATTCGCCTTGTTCTTACATAGCGCTACGACTTACATGAAGATGAGACGACTTTGGGCTCTCTCATCGTTCGCCAGCCTCTTGTATCGACAGAAAATTGATCTCGCGCTCGCCACCGAGATTCGGCAATTCCTCGAACGGTAGTTTGAGCGAAAAGCCAGCGTATGCAGCTAATTCTGCAAACCCTACATTGAGTCAGTGCTGGACCCGATCAGCGTGGTGGAACTCGTGGCATGTTGGTAACGTCGATCCGAAGTCGGGGTTATGAACTTACTGTTTCGCTGTTCACGGCAGCCTTTCACCTGGCACGAAAAAGTTCAAGTCATCGCTAATCAAACGACTCGCACGAATCGCTTCGAAATTACCTGTCAATATTTCCTAACATAGCATACTCCGAAACACAAGTCAGCCTGGCTTTAAGAACTGGAGAACCGTTACAAGCGTCACTTGCGAAGAAAGGAGCAAGATCAAGCGATCTCGACTTCAGCTCATTCTTCTAGGGTCTCGCTCCGGCGCTTGGTTTTGGTGCTTGCCCTCAGACATCTTTGAGACCGGACCGAGCCAAGATAGAATGAGTGGGGTAAGAATACGTTGAATGCCCAAATACACATTTGTCACTAGGACTTCGAATTTTCGGGTAGCGCTCAACAAATTTCAGATCAACGCTGTCACAAAATTCGAGACACTGTACGGCATCAGCACCAGATTGGAGGCCGCGTCTAATCGGGTGGGAATGGTCACATTCCGAATATTGGTCACCTGCCAAAGCGCTGAAATCTGTTCAAATTCACTTTCGAAGGCATACGGAATGACTCATCTGCATTACTTGAGAATGGCCACGATACCTGAACAGGCTTCTAGTTGAAAGAGCAACAAGCGAGCTCATCCATTATATCCACGGCGGTCTGGATCAAAAAGATGTTTGTTGCGGGCGTCTTGATGAATGGACTCGTGTAGGTTAAGGGCGTTGGTCGTTTGGATCAGCGACGTTGTAGGAGAGAGGCGACTCGCCTGTTCGATGTAAGACTGTTGAGACACCAGCTCAACACGACCAATAATGATGATAAGGTGACGACAGAAATTCAAGTGATTTCCAGGATGGAAGGATTACCCTTGCGTTGTAGGTTGTGATATTGACGTCAAGAATGATTAGCGACAAGGAATTGTGTGTCGAATGAAAATTCACGCACGAGCGGATGACAGGCGTGGAGGAAAGCGATTAGCGATTAGAGAATCAGAGAATATAGACGAGGTCGGCAACGTTTCATCTTCCCATCCAAGCCAAGCCCTTTTGCATACTCACGTGACCTCTGCATGTGCCCCCGGTGGCGCTACTGGAAGCAGATCCCACGCCCCCGCTCTCGGTTGCAGCCCTCGGCCCCGCGCGTCATGCGTCATCTCCACACAAACCTTTGGGAAAGGGGGGCTGCTCCGCTGGGGGGGAAGGGTCACCTCCCATTCCACAAGAGTACACTTCACTCTCGCACTCTCGTCTATCCTTCAAACTACTCAACTAGCAACTAGACTCTAGCGTGATAGGTGCTACAGAACCTGCTGCAGTCATTACCACCAACAATGTCAAACGACCAGAACTTGCCTACAGACGGTGAGTCACCATGCGGCCTCGGTACATTCCGGTGCCGCCGGCAGTTTCCCTAGACCTGCGTAATACCCTCTGCTGAAACCACATCTAATCCCCTGGCACGAAACCTGTAGGCACTGCCGTGGTTGTCTTGGACCCATGGTAAGACTGGAGCTCCTGTAGTTTCTTTCAACCGGCATATCAAAAGCTCATATTTTCACACCTCCCTTTGACCACCTTCACCCATCGTGACATGACCTTGTTGTATCACAGGCTCGAACCCTACAAAGGCTCCATCAAACACCGTTTCGACCTCTACCGCGAACAAGCCCAGTCTATCCTCGACAACGAGGGTGGACTAGACGAATTTTCCAAAGGATACGAGAAGAGGGGGTTTATTGTCGATGAGAAGAACGGGGTTAGGTATACCGAGTGGGCGCCGGGCGTAAAGGAGGCTAGGTTGATCGGGGACTTCAGTGAGTGCGAAGATTTGCAATCTGTACCTCAACTAGAGCAGAAAGGGTCAGCGGATTGGGAGAATCGACCATCATTCCCTTCTCTGCTGCTGTTCTTGCAATCCAAGACCTCTTAGTTTCGGAAGCTGACATAACCTAAATTGAAACCCCGCCTTCCCTAGACAACTGGGACCACACTGCAAACCCGATGAAGAGGGACGATTTCGGTGTCTGGGAGTGTTACGTCGAGCCAAAAGCGGATGGAAGCTGTGCGATTCCTCATGATTCCATGATCAAGGTATGTGTCCAGCTGCTCATCGCACCACGACAAAGCTTTGCGACACATCACCATCGAAATCTAAATCTTAACTGTTCGCAACCTGACAGGTCTCGTTCACCAAACCTGACGGGACGACTATCGACCGTCTCCCTCCCTGGATCCAACGGGTCACCCAAGACCTCAACGTATCTCCCGTTTACGACGCTAGGTTTTGGAACCCGCCCAAGGAGGAGAGGTACACGTTCAAGAACCAACGGCCTTGTCCAGTCGAGGTTACGCCCGAGGGAGGGTTGAAGATTTACGAGGCGCACGGTACGTGTCCCCCCTCAACTCTCTTCTCTTTCCTCTGTTATTCTTCAACGGCGGGCTGATATCGCTGCTCTTTCCTTTTTGCCGGAAAATAGTCGGAATCTCGACTCCAGAGCCCAAGGTCGGTTCGTACAAGGAGTTTGAGAAAAACTTGTTGCCCCGGATCAAAGAGTTGGGGTACAACTGTATTCAGATGTGAGTTTCTCGTTGACGGTAGAAGTCAAGGAATCGGCCCGGTGGGTGCGGGAACACAAGATCAAGTGATCGGGAGGCTAATCATAATCGGTCGGTGAACACGATAGGATGGCCGTTATGGAGCACGCCTATTATGCGTGTGAGTAGTGGTTCTAGCGATTGATCATTTACAGAATGACGATATTGACAAGCGTGTTCCGATCGTTGTTGCATCGCAGCCTTTGGGTACCAGGTCAACTCATTCTTTGCCGCTTCTTCACGATACGGTGAGCGGAACTTTTAACCCACTCGGACAAACGGAATGTAAGACTGACGGTTTGCTGTGGTTTGGATACGATAGGCACCCCGGAAGACCTGAAATCTCTGATCGACGCCGCCCATGGGATGGGACTAATCGTCTTGCTCGACGTCGTCCACTCGCACGCTTCTAAGAACACTGAGGACGGGTCAGTCAACTAAGCGAACTAGCGAGACGAGGGGGTTGACCCGAAGCGATTACTGGGATTGATCTTTACAGTCTGAACTACTTTGATGGTACCGACCATTGTTACTTCCATGAAGGCGGTCGAGGTCGTCACGATCTTTGGGACTCGTGAGTTCGATTTTCAATCAAGGTCGATGTCTTGCGCTGAAGCTCGCTGCTACCACAGCCGTCTCTTCAACTATGGCAGCCACGAGGTGTTGCGGTTCCTCCTTTCTAACTTGAGGTTCTACATGGACGAGTACCAGTTTGACGGGTTCCGATTCGACGGTGTGACGAGCATGATGTACAAGCATCACGGTATGGGCGTCGGGTTCTCGGGTGGATACCACGAGTATTTCGGAGACGATGTCGACATGGAGGCCATGGTCTACTTGATGCTCGTGAGTTGCAAGTAGGAAGGCTAGAGGGTCATGTACACAGAAGATTGACGATCGATCCGCTTCACAGGCCAACGAACTTCTGCACAAACTCTACCACAACGTCATCACCATCGCCGAAGACGTATCGGGTATGCCAACGCTATGTCGACCCGTCGCCGAGGGTGGAGTTGGATTCGACTATCGATTGTCGATGGCCATCCCTGACATGTGGATCAAGTTGTTGAAGGAATCGACCGACGACAAGTGGGAGATTGGTAACATCTCGCATACGCTCACCAACAGACGTCATGCGGAAAAGAGTATCGCCTATGCCGAGAGCCACGATCAGGCTTTGGTTGGCGACAAGACCCTGGCCTTCTGGATGATGGATGCCGAGATGTGTAAGTTTCTGGTTATGCTGCGCATCTCAGAACCAGCTGGCTGAAGCTCATAGACTTCGTTGATAGACACGAACATGTCGGACTTGAGCGAGCTGACCCCTGTTGTCGACCGAGGAATCGCCCTGCACAAGATGATCCGATTGGTCGTCCATTCGCTCGGAGGCGAGGGTTACCTCAACTTCGAGGGCAATGAATTCGGGCACCCGGAATGGATGGATTTCCCGCGGGAGGGTAACGGCAACTCGTTCCAGCACGCCAGGCGACAGTTCAACCTGGTCGACGACAAGTTGTTGAGGTACAAATATTTGTACGAGTTTGACAAGGCCATGAACAACCTCGAGACCCAGTACAAGTGGTTGAGCGCGCCTCAGGTGGGTCAAACGATTGAGGTCCGGCACGGATAAGCTGATCTAATCGCTCCTCCATATGTCTCTTTTACAGGCCTACGTCTCGCTCAAGCACGAGGGAGACAAGATGTTGGTCTTTGAACGTGCCGGTCTGCTTTTCATCTTCAACTGTGAGCATCATCGCGGTTTCCCCCCCCCCTATTCAAGGTATTCTGACTTCTTCCTTCCCCCCTGCCTTGTGCCAGTCCATTACAAGGAATCCTTCGTCGACTACCGGGTCGGGATCGACGTGCCGGGCAAGTACAAGATCGTCCTCAACTCGGACGAAAAGCGGTTCGGCGGGCACGAGCGCCTCGACATGAATTCCGAGTACTTCACGACCGACATGGAGTGGAACGGGAGGAGAAACTACTTGCAGGCGTACGTGCCTTCGAGGGTCGTCTTGGTCCTGGGCAAGGTCGACTAAGCGGGCGAAGGGCAGAATAGGAAGACGGCGTGGCAGGGAAACGGTCTGACGTCATTATTGTCTCGGCCGTTGGATCGTGGAGTCGGAGCCGGCTTGGTTCTTTCCGTTAGCACTTCAAGAATAATTGTTTTTATCAGATCTCAAAGAGCATGTCCTCATCATTTTATCGAGGCTGAAAGGGAGAAAAAGCCTTTCCATCTTCCAAACGATTCCTGTGCACGTTCTCCTTGAGCTGTAATGGAGATGCGGGAGGCGATGAGATCCGCGCAGATTACGGCACGGTATGAACTAGCGCCGATCTGTCTCAGCAAACTGGAATCAGGGTTGTAGCGGGAAGAGAGTTTTCGAGCGGCATGATAGCAGCCGGGCAGCCGACATGCGTACGATGGTCGGCAAACCAGTACAAAACATCATCACGTCCCGGTGACTGCCACCTGAATAGCTGCTCTGCTGCTCGACAATCTCCACCTCTGTCAAGCGCAGGAGGAAAGAAACGCATGGGATCGTGGACGGGCGACAGAATCACGGACAGACGTTTTGCGCGAGGAGGCGGAAGATTCATGGTTTCACGTGATCGTCTCAGCGAGGCTCACGCGACCGGGAAGAGGCGGCAGGGATGCAAATCGTCGTCATCGATCATCGTCATCGCCGTCGTCATGGAAAAAGAAAGAAAGGGGCGCGAGGCTGATCGTCGGGGGCGGGAAGGGGAGGCCGGAGCAGGTTCATGATTTGTTTCGTCCAATGATGTTGATCATCAATCATCAAACAGCATCAGCGTCGATGTCACCTCTGGCCTCTGGCTTTTCTCAACCGTTGTCAGCTCCACACTTTGCACCTCGCTGTCTTGTAATTCAAACTGTAATGCAATCGTTGGAAGACAGAGACGAGAGCGGGTCTAACAGGTCGAGCGCTCGTGTCCACCGACGGTTACGATCCACGCTGATCCCTGATCCATGCCATGCCTTGCATCATCATATTTCGCTGTTCTCGCGCTTGTCGTGTCTCGCGTATCCCCTCGCTGCTTGCTGCTCGTCCACTCACTCTCTTCCCTTTCCCCCTTGGACGAACCTCGTTGGTCTTTGTCGGTCAGCCCTTGCAGTCGTAACGTCGTGGCCGAGAATAAGGTATCATCCCTCTCTTTGCCTGGCTATCCTCGCCATTCCCTTACAGTTAGGGACGATCGAGCGTACAGGCCACGATCTATCTGCAACAATTCCCCGCTCTCTCAGCGTCACGACGTCATTCGTCGTCATCATCAGACAGGAAAACACTACTTGTCGTTTTGAGCCAGAGTCTAGTGGCAGCGACAGATAGCTAGTAATAGCCGAACTACGAAGATCGACACCTGCTCCGAATCGTCAAAACCCACCTAGCACTTTGCCTCGCATCGTCACATTCAACACTCCACCTCGGCTCGATTCCCGAACTCTATCCCTAGTCCTAGGTCCATACACGAAATAACAGGACGAAAGGATATAGTTCATATCGACAAGGTGGCAAGCGGTAGAAGACAAAGTACAAGGATCACGGATCAGTACAAGAGAAGATCGGCCAGTCCGTCTGCAACAAGATAGCGGGCATCGACCACGACGACATATCTCGGTCTCGATCTTTTCAACAGGGAAATCCTAGCTTGTGGATCTTCGGGCCACCTCAACATTTGCGATTGGAAGAGCCAAGTCTGATCAACGGGGATTACAACGCTACACAGCATCGCTTCACCCATCTTAATCATGTTGTCAGACGTGAATATGGACGACCCGGATGAGAGCGCCAAACAGTCTATCTTCCCTAAACAAGCACAACCGAAGTTTCAATCATTTCCCACGGCACATGAATCACAGCAGCAACGAGGCGGCGAATTTGGATTCCCCTCGATGCCGCTGCAGTTGGAATCCAATTCTGCCTCTGGATCTTCCGACTCGATCACGGGAGGTGCCGGAACGACGCAGACGAAAGATCGAAACCCGATGACCACCCCCCAGAAACCTATCCAGCTTGGAGGTGGAGCCAAAGCCACACCGACAGGTTCCGGGCCTGCGTCCGGCTTGTCGAGAAGGATGTCGGGGAAAATGTCATTAGGCAGTCTAGGATCCGCTAGTCCTCATGGATCTTCCTTTACTACGCATAGAGATTCTCAACCAGGTGTGCCTGATACACCGGTCTTGTCCCCGCCTTCGAATATCATGGGGATGGGAATCACGTCTCCCCCTCTACACGGATCCATCTCGCCCACATCCAAGATGAACATGAATCCACCTATGCAATCCCCCTTCGCCAATGTACCCGCCAACTCCCCTTGGGCACATTTGGCAGCAACTTCAGGAATACCGACGCCGAGTCTGGATGGGCCTGGAGGTCCGATTCATAGCCCTTTCGGGCCTGGGCCGGGGGCAGGGGCGGTCTTTGGAGGACAGGGTAGGAGCATCTCGCCCCATCTGGGAGCGCCTTTCGAGTTGCTCAACCTTGGGGGAAGCGGTAGTAATCCGCCGGGCGCAGGAGCGGGAACGTCGAAATCTCCGCCTATGGGATGGCCGGGAGCCTTTTCCGGGAACAACATGACGGCCCAGACTCCCGGTTTGGGGTCTAGCAACATGACCGATCCGTTTTCTAGCCTCCCTGCACCCGGTTCGTCTTCGGGCAGAGTAGCTGGAGGAAGGGAGGTCGGGTCCGGGTTGGAGTCGTTGGCCGCCAAGTTGGCTAAACGGCGAGGCAGCAAGAGCGGGCCGAGCGCCTTGAGTCAGAGCGTGTTGCCGAGTACGGATGAGCCGATGGAAAAGGGTGGAGAGAAGGCAGCTGTCGGAGGTAAGGAGAATCCGAATATGCCAGGTCAGAACGCTATGACCGGAGGATCGGGATCGTGGGGTCCCGTATCTGGACCCGGTCGGTCAAATCTGAACTTGCCCGGTGGAGCTCCCATGAAACTCAACTTGCCATCCGGTCTGGCAGGTCGGTTGGGCAGTACACCAGCCCCAACCTCGACGTCGTCGACGCCTGGGACGAGCTTGTCGAAACCCGCTGCGACGGCGGGTGGGAAGGGTAACAACACTATACCTCAGGCTCTGCTTCCTGTTCAACTCGCCTCGATGCTAGGTCAATCCGAAGGCCAGGTCCTCATCCTCGACATTCGACCTCCTTCGAGCTACGTCCAATCCCACCTGCCCGGAGCCTTGTCATTGCCGGTCCCGTCAACGCTCTTAAAACGACCGGCTTTTACCGTCGAAAAGCTCGCTCAGATGTTGTCTGCTCGAGCTGCGAGCGCCATTGTCGATTTCAAGACGGCTCAGGAGATTGTGATCGTGGACCAAGATTCCCCGATTGCCGCTCCAGGAAGCGTTATTGTCGGTCTGGCGAGCAAGTTTGGGAATGCCATGACCGAGACCGAATCCCGTGCCAAGCAGGGACATGTCCATTTCGTAAAGGGCGGGATGGCTGCGTGCTCCGATTTGGAAGGTGTAACCCTGGAGACTGGCCAGGAAGAGTCGTCCGAGGACGAGACGGATGCACAAGTGGCTGGTTCAAACGGTCCCGGTAGTCCGACTGAACAACCGGGGCGGATGATTGGCCGGTTGGACCGTATGGCGTTCTCGTCGGGTGAGAAGATGTACTCGACCGTGTTGTGGCTGACACCGGCTGACGCTGTTTGTATCATTGCCTCTCCCTTGACAGCTTCCGCGTCTGGGGTTGGCACCCGACGAGCTAACGCTCCCAAATCGTTGACCCTGCCCAACACCCCTGCAAACGCCTTGGGACAGTCTGGAGGCAGCCCGATGCAGGTCCTGCGCAATGAAGGCGACGGTCCGACGTCGGGAACACAGAGATCTGCGACGACGTCGCCTCGATCAGGACCTCGACCTAGTCCTGGCCGCGTGCAGATGACGGAAAAGCAAAAGTTGCAACCGGCCAACCCGTTCTTCGATAACATCCGTCAGAACCTGGAACTTGCGCACGGCGGTATTCTGGAACGCATTCCGCTTGAACTGCCAGACGATGTCAAGGCTCGGGCCAATGAACTACCCGATTTCTTGCGTGACATGTTGACGCGTCCTTCGCCGGAAGTCGCCGAGCAGTTGGCCAAAGAGTTCGAAAGGGTGGAACGGGACGAACAGAAACGTCTACAAGGAATCATGGAATGGCACTCCAGAGGAACACGTCTCGCCGAGTCTCAGGGGCCTGTGAATCCTGGCGGTCTCAAGCGACTCGCTAGTACCGGGTATATCAGGACCTCTGAGACGCAAGCCGACGTGGACAAACATGAGCAGGACGACTACTTTCCATTCTCGATTACTGCTGGTGTCGAGCGAGGATCGAAGAACCGGTAATTATAGGTCCTTGGTATCTCCAAATGTTGATTTACTGACTATCACACACTTGCATGTACCTTGTCAGGTACAAGAACATCTGGCCCTATGATTTCTCTCGTGTGCGACTCAAGGAAAAGTGTTATGACGACGGATCCGACTACATCAACGCCAACTTTATTCAACCTCAAGGAACCACAAAGAGGTATATCGCGACCCAAGGCCCCTTGGATGCAACTTTCAGAGACTTTTGGACGTTGGTATGGGAGCAGCAGGTTCACGTCATTGTTATGTTCGTTTGAAGGCTCCAATCAAACATAAAGAGATTCATGCTAAGTCCTTTCTCCACCATCAATAGGTTGACGAAGCAGTTCGAGGGAGGAGCGTGCAAGTGTGGTGCATACTGGACTGCCGGACAATATGGACCTTTCCATCTCGAACACGTTTCAACCGAGGGAGGCGAAGACACTGCCGAAAAGGACGTTTCCGGCTTCAACTTCCACGTCGGCGGCAACTCTGGACCCTCATCAGAAGCCCCCAATATCAAGCGGACATTCTTGCTCTCGCACAGCGAGCATCCGGAAGAAAAGCCTCGCAAGGTCATCCAGTTACAATGCGTGGCTTGGCCCGACTTTGACGTGCCAGAGGATCCAAGGTTGTTGCTGGGTCTAGTCAAGGAAGTCGATAAGGCCGCTGTAGACGTACCGGATGAAAATGCCGATCAGTCTCGGAAGGCGCCAGTACTTGTGCATTGTAAGCATTCGCTTTCTGAACTCTACCTACCTGATTTCAAACCTTTAATCGCCGTTCTGTGTTGTAGGCTCGGCTGGTGTCGGTCGTACAGGCAGCTTTATGGTGGTAGACTCGATCTTGGATGGCTTGCGCCGCGAGCACCAAAGACAGCATCGCAAGATCCGAGGGTCTGTTTCAAGTGCGAGGGGTCGCAAGGGCGGTGTACCTGGCGAAGGCGGCGTGGAAGACAGACGTCCGTCCTCGGCCTCGTCTCTCGCCAGCGGCGAATCGCCGTTGGCGTCTTACCAGTCGAATTCGAGTCTCCATCGACTGGCTTCGAGTCACCTGTCCAATTTGGCTTCTCCCAACAAGGAAAGCGCCGTTCTGGACAAGTCTCCTGAGCCAACCAGGATGGCTTCGCCCGACTCCATGAGCTTTGACAGGCCTAGTTTGGCGCAGAGTTTGGGAGCTGACGGGGCGGGCAACCCTGGTGAAGCCAAGGCCAGTAATTCCGACGCCGTCGAAGGGTGAGTGGCGACCTCGGTCAGGTATCCCAGTCCACTTGAAGAAATTGCTGATCATATTTCAATCTGGTACTGCAGCGAAATGTCTTTTGTCCCGCTCATCACCGGCGAACAACAGAACGATGGCGAGGTCCACTCGATCTCTGACATGGAACGTCCAGTGCAGAATGTGCTCGGCGGCATGCGGGTCCAGCGAATGAGTCTCGTGCAGAGTCTGAGGCAGTATGCGTTCGTGTATCGAGGTGAGTTGCAGGCTCTTTCGTCTTGCGCGTAAGAGCTGTCGCTGAACGCGGGACGCATATGCTTGCAGCCATTATCTACGGCTTCTTGGACATTTTGGACGAGGAAAGGGAGGCCGAAGCCGAGATTGCGGCCATGCATGAAGGTCGAGGTCTTGGCTCGGGTACGAACACCGACGAGGAGTCCCACATCAAACGACGAGCTTCGCCGACGTCGTTGAGCGGAACAAACCTGCACAAGTTGCATAAGCGCCCAAGTATCAAGATTACCCGTGGTCCTCCGAAGAAGGTTGAAGGCCAAGAGAGCCAAAGAACCTCGAGCGGTCTATCAAACGAGACTTCGCGGGAAAAAGATCCCGCCCGACGCAGCAGTATGGACACCGACTAGAGCTTGTCGTCGAGACGATAGAGGACGACTTCCGGTTTGGTTTGGTTTTCTCTTCACGTCATCTTCATCTTCCCATCGGCTCTGTCAGAACCGGTGTGGAATCACCGCAAGGACTTGCTGTATCACCGTAACATATGAGCCGGCTGGGTCTCCAACTGCGAGACCGGCCGACTGGCTGTATCTAATAGTGCTGGTTCTGAGACAATCTATCGCATACATGTATTATCATTATTGATAGTCGCAGCTATTGTTTTCGTTACCCAAGCTGACATCGACGACATTCCACGTACGACGGCCGACTGCGAAGATGGATGGCGACAGACCGCGCGCGCGTGCTTTGGCCTCGGCGTGCGTCCCTTGCGAATAAAAGTAGAAAGGGATCAGTTCGGTTGAGATTCCAACCTTGTGCACCTCATCCTTTGCCTGCATACCATATGACATAGTCTAACAAGCATTCCCTCCGATCGTATTACGGCTCCGCGGTCGAATGATCACGAAACACCGGCACGATTCTTGACTGGCAATGGATTCGCTGCGCCGGCTGGCCTTTACACCTCTTTTACTCGGTATTCATGCAGCACACCTTATAGCCCTGCAAGTGTCTGCAGCAACTTCCGGGGGTAGCCGTATCGCCTCTTCATCTTCGAGAAATATCCAGCGCCATCCGAGGCACGTCGCTTTCTCCATAGTAACCTCTCATGGGCGAAAGGCAGCATCTTCGAGAGAGTCCACTGGCGATGGACGCTCGACGGTGACATGTCGAACGGCGAGAAGTCGAAAAGGGAAGGAAAAGGCGGAAGACGTGCGATGGACAACCGAAGAGGCTCTGGTCCTCCAGGCCGTACGAGAAGCTGTGACCTGGGCGCTCCAGAACGAGATCGATGAGATCAGCCTTTGGAACGAAGACGGTGAGCGGCCTGCGAGAGTTGATATATATATTATGATTATGGTACTGATCAACATGTCTTCGCACCACCAATCTGTCAGGACTGCTGCAAGCCGTCTTGCCTGGTCTACTTGCCATCCTTGTTCATTCTCCGCCGACACCGCCCGCTTCAGGGACTTGTTCACCGCCCCGGTCCCTCTCGCCGGATACCGTCCAAACTCTAGGTGCTTCGGGTCCGTCATCAGCAAGTTCGAGCGGAGGAGGGAACCTACAGACTGCTGGGCAACGTGAGACCCAGAGTTATACAGTCTGGCCCGACATGGAAGAAATGCTAAAGGAGGCCCAAGGTAAGCAAACACCCTTAGCCAAGAGGCTGGAGCTGACGAAAGTTCCTGGTTATACGATCAGTCGGACAGAAGCTGCGACTCAAGCCGTTGTCCGTACATGTGCTACCTACGAGGACGTCAGAGGACATGCTGGCCGAGATGGCGCAAGACCTTGTGAGGCAGGATATCCCGCTAGAAGCGATTACGATCGAGCATATGGACGACCTGATCAGAGGTGAGTCCTTTTGCGCTTTCACATACTCGACATCTCGACCGATATTGATTCCGCTCTTCAATATAGAATCTTTACATTTCCATACCGATCCTGAGCTCTTGATAGTGCATCATACACCTGGATCTGATCGAGCCAAACCCACCGACGAGGCCGGCACAAGAGGCTCGGATGCATCCAGAGGTTGGCGTTACAAGGCTTTGAGTCGTCTGTCTGCGGTATATCCATTGGAATTGCATGGATACCCGTTCTGGATGCTTCGGTTAACGGAAATCTAGTGAGTACCATTTGCGCGCGACGGATCTCTCTCCATTGCCTGATCGTCCCTCGACATCGATATCTAGCGATTCTCGACCGGTCGGGCGACATGCTTTGGGTATGGACGGTTGGGATCGTGCCATGGACCGGTGGAGGGGTGTAGAACAACGATTAGGAAGATGATTTAGCATGTATACATTCGAGTAAAGATCCTATACCCTGTCACCTTAGCCAATCCATATCGCATATTCGCTATCGAGACCTCCATCCCCCCCCTGACCCCCCTTTGCCCCTGAGAAACGCGTGCTCGAGATTCAATTAGCGACGCGTTTGAGAGAGAGAGAGAGGGGCGCGTTCGCCGAGGATTGACTGCAAGCTGCAAGCAAGTAAGCAATCATCATGTCGTTGTTGTCGTTCTGTCCAAGAGGTCAATCGATGTGAACAAGACCTTCTACCCTGGCTTGCGCTACTAGCCTGTACAATATAGCACGGACTGCACATAAAAGCCATGACGCGGCCAGGGAATCCCATCTTTGGATTGACGAGCGGTGGACGGGGAAAGTTTCGAGGAGGCAGTTCGAGAGGGAGCAACACGCGATACGTCAGTCGACGATCAGGAAGAGGTGGTGGCAAGGGAGGCAAGGATGGAAACCCCTTGAAACGAGAGGACGATGGCACGGCTTCCCAGGAGAGGTTCGAAGAGATCAAGGTCTATGAAGAGATCGACGAACGATTAGGGTTCTGGCGGTTCGAGAGCGGCAAAGCTCAGGGAGAGGAGAGGGAAGGATGGCTCGTGAACATGCATCAGGTAGGTCGTCAATATTCAGTCGAGGCCAAGCGAAGTAGTACATCTGACAGCGGTTCAACTCTTGACGTAGACAATTATCAAATCCGATAGCCATGTGGGCGGCAAGGCAGCCGTGGACTTTTACTTCATCCAGGACGATGGAGGTAGTTTCAAGGCGACCGTCCCCTTCGAGCCGTACTTTTTCGTTGGCTGTAGAGCTGGCTCAGAGACACAAGTGGAAGAATGGCTTATCAAGAAATATGAAGGATTGGTCGTTCGTACTGAACGGAGAAAGAAGTGGGACCTGAGCTTGGTGAGCTTTTAACGACCCGTTGCCTGCCTCTCAGAGCTAAATGTGAAACTCGCTCGCGCTGTCAGCCCAACCATTTACTTTCAGCGCCTCCTGTCTTTGTCAAGATCTTTTTCCACAACACGCAAGATCTGCAAACCGTACGAAGAGACCTCCTCCCACTCGCCACTGCCAACAGTGCCAAACTCAACGCCATCGACGCTTACGCCGAGGTCGTCAGTGCTGACGCTCAGGGGAACGGATTCGGAGCTGCTATGGATATCGGATACGGTTATGACGACGAATATGACAATGCTGGAGAGAGCTCGAAGGCGGGAGCAAGAGCGGCTTGGGGCGCTGAATCGGGAAAGGGCAAGGGCAAAGATCGAGATCCGCAAGATTGTGTGGTAGATTTGCGGGAGCACGACATCGCATACTACTTGCGTGTGGCTATCGACCTTGGTAAGCGACTATTGCATTCGACCCCATAGAGTAACCTGGTGAGATGCTGATGCTTTTAATCTCACGAAGATGTTCGGGTCGGCCTGTGGTACACTATCCACTCTCAAGGGGGTAATACCAAACTCTCCCGCCTAACTTCGAGGGTCAAGCGAGCCGAACCGGTCGTTATGGCCTACGATATCGAGACGTCCAAACAACCATTGAAGTTTCCGGACCAGCAGACGGATCAGATTATGATGATATCGTACATGATCGACGGAGTGGGGTACCTCATTACCAATCGGGAAATCGTCAGCGAAGATATCGAGGACTTTGAGTATACCCCGAAGGACGAATATCCCGGAGACTTCACGATTTTCAATGAACCGGACGAGGTCAGTGCGCTGCAATGTTGTGAACATCAACAGAACATGCTGACACATGCCCCTGATTACAGGCAGCTGTGATACGACGATGGTTCGAGCATATCCAGGATGCCAAGCCTACCGTCATGGCGACCTACAACGGAGATTCTTTCGATTTTCCCTTCGTTGAAGCTAGGGCATTGATTCACGGGATCAACATGTACGCCGAGATCGGGTTCAAGAGGGACAACGAGGAAGAGTTCAAGAGCAGAACTTGTGCACATATGGATTGTTTCCGGTAAGCCAGGTTTCCGGATGATTCTCAAGATAGTCATCTAAATTGTGCCTGCGATTACCTCCAGTTGGGTGAAGCGAGATTCGTATCTACCGCAAGGCAGTCAAAATTTGAAAGCTGTTACGAAGGCCAAGCTGGGTTATAATCCGGCGGAACTAGATCCAGAACTCATGACCCCGTAGGTCCATGCTATTTTTCTGCGGTTCTTCTTGGGCTGAACCCTCGAGATGTTAGATACGCCATGGAACGACCTCATATTCTGGCTCAGTACTCGGTATCCGACGCTGTCGCCACATATTACCTTTACATGAAATACGTCCACCCGTTCGTCTTTTCGCTTTGCAACATCATCCCTCTCAACCCAGACGAAGTGCTGCGAAAGGGAAGCGGAACGCTTTGCGAAACGTTGTTGATGGTATGTTGGTGAAGATCAACATACGGATAATGTAGACAAGTTAACACTCCGATTATATCAGGTTGAAGCTTATCAGGGTGATATCATTATGCCTAACCGGCATGAGGACGCACATGGGACCACCTACAAAGGTCATGTCTTGGCTGCGGAGACTTATGTAGGAGGACACGTTGAAGCTTTGGAAGCTGGTGTTTTTCGTAGTGATATCCCGACCAATTTCAAGATCGTACCCGAGGCAATACAAGGGGTGAGTGCAAAACGTCTTCGATACTTCTTCTAATTCTAGCACTGATATGTTCGCTCTGCAGCTTATCGATGATCTGGATCATGCGCTCAAATTCAGTTTGCGGGAAGAAGGCAAGATCGCGCTAGAGGACGTCGAGGATTACGAGGAAGTCAAAGGCAAAATTCAGGCAGCGTTGGAACTCATGCGAGACAACCCTAATCGCTTCGACAAGCCGTTGATCTATCATCTGGACGTCGCCGCGATGTATCCCAACATCATGTTGTCAAACCGTCTGCAGCCCGACGCCGTGAAGGATGATGCTACTTGCGCGGTCTGCGATTACAATCGAGCGGACAAGAAGTGCGACAGGAAGATGGAATGGTCTTGGAGAGGGGATTACTTTCCGGCGAAGCGAGACGAAGTCAACATGATCCGTCACGCGCTCGAACAAGAGGATTTTCCTGGGAAAGTCTCGTGGGCACCAAAACGTCGATTCGCAGAGCTTCCACCCAGTGAACAATCCGCACTGGTGCACAAACGGCTCGGAGACTACTCTAGGAAAGTCTACAAGAAGACGCATGAGACGGAAATCGTCAACCGTGAAGCCGTCATTTGTCAACGAGAGAACCCCTTCTATATCGACACCGTTCGAGCGTTCCGTGATAGGCGTTATGAGTACAAGGGCTTGCACAAGACCTGGAAGAAAAATCTGGATCAAGTCGTCTCAGAGAATAAATCGCTTACGGAGGTCGAGGAGGCCAAACAGATGATCGTCCTGTACGATTCCCTTCAACTCGCTCACAAGTGTATCTTGAACTCCTTCTACGGTTACGTCATGCGGAAAGGTGCAAGGTGGTACTCTATGGAGATGGCCGGTATTACTTGCTTGACCGGGGCAAAAATCATCCAGATGGCCAGACAGCTCGTCGAGCAAATCGGACGACCACTAGAGCTCGATACGGACGGAATTTGGTGCATGTTGCCAGGCGTGTTTCCGGAAGACTTCGATTTCAAGCTCAAAAGCGGGAAGAAGTTTCGTATTTCTTACCCGTGTACGATGTTGAACCACTTGGTACACGCCAAGTTTACCAACGATGCCTATCACGACCTCGTCGACAAGGAATCGGGCCTTTATGAGATTCGGAATGAGAACAGTATCTTCTTTGAACTGGACGGGCCGTACAAAGCCATGATTCTGCCATCATCGAAAGAGGAGGACAAGCTGCTCAAGAAGCGATATGCGGTATACAACCACGACAATTCCCTTGCGGAGCTCAAAGGGTTCGAGGTCAAGCGAAGAGGAGAACTCCAAATGATCAAGATTTTCCAGTCGCAGATTTTCGACAAATTCCTCCTGGGAAAGACGACGGAAGAATGTTACGCTGCCGTCGCGGAGGTCGCCGATCAATGGCTGGACATCCTGCAAAGTCGCGCATCTAGTTTGAGCGACGAAGAACTGGTCGACCTCATTGCTGAGAACAGAAGTATGAGCAAAACGCTGGCAGAGTACGCCGGGCAAAAGTCGACCTCCATCAGCACCGCCCGACGATTAGCCGAGTTCTTGGGCGAGCAAATGGTCAAAGACAAAGGTCTGGCGTGTAAATTTATCATTTCCGCCAAGCCCCTTGGAGCACCTGTCACCGAGCGAGCCGTTCCGGTCGCCATCTTTGACACGGAGGAAAGTGTTAAACGTCACTTCCTGCGCAAATGGCTTAAAGACAACAGCTTGATCGAATTTGATTTGCGGTCCATCCTGGACTGGACGTATTATGAGGAACGATTGGGATCGGTCATTCAAAAATTGATCACGATTCCGGCAGCTCTGCAGCGAGTTCCAAACCCTGTCCCTCGAGTGCGACACCCTGACTGGCTACACAAGCGAGTCATGGCCAAGGCCGACAAGTTTCAGCAACACAAGTTGACGGACATGTTCAAAAAGGTTCCTGTCCGCGAGAACAAAGAGACCGCCAAGGACATGGAGGACTTTGGAGCGCCAAAAGAATCTTTCAGTCTCTACGGTCGGCGACGCACGGCTGTCACCAAGAAGAAGAGGTCGGCGTTGGAGGATGACGAAGTGTCTGAGATCCCACCAGATCCAATGGAAGACTACTCTGGCTGGTTGAGATTGATGAGGCGGAGCTGGAGGCAAAAGCGACAGCAGCGCAAGGCCGGTGGCCAGCTGCCCGTGGCGATTTCGGCTCCAAAAGGCAATGGATCCATCGCTGCTATGTTGCAGAACCAATCATTCGGCATGTCTGGCAGTCAATGGGATGTCGTACAGATCGCTCCAACCAATCGACCTGGCGAATTCAAGCTATGGCTCGCGATCAATTCGACGTTTCAGAGCCTTCGGCTTCGTGTCCCTCGAGAGTTCTACCTCAACCTGAAGAAGGCCCCTGTCCAAGGCACCTTTGACGCACGGTACCAAGCCGTGCCGATAGTGCGCACTCTACCGCGAGGACACTCGTGTCGGAACCTCTACAAGATCACCGTAGCAGAACAAATCTTTGTCGACGGAGAAGCACACTTCTCAAGTCTCATCAACAACCCCAACGTTGATGGCGCGTACGAGCTGCAGGTACCTCTCGCTGTTCGTGCTCTCTTGCAGTTTGGCTCGTCCTGTAGATTGACTTCCGAAGCAGGCGGAGGTTTGAGTCGCGGTCTGGACAAGGGCTTCGACATCGGGGATCTAGAATCAGCCGGAGTCTCTATCACGAAGCATCGTTACTTGAACGACGGCAAAGGCATGCGATACATCTACCTACATCACTCGTCCTCGGGACCACGCCAAATGTTTACCATATGTGTTCCCGGTCAAGAAGCCAAGTTTTACATCGTCGATGCGGCGCGGAACCGGCCACAGCTACCTAGCCCCAAGAACCTTTACGCGGACGAGATATCAAAGATGTCAGAAGCCGACATCGCTTCAAGCCTTCTCGATTACCCTGATACCTTCCTTCACTCGGTGACCTACTTTGGTAACGAGTCCGCCGCTGTCAAGGCAATGTCGAAAGAGCTGGCGAACCATCGACGCGGACCAAATATGATTGTACTGCGATCGCCATTGGAGAAGGATCATTTCTTGGTCAAAGCGCCCATTTTCTCCGACTTCCCCATCATCACGGCAGGCCAACCGTCCGAGAACGACGCCAGCCCGCTCATGTGGCTCGTCACTGCGACCAAGGCAGTTGTGCGGGATTATCTCGGTATCGGATCGTGGCTGGCTTCCCAGATTGAACTGGCGGCTCATTATGACGTTCCCTTGGGCGTAAGTCAGGTTGCAGAGGTCGACGAGAATTCTGTTGTGCGTTACTTACTGGGCCTCCAAACAGAATCTGCCTGCAGACGTTGCGTTATTTGTCGCCGACATAGACTTCGCCCGTCGCCTGCACAAGCAAGACATGATCATGTGGTGGTCGGAAGAGCCTCATCCTGATCTTGGTGGGCACGAGCAAGACTCCAAAGGTGGTGTAGAGCTTGTCGTCCCTCGAACTTCGATGCCAGGCTGTTACTCGAATGCAGTACTGGAGATCAATATGGTGGATTTGGCCATCAACTCGATTCTGCAGTCCGCCATCGTCAACGAGATGGAAGGCAGCGGGACGGGTTCTATGGCGTTCGACTCGGCATCCCATAATCTCGACGAGTACGCCAAGGGATCTGCCCATACTGCCGCGATGCTCGGGGACGCCGTGTTACCCACTCAGACGTTCTCCGTTCTGAAATCCATGGTTCGATCATGGTGGACGGATCATGCTCGGGCTCGAGCGAAAAGCCGGACGATTCGGGCGCCTGAGCTGGTAGTCAATCATTTCTGGAGGTGGCTAAGCTCCAGCTCGGCAGCGATGTACGATCCCGCCTTGCAAAGGTTCCTCCACGGACTGATGCGCAAGGTCTATCTCCAGCTACTGAGCGAGTTCAAGCGCCTCGGTGCACAAGTCGTATACGCGGACTTTGGCCGTCTGTTCTTGCTCACCTCGAAGCCGGATGCTGGTAGCGCATTCGCTTTTGCACAATATCTGGTAACGGCGGCGAATTCACAGCCATTGTTCCAGGACATTTCGTTCCAGATCACACAATTTTGGAACTATCTCGCTTGGATGGATATCGCCAACTTTGGAGGTGTCAAGGTCGCAGCAGACGTAGCGAGCACGTCCAAGGCCTCGGATGAATGTACAATCACGATGGACTGGAACATACAGGCCTACCTGCCTCCTGGTATCCAGCACTACTTCGAGACGCAGGTAGGAAACTTCATCTGGGCAATGTACAGCGCAAAGCAAAAGTCGTCGGATGGGCGGACGCCCCTCAAGATGATTCACGATCTCAACATGCCTGTCAACGGGGGCGTGGCGCCTCCAACCCAACTCAGCAAGGCCAAAGTCAAAGAGCTAGTGGCTGCTCAATCGAGTGTATCTCAACAGTTGACCAGGAAGTTGCTCTCGGTCGTAGCAAAGATCCGCAAACGACAGGCAGCAGCGGCGACTGATCCCGATGAAGCCGAATTGCTCGCTTTCCCCTTGCTTCCAGGAGGCGTGGCCATTCCTACCAATCCAAGTCTCGAATTCGTCAAGACGATCTGCGCCGTGTTTTCCTTGGCATCCGAACTCAAGGTCGAGGTTCAGATCCTCAAGAGGAATCTTTTGGACCTGTGCAACATCCGAGAATTTTCAGAGGAAGCGGCATTCCGGAACCCATGCCAACCTCTGATCTTGCCGATGGTCATCTGCGATCATTGTTTCTCTCACCGAGACGTTGATCTGTGTCGGGACCCGGATAGATTGCCCATCGTCGATCCGGCATCGAGAGGGAAAACGATTCTCCCACCGCGTCGTTCATCGTGGGCATGCACAGTTAGTCTTGGCACATTGATCGGTTATTTTCAGCGTTACTGAACAGTGGACATCGGCGCGCGATATAGGTCTGCTTGGGCGAGTACGACAGGTCTAGCGTCGAGATACCTCTCATAGATCTGGTCACCAGGCTCCAGACAAATTACCAGCTTCAGGATGTGAGTTCCCGGCTGGACAGCTCGCTACTGCTAGATAGCGGTGCTGAACTTACACATCGACCATCCAGCTTGCTTGCCAGAAATGCAGTCAGATCAAGAGTGAAAACCTCTCGCCGACCTGCTCGTGCGGTGGAGCGTTCCGAGAGACCGCCGGACGGTATGAGATGAAGAAGCGACTGAAGAGTATCGTTAGCAGTAGGTCGCGGTCGTCTTTGTTCGAGCTGAGGTGACCATAAACTGATCGAATTTCGATGCAGTCGCCGAATACCATCAGCTGCACCTGGCCGCAGGATACGCGCAAGCCATATTAGCAGGCTGGTAGGGCGACAGGGCGATGGAATGTATCCCAGTATCATAGTTGTAGCGACGTAGCGACAGATGCTTGCCATGTAATTACACACCATCTTGTCTTATAGACCTCGAAGCAGGAAGCACATATAAAATGATAGACGATGTCCGCTTTCAGAGCCCGGCCATTTGATTCACCGAACCCCGATGATACAATCGACCGCCGGAGGATCGGCCATCGCCGAGCTAGTAGTGAGGGACAATAGCGGTTTGTCTAGCTCGAGCGAGTGTTATTGTTCGCCAATCGTTTTATATTCACGTCCATGTTACAGAGTAGCACGTAGCTCATCAGCTTCTGGATATCTCTAGCAAGAGAGTAACTACCTACTTTTCGACCGACATCTTCCGCCCGTTCACCCACCCATACCCTAGCATCAACGCTGAGAATGCTCCGTAATCTCTTCAAAATGCCAATGAGGCGCAAGTTATTGGCTCGCGATTATTTCGACTCTTACAAGCAGTTTGCCACATATCACCCCCTTCGCAGTCATGCTTTCAACGTGCCTCCCGCTCGCCCGGGTTCGAGGTCGTACTCATACACATCCACGGGAATGACATGGGCGCAAAAGATGACGGTTCTCTTCCTGTTGACCTTCGTAAGCGAGGCAGGCTCACCGGGCTATTGCGGCTGCAAGACTAATCGAAAGGATGTCCTGCAGTTTTTCGAAAACTATAGTGCCTACTTACGAGATCAGTCTGGAAAGATGATCCAGAACGAAGAAGCCAAGGACGACGAAGATCGAGCTCCGGCGGGTGCCAAGGGTAGCAAAAAGCTCGAAGTCGAAACTGGCTCCAAACGAGGCCGACCTGGTGGCGGGTATGCCGATAAGCAGCCATACTTATCGATGGATCAAGTCGCAAAACACAATCTCAGTAACGACGCTTGGGTGGTCATAGATGGGAATGTATGGGAGTGAGTGGAGATTAGCAGAGAGGGATTCCAAGGATGTGTCTGATAGTTCTGTCCCTCCGTAGCGTGTCGGACTTTCTGCCACATCACGTAAGCTGTTGTGAGAGCTATGCGATGCTCATATAAGCTAAAATTCGATATCTCTCGCCAGCCTGGAGGGTCCCGTATCGTACTTGCGAACGCCGGAAAAGACGCAACGTGAGCTGCCTTGTAGGACAAGACGGGGATTGATCCCCGCTAACCAGGCGCATGCACTTTATAGAGAAATTTATAAGGAACTTCATCCGCCAAACACCATCGAGAACAACCTCAGTCCAAAGCATTTCAAGGGAAGAATAGACCCGGAGCTAGCGAAGGAGGCAAGTCACGCCGTCTTCTCGAGCGACTGGGTATATGACCGCTCATGTTTAGTATGCTTTAGTATGCGGCATCTTATGAGGCAGAAATGAAACGTATCCAAGATGCTAGGGAGGCACTCCCAGCGGTAGAAACCATTCTAGGACTTCAGGAGATGGAGGTAAGTATGGGATGAGCCATCGCTTAATCTCATAGTCATTCAGCTATTTGAAACGGTACAGGACGCTGCCAAAGCCGTCTTGAGCACGAAGTCAACAGCTTACTACGAGACTGGAGCTCTGGACCACGTCAGTGAGTGTCATCGCGATGTGATTTTTAGAAGATGACTGAATGCGCGATTTCGATCGGCATAGCTCTGAAGGAGAACAGCAAGACATTCAGGAAATGCCGCCTGGTTCCGAGAGTGATGCGGGATGTCGGAACAACCTCGACCAGAACGAAAATCTTCGGTCTACCTTCCGCGCTTCCGATCTACGTCTCACCGGCCTCCAATGCACTTCTCGGACATCCCGACGCCGAGTTCAACATCGTTCGAGGTGCAGCACGTACAGGTATCGTACAGGGGGTTAGCGCGGCTAGCAGTCTTCCGCTCAACGAGCTGCTGGACGAGAAACACAACATGGACGAGGAGATTGAAGAGGGCAAATGGGGAAGAGGGCTTGGTGACAAGATGGGAATGGTATATCAAGTCTATGTACAGGAAGAGCGGGAAAAAACGGCCAAGCTCGTCAGAGAAGCGGTGGACGGAGGCGTTGGGCAAGTCATCGTTCCGAAACAAGTCTGAAAATATCATAGGGAACTGATCGGCCTCGTGAGTTGACAGAGCGCTACTACTCACAGTCGACTCCAACGTCCTGGGTCATCGCCAGACAAACGAGAAGCTCAAGGGTACTATAGGCGATGCTCAACCCGGTATTAGGGCGGAACCGAATACGGAATGGCCAGCGTACCACGATGCGCGACTCAACTGGGACGACCTGGATTGGTTGAAGGGTCTTGCGAAAGGGACGCCCATCTATCTTAAAGGTGTATGTAGCGCTGAGGACGTTCAATTGGCAAAAGAGCATGGGTTGGCAGTGAGTCATGATTGGCCCTTGAGCCCTCACCCCGGCCTGGCTTACGCGATGACCTTTCAGGGTGTTATTCTTTCCAACCATGGCGGCCGGCAGCTTGATTAGTGAGTCGATGGAGCTAGCGCAATGCCTCCAAGATAGCCTGCTGATGATTTTGGACATGTCACCAGCGCCCGGACTGGATTCGACTCTTTGAGATCACTGCATCAGACAAAGCCGGATCTGTTACGCGAACCAAACTTCGACGTGTACATCGATGGAGGGGTGAAGAGGGGAAGCGATGTGCTGATGGCGCTCGCCCTGGGCGCGCGGGGCGTCGGACTTGGACGTGCGTTCCTCTGGGCTCAGACTGCTTACGGGGAGAAAGGCGTGGTACGCGCCATCCGGAGTAAGTGAGATCGATTATTCCAATGCTATCCTTCGTGTCGACTAATCCCCCCCTCCCCTCCACTCCTTCCACCCCCACCGCTCTAGTTATGGAAAGCGAAATCATAATGGCCATGCGGCTACTAGGAGTCAACAGAATTTCGGATTTGAAGCCAGAGAACATAGAGTGTTTGCAAGAAGTCTGGAAATGAAGAAGGGGAGCTGGTGATGATACCCTGGAGGCGTCAAGTACCAGAGCAAGTGCAATGTGAGCTATGCGTCTTCTATGAACCCGCTTTGAGCGCCTAAAAAGAGGGTCATTGCCAGACACCGACATTGAAGCCAATACATCTTTCCTTCCTTTTGAATTCCGCTAACCTCTCTTGAGCCTTTTGAGTACGGCTTGCCAAACGAAGCCTCTTATCCATGACTCTATTGACAACCGTTTCCCTCAATCGTTTCCCCTCTGGCCATTCTTGTATTAATCATTCTCAGGTTCGCTTAGTTTTTACTGGTCTACGGGCAAGTTGAACCGCTTTTCAAACTCGAACTGCTCTTCCGGCCCATGGCTCCCGTAAGCATACTTGATAGGGGTAGGTCCATTGGGTCCTTCGATGTATCGCAACAACCTGACATAGGACAAAAAGACGGTCAGCGGGTCTGCCTACCGCATGAAGGATACACTAGGCGCTTACGGGGTGAAAATCTCCCACGACGCGATGACTTCGTCCTCTCTCACAAAGCCGGATTGATCCCCCTTGAAGACGTTTCCTATCACAACCTCGTACGCGAGCTTGTCCCCAGCCACTTTCCGTCCTGGTACGGTATATTTCATCTCGTCCGAGATTGACTCGGACCCCTTGCTCAATGGTTTCAAAAGGTTGGTCTTGAAGTAAATGGCGGGTTCCGGGTTGAGCCTAACGACAAGCGCGCTCGGGGCAGAGACATTGAATACGTTGTGCTTGGGGGCTTTGAAGTTGAAAGTCATGGTCATGATGCCCTCGTCCAACGCTAAACGGGATGCGCGAGAAAGGGATTAGTAAGATGATGCTCTTTGGCATAGGCTGATTGAGCCTCACCTTTTCCGCATTTGACCAACACGGGCACACCCTTCCACCTCTCGTTATCGATCTTCATTGCCCACTGCGCAAACGTCGCCGTCTTGCTGTTGTCTGGAACGGTCTCGTCATCTACATAGCTCTTCTTGCCATTTCCTTCAGCGTATTGGCCGAGCACCAGGTCAGAATTCTCGATCGGTGGGATGCTTTTGAGCACGTCAACCTTGTTGTCACGCATAGAATCGTTGTCCATCGAATCAGGAGGATCCATTGTCAAGATTGAGATAGCTTGCAAGAGGTCTGTGAATTTCCGCGTCAACCATCCAGTCATCCGAGCGACATCTTGAAGCATAGACCATGCAAACTCACGGTTCTGTCCGACATCCCGAATCATCCCGAACTCGTCGAAATACCCTCCTCGACCCTCGGCTCCAAACTTTTCCTTCATGACAACCGAGATGCTCTCGACATGTTCCCGATTGAGCAGAGGCTCGATGAATCGATTGGCGAACCTCAAATGGTAAATTGCCCTAATCATCTCTTCGCCTGTGTTTGTCAAATCATAGTCGAGTTGGATGAGCACTTGCTCTGGTCCTGGCATCTGTCCCAGACTTGCCCAAATAATGATCGATCCGGTAGATCTCATCTTCCTTCCAATCCTCAGCGATGCTATTCATCATCGCCCTACAATCCTCTGTATCCTTTCCGAATGGTTTCTCGATGACTAGTCGGTTGATCTTGCCGCTCCAATAATTGTTCTTCTTGATCATGTGGGAGACCTGGGCGAACGACGAGGGAGGCAAGGCTAGCTGTGAAAGAGACGAGAATCGAAGATCGCGCAGTCATTCCGCTTAGTAACGACGAACGGCCATGAGTGTATTTGAAAGGTAAAACACATACGTAGAATACCCGGTTGGCTCGTTTTCCGTCAAACTCCTCGTTCTCTATCCTCCGCATTTCTCTGTTCCGGACAAGCCAGTCTGTCAGGCTATATCTCGTCGGTATCCTCCACTCCGGGTTGAACGTACTTTTCCAGCCCTTGGAACCCCTCATCCTTGTCGTACGGGCCTTGCACGTACTTGCAGATCTATACAGACAAACCGTTGCGAAACTCAGCGTACGAACAAAAGCGTCAACGGCTGGATCTACCTTTTTGAATTCTTCCTTCTTGGCATCGTTCGCCTTGATGTGTCCTTCCTTTTCATCGTCCCGGATCTTCCAGAACAACTGTTCGTCGAACTTCTCGTCCGACATTTTTGAGCGAGCATATCCTAAGATCCTGGTATCTAACACCGCACAGGAACTCCAAGAGTTCAGCTTTCGTGTCGCCGGTCAGGTTGGACGGAAATCAGGGTATGTACTGGCAGGAAGTAAACCCTCGACGAGCAACGCGTACAGCGCGGGGAAGGTCGATTTCTTGGCGAGATCCCCCGAAGCTCCAAAGACTAAGAAGCAAGAACGATAGATGAATCAGTCACATTGCTCAGAGAGGAGTTTACTGCTCATTTTGCGGGCCTCAGAAAAGCTGGCGTACCGACGACGATGGCATCTTCCTCGATCGCTCCGCTTCGCTGATCTTGTTGGGAATCGTTGGACATGGCGAATTGTCTGAATGATGAGACTTGGGTTTTCAAATTGGGGAGTAGGCCACGAATGGTATCCTGCGAGGGCGATGATCTGATATTCTGACGAGTTTGATCTGAATTCCCCATCTCGCATCTCGATTCCAAGATTTGGGAAAGGACGCTCACAGCCGTAGATCGTGATGAGGTCATCTCTGTCTCTCTTTCGGAAGCAATTAATTACGAGAGAGAGAGCTCACGGCCGTCGAATGCCGAACACCGATGGGCCGCGTTCCCAATGTCGCGTTTCAGATGTGGAAACATGTCCTGTCCTTTCTTGTGGACATGAGCTAGCCGTTTCAAAGTCTCACGTCGTGTAAAGCCGATTCGCAAATGTGAAGACACTGGACTCTTCACCCTTGCCACATCGACACCTGTATATACCTGACTGAATCCCCTTGATAGGTGAAAGGAATCGTTATCAATTTTGTAATCGCTTTTTACCAGTCAGTCGATATCTGAAAAGACATGGTCGTAATTGTGCCCTCGGCTAGTGTATAGCCCTGGCTATCGTGGTTATGGACTGTTGCCTTTAGATCCATTGAGTGCTGCGTATAAATTGCTGAAGATGAGTGACTCGACGGTTTTCGATGGTTTCATGGAGTCCTACCGATCCCCCTTCTATCGAGAAGAAGACGAATGTTAGAAAGCCATTGTTAGGCTGGCTGAGCCGTCGACTCCGGTCGCAGACATATAACCACTGGCCACTAGCTGAGTCCGTAAGCAGCTGGTCGGTCGGTCGAACGCTTTTTGTGAAAAGCTAAGTGTCGGTAATTTCTTGAAAGGTTCCGGAAGATCCGGAAGTAAATTCGTGGCATCGACGTCGCCTAGCTAACTGTAATCAACTCACCTTACAAAGTTGCATCATCATCATCATCATCATCCTTAGTTTCCGCAACATCTTCTCCCCGGATGACCTGCTCATAGGCTCACGTCGACGCTCACAGAGAAACATGTCGCGGACACACTCTTTCCAACAGATCCCTACTGACCCGGACGCCAACACGCTCTCCGGTCGACGCCGCAGTCGAAGAGACTGGGGTGGGATCCTGAACGTTGTGTTGAATCCCGCCCTGAACGCTCTGGAGACGGTATGGAAACGGTATCAGAGGACGAGTAGGAGACAGAAGGCAAGTCGGCGGACGAAATAAATTGACTCCGTAAAGCAAGGTTTCGGAACTGATCACCGACCTCACATCAACCGGGTTTGCACGTACAGCTCATCTTATGGTCCGTCTACGGGCACCCGACTCCAGCTCATTCATAACGCTAACGCCATGTCCCACATCCGCATCTACTTCTGCTTGTCGCAGGACTTTTGTTGCTATCAACCTGGCCATCCTCCTCGCCATCTACATCGTCACGCCAACGAGGATCTTGCAGTCCTTGCAAAACCTCTCGGGATGGTTACGAGATCAAGGGTCGTTTGGCGCGTTCCTCTTGTTCATGGCCACCGGTAAGCTCGAGTTCCGCTGGCCCGCCAATTCTCGAATTGATCAGCTGATTTTGGGCTCCTCTCGTCATTATATCCTATCTCTTGAAGTCTTGTCCTCCCACCCGCCGTTGTTCGGGTTCGCGTCGTCCCTGACCCTCATCGGATTTACGTTCGGGATGTGGCCCGGAGCTTTTATTGGTGTCATAGGGAGCATGTGTGGGTCTGGGTTGGCCTTCTGGAGCGTTAGAGTGGGTCTCACGTGTTAGGAAATGTCGGAAGTTGATAGCTGCTAATCTGCGGATGATGACGTGCGGCAGACATTCTTTTTGCAGTGGATGAAACGGTTTGGAGCGGGCAAGTCGGACAAGTGGGAAGCGTTCTCACATGTCATCGCGAGTCACATAACAACCTCGGAAAGAGTGACAACTTGGACGCTGATGTGAATTTTCTGTATAGAAAGCAAAGGGGACGATCCTGGTCATCATGATTCGATGGTGTCCCTTGCCTTGGGCGTTGAGTAACGGGATGTTTGCCGTAAGCTCCCGGGCTCGGGTCAACGCAGCAACGAGATTCAACACCACACTAACCTCGATTACCACCGTTCTACACCCTCATGACACAGTCCATCGAAACCGTCTCCTTTCCCTCATTCATGCTCGCCAATCTCCTCCTCCAGCCGAGGCTGATGATCCCGATCTTTATCGGCTCACGTCTGGAATCGCTCACCGAGTCGGGTCCTGCCGACCCGGTAGGCAGGTGGATCAACTTGGGAGCCATCTTGCTCGGGGTTAGCATCAGCGCGGGTAGTAAGTCTCGGATCCAAGTCATTGCGCTTGCAATATACTGCGTGCGTTCCGGGTTGTCCTGATTCGTTGGATTCGCTTCACTCTGCAAACAGCGGGCTGGTTCATCTACCGCGCGACACTGCAGCAGATGGAACAATTACGAGCCTCTGGCGACCTGACCGATCGAGAGGCTGACGACGCCGAGGATATCCTGGAGAGGAACGCCTTGCTCGCCGATTTTTCCGGCAGCGATAGCGATGCTGACGAGCTTCGTCTAGGTGGAGTTCTCGAGAACGGTCATGGCCATGGGCCAAACGTGGGCCGATCGAGTGTTCGGTCGGGGCATATTAGACAAGAGAGCGTATAGACAAAACAAGCTTGTAGTGTCGTAAGTATAGGCGTTGCACATCAATATATCCTTGGGAGAGCGTTAGGCGACAGGTGCAATGACCTGGAATGGTAGGAAAGGTTTGATCGAAATCCGAAATGTAGAGATTCTACTACAACAAGAGAAACCAGAATCGCTAGGAATTGCATTATATCTGTTCAAGCAGTCATTCTTGGAGGCGGGCTGTTACTCGGTGTAGCGCTGCTATGACCCAACATGCGGACTTTTGCACGACCCGACGTGTGACCTAGAGGCGAGCTTCGGCCTGGAGATTGCCCTTCGTTCTGCTCAGGCGGGCTCAAATTTTCGAAAAACTCCTGCAATTGCTTGACTCGAGGCCGCTTTTGCGAGGGCGATAACTTGTCAGGCGTGGCGGGTAATGCGACGGGCTTGACTAGAAGGTTCCCCTTGTCGGCGAGTATCCTAGAGGCTACAGGCTTGCCCCCCTTGACCACCACTTCGTCTTCCGCTCCAGAAGCCTCGGAAAATTCAAGCAGGTCGACCTCCTTCTCCGGCTCGCTTTCCGAGGAGAATCTGAGGAGATCAATTTCCTTTTCCATTTCGGCCTTCTGTGCGACAAGTCTCCGAGCTACCGCTCTGGCCAACGAGTTCTTTTGGGCGGGATTGCGATCTTCCGGCTTCTTGAAAGTCACGCTAGCGATGGATGTTTCGGCTTCAGTTTCGATGTCGCCCTCGGCACCTTCATCCTCCGTTTGAACGTCTGACTCCCATTCCATAGGAATTGTCTCGGCCGATGAGGACGGCGCAGGACTGCTAGCAGCTACCGGACACGCTTCGTCTACGAGCAGAACAATGTCGACATTGCGATCCGTTGAGATATTCTTGCTAGACAAGAGGTCGGCCAGACGAAGAGATTCGATCTGGCCAAACTTTTTGGGAGTCATAGTAGGCGAGGTAGGTTGCGAGATTCCTTCGTCGTCCGAGTCGGGAAGTGGAATCTCTTCTGCGAGGAGCGCCGGATTCTGGCTAGCAGCTGGCATAGCCATCGCAGGCGAGTCTGGCAACGGCCGCGAAATCGCTTGCAGCATGATTGCATCGGGATTTCTGCTTTGTTGCTGCTCGTGGGTGGAGTCCGAAGTAGGAGAAGGCGGCAATGGGATTCGGACGGCGACCTGTTGGACCTCTGCAGCGGAAACGATGATCCTGGCTTTCGGCGTAGGGCTGGAGACGGCCGACGATCCCACTTCCGGGATACTCATCTTGATCTTGCTAGTAGAGCGTACGATACCCTTGGACACCGGTCGGAAAGGCGTCCGCTCTTTACCCTCGACATGTCCTGCAGCTCTACCCTTGACGTTGCCCGGCATAAATGCCTCACCCGCCCCAGCCTTCGTGGGCAGTGGCTTCTTCTTGGCAACGGTCGCTGATGGGATAGGAGGTTTCGTCTTGATTCTAGGTTGGCGGGGCGAGACGACCAACTTGGCCTGTGGCGACTGTTTGGCTGCCCGCATAGCCATCGCAGCTTGACTTGATACTGGCGCTCTTGCGACCGGTCTCCCTTGACCTTCCCTGGCCGCGTCTCTTGTCTCCGGTGCATTTCGTTCGACTCTCTTCACCTCGCCACCACCACCTTCCCGAGACGTCGAGCTTGTCGGCCTAAACGTCTGTCTCGCGGTCGAAACCGGTCTCTTCTCTTGTCCCTGTCCCGTCTCAGTATCCTTCTTCGCCGACGCGGCAGGAGCGGCCGTAAAGACGTCCCTTTCCTCTTCCTCCCTCTTGCCTTCGGCTGCCGACGCAGCTTGCTTGGCGTCCACTCGAGCTTGAACACCCGCCGGCAAGATCGGTTTCCTCATTCCGACCCCGGCCGAGACGACCCTCTTCCCGGCAGTTGCTCCCAGAGAAGCGCCTCCCGATTGTGGGAAACCCGCACTCGTCACCCTGGCCTGCAGATTAGGCCTCACTGGCGCTCCAAACAAGTTACCCCTTGGCGTCGTACTCCCGCTAGACGTCTCCCTCCCTTCGGTCAGGTTGCCCAACGCAGTATACGTCCGGACGGGCCTCATTGGTCCTTGTCCGATCGCCGCCAAATTTGCCCGTCGAGCTTGAGCAGCGGTCGTCGTCGTCGCTGTTGCGGTACTGGCGGATGTAGTGTTGGTCAAAGCTGTATCCGTTGACGATACGTTCGAAATGACCCTTGGCCTGCTCGGCCCTGCCGATGCCTGGCCTTGCCCTTGCCCTTGAGGCTGAGGCTGGCGTGTGTGTGCGACAGGCTCGATCATAGACTGCAAGGAAGATGATTGCGTGGACGAGACAGACAATTTCAACTGCCTCAAACCGGGTCGTACGTCGGCCGAGGAGGCGGCTCGAGAGTGTGCGAGTTGTTGATGTTGAGAGGAAGTTTGATACTGGTACTGCTGGTGCTGATTGGTGATCACGGCGGCAGAGGTCGACCTGCTCAACCCTGTTCGTCCGTTGTTACTGTGGTCGACAGCCGAAGAGGAAGAACCCAAGGAAGGGAACGGGAAACCTCCGGTCTGGGCGTTCGAGGAGGATCCCATCGCTGGCCTCGCCGCTGTCGCTGCACTGCCACTGACAGCCCTCTGACCCGACCCGGATCCGGACCCCTGCCCAATCTGTGCCGAAGTCGAGCTCGCACTGACGGACCGTGCATTGTTGTTGTTGTTGTTATTGCCCATCATCGTCGACGTCGAGGAACCTAACGTTGAAGGGTGTCTCGATATGGGGGCAGTTGTGGACGTCGAAAGAGGGTGCATCTTGGGTGGCGGGTTCGATGATCCGCCAGCTGAGGCTTTGATGTTCAAGTATCTCCTCGTCGTGGGCGTCAACGGGGTCGTAAAACTACGATCGTATTCGCGTTCATAAGTCAGAATCGATCGCCACTTCTTTTTATCAAACAACACTCCAATCTCTGAATCGCCAGCTCACCCAATTACTCGATCCGCAAACCGTTCGTTGTAGACCTCCCACATTCCCTTGGCGATCTTTCTCACCTCGGCATCTCTCTCCGTAGCCATCCTCTTTATCGCATCCTCCACTTCGCCCAGACCTTTGTTGCCCAACGTCGCCATCCCCCATTCCTGCAACACATAACTCAAGACGGTCCCACAAGCCCTCCGGCATGTATCGGACTTGTCGTCCACCCCGGATTTGACGATCAAGATGAAGGAAGGATGGGGACAGTATTGAGCGATGGTGAGGAGGGATTTCTCGGCGCGGCGTAGGTAGACCTTGTTGGGTCTCGCGAGGAGTTTGATCAAAGGAGGTACGTAGAGGGAGATCAGGGGAATGAAGGAGGATGCGAGACGCGGGGCCATGGAAGTGAGAAAATCGGTTGCCACGCCGGACAGTTTGCCGCGGTCCGAAAGCATCTGCCGAGGAGGTCAAGCGTCGCGTCATTGATCAGTATAATCAATCGCCGCCAGCTCATGACACGCCAAATCCAGATCGGACAGATACTCACACACCGGACGATCTTATCCCCCAACCCTTTGATGCCCACTCCTTGCAAGTAGACATCCGTATGTCTGTACCCACCGCCTCGTGTGACCGCGGCGAACCTCAGCAAGGCCTTTTCGAATTTCCCCCATGTGTCCTCTGTCTCTTCGGGTGCGAGAGCGTCTTCCAGCTTTTCTAATTCGAGGAGGAGTTGGTCCGGTGTCGTACACTGACGAGAATTCACAACGTAGTAGTGTATAGCAGACATGAGTAGGATGAGATGGGAGACGAGAGCAAAGGAGGTGTATAGACATGTTAGTCGCGAGTCGGGCAAGGATGAAGTCGCGGCTGAAGGCGGGCGTTGCTCACGGGGATCTTGTCATCGCTTCCTATAGCTTTTGGAGCCATGTTTCGTGGTAGCGGCCGTCTGACTAACTATGGCTATTGTTGTCGATCAGGTCGAGAGAGAGAGAGAGAGAGAGAGCGAGTAGATGTTGAATCAACAGAACGAGAGCCCCGGCTTTGTTTACCATCTCGCAGGAGAGGAGAGGGGGGGGCGACGTGTATCTGCACAACGTAATAACGTAATCACTTGCACACACCGGGGTCTCCATCGACGGTTTGACATAATCACGTGACCCATCTCCTCGATCGAAGTCGCATGAGTCACTCACTCTCACACTCACTTGGATTACTTTACTTGGCTGAGAAAGGGGTCGACTCTCATCTCCTTCGCAACTCTTTTGACACTTGTAAACGTCACAGCCAAATCAGCAAAGGAACAGAGGATTAGATCCGCTCGACATGGGCGTCAAGGGCTTGTGGTCACTCCTCGGTCCGGTGGCCAGACCCATCAAGTGAGTAGTTATTCACGCGAATGACCTCTCTTTCGTTGTGCTTGAAAACTACTGATAACACGCACGCCCACTGCTCGTCGTGTCACAGGCTGGAGACGCTCGAAGGAAAGAGGATGGCCATTGATAGTTCCATCTGGCTGTACCAGGTAAGACTGGCTTTCGTTACGACGGTTGAGGAGCTCCGAAGGCTAGACCGGCGTCGTCGATCCAGCGCTTTCATCTCGTCTCCCACCTTGACTGACATGTCCCGCCATCATCCTATACTCCCAGTTTCAAGCGACCATGCGTGACAAGGAGGGTCGGGTTCTCGTCAACGCCCACGTCCTCGGTTTCCTTCGCCGGATCAACAAGCTCCTCTTTCACGGCATCAAACCCGTATTTGTATTCGACGGCGGTGCTCCCAACTTGAAGAAGAGCACGATCGCTGAGAGGAGGAGGAAAAAGGCTGGGGCGGCTGCTAATCATGCCAAGGTCGCCGAGAGGTTATTTGCGGCGCAGATGAGAAGGGAAGCCGTCAAACAAGCTCAGGCGTGAGTGTCTCCCCTTTTACCTGCCTAGGATCTGATCGGTACAGTGCTGATGGCGTCTACGCATTCCGGGCATCCGCAGACAAAGGGAGAAACAACAGGCCTCGGCTGAACAGAGAGGCCAGGCAGAATATGGATACAGACCCGAGGAGGGAGAAGCGATCCCGGAAGGGGCCGAGTACTTGGAAGAACTCGAAGACGATGGGCCCAGGAACGAGTCGACCCCTGCTAGGAGGAGGCTGACAGGTGAAGACTCTCCAGCGAGTCGCGGCGGTGGCGAAGGGTCTCCGGCTACCGGAGCTGGTGCTGGAGCGGGCTCACTGAGCTTGGACGAGCTGGGAGAACAGCGGAGGAAGAAGTTTCGGAAACACGATCCATACCGCCTGCCCGAACTGCCTGACAATGCCTTTCGACCGCCTACGATGGGAGGCGTAGCTTCGGGATCGAAAGCTTCGAATACCAAAGGATCGGGACCTGGAAGAGCTTCCCGTCTGGACCCGCGTCTAGCGACTGAAGAAGAACTCCAGCATTTCATCGAAGAGATGCGTCCTGAAGACCTCGATTTCGATTCCCCTGAATTCCACTCGTTACCTACCGAGGTGCAATACGAGATCATCGGTGATCTCCGGATCCGATCGAGACAACAGTCTCATAAACGCCTGGCTTCGATGTTACAAAAGGCACCGACCCCACTGGATTTCTCCAAAGCCCAGATCGCGCAGTTGAGCCAGAGGAACGTACTGACGCAGAGGCTATTGACCGTGACGGACACAATCGGGAATTCGGGATTGCAGATCCCTGTGAGGGTAGCTAGTGAGCGGAACAGGGAGTACGTCTTGGTTCGAAACCCCGAGGCGGAGGGCGGAGGGTGGGTCCTGGGGGTCAGGGATCAGGGGACGGAGCAGGCCCCGATCATCGTCGAGGAAAGCCCGAGGAAGAAGAAGAAGGCACAGAGGGCGAGGATCGTGGATGGGGTCTTGCGAAGGGAAAAGCGTAAGCACGAAAGCAATAGCGAGGAGGCGAGCGGTGACGAGCGGAACGGCGAAGAAAAGGAAACCGACGAGGACGAGGTGGTGCCCATCCCCTTCACCATGGACCCCGACTTGCGAGCTTCGAGGCAGAAGGAATTCCTCGATGCGGTCGCTCGACGGCATACACCGAAAAAGGCGGGCGGGAAGCAGACTTATGATCAGGTCATCAAGGCGAAACCCAAGCAAAAGGAGAGCGTGCCTCTGTTTATCGAGGACGACGTCGAGGACGAGAATGCGGAGGACGGTGGAGACGACGCGGTCGACGAGTTTGAGGAGGTCCAGGTGAATCGGGTTGGTACAGCACACGTACCGGTAGAACCGCCCTCGTCCGACGTCGAGATGGAAGAGATCGAGGTTGAAGTCCCGATCCCCGATCTGGATCTTCGTGCGGCCATGTCAGAGAGCGTGATAGAGGCGCTGCGCCGGAGAGAAGAAGAAGACCGAGCCTTGTTGGCGGCTTTACGGGCTAGCAAGTCGGACGCTCGGCTACACTTTGACGCGGCCGAGAGGGACGGCAGTATAGCAGAGACGAGGTCGACAATGACAGAGAGCGTCAAGGACCTGGGATCGGATGACGACGACGAGAGTATGGAAGAGGTACCGTTGGAAAAAACGACGGGGAGTAAACCAACCGCCGAGCCGTTCAGTGAAGTGTCACCCTTCTTTCCACCTGAGCCACCCGTCGCGGGACCTTCCCGCACCAGGGTGGATCCCGAGTCTTCAAACAAGACCGTGGTCACATCGAAGGACTATGCTCGTCCTCCAAGTCCTAAGTTGCAATCGAACGGCTTGCTGGACACGATCGACGATCCTTCAACCGATAATGCGGCGCCACTCGTCAATCTTCTCCTCGTCGACCCCGAAGTGGATGCGTTGCAACAGACTCCGAAGAACACATCGAAAGCGCAAGCGGTCGATCCATTCTCAACTCCACTAGCTAAACCAGCGAAACAGTCCGCCGAAGCTCGCCCCGAAGCACGAAATTCCCATAGCCCTATAGTGAATGACAGACCACTGGTCACTCCCGCCAAGGTCCAGCCGGAACGGCCTCAACCACCGGTACAAGTACCTCGCCAACAGGAGACCATCAAACGCTCCGCGCCTTCACTTCCGCAAGTCCGGGGAACCAAGACGATAGAAATGCCATCAGTCCCGGTAGCTTCTAAATCCACGCGTGGAAGTGTAAAGGAGCATCATGCTCAAAAGGACAAGGCCGAAACACCCGCTTCAGAAGCTCAAATCGCCCCAAGTCGTCGACCATTCACAGCCTCAACGTCGGACCCCTCGCCATTTATTGATGTAGCTGACAAGATGGACGAGGAACCAGAGGCAAATAGCAACCCGAAAGAACAGCAAATCCTGAGCCTTCCGGCACCACATCCCACCGAGATCGAAACCCACGTGGAACCGATAGTACAACCGGACCCAGGTGTCGCTGGGCCGCCAGACGATAAGGAAGAAGATATGGAATGGGAAGCCTCGCCCCCTCCCGCTCCAAAACAGCTCTCTCGTAATGTGTCCAAGGCATTATCGGATGTCCAGCAACAGGACAACTTTGACCGTGCTCTGCTACGTGCTAGTCGGGACCCTGACGAAGACGACTTTGACGACTCGCTATCCATCCGGGACGATGATGACAATTCGGATGATGGTCTATCCGAGCACGAGAGGGCTGAACATCGAAAAGGCATCTTTCCCGCCCCGCCTAGAGATTTGGCAGAGGACGAAGGAGGCGTCGACATGAACGCCGAGGGTGACGATTACGCCCGCTTTTTGTCGCAGATCAAGGGACGCAATCTGACTGAAGTACGACAAGAGATCGACAACGAGATCCGAACGCTGAACCAGCAAAACAAGGTTGCGATGCGAGACTCGGAAGAGATTACCCATCAGATGGTCGCTCAGATACAACTCATGCTGCGTCTCTTCGGTATACCCTACATCACGGCACCCATGGAAGCCGAAGCTCAATGTGCGGAACTCGCTCGGCTGAACCTGGTCGACGGTGTCATCACAGACGACAACGATGTGTTCCTGTTCGGGGGCACCCAGTGTTTCAAGAACCTCTTCAATGACGCCAAATACGTCGAATGTTTTATCGCAAACGATCTCGACCGGGAACTCATGTTGAACCGAGACAGGCTCATCTCGCTTGCATACCTGCTCGGGAGCGATTATACGATCGGCCTTCCTGGAGTCGGTCCCGTCGTTGCGATGGAGCTAATGGCAGAGTTTCCCGGTCCTCGTGGACTGGAGGATTTCAAGCAATGGTGGTTGGAGGTACAGTTGGGTAAAGACGACACGTCGATCCAGACCAAATTCCAGAAGACTTTTGTGAGTGGACATCGTTCCGCGAAACGCTAGTTACAATACCTGAAGTCCGGACATGTCGATATATAGAAGAAGAAATTCTCCAACGTCATTCACATCGACCCTGGATGGCCAAATCCCCTCGTCGTGAGTCCCGTATACGTGTTGCTACACTCCACTGCAAGCTGAAGGTATCCTTTCTACAGCGAGACGCCTATAATAATCCAGAGGTCGAGACTTCCGATGAGCCGTTCAACTGGGGTTTCCCGGACCTGAACGGCTTGCGAGGGTGAGCACGGCCGCCCGAGAGTTCTGGCGTTCCCAAAGCGCGCGCTAACATGTCAGTCTTACAGCTTTCTGAGAACGGAGTTGTCATGGTCCGTGTCGAAAGTGGATGATGAATTGACTCCAATTGTGCAACGTATCGCGAGGAGAGGACAGGTGAGTGATTCCTCTGAAGCATACTTCGATTGTCGGTAACTCATTTGAGCGTTGTGTGATAGGCGGGAGCGATGAACAAGCAGACCATCCTCGATCCCTTCTTCGACGCGTCTCTCGGTAAAGGCATGTTCGCGCCTCGAGTTCGGACCAAATATCCCTCGAAACGACTGCAGGCGGTCATCAAGATGTTCCGAGAAGCCGAAGCTAGGATCCGTGGCGAAGTTGTCCCGGAGCATTTCGGCGAGATGCTGGCCGATCTCGAAGATGAGCCATTACGAGAGGTCGATCTGAATGATGCGAACCAGCTGAACAACACAGGGCAGAATGAGACGGGCACAAAGCGCAAAGTCTCGGCAACCAAGAGGAAGCGAACGAGTGCTGGAGAAGGCGAAGAGAACGAGGGCGTGCAAAAGAAGGCACCTAGGCGGCGCAAGACGCAAGACAGCGAAAGCGTGGCGGACATGGACGATGGCGAAGCGACCGGGAGCCGTTCGCGGGGATCGTCGAACGCTTCTACCCGTGGAAAGAGAGGAAAAGCAACAAGGGGCGGTACGCGGGGCAGCAAAACGAAAAGGACGCGGTCGACCCGATCCGAATCGACAGCCCGGCCGGTGGAAGGCGATAATCAAATAAATGTGACAGGGCTGCAGCCGGTCTCCTCCCCTCTCGATGATCAAGGGTATGACCAGCTCTTTCTGGAGATCGCTAGCGATCCTGTCGAGCCGGAAGATGATCATCCGGGGAGACCGAGACCGAGGCAAAGGAAGAATATCGATGGGCCCTTTTAGAGATTGAGTCACCCCCACTGTATCCTAGCTTCTAGACAACCATGTAGCACATCATACGAGAAACATGTCTGTTCGACTTGAGGGTTGAAGAAGTTGTGATTAGCAACTCCGACGGATTGCCTTCTCGTTCAAGGAAAGTAGCGGCGATATGGGATAGCGTAATTATGCCTGACGTGTCGGCGACCCAGAAAGCAGAGGACTCGGCCGGCAAGCGGGCCCCAACTCCAGCGGCGTTAGTCTCTAGGGGCGGCAGTTTCTTCGAGTGATGTCGCTATAATCTATACAAGGGAATATAGCTGGTTGAAACGTATTTATTTCAAACTAAAACATACATTCAAACAGAACGACAAGGTATACAGCAGACAGAGGCTCGATGTGTAAAGCAGAGATGCGCCATTCATCGAGGCAATTCGCCGGCCAGGTGGTTATACTTTGGTCGCTAACTCCGGAAGCCGTCATGCTCGAGTATCGATACAAGTCACCGATCATCGTAGCCATGGGTTTCAGCGATAGTGCATCTGTGTTGACTCTACTCGTATCGCTGCACAGGACGATGGTTGCCCAGCAGCAGGATCCGAAAGTTGAGGCGCGCGTGTCAACAACGCGCGCCGAGTAGTCTAGCTGTCACAGAGAGGCTCCTCCTTCAGTTAAAAGAACAAAGTGATAAGATCGGGGTTCAAATCCTGCGCCTGGCATATTATTGACCTGAAAAGATGAAATTACACTGAAGGAGAGAGTACTCGGCCAAGGCCAACGAGGGTTAACTTCACTAAAAGATGCTAGAAAAGAGAGACAAGCACACTAATACAGCAGGGCACCCCACCTATACATCAGCGTAATAAATCGATGGCCAATCATTCGAAGATTCAACTCCTAGAATGGTTGGTGGGCGAAAAGCATTTTTTGCAGTTTCGACATCAGTCACTGCAGAGTGTCATGCTCACTGAATTTTGTAATCCACGATCGTGAGCACCTAACCAACCCCTTTGTGCTGATTTTTTACAATCACAACGTTTTTGCTCCTTCTCGGTTCGGGTCGTTTGTCATTTCCGTGTTTTTATTTGTTCAGCACTTCCATTTCCAAGTATTCTACCGCAATTCTGCAGCACGATCAACGACTGAGGGGATGTCTTTGACCTGGAATCGATACCGCCCTACTCTGGCTAACAATTAGCGCTTTCGCTCGACAACCGAGGCACTGGTCCTTTATTTGGTCACAACTTTGTCGCCTGTCGCCTGCTGGTGGAACGGCTCCTGGATATGTTCAAGTGGTATATCGCCTATCCCTCTGTGAAGTCTAACCTCTGGATAGACCGGTATGTAAAGTAGAGGCACGGGTATAACTCAATAAAGGAATCACATTCTATCGTCTAAATCAGTTGAGGTAGACAAGCGATGTACGTGCCGGCTTGAACCTCCTCCTCGCCCAGCGCAGACCAGACCTTCCCAAACGTTTGTTTCGCTCGATTGCTCGATGTATACTGCTTCTACCCGAGGAATACGACTTGGCTGTTTCAGGTGGTGTCGTGAGCCTGCGATGTTATAAGAGAGACTTGCGATCAGCGGCACGCGGTCTGAGTTTCGAAGGCAAGACTGGCGTGAGACCAAAGATCGTTCAGAATATTGCCCATACGTGGCCCAAGGAATTCAGGTAGAAAACCCCCTTCCGCTTTCTCTTCTCTTCGACCTTATTGCCTCGATCTCGGCGAGTCGACCTATCTTGCTCATCGCTGGCGGTTCCAAGCTCCGCATAACAAACGATCTGTCTGCTGCCTCGAACCGTCTCCTTAGCGGTATGCGAATCTTGCAGTCCTCACCCTGACCACTTCCTGCCATTTTCCGAATCCAAGCGGGACCCCTTGAACGCGCTCTGCCTGTCATCCAATCGAATCCGTGCTTTCATCTTTTAGTACAACGCTCGTCCCCTCATCGTCCCCGACCGCCCACTTCACTCTCAAGCGTCCTCCTCGATCGACTCGGCGATTCCCTGCTCGAGTCCAAAACAAACGAGGAAGGGATGGCATTCCACAATCAGCTCCTGGCTTTCATCCCCGACATGGCGAGACGAAGTTGACGGCTCACCTTGGGAGTGTCGGCACTTCCTCCGAGCTCGGCTTCTAGCCCGTTGTAAGGATACGACCTCTTGGCAGCCGGGGATTCCATCTTGGTAAGGTAGACGAGGTAGCCGAATCCGGCCATGGTGGTGAAGGCCATGATCATCTGGCGATGTCAACGATATCCACACGACGAGGGTTAGGGTCACAGATTATTGAGTATGTGTCAACGTGGTGGAAAGATGGAGACGAGGCTCACCTGGGTCAGAGCCCAGCTGGCAGGCATGGGGTGGGCATCGGGGGACCACATGGAGAGCGAGTCTTCTTGCTCGTGAAGCTATGCAAACGGCATATGCCTGTGTCAGTATCAAGCGTTGGGAAAGTTGCAGTATATAGCAACCCAAACCTGACGTACGGTCTCGCCAAAGTTCCTTCGCTCTTGGTTGTCCCACCATCCCTTCGGGACCCGTCGTTGCAGAGATACGTAAGGGAGCTCGGGGTATCCATCGACTAGCATAATAGCGTTAGAGACTCCATATTAGCCAAGATCGCCCGGCAGATAGTATTGATACCGTGAACACAGCTCACGTTGCGGGTCGGGAAGAGCTCCAGGGTTTCGTGACACTTCAACGACGTCCAGGGGTTGCAAGGGCGTGACCTCGGCCCGTCGAGCAGAGGTGGAAGCGATGGTCCTGGCCTGAGTCCTAGGGAGCGCTACGGCGGCTCGTCGAAGAGCGGCAGATCGAGAGGCGAACATGATGGACAGGCTATGTATTGGCTATACACTCGTTGATAGTGGAAAAGTGTTGTGCCTATATACCTCTAGATGTTTGTATGTGGTCGACATCGACGTCGAGATGATCTCTACCGTACTCGAGAGCCTCCTCGATTGGAAGAAGCACAAACGTGGTTCGCGCAGAGTCCGAGGTCAATTGGGGGAGAGGGACCCGGTCATCAGCGACGTCGGAGGGTTCAACAGTACTGTATACATGATACAACTATCGATCCAACTGCCACCCCCCGTTCCCGTGCCAAACTTATCCAGGCAAACCGACCGAGAGCCAACCCTGACACCTTCCAGATGGCCAAGAATGCCAATCCCGTTGAAGCGCATCGTAAGAATCGAATCCCTGCAGGTCGATCCGTTCGGACGAGCTGACGAGTGCAAACGAATCTTGCACGTACAGGCAAGGCGATGCGCAAAAAGGAGCTCAAACGAAACAAGGAAGCCAGAACCAAGACTAGGGAGGTCATCACGCTCAAAAAGGATACTGGTGCGCTAGATGCAGAGGTCCGAAGACTTACTCAAGCAGGTCGGTACTCTTTCGACGACTCGCGTTCGGATTCTGGAGCTGGTTTCGCTTACCATTGACTTGGACCATCCTCGCGTCTGTTCCGCTCAGAACAAGCCAAAGAGCTCGACGCGGCCGGTATCGCTCGACTGAAAGAGGTCAAGGAGGAACTAGAGAGAGTTAAAAAAGCCAAGGCGGATTATGTCAAGGCGAACCCGGAGGCAGAGGATCTCGTCTACAAGCGGGAAAAGGAGAGGGAAAAGGCTCGATTGGCGGAAAGGCAAGCGACCGGACAGGGGGATCGAGTGAGGGCGGCGCCGGGGATTTCGATTTATGGAGTGAGGAGTGTGTTTTATCACGAGGTCTTGAACCCTCTGGGACATCCTCCGCCTGGGATGTTTGATCAGGAGAGACGTGAGTCGTCTGTGTCTACAGCCAAGCAAACGGATAAGCCTAGCTAAAATGGATATCTCCTCTTCTCAGCATCGGATGAGATGTTTGACGCATCGTCGAGCGACGGCGATTCAGGTTGGTAGAAGCGGTCAAAGCGCTGATCGTGGACCGCCAGACTGACGGCACGCATATACCTGGCAGATTCCGACATCGTGATGCCCGAGGGAAGCCCTTCCCGGCAGCAAGGGGATGAAGACGACTCGGATTCGGATGACAGTATTGTCATGCCTGAAGGGGATGCACCGCCCGAGGCTAGATTGGCTCCCCCGCCCAGTGAGCCCAGGAATTTCTATAGTGAAACCTGATCTTTCAGCTCATCGTCTGCCATTTCCAGGTGCGCCCATGTCGCTGATGACCCCTGCAGGTCCTCCCATGTTTGTCCCTTACCGACCGCCACCTTTCTACCCAAGCAACAATTTCCGACCGCCAAACCAGCACCAAGGCTTTGGGACGGGTTCGAATCACATGCCGCTTCCTCCGCCTGGTTTCTTCCCAAACAATTACAACAACAACAATGGTCGTACACCGCATTTCCAGCCTGGATTCCGACCTCCCCAAAATCGACCGGGCATCATGCATCAAGATCCTCTTTCGGACATACCGCATTCCACGTTCCAGGCGCATCGCATAGCTAAACAAGAAGGCGGAGCGACGACCGGCGAACAGGCCGGTCCCGGCGATGCTGCTCCCGTCCCTGCAGCAGCGGTAATCGAAGCAGCACCTCAGATTCGAGATCTACGTAAAGAGGCGGCAGCTTTCGTACCCCGAGCTGCCAAGAAGAAGAAGACGGTCGCTTCGGCCATCCAGGTCAACGCTGCTCCACCGCCAGACGATGACCCTGCTATGGCCAATGAAGAGCCCTCGCTGGTTGCTGAAGACAAGGAAGAAGGAAAACCCCCTGCTCCGGTCTACAACCCTGCTGCTGGCGGCCTTATGGGCAAATTGTCCGGTATCCTCGGTTCGGCTCCGGCTAGTAGGACGACGGATAAACCGAAAGATGATTATCAGTCTTTCTTGGCCGGTCTGGATAACCTCCCCCAGTGAGGCTCTGTGTTGGGGGAAGGGGCTGTCCTGCGTATACTATGTGACAGAGTATGCTCGAAACAGTACAATATGCTTGGATAATCTTTTGCCTGGGGAGGCGGTCTCGCTTCGTGAATCCGATGCTCAAATGGAGGGGAAACGGTTCCGAATTTCGCTGTCTTGATCTTCAGCCTGGGCCAGAGCCTGGAGTGCCTTTCGTCCCGTTACGAACAAGAGATGCAAGCGAACCCCGAACCCTTGGATCACGTACAGTTAATGTGTGCTTGTGTGATTGAAAGCTACGCCGACTCGCGGGTTTATAAAATCCAGATTACGTACACGCCTCGTGATCTAGTGATCTAGTGAGCTAGTGACCGATGTTGGAACGACCGAACCTTTCGTTACGAGCGAGACCCAGGAAGGTGCAACTTTCGATCAGATCTCGATGTCGAGTCCTAGAATACCACGTTTGGCAGTCCAATTCTAGCCAGCATATAGGCCGCTGATGCTGCGGCAACGATCGACTTTTGAGCGACAAGACCATACCAAGCGGAACGACCTTGAGTCTCGCCGATACCCGCGACGTAGGATTAGGAACCTCTAGCTGCATGACATGACAGACTCGAACATTCGTGGCCATGTGAACATGGGAGGTTCATCCGCCAGCCCATCGACGAGCGCACATGGACGAAGAATGGACCAGGACATTTCTCCAGCCAACAGGGCAGAAGCTTCGGATTCGAGCAAGACCGAGACGAAACGCAGACGGGTATCGACCGGTTTGTAATAGCTTCTCCCTGAAAAGAGCCACCGCGCTGAAGGCTGACTATCGGTCTGGCCGATCTTCTCTAGGTTGCTTGACGTGCAGACGACGCAAAGTGAAATGCAATGAAACGCATCCGGTCTGTTCGCAGTGCCAGCGCCTCGCGGTAGAATGCATATGGAGTCAGTTATGGACGTATGGGGTGACCCGTTGGGTAACTCGCTAACCTCGCTAAATGGAAATATACAACGGTGTTCATCAGAGGATACCCAGCAATACTCGAATAAATCTATTAGATCATGCCGACGTGCTTGTGATCAATGTCGCATTTCGAAAGCGGCCTGCTCGTTCCACGATCCCACATGCACGACCTGCGAGCGAAAGGGAATCGACTGCACCTGGAAGCTCGCCGAAAAGGGCTCGACACCTCCACCTGCCTCGGCTCCAGCGGCAGGAGATGAGCTAGCCAGGATCGAACCTATAGCGCCGCATAGACCGATTCTGCATGATGGAAATGTCAAGAAGCTCGTGTCCATCTACTTTTTCCGTGTCTACAACGTTTCGTGGTGAGTGCAGCTAGCTGATTGTGTTGTACGATCGAGGACACGGGGCTGACACCCGTGCGCAATCTCTCGATCTCCGTGTCTTCGTTTGGGTTAGGCATGGATTCTTACACCGAGCTTCCTTCATCCAGAGATTACATCGCGGCCAGGTTCCTCGACATCTCCTCACATCGGTCTGCCTTGCCTCGGCCATCGTGCTCGGTCTCGATGCTGAAGACTGCAAGACCCGGCTGGCCGACTGTCATCGACAAATCTCGGAAGCGATCATCTCGCCGACTTTGGATCTGCTTTGTACGATACTGAACATCATCTACTGCGAGATGGCTATCGGCAGACGATCGGCTCTTTGGATGTTGTCGGGAATGGCGAACAGGTAGGTTGGTCGTTACGGGCCTGATCTTTGCTAGGGGATCTCAATCTCGCTAAATTGAAATTGGCCACGCAGAGTGGCCCTGGCCCATTCTCTTCATCTGCCTGGAGACGATAGCATGCCTGGCGGAGAGACGCGCCGACGTCTCATGTGGGCTTGTTATTGCATCGACATCATGGTCACCGGGAAGCAAACCGAGTTGGCGTCCTTTGCGCTCGACCGGATTGCCATCCAGTTACCCATGGACGAGAGATCCTTCATGTTGCGGTTCAAGGCGACTACTCGGATCTTCAGATTGCCGTGGCAGCCACCGTCCGAGGCCGAACGGGGAAGAGAGGGAATGCCTGCGCAAGGCGTCATGTTATTTGCTCTTTCGCATAGCGTTCTCAAGTGGGTAATCGGAAAGGCTTCGAGACGATCGTCGCTTAGCATTGAACCGCCATAGATACCTCGCGGTTGCACAATGGGAGCAACCAGATCTACCGGGATCGCAGTTTCAATCCTGTCAGATGGACTTGCTAGCCTGGCGAGACTCATTGAACGCCGCACTGGAGTGCACGGAAGAGAACGTCTTTACGAGGATCGAAATGGGACAATCCACAGCGTTCTATGCGTGTACGTCTCGTGGGATCCCAGAAGCGACGTGGTTTGCTGACAGTCCTCAATACATGGAACAGTGCATCTGCGGTACAACTGGGCCATGGCGACGTTGTGCACTTCGGCACTGCAACGACCCAGCGAACTTCTGAACGTGGACTGGCACCGCCAGATCATGGCCGTCTGTCAAGAATCTTGGCTGAGCATCGCCGATGTTGGAGATACTTTGCTCAGCGCTGATCCGGATTTCGTTCCTGAAGATCCCACTCGTAAATCGCGTTTCGACTCCGAATATGCCATGTCCATGAGTACTCACGGTTGCAAACAACAGTTCTGGAGCTACTAACGGACGCCGTTGAGGCGCAGCTGGTCGATGCGATCCGAGCGGGTTTGCCACCTCATCACACCGTACAACATCGCATAGGTACGAACCTCATCTTGATGAAGCGGATAGCTCTTCTTTTCTCGGGACCCAAGACTCAGTTGATCGATCTCATCGGTCGACATGACGCAACACTGCGTAGCGTGCTCGATCATCGAGCTGTCGACCAGCTTCGCCGGGACCTTGGCTTGCGCGAACAGCCAGATGTCGACCGACGACCGCCGATACAAGCGACCCCTTTCATATTGGACAACGGCATCGGAGGCCTTCAGACCGGTAGCTCAATGGTACCACCAGTGAACCAACTCTTAGCCGGTGCCTCCAATCCGTCTTCTCAGCCTCCTATCCTTTTCAACCTGGACGCTGTTCCCGACGCTCTGCCGAACGGGATGGCCCCGACCGGGTTCTTTGATTTCGATTTTGACCTACCCGCATATAGCCTGGAGGCACTGGCGGACCCGACAATCAATCTACCTCAGCTTGATAACATGGTGGCGCCCTGGAATGGAGGTGCCGACATGTGGCAGCTATAATATGTAACAGAGCAATACCGATGCACTGCCAAAATACGCGTTTTGATCTCGTAGCGTCTTTTCAATTCGCTATCAAAGTATCATCATGATGTCCCACACGAGTTTTCCGTGATCCTCAAGAGCAAGGAGCCATATGCAGTACCGGGATGCAACTTCGCTACGTAGATGGCTCTACTTGTCAAGTTGTTCATGCATTTCGCCTGTCAGGAGGCAAATGTACATCCGGCCAATAATTACACACGCGTGAGAAAGCGATCATACACCTCTCGCTCTTCCCTCCTCCCGTGTTCCCCCGACCAGTCGAGGGTAGGGTAGGTAGGGTTGTCGACAACGATTTCAAGGAAATCGATAACAAGCTGATCTCTCAACGATCCAGATCCTTAGCCAACTCTCATCAAGTCGATCTCACATCTGACAAAATGGATTTCCTCGTCAACCGTGCGTTGTTAGCGGATCGACAGAAGAAACTTCCTGGCGCCCCGAAAGACTGATATCGCAACAATTCCACCGAATCTGATAGGTCCCAACCGAGTCCTCGAGAAGCAGAAGTACCTGCAGTCCTTGTCCGGCAAGGAGATGGTCTTTTGGCGAGGAACCAGGTCGAAGATCTACGTCAGTGAGTATCGTCGGCCATTCGGAGCTGTTTCGTTCAGTGCGGCTTGTACTGCGCCAACAATATCACTAATTGCATGTATCTTCATCTACTCCTACAAACTCATCTTGGGAAACACCTGGATTAGCCGCCTACTGCGCTCTTCTCGGAGTTTCGCTCCTCGGAACCGGTACCACTCTCGTTCGATACGCTTTCGTACGCACCTTGGCCGTCTTCCGATCGTTATAGGGGAAGCAGACAGCTGACGAAATGGCCTACTTGATTTTACTATCCTGTTCATAACGATCATGACAACCACAACCAAACTTTGTGGCGCACCTTATTCCCTTCAATATCTTTTTCACCTCAAACCACCTTACACTACTCTTCCCGCTTTCCTATTCCGTTTCGCTCAACTCTCGGACGCCCAAAACTCAAATCTACGCCAACCTGAACATGATGGCACCTTCCTGCCTGCCAACCCTTACCAAATCAAACCCCGCTGTTCTACAGGGTACCGCCCCCAAGAAGGGCGAGCCCGCTGCCGAGTAAACACTCGCGAGGCGAGCATGGAATGGGAAAAATTGTACATCAAATTGAAGTGTAGCGGGATGCATGGGAAGCACGGTCTTGCGGGAAAGATCGGGAATATAAAGAAATACACACAAACGCAATCAGCCCATGCGGAAGGACGGGCACACCAGAGCGCGGCGGGAGACCGATCAATGTCTTGAAGCATGCCAAAGCCTTTCCGATGTCCCGCGCAACATCTGCCAGGTTATTGGCGAGATACGACATCCTATGTTTGATACCGGTCATACAGCCTCTGGTTGATACTGGTCGCCGTCGGCGCACCTCACCCCCGTCATCTTTTTGAGTGCTTATTTTGTTTCGCGGAATCTCAATTACAATCGGAGATGCTGGGCAGCGACCAGAACCGAAATTATCGCCATGAGATAGAATGATCACTCGTTGATGCATCATCTTGAGCAAATGATCTCGTCGCCGTCGCCGCGTGGGAATGGACTGGACAACAGGCATATGCTCGTGCAGCCGATTTCGAGATGGATCAATATCGTCGTTTTTACAGCTATACAGGAGGATGATTCGACAGACCCGCAAAAGGTTGTCTCGTCCTCGGATCATCCATTAATATCACAAATCCGTTCGTAAGTCATTAAAGAGTCATCCGGACAATCGCCTCGATGCGATCGCGTTACAATTCGAATTCCGAATCCGACCCGTCGATCTCGATGTATGCCGTCTTTTTCGTGGCCGTAGTCCGAGCTCTTCCCCCGGTCGCTCGAGGTGGCGGTGCGAGATCCAGAATGCTATCAGAAAAGTATGCGATGAGCTACTGTCAATCTTCTCGAATGTAGCCGACCCAGACTTACGAGTCGTCAAAGTCATCGTCGTCAGAGTCGTCAAGCTTCTTCTTGGATTTTGCAGGTGCCACCTTTCTCGCCTTTGGTGGGGCCGCATCCGACTCTTCTTCATCGTCTGTGTCAAGTGTCCTCTTTTTCGATTTGGCCGGAGCCGCCTTCTTAGGCTTCGGCACCGGGATGTCCGATTCGTCGTCGTCGCTCACTGGGACCGCCTTTTTAGCCGCGGCTTTCGGTTTCGCAGCAGGTTTCGTGACTTTCGCAGGAACAGCACGAGGTGTGAAGTCTTCCTCGTCGTCCGAGTCCAGCTTCACTTTGCTTGATGAAGCCTTTGCATTGGGTGCTGCCGGTGTGATGTAGTCTGTGTTTCAAGTGGGCGATGAGGCCAATTCACAACATTGCTCAGGCTGATCTGGTCTCACCATCGTCACTCGCATCGTCGATCTCTTCATACTTGGGAGCTTTTGCCTTCGGGACCGGCTTCTTTCGCACCGGCTCATCATCGCTAGACCCTGTTGCCTCCCTGCGGACAAGCCATAACTTTAACAAACGCATCTCTTGCCGTTCTGGAATCGATTGTCTTACCTGCCCCGCTTCTTCGCTGCCCCTTCTGCTTCCTTGAAAAAGTCTTCGATCTTGTTTTGTTGTTCTTTCGCAGCGACCTTTGGTTTCGCCGGAGCGCGAGGCTTCGCCGCCGCTTTAGCCTTGACAGGCTTGTAGTCCTCTTCGGAATCGGACCCAGCGCTAATGCCGAGCTTGCGCCCGGCGACTCCGCCTTTCTTGGGTTTGATACGCTTGCTGTTCTCGATATCGCCTTGGAGCATATTCTGCGAAAGGTATGCATGTCTCAGTGCGGAATTCTCGATCGCAACTTGGAAGCAAACTACCCACATGCCATTCAATCAAGAAGTTTTCGAGATCGTTGTTCCAGATATCGGTTGGGGTCAGCTTGAGCAAGGTAACGAGCTCGGCTTCCTTTTGATCCCTTTCCTGGATCAATTTCTCGATCTGTTAGATGCGAGTGCACAACGACGTTAGCGGCACCGATCTCGACAATCGGGATCGGACAAGACTGGCCTTTTCGCGTGTCAGACTCCAGATAGCCATCCCCAGCAAGTAGTCGAAATCGCCGGCTTTGCCTTCATCCTCCTCTTCCAAGAACGGTTCATCCTCACCTGCCTCCCTGGCCTTCTTGGTCTTGGGGAAAGCCTTGAACTTCAACGCGCGCAATTCCTCCTCGAGACTCGATTTCTTCTTGTTCGATACGACCAGAGACTTGTCAACGATCATCTGAACGAATCGAGCCTGGTTAGAGACCCTGTCGAATTGCCTAGTGAGCTCATCCGCGAGATTTTGCTGCAAAGCACAGATTGCAGTCAGTACAGGCATCCCGTGCGGTGTGGGGCGATTCTGAGATACCTTTCGGATGCCGTAATACTCTAAGCGTTTGTGGTAAAAGTCTTCCAAGATCTCTTCTGGCGTGTTGTACTTGCGGATCTTCCCATTGAGATCGAAGCATACCATGTTCGAAGTGTTGATGGGTGAGCTCATTCGGAAACGCTTCTCAAGACCTTCCTCTTCTGCCTTGCGCATTTCCGCTTCGCTCATGGTGATAACGAAGTGGACGGTAGTATCGGTATGGTATTCCTTGTAGTCCTGTGGCAAGAGACCGATAGTGAGTGAATGCGGGATGGCATACCCTGCTGATGAGATTGGACTCACCTTGAGCGTGGCAGGGCTCTTTTCCGTCCCGACGACCCATTCTTCCAACATCTCTTTGTAACTTTGAGTCCACACGCGGATGGGCAATTCGGTGATCTCAATGGTTGTACTGTTGATCTTGGTCAGGATACCGTTACACTTGAAACTCTTGTCAGTCGTCCTCTCAATCGTACCCTGCCATCAGCATGAATGCAGATTCGGTGATTTAGTTGATATCGTCTCCGGAATGGACAAGACTGTACTGACCTTGAACCCCCTGTACCAAGGCGTCATGGCTTCGAGCGGTTCGTTGTTCATCATCCTACGGAGATTGTCGACAATGTCGATGGGGTTGTAGTTTGGCACATAGGTACTCCATCCTGTACCGATACCATCCGCTCCATCGATGAGCACGAGAGGCACTGTGGGAAGGTAATACTCCGGCTCGATGCTCATGTCGTCTTCAATCTGGTACCTCAGAATCGGATCGTCATGTGGATGGAAGATTGTCCTCGTGATGCGCGGGATGCTGGTGAAAATGTAACGAGCGCTGGCGGCGTCTTTTCCTCCCTAGAGCGATTATCACCAAATCGTCCGTCAGTGACACGCACAATCAAGATGACCATCAAAAGCCTGCTTACAGAGTTTCTGGTACCAAACTGACCGCTGGGCTCGAGGAGATTGATATTGTTGCTACCAACATAGTTCTGCGCCAATCCGACGATGGTCATCGTCAAGCTGACTTCTCCATGGTGGTAGGCCGTTTTTTCCGAAACGTATCCGGCCAGTTGCGCAACCTAGAATGGGCAGAGTCTTCAGGAAAGAAGTCCAGTTACCGACGATCGCTGGAACACACCTTGATCTCCTTGACCAGATTCTTCTTGAAAGCCGCAAAGATAACCTTTCGCTGACCGGGTTTAAGACCGTCCGCCATGGAAGGGATGGATCGGATGTTATCGGCCATGGAAAACAGAATCAACTCCTTGTTGATAAAGTCCTTGATGGGTACCCGGTCGATGTCGTGGTCCAGATAGGTGCCAGGCTAGTAATCGAATCCACCAACATGAGTTTCGGTCGATCCCGAAAAAGGGCACTCGCGGCAAACGTACTCTGAACTGCCTCAACCACTCTTTTCGGTCGTCCGCCTTCTTCTTGTTGAATGCCAGATCGATCAACTCTCGGTCACCCTGCTGTGTCTCCATGAAAGGCAGCTTATGCTTCTGCAAGTCACTGAAGTACTTTTTCGCATCTTGGGCAGTCGAAGTACCCAGACCCTGGCAAAGTAAGCATTTACCTGAAGGGTTAGTCATCTACACTCGATACGTATGCTTTGGAGCTGCTCACCTTGTAGTACTTGGATTCCCATCCCTTTCCGTTGTTGTTCGCCTCCTTCCACTCTTCGTATTGGGGCATTGTATAAAACGTGTGCACTTGTTTTCCCTTCCACACCTTGACAATGGGAGTGATAAACTCGACCAAGAAGTTGGGAATCTTGAGCAATGACGGGTAAAAGTGATCGAGGAAGTTAATGATGAGGCCCTTGATGTGCGAACCATCGTGATCTTGATCGGTCATGATCATCAGACTACCGTATCGTAGACCGTCCACGCTCGTGTACTCCGTCTTGTGCTTGAGACCCATGATCTGCTTGATGTGCTGGATCTCGACGTTCTTCAGAATCTGGTCGGAGGCGGCTTCTCTGACGTTCAAAAGCTTTCCTCGAAGCGGGAAAACGCCGTAGTTGTCACGGCCCACTACCGAAAGTCCAGACACCGCGAGAGCCTTGGCCGAGTCTCCTTCGGTCAAGATCAGGGTGCAATCTTTCCCCTTTCTGCTTCCAGCATTATTGGCGTCTTCCAGCTTGACGATACCAGAGATACGCGAGGTTTTGACACCGTCCGACTTCTTCATCATCTGATCCGTCTTGAACTTTGCAAAGCTGAGCACGGCTTCAACGATTCCGGTTTTGGCGACTGTTTCGAACGGGATCGAACAAGACAACGTCAACACCTTGGTCGCATGTACGGACGGACGGCAGGCTGGCACTACCCACCTTTTTTGACAAAGTCCTCGCTCAAGCTCAACTTGCTACCAAAACCTGAAGGCTTCAGAGTCAACGTTTCCTTCGTCTGGGAATCGAATGCAGGATTTTCGACCAGTGCGTTGACAAAGATCCACATGTGACTCTTGATCTGATGAGGTTTCACAGGAGCCGCCTTGTTCTTCTTCTTGATCTGCTCCATCAGAGCGGTCGCCAGCTGACCAGACACCGTCTCAACGTGCGTTCCTCCCTTGATTGTCGAGATGGAGTTTGCAAACGAGACCTGTTGCGCTTGACCATCCGAGAGGGCGAATCCAACCTCCCATCGACCGTCCTTGCTCACTTCGTAGACAATAGCCGGCTTTGTGACGGCTCCGCCACCAGACTCTTCTTCTTGCTTCTTCGTTGCGGCGCTCAAGTACATCTCGATGTACTGCTTGAAACCCTTGACCTTGAGCCGCTCGTCGTTCAAAAAGACCTTGCAATCTTTCACGGTTCCTGCCATGTCGTAGACACGCTTCATGAGCAGAGCTTCGGTGTCGGCGTCAATCTTGTCCATTCCGAAACGAGGAAGATCGGGCTTGAAGGTGATCCTTGTGTATTCTTCGGCCTTCTTGTTGTCGGTGATCTAAAGCATGACGAGGATGTTTAGCATTTCGTTCTCTTTAGGCTTGCCGTGAAATCGATTTACCTTCGGCGTCCCTTTCTTGCTCATGTTGTCCGAGAAGACCTGCTTGTACTTCTTCATTGTATTTTTGTCGGCAGTCTCGACAACTACATGACAAGATCAGCATCAACGCGGTCACTGACGTCCGATTATGACACCGGCATATCACTCACTGAATTCGGTCGAATAGATGTTGGCGAGCTTGGCTCCGTAACCGTTCCTTCCTCCGGTCATCTTCTTCTGGTCGTCGTCGTAGTTGGAAGAGGTCAACCTGAAACGATTCAGTACTCAAGAGAGTCAGCGATCTGGGCCAGTATCATACTACTGTCAGATCGGGACATTCCATCGACACGCACAGGTTACCGAAAATCAGCTCGGGAATCCAAATCTTCTCCTTCGAGTGGATCTCGATGGGGATACCTCGACCGTTGTTGTAAACCGAGATGACGTTGTTTTCCGTGTCGATATTGACCTTGAAGCTGTCCATCGTCGGGTCATTGATCTGAGATCCAACAAGAGCCGTTCAAATGCAAATGAGCCGAAGACCGGTGTCTCTACGGAGTCGGAGCAGTGCGTACCTTGTTATCAGCGGCATTGACCAGGATCTCGTCAAAGATCTTGAAGAAACCCGGAACATAGCTGATGTTCTTCTGCGTCATCCCCTTGGTCTCCCTATCAAAAACCCAGAGTTGAGCTTGAAGATGTTCCACCGAACCGATGTACGAATCGGGTCGTTTCAAGATGTGCTCGAGTTGAGACAGCTACCCATACGGATACGAGAGACAGTCAATACGGTTGGTATCATGTTCTCGGCTGGTATCGGTGGGCTGACCTTTTGATACATCTCACTAGCCGACTTCTTCGGACCGGACGACCCTGATGCCTTGGCCGTCTTCTTGACCGGGGCATCCTCATCGGAATCTTCCATGCTGTTGTCACTTTCCACCGGGTCGGAAACGTCTGGCGAAGCCTCGTCGATACTTTCTACCGCGGCATCCTTCTTGGTCGCCTTCTTGGGCTTCGGTGCTGCTTTCGGTTTCACTGGAGCTTTAGACGCAGGTGCTTTCTGCATATCAAGAATCATTCGGATGAGCTTGCTTCTTTTGTGGGAAAGAAGCGGTCTGTGTCGCTCACCTTTGCTTTCGGTTCAGCGGCAGCTTTCGTAGTCTTCGCTTTGGCAGCGGTCTTCTTTACGGGAAGCTCGAAGTCGGTACCATCACTCTCCATGTGGAAGTCACTTTCCTCAGATTCAGACATTGTATTCGAGGTCGTAACGGAGCGGCGGAATGCCGATCGAGATGAAATGCACGGTATCGGTGACCTGACGAGTGGCGGGAGATGGAAGGTAGCTGCGTTGAGAGAGACCCCTAGGTTTCTCGATGAGCCTGTACAGAGGGACCGCCTACGTCGGATCTGCTCTGAACAGGTCGCGACGAGAGGGCTCGGTGACCGCGAAACGGTTCTGATCCCTATAAAGTTGCGCCAGATGCTCAGGATGAGGTTTTCAAACTACGGTTGCGACCGACAGGGGTGTGGATGTCGTGGAGTTGTGCTATTGTGATGTGATGGATTGTTCTTGATGTTGTTATGGATGTCGTCTTCTTGCCTCTTGGCCTCTTGGGATGATGCGAGTCTGGTTCATAGGCAAGAAGCAGTGAGTGATGTCCTTTTGAAGAAGTTCGTTCGAGCGTTCGACGATCCGATCATCCCAGCACCCACAGGCAAACAAACAACAAACCACCACGGGTTTGTTTACATTTCGTAAGGAATAGATGTCAGGCTGGCTGGCGTTTTAGTCTTCATCTCTGAAACACACCTTACTGCGCCACCGATGATCCAGCGACATGCGATCGAGCTGCTGAGATCTTATGATCCATGTCATGATCTTTTTGGCGAGGCGCAAGTTGGGGAATCGACAGCCCGTCAAAGCCTGTTCTCCTGCTGCTCGTACCATTATTGGGGGCAGTGCCACACTCAGCGTGCTGGGACGGCATCGTCGTCTGCGTCTCGAGCGCGAGCGGCGACGGTCAAAGGGCTTTGAGCGGCGCGTGAGGATCGCTCCCCGAGTTTGCCTCCTGATAAGCAGGGTGAGCACGTCTGAATACCATGCGATCTACAGGAGGTGATCTGTCAGGGGTCACGAGCTCGCAAGATTCAAAGGGGTGTCATGTCAATGTGGGTGTCTGGTATATAGAGGGACTGCTTTGACCGTCGTTCGCCACTGCTGCTCGCCAGTAATCGAGAGAGTTCCATCTCCAAGACCCACCTCTTACCTCCCGTATCTGCTCAACATGTTTCCAGCTCACAGTTACCCTTGGGGAGGAATGCCCTACGCTCATCCCATCCACCAATCTCCTGGATTTCCTTACAACATGGGTGCGATACCAGAGGTCGTACCCGGAACCACCAAGGGAGGGCACGCAGCGATGATGACTCAAGCCTCTATCCAATCGTCGGTTCCCCAGCAAATATCACACCCTGGCATGCCTATGCACATGCCTTCTCCAAGTATGCCGGTCCCCATTCATCCGATGGGGTATGACCCCCGGATGATGATGATGATGGGGCACCCAATGATGTCGCCTTACGGCATGCATCCGGGAATGATGGCAGCCATGATGTCTTCCAGTGGTGAAGGTGTAGAAGCAGCCAATGAGCCCCCGGCCTCACCTTCGCCTCAGGTGTCAAACTCCAAGTCGGCACGAAAGAACCAAGGAGTACGCTTCAATCCCGAACATATGGCCACGCCTGTACCTGGTCATACGCCTCCCCACTTGGCCCCTACCCGTGGTGAGTCACAAAGGTTGTCAACGTAATGGCGCATCGCCGTCAGCTTACCTGATCCGTACATAAAGGTAGCTTTCGATATCCCGGCCCTCCCGGAGCTTCTGGCGCTTCTACCGCTTACACCAGCCCAGCAAGCACTGCTTTGCCGACTCCTTCCGGCCATTCTTACCCAACTACAGGCGGCTGTGAGTCGCACTTCTGCCTGTTTGACGAGGGTTTTCGCTCAAATCCGCTCGTGCGCTGTTACCCTCAGATTTCACCTTCGTCCCCTACGGCACAGGCTCAGCTCAGCCCTCACCTACTCGAGCTACTGGATCTTATCCCACTACACCTGCTCCCTACAACGCCAAGAATGATCCTTTCGCTATGCAAGCGATGGCTAGCAGCTTGAAGCAGGAGCCTGAAGGAGAACAGCAGTCGCAACGGCCGTTATTGTCTGACGCTCGATACGGACGCAGTTGGTATGGTGGTCGATAGGTATATTTTACAAGAGATCGTATGACGGGTTGTGGTCGTGATCGTTCGCCATGGGTATTTTTTGTATTCTATATATTTCACATTTTTGTACATCTCGTGTTGTATTCCATCTACTGAGAATTCGTCGTGGTTTTCAAGCGTTTATGGGCAACTTGCAACTTGCTAGAGCGCTAGAGCTCTGAGGCGTCGAGGGGCAGCTACGAAATCTTACGTCATCATCCGAAAACACCCCGGGTACTCGATCGCTCATACTCGGGTACAGTACGTACAGTACCCACCAAGTCACGACCTGCTCTGCCCGTGTTCCGGTGTCTTGACTACACCCAACTCTCTGCACACGATCAGACCACGGTCGCCATTTAGATCTCCAGCAGCACAGGCCACAACACAATGACTCCCGTTCATTTTTTCGACATCACCTCCAAGTTTTCAGGCGAGTCGCCGAATGTGGTTACACCGGTTACTTTATAAGGCTAATACGGGAGATCTTCTTGTGATACAGGGTCTACCAAGTCATGGTCTCCTAACACATAGGTGTTTATTGACAAGATCTCAAAGTGTTTTCGGTGCTCATGACTGAATGCACTGTTATGATACCGAGGTAGCCTGAAAACCAGGATCGCCCTGAACTACCAAGGCTTCCCGTACACTCAATCGTACCTCTCATACCCCGACATTCGTCCCATCCTCGAATCCCTCGGGCACGCCTCCCAGAAGCAGGACCACAGTGACCAGACTCTACCTGCAATCTATCACCCAGAGTCATTGAAGGGCAAGGTCCCTGGCGGGCAGGTCATGATCGAGAGCATGGACATCGCTTTCCACCTAGACCAGCTCCACCCTGACCGAGCTCTGTTCCCCGTCACCTCGTCGTCGACCAAGGATCAGACCATCGAACTCGTACAGACCGTCTCTAAGCTGTACCAAAAGACCTTTGGCACAGGCGCGATGAAGATTGCACTCCCGAAAGTGCCTGGATACCTGGACGACCGTGGCGCCGAGTACTTTATCCGGACCCGAACCGCTGGACATCCCAAGAAAAAGTCGCCTGTCGATTGGCCGAGCGCCGATCCTGAGGAGGATTGGAAAGCCTACGAGACCTCAATCAAACCGATCGTGGACCTTCTCGATCGGGATACTTCCGGGCCATTCTTTATGGGGGAGACGTTCTCCTTTGCCGATGCCATCGCCGTCGCGCACTTGGTCTGGTTTGAACGCGGGGACGAGGCGTATCTGAAGAGGATCTCCGGTTTACATGGAGGTGCTTTGGGCAGGTTGTACGAGAGGGTCAAGAAGGAAGGTTGGATCGACGGCCAAGGCGAGGACAAGGAATGGTCGGTTCCTCAAAAATCCCAATTGTAAAAGGCGCACAACGGGAGTGCCTGTGATAATTAAATATGAAATAGCATGATTCAGCGTTGTGATCATCAAGCGGAGAGCCCCCGTCTTCGATACAGGAGCGTAAAAGCGCCCTACCTGCACTCCGGATCCACATGCATCGGGTCGAAGACGACGGGAATACCGGATCTAAAGACGATCTTGCCATACATCTACCCGGTCAGTCGAACGTGATTCGCTATTACAGTCTCGTCAAAAGCCGAAACAAGGCAAAGTTTAGGAGGTGTGTCAGGACTGGTTTCAGCGTCGAGCCTCTATGTTACACCCTGACGCGAAGTGGCCAGGGGAAAGATTCGATGTCTTGGAGCTCCAAGCTACAGCCCATCAGAGAGGCTCGCATGCATGCAGAGGGTGGCGTGCAGTCCGGGACTCTGACAGCTTAGCTATCAAGCAAGCTGCAGTTCTCCTGTGATCTACAGCTGTTCCAATTCGCGAGCTCAAACGTGTTCGATTCCTTTATACCTAGAATTCGGGCCACAACGTGTTGGGCTGGTCAGTGAGATCACAGACAGTTCTCGGCACTGAAAGTGGGACCATGGCCGACGTCAACAATCAATTATCCTTTATGCCTTCTGAGGACAATCGTTGCCGCCCTGATTTCTATAACGATACAGCAGACTTGTCCTAATCTATGCGGAACGGCAGGCGTTGGAAGCTAAGAGTTCCTTTTAGACCAGGCTCTGGGTCTCCAAGGTGAGGATGATGGCTGGAAAGATGGGGAAGAGAAAGGAATGAGCAGGAAGTTCGCGGATTCGCATGTGTCATTGCTAAACTCACCGTGAACGATCTCAGGAACGGTCATCTGGGTAAGGTCGACGACAAGCTCGGGCTTCGAGGGGGTCTCGTACTCCAAGTCGACACCAGCGAAACCCTTCAATGAACCATCCCTGGCCCGCTTGTACACCCCACGCCTGTCGGTCTTTTCACAGTGCTCGATCGGGGTCGAGACGTGGACCTCGAAGTAGTTGCCAGACCCGGTGCTTGCGACCAAGTCACGGACGGCCTGTCGGGACTTGGCCAAGGGAGCGGTAGGGGCAGCGATGACGGCGGCACCAGCTCGAGAGAGTTCGGCGGCGACGAAACCGATCCTTCGGACGTTGGCGTCCTTGTCCTCGGCCGTGACGTCATCACCGATCGAGCCCAAGTCTTGCCTGACGGCCTCGCCCAACAACAAGCTGACGCTTCGTCCACCCTGTTGTTGCAACACTACGCTCAAGGCCTTGGCGATCGTGTCCTTGCCCGAGTTGTGCAACCCGGTCAACAGGATGACGAACCCTTGCTTGAGACGGGGAGGGTAGGATTCACGAAGCACCTTGACGACGGCCTCGTAACTGAACCAGTCGGGGATGGCGGCACCGGTCCTGAGACGCTTTCGGAGCTCGGTACCGGAAATGTCGGCCGTGGGGGTACCCTTGGGCACCTCGTCTACGGGCTGGTACTCGTCCGATCCGGGAAGGTAGGTCATCATCTGGAAGGGAACCATTTCGATGTGCAACTCGTCCTTGTACTTGGTGACGAGCTCCTGAGCATCGTAGGGTCCGTAAAAGTCCTTGCCTTGCGAGTTCTTGCCAGGACCGGCGTGATCACGACCGACGATAAAGTGGGTGGCGCCAAAGTTCTTTCGGATGATGGCGTGCCAGACGGCTTCCCTGGGTCCAGCCATCCTCATGGCGAGGGGCAAGAGGGCCAAAGTGGCCATTCCGTTGGGGTACTTGGGCATCAAGGCCTGGTAGGCCCTGACTCGGGTGTAGTGGTCGACGTCACCGGGCTTCGTGAGACCGACGACGGGGTGGATCAAGACGTTGGCCTGGTGCTGACGAGCCGCTCGGACGGTCAACTCTCGGTGAGCCCTGTGCATGGGGTTACGGGTCTGGAAAGCGACGACCTTGCGCCACGAGACCTTTTTGAAGTGAGCCCGGAGTTCGGCAGGGGTGAACCTGATGTCGACATAGTCAAAGTGCTGAGGAGGCTGGACGGCCTGGACTTTACCACCGACGTAGAACTCTTTGACGTTCTTCCTTGCGTAGGCGACGGCCGGGTGAGCAGGGTCGTCGGCACCCATGACACGCTCGGCCTCAAGAGCCTTGTCGAATCGGTAGATGTCCTCGACTGCGGCAAAGTCCGGGGAATGGCGAGCGTCAGAACGTGCGTTCACTCGAACATTTGTAAATGCGGAATTTTTTAAACTCACCGGTCAAGATGGCGAGAGCGGCCTCGTCACGAGGATCACGGAGGGCGATCCTGGACCCAGCAGCGAGCTTCAGGCTGTCAATGTCTTCTTGCGAGACATCCAAGGTGATGGGCATGGAGAACAGGTCGCCGGATTTGAGTCGGAGGGTGTCTCGGACGCTAATAATCGAGCACGGTCAGCAAGGCCGCTTCAGGGAAGTGACATGTGTGAAAAAGATCTAGACGACTCACGACTCGTAGTCGGCCTGGTTCATGAACCCCTCGAGAGGAGAGAAACCTCCGTTACAGATGAGCTCCAAATCACATAGTTGCCTCTGAAGGGCCCGAAAGAACCGTTAGCACCAAACTCTCCCTTCCGCTTCTCTATGCGAATGCTTGCCTACCTCGTTGAGGTAGATGTCGGGAAGCGAACGAGACTCTTCGATGAGCGAATCTCGCAAGTGAGCGTCACGAGCGACGAGGTCCTTGAGTTGTCCACCGTGGGGAGCGTTGGCCATTTTGTGTGTAGTGTGGGTGGGAGTCTAAGAAAGATAGGGGTAATGTTTCAATCAACCAAACAAGCTGGTTCAATCGGATTGAATTCGGAAAGAGCTGCAATAGAAAGGTGGTAGGTATTCGATGTATAATAGTCACGATAGCTCGCCTCTCTTGCCGACCTTGCCCTGCCCACTCACTCGCTCGCCTTTCGCAAAAAGTCGAGGGCATTTGGGAATTGTCAACAGCACGCCCCGCCTGCAGCTGGCAATTCCAAAAAGATCCGTATTCGCGTGACATCGGAAGCAAATGGCGCCATCGCCTTCTCCCAGCCCTACCGTATTCGAGATCGTCTTGGTCTTCGTCATCACAGTCGGCCGGATCAAGCCGAAACCCATCAAATCATTCGTGTTTCGCTTGGGTCAAGAACTCGAGGACTTTCTGCGTATCGTCCGACCATCGCCGCGAGCTTGCGAGGATGATTTGCTCAATTAGAAATTGCCTCGGGCCATAAATCTACAGCGCGGCAGCGGTGAAAGATATATGACGAGAAAGCCCCACCCAGACCTGGCACCAGTCGTTTCATACGAATCATGTAACTTGTAGCGAGTCATCTCACATCCAGTTCTTACTCGTCTATCGGCTAGGATGCGCGCCTCTCATTACTCGACATTAGTTGTTCTTGATCGCGCGAGGGCGGGGTTCGACTCCCCGGTAGGAAATATCTTTTTGCCATTTCGGACGGGTGTCCTGACATAGCTGAGAAATCGGTTACGTTCTTGCTACTTTTTACTTGAAAGGTGTCGCGGTCATGACCCCAGCCTTGAACATGTTTGGCTATATGAGTGAAGTATTGCAATTGCTGTATAGTCAAATCATTTGACTTGTAGCCAGTTTATGGTTAGCAGGGTTTTATATCGGTTTTCCCGGAAACACACAAAATCGTCATCAGCTCACCCATACGGCCCTATACACCATCAAGTATATACCATAGATACCTATCACATCCAATGCGCTTCCACGTTCTCCTGTGCATTGTTGAAGGCCGAGAATTTTTGGCTTGAGCAACCCATATCGCTGTCCGACTTCCCGCAGAACCGGTGTCCTCCAACGTCCTAATGTTCGTGGCGCCTGATTAGGTGGCAACGCCCTGATTCTCTGGACAAGCTAACAGAGAACCATCGTTTGAATGGAAAGTTGAACTGGTATCTAACAAGACTACTACAAGCCATTCCGAGGGGTATCATTCTGCCCTCGCCATTTCGCATCCGGAATATCGGCGTGGTGTCTGTAAGGGACCCTCTGCTCTTCTTCGCCACGCCTTCCTGTACCGCAAGCGGAATAACGAGTCTGATTGGTTGAGCGTAGTTCGCAAATCCATTCTGAATTCACAGAAGAAGCGAAATGTGCCGAAACAAGCGGCCTCACGTCCGGCAGACCTCGAAACGCGGTTTCACTGTGGCAGGTAGACGATCATCAAGATGTCATATGAACAGGGATAGGGTTTAACATAGAGCAAGTCAAGGCACAGGGAGTCATGCAGGATGGATGGCACTCCCAGCCCCAGGTAACCGCATTACAATTGCAAGTCGGCGCGAGCCAAGCGCTTCATCTCCCTCCTCCTCTTCTTGCTGGCTTGACATCCTCCCACAGGCGCAGTTTGGATGGCGGCGGCGTTCTGTAGGACCGGCGTCGTCTTGTTTCCGTAACGCCCGCCGCCGCCCCACTTGCCTCCACCTCCTCTGGACCAGGTACGTTGGGGTTGAGCAGCGCTGTCGGTAGCCGGGGCTGGAGCAACATCGGAGGCAGGGGGTTGAGCAGTCTCGGAAGGCGGTACGCCGACCGCAGCGGCGACGGTGGTAGAAGGCAAACCAGCAGGAACCTGAGAGGTGACGGGGACCGCAGCAGTCGGGACAACAGGGGCGGGGTTGGTCGCAGCAGGGTTCGAAGACGAGGCAGGGGGAGCGTCGGCCGGAACGCCTACAACAGGTTGTGCCGTCCCGGTAGGGATCGCCGCAGTAGGGATCACAGGAGCCGCATCGGTAGCGGCGGGAGCGCCGGCGGTAGAAGTCCCTGCCAGAGGTGGTTGAGCCGAAGGTTGGGGAACTACCGGTGCCGAGGCACCTGGTACAGGGATCGAGCCTCCAGGGTTGTTGATGATTTGCCCCTTCTCGACATAGTTGGGGTCGGAAGGCTTTTCCATGGGAGCGGACCAAACAGGGTTGTTACCCGGAAGCTTGGTTAGAGGGGCGGTTTCTCCGATATCCTATTGGTACGCATCTTTAGAGGGAGAACCGTGTACATCAAAGGGTCGAGGCTTATACTCACCTCTTCCAGCTTGCGTGCGGCCAGACATTTCTGGGTTTTAGGCTTGACGTAGGGAGCGAGGATGGGACAGCTGGAGGCGGCTATGACCCCATCAACAGAACAGACGTCAAGGACCACCCTATAAGCGATCATTTTAGAGTGCTAAGGCGACCCACCTCCCTGCATGTTACACTCCATCAACGCTCGAGTCAAGGGCGCGTCATGTGGAGCATTGACATCGCCTCCGTCGAACCCGTTGATAAAGTCTCCCTATGCATGCCCGCTTGCCGTCAGCCTTCAAAACGAACCGATTTGTGTGACAGCAGGTTAGCGATCGACTTACATGGATACTATATCCAGTCTGGTCTCCGTTGGAAAGTGTCAACTTGCCCTCGGTCGTCCAGGGGATATTTGCGACTCCGTACCAGGCTTCGATTCGGGTTGTGGGGATACGTTTGGGGTGTGACGCGGGACAAGGGCCTTCGGAGTACGCCATATGACTCTTGTGATCGGGTCTGCGAGAAAGGATATCACTCAGCTGATATTCTGGAGGTGCGCTTCTGCGCCTGACTTCAACTCACGAATCGGTGTTTACCCCATCCCAACAGTTCGGGAAGTCGGTCTATCGATGGCCATGGTTTCAGATTCGCACGTTTTCTGCCGAAAGAGATCGGGCTCACCTCGAGTCTAATAATATCACAGTTGTACTTCTTGACATCTTCAAAGTTGTACGAGATTACTGGCGCTCCAGCGTCGTGACACTGAGGGCCGCCTTGACAGAAGCACTTGAATCCGGTCGCCCTGTCTTCGAAAACGGCGTTGTCGTGAGGAGTGTTACGCTTGGGATCCCCGGCGATAATCTGCACAATTGAACACGGGGAGTATCAAGCGGTTCAGTACAGGAAGCAGCCGACCGACTCGAAGAGAGCACACTCATGCTTACTCGTAGTCCATTCGGCATGTCGAACAAGGGCTCGTCGTCTCCAGCCTTGTCGGCCTTCCAGTACACGACCAGACCGCCATCAGGGTCGAGACGCTGGAAGGTCCCGGCTGCGCTCTGGTAGTAAAGGGTCGGTTGCCAGTAGAGGGACTTGTCGTCTTCGACCTCGGCAGTGGCTATTGGAGCGACATGGCGATATGAGGAGGTGGAGGTGGCTCGCGATGGTGGTTCTGTGACTCACTGCATTCGGACGCTCGGAGTTCCTCGTAAGTGACAGTCTCCATCAACGCCGATGACCCTGCAATTCGATGGACATGGCTGGCAGGTTTCCCTTCGGTACGAATGGGGTCCAACCTGGTGTCGAGTAGCTTGGGATGACCGCTGTGGGTGTTCGCCAGGTCAGAGGAGATCAAGCAAATGCCGAGAGTTATACGTACGAGATGAAGTGCACAGAAGCCTGAGCGATCTCGCATGTAGCTAACAACCACACAGTGGCAGCAAGGGCACGCGATGAAAGGGCAGTTCGAGCCATGGCCGTGTTTGTTTGAGGGTGATTAACGAGTGTGGGATTGAAGTCGGCTAGGTTCTCGATTAGAAACTGATCAGTGATACGGGATCCAGTCCACGTAACCGTCGAAAAGGATAAAGGTAGGAATCAACTTTGCCGGCAAGAAATCGGGTCCTGTCGTGAAAAGTGGTGTCGTGATCCGGCTCTCGCATATATAGGCAATAGGGCTCAGCCTGTACTGATCAAACGCATGGGGTATTTTGAGCCATTTATCCAATGAAACCGATACCTTATCGCTCTCGCTCGCCGTATCGTCTTGCAACAGATTGGACGTATCCTTTGTTGTTGATCGCGATACACACGGGGGAAGGAGGGGGAGGACGAAACATGAAACCGGAGACGGGCAATCAAGGGGCTGAGACGCGCGAGAAAGGGGGAGCTCGGCATCGGTTCGAAACAATTCTCTAACCCCGCGGGTTTCGGATCACTTCCGCCATCCTTCCTTCCTGTGGAAAGGGGGGTGGTTCGGCACACTCTCGCCAATCAAATTCTATATATCCCATGGAAACACGCAATTAAATATAGAACTCGGATCAAGGGAACCGACGGATACACGCTTCGCGAGCTCGCCGAAAGGACCCCTTCGTGAACCTGATGACGGTTGAAACATTCAACAGGGTCACTTGATCGAAGGGCAATTGTCAAAGATACCACACTGGCTAGGGTGCATGGGTCATGTTGAAACCCATCTCGCACGGCGTGAGCGTTCACCCACTCGCCGTGTTCGTACCGACCTCGTCTACGAGCAGGCGTCTCGAATCGCGGACCCTCTTGGCGATGGCCGACGCGTTCGTATTGGCCAGTATCATGTCCATCGAGAGCTCCACATCAAAGGCCTGTTTGATGATCGACGTGATCCTCTTGACTTGATGTTCGTCCATGATGGCAAAGTCGTCGATCTCGTCCCCGATGGCGGGCGATGCAAGCGGGACGCGATCAGAGACGTCGGGAGTCGTCTGTGAAAGCCCCGTGCCGAGATTGTTCGAGATGTCCGTTGGGGTCAATTCCTCAAAGGGGATCCCTGAAGCGAGACGAGGAGCCAGCTTGGTAGCCGACTGAGGCATCAACTTGGGGTCCAAATCGACCGATAGGGCGACGATCGTGACGACAGCTTGCCGAGTCTGTGCAAAGGACTCGGATCGCTCGCGACGGGGGACTGTCGATAGATTCAGGGTTAACAGACTCTCGAAAGGCGTCGACCCCTTGTGATCAGCACTCACCAAAGATCTCGAGCGGGGCAATCTTGTCGAGGACAGAATGCTTGCCGTCATGGTGCAACCTGAGCTCGTACATGCCGGGCTGCCAAGGAAGCTTTTCCTTGTCAAAGATGACGGTGCCGGCGTCAGACGTACCCCTGACAGGAGTTTCGACAGGCGTATTACCGTCCCACTCCTCGTCGTAGAGAGGGACCCACTTGCCAACGGAAGAGATCTTGGTAATCTCCTCTGATTGACACGACCCGAGACGGTAGATTCCGATCCAGTCCTTGCGGGAATGACCGGGAGGCGCGTTCCAGGAGATGCGTATGGGTTGTCCGACGTGGAATCGAATGGGCTTGTCGGCGCGGGCAGCCGAGGTCGGGACCGTGATATGGTAGCGAGACCGGTCGATCGAGCCAATGTCATTGGCCGTACGACTGATAAGAGTGGCGATCGATCAGCATACGGATTTCTGTCCGATCATGTATATCGTCGCTCACGTAATGATCATCTTCTCCCTCGACTGTTGGATGAGCTGCTTGGTATCATGTACCACCTCGTTCAGTCGAGGTCGAGCTGCGACGAGGTTCGGTAGTGAGCTTCATGGCGACTTGACCAGGCACGATGGGGCTACACTCACCAGACTGCAAGAAATCTTCCATCGCTTCGGAGACTCTCTCCTCGACCCGGACCATGGTCTCCTTGACTTCGCTGATAGCTCGCTTGAGCTCAGGTGCATGACGGCCTGCCCTGCTTTCAAGCTTCCTGGCGTGCTTGCCAGCAACGGTCTTAAGGGTCTTGGTCAGACCTCCGTCCTTTCTCAGACGTTCACCGTAGAGTTTCTGCATGTGGGGCCTAAACAAGAGAAATCGATATAAGTGCTTGAGCCAATCGTCGCATATATCACTTCGCACGCACTTTTCGACGAAAGAGAGGAACCACCAATGACTCAAGTGAGAGACAACAGCTAGGAGAGCAACGAGCTTGCTTCCGCTGATCAGGCTCAAGCCAAGGAAGGCAGCACCACCCATGCTTCGTTCCGGGTTGTTCAAGAATCGGTAAATTCCGGTATAAGCGAGCTTCGAAGGGATCCTGTCGACCAGGAAGAAGTCCGAGTAGAGCCAACCTGACAAAGCCGCCGATCAGCCTGCAAGCAACGTGCTCGTCCTAGTTCCGTAGAATACTCACCAAAAGCTCCCAACACCTCGAAACTGGAGTAGGCCGACCAAATATGCAAAGCGATAAGGAGCTACAGGATCGCACATGCGTTCAGTCATAGCACGGGGATAGATGCTACTAAGGCTGACTCACGCTGCCGAGGACGTGACGCAACAGTTGTCCACTGACTGTCCAGTCATTCGGAATGCTGTAGATCTTCCAAGCCAGGCATGTAAAGGAGACTAGTGGATGAGGCGATAACGTCAGAAGCTGCTGTTGTTTTGCAGGGGGTGCTTTTTCAGGCAGACTAACCATAAGTCATCACCAAGCTAGTATTGTAGAGTACCTTCCAGTTGTCGAACGCGTCTCTGGTCGCGGCGGGAATATCATCCGAAGCATCTTCTCCGGCTTCATCCCCAGAGGCGAGATCGGTACTATTCGACTTTGACTGCTTGGAGGAGCTGGAACGCTGTACCGCAGGGTAGTGGTAGTGCTTGAGGAAATGCCTGACCAACCACCTCTCTTCGGACTGAACCTTCAAAAGGAAACCTAACCCGAAAGAGTGGAACATGCGCCAAGCGAGGGCATGTAAAAAGTAGAATGCCAAGCTCAGGCGGGGTCGAGTGATGACGACCGGGCTGAACATTGCCGGCAAAACAGCGTAGCCCACGAGCAAGGTGAAGGTGAAATCCGTGGCTCTGTTTGAAGAGAACACTATCAGCACCGTGTTCCCGCGCAGTATCAGAAAGTGCAACTCGCCGGAAGAGGTCAATGTTGGAAAAGATGATGGCCGGTCGCTGGAGGTATTGCAGCGAAAGTTCTCGCATGGTAAGCCGCGTGGGCTCGACCGACTGGCTCTGAGATCGAGCAATTTGTGGGATAGTCTCTTGAACAGGAGTGTCAAGATCTGGGTTTCGATCCCACTCATTGTCGGTTTCGCCTGTATATCGATCATTAGCATGCTAGCGAGATCATGCATGTGCTTAAGCTTCGACAGCTTACCGTCAGTAACGCTGGGAGTTCGATCTTGTGAGTGACCACCGATCGCAGACTCTGCGTGGCCAGAAACCTCATCCGACTTCGAGGTCGGCATACCCGCCAGAGGCTTCTTGCCACCTCCATAGATTCGCTCGATATGAGGATTTTCGAACCAGAGCAAGAAGGCGAATTGAGCAGCGTGGGCGATGAGGGAGACGAAGAAGACGGTGTACGATCCCGTGACTGATACAAGAGACGTCAGTGTGGTGACTGGCACGTATAGCTTCGAAAAAACTCACCGATCGAGAGACCGTAATAGCCCGCATAACCGACCGAGTACATTGGATGCGGCGCGATCTGCAAATATCGTCCACGGACGTTCAGTCTCCGGATCCTCCTTAGCCGCCTGTTTGACCTCTGAAACGACTTACCTCGTAAACTCCGTCAAACACCAATTCCTCCTGCTGGACGATCAACCAGAAAGCATCACCCCAGTACCAAGCGTAGTCTTTGACGACCCGATGAGCGTCGATCTTGACCCAGAGGTTAAAGGCGATCAAGGTCCAACCGAAGACCCAGCGGAAGAGATGGGTAAAGATGGACTGGTTGGCAGGGAGGTGAAGGTAGGCGAGGGCGAAGAAGCAGTAGGAGAGGAAGTCGCTGGCGAGTATATGCATATGGCGTTAGCTTTACGCAAGATACGTGACTGGCTTGCGACGACTCACTTGAGGAGGATGATGTCGACAAGCTGACGAAAGATCAACCACGAGTTGAACTCTTCCGGAACGTCATTCCACCTGTACCCCTCGTTACCCAGCTTGGCCTCCAACTCCTTGCGCCACCAACCCGCCCAGCCCTGATCGTCCTTGGCCAGCCATCCGAATTTGTAGAGTTTCTTGACGATCCACTTCTTCTCGCTCTGTCTTCTCAAGACCCAACCGAGCCCGCCGTCGTAAGCCGCTCGCCAAAAGGCAAAGTAGAGCAGGAAGAAAGGTCCAGAGACGTAACGCGGGAGGTACCAGAAGATGACGAATTGTAGGCCGAGGGTGAGGAGCGTGAGCTGAGTCAATTGCGAGGTGAACAGGGTGTGAGACAAGGTGTGGACGAAAGAGTGGGTCGTGGGGACTTTGAAGACTGTTATCGTGTGACACGGACGTCAAGTCGAGTTCAGTCAAGTCTCGTTTCCTTATCAGGCGCCCGGATGGGCAGTCATCGACGACGTACTATCTCCCTTGGGAGTCCTTCCATACATCACTCCAGCATTTTCAGTCGAGACGGAAGTTCTACCCTCGCTGATGTCTTTTGCATGTGGCTGCTTTTGTTCCGAAGAAGCGTCGGCGGTGGTCCGTCCGGGGGTTTCATTCCCGGACGAACCCCTGTAACGAAGCTCGTTGGCTTCCATCTAATCCGAAAGACCTAGTCCTTGGAATCTAGCAAGAGCCGAAAGTAACGTCGGTTGCTATCTGACTGTTGTTGATGGCAGGATACGAGCATACAACACGCTATCAACCAGTGCTGCAGTCCATCTTTTTAGGTTCGGTGATGGTCTACCTACCCGCCGCTTAGAGAGCTGACACGTATTCATATCGACCGGGCGAAAAGCACGCGAGCGAGGGATCGAGGGATAACAAAATCATCCGATGAGAATCCGAAACGTTCCAAAAGCAGGCCAACAACGAAACCGCACTGCACCACGTCCTTGAGGTCCCACTCTCGAAATCGCACATGATGATATTCTATCTCGCTTTACACATCCCTTCCCATACTCATCCTCTGCCCCCCTCTCTCCACTTGTCGATCGACTTTTTAGGAAGACTCGGCCCACGAGTTGACGAGCTTTTCGAGGTCGAATTTTGGGTCTTCAGGGTCCGTTACGACTGGTAGCGAGAACACAGGAGTTGAAGTTCGTCGGGAGGAAGCGAAGGTTAGCAAATCCGTCTTTGTATCGGGTATGTCTTTCAAGGAAGATGGGGCAGGGGCGATCTATCGGGGCTTTTCGGCTCGGGCCTTTCCTCCAAGATGACCCAGCAGGACATGGCTTCCCCGCTTATCACATCACTGGCAGATCGAGCCAGGCATGCAGGGTACGTCGCTGTATTGCGAAGTAGCGGTTGCCCTGCTACAGGGAACACCGCTTTTCGCACACCTCTGCTGGCGAGTCTGCGCCTAGACCGGACCCAGCTCGATCCCATCCTCCCCCAGCGTCTCCGGAGCGATCACCCCTGTCCTCCGCCTCCCACCTCTCATCGAAACATGACACGGCGACTCACGTCCGGTTCCCTTTTTGGCGCTCACACCAGCCGCCTCGTCGGCCTTCTTCTTGGCATAAGCAGTTCGGGCCTGCTCGATCAGGTGTTGACGGTGAGCCTGGGCGTCTCCGGCCTGGAGTTAGAAAAACGAACGTATAGAGTTAGCTTCATGGTTTCCTTTCAACTCGCTGCACTGAATGGGGATTTGTTGCAAGACGGTCGCGCTCTGTCTATAGACAGGGCGAGGTAGCTTGACGACCGTGGTCTACGTAGCCTGTCCCCGTCGACAAGTCTCCCGGGATCCTGCACTCAACCCTAGTCTCCCCCTCCCGACTACCATCTTCTCCTCTCTCATGCCTGTTCCCTCTCTGATAGTCATCGTGGCGGAAGATGTCGAGACGCCCAGCTCACCTTCTTCTCATCGTATCGGGCCTGGAGGGTCGACTGGTGGAAGATACCGTAGGTGATACCGAACACCAGGGCGGTATAACGAGCGACCTGTCGATCCGAGATTCCGAGAGATGCCGTTCGAGATTGGTTGATATAGCAGCGTAGAGAGCACGATATGAACGAGGGAGAAAGAGTCAGCACCATGTACCATGAATTACGACCGCACAAGACCGAAAAGAACAACGAGCTCGAAAGAAGGCTATTGCCGGTTCGATGGGTCAGCGTAAACTCACGTTGACAGTCTGGGAGGCCATGATGGAATGAAAGCTGCAGTTCAAGAGAATATTGGGGTATCCAGAGTGCGGTTATCCAGAGGGGTTTCCGAAGACATGGGTAGAGGGTTTGAGCAGACGAGTTTCGGGAATCAGCGGGTTGCTCGCACGGACGAGTACTCTGAATCGTGCGCGGGTCGAGAGATCCTTCCGGCAGACCACTCACAACGAGGAGATGGGTTGAGGGACGTCAATAAGAGAGAGTGACTTAGAGGATGACTATGGGTAGGAGGATGTTCGACGACGATGCTTGAATTGTTGCTACATCGTCCCCGGGTGGCCTCCTCGCTCTGGAAAGGAGAGATATGAGCCAAAGATGTGGGAGAGTGCCATCGCTCTCTCTTGCGCGCACCGCGGATGCTTCGTACGAGATCTCTCTCAGCTCTCATCGATCCTTCGGCGATCGACATCCCAATTCGTCATATGCATCTCCATTCCGTCCTGTACGTCCTGTACAACGTACAAACATGATGCCATCAGAACAGCCTGCCCCCCCCTCTCAGCCAGTACATCGCCAACGACATCTCCGTGCCAACAGATGGGTTCCCAGGCAGACTCTTCGGCAGAGTTCTGTTCGCCCAGCTTTGACAGGGCGCTGGCCGAACTAGCGATGCCCGAGCTGGACGAACACGCACCGCCTCCTCTCTGTGACGGCCACGCATCGTCTATCCGGTCTTTACCCAATGACGAGCCTACACCTTCACCAAATTGGCCCGACGAAGACGAGATGGCGGCGTTTGACGAGTTCGAGGCCGAGCAGAGCAGGAAACGGAAACGGGAAGAGGAGGGACCAGAGGGGGTCGACGAGCCGCGAGTCGGCGCAACGTCTTCGACCAAGGATATCAGCCAGGTCGATCCCATGTACGAAGACCACCCGGCTTATGTAGCGAGCAAATTTGGAGGTATAGGTGCGTATTTGAGGCACAAGAGGGAGAAGCTGTAAGCGCCTGTATCCCTTTCTCCTCTCATAATCAGGTTCGGTTCACCTCGAGCTGACTTGACCTACAGGCAGATTCAGAACGCCGCGATCGCCCAGAGCCAGGGACAAGGCAAGCCTCAGATCTTCAAAGGCTTAGAGATCTATGTATGCCCTCACTCCCCCCCTCTTCTCCTCCGCATGAGGTTGATGCGTATGCTGACTATGCTCTTGCTCTGACTTTCACCAGATCAACGGATACACGGTACCGCCTCTAGACAAGTTGAGGACCATGATCATGCAACACGGCGGGACCTACATCCCTTACCTGGCAAGTTTCCGATCTCTAGATGATGAGATGTCAAGCTAATCGATACTCTTTTTTCCTCAAATATTCAGGACCGCAAGGGCATGATGTAGGTGGATAGTCCCTTCTCACTCTAGGAACCAGCTCACCCTAGATTCTGATTCCCGCTACCACACAGTACCCATATCCTCGCAACCAATCTCACCCCAGTCAAGTTCAAAGAGTTTGCCACTTACAAGGTCGCCACCCCGACCTGGATCGTCGATAGCGTACAAGCTGGCAAACTGCTAGATTGGAAGAAATACAAGTTGATGCAGAACGGAGGGTCAGCGGAGAGGCAGGGGTTGAGTCAATTCTTGGCACCTCGGGAAACGCCACATGGGAAAAAGGATAAGGGGAAAGGAAGGGAAATTGTCGACGTGTCCGACATGGACGTCGATGAGGAGGGCGTTCTGGGAGGAGTGGCGGAATCGCCTGCACTGCCCCAGCCTGTGATGGAAGAGGGTCATGATCTCAGGCCGACAGGAATACCATTAGCTGGACCTGTCATGGAGCTCGAGGTTCCTGATCAGGACCAGACCGATATTCGAAAAGCAAGGGAGATCTTTGCTCCTACAAAAGGTCAAGCCCCGCCCTTGTCGACCGACCCGATCACCTTTGAAGGAGCCGCCTGGATGGGCTATGCCAAGAACGCCGAGAACAAGGAGGCTAAGCGTCTTATGCAAAACCAAGAGTGGCGAGAACAGAACACGGCCGTCTCGGACAAGTTTCTCGAGGGTTATTACAAGAATTCTCGGTTGCATCATCTTTCGACCTGGAAATCCGAGTTGAAGACGTTGGTCGCAGAAGCTCAGAAACGGGCAGAGCAGAGTAGCTCTATGAAGCAGCTCGCGCCGCGGGCGAGTCAGCGGCAGGCGTACAGCCTAGCTCACGCTGTTTTACCTCGGATACCAGGACGCGTGGACGCAACCAAGGCGACAACAAGCGCAACCTCGACTAGCAAACGAGTGATTATGCACGTCGATTTCGACGCTTTCTTCGTCTCGTGCGGTCTAGCAACCAGGCCCGAACTGAGGGGAAAAGCGGTCGTTGTCTGCCATGCTCAAGGCAATCAAGGGGCATCGAGTACTTCGGAAATTGCTTCTTGTTCGTACGAAGCGCGTGCTCATGGAGTTAAGAACGGCATGTCTTTGGGACAAGCGAGAGGGCTTTGCGCGGATATCAGGACGATCCCGTGAGTTACGCAAGGGATGCGCTTTTCTGCTATGAACGCTTCTGACGCGATTTCGGCTTGAAGATATGAATTCGACGTATACCGGGAGAAATCGTTGCTGTTCTACACCATCTTGATGTCATACGCAGACGAAGTCCAGGCCGTCAGCATCGACGAGGCGCTGATCGACGTCACTCAGAGGGTGGCCGAGCTGGAGCAGGCCCCTCCCGAGCTCAACGAGCGATCAGATGTTGCGCAAGACTTTGCAAAGCTGCTCGCCGAAGACATCAGGGCGGATATGAGAGAGGCGACCGACTGTGAAGGTGAGAATCAGGTGTATTCTCGTCAATGCCTGTATGCTGACACTTTGAATTCGAACAGTCAGCATCGGCGTAGCCGGCAACATCCTGCTGGCGAGGCTCGCGACTCGGCATGCAAAACCGGCGGGATCTTATCACCTCACACCCGACGAGGTCGAAAGCTTCATGGCGCCTCTGGACGTAGGCGAACTTCACAATTTCGGCTACGCAACCAAGAAGAAAATTGAGTCGACCTTTGGAACCACCTTGTGCGGCGAATTGACCAAGAAGACGAAAGGGGCCCTGCAAGGTTGTCTGGGCGAGAAGAACGGCCAGACACTGTTCAATTTTGTCCGTGGCATCGACCTTCGTCCGTTGACCCCGCATCAAGAGAGGCGGTCCGTCTCGGCCGAAGTCAACGTGAGTCGATCAACAGTTGTTTATTAGTCGACTCGTAGTCTGATGTGCGGTGATCACGAGACAGTACGGGATACGATTTGTGAACGACGAAGAGGTCATCAAGTTCCTTACAGACCTATCGCAGGAAGTTGCTCGTCGTTTACGAGGCATTGATCGTTTGGGTCGACAAGCGACACTCAAAATTATGGTACGAAACCCCGATGCGCCGCAGGAAGCCCCAAAGGTAAGCGAGGAGGGGTTTGTCCTTTCAAAGCAATGCTCCTAATCTCTTCCTGCTCCTAGTTCATGGGTCATGGCGTCTGCGATGTTCACAACAAATCACTACCCATCAGTGCTTCCACTGGAGCAGCTACAGACGATGGCAATCGCATCGCATCGGCAATCGTCAAGATATACGAATCACAAAAGTTCGACGCGAAAGAGTTGAGAGGAATAGGTATCCAGGTGCAAAAGCTAGAATCCCGCAACAACGTGGAAGAAAGGGCTCCCGGCCAGGGTGTCCTCGCCTTTGCAGCCAAGCCCAACCCGATCAAAATGGCTCCGGAGCCTGTAGATCTCACAATGGATAGTAGTCCGGTCATAGCAGGGCCTGCAACTCGCTTAAGAGCACAGGTCAAGCCGAAGCCGGAGCCGATCCCTAAACCCCTCGTGCGCAAAACCAAGGCCACCTTCAAGGCGGTGGAAATACTGCCATCGGACATAGATCTTGGGGTATGGGCTAGTATGGACACAGCAATGCAAGACGAATATCGAGGTGGATGGCGAATGGCAGGGATCAAGATTCCAGGTGCCTTCGAGCGTTCGAGGCAACCACAGGCATCGGTATCACCATCGAAGGCACGGCACGCTCACGAGGGCCGTTCGCGCGAGCCCAGCTTGAATCCTTTGATAACCAGCAAGACGGACGTGAATAAGATCTTGACGGCCTTGAATTTGGTGGAGGGGGATCTGGCGGCGATCGGCATCAGCCTAGAAGCATTCGTGGCTTTGGATTCCGAAACGCGAAATGACCTCGCACGTGATATCAGCCGCAAGAAGAGCCTATTCCGTCGAGGATCTGAGACACCTACAAGATCACCTCATAAAGTCGTCCCTCACAGAGATATCGCAGTCTCTTCACCCAGAAGACCGACTATACGCATGGGATCATCGGAACCGCAGCAAGATATCGACTCGGTGCTTGATGGCCTCACCGCATGGATGGACGTGGCCGCCGAGCGAGAGCCGAATCCTCGAGAAGTCAAGGTCCTTCGCAAGTATATCAGACGATGTTTGGACCCTGCGAGTTCAAGTCTCGGAGGGCTTCAAGACGCAGATAGAGTATTGACATGGTGGGAAAGACTTTGCAAGCAGAAATGGTCGGCAGGACAGGACGAAATCGCAAACAAATGGTTGGCCTGCCTAGCAGACGCGAGGCGGGAGATGAATGAAACCCTGGGAACCAGGTTTGCGGTGAATCTTGGTCGTAAGCGATTGTGATCTCGTCTCGCGTGTCACATAATGATACAATCACATTATGACATGATCATACAACCGGCCCGAGGCGATCTCTCTATTCGATACATGGATTACGACCCCAATCACTCGTCATAGTCGAGCATCTTGGTCATATAAACCCCCTCGAGTTCATAACCAAGACGCCTATAATAGTCCCGCGTGCCCACACCCGAAATCACCGCGATCTTGCCACTGCCGTGTTCTTCTCGAGCGATACGTTCGGCCTCTTCCATCAAGAGGGTCCCAATACCCTGATGCTGGAACACCTTGGGATCTCGACTGTGCACCTGCACTGCAGTTCCGTAGACGTGCTACAAAGAGCAAGAGAAGCGGTGGTCAGCGCGCGGTGTTGCCGGTCTACTCAGCCAAGTATACTCACCAGTTCCCGAACAATGCTGCATCCTCCGTCGATACCGGTCAGCTCCTTACGGAACGTCCCCTCTTCCGAACACTTTCGCAATCGAAGCAAGCCCACGAGAATGTCTTGCTCAGGATCCTCGTAAGAGAGGAAGGTCTCCCAGCCCCCGTTGGCACTGTAGTCCCTTCGCAGGAGCTCTAGCGACTGTGGCCGTACTCGCTGATGAATCTCGGACATCTATGTCATGGACAATTTCAGCATCTGCCTGCCGCGGACAGTAGTGAGGCAATCGTTCATCACATACCCCAACTTCTCGATATCGCACATCACGACAGTCTGCTCCAAAGTCCTTCATCCTATCAAGAGCCAGTTGCCGCAAGTTTCCGTTCTCGACTCCGGAGGAGACCAGGGGCATCGGGATATCTCTGTAACATTGCAAAATCAGCACCATAAACGGGCTAGTTGTAAAAACAAGCTTTCTCACCTCTGTACTCGGTAGACCCGCGTCCAAGGGGGAACCAGAGCGAGAATTCGAGCCACAATGTCGACCAAAGCGTTGGGCGTATAGTTCTTGTACTTGCCCGTCCTCCAGAGCTCGTACAACCCGGTCCCACGGATGACCAAGGTCGGGTACAGCTTCAGACCATCGCTTCGAAACGCCGGGTTCTCGAAGAATTCTTGAAACTGCCAGATATCTCGCTCAATTCCGCAATTGGGAAGGTCGGGCATCATATGGGCGACAATCTTGTATCCAGCGTCCTTGGAAAGGTGGAAGGATTCAGAGACGGCGCGGACGGTGTGGCCTCGATTCGTGTCCCTGGCGACGTCTTCGTAGACGGATTGTACACCGACTTCGAGACGAGTGCACCCATAACGGAGCATTTGACTAGAAACCCCCAACAATAAAATACCATGAGCCTGGCTTGAAAACGTTGCAAAATAGAATGGCGCACTCGCCTTAGATGCGGCTTCAGGCAATAATCCGGCCGTGTCTCGATCGTGATCCCCACACATTTAGTCTTGCTCTGCTCCGAATATCGTACTGCTTCATCGATATCCAGACCAGTATATCCCGACAAGGCGTTATGTAGACCCGCTACGAATTTCTGACGGTAGTCTTCAGGCATGGACATGAACGTTCCACCCATGATACTGGAAAGGAAGCGCTCGGGATGAGCTGGATGTGATAGAAAGAAGGGGAGCAGCCGGAAACTCACATGTATTCGACCTTGTCGACGCTGTGACCTAACCCTTTGAGCTGGTCAATCCTGCCTCGAGCCTGCTCGTAAGGGTCGTACCGAGCTCGAATGGCTCGCATGGATGTCGGCTGATGGATGTGAAGGCGGTGAGCTGGAGGAAATTGGCCTTTTGGAGATAGATGAGGCAGACTGACCTCGTATCCCGTATAACTCTGCGTACTGTACTCAAAGTCAGAGTCCGGACCTCCTGGACAATAGCTGAAGCGTGCCTTCAACAACGACTTCAGCAAATCATACGAATGAGATCGGTATCTGTAAAGAGCTCACACGCAGATGTTTCCTGTCATGGCGACATGAGGACATCGGTGAGGCTTGCACATGACGGCGACGGCGGCGATCTAGATTGTGCAGGTAAAGAGCAGCTCAGCAACGCCTAGGGTTCGCCTCGTTCGCGCAGAATGCTTACACCACTAGCCGTCCTGACAGGCTTAGCCCTCAGGGCTCCTTTGAGACGATCCTGCCATTCTACAGGTACCGCGCTGAGGATATCTACCAGTCGGGGGACCCCCTTGACTTTGTACTTTTTCCCATACTTGAGACGGAGTTGATTGAGGTTGATCTCCTCTTCCGCTTGAACGCCTGTGATGAGGTCCCTGACGATCGAGGTGCACGCCAAGAGATAGGCCTCGGCCTGAGAGGGAGCTGCTACGACCATTCTTTCCTCTTTATATCTGATCGACGAGACGATGCTAGGTCTGATTTGAATTGTCAAGGTCGATCAAGTATCGCAAGGCATGCATGCAAGGGCATATATATCTTAGAAGAGACAACTTCTGCTGCTCTATTTGCGCGTCGCCTCAGCTTAGAGCGAGAGCTAGCTGGAGCTATTAGCACGGCCATGTCCTAAGTCGCATTCACCTTGATCGAATGGTTGAAACCACCGCGGCATACCCCTTCATAGCTACCAGATCAATCCAGAACGCAAGAAAGAGCCGAGTCTGAACCTGCGTTCCCAAGTCCTCGAGCGATGAACTCGTATCCCGCCGAGGTGAGCTTTTGCCAGCGGGTTTGATGTTGAGCGTGACCGATCCCTCCGGCTAACCCGTCCGCCGGAATGTTTCCCAATGGATGTCAGTTTCTCGCCCACCATGCGCCACTCATGTTTGTGGCAGGCTTAGGTACCATAAGTCCTGCGAAAGAAGCTGGCACGTCCAAGTCGGAGCAGGACAAACAGAGCAGGAGCCGAAGCGGGACCGTCACGCAGAACCACTTGACGACGTCCGAGTCTACCAGCCTGGCGGCATCTACCGAAGCGCTCAAGCTCAGCGGATCCGAGCAAGGGAACCAGACTCCTGAAAATCGATCGAGAGCGGGCAGCGTCGTGGACTCTACCTTGCAAACCTCATTCGGCAGAGATCGAGCCGACTCGACCCTGTCTACCAGAGGTTCACCCAACCCTGCTTCGGGCGCTTTGTCGACAGCTCCTTCGCCTACCGCATTGACCGACGAGTTTGAGATACTCAAGGACCATCTGAGGAAAGCTTTTCATCGTGATTCGGGCAAGGCCAAGGTCTGGCCGGACGATATCAGGCCGGATGCCGAGGGCAAGGTGGTCAGGCCATCAGGTGCGGCCATGTCCGAAGGGGGGAAACAGGCTCCTAGGAGGATGGCATGGCGGACCGTGCTGGTCGACAAGGTCAGGATACTCGTGCTAATCCGTTTCGTGGTAATCCGAGCTGAGCTTGGGGTCGTCGTCTACAACCTTTTCTCCACGACTTGACAGACCATCCGACTTCCTCCAAAAAAGGTCGCACCAAGCGCTGCAGCGACGTCGCACCTCGATTCACCAATGATGCACTCGAATACTCCTCATTCTTCTCTTTCTCCATTGACACCAGGGTCCGTTGCCTATCCAGATGGTCTCATCACCCCCACCTGGGTTCGAAAACACTCCGAGATCTTGCCTAGCGTATTTGTCCATTTCGCTCGGTTGTACGAGCATTCGTTCTCCGGGGACCAGGCGGCTCGATCGTCGCCAACGCAAGGCTCTGGAGGGAGGTCTAGAGCAGGATCGCTCCTCGATGCAACGGATCCGATCAATGTCCCTATACCGCCTACACCCGCTCCTTCCTCGCCTTCACTAAAATCGGCCAAGCCCGCCTCGGACCCCTTGAACGTGACAGGGTCGACTAAAGAGCTGGAGAAGCAACGGAGGGAATCCGAGAAGCGTGCGGACGAGGAACTTGTTAAGGAGATTGCGGACCGACGGAAGAAGTTGGTAGACAAGGTCACGGGAATCAAAATGACGGTCGTCCTCATGGCCAGTCGGGATGCATTGGGTACGCCTCTCGTCTTTTCTGCAGCACACGAATTTCGCACTGAGATTGATCCGCCTGCTCTAGATGATACCGGTTTGGATTCTCGTCTGAGCTTCATTCGACGCCAGAGCGGATTAGACACCAAGGCTAGCCTCTTCGTCCTGACGCCAGTCAGTGACGACGAGCTGGAGGAATTCGTAGCTAGGTGAGACGAATCCAATGACAGAAACTTTTACTGCGTGCGAGTATTCTGACGATCGAAAGCTTGGCAGTCTCCGGGAAGCCTTATACGAACCATCGCAAGAGTTCTATGCGAACCATTACAAGCGCAACCGAAGAAAACGGGGTCGTCTACCTTCTAATCCTAACCAATTGCCCTACCCCGTTTCTGTCCCCCCTGGGACAAAGGTTCTCTTGTCGTCAGGATGGGCGGCTCGATATGACTACAAAGCGGGACTCTTTGCAGAGATGAGGGGCGATTTCGATATCGCACGCAGGCAAGTGCCTGTCGCGCATGCGTCGCCGCTTTATGGTCTGACACCTTTGGGTTAACGAACAGAGGATACGAGGACGCATGGTATGGTTTGACCAACTTGTTCTCGTCCATGAGCACAATGCCACCTCGGAGTAAAAGATGGGCAGAAGCCAAAGTACTTGCGGACTGTACAGCTCAAAAGGTCCGTCACCGGCCCACTCCTCATTGATTTCATCTTGTCTGACATTGATCGATTGCGCAACAGATCTGCAGATTGTATTTGTACTACCAGGACACTTCGGCCGCTTTGACATTCTTCCAGCAGCATCTCAGTCAATACACAACCTTTTCGCGGAGCTGGGGTATCGGCAACGATACATTCGAGTTTTGGGCATGGATGGGCAGACAGTATGTCGTTGTTATCGTTACGACAGTTATCTTTGACGCTAAATCTGAGCGTATTCCCAGATATCGCATGTTTGCCGAATTGCTTGAATTGGCTATGCAGGCTGGATTAAAGTTGGATAGCTCGCTGCCAGCATATCTACCTATGAGCCCAACTTTACAGTCACCAGGCGGCACGCCCGTCCTAGAAAGCGTACTCGTCTCTTCGAACGCACCGTCCGCCGTGCTTCAGCATCCGGGATACTATTACTACGCTGCAGCCGACTGCTCTGTTCAGCGACTCGCAAGGTTTAGGGAATTGAGTGGAATGACTACCGTCTCGGACGGTACGATTAGCGAGACAAAGCCGCAAAAGTTACCAGCTTCTGCTCCTGGCTTAGCCAACGAACAGAAAGTTGACCACACAGCGTTGATAGTAGAGGCGAGTCGATCTTCACAGCCTGATCATAACTGAAAGCTGAACCATATGGTCGCTTGGCGATTAGCTATTCACAAAGGCGTACAGTCATTTCAAGCAATACGAAGGGGGACAAGCTCGTATGAGCATCTACATCGCTTACCGTATAGCCCAATCCTACGCAGAAGCGGGGCATGACGAGCTGACAATGAAGTGAGTGCAGTCGAATATCCAGGTCTGTACAAAGCCTTGCTGATTGGTTACCTATAGGTATTGCCAACGAATCATGAAGTCATATGTCAACGAAAAATGGGATCCAGTGGTCTGGTCCATACAGGACTTGTGGTACGAGGCTGCTCGCCGAACGGGCTCTGTCGATACTGCCGTCCGCCTTCTTTTCAGCATGATGGCTCCAGGTAAGCTGTTTGTAGACGCGCTGCCCGCAGCATGGGAGCAACCAACGGACTGATCCCGAATATAGGGGGAGGTTCGCAGCCGGAAGAGCAATCCCAATATACAGACGACTTGCAAGCCCTTTTCGCGGTAAGTCCTTGCTTTATTGAAGCAGATTGGAGTACGTGTCAAGCGAGCTAATTCTACCACTACGTACTACGCAGACGACGGCTTCTGAGGAGGATGCTCTGGACATCGAACTTTCTAATCAAGTGCGGCCATTGTGTAAGCATTCTCAACGTCAAGCATATCACGTCAAGACTGACGCGCTTCGCTCTGAAGTCAATGTTTCCGCATCCTTCCTACGGGAGAAGGCCAATCTCGAGGAGGCCGTGGGCTGTGTGGCCGAAGTCACTATGCCTCTAGATGCACAATTGAAGGAGCTGGACTTGTCAAGCGTGTTGATCACCTTTTCGGACGACACTCCCGGTTGGATCGTGCAGCACGACCCAAGCATGCCTTGGAAAGATGTTGTGCCAGTGGTCGCTCCCCAATCTGAAGCGACAAAGGCGAATCTCAAATTTTCCCCCGGCGCAGTCTTACAACTTGCAGGCAAAGTCGCTGCCTCAACGCCATCGCAAATCCAGGTCAGTCGGGATCGCCGCTCAAAGATAACCTTCCTCAAAGATAACCTTCACAGTCATGCTGACGTGACTTCATTTCCGCCTTCCCTCAAGGTCAAGGACGTCATACTACAAATAAAGGCTTCCTCTTGGGACGTACGGATTCATTCAGGAGACGCCTTGCCTTTGATCCCGAACCTCAGACTGTCCTCGAGTTTCAGATCAGTCTCGTGAGCGAAAAGGCAGCCACAACTGTCTCACTTCCAACGTCGCTGAAAGGCCAACTTGATCCGCAGAATATCGCAACTCCCTCTGAATATCGAGACTCAGATAACGGTGCCGGAGATCGTGTACCGCTCTGATCATGCGACTGTGATATGTACCATAACGAATAGGGACAGCCGGCCTGCACAATTGAGATTCTCGGCCGATATCAGAGATATCGGTGCTGATCCTGGTAAGATGGCGAATTCCGGCCTATTGTAGGTTGACGAAAGAAGCTAAATGTGGGTTTTGGACATAGATCACCCGACCGTGTCCGGAAATCCAACGATACGTATCGATGAGGACGAGAGGGCGGTTGCATTCCGAGATCATCCTCTAGAGACGCTCGAGCCAGGCGCTCAGACAGAGGTTCGGCTGCAAATAGCGTCACAGAGTGGCGCGACGCAACTTCTCGCTGTGGCATTGCAACAAGTCAAAGAGGAAGGGACTATCAGTGCTGAATACATTGGGATTGCCAGCACGAATATCGCATTTATGGACCCGGTGGGATTAGATACTGCAGCGTGGATCGAGTCCCTCCCGACGGCCGGGGATGACCCTTTAGACAACCCCGGTACGGGTAATATCCAGATCTCGGCCTCGTTTACTTTGAAAATGGTCGGAGATGTGAAAGTGGCAGTCCAGGGATTATCTTTTCGTCATGCTCGACTGGTAAGTCGTTGGCACCTGTTGCCCGCTTCAGAAACTCTTGACCGCTGACGTCCGTCGTTACAGGACGAATCGGGCATAACACCAAGTCTCCAGTCCATCGACAGCATACGACCAGGAGAGTTCCCGCAAGGTGAAACCCTGTGATCATAAGCATTTTTGCGAAACCACACTGAACTGACGATAACCTTGCAGTATGGGGTAAAGGAGACTATTATGGCCTCTTCAACACCTACTTAGCCAAAAGCTTTAATAGGCCTACCCTTGACCTATTTGAGGGCTTCGTGGACATTTCGTGGAAAAGGTTGGCTTGAAGTGAAACCCCCTTTCCCGATAAGCACTGCTGACGCCACTGAGGCCGTCTGAACAGGGAACAGCCAGACGCCCCCCTCTGTCACACGGTCCAACCCTTTTACTTGCGTTTCGACATATTGGATTCGCTCGTTTGCACGATCACGCCCCCGAAGCAGACGGTATTGGGCTCCCCGTTCCGCTTCGAACTCGCGATCTTGAACAAGCACGAATTCCTCGATACCGATAATCTCTCGATCCAGCTGCATCCCTCTCCAGCATTCGCGTGGGCCGATTTCCGACAGCTGCCTTTGCCTACGATCAAGCCGAAACAGCGTTGGACATTTACTTACGAAATGACGCCGATCACGGGAACCGGATGGCAGGCATTACCCCGCATCGCAATCACTGGTCGCGAGCGTGGCATGCCGAGAGAACTGGTTCTCAGCGATGGTCGAGATCCGACCCGGCTTCAGCCTGCTACTGCGGGCTTGTCCGTTTATATCAGACCGTAGGATCCGGCTTTCCAGAGCCGGTCAAGATCATGACCCTTCACGACATTTTGATGACTAGTGCGCACACAGCCACGATGAGCAAATGACTTGATAGACCCAGGTTGTATACATCATTATATTCCGCATGCTGCAACGATATCAGGCAAATATTGCAACTTGATGACCGTACGCCGAGAGTCTCTATCTTCCGAACACGTGCAAGCGATTGTGAGTCGAACAGTTCCTTTTCATCACTAAGACCTGGTAGTAAGCACAGCCATCGGTATACATTTTCACTGATACATATGTCGTAAGGGGCTATATACCAAGGCGGACGATGAAAAGCGGGAATAGAAATCTACAACTCCTCCTCGGCATCTCCAGCCTGCAGATCCATCTCTTCGAAGTGATCCAGCAGCTCGTCCAGCTTGACCTCGGGGAAGTCCTCCTCCTCATCTTCCTCGCCCTCATCCTCCATATCCGCTTCGCGGAACCTCTTGTCCTCCTTGGGCTCCGCATCCATCTCGTCGTCCTCGACATCCATTCCATCGGCAGGCTTCTTCGTGTCTGCTCGATACATGTTGATCGCTTGACGAAGCTCGGGGTCCTCTTCCAAGTCCCGCAGGAACAGCTCGTAATCCTTCTCGACCCGTTGAGAATCGAGACCTCCACGACGACCGAGAGCTCCTCGTCCGACACCACCGTTGACATCGGCTTGGTCGTCGGCTTCCTTGGCGATCGATTTAAGCTTCCAGTTCCTGGCCTTTGACTTCTTCCTCCTGTTAGGATACGTCTTTTTCACAAGAATGACGTCGGGGATCCGGTTGTTGTCAAGGGCATCGAATGCGTTGCTGTTGAAATTTGTGTGGGTAAGGTGGTACCCGAGAACGGTATCACCGGGTTGCAAGATGGCTCCGAGATGGGTTCTGGTGTGATAGATACCATCGTCTCCACCCATACCGTCATCATCCCCCGCGGTGGCTCCCATACCCGCACCGCTCACCCTGGCGACCTGAGCATCGGCCAAAACCCACTTGCCGCGGACGGGACCCGAAGGCTCGACGTCCAACACGACAAACTCTACCAGATCCGAGATCGTGGCGAGCGAGTCGAACGGTGCTCGCCAATATGTCGCCGATGTGACGTCGGTATGCTGAAGCGTCATGGGGTCTAGGAGATGCATCGAGTTTCCGATTCTCGTGCAGACGGTCAGGGGACTGATGTCACCCCAACTCCTCGCGAGCTTCTTGTCGATACAAACCAGGTCGTCCTTGCAGACCGGCACGATCTCGACCGAGTAGGTGAACTTGTAGTTCGAGGTACCGGAGTGGATGTCGGACGACAGGAGCTGCTCGGACGCTTTCGATCTGATATATGCGCGAGAGCATGAGCATGGTATCTTGGTGTAAACAGACGAAGATGACTCACCGGACAGGCACCACCGAAGCCAAGAATTCTACCATCTTGATGGCCATATTCCGCTCAGAGTAGAAGAAATCGAGACCGTCCCGCTTCTCATTGATGGAAATGGTATCCCTAACGCAAGGAGCGGGAAGGAATGGTCAGACGAGCTTTGTAGCAAGTCAGCCGTGACGGAAGCGTGCTTACTTGTGAGCGTTGTGCTTCAAAATCAACTGTTCCAAGAACAAGAAGGTCCTCTTGTGGTTGACCTTTTGTCTGACCTGCACACTAGCCTTCCATGTGTTCTTGGCAGCGAGCCTAGCACATTGGGGACATTGCGCACCCTGTACGACCAGCATGAGGACAAATGTCTGCTGGAGGACTGTGCCAGAGAGGATCTCCTTTTGGATGATGATTTTGAGTTTGAGTCGACGGGAGTGGGGCTCGGTCCAGAGGAAGGAAGCGTTGATGAGCCTGACCCGTGATAAGGGTTTGGCGATCTTTTTGAGACAAATGGCTGGACGTTCAATCCAATAAAGCGTAAGTACACTGAAACGACCCTACTAGACACTCGCCTCTCGAAACAGTTGAACTCACAAAGCAGCTCTCTGGATTCAGGCTGAGCCGTCATCCAAGCTCCAGGTGGCGAGAACCACCTTTCACATCCTCGACAAAAGGTGATCGAGGTTTCTTTTGGGATTCCGTCCGAGATGTCGACCGAGTTTCTCAAACAACCGATACACAAGTTGGCGCCATTGGGTTCGATGACTGCACCACACTCTGCACACAGGATGGCCTGTTGCGAGGCGTAAGCGTCGGGGACGTATTCCATAGCCGACATTGCTAGCACAGATCGATTCGGTTCTATCGGTCTGACAAAGAGGTGAATGTAGCGGGTTTATAGGTGGCGATATTAGCCCGTTGGAGCAGAGTACTATCGAGATGCGAGATGACTATGTACAAGAAAAGGTGAGCGAGTAGAGTTTCCGTGGCCAAAAAGGACTTGCTCAGCAAGAAATTGTCAACCTCGACGAACGCGGAGGCAAAAGGACATCAGACTTACGTGATCAATTCATGCCGTCATCTCTTACGTGATCAGCCGCCTCCGTGTTCATGTCACGTGAAGTCGCAAGTCGTCATGGGTCGGTCAATGTCCAGCGATCCAGCGAACAACGACGGGACGGTGATGTACCTCACCCCACCTTTGCTTTCGATCACGACCACCGTTTCAGTAACTTATATTATTGCACATCATCTTATTCTTAGGGGCCAAGTAACATTAGCTTCTCGGGTTCGAATCAGCTCGAGTCAGTCAGTTTCAACTTGTTGCCTATTCTCGCAGCCAGCTGACCTGGACATGTCTGTAGCTGTTTAGATACCCTTTGATACTCAAAGAGCATCCCACCGACATGGCACCCAAAACCCAACCCACGCCTACCGGGCCGACTAAACCTCAAAAGGCTGCTGTACCCGCGATCAAGCCGGTCCAGTCCCGTAACAAAGCTAGCAGCTTCTCGACATCCCCTCAGGCCCAGCTCGACGCCCTCTCCCGCTCCATCACTTCCCTCCGAACGGCTTACATTCAGACAACTCCTATCCGAATAAAGCTCATCGACAGCTTTCTCGCCTTCTTTGTTGTCATCGGGGTCCTTTTGATGGCGTACCGGATCGGGGTGACGAGTTACCCTTTCAACGGGTTCTTGGCCAGTTTCGGAGGGGTAGTCGGACAGTTCGTTCTGATGGCGGGACTCAGGTCGCAAGTAGCTCCAGGCAGGGACGAGGAGTACGGAGAGGTCATTTCGCCAGAAAGGTGAGCTGGTTCCCGGAAGTTCCTACTCCATCCTATCGGTCAAGCTGACGCTGCAACCCCCTTTGATTCCGCCGCATACAGAGCGTTCGCCGACTTCTGCTTTGCCTCAGTCGTTTTGCACGTCTTCATGTTCAACTTCCTAGGATAAGCGGACTAGGAATTCTCATCGAGGGGAACAGCTCAGCTAGACACGCCTTTCCTGTGACTGGATCGACAAAACGATCACCTTTGTACAGCGGCCCAGATTGGCCACGTGCTGCACGCACAACGAACCGGAATAGATACCTCCAATGTAGAGTCTTCTTGTGGAACGAGACCACTATGTACACATTCTCGACGCAGAGCGCATGCATTCTCAGCTTTCGAAGCTCGAGTTTCTCCCTGCACATGCTGTGAGAGGAAGGAGAAGAAGCAGGTCCTTCATCGCCTTCCATGCCCGTCGTGTCGACCGAGTGTGGCTTTCAGAGTCATCCAAGCTTACTAGGCCGTAACGACATCATTGAATGGCCCATCCAGACTATGCTAATGGCATATGGACGCGCTATTGCAGATTAAGTCACTTTAGCAAGCCGTTGGCGTGTCATCACGTCCAATGTGCCTGTGTAGCGAACGGGTGCAACTATTCAAAGGTATCTATACTTGATGACACTTGATGACAGAGGCAAAACAATCTATGCATACACAAAGAAAGAAACCAATACCCAAGCCTGTCTTAGCGGTTTATGTACTGTGCCCGGACCTGGAGGTAAGCAGACCAGAAGGTATACAAGCGTTTGTTGCCACTGACACAGGTCGGTAAGAGATTCGATTTTTTTGTACACGCCCCATCTATTGAACGGATTAAGGTCGCACTCACTTCGGCCTTGATGGTCTTCCTCGAGGGAGAAGAAAATGGACGGTCGTAGGCGCTTGATGCCTTTCAAGCAGGCGCGCCATTCAGAAGCTGACTAGATCACTACTCGGAATATTCACACTACTGCCGTCACCGCTGTCTGATGTTAGGCACCAGGATAACCTCAGCGAGTCTTGAATCACCTCTGAAACAGATCGAGCCACCCTGCTAATTGAGAATGATAATGATTGATACTCAGCTCTGCGATATCACTTCCTCATTGCTGATCTCAGCTCTCGATTCGCGCTTCTCCATGATCCACATTTCTCTCTATGTCACAAAACCACTAGACGCTAGATACAAAGGATGTCTCGGAGAAGACCGGTATGGCCACGGTATCACGTCGCCCGTCGTCGCCGATACCACCGTCTTTCCTTTCATTCCTCGAGACGCCAAGCGCTCTTTTCGGGAATCGTGATCGCTTGAGCGTAGTCGTAGGCATCGTGCATCATTTGCTAGAGTCCGGGCGAGATAGGGGTTAAACGATGTAAGGCAAAATAGTTAATGATAGCTCGAAGTCTCACTTTGAACTGCTCGGTCCCGTGTTGCCGCACGCCCCTTGGCAACCTTTCCTGTAGCTGTTTGGCCTCTCGTAACAGACTCTCTATATCTTGGCCTGCCCTTTCGGTCAACCACTCAGAGATCTCCTCCGACAGGGTGGACACTTCACTTCGTTTAACGCTATGCGACAATCGCTGCGTCATTTCGTTGACCCAAGGTAATACCAGACTTCTTAATCTGAGGGGTATGGATATCATGTCAGTATGGGTTGCTTGAACAATCCTGCTGATTCGACCTCTTACTCTGAAGACGACTGGATGCTGTTATCCCGGGAGGTGTCCATGTTCTGCTGCTGGTGCTCGTCGTCCGTCATATCGAGTTGATGATGAAGCGGAATGAATAGTAATAATATTGATGAAGTTGCGGATTCAACCTAATAAGCGAAGTAAGCAAATAGGCCTTGATATGTATATATACAGATATCTATATATGCGGACTAGGCTACGCCAAGAGAATTGAGAGCAACGGTACTGCCGAGAAGCATGAAGCATGCAAGCTCGATACGTTGGCTCATTGACGGGCCGTGCTGTCTCTCGCTCTCGGTAACGCTGCCGCCATGTCGAGCACGTCACGGTTGTGTTCGGGGAATGGAAGGAGGCTCGGTGCCGGCAAGGCCGCTGACCAAACCTCGATTCAAGACTATCCTTTCCAGGCAATGCAGAAACTCGCTCGATGTCGCGACATATCTATTATCACGAACCCGAAACGCATTTGGCGACGCCGCCCATCCGCTCTGCGCTCTGCAGACTTGACGTGATGAAACGGGGGGGCGCCCTCCAAATTTCCTTATCTCTTGCTCTCGGCGTCCAAGGCGGTTACGTAATTCAAAAGTGGCTTTTTCTGCCCCCCTCCCAATATAAAAAAACGCTAGCGAGCGAGTTTGCAGCCGCGGGCGGCGCGATGACTTGGACGCGAATTATCGCCTGCAGCAGCTCGTTTTTCCCCCACAACCAAGGGAAGATTGCGAGCTCTCTCGCTATAACTCATCAACACTCCTCCTCCTTCAAAACCTTGACCCGGTTCTGATCAAGCAAACCTTCACGCTACTCGTATCTACCTGCTCCACCCCGAGAGCTATAGACGTCGTCTGGGTCGAAAAGACGTGCGAAAGGACTCCCTCTTGTCGGACCCGAAATACCGAGCTCGTAGAAGCAGCTTGAACATTTCGTTTCCTCCAAAAAAATAATCAACCTGATCGTAAATCACCTTTAGACGGGATTCCAGGACCGTACAGACTCTAGGACAGAAGAAAGGGCAACAATAAAACATGTACCGATCCTCTTTGCGTCAATACCGGGCTGCCGCGAGGCTGTCTACTATCGCCGGTCAAGCGGGAGCTCGAGTCAGGCCCGTGCCGACCTTTACGTCGGTGAGCGGACGAGCTCTCTCAACTTCGTCGGTGCTCCGAGCTGTGGCTGCTCCTGCCGTCGGTAACTACACACCCAGCACGGATGGTCCCACGCTCAACAGCCCGAGCGAGCTCGCCAGGAAGATCTCGGCTCAGGTCCTGCCTCGACTGCCTCCTGTCGATGTGAAAAAGGTGTTGGTCGTCGGATCGGGTGGTCTGAGTATCGGTCAGGCTGGAGAGTTCGATTATTCTGGTAAGCCGCCATCTGCACCCCAGATGTGTCGAACCTCTCGGTTGCTCAAGCTATAGGCGCGAATTCTACAGGATCCCAAGCCATCAAGGCCCTGAAAGAATCAAATATCGATACCATCCTGATCAACCCCAACATTGCGACGATCCAGACCTCGCATCATCTTGCCGTGAGTGCAGCATTTGGAAGCAGCTCCCGTTCAGAGTTCGCTCGAGCTCACCGACGATGGCCATCTTTTGATGAACGCAATACAGGACACCATCTTCTTCTTGCCCGTCACCGCCGACTATGTAGCCTACGTATTGGAAAAGGAACGACCAGACGGAATCTTGCTCACTTTTGGAGGTCAATCGGCTTTGAACGTCGGTATCCAGCTCGACAAGATGGGTATTCTCGAGAGGTTGGGCGTGCAGGTTTTGGGTACGCCCATCAGGACCTTGGAGGTCTCCGAAGATCGAGACTTGTTTGTGCAAGCATTGAACGGTGAGCTGCAGGGATTTCTACCAACATGTCGTCAGCTTTTCGCTGACGGTCAGAGTGACTTGTTGATGATTTTCTAGAGATCGACATTCCCGCTGCCCATTCGGTCGCGGTATCATCCATCCAGGGTGCCCTTGATGCCGCTGCTCAGATCGGATACCCCATCATTGTCCGATCAGCCTTTTCGCTTGGAGGTCTTGGTTCCGGTTTCGCTCACGACGAGGAAGAGTTGAGGAACTTGAGTGCCAAGTCTCTCAGTCTGAGTCCCCAGATCTTGGTCGAGAAGAGCTTGAAGGGTTGGAAGGAGGTTGAGTACGAAGTTGTTCGAGACGCTGCCGATGTGAGTGCGAGCGTGCGCAATTCCAGGCTTGCATCAACTCATCTCTCGACATGTCTCGCTCGATCAGAACACGATCATTTGCTGTAACATGGAGAACTTTGATCCCCTCGGAACACACACCGGTGACTCGATCGTCGTTGCCCCCTCGCAAACCTTGACGGACGAGGAGTACCACATGCTGAGGAGTGCTGCGATCAAGATCGTCAGGCACGTTGGTGTTGTAGGAGAGTGCAACGTGAGTCACCTGTTTAATCTGGCAGAAAGCCGAATACCCGTTACTGAAGGAGACACTTCGTATAGGTGCAATACGCTCTCAACCCCAAGAGCAACGAATACATGGTTATCGAGATGAACGCTCGTCTTTCCCGATCCAGGTAAGCTCTATCGACCCGGATTGGCCAGGATCAAGCTCGTTGAAGCGATAAAATCTGCGTAATAGTGCTCTCGCTTCGAAAGCCACGGGTTACCCCTTGGCGTACACCGCTGCCAAGATCGCACTTGGTCATACCCTGCCCGAATTGCCCAACGCCGTTACCAAATCGACTACCGCTTGTTTCGAGCCTTCGCTCGATTACATTGTTACCAAAATCCCCAAGTGGGACCTGGCCAAATTCCAGTATGTGGAACGATTCGTCGGCTCGGCCATGAAGTCGGTAGGAGAGGTTATGGCCATCGGACGTACTTTCGAAGAGTCTTTGCAGAAGGCTATTCGTCAGGTTGACCCTCGATTTTCTGGGTTCGAGGCCTACTGGAAGCCTGAAGAACTCGACTATCACCTGGCCAACAACAACGACAGGCGATTGTTCGCCATCGCTCACGCCATGCTCAACTTGGACTATTCGGTAGACCGATTGCACGACCTCACCCAGATCGACAAGTGGTTCCTTTACAAGCTCGAGAACATTGTCGAGGTTCACAAGCGAATTCAATCTACCAAGTTCGATGCCATTGACTACAACTTGATGATGTCGGCCAAGAAGACTGGTTTCTCGGACACCCAGATCGCCGATTTGACTGGGAAGAAGGAGGACGAAGTCCGGGCTTTGAGGAAATCTCTTGGAATCACCCCCTTCGTCAAGCGTATCGACACCCTCGCTGCCGAATACCCCGCTTTCACCAACTACCTTTACACCACTTATAACGCCTCGACACACGATGTTGAGTTCGATGAACACGGTACCATGGTCTTGGGAAGCGGAGTGTACCGTATTGGAAGCAGTGTCGAGTTCGATTGGTGCGCGGTCACCTGTTCGCGAGCGGTCAGGAATCTCGGAAAGAAGACGATCATGATCAACTACAACCCCGAGACGGTATCCACCGACTTCGACGAAGCCGACCGATTGTATTTCGAAGAGCTGGGTTTCGAGAGGGTCATGGACATCTACGAGATGGAAGGTGCTGAAGGAGCTGTCGTTAGCGTCGGAGGTGAGCGAACGAGATGGCGACGGCTTTTGATGACCGCCGATTTGATATGAACCCATGTCCTATAGGTCAACTCCCTCAGAACATTGCGTTGAGGCTGAAGAACAGCGGGGTCAACGTGCTCGGAACGGATCCTGAGCAGATCGACAACGCCGAGGACAGGCACAAGTTCTCTTCCATCTTGGACAGTATCGGCGTCGATCAGCCTGATTGGACCGAAGCATCTTCCCTCGAGGATGCCAAGGCTTTCGCCAACCGTGTCGGGTATGTCGCCATGGTTTCCAGATTTTGCCCCGTCGATTATTAAAGTCTCGCTATTCATATAGTTACCCTGTCCTTATCCGACCGTCTTACGTCCTTTCCGGTGCCGCCATGAACGTTGTATGGGACGAATCCACCATGGATCACTTCTTGTCTGCTGCCGCCGACGTCTCTCCTGATCACCCCGTTGTCATCACCAAGTTCATCGACAACGCACAGGAAATCGATGTAGACGCCGTGGCCCACAAGGGACGCCTGATCGTCCACGCCGTGTCTGAACACGTCGAAAACGCCGGGGTGCATTCCGGAGATGCCACTCTTGTTCTCCCTCCCTTCTCCCTTTCGGATGAGGACCTTGACCGTCTCAAGGTGATTGCCGAGAAGGTCGGAAAGGCTTGGGAGATCTCAGGACCATACAACATGCAGGTTCGTTGTAACGTGGTTCGCGCGGCGTTTCGCATTTTCCGCTAACGCTGTATTTTCATCTCAGATCATCCGAAAGCCTCCTGTTGACGGAAAGCCCGCTGAACTGAAGGTCATCGAGTGTAACCTGCGAGCGTCGCGATCCTTCCCGTGAGTTGACCGAACATTCGATCGGTCGTCACCAGCATCTTGAGTCTGACTCCGTTACATGATATCAGTTTCGTGTCGAAGGTATTGGGACACAACTTCATCGGTATGTGCTACATTACATGGATCAAGGAAGATGAGCGAAGTTCCTGACTGAAAGCATTGATCCGCAGATACGGCCACCGCTGCCATCATGGACCAGAACGTACCTGAGCCTGTAGATCTCATGAAGGAGAAGCGAGATTACGTCGCTATCAAGGTCCCTCAATTCAGTTGGACCCGTCTCGGAGGCAACAAGGGAGGTGCTGATCCTATGCTTGGTGTCGGTAAGTTTGGTGGAAAAAACCGGTAATAATTTCTGATACTGAATTGCGTGCAACCCGCAGAGATGGCTTCGACCGGTGAGGTAGCAGCTTTCGGCCGAAACGTACAGGAGGCCTACTTCAACGCCACCATGTCTGTCAACGGCTTCAAGTTGCCCAAGCTTGGGTCGGGGGTTCTTATCGGAGGAGATATCGACAGGCCAGAGATCGGCCTGGTAGCGAAGGGCTTGTCAGATCTCGGGTTCAAAATCTTCTGTTCGAGCGCGGCTGTCGAGGAGCACTTGAACTCAATTCCCTACCTGGTATGTTCCGAAAGAGACACTAGCAATATGTTTGAGACTTATCATTACACCCCAAATCCAGTCTGCGTCCAAGATCTTCTTCCCTGTCAAGGACAAGGGCAAGCTTTTCGAGGCTTTCGAGAACGCCAAGTCAGTTTGACCGGGATTCTCCCGCAGATGGCGCTGAATCATGCTGATACTTTTTCACTATACAGCATCCAGATGGTGATCAACCTGTGTCGATCTCGAGCACCCAACACCCTGGACGAAAACTACGTTGCCCGCCGGTGAGTTGTGTTCATCTCGCCCAAACCGGCCAGGCTCACGTATTGACAGCTCGGCTTCGCGACTGTTGCAGAAACGCCGTCGACTTTGGTATTGCTCTCATGACGAACCCCAACCTTGCCCTCTTGTGGGTAGAGACGTTGGCAGCAAAAATCGCCTCCGGCGGCATGCAGCCGTACCAGGAAGGACAGATCCCAGAGGACGTCAAGTCATGGCGAGAATGGGTGCCTCACGCATAGAAACGGTACGTTGGCAATACAATGATTCAGCGGATGTGTCCTAACCGATCTCACTTTTGGCTGCTGCGGCGATTAGGGGCTATCACGACCATTCACATTGCACGGCGGGCTAGCCGTTTGCCCTCACCGACTCGAAAAGGATGCCTTGGAAGCTAGACTAGGGTGATCAGGCTCGCCTTCAGAACAAGAGTAGCCCCTTATTTCTTAGAGGCCTTTCGAGACGCTTGTACATTTTCAATCTTAATCACGACACAATCGATTTCATTCCCGCATATCGTCACATTTCTATCGATCACGGATTGATGGGATCGACTGATGTCACGTGACAATCAAGTCGACCCCCCCCTCATCGTCGCCCCTGCTAATAAAGTCGGCTCGTGCCGGTCGAATTGTTACGCGGACTTTCTAACTCATTCGACGTATAAATGTTTCTCGTCTTCGTACGAATCAAAGCCCGCTAAAGCTCAGCCCATATCTAAACGTAGCAGAGGCGAAGCAAGCGATTGAAACAATGGCACCTGCGACTCGTGCCCCCGCTGGCGGTGCTCGCGCAAGGAAGGCCAAACCTGCACCGGCCCCCAGAGCTGCAGACTTGGCCCTCAAGCAGAAAATGATGGAAATGGCCCCAGAGATGGGAGGACAGGGTATGCTGGGGCCAGAGGAGAGCGCCTGGGCACAGCTCCTGCGACAACAGCATGGGAAGGGTAGCCGAGAGCTGGGTCTGACCGACAGCGTCAAGACGATCGAGGTAAGAGCCAATATGCTACTGTGACATTCGCAAATTGCGCTGATAACCAATCTCGCTCGTGCAGGACAAGTGGTTATTATTACCGGAATATCTGCGTACCAAAGGTCTTGTGTGAGTCGGGAGTCTACGACTGTTACGCCTGCCGCACGCTTAGCTTCTTCTGTTGTGGTGATTAGCAAGCAGCATTTGGACAGCTTCAACTATTTTACGGACACGGGAATGAAGCAAATCATGATGGCAAACAACCTCGTCACAAGGTCAGTATAGCACTAGACCCAATGTAGCGAGTACGAATGCCGATCATGTTCCACCTTACTCTGAGACAGCGACGTCGACCCCCGATGGTATCTTCGGTATCTTGATGTCAGGGTCGGCATGCCCACCCGTATCGATGCACCCAATCACAATCAGCGAGATCACATCCTTACGCCACATGAATGCCGTCTACGAGATATCACCTACGCCGCTCCTATCTTTGTTGACATCGAATTCCTGAAGGGGAGGAAGAGAACGACAAGGAGAAACGTGCAGATTGGACGTCTACCGATCATGTTGAGGTCCGACCGTTGCGTGCTGAAAGGAAAGACTCCCGAACAATTTTCATCACTTGGAGAATGTCCCTACGATGTCTCGGGAATCTTTATCGTTCGTGGTACCGAGAAAGTCATCCTGGTCCAGGAACAGTTGAGCAACAATCGTATCATCGTTGAAACCGATTCGAGGAAGGGTGGTGTGCAAGCCGTCGTGACTTCGTCAGTACTCGCGAAAGCTTCGCAACCGACTCGTAGCTTATTTTACGTCTTTCCCAGTTCTACAAATGACCGAAAGTCAAAAAGTTATGTGGCAACCAAGCACAACAAGATTTACCTTCGACAAAATTGTTTCACCGAGGATATCCCCATTGTCATCGCTCTGAAAGCCATGGGATGCGGCAGTGATAAGGAAATCATGTTGTTGTGCTGTGGTAGCGACGAGCCGTATCAGGAGAAGTTCATGATGTCTCTTGAAGAAGCCCTCAAGTACGTTGGTTTCCGGGGTCAATCATCGAGAGGTTTGCTGATCTCGTTCGATAATTCTCAGACTCGGCGTACACTCGACGAAACAGGCTCTAGCATGGATAGGGATGCGCATCAAGCCTACCGCCGTCAAGCAAACTGGCAACAAGCCTACGCCCGTAGAGAATGCGTTGGAATGCCTGGCCTCTATTCCTCTATGCCACATTCCCGTCGAGCACGGGGACTTCCGCCCCAAAGCCATCTACGCAGCGACAATGACGCGACGTGTCCTCATGGCGATGGTGGATCCCGAACAAGTAGATGATCGAGATTATGTCGGAAATAAGAGATTGGAGCTGTGAGCGCTCGCGGCTGTCTTAAGCTTTACGTTACATCTTAGTTGCTGACAAACTCCTTCTGTGGTCAGGGCGGGTCAACTTCTATCGCTGCTATTTGAGGATAGCTTCAAGACTTTCAACGCCGACCTCAAGAAACGTGTTGACAAGGTCTTGAGCAAGCCCAACAGGGCCGAGGATTTCGACGCGATGGACACCTTCCTGATGCACGGAGACATCATCACCGCTTCCTTCACGCGTGCCCTTTCTACGGGAAACTGGAACATCCAGCGTTTCCGAATGGAACGTGCAGGTATCACACACGTTCTCAGCCGTCTGAGTTTCGTTGCCGCTCTCGGTATGATGACCAGGATCAGTTCTCAGTTCGAGAAAACACGAAAGGTGTCTGGTCCCCGAGCTCTACAGCCGAGTCAGTGGGGTATGCTCTGTACCAGTGATACCCCTGAGGGAGAGGCATGCGGTCTGGTGAAGAACTTGGCTTTGATGACTCACATCACTACGAGCGTCGAAGAGGAACCGATAATTAAACTCGCCTTCCTACTCGGAGCGGAAGGTAAGTTCAAGTGGAGATTTCTTGCAAATCAATCAATGTGACTCAGGTCGTTCTGTGCCATAGATGTATCACTTGTTTCGGGAAACGAGCTGTACCGCCCTGGCGTTTACATAGTCAACGTCAACGGAGGCTTAGTCGGCGTGACGCATGCGCCTATCCGCTTCGTCAGGAGTTTCAGGAAACTGCGACGCAGTGGCAGAACGTCCGAGTTCGTGTCAATCTATATCAATCACAGTCAACGGACGATATACATCTCCTGCGATGGAGGACGAATCTGCCGGCCCATGATCATTGTCGAGAACTGTAAAGCGCGGGTTACGACAGAACACATCAAGCTGCTCAAGCAGGGCAAGGCGACTTTCGAAGATTTCCTCAAAGCCGGTCTGATCGAATATCTGGATTGTAACGAGGAAAACGATTCGTTGATCGCTCTGTACGAGCGAGACATCGAAGAAAAGACTACGCATCTCGAAATCGAACCCTTCACCATCCTGGGCGCAGTCGCCGGTCTGATTCCTTACCCGCATCACAATCAATCGCCCAGGAACACCTATCAATGTGCAATGGGTAAACAAGCAATCGGAGCAATCGCCTACAACCAATTGGAACGAATCGACACTCTTCTTTACCTCATGGTCTACCCTCAACAGCCCATGGTCAAATCCAGGACTATTGAACTCATCAATTACGACAAGCTGCCTGCCGGTCAGAATGCCACAGTCGCGGTCATGAGTTACTCGGGATATGATATTGAGGATGCCCTTATTCTAAATTCAGTATGTTCGGCTGGCGTCTCAAGAGGGGAGTCATCCTTTTTACTTGGTGTTGTTCATGCAGGCGTCGCTGGATAGAGGGTTCGGAAGGTGCCAAGTTTTCCGAAAGGCTGCTACAATGCTGAGAAAGTACCCCAATGGAACGTGAGTTCACACATCCTTCAGGAAAGCCTGTATACTGTTTTGATTTAACGCGTTCTCTGCAAATTGATATCGGTCAGATACGATCGGCTCGCGGATCCGCCTCAGGTGCAATCGGAGTCTGGTGAATGGGCAAATGCTGACCGATACCAGATGATCGAGACGGATGGTCTTCCAGGCGCCAACGCTCCCCTTCAGCCTGGTTGGGTGTACATCAACAAACAAACTCCGACGAGTTCTGGTAATTTGGCCGAAGGTGCCCGGGTCCAGTGGAAGAACGCTCCAATGTCGAACAAATATCCCTTGCGGACATATGTCGACAAGGTTTTGATCTCGCACACCGAGAACGAGACGCAACTGCTCAAGGTGCTATTGCGTCAAACTAGAAGACCAGAGCTTGGTGACAAGTTCTCTTCACGACATGGACAGAAGGGTGTCTGTGGGTTGATTGTGCCGCAGGCGGACATGCCTTTCAATGACCAGGGAATCTGCCGTAAGTAAAAGCGCTAGTCAACCGCCTCGCCTCTTGCACCCAGTGTCTGATCTCGTCCCCGTCTCAGCCGATATCATCATGAATCCCCACGGTTTCCCCAGTCGAATGTGAGTGTTTTGGACTGGTTTCGCCATGGTAAAATCGCTCATCCGTTGCTTTCCGTAGGACTGTCGGCAAGATGATCGAGCTGCTTGCCGGGAAGGCGGGAGTGCTCACCGGCAACCTGCAATATGGGGCAAGTCACTCCCATCATCCTAATCACACGAGATCACCTCTGACAGACTCGCCTTCTTAGACCTGTTTCGGTGGTTCGAAAGTGGAAGACATGTCGCGTCTGCTGATCGAAAACGGATTCAATTATGCGGGTAAAGACATGCTAACCTCTGGAATCACTGGACAACCGCACGAGGCATATACCTACTTCGGACCGATTTACTACCAAAAGTTGAAGCACATGGTTGTCGACAAGATGCATGCTCGTCCTACGTAAGCTCGCTGCCTCTTTCGAACAGTGCCACATCAGTCTTGTTTTAATCTCAGCGTGTCCGTATTTGCAGGGGTCCCCGAGCTCTCCTTACCAGGCAGCCTACAGAAGGACGATCTAGAGATGGAGGTTTGCGTTTGGGAGAGATGGAGCGTGATTGGTACGTGGATGTCTGTCATCGTACATCTCGAGCAGGCTTTAACAGTTTCCGGTCGCTTCTTTACAGCCTGGTTGGGTACGGCGCAACTCAACTATTACTCGAACGACTGATGATCTCGTCCGACGCGTTCGTGACAAATGTGTGCGAGAAATGTGGCCTTCTCGGCTACAACGGATGGTGCCCGGGATGCAAAAGCGGAAAGAACGTTGTGGATCTTACGATGCCCTACGCCGCAAAATTGCTGATGCAGGAGGTTCGTCGGAACTGGGCACATGATCGCCTGCGAAAGGAGCTGATGTGCTTTTTGCTCTACAGTTGATGGGCATGAATATCCTCCCCAAGCTCGTTCTGGAGGATGACGCTTAATGGCCTATGACGCCTTTTACGTACCGGTTTTGAATGTTCATAACGCCATTTCATGATCAGAACCGAACCATTGTTTGGTATTTCACGAGCGCTGTGTTTGGTCCGAAAGTCGTCATGCCTCAGGCTAATTGGGAGATCGGAGAACGGGCGAGCGGGACCTTCATAGATTATATATTTCGATCAGATTGGGGACTGTCAAAGTAGATGAGGACACGCTCAGAGAGCAAGCAACGGGTTCGCATCGGTCTTGTCTTCGTCCATAGGCAACCCAAAGACGTCTGCCCAGAACTGAGGCAGACCCATGGCGTCGACTGAACCCCTAGCTCCGGCAGCGTTCTCCATCACTGCGCTGCGCTGTGTGACAGGGAATACATGCTGGAATGGCGTTGGGTCCACCTCTTCAGGGAGTCGCCCAGTCACATTCAGTGCAAGCGAGCTTCCCGCCCGTGGAACGGCATGACTCTCCATCGCAAACGCCGGCGAAGTCGGAATGCTGTTGAGAGAGGGGAACGCTTGAATGGAAGACTTGTTGAAATAACGGCCGGAAGACGTCGGTCTGCCGTTGCCTGACATCTGCGACTCGGCTGAGAGCGTTGATCCCGCATCGTTCATGTCTCCGGATGAAGTGTTTGGGTTCGCGGATGCGGCCGCGTCCTGTCGCTCTCGCGACAGTCTCGTCGCCGTCCTATAAGCAGCAGTCAGCTTGAGGCATTCCCTGCAGGTGATCATCTGAGGCTCACGTAGCTAGCCTCTCCAGGGAGACCAGTCCTTGACAGAGGTGACCTTGCACCGGATGAGCCTTTAACCATGTCCGGAGTCTACCCGTGAAAATCATGATGGCGCCCCTAATATCCTCCTGAATGAGGTGCGGATAGTATGGGTGAGCATCATAGGCCTCGAATTGAAAGAAGTTGGGGAAGGACTCACCAAGCATTGTACTGCTATGCTCTTGTCCGGCTGTCGGATAGCTAAGAACGCACATACAGTCTGGTCAAGGAAAAAGATTGCCAGATCAATTCGAAGATCGCTTGCTGAAACTTGGATTATTCCCAACTCACTCCTGCATGGAACGCTCTCAAACTCATCGTCCACCTATGTCGAGTATCGTCAGTCAGTCGAATTATAGGAGTGTGCGAATTCAGTTTGAGACTACTAACCAGCTCCAGGCAATCGAGCTCTTGGCTCCAGACATTGCCTTGAATGCGCACATTATGGCGTGCGACGCATCGAAACAAATGTCCGTGGAATGTGTGTACGCTGATGGGTCAACACGCAGGTATGGCCGGTGGAGGATCAATCGAATCATTTGGACCTTGACGCAGAGGGCGAGTGTTTGATTGATCTGCCACTGAGGCCTCTGTCGAAGTAACGTGTCGGCAGTATCGACATCCGGGTCGAACCGCATACCAGGTGGAATGAGGTTGTACCAAGCGAGAATGTCTCCATCTAGGCGTAGGGCGTCATCATAGGTGAAGGATCCCATCGAGGTCGTGGTACCTGTCGATCCATCTTCAGTTGCAGGTGGAGCAAACCAGCCCTTCGCCACAGATCTTCCGTATCTGCGGTCTTGATGGAACACTCGACCGAGAATGTCCAATGATGGTATGGTTAGAGCAAAGTAAGCCGCGTGATAGGTGAAAGTGGTGGTCTCTGATGCCGGATGGGGGTATGAAGGGTAGTCGTTCTGGTCGTTGATCTGTTCGTCCGGCCTGTCCTGTGGTAACTGCGTGGTATAGTACGTGATCGCGGTGGGTCTACCAAGACTTAAGCAGAGAAGAGCATCTAAACCGGCGATTGTCCACCTATCTTTCAAGTCATCAGCGCGCTGGGGAGGTCAATTTTCTGCATGATCGGTCGGCACCCACCAAACACGGCGCCTGACCTCCGCATCTTTGAATGAGAGATCAGGGTATAATTGCAACGGATCGATATGCAGACCCATAGCAACAGCTTGTCGGATGACAATGCCAAGCTCGGGCCATGCGTCAGAAGCTCGTTCCGAGTTGAGAAGGTAAATGACCATCATGATCTGTCGAAACTAATGTTTTAGTGACTAGCAATAATTCGGGATAACGCCCAATCTCACCTCCGAGGTAATGGTCGATATCGTCGGGGAAGACATGAATGAACACAGACGAAGTGCCTGGTACGCGCCGGATACTGTGATCGCTAACGAGTTAGTTTGACCAGATGATTGTGCGACAAGGCGATCACTGACAATAAAGTTCACTTTGCATACGACTGCAAGTCAGATCATCCTCGTCATCGGAAATGCTTAGTGACTTGTCGTTGAGTGATCCAAAAATCTCCTTCTCAGAAGCCCGCACCATCACGGCCAGAGAGCACACCATGAGCATGACGGAAAGCGTCCCTAAAGTTGTCATCATCTGATCCTCGTTTGAGAGCTCGAAGAAAGCTTCAAACTCTGCTTTCAGTGAGGGCAGATGCCAAGCGGAGAAATATCGTGCAATCTCCTCTTCGAAACTCATCCATAGGCTGTGTAGACGATGACATGTCAGTACACGAACACCATGCATCGCGGATTCAACTTACACTCTGGCCTGAACTGGGCTAGGCAAGATCCCGACGACTTCCGAACTAAAGTGCTCATGACTCCAGATCGTCGTGAAGGGGAATGTTTTCCGTTGGTCGGGGAAGAAACCAGTAAAGGCCGCCGATTCGAGTGGTTCACCGCGGTGTCCGTCATGCAGGTCTCGGCTGTTTGCATGCGTCGCGGTCAAATCGGCCAGCTGGAGAATCGTTACAACCAGTCAGATCAGTGCTGCCGAAGTTCGAGCGAAGCTTGTTGACTTACCCGTCGAAGCATGTTTCTTCCCCCTGGAACACCCCTGATTATGCAGCAGTATCGTTCGGTCAGTTTTGGGTGAGGTCAGGCAGCATTCGCCTCTACACTAACACGTATGCTTGACGGCCAAGAGAGTCGCCAATCAGAGCTTCGCCGGGTGATAGGAGAGTGTGAGCAAGATATGGCTCCTCTCCGTGCTCTGGGCTGGACCGCCTCGACCCAGAACCCCACGTCCGCATCGATGCTCGCCGCGTTGGATCATGATTTTGTCCGTCCGACACTGATGTCCTACGCGAAGAGGACGCCGACAATTTCCCCTCTTTGACGAAAGCTTCGACTTTTTGCGAGACGTCTCCGGTGAACTTGCGCTTTTTGTGCAAGGCTGGGTCAACCACTTCTGAAACGACGGGCGTTCTCATGGCTCCTTTTTGCCTTAATTCCCGTACCACCTGTTCCAGTTCGGCTATGCGATCGCGTAAGTGATCGTTCTCTGACTGCTCGGGGTCATTTCTGCGACGATCATATCAAGAGCATTAGCCTTCTTTGATCTGATTCGTCATGGCTCTGATCACTCACTCGTCCCTATCATGATCAACCTCATAAACGCACGAGCCTGTCAAACCGAGAGCTTTGCATCGAGAGCAAGGCTTTTTGCGATCGCACTGTAGCGAAGACGACGAAAGTCAGTCAGTTGGTGTCAATACAGCAGGCACATATTGTACCAACCTTTCTTTTATTTTGATGACACGGCAAACAACTCTGTATCGTCCGATTCCTTTTCCTCTTCCGATAATCTCCTTTGCCACTAACATCTGTCGTCGCAGCCGACGTCGGTGCCCCCGTTGGCCCTGTGGCAATCACTGGCTCACTCGAGGGTGCCTCATTGACCGAATCGTCCGCCCGTAGTGCTTGACCCACAGCATGCATGTCTACGTGACTCAGGGATGGTTGATTCGGATCGAGTTTCGCGCCGTCATGTTCGGCAGTTGGAGACCCGGCACGACTGTTAAGCGCGCTGAGAGCGCCAGAGTAAGAAAAGACGGGGGCAGCCTTCCTTTTCCTATCAGGAGAGTTGACTCTCGAGGACGACGCCGAAGTATTCTTCTTTCTACTACGGGCAGCAGCCTGTGTCGTTCCGCGATCGTGACCAGCGCCGGTATTCAGACCTGCTAGGGCATTCTCTACCCCGCTAATGAGACCAGCCTGATGACCTCCAGGCATGTTCATAAGCTTTTCAGGCGATGTGGGCACGCTCATACCCCCAAAGGTCCCGGGATGCTCCAATGTGACAGGAGTGACTGTCCCGCTCTTGTTAGGCTTCTCACGCATCTGACGACCCGGTCTCTCGACCTTGACTTCCGGTGTGACGAAGGCTCCGTTCATATCCGAGTCGCGTCGCGAGCGACCTGACGCATCTGTCCAGTCCATGGCATTGGTGCCTTGTGCGTGAGATGTAGCTCCGAGGTGAGGCGTATTGGCTGGTGACGGTTCGGGTAGACCGATATGGCCCCAGTTGGGAGCTACCGGTGTCGGATTCTGTGACGGACCACCGTGCTGGTAGGATCCGTGGCCACCTGACGGATACGGAGCCATCCCGGGAAGGCTTCCTGCGGTTCTATTCTGCTGATTGAACCTCATTGCGATGCTGCCATAGTCCATTCCCTGGTCATGCCCGGATGAGTTGTAGGAAGCGTTGACAGGAGAGGTCGCGTACTGATTGGCCGGACTGCCCACCGCCGGATAGCCCGACGATGGACCCGATTGCGCCTGCGGCAGGTTGGCGCGTTTTGACGCAAGGGGAGTTGTCGCAGGGCTAGCATGCAACGGTCTTGAGCCGTCTAGGAAAGGGTGCCGCATAGCGGATGGACCAGCATGCCCAGGATATTGGGAGTTCTGGTTGACTGGGAGCGCCTGAGGTCCTGTTTCAGGCCACTGTGGAGCCGACATTTGTACCGGCATGCCGTTTTGATCGACCAAGTTCATCCCGTCGAACGGTCCACCATGCATCGATCCTGGATAAAAGTCTCGTGCGTTATTGCCTTCATTCCTGTCCTGAGGTCCGACCGATGGGCCCAATCCCGCGTTCATGACCATCCCTGTCTCGCTACCCGTCATCGGCCGCATGCCAAAGTTGAAGTTTCCTCCCATACCCATGCCGGGAAACACACCATTGCCCATGCCCACACCTTGATTGACCGAGTATCCAGTGAGGAAATTCATCAGCTGTTGCTGCTTTTCGTGTTGCTGGAGCGACTGTTCATCCTGGAGGGAAGAGGACTGCCCCTGCTGCATGTTGTTGCCGTAGCTATGCATCGCAGAGTTTGTCCTCGAGGGCGTGGCATCCGAAGCATTCAGAGGGTTCTGTTCGACGTTGCTCCCTGCTACCGGTGTGGGCGGCGCCGAGTTTGTTGCAAGTGAGGCTAAAGTTGGATTAAGCGTGGGGGGTGCAGCCGTGTCCGAGCTGTTCTTGCGCTGCTGAGCCTCGAAACGTCTGACGGCCAAAGAAGGTGTAGATCTCGTTTCAGAATTCGTCTGGTGTGGCGAAGGTTGTGAAGCAGCTCGCTGTATCCCGAGGGCCAGGGGGATGGGCGGTCGAGGCGAACTACGAGCCGAGATTGAGATCTGGTCTGGCCGAGGTAGGGTCGATGGATGTTGCTGAGGGATATCTTGGCCTTGCGACTGACCCGAAGGCTCGATCGAGCCAGCTGTCACTACAGGTTCGGCTGACGTAGATGAAGCCATGGCGAAGAGCCGTGTCGGAGGTTCCGGGTCGCGGCTTGATGGCCGTTGCTCGATCAAAGCTCCCAAAGACGGCAGGGATCGCGGAGAGCCCACAGAGAGATGATCCCAGTACGAGGCACAGAGAGAGAGAGAGAGAGAGAGAGAGAGAGAGAGAGAGAGAGAGAGAGAGAGAGAGAGAATCGATGGCGGCCGGGTTGGCCTGAGAATCACTGTTTGATAATCACAAGAGAGATCGAGCGCGGTGGGGCAGCTAGAGATCGGAGATGAGGGTGTTGCCGGAACCGAGCTAGCGATATCGCCTTGTGGTGGGGCGGCACCGAGTACTCGACTCCTGGCGAAATCCTTGTCGTGCTCTGTGGGTGTGCGTGTGTGCAATGACGAGGGTCGCGGTCTAGGGTGTGCTGTGTGTGCGAGTGCGAGTGTGTATGAGAGAGAGAGAGATTTGGGCCGTGACTAGCGTCGAAATATGGTTCCGGTCTTCCGAGAGTGGGCACGGGGACGGGAGCCGTCGAGATTGATCGAGGTACCGAGGTGCAAAGCCGGGGGTAGGGATGAGTTGCGTCCGTCGTCCTCGTCGACGTTCCAGCTCTCAGGTCATCGTTACCAGGACGGATCGTACGAGCAGTCAAAGTGTACAAGCGTACGATGCATATGGGGAAGCATATCTGACTGTATGCAAGTATGCTCGCTCGCGGTCATTGTCTCACATCTCACCAGATCCCCCGCTCGGTTTGTTCAGATCCAGCGACAGAGAGAGGCGAATCCCTCTTTCTTAATCTTTTGATCCCGTGGTCGAATTGCCAAGGACGTACCGATCTACTCCACTACAGCCACAGCAGTAAATACGTCACTCGCTCGATGATCTTGTACACAATCTTTCACCGTCAGTGCGCTTCGAAGTCGTGTATCGCTCTATAGGAACTGCTATTCGAATGCTTTTGTTGCGAGATCCCCTCGGGCGCAATTCGATTCGCGTAGAAGACAAAGGTCTGATACGAGTATACCACACACCTACGAGTACCTAGACCACGCCGCTGCGTCGTTGCGTCGCTGTACTGCTGCACGTAATCTGTTATCGATTGGTGGCAAAACGCTGAAACACGCGATTGTCTACCGTGTCTCATGTCTCACCGGTCAAGCGCACACGATCACACGACTTGTGGGACTGATGATGATATGATGATCGTGATCGTCGAGAAAGGAGTGATCGGAGTGAAACCTATGGATCCACCCACGACCCACCGCTCGGGCACGACCGAACCGGAGGGCGACGTCCCGTTACGTAAGCGACCTGATCTCGAGGGGCAAAGCGCAAAGAAAAATGTCAGGAAGACACATCCGGGAAGGCGGAAGCAAAAGATGATGAGTAGTAAGAAGCAAGAAGGTGTTGATGAGAATCCAAAAACCGACGTTCTTTCCAAAACTTTTCGCAATTTACTCTACCTCCTTTGAGACTGTACGACCGGCAGAACAGACTTGACGATCACTCTTGCCGTGCTGTACCAACCTCAACTTTGTTATTACCCAAATGATGGACGACGACCATGACCGACAATCGGCCGGTCCTTCCTCACCCCGCCAACGGTCGCAGGAACCTCTATCCGACTCGCCCATCGCTGAAGCAAGTCCCGTGAGGCGAAGAGTATTGAGCACTTCCAAACCGAAAAAGTCGAACAAGCCCACCCCCGGGATCATCTATATCTCGAGATTACCTCCCGGCATGACACCCCAGAAGGTCAAGCACCTCATGAGCTCGTACGGCGATATCGGTCGGGTCTACGCTCAGCGAAAAGATGGTAAGCGTCAATAGACCGATGTAAGTGGCGAGACTGTCTCGAGGCTGACTGTAGGCAACGACGCTTGCCTGAAACTACAGCTCCGACCGAATCCACGACGAAACCGCAGCCAAAGAAACACCAGTCGGCCAACTTTACAGAGGCTTGGCTAGAGTTCATGGACAAGCGGATCGCCAAGACGGTCGCTCCCATGTTGAACGCTCAACTGATCGGAGGGAAAAAGGGGGATAGGTGGAGGGATGATATCTGGACGATGCGATACTTGAGCGGTTTCAAGTGGGAGATGCTCGGGGAGCAGGTCGGTGAGTGGGACGCGGTGCGTAGTCCTGTCTTGTGCATCTCGCTGAGGCCGAGCCTTTTCTATGTGCGACCCTTTCACTCGTCAGCATACGAACGACAAGCCCATCAAGCTCGTCTGCGTCAATCGCTCTCTCAATCCAAGACGGAACAGACTGAATATCTTCGCAACGTCGAGCTAGCTCGAGTCTTGGACAAGCGGAGAGCTAAAAAGCTCGAGCAAGGGGAAGAATCGGCAGGTCCCGCGCAGAAAAAGCAGAAAAAGGTCACGGGCGAATCTACTACCACGGCATCTTCCGGGGACGTTGGTAGCGACAAGGCGAAGCGCAAGTACCGACAGAGAGATCTCGCTATGGGTTCGGCTGCAAAGTCTGCGGGCCAGAACAAGCCGGGTGCTGCCGCCGCCGACGGCTCAAAGGCCCTGCAGGGAGTCCTCGACGGCCTGTTCTAGTGAGATCGTGCTACAACTCGCCGTCAAGTTTTTACGACACGATACCATTTCGCGATTCTGGATATAACGATACATGGGGTATCTTCTTGTACATTGCACCGATGCGAGCAGTCTTATTCGTCACGACGGATATCGCTAGAATAATCGTCTGGCGACTTTTTTCACATCACCAAACGGGTCTGGGCTTTCCGCCTTTCGTTTGACGCCTCCGCCTGCCGTTTTGAGTTCTGGTTTCCCTTCAGTTTCGTCGGGAGCCATAGCGCGTGGTACGAGCTCGGCTGTCGGCTTGGGAAGTTTGATCGGCGCCGTCGGCCTCGGATCGTCCAGGAAGAATTGATGGTAGAGAGCCTGGTCGCAGAAACGGCAAGCATTTATGTTCAGTTGCAGGCAGTAGCTGTTATGACAACATGGCCACCATACTTACGCTCTTGGCCGAAATGCGCTTTAAAGGATCATAGCGTAGCATCTCCTTGATCAATTCCACCCCTACTTTGCCGACGCTCATAATCCACGGTGTCCACCGCTGCCCTCGGCTCTCTTCGCCGATGTTGACGTAGTCGGGTAGGAGCTTGTGACCCGGCCATTCTTCCTCGGTAGGTGTACCGAGGACGGTAATGATCTTTTTCAGTTGGTCCATGTCCGAGTCCCCTGGCAGGAACGGCTTGCGCAAAACGAGTTCGATGAAAATGGTACCGATCGACCACATGTCGATACCGTACGAGTAGGACCGCGAGCCCCAGAGTAGCTCGGGAGGTCGGTACCAACTGCGTTTCGTCTCGGTCAACACGCTGTCCGGATCATCAAGATATACAACTAGTTGTGGACTCACCGAGTGACGACTTGGCACGTCATGCGGCTATCTACATCGCCCGTTTCCCTGGCCAGACCGAAATCGGCAATCTTCAACTCGCCCTTGCTGCTGATCAACAAGTTATTCGGTTTGAGATCACGATGGAGGACCCCCCTCGAATGGCAAAAGTCCAAGCCGCGAAGACTCATGGCCATCCAACTCTTGACATCCCCGGGCTTGAAGACGAGCGTCTTGTCTTTGATGACCGCTTCGAGGTCGGTATCCAGATATTCCAGTACCAAAGAGAGGGATTGGGCTTTCGAGTACGTTCCAAGCAGAGCGATAACATTGGGATGGGAGAGCTCTCGCAAGAACTTGATCTCCCGGATGGCGGAGATGTCGATACCATCCTTGAATGCTCCTGCCTTGATCTTTTTGATAGCAACTGAAAATGAACCGACGAAAATTTCCGTGAGTCTCAATCGGGATACCAGACGAGACCGAGAAGAGCAAAGCACCAACTCACTCTTCTGGCCGGTCTTTACGTCGTAGCCTACGTTGATAAATCAGGCGTCCAAGGCTCGTCAAGTTTGACGAATGATTTGAACGGCAAATTGATACTACTTACCTTTGTATACATTGGCGTAGGTACCTTCTCCGATCTTTGTCTCCTTGACCCCTGGCAAGAGCAACGGTTTGGCTCGAGAATCAGTTCGCCATCTCCCTGTCAGCGTCTGTAGCTGCTCACAACGGGCCCTGGCCGCGGCGTTTTCCTGATCGGCCAGATTCATGTGTACATTTCCGGGCGCCGACTGTTATCCGAGTGACGACGACCATGTAGTGAGTGCTACGATCGAGAAAAGACTTGAGTTGCATGAGATGAGAGAGAACTGAATCGTGACCTTGCTTGCCCTCTCGTCCCGGTAGCAATTCAGCTTCCGAGACTGCGAGCCAGATGTCCGATATCATTGAATTGATGACGATGACGTGTCAAACATGCAAATATGTATATTCCTGTATTCCTGTTGCTGCTGCGAACGACGATCTCATGCCCCCGCGTCATGTTGCATGTTGCATGTCGCTATCAGAGAGCTACACTATACTATATACTAGTTATATACTATCGACGTCAGTCGTACACACCTCTACGCCTCTACCCAACATTTCATCTGTATATTCTTGTCCACTACTCCGTCCGACCTATTCTAATAATGGCTGATCAATTGGTAAGCAGCCGCTTCCAGGAAATCACACAATGAACCCAACGATTATTGACGAAATGATTCTCGGCGTGATAGACTGAAGGTGCATAGTCCCGGAAGGTTACTAGCCATCACTGAAATCCGGTCCGATCCGCTGACTTGTCCGTACTGTCTTACTTTTGATCTTTGCGCTCCCATTCAGATCAAATCGCGGGTACGTCAATACAACCCGAGGCCGTATTTTCGTTTTCGATCTGATCAAGTTTGCATTGTCTCCCTCAACGTGACCGCAATACCGTGCAACCTTGCATACATGTGATCCTCGGCATGCTACCGGTCAATGTTTCAATCCCGTCGGTGTAGAGTTCAAGGAGGCTTTCTCCCTGTTCGACAAGGGTCAGTCTCGGCCGGTCATGCATGTGCTTTCCTAGAATTCGCTGACACGTCTCGTGTGTCCACCTCACCCTGCGCAACGGCCCTCATCTTGGCAACATGCTTCAACCGCACGGTGCCCCGAATCCTCTGTCTAATGATCCCTGGAATCCATATCGGCGATCGCCCCGACAGATGGCGACGGTATCATCACCTCGAAAGAGCTGGGCACTGTCATGCGGTCATTGGGACAGAACCCAACCGAGGCCGAATTGCAAGAGATGGTAAACGAGGCAAGTCTAGCTTGGTACTTACATCTAGGCAGACAGGGTCAAAGATGCTTATTGTCGTCGGATGCTACGTTCAGGTCGATGCCGACGGCAACAACTCGATCGATTTCCCCGAGTTCTTGACCATGATGGCGCGAAAAATGAAGGACACCGACTCGGAGGAAGAGATCATGGAAGCCTTCAAAGTGTTTGACAAGGACAATAATGGTCAGATTAGTGCAGCAGAATTGCGCCACGTGATGAGTACGTTCCTCGAGAGGCAGACTTGAGATGATACGAGGTTGACCGGAAGCCCGCCTTGCCCTGTTCAGCCAACCTTGGAGAGAAACTTACCGATGAGGAAGTCGACGAGATGATCCGAGAAGCTGACCAAGATGGCGACGGCCAGATCGTGAGTTGACCTATTTCCATCTCGACGTCGCGACTCTCTCCCTTACAAAAGCTCCTGCGTTTCCCGTCAGAACTATGCGGAATTTGTCAAGATGATGATGCAAAAGGTGAGTGATCGGATTTTCACACAAAAGCGACACCATTATGGCTAAATCGAAAGCTTTCGCAGTAATCGCTCGCGGCGCTGCCGTCCGCTCGCTTGGTACAGCAAGACACCGCCATAGTGGTCATGCTTTTATTTTTTTTTCGGTTGGAATATTCGATGTAAATAGTCTTACTCTCATGACATGGAATGCTGTGCGCAATCGAGATTACCAGGTACGACAAGTCTCCAATCCGTAGGATGATATTATATATATATAATAAAGGACGGAAAAGACAAAGTGCACTTTATGACCAGTGTTCAATCCCAGGGTTGGGGAATTCTTTTTGCCTTGATCTAGGGGATTTTGCGCATTTTGGTTTTTGATTTTGCGCATTTTGATTGTTAAAAATTCTGACGTTTTTGTAACTTTGCTAATAAGAACGTGTATCATGTTGTAAGGGGACTAGCACTATAGTCGTGATGGGGTTGTACTACTGTTGATCAATCATGAACACTAATGATGATACTTATGATTGACCCTTGCAAGTTGTCCATTTTACGTTTACGACACGTTTAATTGCATTAGTCTGTTGACACGTCCAAGTTCAACTCATAAGTGTTATGTAGAGTCTATAACAAATGTTACGAAACACTGTTACAAAACCTGACCCAATATCGAGACGATTTGGCTGGCAAAGTTGCAGTTGGGTCGAAAACGAGCCTGAGCCCATACAAAAATGTCTTTCAAAAATGTCATATAAAATTAATTTTTATGGATTAATGATATTTGGGTCGCGTCGGACCTCTGCCTAGCATCCTTATAGGGAAGAGAGTACAGAGTACACTTCCCTATGTGGTCTAATAGCCGAGAAACGAAGATATAAGCGAAAACGTCGATATTGCCAAACAATCAACTTAGCCATACGTGCACTAGCAAAGACCACTGCTATAAGCTATCACTACTATCAGCTCTGCTAAAGCTGCAGTTGGCACACAAACAAACCATCCTTGCCGTCTAAACGCTAAGCATTAGCAATCAGACAACGTAAACGTACAAACAATTAAATCAACGCACAACCTAGAGCACAAACACTTCGCTCTATACTACTACTCTATTACTCTATTACTCTATTACTCTATCACTCTATTACTATCACCAGTAGCAGTCACACACGCACAACACTTCACTTGCTTGAGTCCGTCCCAACTCAAACAATTACTATTATCACGAGCCATGCCTGCGCAAAGGCGGTCAAGGGCTCCTATTCTTGGGGAAAGTTTAGAGGATAGAGCAGCCAGAATACGTCTTAACAGACAACTAGGACAACAGCAGCGTCGCAACAGAGAAAGACAACCAGCACCTGCTGATGGTCAGGCTAGCCAAACCATACATGCTGAAAATGTGGAATCACCTGATCTCACTTATCGGCCAACACTTGACCGACTGAATGGTGGTGACCACGGAGTACATTCTTTGGGCAGTATTGAGGTAGAATGTCCCCATTGCCATGCTCTACATTTCATGGAGGAACGCCTCACCAGATCAAGCAAACGTAATCCAGTATTTGGCAACTGCTGCACATCGGGCAAAGTGACCTTACCATCAATTGGTGTCGATGTCGACTTCCCTTTGCTTGACTCATTGCTCAAGAGGGATCATCCTCAGTCCAAAGCTTTCATAGACAACCTGAGGCACATCAATAACGTCCTATCCTTCACATCGCTAGGGATCAACGCAGACGCCACTACTTGGGGACCGCAGGGGATCTATAATCTTCGCATTAGTGGGGAATTAGTACACAAAATTGGATCCATCTTACCGGACCCTCATCAGCCCGCACGCTTTGCTCAGATCTATACCTTGGATGATGACTCTGCAGTCACACAACGGATGAATCATTTTGGTGGAACGGGAATACAGCAGGAAATCATCAGGCAATTACAATCATGGCTTAACACCAATAACCCTTATGCCCGAACGTTCAAAAGTGCCGCTGATCGGTATCAGGCTCAGCCAGACGCACTAGCCTTCAGGCTCCGAGCTGTACAGAGGGAAGGAACTGATGTGCGGCGCTACAACTTGCCCACCATCAGTGAAGTCGCCTTGGTCATGCCCAATGACGATGAATCTGCAGGATACGGCAGAGATATTGTGATCCAATACAAGGGTGGATTCCTTAAACGGCTGAATGAACTCAGCCGCATGTATTTCCCATTGCGTTACCCTTTAATCCACCTCCGTGGTGAAGATGGATGGCATGATGGAATTCCTTTCGCTGCCAATCAAACTGCTGGAGACGCTATTCGAGGTGAAGATTCAGAAGGTGAAGTGATTACCGGACGCGACCAACGGGGACGGGGAGGTTCGACCCGTGTCAGCCAGCTGCAGTTCTTTCAATGGCACATCCACACACGACCTCAACAAACGGGAGTGCTTTTCTATATGGGCAGACTGTTTCAGGAATATACCCTGGACATGTGGGTTACGGTTGAGGCCAACCGACTACGCTTTGTTCGGACAAATCAAGCAACTATCCGAGCAGAAACCTATCAAGGTTTGGCAGATGCGGTCAACACTGGCTTATCTGCTGAACACATTGGCCGGCAGGTCATCCTGCCATCCTCATTCGTTGGTGGTAATCGTCACATGGCTCAACTCTTTCAGGATGCAATGGCGTTGGTGCGTAAATTAGGTGCACCTAGCCTCTTCATTACTATCACTTGCAATTCTCGGTGGGAGGAAATACAACGGGAACTGTTACCAGGTCAGACAGCTACCGACCGACCTGATTTGGTTGCCAGGGTCTTTGCCCTGAAACTGGACGCAATCAATCAAGAGATCTTGAAGCAAGGCGTATTGGGAAGGTGCATTGGATATGTGCAAGTGATCGAGTTTCAAAAGCGCGGCCTGCCGCATGCGCACACTCTTCTCATTATGGATCCAACAGACCGTCCAAGGACTACGGAAGATGTTGATAGGTTGGTCTGTGCCGAGTTACCTGACCCTGAGACGGATCCTGTAGGACACGCAGTAGTGGCCTCTTGCATGTTACACGGTCCATGCGGCCTGGAATTCCCTTCAGCACCTTGCATGAAAGATGGAAAATGTACTAAAAAGTACCCAAAGAGTTTCCGGGACGAGACTCTTATGGCCGAGGACGGGTACCCTCATTACCGACGGCGCAACAACGGCAGATCTGTCAAACGGACCATGGCAGGCGGTAGGGAATTCGAACTACGCAACGACACTGTTGTGCCCTATAGCCCTTACCTCAGCAGACGTTTCAACTGCCATATCAACGTCGAGGTAACAACAGGAATCCATTGCGTAAAATACATCTACAAATATGTCTACAAAGGGCATGATCGGATTACCGTCACGATGGGACCCGTAGAGGAACCTCAACCAAGGGATGAAACGAGGGAATATGTTGACAGCCGCTATGTCTCACCACCTGAAGCCATGTGGCGGCTGCTCAGTAATAACATGCATAAGCATTCTCCACCAGTCATGCGATTACAAGTCCACTTGCCAAATCAACAGCAAGTCCTATTCCAGCCTGAAGCGGGAATACCTCAAGTCAGTCTATGTGATATGAATACATTACTAAAGTTGTGAGACTGATTCCATATTGAGTTGTTAGATGCAAGATGGCGCCATGCTATCCGGTACCATGTTGACCAAGTTCTTTGAATACTGCGCTGCCAACCCTGATACCACCGCCAATATTACTTATCCTCTGGCGCCAGAACACTTGGTTTGGGATGTAGGTAAAAAACAATGGAAGGCACGTCAGCGAGATTACTCTATCGGAAGAGTTTACTTTGCTCAACCTCGGGAGGGCGAAAGGTATTACCTCAGGATCCTCTTAAACACGGTGCATAGCCCTAAGTCTTGGGAACATCTCAGAACCTTTGATGGGGTCATTCATCCCACATTCAAAGCCGCTTGCATAGCCAGAGGTCTCTTGGAATCTGATGAAGAATTCGATATCTGCTTAACGGAAGCAGCAACCTTTCAAACTGGCAGTCAATTGCGCCATCTATTTGCCATGATCGTTCTACACAATTCACCAGCAGAAGTCGGAGCTCTCTTTGAAAGGCATTTTGCAAGTCTTACAGACGACTGTCGCCATCAACTCATCAACCGGTTCCACATTGCGAATCCTAACGATGTGCAGATCAAGGATTTCTGCTTATTGGACTTGCAGAAAGTCTTTTCCCGCCATGACAAAACTTTGGCCGAGTTGGGATTACCCGTTCCTTCACCTGAGGCGGTCTTTGATGAAGCGGGAAGGTTGGTTCAAGAGGAATTGGGCTATAACCAAGTTGAAATGCAGGCCGCAACAGATTTTGCCCTTGCCGCATTCAACCTGGATCAGCGATCTGCTTACAATGCAGTCATGGCAGCTGTCGAGGGGGAATCCGGGCTATTCTTCTTACAGGGTCCAGGTGGAACGGGAAAGACATTTGTGGAGAATTCAATGTTAGCGGGTGTCAGGCAGAATCACGGAATAGCCCTGGCAGTCGCTAGCTCAGGTATTGCGGCCCTACTACTTCGAGGTGGACGGACGGCTCATTCTCGCTTCAAGATTCCTCTTGAGTGTGGAAGCGACACGGTGCTATCAATCAGCAAACAGGGTGAACTAGCAGAACTGTTTAAACAAGCTTCGCTGATAATCTGGGATGAAGCGCCTATGCAGCATCGCTATACAGCAGAAGCTGTCTCTCGATCATTACAGGATTTGCGGGATGATCCAAGGCCTTTTGGCGGTGTTACAACCGTCTTTGGTGGCGACTGGGCTCAAACTCTGCCCATCATACCTAATGCCAGCGAAGGGGAAATCGTTGGCGCTACACTTCCCTCAAGCGCGCTTTGGCACGATGTTAGCGTACTCCGATTGGAGACTAACATGAGATTACAATCACAAGGACTATTACCGGAGGAGCGGGTTATAATGACTCAATATGCAGATTGGCTCAAGCAGCTTGGACGAGGGCAACTGAACACCGAAGCGGGGCATGTCGAGTTGCCACAGTACATAAGGACTTTGAGTCCAACTCAAGGTCTTCCAGCACTAATCAGCAACATATTCCCTCAAGTGGCTCAAATCGGAGGTCAAAGTCTGGATCAGCAATCAGATTACTTTGGCGGGCGGGCCATCTTAGCAGCACGGAACGACTCAGTTGATGCTGCCAACCAAGCAGTATTGGATCTGCTGCCAGGCAACGAACATAGTTTGAGGAGTGCTGACTGTGTAATAACGGATGGAGAGGAATTGGCCGACGGATTAGGATTCCCACCGGAGTATTTGAACTCCCTTACATTTCCAGGCCTGCCGTTGCATGATCTTCGGTTGAAGGTCGGCGCACCTATCATTCTTTTGAGGAACCTTGATGCTGCGGCAGGCCTTTGCAATGGGACTCGCTTGCTACTCTTGCAAGTTGGACGAAGGTGTCTTCAAGCCAGGATCTTAATGGGTGATCATCGTGGAAAGACAGTATTAATCCCTCGGATAGCCTTGGACACCGTGACCAAGACCTTACCTGTCAAGTTACGGAGATTACAGTTTCCAGTCAGGTTGGCATTTGCTTTGACAATTAACAAAGTAAGTTACAGTTGGGTGAATTGAAAATACGAAGTTGAGAGCTGATTGAATTGATGTGGATTATAGGCGCAAGGTCAGTCTCTTGACAATGTAGGGATTGACCTTTCATCACCGGTCTTTGGACACGGTCAATTATATGTCGCTTTCTCAAGAGCGACTCATCCTGGAAGATTAACGGTGCTATTGGAGGATTCTAGATATGGATTGGAACGGAAGGTTAAGAACGTGGTATATAGTCGGATGGTTGAATTGTATTAGTCTTAGTAGTTTGTGGTCTCTTTTACGTTTCTGTTTGTGTGTTTCGTTCTCGATCATTGTATTTGTACTTATGTGATTGTTCTTATGACAATTGCCTTTCTATCAATTTTTGCCCAGGGCCGGCTCTAGAATCAAACAATGGACTTTGTGAAAATTGGCATAACTGACGCGACTTCACAAATTGCTAACAACGCAAAACACCGAAACACCTGACGCCCATCTCATGGGTGAAAGAAACTAGTACAAGATATACATGATAACAGTAGTGGTAGACAACAGAGGTTGGGAAGTGATGCCATCAAGTTCACTCAACAGCTTGTATTCGTTCAAAACCCAGCTCAACTCTTTCACATTCTTGTAGTCTTTAGCTGGGATGTACTGGATCTTGATGGCAAACTCCCTCTCTCTCTCGTCACACACTGGTCGTCCCGCTGGCTTCTCCAGCGCCGGCCCTCGCGTCGTCAATGGCACTCGCGGGCATGTCCGCGACTTGCGACAAGATCAACAAGATCAACAAACCCCGACTCTTTGCACGATGCTTGACCTCATTTTGATCTAACACGTCAATCCTGCGATGCCTACGAGACACCGAGCTGTTCCCGGAGATTACAAGCCGAAGACCTCTAGGCTGAATCTAGAGAATACCCTTCCGATAGACCTGAGTCTCGCAAAAGAGCCTTCTCAGCTTCTCAGCTTGGGGTCCGGCAATTACTATACCTTTACGATGACCCTTGAGGAAAAGATTCAACAGGATGCGTTCATTCGTACGAACACTATCCACCTTGCTCATGCGTTCGACTTGCATCGTGCTGCTCTCAATCCTACCAAGGATCTCGTCGTACTCCATCGAAATTTAACCGCAACAGATATGACAAAACGACAAATGGCCAAACTCGCGCAACCTTTGTTTGGACGACGAGCTCCCATGATGCCCGTCATGAAGCGCAAGGTGATGACCAAATTCAAGGGAAAGGGTCTCGAGATACAAGAGGACGAAGACGAGACGGCAGGAGGCATATGTCTTGGTCTCTGGCGATCCATTGCAGATGACTCAGCCAATGATGCAGCGGGCCCCTCCGTGACGCCGCCAATATGGGAGGTAGATGTGATCGGGAAGCAGCTCCTTGGTATGACATGGAACGACGAAGGCATGTTTATCGCTTTTGCTTGGGTTTTTCCTCGTATAGTTGTGCATAGGCTGATTTCGAGTGTGTAGGCACGCTCCTATCGGTCCTTCTGTCGTGCAACCCAAAGGTCCGCTCCGATGACTCTTCGTTATTGAAGCTGGTCCACCTCTCTCTTCAAGACGGCAGCACCGTGGACGTCTCGTACATAAGACTAGAGAATAGCCCTGGCTTCGATTCGCCCGTCGAGATGTTTTGGTCAAGCCAACTTTCCGTGATAGAGGTAAGCACCGTGCAGCTCCGTGTCGAGTGCAGCTCATCCTCACACGACTCGATTGTTTAGACGCGAGACAGGCTGAGGGATATGCTGGAGTCTCTTCCAGAACCCGACCGTGTAGATGAATACCTTCCAGCAGGGTGAGTATCTCTTGTCGCTTTCTAGTAGGTGCCAACCTGATTCCATTTCCTATTGCGTAACCTAGGCACACCACACTCAATCATAATAGGTCTACAGTAGTGACGAAGCCTGCGTCAGCTCATCCACCATACCATCCTGTATTGGCTTCTTTCCCGGCTTGCTGCAAAGGGGTTGTCAGTACGAAGCTTCTGTGCGTACCGGCTCTCGCTGGGACGAACGGCGTTGGAGTTAGCTTCATAGGCGGTGCCTTTCCTTTGCCATATGTGCCGGAAACACGCCAAGTAAGCTTCAACAGGATGCTACTGGAGCGCGACACAGGGCAATCCAGCAGAAGCGTACGCACATCAAGTACCAGACTCACAGCCGACGAGATCAAAGTGGCCGATGCTAGCACCGCTACAAAAACCTACCTGAACACCGTCTTACAAGGCATACAAACCTGTCAAGGCATCTGGAGAGACGACATCGATAAAGAGCGCGTGCGATGGCTGGACGAATTAGGAGACGCTGCCAGGAACCATGGTAGTGAGTTGATCGAGACTTTCGAATTTTGCATCGCAATGTAGTCTGACAGACCGTACAATAACATGGTAGCAAAGTTCAAGGCGGCACATGCGGACCTCACGCGGCTTTTGATGACTGGACGTTCGGGCGAAGCAGTAGCTCAGTTCTTGGGAGGCAGGATCACAGACAAGGTACAGTGTTTCTCGTCTCTGTACTCCAGCCCCCTCGTCAATTTTAGGTCTAAAGCGGACCTCTGTAGACTCTAAGTGCTTGGGAGGCTACGCAGCGCTCGGCTGTAACTCGGATACAAGACACGATCAACTACAGCATAGTACCGGCTTGCGAAAGGATTATCCTAGTGATAGAATCTCTAATAGGAATGTCTGCAGCGTGAGTCTGCAAGGATGATCCAATGAACATGGAAAGCTTAACGTTTGCGCTACAAAGATCCGAGTCGAAGAATTTGAACTTGGACATCGCTCGTCTCAAGAAATCCTTGAGATGGGCGAAATATATGGCTATCAGAGCGGCTGACCTTGATGTCGTACTGGGCGAAGAAGCCAAGCGTTTCCGTGAATTTGCAAGATGGCTCAAATATGGTCAGTCAGGCTATTTGAGGGCGAAAAATATTTCACTCATACACCGCCATGATCCCAGAGATTGCTCGAGCTGCTGCTGGTCCGAACGAGGAGGAATCGGTCCCTCCTGCTGTTTACGACGTCTTGGCCGTGTGTGACTATCTATCCATCTTTCCCGCACCTCCTTCTGCCACCTTTTTCCTTACGATCGAGCAACAGCTGGATGTCGATTGGCCACGGCCTTTGCTTCCAAGGGAACCCGTGTGTCCAAACTTGGCCCAAGTCTTGCATCAGCGCAGGAAAAGGATTGCTGAAGACGTCAATACGGTAGACGGTCTTAGTGATCACGAACGAGAAGGGGTACCTGACGAAGAGAGACCGCCGTCGGATAGGACCCTTTGGAGCATCGCCGACGTTCTTGTCCATGACCTGGCCGGGATATTTAGGGGGGCGATCAAAGCTGATAAGGAGCGACCAATGAGTGCATCTGAACAACTGGAGATCTCTGTGACCGCCAAGGGTGGTCGTTTTTCCCTCAGATACACTCAGCAAAATGTGAGTCGACCCAAGCCGCGAGGACCGATCGCGGCAAGGTGGCTGAAACGAGTATCTGCTGCTGCTAAGAAAATGCGCGGCTTCCTAATGCTACCACACATTTCTCGCCGTGAGTAGGACGGCCACGTGACAGCTTAGCGGACTGATGACTGAAGGCCTTTTACAGTGTACGTTTGGACCAGCGAGAATTCGGAAGGACCGGTTTATCAACACGTCAGCCGCTTCTCTGACGAGATGCGACCGGTGGAGCTGGACTTTTTCGACGATGACGAGATCGTCTTGACCATCGAAACCAGAACAAATCTACAATACAGTAGGTCTTTGAGAACCGGACGACTTGCCTCACTGATTTTCATACTGAGCTAACTAATCCGATAGCTCGATATCTGGCGTCCGTACGGCTAGATTCGATAGCCATTGATTCGGAACCGCTCAGTTCGCCTCTGTTGGATCAAGTGGCCAGCATCGTTGAGCAAGGCATCGATGCAGACGTGAGTCTAAAGACGCTTATTCTGATCCCGCTTATACTCATTTCGGTATGTTTGTCAGGCCGAGGTACCACTCGAATTGCATGATCTAATCGAGCGGGCTAGCAAGTTGGAGCAAACGATGTCAAAATCTCAAGGCTTCACGCTCAACGGTCGGCCAAATCGACGATTGATTTGCATCAGCATCAATGACGGGAAGGAAGTCGGCGTATTCGAGTGATCCTTCTAGGCGCTGTCTACCTTAGAGATAATCGGGAAGGGGAACGTATCTATGGTATCAATGTGCTCGAATCGAGGCATAACATTCGATATGACAACGTCGTGGTTTCGCCTCGAAAGTGAAGATCGCGCGCTAACAAGACATCAGATCGCGTTCTATTGCGAAGTGTTTTGTAATTTAGTATTATCTATAACCCTCACAGAGCTGGTGTGTGCCCGCTCGCTAGAACGGGTCCTCGAATACATCGTCTGGGGTTTCGGCTTGCGACCACCACGACTCTTCTGATGGCGTGTCCAGAGGCGCCTCTTCCGCCCCTTCGCCATCACCCATACCCGCCGCGGTGCCGACAGCAGCACCGGTACCCATGTCACGTTGCAATTCACTCGAGCCACCTCCCCACATGAACATCGGGAAGCCCATGCCGCCCCTTCCCATCCGGCTGAAGTAGTCAATATCGATGTTACAGGCGAGTGCCAAGCACATGGCTCTTTCGTCGAGGGTCAAGTCGGTAGCTTGACGAGGCGCTTCCTGCGACACATCACGGCTGTCTGGAGACATTGGGGCCGTGATGGGTAACCCGAGTTCCTCTTGTACAGCGTCGAACCGGATGACGTATTGACCAGTGTCTGTGAACAATTCTCGTGCCAATCCTGAAAAATTCCGGTCGATAGAGGCGATCACATCTGCGACACATCGAGTGACTCGCTATAAGTTCGGTCGATGACGCCAAGCTAATGGTCGATAGGCTCACTGTCTTGCGCGTTCTTCATAAGGAACTGCCAGGCCCAAAGCCCGCTATCGACCTTGCTGAATTGCTTGTAGGTATCTTCCCGACTATACCAAACAAAAGAAAGGTCGATCAGCGGAAATCTATGGAAGAGCTATTCGTAGCGAGGCATCTACTTTTTGAAAACGTTGTATTTGCGACGCCAAGGGTGCCATTCCTGTTGAACTTCGCCTACGATCATGCTACTGTCATGGGATCCGTCCAGCTGTGATTCCTGGGCATGCACATACATCCGCGAATTGATGAGAGCGAATGGACGGCGTATCTGCACCACAAAAAGAACTTGATGAGGAGTCAATATGGGTCCTGGTCGGGGTTCCGGCGCGACTGACCCAAAGCACAGGAATACCTTCACGGTCCATGATAACCGCTCTGGTAGTTATGCCGAGAGGCGAAAAAGGACGTCGGTATGATACCCTCTCGAAATCATCCGATGCAGAGGGGGAACGAGGCTTCGCTCACCTGAAGGGCCTGTGTGTGCGCAGTACTTGACGAGACATTGTGCCGAGCATACCTTGGTCCTCCTCGGCTAGGTAACCGACATGTTCGCCTTGGACCGTCATGATGGCGTAACGATTTGCCTGCTCGAATCCCATGAACACGTTGAGCATCTCGAGCTGTCTATCGAGGTCGCGAGGGTGGACGTGAGCTTTCGAAGGTGAACCATGGGTACTTTACTTCGCTACGAGTCGTCTCACCGAACGATGACTAGGGCGCTGTTTGACAAGAGGCGCATAGCACCATCGGTTTCCTTGAGGATTCCCTTGGGGTCATTCTGGATGGAGACCGGACGCAACAAGCCGCTGCTGGCGAGTGGCGAGACAGCATCGTTTGGGAAGGGACTCGCCTCGAACGGACGATGGATGTAGGGCACACTGGGTAGATCGGTCTCGGTTGTTCTCGCGGGGCGAGCCAAGCTTGGTCTATCTTCCACCTCTTTCCTAGTCCTGCGGAACGATCTCGAGGTTCGTGGGCCTGCGTACTGTCGACATTGTACGACGGAGGGCAAGGACGATGATGATGACGAAGACGAAGCCGACGCATTGACCTGACCTAGTCGGCCAAGACTCGTGAGAGGTCGAGGTAATCTCGGCGGCATGCTAGTGATTCGGTTTGTAGAGATAGCCGATGCTGAGACGTTTTCCCATGCACACACACTTGCAGAGAGAGATGATGAACATGCAATTCATGCAAAGCAGCAAAGAGGACAGAGAGAGAGAGAGAGAGAGAGACAGAGAGGTAGGCCGCCGTCTTGCCGTAAGATGACGTTTCCCTTCCTCCCCTCGGAGCTTCGGCTAAAGACGGCAACGAGGGAGGGGGCGACGCGGATCTTGTGAAGAGGGGAATCGGGAACTTCGGACCGGAGGGGAGCGCAGGGGAGCATCCATGGACCGAGGGAGAATATATACAAGGAGGCTCGTTGATGCAAACACACACACACATCGCATACTTCTATCGACCCTGAAGATAACAACTATAACGGACCCGCTTCACTGCATAACTTTGAGAACAGATCGATAATGGCGTCAGGAAAGATCGTTAGCATTCGCTGCCATGGCCCCAAAGACCTCCGCCTCGTGAGTCGATCGACACTTGCAACCCCAACAAACGCGAAAGATCTGATACGGGCTCGGGTATACAGGAAGAGCGGGACCCCGTCGCACCGGGTGAAGGAGAAGCTACCGTGGCCATCGAAATGACCGGAATCTGCGGGAGTGACCGTGAGCGTCGCTTGGGGAGCGATCGCCCAGTTTCATGCCGCATCACGAGCTTACCGGTCATTTGCTCTCCTGTTATATCTCGCCTGTCCCCTCGACCTGGCCAGTACACTACTACCTTCACGGGGCGAACGGTGACTTCAAGATCATCGATCCTCTTGTATTGGGACACGAAGCGGGAGGCATCGTCACCGCGGTGGGACCCGAGCCCGCCTCGCCTACCTCGAAGAACGCCAACAGTCAATCCAGGCTCAAGGTGGGCGACCGCGTCGCCATTGAGTGCGGTCACAACTGTGGAGGATGCAGGATGTGCAAGGAAGGTCGCTACAACTTGTGCAAGGCGAGTCTTGCCCTGAGGTGTCATGGACTTGACTTTGACGTTTGGCTAAACTTGGCTCGCCCTTGGCCCCGATTTGCGTCTCAACAGAACATGCGTTTCTGCAGTTCTGCCAAGTCCCATCCCCACGTCGATGGAACGCTCCAGGACCAAATGAACCACCCGGTCAGCCTCCTTCACAAGTAAGTCGCATCGAGTTTCCGGACGCAGTCGTCCTCCCGTCTTACGCCCTGCCGTTGATGCTTTGCTGTAGACTCCCGGATGGGTGCTCCTTCGAGGCGGCCGCTTTGGCAGAACCGCTCTGCGTCGTCTTGCACGCCATTCGACGTTCAGGTCTCCGTGCGGGTGATAGGGTCCTGGTACTCGGAGCGGGCGCAGTCGGTCTGCTCGCCCTCGCGCTGGCGCGAGCTCAAGGTGCGACCACCACGATCGCCGTCGACATCGACCAGTCTCGACTGGACTTTGCCAAAGAGAACGGCTGGGCCACAGGAACGCATTGTCTCGAGCGGGGACCTCGCGTATCAGGCGCCGACGCCATGGCCGCCGGCAAAAAGTCGTGGGAAGGACTCAAGGCAGACGATATCGTCACTGGGGTCGAAGACCTGGACGAGGGTTTCGACATCGTCTTTGAATGCACGGGTGTCGAGAGTTGCATGCAGATGGCCGTATACGTGAGTCGTCCGGCTCGAACTTCGTCAGCTTGTCTGGAACGCTGATCGTTTGTTTGCGATTCATAACATGTCAGGCCGCTCGAGCGGGAGGAAAGGCAATGTACATCGGGATGGGAACCTCCGCCATGTTGCTCCCAACCGGGCCTTCATTGATCCGAGAGGTCGACATCATGGGAGTCTTCCGATACGCAAACGTATACCCCGCAGCGCTGGCCTTGCTGGGTTCCGGGCTGCTGCCCAACGTGGAAAAGATGGTGACACAGAGATATCCGCTGGATCAAGCAGAAGCGGCGTTTGCCGACGTGGCCAGAGGTAAAGGTGCCAATGGCGAAATGGTTGTCAAAGTTATGATTGGCAAGCGAACCTGACAGAGCACCGCGTCGCCTTGAGACATCTAGCCTACTGCGTTGTTGTACCATATATATGATGCATGGACTATTTTACCCTGCTCGTTGTCAGTTACGGTCCGATGCTGGCGTAATCTCGAATGACAAGTCGCCTTCAGAATCGCTTGCATCTCCTTGGCCGTTCTGAGCAGACGACCACTCTTGCAATAGTGCCTTCCGACGTGCTTTGCGGCTCGAGCCGGTGTTCATGAACTTGGCGCCTTCGGGTGTTTCCCTCTTGATCTTTGCCCTGTACGAGCGTTCTGATGAGCACCGACGATTATTCGATGCAGTAGGGGCAGAGTCGAACTTGCCTTCGATGACTCCTCGAACCAACATGAGCATTCCATTCCGATACGCCAATAGAAACGGGCGCGTCCGGCTGTGAACAGATTGGACAGTCCCGTCGAGCATTGATGACCTGCCGTCTACACGATCTAGTATCAATATGGAGCATCGGTGAGCAACGAGTCTTGCTCGACTCACTCTGCTATGCCAGGCACCATCTTGTCAGGGGAGGCCCCGGCTGACTCGAACAGTGAAGCCAGCAAAACTTTGGCATCCGGATGTCCCGTGTCGCTTTCCTGCGGCATTGATGTTCGTTTGAGGAAGCCTAATGAACAACTGTGATAAACGTCCGGAACCGTCGACGACGAGCGCAATCTTCCGCTCACTTTGTAGCAACTCGATGCCTCTCTCGCTACGGCCAGCTGGCAAGACGTAGATGTAGACCTCTCCCCCCATGGATCGTGCTTTGATTATCGCGGGTAGCAATTGCTTTTTAATCCACTTGATCTGTTTCTTCGCGTACTGTCGGGTAGATAGCTTCATACGTTCGAGACCCGAAGCGAAAAGGGGATGTTCGCTTGTCAAGTCACTGGTTGGTATGGCCCCAAATTCCTTGTATCCGATAGATTGAAAGATCCCTTCTTCCATACTCGCGGAGCCTTCAGCTCCGTAGATGCGACTGGAATCATTCCGCAAGCTAATGACTTCTTCGATCAGTCCTTTCTACAAAGATGGGAGGTAGTGTCTTTCAGTTCGTGCTGCGTGTACACACAGAGTGAGGCGATATGAGCATCTACCTGCACCATCAAATCAACCCGTCGATCTAGGCGGGAATTGAGAATGTCGGGCGCGTCGTAAACCCATAGAATCAGGGTGCGATATCTGACGAATGATCCATATAAGTCTTTGTTGACAGGCTCGAACTCTTCATAGAGGGACATCGTCTTACCTGGCTTTGCCGCTGTCCGATTCCGCCGAGGCTGGCGACGAGGCAGGATCAACACCGTCGTTTCGCTTGTGTGTTATTTGGTCCGCTCGATTCTCCCACCAGCGCTCGACCCCCCGTCGCACTTTGCGGCCGTCTTTCCAATGCCATCGGGACGCTTCCTGCGGATCGATTCGCTGCAATAATCGATGGATGTCTAGCAGCTGTTGTGCCTCACTATCCGTCGCAGAAGGTTTGGCAGCCGAGGCATCGGACGAGGACGATGTCTGTGGGCAGCCGTTTGTGGCGAAGGCTGAATCGGAATTGTAGAAGGAGTTCAAGAGTTGTCTGTCGACGGCGCTCAAATCGCATGGCATCAGGCCCTCCTTCTCGATATCTTCTAGTGCGCAGGGAGGTAGCCACTTGGAATTCAGCACTTTACTGCGGCCGCCCGCGTTGGAACCCTCCGGCCGATCGATCGAAAGAGCAGAAGGTGGGAAAAGGAAATGCTGGGTGTAGTAGTGGGTTCCGCCACAAACGATTGGCAAAGTGTCCTCGGACAGCGAATTGACCTTTACTAGCGAACACCGTTTGAATGGAGCAAGGCATTGGCATCATGATATAGCTGATTTTGAGCTTGCTGACTACGAATAGGAGGACGCACTTTCGAGAGCGCTTCTTGACACCATTTGCCTACTTCCCAAGACCCGCCTTCGCCCGGTCGAACCACATCGATGCCCCAATGCTCGACACCACCCATCTCGGCTTCCGTAATTTTGTTGGTTATGAGAGGCAACCCTTGGTAAAGTTGCATCGAGTCGGACGACAAGACGGTGGCATTTTCATTTCCACTCGTTGGATTTGATCGTAGATACCGAGCTAGGTCGACTGCCAGTTGAGATTTCCCTACGCCAGTAGTCCCGATCACCGCAACGATATTACGGGGTATCGGCAGGCCGGCAGCTCCGGCTTCAGATGCGTTCGTCGGCATTATACGGGTCGTTGCTTTCAGAAAGCCAGGTGATCTCCACATGCGTTCATGGCCATGGTATAGACCTTGATACGTGGTATTGGGACCAGTCGATGAGGTAGGTAGCATATAGCAATAGGTATAGTAGCAGCTGTGAGGTCGACCCCCTCCGGATCGCCTCGCGACCGCACCGCGGATATGTTAGAATCTGTCATCGCTGCGACCGACCACCACCACACATCCAACCACGAATCGGCCAAAACGTACAAACGACCTTCACAGATCACACAAAGCTCTTGTCTCTCTCCTTGCAGCTTGATACCTTCAATCCAAGACGTACCGCCAATCGAACCATCATGAGGGCCAACATCATACTCCGCGCTGGAAAATCCGCCGATCACACCCTGTATCATGCCGAGCCTCAGGTGAGTTAGATGCACATCCCGTCAATTCTTCTAGTCTTCTACTGATGATGAGCCACCGGATATCTTCTTCCTCGCATTCGATGAGAGCAGGGGTTCTGGAAAAAGTTCCGTAAGTAGAGTAAATAAGACGGTAACAACAGGGCAAGGAGGCTGAGCCCGACCGATCTCGTCTTTACCTCAGGTGATGCTGTTGTCGGTCAGTCCGATTCCCCCGCTAGATGAGCTCGTCCCTCGGACATTCAACTCATCGCATACGGTTCACCGTCATTCTAGTCAACCCCGAGATCTCGTCTGGATTGCCTATCCCAGAGTTGAACCGTAACCCCGCGCCGGCTTCTAGGCCCGAGCTCTATGCCACCCCGGCTACCGAGGCCAGTGACATCGCTTTCAACCCGGTAAGGCAACCTGTCAAGTCAGGCCACTAGGATGACGAGCTCATTCTGAATTTTGGTCATGCTGGTACCTTTCTTTCATCAGTACTACAAGCGAGACGTAAGCGCGCAGCGACTTGAGCACCGATTTGCTATATCTGACGTGCAGTTCGTTTCGTAGTTCCGCCGACAATTCCCTGCAACATCCTATGTCTCACAAGAAAAGCTGGCGGGTCTCCTGCTGGCATCCCCTGAAGGCCAGAAAGCGTGAGCAGCCGTCATTTGAAGCCGGCAAGGTTATTGAGCGTCAGAACAATTATTAACATTTTGCCATATCATCTTCTAGCTTGCCCTCACCCTCCACCACCACCGACATTATCAAGTCTGGACCTTCTCACTCTCTGAATGAAGTCCTCGCCGTGCTGCCCAACACCTTTGCGTCAGAAGGAGGCATATCGGTCACCTCGACTGCGAGCGGTTTGCCTCCCAAGCCTCCCGCTTTCGGTGGAAAGAAATGGGTCCCTGTACCAGGCGACGAGATCCCCCACGCACCCGATGCTTACTGGCCTATGGTGTCTTACCGCTAGACCCGCCTGAATGATTTGGATTGTGGTGATATCTCGCCATATCGCGGACGGCATTGTACAAGCAGAACTATTTTGGATATAAATCGATCGCTCTAGATCACTCTGCAGAGGTTCGCATGTTACGGCCACAGGGGATTCTAGCGAAGCAGAGCGCATTGTAACTAGCTCGGCGAAACGTTGCTTCGGTAGCCAGCTTGCTGTTCTAACAACTGCTTGACCTTTTCCTCTAAAGCGATGGCAATTGCGAGGCCGGCAGAGTCGTTCATCCCGGATGTCGTGACTGTCCGACGTTTGCCAATCATGATTAATAGCTCAAAAGGCTGAAGATGTCGTGCATGATCTGCTTTTAAACATTAGGCAGCTGAATCAACATACCTTGACCGTTCACTACTGGAGCTGCACCGGGGATTACTCTGTAAGAGGTGCCCTCCAGTACATGCTGCCCATGTATTCGTAGCGAGCACACATGGCTGGTGTACGCCTTGATCGCCTGTAAGAGCTCCTGTTTCAACCAGAGGTAAGGCGTGAGCTAGGAGAACCGGGTAGATTGTCCGCATGTTGCGAGACCCACCGCAGACGGCTGTCCGACACGCAGATCCTCAGCCATTATTGCTACCTGGCATCGGTACGAGCCCACCCTTGCCGATATAGATACACTGTCGTGTGTGCAAGTCGTGGGATTCAGGTCTAGAATCCGTGAAGCCTTGACGGCCAGCCATGACCCTCTCCTGCCCTCCCTCGTAACGGTCGACGATGAGTCTCGGCCCAACTCGCGTTCGCCCGGTCACCATCACCCAGCAGCAGCAGGTCGCCAGCGTGACCTCAAAGGATGATCGGATGATGATGTAGTAGAGTAGTCGTATCACACGGTCGAGCGACAGTTCTTCGGAAAGGGCAAAAGGGATCCGTATCAGCCTCATCTGACTGCAGTTATTTGCTACAGACCGGACTCGAGCATTACACCGCGCCCCATCAGAGCCAAACCACTCGATCGCTCATAGGTCCCCGTCCCGATACGCCAACGCGGACAGCCAACTCGTCGGTATACAATAACCATCCCGAAGCTCGCAAAGCCGAAAGTGCGACCAACAAGATGAATCCAAACTTTGACGATGTTGAGGAGCGAGATGGTGAGCGTCTTGGTCTAGGTGATCATTCGAAATCGTCTTCGCTCGCTGATCTCTGCTTCAAACCCTTTGTAGGTGTTCGATTCTCCTGGAATACGTGGCCATCCTCCAGGATCGAGGCTACCAGGACCGTGGTCCCTATCGCAGCCCTCTACACGCCCTTGAAAGAAAGGGAAGATCTGCCTCCTGTGCTATACGAGCCCGTGACCTGCAAAGCACCTTGCAAAGCCATTCTCAACCCTTACTGGTCAGTCGATAGACGCTAGATGTCACGTTCGCTGTCTGATAACGGATGGATCAACCGACCCGCATGTTCCAGCTCGATCGACGTGCGAGGCAAGCTCTGGATTTGTCCTTTTTGTCTGCAGCGAAACCCCTTCCCGCCACACTACAAGGATATTTCCACTACCAACTTGCCTGCCGAGCTCCTTCCCAAGTACACCACCATCGAGTACACGCTCTCTCGACCCGCTCAGATCCCTCCGATCTTTCTGTTTGTGATCGATACCTGTCTCGACGAGGACGACCTGAAGGCCTTGAAGGAAACTATTGTCGTCAGCCTCAGCTTGCTGCCTCCCAATGCGTTGGTCGGCTTGATCACGTATGGTACTATGGTCAGTCCAGTCCATGGAATAGGTGGCCGTTAGGCCAGTCAGTCTCTGATCGTCATTATGACTGCATCAGACTCAAGTTCACGAGCTGGCCTATGGCGAATGTCCCAAGTCATACGTCTTCCGAGGTTCGAAGGATTATCAGCAGAAGCAGATCGTGGATATGCTCGGTCTTAATCCCTCCACCGCACGACCCGCTGCCGCCGGTCCATCAATGCCCGGTCAGCGAGGAGGCTTCCAGACCGCTGCGAGCCGCTTCCTCATGCCCGTACAGGCATGCGAGTTTCAGTTGACGCAAATCATCGAAGGTCTCACGAGGGATCCCTGGCCTGTCGCCAACGACCGGAGGCCGATGCGATGTACCGGCGTTGCCATGAATGTTGCCGTTAGCATGCTCGAGGTGAGCCGACTTGACTTGGTCAGTAACAAATTGTCAGCTGAACTCGACAAATTGGGCACTCTAGTCCGCCTTCCCTAATACTGGCGCGAGAATCATGTTATTCGCCGGTGGACCAGCCACAGAAGGTCCCGGGATGGTCGTCGGGCAGGAGCTCAGGGAGCCTATCCGATCGCACCATGATATCGATCGGGACAGCGTAAAGCATTTCAAGAGAGCAACCAAGGTCAGTCTTGCGTTGGATTTGCTTGGTCGGGAACGTGAACTGAATTGCGGTCCAACGATATGTGCGTCGTTATCAGTTCTACGAAGGATTGTCCAAGAGGGCTTCGGTGAACGGTCACGCTATCGATGTCTATGCCGGCTGTCTCGATCAAGTCGGTCTGCTAGAGATGAAGTCTCTTACCAACTCGACCAACGGGTTCATGGTGATTTCCGACTCCTTCACTACGGCCATCTTCAAGCAAAGCTTCTTGAGGACTCTAGGCAAGGACGACAACGGCTACCTCCAGATGGGTTTCAACGGAACCTTCGATGTCATTGTGAGCACAGACTCGCTTCGGTATGGGTACAGCACGCCACGCTTACCTCTGCTGCGCTCCTCAGACTACAAAAGAGATCAAGATTTCTGGCGTCATCGGACATGTCATTTCTGTCAACAAAAAGTCGGCCAGTGTCGGCGAGACCGAAATCGGGATAGGACAGACTTCGGCATGGAAGGTCTGCTCCCTCACGCCGAAATCCTCGATGGCAGTATATTTCGAGGTCGTGACACCCGCTGGTCAGCCTCTTCAACCCGGTGCGAATGGACTCATACAATTCGTTACACACTATCAACACGCGTCGGGCCAGTATCGCTTGCGAGTAACCACGGTGGCCAGAGCCTTTGCCGAAGGAGGGCATCCCTCCATCGCTGCATCGTTCGACCAAGAGGCTGCTGCGGTGCTTATGTCCCGTATTGCTGTGTTCAAGGCCGAGATCGACGATTCGCCCGATGTACTCAGGTGGCTGGACAGGATGTTGATTCGACTGTGTCAAAAGTTTGCGGATTATCGCAAAGAGGGTGAGTTTATAAAAACTCCCGGCCGAATGACGTGTAGCTTATTTGCCTATTGCCTGTAAATCCGACAGATCCTGCAAGTTTCAAGCTGAGCGAAGGATTCAGCATCTACCCGCAGTTCATGTTCCACCTCCGTCGAAGCCAGTTTTTGCAAGTCTTCAACAACTCGCCCGATGAAACGGCCTTTTACAGGTGAGCAATCTCGATTCCATGGAGAGTACGGCTGTCTGACCGATGTTGCGCTCGTTTCTTTCCTTTAGGCACATCCTCAATGACACCGATGTCAACAACTCGCTGACAATGATCCAGCCGACACTGATGTCCTACACCTTTGACCAAGCGCCTCAACCCGTCTTGCTCGATTCGGTCTCGATTCGTCCCGACGTCATTCTTCTGCTGGATACCTTCTTCCACATTCTGATCTTCCACGGCGAGACTATCGCACAGTGGAGAAAGGCTGGATATCAAGAGCAAGAAGGCTACGAAAACTTTAAAGAGTTACTGGAAGCTCCCGTAGTGGACGCACAGGTGCGTTACCGACACGGGAAATGATACCTGTTCGAGTTGGACAGATCGCTCATCCTGTTTGGGATGTCCTTTTCACCTTGTTACAGGATCTGCTCACGGACCGCAACCCGATCCCGAGGTACATTGTTTGTGATCAAGGCGGATCTCAAGCTCGATTCCTATTGTCCAAATTGAACCCTTCGACGACCCATATGACTGGAGGATCGTATGGCAGTGGAGCCGGAGCATCTAGCGGTCAGGCCATCTTTACCGATGATGTCAGGTAAGCGATATGGCCGGGTTGATCGATGACATATCAATAGAGCTGATACGATGGTTGACTCGATAATAGTTTGCAAGTCTTTTTCGACCATCTGAAACGACTCGTAAGTTTGCTCGCGGGTCACATTTCCGTTTACCGCCGATGGCTGACGGTTCTTCTTTTTCCCAAATCGTCGATCGTGACTTTAGGCTGTCGGAGCTCCTTCTTCTTAACCTTGTCGTATACCTTGAATGCCTCTGTCGTATGTATGTATATATATATATATATATGCGAGAGAGAGATTGGACGAGATTCAGACGGTACATGGTACACGGTCGGTACCACCATGCTCGATCCGGGGTTTTCTGTGACAAGTTCCCACGGGTACAGCCGTGACGCAAGCCCGGCCTGTCTCGTCATTCGCCCGAGCTCTCTGCCGCGCGCGCGTCCTCTCTGAGCGAAAACCCCACGACGGATGCCCAGCTGCCAGCTGCCCAGGCCAGCGAAACAACAAATCAATCCCTGTCGACCTCACACAAGGACTTCGCATTCCACACCTAAAGCGTTCCCTTGACTCCCTCCCTCCCTCCCTCCCTCTCTCACGTATTCCACTCCATCTCAGACTTGTTTCGTATCACTCAAGATGTCCGCACCCGTCCCCCCCAGCTACAAGGATTTGGGCAAGAGGTGAGCAGGGGGACGCTCACGCCATGCTCGATGTGACACCTTACTCACCACTTCAAACTTGGTATGCAAATCTCATCAGCTCATCTGATCTGTTGAGCAAGGACGTGAGTGAGCAACAGTGTATATCGAAACCGATTCTTGCTAAAACCCTCTCCGCGGCTTTGAGCAGTACCCTATCCACGGCACGTCTCTCGAGGTCAAGACCACCTCGTTCCCCGCCAGCTTCAAGGTCGCTGGGCTTCGTGATGCCAAGTCGGCCGCTATCACCGGTGACATCGAGGGAAAGTGGGTCGACCCCAAGAACGGTGTCGCCATCACTCAGGCCTGGACCACCTCGAACATCCTCCGAACTCAGGTCGAGCTCGAGAACCAGATCGCCCGTGGTCTCAAGTTGGACCTCTTGACCGCCCTCAACCCGGCCAAGAACCAGAAGAGCGCCCTTGTGACTGCCATCTACAAGCAGCCCAGCGTTCACACCAGGGCCACCGTTGACCTCTTCAAGGTCAGACTGAACTCGCTTCTCGTATCCGACACGTGGTCACGTTCGAGAGACTGATATCGGCCGACCGTTCTTTGATCAGGGACCCACCTTCACCGCCGATGCCGTTTTGGGTCGTGCCGGCGCCCTCGTCGGTGCTGAAGCTACCTACGACGTTCTCGCTGGTGCCATCACCAGGTACGCCGGTGCCGTCGGATACTCTGCTGCCGACTACAGCGTCGCCGTCCACGCCTTGGGCAACCTGTCCGCGTACTCGGCCAGCTACTACCACCGCATCAACAGGTAAGATCCAAACACCGATCGCAACCAGGGCAAAAACGCCGATGAGGGGAATCTGACGTCGATTCATCGTCTTTACAGCGACATCGAGGCCGGTGCCAAGGCTGTCTACGACACCAAGAGCACTGCCGGAGGTGTCAACCTCGAAGTCGGTGCCAAGTCTTACTTGGTCAGTCCCTTGTGTACATGTGCATTTACATTTGATGAGCTCGTAACTGATATCCACTCGGTATACGATATTTGTGTACACAGGACAACTCTGCCTTTGTCAAGGTGAGGGTTTTCCTGGAGATCTGCTAGACGTTAACCATTGCTGACCCAAAGACGACATCTTCTCTCGTCTCCGATTTTACCCATCAGGCCAAGGTGTGAGTATCGATTTTTGGTTTGATGTCTCCTATCAGCCACGAGATCGAACCGCTGACCTCGCGTGCACCGACCCTACGCCAGTAACAACGCCGGTATCGTCGGCCTCGCCTACACCCAGGCTCTCCGCCCCGGTGTCAAGGCCTCGTTTGGAATTGCCATTGACACCCAGCGATTGAACGATCGTAAGCAGCCGAGCCCAGAGTTGAAAGGTTTTGTCAACGGGGGAAACAGGCCGCTGATCCCTCTTGACGCTCTCCTCGTTTCCGCAGAGTCTGGTTCCAGCAACCACCGAGCCGGTGCCTCGTTTGTCTTCACCAACTAAATCTAGTATCAAAACGCTCTGTGACCAGTAGTAGTAATAGTCTTACCAGCGGGGTTGTGAGACTGGATTGATCATGGGAAATATCACGTTTTCATTTCGACCAAGGACTCCCTTACAGCCTCGACGCTGCTGATGGTACCTGTTATTTCCGAGGACGGACATGACTAGATCGTGTGGTGAACCGTTGGCGGGTTGGTGCGTCGTGCGATGCGTGTCTTGGGCATCGTAGGATCACTTATGTGGTGATGGTGTTGGGTTGCTCTTGCCGCTATTCGTGGAAAGCTCCGAAAGACGTGTTTTTGTTTTGGGCCGAGGCTGTGCGTGTCGAACAATTGCTTCCGCTCTCGAATAAGGGGCAACGAGGGGCAGGGGCGGGGGGTTGGTCCTTGATATAAAACTCGAGATGGATCTCATCATTTCTCTCGATCTCACGACATTCTGACATTGCACGTACTCTGTACTACACATATTACACATTCGCATCACGACGGAAATCATCAACAACACCAATCGTCGACAAGATCCACTCGCCAGTCGAAAACCGCATCGCATACACACCCTCGTTCAACCCATCCATCGATCAGCAAATTAGCAACGTACTTGTTGTCGAAGGATCCACGCTCTTTTGCCACATACGGATCTTCGTCTTGACAAGGCTACCTCGTTCTACACATCTACACGTACATACGTAGCCATGCTCACACCGGTTTCCATCTCGGCCATCGCTCTCGCCTCCCTGGGGGTTACTGCCGCCAAACAGTGCGCTCAGTTCGATACTAGCAACAACCTCTACCTGTTCGGGGGTGAGCAAGATTACAACCTTGGGCAGAGCGACTCTTGGTCTTGTGGGTAGAAAAGCATCAGGCATCTTTTTCCCGTACACGGCTGATCGTCTACGCAAACGATCGACTAGCCCCCAACCCGCAAGCTCTGACGAGTGCTGGACGACCGCCTTGGACAGGCAACAACACTGCTTGCAGCTTGGCTCAATACAGCAATGCCCTTTATGTGCTTGATGCCGATGCCGCCAACCCGGGAGTAAGGAAATCTTTCTGGCGTTTCGACCGAATCAACCTAGTGCTGACGAGGTTACATTTGCGCAGGATGTCTATATTTATGATTTTGCCGCTGGCACCTGGTCGAAGCAGACGACTACGTCTCCTCCCGGTGAATATGGCAGTGCTCATCGACGTAACGTCCAAACTACAACTGACCAGTTGCATGTCACGATAGAGCTCGCGACCGGATCGTCGGTCTTGGATCACGATACGAACGTCTTCTTCGCTCTTCCTGGCGACGACGGGTCCCTCTACTCCTTGGACCTCAGCAGCGTGACTAACCAAGCCAGTGGAAACGCTATTGCCTGGGAGGCAGTCACCGACCCTAATTTCAAGATGGATGGTCGTCAACCGGTGATGTCGCAGGCCAGCAACCATATTGGTATGTAGCCCTCATGTCAACAAGTCTGGTCGATATCTCGCGCTGACGGCGCTTATCGCTTCTGTAGTCTTCTTCAATGTACCTGGCAATCCCGCTGGCTCAGCCAATATGTTTGTCATCCACTGTGAGCCGCCGACATTCGAGTTCTCTCACCACCGTTATGCTTGCTTATCGATCGATCGTCGCTCGCCTAGACTCCTACTTCCAGCCAGAAGTTCAGGCTTTTTCGCTGGCCAACGGCGCTACCGACAACTTCCCTACCAGTTCCGGGCAAGCGCTTCCTATTCCTTTGGCTAGCACTGATGTGAGCTGCGCTGCGTCTCATTGGACGTTCAAGACCGTAACTGATAATCTCTCTTTCAACCAGGCTGGCAAACAAATCGTCTTCGTTCCAGATGATTTCTCGCATACTTATGTGTTGACTCACTGGACCAACCCTGGTGATTGGTCTTCCGTAAGCAACGGTATTACAGATACTGCTAGAAAGATGGAGCTTTAACAGTATTCTCAAATGCTACAGCTGTCGGACGCGCCTGCTGGAATTGAATCTCTTATCAACAGCACGCAAACCCTGCCCGCGCCTAGCAGTCAGGACAGGTCCGCTGCGTACGCCGCATCTGTCAACACGCTCGTCCAGTTCACCTCGAGCGGTGACGTGTACTATCTGCCATCCGCTTTCGGAAACGGCTGGACTGTTCAAGCTAATGCCGCTTGGCAGAAGCTAGGCTATTCGGTCGCTGGCTTGAGCGGAGCATCCCAGAGCACTGTCGTATCCTCTGCTTCTGGAACTTCGACCACTGCTAGTGGGACTGGTGCGACTTCAGCGGTCGGCAGTCCCTCGACGTCTGTGAGCAGAGCTAGCGGGACGGGCAGTACCGCGACTGGTAGTACCCCTACCAACGCTACAAACTCTGGCATGAAGATCGGTTCGCCCTTGTTTGCGCAGGCGGGCGTTTTCGTGATCGCTCTGGCTGTTACCGGCGCCCTCTTGTAATTGCTGGTTTCGTCGCTTTGTCCACGCATATGTTGCGCGCTCCAATACCATATTCTTGCCGTTATGAAAGTCCACATGTGGTGTCCCTCGCTTGCGTTTTGAATCAGACAAGAATCGAATTGTACATGTCGGCGAAATATCAACTGGCACTGTGGGTTACATTATGGGTATCTCGTTAACTACGGGGTCGCTCGGATGCTCTCCCGCTTGGTCGTGTCTAGCATAGAATTGTCGTCACTGGGTGTAGGCCAAAATTGAGGGATTGAAACTCGCTAAGCTATGCAACTGGTGGCCTCGCCGTCGGTGTAGGCCGACCACTGTAAGTCCTCTCGCCTAGACCGGGTGTCCGCCATCCCGCAGAAGATTGATAACGGCCTTGCATGCTGTCAACAGTGGCTCGTTCGCCCGAGATCCCCGAGGCTGCACCAACTCTTGCATCAGAATCAAAAAGGTATTCCACCTGGTCGACGACCTCCGCAGAATTCGTCTCTAGCTCTGGAGGGGCTTGCACGGCCACCGTGAAACCACTGGACGTTTCCAGGATGACATCTATCCCGGGTCCTTGAACTCCATCGGCCTCACTGTCGTCATCCGACCCGATCCACCTCGTCCTGTGAACGTTATTTGGATCGACCTGAAGCGAGTCCAACGCTTTGATGAGATCGGAGGCTAGAGTCTGATCGTTGGGCGCATCCTCTACTATTGGCTCCCATCCTTCGGGAGGGGAACCTGGCGGAGACACCAAAAAGTTGCGAGGATGGGCCGGAGGTAAGAGACGATTCGGATCGGGGTTTTCAGGATTGTGAGGCGTCGAACTTTCCATTCCCTCCTGAGCCAGGTTGAGTAGAATCGACTGGGATGTAGCGGGCAGCGGGAATAGACGCAGAGTCAGACTGAAGAATGAACCACTCGTCAGATGATGTGCGGAAAGGACAAACGATAGCGTCGAGGACTAAGAGGCTGCGACTTACCCTTGCTGACGTTTGCTGGCGTCCGTACCATCCCCAAGGATGTTCTCCCGATTTCCGATGGTAAGCGACCCGCCTCCAATCTCACGAGCCGATCGTCCTGCGTCAACCCGATCCCAAACGATAATGACCCTGCCTAAGCCTTTGACAGGTGCCCAGTGTAGTATGGTCCCGAACTTTCCGTAGAAAGCATACAGCAGCTCCAGAATATCGACTGAAAACAAGGAAGGATGCGGTACGAGGAGGGCGTATGTGTTGGTAGGCTCGTGTGTTTCGTGGTCATCAGTTCCCGACATGTTGCAGGACGTCAATGTCTATCTGCGGGATTGTATATGGTGTATTGCCACAGGGATTGAGAGTGTGTTGGGTAGCGGGTAGCCACTAGTCTTTACATCTAACCCTTTCCTCTTGGCCTCTTTACAATTTCACCTTGTCGGAGTTGCTGCTCATGTACAGAGTACATTCATATGGTCGCCAAATCGACCGCTTTTGCCACGTCATTACGCCGATCGTCCGACTGGTATTGCCCTTTCGTTTTTGATAAGCAGCGCTGAGCAGCATATCCGGGGTCGTACCTAAGCACCCAACTTGCCGTCTGTTTGGCAGCTTGTGTGGCGGCTGATCTGCCTCTGGCCTCTGGCAGCCTCGCTAATAATCTGGCACGAGCGACCGACAGGATCTAAATCCACTGTTTCCTCTTCGGACCCCTTGTCGGGAATACCGTCGCTGATCGCTGAACTCGCGCTGGTACTGTGCTATATAAATCAAACACGCATCGCTGGATCGGCCTCTGTACTGGAATGTCCATAAGGACGCTTGGCTATCTTCTCACCTAGAGCACACTATACGGAAAGGATTTCGCAAAGATGGCAGCCCGGAAGCTACAAAGTGAGTGCTCAACTGTGCTCTTATTGAACGGAAACTGGGCTGGTCAACAGCTAATCCCCCGAGCTCATTGGCATCGACGCAGCCGAGATTGACCGGACCTTGAAAAAGGTCTCGGAGGGAGTCGACCTCTTCGAGTCTATCCACGAGAAGCTCATGGCCTCCACGAATGCGACTCAAAAGGACAAGTTGGAGACCGATCTGAAGACGCAAATCAAGAAGTTACAGAGACTTCGAGACCAGATTAAAACATGGCTCACTAGTAACGATGTCAAGGACAAGACGCAGCTGATGGATAATCGAAAGCTGATCGAATCCGTAGGTAGTAAGGAGTATGTGCAACGACGTTTTCCCCACCTTATGCTGGATTCATATCTTCGTGGTCCTACAGCAAATGGAGCGGTTCAAGGCGTTAGAAAAGGAGATGAAGACCAAGGCGTTTTCAAAAGAGGGACTCATAGCAGCTACTCGGCTAGATCCTCAGGAAAAAGCCAAATTGGAGGCCAGGCAAACGATCGAAGAGTTTGTCGACTCTCTCTCGAGACAGATAGAACAGGCCGAAGCCGAGATAGAGATTCTTCAAGCGAGCTCTACAGGAGGTAGGGGTAAGAAAAGCGGAAAGAGCTCTAGTGCCGGAAATTCTGAAGGACGGATAGCGGAACTTGAGCGCTTGAACGAGCGACGGAGTTGGCACATCAGCAAACTGGAAGCCGTAATGAGGTTGTTGGAGAACGGCAAGCTCTCGGTCGAGCAGGTAACAGAATTGAAGGAGGACGTTTCTTACTTTGTGGAAAGTAATCAGGTGAGGTCTTCTATAGCTGGAGTTGAAGGATTGCCGGCTGAACACGTTGGCGTGTACGTCTGTCTACCCAGGAAGAGGACTTTGAAGAGGACGAAGGCATCTATGAGGACCTCCACCTCGATGAAGAAGAAGATGGTCTGGGTTTGATGCAAGATCACGAAGACGGCCAGAGTGAAAGCGATATGCAAAGCGTTTCGGAAGGTAACTTTAAGCGGTCGAGACCAGTCTTTTGTCAAGGTGCAAGCAACTCACCTGGTTTATACGTCCTTGTCCAGACATACGAACTCCTGCTAGACCAAGCGTTACCACCCGAACTTCGACCAGTGCAGGAGACGAAATAAGTAATGTATGGCGAAATCGTCCGAAGGGTCTGTTTCCTGCTCTGACTCGTCGCACATCATCAGCCGCCTAGTCCCGTAGCAGCGAGAAAGACGCCATCGCGCAGTAAGTTTGTCAATGTTCAACGGTCAATGTATCGCTTGTCCTAATTATGTTTTTCTTTTATAAGAAGCGACTTCTGAAGGTTAGACGAGATACCGATTACAAATCAAGCGCGCCATCTGATCAATCATCCCTTGCGATACGCCTCGCCCTGTAGCCAAGACCCCAGTCCGTCAAGTTTCAAATCCCTCTGTTCAGCCTGTCAGTCCGGCTTCGCGACAAACGATACCCCCGCCTCTGCCTCCGATCAAGTATGCTGCCGCTGCTGCTGCCGCGGTTGCGCAAAATTCAACCTCGACCGCGGCACCTGCCCAGCCTACTCCAATGGTCGGCGCTCCCGCGACTTCCTCTGCTGAAGCCGCATCTGCCGATTCGAGGGCTAGCATGTCTTCTCCTCAGTCGAATCAGACCAGAACGATTGATACTCAGGTAACAGCGGAGTCGTATGCGGGAACGGATACGAACCTCAATGCAACGATCCACTCGGCTCGTGAGGCTTCTGAAACCGAATCGCACATAGCTCTACGTGCCAAAGGTGAGTTCACATTTCAACCGCCTTGCGTCGTCCTCGCTGACGTGATCTTACCCCTTGCATCGATATATAGCATCTCCGCCGCATGTGAGTAACATGCCTGCTGCAGCATGCGAAAATGATCGCGCTAAGCCTAGATGCAGCAGGAAGTACCGACCGGCTCGATTAAACCATCAGAAGGCCTGAATGCTGGCTCAGGTTCGTATTTTGCTTCGAATACGGAAAGCGCGTCGCCTTCGCTCTCGGTCGGCTACAAAGCGACAGGGAAACCCGTGCAGCTGCAGCCGACCGCACCGCCCAGTCATCAACATGCGCCTCATGCACTTTCCGACTTGATGTCGCATTTCGAAAGTGTCAAGCAGAGGTGTAAGCTGCAGTTGGAGCCTGCCCGTAGCCTGATATTGATAACTCTGTTCTCTTGCTTGACTGAATAGCCACGGATAGGCTGACCGATGTCAATTCCCTACATGCAGCTCTCGAGAACGGTATATCTTCTGCTCCCGAACCCCGCGATTCCGAGAGGTCAGTGGGGTGCATTGGTCGCTTTCGGCTCCTTGCTGAACTCCTGACCTGCTGCTCCAGACCAAGATATTACCATCCCCGTACGCCATATGTCACCCCCCAGTACTATCCTCAACAGCCTCATCCGGCATTAGACAACAAGGAAATCTATTCCCGAATGGACCTCGACACGCTCTTCTTCATCTTCTACTATCGGACAAATACCTATGAACAGTGAGTCGGCAGGAATATTCGATATCGGTTTAGCTGCAACTCGAGTTGATGTGCGATTTTGTAGGTGGTGTGCAGCTCGAGAACTCAAGAGGCAATCCTGGAGATACCATAAACAGTACCTCACCTGGTTCCAACGGCTTTCACAACCCCAAGCCATTACGGACGAATACGAGCAGGGGATGTATGTCTACTTTGACTGGGAGAATGGATGGGCGACACGGAAAAAGTCGGATTTCCGATTCGAGTAAGCCAGCTAGCTGCGTTGCCGAACCTTAGCTACCCTTCTTGTGACGACTGACGTCCTCACACGATCGTTCTAGGTATTACTATCTCTCGGAAGACTAAACATGTTTTCAATGGTCGCGACGTGTTGTAACGATATAGATCTTTTCCTGGGGCTATTTGTTTGACCGATTTCAATATCCCAACATGGGCAATCATGGCGCACATTGTTACAACTACTGAAAGGTAGGGCATTGTTGTGGCTCGCTCGAGCGCTGAAAGACAGCGACACCAGCATCGAGACGTAAGGGTTCAATCACAATCGGTCATCAGATCATCAGCCGTTCAGAACTCTGGATTGACGCATGAGTTCTATAGTCACGTGACCTCACCACTTAATGGGGATCACTGATGTAGGCATATTGGTGTCTACTTATGCTACTTTTCTGCGTACAAGTCTACTGGATCGCCCAAGTCCCTCGTCATCAGTTTTGAATCGTGTGAGAGCGGGAACTCACTACACAGCAACTGATATGGATGATTACAAGATTGTGAGGCAGAAGGTCTCCGAGAATTTCGATGGCTGGCCCGAGGAAGATCTGGGAACGCCCGAGAATGGCTGCCATAAAGATGAAAGTATCAAGGGACCCCCCCAGATCTACCACGGAGCGTGGATCGGTCAGAGATTCCTCAAAGGAAGATACATCATCGTAAGGAAGTTAGGCTATGGACAACATGCTAACGTGTGGCTGGCCAGAGATCTTGCATGAGCCAATTCCGTCCTTGTCGGCTATATCTCGAGCTTGATTGTTCGTCGGTTCGTAGGGAAGAGCGCTTCGTCGCAATCAAAATCATGACCGGATTTGCGAGCAAGAATTATCAAGCTGGAAAAGCTGATGAAATCGGTATCCTCAAGAAGTCACTTTCCGCAGCGGAATCGCAGGAGAAATACGCAGCACACATCGTCCGTTACTACGACAACTTCACGTATACTGGACCGACATCGGTCGTACACAATATCATCGTGACCGAACCTCTCGCTCACAGCCTACAAGAACTGCAGAATACTTTACCCAACAGAGCAATCCCGCTTTGGCTGTGCAAATATTTCGCCAAACAAGTCCTACAAGCTATTAGCTACCTGCATGAAGCGTGTGGAGTGGTTTATGGGGGTGAGCAGCTCTATGACAAGTTGCGAGTTGACAAGTCAACAAGTCTCTGATGTCGGCAAATCTTCTTGGTCATGATATAGATCTCAAATCCGACAATATCCTTTTTCGTCCCGAAGACGTCGATGCAGTCATCAATCAAGAACTGATCAACGATCCGTCCTGTTCTTACGACCGACCCGAAGGGAAACCCGTATACGGCGGCACAATTGCTTTCCGATCCCAGCCCCTGCCTCCTTGGACTGGCAAGGGTAGCAAAGAGGCTATCGGGAAGATGACGGCCGTCTTAGCCGACTTTGGACACTGTACGCATACTAAGGGGAGATGATACAAACGCCGGGCGGTACTTATTCTTGCTTACTTCCTCACAAGCTCACTGGTCGCACCAACATTTCCAAGAGATCATCCAACCATTTTCCTTGCGAGCCCCAGAGGTTCACATGGGGTACGGATGGACTACGTCCGCTGACATCTGGAGTTTTGGCTGCCTGGTAAGGCTCTCGCACGGAGGCCTTGGCCGAGAGCGATGGTGACCGGCGTTGTTGCATTGATTCAGATGTTCGAGTGGGCAACGGGTGTTTGGTTATTTGAACCCGACCTCTTGCCATCTTGCAGTGAAGAGGAAGCTCATCTCGTACAAATGACGGAGGCCTTGGGAGAAAAGATTCCGATGGTCATGATCGAAAAGAGCAAGCACAAAGACAAGTATTTCGGAGCAGACGGTGGGTCATTCATTTCAACCGGGATTGTTTGAGATTGCTGGCTGAAACGCAATGTGGCCTGCGATAGGGAATTTTGCGCACCCCAAAGCCGAGGGAGGATTTGCCTATCCTACTGTAAAGGAATCTTTGAAACTTATCGCGCCCCAAATGTCCTCCGAAGACAAGACTTCGCTGGAAAGGTTCATCCGAAAATGCTTGGCTTCCAACCCGAAGACAGACCGACCGCCTCTGATCTACTCAACGACGCTTGGTTCAACGATGCCTGATCTGACCAGTTATCTCGTGTTGAATGGAATCCAAGAGGGAATTGAAACGTGACTGCGAAACTATCGATTGTGATAGTCCCTGACTCTTTGCGACATGGTTATATATTATGTGCGTGCAACAGGTGTTGCGATCATTCATGATCTGTCGTATTAAGGTTGGACGATCGATCCACTCGGCCATTTGACCATACATCCCGAAGTCCACAAACCAAACTGCAAGGTTACGGGCAGATTCCACAATGCAATGCCCTTTACCCGGATGTGGCCTTCTGTTACGGACCGAGCCAAAAATGGGATTGTTACGGACCGACCCAACTTGGCCTCCACACAACGTACCACCTACATCGTACCACCTACAACGTACAGCCTACAACGTACCAGTTACATGGTCCAAAGTACAATGTACTCCTCTCCACCTCCCACCTGCAGTGCCACTATCTGGCTACACTGTACCTAACACAATGGGCCACTCACATTGCCCCCGACACAATGTATGGCACACAGTGTGCTGTCCCTTCCCTTCCTACCCTTCAGTCCACGATGGACATACACAATGTGAACGCACAATGTGATTACACATTATGATACTAGGTCTACGTTCTCTATCTCAACTAGTATATATAGCTGGCCATTTCAGCCTGTTTGTACTACTCCCCTTCCATGTTCTCTCTTCTTCCCCAAGAAGAATTATCATATGTTACTTCCCTAAGCCTTAGCCACCCAACCACCTCTCACTAATCAATATTTGAGCTCTCGTCAAGCCCTTCACAGTCAGCAAGTGTAAGGCACGGGCGCTACCCCCGATGGGGGTCCCCCTGGACAGGCTGACAGCATGCAGGAATGAGGCAAGGTATGGGTAGACATCTAAATGTAGTAACGGATGTAGAGCTATTATAGAGGTACTAGTTCTACATCAAAACAACCATACCAAAAAGTACCCCCGCCGGGGGTCGCATACGGGAGTAGTGTACGGCGTGTCCAACGCGTCACGTGATACCTATAACAGGCAAACCCTGCCACATTCCTTTTACAAAATAGTATATATAGCTGGCCAATCCAGCCTGGTTGTACATTTCCTTTCATGTTTTCTCTCTTCTTTCCCAAGAAGAGTTATCATATGTTACATCCTTAAACCTTAGCCACCCAACCACCTCTCACTACTCAACACTGGAGCTCTTGTCAAGCCCTTCACGGGTCAGCAAGCAGATTGCGCACCAAGCACTTCCCGTTGAGTATCTCTGCCTTAGCACAATTCCTACTGACGCTTTCCACCTAGGCTAGCCTTGTTGTGATATCGGCCTAAGCTGATGGTGTAGCTGACCCTTTGATGGTGTTGATGTTATAGCCGTCACGTGATGCGTCGCTACTCCCGCAAGAGACCCCCTCGGAGGTCCCTTCGGAGACACCTCTCGACATCCCCACAGGGGTCTACTTTTACATCCCCTATAGGTGCTTATTATAATAAGCTCATTGTATGTATATACTCCATCCGTTATTACATCATTATCCTCAGACCTAGCCCCGCGTAGACTGTTAGTTCTCCTCCCTAATAGTTGACTGACGCTATCTCTTATGTGAATGACTATGTATCTGGTTGCTTGTTGCTTAAAAGTAAAAGTAGTACATGAGAGGGGAAAGAGAAATCAGACCAGAATGGCCTGCTATATATACTTTTCTGGGAAGGGGCAAATGGTGGCAAAAGTGGTGGCAAATGGGTTGAGTGTTGAAGATTGGCATGCTATGACATCATAGGTGATGCTCAAGGTGCAATCTCAAGCACAAAGGGTCAACATGTGACCAGAATCACATGTAGTGACTGAAGACGCACTTATGTGACCGGAGTCACACTTATGCGGCCAGAGACACACATATGCGACTGGAGTCGCATATTGGCGATGTCATCTGTGACTGGAGTCGCAAATACGTGACTGGAGACGCAATATGCGCGCAGAGTTGCAATTGTGCGACTGCTCCAGTTGCAAGTTCACTAGGGGACATGCTCATCAGAATAGCATATATAGCAGACCATTTAGGTCTGATTTCTCTTTCCCCTCTCATGTACTACTTTACTTTTATGCAAGCAACATTGATTCATCTTCACAACAAGACAAGAGAGCACTAGTAGCACACCATTACTATTGCCTGGGTACATCAAATAACCATCAACCTTGGTGGGTCTAGTTGTTACTTCATAATATTCACGTTCTGCATCAATCGGTAATGGACTGCACATCTTGGTGATGATCGATTACTACAGCGGATATCACCACGTAGAAATACTACAAAGTTAAAGTGAAACATTTGACAAGTCCTTCACCTGATTAGGAATACAAGAAGTCAGACTAGAACGGAAAGCTGAGGTTATACAATGCAACAATGGCGGAGATTTCACCAGCAATCAAGGGAAAGAGTACTCTCAGCCACACGGCATTTGTCATGAAACAACTACTGCCTATACCCTAGAACAAAACGGAAAAGCCAAACGCTCAGTTTGCACCTCGAAAGAAGGATGTCAAACCTTCCTCATCAATGCCGCTTTATCTGATAGAGCTTTATCCGATCGATACTGGGCCTTTGCAGTGAAAGTTTTCTGCTGAGTCAGGAACATGACTCTGACATATGTAACCCAGACACAGGCCCCTTACCAACGCTTCTACTCCAAGATCCCTGATGTCGCACACTTGTGAAGCTTTGGGTCCGTAGCCTTCGTACATCTTAATAAGCATGAAAGACAAGGAGCTTTCAGCCCCAGAGCTAGAAAGGATGTGTTTGTCGGGTACAACCAGGAGCAGGGAAGCAAGAACTGGATCTTCTACGACCCCCGTAACTGGAAAGTGATAGAGTTGTGCCGCACCACAATTTGGGAGAATGTACGGTGGAACAATAAACAAATCAGTCCAGACTAGAAGTTCCTGAAAGAAGATATCATTGCCAAGTCCCTGTTGGATCCGGCAAGGAGGGAAGATGACAGGAACATGGTCCAGAGGACGGGGAGGGCGACGCCCAAGAACAAGAGATACCTCTGCTCCTGCACCAGAACAGGATGATCCGCCAGCAGCTCCCAAAGATAGAATCAGGAGACATAACGCTGCTCCACCTCCTCCGGTTGCCCCACAACATGACGACGACCCAGAAAGAAATCCTTTAGCTCCAAGACACGGAGCAAGGGAGCGTCAATTACCAGGGAAGAGCTGGGAGAATCCTCTTAGACGTGCTCGACACTGAAGTCTATGTTACATATCTTGTTCAACTACAAAATCAACCGAAGGTAGACAAGATACTTGAACGGGCATATCAGATCGGACTCAAGAGCGACAAGTCTGAAGACAGATTCCACCAAGCAAAACTTTTGGAATTAGACGTTATGAGTAAGAATGAGGTTTGGGATCTACTGCTGCTGACCGGGAGAAAACCCATCAAGAGTCGCTGGGTCTGCACCAATGAATTCTTGGCCAATGGTAACACCAAGGAGAAAGCTTGCTTAGTTGTACAAGGGTATACATGTTAGGTTGCCAGCAACCTGTGAGTTCTCTGGGACTTGTGTAGGGTAGTAGGTAGGTAGATGAGTGTGATAGCAGATGGATTACATATTACAATAGTGATTGTAGTAGTTAAACGTTACCTATCGTATCATAAGTACCTTCTCCGTTGGAGTTGCTGGCGGAATACCCGTTTGGATGTATGCTCTAGTCATACCGCAGATGGCTATAACAATACATAAGTCGAAGGAGTCGATTACCAAGGAATTCCTGCCCCGGTAATCAAGATGGAATCAGTAAGGATTATACTGAGCCTTACAGCTCTACTCAATACGGAATTCATCCAAGAAGTCGTTGAAACCACTTTCCTCTATGGACACCGAAGAGGAGAACAGGAGGGGGATGCTTGGATGTTCTTACAACAGTGCTAGGGATGTACATAGGAGAGATGAAGAACTACTAAGCTATGTACTCCCAGCTGTCTCGCCGCATCAGCGCGCGACGCCTCAAAGAAGATGAGGACGCTTATATGAAGCAACTTCCAGGTTACTCAAACTCCAACTGGTGAATAACTTGGGGACCAAAAGTTGACAAGCGGATACATATGAATCGTGGGAGGAAGCCCCATCTGTTGGCATTCGAAGAGACAATTGGTCGTCACACTTTCCTCCACCAAAGCAGAATACATCGCCCTTGACTCCACAATCAGGGAAGGCTTGTGAATCATGTCGATCATGGAACAACTCCTTTATTCGGTCACGACTCCAGTTCAAGTGTTTGAGGACAATCAGGCATGCATCAAACTGCCACGCAACCCAATTAACCACTCCCGGACCAAACACATTGAAGTGGCAATGAAGTGGAGAAGAAGAATTTAGACGTCGACTACCTAAAGACAGAAAACATGTTAGCCAATGCACTTACAAAACCCCTCGACAGTCAACAACTCAGAGAACCCAGCGAAGCAATGGGACTCGACTTCAGCACCAATCATGATTGGATCGTGCAACACCTTTACTTAACCTTACAACATCACTCGGGGTAAAATGTCACGTGACTCGGTGTTGACGCAGCTAGCGTCTGCTTGCCTCTACTCTAGATAATCACCCTTCTATCATTCATGCTCCCGTAGACTACTTTACACCTGTGTTCTCTAGCTAATCACTAGGGATTATAGGTGAGCCATAACTTGTAGTAATTCTCATGGTATGTAGCTAATTACTAGGATAGCCTTAGTTTAGGTCCGGTACACAGCAGAGGTAGAAGGATTGGTTCCCGATTGTTTAGAGGTCGACACAGCAGAGAATTTGGATTTCGTCCTCTTCTTTGTTGGACCAGGGGCCGGTTCCATCAGGGCAAAATCTTCATTGGACAGGTTGACAGTAGAATCAGAGTGTCTGTTTGTCCTGGTGGGAGCAGGGGTTTCTTTGAACAAAGTGAGTTCTGCATCAGACTGGGCAGATGCTGCGAGGGATCACACTATTGCCTAGCTACATCGAGCAACCAACCTTGGTGGATTTCATTGTTACTTCACAACATATTCAGTTCGCAACATCTGTTGAGATATCAGCCTAAGCTGATGGTGTAGCTGTTCCTTTGATGGTGTTGACTATTGCTATTTGTTGTGTGAATGACTATGTATCTGGTTGCTTGCACAAAAGTAAAGTAGTACATGAGAGGGGAAAGAGAAATCAGACCCAAATGGCCTGCTATATATACTTTTCTGGGAAGGGGTAAATGGTGGCAAAGTCGGACAATATTGGTGTTCAATGTTTGAGAGGAGTCGGAGTTTGTGGTTCAATAATCGAGATGTGTTGGAATTTGATAGTTGAGATTGCTTGGTGCTCAATAGTCGTCAGTGTTTGGCAGGCTATTTCGAATCCATTCCTTCTAGCATGTTTCATGCTTTTTGCTTCCACCTTGCTTCCTGTTTGCTTCCTGCTTCCTGTTGTTTACTTTGTGGTTGAGATTGCCTCCATAAGCTGATGATTAATCATCACATGCCTATTTCCAACAAAGTTGTCCATATCCAGTCCTGCACCAGATTGAGATTTACTTCATGGGGTAGATTGCAGGCATTGAAAGATGTTGTCCCTTTTACAATCACTAGTGGGGGAAGGGCAATACCTGAAGCGGATGGGCATTCAATGGTTGTCATCCACTCCCCCCATGTTGATCCTGCCTTGCAAGCCTTCTTTGCTTTTGGCTGTCCCCTTTCACACTTGGCAGGTGTTAAAACCCTGCTAGACTGCCTTGTGCCAATGGCAATACCATATTGAACATGTTGGAGGGTGAATATCTATGACAGTCTAAAAGAACCTTGAGCTCATTGTAGAAGGGGCTGAGCTTTTGAAGGGCACTATTATAGGCATCCGCAGTACGCATGTCATACACGCGTGCGGTGTAAGTTTTCACCTCATAAGGACGACCGTTTGGAGACCTCTCAGAGACCCTCTTGGAGACCTTTAGGAGATGTGTCTGAAGATGTCTAACTAGCACCTTGTAAAAGTTGAACATCTTTTACTACGGTCATGACCATACCCGCACCTTCTAGTCCCGTGTATTACTGTTCAGGCTTGCTGGCAAGCCTTATAGGCACATTCATTAATCCTGGACTTTACAATGATGCGTGTCCTTCTAGACAGCAGCAATGGAGGGATGCTGAGAGCATAGCTTGTCTACCCAATTGATTCCTCAGACTCACTTCCAACACAGGTTCTGGGATAGCCAATTGGGACAACCTCAAGCGGTTACATAGGAGCTCCTGGGCGGTCTCACAATGACATGAGTGGGTGGCAGGTGGTCAGATAGGAACTCCCGGCAAATGTATGATACAATTGTGAGCTCCTCTTCATTAGTGAGGGCTTGCTGATGCCTATGTGCGCCTTGCCATGTGTTACGTGTTATGCAAGAGTCTTGTAAGCACGATTGCAACTACCCGTGTACTGAAATTCACATCATCACCAGTCCACCTGCCAATTGTAGAACAATATACAACTTTACATCGACAGGTACGACGATCCTATTCAGGGTCAAAGTGTAACGCCCTTACTGTTCATACACCAAGACACTACTGCCAGTACATTGACGTATTTGGTACAATTCACAAACGGACTTGAATTGACTCCAACAACCAAATCTGGTTTGGCCACCAAAATTGGTTTGGGAACACAAACCTACCACCATACAGCCATCTCAACTCTGACTCTACTTTTTGCCATTGTTCTGGACCCTCAATACTCTCTAGATTCATATATATATACTTAGCGAACTTGACCGTACTTGACAGACAACGCTCAGTAATAGTGAAAGGTCAAGTCCCAATATTGCATTCAATATACATCTACCTGACTTATCTAAACGGGTTCAAGACATATTACAGGGAGGTTACAAATGTAAGACATCGCTAACTAACTTGCATCACGCCGCTTGCACTGAACCAAACTTGCCTTAGTACCAAGCGACTCCGCTTCCTTGTCCATGCATCTATCTCTGGATTTGTTCCCTTATCTAAACTCGCTTCACCCAAAGCAAACTTACTTCATCTCCCGCATACCTGCGATCTGCCAAGAACCTTAGACCTTACGCTCAAAGACTGTTGTGAAGTAACAACTAGATCCACCAAGGTTGGTTACTTGATGTACCTAGGCAATAGTAATGGTTGTTGGAAATAGGCAGGTGATGATTAGTCATCAGCACTTGGAAGCAATCTCAACCACAAAGTAAACAACAGGAAGCAGGAAGCAAACAGGAAGCAAAGTGGATCCAAACAGGATGCAAAGTGGATGCAAAGTGGAAGCAAAGCATGGAACATGCTAGAGGGATGGTTTTTGCCACTGAGGCATCAATGCCATTGGGTGGCAAACCTGAGGGACTTCTGCCATTGGGTGGCAGATCTGAGAGATCATTGCCACCAATAGCAAACGTAATCACGGTCGACTGGTGAACAGTTCACAATCGTTCATTGGAAAAGTTATAACTCAACCCATTTGCCACCACTTTTGCCACCATTTGCATCCTTCCCAGAAAAGTATATATAGCAGACCATTCTGGTCTGATTTCTCTTTCCCCTCTCATGTACTACTTTACTTTTATGCAAGCAACATTGATTCATCTTCACAACAAGACAAGATCAGCACTAGTAACACACCATTACTATTGCCTAGGTACATCAAGTAACCAACCTTGGTGGATCTAGTTGTTACTTCACAACAGGTTATGAGCTCAGTAGTTGTGGCCCAATCTACACTTAGACTTAGCTCACAAAGGAACAACCTCAACTATCAGGATCATCGAGAGGTGTTACGGACCGACCCAAAACGGCCCTACACACATGAGTCTACGCGCCTCAACTCGTTGTGTCGACACAATGAGTATCCTCGTTGTGTCTACTTGTTGAGGATCCGCAACGTAAATCCTCGTTGTAATGCCACGTTGTGGATACTGGTTGAGTATCCCCATTGAGGATACACGCCTGGGCACTTGCCCTCTCCCTTTCCTGCCTTGCAGTGAGGCAACTCAACGCAACGAGACACAACTCGAAACCCTCTTTGTGGTGGCAAACCCTGCCACGTTCCTTTTACAAAATAGTATATATAGCTGGCCAATCCAGCCTGATTGTACATTCCCTTTCATGTTCTCTCTCTTCTTTCCCAAGAAGAATCATCACATGTTACATCCCTAACATACTTGCCACTAGCCAACTCTCACTACTCAACACTAGAGCTCTTGTCAAGCCCTTCACGGGTCAGCAAGCAGATTGCGCACCAAGCACTTCCCGTTGAGTATCTCTGCCTTAGCACAATTCCTACTGACGCTTTCCACCTAGGCTAGCCTTTCGCTACCACTAGGCCCGACCGTAACAAGAGGATATCACTGGACATAGTTGGACAGGTTTATATTACTGGTCAGTAATAGGATAGTCTCACAGCTTTGGAGACTAAGGACTTTTAGATCAAGAGAGGATCAATAGTCAGCATCAGACTTGGACATCAGTATCCAAGCAGCAACAAGACTTGAGGCAACACAGACACTCAAGCATCAACATAGGACAAGTCTTGGATATCATTGCCAACAATGGATACTACCAACACAGGCTCTTCCGCAACCAGTAGGATACCTATCCTGACTGGGTTGAACAACTACTTCCAATGGAGGAATGCAGTTGAGGATGGAGCACTTGTCTATGGAGCACTGCATGTGCTCACAGAGGAGCCAAAGGAAAGACCTCTCAGGCCTCTGGAGATTGAGGAGATGGATGGCTCAAAGGTAGCACCTCCCTCATCTATTGTCTCTCTACACCTAGAGGAGTATAGGGAATGGAAGACCTGGAAGGAGAAGGATCAAAAGGTCATGGGTCTCATGAGACTCAATGTCTCCTCAGGCATCAGGATGGAACTTGCAGGATGCAACACTTCCAAGGAGATCTGGGATAAGCTAGCCAAGCTTCACCAGATGGACGACAAGAACTACAAGGCAGACATAGAAGAAAGGATCACTACACTCAGGATGAGTGAAGGGGATGATCCAGCCAAGTTCTTGGAGCTGTTCAGCACCTTATTGCTGAAAGCCCAGACAGCCAACTTCAAGCTGTCTGAGGAGGATAAAGCTACCTATTTCCTCAGGGCTTTACCTGTGACATATGAATCCCTCAAGTCAGAGTGGAAGTCACTACAAAGGATCAAGGAGATCACCAAGCAACCTATTTCCACCTTTGAGGATCTCAGGGGAATGTTCAATACCTACATTGCTGACTTTAAGCGTCAGGATGAGGTCAGGTTGCAGACTGCCATGATGGTTAGGAAAGCCAGTCATGGGCAGCAAAGGAGGAACTTTGGTCAAGGTCAACAAAGGAACCATAACAAGGACCAATACAACAAGAAAGCCTTATCTTGTTGGAACTGTGGGAAACAAGGCCACTCTAGCAAGGATTGCAGAGCTCCTAGGATAGGAGATGGCTATACCCACAAACCCAAAGGACTGTCATACAACAGGTTCAACAATCACCACAACAAGCCTACAGATGATCTAGCAGCCCTGCACAGGAACATGGCAGGTGCAGCTATTCAAGAGATCTCTGAAGAAGAATATGCTGCTCTAGTCAAAGAAGAGAGCATAGAATGGCTTGTGGACCTTGGAGCCAGCTCCCACATCTGCAACAACAAAGATGTGATCAGCCAGCTAGAGAAATTAGCTTTCCCCAAGAGGTTCAGGACAGCCTCAGAAAGTGCTACTGTCTCTGAGCATGGTGGAAAGGTTACCATGAAGTTACCTCAAGATCAGAGTGCCATGGGGCATCTAACACTTCATGATGTGGTCCTCATGGAGGATGCACCAGCCAACCTGCTTAGTCAAGGAACATTACTGGCTAAGGGATGGAATGTAGATATCACCCAACATGGTGGTATGATCAGCCAACATGGGATCAACATTCCAGTCTACAAGACAGGTCCAGGAGGAACTTTGAGGGCATTTACATTGCCACTCAAGAAGGATTACTACATCCAATCTGAGCAACAGGAAGATGTTGGCTCATCGGATAAAAGGGAAGAGCAAGAGGACCTCTACCTTACTGTCCAGGACAAGGACACCATACAAGGATGGCACAACAGACTGGGACACATGGGTGTCAGTACCATCAAGAAGCTTGCAGCATCAGGACGACTGCACATTACAGACAAGGACACCTCTACCTTCAAGATGGAAGAGTGTGAGGTCTGTGCTATAGCCAAGACAACCAGGCTCACCTTTGGTGACATCTCAGTGGCAGCCCAAGAACCACTGGAGATAGTGCACTCAGACATAGCAGGACCTCTCAAGCCAGATCTCAATGAGAACATCTACTATGTTACCTTTATTGATGACTTGACAGGCTTGACCTGCATGGGTGGTTTGGGGAACAAGACAGCAATGGATGTCCTTGAATGCTTCAAGAACTTCAAGAAGATCACAGAACTGGCTTTCAACAGGAAAGTGCAATGTCTGAGGACAGATGGTGGTGGAGAGTATCTGGGAGGCATGAAGCCATACTTGCAACTACATGGGATAGTTCACCAGGTCACCACACCATACACACCTCAACTCAATGGCACAGCAGAAAGAGCAAACAGGACAATCAAGGAGATGTGTTCCTCCATGCTTATTGCTGCCAAGATGGACCACAAGTGGTGGTTCCATGCCATGCAATATGCTTGCACCCTCATCAACATGGGCAAGCAGTATCAAGGGAGATCTCTGGAGGAGATCATGTGGAAGCACAAGCCAGGGTATGGCCAACTTCACCCCTTTGGAACAGAGTGCTGGATCAAAGTACCCAAGGAGGGCAGACTCAAGAATGATCTCACCACCAAGAAAGCAATCAAGGGGAAGCTGCTGCATCCAAACATCACTGGAGCAGGCTACCTTGTGGTCATACAAGAAGAAAGAAGAGATGTCACCCTTACCAGCAGGGATGTTGTGTTCAGGAGGCCAGAGGGAGCTAGTGAAGGGAGCACTGCCCCAATGGGAACACAGCAACAACATCAAGGACATCTTCCAGACCAACAGTATAGAGGTACCAAGTCACCTAATGTTGTGAAGTAACAACTAGATCCACCAAGGTTGGTTACTTGATGTACCTAGGCAATAGTAATGGTGTGTTACTAGTGCTGATCTTGTCTTGTTGTGAAGATGAATCAATGTTGCTTGCATAAAAGTAAAATAGTACATGAGAGGGGAAAGAGAAATCAGACCTAAATGGCCTGCTATATATACTTTTCTGGGAAGGGGCAAATGGTGGCAATGTCAAACGATATCGGTTGTTTGGCGAACAATATCAGTTGTTTGGCGGTCGAACAATATCGGTTGTTTGGCAAACAATATTGGTTGTTCGCCGAACAATATCAGTGATTTATTTCAAATCCAATCCTTCTAGCACTTGCTAGAATGTCCAGTGCCTTTTGCTTCCTTTTTGCTTCCTGTTGTTTACTTTGTGGTTGAGATTGCTTCCACGTGCTGATGCCCAATCATCACATGCCTATGTCCAACAAAGACCACCCCTAGCAACCTCCGCCGTGATACCATGTCTGGCGGCGACCAGAGATATGTTTTGATAATGTCACATGGGAAACCTCGAATCCTTTGGCAATGTCACATATGCTCCTCCAGAGACTAGAGTTAATGTCACATTGAGTATGGTAGACAGCTATAGCTTGCTCCAGAGGTGTATTAATATTGTCCATGGCAGCTACTTCTCAAAGAGAGCTATGTCGTCATGTTATATCATTCTTTAGGAATGGACAAGTATATGTTCATATTGGTCATATTCACATGCTTCTGTAGTGAGTGTGTTCCGCTTCCCAGTGCCACACGTTAGATACTCACAAGTAGACTTGGAGTACAAAAATAAGAGGTGATTGTACAAAGTACAAAGTACAAAGCACAATGTGTAATGTGGAATATACAAAGCACGTGATGTGGAACTATGTAGAAAGTGCAAGTTGTTTCCCTGATACTTTACATGGGTGGAGAGTTGGTATGTGTTTTTTTTTGAGCTATGGGTCGCATAACACTTCATTACTTACTGGTTGCATGTTTGGTAATAACTGTCGTGTAGCAACAACTAGGTCCACCAAGGTTGGTTACTTGATGTACCTAGGCAGTAGTAATGGTGTGTTACTAGTGCTGATCTTGTCTTGTTGTGAAGATGAATCAATGTTGCTTGCATAAAAGTAAAGTAGTACATGAGAGGGGAAAGGGAAATCAGACCCAAATGGCCTGCTATATATGCTGTTCTGATGAGCATGTTCTCTAGTGAACTTGCAACTGCTCCAATGGCACAATGGCAACTTCTTACACATATTGTGACTCCAGTCACAATGACATCACCTACATGCAAATTTAGTTGTGTAACGTGATGCCAATCATATATGTGCAACCGCATTCACAACATCTCATCCCAATCATATATTAATCCTGTGTCTCTGGTATTGTGACATGAGCATCACCTATGCTATCGCAGCGTGCCAATCTTCAACAGGACAGGCATACATGCGCTACAGAACGATCCATGATAGGAACAACTTGACTACAACAAAGTATTTGCCTTTACCAACTTTATCTTGGACTATCAAGGTAAAATTGACAGCTCCAACGATAGCTCTTGGGTGTGTTACGGGATCATCACGTGAGTCGACTACCGACACGCGGGCTTGTTCTACGGACATCAGCATACACCTAAGTCCGGCTCGACGAGACGAACCCGATTCCCTCGGGGCAGATCCGGTCGCCCCTACCATTCACCGAAACAACAATACATCCCCGGTACATATCACAAACAGGTACAAGGACCTTGAGGTACCCTACAACCATACTCAGGACCTCGACAACCTTACTCAATGTACCCAGAAACAAATGCCAACTCAAACTCGCCTCCTCTACCGAATCCGGTTGCTCTCGACAGGATTCGTCTGTTTGCCATCTTGCTCTTCCAGTTTTGCCATCTCCAATCGTCCTTTTGTTCTAGGATCTTTTCAGTGTTTGCCAGCCTTGTCTCCGTATAAATAGCTAGAGGAACTTGACCGAATTCGATAGAGGACGCTCTGTAATAGTAATAGGTCAACTTCCAATATCACGTTCAATACACACCTATCTGACTTGTTGCAACATCTTCAAGACATCTTGTGGAGAGGTTACAAACTCAAGGACGGCGCTAAGTATCTACGGTTCATCGTTTTACCTTAGAACAAACCCAGTACCTCACACCAAGTGATCACCCTTCCTTGTCCATAAATCTCTGGATTTGTATCCCTTATCCCAATCCGCTTCATCTAAGCGGACTCGCAACATTCTCCCGACTGCCTGCGATCAGTCTTAAGCACCCTACGCCATACGACTAGGACCTATCTCCAATTAGCCACCTCCACCGTGACAAAACAACACAAAACAACACTCAAGTCAAGAGGTCACCTGCAGCTTCTCAGAATCTCTCAGTCATACCCAGGGTTATGTTAGGGGTTCCCAATTAGGGCGTTAGGGGTAGGGCTTAGCGGAATCAGTAGTTATGGGTTAGGGGGGTTAGGGGATTAGGGAGGAGAGGATATCAAGCTGTTGTTACGGACGCGCAGGGTAAGGGGTTAGGTCCTTATTTCCAACTTTTTCACCGCCTCTCTCAGACAAATACCGCCTCCTTATCAGTTCTGTATCGGCATATAGGCATGCCTATCATAGAGTATGCTGGGATCACGCTCGTAGCTTCAACTTGCGCCAATTAACGAGCGGTCACTCGTTCCATTCCAGCTAAAGATGCCAAACCATTCGAGCTCTTTCCTGCACTCATGCTCCAACTTTCCATAAAGCTTAAGCGATGAATAGAGGTCGCGCGTCGATCGAGCTTTTATATTTCGTCTTTATCTTCTCGCGTGACCTCGCCATACGCCGTGCCAAACAAGATCGTGATCAACGTCCACAACCCTATCTACCCTTCTTCCCCTTTCTGCGCGTTGCTCCCCCACTGCCATTCCCACCAACCTTGACATCCTCGCTAGTACTACCCTGCATACCCAGCCCGGAAACCTCTTTCCCAGGCCCGGGCTTACTATTGCCCGCTCCGTTACGTCGTTTCTTGTTTTGTCCTAACGAAGAAGGGTTCTGGGCAAGCTGGGCTTGGTAGGACCGGCGTTGGAGGAGAGGGAGCCATCGATCCGGCTGTTGAAGTGAAACGAAGAGGCGAAAGGTGAAGCCAGAGAAAGGTGCTGGTCAGGCAACGCTGACATGATGACATGAGCGACGGCAAAATATTGGGGACTTACATCTTGTTCGACAGCTTTACCCTTGACGACCCCTTTAGGCAGCTTGTGCCTCGTCCTACTTTTGACGCTGACATCCTGTAATTGAACCCCGACCTTGGACCCGCTCGCCACTGCGGCCGCGGACGCTGAAGATTCTCCGACTTTGCCTGAAGCTTCTTCCCCCATCACCCCCATTCCAGCCTTAGCAACCCGTCCCAACGCCGGTAAATCCCTTTCCAAGCTCTCCATATCAACGTTACTTGAACTGGAAGATAATTGAGCTCTGAACCCATCCTTTTGGAAATCCAAGTGCGTATGCGTCGAGTTGAGATTGTCCAAAATATCACTAGACTCGGGAGAGTCGGAGGGACAGCTTGTGAGGAGGTCGTTATAAGTTTGTTCGGCTGTAGAATAGTTGCCGGCTCGGTAGAGCTGAGGCGGAGGGGGATCGGGTGACAAGGCAGGGAAAGATTAGATGGTCAGCTAGAAACTAGCGAATGAGGAGAGCTAAGGGAAATGGGACGTACAATCTGTCCCTTGAGATGGCCGACCTTTCTTCCCTGTTCAGTCTCATACCCCATGGTGCTCATGTTGGTGCTAGAGCTTTCCATCCGTTCAATCATCTTCAATGCCTCATCCCCCCTGTGTAGCCTATACAAGCAGTACGCCCGTTCGAATTCAAAGTCATCGGCATTATCGGACGGGCTGGGATTAAGCGGGGAGTTGGCGTGGTGGTACTCTTCGAAGGAGGCAAGGGCAGTAGGGTATTGATCCGTCTGAAGCAAGAGAAAGAGGAGGGTTTTGAACGCCGGTAACGATTTCGGGTCCAAAACCAGGACTGCTCGTCAACCCCTCATAATCAGCTTCTACTGCCAGCCCCCTTCAGAATGTAGAGGCGACGAAGAACCTACTCTTCCTGCACGTCTTGATCGCGTTCTCCAGATACCCCTCGTTGATTTGGTCGACCAACCCAGCGTGAAGCTTCTTGAGCCTGTCCTCAGTGCTGGCGGGCGCACGGGGTGTGAATTTAGGACGCGGTCTACCGGCTGCACCGGCGTTGCTGGCCGGGCGGGGTTTCGCAGTCGAGGGTTTCTGTGACATGATTAGCGAGTCAAAAGCGATCGCCCTGCCCTGCTGTAGAAATGTATGCACGTATGCAAGTAGGTGAGTGTCGCTGATGGAAGAGGTCGAGATCGAGGGACTGTCCCTTCAATCCCGGCCTCCCCGCCCGTCCACACGTCCTACTCCTTGCTTCGTACGCGTCGCCCCCCCCCCTCCCCCGGCGGGAAGTCGGAAGCTAAAAGGGGGGAGATGGATAGCATGGGGCCATGGTCGTTCGTGAATTGTCAACAAACTCCCGGAGCCCATATCTACAACAACAACTAGCAACTGGCATAGAGTTAGAGTCCACGCCATCATTCTAGAACCCTTGTCCGAGTCACAACTTCTCCTCCCGATGTCTACACCAAATCCGGAACTTTCTGTCATGTCTGTCGCTGGCCCATCGTCGAGCCGCAAGCGAACCTCTGAACAGCTCGATCCGTCTACCAAGAATTCGATAGACGCTCAACGGCAACCTCCGGAAGACGAAGGTCAAGATCAACCTCGTGCGCGCAAAAGAGTGGCGACGGGCGAGCTTGATGCGATGGATGAACGAGTAGATGGGAATAAGGATGTCGATCGGGACTCAGGGAAAGCAGTGGATGTAACCAGGGAGGAACCGGAACCTGGGGATATGCAACGAGAACGGGCGAGTGAACCTACAACGGCTACAACGACAACGATGGGCGAAATACATTCGCAAGAACAGCGATTGCCGTCGAAAGTGCCAGCAATATCTCCAGTGGCATCATCGTCGAATCAGAAGACTTCCTACGAAACGACAAAGGTGGCCGTCGAAGGTGCCGTTAGACGAGGAGCTAACAGATGGACGTGAGTCGCAACCTTGCCGCTTGTCTTTTCATCATTCCCTTCCGTATCCATATCTCGTTGTAAACCGACTCTATGTCAATCTGACTCGGCCTGACCTGTTTCCATGTTTACGTCCCCTTCTTGATCTCCCTGCCAAACATAGCGTCAAAGACTTGAAGAAAGCCTACCCGATCATCTCGGCTCCTAAAGAGCGGACGAAGGCCTTTGAAAAACTGTGGTTGGAGACTTCGGAAGGCTTGAGGGCGAAGATGATTGTTAGTTCAGTCGTCCGAACGAGAATTCTTATATCATGACCGCGATAGAGCTGATGATATTCCAACAAACCTAAACCTCAATTCTCCATCCCGTCTTTGGACTGCCTGTCAATGTCCCAAATCTGCCTCGACCCCCGCAACATCGCCAACGACACAGAATCAAGCGGACGCAATTATAGAGCATTACGAAGTCAAGCCCGCTCTAGATCGCTTAGAATTGGCCGTTGAAGAGGCTAGAGTGAGGAAGGCGAGGATTCTGCGAGGCGAAGAAGGGGTTTACGTGGCGGATATTTGGAGGTCAGTCGACCGTTCCCTCGGATTCCCATACTACGAGCGATTCGCCGGACGGTAATGAGAAAGCTGATTTAGCGAAACAATCACCACAGACCGGATTTGTCACCACAGGCATTGACTGCGGCTTATAATTTGCCCAGATATGACGCGGTCTACACTCGATTGCGAGAAGAATACATACAGGCAAGTCCCGCCACTCTCCCTCGCATATTACTCCGCATGGTATATGTACGCTGAACTTGAAAGATATGTTTCTTCGCAGCTGTTCAAGGACTGTGAGAGATTGGCCGGAGAGGTTGATGGGAAAAAGAAGCGGATGGACGAGATCAAGGACCAGGTCATTCAAGCCAACGAGCAGTTGAAGGAGGTAAGTCGCGGAAAACGAACCTACCTTGTCCTACTCTAGGCACATGGAGGCTGATGAACCTTCATTTGTTGCGCGCGGGGACTCGAGTGTAGACGGCGGACAAGCTCGAGAACGTACCGGGAGATGGGATCAAGATGTGGATGGGGGATGCAGCCTCCAACGACAAGGCCAGTCGAACCATGGCTTGATCGTGCAAGGATCCACGGTGTGGGCTTACTTGTTGAGACTGGGGGATCATGTGTGCGTTTTCCTGTAAAGCGTCTCGAGTATTTTTCCTACCCGCTCGCTATGCCCCTGACCACTCGGTTCTTGTCTCTTCTGACCTTCCCTTCCGCTTCGTTCAATCTTGATCTGTCATTGTTACAGACCCGGGTGCGATTTATGGAGAGTTACAAAGATCGAGTCTCGTCTTGTAGCGTGTATACAACCAACAGCGGCCCTTCCCATCGACCACGCATCCGCCTTCTGCCCTGTTCCTTGCCTCGGACAACCACCTCATGCCTTGACAGACGACGCCTTGGTCTGCTTCACGGCGGCAGCGATCTGGTTCATGACACCAGGCTTGTCCCTCAAGTAATTCACCTTGGCCCGTCTAGCCAACTTTAGCCCCTTCCCGTCGGCCTCCTTGATGACCTCGATCTTCTTGATCATCGGACTGTGCACCTTGAACTTCATCTCCACCCCGGTCCGGTTGACAATATTCCTCAACGTGAACGATGTATCGATGCCTTTGCGTCCGATCCCCAGCAAGACTCCCGAAAACACCGTCGAGGTCGATTTTGTAGCGTCGGTATAGGATGCGACGGAGATGACGCTACCCGGTTTGAGACGAAGAGGATTGCGACGGGAAAAGAGGGTCTTCCGAAGTGATGCGGGGTCATACGCTTCGAGAAGCTGGGCATTGACATGTTCGACAACGGATTTGCCATTCTTTGGATGGAGAAGGTTTTTGGGGGTCGGATTCGAGGTGCTCGGCGACGTAGGGAAATTGACAGCCGCGCTAAAGGGATAAGTTTGGGCTTTGGAGGACGAGGCTGCCAGTCGGATCAGATGGCAGGTAGTCAATATCGAGAGGCTCATTCGTTGCATGTGCTGAACGGCTAAACTGACCCTCGCTGGCGGTTGCCATGCCACGCACCGCCGTTCGGCAACATCGTAAGGTCGAGTTAATCATAGTGGGCCTGCTATCTTTGTTTTTTGAACCCTTTGAGCTCGCAAATGTATACCGAATGAAGTAGTTTGATACTGTTTGACGTTGTTACCAGAAGTCGAAGTATGTAGGTCAAGGTTGACATGATCACGCGATCACGTGAAAAACGCGCGTGAGCTATGCCATCGGGTGGACATCGTTATATCCCACGTCATGCACGTCATGTATGAATGTGCCGTTACATGGAACATCCTCTACATCCTCTACATCACCTGGCAGTGGTTAGCCCCACCATGACATACAATGCGTTCGTTGTTCGTTGTGCCAAGCCAATATGTCGTTTTTTGGATGGATTTACATGCCGCAAAGGAAAATCCAAGAGCGGTAGTATAAATAACCAATATCCGGGATGTGACAGACTTGCTTCTATACACAGGGCAGACTTGTGCACAAGTCCTTGACTGGAGATAACGATTGCAATGACGCTTGGTCAGGCCAAATGATAGTCAAGCCCTGCAAGACTAGATGTCGACATGATACAGATTGTGGGGTTGGTTCTCAGGAGTGGCACCAGTATTGTTCTGGTGCATCATTACAGTCATGATTGTTTCAGTTATTGTTTCCCCAAATTTGCCTTTGTCTCTGTTCTCATTCCAATTACGTCTCCTTCTCAGTCACAAAGGCTTCAGTGATTTTGTAGACTCGTTTTTTAACAAACGAAAATACAAAGAGACATTGTATAAAGCATGATATGCCTTCTCCATTGATCCTGCTGCAACATATGACATCAGATTGCACCAAGATCGAGGTTTCTTGAGATCCAAGCTTTGAAGGCATCAAGAGTGAAAGGCCGCCCAAGGAATTCAGCAACCATCTCCATGGCATCTTTGGTGCTGCCAGGCTCAAGAATGGTCCGCCTGTAGCGACGACTCATCTCCTTATCCAACAGGCCTCCAGGACAAGCTTTGAAGGTTTCAAAGAGTTCATCACAGATGGCTTGGGCATACATATAACCATAATACTGTTTGACCACACATTAATATATTATAAAACACTGGCACTGTCTTTGAATTGACTTACTTTGGGCCCATATCCTGTCATGCCAAGGTGGCTAAATGTTGCAGGGAAGCAATCACCTTCGTTGTAGCTAAAGATACTGTGCTCATTCACCAGATCCTTCCAGTCATCTAGAAGTGATCCTGGATACTTTCCATCAAGCATTTCCTTGCTGTAGAATGACACAGCACTATTGATTTTCAAGATTAGCCACTTTGTCCTGCTGTTAAGCATTCTTTGCAACTCACGCTCGAGCATAAGTCATTTGTGTTATAGTATCCATGCTACTTCCAATTTCTTGTGACTCTTGAAGCTTCCTGATCATTTCATCTGGAATGACTTCTCCATTCTTGTTGATGGCCAGACGTCTGAGAACCTCTGGCTGAAGCATGTGCCGTTCAAGAAATTGTGACTGTGGTCGTCTGGCTTTGATCAATGACAATGTCATAAACAGGATATTGCTGAAGTATAAATGAAGGCTTACAGGGGCTTCCACAAAGTCTCTTTCCACTGTGGTGTCATTGAGATTCCCATACAAGCTTTGTGTAGCCGACAGGGAGTGGACAACATGGCCATATCTTTGGAAACAATATCTCAACCTGTCAGGTAATGAACGTTCAGGTTGCATTCAAGTTGGCGCTCACTCATGATAAAGTGTTGAGACTTCAGCATATGTCATCAGAGTATCATCTCCTTCTGGTATATTTGCCAGCAGGATGACTTCTGGCAAGTTACTTTTCCCATAAGCTTTCTTCATGATACAGACACATGCATGACTGTATTTGTTGTCCCGTGGATGAAGCTGAAGAACATATTTAAGCCAAATAAGATCAGAGGAGCTTCTTGTTGGGAAGGATATTGTACTTGCATCTGTGTAGAGCCTCCCCATGATTCTCCCCTCATCCACATCATAGACATCATAACAACTGACACCTGTATCTACCCAGGACTTCACTTCTGGTTGGTGTTTAAATTGTACCCCAAAGAGTTCTTGGATCAGCAAGGTGATTTGCGGGAGGACGTTTCCAACCCACAAGTATGGCCTGATATGACTGCTGTCAAAGCCAGAAAACATTTTCTGTAGGAGGACCTCTTTGGCAAAATCTGCTTGCCAGACTTTGAGGTCTTTGGTGCCAAAAACCTGGGACATTGCTTGCTTTTCTTGGTGGGCTTGGGGTTTGACCATTGCAACAACGTTGTCAATGAAATCAGTGACATTGCTGAGACCTCTCAAGGCAAGACGGCCTTCCAGATCAAGGGCCGCATAGTTGGGTTAGCCAAGGATCTGAGCTTTGTTGTGACAACCTTGCAAAATTTTCTGCAACACATTGATGTTACCTGGACATCTTGAACGGTACTCATGTTGTGTCCTGCGTCGTACTTCATCGTTCTTGCAGTACGCCAACACTGGACACACATCAATCTTCCGTGTTGTCAAGGTGATTTGGTTGTCCTCATTGGCTGGATGTGACTTCATAAAGTCTTCTGGCATGCCAGCTAAATCATCAGCTGGGACTAGCCAATTTGTTTGTCCATCATCAATGTTGCGAGCAAATTGGGAGCGGAGATCCGCAAGGTCTGAGTCTAGACTCAGAAGTTGAGATCGCTTGTCCTGAGACATGGTAGCTCCAGATTCCTTATAGGTGGTCTGCCACCTTTGCGTAAAGCGTTGCTCATGCGAGTTGACACCAGGGTCAACAAACACCATCCGCTGAACAAGTGAAGCAAGAATGGGATCCTTTTCAATAGCTGAGGTGAGGTTCTCAAACCCACTCTGAGCAACCATGGCATCATCACGGAAGGCCTTGTTAGGGTGGACTTTCTTGAAAACAGAAGCCGTATTTCTGCCCTCAATTGCCCCCATGTTCAGTTTGTCAAAATGTACTCCCCAATCATCCGCACTGGGGACGCCATCAAACAGTTTGAGAATCTCCAAATCGTTCTGAAGTTGTTTCAACTTGGCTTGCCAATCATGTTGATATGTCTCAAGGTCTACTGATCCGTCAAATGTAAATCTGGAGGGCTCTGGCATGTCTTCGAGTGTGTATGTCGAGATATCGAAGTGGACTGCGAATCTGATTCAAGTCTTGACCGGGAAGGTAATTTCGGACCAGCATCTTATCATTCCCATGGGTTTCTTTCGGTGGACTATATATCTATGCTAAGAACCTTGCGACGGTTCGTGAGGAGAACATCACAAAGGGAACGAACGTAGCGACCTACCCCTCGCGATCCTTTCAACTTCAAAGGGACAGGTTTCAGCCTCACCACGAGCTCGCGATCACGCGGAAGCAGGGGGATGTCGAACAGGACAAACGTGACATGCTCTTGTATCACTTGTTCCAGCCTCTGTTCACAGCAAGAGGCCCCAGATAGACGGGTCTCGATGGGCAGATGTAAAGCGAGACGTCTGTCACCGCAGCCCGCAAGCAGTGCTTCAATCGAAGCCACCGATCCTGTATTGTTTACGTTTACATGTCGATCTCGAGCTCTATACATAAGATCATATTCATACAATTTCTTATTGACATACGAATCTGCAGTAGGGCTTCCAGCTAGTATATTCAGACTATATCGTCGAAGTCATCATCCAATCCAGGTAGACATGCTCTTGTCGAGATCCTTCTCTTCCTGCTTGATAGTGATCCTCGCCCGGGTGATCGCCCTGCCCAACAGGTTCTGGCCCCAGTCCTTTCGATTGGATTCGGCGTCTTTTTCGGAATAGCCTACTCCCCAGATTCGGTCTACCGGAGATGCCTATTAGGCAAAGCCAATCTGGTCAACATATCGTTTCGACCAACGATTGGGGATATGGTGCTCACTTCTACGAGTTCCCGGTCATTGGTCTCCAAGAGCTTGCGCTTCATGTTCTCATCTTTACTCTTCGTAAACTTTAGGTAATTGCCCTTCTCAACGATATGCTCCTTGTCTACCATACAGCATCTCGATTTTGAGCGAATGATGAAGGCGGAGGCACGATGAAGGAGAACTCTCGAGAACTCTCACATTGATTCCAAATCTTTGCGTCGTAGTTAGCCACCTTCCTGCCGAGAGCTTGATGTTCTTTGGGACTGCGTGTGCGTAGCATTTTCTGCACAGAATCCTTTGTGAAGTGTTGTAAGAGGTCAGATCAGTATAATGCCTTGTGGTCTCACCCGTATCCTCTGTTTGCTGACCTCGTCCTTGAACAGCTTTGCTTTCGAGATCATCATCCACATCTCGGCTGTTACATACACAATCCCTAGAATCAAGGGCATCTCGTTGAGTACAACTATCCTAATCGAGCCGCACGAGGGCTGGTAAGAACCTACCGTCATGCTCAAACTCGCACTCGTACCATTGAGAGAGCCATCCCCAGCGCGGGTGAGTCTCCCTCCAGAAAAAGATGGGGCTCGTATCGGCCATTACTCGATGGTCTGAAACTATCGGATGTAGAGCACCTTGAGCGAAGACGGATTCAACGATATTTGTTGAGCCTGAAGGTCTTTCGTCAGAGCGACTACGAGCAGAGCAATGGGAACGGCTGTTCATCGAAAGATGACGAAAGCACGAATGCCGAGGCTCACTGATGACCGTGGACTTCTAGTCAACCGACGGTGACATCGATGAAGCACCGGCACTTGCAAGATCGTCTTGCATCTTGATACATATCGCCAGAGTTGTACACAGGAACGAGTACAGCTGATCCCGACCAGCGTGACTTATCACCGACACAACAATGACAAGCTCGCCGATGAAGCTGCAGAACCGCGAACTATTCGGCGGGGCGATCGAGTTACAAGTTCCCGCTGATTTCCTGGATGTCAGGTAGAAACAAGATCTTGGGCCAATCTCTCTCCCTCTCTCTCTCGCTCATCTTGTCATACATCGAACAGCGATTTTCGACAAGTCCCCGACACCCAAGAGGTATATACGACAGAAGATGGCGCTGTCTCATTAGTTGTCGAGATCTTGGACGTGGTCAAGGAAGAGGGGTGCGAAGACGATTTATGGAAAGCGATCAAGTGAGCGACCAGCAACATTTGTCTGACTGAGGCTGTCCAGGCGCGAAAGGCTGACCCCATATCGACAGCTTTCATTTCGGAGCCATAGCCCACGATAATGAGGCCGTATCCCAGCAAGTCACCACTATCTACGAACCGTCCTACTCGATCCAACCAACCTCGCTAGGCTCATACGAATCCATGCAAGATCTCTCTTCCTTCAAATTCCCCACTCCCTCACCGATGACCCTCGAAGGTACCCAGCTGGTCAGAAAATTTCGATCAGAACGACCGGTGGAAGAGCTCCCCCCACCGGACAAGGTGCTCATCTTTGTGGCCTTGTGGAGAGTCCTGCTCGAGAACGGTTCCAAGGACGGACGACCGATTCCTGAGATGGACGACGACGAGCACATGCAAGACGTGACGGGTGCGAGTGCAGGAGACGGAAAAGCTCGAGGGAGGTATGCCGATGTGCTCTGCAGCGTCAATGTGAACGTGGCAAACACGAGTGAGGCCGAGGTGAATGAGGTCCGAGCGTGGTTCAAGGAAAGCAGCAGTAACATGCGGATACGAGATTACGGTCTTTTCGTTGAAGTGGAAAAGTAAAAGCTACGATATGATCAAGCAAATGCGATGTATATACTTACAGGTGGTCATCTCCCTGTGACGAGACAACCGATTTTATGCACTTCTCACCAAGTCCAGTACCGAATCTAGCTAGGCCTTAGGCAAGTATTTGGGCATCTCAACAGAGCTGGCCTTCTCGTCGGGTTTCAGGCCGTTCTGCTTGATGGCTTCGGCGGTCTGCAGAGTAGCCTGCTGGAGCCTCCTCTTCTCTCGCCTCGGCTGACCTCGAGCAATAATCTCCTTGGGATTCGTATTCGAGAACAAAGCCTTGGTGATCTGCTGTACGGCGAAGCAGGCGGCAAAGTCGATGATCATGGCGGCCGTCAACTGGGTTCGGAACCAGGACTCCATCTTGAACAGTTGCAACCAACTATTGAGCTCGGGAGAAAACTCGGTGGCTCCGGCAAAGGCAATGGCGCTGACACCAGCGAGACCATAGTAGAGAGGCGGGTTCTCCCGGATCCCCTCACGGAAAGGTCGACCCTGGAAGTTGATGACGAAAGTTGAGACCTGCTGGGACAATCCCAAGAGGTAGACGGCAGTGTTGAGCAAGGAGGGCTTGTACTCGGCCTTGATGTCGATCACTCCTCGGCTGGAAGATTGGCAAGGACGGCATCAGTTGAATGTAACTTCACAAAGCCGATCAGAACATGCTACCCACTCGTGGTTCGCTTTCGCCAAATTGGTCATGTAGATCATAGAGACCATGTGGATGGCGAACTGAAGCAAGATAGAGAACAAGACGTAGAGGTTCAAGATCGAGGGCAGAGGTCTTTCCTTGGACAATTGTTGGACGGGCTGAACATGGTATGAAAACGTCAGTATGCATTCACGTCGCGCTCATGTCTGCTCGAACGGACCTTGGCTCGCGAAATGCAGTAGAAGCACACGCTCATGAGAATACCGGTAATGGTGACCTGGTAGTCCCCAAACTTGATTCCGTCCAAGTACTGAACACTGAGCGAATAGGCAGTGATGAGGGCGTTAAGACCGAGGATCAAGAACATCTGAGTAGTGGCGACCAGAGTGCATCGGCCTTGACGAATAATGTTGGTGACTGCGGATTCAAAAAGCTGTCAGTTTGGCAAACTTCACGAACCGTATTGTGACGAACATACCGGCAGACACGTTGGCCAACTTGGACGTGAATGGAGCGGCACACGATGCATCTCCGAGTTTGATCTTGGGGGGCTCATTCTCGTCATCCATTTCAGCCATCTTGTCAGTAATCGAAGCGAGATCGAACTGGGTTGGATCGTCATAATCAGCACCTTGCTAGCCTAATATGGTTTCCTGATCCGACTCACCTTCTCCATAGGGTTCTTCTTCCTGGCCTGTGTCATGGAAGCATGCGCCGCCTGCTGAGTCTCGACGAGCTCCGGATAGAGCGCCTTGAGAGCAGGAGGAACGGGTGGAGGAGGCTGGTTGAACCTGGCCGAAATTTTGCATTGTTGCTCATAAACCTTTTTCAATCGCTCGTTTCGTTGATGCTCGGCAATCTTCTTGAGATCGTCCTCGGAACCGTTCAGCAAGGCGATACCGACGTGGGCCTGCTTCAAGGCTCCGACGTCGTTGGTACCGTCTCCGGCCATCAAGGTGATGTAGCCGAGAGCCTTCATGGTCGACAAGATGTATTCCTTTTGCGGAGGCGAAACTCGAGCATAGACCCATGTGTGCTGGATGAGGTCGATAAAGGTAGACTTGTGCTCGTACTGCTTCATGGCGGCTCCGGTAATGCAGATGTCGTAGTCCCTCAAGATGGCCTTGTCGAAAGGCTTGGTCGGGTCGACGGGAATGATCTGGGTCTCAGTGACGTTCCGCCATACCAGTTCTGCAATATCAATGTGCAACATCAGGGCCATGTCCAGGGAGGCTCCTTCCCACATCGAATTCACTCACGATCTTCCTCGGTAGCGCCCTCTTTCAAGTCCAGGATCATGACATCTCGGTCGACGATCTCGACGTCCTGAGCGACGTGCACAGCCGTCAAAGGGTTGTCTCCGGTGATCATGACACACTGCAACGAGAAGTGACAATGAATGTAAGTTCTGCAGCGTGGTCGCGGGTAACGAGAACCGGACGTACTCGATGAGACGAGTCAGCCAACATCTTGAGACTCTCGACGGCATCCGGTTTGAGAGGACAGTGAAATACCAAGAATCCATCAAAGGTCAATCCGCTCTCGACATCGTCTCGGTGCAAGTCCTTGATCTGAGTATGTTAGATTACGACCAGTCAACATAGGTCATTCGGAATGTGAAGCCGAGAAAATCCACGCACCTTGCTAGTATCTGTCTTCATGACCTTGTGACCCAGTGCCAAGACACGCGACCCTCGCCTGGTGAAGTACTTGTACGTTTCATCGTAATTGGCAGGCAATTCGCTAAACATGCCCTTAAGCGTCTCGGGCGCCCCCTTGACGCTCCCCAGTAATTTCTTCCCACCGCCCTCGGAGGCGTGGACAACGGTCGACATTCGCTTGAGTGCAGACGAGAACTGGAACCTCCTCTTGACGTTGATCTGAGCGGAGAATTTGGCTTCCTTGTTCTTGGGTCCGATCTGGTCTCCCTTGGACAACTTCCAATCGAGCGCGTCCAAAGTGGTACGTTCCATAGGATCTCCAACCACGGTCCCATCGTCGAGCAGCACGAGCGCATGGGCGGAAGCAAGCGTGAGGATCGTCTCCTTGTTGCAGTCGGTGACCGGGACGAGCTTCTTGGGGTCTTTGGGATCGACGCCGGCGACGCCCTCAACGACGAGGTCTTCCCCAGTAATAGTCCCGGTCTTGTCGAAACAACAGACATCGACCTTGCCTGCGAACGGAATTCGGAAAGGTTCGGTGCAGAAAATGGCTGCGAACGAGGAACAACACGTTGTCGGTCAGAACCCAGAGATGACGTATCCCTAACATGTGGGACAGATCGCATGCGGAACGTACCAAACTTGCTCAGCGCGACCAATGATGCATTGACAGCGAGCGTCAACTCCATAGGCAACTCTGGCGGGACGACCGAAGTCAAAACGAGCACGACATCCAACAATAATTTCCCCTTGTCCATATCCTTTTTCCTCCCCTCGATCCACACGTACGCGGAAGCGGCGATGGCGAAGATTAAAAGGAAACCGATAAAGACGAACGATTCGAGGTTGTTGGCCGACATGCGTTCGTCGGAAAAGATCATGGTTCGGACGAGTTGACCTTGGGTGGTTCCGAAACCGGTCTTGAGGACGACAGCGAGACAACCACCGTCGGGCGCTATGTAAAAGCGAGGGTCAGCCGGCGACTTTAGTCACAGACGGGTGGCACGGCCTGGGTGAACTCACTGGTAACATCCCCACCCTCGGGCTGACTGACTTGCAAAGCCTTGGTCCCGCTGAACAACACGCTGTTCCTATCCATTCCATTGTAATCCAACTTGTCACCCCCATCCCTCAGCTCGACGCTCTCTTTCAACAATGGCGTAGACTCTCCGGACAGCATGGCCTCATTGACGATCGCTGTTCCCTTCAGGAGGAGGAGGTCGCAGGGGATACCGGAATCGGGTTTCGTACGAGTGATGGAGACGAGATCGCCGGGAAGAAGGAGGTCGGTGGTGATCTCGGACCACTTGTTGTCCCGGTACACATTGAGAGGGAAGGGTTGAACGGACATGGTCCTGAATTCGGTCAACGTTTTGAGACGCTGAACGTGAACGACACCAGGGCGAATCAGCGAGCATGGACGATATGACACGACGATCACAGCCGCAAACACTCACTTGGAATACGGTGGTACACTCGAAAGCGACCAACATGAAGCCCGTAAACAAACTGAACCTCCAATACTCGTCCAAACACCACAACGCCACACAGAACAACTGAAACACAAAGAATGGCGCGACGGCGTGCTCGGCGAACAGTTCCGAAAACTTGGGAATGGGGATCTCGCAGAGGTTGGGACCAAACTCGGTCGAGAGGTGGTCGACGGATCGGTGCAGCGGGAGGTTGGGTTGCTTGGAAGAGGTCGGGCGGGTGAGGAGACCGGGGGTCTGTTGGAAGGTCGAAAGGTCGGGAGAGGCGTCACAAGGGTAAGGTAGTTGGGTAAAGGTGAGGGTCTTGTCTGTCGTGCCGCTCAAGTCGCATCTCCGTTAGCCGGTATCCCTCACGACCCTGATCCTGCTTGCGACTCACCGTCCAGCACGTAGGTATCCCTCTGATAGATGAATGAATAGATCAACCCCCTCTCGTCCTTCTTCCTCTCCAGCTTGACGATCCCGCCCTTGCCCTTGTCCTTTTTCGGAATGACCCTGACGCTCCTAGCGGTGTCCAGAGAATCCGCTCGGGTATTCTCCAACCGGGTTCGGATCCCTACCGACCATCGGGTGGACAGAAACGTCAGGGCGTGACCGAAACCGAGGAGGACGCAGTAGACGAATGTCCATTCTTCAGATTTGATCCATTGATCGTAACGGTGATAATAGGCAAAGTAGAGCAAGGGGTAGAGAGCTGTACGCGAGCGGGTCGGTCACGACGATTTTCGGCGGCACGGAAAAACGGGGATGAGGACTCACAGAGGAAAGGAGCGGCATAAACCCTGGCTGTAAAGGCGATGGGGTTGTGCAAGGTGATCCTCTCGATCTCTGGCGAGACGATGCTCGGCTGGGATCTGGGTGCAAGATGAGTAATACGGAGTGAGCATGTGTTGGATCGTCCGATTTCATACAGGACCACTGGACTAACCTTGACGGGGCCATGATTGGATCGCTCTTGATGCGAATCCTAATGGCTATGACGGGGTGACCGGGTGACAGAGCTGGAACAAGGATGGGGTGCGAGGTCGACATCTTGATAAATCGCTCGCTCGCTCTTGTCAACTTTCGCCTCGAGAGGGAAGCGAAGGAGAGACGACGTGTCGCGCTGAGCCGGCCCGTCGCCTTCTTTGCGCGTCGCCCGAGGGCTGGATGGGATCCCATCGTTACGGCAGCGGCCTCGGCGGCCTCCTCCCTCGCCCGTCCTACTGCACACTGCGTTCCATCTCTCATCGTCCCTGGCTCGCAGGCATCGCTCTGAACTTGCGTACCCCCAGCTCATCCCCGACGCCGTCTGGACTGGATCGACCGCAATGCCGCCCAGACCATCTACCAAGAATCACCAGCGAAACTCAAGACTTGCTCATAACCGCATAGTTCCGCACACAGGGCGACCTCGACCCCCGGCGTCACTGCGTTGACCATGTCGCGCAACCATAACCGCAACAACCCACCTCAAGATCCGTTCGAGGATTTCCTCTCTTCCCCCCCAATCGGCGGAGCCGCAAGAGCAGGGAGAACCGCCAACGGGGATCAGGGGGAAATCTTTGAGAGTCTTTCCGGAAGGGAGACGGGCGATAGGCATCTGGACCCCTTTTTTGACGAGCAAGTCGACGTCTGCGATCCTTCTGCACAGCCAGGAATCATCTACGTTCGCCAAAGCTGAATATAATGACTACTTGCTCGATATTTCTAGCGACGATGACCTCCCACAGAGGTTCGCCACATCTTCAGCCGGCCACCCCTTGGATAACGCTAGCACCCTTCGGCACGTTCCCTCCATAGCGTCTTCCTCGATTCACCATCATGGACAAGAATCCAACATCTACGGGTCTGGACCCTCGCAGGATACGTTGAATGCGCCGTTTGCTAGCCGAGCTCAACCTCCGGCTGGTTTCGATTCCGGTCGGGGCAGGAACAAGGACGATGACTTGATGGACGACTATGATTACGATAGCAAGCCCCGGTCTTCGACTGCCAACCGGGGATATGCCGGTGGAGACGATTATATGGGATCGTCGTCGTCGTCCTATAAAAAGAAGACCCAGCAGGAAGAAGACATGGACGAGTTTGATCAGATCGACTCCCTCTCCTGGGATTATGCCGCTCAAGCCCTCCCTCACCTCCAAGCCGACCGCGATGCTCAAGGTCAAGGGACTCACATTCCTCAGGCTTATGAACCCAGGTCGTCTGTTCTGGACCACCTTAAACGCCTTAAACCGCCTTCGGCACCTCTATCGAGCCTGAAGGAACTGAGCTGGAACCCCTTTTCTTCGGGAGGAAAGGGGGACGTAGGCGATGTGAGGACGATCTACCTGAATGACTTTCAGGCGAATGGAAAAGGAAGGGGAGGGAAGAAGGGGACGGAAAACGAGGGCAAGAGGAGGTGGAAGGGGAATGAGATTGGGACGGGCAAGTATAACGTGGTCACCTTTTTGCCAAAGTTCTTGTTCGGTGAGTCGGGAGTCCGTGTTCGGGTAGGCTTAGAGGGAGATCAGAGTCTGATTTGTCGATCGGGCTTCGGGGAGGATAGAGCAATTCAGCAAATATGCCAACTTGTTCTTTTTGTTCACCGGTATGTGGACAATACTCGACGTGGCGCAAGGTATTCCGAGCAAGGTGGCTGAGTCTGAAACCCCTTTCCTAAACGGCGTATTTAGCTTGTATACAACAAATCCCCAACGTCTCGCCGACGAATCGGTGGACGACGATTGTACCGCTCGCGATTGTCATTCTGGCGAGCGCGCTCAAAGAGCTCGAGGAGGATGTTGTGAGTGCCCCCATCTGATAGTCAACCCCACATACTTGGCTCCAGAAGAGCGGCTGACTTATTCGTTCCGGATGTGTATGCAGAAACGGCACGCCTCGGATAGACAGCTCAACTCGAAGTCGACAAAAGTCCTCAACCCCGTCACCTCGGGGTTCGAGGACAAGACGTGGAGGAATATCAAGGTCGGCGATCTAGTCAGGTTGGAAAACAACGATTTCATCCCGGCGGATTGCGTATTGTTGGCGAGCAGTGAGCCCGAGGGGTTGACTTATGTCGAGACGAGCAATTTGGATGGGTGCGTAGGAGAATCCTCGGTTGCCTTAGAAGTAGGATGGGCCGCTGATGCGAGATTTTTCGTGCTCTCAGAGAGACCAATTTGAAGATCAAACAGGCCAATGCCAATACCGCTCAATTGACTTCGCCTCATCATTTGTCTCGACTGTCCGGTCGCCTGCAGTCTGAAGCGCCCAACTCGTCTTTGTATACCTATGACGCCACGCTCAAATTCAGCGAGTCTGGATCAGGGCAGGGGGAAAAGACAGTGCCTATAGGACCAGATCAGATGTTGCTCCGGGGTGCTCAAATCAGGAATACCGAGTGGTGTTTCGGGCTCGTTGTCGCTGGGGGACACGAAACCAAGTTGTTCAAGAACGCTACGTGAGTCTTTAGCATCGCAATCGGGATTGTTAGACGACCCATTGATTTGCCTCATTTTCGCGGTGTATGTCAGTGCGGCTCCTATCAAGAGGACCGCGGTCGAGCGTCAGGTCAACCAGCAGATCATCTTCTTGTTCATCCTCTTGCTCATTCTCTCGTTGATCTCGACGATCGGCAGCAGTATTCGAACGGTACGTCCGAGTGGACGCAGTGCAAGTCGTCGGAATCGTTAAAGCTGATTAGAACGGGTTATGCAGTGGTTCTTTTCCAAGCAGAGCTGGTATCTGCGGATGGAAGACCAAACCAAGAACAAAGGTGAGCCGGGTTTCCGTGAACATGTGTCGACGACGAACTCAAAAAGAGGATTTCCCATTGCACAGCTACCCAGTTCATCGAAGGTCAGCAAGTGCTGGCGACCAGCGCCCGATTCGTGTGCTGATGCCCTCAGGGTTCTCTGTCTTGTGTAGACTTTTTGACTTGCATCATTCTATACAACAACTTGATTCCCATTTCGTGAGTGACCCAAATACTGCAGGACATCTAACGCCCATGCTGATTACTCGCATGCATCCAGCCTGATTGTCTCGATGGATGTTGTCAAGTTCCAACTCGCGCAACTCATCAATACGGATCTAGACATGTACTACGCCAGGACCGACACGCCCGCTGTCTGCAGGACATCGAGCTTGGTCGAAGAACTAGGTCAAATTGAATACATCTTTTCGGACAAGACAGGAACCCTTACGTGCAACGAGATGGAGTTTCGCGAATGTTCTATCTTTGGGACCATGTACGCACAGACCGTCGACGAGAACAAGGCGGAACTGGGTCAGAAGACCTTTCAGGAGCTGGAGAGGCGACAGATGGAACCGGGCGAAGAGGGCGACACCATCAGAGAGTTTCTGACTCTGCTGGCTGTATGTCACACGGTCATTCCGGAGATCAAGGACGAGAAAATCATCTACCAGGCTTCGAGTCCCGATGAAGCGGCCTTGGTGTCGGGCGCGGAGGAGCTGGGTTACCGATTCCACGTAAGTATGCATTTGTTGGAAATTTTAAGTGCACGACGCCGACAATCTACTTGCAGACTCGCAAACCGAAATCAGTCTTTGTCGAGATTGGTGGCAAGTCGACAGAGTTCGAAATTCTGAACGTCTGCGAGTTTAATTCGACCCGAAAGCGAATGTCGACTATCGTGCGGATGCCCGACGGCAAGATCAAGCTCTATACCAAGGGTGCAGATACCGTCATCTACGAGCGACTGGCACAAGGTGGCTCTCCTCTGGCGGATTCTACCCTTGTCCATCTTGAGGTGGGCTAGATGTTAATTTCGTCTGGTCGCCCGAATCACCTGTTCATCACTTCTGCTTCTTAGGACTATGCCACGGAGGGCCTTCGAACTCTGTGTCTGGGTGCTCGTGACATCTCGGACGAGGAGTACAGAAGGTGGTCTGCGACATACGACGCTGCCGCGTCGCAGATTCATGGACGAGCCGAGGCTTTGGAGAAGGTGGCCGAGGTCATCGAGCGCGATCTTACGCTGCTCGGAGCCACTGCGATCGAAGACAAGCTGCAGGACGGGGTTCCCGACACGATCCATACCCTGCAGCAGGCCGGGATCAAGGTGTGTCCAAGAAGCGGACCAAGCTTGCCTGTTCAAACATTGACCTGAGATCGTCCTTAGATTTGGGTTCTGACAGGAGATCGTCAAGAGACAGCTATCAACATTGGTCTTTCCTGTCGGCTGATATCGGAATCGATGAACTTGGTGGGTTCGACTGCAAAGGTGGTGGGCTGCAAGGGAAGTCGTCTTGATGTCGCGATTTGGTTCTCGCAGGTGATTGTGAATGAAGAGACCAGTGAAGCGACCTCAGAATTCCTTAATAAGCGACTATTTGCTATCAAGAACCAACGTAATGCTGGCGATACTGAAGAGCTAGCGCTTGTTATAGGTGAGCAATCGCTCAGCCATATGATACGACACAATGTGGTCTCCTGACTCGTTCACTTTTGTTTCGTAGATGGGAAAAGTTTGACCTATGCCTTGGAGAAAGAGACTTCAAAGATTTTCTTGGAACTGGCCATCATGTGCAAGGTACGTCGTTCGCTTATGACTCAGGCAGTCGTCTGACTGACAGAGATCGTATGGCTATATCACCACAGGCTGTCATTTGCTGCCGAGTCTCACCGCTTCAGAAGGCGCTCATCGTGAAACTTGTCAAGAAGAATCAAAAAGCAATCTTGCTTGCGATCGGCGACGGGGCAAATGACGTCGGGATGATCCAAGCCGCTCATATTGGTGTTGGAATATCAGGCGTAGAGGTATGCGATTGTGGTTGTCGCAACCCAGGTCAAACCCTGATTTAGCGAATTCTAGGGTCTTCAAGCAGCTCGTTCGGCAGACGTCGCTATCTCTCAATTCCGCTTCTTGAAAAAGCTACTTTTGGTACACGGCTCTTGGAGCTATCACAGGCTGTCCAAGTTGATTCTATGTAAGTCATTAGGTGGAAGTATATGCGCGTCCCGTGGCTCATTTCGTTTCATCGCAGTTACCTTTTACAAGAACATTGTCCTGTACATGACACAATTCTGGGTAAGGCCAAGCCCGCAATAAATCCCCCTTTTCAGCAGCTGATCTTTCTTTCTGTAGTATTCGCTCTTCAACGACTATTCTGGACAGATTGTCTACGAATCTTGGACATGGTCCTTTTACAACGTTCTTTTCACGGTACTGCCGCCTCTGGTCATTGGTATCTTTGATCAATTCGTCTCGGCTCGTATGCTTGATCGATACCCTCAGCTTTACAAGCTCGGGCAGAGCAACGCCTTCTTTACAAAATCGGCGTTCTGGCAATGGATCGGAAACGCCTTTTACCATAGTATCGTGCGTCTGGCGGGACTGCTGAGATCGAATTCTGCACCGCAGTCGCTGACGTGGCTTGTTTGTCAATCTAGCTTCTGTTCTTCTTTTCGATCCTCGTGTTTTGGATGGGTCTCAAGCAAAGCGATGGGAAAGACACGGGCCACTGGTTCTGGGGAACCACGTTGTACCTCATGGTTCTGCTCACGGTATTGGGTAAAGCTGCTCTCGTGTCTGAGTGAGTCGAAGTGCCTTCAGTCGACACGAAAGCACGTTCTGATCACCATTTGGGCTGGGACGACTAGCGTATGGACCAAGTACACCCTTGCTGGTAAGCATGACACTCTTTCATTATGATTTTCTGCCACGACCCACCTGACGATATTATACCGCCTGTAGCCATTCCTGGATCGTTCGTTTTCACCATGATCGCTTTGCCTATTTACGCACTGGTTGCGCCTCTCTTGGGCTTCTCAATGGAGTACCAAGGAATCGTTCCCCGCCTCTGGACGAGCGGCGTCTTTTACCTCTGTCTGCTCCTGTTCCCCATCATCTGCCTGGCACGAGACTACGTCTGGAAATAGTAAGCTAAGGCGTGGCGTGGACATCGATAGATGCTGATTGAATCTTCGAACAGTTATCGGAGGACGTACATGCCCAGATCATACCATATCGTGCAGGAGATCCAGAAGTTCAACTTGTCCGACTACCGTCCGCGACAAGAACAGTGAGTTTGCCACGTCAGCTTGGGCTTGGGCAATCCGATCGAGTCTGAGCGCCGTCCCCTGCCTCGTCACAGATTCCAGAAAGCCATCAAAAAGGTCCGGGCGACCCAACGTATGCGACGTCAGCGAGGCTTCGCCTTTAGTCAAACAGAAAGCAACAACCAAGATCAAGAACGGCTCATCCGGTCGTACGACACAAGTGTGCAACGACCGAGCGGTTATTGAGCTCGTTCGCCCCCTGCGGCTTTACCTGTACCATTACATGCATCACCTATAGAGCAAGCATTGCCAGAACTTCATCCAGAATTGAACTCCGCTACCCGTCATTCGCATTGCGTCTTCCTTCATATCAGATCTATGCTCTGATCTACGTACAACTCAGCTGCACTCTTTGCCGACCTCGCAAGCCCCGCCGTCAGCTAGCTGTTCGGGCTGAGGCTTCTTCTCTTTGCTCAGCTGCTCGAAAACCTGCAAGAAGGCCTCGGGGGGCTGAGCCCCGCTGATTCCGTATTTGTTATCCAGCACAAAGAATGGAACACCAGAGACTCCGAGCTCCTTGGCTTGCCGGTACCCAGCGTTGACCTCTTTATCGAAAGCTGACGAGTCGAAAAAGTCGTTGGCTTCCTTTTCTGACGCGAAGACTCCCGTGTCCAACGCCGTTTTAACAAGGTAAGGGCGTTGACCGGGATCCTGCTCATTCTCAAAATAGCCGGTAAAGAATGACTCGGCGACTTTGCGCTGAAGAGGCTCGCCACCTTTCTCATAGGCATGGGCCATGACTCTGTGATAATCGTGTGTCCGTGAGAGCGTGCCGCCGTACGAGCTGTATTCGGCAATGAAAGTAAGCGCAAGACACGACTGAAAACAAGCACAGAGAAACGCACAAGTTGATTCCGACGTCCTTCCCTCGCTGGACCATCTGCTGCTCCATAGCAGCCACCCTCTCTTTGCCTCCAAACTTTTGAGCGTATCTATCTCGCTTGACCATGGGCTCCGACGTGAGCGTGGGGTCCAGGAGGAATGGCTTAAATTCAAGGTCGAGATCGAGATCGAGGTTTTTCTGTTTGGCTAGAGCTACTCCCTGGTTGTAGTTCTTGTAACCGATGAAGCAGAATGGGCCTGGAAAGAGTGTGATCAGCACTGTATTCGACGCCCCGGTAAGCGCTATGTAGGGGATAGCTTACAGATAGCGTCTGACACCATGTCGACCTTGATCTTGTGAGCGACTGAAGTAGTCATATTTCTCGTAGGTGTTCTCAGTTGGCGCTTTGCTATCGAGCTGAGAGTGGACATGGAAAAGTGGATAGATTTGTTGCTTGAAGAAGAGGAGAAGTTACAATGAGGGTCGATTGCTCGTCCTTTATAATCAATCCGTCAGTGACCGGGGCAAGCCGCGATGAGTAAGCAGGAGGCTCCGTCAGTCACGTGAGTTCGGGATGAATCCCTATCACGTAAAGCGAGCGCCGCGGAGAAAGGCCTTCTTAGCTTCTTATCTCATTCGCGTCATTCATGCAAGGTCGTCGTACTAGTTGCATGCCATCGGATCCCAGAAGTAATTGTCGACCGTTACCAGCCACAAGCAAAATCTTCCTGAAACAACATCATCAAGACAGGTGCTGTATGGGTGACTTTTGGATACTCGAGACTACTGAACGATGTGCGTTCAGAGGGCTTCGCAAGTGGTGGGCAAGACAATAAAGCCAGACCAAACAAGGACGCATAGTGTGTTTGATCAGACTTCTGGCAAGCCTTGTCAGCTTGAATCGATCACGTTCACAGCGGAAAGTGAATTCTGACGTCTTTGCATCGTTGGAAGCCTCGTCAGTTCAGCTCAGCAGTATCTACTAGAGTAGTGGGAAGATATTCCTCACGAAGCTTTATCACTTCATCCTTCCTTCGCATGCGCGGGATTGACATCAGAAGGATCATATAAGCCTTCAACAAATCTAGACATTCCGTCTGTTCGGTAGCGTCAATCTTGATCATGAAAGATCAAGGCATCATGAGGTGTGTGAGCGCGTCTTCGCTCCTGTTTCTAGTCCGGTATCAAGCCGGGAAGCAACCAAATAGGAGTATCATCAGACTCGAAGAACCCAGCCAGGTAAGTTTGCACTTGATAGGCAGTTCGACCTACATATCTCCGACGGAGGAGTCCATTTGCAGCCCAACCAGGACAATCACGTGTATACAAACGTTGACGTAGAGATCGCTTTTCTGACGAGAACAGCTCGCACCTCTCAGGCTCATCCGCTTTGCAAGTAAGTGGATTCCGAATCCTTCCAAACTCATTGCCAGCACGGGGAGATGGCGAAACTCTGGCTATTACATGCAGTGTGACTTTCATTTGGTCTGCACCAACTGGGTTAGATTCGACGGCCAACAATTCGAAGGAGAGAAACGCCTCTGCGCCTGAGTTTCCTTTGCCCTTTCTCACTACTGTTACAGAGCGTATCGACCTGAGCTCACAAAGTAAGGCTGACTGGGAAGAGTTTGAGTGTGGAACGTCCACTCGATAGGTTTCATGTCGTATACCAACTCTATGAATCTTATCGGCTAGGAGATCTCTGGCCTCTGGACATGGGACAAGTATGGGGCCAGCCGTCCGGACTGAATACGCGCGCTTCATATAGCATGCAGATCCCGGCACCTTCTCAATGCGATAAGCTCTCAGAGATCAGATAGCCAGCTAGCCAGTGAGTCCAGCGACCTATGTGCTGACAGACGACCGATGTGAACATTTCGTGCGATCTACTGCGCCCCCCATGATCGATTCATCAGCTGATCGTCGGCGCTAAATCTACAGAAAAACGTGATGACGAAACGCGCTAGCGGGGACAGAAATGTGCAGGCAGGGCTGCGAGTGCGAGTGCGAGTGAGATCAGCTGGGGATCGCTGATCCCGTGGTCATCGACCTGATAACCACCTCGTAGCCCAATGACGAGCGATAGTCTCATTCGTCTTTGCTCCCATGACTCCTGTCTCCTTTAATTCTGGCGGTCGCAAATCGGCTTCAACGGGAGGCAAGTATATATATAGCGGTCATTTCTCCTGTGACACGCCCTCTGTCTTCGTCCGCCACTGCCCAAATCAACCTCACGCAACTCTCTCATCGAGAACCCTGATCCCTCGATAGCTCAAGCCCAATCAATCGACAAGATCATCAACCAATGCTGTCCGGTTTAGATGCCGCGCAGGCCAAGATAGAGCAGCTCGCAGGTTTCGGAAAGAGGAAGAACAGCAAGGCGAGTAGAGTCTCCAGGCTCTCAAGTGGCTATCGCTGATGACAACATAAAAACCTGGCTTTTCCTTTCGCAGACTGGTGAACTCGAACGCATGTCTACTACCGCTCGTCAAGAAGCTCGACGTCTCTCTACCTCCAGGAATAGCGGACCCGGATCCGAAGCCGCTAGGAATGAGGCAAGGGCCGCTGTAGGCCAGGGCAACGTTGCTTCGGGCAGTGCAGTCGATGATACGCCCATCGCAGCTCCGAGACGCAACTCTATCTGTAAGCTGAAGTGACTTTTTGTTCGCCAAGTACGAGGGTGGACGACTGATCCGCGGTCAACCTGAATCGTTCATGCGTTTTAGTCGGCAAGAAATCTCCAACCAGTCCTAAGCAATGAGCGCCAAGTGCTCTTCCTGCATCCGCTCAGACAGTTCCCCTTAGCGTATTATGACTCGATGACTAAACGACCTAGTCCACCCCACTGTGTTAACAAGCGATCGTTCGTCGAAAGATATAATCAAATTGTCACTTCAAGTATACCAGAGAACCAAGTTTGTAATCAGTCGTTAAAATTGTACGAATCAGATTGAAATGATATGATTCCTTTTTTGATACGATTCTTCTCGATACAATCGGTCGCAAGCTTACAACGAGTGAGATGATGACGACTCAGAACATGACACTGTCGCGAGACGGTTACAAGTTGGCTCTCAGGGTAGCCCCGGTCAATCGTTCATCTGGGCACAGACGTTTCGCCTGATCAGCATTTACGATCAGGTACAAGTTCGACGCCTTTGACTCACAGTTCTGCATATAAGCGGACTCTCCCGGCATGGTAACATGTAGTCCTACGCTCTTCACGTCAACCATTTCTGGCCCGATGTCACTCAATTTAGGGGCCCCGATAAGGCGCAGGTTCATCTCGAATTCGTCCTAGAATTGGTGCACCATCCCCTTGTCACCCGCTGCTCGAGACTGTATAAGTCGAACTGAGAGAACGTACCTTGAGAATCTGCATGGCCTGTTCGACCCCTTCTTGTCCGTAGGTCGACATGGCGTACAGGAACGGTCTGAACCCAAACTGTCCGTTAATGATTCGAGCAAGATCCGATAGTTCATCAGACCCACCTTCCAATACCGACCGCGGTTGCGCCGAGAGCTACCGCTTTCAGCACGTCCGACGCCCGCCTGACTCCACCGTCGATCATGATTTCGAAGTTCGGGACGGGCCACATGTTGCGCTTCTTCAGTTCGGAGACGACCTCGACGAGGACTTCGATACCGGACCGAGCGAACTCCTGTGGGAGGGCATGGCGATCAGTCCGCGAGGCACGGCGAGAGAGATTGGACACGACCCACCAGTTGCCTTCCGCCGTGATTGCTCAGCACCACACCCTGCATACCAGCTTTGATAGCGAGTAGGACGTCCTGATCAATCGCCTCGTCAGCGTCCGGATCATCGAACAAAGCTGGCGGGGTCAAGCCTCACCTCGTAACACTGAACGCCCTTGAGCAGGATCGGTAGTTTCGTAACCGTTTTGAACCATGCCAGATCCTCCCACGAAAGGCTCGAGTCGATAAAGCTCGAGATCGCCCGAGCGGCTCCCTGACCTCTCTCGACAACGTTCTTCTCCTGAACCTTCGATCCCGGATCGTCAAACTTCATCCTCATGTCCTTTTCCCGTCGGCCAAGCTGAGGGGCATCGACAGTAATAAACAGCGCTTTGACTCCTCTAGTTTCGGCCTTCTCGATGATCTTTTGGGTGAGAGAACGGTTCGCGTTGACGTAGAGTTGAAGCCACTGCGTCTGCCCAGGAACAGCGGCGTCAAGCATCTCATCGAGCGAACACGAAGCGAGAGTGGGAATCTTTTAGTGAAACGAAAAGGAGTCAGCTTCAAGGCGTATCGGTGCCAACAATCTCGCCAACACACCATTTGGATGACATCATGCTTGCCGGCCGCTCGGGTCAACAGAACTTCACCCTCCTTGTGTCCCAATTTACCGAGAGCTGTCCCCGTCTATTCGGCAGATTGGGTGATGCAACGAGTCGAGTCAGCTCTCCGAACACGTGTCGCCAGTACAGCTATGCAGACTCACGATGTAGATCGGCATGCTCGTCTTCGCACCCAACAATGTGGTGCTATAGTCCACCGTCTTGACATTCCTAAGAACCCTCGGCCGGAACCAGATCCGCTGAAAAGCGAGCGTATTCTCTCGCATGGTGATCTCGTCATCGGCACCCGACGAGTAGTACGCCCACCCTTTCCTGCTCATGATTTGATTGGCGAGGTGCTCAAAGTCGTGCAGCGAGAGTACTTCGGCGAGATCAGGAAGAAGATCTCTATCAGCCGGCTGGGTGATGGTCGGTTCGGCCTTGACGATCTGGTTCTTCGAGTTGCCGGAGTCCTTCTGCTGTTGTGTTTGCGACGAGGATGCGTCCAGGTCGGGCTTCTGTTTCGATTCACCTTCGCCGCCAGCTTGCTCCTTCGCAGCGGTGATATGTACCGTCTCCTTGACGCTGTTCGGGTCCAATGGCCCAATGTACTTGTCTTCTGGGAGGTTGTCGCCAATAACGCCAGGAGGATGGATGGGCTCGAACTCCTCGGTGGCATCCTTACCAGCGTATTTACTAAGCGAAAGCAGCGAGATATGAGGTTAGGCGAAGGCTTCATCGCTAAACTTCTTGCGACTGGCTCGACTGCTTACAGGATGATCTTGCTGCCACCTGATTTACGAGGAGGATCGATATCAGTTCAACGTTCTAGTTCGCGGTCAGCTATGACTCGCCTGGATGTTCCTGTGATGATCAATAAGATAGTGGTCAGAGAACCGTATGAGATCGGAGAATCGAGGTCAACCTACATCGAGCCATTCCGTCACATCGTAAACTTTGCCTGAAGTAGCCGGAACGCAGCAGGTGACCAGGAGGAGAAGCGAGACCGACGGATGCAGCAACAAGATGACGAGTAAGACGTGATATCAATGGGTATTCAATCAGCTCCGAACCCTCTTGCCTTGCCTTATCACTCTGGTACTGACCATGGACAATGACCCAAACACCGGTCTCCCTTGTGGTATGCTTGGCGACTTCTTCGCCGGATACAAGTGGTTTGTCCGACATGTCTGAAGATATCTACTGAGGCTCGTACGGAGTTGCTATCAGGTCAAGACGGTCGGGTGTATGCTGACCGATCTGGTGATTTTGGCAAGAGGGGGAGGGGGCGATGGATCGACTCTTAAGTCGACAGAGATCTAGCGATGAATGACCGTTCGCTGGTTGGTTCGGTCCGCCTCGTCCGGTAATTGCAACCTGCAACCCCCGAGATCCTTCGGCCGATTCCGACAGGATTTGATTCCGCCGCCGCGTTCTAACTTGGTGATGAAACGTTGGGAATGTTGGAAATCGTATCCTCTCCCTAGATCCCTAGCTCCTGGAGCTTGCCGGTGGACACTGATCTGATCACGATTCGAGCGCGCTTCGGCAACGCACCGTCGTGACTCTCAGCAGAGTCGGTCCGCTCTGACACGGCATATACCGTCGGCCGTCTTTATATGAATGAGAGCATTCTTCAACGCGATCTCAATAGCGCCTGGCCTAAAAGTCGCGTTCGACCCCGTTGAAAGGTAGCGGTTGCCTGTGCTCTTCGTCTACAAAGGCATGGAGGCTATCATCGTGTGCTTCACCACGAGTTCGTATCTGTCGTGGCTGGGCATCACCATCCGACTCGGATCCTAGTACGGAGCGGGATTCGGTCGGCTCCCGGTGGAACGAGTCCTCGCCTCCATCAGGCTTCGGATGGCAGCTCGATATTGCACAGCGATAGTCTTCCCCACTTTTCACAACCTCGCGATCGTGGTCCCGCAAAACCCCAAAGTGGACTTCGATAGAGGCATACTGATGTGCACAATCGAATCGGGTATAGGCCCGGTTCCTCTGCCGCCAGAGGTTGCGTTGTATGATTGTATCGCTGGGAAGGTGAGATGGATGAGGGCATGGTTGGGCTGTCTTTCCTTTCCCATAACCGAGAGCTTCAATCGCTGGAGAATCTTCCTGATTGATATCGATGAGCTCTAGCTCCTATATAGTCCACTGTGAGGTGATCTTCGGCAAGATTCACAGTAGTGAATATATAAAGAGGCGCTGTTAACCCTGGACGAAGGATAGCACTCATCTCGCCTAAGGCGGGGATAACACATGACCGCCAATAAATAGCAGGAAGGAGCCTAGAAATGACATATGACCTGCAAAGCTGACCGTCTTGAAGAGTGACTTGTGGGGATGAGTGCTTCGCAAATGCATAATCATGTCCAGGTTTTCCACGCAACATAGGAAATCGATCCCAAATGTCTCGGTGTGCATTAGTTCAAAATACAGGAGAGAAGAAGCCATGACTCTCGTCCGTCTGACCGGCAATCCTGACTCCCCTAGCCTTCCTTGAGTGGAAGAAAGTCCTTAATCTTATGATATCGTATCGCATCGCCTCATGTGATCCTTGGTTTGCTATCTGACTTCGATCCAGAACAGCTCGGAGAGCGCCTCATCGTTCGTAATATGTCATAAACGGTGGACGAGCTTATAGGATGCGGCATACGAGAATCTGTACGATGTGCATGTATGTAAGCTCTGAATATCCTGGACGTTTCAAACCTCGCTCTTCGAGGTGATGGCTTTTGTCCATCGACCCCACGGCTCGGTCGCGCGCGGGGTTGAATAGCCGGAAGCGGTAATTGTTTTCCTGGCTCTTGGCGCGAATCTACCCAGCTGCCAGCTACTGGATCCACCAGCAATACCTGAACAGCTCTCTCATCTTTCCTCTCTCTCCTTCCCGTCCCACATCGCATCGCTAGATCATAGGATCGTTCAGTAGGGTGCAAGTGATACGAATGACGATGCGATGATGCAGGCTGAGCGACGGAACCGAAATGAGAGACGGGGGTATTGACGAGGACTGGTCACTGGGTTCGCCGGCTACTCCCCGCGACATCCGTGTAAGAGCGTTGCGTTGGTTCACCTTGACATCGTGTTTCTGTGTGTGATCACATGATCACATGATCCATTCGCACGCAGTCTGTTCACCAGTACAGTCGCCGTAGGTGGTTAGTTTGAGACTCAGCCCCATCTTCTAGGAGCCAAGGGGAAGGAACGCATTCGTCGTCGTTCGTTTATCGTCGTAGCTCGCCGGTCGCCGCCTCCCGGAAAAACGTCCCGAAGCCCGGACGTCGTCCATCTCGATTGACCTCGCTGCTCGCTGCTCGTGTGCTTGTCATCCATCATCACCCAAGCACCAAGCCCACGTGAAGGCATAGCGACCGGGCCCGCTACAGCTACAGACCATCGAACTGCTCGAGTTGCAAAGTTGTTGTACTCCGCAACGGAAGGATGCCACCCACCTCTTCGACTTCATCAGCCGGTCCAGGGCCGAGGCTGCCTTCGATCAAGACCTCATCTCCACCAACAACACCGACTTCGACGACCCAGCACAACTCGACAGGTCGACCACGCCTTCCTACGTCTTCTACTCGCTCCTCACACCCTATGATGTCGTACTACGTGCCACCCCCTACCTCGTCCATCCACAACAACCATAACCTACCGTCTTCTTCATCATCGTCACCGATCTCGGGATATTCTGGTGGGAACCTTCACAGTCACAACCATCACGGACACGGGATGGGAGCTGGACACATGTCCCCGAGTGGACATCTAGGAGGACTTGGGACGATGGGTGGTGGGATTGGAGGAGGTTACGGGACGAGCACGTCCGGATTCACGATCCCTACAAGTAACAGCCGGCCGACGAGTCCGACCGCGTATGATATGGACAGAGACGGACAGGATGACACGAGGTTCGGGTCTGTAGGGGGACCGTGGGGATCAGCGATGAACGGCAACGGTCTCAATGGATCGTCGTCTTCTTCTTCCTCGTCATTACACCTGAATCAAAAGGGCCATCCGCTTGCTTTGCATTCGAATTCCACTTCGAACGCAAATTCAAATAGAGAGCCGCCGAACAAGAAACGAAGGCTGTCAAGCTCCAATCCATCAGGCTCGGGATCTGGATCGACATATCACCTTCCCCCTCCTGCATCTTCCGTGTCTCACACTCAGCCGAGTCATACGGGATCCAACTTCTTGGCTGGCCTTCGAGGTGCTTCGGACCTCCCAGCACCCACATCAATCTCCAATCATAGTAACCATGCCAACAGCCAACAACAGATGGATGAGGATGATGACGAGGATGGCGATTCGGGGGATGATTCGGATATGGGCGACGATGATGGCCGCGGAGGGTCCGCCAACCCCAGTGGTGGAGGCAACGGGAGCGCGAGTGGGAGAGGAGGTGGGAAGGGAGGAGAAGACGACGGGGATCGAGGAGGGAAAGGAAAGAAGAAGATGAAGCTGACCCGAGGATCTAGGTGAGTTTTTCGGTTCCTTGTGAGGTTGGGTGAAAGTAGAAGATGGGCTGCGTCTTTCGAACGGGCTACTTCGATATACGGGGTAGGTGGCTGATTTTGTTTTATCGGGATTCGGTCATCGGTCTGCGCTTGCATCGGGTTTGCAGAGCATGTACTGTCTGCAGAAGGTAACGCTCTCGTCACATGATCCACCGCTCTCGTACAATCTGGCTTACCCTCCATGATTTCCGTCTGCCCTACGTAGGCTCAAGATGAAATGCGTCGAAGCCGACATTGACAATGGCGTCCGGTGTCTCCGATGTCGCAATGGGAACCTCGAGTGTGTTTTTGAAGAGTCGATGCGTGGTAAGAGAAGCAGCAAGGGCAAGAAGAGCGAGATTATGGCAAAAAACCTGAAAGATATGGAGAACACGCTCGATACCGTGAGTTCGCGCATTTTTGTGAGAACCCTGTTGAGTCTGACAAAACCCCTTCACGTGTCAGGTATTGAGGTCGTTACATAATCCCAAGTTGAGCTTGGCTTCCGGGATGACGAATTTATCGCCCTCGGCTTCAAGCGGGATGTTGGACGGGTCACCAGGCCACGCAGGCAGTAAAACTCTGGATATAACTTCGCCTGGAAAAGGTCAGTATCTGTGATCTGGCCATGGTGACCTGAATTGGTGACTGATTGGTATCGAACCAGAACTTATGGGTGCGGACCAGCTCGACGCGCATACTTCGTATACAGACATGTCGGTCAGTCATCCTGCTCGACCGGGCATCTCGCCTTTGGGTGGCGGTGGCGGGGGAGAGAGTTCGACAGGATCGCCTATGATAGGCCGACCAGGAGTCGGATTATCCAGGATGAACACCTCGACGTCCAATGTCAACTCGGGTGAGAGCGGGAACGCTGTCGCTGGATCTTCGATTGGTGGAAGCAAGATCGAACCCCCTTCGCCGAGACTGCATTCGCTGCCGGACAATACGCTCAACCCGCTTGGATTGTTGGCTGAGGCGAGCTTGCAGAATCGCAAACGCTCTTCGACAAATGCCAATACTTCCAACTCTGGCGTCGTTCAGACGATTGAGAGCGGATTGAATGGCGCTGACGCATTGAAGAGCAGGGTGGGAGGGAACAAGGTCAGAACGAGAGAGTCGAGCGTGGACGAAGCGGGGAACCCTAAGCGACTAGGAGTTGGGGACGCATCGTACTTCAGGCCCGGACCAATGAGCTCATTGGGTCTGCGAAGGGTTATTATCGAGCGGGAACTCAAACCAGAGATATTCTCCTTCACCTCGGCGGCTCAGATCAACGAGCTTTTCGACATCTACTTCGACCAGCTGCATCCAAACGTACCTGTGCTAAACAAGGAGCTACATACGCCCGCGGGTGTGTGTGCTCGATCGCCTTTCCTCCTTACAACGATCTGCGCGATCGCTTCCCGATTCCACCCGAAACACTCGGGCCTCCGACCGAAACTCGCCGCTGTTGCGAAAAAGCTCATGTTCGAATCACCTGCGCGAGGTTACAAATCGCTCGAGATCGTGCAGGCGTACTTGCTGCTGGTCAACTGGACCCTGGGTCCCGAAGAACGATGGGAGCAAGATTTGTCGTATCTGCTTCTAGGAATGGCTATCAGGTGGGCGCTGAATGTGGGTCATGGTCCAGCCACAGCGTATATACTAATGGCCGAGTCATTCTGTGCAGGATCGGTACCGATATGAACCTCTACAAAAAGAATGTGGTCATGCCTCTCGATACTGAGGAAGGGCGACTACGAGATATCGGTGAGCCGCATAAAATAAGCTCGGCCGATCTCAACCTCGGGCTGACCACGCTGCGGCTCGCGTCTGCTAACAGAAATCGCCAATCGCGAGAGGACCTGGCTGCTTTGTTTCATCCATGATCGCTCACAAAGTGCTCAAATGGGACGGCCCTATTCGATCAGAGAAGACATGATCGTGCGAGAATCTCGTTATCCCTCTTGGTTCACTCGCGCATCGAGTCAACCGGAAGACGTCGTTCTAGCTGCCTATGCCGACATGCAAAGGATCATGTCGAGGGCGTTGGATGCCTTGTATTCGCAGCAGGTGACCAACTCGTCCGGGTTGGTACCGGGAGTCGATTACCCTCTTGTCGTCAACGCCGTACTCGACCAACTCGATGGATGGCTTCGAGAGTGGCAATTTCCGTTGGTGTGAGCATATCATGGTCCATGTCTAAGTATCTCACTAAAATGACTTGATCACCTCCCTTGCCGACCGTAGGGAACCTACCAATGACGAGATCACTGTCAACATGCAAATTTTGTACCGGGCAATGGCTGACTTTTATCACCAATACAATTCGCTCGTATTGTCATCCTTTGCATTGCAATACGCGATCGAGGTGAGTTTCCGCCTGCACTTGAGCGCCAGTTTACGTTACCTGATCCGTGCGACTCAATATCTTCCAACCGTCCAGACATCGCCTCTGGACTTGCCGATCTGGTTCAGTAAGGTTCACACTGCTGCCATGGGGGTTCTTACTGTAGTCAAGGTCGAGATCGCGCCTCGAGGGTTGCTTCCTTCCTTTACTGATGGCCAGCTGGTTATGCTCTGTTATGCTGTGAGTGGCGAGATCGATAGATTGAGGTCTTGCTTCGAGACTGATCGTATCCCTTTCGATGGCAGTGTCTCTCCTTGCTCAAAGTGAGCCGGACCCTTAGTAGAACGAGGCCCGATCTGCTCGCTGACAGTCATATTCGAATATAGCTTGTTCGACCAGAGTTCAAGCAATTGAACCGCGAGCCGCAAACGATACTGAACTTTCTGAACGAGGCAATCGATACACTGAACGCAGCTGCGATCGACGAGGCGCATTCCGTTGGATTATACGCGACCCTCCTGCGCAATCTCGTTGGAAATAAGCAGGAGGAACTGCGAACAGACTTCAACGCTGCCGAAAAAGAACGTCGGACAACTCGACATTCGCGTAGTGCGACGACATTGGCGACCGTCTGTAACGGTGCGCTCACGATGCGAGGCAACGAAGACGAAGGTTTGTTGTGGAATCCCTATTCCGGTCTCGGGACACAATCGCTACCACAGCCTGCTCAAAGCATGCCGGGTCTCAGCGGGTATGTCTGACCTGCCTTGACTTTGAAGCGCCGGACGCTGACGTGATGCTATGTCTTAGTACACCCGTCATTGTGCCTGACAATGCTGACAACATGAGCAACCCCCAAAGCGAAATGCCCGGCTCCGCGATCGGTGCCATGAACGGTACCATCTGGCCACATGCCGCTGTGTCTTCCGCTCCTACACCCACGGCCGAAGTGCATCACGATCCATCGAGTCAAAACGGCATACAGGACACGACTAGCATGTTCATGGACGGTCTGGGTGCCGTGTCGTACGGACTGGAGGATATCAACTGGGAAAACAGTCTCCTGATGCCAGTGCGTTGTCACACCCCGGACAGGGGCCGGCGTGATCTGCTGACGAGTACTGATCTAATTTCTCGGTTGCTATTACGCAGGGGTTTGGAGGCTTCGGTCAATTGGAGCTCAGTGGAGGTTTCGTACATACCCAATTCGGTAGCGGAATCATGTGAGCCCTAACGCAGACTTGAATGCCTTCCCAGACAAGCTGAGCTGACCGTGATCGCTTCCTTCCTCCACAATAGATCGCCTAACATTGGAATGACTCCAGCGCATTCGCGACCAGCATCGCCCCGTATCATGATGCAACACCCATACGGAAATATGGGCTAGGAAGAGAGAGAGAAACAACACCAGCACCAGGACCACAATGGATCATCACCACACAGGAAAGAGATCTATGCATTCCTCTTGTATCTCGCATAATTATACCTTCACAAGCCTAAATACACAATTGTCTTTGGTGCCGATCGTTTACAAATGATTTTACCGTTGAGGTCGTGATGAGTTGCCGTTGAGCATGTGAATGTGTCTGTCACATGCATCGAGTCGTAATAAGGGATGGATGAAAGTTCGTCTTGTTGAAGCACCATCTATGTGATTTTATGATTTTTGATAGCCAGCTTAGGCGCCGCCGCGGGACTGCTTGTAGTTGTCCACCCACTTCTGCTCGCCGGCACCCTTGGGCAACACGACAAAGCTGAGGAGACCGTCCGACATGACAAGACCATCCTTCTGTTCCCCGACAGGAGGCAGCGCGGCGGCCTTGGCGATGACATCTCGAAGGGTTAAGCTGCGACCGATCTTCAGCAGCTTCTTGAAGTGGGTCTCGGCGTATACGACGAGATTGTCGCAGTGGTATTCGCGAGTCTTATCCCAATCGGCCCACTGTCCACCTCGCTGAGCCTTCGCGTCCGCGGGGAACATGACCTCGAGCTGATCATAGAATGTTGTGTCTTCGTGGAAGCGGGCGATAAGGTCGGAAGTGGCGTGTTCAGGGTACATGAGGAAGGCCGGGTAGACGATGGGATGGTCAGGGGAAGGGGGGTACCACTTGACCGGGTTCTCCGCGGCTTGTACCAGCGGGATGGTCGGACCAAGATTGCTGTCGTCAAAGGCGGCCGGAGTCGGGTTGTCAGGAGGAGCCGACGAGTGGATTTGGATGATGCCTCGGGCCTGAGTGAGGAACGATGCGATGAGCTAAACACAACGGCTCCCTGTCATTATGCCTGCTTACCTGCAAAGCCCGTCTCAACGCTTCCTTGCCCACCCGGTCTCGACGCTCCCTCTCGGTTCGCTCTTCGATCCCGACAAGGCCTTTCCTAGCCTTGGCTTCGAGACCCTCCCAAGTCTTCTGCTTGTCCTCGGCAGCTTCCGTGACGAGGCCTTTTCCACGATTAATGCAGTCGAGGGCATCGTTCCAGCGCGACAAGGCGAGCAAGGCCGATGCGGCTCGGAAGTAGGCCTTGGGCGAGTTGGGGCTTTCGGTCAACGCGGCGCCGGTATCCCTAAGGACGGAACCGTAGTTGCCGAGCGAGAGGTTACAGGCGGCACGGTTGAGCAACAGGCTCAGCCGCAGCTGACGGTCATCAGGCTTGGCTTCGATGCCCTGGGTGTAGAAACCAAGCGCATCGCGCAACTGACCGAGCTGATGACGCTCCGTAGCCTGGTTCTTGAAGTTCTCGGCGATTTCTGGACGAAACAAAGCAGCAACTTTCAGCGAGGTGCGCTCAACTAGATATCCTCAATTAATCAATCCTTACCATCAGGGGTGCCATCGAAGATCAACGACTTCAAGGCCTCCAAAGTCTCATTCTCCTCTCCATCAGCAGACGGAGTCTCTCGCATGAACAAGGGAACCGAGTCGAAAAGCTCGTCAAGGCTCTTGCTAGCCTTGGGCGCGGGACCAGCGCCGGTTCCATGGTTGACAGCACTGTCCTTGGCCTCGGGTTCGCTGACAGGCCTGCTTTCGACCCTGGGTTGACTGACTGTGCTGTCTCTGCCCTCGGTCTGGTTGAAGTTGCTGCCGTTGACCTTGGGTTGGCCAGCAGTAGGAGGGACAGCATCCTCGTTGGTCACCTCGTAAACACTGTCTTTTTCTCCGTTGGTCCGCGCACTATTGGTCTTTTCATCAGAATGTCCGTTGGTTTGTCCGTTGACGTGCCCATTGGTCTTCTCGGTGGCGGATCCGGACCCGTTGACGAGCGAGCTGACGCCGTTGACAACCGCACCGGCGGCACCGGCTACAGTCTTGGTGGCCGAGGAGACAGCGTTGCTGACTCCATTCGTAGCCTTGGTAACGACGGTGGGGGTGGCCCGATGGAGCTGAAACGGCTCAAAGATGGAGAGTCCGTCCTTGAAGTCGTTGGCGACGATGTTGACGAGGTAAGAGTCGTTCATGACGTCCTTGATGAGCTGACGAGAAGTCGATCCTTCCTCGTACAGGCTAGCCCATTGCATGCCGAGTTCGAAAGCCTCATCTCTGCAAACACGTTGTGTCAGAACGTGCCCCAAAACAGTCCACCTGCAAAATTCCTGGAGACTCACTTCCAAGCGATGAACGAGACGGCCTCGACGATAGTGGGCTGTTGGGGGAAAAGTATATTCAATGAATTGCAAAATTCCGACTGCGTTTGAAAATGCCGCAAGTCACCTGAATGATCTCCTTGCCCGGGAACACACCCCAAGTGACGGCATTGGGGCCCTCGCTATGGGTGTTGGTCCGCAGATCTCCCTGTCGGTTGACGGCATAATAGGTGATCCTCGGATCCTTTTCAATCCGTTTAACGAGTTCGTCCAGCAGGGCAGGCGCTACAAAGAACTCGAGGTATGCCTGCAACGTGGGGCGATCTGGCGGAGTCAGCCTCGTCTTGTCTCTTTCCGTCCGAAGCTACCGGGACATCCCTTGCTCACCTTTTGATAGACATATCCCCCAGCGGGTCCCCATCCGTGCGTAGCGTCCTCGCTTCGAGCGCCATCGACGGCAGGCTGACTATTGATTGTCAAGTATCCCAATTCGTTCATCTTGGCCAATTGTTGGTCGATGACCGAAGTCTCCTTGGACGCCGGCTGGCTAGACCAAGGCAGCGCTTTGAGTTCATTTCGGCAAAACTTGGCAAAGAGGGCGGTAATGTCCGAGAACCTGAAAGAAAGAGTGAATTAAAGTACGGTCAGCGAATGGCGAACGGTCTGAATTCAGTGATTTTGTACGCACTGTTTGGGCTCGCCCCACAACTCAAGAGCATCGTTGCCCTGCGTTCGAGATCTCCAAATCAAAACACAGCACATCTCGACGTGGAAACATCGATGTACTCACAGGCACGTCGATCTTGACAGGGTAGCCATCCAAGTCACCATATGCGGGACTCCTCGAGTCTCCCCATCGACCGTTAGGAAACTCGTCCCAGTCCTCGGCTACAGAATCAGGATAAGGTAGAGTCAGCAAGCGGGCAGGGAGACTGAAGGAGGAGGGTGATTGAGGAGGACTCACTTCGGGACAAGTAAGATTGTTGCCTGTTGGCCCAGAAGATCGGCCTGATAGCTTCGCCACGTCGCTTAGGCGCAAGCGACTACGGCAGTGCGCAAGGAGCATAAGCATCGCAACGGCCCTGCCGTGCAAACTAGTCGAAAAGGACTCACCGGTCGCCAGGGAAGAGGATGCACCTGTTCCCTGCTAGCCTCCATCTTGAGTTCTTCCAACAACATCCTTGCCCCCTTTTCCAAGTTCAAGGTGTACAGATGCAGACCCCTGATTCCCAATCCACAGTCTAAGATATCCCTACACATCTGAGCGACCAGCTTAATTCCCACTGCTCTCACGGCCTCATCGTTGTCCTGGACGGGGTTGAGAACGTCCCAAAAGTGTTGAGGGACGATGATGTTCTCCCTCTTGACCCAGGTCATGAACTTTTGCCAACTCTGAATCGGCATGATCCCGGGCACGATCGGCACCGTGATCCCAGCCGCTCGGACCCGCTTGACCCAGTCGATAAAGATGTTGACGTCGTAGAACATTTGGGTGAAGATGAAGTTGGCTCCAGCGTCGACTTTGGCCTTGAGGAATTCGATCTCTTGGCGTTTATCATCTTCGCTGTCGGCAGTCTCGGGGTGTCCCTGAGGGAAACCGGCGACGGCGACGTCAAAGTAGTCCCCATACTCGGCTCGAATGTATTTGACGAGGTCGATAGCTTTGGAGAACCCGCCGGGCGTGGGTTTCCATTCGGATTGACCGTGAGGAGGGTCTCCTCGGAGGGCGAGGATGTTTTGACAGCCGTGTTCCTTGGCGATCTGACAATCGAGAGCGAGGAGAGTGGCTTCGTCAGCTCCTCGTTCGAGCGCATATAAACTGTCGTGGAAGAGGAAAATTCACCCTCAATGACTCCTTGACCTTGGCCTCGGGCACTAGGAATCGGCGCAAGAGCAAGAACGTGTAGGTGAGCCAACAGGTAAGCCATTAGCTCAGACCGAGCTCGACTGTCTTGATACGTACTCTCGGTGCAACACAAGTGCATGCACGTTTCCATCCCGATCGTCTGTTGACAGACCTGAACGAGGTTCAAGGTCAAATCCGAGTTCTTGCCTCCAGCTCCCCTGGAAAAGAACGAATTATCAACATCAGCATTCCGTGCGAGCCGAGCGGCATCATCTTGAAACAGCTGAGATTCAACCTGAGATGACGAGGACATCCGGGACTTACCAAGTGATGTCGATAAATTCGGGTCCCAACTCCCTCATCCTCTCGATCCGGTCATACAGGTTCTGCAGACCCTGAGCGGTCCGGGGTGGGAAATACTCGAACGACCATAGTACCCGGTCTTCCTTGGCGGCCAGCTCGAACTTTTGGGAGATCTTCATCTTGGGAAGATCCAGAAGGATGTTGTATTAAACGACAGTTGAATAGAAAGGATGTCGATGTTTTCGAGTTGATGAACCCAGAAAAAAAAGATAGAGTGTGTCGAGGAGGAACGTTTGCGCGATCGATCGGTGAGGTGGGTCGATCGAGGGTCGCTAGCTTCTCGACGACTCGTTATACGTGGCGGGGAAAGCAGCGAGATTCGTCCCCGTTTGCTCCTTCTGTTTTTGCAAGACAACAAGCTGAGCTGAACCGAGTTTTGCTCTTGACGTTACACGGCAGATGTACAAAAGGGTTGCCTGGTTTGGAGTTGCAGTTGATAGTTACTCGAGAGAGAGGCGATCCTGATCGTTCCACACATCCTCCCCGGGGTTTTCGGGTCGTTGACATGGCATGCGCGAGATCTCTAAAAACGCATAAAAGTAGTAGTGAGTGATCCGAGTGATTATGCGTTCTTGAGATCGCTCTCCTCCATGCCATGCCGAAGAGCAAGAAGTATCGAACTTCGTCAACATGTGCGACATCCCTCTTCATCGTATGCATCCTTTCGACACCTTCAGTTCGATTTATCAGACTATAGCGACGGAATCTCTGACCTAGTAGTCGTATGGGAACGGGATGGCTGAAGGAGATAGAGATCTCGCCAGCCAGATCTTTGGCGGCAGCGAGGTTGGGGCACGACCGACAGCGTCTCGCACAAACTCGAATTCGAACGCTGTAGCCGGTCCTTCGAATGCTGCAGCCAGTACCGAACAGAGTCAAACTCAGAAGAAGAAGAAGATGAAGAAGAAGGATAAGCAGGACGGGGAGGGGAAGAAGAAAAAGAAGAAGAAGAAGAGGAAGGAGAGAGAGGAGTCGTATGACAGTCAGGACGAGGCTCCCGATGATGGGGATTTGAACGCGGAGGAGTTTATCGTCGGTGAGTCGTTCTTTCCTTTCCATCTTGCATGAACCTTCCCGTCTCACCTCACACCTCTCCCTATACCTTTACGCAGATGCGATCCTACATGCCATCTACAAACCCTTTGCTGCGAACAGGAACCTGGGCGGGTGCGCTTGGCATTACATATGCCTATGGCACGGCTACCCTCCTTCCCAGACCTCGGACGAAGATCCGATTACGCATGATATGTTCTCGCCGGGGTCTATCTATGTCGAAGAGTTCTGGAAGTATTCGAGAGGACCTTTTGAGAGGCAATACCCGACGATTGCGCGGTCGAGTACGGCAAGGAAGGGCAAGCATCCCAGCGAGCCGCTCGCGAAGATGGGTGACAGCTGGGAGTGTCCACCTCATCTGTTGAGTGAGTTCGAACGGCATCACTTCGTACCCGTGCGGTAGGCTGTATCTGTCATCACAAGCCTGGCTGACCTGTATGATCTCTTCTGTTGCATCAACGCTTAGACAAATGGTACCGCGAAGCCCGCTATGCCTACCGAAAAGACCTTCGGATCGCTTCTGCCAGAGTTATAGAAAAGCCCAAATCTCTCAAGTGGGCCGATCGTAAGAAGAACATGATCAAGTGGATCCGATGGACGAACATGAAGATCGCGGAGACGGCTCAAGATAGCCAGTCGCACGGCTTGAGGTTGTTGTCGGCGAATGAAGATGGGGACGGGGACTCGTCTAGCAGCGAGTACGAGGGAAGCAGTGACGACGAAGAGACGAGCGAAGAGGAGGCCTTGATCAAGAAGGCCAAGGTGGACGATAGGAAGAGGGATAGGAGGGTTGATAGCTCTCCGAGCAAGTCCGATGGCGGGAGAAAGAGGAGGTTGGAGAGCTCTCCGAGTAAGTCGGAAGACGAGCGGAAGAAGAAGCAGAGGAGAGACCAAGATCGAGGCAAAGGAAAGGACCGCGAGGGAGAGCGAAGCAGGGACCCTACGGTCACTCCTCGAGCCTGGTCCCCGGGGTTGTATACAGCTGGAGCCTCTCCCGAATCGAAGAAGAAGGAGGAGAAGCGTCAAAAGATGGAGAAGCTCAAACGTCAGCGGGAACGAAGAGAACGTAGAGAAGAAGCCGAGAGAAAACGGAAGGAGGACGAGGCTTCGGACGTTATCGAGATCCCCTCGACTGCGGGATCCTTTATCGAGATTCCCTCTACCGCGGGGCCAAGTACTTCGGGTTCAGCGATAGGCACAGCAGGGACGACGAGTGGATCGAAAACGAGGAAGGTCGTGGTATCGGATTCAGATTCCGATGAAGATGTTCCGGTCAGTTCCGAGGTCAACCGAAGCCCGGCGCCGCCCACTGACTTGTATGGCATTTCAGTTGATCGTGCAACAGCCGGCGATAAAGGCGAATTCATCTGTCCATCTCGCTGGATCGGCAAAGCCGAGCGCCAAGATCAATGCCAGTCCCAGCAACCCAATCTCAGACCCGAGTTCGGCTGCGCCTGTCAGCGCGACGACGGGTGCTGTTGCAAGACCTATCGCGGCCGTGACTATCGCTACAGGACAACAACCCCTTTTCGAGGCAGAAGAGGAAGAGACACCAGTAGAAGAGAGCCGCCCGGCGGGAACGACTGGACAGAAATACGCGCCGATCTGGGCGAGGGATTCTGCCCAGACACAAACCCAAACACGACCGATGCCGCCGGCACAAGGACAGCCTCAGATCCAGATACAGAGCCAGAGTCGATCGCAACCTCAGGTGCCGGTTCCATCGTCAACGCATGCGTCAGCGCAAACTCTCTCGACCGCCGCGCCAGCACAGGCTCTATCCCCGACTCTAGCTCGACCCGAGCCTCTACCGCTTGCCCCTGAACTTCAGCCACCACAATCACCCCGAACGCAGCCTCGAGAGCAACTGTTGCAGAGCTCATCGGAGCGATCGACATCGATAGTCCATCTTCAAGAGACGAGAGAATCGCAGACGGCTTCGACCGCTCCCGCAGCTTCCGTGCCTCAAGATAAAGACGCGACGGCTGCAATCAGAATACCTGCAGTCACCATCCCTCCTGCGGCATCTTCATCTCAACCAGCGTCCATTGTTGTTCGACCTCCTCCGACAGCCTCTGGACCCACAATATATCCCTCCCGCGCGCCGCTCGTGACACAGCCCTCCGGCCCTTCGACGACCATGCCGCCGCCGACAACGGTCCCTCGTCCACCAGCCTCGTTCATGGACAGGTCTGCGACGTCTGTTATCAGACCTAGCGATGGAACGTCCGCAGTATTTGTAAGCGGAAGGAGCAATACGGTACCTACTCCGCGTCGGAGCGATCAGTCAGGCCTTTCACAGCCTGCTCGACCTACAACTTCGGTTGTTCGAACAACGACTTTGCGGGGCTTCAAGCTGCCTTGTCAGATCGACATACGGCTTCCGGGGATGACGCAAAGGACGGAGTTGTTCGTTTCGGACCTGGCGGTACAACCGTTATACACCGGCGTGACCCCGTCAGCATTGTTCGCGGAACCGAGATCGATGAAGCGTCTCGTCATCACGCGATTGATGGCTGCCGATGTCATCCAAGACCTACTGCTGAATCGTGCAGTCATTGCACACGCCAAGGTCCAGATAGTCGAAGGACCGCAGTACGCTCACGGTAATAGGATGATGGGAGACTTTTTGCGAGAGCTGGGTGAAGAGGGACTTCGAGAGGGTGTAAGCACATCGCATTCGTTCGGGTGTCCAGAACGCTTTCGCTTATTCATTTTCACATACGTCAGCTCGCTTCTGCCATGTCGACCACGAATATTATGGCGGTCTTCCATAGCACAGGATCGCCTTTCGCCACTGCGATCAAAACACCACCTGATCTGTTAGAGGCTCACGGTCTCATGATTGCATTCATCGCGTTCGATCCCGCGAATCACGGCACACCTTCTTCGGAAGTGCTTGATACGTTCAAGGTCATGGAAAGGGCTTTGCCCGCCGACCTCATTCATCCCGACATCGTGCTCGGAAGCCTCGGCTTCACAACACCGTTCTTCGAACGTCTCCGTGGACGAAAAGTCGCCGTTGTCGCGAAAGAATTCAGCCCTGCCGTGGAGCGCGGATTACGAAGCGCTGGAGCTGAGCTCATATCGGCGGACCGCAACCCCAGCGCTATACTCGTGGACAAGAACGGGCTTCAGCTGTTGCAGCACCGACGAGGCTTTCGGTCGCTTATCGAACGCGGCTGTGAGTGTTGGATGTACGGAGCGACGGTGCCACCACTCAGTTCCGATTGCTGGCTTCCAACCCGAGTTCTGGAACCGCGAGGTGGCCGAGTGTTGATAGAGCCGGGCTGGCTGTTGGCTGACCCCGACCGCGCCATCGATCTCGCCAAGCGGATTCGATCATGCTCAGGATGGTCCGCGTACGTGACGGTACAAACGGTCTTCTTGTTGGGGAGGATTAAGAACCCGCAGTCCCGCTCGCACTGGGATCTCAAGTTCGCGGCAGCGGAAGCAATGTCAATCGTGCACTTCGTCGATGTGCTTTTCCCCCTGCCTCGTCAGGGCCAGACGGCCGAACGGCTAGAGGGTATGCAAGAATGGAGTACGAAAAGAACCATGAACGAACGGTTGCAGGTCGCAAATCGCTTCAGCCATATTGGCTGTGCTTCCGGAGTCGCGAAGGAGCTAGCCGAGTGGACCAGTCCGGGTCAGGCAGAGGTGCTGAGAGTCGAAAAACTCGCCGAACAGGACTTGATGCGACGTCGTAATCAACCCGTCCCCGATGACTTCGTGCGCCTCGTAGCTATCGGGACCGACGGAAGCTCTCACATCTTTGGATTACCAATACTTGATCTTGCGGGTATAGACGCCCTCTTGAACTTGAAGTCTTGAAACGCACATATTGCTCGCTCACATAGTATACTACACGAATATCACGCCTGACACGAACGAACTTTACGAAGCACTATAATGACCCTCGAACCGTTGTCTCGGAACAGCATATGCAGAACAATACGGTTACATTGCAACAATGAAATGGCAAAGATACAATTCGATTCGATTCGATCGAACAAGAACAAGCAAGAACTCTTTCGCGTCTATGATATGTGATTAGATCCGAACAACAAAGAAGCACCTAGTTCCGCACGAAGATACGAAGCTGTGCGCACCACGAGGACGTAGCCCACTTGCATCAGCTCGCATACGCAGCGAATAGGAAGGGGGAGGGACCTAGACTCACCGTGATCCATGCGCCCACTACAGCAAACAAAGCCAGCGCTCCTAAGATTCCGCCAAACCAGGCATACTACATCATCGAGTCGAAAGAAACCCCGGAATGAGTATTCTCGCCCCATTGATAAGACTGTGTGAGGCAGCTCACCCCTGATTCGATATCTTGACCCGGTACATGGACGTTCATACCCCACAACCCCGTAACCAGGTTCATCGGAATGAGAACCGTACCCAATGCCGTCAATTTCCTGTTTACACGCAAAGTTAGTTGGCGCTCGATCGGTCGGAACGTATTGACTTACGATAGCACATCGTTGATCTGATTGTTGGCATCGGTCATCTCGATCGAGATTTGAGCCAAATAGTTTGAGTGCGATCTACTCAGGATCTTTTCATAATGGTTCAAGTTCTGCGTCATCGTGATCAGATGATCTTGAATATCGGACAGATAGAGCCCTATGTCGGATTTAGGAGCCACGCTCCAGTTTTCATTGCACCGTTTTGCTAGACCTTTGACGACATCGGCCTTGTTGCCCATGAGTCGAAGAAGACCCATAACCTTTTTACGACACGTCCCGATCCTGCAAAGAGCGATCGTATGCGATGAGCTGACAGCTGATCAGCGTGTACCCAGGCACCGAGACTCACCTTCGCAACATGTCGCTCTGCTCTGCTTCCTTCAGAATCAATACCAACTCATCGATCCCGTCTACCTCGTACTCGATGCTCTGGATTAACGGGCCGAAAGCATCGGTAATGTCGTCGATGAGCGCGTACGAGATCCAGTCGGAGGTGACTGAAATGTAGTCTTTGAGGGACTTGATACGGCGTCGGACATTTTGAGGGTGAGGCGTGCCTCGGAAATGGAACTATGAACATGACAAAAGAAGCAATGCGGGTCAGTGAAGCACGCGATACATAATTCAGAAGCACGGACGCAGAGCTTACCGAAAGAGTACCTTCGCGGAAGACAATAATGTACATGTTCAACGGTTCGAGGTATGTTTGACTGTATGGGTCCTGATCGAACGATCGGAAACAGACGAGGTAGTAGTTTCTGAATAGTTCAATCTTTTCACGCGTCTCCTCCAGCAAGATATCCTCTGTTGTCAAAGGATGGATCCCAAAGACCTGTGGCAAGACAGCGGAAGCGGTGTCAGTACGGAGACGAATACTGTAACAGACACGAAGGATCATCGCATAAGATGTGGATGATTTGGCACATACCTTGGCGAGCATTCTCATCTCCTCATCTGTTGGCGACAAGACATCCAACCACCACGTCCTAGCCTCGGGATCATCCATATCGGCCTGTCCTTTCATCGGCGGCGATCCACCTGTACCCGCTTTGGCCGTTGCTTTCGCTAACAAGCTCAATTTAGGATTGGGAGCTGATCCGTTCAGCTCGCCCAAGTTTGAAATCTGCGGACTCGAGCTCCCGCTCTTGAAACCGCCCGCGTCGCTCGAGCCAGAGTTGCGCTGGTCGGTTGCGTTGCCATTGGATGGTTCCCGACCGGTGAAGAGGTCCTCAAACGTCTGACCTTCGGAAGGCAACTCGCTCAGACTCCTCGCGTGGATTGTAGCGGGCAGAGCATTTGAATAGAATGAGAACCTATATGGTCGTTCTCCCCCCCCGTTTCCTCGACCGCCGTCTGGGTAATCGACGTAGCCCGAAGGTTTAGCATACTCTTGCCCGCCCGCTCCTCCAGACGTTCCAAAGACCGTATTTTTGTTGGTCATCCTGGCTGCTTTGGTGGGTAGTGCCGAGGTGAGACCGCGCAGCGGCCCTTCCCGGTCGTCCGGTGGCATGTTGACGCTGAACGAACCATCCCTTGCCGATCCATCTCCCATGAAAGCACCGCCTAGACCTTCGAACAAGGCCAACCGACCTTGACGCCTGGCCCCATTCGAGACGGCTTGCGATTGTGACGACTTGCGTTGACGACGTCGTACAAACGTACCCGCTCCAGCATCATCTTCACCATTCTCGTTCTCTCGAGAAGGTAGATCTTGTTGCTGTGTGGGGGGTGACGAGATGCGAACCGACTCGGCATCCCCGACCGTGGTTCCCCCGATCATCCGTCCGTTGCTCTGTACACTGCCACTGGCGCTCCCGATCAAGTCTGCTTCAGGCACACCGGCTCGACGAGCTTCTTCCTGCGCCTCTTCGCTGTGCCTACCGAGGATCGATCGGGATTCCTCTACCGAGCCTCGAGATCCAGCTTGTCCCGAGATGATGGTCTGCACCGGCAAGTCCTCTTCGAACCCATCCCATTTGACCGGCATTCCGTTGGATCCGAAAGTACCATGATAACCCCCGGACGACTCTCTCAACACCCTCTTTTCCTTGTCGGCAAATTCGTCCATCGAAGAGAAATCGAAGTGATTCCTCGCCGTGCCCATCCCTCCCATCAGGTGACTCGCCATCGTCCTGACAGGCGAACTCCGGCCATTTCCACCTCCTCGCCTATCCCCGAGTCCCATCTCGTGCATGATGGAATCGCTCTCCAAATGCCTCTCGTGGCTAAGCCTGCGCTCCATGGCCATCCGCATCTCCTCCTCTTCTTCCTCTTCCTCCCTCTCCCTCTCCCTGTCTCTTTCTCGTTCGCGTTCCCTGGCTGCCCGATCGCGTTCCCTCCTCACCCGTCCGCTCCGAATCCGACCTTCATCCTCGTCCGCCTCGCTGCCCATCTCGCTCCCGTTCCCCCCCGTTCCCGATCCACCTTGAACCGGGTATCCATCCTGGTCCTCGTCGTCGACGTTTTCCGTATAGGAGCCTCGTCGGGCGTGTTCCATCTCGGCTTCCTCCCTCTCGGACAATGCTGGGAAGGGGGATTCATCGATAGGGGATGTTTTTGGGTAGCGGGAGTGGGAGTGGAGGGCTCGTTTCATCAAGGGTGGGATGGCATCTTCGGGAGAGGCGATCGAGTTGGACCTAGCACGGGCTACGAGATGGCATAGTTGTCACACCGAACAGAGCAAAAGATATTCACATTATTGTACATCAGTTTCGTATTGCAACAACCCATGACAGGTACATTTGAGGGAGATCGCTCAAATAAGGAAAGATGGATCGGCACTTACACATGCTCTTGGCCGAATCGATATCCTGCAATCTCTGCCTCTCCCTATCCGCTTCCCTATCTGCCTCCCTTTCCCTCATCCCCTTTTCACCTCGACTGTAACTCCTCGCTCCGGACCTGCCTCCTCCCGCTGGCGGGACATCTAGATGAGGGATGTCTCGGGGGTTTGAAGTGATAGACGATCCTCCTGGCGTGTTGATATTGAAAGGCCTGCTTGGGGAGTTGCCTAGTTCGGAGAGTACGTTCTCAGGGTTGGTAGATGATCGGGACGGGAGAGGGGGGTTGTGGATGATGAACCTGGGAGAGGTCGCCGAGGGTGACATGATGGGCCGTGATTTCCTGATGCTATCCTAGTACGGCCTATGAATCCTTGTGATTTCAAGTAATACTATTACTTGGACATCTACCCGTGTCTGATCGTTCAGTTGTATTGGGTCTGAGCTGTAAAAGTTGGAAAAAGTCCGTCGTCGAGGTATAAAACGTGCTGCAAAGAGGTGCAAGAGGGACCGAGGCGATTATGGACGATAGGTGAGAGCTATGTTTGGCAACCGGGGTCGGTCCTGCTGTGTCGTCTATATCTGATCTCTGGTCAGAACGACGCTTGAGACTAAGGGAACTGAATATGAAGTGGTCAAGCAGCTGGAATTATAGGAGGTAGCTAGGTAGATCTGCTCGATCCATCATTTACATCGTCATCATCATCGAGATTGTCACGGCAGCCAGTTGGCCGGTGCGAGCAGAGGTCCGCGCATCATGACGGTGGACTGCGTAGACAAATTCGATATCAAGACTGGATTTGCGTTTGTACAGCCTACAGTCCACGAACATCATCGATAGCAGTCAGCACCCTGCTACAATATCTGGGATTCGACCTCCCAACTCAACCTGTCTTTGAGTATCGTAGCTGGCCTCGATAGAGCTCGTAAAGTCAAGAGGAGGAGAGGTTTTCTCTTCACCGCCAACCTCCCTCGCGCGCGCAAGTCCGGCTCGGTCAGGCGCGAGTTTCAGCTCATTTCTAGCTGCTGAGTGTAGCTACCACTTTGTCAAAATTTGTCATAGCAAGCTAACAAGTCTGGATAACCACCTATCTCTTCCTATGAGCATAAAGAGACGGAGGATAAGTACATTTTGTTGCATTTGCATCCCCTGCAAAGTGGCTTTTGCTCCCTCGAGGTCATGTTGAAATTTTCGACTGTCTATATCTCAACCGTCACAACTTTTGCAAGAGATGTAAATGCAACGAATTCCCCTACTTGGCCCTCGGATTACAATTCCAAGCTCATAAGTGAGGCTTACCCTGCTCGTTGTTCGTATCTTGGACGCTTTCGAGTCGAGACTTGGTTCATAGGTTTGAGCCAAAAGTCCGGGCGCTGCCCTGTACAGGTTTCCCGCGCACTACTGCCCTGACCGGCCCTCGGCAACTTTCGGGTACGCCAAGAAGGATGACGACAACTGCAACACCGTGTGTTATAGCTATCGTCTACCTCGTTCAATCTCGCATCATCATCGCTTTCCCATCGCATTCAGCGGCATGGAACGATGAGTAACGTCCCTACGATATCATACACGACCTCTCACGGCCCACCTCATACCCGCCGGGAACCTTATGCGCAACGCCGAGCTTCCCGCGAACGACACCTCCAGTCTCGACATCCACATCAAGCTCGGGACAATCACGATAATGATGACAATGCATATGATTACGCCCGGAATCCTTACTTGTCCCATTTGAGGACGAGAGCACGGGGAGGGTATGCCGAGTCCGAAGTATCGAGCAGCTCGTTTGGGGGCACGAGCGTTCTCAGCGGGAGCGTTGTGGGGAGTAGTAGCAGTCAGGGCTATTCGCACAATGGGACCACGGGTATGCAAGGCCAGGGCACTTCAGCTTCTCCAACACTCTCGAGATCTTCGCCTGGAGGTTCTAGGGATCCGTATTCGCATTCGTCGAGCCCGCCTATACTCGCTCCTATTCCCCAACGGAATCCATACCCTTCATTTTCCCTGAACCCTTCAAGTCCAAATCCGAACACGAATTCAAATCTCCATCTTCAACCGCCTAACCCAGCCACAACAACGACGTCCGCATCGTTATCTTCCTCGTCGATAGGCAAACCTCGAAGATCCCAGCATCGCCGGATAGACGAGGCGGTGGATACCCCTCTTCGTCGGCTTGTGCGGTATCTCTCTGTCGACTTAGGAGCGCCTTCATGGGCGATCGTGTTATTGAGTCTGGGACTGGTGGGCTTGGTGAAATGGCTGATAGGATTAGGAGGATACTCTGGTGAGTATTGTGTGTTTCGATTTCGGTCTCAACTTGGGTCCCCTTTCTTCCCCTGAAGTCAAATCCACCGTTGCTATCTCTCTCGATCTTCAATGCAAAACATCAGGTGCTCGGTACAGCCTAATCTAACTACACTTTACTTTATGTCCTTGATCTCGCAGGCCAAGGAGCGTCACCCAGATTCGGTGACTTCGAAGCTCAACGGTTCTGGATGGATCTGACGATCAACGAGCCGTTTTCAAGGTGGTATACCATCGGAGGTGTTGATGATGGGGATTGGTGGAGGTTAGATTGTGAGTTTCTGCTAACCTTTGAGTGAGTTTTAGCTAGGAGGAAGAAGAAGAAGGCTGATACTTTGATATGCTCGCGTCGTCGTATGGCACGCTCAGATCCGCCATTGACGGCGTACATCAGTTGGGTGTTCGGCAAGATGTTAGCATTGCGAGTCAAATTGCCGATGATACGACACTGACGGCCTTCCTTCTGCGTCTACTGCACGCGATGCTATCAACTCGACCCGCAGTGGTCATTACCTCCTCCCCCAACATTTCGCAGGAAAGACCTCTCGCGGTGCAGAGTCTGCGACATTAAAGACTTACATGCGATGGACCGTCTTGGCCCTCGAATCGATCTCATGGTGGCCGGTCGTGGTAGTCTGGTGTTGGTCGGGATGGGGAGTCGGCACGAGGAGTAAGCGGACACGGGTAAGCACTACGGCAGAGGCAGGTTTTTTGCGTTCGACCTTGCTCATATCGCATACGGTTCCTACATTTCGACAGATCGTGACAATCCTCTCGATCCTGCTCCAACCGTCCCTGATTCTGATCGACAATGGCCACTTTCAATACAACTCGTTCCCCCTCGCCATGACCTTGCTCTCCGTCTACCTCTTTCAGCAGGGGAACGACCTGCTGGGCGCCGTGGCTTTCTCGGCGTCACTGTTGTTCAAGCAGATGGGACTGTATTGGAGTCCGGCGGTTTTCGGGTATCTGTTGGGCAAGTGTATCTGGGTGGGCGGGGATGAAGGGTAAGTGTGGTGTAGCATTCGAAGTTACAAATCTTCTCCGGAAACGTGCGATGATTGACAGAGCGTTCACCACAGTCTGAGATTATTCATCAAGATCGGTGCCACTACGGCGACCACCTTTTTACTGGCTCTTGCGCCGTTCTTGCGACCATTTCCTCAAACGCTCCTGATCCTCCTGGAACGGATTTTCCCGCTTCAACGAGGGATCTTTGAGGACAAGGTGGCCAACTTTTGGTGTGCGAGCAATGTCGTGCTCAAATGGAAGAATTGGTTTGCGGCGGGATCCATGGCCAAGGTATGTCGAGATCTCAGTTTGCGACTGCAATATTCGGATCGCATCTGTTTTGCTGATTTTCGAATCGAGACTACGCTTAGCTTGCAACGCTGGCTACCTTGGTCGGAATCGCTCCTACCTTAGGAATCCTCCTATGGACCAGCTACCGTCTCCGCTGCCGACCATCTTCAACGGCTCCTACACCACCACAATCGCCCTCCATGTTGCCTCCGACCGCGGCTCTTCTTCCGCTCGCTCTTTTCACCTCGTCTATGGCCTTCTTCCTGTTCAGCTTCCAGGTCCACGAGAAGAGCGTCCTGGTGCCGCTTCTAAGCGTTTTGATGCTCCTCGGGGAAAAGGGCGAGGGAGATGGGATGATTTGGGATGGGATTGTTGGATTGCTCAACGTCGCAACTTTCAGGTTAGTCTCGAATTTGCACTCAGTCTAGGTCTAACCTTGTCGAAGTGAGAGCTGATCTGTGCCGTGATGATTAGCATGTACCCCTTGTTGAAGCGGGATGACCAGACTCTGCAATACATCGTCTGGACTCTGGGATGGAACTACCTTGCCGGATACAACCCTGTCAAGGTTGTCGACCTAAAAATGAGGTGGTTTGGATACGTCAGTACCATCTCCTAGTGCGAAAGACCAGCTCAGGTGGCTTACCATTCGCTTGTTACAGGCTGTCTACGCGTTCATCGTATCGCATCATCTCATGGAAGCCTTCGTGCCCCCTTCAAGCCGATACCCTGACATCTACCCTGTCACCAATGTCCTCCTCTCATTCTCTATCTTCAGCTTGGCCTGGCTGGTAGCTTCATGGAAGCTGCTGGAGATGGCCGTGGGCATGGTAGGTCTCGGAGATCTTGGATCAGAACGACCTGTAGCGAGCAGCGCAAATGTAGCCAAGAAAGACAAGTAGATGGATGTCGCGGAACTCGCATGGCTTTATATATTCACCTCTACGCATCACGTGTGCGAGATGGACCCCTATCTTATCATCGTGTATCCACGTCTTTTCACGTGATCGGCACCATTCTGAATCTGGTTGAACGATCATCTACGCGTCACAACAAACCAAAGAGACGATCCGATCAAGACGACCTTCACAGATATCGACCTCGCCCGACTTGTACAGCCATAGCGATACAGGTATCAAACCGCCTGCAACCATTGAACTAGTTTCGATCGGCCGGCCAGGAAGTAGCTGCGTTCAGCTTGCCGCAACGAGCCAGCCTAGGCGGTACGATCCGCCTCACCTCTTTATACCCGGGTCGCCCGGACTGTACGAGATATGGCACAACCTCCCCACACTCCCGCTCAACCTCCCAAAAGGTTTCTTCCAGCTTTGGTTACGGCTCCAGAGAGTAGCAAAGTTGGTGTATCGGCAAACATGGATGCTACTCCGAGCCAAGTACAGGCTTTCGAAGAGTGTGAGTTGTCCTTTGGTCTCGGCAGGTCGGATGCTGTAGTCTGGCTGAGCTCACGATATCTACCTGCCTTCGTGCTAATAGACAAGCGAAGGCATTCAAAACAGAATCGAGATATCATCAAGTAAGCGGTTCCATCAGATGAAGCTTCAGTGCATCAAGCTAATCAGGACTTGTGTTCTTGCAGGACAAATGCAGATCGGGCTATGCGGATACGATGCCTAGAGGACGAGAACACGCACTTGCAAATGGAGATCATCAATATACGACACGAAAAGTCGATAGTCGTTGAAGAGTTACGCAGAGAGAAAGAAAGGGCCAACAAGATTCGTAATAACGTCAGTCTCGATGTGGGGTCACTCAGCAAGAGGCTATCGGCTGAAGTGATTATGTTGCCGCACCAACAGCCGGATGTCAAGCAGGCTCTCGACGTGCTCCTCCTAGCCATCCCACAAATCACCCAACTGAGGTCTCTCCTATCATCCTCATCCTCGTCCTCATCATCACGTCGCTCAAACTCCCAACCTTCTACTTCCTCGGACCCATCTGATGGCAGGTCAACAAACACGCGGACGAGGTCGAGAGGTCTAGAACCGGCTACCAAAAAGATCGAGGTCCAGACCTGGTTGAATCGGCCAGCAATCGTCAAGGCAGGGAAGCCGACGTTGGAGAACTTGGCAGAGGGTATCGAGGAAGCCGGGGAGGACCTGAAGATGGTAGAGATGCTGGTTGAGGATGCGGTCCCGGCGGAAAAGTGAGCAATTTCAAGCGACCGCGAAAGTCGCGCATAGCGGTTCACTGACCAGGACGGACATGTCAGGTCGAAGACGGTCGACTCGAGCTTACCCGGTCCGGCTGCCAAAACCCTGCCCATCAAACCAGCGGGACGTCGTCAAAGCGGACTGTTCCGACCAGTAGCCGATGAGGCCTCGAATCCGTTCGACCCAGCCAGCACATGTCCTGCCGATATCCCTCTTTCAAACGACATCTTCGACGTACGAACTTCCCCTACAAAAAGACCCGACTCACAGACGTCTGGGTCGACTGTCAAAGCCATGAACCAGGAGCCCGCTAGGCGATCTCCCCGGAAAAAGCCTGTGAAGAAGAATTATGCGGATGATGAGCGAGACGAAGAGGTCATGCCGGTAGAGACCGCCACGGTCAAGGGAAAAGAAAGAGCTGTGGCCTCGCCAACCAAAGCTGCGATCAAGAAGCGACGATCGCTGAAACCTGTTGAAGGCGGGCTTGCTCTGAGGTTGGAAGCACCCGCCGAAGCAGTGGAGTTCGTGGATGAGAGCGACAACAAGGTCGGTGTAGATCTTCTCAATGAGCTGCCAAAGAGGGGCACAAGAGAAGGTGAGCAACTTTCAGTTTCAAGGTCGTGGGTGGGATTCACGGATTGACCCTTTCCTTTTTCAGCAACACCCCCGCTGCAATTGCCGGCGGTACACGAGCAGACTCTGATGCGTATGGCCAAGGCGGCGAGTGGACCCGCAGTCGCCCCAGTCTTGGTGGTGACGAGCTCGCGATCGACAGAGCTTGAAATGCAGGAAGAGGAAGAAGCTGGAGGCAGGCAAAGGAGAGCAAGAAAAAGCGTCAATTACAAGGAGCCCAACCTGCACTTGTGAGTTTGCATGTGTCAGTCATACCTGGGGCGACGAGCTGAGAAGGCCGAGGATGATTCACAGCAAGATGCGCAAGCCCGAGTCCGTCTCAAACGGTCACTTGTATGTGTCAGGTCCTTCGGCTACGAGCAGTACGTCGCGAGCGAGAAGCTCCACACCATCGAATACGCCCGGTCGTAAAAACACCACAGCTCTGGTACTCGACGAGACGGATGTTCCGAATGTTCCCATCGTCCCGGTCGGGTTGAGAGCCGAGGCAGGACTGAAGGGGGACGGACAGTACGGGTTGAGCAATCTAGAATCCGTCAGCACTGGAGTGATGCGACGCAAAAGCGTCTTGCCGAAATCGAGGAGAGTCGAAGCGCTAAGCGAGAATGCGCAAAATGACGAAGGCAGTGCGGGAGGCAGTGATTACGAGGTGAGCAGCGTGACGAGCATGCTGTATGGCTTCACAAGCTGACGTATGGTCGTCTAATAGCTCCCAATGATGAAGGATCAAGGTGGGACGCTGGGAGGAGAAATCGAAAAGATTTCTTCCCGACGTCGGGCACGGTTAGGTACTCCAGAGAACGGCAGCGGTGACTCGCCATCTCGTCTCCCACTTCAGCCCGTACTCAATTCGAGCCAGGGCTCGGTGGAGAGGCCGCCCGATCTCCCCAAAACAGACGACGGCGTGGCGCGACGAGCGAGACGGCGATCTACCTTGTTTCAGACCACGATCGGCGAGGTTTGAGGACAAAGGTCGGCAGAAAACTGTACACGTGTAAAAGAACCAATAACGACACCCTGCAGGGATATCTATAATCAAGCAAAAAGCAAAATTCACGATTCTCGGTTGCAATATTCTCTTTGACGGACGACTACAACTTGGCTTTCGCATAACTCTTCCACCTCAGATATTTCTCCTCGTGACCCTCCTCGATCTCGCAGCACCGTTCGACGACGTCCCTCACGCGTTCCCGGATCCCCTCGACCCATTCGACCTCGACCTTGGGATCGAGTTCAAGTCTCTCGGCCGTGTGCCTCACAATCCTCTGCTTGAGCTGTTCTTCAGTCAGGGCGAACGCTCCCGATCCTTTCGCCGAGCCGGTCACGTACGACTTGACGACCTCTTCGCTTGGGATCCCCCACGCCCTATATTGACCCCAGGCCGCTTGGTCCTTTTTACCCGACGTATTGGATTCTTCGAGCTCGTACATTAAGGGAGCCTTGTCGAGGACTTCGGATTTGGATCGGTCGAACCAGGTCGTCATGAGCTGTTTTTCCTCGAGCGAAGGGTCGTCCAAGCTCGACGGGACCCATGTGGGGGTCTCCTTTTTCTTTTCGATCAGCTTGTGGAAGATGCTGTTGACCATGTCACCGGTGGGTGAAGACTGGAAAAGATTTTGTTTTCAGTCGGTGTTCTTATCATATGAACCCAAGCACGCGGGAAGACCTACTAGGAACGCCGTGGTCATGGCGAGATCCCGGTTCAGCTGCGTCTTGAGATCCTGGTCCTTTTTGGCCTGCCTGTAGTTTCCTAGGGCGATCTTCATTCCCGTCGGGCTTCTCGTGTCCATGACCTTGACTACGCCCTCTGCCCAGTGTCTCGCCCGTGCATCCCATACGCTTCCTTGTTCATCGGCGATAGCCTCTCGAAGAACGCTGTAGATCTTGCTAACCGTCGGCTGGGAAAAGGCTTGGTCCAAGAGTTTCCTCACTGATCCGCAAAGAGGGGAGATGGCCTCCGGGTTGGACTTTGACGAGTATTCCGCCGGGTCTTCGGGGAGTTGAGAGGGGCGAGGAGGAGCCGGCACTGAGTGTTTCGTGATCAACGCGGCGAGACGGGGAAGCGTGGGGTCTGAGAGGTTCCTGATCTCTTCGACCAAGCCGGCCAGTGCTGTCTGAGGGACGTAGTGTGTGGCGATCCCTAGTTCACTGTGGGCGCCGAGTGCACCTCGCCTTAGCTTTGTTTTTTCCTGACTGACTGAGACTATCGACTGCTTTCCACTTACTAAACAGCCCTTCCATGCACGCTCTCTCCGACCAGACCCAGATAAGCTCCGATAGCGCCATCGAGCTGGGCCAAGTAAAAGCTCGCTCCGACATCCGGTGCAAAGCCGATAGCGGTCTCGGGCATGGCAAAGTTGGTAGTGGAGGTTGCTATCCTCAAGGGGGCGGGGTAGGAGAGGCCGGCTCCTCCTCCCACTGCGAAGGCCAGATTGGATAGCGAAAGAAGACGAAGGATAGGAAGATGAGGAGGAGAAAGAAAAGATGTCAAGCTCAGTGAAGATCGATAGATGGTCAAGGTGGGTATGAGAAGACTCACTGGTGATCCCCTCCATGAACACCACATAAGGCTTGCCCAGCTTTGCCAACGTATAATCGAGCGTGTTCTCCCGCTTGAAGAACTCGAGAGCTTCTTCTAGTCTCCCTTCACGGGTCACTACCGCTACGGCTGTTGGTGGAGGATGTTGCAACAACGACTCGTGAGCGTCGTATTGCGGGAAGGGACAATAGCACGTCACGCATGACCCTCACCTTTAACGTCGCCTCCAGCACAGAAGGCCCGACTGTCTCCCACTCCGAGTACGACTTTACACTCGGGATCTTCCTTCCACTCCTTGATCTTGTCCGCCAAGGGCCATACGATGGACGGGTCGAGCGAGTTGAGCGCTTTGGGACGGTTGAGTTTGTAAGTCCGGGTCGAGCCTTGGGATTCGAAGAGCACCGAGGGGGGCTATCGAACGCGAAATCGAATCGAGCTTTTAGCAAGATAATCCTGACCTACGCGAGACAAGTTGAGACTCACACCAGTCTCCTTGCCAGGTTCTGAAGCCAAGGTGGACGAGCTCATGGTCTGCACGATACGAGTGGGTAGCTGATGGCGGGCGGTGACGAATGACGATGATGGTCTGATCAATCGAGTCGACAGTCGAGATCCGATGAGCATCGGGGCAGCGATCTTGGCGTCTTTGTGAGGATGATGAATGAGTAGCAAGATGTCAACCTGTGAAGTGCATCGAGGTCTGATAACAACGTCTACCACTCCGACTCTCTCCAAGCTCATGTCGAGAGGTCGAGGACCGGCAACCCTCACGCATCCTCTCGGCCGAGGGGGAGGGGGGGGTGAGCCAATCTTTCGGGAGCAATTGTCCCATTCAACAACGGTTACGGGCGACGACACAGCGGGGCAAGGGGGACCGGTAAAAGGCAGTTATGCGCGCGTGTAACTGCCCAATCCTAACTGCCTCTTAGCGTACCCCAAGCAGGCCCTCAATTAACGGGCGCGTCACAGCTCGCTAGCGCCCGACGCGCTTTTACGTCTCTTGACGCGACGCGCTTATCGCGTTCTAGCACCTACACCCTCGCGTCTCGAGAAGCATGTAATAAACTTACTACTAACTACTACTACGATAGGGACTTTTCACCCAGACACATCTAGACATCTCTCCACGCTTTGACGACCCCCTAACGACTCTCTTACGACTCACCAACGGCCCGGAAAGACGCCAGTTAACGCACCACCCCTAGAACCGTCAAAACCCGTCATCGAGAAGCCAAGAAGCTCAACTGGTAAAAACACGGTCCGAACGGACAATGTCCGGTTCGGGGGAGCAGTCGGAGCGGGGTTCTGTAAGTACTCCTTATCTCCCCATGAACTGCCCCGTTAACTCACTGATGTCAGGGATGGGCACACAAGGACCGGGAGGGGAACAGCGTCGAAGCCTACGCTCCCCGTAAGTTTTACCAGTCTTGTATCCGGCCTCTATCAGGGTGATCGATAGCTAGTTAGCTGATTGTTATCTATTTGCTCTCGTCAGTCAAAAAGAACAAGGGGAAGCAGAGGGAGCAGGCTGTTGGTAAGCTTCTCAACCGCGTCAAGTGCTTCTCAACTGTCAATTAACTGACCGGTATCCCCCGTGTTTGTGGGGAGTGCTTATGTAGACCTGGTGGCCGACGGTATTGATCCTACTCTCGACGACGATGACTTGAGCGATTTGTCGAGCGATGATGAAGATGGTGAGCCAGCCACGCTTATGTCACTTCAACCTGCCTCTAACCGAGCTATAACTGACGAGTTGTGGCGCTCCTTGTTCCGACTTAGAGGTCGCACGCCAACGCCCGGCCGCCCAAACAAGTCGGAGTCCCGAGCTCGAAACTCTCGAGCAGGTAAGTCCTTACTTTCACCTCCACAAAGGCCTACTTACCTGACCGTTAACTGCCCGATATAGATTGCTGCTAGAGAGCTTGCCGAGACGAAGGCAGCGGAGGACAGGGAAGCTTTGCGAGCGATTCAAAGAGAGGTGAGTATCGACTATGAGTGTTGCTATGCGTCTCCTAACCCTCCCTTAACTATCTGGTTATGTATTCTTTCAGAACCTCAAACGCAAGGCGACCTTTACCGACCTTCGTGCTGCGACCTACAAAGTCGTACGTAGTCAGCGCCATAACTCCGTATAAACGTGTCACTAAGTAGAGACTTACTGGGCTGTTTCGCGACGTTTGCTAGAACCGAACCGAGACCGTAAGTTAAACCCCCTCTAATCCGGACACTTACACGACAGTTAATCGCCATTTATTCCCTCACAGGACCTTGGGCCTATGAGGGAACCCGGACGTCTAGTCACCAATCATCAAGTGAAAGACGCAGTCAAGGTGCTACCCAGCCGGTTAGCCGCCCGTTATCACGCTGTTCTCGAGAAGCGAAAGGCCTTGCCTCCCGTCGGCCAGAATCCGACGATCAAGAGCCTTGTTCCGGTGATCCATACGCAAACGGCTTTACTGGACGAAATCGTGGCTCTGACAGGGGAGATAGCGAGCAGTTATCAGTGGGTTAGGGCGATGCATATGGTCCAGGATCATCTACGAGCCCAGCTCACAGTCGAGGACGAAAAGCTCAACGAAAGGATCAAGGCTCTCGAAGCCGACGCTGGCGGCTATCCAGCACACCCAGCACCCGCGGCTGCTCCCGCTCCTGCCCAACCGGCCCAAAACACCCCGGTAACCGGCATCACTATGGCCGATTTGAAGACCGCTATCAAGAACGATGAAGGTCTTCGAAAGGTTCTCCGTGGTGTCCTGGTTGGTATGCCCCCGAGCGATGTTCCTCAGGCCTCCGTAGCGGGCCCATCGGGGACCTCTAACCAGGCCGCTACAAGCGCGACATCGCCCACCGGGAAGAGGTCGAGACCCCCGCGAGCGACACACCGAGACGTGCGTTGCAATCACACATTGAGACTGTCACTTAACTGATGTTTAACTGCCCCCTTCCTCCCCCGTCATCAGGCCGGTGTCCATTACGCCGTCAAGAAGCTTATCGGCATGCAGTGTCACTGGGGCAGGCACCTCCGTGACAACCACGACGACGAAGGATATCTGGTCGAGAACGACTGGCCACTCCCCATGGAAGACGGCAGTTTGAAGGCCGATATCGAACTCGCCAACGGTGATGTCGAGGTTTCGGCGTGGCGTCCGGATTGGAAGGCGGTCAAGGTTGGGTCGGCGAAGTAAGTTCCTGTTATCGGCCTTTCAAGTACCTAATAACTATCCAGTAACTGACCGGTTATACGGCATTTAGATGGGCTCCATTCATCGAAGAATGTCTCGCCACCGTCAAGGATGGATGGAGGCCATTGAAGATGGGCGCAATCGACGACGACGACGCGATACGGGCCGCTATCTGCCAGTATTGTGCCACACGAGTGGGCAAACAACCGGCGATTGCGGAGAACGGAGGCAAGCCGTTCGCTGTGTGGCAGCGCCGACGATTTGGGATGGTAGGTCTTTTTTCAGGGCAAAAACAGCGTGGTTATCGAGCAGTTATATGGCAGTTGACTGACTTACCCTTGGTCTGGGTACTTACAGCTTGCCGATCGACGACTGGAGCACTTTGCAAACAGTCCGACGAACAAGACCGTCAAATCGTCGATTTACACCCTGTTAACCGGGGTGTTATTTGTCCCCTCGCTGCACTGTGCCGACCCTCCCGATACTCGTCGATACCCGGTCCTTCCCCAAACTGGCCCAGATGAGCCCGATATCGAGACCGATGGATGGAAGGTATGGAGGCGTTACTGCTTCGACGGTAACAAGGAGGCTGCCAACAAGTGCGACGAGCTCTGCTACCCGTACTGGTTGTCTGACGAGGTGAGTGCTACGTGATGTCGTAACTCCCTAATCACTGTCAACTAACCCCGCTGTTTGATGTCCGTTTATGGCCACTTAGTATATCGGAGTCGGGGCCTTCCTCGATGCTATCCACTTGGAGAAGTATCGATCCCAAAACTCGTCGAAGCCCCGTTGGGTGGGACCTAGACGGTATTGGCCGGTAAAGAAGCCGGTTACCGACGACTTAAGGGCCAGTTTGAAGGACGACACGACGAAGCCCGACCCCGACGGCAAGGGCTGGATCATCTACCGGTCGATGGTCAACGACGAAGCGGCCCAAGATTGGGAGGCTAACGACCCACTTTTGTGGGCGTTAGTTTACCCCGATCCTCCTATCCCCGTCGAGCACCAAGGGCGCCCGTCGATTGAGACCTTGTCTCAAGCGCAGCACCGCGGTGTGTGGGAGTTATCGAGGACGTTAGTGGCCTGTCAAAAGCCCGACTTGACCGACGAGCAACTCCTCGACCTCGCCAAGACCTACGCCGCCATCGATCAGACCGAGCTCATCGCTGCCGGTGCCGCCGACATCGAGGAGGATCTCGAGGACGAGGAGATCGAGGACTAAACGGGGCCATAACTGGCTAGATTCAAGACGGTTACTAGACCGTCAACGTCAACATGTCTCTCGGGGGACTTTCTACGGCTTTGGACTTACGAAAAAAAGAAGAAAAAAAAGCAAAAAAACGAGGTATATGTATATTAGCAGGTGGGTTATGAGTCGGACATCCGACAGTTACGATAGGCCGAGGTTGCAATTCCGGTCGACGACTTTTTACGAGCAGGGAAACGAGATCGAGTTAATGTCTTTAGATGTCGTATATCTGGGCGGTTACGAGGGTGTTATAGGCCCTCCTTTTTTACTATACCATATAATGTCGGTCCCTGCCTACACACGAGTACATGCTTGGACGGCCCAGATAAGGTGATTTGGGGGATTATTGCGGCCTCCTAACTCCCATGTAGCTGGCCTGACTTCGAGCAGTGTCACGGGCTTCAGCGTGCTCATGACGAAAGGTTCGAGAGGAATTACTTCAGATGGCGCCTTGAAGGTTCTAGCTTCGTAGAGTCGAACATCCACGGCTGGGCTGGTGGCTTGAAAACGGTCGATTAACTGCCTCGTTACATGCTAGTAATAGGTCGCACTCACTGCTGGTAATAAGCCGGAAGCACAGACGGTACACGATGGTCACCAAGAGGTACAGCTCGACGACCCATGCAGACCAGTTTCGTGCTTGTATCGCCCTCGTAACTGACCAGTTGTACGTCATACACAGCTGTCAAAAGCCAGAGACCTCCCCCTGGAGTGGTGTTTGCGTTATGAGTCGTAAACGCCTTCCGAAAACAGAACAATGTGTCCTTGTAAGCGGCCAAGTTAGCGGTCCGATATGAGCCAATTGCACTCGGCCATGATTTGAAAGTCTTGTTTTGGTTGGCTATGCCCCTGTATCTAACTGCCACAGTTCGGAGCGTTATCTGGCGAGGGGAAGGGGGATTAGGGAGCTGTTCTCCTTCAAGATAGTAGTCATGAGAGGGGTCCATCTCGCTAAGCCTTGTCCTGATAGCCAACAGGCTGTGCTTAGGTGCTTCGACGAGTTCCCCATTGAACGGTGTTAACCGCTCGCTATCGGGTGCTGAACGGGCCAGTTGCAGACAGGTTTCAAGCTCCTTGATATCCCTGTTCATCTCGTCGAGTAATCTATTGGCAGCAGCGCCCGAAGACTGATCACTCTCCATAAAAGCCTGGTACTTATCAGCCAGTTGCTGCACAGTTATCCGTTCTGCGTCGGTCGTGGCATCACACAGAAGCTGCGCCTGCAGGAGTGACGACATGGCGGCCTTGTAACGTCCCTGTAACAGGGTGGTTTCGACCTGCTTGCCGTTGGTATTGATGGCCTTGAGAAGTTTGCCCAGGCGTTCGGCTGCAAAGACCCATAGCGAGTAGCTAGGGCCATGTAGCAATATATCGTGCACTAAGTGGCTCAATTGATGCCAGTTACGGGTCCGTTGTATGCCCGGGTGCAGCTTGAAAACCAGATCCTGCCAGCGACGGATAACCTCGGCCAGATATTCCACCTCTGACTGGCTTATAACAGGCCTTAATGCGAGTATATTCACCTCCGATAGCAAGAGAGAACACTCGAGCTCGTCATCAGAGAGTAGAGGGTTGTGCTGAAGGCTGGTACTGCCTAACCGTTCGTTGTGGCGCCAAATAACAGGCCAGATAAGAGGCACATAAACCTCCGTAAAGGTCCTCCATTGAGCCGACGTCTTGGTGCCCCCCTTCACATCAAGGAAATCCGTTCCGATGCGATGATAGATCCCGCTTGGTAATAACACCTGGAGTGATTGACTTCGGTCAGTTAACTGTGGGCAAACAGCCAGCATCTGCAACACTTACATGGCCAATAGCTTCACCGATCATGACGAGATTTGCGGGAGTCAGGATGCCTCTTTTTGCCAAGGCTCGTGATCCAGTGCTAATACCTACTCGAACTCTTGGCTGATGGATAACTGGGCGATTATCGGGCCGTGTCCGGGCCGTTGAGCTCGATGCGATGGCCGCTGATTGGGAGTCTCGCATCGCCCTTTCCAGGGTCATCTCTTCGATGCTACCCTCTGTGGGCCCCGTTACCGGCTCGTTAACAGGCCGACACGCAGGTGGAAGTTCATCTTCAGTGTCGGTATTGGATCTCGACGATGCGTCGGACTCTTCTAGAGGCTCATTAACCGCCAAGTACTGGCCCAGTTGTAGGCATTTTCGAAAGTAGGTTTTGTTGTTGCCCTGAAGGAGATTGTGCATGGGATCGAAGACAGTATTCTGGAATTTGTCGAAATAAGGAAGGAACATACAGGCCGTTAAGTGCCCTGTAGCGTCGGCGTAAGGGGCGTGTTCGAGGGCGGTTTTCATCATACTGTTGGTGAACTTTGCGGGCCGATATAGGGGTGGTTTATGTCCTCTTCCACGTCTAGGAGCCAAAGCCCAAGCTTCACGTTCGTACTCGTTGCGCTCCACCAAGAGGTCCTGCTCTCTATTGTGCTCATGACGGGCCTGTAACACAGCGGTTATCCCCGCGTCGGCCTTCCTCAACACACCCAGATTGTGCTCGTGCGAGTTCCGAAATGGAAAGACTAGAAAAGTAGGTGTTCGATTGAGGGCCATTTTACGGCCTTGTAACTGGCTACACTTACCATGGGTATCTGCCTGTTGCTGGTGTGTCGCTTCACATCGAGTACAGATATCCTTGAGCGATGTTTGCGAGCCAGCCCCTATTGCGGCAATTGCCGCTGGTCTATCAGCGCAGATAGCAGCCAGTACCAGGCGGCATAGACGGCCGTTAGGAAAATCTGGAGTCTTGATGGACACCGGTTCCTCCCAAGCTTGACGCAATTCTAGCATGGTAGGTATCAAGAATTTCCAGAGATTGACATGACGGGGCTCTCTCGGGCCTGTACAGGGGTAGTAAAAGGGCAGTTAAGCAGCTGAAGTGAGACCGACTTCTTCGAACCAGGAATCAACGCACCGGGAGTCAGGCCACAGCACATGATCAGGTTCTGAACCCCCCTCAAACCCTGTGGTAAGTTGACCGCTTGGAGGGAGATATGACCCACAGAGTAGCCAGTCGTAGACATCGAAGATCGACAATTGACCCAATCGACGTAAAGGTTCATGTAAATAACTGGCGGTTCACCGTCTTTTGGGGGGTCACTTATGAGACGGTTACCGTCTGGGCCCAAGATCTGATCTAGCGCTGAACCGCTCCACTGGTCCCGGTAGATCTTCTGGCCAGGGTGTTGTGAAGCATCCCAACGGGCCGCTAACTGCCGTCTTTCTTGCCAGTTGAACATCAGTTCCTCGATTCCTGGATGCGCAAGGACACGCTCGAGCTCAGATTTGAGGGGAATTCGAGCGAAGTCACGCCACCAGGTTTTCGCTTGCGATCGGTCCATCAGGTGCCCACATTCTGGGCAGATATCTGGCAGATTTCGGGGGAGCTTTGGAGAGTGGATTGATGATAGAGAGACTGGGGAGTTGATGTGGTACAATACGGCTTGACAGTCCATGTTCGGGCAGACAGGGTGGGTGATAGAGGGCACATTTGCGCCCATTAGAGATCGGACCGTCCTAAGAGTTTTGGCTGGATTTTCACTCAGAGGGGATGGGTTGACACCTCCGGCCGCTAAGTGGGTCGTAAGTACCAAGATAACGAGCGTATTGAGGGTGTATTCCACTGCTCGCCGCACAACCCCAGAGGCTGCTAGTAACAAGGTGTGGGCGTAGATCAACTTCTCCATGAAGGTTGTAGTAGGTCGATCGGCCTCGCAACTGGCCTCTAGGGGTGCAGTTGCACCGCTGATCCATGGCCTATCAATCGCTGGAGGAACGTCCCTCGGCCATAACGGGCGGAAGTCGTGAAGCTCAGATGCATAGCTGGAACAAGGTATGTCCATCGGTCCCCTATCTGCCCGACTCTCCGGCCGATACGGGGGAGATGCAAGTGATGGAGCTGGAGATGGCTGCCTGTTAACCGGAGTGTTTGGTGGGTCGCAATCGGGGGTTAGAGGATTCATAGGGTTTTCCGGGTAGTCGACCTCGTAGTTGGCATCTGCATTCACAAGGTGACCTGACGGCAATGAGGGAGGGGGAAGATTGGGTTGTAACGGCGAGATAACGGGGGTGGTGTGGGCCGGCTGTAAGGGCGAGTCTGGCGGCCCCCCAGAGCCAATGGAAAGGCTCCCCCGGACGAGGTTGTTATGGACCTCTAAACTGGCCGCTAAGCGGCGGATATGTGTCACATATGTTTTGCCGGAGATGCGACGTCCTGAAGGCCCACAACCTTGGCATCGGCAAATACCAACCGTCGATTTGGGCTAGTAATGGGGATGTTAAATGATGGTTAATAGCCTGGTGAATGCACTTAAACTGACCACCCGTTTCGCAAGCTGGTCAGGAGTGCAACCAGCAGGAGGATAATCGGTAAGAAAGTCGGATTCCATAATCGCAAGATAATCGATGATAAACACAGTAGTTAAAGAGGGGTTACAACATGGATTTGGGGGACGGTTGAAGGACTTGTTGACAATGACGCGTCGAAGAGTTTGGACTTAGAGAAAAAAAAAACGATTTGAGGGTGTCAAAGGACTTAGCGAAAAAAAAGGGGACTAAATAGGGCCCATAAAAGGCAGTTAGGTCAAAATCGTAACGGACCTCCTGTAACTGGCCTCTAACCGGCGCGCGTGTTTTGTAACCGGCCCCCCTTGCCCCGCTGTGCGAGTTAACCGGTCATCGTCGTTGGTTGCATCTTCGTATCGATCGTATCGGACAATCACAGGCAGTCATATATATACATGGGGGGTATCGTTGCTCGTATTCTCTATCAGTGATTATCTATGTCCTTCTGTATTCAGTATCGAATCTCTTTTCATCTATAGCTCTGCCTCAAGCCGTAGCTGCGGCCGCACCGCCTTTCGACCTCGGCATGACCCAGACCGGATGAACAAAGATGAAAGTGAACGTCGCCAACAGGATCAACATGCCGTCCAACAAGTTGAACAGCGTCTGGTTCTCGATGATCTTGCCGTTCCATCCCTCGGAGAGTTCGATGGATCGGTAGATCGATCTATACGAAGCCAAACGAAGCGATGAGGATCAGCGTTGATCTCGACGAGACCGGTTCGGTCTGGAAGATAGACTCACCGGATGAAGATGAAGAACGTCGCCACCACACAAGCCGCCAACAAGATCTTGGCTCCTCTGATCTCCTTTTCCGTATACTCGACCCCTTCCTGAGCCGACCCAAACTTGGTCTTTGTCCCCAGCCTAGAGGACGACTTGCCCCGCCCACCCCACCTGGTCTTCCCGACCGCCTTCTCCGCGTCGACCCCTACGTTCGTGTTGGTCGATTGGGGCGAGACGATCCCCGAGTCCAACCCGGAATCGATCCTCTTCTGATCATCGTAGGCGGTCTTGTACTTTCGAGTCCTCAACGCCTGGGGCCACCACTTGAACAGCTCGACCTGTTTCGCGCACGGGCGGTCGGTCCGGAACCTCCAGACGAAGGTGCCGAGGACGAGCATGAAGGCGAGCATGATGACCAGTTGGAAGATGACTCCGCCGAGCTGTCAAGTCGGGGACGAACCGAAGATTAGCTTTCGAGACTTGGCTGGAAAACAAGAACTTGAAGCCCTGAACTGACCATGATGTAACCCCCACGGTTGGCCTCTTCCAGAGTCTCCCCGCTCGCCGCTGTTCCTCCTCCGATGGCTTGGACGACGAGGGATACGATGTCACCTACGACAAAGAGGACGGTGTATGAGAGGGGGTGGACGAATGCGTATCGGGGGCTACGTTGGGAAGGAAACAGGGCGAAGCAAGAAAGTCGTCTCAGCTTAAATCCAGGCCTCCATCTCCGACTCGACATGAACCAGAACGCACCCAAGGACCGGAATGATCCTCCCCAACGCGATATAACAACCCGCCTGCAAGAACGCCGGCGAAAAGATCAAGACGGCGATCTGGGCCATGAACGCCGTCCTGTTGCTCCTCCACACCCCGCCCTCGGAAGGGTCCCATTCGACGGATTTCGAGGCGATCAGACGGGCGGACCAGCCGATGAGTTCTCCTAGGGTTCCGAGGAAGAAGGTCAGGAGCGTCCAGGGTTGGCGGGAGATCAGGCCTAGGACTAGGTGGGCGACTGCGAAGTGTTGTCAATTGGCGGGGAAGGAAGGTGAGTGGAAAGACGACAAGAGGGCCATGTCAGAACCAGGTCTCGTTTCGACTTGACACCCGATGATGATCAAAAGAGAGACTCACGAGTCGTCAACCCGAAGAAGGCTACAAAGATGGCAGCGGTATACAGCTGGATGTTGTACCCGTAGAAATCGTACTCGACGTCCCCTTCAAAGGGGTTGATGGATCCGGGTACGTAGTTGCAAGACGAGTTGCCCGGGGAACAACCTCCCATGTAAGGGTCGAACGAGGTGGACATTGCTAAGGTAGGGTTGCGAAAGGATGGTTCGTGGTGATGTGGTGATGGGCGAATTGTTGTATCGCCTTGATGTGATCTCGCCTTGTGATGAAGGATGTAATGTTGGTTGTAGGAAGTCGGAATGAGATGTGGCGATGTTCTGAGGAAGAGTCAAAGGAGGATGTCAATTGTTGACGATCAACCTGACCCGACTATATACTCGTCGAGATGGTCGTCCGAAATCCCTATCTCGATATCGAAACTTGATCGTCAACCTCGGGCAACGGGCTCACGGGCACGGATGGGGGAGTGGAAAGAGTCATCCCATCGCAATACACCGAGGGGCATGGGGCGAGGGGCAGTAGAGACCTCCTTTGATACGAAACACAGCAAGCATGGTCGCACAGCGATCACCGATCCTAGCGATCCCATCGATCCACCCACATCTCACGGGCTCGCATCGGGGTAGTCCCCTGCCCGTGTTTTGTGAAAACGACATCGAGGGAGAAAGAGGGAAAAAGAAGTTGCTTGCCTCGGTACCGTGTCGTCTTTCGATTTTAGCTCGTTCCATTCCCTGTCAACATCGGGCATCGTGCCCCCCCCCTCTCCCTCCTGCCACCGATGTTGCAGTGTATACCGTTTCGTCTGGTCTCTGTCGTCATCGCCGAACCCAGCGACAAGCTCTCAAGCCACAAAAGCCACTCGGTGTGTCACCCTACGACACTCAACAAACACGGGCACGGGCATCTTCGTGCCCGCGTTCGGATCCGCGTAATGGCGCGTCACACAGCTGTAATCATGTGAAGGGACACGGCCCCGAGATCCGAGATCCCCTCTGTTTCTCGCACTCTTTTGTTTCATGACGTCGTAATTCGTAACGAACGTGTGACGTCCAGCTTGAAGAGCTCGACAGCCTCGACGACTCGACACCGATCTGAGCTTCTCTGCGCCTAAGAGTTTCTGAATCCCAAACATGGTTGCATATGCTGGTCGCCCTTTGAGACTTCTGTTGCTCTAGTATGCTCATACGTACGAGGTTCAACAGCTTATTGTGATAGATCATAGACGGATCCGACTGCAACAGACGAGCAGATAATCGTTTATGCGGCGTAACGCATATGATACAATAAGCGTTCGATTCGATACAACGGGCGAACGGTCCCGCCACGCTCAGACCTGGAGTCAACCCTGGACGCTTCTATCTAGAAGGTTGAACTTCGTCAGTGAGAAGGCAAAATCAAGGTATACCATATTGTACAGGCTGCATGCTGCGCCTTCAGATCGTTTCGTGTGAACCTAGGCGGCTTACGACCAGATGTAACAGATAGAATGTTTAGTGTATACAAGTCCAGTACCAAAACGCCTGCTTCATGTTCTGATTTTGATAGCTAGTCTGAACGGAATACAACAACTGATATGTGCTTTTGAAGAAGAGATGTATCCTTTGAGTTCCGCCCGCATCCGGTTGGAAGGTAGATAACACGAATCGTAGCCGATGTCATGCCGTCCCATCTGATGCCCTCGAATCTGTCTTTGTAGAGCTTCGATCGCTCGGAAAGTGTTCAAGCTCGATCCGATCTAGAGAATTGGAGACGAACTGAGGCCTGTTGGGATCCAGGCCGATCATCAAGTCACAGCTTTGATAATCCTGTAACATCTCCTTTTTCCGAAAGGGATAGCACAGGAGGTAAATATCAGCCAACATCTAGTCTTACAGCTACACTGTTCAAAGCTGTCGTATAGACTCACAGTTGCAATGCTTGAGTCGTCGGGGCTGATTGACTTCGAACTTCCGGTTTCGAATCCGTTCAAGCTGAGGTCGAAAGAAACATCGGTGCCCGACTGCGTCCCTCCTCAGGATATAAGCTGAGTTCGTGCAACAAGCGTTAAAGCTCCCTCACCATCAGCTGGGTATGGAAGTCTTCCCTATCGTCTCGAGCTCTCTTAGCTGCACGCCCATCATAGCAGGAAATACTTCTAGATAGTTTAGTTTCTGCTGCCGTCTTCATAGTCAGCAATCCAGGGCACATTATGTGAAAAAGTATCGAGTCACCATGTGATGTCGTGCTCTCGTCATCTTCGCCCTCTGATAGCTTACTATCGCGATCACAGACAAAGTCGAGTAGTCCTCGGGTTGTCCCGAGCTGCCTTTTACCGAAGTAGAGGAAAGGGCGATCTGCCTTGCGGCGACAGTTGCCTGCTGGCCGCGAACGATGAGCTTCTCAACATCTTGATCAAATGTATTCGTTCTCGTCCATCTCACCTCTTTCCATTTCTTCACCTCTTCTGGCGGGAAGTAGACGTCGTTTTTGCAATTGTTCAATAATGCCTCAAGCTCCGTCATCTGAATCCGAAAATTAGGACGGTATTATCTCCCATGGGGCCGGTTAAGCTCACCTGATAATCCCTTCTTAGTTCGGCAGCCTTCTCGAACCATTCTTTTGCTCTAGACCATCCCACTGCGCTTGATGATTTGCCCAATGCACACGCAAGATCGCACAACACTAGTCTCCTATCCTTTGTAGACTGCTTGATTAGGTATCTATCTACCGCCTTTACAAAAGGATACGTGATATTCTGGATTCGTCCCGTGTCGGCCAAGCTCCGTCGGAGTCCGTGTAACCGGTTCATTACCACTCCGATCTCGTTAAGAAATTTTCCTTCTCGGTCTTTAATGCGATCCACCCCATTCTGTTGTACGTAGCGGTCAAGATCTTCCAGTCCAAGCTTAGTGGATTGAATAGGCGTTCTCCTACCCAGATGCTTGTGCTCCTTGAAACTCTCGCGATCTGATGAATCACTCGGTGCGAAAGACTGGTTCATCGACATAAATGAAAAGGGCGCTGCAGTCAGCAGCCTTTGAGTAGTCGTCAAGGTGTGGTCAGGTCGCCTGAGGAAGGTACAGTACAAGATAATCTTATGGACGGCCGATGCGAATGTCTGCGTTGTATACACCCGATGACCTGCTACTATATAAGGGGCTTTTTTTGCGCAGTTAATATAATTGATATTTCATTGATTGCTCCTTTCATTGGATTGAAAGTCAATCTCCGAATCACTGATTTCAGGTTGCTGCAGCCGACAAGCTGCTATACCGATCCCCTGCGATGACAAGCGCCAGATCACTCTGAAAGGGTGAGTATCGCCTAAGGTGTTGAGCTGAAAGTATGGCTGAGTAGCATATGGCTCTTGGCGATATGACGTGATTGAGTGCGGCACAGCAACCTGTAAGCGCAGGTTTTAGGTCAATCATGCGCGAGATGATCTTTTGGATTAGGCTGCGGTTCTCGGTTCCTTCGGATAACAGTACAGCCGCTTGCACCGATGCAAGCTTGTGTCTCGAGTGCTTGTGTCTCGAGTGGACCTCTTCTACTCTTCAAATTCCCTGTCGATAAGTAGCATGGACCGAATAAATGGCGAACGACTTTCCATGACCGGTCGGAGAAGACGCGTCGCTCAAGGATTGACGGTTTGATGGTCAGGAGTCTCAAAGTTTGCAGGAAGAAGGACATTACATGTCACAGGAGAAAGTGAGTCGTCAATCGATCTAAGGCTAGGTATTTCGAGATACACGTTCGGTAATCGGCTGCAAGAAAATGTCTCTTATGATGAACTTTCATCTGATGAACCGATACGCTGTGTTCAAACATGTTCACTCTCTCTAGAGATGGTTAGGGGTAACGGAGCTTTTTGAATTCGGTTTCGATATCGACGAGACCTAGTGCGACAGCTGATTCTTAATATTACAGAACACGGCCTCAATCTATGCAAACGAATTCTCTATGTTGGAGCTGTCGCTGAGGCGTCGCTTCGATCTGTCGGGACAGCGTATTCCGTTTCTCCCTGTGTCATTGCCATTGGTCCTGTTGCATCGACTTACTCTGTCTGGCGTAGTACTCCGAAAAGAGCTCATGCCGATCTTCGAGATGTGAGCGACCAACTCACCATTCTCACGTGAGATAGTAAAGCCCCGCTTCCTGTACGCCATAACGACTTGGTCCCACAGTCAACGCCGACACTTGGGAGTAGCTCAGCTGAGGCTACGAAGCGCGCCTATGAGTTGAGGCGATATACGTCTTGTACTCACATCTGTATTTTCAAATGAACCAGGCTTCAAGCAGTGTGTTTCGAAATCCATCGAGCCGTCGATTTCCCGGCGGCTATAGGAGCTGCAAAGACTTGATGGCTTTGTTGTCCAAGGTGTAAGTCGACTGCACGACGACGATGCCAAAGTCCCATCGAGCCATGGTTTGAGGTATGTTTCCTCTTCTGCGCCCCTAAACCTCTTGCCGAGACTCGAACCATCGGGCTCTGCACGGTGATCGGTAGAAAAGTTGCCATGAGACCGTTTCGAACCTGTCTCATTCTGTACAGATCCAGAAGACGGGTCGAAGGCAAAACAACATAAAGCTTAGATGATTGAAGCGCAGTCCATGCTAATTACAAGGACGACATACTGCTGCGACATCAGACACGGATGAGGACGCCTCTGTCTGGATCGATTCTGCTGTCCCTTCCGCAAAGCTGGCAGCAAGAGTGATCTTTTTTTGCGTAACAGTTGCCTGGCCATCGCCATCACAAATGATGAGCAACTCGATTCGTGGGGTAATGTGCGTCGCTATTGTATGTCCCTCACATTTATCCAAGCTTCAACTTCGTCCACTGGAAAGTATTCATGGTTTGCGCAGTTTTCACCGAATGTTTCGAAACGAGGGAACTAGAACAGGGGATCGAAAAATCACTGCAGAACGACGTCCTGGGTCAGCTGCACAAGGCTTACGTCGTATTCCGTCTTCAGTCTTTTGGCCTTTTCCTGCCATTTTCTGCTGCAGAGATTTCTCGCAAGTGCAGAGAATAGTAATCTCCTATCGTCTTCAGATGGCCTAAGTAGATAGGAGTCCACCAGCGAAACCAGAGCATATGTGATGTTTTTTCTGTCTTGTGCCTTCAAGGTCTCATTGATCTCATCCAAAGCCTCGATCATATCTTTGATTATCAAGAGGAAGGATGTTGCTCTGTCCTCAGATGGCCCTTCAGCGCGTACATTCTGCTCTATGTAAGCTTCAATGTCCTCTATGCCCTTGGCAACAGCTTTAGTAGGCCTGAAATTGAGATGCCTGTGAGGCAAGAAGTCTCCATAATCTTGTGATCCGTTGCGCATCTTGAGCCAGATGAAGAATATGACCGATGATCTAGGCAACAAGCGTGGATATCCAGCGGGCAGCGTCTACCGGCAATCCTCTTTATATGTACGGCTAGTCAAAGACCACTTGTAACCAGCCTCGATGGATACATCCTTTCATGGTCAATCCCGAACCCCTTGTTTCAGTCGGTACTTCAAGGCGCCACCGTTCTCTCCGCGGTACAGGGCAGACCGGCCGTGAAAATTCGTACTGCACACAAATTCAGATCAAAGACGTAGAGGTGGGCAGGACCACTCGGGTGGGCCTGATGGGTGGCTAACAAGATTCGTTTGCTCATGTCCAGAAGGAGCTCTTGGATTTCGAGACCGTCCTAGCTGTACCTGGAGCAGTCAGTCTGGCAAGTGAGATCCAGACCAGGAAAAAGTATTTGCAGAGTCACTTTTACGTACAGAATGAGACCTGTCGAGATCCCTTTCTGGGACACCATGAGCTCGTTTGAGCCTCCACGGGTAGCAAGAGCTATAACTCCTGGATCTCTCCCTCTGCGTTGTCCTCTTTGATCCCGTCCTCGATCTCTCGTCCATCAGATACACCAAGCAGGAGCGGAAGCAGGCTATACATGCCGGGCTTGCACGGTCTGCACGACAGGATCTCGTTAGACTTCCTGCCACGAATGATGAACCTTAGACAGAGAGGACAGCTCGACTGGCAGACGCGAGGGCATGACGCGATGACTCTTGTGCTCTGAATGCGTCGTCTGCACGACGCCACATCTTCTGGCCTCTGATCCGCTCCGAATCGTGAAACGCCATCCTCAGTCCAATGGAGACGGTCAGCCGACCTGCGATTAAACTAAATGCTGATGGCACTACAGGTCGAAGCGAATCACGGGAGCACGGAGGAGTTTCAGGTTGATGATGAGATTGGCAGAAAACACACGATCCCTCTTTACTGAATTACAAAGCCAGGAAAAAGTATATAGGGGGGTCGGCGAAGAGAAGAGACGATGGGGTAGGCGGGGGTGTTATAGAAGGGGGAAAAGGGCGCGCTTATCGGGCACCGGCCATGGCCTTCTGCATGGCTCGCTTCAAGCCGAGCTGCGCTCGCTTGAGCTCGTCACCGGTAGAGTCGGCGTTCTCGAGCTTCTCCAAAGCCTTGGCGAGCTCCTGCTCGATCTGAGATCGGGCACCTCGCTTGATCTTGCTTCCGAGCTCGGGCGAGGCCAAGTTGGTCTCGACCTGGTGGAGGTACGACTCGAGGTCGGACCTGGCCTCGTGCTTGGTGCTGAACTCCTTGTCAGCGGCCTTGAACCTGAGGGGTGCGAAGGGAGGATACGAATCAGTACTTGTGCCGGGTAGATATGCGTCGCAAGAATCGAAACTCACTGCTCGGCATCCTTGATCATCTGGTCAATCTCGGCGCTCGACAATCGACCAACAGAGTTCTGGATGGTGATGTGAGCCTTTCGGCCAGAGGCCTTGTCCTGGGCGGAAACCTTGACTATAGGTTGCAAAAGTCGAATTCCTCATCAGCTCTTCGTTTCGGTAAACTCGCTGTGCTCGCCTCTTGTACTCACGCAAACCGTTGGCATCGACTTCGAAGGTACAGATGAGCTCGGCCTGACCTCGGGGCATAGGGGGGATACCGGAAAGCTCGAACTCTCCCAAAAGCCTGTTGTCCTTGCAAGCAGTCCTCTCTCCCTCGTAGACGGGGAATGAGACGGTGGTCTGGTTGTCCTCGACGGTGGTGAAAGTCCTCGACTTGTTGGAGGGGATGGGGGTGTTTCGGGGCAAGACGACTCCGAAGACGTCACCCTGCATGGCAACACCGAGGGAGAGAGGAGCGACATCGAGCAAGAGCAAGTCGGCGGTCTTGTCCGAGGTCATTCCGGTGAGGACGGCAGCCTGGACGGCGGCACCGTAAGCGACGGCCTCGTCGGGGTTGATGGACTTGTTCAAAGTTCGTCCACCGAAGTACTCGGAAACGAGCGACTGGATCTTGGGGATTCGGGTAGATCCACCGACGAGGACAATGTCGGTAACCTTGGAGGCGGGGATCTTGGAGTCCTTGATGACTCGGTCGACGGGGTCGATGGTCGACTTGAAAGCGGCGGCGTTGATCTCCTCGAATCGGGCTCGGGTGATGTTGGCAGAGAAGTCAACACCCTGGAAGTTTCGCAAGCGCAGACTTTGATCAGCTCCTCGTTCCACAACTGTACGATCTGGCACAAGCATCGCTGCCCACTCACGTCGAACAACGAGTCGACCTCGACGGTGGTCTGGGTGACCGAGGACAAGGTCCTCTTGGCTCGCTCACAGGCAGACTTCAACCTCCTGACGGCCCTGACGTCGCTCGAGATGTCGAGCTTGTTCTTCCTCTTGAACTCCTGCTTGAAGTGCTCCAACAAGGTGTTGTCAAAGTCCTCTCCTCCCAAGTGGGTGTCACCAGCGGTGGCCTTGACGGCAAAGACACCTCCCTGGATGGAAAGAAGCGAGACATCGAAGGTACCACCACCGAGATCGAAAATGAGAACGGTCTTCTCCTCCTTGGACTGGGTGTCGAGACCGTAGGCGATGGCAGCGGCGGTGGGCTCGTTGATGATACGCAGAACCTCGAGACCGGCGATGGCACCAGCGTCCTTGGTAGCGAGACGCTGAGAGTCGTTGAAGTAAGCGGGGACGCTGAAGGTCGAGAACGATATCGAAATAAAATCAGCCATCCCGTTTCGAGAAGTATCGAACGTTTCCAAAAGCTCACGTAACAACGGCCTTGGTGACCTCTCGTCCGAGCTTGGCCTCGGCAATCTCCTTCATCTTGGTCAAGACCATGGCGGAGATCTCCTGGGGAGAGAACTGCTTCTTCTCCTTGAGGTACTCGACCTCGATGACGGGGGCACCGTCTCGGTCAACAACCGAGAAGGGGAAGTTCTAACGAAAAAAGACCAACGCAAACAACCTTCAGCGACATGACGTCCCGAAAACTGACGAGCGACCGCTTCTCCTCACCTTCATGTCCTTCTTGACATCGGGGTCGTCGAAACGACGACCAATCAGTCGCTTGGCGTCAAAGACGGTGTTGGTGGGGTTCATGGCCGAGACGTTCTTGGCCGAGTCACCGATGAGCCTCTCCTCCTCGGTGAACGAGACATACGAGGGGGTGGTTCGGTTACCCTGGTCGTTGGCGATGATCTCGACTCGGTCGTTTTGCCATACACCGACACACGAGTAGGTGGTACCCAAGTCGATACCTGTTGTTTAGCGGCGACGAAAGTAAAGAATGCCCCAAGTTTTAGCGACCACGTTCTCGAGCTTGCTTGATATGGCGGTAGCTGCAGTACGTACCGATTCCGAGCTGGGCCTCGATCTGAGCGTCTTCAGCAGACATTTTTAAGAGTTTTTTTTTTCGTTAAAGGAGAGTGAAAGGGAAGGTTTTAGGGGTTGAGCTGTTGCGGCGTGAAAAAGTTTGTTTGACGGGTAAGAATTCGGTTGCAAGTAGCGATACGTCTAAAGAGCTGATGGGTACTGACACGATGCTCTTTTGATTTGAACAAGAAGGAGGACGGGTGGCAAGAGGATGAATCTGGAGTGATCGATGATGATGGAGTGTTTGAATAGCTCCTACACCCTGACAGTACCGTCGTCGTACCGAAGCTTGGACCCGCTCACACACAGTAGGTCCTGGGCTGGGTTGGCTCTGGCTGAGCAGGGGCCTGGCCTGGCCTGGGGATATTTTTTCCTCGGCTAGTTCCCCCTAAGCGCACGCGAAAATGTCACACACTAGAAGCGCATCTAACATCATCTACCTCGCAAAAATGTGTCCATGTCCGCGCAAGGGCGTGAGAATCGCGCGAGATCTAGTGGCGTTCAGAGGCGTCTCGACATGATGGAATGGGATTGCCCCTTGCAACTGTTCAGCTTGATGTGAGCTAGACTCTCACTACGCTCCGAAAAAACCACGCTGGACTCGAACGTTGCCGACCTATGATATTGGTTTGCGCTTGAAAGGTCGGCTGACCATGGCGAACAGCAGCGACCGACTGCGTTTGTGCCCAGCGACGTTTTATCGTATGGTCTCGTCGAGCCTCATCACGGTGCATGTTGAGCAAGAAGGCGAAATAGGTACGACATCAGGCGAATCGCTCACGAGCACACGTGTGCAAAACTTGAGTTCATGACGAATAGTGGTGTGCTGTCGCGTGATATTCTGCTGTGCTCGACTCCTTTCAGCATCGAGCCTGTTCAAAGGAGAAGACCGTTTCAGCTCCAAGCCGTCGCGGGCATATAATGCGTAACCTGTGCATAGCGTCCTCGTAGATGTGATTCTATGTGCTTTGATCGGTATCTCATCCCTATCCAAGTATAATGAATCAAGAATACCGATCGAATAACATTGAGCTTAGCAACCTCTCGAAGGGCGATCAAGGATCCGACAACGCTCGACCCGACTCCTCGAAAATGTTCATATCGACCGGAGCTCTCAGCTTCTTGACCTCCGTGTGGGAGTCGGTAACTCAGGACATTGGAAATTGTTTGCCGTTCAAAGGCGGATCAAACTCCGCTCGAGAAGGAGACAGAGAGGCAGAAGACGAAGAACGGGGAGGCTATGAGCAGGTTACGGGTCTTTACGGATCTGAGCATGACCAGGTCATTTACGACGCTGATCGAATGATACGCCCAAGCATCGAATCATCTCCCGGCGCAGAACAGGAGTCACACTCGAAGGCTGAAGGACATAAAACCCTGGCTGCCACCGCCTCTTCCCTTCAGAAGAACCCCGCCTGAGCGATCTGAGCTTGGTACATACGTATACAATACCTGTTGTACAATCCGAAATCGTATATCGTAGCAAGGTCCAGATCTTCTGGAATGCGACGCCTTTGGACTCAATTTGGTACTGATGCCCAGTTTGTGGCTATAAACCCGGGGTCTTTTCAGGTATCTAGCTGTACCGCTAGGCTGTCTTACTTCGTCGAATTGCCAAGAGTCCAATCAGCCAAGCTTCTGCCTTCACAACGTGTCAGTCGTCCGATGACAGCTGAAGACACTTGCATTTCGACTATGATAGTATAGATAAAACTTATGGTCGTGATTCAACCGAAGGGAACTGTAGAGAAGTGAGATCCTATTACTCTCAGGTAATCTCACGAGACCTCATACCGCTGTTCTCGAATCTGATCCAATTCTAATGACGTTCGATCAGCATGGTGAGCGGGGTCCGGATCGAGTGGACGAGGTCTTGCGGAGCAGCGGTGTAGTAGGAAGAATCAGGCGAACTATATGCTATATGCATGGGTCATCAAGAAAGACTGGTGAAACATGGCACACGCGTATCAAAAGTGTCGCGTATCCACTGCAGTTCTCCTGTACAGGAAATACCCTCCACCATGATCCCGACGTGACGACTGAAATATGCCATCGGTATGCTACCTAAAATCATGCACTCAATGACGATCTGGTTCCGGTTCCGCAACTTGAACAAGATGTCGTCTTGATCGTTTTGAGTAGCACGGGTCTTTCAGTCGATAGACCTGAAACTCGATCCATCCCCGCCTGGGCCAGGGGCGACGCGCTTCCAACACACCCCCTGCCCCGCTCAGTCTGCAGCCCTCGGGCCAATCGTTTCGCCTGCAAACCAAGCTCGCGGATTGCCCCGGTTTACCCCGATTCACCATCCAGAGTCAGCAGTCGACCATCGAACATCATCGAGATCGACCAGCTGGTTAGACAGCATAATCCTTCTCTTACGGCCTGTCCTAGCTCTTCTCAAGCTCAACGTCGATTCTCTCTCGCCATGGCCATCATCACCGCCGCTCGTCCTAGTCTCTTGAGGGTTTGCGGAGCCGGTGAGTTCGAGCTCGCCGCCAGGGACATGGTCTGGGAGGCTCATGCAGTCGTTGCTTTGAATTCTTCTTGCCCGCCCTACTTCAATTTGCTCGCTCTTCTACGCTCGTGTGCTGGACAATCTGGATGATGTCTGTCGAGGACTGGTTGCTGGCGGATCGGGACGGTGGATTGGACGACCTGGTTGTGGTGGTATCGAACGGCCAATTCGATGTGTCTACTCGGAACCGCCGATCGAATGCGGACTACACTTGAATACCACATCGACGATACACTGCATGTCTGCCTGCGGAACATATGGCTATGGATCGCTTTGTGGAACGCACGTCTCATCCGGCGATCTCGCGACATCTTCGACCTCACCTCATATTCGGCCGGTGAACGTCTTGCGAAATTCGCCCCGAAAACATGTTCATGACATGTTCCGATCGTCCTCGTTCTACGGACATGATGGCTCTCATCTATCTCTGGAATACATAATCGATACCGCTCATGATACGCCATGCGGCCATCGCGACCTGCATGTATTCCTTCTACCTCTCAACCACATCGATAACAACCCAAACCACAAACTCGCCTTCACACGCTGCAACGTGTACGCATCAAACACCTCCTCATTTCAACTCGAAATCGACATCCCGGGTTGCCTCTACAGCCCCGGCGCTCCGATCGACCGGACTCTTCGCCCCGGCCTTGTTCAGGCAGGCTCGGAGGTGAGTCTCGACTCGTGCCCACGGACCGGCCCGCAGTCCAGTGGAAAGGTTTCGGATCGCTGACTTTACCCGGTCGCCTTTGGCTCGCTCGTCTCGCAATCGCAGGTCCATCCAGACCGAGTCGTTGACCCCGCAAGAGAACTTGGCGTTGCTCAATGCTCAGAGGACCGTCAGGCCCAACTCGCCTCATTTGACCATCTACCAACCTCAGGTATGTATCGGCGTTCTTGCCTTGAACAGAAAATCAGAGCACACAAGCTCACTCATTTCTACCCCTAATGTCTTTGCCTGGACAGCTCACCTGGGTCCTCTCCTCCCTCAACCGAATCACCGGGACCGCCCTCTCCGGCCTCCTGTATGCCGGCGCCCTGACGTTCCTCCTCCACCCCGTCTTCCCCGCCATCGACAGCGCTCACTTGATCGAGTTCGTCGCGGGGATGCCTGGATGGCTGAAGACGTCGATCAAGTTTACGTTGGCCGTCCCGTTCACGCTGCATTCGTGGAACGGGATCAGGCACTTGATGTGGGACATGGGTTACGGTAAGTAGAAGGCTTGAATCACTTTTATCTCTCTGTAACTCGACGAGAACTGACGCCTCTTCTTGCTACGTCTGCGTTTGCGTCGCTGTCTTTTAGCCTTGTCCTTGAAGGGAGTGTACGCGACCGGGTACGCCGTACTCGGATTGACCGCCATCTCGAGCATCGGTCTGGCCATGCTCTAAGCTGGTCGTCTTTGAATTCGCCTTTCCCAGCCGTGACGAGACTGTCTCTTGTCCGGTAGCCCTGTCCATTGTCTATCTATGATGATCTCGCTGTAACCATACGATCGAATAACGATAATTACAACCGTTTCGTGCACGTCGCCCGTCTAATGAAAATGAAACGCGACGCGTTTGAACGCGTTTCTGAGAATTCGACGCGGTGCGAGGGTCGAAATGGCTGGACTGGATGTTCATTCAACCAAGTCGTTCGACCATCATCACGACCTCGTATACCTTGCACACGACTGTAACGACTGACCTCTCGGAATACCTCGTCTATGACGTGGTGGTACTAGTCTGGATATCATATCTTCTGCTGGTCAGGAACATAGCGTCCAAACGCACACCCCTCCCGAACGATCGATCAGGCCACCCGAGCCTCGATATTCATACCCCGGGCGAAATGATGATGAAGATCGCTTCGTTCCCCCAAAACGGCTCGGGATCCTACGACACCCTCAAGGGAAAAGACAAGATCTTGTTCGACAAGGTCATTGTGGGGATAGTGAACAGCAAAAAGGTCGTCGTGGTAGCTGGAGCGGGGTTGAGTTGTAGTAGTGGGATACCTGTGAGTCTTTCGGTTTTCGGAGTAGATGGATGATGATCGACGATCGATGATCAGCGTTGGGATCAGCGTTGGGTTATGGGCGGTTTCGGGGTTTGAGCTGATCGGGTCCGAATTGGATGGTTAATCTAGGATTTTCGGTCGGAGAATGGACTTTACTCGTTGGTCGGGCAGATGGAATCGGACAATACCCCTTCAGGCAGCAGCAGCAGCACATCATCACCACCCCCTTCCAACCCCTTCCAGACGGGTAAAGACCTATTCACCTCGACAACAGCCTTTGCGACCCCCCATTCTACCTCGCTCTACTTGCGGTTCATCGGATCGCTCCTCCTAGCCTCCCGAAAGGCAGAACCGACGAGAGCGCATAGGTTGTTGAAGCGGATGGAGGACAAGGGGAGATTGTTGAGGATCTGGACGCAGAACGTGGACGGCCTCGAAGCGAGGGCGGGGTTGAGTGGAGGAAGGGGGTCCGTGGGAGAGGAAGAGTTTCGGACGGGCAAAGTTTCGGCCAGGCCATCAGTCTTGATACCGCCCTCTTACGCATCCGTTGTCGCTCGATCCAGACCGGGACCGGGACCATCTACTTCATCTTCACTCGCATCACGACGTCGATCCATCGCCAAGCCTCGCCCGCCGGTGACGATGGAGTTGCATGGCAACGTCCATTACGCGAGGTGCAACCTGTGTTCAGAGGAATATGTGACGAGAAAGGAATGGGTCGATGAGTGGGTGCAGGGCCGGGGGATTGAGTGTGAGGCTTGTGGAATCAGAGGTAGGTTCGAGGTTGCCGTTGGACAGCTCCCTACTTCATATGCCTCGGTGCTGATCGTTTCGTCTGTATCACTCGGTTCTCGTAGCCATCGAGAGAGAATTCAGGAACGCACGGGCGATCAAGACGGGCATGCTCCTCCCCTCTCTCGTCCTGTACGACCAGCCACATCCACAAGGAGAAGAGATCATCACCTCGCAAGACAAGGACCTGGCCAAAAAGCCCGACTGCCTGATCATCATGGGTACCTCGCTCAAGGTCGTCGGGATAAAGAGGCTCGTCAAGGATTTCATCAAAGGGATCAGGGAGGATCAAGCTGCGGCCCGTATCAAGGCCCAGGCAGCGGCTAAATGTCTGGCGAAACCCGCCACCCCGAGTGCCGCTGCGCGAGCAAAGAAGCCGTTGGACAAGTTGCCGGTGATATTCGTCAACAAGACCCCGCCGGACAAGGAATGGGAAGGTCTGATCGACGTATGGATAGAGGCCGAATGTGATGCGTTTGCAGAGGGGTGTGAGAAGATTTGGAGGGGAGTCAGGCCGGGTGATTGGGAGGTACAGGAGACTTTGGATGATTGTCGGGTCGGTTGGAAGCAGGTTGAAAGGGCCGTGCAGGGGGACAAGGGGAAGGCGGTCGGTAAGTCCGGTTTGATAATATAGTCAAGTTGTATAATGGAAACTGATCAAGGCTGTTTGATTTGCAGCTACGCCTTCCACACCCAGAAAGAACAAGGAGAGGAACCCCTTGGGATCCGGGTTAAATGTCATCAACCGCCCCGAACCGACGACCGCCACTCCATCGACGCCTAAACGAAAGTCCACCATCAACATCTTGATGACTCCGGAAAAGACGCCCTTACGATCAGCGACCCGAGCCTTGAAACGAACCCGAAACGACGATGAAGAGAATGACCCGTTCAACAGCTCGGCGGGCTCGATCGCTCTGCCGCCGACGCCTGAACAGACACCAAAGAAACGGAGAAGACACACGGATTACGGGCCTGCAAAATGCGTGGCGAAGTCTGTGACGGCATCGGTGCAGGAGCCCGTAGGTGTATCACAGCGGCGATACAGGACCAGGTCGCGGGTGTCGGGTTTCGATAGTGAGGAGTCGGACCTGAGCGAGGGCTTGGCTTGAAGAGCGACGAGGTGCTTTAAAATGGTGGGAGCAAGTGAAAAGTATTTAGATGTAGCAACCATAATGAAGACGATTAGAGAGACGTCGCGCACATTGTATCCGTAACGAGGCGATCAGCGCCCTTTTCCACCGAGGTGGTTCATGATGAAACCTTGAATGTCATTTTCGTCGGCGCAATGCAGGAGCGACCGTCATCAGCAAGTCTCGATCTGACGACAGCTGGCGGAAAGCGAGATTCAATAACGACCGTCATCTGTAAAACATGCAGATTTTACCCAGCGTCGTGCTACAATCAATTTGAGCCAAGGGTGCCCAGCTATCCATTGATCGTCCTGCGCCTCTCTATCTTGCTTATGCTCTTCGCTTCTTCGACCTTCGCCGCCAACTCACAGTGGTTGAGAGAGCAACCGGTAATCTCATTGGTCCTCTCTCTCGTTCTTGTCTGATACCCCGTAATTCCCAGGGCCATGGGCAAATCCATCAGGTGTTCCTCATCTTGATTTTCGTTGGTCTAGTACAGTCTAAGCAGAACTTGGAGCAGGAGCAAGCAAGGAAGGCCTCAGCAGGGTCAATCGTATCGAAAGAGAGTAAGAGCATTAACAATTCACCTTGCGCTAGTCCTGAGAATGAATGCCCCTAGATATGAAAAACCTGGCGGCCATTCGGTCATGCCTCTCACTCCAATGCCATCGCCGAATACCGAAACCCTGTTGGAGGCGCTGCTGCTGTGAGAGAGATTACGACGAGTTGTGGTCCATTGCTGAAGGGGCAAGACTGAAGGATGGTAGACTTGCACCAGCTCTGTCCGATTGTGGTCTACTTCAGCCTTAGTGGAGACACTTTGCTGTATTCAGTTCCTGCCTATGCCCCGGGAATTACCGTACTTAACCATTCCTTCAAATGACTCTTCATCAAGCCTATCTTTACCGACCGTGTCTTGACCAACTGAAAGGCAAACTCCTTGGGGCACTGCCAGAATGCAAGAGCAGGTGTCAAGTCGTTGAGCGCTGTGGGGAACTGCTTGGTCAAAGCCATCAGTCAGCTTCTTGCCGCTGAGGTCATGGACAGCTGCAGGACAAAACACCCGATCAGATGCAAAATTGAAAGCAACCTGGACACTGCGGGCGATGGACGCTTCCTATTCACCATTTATGATCTTGCTAGAGTACTTCAGAGAAAGCTTTCTTCCCTGACTGTTCTGCAACACACTTTTGCAATAACGACATGCAACGCCGCATTGGGACGAATCTCACGGCTGTGGTCACGATATTTCTACTTATCTACTTAAAAGGAGACTGGCATACAGTGTCTACCGGGATAGGGAGCCGGCCTGTCAGTGTAGGGTTCCCTCCTTCTTCGTATGAAGATCTATACTGTTATAATGGGATCATGACCTGCCCGGCGTAGCGGACTCTACAAGGATACAAAGCGAACACATGCGAAGACAAGGGCAGGACATCTGATCATTCTTCCATATCTTCGTCCTCGTCCTCGTCATCGCTCGCCTCGTCCGCCTCGTCCGCCTCGTCGTCGATCAACCCTCTTGGTCGGTCATCTTCCGAGTCGTCGTCCTCGTCATATTCATCCTCGTCGTCATCGTCCTCTTCATCTTCCTCGTCTTCCTCTTCTTCATCATCACTGGAAGCATAACCAAATTGCGTCAATTTCAGAGCCATATAGAATCTGCAAGAGCTTCCGCTACTCACTCGTCATCCGATGCCACTAGCAATTCTCTCGAAGCCTTGCCCTTGCGGCCATTCAACGCTCTTACACGAATCTCGCCATCGGCCTCGTCATCATCTCCGCCGGCGCTGCGACTCTCGGTCTCTCTCCGGCTTTCCAGTCGCACGTCCTCGACCTCGCCGATATCCTCCTCGTCACCCTCGATCTCGACATCGCTGTCCATATCTTCGCCATCGTCCGAATCCTCGTCATCGTCGTCGGTCTCTGATTCTCCCTCGACGTAGAACGTTCCCTGTCGCTTGGGTTTTGGTGGTACGAGCGATTTTCGAAGCTCGATCTGGGCCAAAGCAAGGTCGAGCCGTCCGGATAGGGAGAGGAGAGGGGTATGAAGTTGTAGGCGGCTCTGCAAGAGTTGCGAGAGCGATGCGAGGTGGACAGGCAACGAGGGGATCTACGGGACATCATCGGGGTCAGCTTGGATCTCGTGCGGGAGCGATCACGCTAATTGCTCACGGTCATCAGAATGCTACCTCTCTCAACCAAGACGCCCCGGATCCATGCGACGACACAACCGCCCTCCTTGCCGCTCAACCCGCCTCCTCGTCCACCACCTCGCTTCTCGAACCCTCGTCCCTTTCCGAGCCTCTCGACGCAGGCCTTCAACAGCGGCAAAGCCATCGATGCCGGCAGCTTCCTGATCGTATTCCTGATCATGCCCGGAGTCGAGTTTTGGGGAGAAGTCAGAATGAGGGTGAGAAGCGACGGGTCCGACGTGTGCAAGGCTTGCAATAACAACCGGGTCAACGATTGGGTGGATTGCGGGCCTAGCTTTTGTCCGCCGTCTTGACCCTCTTCCTCCTCCTCTTCGATATCCCCATCTTCGGCCTTCTTGCTTCGTCGTTCTGACGACCTTGCACCGGAAGGAACGTGATCGGGCTCCAATACGGCCAGACGTTCACCCAAGGTCAGATCGGCTAGATCTCCCTCGACGGGCAACTCGAGGTCTTTTTGAGCGAGATTCTTTTCCTCTTCCGTCATAAGCGCTCGAGTGGCGTTGTTGTTGGCACCCGCGGTAGATTCCTTGAATCGTTGCAATGGAATGGCCTGCCAATACAGAGCTATTCGTCAGTCACCAGTGAAGGCTCCGTCAGTGAGTAGCTTGTAACTCACGCCCTCTGCAGACTCGCTGGCGACCAGTTCCTGCCCACTTCGCTTGACGACCACTTCCGGGATGATCCCACCTCCAACTTCCCGGTATCGCTATCATCACAAAACCGTATGCACCATTCCGCATCAGCTCTCGATTCAGAATTGCCAAGACCCGCGAACTCACAATCTTCTCCCATCGAACTCGTCCCACACCTCCCATCCACCCGACAACGATCTCCTCCTGTGCCTCGTCATCAACATCCATACCGCCATCCGTCTCTTGCTTTTGGCCACCTCTTCCCGCGCTGACACAGGCCAAGATCCGCATACCGACATCCTCGTTCCCCAGACTCGGAATGACCACCGAGACCTTGGAAACAGGTTTGAGCGCGGGGACGGGCGCGGACTTCTTGCCCCGCTTCTTCTTGCTCGAGGACAACGAGTTCGAGTTTGCGTTCGTAGATTCGGTATCTTGAGTAGCGGTGAACGACGAGGCGTCCAGCGTGTAAATGCTGATCTCACCAGACATTGAAGTCGCGTACATCTCCATCTCGTCTGATTCCGGGTTGATAGAGACCGAGATATTATGAATGGGTTCGGAAGTAGGCGAAGGGATCGTAGCGATGGTTTCTACGTTCTGTTCCCCTGATCCGTTGGGGGTGGCGGACCAAACGGTCCCGACTCGGGATTCCTCCTCCACGGTGATGAACCTGACTCCGCCCAGGGGGAGTGCGACGATCGTTCGAATAGGCTCGATGGAGATGGATTGCGGGCGGGTCCATTGAACCTTTTCTTTTGAGGGGAGTGACGTGCTGAGAGGAAGAGGGAGTGTGAGGACGGTAAGATTTGTCGAGGCGATGGCAATGTTGACGTGCTCGGCCGAGTCGTCCAGGACAGAAATGGCGATCGGAATAGAAGATGAGGTCGAGGTTGAGACGGAGGCTGGGGTGAAACCATCTGGGAGCGGGGTGGAGAGTTGTACAGATCCAGTGACAGGATCGATGATCTCAAAGGTGGTGGATGAGACTGTGAGAATATGGTGCTCGCCTCCCCGGGTCAGTGCGATAGCGGTGGATGGTGTCGTCGAGAGGTTGACGACCTTGGCAGGTTTCGCTCCTGTCTGTCCGGTAGTATAGTAGAGCAACGAAGCTGCCTGGACGACGACGACGCAATCCACCTCTTCCTCGTTGGTGCCCGATCCAGCCGGGCCCGAAGCGCTCTTTCGCTTTCTCTTCTTTTTTGAGGAGCCATCCTCCTCAGCATCAACTTCCCCAGAGGTACTGGCAGCAGACCCTCCCATAGCCATACTCGCCCAAAAGACCGCCCTAGCACCCCGTTTACCCTCCTTGACGTCCAGCGGCAGATCCCACTCCTTGACGATCGAGCTCCTCTCGACGTCCCAACATCGTAAGCGTTGACCGCCAGCAATTCCAGCAGATACGACGGCGGCGAAATGTGTTTTGGTGGGGTTGAAGCTGGATAGGGAAGGGTGGGGAGGCAAGGGTTGAGTGTGAGCGGGTGCCGAGTTCAGGGTCGAGGTCGATTTTGCGCGGGACGAAGGGTCGCCCTTTTTGGATTTGTTCGACATGTTGATAAGGATGTCGTCCGTTCGTTCTAGAGAGAGAGAGAGAATGTGTGTGGGGGGAGGGAGATACAAGTTCAAGAATGAGAGTTTTGTTGAACCACCTCCAACTTGCAGCTTCTCCCTCGAGAAATCTCGTACGCGAACAATTTTTTCACGTGATCGCGAACCTCAGAAGAGGCGGCGATTCTGAAACTATATCATCTACACATGCATTCGTGCTCGACCTCTATCGATGTTACATGCACAAGTTCGCGTAAGTATTGTATAGCAAAGCCGAGGCTATCCTCAGGAATACGCCGAAGTCACTCCCTTCCAAGCTGCCGCGGCTTGTCCCGCCACGGCCGATTCTTCCGCATAACTGTAATTTAGAGTCTGTTGTGCCAAGTTCCACCTCATCCGTCTCCTCGTCCGCTCGTCGACATGTTGCGCCATACCGTTGATGTTATTTTCGGGTACGACCCACATGTCGAGGTCAATATAATACGATCTGGATTCGTGAGCCGTAAAAGTGATGGTGGCGTGTACTCTCGAACCACGGTTGACAGCCAGAGGTTCGGAGAGCAGTAGACGGCATTGCTGCCAGTGTGTGCGTTGTGCTGATGTCGAGGAAATATCAAGCTAGTAAGTCTACCTATTCGGTCTGCAACCGAACAATGGGCTTCGAAGCAGCCTGTATGCAAAACTCACCAAATGGACCGGTATCCAACTCCACTTCCCATCCATCCTCAGGCGCCTCAGGCAATTCAGGAGGATCCAGAACATTCTCTCCACCCGTCCCGTAATAACTATAAACAGCGGCCTGTTGAGCCATCTCCGCTGGGGTAGGGACCGCGGCCCAAGCGGCTCTAAGGAGCTCGTTCTCGGAGTTTTCGTCGTTTTCAGGGCTCGATGAGAGGGGTTCGGTACCGCGAGGTGGGAGGAAGGATAGGTCGAACCATGATGCGATCTGTCACAACAAAATTCAAAGGCGATCCTGTGTCAGCCGACTTGCCGTCATGAATTTGTTTTACTAAAGTCATAGCTTTCCGGGGATAGACTCACCCCATGGATCAACCCGACCTTACTGACGTCCCATTCCACCTCGACCTCGAATTTTTCCAGTTCCTTTTGCGTCAACGTGTAGAAATCGAAATTTCGGGGACATTCGGCTTCCCCAAACAGGGTCGCTGGGTTGATAGGACCCACGACAGGTTGAGCTGGAAGTGATTCAGATCGCAGTTGTGGAGGTCCGATAAAAGCGTGCAGAAGGCGAAATGATAGGTGGAGGGTCTTCAGCGGATTTCCGATTTGATTCAGCTCGTGGGATAACCACTTACAGAACACTTCTTCCCGAGCGGCATCCAACAGTGGACTGAAATCCGTCCCAAACAGTCGTTGATTGAAGAACGACGCCTGCAGCCGCAGAAGAAGCAGAGCAATGAATCAGCCAGAACGAGTTATGCTATCTAGGAAGAAGGAGTTCGTTCGCGGTCAAGACTGACCTTGGTCTCGGTCTCTGTCCAGAGTGCCTTGTCTTCCAAGGGCACGAACCACAGCTTCCCGCTGCATGGGTATAGGGTCCCGTTAGGTTTGAGATAAAGATCACGGGCCATTAGGAAAGATTCCACCTGTCCTCAGTGTCCAAGTCCAAATTCATCCACTTGAAATCAGTCCTGTTCGATATGTCAGGCGGGTTGCATGTAGTGCTCTGAATAGCCTCACCATCCTTTCGTGGAAAAGCAACACTCCGATGGGTTCAGAGACGATCGTGTCCACCTTCCCATCAGCTTCTCCGTCTCCACTCAGATAGGAGCCGATCTCGGCCTGCGTGGAAGGGGTCTCGATCTTCCCTCGAACGACGCGGATGGATCGGAGGTGGGGGTTCAGGTCGGATTGCTCGGATAGGGAGATGAGCTGTATTGATGGTCGTCGTCGAGTCATCGAGCATATTCAGCGAGTAATGAGCTGCATGTATATCTTGGGGATGAGCATAGAAACTCACCTGCGACATCTTTTCGGCCATCGAGCTTGCTTCGACCGCGACGACCTGTTCGGCACCTGCCTAAGCAAGGTGTCACTCTGATCAGCGAGAACCAGGCAGGGCCAGGCTGATCGACCGAATCTTCTCACTTGGGCGGCCATATAACTCAGAATACCGGAGCCTATCCATGTCATTCGTAGAGAGATATCAGCTGACGATGGACAGAAAGAATTCTGGCACGATCACGAACCTGCTCCGAGGTCCATCACCTGTTTCCCTTGAAAGGCCACCTTTGCATTCCCCAAGATCGCCCTCCGGTAAGCTTCCGTACGAGCGGTATCCCCGAGCATGTTGGCCTGGGATTGTAAGCTGGAATAGTACTGAAAGTAGACTGGTAGATACAGCGTCAGATGAGCGTGCTGAATCTTGATGTGTGCCTACAAAGCTCGAGCTCACAGTCGGTGTCTTTCGAACCCTCTTCGCCGGCTCCATCTGGACCTTTATCTGAGAGCATTTTGATGTCGGGTGATTCGGTCATGATACAGTAGTGTTCCTTTCAAGCAGTGCAACAATGTAAGTGTTATCATATGTAACAGATCACAGATCTTTTCCTGCAAAGGATGATCATATTTATGATTGTCCGTCTCTATGGCGGATGATGTTCGGTGATCGTCGACCCATCGCGGGGTCACGTGAAACGCCCCAGGACGTCGTCCAACAGATAGTACACCCATACACCCATACGAAGCTGTTCGGCAGATAGACAGAGACAGAAGATCGAGATCAGAACGGCAAATCATGATATATGCTATGCGGTGGGCTACCCTCTAATTACTCTAATCGATACATAAGCGACGTGGACGACGTCTTTTTTACGACAAGAACCTGAATCCCTTGGGCACGGTGTTGGCGTCGACCGGGTGATCCTCGCCAGCCTCCTCCCACTGCCTCTCGGCCTCCTCGAACTGTCGGTTCATCTTCCTCAGGATCAAAGAGAACCAGAGGTTGCAGCCGATACCGACGACGAAACAGCAGAGGGTGATGATGTAAGAGTTTCGGTAGGTAGGTCCGAACTGCTTGGACCAGACGTAGGATCCGGCAATGTTTCCCAGTTGGGAGACGGCGTTGAGCAAGGCGATGGCCACGGCTCGGAGGGCGGGAGGTCGGGGGAAAGAGCTGGCCATCCAGGAGTACATGATGACGTAACCAGCGTAACTTCCAGCTGCGAGGGAGATGGACAGGAGGATCAGTATTCGTGAGATCGCGCAGAATCACCCCCGAGTAGTTTGGACTAACCTTGAAGGAACAAGGCGAGATACCGGGCGGCAGTGTTCATGGTCGCGATCGAGATGACGAATCCGACGATTCCCATGCCGATGGGCCAGACGGAGTGCCAGAACTTTTCCTGCGTCTTGTCGGCGTGCCACGAGTTGACCAGGGCGACGATACATGAGAATACCCAAGGAGGCGCACAGAGCAACAGGGTCTTGGTCCTGTCGTATCCGAGGGTACCGGCGAGCGTGGGGAAGTAGGCGTTGAAAGACAATCCGGTGACGACGGCGATAAGACCCAACATGAGGACGTAGAGTCGAGACGTCCTGAAGGCGAGCTGAAGACCGTAAGTGATCGGCTGTTGCTCTCCGTCCGTGTCGCTCTCTCCGGTGTCCTCGTACAGACGAAGCTGAGCGACGTCGAGTTCCTCCTTGGTGAAACCCTTGGAGTTGTGAGGCATATCGGGCAGCATGAATCCGGCGACGACGGCGACTCCCATGGTGAGGGCACCTTCGATGAAGAACAACCAACGCCAGGCGGCATGTCCGAGGACGCCTTCCATGTTGTTCAAGATACCGGCGGCGATGAGGGAACCAAAGGCGTTCGAGATCAAGTTCTGTCAGGGGTTCAAGCGATGAGCACCGGTCGAGGAACTCAAAATCGGCTTTTTGTGCTCATGACTCACTCCGCAAAAGAGGATGGTGTATCGCAAGGCGATCTCCTTCTTGGTGTACCATTTACTCAACATGAACAGGGCTCCGGGCAGGAAGACGGCTCTGAAAAAGACGAGGCAGATTTATCAGCATTCTTCCTGGAACGCTCGAGAAAACGAGAATTCGGCAACTCACTCGACAAATCCGAGGAAGAACCTCGCGACGAGGACATCGGTAAAGTTGCGGCAGACACCAGTGACGACAGACTGCACGCGACGTGAAACGGATCAGTCGAGAGTTCCACAAGTTAGGGTAACACGCGCGCGGCGCTGCCAACGGGCACTCACGATCATTCCCCAGATCAACATGGCCGCAGCGATGTACCACGAAGGATAAGAGATCTTTGAGAGGATCATGTTGGACGGGACCTGCATGAGGATGTATCCGACTGGACGCGCGAAACAGCAACTAGGATAAGCGCGCCGATTGGCGTTTCGAGGCATCTGAATAGAAGGCTCACCGTATACGATGGATAGGACGGTCGCGAACTCTTCGCCCTTGAGACCGAGGTCCCTCTCGAAACCGGCCAGTCGCGCCTGAGAAGCGTTGTTACGGTCGATATCTGCGTGAGGGAAACCGGACACCGTTAGTGGTGAAGCGCGATTCCTTCGCAGACTTCGGCAACTCACAGTTCAGAATGTAGATAACTACCAAGATACTGAATCGCAAGTCGAGCTTGAGCTTGAGCTTCTTCTCGACCTTGAGGCGCCTCTCGTAGGTCATGTCGGTGTGGTAAGGCGACCCGGTGGTGTGCGGGAGCGTCTGGTCGAGCTGGGTCTCTTCGACCTTCATGACTTCCGATTTCGACGTCATGGTGAGCAGAGAGTCTAGTTGATGGATAGGAATCGCTGAATGAGCGCATACGGGCAAGGCGGCGCCGAGCAGACATATCTCAGCTCGAGACTATATACTCGACCTCGCAATGCTCTCTCGGAGAAGCCGGAGAAGACCTCTCCGGGGGTGAGAGGGGCACACATGTCTCCATGTCCCCCTCGATGCATCTCCATTGGCCCCAGAAGGGGTCTTCGAAAAAATCAGCTGGGGTGGCGCGTTCGAAAAATGACCGAGGTGCGGCAAGAGCCTTCGGTTAACGTTAGCGCGCGTTTCATGCCCGTGCCCCGCTCGATCGAACATGTGTCCTCCTCCACTTGCTGCCTCGGTCGACGGTTTCTATTTTCTGTACAAGCGAGGATCACTCTCGGTCGACTGATCGCACAGGCTGCATGCCATCAACCTGCGGCAGGATCCGCAGGAATGGAGGTTCTGATCCTCCGCGAGCAGGTGTGATCGCGGGGCTCGCGGGGCTGTTCTTGACGTTCCCGCTGAAAGCGCGTCGCCTGCGGCGCCTACATGTCAGATTTTCCCCTTTGGGACTTGTAGTTAGTCTAGACCCTGATGACCAACCCTCCCTAGTGTTCTCATGGCGACGCAAGCTTCGTTGTTCTTCAACTGAGAACTCTAGGTAGGTGCCGTGTATAGCTCCCAGTTCCCGAAATTAGATCCCTGATCCGAGTTCCATAGCTCCCGCAAAGTCGAGATCAAATTTTCTCGCCACCGATCACTGGATGGAGAGACAACCTAGAAGTTCGACAATCGAGCAAAGAGCTAGAGTCCAATCCCTACCGGCTACGTCAACCTCACGCTTAGCACCTGGAGGATCGGGAAAGAAACTTTCAGCTCCCCCTTCGAGTTTAGCTCGTACGACAATCACCCGAAAAGGTACTACCGAATCAAGTACCAAATCGTCGACGTCGACTCAGGATACGTCATCGAACCCGAATCCTACAAAGACGACCGATCCGAAAACTTCTTCGAATACAGTAGACGATCTAGCTTCAACCTTCAGCAGACTCAAGATGGATCTTCCAACGTACTCAGGGAGTAGCTCCACCAGGGAGGCCAAAGATTTCATCAGGAAATTTCGACAGTCGATGCTACTCTTGAAGGTGACCGAGGACAAGGATAAGGGAGCGTTGTTCTCTACCTGTTTCGAGCCTGATTCAGCTGTTGAGAGGTGGTACGAGAAGTTGGACGAAGCGACGAGGGATTCTTATGCGAGTGCGGAGCGGGCCTTCAACACGGGGTGGTGTGACGCAGTTCGTTCGAAAGACCAAGAACGTGCAGCGCTGGAAGGACTGATGGAAACGAAACTCGAAGATGGAGACGTGGACGTGATGATGCCTGACGGGAAGACGTACCGACACGTTGCGTGGTCAGAAAAGGTAGGAGAGTTAGCTGCGAAGTGCTCTTCGGAGACGACGGATTACACGAAGGGCGTAGCGATCTTCAAATGCATCGGAAGTCATTTGCAAGATATCCTACGTGGAGCCGTGGACATCAACTCGTTTGATGCGGTAGTCGAGTACGTCAGGGAGCTTCCTCCTCATGTGATATCGTCGATTCAGAGGCAGAAGAGGGTGGACAGGAGCTTGCTCGGATTCGGTTTGAACAATCGTGGTAACCAAACAAACAGGACGATGCAAGCTCCGATGTCGCCGACCTTGACCCCGCCTAGGAGTTTGAAACCGTTGGACTACGGGAACGAAAGGCGTGGGAGCTTCGAGAATGTTCCGCCTAGATCGAACGGCAACGGGTACTATGGACAGCGACCTGGAGTACGATACAAAGCGATCGAAGACAGGCAGCAACGGCAGATCGATGAGTACCTTAGGCGCAACAACGGAGTGATTAACGTCAATGAAGAGTTTCCGTTGACCCCGGGGACCGAGCCTGTAGGATCCATGGAGTGCTGGAAGTGCGGGACGAAAAGGCCGATGCCGCACCTTGGCAAAGACTGTACGAACGAACAGGTACCGCCAGCGGAGCAGCAGTATAGGTACCACAAGGGGAACGCAATCAGGACCGGACAAATCAGGGTAGACCGTCAAAGCGATGGACAGGGCTATAGCGGATTCGCCAGGGGAGCGAATGCGGTACCGGTCAGGTCGTTGGGTTTGACGTTCGAACACGGACAGATGACGCCGGAGGAGGAGCTGTTGGGCATGGATTTTGACCAGTACGACGATGAAGACAGAGGCCGAGGAAGGTCGTGGATCATGGAGGCGGGAAATGGTGGAGGGTCGAGCCGATAGAGGTTGGTTCGACCCGAAATGAAGACCTCGAACGATGGAAGCCAGGAGGGAGAGCGGAAGGGGTATTGAAGGGAGAGGAGGATGTAGCGGTTAGGCATGTAGAGACAGATCAAATCGGGACACCCCCGTGTACTGGGCTAGCATTACCAGTACCCACTAGGACGGAGGGCCTGAACGCCCTCCAAGCACCTCTCGTGAGTAAACGAGCTCGCGATGTGAACGAAGGGCAGAAGACTGCTGATGAGGCACCACCTGCGCCTCCCTTCGAAGACCCGACATACCAAAAAGGGAATGGACAAGTCATCACGCTATATCCGGAATACAAGGGTCCCAAGCCGAAGCCTTTCGCATTACGACATACATTGGAGTCTTATGGCTCTTACGAATGTACCGCTGGTCGTAAGGGATTCGTAGATGGAGGAGCAATCACTTCCGTGATGGATTCCAGTTTCTACGACTTACATGCCACCGGTCTGGAATTGCAGCCGAGTCAAACGATGATCAAGGTAGCAGATGGATCAGTAAAGGCTTGTCGTGGTAGAGTCAAAACGGCTATCCGGTTGGATTACGATGGGGGATCTATCCGATCACCTATCACATTCGAAGTCATGGATAGTGATGACGAGTGGAGCATCCTGTTTGGACGCGACTGGCTGAGACAGATGCATGCGGTAGAGGATTATCGCCTCGACACGCTGTGGATAGCCGACGCCGACGGTGCTCCACAAGCGTTCAGATCATACTGGAAAGGAACGGACCGAGCCAAGGAGATGATGAACTGTTGGCGAACGGATATCCATCATTCGGAGTTACAACGCCAGATGGAGACGGTGGAAGCTGAAGACGAATCGGTGCTAGATCATATCGAGATCGGACCGGACCTCAAGGACGACGAGCGAGAGCGAGTCAGAGCTATGCTGTTGAAATACAGACGAGCGTTCGCCCTAACGACGAAGGATATCGAAGCCACGGATCTGGGGGTACACGACTTTGAAGTGGACCCGTCGATCAAACTGTCGACCCGGCCTCGGCGTATTCGAATGACACCAGACGAACTACGGGAGGCTTCAGCTCATGTCGACGAGTTACTAGAGGCGGGAGTTATCGCACCGATCGCTCCACAGGACGTCAAATGCGTTTCGGATGTTATCATGGTTCCGAAGAAGATGGAGGTTTCGCAACAAAAGATCGAGGAACTCATCGAGAGTGCGCTAGACGGGAAGACATCTGGAGCGTCGTCTGGAGGCGATAGAGGCGAGATGGTACCGAAAGGAAAGAAGTTCAGAATGGTACATAACTACAAACCGCTGAACCGGGCCACAAAGTCGGCGCCCTACTTGCCTGGTAACCTAGGTGAAATGATCTCTCGTCATTCGGGCAAAAGGTGGACGAACATCTTGGACCAGTTGGGGGCATACTATGCATTCCCACTGGCGGAACGGGTACAAGCGTATACCTCGTTTTACGTCGAAGGCAGGGGGTACTTCAAATATCTCCGAATGGCCCAAGGTCTGACTGGCTCCCCTGCGACGCAACAAATCGGGATAGCGAAGGCGTACAAGGAGATGTTTACGAAAGGAGAGCTGTCGTGTTGGATGGACGACATGTTCACTTCGGGCGATGATTTTGAGGCGGTTCTCAAGACAGTCGAGAAGGTTCTGAATATCGCGCTGAAGCACAAGTTGAAGTTCTCCGCGAAGAAGACTAAGCTGTTCATGTCGAAAGCTACGATAGGCGGTCAGATCGTCAGTCGAGACGGTGTACAAGCTGACCCGGGCAAAGTCGACGCCATAACTCAATGGAAGAAGCCTACGACGGCGCTGGAGTTATTGACGTTCCTCTCGACGGCGGGATACCTTAGGCCCTTGATAAAGGACTTCTCGAAGATAGCTGATCCATTGCAGCGACTAGTTCGAGAGTGTAAGGCGGACAGGAGTAAGGGCAGAGGCCATTACAGGAGTTCGCTGGAAAGGTCCAAAATTGGAGACAGTTGGGGTCCTGAACAAGACGAAGCTTTCCGCGAGCTGAAGCGTGCGATCTCGAGTGCTCCGGTGATAGCGGCACCGCTTTACGATGGTACCCCTTTCCATGTTGCAGTGGACGCGTCAGCGGCGGGATTCGGAGCGCATTTATACCAAATGCAAGGGAACCAGCAGCGGACGATCGAATATGGATCGAGGAGGACTTCGGAAGCTGAAGCCAAGAAACACAGCTTTATCCTGGAACTGAAGGCTGTGCGATGGGCGTTGGGACGTTTTCGCAGCACGATATATGGAGCGAAAGTGATTTTGCATACCGATTGCACCGCAGTCAAAGGTTTACTGAACTCGGACAAACTGACGTGGGAACAAGCGTCGTACAAAGAAGCGATATTGTCTTACGATATCATCGAGTTCGTCCACAGGCCGGGACGCCTGAATGCGGTAGCGGATGGCCTTTCGAGGAGCGGATTAGGTCCCCCTGAACTTACGGATATCGAGGCCGGTTGCGACAAATTCGTAAGAGAGGTCTGGCGGCTCTCGGAAGACGAACATGTCGCTTTGCGCAAGAGGTTCGAGAAAGATCGATTATACGCGATAGTGGTCTTCCTTACGGGTTTGACGCTCACGTCCGATGATAGGGTCCTACAGAAGGCCAAGCAGTACTGGATCAAGGACGGGAAGGTATGGACGAGACATCGGGCATTGAGTGTCGACGTCGAGGTCGTGACGGATAAAGAAGGACCAACAATAGCGATCCAGAGTCATGAGGATGGTGGACATCTGGGACTAGAGCTGACTCTGCGTCGTACGCAGAGAAGATACCATTGGACCAACATCAGAAAAGACGTCGAAACGGCGTGCGCAGCCTGCCAAAGGTGTCACCGTTTCGGTTCGATGTCGAAGAGGAAGTCGTTGCAACACGTGCTAGCGAGAACAGCTCCTTTCGAGATGGTCGCTGTCGACTATGTGCACTTGCCGGAAGCAGCGACAGGGGAGAAAGTAGCTTTGATAGCGATCGATGTCGCAACGAGGTATATCTGGACCTGGACTTCGACTAGACCTCCACATAGCCAAACGACTATCGACTTTCTAAGGTGGATGGCAGCCTCATATATGCTTCCGCGGGAGGTTTATAGTGACAACGCTGGGGTCCTAGTCGGCCGAGATGTGAAAGAAGCGATCAAAGGGACGATATTTACGACAGCGGCGCCTTACGAACACGTAGGCGTTGTCGAGAACGCGATCAAATTGGTCCTAGACCGGCTGCGCAAGAGGTTGGACCACGACCTGTCGAGCGTAGAGGGCGCCTTAGTCGGAACTGATACGAGCGCGTGGCCTAGCCGCTTGAGGGGAGCTATCGAAGCATTGAACAACAGGAACCTCGAATACCTAGGCGGGTATTCACCGCGGGAACTGTTGTTCGGCATCCTGGACGATAGGACGGTGCCGGTAGAACTCGGTGATGGCCTAGCTGAAGGGGAACTGATGCGCCGTGAGGCGGTACAGGCGTTCGAGGACCATAGGACGCGCAAGGAGAAGTCGACAGGAAAAGGACCGCGATTCGATGTCGGGGACCTAGTTCAGGTATACAACCCTAGATGGGACGCCACACACGAGACCGCGAAGAAGCTTAAGGTCAAGTGGGGTGGACCGTATAGGGTCGTAGGTCTTGGGAGATCGTCGGCGAAGATTGCAACGGTAGATGGAGCCATGAAGGGGTCGGTAGGATTCGGAAGGTTGAGGCCTTGGCTGGGAGTGATGAGGGACAAGGAGGCAGAAGACGAGGCGGAGGAGAACGTAGGAGACGGGGACGACGGAGCGGGAAAATAAAAGAAAACAAAAAGAAGAAAACAAGCATCACGACAAAGTAAAGACCGCAAGACGGCATTGATCACGACAAGCACACGACCCTCGCGAACTCATGGACGACGGGCGTAAACGAAATATATACAAGACAATATAAAACACAAAAAGAGCGGATACGATTCAAAGAAACGACAAAACACAAAACGACAAAAAGAGCGGATATGGACATTCTAGTTTAGCTTAGCGGGGGGTGGTTAGTAGCGACGAGGGCGTCGCTCTCGAGAGGATGGGGGTGAAAGCGCGTCGCCTGCGGCGCCTACATGTCAGATTTTCCCCTTTGGGACTTGTAGTTAGTCTAGACCCTGATGACCAACCCTCCCTAGTGTTCTCACCGCTCGAGTGCAAGGCGTTTCGGACCGATGCCAGAGCTGCCCCGTCGAACCCCCGCGACCCAAAGGAAGGAAACGACGACGCGTTTGAGGAAAGTGCCGCAGGAACGAGAGTTTCGTTCGTGATATCACATGCTTTCTCGGGTGGCCGATCGTTGTCGATCTGTCTGCTGTCACTGAGTCAGGCTACTTACCGCTGTGTAATCGCTTCGTCATCCCCTCTCCCATCATCGTCATCCCTATTCCTTCCCGCCATGTCCCGGAAAGAACAAGCAGACAGGATCCGCAAAATCAACCGCAACGGTCAAGCGCTTGTCAACCGAGTCTTGGCACGGCACAAGAGGTTTCCCCTACGAATCGTAACATGGAGGACGATCTTGAAACCGGGTTGGAAAGAGGCTCTGCAGCGACTCTTGCCTTTCACAGCGCTGTTGTTGTTTCTGGCGCCTTTTACCACCGTTCAGAGCGATTCGTGGTGTCTTGTCAAGTCACAGGGAGGATATCTTTCCGCTTGGGATGGATCAGCGTGGAACAGCTTGTAGGTATCGCGCCAGTCTGGAATCGAGGCGAGCTCTAAGCTGAAAGGTTGACGAGATGACAGCATGAACGACTCGGCGCAGACGACCTCTTCGGACGTCGTGGGACCCTGGACGATCCGATCATCAGAATGGGGGCTGCTACGACTCCTGCCAGCTCTAACGATCATCAATCTTTTTCTCTTCCTCTGGTGCAGCTGGGTCGCCTATCATATCTGGCACGATGTCAAGGCGAACATCATCCTTCCTCACTCACAGCCGGCAGTCTCGGCAGCTTCTAACTTTTTCGCCTGTTCAGGCGGTCTCGCTGCGGCATATGGGGCGATGTTCTGCATCGAATTGAATGGGTGGGATTGGAGAGCCGCCTATCAGTCGACGGGTTTGACCTCCTCACAGCCGTCCGGGCTAGCGAAGAGGGCGCCTAGTGATCAGCTAAAACTAGGTCCTGGTCTGTACAGGTGAGACCGATTAGAATTCATCTGGGGCATTATCTGGGTCGATGACTGATCCCAAACGTCGGATCAGCGCTTTCGCAAGTCCTTGCGTTGCAGCTGTTTGGTTTGGCTTGTTGTGGTATCAACAGCATCAAGCGGCCAAAGAAGACCAGCGGGACGAATCGGAAGTAGCAGATGGCGATCAGAAAGTTTGAGACGCGGCGGACGCAGTGTGTGATGCAATTTCGAGGAATGTCTGGGGTTACTGCTACAGTACACAAGCACGATCTCATCACATATGCGCTTGAATCGATCGTTCATTCAAGGTCACAGGGTCTGATCGGACAACGGACAGCGCACTTGGTCTCCCATTAGCAAGGGTTCTCGACCCTTCATGACTGCGACGATGCATGCGTTTTCTTGAGCCTCTCACAAAGCCTTTCGTCATGGTCATCGCGTCGATACAGATCCCAACAAGTTCTACACGAAGGTCAATTGCAAACTGATCGGGAATATCCGGGATCGCCGGACAAAGGAAGACGAGATCACTTCGACCCCGCAGTGTTCGACTGGCTGGTTAGACTGGGCAAGTCTGATGCTGGCAGGGTCTCGATTGTCATAGGATCGAGCGCGGAGTATTCATTGGCGCCCCGTGTCTCGAACGACCCGTCGCTTTTCCGCACATCGTGAGTGTCAGTCTTGGAAGCGGATGCGGTAAACACACAGCCGGGTATAGTAGTCGCAGATTCGGGCACACCGCCCGACGCAGCTTGATCACCACCTCCTTGCCTGTCGCGTCGCAATCCCCTCGGTAATCGGCTCTTTCGAGGCTCTAAAGGGTCGTAGAGAGGAGCGGGAGGAGGAAAAGAATCTTCGAAGCCGTGGTGGCGAGGATTGTTCCCAGTCGAAAGCACAGGCTCATTCCATCCGCTGTGGGACTGGCCGAGCTCTTCGTGGTCCACTCCCCTTGTCGCGTACGCATCCCGATGACCGTCACGATGGCCTACCCTGCCACGTTCGAAAAAATCTTCGGTGAAGCCAACAGCCAGGGCGACATTTTCTATCACTCGTCGCTTCGCCTGCTCAGTTGTGTTCCTGGTAATGTAAAGGCCACAGGGCATGATCAAGTATGTCGTTGATACCTCTTAGAGACAGACAAATGGCACTGCTGATGATGGGTACTGCAGATTCCCGCCATCAATTGCAAGGGGGAGGGGGAGGGGACTACGACTCGCTCGATAGAGCACCGCTTATATGCTTGTGGAAGAGGGTCCTCCGTGATCTTGCGTCAAAATCGCGTAATGACCTTCCTTTGACATGGAGCATGCTGTGCAGGGTCATGTGATCGTGATCGATCGCGACATCTTAGCATGCTATGCCGAAAGTTACCGAATCAACCACTCGATATGCCATACGACCTGGGCTATGCAAACGTCGATCACGTGCTTACATAGCCCTCCGAGGAGACTGACGACAAGCAGGGAAACGCTGGAAGCCAGTTGAAACGGTACAGATCAGGAATGGATTCTCGTTGAAGAGCTTTGGAATAGCAGACGGTGACCGGACAGCCCGACGGTTTATGCGGGTTCATGGTGTTAGGAGTACATGGAACTTCATTCCACAAATGCCGACGATCAAGCTGGCCACATTCAGTGATGAAGGGTGGAGCACGGCCGTGACTTGCATTCGATAGCTCTTGAACCGGCTGCTAGCTCAAGTGGATTGGGTTTGACTGATTTACGATAGTCCTGAGCGACGCCATCGCGCAGTGAATACAACGTCGTTGTAGAAGATACCGTTCGACGTTCACACTCTCCGCTCTCTTCGGTCTGTCGGCCTAAGGGCGGATCTGGTTGCGGCTCTCACGGATCAATGGCACCTTGATCAATTCGTATGAAAATGAACAGATATGGTATCCAGACATGTCGCGCAGCCATAACGAGAACTTTTGCTATATTTTAATCGAGATGCGATGTGTAGGTATCTTAGCGGTTTGCCACCTGCCCACCTGACGCATATGGTCATCTTCGCTTCGGTGTTCGTGATCCAGATTCTGCTTCCGAATGCCCGAAGTCGATACAGCCGAGCTCGTTTGTCCGCTCGTGATCCTCTTGATCCTTGATCAACCCTAATATCGAAATGTCTACCTGCTACCTGCCACCCGTTTCTACGTCTGGTCATGCCAATCAACACTTCACCATAGAATCGTCCGAGAAAGTACTATGTCTGGTTCCAGAACTCCAGAACAACCGATTGACGAAACGAATTGCCTTCCGCCTTCGTACGGCAAGTCAAATCGTGATCGATCAGGGTCATTCTGATGAGCCTATGAGCTGATCTATGTCTGGGTCACTGCATACTCCGCCTCTCGTTATCAGAGAGCCTTCAGAATAGACCGAGAATCCTCGAGCCCAGAACGACACATAGTCAAGCTTCTTCTGACCACCAGGTCCACTCCTCGACCCAGACTCGTTCGACGCCCTTGGATCTTCCGCCAATCCGACCTTTCCGCGGCGCGCCCGACGAAGACATTCAACACTTTCTCGACAAGCTGCGTCTTCGATTCCGGCTGGATGCTAATGGATTTCGAGATGAAGACAACAAGGTTCTCTACACGCTGACTCTGTTGGAAGGACAGGCATGGAGGCTCGTACAAGGGGTCGGAATGGATGGAGCGGACGGGCATGGGGGTCCGGTAGGAGAGAACCTCGAGGATTTCGAGGCGATCGCCGAGTTCTTGATGAACGCCTTTGGGTCCCTCGAGTCCCGTATACTCGCCCAAGGCGGAGAGAAGGCAAGAGCGTTGGCGGCGAGGAAACTTTCCGCTGTATACCAGACGTCGTCTGTCTGGCAATACCTGGCCGAGGTCGACCGGTGGGCAAGGAGGACGGGATGGACAGAAGCCGCGATCATCAGCGAGGTCAAGATGGGGCTCGAGCTCGAGTTACGGGGGGCCGTTTCACGGGAGATGACGAGGCAGCCTGGATTGCGACTCGATTTCAACGCTTTTCGCAAACGAGTCTTGCAGTTGGATGAGACGATACGCGAGGCTTGGGAGGAGAGGAGAGACGAGGAGATGAAGGCGAGAAAGTGGGATGCTACGTCGCGGGGGGTGGATCAAGCAGACGATTACAAGCCGGATGATTTAGCCTTGGCAGGGGAAGGACGAGGGCAGGGAATTAAGCAAGCTCGAGGTCGGCGGGGAAGGAACTGAACGTAATAGCAGAGGTGGATATACCACTGCAATTATCATCGTCGCTTTCATAACATGTTGCCCTGCACGGACCGCCCATGGAACGAAGAAAGCGCTCAAGATCTTGAACAGCGCAAAACCGAACCCACCCGCTGATTGGATCTCGCATATACCTGGCCGTTCATTAGATTTCGCTAGGAGACAGCTGCCTGGCAACCTGAAGCAGGTTGGCCCTGGCTTGTTCCTGACGATCTCGAGCAATAAAGATAAGCAAGAAGATACGTTTCTTGAAATACGGCCCCAGGCGCTGCGAGATTTATTGCGGGCAGATTGCGCCGCTTCGCCTTCAGTCCTTTGCACAATTGCACTTCACTGCTCTCGTTGTTTGGGCACAAAGTGTAATTTCGAGCCCGGCCGTATCATCGGGTCCTCTGCAGACCTGATGAAGGACAACCGCAATCAGGCGGTTGGACAAGCTGGGAGGTCGCGCGCGGACATTGAGAGTCATTCAGCAATGTCCGCGAAGAGCTGACCATGCACTCAAGTGACTCAAGTACTCAAGCAACCACCGGTCATCTGTTCTGGAACTCTTGTAATTCTATACAACCCCGAGCTCAAAGCTTAGCCATTACCTAGACACTGAACGTGATCATTCCATTATCGACCATGTCGTTATTCGCCGGAACGAGTTTTGTAGCGGATCCCAACAAGCCGGCGTCCGAGAACACAGCGAGCACGCCCACGGCCATCGCCGCAACGAGTTCAGGTCACACTGGTATGAACCGATCCTACTCTACGACACAAGCACGGAGGGGGAAGAGCCAGGTCCACAGCTGATGAGGCCGAAAGCTTCGGATCGTAGCATGCGTCCGGATCCTTCGGTCTGTCACGCCATGATACTGGTTCTTTCCTCTCCTCATTCGATGATGATCGAGAAGACACCTTTTCGCTAACGCATCTCGTGAGGGGCGTCCGACTCTGCCCCCCTTATTAGGCGTACAAGATGGAAGTACGACGAATAATGCAACAGGAACCAGCGGAGTAACTCGTCCAATCGTAGGGGCTGGTACTGAGATCCCGGTATCCTCTTCGAGCACGGCCAATAAGACGGGGTGGTCCGCTGCTCTTCGGTTCGCTCCGGCAGCTTCGAGGAAACCGAAAGCTGTTTCCAAACCTTCGACATCCACGAATACTACGACAACAGCGACGACCACGACAATCCCTAGCGGCTTCAAACCTGTCTCTATAAACGCACCTAGCACCTCCTCGACGTTCTTCGCGGCCCCAGTTGTCCTCGCTTCGGAACCGAAAGAGCCTGGGGTGCCGTCGACATTGACTTTGGTGGACGGAAAGAAGACTTTCAAACCACCCTCGATGACGCTAGAGGGTATTATACCCGGAGGAGGAGCGGGAAGTAAGAGAGGGCACCCGGGCGGGGAGGCCGATGGGAGGGGGAAGAAACGTTGGAAGAAGAACAAAAAGGTGTGTATTGTCTCCTGTACATGCTGTCATCTGGCAGTTTCAGGTCCTTTTGGGTCAGATCAACCATGACCGGACTTCCCAAGCGTCGTCACTTTCAGCTCGCTAATATTCACTCCTACCATGCTTGACAGAAACAATTCGAAATGCCCGTCCACATCTTCCAGCCTCACGAGCTCTACAACCCCGCTGAACCCAACGATTTGCAGCTGTACAAAGAGTACAGGAAGGCTAAGCGGGAGGAAACGAGGGTCAGACGTAAGGAGGAGGAAGAGAGGAAACGGAGAGGAAGTGAGAGTGAGGCGAGTTATTATTCGGAGGATGAGCGGGAAGAGCAGGAGGTCAGGAGGGATGGTGAGTCGCGCTTTCCAAAAGAAATTGCTTATTCTGCTTTATAGAGTGTCGTGTGAAGGGGAATTGACTTATGCTTCCTTTTGAGCAACTCAGCTCCTAGGACGTTTGCACCTCCCACATCCTTCTACAATAGCCAGCCTGGAGAACCTCCTGCGCCAAATTACACAGAGACGGCTCCTCCGCCGGACGAAGTTGATGCAGCTCGAAGGCAGGCGATGCAATATAACAAGAACGAGACGGCGGATGAGGCTTATGCTAGGCGGTTGGCGCTTTCGCAGCCTCAAGCGCAGATACAACCGGTACCGCAATTTCAAGTGGGGACGGGGATTGGGGTCGGGTCTGGAACGAACAGGGCGGAGACCGCCGATGAGGCTTATGCGAGACGGGTGGCCATGTCAGCCGGCGGTGGAGGCGGCGGTTTGGGGTCAAGTGCTGGGTCTGGAACCGGATACGGAGCGGGTTTGGGAGCCGGCGCGGGTGGGCCTCCAGCCTTTGTCAGACCGGCAAGTTCGATCCCGACGTTCGTCGCTTCGAACAACACCTTGGTCCCACCTACATCGATGCCGCCTCCCTCCACGAGCTCTCCAGCGCCAGCATTCGTTCCTTCTGCACCTGTTCCGAGTGCGGTCCCGGCGGAAGACAGGGCGGCTCAGATACAACAACGTATCGCTGCCGCCAAAGCTATCGCCGAAAAGATCGCTGCTCTCAAAGGTCCGCCGGCTGAAGAAGAGGTTCGGGCAGTGGTGAAAGAGGTCGAGGAAGTGAAAGACACGACGGGCATGAGTGGAGAAGATGTTGTGGCCATGCTTGCCAAGGAGGTGGAAGCCAAGACCGGGTCGACCGAGTGAGTCCAGGTGACAATCAGCTCTGCCCGGCCGTAATATTGACCGTTTGAATCGTGATTAGGGCGCCGACGGGGACATTCGCAGAGAGGAGTAAGCCGAAGAGGTCAACTTGACTTGCATCCGGAGCGGTTCGTTGACCCGTTCACCCTTTGTGACACCTCAGTGATGAAGAAGTGGGGCCATCAAGAGGGTCAAGGACTCGGCAAACAAGGCGATGGAATCATCCACGCCTTGGCGGCGGAAAACATCGACGCATCGAAAAAGAAGAGTCGAAGCGGATGGGTTCAGGCGAGCTCGTCCAAGGGAAAACTGATCAACTCGAATCAAGATACGAGGCGACAGGAGGACAAGGAGAAGTACGGAGAACCGAGTCAAGTGGTCTGTCTTTCGAACGTCTTGGCTAGTCCGGACATGGCGGATGAGGATCTGCAAGCCGATATTGGCGATGAGTGCGGGAAACATGGGTGAGCAAATCACTCTCGCTGCACAAGCGATCACGAGTAAGGACCACGCGCTAATGACACTCTGCTTTTCAAAGAATTGTCGAGCGAGTCGTCATGCATGTCGTTGATCCACCACCAGCCGAGCCTTCAGACGGGTTCCGTATATTTGTCGTCTTTTCCGGCCTGGCAGGAGCTTGGCAGACCGTCAAGATGCTCAATGGCAGGATGTTTGGCGGCAGAGAAGTGGTAAATCCCCTCGGCTGCTTGGCTTCAACAGTGTGCAAGACAAAATGCTGACGGCTTCATTCGTCATCTGTGTCTAGCGTGCGACGTACTTTGATAAGGGTAGATTCGATCGAGGCGATCGATCGGGCCGTCTGTTGTAAAGATTGTAGGGGATGTGTCTTGTTTGTGTCTTGTTGAAGATGTGGACAAGGACTCTCGGTGGAAATTCGTTCCTCACCCATGGAATTTCCCTGATACGTTCGCGCTGTAGAGGCGAACCATCACGAGGCTTGACGGCACAACTCTCGGACTGCCCTTGTTCTGCTCTTCTCGCGATCATCCCAGGGTTGTTGTCATACTCTACAGGCCTTGCTGTGCACCCAGCTTCCCGACGATGAACTCCGATTCGACCCTTATACCAAGCGGTCAGAGACCACGCTATGGCTCCTTATCCGATACTTCCACACATGAACGTACCCGTTCCATTTGCATCGCGCGACAACGAGGACATTTTTGAGCGACTCAAGGATCGGTCCAACGAGACCGCTGAAGACTCTAGCTTTCACGTTGGGCTCCTGTTCGGTCAGCCGGTACGCCCGAGCGGGCAATATGTACGAGTACAATCGCAATGCAAGAATGGGAAGGGTGTAATCTCATGCCACACAATGCAGAATTACCAGAAGGGCGATCTTGCGTAAGACGCCAGACCCAGCGAAAGCCCTACTTGTCAGTCGAAAGGCCTGGAAAAAACGATAACTACCCCTCCTCCTTTGCTGCTGCCGATCGCTTTGACATTTGTATTGCGTTCCAGAGTCTTTCCCTCGCCTTTACGAGCGGCAGATCTGACACACCATTGAAACTCCAAATCATGACTAGCCGTGAACGATAAAACCCTTGCTGCTGGCGCCGCAGCAAGTGGTTTCCAGAACCACTTACAATGCGTAGGAACTGCATCGTATAGCTTGGCCGTAATTGCCATCAAAGCAAAGGGCGACCCCCCAGAAGTTGCGGTAGTGTCATTATTGAATGGGAGGAATCGGAGGGAGGTAGATTTATCCCAGCGCCGTCTATTTTGGCCTCGGTGGAGGCAGAAGTGCTTTGCCATATCCTTACCCCGCTGCCCCTCCGTACTGGGCTGCCCCTGCCCAGATCTCTTGCTCAATTCCACATTCGCCCACCATCGAATACCTGCGAGATAGTACATTGGCCAATGATCACGAATCTGCTCTGTAGCGGCTTCACTGACCCACTCGTAGGTGGATCCTGAAACAAAGATTCGACCGTTTGGCGTCGTTCTTCCTTGCACTCGTGTTGACTTGCTATAAACATGTTTCAGAATGAATCAGAATATCTACTCATCCTACTATCCATCTCGAGTCAGATCCCCGTCATGCGGCCACAAGATCCACCCCATGCCGTCCCGGGTTGCAAAGCCAAAGTCGGCTCAACTCACAGGAAGATCACAGGCCACCCTTCCAACAAGGCTCGTCACAACGATCAAGCAGCCGTCACTCGACTGATTAAAGAAGAAAAACACCTCCGACTTGATGTCTGCGAGGACTCCCGCCGGAACTCCATCTGGCAGGCTTTCCTTAAGGATGGATCTATGCATATAAACCCGATTTACAACAGGGCAGCTTTCAAAAGTTCTACATTGGGAGAAGTAAAGATATCGAACAGCAACTGGAGACTCCCTTCCGAGGACCGCAATTATCCGTTACACAAAAGACAAGATGGAAAGACAAACCGCATGGTACTGTCGTGACCTTTGGACCCGACTTCGTCCCAACTGCGATTTGGTCTGCTCTTTGGTTCATCCCTAATCGCGTGCCATGGCAGTATCCACGCCCCGGATCTGCCGAGATCACAGGTCTGGAAGAAAGCATAAATCGGCGTCGACATATAGTCTCTTATACATCGTACGGCTTATGGAGGGCCTCCAGCCGTAGCTGTATACCACGCTAAATTGCCCTACATAACCCTATTTGGGATCAACCTTCTCCATCCCAGTAGGTGGGCAGTCATCAACACTTCTCAGCTGAACAACAACATTGGTCTGCAAGCTGATAGCATTGTTACCGTTCTCTCGGTACGAGATATCGGTAGAGCAGCAAGTCTGGCACTACCTTTGTCCACATGGCCCGCAAAAATTCCACCCAAATCACCCTTGCCATGGCGATTGCTTGCTATGTCGAAGGGCCTGTTGATGATGAGCGGACCCAGACTTACGTCAGCGCCTTTCAACCTGAAACACGCGCCGAACAAAGGGCCCAAAGGGACTTTTTCGTTGTGGGTCTTGATGGAGAAAGGAAGAAAGTTTTGGTTTTGTACGGGTAAGGGCAAGTCGAAGAGCATATAGAGGTATTCCTCAAGTTCTGTCGAACACTGCACGACCATCTGTTTCTCTGCCAGCGTCAAGATCAATCCAAACCGACCCAAGTCGATATCATGACCCGTCAAATGACTTCTGAAGGCTCGCAAGATCGTTATCTCGCGCGCAAAGCTGACGAGGAAGACCTCGACGCCATGGTAGAACTCTTCAACGGTTTCCACCAGTGCAAGCTCTTCCGACTACTTTACCCCGGAGTCAAGGACGCCTCGGAACTCTCTTCTACCCATCGACACGTGCTTGTTCAGTGGTACAACTCGCCAGTCCGCCGACTCGAAGTGATTGTTGATCAAGCGACCGACGAGGTGATCGCCTTCTGTAGCTGGGCTTTGGACGACTCGCTAGACATGCCGTTGAAGGAAAAGTATTATAGAGGCCCTGGAGCTAATACCGAGGTGATCGATGCGTTCCTCGACAAGATCGAGCATTACGATGAGTTGCTCTGCCAGTTTCCTGACTTTATCTGTAAGCGCCGCTGTGATGGTTGGTAGCGAGTCGATTAGCTGATGACGACTCGACTTTATAGATATCGACTGGATCATTATCTCAGAGGAACACCGGAACAAGGGAGTCTTATCGCTTCTCCTCGCTTGGGGATGGAGGTGGGCTGTCCAGATGAAACGCTACATCATCCTGGACTCTATCGAAGGTGAGCCCTTGCACAAAGCGTCGATGTTGCGAAAGTGCCTTACGGGGAAGTATGTCGTATGCGATTCGATTTGCAGAAACCACGAAACTCTGGGAAGATCGCGGATTCGTCAACCTGACTGGCGCGAAATCGCAATGGAGCTTGAACACCCTGGAAAAAGACGAAAATGATCCTAATAACGCCGCTGCGAAAGACATTCCATTCGGACCCGACACGGTCGGTACGGCAGAGACAGGCCAGACGCAAGTGAGTCCAGTCGTCATGATCTTGCCTGGTATAGGTGATGTGCCGCTGACAGCTGTTGGGATCGCGTAGTTACAACCGATGATTGCAGACCTGGAAAAGCTGGGCCAGAGCCTGGGCAAAAGCAAATTTGAAGGGAGAAACGTACATGGGGATTGGGGTTGGAACGATCTGCGTTCGTTCAAACTGGCATTCCATGGGTCCGTCGAGTACAGGATCAAACCCGCCGAGCCCGATGTGTAGCGAGGCGTTTGTACCTTCTTAACTCGATGAGTCTCTGTTTCAGCTGTTCCGTACGTTGAGCTGGAAGATGTCATTCCTAGCGTAATGTCCCGAAACGTCCAGGTCGAATTTCCCACGGATGATCGTGTCCAGATCGAGTTCCGCCGTCAATACCCTACAATGACCCAACCGAAAAAGCTCATTGGTCAGCTGTCGAGGCGAAGTTACAATTTCTGCCGATGAGAAGGGCTTTCCAGACCCACCCTTCTTGTCCCCGCAGAGGACCTGCCAAGATGGTACCCATCGGATCGACGATCATACTTCCTCCAGCGATCTTGACGTCTTCCTCGGAAGCCGATGCCTCGCCTGCGGTAAATGAAGAACCTTGTACGTGGTCCTTGGCTTGAGAAAAGTATGGTCCGCATGTCGGATGGGCGATATTAATGTCAGTCCCATGATCCTTATCTTCAGTATCGGAGTGGATTCGGACTCATCTGATTGGCGCTCAGGACGAAACATCTCCCTTCCAAAGCGATATGAACCATGGTGTTCGCCCAGACTTCCCGCCCGTCCACCGTCGGGGCGCAGTATATCTGAGTGCCTAAGTCGTACAGGTGTTGGCGAAAGAGAGGCATGTAGTTTTCCCAGCAGATTGTCGCGGAGATGTTCAAGTTCAAGGCTTGAGAGGAAGACGAGGAGGATGGAAGGGTGGTGTTGATGAGCTTGGCGTCGGATGCGTCTCCTTGCGCCCAGACGAGTCGTTCTGAGGCGGTCGGCATGAGCTGAACGGCCTGAAATAAGCTTTCTCATGATCTTAGATTGTATATTCATGGAAGCACTCACCTTTCTCCTCTTCCCGATCAAGCCTCCTTCCGGATGCACCCAGACGACCGTACAAAACAACGATCCTCCGACCTTTTCCTTCTCGATCACCCCGCTGACGATCAAGACACCCGATTCGCGGGCGATCTTCTCGATCCGGGTAATAGCTGGACCAGGGATAGTGATGGCGGCATTATGGTAGTCTAGGTAATCTTGACGGCCAGAGGAGTGCCGTTCGCCGATGACACAGCCGAAGGTCTGGCCCTTTGGGTAACCGCCGATGCTATCGAACGTAAGCCCACCCGACTACATTTAGCAAGTATGATAGGAGACAACAGTGAGAGCCTTTTGTACTGACAATGCTTCAGGGAACACGACCATCCCACTTCCATCCCGATCTTTCGCGACCTTGACGAGCCGCTCCATCTTTTCCAAGGTCGCGTCGAGGTCGTAGCGGACGGTACAGGCTTGGACGACCGAGGCTCGGATGGTGTTTGTAGGAGACATTTTTGCAGTGCAGAATGACGAGTTTGGGGCGTTGGTACGGATCCTGTGAAACGAGAGGCTACTCGGATCGATAGATCAGGTCTGTTATTGCAGACAAGTATAGAACCGGTCAAGGTGTCCAAAATCCGACTCATCTGTCGAGGTCAACCCCCTCGTCGGTCATCGCCGACATTTGCATCCGCAGGGGAACATCGAATTGATGATGTGCTTGGCGACCAAGTCGGAGTTGTATATCGATGCTACATATCTCGTGATTGCCTACAAGCGCTCCAGATACAACAACCTCAGGGCGCCTCAATGGACCTCGACACGTTCAACGCCGAGCCAAAGCTCTTCTAGCCAGGATCATCAGAATCAGAGCGTACTTCTCGAATTGGTCCTTGAGCATGAACAAGATTCCTGTTCATACATACGATCAGCTCCTCGCCCTCTCCTCTGATACGTATGGGAACACGGTGGACATACCTTGCGACAAGACCGCCTTTAAGATCTGAGCCGACATGCCCTGATACCACCCCTTGAACCCATGTTTCGCATAAGTATATTGCAAGAGCTCGACAGCCGAAGTGAACTTCTTCTTCTCGACCGAGGCCTTCCTTGCTTCTCGTTCTGTTTCTCCAGTGACATGCGGTGTTGAAGACGAAGCTTCGGTCTTGTTCGCCTCGAGGTCGGTGGAGGTGACGAGATGGTCGCCGTGTTGATGAGCCGGTTCGTGCTTGACGACATCAGCAAACGACCCGGGTGGCGATACCGACGTCGTTGTTTGAGGTTGCTGTTCTGACGTCGAGGGCGACGCTGTCGAGTCGATCTTCGGTGATTTTGCTTGGAGACGTACTTTTGCCTGCGATCGCAGTTGACAACGGAAGCTTCAGTCTCTTGCGTGGAACCTCGTACGAACGCTTCGATACTCACAAAGATGTAAGGATACGTGACGACCGTAGCCAACGTCTTGCTCGTCATACCCAACAAGAAGCTCCACCCCGGTCCCAAATTGAGGGCCTTCGCCAGCGCAGCATCGTCCCCGCTTGAGCCAGCTGCACGAACAGCAGCAGCGGCCAAGACCATCCCTTTCAATTTTTCAAACACGCCATACGTGATAGCAGGGTTCACTGTGAGCACCAAACCCGGTTTCAACCCCGTCCACAGGCCCGTCACGCCGGACTCTTCGATGATGTCACGGGCCGTATCGAACATGCTCGGATCTCGAGTTTCCGGGCTGCCCTTTGTGCGTTCGTAAAGTTGCTGACGGGTAGCGATGACGGCTACGGGGATGGTAAAGATCTGAGCGAGAGCTCCTGCGAGGGCGCCGAGGAGGAGTTCTAGGGATGTAGATAGAGATTTGGAGGTGCGGCGTTTCAGAACGGCAGTTCTTAACGAGGAGTGGAAGAAGAAGTAGGCGAATTCTACATGAATCGTCCAAGAACAGAAACGTTCAGAGCTGCTCACAGCATGTCTCGGAAAACTGCTGGCGACCGGACTCACGCATGCTGAAAGTACTAATCATGTTCGCTCCGAATCCTCTGAAGAACCCTTCTAAACCTTCGTTCTTCCACGTCTTGAGTAAGACTGCCAAGATGGCGTTCTTGCTTTTCCTATCAGGTCCGGTCAATTTCGTCACGCTCGAATCGGTCGACGAGCCCTGAATTCGCGTCTTGACCCTGTCGGCGAGTGCAAATGGCAATGAATAACAGAACTTGACAGTGACTAGTAGTATACCGTGGCAGTACTTACGTATCTAATGGGTAGACGAGAGCGCTGCTGACCACCGCACCCATAGCCCCGGCGACGGCATTCCCGAAAGGCGTCAACCGCTCGGTCTTGAGAGCTTCTTTCAAAGTGATGTTCTTCGCCATCGTACCCAGATCCAGACGGATACGCCGAGTCAGATTCTAGAGAAGCTATTGATACAGAATGTCGTGAAACAGATGTCGAACCTGTCTCGTTCATATATTATCGCAGTTGAGTCTGAAAGATGATGCAATCAGCACGCAGCGATCCTCCTCTCGGGTACTCTCGCGTGATTGCGATTAACCGGAAGAACGGACATCGATGACAAGAGTTTGATGTCCGCTTGACATCCTTCCTTCGAGGTAGGGTGCAAGTTGTTTTGGCAGTGGAGACTGACACAACAAGTTATCTCATATGCCTAGGCCAAGTGATACTGACAATGGACATCAGTGACCCCAGAGAGAGGTGGATGAGAGTGCCTGTAGTTCATCGATGGCAAGCATTGCAGCTTTATTATGAAATGGCATAGAAGTCACAAATCAAATCCTCGGGCGGGAAGGAGTAAGGGAAGTATAACGGTCGATCAAGCTCTCTCAGATATAGGTCCGCATGCGGTGAACAGACCTCTTAGTGAACAAGCTTGAGAGCTGCCCAAAGTCTGTTGCGGTCGAGAAGGTATCAGTTGACCGTATCCATGCTCTTCGGTGCTGTCGTGTACGAGATCACTCACAGAATACGATAGATCACCATGATTGCTATAAGAATGCCCGCTACGAATCGAAGCATGACCATATATGTATAAGTCTATTTGGCATGATTCTGAGGAATACAGACCGATGCTCACCCCACGCGCCATAATTGATGTCTCCGATCTTGAGCGCGTTCAAGACGTCTTGCCCGAGAAGTTCATCGGGGCCAACTGAGGAAGGATAAGGACATCCCGTGCCGTCGCAACGGAATCCCAACCCTCTAAGATCCGAGTTCGCCAACAGCTCAAACGCGTACTTCTGGTAGTCCATCCTGGTTGGGCGAGTTCATAATCAGCTCCAGAACGACCACATAGAACACCCCAGTGTTCTTTCCGGTCTACCAACCAGTGGAAGGAGTAGTACCAGAAGCGAGGAAGATTGATGGCCCGGATGCTGGTAGAACCGACCGGCATTAAAGAGTACTGTAGCGCTTAGCATGAAACGGTAGACGAGATCACTTACAAGTACCCTCCAACGCTCATCCAGAAGCCGTTCAAAAAGGCGGACACCGCCAATGCCGCTACGAAGATCGGCAACAAGGCGGCGACGACCAGGACTTGACTTTCCGCTACGTAAATCGATAGGAAGAGGAATCCAATATATCGGAATACAGCCGAAGCGTCATCATTTAGGCCCTACAAGAGAAATCCAGTGAGACAGGGCACAGCGGAAGTGTGCGCGGAGGTGATTGAGAGGTAGGACTCACGATGCCCCAGTACATGATGAGGACGAACAAGGTCGAACATGCGAAAAGGAACGGTATGGTCACGATCGAGTTGGCCAACACGAAGGGCAGGGCACCGTATAGGCCGTTGGCCGTTTCCTTTACGAAATTGGCGCGCTCTTCCAGGACTAAAACGTGTTAGATCAGCTTCCTGTACATGTACCCAACTCAGGTTCCGACTTACATCCGGGGATACCTGCTACTGACACTAATACATGAACACATCTTCAGTACAATGGCCGATACCGGTGCTCGACTCCAAGGTAGAACTTACTGAACGCAAGGAAAGCCACCGAATAAAAGTGCACGGAGAGTCGATCATTGACAGTGCTGGCTTCATCGCCCAGTCTGATCCATATAGTAGCGAGCATCACGCCCATTCCTACCGGATTGATGGCAGGTTCAGTCTCGACGGTAGACAGCGAAGTAAAAGCCAGCTTTCGGACAGAACTTACCGGCATACATGGCGGCACGGATTCCATAGGCCAGTAGATTGCTGTGAAACCTCGACATCAATCAGTCGGACCTTGTCCAAAGCTGGGTAATCATCACCGATACTCACCGAGAATAATTCATTGCCATACGTCGGGAGAGGATGGTAGTATGGTACCATATCTTAGGAACCCGACCTATCTGCCCTCCTTCGACTGTTTCGATAGGGTTGTTCGAGCCGACCGGGACGTACGCAGTCTCGCTGGCCAACGAGCGCGACTTCCACTCCAAGTAATGGCTTTGAAACCGCTGAACGGTATCGGGCCCGTCTTGAGGGTCCATCTCATTCGTCCGGCTGAAGTCCGTGTTGAGCAGTTGCATGGCAACGTCTGTGGGTGGTACCTACAAGAAAGGGTCCATATTCAGCTCGGCGGCCACGAGAGCTTCAGCAACGGTTTATGACTCACAAATGGCAGAGCTTCCGCGCCAAAGTCGGAGAGGAAGACGTCCAATTTTTCGACTGGGCCATGGTAACACATGCGACCTTGCGAGAGCAAGACGAGGTCCGTAAACTCGTTGAGGGTCGAATACGAAGGTTGATGAATGCTGGCGAGAACCATGATGCCTTCCTTGCGCGCAAGAGCTGCGACGCAGGATACCACCTCTTTCGCCGCCGTGGAATCGAGCTGTGGAAGCGAATTACGTGGGAGTAAGCGGAAACCCCATCAGATACGACAAATCAGATCATGGACCTGTCACAGCTTACACCGGAAGTGGGTTCGTCCAAGTACAGAATGCGACTATACATGACACGTCTGTTAGCCTTCGACTGTTACGAAGCATACCTGCGCTGGATCTGTGACCTACGGATAAGTGATTAGACTGCATCCAATACTAACCCGACGCTTCTGTCCTCCACTGAGCCCCCTGCGGTATGGTGTACCAATAGGCAAGTCTGCGCAGGCATCTAGACCAAGCATCTCGACTACGCTACTAACGCGCTCTTCGACGAAAGCGGCTTTGGCAGTGGGGTTAGAAAGTTGCAAAGCGAAGCGTAACGTCTCTCTGGCTGTCAAAGTTCCGAGTAGTGCGTCCTCCTGCTCGACAAAGGAACTATCGGCCGCCCCATCCAGGTCGTCAACATCAGCTTTCTGTCGAAAAGCTACGGACTGTACAACTCACGACAATGCCTTCATGTCCTTGGGCTTGACGGTCCGACCGTTGAGTGAGACCTTGCCTCCTGCATCGAACCGCTTCCTTCCACTTAAGAGGTCGAGCAGAGTAGACTTGCCTAACAGATGAGAACGTGTTAGAGACGAGTCGATCTCGATCGCGACGTTCGAAACACACCTGCACCAGATGGGCCCATGATAGCTTTCGGTCGACAGTACATTTTCAGTTCATTACGTTTTCTTCGCGATCAAGCAGTATCATGGAGCAAGACTCACCTAGCATATCTCCCCCCCGCATGGAAAAAGAGATGTCGTCCACGAGGACCTTGATCTGCGTCTTCTTGGGCTTGACAGTATAACGCAAAGACGAGAATTCAAGGATAGAGCCAGAAGTTCTGGACTTTATCATCCTGGACAGACCGCTTGTGGGGGATGAAAGAAAGTGTTGGGGGTGAGGTGATCGTCGGTCTGAATGCGTCGTGCTTCAATAGTTGGAAGCCGCAGGAATCGCCGAGGTGTCGAAGTCGAAAGCGCGATGAGACGAGAAACCGAGAGGTCAGAGGGGATAACAGGGAAGGAAGGAGAAAGACAGGCGTCCGGAATGCTTCTTGAGCCCTTGAACTCTCTGTATATATATGGATTTGCCACGAGATCTCTCAAAGGAAGGAGTGAAGGATCGCCATCATCGGGATCGCGACGGTGGTGGATCATTCGGAAACGACGGAATCAAAGTTTCGTATTTGCTTCCGCAACTCACGTCGACATCGTAGAACCTGCGACGCGAGAAGTGTCGAATCCGAATGTACACCAAAAGTGCATCAGTTACAGCTTGGCTCTCCTAATCGTTTACTGTCAATGTGGCTAGAGTAATCCGCCTTGTATTGTCGCTGACCAACAAAACTCGCGGTCTTCGGCACGACCATTACGCGAGATCCAGAATCGATTTCTCGATTTCATGCAGATGGTCAGATAAGGTCGTTAGCATTCGACAGGACGGGCCCCCCTGTTGGCCTACACATACAATGCTTCTGCAATTCAGAGATATTTGCCAACATGACGGAGATCAGAGCGAGACCAAGAGAATCGTCGAGATGTGTTCAAATCTGGGAAGTGATCGCTGTTCTCTATGAACAGCGCGGTCAATCCGCATAGCTGCGTTTTGAGTCTTGCTAAGGAGTCAGAGTCGAACCTGCTACTCATAATGTTAGGTCTCTTTGCGGAGCGGAAGATGAACCTGAGGTCTGAAACGGCAGTAAACACGTGGAAGCGGAACTCGTGCACATATGACAGGCGAACTCCAAGTCGTTCATGCTCGGCGCTCCACATGACCACTTGCATTCGTGCGACGAGTGCATGCACTACCACTGTAGAGAGGCGAATTGCATCTAGAAGCGCTGTCAATCCTCTGCGCGCTCTGTTCAGGCTGTGCTATCCATTGCAGCTCGCAGCTTGTGCGTTTCGCCCGCCAAGAATGACAGGCGGCCTTGGAAGGTGACATCTCATCGGAACGGATCACAACAGGCAACTTTATTCAGATCCCGTTCACGTGAACAGGCGGGATCATTTATTGTATGACTGGCAACAACCACCGCGTTCGGGTTCTCGGTAACCCCGAGATCTCTCCGATGCACTTCCCAAGCCGAGGGCCTCGAGGTCCCCGTATTGTTCGCGCATTGACCGAATTGGGCGGCGGCCTGGAATATCTCGAGCTGTTCGCGCGAGTCCTCCTTCCGCAAGACAAACAATACGGTTGCATTCCGGTGACACCACAACAAGCGAACAAGCTTTTGCCCTAGCGACCTGGACCTGGACAAGCCCTGTGTCGGCGCGAATTCAATGTCGACAAGTTGTCAAAATCACACGCCGTCGACCGGATATACTGTTTTTACCGCCTCGACGCCATCCATGGATCTGGGGAAAGAAGGGTATCGCTTCTCCCCCATGTTTCGATCCTGGAGAGGCCGAGCATGTCTCGGCCGTCAACCCCACCCGTTTCGCGATCGAAGTGGCTGTACCAGCCTCCTAGTCTTTCGACGTCTCGTACGGTCTCGATAATACGAGAAAGGCCTGCCGGGTAGACCTTCATCCCGGTAACCCGTCGGAGAAGAATCCACCATCTTCTTCTGCTGAGACACACACACACACACACAGCTCGCCGGCCATCTGAAACCGTCGTAGCGGTGAATCCACCAGCTCGGACTTCCGGTCCGTATCGAGATGTACGAGATCGTTAGCTCGCAAGCTAGAAGCAAACCATGGGATAGCATTTGCGTCCACGTAACCTCCCGAACACTTGCTAGCGTCCGCATCCCGCACTATCTCAACGCTATCCGTCATCCATCGACGATATTCGGAGGTCCGCATCAGTATTGCTGCGAAGTCGTACGAGACGATTCGCATCATCATCGATCTGGTTCGTCCACGTACGCCTCTCCACATCTACTCTGGGTACCCCACACAGGTCGAAGACCGGCATCAGATATTGGGTACGAAACCCTATGCAGCGTTTGACATGCGCTTCTCTACCCTTCCGAATAACCACCGGCCGTGTTCGGGTGGATCTAGATCGCGAAACGAAACGACCGAGAACGCGGGGGGAGAGGTTGGGGTACAGCGCGAAGTCTGGCAAGCGAGCGATCGGCGACCGGGAAGCGTGGCTCGTCAATACCCTTGTTTGCCGTCGTATCCACCTACACCCATGTCTCTCGATCGTCCGCCGGAGCTGTCTTTGTTGTTGTTCTGCTGGCCAACCGGGTATCCACGATTGCCATGTCCATCCCCGCTCTCACTCGCCGTGTTTGTCGTATGTAGTCAAACAACGCTTCGTCATACGCTCCACCGTCTCCATCCGTATTGCATTCGTAGTCGTCGTCAGTGGTGTCATACTTTCTCTACCTGCTCCCGTCCAACTCGCTCGCAGCATCGAGACAGTTCCGAGGCGAAAACAAGGAGCAACCACGGAACCATTTACTCCCGCGATCTGAATCTCGCTGACTTGGCCCGCGCTCGGTAGGATACTACTAACACCGCGCTCAGATTCCAAGGGTAGCGACGATCGACAAACCCCTCCTGCGCCGCCGCCTTCCCCGTTGGTCCGCGCCGAACCGATCCACCGAGCAGTCCAGTCCCAGTTCATTCTCTCGGTGCGAGCGAGCTACCGTACGACACATCACCACGTACGAGACTCATAGATCGTCTGAGCCCCGCGCTGTGACCCACCAAAAACACACACAGACGTTCAAATCCCTCTCGACCGGCAGACAAGAGTGTGTTGGTTTACCGATCCAAACCAACCTTTGAAAACTACGGCCGTCGAATACCAAGGATTCAACAAGGACGGGCATCCGTCTCTTTTTTTCGCCGATCCCGATATCCGGAACCTCACCACATAGAAAGTCTGTCACCGTCAAACTCCCCCTAGCACTCGCTCAGATTTTGAATGGCGAGCGTCACAACGACTACGAGTACGATCGGTTCATCTTCATCAGCAGAGATTTAGATATAATACAACCTTCGTATCTTTGGATCTTTTCCCCACCCCCGCTTGCGAGTCGAACATTGCCACACCACCATCGAACGCATACGCACTCAGGGTTCATATTCCACAGGAGTTGGGAAACGTCATACGATCGGGATCTACCCCAAACATCGACGTCACTTAGGATCGACACCACTTGCGCCAACATACTCGACTCGACAGAACATTGCTAGGACTTAGGATAGATTGCTACACACACACACACACACATAGCATCAAGAACCATTGCCACTTGCCGTATAGTTACAGGTAGATCGTAGAAGGCGTTTCACAAGGTTAGTCTTGGTTCCGCCTTCCGTTTCGATTTCTAGAATGTGCTGGTGGGACCTTTGAAACGTGATGAGAGGAATACCCAAGGAGGTGTATCACCTGGCTCATCAGGGCTCGAAGCGATCACGGGGCATGAACGGCAGAGGGATGGGCGATCGAGATTGATCGAGTTCGAAACACGGCCGGGCCGGGGCCAACGGGGAGGACCACACACAGCCCTAAGCGACAATCATTCCAAAGGAGGTCTGAGATGGTGGATCGACGACGACCAACGACTTGGTTGCCGGTTGCGAGCCTAGGCGAATACTCGGTAGAGTCACTCGACCGGGCTCGTCGGAGTCTAGCCAGCGATCAGGAGGAGGTGGAAACAGGGGTACGAGTGCAAGGTGCAACGTGTGTCCTCTTTCGAGGTCGAGAGCTTCTAGACCGTTGCCGTGAGACGCGGACGAGGTTGGCCGAGGGGAGTTGGTCGGGAGCTTGGATAAAATGATCGACGGTTCCATGCCGAAAGGACGACGAACAACGGCGGGGGGGGGGGCCACGGTCTGTCGATCCACGCGTATCCCCACCGCCGACACACACACCTACATCTACACCTACCTCTCTACCTCTACCCATTTCCTATCGCTATCACTATCACACCATCTTGTCTCTATCCACCCGTCTACCTCAAAGGTTTTCTCGGTCTTGGTATCCATCTCGATCACCGGACTATTTCTCCGCCGTGCCAGGCAGGATATATAATCCTGCAGGCGACCTCGCCCTCCCTTCCGATCCATCTGCCTTTCGATCTTTCTCTGCTTGATAAACCAGACATCGCAAACTTCTTACCGAGCAACAACGATGGCTGACGTACATCTTGCCTCTCTACCTCGCCTCCTCCCCTGTACCACCACAACTACCCAACCGCAATCATCCCAATCACGACGACCTATCATGGCTACCTCTACCAACGCCACTCTCGCCAACTTGCAACCTCGTCAAACGCATCGATCGCGTTCGATCTCGTCATCGACCAACTCGACGCCTCGCATATCGACATCGAATCGATCGACGCCTTACCTTCGTCCTTCTCCGACTTCTCGACGTCGTAATCGTCACTTGTTGCCTCGCCAACCGACTCTATCTCGTCAACCTTCACCTGCGCTCGACACATTGATCGACTCGCTCGAACAATCTCGACTGAACTCTCGAACTCGACAACGCGCCCGTCCTTTCCCGCCTCGCCCTCCCACAGCCGCGACACCCGCCATCACACTCGCACCTACCGACATTACCGCCACTACCGTCAAACCGACCATCAAGTCGAAAGACAAGATGGCTTCCACATCAACATCAACATCGATGCATGCCGGGCCTTCCTCGTCGCAGGGACAAGTCCGCGTCAAGCAGGAGGAAGGCCACGTCAGGGTCAAGCAAGAGGAAGGCTGTGAAGCTTCCTCTTCGACGCAACACCAGCGACACAGTCAGAGTCAGGCTCAGACTCAGAGGATTGACGAGAGGCCGAGGTACAAGGACCCCTACCATGGCCATGAAGAGACCGCCAAGATGTCGGCGCGATTCGTAAGCATCATGTCGTTTTCGATTACATCAAAGTGGTTCAAGAAGCTCACTCTCGATTGTCCGGTTTGTTAGATCATCTCGCTGTTCAACTGTCCCGTGATACCTCCCCAGACTGGACCCAACAGTCCTCAACCTCCTTTGGCACATTTCATTGCCGTGAGTTCTGGGCAACAGGCTTGCGCTTCAAGTTCACCTGACTGACGTTACATCACGTTCGCCTTCGTAGTACGCCCTCCACCGAACACGTCTCCCCCACTTTGTCACCCTCTCCGGCCTGCTCCTTCTTCAACGCCTCAAAGCCCGTTACCCATCAGCGCGAGGTTCTTCCGGGCACCGACTGTTCATCTCGGCGTTCATGATCGCCAGCAAGATCGTCTGCGACGACACGTACTCGAATCAGAGCTGGTGCATCGTCGCGCAAAAGATGTTCGAGTTGAAGGAGATGAACCAGATGGAGAGGGAGATGTGCGGGTACTTGGAGTGGAACTTGGTGAGTCGCCGGAGTCAGGTGGTAGTGCATGTGGGCTGCTTGCTGATCTACCTGGAGATTACTTGTGATAGAACGCCTCATCAAACGAGATCGACGCTTTCGAGGCCAAGGTCAAGGCCGACCATTCGTCCATGGCTTACAACGCCCGCAAGGCCGCCATGAAGGCTCAACAAGCCGCACAGCAGCTCGACATTGCTCGACGGGAACAGGAACACCAGATTCAGTTCCAGATGCAATTGCAACAGCAGCAGCAGCAACAGGTGCAGCGACCGTCGTCTTCAGGTCCTCGACCAATGAGCGGAATCGACTCGGCACAGAGGGTCACCGCGGCCTTGCCTCAGCGCACACCGTACACAAAGGCCTGGGCTTCACGACCACCGTCGATGACAGCGCTCAACTCGACCGCTTCGTCATCATCGTCGAGCGCAACCGCTTCGTCATCATCAAGACGGCTGGTCACTCCGATCAACAGCTCGACGACATCACCCGTACCTGGCATCGTCCAGCCTTTTCATCAACGTGCTCCTCCTACCCGGGTGTCGAGCACTTCGAGCGTCCCTACTCAGATGGCGACCCTGTCATGCTCTGCCAGCAGCAACAGCCACCTGAACGGTCACACCGCCGGGCACCACCACCACCGCACACATACGACCGACGTACCGACGTTTCACCCGGGTTCCAGCGCTCCTGGCATCGTTAACAGTCCGTTGACGAACGCTCGACGGGGGTCAAAGGCGGGTCTCGTGGGGCCCAACGCCAAGCTCACTTCGGCTAGCCGGTCGAGTTCGGGTTGGAGCTTGAACAACATGATGGCCAGCTCCCACGTGAACAACAACAACAAGCGGGACGACACGCATTTTAGGTCGGGGGAGTTGGCAAGATCGGGTTCTGGAGCCGGGACTTATGTGAACACCCTGAGCGGGAGGCAGTACGCGGTTACAGGATGTGACGATGCCGACGAGGACGATGTCGACGCCTACGCCTCGAGGTACCCTATGGCCGTCTCCCCTGGACCGGTCGTTGACGACTCTGGCATCCACTCGTTGTCGACGACTTGGCCCAGGACGATGATGGACAGGCAACAGGGCGGACCTTCGCGACAGCAGGTGCCTTCCATGCGGGTCTCGCGACATCAACAGTTTCGGGACGTCCAGTCCAACCCTAGCTCGCCAGGATCTACCGGGTCACACCTGCGCAACTCCCCACATCCCTCGTTGACGAACGATAGCAGCAATCAGTCGAGTCCCGACAGCCAACTGTGTCGGACGCCCAGCCCCGCGCCCTCGTTCCACAGGCCTGCACATGAGCGGTCGTTCTCGTCCTCGATGACGGTACGGGGAGGTTCAAAGCCTATGCCCATCCGGGGAGCGCAGGATCGATACCAGGTCGCGATCGAGTGATCACTAGGTGTCCATTTGCTCACTTTTACGACTCGGCCTGGCTCTACGATCATCACCATACCACTGGACACGAAACATCATACCTCACAACTTCGACTCTTACGCTCGTCGTCAAGGACGGAGCTCCTCATATCATACCGGCATTCAACCTCTTCACGAACAAAGCTTCACGTAAATCACAATCACTATTCGGAACAAGATACAATCAGACGTCGAGGACACCTCTCGTCTTTGCGCATGGTCATTAGATACCCCTTCTTTCGTCTCATAGGATAGTCTCGCAATAAAAGAAACCTGTTGTGTCATATATAATTTGTATCGTTAGGGACGGCTACTATCGATTCCAAAACACTACTATTGTTTGTATCGGACCCATGTCGGGATTTTGACACCAAACTATCAGATGAATTAGAATCACTCACCGAAAACTTCCAGGACGAGCAAGATTTTCACACGCGTAGTAGATGACGTGTGACGTTCGACATCACGTGATGACCGATTTCCGTGAGCCCGATCTGGACGAGATCGCGCGAGAGCCACGTCGGCGATGGTGCTGACGTCGACATTCTCCATTGCGAAACGTCACGACCGCCGAGACCGCCTTGTCTCGAACACGATGTTGATCCCGAGTCGGTCAACCTTGCAACAATTCGGTAACTTCGTACGTCCGGTCCGAAGGAACCGAGGTTTCAAGTCCTCTTGGAGCCCGTGGAGCCGTTATCACGAGGCGCCGCACGTCGCCGCAGTTGGTGTGAACCAGATATCTGTGCGCTTGATGCCGCCGGCTTAGTGCGCAGTCGAAACGAGTAGGTCGCCGGTCGTGTGATTCGAGGGGAATATTGCTGGAACAAACAATCTTCCGGGGGGAGAGATCTGGATCGGCGTCATCCAGGGTCGAATCGTCTGGCGCCTGGACGCAGATGCGCGTGACAGCCCGTCAGCCCTTTTTGCGCCTCCGGTGCCAAGTGTCGAGGTTATTAGAGTTCACGGCCATCAAGCGATATTCTAGTGTCCGAGTTTCAAGGCCAGCGGAGATAGCGATCAGATCAACAAGCGCTTGCTTTCGCCGACCCCGATCCCAATCCGCAAGTGATGATCCTCTGGGCCGACTTTGTGGATCGATGAGTCGTATCTTGTCGAATTGGTAAACACGAACGCCTTCGTTCGCCCCGCAGATCGAAGAAAGACCTCATTGAGACGTAGTCAGTCGGTTTCCCTGCAACCCATGCTCTTGGACGAGAGCAAGTGCTCAGCTCGATGCATACCAGTAACAGCGATAACCAGGCAGAAATATGCTGTACGAGCTTTGTTTACGGAGCGAATATTCTCTGCATGCAGGTCACACCTGCCTTCCTTTGTTTGCGGCGCGCCACGCGCCGCCACAGGAGAGGCGCCCCCTCCGTGAGTATATCATAAGCCCAGCGAGCGCTGCCTGCCCAGACGAGGATGCGGATTGGACTGGTATCCATGAACAGCGATAAGACATCGCCTGCTATCCTGCAAAAATCATTGCGCTTCAGTTCTCATGCGAAAGTGCTACCAGAAATGAGGGTTACCACGGCGACAGCCTTAGGATCGAGTCAGTCTCGACTGGTAGCAGTCATGGCCAGAGTTTTTGTTGTGTCCAATCGATGAGTCCCTATAACGATACCCGTAGGCCTGTACCGCTTCATTCTAGCGCGCTCACTGTGGGACTCGCTACCACGCATACTCAACTTGCCCCCTTGCAGCAGGCTAACGTATTTCAATGGACATGTCTTGAACCATCGAGGTATGTGCATGGTCACTTGACCAGTGCACTGTTCCTGGGATCACTTCAATGGGATGAATCGATTGTGCAGGTGCCGCTGGGCTTTAATGTGTGCCAAAGAAGGGATACTTGAATAAACTGCTTCTTTCGTTTCGTTCCCTTTCGCTGTAGGTACAAAGGCTACCTGCGAGCAAGCTATATCATAGGCTAACTCGATACTCAAGGCCGGAGGACCCCTTGGCTTCAGTATCTGTTGAATCTTCACATTAACACGGCAGGAAGGAGTCGAGGACAAAACTCCGATCAGACATTGCCGTGCAAGCATGATGAACCGGGAATCTCGAAACCTATCCGCCTGTGGTCCCGTTGACTGCCTTGTATAAGCGATTTTGTCATATCGAAACTCATTCATTCGCGCTGCGACAAGCATTTACAGTTCATTCCCTTGTGTTCGGTTACACAGACACGCTTGTCTGGCGAACACTTGTCGCAGCCCAGTTTTCCCTGAGGCGGAGATTTAACAATGGCGTAATTGAGTCTGACCTCCTTTGCTGAACGCGGCTTCTAGCGGTAGCTCACCGATACTTCTCAAGGTGATACAAGAACCCACATCCGATGTATGGTGATGCCTCCCGGTTTAAACATTACAGCCCTTCCTCTTAGACTCTAGCGTAGATCCCCTAACTCCCTCTGAACGACAGCTCCTACAGACGCACTCAGCCATGGTCAGTACATTCATTGCATGCAGATGGAAAATCCACTTACAACTCAGGGCTTCGATGGGACGGACGCAGGTCGTTACCCTTCTCACTGAGACTGAAAGGCTCAAAAGGTTCGAAGAACTCTTGGAGACGAAGGTGAGCTTTTCGTATGTCATTGCCTCCATGAAATGACACTGACAGAACAAGGTCGTACTATATTGAATAGAAAGGCAATCCTACAGCGTACGATGAGGTAAGAGTAGATGAATGACATGGGATCGAAGGGGACAACAGAGAGAAGTCTGATGCCCCTTCGCTAACAGGCGATGAAGGCGATCGCGGAGCAGAAGAAGTTGATCGCGCAATTGAAGAAGCAGGAGACATCCATTGCTGGATCCTTTGAGAGTTCCAGCGCCCCAGATCCATTATCGACAAGGCCCGACCGCTCCGAGCAATCGGTCAAGAACTCTCAAATTACCAATGACACCAGCTGAGATAAGGGACAATCTCGTCGGCGAATCAAGGTTGGATGATATAGGACGAGAAGCTCCTCCTTGTATCAGACACCAGTTACATGCTATGGGAAACCATGAAGTATGAGACGAGGTAATGCGTTTCGAGCGTTTGCATCCACCACCGCTAGTGATGCAGCGACTTTTCAATGTCTCGGAGCTACACCATCCCGAAGCTGAATCGCAACCGAGGTCCATGCCTGCGAATCACTGACGCAACGTCCCGCGTCTGGCAAAGTCGCAAGTCACAATCGCTTGTTTCACGATTTCGATTTTGCATTCTTAGCGCGCGATGGTGCCTAGAAGCAGGAATCGAGCTGTGTCGATTCAGGTGACTTACACCGACTTCCTCTTATTATTGTTCGTTTCGAGTTGTCTCGTCGTGTTGTCCGTATTTGAGATCGTGGAACGATTGTCGAGTATGGCCTTGATCATGAACCTGATCGTCGTCACCTGACATCGATGTTTTCCGCATTCGCCAGGGTTGCTTCTTGCCGTCGTCAAGGAGAAACAAAGGATTACAGAGACAAAGTCGCTAGTTCTAGCTTTGAAGATACGTATAGAGCTCTCGTACAGGGGAGGCTATCAGAATGCTTGATTGTTCAAGCTGATAATACTAGTACGTCATATGATGTGTTCGATGGTCGTGTTAAATGAAAAGGCTCTCGATGAGAGAGCCGCAATGAACTGTAATCTGAATGCCCATCGAGACCAACGAAAAGGTGGCTGACACGACCTACGTGCAGGATACTGGGAATGGTTGCCAAGAGCTGTGTTATTGAACGTGACTACGAGTACATGCAATATCTGGAATGTCCCAATCGCGGTGGCGATAGCCGAGATTCCGCGTCATCATCAGCGCCGAAGGTGGATGGTGGATGTCTCGTGACCTCAAGAGGTCCCTGCAGCCGATCACGTAAATAGGATTCTTAGCTCATGGTTCTTCATTATTACCTGCTGATACCTAATTCGTGATTCGCATGAATCTCGATATCAAGGGTTCTTGATCGATGATTCTTGATCCATAATAATGTTCTTTCGCGCGTTTGAGACGGCAATCAAAGGATTACACATTTCGAGTTGCTTCTTCAAGCGTCTGATGAATCATATAAGGGGCAACAGCAGGGCAGTCTCAACCGGACCGAAAATGGATCGTCCAGCTTGGTGGCTGGTGTGTGCTCACCTTTTCCATTCACGCATCGCTTCCACGACATATAGATCAACACGCTATCTAGAATGGAGAACACTCGTACTCCGGGAAAGGATGAGGCCAGACAAAGTGCTATAGATGCTCGGCAAGTAAGCGATCTTTACTGAGTCCGTAAGAATGTTTTGCTTGCTCATCGATCTGGACGAGTCTCAGATAGAGATACAGGAGCAGCAACGTCTTGCTCATCAGGAGGTAAGTCGAACGGCTCAGCGAAGCTCATCTTACCCCCCTGATGAAGCCTGTTACTGAACGGTTTTGTAAAAGCAACAAAATTTGAGGGCAGCAAAGGAGCTGCTCGAGAAGAGACGGGCCAAGGTCGACCAGGAATTCTTGGATCTCAAGAAATACCGCGCTATGTGCGATGCTTACCTGAAACAAGCCAAACCTTTCGAGTCTCTCGATGACTTCAGTTTTCGACATACCGTTCTCCCTGATTCAAGTGTTGTGCCCACCGAGAGCATCAACACCGAGGGGGGCGCATCAACTACTGGCGGTTCTAGCACCTAGTCCTGTCCGTATCAACGCGAACCTCACTGTCAGGTTTCTCGAACCGCTCGGACCTGTTTGCTTGTCAACGTGACTATGGTACCAACCGAAATGTATACTATTGAGAGAATTAGATTGAATGATATTTACGAAGATAACCACTTATGCATACGACCTGACCCTCAATATTTCTATAGGCGGTCAGCTAGTCAATCTAGCTCTGAGAAGCTCTCCCTGGAAATCTCTGAGCGCAAGAGGCGAATCAAGCACGTAAAAGAACGCGCCGCCCCATAGGAGACCATGTCGTCTAATCCCCGGATCCTCGCGATCAAGGCTTAATATATGATGCGATTGATATACGCACATAAGATATGTGACGACGAGCGTCCAAAGTAAGGAACCTAGGCCTCCGGACCAGATCATGATCGACGATCGTGGTACGAGCATTCGACCCATTATCGAAAGACAAATCTCGATCGAGAGACCCCCATTGCTCTCGAACCGGCTCATCTCCTCTGTATTCGGCTATACAAAGGAGCGCGACCTGCTGTCTTTCTCGCCTGGCAGTAAAAACAGGGCGGAGCACTTGAAGGATCACCTCGGGGGAGATCGGAGGCTTCTCCATGACGACATCGGTCATCATATGTCTAGAAAACCCTTTGTCGACTTGCTTATCGGTCGCAATAGATCGGTTTCGCAGCAGCTGACGTCAGGTGAACACAAAGGATCAGCCATATAGAATGCCTTTCGATTCATGATTCTCAGTCTTGCGTCTTTATATCGAACGTTCTCGATCGAGGCGTCATCGCTCAATAAGACGAGCGCCAGCGTCGAGGAACATCTGGATTGTATCTCCGGTTCGCGTGCAGGAGTAGGGAGCCCTTTGCAAGAATGCGGATACGATCTCATATGCTGTCGACATCGATAGCTGCCGAAATCGTGCTGGTAGCTAGTATACGGGACGGTCAATCACAAATCATTTCGCTAGCGGGACCTGGATATCTCGTTAGTATTGTCAATAATTGATATCGTAGATCGCCAGGTCGAGATCGATCCTCACTTCCATTCCTTTGTTATGATTTTAGGGGCAGCTGCCGCTAACGATGTATATACGGGTGCTTTGCAACCTGAATTTTACGATTTCTGATTGAAGAGCTCTTTCATTCAGTCAAACTACCCTGTCCTAACTTTTACAGTACTGACCACTCAATCGCAACCCAACGCAATCATGTCGGATATCCAGGAAGTCAAACCTCACTTCGAACCCTCGACTATCACTCTCAATCTCCCCCAGGAAGACAACTTCAATCCGATGATGAAAGACTTCATCGAGAAACAACTCAAGTCTGACCATAAACTCGACAAGGTTAGATTTTGCTCAGGGGTCGGAGTGTTAATCGTCTTCGTCCCAATGCTGACAGATCCATATATCAGACTTTGAGCCGCAAAGAATTTGGCGATTACTTCGACTCCAAGCACGCAGCCGTTAACGAGATGAAACCCTCCACGAACGAAGAGTACGAAGTAAGTTATGCTGCCCTGTAATCTGTATATGTCGAGGCTGATCCCAAGGGATTCAAACTGCAAGGAAAGGCAAGACGTAAGACTTCTCCATGTGTCCCTTCCTGTCGGGCAAACGGAATGCTAAAACCCTGTCTTCTCTAGTTGATGAAATTTGTAGAATGGTTGCACGGTTTGGAGGTGGAGGCCGAGGGGAAAGATGCACCGAGGTATTTAGATTGGCAGATGGCTCGGCAGATTGAAGAATGGAGCAGATCGGGAAAGAATGGCGACGGTTCGTCCCGAGCGGACACCGGACCTGACAGTAGTCTCGGAACCGCACCCGGGACCGGCGAGTCAGGTCAGACTTTCTAATCTCATCAGATACATCCACCTTTCCATGTGATTCTCTGAGGACCTTGTACAGTGTGTCATCAATTCGAGATGTCGGAATGAGCTGCAATGCGAACGCGAAGTTGAACCGGCTGACAAGGAGGCTGAAACGCGATGCCGAGAGAGAGCTCTGTTGCCGAGCGAGAGATTTAACCATCCGCGGATCACCGTGTACCCTTCGGTGGCCGTTACTCATCATCACGCATCATCGAGCCATCAGCCATCTGCACAAGATCACAAGATCGACGTCGTCGTCTTTCAACTATACATACCCATACCCATACTTAGTTACTTACAGCATATACTCAGTATTCAGAACTCACAAACAACCAGATAATCCAAGAACAAACTACACACCCCATAATGTCCTGGTTCAGGTAAATCTCGTTTTCCGCGCGATAACACCCCGATCGCCGCAAGCTAAATAAACATCTATCCTCTTTTCCTGTACCGTGTCTTCAATCATCCTTCATTTGTATGACGATGACAGCTCAAGCAAACAATCCGCCACGGCCTCTTCCGGAGAACCCAACTTTTGGCCCGTCTCGTCCCTCCAAACTGGGTACGGAGAGTTGTCTGATAAGGATACCGCCGTACGTCCTTCGCTATGCCGTATCTAGTTCTCGAAGACTTGTACTGACAATCCCTATGAATCCCTACCTACAACTCATCGTTGATGATGGTGTGGTAACCGTGACGACTCGTAGTGGGCATGCGCGACCAACCGAGGGTTCCAGACCGAGACCCAGATCTGGTACTCGGTACTCGCAGACGGTAGTCTGCTGCTGCTCCAAGTCATCTGGAGTTTCATCGGGTGAGCTTTCTTTCCCCTCCCATTTCCTCATGACTCCTGCACTCGTGTTTGGTGTCGATACACTCTCTTCAGTCTCAACGTGCTCAACTCTGCGCTATCAACAGAGTCTGGCCAGTCCCCGCTCAAACGCAGATGACGTTCAAGCTCTACAACCCGACGACCAAGAAGTCCATCTGGCGTAGTCTGAGCGCGACCGGTTTTACCGTGGACGCCAAGGATGGGAGGAGTTGCAAGACCAACGAATACGTACGTCCTCTCTCCGTCGCAGATATCTTAGGTAGATTATCTGTTCCAGGAGGGAACTGATATCGTTAGAACTTTGTCTCGCAAAACAATAGGAAATCAAACATACCGGCTCAGCCTCCGGTTCCGAGACCTACACCATCCACGCTCAGTTGGACAAGACGACCACCCTCAGCCTCAACCTCGTTCGACCCGCAGATGCACCCGGTTTCAAGCTCGGAAAGGGGGAAGAAGGGGGTTATTCGAGGTTTGGGAAGAACATGGGGGACGATGGGTTCGTCATCCAGTGAGTACCAAACGAATCGCCAGGGTAGACGATTGCGGCAGGAATTAAAGGAAGCAGCGGGGCTGATGGGGTGTTTTTTGCGTTGGCAGCCGATTCCACCCGCACGTCCAGTCGTCTGGGCAGATCATGATCGACGGAAAAGTCATCGACGCCAAGGGCGAGGCCATGTTCGTCGCCGCTATCCAGGGTCTCAGGCCCGATGCTGTAAGTCGAAGAGCCGGTCAATCGGCTTAGCACGAAGCTTCCTGCTGACGATTTATGTTTCGTTCAACCTGCAGGTCGCCTCGAGGTGGAACTTTGCCTTCTTCACGACCACCCAAGCGTCCGAGGACGAAAAGCTCGGAAGCGTCCGAGCCATCCAAATGGAATTCGAGACCCCCGACAACTACGGTGCGAAGGGTCCCAAATCCGGTCGGGTCAAGTCCAACATCGGTTGCATCTACTCGTCCAAGATTGGTCAACCGCTCGTCGTCTGCAGCCAAACGGGACCCGACGACGCAGCGACCGTCTACGGGGTCACCCGGCCGGAGCCCGTCTCGTCGGGTGATATCTGCCGGGCGACGCATACTTCTACGGCCAAGGACCCCGAGACGGGATACGATGGACCGACTGGGTTGAAGTTCGAGTGGGTCGGGAAGCAGATCGGACAGCCTGGCAAGCAGGTCAAGGCTAGTCTCGAGGTGGCGACCAGTATGGACGTCGGCAAGGGCGGATTGATCGAAAAGGTACATCGTCATCATCGCATGAGTCCTGTACGCGTTTGGCTGACAAATTTACGTTGGGACGCACTGCAGGTCAACGTCCTCAATGAGATCCCTTACCTCGTCCGAAAGGCGCTCAGTTCGATCACAGGTACCAAGCCTTACATCTTCCAGGTGAGCCCCATCTCCAAACCCTGCCGACTGTCTACCTCGCCCGACTGACTCTTCCGTAACGTCTTATAGTTCCACAACGAAGCCACTCTGAACGTCACAACCGGTGACGAAGAGTCGATACCCGTCAAGGGCTGGTTGTTCAACGAGGCCACTTTCGTCTCTCCCTAAGATTCAGCGGAATCTCAATCGGGTCCGGTACCTCTGCCATTCCCCCTGCACTTTCCTTGCTTTTCGACTTCACCATAATCTCTGTCATCGCCTATCTGGGTGTATATAATGTGTATCATTATCTTCTATTGCCATTCGGATTTCAAGAGATCAGGAATTGTGGCTTGAGACAGCAGGAGCGATATGGAGGGACGTCTACTCTTGAAGCGTATCAATTTGTCGAGAGTCTCCGTCCGAATCCTTGATGGTATGACACGACATAGCACATATGCTAGGAAGGCCTCAAACTCGAGTGATATACAGATGTTTCGAAGTCACGTTGGCCGACCATGCTCTGTAAGGCATTTAATGCAATCAGTCACTTCGTCGTGAAGCATTCTTTCGACCAGCACTCACGTGTTGACAAAGACGGTTTGTGTCTCGTCGATGATGAGCGCAGGACCTTCGACGAGGTCTCCTACTTCTAGCGAATCGAGCTCGAACACCGGCACATCCTCCCGGCGGCCTTTGGTCGATCCCGGTGCTGAAACGTAGACGGACTGGAAGCTGTCTACCTTGCTGGATCCTGCAGTGCGCTCGACTTTGCGCATATCTAACCGAGCGAACTCTCTGAAGACAGATTCACCCAGGTCGTCAAACGTCTTTCCTACGCCTTTTACCTGCAAGGTCAGGGGTTTCAGCTCATATCATTTACAGGTCGGAACCACTGAGGATAGCGACCCACCTTGACATCGTCGACCACGACCGGAGTGTCAAGCACGAAACCAAACTGCTCCTTGTAAGCCGCTTTGAACCCCGCCTCGAACGTTGTATCGTCCTCTGCCGTGATCATCAAGGCGGTATCCGTCCCTTCGAATCGCATGTTAAGCATGCGATCTAGCCTGATCTTGTTTTCTGGGAAACCTTGGCGACGGAGTTCAGCGGCTACGCCCTCACCGAGCCTGTTCAGCGTTTTTGTCAAGGCGGGGATGGTTTCCGAGTTGTAGGCCGTCGAACTCGGTTCTTGACTTTCAAAGACTCGTTCGGCTAGCGCCAGACCGTATGCCGACAAGATCGACGAGTAGCGGTGAATGAGTATCCGAGTTATACCCAGGTTCTCTGCAATCTCGCAAGCGTGCTGTCCACCGGCCCCTCCGAACGACGAAAGACTGTTACAGCGGCGGGTCAGCTGCGTCCAGTGAACAACACCATCGCTTGGATTCGACCTACACATGTTTCGACGTAGCATACCCCCGCGCTTCCGTTAACGTCCGGATCGGCCTTGCCATGGTCTCGTTGGCGACGGTAACGAAACCATAGACCATCTCGTCGAGCGTCATCTCGGACTTGGTCTCCGCCCGAACAGTTTCTAGCAGCTCCTTGAACGCGCTTTCGGAAGCTGCTGGATCCAGTGGCTCGTTCTCGTTGGGCCCGAAACATTTGGGGAAGCTGTAGCGCCGAGCCGTTTCAGCCTCACAACGTAGACGAGATGCTCGGCTCGCGCCTCGACTCACTATTTTGGTACAAGTCGTCCGAGAAAGAGGTTCCCATCCGTCAACGCCAACGGTCCTCCTTTTCGATAACAAGCTGGACCCGGGTGTGCTCCCGCGCTCTCTGGACCCGCTTGGAACATGCCGTTACGGAAGGTGAGACACGAACCTCCTCCAGCAGCCACCTGAGCGCCGGGATCAGAGCTGTTAGTAGTGGTCATAACCGTGTCATGAACAGCGTCGAACTTTCACGCACGGTATTGATGTCCAGCTGTGGGCTCTGGATACTGATCCCCGCCGTCGTCGTCTCGTAGACAATCTCGTACTTGCCATCAAACCGACTGACATCCGTCGACGTCCCACCCACGTCGAATCTGTCAAGGAAGGCCAACTATCAATCCGAATGCAGCCAGGCAAAGATCCGGCCACTGCCTGTAGCAGAACCGGCACTTACCCGATCACGGGTGACGGATTCTCTTTATCCCAACTCGTCAATGCGGAACCTACCACTCCACCCGCCGGGCCCGACAAGATACTCTTCAGGCCAGAAAAGTTCTAAGCAGACCCGGTCAGGTATCAGCGCCTGACCCATGATTTCGACTCAGCATCACCCAATCCGACTTGACCAACCTTCAAGTCACACAACCCCCCATCACTCCCCATAAACTCGACCTTCAACCCCCCTTCCCTTCCCCCTTCAAACCCTCCATAAAACCCGTCCAGATACGCTCCCAACACCGGGGTCAAGTACGCGTCCGCCGTACTCGAGATCCCCCTGGGTACCATCTTGATCATCGGTACCAACTGTGAAGACAACGAGATGTGTTCGAACCCGATCTCTTTGGCTATCCGACCTATGGCGAATTCGTGTGCGGGATAAGTATAGGAGTGACAGAGGACGACGGCGATGGATCGATACCCGTTTAAATAGAGGGTCTTGAGTTGGGTCGTGATGGCGGGTTCGTCGAGTGTTTGTAGGACCTGGACGGCCTCCCCGCTGATCCCGCGGACGATCTCAACCTCCTTGTCTGTCCCTTCATTTGCACTCCCGCTTTGGTGATTCTGCGACCCGACCCCGGTGTACCCCTTGACCACCTCTCCGTCCTCTCCGAATTTGACCGCGTTCCCCGCAAACGCCGGATCAGAGGTATACCCTACTAGGGTCACCCGCTCGTCCACCTCCACGACCTCCTTGTACAGCGGAGAAGGTCGCTTGATGTTCAGATCAAAGATCCTCGGTCGGGACTGACGCAAGGTAGTAAGAATAATGATCTATCAATACCCCGCTTCAAACTATCCTTCTTGTTAGGCCATGACTATAGTCATACCTGATTGCCTATACTCAAGAGGTCCTTGAACCCCCGAGTGATCAAGAGCGCATGACTCTCTCCTTTCCGTTCGAGCAGAGCGTTTGTAGCCACGGTCGTTGAGAGTCTGACGAATTCTACGATGCATCACCGGGTTCATGGTATGGTTTCAAAACGGGGAGACGCCGGAAGCCAAAGATGATCAGCATCAGAAGACTACAGAGCCTGAAGAAGAGGTCCAGAGATCAGGACTGACCGATCTTGTCCGTCGGGAGAGGTTGTCCGCGAGGGAACGTCTGCCCCGTTCGTCTTTCCAAGGCTCTTCTGATCCCCTCTACGTTATCCCACATGATTCGAGTCAGAAGAACCAGGGTTCATATCATAAAGCGTGCAGGTGTTCGTATAGCGTGCACATTGAAGAAGTGTGATGAACGAGATCGACATCAGCATACTTGATCGATTACAGAGTCGCTGCCATCCTCTCAACCCACCTGTAGGCGCATCAGGGTAATTAGATGGATCGGAGGATAAGAGCTTGAGGATGAATTCTTTCCGGCTAGACGAAGTGGGGGTTTCCAAGTAGGACCTGTACGATGAGCAGATGATACCATTCAGTAAACAGTTTGTGAACTCTTTTCCTGGTGGTCGTTGTCGCAATTTCGTGGTAGACCGATGATGGCAGACGAGTGGGCTTACACAAAGACGTCGGTGAATGTACCGCCCTGGAAGTACCAAACAGCGGAACAGGCGGTGATCAAGTATCAGCTCGAGCATAGACACATCGCAGGTTGGAAGTTGCCCAGCCGACTTGCCCTGTCGATGCTTATGCGGATCGAGTTGTCCGGGACGTTTTGCGTGGTAGAATCCAACATTATTGATTTCGTCTCTGATACTCTGACTAGTTCTGATCCAGGGTTGCCAATGTGATTCGATGTCAGGTCCTGATTTATAGCTTGACAAGCATAGGTCATGATATTCCCGGAAACCGATAGGAAGTGGATATGGTTCCGATGTAATTCCGGGTGGATAGTCTGACGAATATCGCTCGCTCTCACCCGATAGATAGGGTCATGTTGGGGGGTATATAAACACCATCACACCGTCTTCGACTGCGTCGGGTGGTGGACTCTAGCTCTGGACCATTCACATCAGCTCAAGCGCATACTTCATCACGTTGCCCGTCATGACTACCGACAAAGCAGACTTTGATCCGATCCTCCTGTCGCTCTTGTAAGTCGTCTTCTGCCGACACCCCGTACGCATAGTCAAGCTCAGACCTCTTGTACCTTCCTCGAACCCCGCAGCTCGAACCGCTTCATGTCGGTCGCAGAAGCCATGGGAAGAGCTCTTCAACAGACTTCCATCTCTACAAACATCAAAGAACGACTCGATTACAGCTGCGCGCTGTTCAGCGCCAACGGCGACCTGGTGGTAAGCTCTTGCCCACGCAGCCTACCCTATGTACCAGTACGCTAATTCGACTCGCACTCCGATGGCGTGCAGGCCAACGCTCCCTTCATCCCCGTACACTTGGGATCCATGTCGTTCGCCATCAAGTACCAACTAGACCTCCTCGGACCATCCTTGAAACCGGGAGATGTGTTGCTCGCCAACTCGCCCGTAGCTGGAGGATCCCATCTACCGGATCTGACCGTCATCACCCCGGTCTTCGCTTCATCTTCTTCTTCCTCCAACAACAACTCATCGACTTCAACCTCGTCTTCGGGTAATCAGAACGAAGGACCCGTCCCCGAGGCTGGGAAGCAAGAGATAATCTTCTTCACCGCCTCTCGGGGCCACCACGCAGACATAGGCGGCGCCCAACCCGGGTCCATGCCTTCCTACTCGACCTCCCTCTCGCAAGAAGGAGCCGAGATCGTCTCCTTCAAGCTGGTCACCGAGGGCAAGTTCGACCGAGAGGGATTGAGGAAGAGGATGGTGGATGTGCCCGGGGAGGTGGAGGGGTGTTCGGGGTGTAGGGATTTTAGGAGCGTGGAGAGTGATATCAAGGCGGTGAGTTCCGAGTGCCGAGTTCGAGCGTAGCGAGAGCGAGGACGTGGTCGAGGTCGAATGGACGGGCTGTGACTTCGTTTCCGTCTTCGACTTCGACTTCGTATGAGCGTCTCATATGCCGTCTGGATCACCGCTGACCCCAGGAACACTTCCATCATAGCAAATCGCCGCCAACTTCAAGGGGATCCAACTCCTCCACGCCCTCATCGCGGAATACGACCTGGAGACCGTGCACGCTTATATGAAGCATATCCGAGAGTGAGTTTCTCGTTTGCAGGTATATCGTGATATGCTGGGAGCGCTGAACCGTCTACGCGGTTGCGGTTGGGACTTCGTGTAGTAATGCGGAACAAGCGGTCAGGAAGATGTTGATCGCTGCTGCCAAGGTGGCTGGGACGGATACCCTCTCTGTAAGATTAAATCTGGCCTGCTCGTACTACTGACAGTATGCTGATGACCCACCATTGACACTTGGAACTTCGCCATCTCGCACCGCGTGACATATTTTGATGTCACCGTGGTGGGTGACTGTCGTAGGCCATCGACTACATGGACGATGGATCCCCTATCGCACTCAAGGTTACCATCGACAAGGACACAGGAGACGCGACGTTCGATTTTACGGGGACGGGGCCGGAAGTGAGGGGGAACTGGAACGCGCCGATCTCGGTCGTACATAGTGCGATCATCTATTGGTAAGGAGTTACCCACGGTATCAGGCAGATCGAAGAGGAATGAAGCTGATAGCGGCCGGAACCGACAGTATGAGGGCGATGGTCGACCAGGATATACCTCTGAACGCCGGGTGTCTGGTGCCGCTGAACAGTATGTCTCCATTCACTACTCGCATCGACCCGAAATCGAAGACTGACAAACATGCGAGCAACGAAAGTCATCATCCCCGAAAACTCTCTCCTCTCGCCTTCACCCGAAGCGGCCGTTTGCGCCGGTAACGTCTTGACTTCGCAGAGGATAACGGACGTCTGTCTGAAGGCGTTCCAGGCCTGTGCGGCGAGTCAGGGGTGTTGCAACAAGTGAGTCCGCGGCACTTCGCGCTCGATCCTGGGAGTACTGGTGGGTCTGCGCGCTGACAAGCGAGATGAATAGCTTGTCATTCGGAACCGGAGGGAAGGATAAGGAGACCGGGGAAGTTTCCCGTGGCTGGGGTTATTACGAGGTGAGTCGTACTGGAGGCTGTTTGCGCGTCGATGTGACATCTGAAAGAACTTCCTTGGTAGACCATCGCCGGAGGTAGCGGCGCGGGACCCAACTGGCATGGGACTTCTGGTGTACACGTACATATGACGAACACGAGGATCACCGATCCGGAAATCTTGGAAAGACGATATCGTAAGCCAGATATGGTCATGACCGTTGATTTACTGTCAGGCTCATTCGCTCTGCTTTCTTACAGCCGTAATACTGCATCAATTTGGGTACCGCCCGAACTCTGGAGGCAAGGGCTTGTATAACGGTGGCGATGGGGTTATCCGGGAGATGGAGTTCCTCCAACCCATCGAAGTATCGTTATTAACAGAAAGACGCGCTCGACAGCCTTATGGAATGGCAGGCGGGGAAGACGGACAAAGCGGGCTCAACCTCCAGATCAGCACGATCAAGAGGAAGACGACGGATGGCAAGGAAGAGCTGGTCAAGCGGGAGAGGAATTTGGGAGGAAAGGCTACTGTAGCGTTCAACGCAGGGGACAGGCTCGTATTGAACACGCCTGGTGGAGGTGGATGGGGAGTACCCGGGGGACCGGCCGAGGTGAAGAGCAAGGTGGAGAGCTTTGCTTGGGAACCGAGGGGGAGTTTGGCGGAAAGGAGCGCTTTGGAGGCGGCTTTCGGCGCATGATGGGACGGCGGGGATTGTACCAGAGTCAATATGGTTGTACATCAATGCATTCAGATAGGGACTGCTCTGAATCCGCACCGGCATGGAAGAGGCCCGTCCACGATCTGTCAAGAGTGCTCGGTTCGCAATGAGACCGATCTTCTCAGTTACTACCTTACGTCACGCGTCACGCAACGAACGGAACCAAATCGCAAATACAGGGATCTAGGTCGAGAGGTTGAACGCTATCCGTGATCCGTGCTCTGTCTCCTTGCGACGTGACATAGACCATCGACCTAAGACTTTCAAGGTCGGTAGAGACAGACCCTCAGGTAGCAAATAGACAGAAACGTCAAGATGGCGAAGAAGAAGAAGGGCCTCGCACCCGTCAATCGAGGTTTCGCTACCACCTCTCAACCGAAAAAGGCGGTACCCGTAGTCGAAGAAGCACCGGAAGCTGAAGAGCCGGTCGTCAACGAGTCTAACAACCTCAAGGATGGAAAACCTGGAGGAGGCGCAAAGGCCGGTGATCAGAAGAATGGTACAGCGGCTGATGGAAAGGCTGCTGCGACGGGCGAGGACGATTGGGAGAACGAGTTCGAGCTGGAAGAAGGGATCTACCAGGGTTACGTCGAGCGGTTGCAAGAAAAGGGAGAAAAGGAGATCAACAGAATCATCAAGGTATGTGAATCCATCTCACTTGCCTGAGAAGCCTTGAAAGCTGACCTTTACGAGTGCAGGCGATCGACTTTGATAGGCGGATGAACAAGGGGTACATCACCCTGAACCTCGAGGAATCGTTACAAGAAGAACTGCTCGAGCTGAACAAGACGACGGTGAGACGACGTACGTCGTCCTTGCCCTATTTATCAGTTCTTTGCGCATCGGAATCTCGAGTTACTTGATCTGATCACGATCTGTTATTAAATTATTACATAGCGGCCGAACCTCTCAAAATACCAACAACCCAGCAAGAAAAGGAAAAGACGCTTCTGAAGCTATATATCAATTTCGGGGTCTTGACACGATTAGGGTATCAAGAAGAGAAGGTTCTCAAGGTAAGTACGATATTTCCTTCGTTACTTCTGGCTCGCTCGATTGAAAAACAGGGAAGCTGAAGACTGTCATGTCAATGATTCCGATGTGCCTCTGCGTAGTGTCTAGAGGTAGTTGGCGAGAAAGGAGGGTGGGAGGAAGGACTCGATTGGGTAAGTACACTGGTAGTTTCCACGAAAAGGGCGGAGAAGCTTATTAAGGATGATACGTTATAGCTCTTGACAAACGTGGGAAAGCCTGAACAACAGAAATAGAGAAACAGAGGGTTCAAGCGAGAGTCACGGTAGGTCCTGGCTAGTCGTCGAGTTGATATTTCAGATCCGGACAGATTGACCTACTATGCATCGCTCATCCCTCCAGGTGACCATAGACGAGCTCATACTGTATCGAATATCAAAACAATGCATCCACTACTGAGAACGAAATCAAGTCAAGCTTTCAGGAAAACCACGAGAGAAATGGCCGCACGGGAATCGGTCTACTTGGACAGACGAGAAATGGCATTCCCTGAGGGAAGCATGGCGCTGGTGAAAGGACGATTGAGGCGAAGGAAATTACTCCAGAATTTCAGCGACTGATACGCTCGACCATGTTTGTCCCCCAAGAGCACATGAAAGGCCCTGAAGAAGCTGTCGATGTGCTTCAAAGCTCTGCAAGGCTCAGGGTATCCCTCTTCGAAGACGAAGTCAACGCTGGCATCCAATGACTTCATCAAGCGCCCGGCGATAAGGGCGTTATCCGGACGAAAGAGTGTGATCCAGTCTAATGCAAGCTGCGAGACCCCCCTGCCATTCTTTTCACCGTTGGTCTTCAGGTTCTGAACATACTACAATAGCAGGCGTGTTCCCGTATCATCCTGTCACTCAGGGTGGTCTGTGTTTGATATTCCTCTGGCATAGGAATTTGACAGACATTTGTAATCCTGCTGACGGGATCGTCAAGCTCCTTACTGAATTGACAAGCAGAATAATGCGACTTAGACCCCCATAGGATGCTGTGTCGGTGTGCTATCGCCACTGCTGCTTTTTTTTTACTGCTGTATCAATCGAAGGGACGTGGTCCGGCTACTACTGGGGTGGAATTTTGGGAAACGGACCAAACGGCTGATGATCTGCTCGATATGCTTGTGATGTGTCGATATGCAAGAAAGTGGAATTTACATGTCGCTGGCGAGCCTGACCTTCGTCCGGGCCTGGGTGTAAGGCCGCTTACTCATCTACGTCGTATAACCACGTTGGCTGCCGTTCCTCCTGAACGCCTATGTTCAGATCGAGTGCCCTACTGCCCCTCCCTCTCTCGGATTCTCCTCTCCCGCTCCTTCCTCCTCTTCTCCCTCGCCTCGTTGCTCCTGTTCGGGAACGGCGTCGATTCGACCTTTTGAGGCGTCTTGAGTTTGATAGAGTCGTTGTCCCCTAGTTCTGTATGAGGGGTCAGGCGGAGACCTGCAAGTAGAATAGAAAGTTGAATTTCAGTCGACAGGATTGGACTGAGAAGGCGACGAGCAGGGTGGGAGAGAAGGTGGAGAAAGGGTGGTCTTGGGCTTACGATAGATCGGACCGTCTTCCTCCTCTGCTGCCTCTGCCTGGATCCTCGCAGCTTCCTCGGCCTCCTGTTGCCTTTTCAATTGCGCACGTTCCTTCTCGATCCTCTCTCCCTGCACGATATTCTCCCTCAAGATCTTGGCCACCTCTCTCCAGTGTTGCAGCTTTTCCAAGTACTCCGGCTCTGTCAGCGAAGTGGGTTCCGCTGCAGGGATCGGTGTTGGGGGTGGAACGACGGTCGCCCCGGAGCTAGATGTTGTTGCTGAAGACGAGGATGCCGGTGTGGAACAGGATGTAGGGGGAGGAGCGGCATTGCTCGGTTTGATCGGCGAGGTGAGGGTCGGGGAGAGGAAAGTGGTACGAATGACTGAACGGAACTGGTGCTGTGATGCGATGTCGCCTGCAAGAAGCCCAGTCGTGCAATAATCACATTATATGAGTAAGGGTTGTAATCAAGGTTAGCAAACAATCCTAAAGTAGAGGAGGCGAAGAGCAAGCAAGAGCAGACTCGCCTGCGAATGTCGAGTTGGAAGCTCGGATGAGCAGCCGATACACCGATCTGGCCTGGTTTGCTAGTGGTCCCGGTGTGCTCATTGTGGCTGATTTCTAGGTTGTGTTGAATGGTTGAAAAGTGTTGTACGAAATATGATAGGAGATGTTGTAGGTGGTTTCCAACTTTTTCTCTCCTCGGTCGAGGTCGAGCTCGCGTCCGAAGCTAAACCCTAGGCATCCTGGTTACGTTTTGACCCATCTCTACATCCATGGCCAGACACCATAATAATAAAATGTATCAACCCAGTTGCACGGATACTCGATCATACAAAGGAGACTCGACTCCTCTGTACGGCCTGCACGTAAAGTAACTTCGCCAGCCGTTGATCTGAAAAAAACGAACAGCCAACAGGCTCGACCGGTCGATCGGACAACATCGACGATCTAATCGTAATATCGTAAACAATTCAGAAGTTGCAAGTTGTCTGGTCGTCGTCGTTGATTTGGAGACCACCATCTGGAGCAACCTACAACCCTCATTACTGAGGTGCGGCTGACCCCTAGAAGTCTAATAAGCTCGAGATGTCCCTCTCGGACGAGCTCGCTCAAGTTCGAGCAGAGATCAAGACGTGGGAGCGATCGTTCAGGGCAGAGAACGGCAGGGATCCGAGTAGAGACGACATCAAGGCCGTTCCCGAGATCAGTCAGTATCACAGCCCTCCTCGTTCGTCTTACTATGCTGATAGAAATCACACGAATTTCGTAGCTCTCAAATACAAGCTATACAAAAGTCTGAGTAAATCGAAAGACCTTTCGTCATCCCAGCCCGTCAGCTCTCAACCTTTGCAATCGCAATCACAATCCCGCCCACCTTCCCGTCCTCCAACAAGACCCCTAGATAAAACACCAACATCGAGCACCCGGTCCTTCTTCCAATCGGTCTCTAGTATCTCTACAGCTGCATCTATATCGACACCTGTAGCGGACGACCAGTCAAATCCGTTCTTGGAGAGTACGCCTGTGGTCAGACGCGGATCCTCCATGATAACAACAAGAGGGAAACCTTCCACTCCGGTGCAGGATGACACGTCTAATCCGTTCTTATCCCCGACTGCCGGAGGAAAGAATGGCTCGACCTCGACGTCAGTCTCGGAATCTCGGTCGGGGACGAACGGCGTAGCGGCTGGATCGTTATCATCGGCTAGACGCAGCAGCCGACCGTACGGACCTAGCGTACCCGATCCTTCGTTCCCCGATCCGTTTGCTAGTCCATCGAAATCTCAAGCTCGGGTACAAGCGTCGGGATCTAGATCTTCGACTTCGGTCTTGAGAACCCCTGGGAAACCATCGTCATCGTCCCAACGAGAAGGACAAGCGGGGTCGTCTGCGGAAGGATTCCTCTTCGCGCCCAGCCCGTCTAGGTTGAAATCGCTACTAGAGGCCAACTCGTTATCTCGCTCGCCTTCCAAAATGTCGCCCCCTGCTGGACCTTCCGCGGGGCAAGGGATGGGTATGGGCATAACGCCTCGGACGAAAGCTAGGAAACGATTACGGGGGGAAGAGGTCGAAGATACGCCTAGACCTAGGGGTAGGGGGTCGAGGGGATCAAGCGGGGCCAAGGGTTTCTTCGGTTCGGATGGGCTAGGACGGGGAATAAGCGATGATGAGGATGACGATCGGGCTGAGGATGAGGACGAAGACGAGGTTCTTGGGCCGACACCGAAGAAGGGGGAATCGGGAAGGAGGGGGAACTTCAAGACCCTCTTTGGGGTGGATGAGGAAGAAGACTCTGATCTTGACAACGACGTTGAGCTGGGATCGGAGGGGAACCAAAAGAAGAAGAAACGAGGGGAGATGGGAGATAAGATCGCGGGTGCGACAGGCGGAATGGGAAAGATGTTCAAGAAACGCAAGATCGAGATTGGGGAAGGGTCAGCAAGAGCAAAGGACATGAAGTCAGGCGTTGTGAATGGAAATGTCGCCAAAGATAACGGCAAGGGCAAAGGGAAGGAATTGCCCACCAACGGGTCGACAGATATGGGGCCCCCGAGTACGCCTAAGAAAGACCTGAAGGAGGTCGCTCAGAGCCCTCGGTCGGCTAGCCAGGCAACACCGCTCAAGGGCAAAAAGTTGGCGTACCTCGCTCAGCTCGATAAGCAAGATGGTACAGCGGAGGAGACCGACAATTCGGAAGCAGTACCTGGCCTGGACCTCTCACCTGAGGATAAAGGCCGAATACACGTCGAAGAGGATCTCGTCAGGGAGATCGAGTACTCGGATAGTGATCCAGAGGATGAGAATCCTGCGCTCGATGGGAATGACATGGCGCTTGATGCGGCGCCTCGAAGACGGACGATGAAGGTCAAGATAGAGCCGTACAGGTTGGATCAGCAGCGTCGGGTCGCCGCTGCAGGTGGAACAATACAGGCGCGGGACCTACGGGGTGGCGGGAGACAGTTCGAGCGGACGATGTCTAGTTCGAGTACGGGTGGGAAAGGAAAGATAAAGACGGTCGTACGAAATCCTGATGTTCTCGATGAGGGTGACGTCATCGAGGAAGTAGCAGAGGAATCGGACGAAACCGACAGCCTGTCCCGCTTAACCCTTCGCTCGCCCGAAAACGACATCTTGAGAAAAACGATGGCATATCACGAGCGTAAAGCCATGGCCATCTTTTCCACCAAGGCCGCGAATGATCTGCGGCTTAGGCGCAAGGGGATCGAAATATTTGCCGCCGGAGAGGGATTCGAGGGCGAGGATGACGATGGTGAGGTAGAAGATTATGGTCGAGATGACGAGGAGAGTGAGGGGGACGACGATTGGGACAGCGAACCGGAAGGATGGAAAAAGGTCGGACTGGGAGTCGACGATGATTGGTAGCGCGATGTGGGATTACATGCGAAGTAACCTCAAGCGGCAACGCATGTGCAGTTTAGGCGCATATCGTCTGTTTCACCCATGACTAGTCTATGTACGATATACGAGGTGCCTAAAAGCATTCCACCGAGATTTAGGCCAGCTATCCCAGACGAATTCGGCCCGGTCCGAACGACCTGAATTTGCCTGGGTACGGGTATTACTTCAAACTCATCGCCGTTGTATATTAACTTAGGGCATGCTTCATTGCGAATGAGTGGATTCCGATCGATAAGCATGGGCGGAGCGACCATAGGCGCAACCGTAGGCGGAGCGATCGTAGGCGTGATCGTAGGCGTGATCGTAGGCGCAACCGTAGGCGGAGCGATCGTAGGCAGAGCGACCATTGCCGGGAGGGTAGTCATGGTTTCCGGACTACAGACCAAGGGCAACAACATCAGTCAAATATTAGAAGCAGCGAGATGGATTCTGCTTACCTTTTCCCTTTTTCCTTGACGTTTTCCTTGCCCGCGAACATTATCTCATACGGTCGTTGCGCTTGTCACTCAAGGCAGGTGGGACCCACGATTGATCTGTGTCTTTCCATGGTCTGTACCGAGAGCGAGGCTGGGACCACGGCTAACTGCACTTGATATGTTTGCAGATAAGTTAACTTGTTCAGCTCCGAATAGAATCGAGACTTAAGATTGATCTGACCGCATTGGTGTGCCTTGATCATCAACCGCTCTTGAGAAGCTGGCATCAATTCCCCTAGGTGACAAAACCTTCTCATTTCGACCGCTTGAAGGGTGGACATGTGCTCAGGCGGGTGCCGACAACTGCTCTGTTCTGGTAGGCGGAGGGTGTAGATATCATGGGTACAGCACATTGTAACAACATGCTCGACGTATCAACAAGCTTGCAAGAGTATCTGTACGGTGTCGACATGCTCAAGCATTCGGGGCCTTTTGCACAACAGTTTTCATATGCCAGATTGTAGACCGCGTTCATTAGGACCTGCTACCGAGCTTTGATTTACAGAAGAACCCTGCTGCATGTGTCGCCATGTCGCTACCGAAGATCCAGCTGCGATCGCTTCCGTGTGAGAGTAACCCAAGCATGGCTTCATGTAGCTATGGCATGACGTGTACGCCTGGTGATTACAACCTCACAGGCGAGTGCGGCATCCTTCCAGTTAAATGATCCCTCTGAGAGAAGTCAACTTGCAACAAGCTTGGCTGGAACTTCCCCGGAAGAAGAGGCGCTTCACCGCGAAGCCAGTGCTAGTCGCTTTGAGTGAAAAAATAGCTACCGCCAGTCAAGGGGTCCTTTACTGAGGACCTTAAAGGGTTTCTTGAGTCTCCTGTTATTGTGGATAGCTTGGGCTGCTCAGAATCTCATGCAAGAAATCGCCAAGATGTCCCTGTACATGTGGCAGGTTGGATTATGGGCTGGAAAGGGAGGGGAGAGGAGGAAGGGGACAATAACCAGATGGCCAAGAACCTAAAAGTCTGGAGTATTTTGGGCGTTGAGTGGCCCTCTTAGCTTGTTATCCAAGCAGACCAATGGATGGGCGATGGATGGAAGTCTTTCCTGCATCCTGGGCTCAAGCGCAAGGCGTTGTAGGGATCACCGAGTAGCGCTGCCGAGACGAAGCGAATCAACCACGACAATACGCACTCAAACTGTATCACAACCAAATTGATCAAGCCACCGTGGGTGAAACACCTTCGGAGACAGAATTTACAACGAAAAAGAATGCAACCAAAAAAATACCCAACACACTCGAACCCAGAGGCAACGAGACATGTACACACACTTTTCCTTCTTCTACAAGTGCCAACTTCTACAAGTCGGCCAACTGCTTGGCGAGGCTCTTAGCCTTGGTCAACTGGGACTTCAGACTAGAGTTCTCGATACGGATAGACTGGAGTTGACGCTCGGCTTCGGCCAATTTGGCGCGCAGGTCAGAGACGACCTTGTCCTGCGAGATGACGCGAAATGAGCGGAGCTACTGAGAAAAATCGTGAACGTGCACTCACATCGCCCGGGTTTTGAGTGGTGATGGGGGTCTTGTCGCCGGCAGGGGTCTCGACACGAGCCACCTTGTCCGCCTTCTTCTCCTCACTCCCGCTGACATCCACGACGGAGGGTTTGGCCTCTTCCTCGAAATCGTCCTCATCCACAGGCGCCCTCTTCTTGGCCTCGGTGAGCTCCTCGTCGTCGCTGTCCGGGTCGTCCTGCTTGATCTCGAGATCTTTGGGGTTGAAATCGGTCGGTTCCGGAACCTTGGTGGCCGAGAGCATAGGGACGTCTTTCGGGTACTCTGCGGTAGCTTCGGTAGCAGGGGCGACAGCTGGAGTGGGGTTAGGAAGCGAGACCGATCGAGCCGGGGTTTCCTTCTTTTCTGCCTGAGCGGGAGGGCTCTCAACCGGGGTCTCCTTCTTCTCAGGTTGAGCGGGAGCCTGATAGGCCGCCTGCGCCCTTGACTCCATGTCGATCAACTTGGGAGGACCCTTTTTGCCATCCATCCATTCCTTGGCGGTAAATGCGGCTTCATCGGAAGGAGCAGGAGGGAAGATGTCTGCCTGGAAGCTTTCAGCCTGTGAAGTGGCGCAGTTTTCGGGTCAGTTGATTGCCATTGTCGGAATAACCTAATCAGCATCACTGACTTTACGGGGAACGACAAATCCGATCGGTTCGACGGTGCTCGTAGTGAGCTTGAATCCACGAGCGATCTCGTTTTGTCCGACATCGACAGCGTGTCGAGGCAAGAGGGTGAACCCTCGTTCTGGTACAACAGCATGGACCTCGTCGTCAGTTTCGGCTTCGGCTTGGTCGAATATAGTACGCGCGCGAGTGTGCGGACGTACGAGGATCGGCACTCTTGTGTTCGTTCAAGTAGAACAGCTCGTCGTCAGCGTATTCGTAGTACCTGCGTCGAGAAAAAATGGGATCATCGTGAGCCTGAGTCACCAGCCTGATCTTTTGTGAGGATGAATGATTTACCTGATGTTCCCGTCTCTACGAAAGACGAAACGCGGAACTCTTATCAGTCTCCATACCGAAGATTAACAGCCGCCTTGACCCGTCAACTCACCCCTTTCCGGCCAACAACAAGACCGAGTTGCCCTCGACATAATGCGGCATAATGACACCGCTGCAGTGCACAACCGTGCCAAAAAATAACGCATTGAAGAGAAGCATACAAACGATGTCACATCAGCGTCCATCTCGTGCTTCCCCTAGGATATGAACCCGCGCCAACAAAGGAGACGAAGGGACGTAGACTCACGAACTGCTATCGATATTCTCCGTCGAGATCGGCTTCAAAGTCGCCGTATCCCAAAGGATCATCTGTCTGTCCGACATCCTGGAGAACCCGGTCGTCACCGCCCTCTCCCGATCGCCCAACCAGACGACCCTGGAGCCCTTGATCCCACCGTGGCCGTCGGCCTGTTTAATAGGGTCGGAACCCGCTCGGGGGTCGTACATCCGGATTTGTTTATCTCGGGAGGTCTGTCGTGAGGGAGGTCATGTGAATGACACGTTGCGACATGCATGAGATCGAGGACGAAGAGATCAGCATCGGGGTGAACAGACGATTCAAGAGAAAGGCCAACTCACGGTGATGAGCAGATCTCCGGTATAATTCCAGCAGACGCTCTGTACGGTATCCTTGTGCCCCTTGAGCTCTACGAGCGCCTCGTCAAACTTGCCCGAATCCACGTCCCAAAGCCTGACGACGTGGTCCCCACTAGCACTGGCCAACAACCCCGAAGCTACGGGGTTGAAGACGACCTGTCCGACCTTTTTCCCCTGACCGGCTTTGGGGATAAAAGCCGTATGTTCCCAATCCGAAGGGGTCGTCCAGTTCTCTTCCCCCCATCCGCTGAACTTGCCAGAGTATCCGGTACCTTCGGACCCACGAGCAGAGTTGGAGATCTCGCTCTCAAAGTTCCAGAGGAAGATCTTGCCATCCTCCCCTGCGCTCGCCAATACAGCTTCTTTGTGCGGGTGCCAAGCGGTATCCAATACCGGTCCGCTGTGCCCTCGGCAGAGGGGGAGGAGGTCGGGGAGTTTCGGGGTGGGGATCGCTGGGGCGGAAAAGGGAGAGAGAAGGGGGAGGACAAGGAAGGCTCCACCACCGGATGCTTGGTAGTTGATAGAGAGGAATTTGGGGTTGGCTTTGATCAGGTCGGTATCCCAGGCCGAGGTGGAGACCTGCGCGGACGCACGTCGAGGTTGAGCACCGCGTTCAGGTTGAGAGCGGCGATGCGTCCAGGAATGGTAAGAATCCGACAGGGGCACGGGATATATGGTCAAGAGGTAGACAGCAATAAATGTCATAAGAAAATCGGTGACCAGATCAGCAATCATCGCGACTCAACCACAACCTCCCCGGACGCGTCGCGCTGCTGACCTTCAAGTTCTCATAGTTGTGCTCCTTTTTCGCCTGTTGCGAATAGGTATGACGGTATTTACTCGGTCGGACGAATCTGCTCATCTTGACAGTAGTGAGAGAGGTGGTGTGTATGAGCTGGTTTGCAGGGATGGAAGGAGGTGTAGGATGGTCGATATGATTGAACGATTATGACGACGTCGCCGGTATGATGCGATACTGATCGATGATGAGGTGGACACGCTAATCAATTCGTTTTTCCCAATGACACGTCATACACCGCAATCCTCTCTTATCAATCATCGGCTCGGAGTTGACCGATCGACGTCAGAGTCATGTTCCCTCCATGTCAGACGTTTCTTATACCTCATACCTAAACGATCTGCCTTCTGTACTACGTACTTGTGAGGACATCGACGTCAACCACCGCAATCGACCACCTGATCAAGCCTCTCATACAATGTCGACTACATACGATCTTGCCGATCTGGCACGCGTCGCTCTCAAAGGCAAGACCGTCATGATCGTGAGTGTGTATCAGCCAAAGTTCTTTGCAACAGCAGTAAGAAACTGACTCACGTATACGTATATTTGCCATCCCAGACGGGAGCCACAGGAGGGATCGGATTCTCCACCGCTCGTCTGATGTATCGTGCAGGGTGCAACCTGATCGTTACCGGAAGTAACCAAGAAAAGATGGACAGGCTGCTGGCGGACCTCGTCGATGGGGAAGGCAAGGTCTGGTCCTATATATGCGACCTTACCAAGCCGAAGGAGATCGCCCACATGATCGAGAGATCTGTCAGCGAGTGTTCACCGGTAGACATCCTCATCAACAACGTCAGTGGTCCGATGCCAAATCGCTTTCGTCCATTTCTTCCAAGCTGATGTCCGGCCACCTCGTGTTCAGGCTGGCTTTGCTCTGAAAGCCACCAAGCCGTTCTGGGAGCAGGATCTCGACGATGTGGATACCGTCATGGACGTCAACGTAAGAGGTCTCATGCATATCACACGTAAGTCCACCAGCCTGACAATCTCCCGGATCGTTTCCTGTGGCTAAAATCCGCCGAATTGTAAGGACAGACGGAATTCTTCGGTACCACATGATGAAGCGGTCTCCTCAGCCGACAGGCACTGTCTTGTTCGTCTCCAGTATCACCGGTAGATAGTCTCGAGGTAGTGGGGTCTGGCGACCGATGCCATGGCGGGTGCTGATCTACGCGAATCGATAGGTCATCAAGCTCCACTTAAGGATTTCAACGAAGCTTCCTACCATACCTCGAAGGTTAGTAGTAGCCGTATTCTCTGTCTCTGGTCTCTTGCCAAAATATTGACAGACCCTTCCGATGGCCTTGCTACAATAGGCAGCCGTCGAAGGATTCGCCTACGTGCTGCGGCACGAGACCTCCGGAACAAACATCCGAATCCTCGTCCATCGCCCCGGCACCACCTTGACGGAATTCCACTCTCGGCGGCTCGAATACGACTCTTCGTCGATCGACGACATGTTTTCGGGCATGTGCGCTTTGCAAGCGGACGATCTTGCCGAGGGGATCGTCTGGCAATGCCTTCAGCCGGAGCGGGTCTCTGTCGTTACGATGGAGACGTTGCCTACTAGCCAGAGGAGCCTGTATCAGGTTGACAGGAAGTGGGAGGAGCGTAATCGGGTTTGAGAGGAAATGTCGGTCAGTACAAATGCGCTCGGGTACTGTTGTTGATGGATCGATGTTCAAATCGCCGAAGCCGATTCCAGGATGTGGGATGAAGCCATTGAGCAATGTACCAAACGGCTTCGTGGCCACCATGCTGTATCCCATGATTTATGATCCTCAAAGACGTGGCCCATGAAGGCTCAACATGCGCGGAGCCAACACATGGGACATCCTCAAAGCCAACGAGAAGTGGTGCTGGGGGAAGAGGAGGAGGAGGAGGAAGGTGCGGAAGGTGAAGGAGACCCACCCCGCCAAGAAGAACAAGATCGGCAAGACCAACATGACCTATAGTCAAAGCAAGGACAAGTAGATGCTATTGGGTTGTGAAGCAGAGAAGGCAGGTGGAGGGTATGAAGGGCGGCTTACGGTATATCCACGCGATCGTCGGATATCATCGAGATGATTGCAACTGTTCCAAATGTAGAAAAGCTCTCATCTGTCCTGGTCGTCAACGACATCACTTCTCACGGACCAACCAGAGTCTACATAACAGACCTACAGTGTCTTACAATGTCAGTTTTCATGGACAAGCGTTCCAAGTTGGAGAGTTTTCTTTAAAGTGCCGCGTTATTTGGTGCTATCATGGTCGGGCAGCAGGAAGGATCTTCCCAGGTCAGTCGACATGGCAAGGGACGCGATCGATCGATAAGACGTCCGCGCGACCTGGCAGACTGAAAGCGAGGTGATGGATTTCAATGCTTGATGACATGTCGCCGACAGCTTAGCGTCTGTCCCGTCAAAACAACCTCTCCGAGCACATTATTGACCACTCCTAAAACAGCCAGTCGAACCTGTCATGGAAGCGGACCCGCCTCCCGTCATCGGCATACACTTATTCCGAAGTCGAGGTGAGCACTTCGTCTTGATGCCGGGAACGCGACCTGTCGCTGATCGAGATCGAACGAGCCGCAGACCTCCGGCCGAGCAGTCTTTTCGACGTCGTCATCTCGTGGCAGGGCCAGAGCGTTCCCCTGGGAAGGACGTTGGAAGATTGGCTGCTCTCGTTGTGATCTGGGACGACACTTCGCGATCGACATGAACCACAAGGCTGAACCCACTACGCGATGTCTTGAGTATGACCTTGCATCTTGCAACTAGACGACCATACCGTGTCCGATCGCCTTTGTAACCTAGTCTAACATGTCCTCATTCATCCATATCCGCACCTCAACGACTATGAAACCCCGGTCGAACACCGAGCTGCACTGTTGATGTCACGTGACATGCCCGTAGCCCGACCCGACAAGTCGTCTTTCGGCCGAAGCTCGTCCAACTTTCGGGTGATCGGGTGGCGAACGAATGAACATCGGGCCATATACACGTTGCAACCTCGAAGCATATATACACCACCGGCCACCAACAACTCTTGCCCCGAAACTATACACACATCGCATCTTTGCTACGATCTCTCTTTCTCTACAACACCAGCTCACACGCACACACATCTACCATGCCCGCCCCGACGTCGACCCCACGCACGCTCTACGACAAGGTCTACGACGACCACCTCGTCTACTCGGCCGACCAGGCGTTGATCTACATCGACCGACACTTGGTACACGAGGTCACCTCGCCTCAAGCCTTTGAAGGGTTGAGGACCGCCAAGAGGATCGTCAGAAGGCCGGATTGTACGCTCGCCACTGTGGATCACAACATTCCGTGAGTCGCTTCGTCGAGAAAGCTAGGTTCGGGCTGTGGAGCTGATGTTTTCGCCACTCCGTCCTTTGTGTTCTTTTCCTGTTCTGTTTCGTATCGGTAACCTCTTGTCGGCAACTTACCCTTTACCAACACTATCACCCCGTTGACTCTCTCCACAACTCTGGCCCAACTTGCTTCTCTCCGCCTCACGCCACCTCAATTGTCAATCTCAATCCACCACCTGCCTCGAAACCTCATCACACCGCATCACACCACCACCCTTATTCCGACTATCAGCACCATCTCCCGAAAATCATTCAAATCGATTCACTCCTTTATCGAAGAACCCGACTCGCGAGCCCAAGTCGGAGCCCTCGAGGACAATGTGAAAGAGTTTGGCTTGACCTATTTCGGGATGGGGGACAGGCGACAGGGAATCGTACACATCATCGGGCCTGAACAGGGGTTCACTCTGCCCGGAACGACGGTGGTCTGTGGGGATAGTCATACGTCCAGTGAGTTCAGATTCTTTTTTCTCGATTTCTGTTTGGGGGTCTTTCGGCAGGCTGGAAAAGCTGATTATTCTTTCTCACGCTCACGCGTAGCTCACGGAGCGTTCGGCGCGCTGGCTTTCGGCATCGGAACTTCCGAGGTCGAACACGTCCTCGCCACCCAGACCCTCCCCCAAAAGAAATCCAAAAACATGCGTATCAACGTCGAAGGCGCCCTTCCCGCAGGATGCAATTCCAAAGACATCGTCCTTCACATTATCGGTCTGATCGGGACTGCCGGGGGAAACGGATGTGTCATCGAGTTTTCTGGGAGCACGATCAGGGAGCTGTCTATGGAGGCGAGGATGAGTATCTGCAACATGTCCATCGAGGGAGGAGCTAGGGCGGGGATGATTGCACCGGACGAGATCACTTTCGAGTACCTCGCTGGGAGGCCCCTGTGTCCTGTCGGTGAGGAGTGGGATCAGGCGGTCGCCTACTGGAAGACCTTGAAGTCGGACGCCGGAGCGCACTATGACGTCGAGGTCGAGATCAAGGCCGAGGACATCGCGCCGACCTTGACCTGGGGAACCAGCCCGCAGGACACTGTCCCCATCACTGGTACCGTGCCCGACCCCGAAAAGGCTACCGACCCGATCAGGAAGAACGGTATGAAGAGGTCTTTGGAGTACATGGGCTTGCAGCCGGGCCAGGTGATGGAGGAGGTCAAGATCGACAAGGCGTTCTTGGGATCGTGTACCAACGGTCGAATCGAGGACTTGAGGTCTGCGGCCAAGGTCATCCTCTCCGCTGGCAAGGACGCCAAGGTCGCCGAGGGCGTCTACGCGATGGTTGTTCCCGGTTCGGGGTTGGTCAAGCAGCAAGCCGAGGCCGAGGGGATCGACGTCGTCTTCAAAAAGGCCGGTTTCGACTGGAGGGAAGCCGGATGTTCCATGTGTCTCGGAATGAACCCCGACCAGTTGAAGCCCCAGGAGAGGTGCGCGTCGACGTCGAACAGGAACTTTGAGGGTCGACAGGGACAGGGTGGGAGGACGCACTTGATGAGCCCTGCCATGGTCGCTGCGGCGGCGATGACGGGAAGGTTGACCGACGTCAGGAAATTCGTCGGCGAGAACGTCAGCGACCACCCGGAGATCAAGGTCACTAGCGTCTTTGACTACATGGACGCTGCGATCCCCTCCCCTGCCCCCATCCCCAGGGAGACCAAGATCGTCGACCCGAACGCCAAAGCTCTTCCGGAAGCCGTCGACCCCGCCACGGCCGGTCTTCCCAAATTCAACGTCCTTACCGGGATCGCCGCACCCATGTCGACCGCCAACATCGACACGGACATGATCATCCCTAAGCAGTTCCTGAAGACGCTCGAGAGGACCGGGTTGGGCAAGGCCGCCTTCTTCGAACACCGATACGATCAGAAGACCAAGGAGGAGAACCCCGATTTCGTCCTCAACAAGGAGCCGTTCAGGCGGGCCAACATCTTGATCTGTACCGGAGCCAACTTTGGATGCGGAAGTTCGCGAGAGCATGCGCCTTGGGCGATCAACGATTTCGGAATCAGGTGTATCGCTGCGCCTTCGTTTGCCGACATCTTCTACAACAAGTGAGTCGCGGCCGTGTCTGACATCTGACAATGGTGATCATGCCGCTAACATCAGACGCTGTTGTTCACGCTCACCCTCACCAGCTGTTTCAAGAACGGCATGCTGCCCATCGTCTTGCCTCCCGCCGAGCTCGAGCAGCTTCACGCCGACGCTTCGGCCGGACAGGAGCTCACCGTCGACCTCGAACGCAAGGTCATTGTCAGGCCCGATGGCAAGGGAGAGATCTCGTTCCAGGTCGACGACTTCAGGCGTCATTGCCTTATCAACGGGTTGGACGATATCGGTCGTGAGTCGAGATGTTCCCGCATCTTTCGCTATATAGAACAAATTTGCTGACTGCTGAGAGCATCCGATAGTCACCCTGCAACACCGCGAAGAGATCGAACAGTTCGAGACCCGACGGACGGCCACCTGGCCCTGGTTGGACGGACTCGGTTACGCTAAGAAGGGAGGCAAGGTGCCCGTCAAGCCGGCCAGTCCTCAGAAGAAGAAGATGGACTGGTAGAGGGCGCGCTTGTCTGGCTGCCTCGCGGTGGTGATACGATAATGAAGAAGAACAAAAACGACGATTCAGCAAGGACGTCGACTATATTACCTTATCTCGATTTTGGTCGTGGCTTTCTTGACAGTAAAATGTATATACTCGACATATATTATACCTTGTATTGGATTTTCAGAAATGGATTGTTCTTGTGTTTGGAGTGCAAAGAAATCAAAGCAGAAAGACGGGCTGATCCCTTGATGTCGCCGACGGACGTTATCCTGTTTGACTGGACCACACTCGATTCGCTAATTCGCTTCCGGCGGATCCCTATCTGCATAATCATCACCTTGCGCCTTGAATCAGGTTACTCATGACTCATGTCACTCAATTACACAACTCTCTCTTGCTCATCGAACAACCTTCAACGTCCCTTGGGCTACACCCATCGCCAGCCATGTCCATATCAAAGTTAGTTGGCGTCTCCTTTTCAGCAGCGCGGCAGTCACGTCTCGAAGCTGACCACTCAACCTCGAATCCGCAGGTCCACCCCGATCGCTGACCCGCCATGCTTCGCTCCATTCTCGACGTACACCTCGTCCACAAAAGTGAGTCTGCCCTCGAACTTCATGACAGGCCCACCTCTGACTGATCATGCTTGCCGATCGTGCAGAGGAACAAGAAGGCCCTCGCTTCGACGCAAGACGATTCAGCTCTGGAACTGGCGGCCACGACCAAATCCAACGACCTCAAGCTGAAGAAGGCTTGGGAGGTCGCCCTGGCGTCAGTAGTTACCGCTCTTACATAGACCTCAGGAGAAACTCTGCTGAAATCATGTCCATGATAACGCTATCCCCTTTTAGTCCAGCCAAATCTCTCCCCATGCAAGCCATCATGCTCTACATGTCCGGCTCGGGCATCCAGATCTTCTCTATGGGGATCGTCTGGATGTTGTTGACGAGTCCGTTCAAGGCGTGTTTCCAGATCATCAAGAGTGAGTTTGACTTCTACAGTAGCTCGTGTTCCACATATCATACTGTATCGTCGCTGACAGGCAGAACTCTTCTTTGCGTTCGTTTATTGCTTCGCATGGACAGCTTTTGAACCGTACCGACAGGTTACCGCCACGTCGTCTGCTTCTTCACGATCCATATCGACGACCACATCATCAACACCCACTCGGAAAGGCAAGATTACCCCTGATCTTCTTACCGCCATGCTCGTCTACGTAGGCTGTCAAGCGCTCGTGTAAGCCTCAGCTTCACCTGTCCCTACCACCTGTCGAAGAGTTTTTTCCACGTTTACAGAACTGCTTGCTGATCCTTGTTCACGGTTTCATGTTCGTTCATATCTCCGTCTTCGGCACTCAACGATAGGCTCGGACTGGGGATTTACAAGTGTAAACAGATGGGACTCGTTCCTACCGGGACGGGCGATTGGTTACAGTTCGAGAGTCGGGCTCCGGTAAGCCACCTTCTGCTTCATGGTTCTTTCCTGTGCTGAACACCCAATATCGGTCTCATGATGTTATGTCCGGGGTCGGATGTGCTCAGGCGCCGGAATGGTCCGCCGTACGATTCGGAGGCATGGGAGCAGGGTATTGACCGACAACCTGTATCGTATAGAATGTACAGTGATGATGTCGACAAGCCTTAAGATCGTTAAGTACGAGTTTAAAGATGGCTCGACCCAAGACGACTCGCTCTTTCTCATTCACGGATTCGTTAAGAAGGACGTCTAGAGAGACGATGTGGACTTTCCCGACTGTGTTCAACCTCCGGTGCTAAAATCTTAGCTTGGTAATGCATCGTTGCACAATCAATCAGCTCAATCCTGGTGCGAGCCGGAGCTTGGTGTTGAGCCAAAGACGACGCACTTAGGGCAGGTGGCATTACGTCAGTCGATGGAGTCGGAATAAAGACCGAAGCAGGATCAGTGCTTTCAGCGGGGACTGGCATCGCAGCTGAGCGGAGGACTACAGCAGGGATTGACGTAGTAGCCCAGCTGCTGCGTATTGGAACAGTAACTGAGCTGCCTGTACAAGGCAGGAGCAGCGGGTTTCACAGCGGAAATACCGCAATCAACGTTCTTAGACGTTTAGGTTCTTCTCCTTGAAGCCTGAGCTCCGCTATATCTTAGTGGGCCTCATGTATCTCCTGATTGATTCGCGTCCTTGTCCTTGCTTCAAATCCATCTTCCGCTTCTCTAAGCTCATGAGCTTCATTGCTGACCTCATGCTCTTGCGGAGTTAAGCCCGACCACACAGATACCCTCCAATATGCCAAAGCGAGGAGCGCTGGATGACTGGATACTTTCCACTTGCGCCAATTCCTGTTGATGCTACCGATCTTGAATCCCTTCACGCACCTACACCTATATTGCCGCCAATTTGAGACCTAAAGGAAGGCACAGATCTAACAAGGATGTTGTCGTCAGCGGCAACTGAACTTCAAGTGCTGCTTTTACCTCTACAGCTGATCAGAGAGACAAGTGATTGTGACCGGCCAAACTATTGGAAAGAACAACAGAAGCTGGAGTTCAAGGGTGACGCTTGGCTAGAGGCCATCGTAGCTATCACCCATTCAAATGGAGCTTTCCTCAGCTCTGCCCTCCGCTCCAGCTCTTTTCGATGCGTTCCTTTCTGAATTCCTGACAGAGGCCCTGGACATCGCATAGTGAGCTTAGAAGGAATCCGAGGGCAGGAAGTAAATGCAAAAGAGAGGTACCCCTGATAAACTCTTTTCCTCCGCAACACGACTTCTTTCGCTTCTCGATTAAGTCTCCAGCGAATCATCCTATACTCGATCGGTAAGCATGTCTCCTTTTTCTTACATATAGAGATCTGAGCTGATCGATCCTGTCAGATATTATGGGCAAAACGGGGACGAGGACCCCGGCTGCGTTGATCAAGAAGGGGGGAGCTACCTTGTACGTCAAGGCTCCAGCAAGCAATTTGTGTATCGCGTCCACCCATTTCGACTCCTTTGTTCTTCTGACGGTACGACCCAGTGAGATCCCAAAATCTCCAAGTACGGAAATTGCTACGAAATCGTAGAAGAGGCTTGCGTTGTCTAGCAGAAGCGTTGACAAGTGTTTCATGATTGCCTAGGCTTACATCGCGTGCGATACGGTAAAGAAGTTTGACAAGCGACGAGTCTCGGGTCAGCACCTTCTTGGTAACCTCTTGAAGATCTTGAACCTCGTCACCAGATCAACTGGATAGCTGCACTATAGCTCGACCTGGGATCACCCGCAATGAAAGTCGATCTACCATGGACTCTCTCTTTACATTCCAGGAAGAGCTCAAGTCAGAGGCAAAGAATCTGTACCAAGAGATCCGCAAGAACTCGGCTCAACACGATTCCTACAATCGACTGCATTCGATACAGCACGATATCGCTTTTGTACGCAAGGTAGCGGAAGAATGGTATGATGGCGAATTCAAGGTGGTTGCCAATCAACGATGTGGAAGCTGGTATACCGACCCCGAGGTGAGCAGAACGACCACCATTATTGTCACGCTCAAGGAAATCCGATTATTCGCTGACACTCTCTTGATTCTTGCATGGCCCGACATAGTAGGCTCCATCGACAAGCTCATCCACCTATGCCTACTTCAAGTCTACCGACGGGCATACCAACGCCTGGGACTTTAGTGTTCGACGGTCAAATCTATCATTGATCGAGTTCGCCGTCCAGCAAGGCGGGTTCATCATAGTCGATAGCACGAGACGGGGGAAACGGATGCCCGATGCCTTGTCCAAGACGATACCCATCTGGTCAGTCTGAAGTCGGTCTTAGCTCGTCATTCGAATTACGCTCAAGTACATGCCATGTACGTTCCCCGACTTGCAGGTGCACCGTCATCAATAGAGCTGTCCTGCGACTGAACCCAGAACTAGAAAAGAACGAATGGAACACCCAGCTGTATACCCCGCCCAACATCGTCTCTGCACAGGAAAAGAGTCAGATTGAGGAGCGTATAGAAGGATGGGTAGATCATCTGGTCGTAAGTCTATATCAGGATGGCGGAGTACCAAGTCTCCAAAGCTAAAAAACAGATACCTTGTCCTTCTCCTTGGTCTCGGTAGAATTCGAGCTTGACGATTCCTGCCCTCCCTCGTCCTCTTCGACCGATCTTTATCCACCCAGGTACAAGTTACCCTCCCACTCTTCCTTTAATCTCAGCTACAAGATCACCAGTATCACCTCCTCTACCACCTTTCATTCCGATCATCTGTCTATCGGCATCTACGTTCATTCCCCACGGCGGTCCTGAACCGAAACGTGACGCCTATGGGACGTTCGAATACGTCCAAGGAAGCGGGGACGACGACGAGCTATGGGGCAAAGGATTGAAACCGGGGCATTTCTTTTCGAACCGGGAGGAGATCTTGTCGGCGAGTCGGGAAGATCTGCCAGAGCTCATCGCGAGGTTGGTCGAGCGGGGTCAAAGTCAAGCGGGGTCGGCTCTGGTCACACAGGGGTTGGATGTATGGAAAGAGATTCCAAGGGGATCGAAGATATGGCTAGGGACGACTTCAAGCGATCTTCCGATGGACTTGGGTTCTTACGCCTTGATCACGTTTGAACAATCCGACAAGCCTTCCATCGAGACCGTCAGCAGCGACGAGACCTCGACATCGAAACAACTCGTCTTGCGGTTGCAAGAAGGCAAGAAGAAGAAGACCGACCTCGATTACGCCACGCAGGTTTTGCCCGCCGTCGTCGACTTCGCTCGGCGTGTCCGATCTCAAGACTCGGACGTACAAATCCTCGTCAGGGATCCGACCGGGAAGTCCCTGAGCGTCGGGGCGGCAGTCTGTCTCTCTTGGCTGTTCGTCCAGTCCGACCGGTCATTGCGACCAATAACCAATTCCAAGGAAGACGGAGCTGTACAGCTACCACCACTTCCCACGCCAACTAAGGAAGACCTGAGGAAACGCCTCGAGTGGATTTTGGACGAGAGGCAGGGCGTCAATCCTAGTCGGCACGTTCTGAAAGCTGTCAACGAGTACCTCATCTCGGCCAAGTATAAATAGCACGTCGAGCAGAGGGGGTATAATATTGTATCATATCGCATAGCATGGATGTTGTCGTACAAAGGGATGGCGGCTGCAATGGACGGTGTTTCATGCTGGGTGTCGTGTAACGTGGACGGTAATCATAGTTCAGGCGGGATCTCGAGCTGTTGCCTGACCTGATCCCGGATAATCTTCTCGAACAACGGCGTATCGTCTCTGAATACCTTGCAGCACTGCCACAACCCAAGAACCCCATCTCATCAGCCTTGACGCTTTCGACTGATATCCGAAACCCCACCCTGAGGCGCATCGGGGGGGCCGAACTGCTCCGGCTCGAACCCGGACTCACCTCGATATTAGCCCCACTCTCGACATTCGGCTCTGCGAGCATGCTCAGTACGCTCATCAATACGCTCCTCACCCCTTGCACTGGTGACCAGCGCTCCGAGGCCTTTTCGTAGTGCAAGGGATCGTCTCCGGGGGTATGGAGGATGGATATGCATACTTCGCCGTTTGAGTAAACTATGTGCCAGGGAGATGTTGAGTGTTGAGAAGCGGAAAAGAAAAAGATGGTGGAAGCGTTGATATCAGCGGAAGTTTAGGTGTGAGAAAAGTTGGCTAGACTAAGCATGGTCCGACTTACCGTTCGGATGATACACAGGAGGATCGAAGACCATCTTGAACGGGTTTAACGGGTAGTCTTTAGGCTGTGCGAGTTCATTCCGGGATCATCAAAGGACATCAGTGGCATTTGCGAGACATCACCGCGATACGATGTGGATATGGTGGAGATTTGTAAATCAGCCTTCCTGGCGGAATGACACCCGAAGTGGTCTCGAAGACAAAGGAGAGACGCTTACAAAGCTCAATTTCGCACAGAATACTCCTCCCTCCTGTCATATCGCAATCAGACAAGCAAATCATCTCTCAGTGATCTATCCTCTCGACGTTCATATCGAAACTCTGATGAGACCCCTGTCATATCAACCCGGACAGGACTCACATAAGGCGTCCCCTCGGGTCCAACTACGAGCGCTTCCCACTCATAGAAATCATCCTCCGAGATCGGTCCTGCTACGAACATGCTCTCCTCGAGGGGTTCTTTCGACAGATCCTTGTATTCTTTGGCCAGCCTGTGTATATCGTAAGAGTGTTATGTTCTGATCGTCAGTGATCAGTGATCAAGTGCAAGTGAAGGTCGTCGTCTGGGTCGCGTGATGGGGTGATCTAAACTTGCCTTCTGACCGCTGTAGAGTTATTTCGACCGCTCATGATGTGCCCGGGGTTTGACTTTACGTTTCAAGAGTATAATATGTTGAAGGATCCTGATTTGAATGCACCGAGTACACGCTGCTAAGTATATGAGTATATGAGTATATAATGCACTCCGTGAACATCCATAATGCTCGTTGCTCGTTGCGACGGCTCAAGCCGGTATGATGAGACCGCCGCTGCCGTAACTTGTTATTACTGTTGTGGGACTGCTGTAATTCTGCAACAAACCGCTTTGCGACCTGATACTCTCTTCCAAGCCCCATCATGATCGGACCCCTACCCCTTGACAAATCTGGTTACTCTGTAAGCACAGACATATCGTGATTCGGCAGAGATAATGCAAGCACGACATCAATCGATTGATCATTGACAACTGGTATCAGCAGAGTACAGACAAATGACTTCATAGTTTACACAAGTTTTGCATACACATCCACTCCCTCTTAGCTCAGTTGGTAGAGCGCTACACTAGTATTAAACTAGAAGCAACATCGCGATATGTAGCGGTCAGCCGTTCGACTCGGCTAGCGGGAAATAACTTTTTTTTTCCGGCCGTTCGCGATACCGACGGCGATCCCTTCGCATCCGTCGTCCGGTGATCGGCGACGATGTGAGACATCTTGCCAATGATGATCAGGCAAAGATCATTGTGGGTCTCGAAAGCAGGGCTACAGGCGCCTTGCTGGGTACTCTTCTTCGATTTCCTGCTCTCGCTCTGGCCGGAGTTTCGTAAGTGTATGGACAACTTTTCAACTCGGCAGATACGCGGATGCGCTATTTTGCAATGACTGATGTATTCGCAGTGACACTTTCAACTACCGACAATACAACAATCACTACAACCCAAGAAGAACCCACAGCCACACTCTGCAAATCGAAGACTCTACATACATCCAAGCACCACATCACTCGCGCTCGAGTACCAACCCGCTCACGTAACTCACGCTGCTATCCCTCAACGTCTCGCACCGACTACTCTGCTCGTACCTCACAAACTTGATCTCGAACGGAGAACCCGATTCGGAGGACGAAGACGAGTGGGTGGTCGCGGACAGGTGTTCGAGCATGGATAGGAGCTGGATGACAGGGTTTCGCCCGCAGATGGTGTTCTGCCGCACGCGTTCAGGTTGGTTAGTATTCACTTTGTGCGATGTTCCGTACATACAGGACCTGGTTGCGAGAGGGACGAGGCCCGGCCGGAACTCACCCCAGTCCTTCTCAAATACTCTCTGAACTTCTTGCCCGTCCCTTCCTTCCCAGCGCCACGCAGGATCTCGATAGCCTCGTGGTCCATATACTGGATGCTCTCCCAGATCGGGGTCGACAATTTCTCAGCGACGTTATGCTTGGAAAGGGTGACGAGTTCAGGCGCTGACTTCGACGTCGATGGCGAAGACGAGGGGGAGGGGACGGGCGGGACGGGATTGGCGATGGACGGCGGGGAGGGGTAATAAGGCGTATGAGAAAAGCGAGTCCCCCTACGATCGCGATGATAACGATCCGACGCCCCTCTATCAGCTTCGCCCCGTATATCCTGCACTCGGATTGACAAGGCCAGAACGTACCAATGGCAGAAATCCGTACTGATCACCCAGAAAGTCCCCGGATCCTTCCAATACTCTGCCAACACCTCGGCATACGCGTCGACCTTAGTCGGGGAGACCGAGCCAACGAGGAGAGGAATGAGCTTCAGATCGGGCCTATCGGGGTTGGACCGTGTACGTGAAAGAAGGCGGAGGTTGAAATATCAGCTCGTCATAAATACGTACGACCGAGAGTGCTTGAGGAGACCATTTTAGAGAGCTTTTATCAGAAGACAAGGCGAACTCACCGGTTAGAGAATACGTGCCGGATATAAGGCAAGTGCATCTCCAAGCTGTGTTCATCCTCGTCCGCCTCCTTGTCCAGCTTGTCGAACAATTCGGTATGTTCCAGGTCTTTGATGACTGTTGCGGAGCATATACCAAGGAGCAGCCGTGTTAGTACAGCGCAAGGCATGCGCGAATTCGATCCGGAGGAGAAACTCGACGACGGGGGAAAGGCGCAACAGACACGCACCATCGAGGTCCAAAGGGATATCGCCCAAAGGCGTCCCATACTTGTGATGCTGGGAGAGGGCAATCTTGTCGAGGTGATAATGATGAGACGGGCCGAGCAAGAAAACGCGTTTGCTGTATCAGAAGCGAGCGAGTATTGATGATCAGATTCGACGTCCTTGCGTGCCAGCGGCCAAAGGAGAAGGGGACGAAGGAAGAAGAAAGACGGGAGATACTAGCATGGACTCCGTAGGAATAGCTGCATAGGCCCAAGCAGCCGCTGGAGCAGAGTACGAGTACCCAGCGTGCCTGTTATTCCAACCCAAGACCACGCTCAACCCATCTCAGCTTCTGATGATCGCGACGAGACGGATATGCCCAAACTCACGGTCCAATCAACGCCTTGCACTTCTGGATAGGAGGGTCAAAATCCAGCTCGGGGATCGGTTTGACCGCGGAAAGATTCTTCTCCAGTTGAGCTCGGAGGGTGGCCGCTGGAGTAATGCCGAGTTATAGGAGCGGTTCAGATAGCGAGGGGTGTGTGGAGGGCTCACGGTTGTTGCTGTACCAGCTCCCCGCGTGGGTAGCGGATCTGACGGCAGTGCGTGTTCAGCGATAATTCTCTATGACAGGCTCGACGGGAACTCACCTTGTGCTCATCTCGAGATGTGGTCGAGGCTCTACTTGCTACTTGATAGCTTGATGAAGGATGGCGATGACCGAAAACAATTATGTCTGAAGTGATCAGAGATCAGCATCAATCTCGGTCTCCATCGATATTGGGGGGGGGGAAGCAAGGGTGATGACGAATAAGGTGCAGCTCGAACGGACATTACAAACGTTGTTATGCCCGCCGCAAGTCTCCCTCGGCGCCCGACCCGAAACCGGTTTCAGCCGAAAGGCCGTTCGGACGATCTGCGATCTACGACCCGCCTTTCGGTCAAAGCGATGCAAATCATCGACCGATCGGTGGATCATCAGAGCCTTTCCTTCTGATGTGGATCTGTGGGTGTTCGCCGCGAGGCCCAACCGCGTGGAACGATTTGCGTGTGATCGCCCGATTCCTTGCTTCGCGCTCGGGCTTTGTCGCTCAAGTGCGAAAGTGTTTCAGATGGATGCACGCGATCACCATGATGATGCCTGCATTGTCCCTCCCCCTTCCGCCTTCCCGCGGCAAAGGAATATGATCATCAAGGTTTCGATCACCCAAAAGGAAGATCATCCCGTTTCGATTCTCCCTCTTCTTGCCGTTTCCAGAACAGAAACCACGCGTACCAGGCGCGGATCAAACACGTTGATGACGGTATGATGATCACGTTCAAGCTGCGGGCTGACGCAAGGGCAAGAAGGGACAGGTTCGGTTGTTTACCGAGGTAGACCAGTTTTGATCTCGATCGATCAATCGATGACCGTCGCAGACTCTTGGCTCGGCGATACCCACGATACCACTAGGTATATAGCACGCAGACCAATTCCGTGGTCGACGACGGCCTTCCCGCCGCCTTTGGCGTGCAGAAGCACCTCTCGGCCTGATTTCGATACTAACTGACCTGCCTTTCGACGAGCACATAAAGGCCCTTGAGAACCTCTCCACCTCGGTCCGATCCGGCCTCCCGTTAGCTGTTCGGCCGGAATCTTTGACTGTGGGAAGACTTTCCGGTATATAGCTCCACAGTTCTCGCCTTTCGATCCCAATTATCATCGCGACACCCCGTGCCACATCAACTTCGCATAGCACGAGTACGGCATAACATATCTTGTTTTTATCGACATCCACCAATCCTCGAACTATACAAGGACCCAAACACCCCCGTAGTGCACCACTTCCACCAAAATGTCAACCGCAACCCCAGCGAACATGCTCATCACGAGCCTCTTCGCCATCTCTCTGCCCCTTTATACCGCTTACCATTCCGTAAGCCCCCGCTTTCCTACTACCTGGACTGGATAGGACGAAAAAGGCTGATCATACGATTTTAATACGCCGTGCGGATTGTGATCCGGTAGTACAAATTCGATGGGATGAGGTGTCTAGTCCCTTCCCGGAAAAACGGGGTTCGGACGGGGATGGTCGTGAGTCCTTTTCGAGACCAAGGACAACATCTCGAGGAGAAGCCCCCTTTCGAATAAAAAAAGCTGACCATATTATTGATAACTGCCGCCTGGTGCTCGTCAGTGGTTGATCATGCTCTGTGATTTCTGTTTCCTCGTCTGGGGAGTCACATTCGCCTGGTTAAAGTATAAACACGGATGGTTGATGCAAGTCCCCCCGTTTCATCCTTTTCGACCGGTCGACTTTGGTTACAAGTACTGATTTGCCGCATCTGTGTCGTTGGCGCTTGCCGCGACAACAGGTTACCGGAACCATGGGGATTCGTCCCGACCCCTATCACGCTCTGGCCGAAGAGCGAGGATTCGTTCGTAAAGGCTTGCAACGTCTGTATCGTTGTGGCTTTCGTGCTTTATGGTGAGTCCCGGTCGGCTTAGGCTGTTGAAGAAATTTTGTTCCCGGAGGATTGATACTGAAGTTATACGCATCGTCTGGTCGGATGGATTTACTATAGACGCGGTCAACTTGGTGGGTCTCGCCAAGTTCAGGCAACACGAACACGCGTGCTGGACAGCTAACACAATGCCAACCGAATCGCAGGAAGAGACTCTCTACTGGATCTTCCTCCTCCGATCGATGAAGAAATCCCGTTCGACGCGTACTCAACGACTCGCCCGATGGCTCAATTCCCGAGTCTTCTGGATCTGGTTGGCGTTATCGATCGTCTCCGCTACAGCGCACATCACGATCCCCTTTGCCCCGGGTTCGAACAACAATGAGGCAGCGAGGAGGATCTTCTTGTTCGAGGGGGCGAGCGCGACCATGAACGTGTATGTCGACAGAGAGGCAATTGCATATCGGCTGAATGTTGGGGCTGACTTGGAGATGACCTTGCGATAGCGTCTTGAGTATCATTTTGGGGTATTATCTACCTGGTTTCATCAAGCAGGTTCGTGTCGTAGCGCCTGCAGACATTTCGAAGGCTGGAAGACGGATCCTGACGATCCACACTTATCTGTACAGGTGGCGGATCATGGAGGAAGTTCCGACGTTCTGTCCAAATTGACATTTTTCCAGGGTAGGACCCGGCGCACTTTCCGCCCTGTTGATTTCACATGGTTGACCAAAGCCCTCTCGATTTGTAGAGATGAACAAGCTCCGCCTGGTCTTGCGTTTCTTCTTTGCGGCGGGACTCATCACCATCGGAGTAGACGTCTCCACAAAAGAGTTCCGTGTAACCAGGAATCGGTAAGTCTCGGATCTTTGGCTCTCGAGGAAACCCTATATACTGACCCCATACCTGTTTGTCTGGATATAGCTTTGCCAATGACTTTGTCTTTATCACCTTGGTCATGACCTTTTGGCTGAGCAACGTCATCTCACTCATGGTACGCCCGACCGCTCCTCGTTCTCGAATTGGCGGGCACTCGAAGCTGATCTGTCGACCTTGTGCTCGATGCCAGCTCTACCTCCCCGTCAGCTGGCACAAGGCCGACGGGGCAACGAACGGCATGATGATCCGGCGCAGAGCGACCGGTGCCGATCTCGGACCTCATGCCCGTCGACGGTCTTTCCAAGTCGGGTCCGGTGGGGGTGGAAAGGAGGATCACAAAGCCCACGATGATCTCGACGGGGACGCTTCCCAGTTGATGACCCAGCACAGTATGGAGCACCGTACGCTCGTCACCCTCTTAAGAGAGCGAGGTACCATCCTGGACCACGAACGTGTACCGGAAGACGCCTTATTCTACGACAACCCCGTCAGGGACGACCGGGGGGCGTCTTCGACTACCGCTACAACCCCCAAAGAGACAAGGGTTGGGAGGTACGATCATAACGACGACGAGGAAACGGGATACGGGTTCGGTTCTCCATCCTCGGCGTACCCCACGGAGACGTCGACGGTACCTTATGGATTCAGCTCCCCAGCCCCCCCTAGCACGTCTGCGAAACGCCAGAGTAGCTATTCCGAAAAGATCTTTGGCTCGAAACTACCTTCCGCCGTGAGCTCCCGCTTGTTCCTCGAATATGGTGAAGCCTGTGCTGATCGATAACGCCTTCCTGATCTTCGTACTGGTACAGATCTCGAGGTTCGCTGGTCCATTCGCTGGAGTCCCGGTAGAACCAACCACACCTCAAGAGGTCGTTATCCAGGTATCCAAAGAGGTGGAGGTCACTCATGATCGTCACCACGAACCCGCTCGAGGTCCCGGTTCGTACCCTCCAGGCAGGATCTGAGAGGGATCCACAAGGATTTATTCCGACGTATCAGGTAGTTAGAGGATTCTTGTAGAGGTTGTCATAGTAGAATTGCCATGGATGATCAAGTCAAGGTTCAGGTCGATCACTTGCTAGTTTCTCTTCACCCGCAACCCGTCATCGTCTCCCCGGTTCCTGCCCTCAGTAGCATGCCTGTCCATCGTAGCTACAGTGGGAGCACATTCAGCTCTGCACGTCACCTTGGTATGCGGTCCTCCCGTTTCTGCCCTGTCGAGAGAGAGTTGGACATCCGGAACAGGTTCCTTCCTTTGTAGACGGCCCAAGTTGCCATTATTATTCAGCATTGTATTCGCTCTTGACTTGATCTGATCCTGTATGTCGGTCGAGGTAGGTCTAATTCCAAGATGCAGACGGTGGTATGTAAAGTTCGATTCGAGACGGATAGGTTGCGGGCGAGGAAATGGCAAGTGCTGAGAAGTAGAGGTAGTAAGAGAAAGGCTTCAGATGTATTAGTAATTCTTTCTAATCCCTCCCGAGGTTCATTAGTATTCTCTTTCTAATGACCAGCCAGACCGCGCTAGCAGCCTTGAGGGCGATCGCCGAGCGGACAAGTCCGTCAGGGGAAAGAAGAGACATGTTCAGATGACATGCCACACCACAACTATCTCCTCCTCATCAGCATCGCCACCGTCACGCCACATTGTAGCGATTCTGGATATCTACTAGGTCTTCAACTCATCATTCTTCATTCGTCATCGCTCTGGAGTCAAATCTGCCAAGAAAGCGCACCTCTCGACCTCTGAGCCGATTTCGGGTCGAGCCCGACGCCTCGACCTGCTCGGACGGCGAACGGTAGAGCTTCTTACCATGTCCACCTCTCAGCCTCGCCCGGAGATTGTGCTATCAGATGGATTCACCCACATCCGTAAAGTCCTCATCGGCAACCGCGGCGAGATCGCCTGTCGGATCATCAAGACATGCAAATCTCTAGGACTATCGAGCGTATCCATCTACTCTCCAGCGGACAGGTCCAGCTTGCACGTCAGACAAGCCGACGAGGCGTACTTATTACCTGGACCTGATCAGACGGCTTATATCGATGAGCAAGCCATCTTGGACATCGCAACAAAGAGTGGAGTGCAGGCTGTCATTCCTGGTTATGGTGAGCTTCTTCTCGATGCTGGTGCTCGCGTGACCTCGGAGTCAAGGTCGTTGCTGACCTTAGTCGCTGGGCTTTGTTCCTGCTACTTCGCCGATAGGTTTCTTATCCGAAAACGCTGGATTTGCCGAACGGGTCGAACGAGCCGGACTCGTCTGGGTCGGGCCTTCGTCGACGGTGATCAAGCAGTTTGGGCTTAAACATACAGCCAGGCGGTTAGCCATGGAAGCTGGAGTGAGTATCATTGATGACCGCGATTCGATCATACGCTATTGAAGGGTTGTAGTAGATCCGAGCTGATCATCATCTGTTCTGTTTGTATTTCCTGTACGGATAGGTCCCGGTCCTAACAGGCTCGGGGCTGGTAGAGACTGTCGAAGATGCCTTGAAGGCTGCAGAGGATGTCGGCTATCCCGTATGTACATACCATCTTATCTCAAAACCATCAGCCTGAATATACCTCCTGACCTTACCATAATCTCCTGAACCTGTCATCAGGTCATGCTCAAAGCCACCGCAGGCGGCGGAGGAATGGGCCTCCAGATCTGCCACACCCCTTCCCAAATCCCCTCTTCCTTCCAGACCGTCTACGACCGTTCAAAGACGCTCTTCCACGACCCAGGCATGTTCGTAGAGAAGTACATTCCCGAATCCAGGCACGTGGAAGTACAGGTCTTTGGGAACGGGATGGGCGGGGCTGTGCATTTTGGGGAGAGGGAGTGTAGTATACAGAGGAGACATCAGAAGGTTGTCGAGGAGTGTCCTTCGCCGTTCGTACATACTAGGCCAGGTAAGCGGTCGAGTTTTTGAGATGGACGGCAAGGAGCGACTTTGCTAACACGGTACTATCGATGGGACACAGGGTTGAGGAAACGGCTGACGGATTGTGCGGTCTCGTTGGCGAAGAGCGTTTCCTATGGGAGCGCAGGGACGGTGGAGTCAGTCAGCTAGTTCACGCCGCCAGTATTTCCCTGCTGATTTCTATACCCTTTGGCCTCCGCTAGGTTTTTGGTAGATGACCAGACGGGAGATTTCTACTTTCTGGAGATGAAGTGAGCGTGCTTCGCGGGACGAAGCGTTGGCAAGATGAAGCTCGAGGTGGATACTAAGGTTCGAGGTAATCCTTTGCAGCACTCGACTACAAGTTGAACACGGGATCACCGAAATGTGTTACGACGTCGATCTCGTCGCCCTTATGCTACAACAAGCCGAGATGCAGGCCCGAGATCAAGGCGGAGGGATCGACCTCGAATCGTTGAGGTCGTTGCAAAGAGAAGCTCCTCGAGGTTTCGCGATCGAGGCCAGGATCTACGCAGAAGTACCTTCTCGTAACTACGAGCCATCTCCCGGTCTCCTGCAACATGTCGAGTGGTACGAAGCCGCGGACGTCCGGATCGATACGTGGGTACACTCGGGTACGAATATCTCGTCCTTTTACGACCCGATGATTGCCAAGATGATGGTCTGGGACGAACAGTCGCACGATGCGGCGACCGAGAAGATGGTTCAGGCGTTATCCCGGAGTCTCGTACAAGGATGTCCGACAAATATCCGATTCCTATCAGCCATCGTCGATAGTCAGGCTTTTCGGAAGGGTGAAACGACGACCTCGTTTTTAACCCGAGAGGCTTTCGATTTTCAACCTGCCACACTCGATGTCATATCGGGCGGGGCATATACTACCATTCAGGACTGGCCGGCTAGAAGAGGCGTCTCGTTTGGCGTGCCCGAATCGGGTCCGATGGATGCAGTCTCGTTCAGGCTCGCCAATGTGATCGTCGGGAATCCTCAAACTATGGAGGGCCTCGAGGTGACGCTCATCGGTCCAGAACTGCTCTTCAACACGCCCGGTATCATCGCGGTCACAGGAGGAGTCATTGATGTTTATATCGATGGTGAACCCGTCGACATGTATATGCGACACTTGGTCCCCGCCGGAAAGAAACTGAAACTGGGATACGTGACTTCGGGATGTCGCGCTTATATCGCCATCAAGGGAGGGTTCCCATCCGTGCCACTCTATCTTGGCTCCAAAAGCACGACGTCGACATTAAAGCTTGGGGGCTATCAAGGTCGGCAGCTGTTCCCGAACGACCTACTAGAACTGGATCCAGCATGTAAAGAATGGGCGGTCCATCACGAACCGTTCAGTCTTCCCGCGAGGATCCGCTTGGATCAATTTTGGCGTGACGACTGGGTCTTGTACGTGATGCCCGGACCTCATGACGATCCCGAGTTCGTGACCGAGCAAGGTCAGCTTAGGCGAAGATCAATTTCGTCTGTAATCCCAGCTGACGCGCCGATGTATCGCAGACCGCGAGATCTTGTACTCGACGCGATGGAAGATCTCGCACAACGCAACGAGAAGCGGGTACCGGTTGAAAGGTCCACGTTTACGCTGGGCGCGGACAAGCGGAGGTGAAGGAGGCAGTCATCCGGCCAATGTGATCGATGAGCCTTACCCATATGGTGGCATGAACTGGAATGGGGATGAGCCGGTGCTCCTGCCTGTCGTAAGTACTGCCTTTTTTCAGCGAGAAGTAAACTCCGGGCTGAAGTTGAAAAATAAGGACGGTCCTATGGCTGGGGGCCTCGCCACAACGACCACAATTGTCCGAGCTGACCTCTGGCGGATGGGTCAATGTCGTCCAGGGAATCGAATACAGTTCAAGCGCATAACGTGGCAATCGGCGCGGGACCTGGCCGACCGGATCGAGGCGTTCATCGAGATGGTTCGGCGATTCGTCGAAGGGCAGGTAGGCGAGGAGGATCTATCGGGATTAGATATTGAGCTTCCAGATGGATGGGATGAAACTGTTCTGCACACGGTCGAAGGGGACGAGGCGAGTGGGACCGCGTTGGTCAAGTTCAGGCAGGTCAGTGATTTTGTGAGATTGCCACTCTGACTTCTGTAGACAACGTAGGCTGACGCTCATAGATCGCAGGCCGGAGATAGCCATATTCAAGTTACGTATGGCCCGATGACTGCTAGCGCATTGATGCGCTCGCACGTCCAGCAAGTCATAAACCGTATTCATGACATCGAGATTCCCGGTGTTGTCTGCGTCACCGGAACGACAAGAGGTGAAGATTGATGCCTTGCTCCCACTTGTGCCTCTACTGACGACCTTTTTCACGAAACAGCCTATAGCGTACAGTTTCATCCTCATCAAATATCACAAACTGCGCTCCTACAGGCTTTGGTCAATATCGAAAATTCCCTTGTGAAATCCCACGATCCACTACCCAGCCGGATCTTCAAGTTCCCTGTCCTGCTCGAGGACCCCATCTTCAAGGTAGCTGTTGCGGACTATACCGCGACGGTTCGAAGTTCGGCCGTCTACCTCCCTGACAACATGGACTACATCGCCAAGTCGAACGGCGTATGTGATCGAGAAACGGCGTCGAGATCGATCGTCGCCTGTCCTCAGTGAGTCTCAACTCAGAAAATTTGTAGGCATAACTCAGGCGGTCTGATCGCGCATGTGGTACAGGCTGGTCACTGCGCTCAGTTTCCTGGCTGGGACACCCTTCATCTTGCCATTGGATCCGAGGTATGTCGAGGTCAAATGTTTGCACAGAGCCTCTGTTTGACACTCATCCGCATTCGATCGGTCAGGCTAGTATATGTTGCACAAAAGTACAATCCAACGCGTATGTTCACGCCGGAGGGGACCGTCGGACTTGGTGGGCCTCTACTCGTTAGTGAGTCGGCCAGGCAGGGATCCGATTCGTGCAGCAGTCGACTGACCTTGATCGTCCAGTCTATCCTATGGAGTCCCCTGGCGGCTATCAATTCTGGGGAAGATCGCTCGCTGCATGGGATGTAAGCGCGCCTGTCATCACCTCAACATTCTCCTCATACACTGATCTGTACGACCGACACCCTACAGGCCTATGCGAACAAACCCGGATTCACCAAACCCTGGCTCTTGCGCGAATTCGATCAGATCCAGTTCTACGAGGTGGATCAGGCCGAGTTCGACCGATGTTACGAAGACTTCAAGACCGGTCGGTTCCGCTTCGAAGTCGAAGAGACCACTTTCGACCCGGCTGCATACAAGGTGTTTCTGGACTCCATCGAGCAGGAGACTAAGGATTTTGTGGCGAGGAGGAACGCGGCGAACCTGGTCTCTGGGGAAGAGGAGACGAGGTTGTTGGAGGTATGGCATGCTGATAGTGCCGAGCGGGATGGGGACGATCGGAGCGGGGACGATGTGGCGGTGAAAACGATAGATGGTAAGCCTCGCAAACTCCTCAAGCAGATAATCCCATACACTCTCGGTCAGCGCTTATAACCTTGCCCTTGTCGCCCCCCTTATATAGACCGAAGCGTTCACGTAGTGGCGCCCATGACATCTAGCGTATGGAAAGTGCTGGTCGAGGCTGGCGACAAGGTCGAACAAGGTCAGACGCTGGTCATCCTGGAAGCTATGAAGATGGAGATCCGTGAGTCCGGCTTTCGTATCATCTCAACGCGAGATCGACATCATCGTCCCAAACCTGACGACCCCGTCTTCCTCCCATCTCTAATTGTGACCGTGGCAGCAATCCGAGCGGACGAAACGATGGACGGCTCGACCGTCGTCAAGGTCGTCGCCAAACCGGGTAGCCTGATGGATCCCGGTCAGACGTTGGTGTTATTATCATCAAGATCATCAGAATAGGCGGGGCGCAAACGACCCGACTAAGAGGTCCGGGTTCTCTTCAACAACAGCAAGAACGGGTCGGATGGCGTAAACGATGGCGGATGGGGTGGAGTGACGATAGTGGCAAGATTCGCTAAGAAGCAGCGAGTTTATCGATCGAGCGGGAATCTGGGATAGCGTACGTTTCACTTCGAATCGAGTGGAAAGGGTCATCGGTTTAGTCTGTAAAGGATGGGCGATATGCGCCAATAGCGTATGTAGATGTAACATCTTGGGTCAAGGGGTCCGTAAAAGCGTTGTATTAGCATTGCCATAGCATACCCACTGAGCGAGGCGTGGAGTGACACTGAGGAAAATGACCCGTTGGTGTTGTCATCTCATCGAGCCGTATGTGCGGTACGGCGGAGGCGGCGACGACCAGAACACAGTGATGATCACGTCAGGTGGCAGGTTGTCAGCGCGTCAGCTCGTCCGCTCGTCAACTCGTCAGCTAGTCTTCACTCTGAGTATCCGATTGACGATGACGCCCTGATCGCCCTGATTATGAATCGCAGCTCGCGAACCTCGCAGTTTGAAACGGCCTCGGCCTAGATCACGATCGGCCAACTTTTGCCATTACGTTACCTTACGGGCCCGAATAACCGGTCCCTCGCTGATCTTTTGCATAGCCGGACCCGTGTAGCGCGTTATCGCCGCGCGTTACGGTGCTACCGGTTATTCGATCTTCGCTAGTGTGATGATTACCGGTGGAATGACGGCAACGGGCGCCTCGAACAACAAATGGGATGGGTGAGGAGATGGCGATTTTTCTGCAAAAGCGGTCAAAGGGGGGGGTATATAGGAAGGTATGTGAGGAAATGGTGGTGGTGCAGTATATCGAGTCTGGAATATCGCCACAGATACGCATAGACATCCTCGATACCTTACCTCGAACTTGCTGGTTCCCGACGATCATCGCCTGATCGGATACTTTTTCCCCCTCTACGGAATCAAAACCAAATCGATCGAGATCACCTGACCTCGGCGCGCTACCCCCTATCCTCGAGCCCTCGAGCCATGTCGTCCTCCCAGCTCGACAAACAAGAACCTCAATCCTCGGCCTCGTCCATCACCGTCGCCGAAAACCATTACCACTCGCACGACCCATCTTTACCAGCGAAATCGAAACCCGGTTCGTTCGAGGACCACACGCTCAAACCTCGACCTTGGATCCGCAAGACCACCCCTTACTCCAGGATCATCGAACAACCCTACGATGGCGCGGGGACGAGGGAACAACCTTTCCTCATCGACTGGGTGTCCTCCACCGCTCCTTCGACGGATATCGGGGAGAAGGGCAGCGATGAGTCCAAGTTCGTCGACGTAGAGAACCCCATGACCTATGGGAAAGCCTACAAGTGGTCCATCGTCGTCTTGGCTGCCATGTCCACTTTGGGGGTGTCGATGGCCAGTTCGATGTTGTCCGCCGCCGTGTTCGACATGCGGGTCGATTTCCCTGGCAAATCAATCGAGAGCTATATCATGGGTGAGTCTTCCGAACTTTCGCCTCATGTTCAAGCCAGAACGTCGAGAGCTAATTTGCCTTTCCCGCCAACCACGACAGTCACCTCCGGCTTTGTCCTCGGATTCGTCCTCGGTCCCTTCATCTGGGCCCCCATGTCCGAGATCTACGGCCGTCGTTCCCTCTTCATCTACACCTACATCGCTTTCACCCTCTTCAACGGCCTCGTCTGCGCCTCCCAAAACCTCGCTACGGTCATCGTCTTCCGTTTCCTCGCCGGAACCTTCGGAGCGTCGGCCATGACCAACGCCGGAGGGGTCGTCGCCGACGTCTTCGAGGCCAAACAACGAGGTCTCGGGATGGCCGTGTTCGCTTCTGCACCGTTCATGGGCCCAGCTATCGGACCCATCATCGGCGGGTTTTTGGGTGAACACCGGGGCTGGCGCTGGGTAGCCGGTCTCCTCACCTTCTTCTCCGGTTTCCTCACCCTCCTCGGTTTCCTGTTCCTGCCCGAGACTTACGGCCCTGTTATCCTACGTCAACGAGCCAAACGGTTGTCCAAGATCACCGGGGACGTCTACCTCTCCCGTGGAGATGCGAGCGCTCCGACCAAGGCGAGGCAGGTCTTTGGGAAGGCTCTGGCTATGCCTTGGATCTTGTTGTTCAAGGAGCCTATCGTCGCGCTCATGGCCCTGTACTTGGCGGTGATCTACGCCATCCTCTACGTGAGTACCAGCCGGGTCATTTTGACATGACGTGCACGTTACTCATTCCTCTCCTCCGTCTTCCATGATCACTCAGATGCTCTTCACGGCCTTCCCCATCGTCTTCCAACAGAACCGCGGATGGTCCCCCGGGATCGGCGGTCTCGCATTCATCGGTATCGCCGTCGGCGTAGCCCTCGCCCTGGCCTACGTGGTCGTGATCGAGAACCCTCGATACTCCCGTAAACTGAAAACTCAGGGCGGTTGGCTCGTCCCCGAAGAGAGGCTCTTCACCGCCATGGTAGGCGGCATCATGCTCCCCGCTGGTCTCTTCATCTTCGCTTGGACCGCCGTGCCCACCCACATCCACTGGATCGCTCCGATCATCGGTTCAGTCCCCTTCGGGTGCGGAATGGTGCTCGTCTTCCTCGGAGTGCTCGGGTACCTGGTCGATGCCTACTTGATCTTCGCCGCCTCGGTCCTCGCTGGGAACACGGTCGTCAGGAGCATCTTCGGGGTAGCCTTCCCCCTCTTTACCAAACGCATGTGCGACAACCTCGGAGTCAACTACGCTGGAACCCTCATCGCTTGTCTCGCCTTGCTCTTCGCTCCTTCCCCCTTCATCTTTTACGTCTACGGCAAGAAGATCCGGAGGTCGACCGCTTTCGGACGGATCGGGGACGATATCGGTCAGATGCTCAAGGCGGGCATGACCCCCGTGCAGATCCAGAAGGCCATGGCCGCTGCTGCTGCGGCGAAAAAGGCCGAGGGCGAGAATGATGTCCCCGCCGTGGTGGACGTCGAGGCTTCGATCAATGCGCCGGCCATCGCTTCTGCTGGTGACGACGCTGTCGGTGCCGCGCAGAACGCTACGAAAGAGCAGGTCTAGAAAGACGAACGCTCGGGACAAACGCTCGGGAATCCACGTACGACAACAATAGATGCAAACCGATTAGATGCGTAAATAGATCAAATAGATACCAGTTGTAGCCAGTATCCCACCCATCAGCATGGATTATAATGATCGTACAGAGAAGCGCAGTTGTTTTCTTCGTGTTTCAGGTTGACTGCACGGACATGGATCGCTCATCCTTCAAGTCCGCTCGTGGGTTTATTGACGATTCGTCATATTCCAGCCTCACAGAGCCTCAAAAGGTTGCACTACACTGGCTAAATGGACTCCATCTATCTGTACATCACAAGCGACTCAGGACAGCCGGTATCCTCTCCTCATGGCTTCTGAGTCAGAATCAGAAGATAGCCAAGAATCGAGCGCAATGTCCAGCGAGGCTGACGTGCAAGGGGACGAATCAAGAGAGATCCCAACGTTACTAGAACCGGCAGGTAAGCAGCTGATATGCCCCTTTATGCAGGGATAAGTCCGCTAATCGCAGTCAAATCTACAGGGTATGGATCATCCTCCTGCGGTTACTGTTCACCTCCAGGAGAGAGGAGCTCATCGTCGACCAGCAAAAGCTATGGCAGTAAGTCCCGATGACTTATTTGGCTACGCAGTATCTGATCGTGTCTGGTCTTTGGGGCACCTACAATTAGTGATCGCACCTCAGATGTCGCCTAGAGTAAGACTTACTATACAAATAGCCTTGGCTTTAAGATCTGAAACACGAGAAGCTGATTCATATCGTATCATTCTTAGGTCTATCAACAGCTCATCGACCGCGGCTGGAGACGTTCCGGCGACTACGTCTACCAGTAAGCCCTTACATCCCCTTCTCTCCTTAACACCCCCCCCCCCGGGGTACGCTAACCTGAAAAGAAAACCTCCTTCGCTTCTGAGTAGCCCGGATAACGCGAACACATGTTGTCCGCAACTGACAATCCGGCTAGACGCCATGGCGTTCAAACCCGAAAAAGATCGAAAGCTGCGACAAATCTTGAATAGGTGGAAGAGGTTTGTGATGGAAGGGAATGAGAAGGAGAAGGAAACGGAAGAGAAGGTCGGGTTACCCAGGAGTACGGTTGGAGCGACCAGAGCTTTTGGAGGCGAAGATGGCAAGAAGGGACGGGAAAAGATCGAGATTGATGAGCCGAAAGAAGCAGATCCAACCACATCTGCGAGCGGGTACGTCGGTCAGCTTCCTTTACTCACCCGCTCGCTCTTTGCTAATCCGCAAGCTCTCGACATGAGAGGCCAACGGAGAATAGTAGTCAGAAACGTATCCGAGAATACCCGGACCTCACAAGTGGTCCAACGATAGAGGGTCGGAAACGTCAGAAAGGGAATCAGAAGCCCAATAACCAGAACAACAAGAACAAGAACAAGCCGTTCGACTTTCCCGAAGAGTTACATGCACCAGAATGGATCAATGGAGGACCAGCCGCAGCTCATCAGTTCGAGGTCAGTCCGAACCTTACCAGACCATCGCACAAGTCGTCGGTTCTTACAACCGCGTCTCGGTCCTTGACCAGATCCGACTGGTCAAAGCGGAAGCCACGCCCGAGACATTTGCACTGTACGACAAGTACCAACAAGCCGTCCATGGGGATAAACCGGGGAAGAATACTATGAGCAGTTTCAAGAGGTTCTTGTGCAAGAATCCGTTAGGCGTAAGTTCGTCATCGCCAGCATCGAGCTCGAAGTTAAGATTCGAATCAGGGCTGAGCGTTTCTCTTCAATCTCGCAGTGGCAGAAGATGAAATATCCGGAAGGTCAAGATGTACCCGCCCACCTTCCTACTCACTACGGAGGATATCATCAACGTACGTAGGGCATCCATCAAGTTCCACGAAGATCCCTCGCTCATTTTGTCTCTTCAATCCCGTTGTCCTGATCCTGAGATAGTCTGGATGGTGGATGACAAACTGGTGGCCTTCTCCGTCATCGACATTCTTCCGGGATGCGTATCGAGCGTCTACTTTGTCTGGGATCCGGATTATGCCTGGGCGAGTTTAGGAAAGGTTTGTCGGCGTTTGTGACACCGATCGAGTCGGGACTCTGGAACTGAAGGGTTCGATCTGGTGATATCGCAGCTTTCAGCCCTAAGAGAGGCAGCTCTGGCAAGGGAGATGCAACAAGCGGGAATAGATGGCGCAGGATGGCTATACATGGGTCAGCTTTCCTGCCATGTCCCATCCTGGGATGACAGGCTGAACAAAGCTGCGATCCGATCGGACAGGCTTCTACATCCATTCTTGTCAAAAGATGCGTTACAAGGGCGAATACTCGCCTTCTCAATTGCTCGATCCTGTGAGTCTTGAGACATCCGGTTCAGGTGTTAGATCAGAACTGAGGAAGCCATATAAAGGGAACGAATACATGGCACGCTCTCGAAAACGTGAAAGGCTTGCTGGATTCGCATCCAACCGGCTATCATCCATTCGACGGTAGCGTCAACGAAGCCTATGTGAGTCGGAATTCGTCAACGACCTCCTCCGTCGGGACAAAAGGGTCGGATGCCTGGCCAAAACCTCCGCCGCCAGGTTTCCGAGAGCCCCAGACTGTCAGCAAGGAAACGTTGAGGAATCTGGCCGTCTTTCTCGGAGACCAGCTCGTGCTCCTCAAGGTAAGACAACTGATAAATATGTGTGGCCGCAATGCGATGGCTGAAAGGCACTGTCTCAGTCCGTACCCTTCCGACGTCCTTCACAAGGCCTCGAGATGGCTTCTCAACTAGTCGCGGCGGTCGGAGAGGACATGATCGCGACAACAAAGACGCTCGATCGTAACGTCTTCATGGCGCTCTAAGAGCTGGCTTCGCCTACAAGCATCGATAGCAGCACTTCGCGAGCCTTCTTCGCATCCGCTGTACCCTTGCTGTCCTTCATGACCTGACCTACGAGACGCATGACGACCTTTTCTTTGCCTTTTCGCACCGATTCAGCTTCTGCAGGGAGCTTTTCAATGACGGCACGACACAGTTCGGCTAGGGTGTCCGCTCCAGAATCTCCCGCAGCGACAAGGCCCATCTGAGTGGCCAAGAGCTTGATGTCGGTATCGGCAGTGATAGTAGCTTGCTCAAGCAAATGCTTGAGTAAATTCTTTGCGGCGGTGCCTGGAAGTGGCGATATGTCGTTTAGGGGCACAAGATTATCTGCAGCGACGCGGTACCGAACTCACCTGTCATTTCGCCAGTTTCCACTAATGCAAGCAAACTGCTCAGGGTCTGAGGTGGCACCCGATCCCATGTCCAGATCTCGTTCTTTCGAGCGAGTCTGCCTAGTAACTCGTTGACGATCCAGTTGACAGCTTGCTTGCCATCACGAGACTGGTCGTTGCCTACGACTTCTTCGAAATACGCGACTCCGGACCCTTCGACATCGTCCATCGAAAGCAGCACTTCGGTGTCGGCCAGCGAGACTCCGTACTGCTCCGGCAGGCGTCTACGGACGTCGTCAGGCAGTTCCGGCAGACTCCGACGGATACTTTCGAGATATCCCTGTTCAATGGAACCGTTAGCTGGTTGTTCAGAGGAGAAGGCGGGGGACATTGTGCGAGGTAACTCACCGGTAAGATCACGATGGGTCCAAGGTTCCCATCCGGCATGTACCGATAATCCTCGGCTTCCTCTTTCGTCCGCAGGGTAAACGTCTCTCCCTTGGCCTCGTCGAATCCTCTCGTCTCTTGTCTCAGCGGTACATCCGGTTTGTCGAGGTAATGCTTGAGATGTCGTCTCCGTTCATTGTCTGCAGGCCAACACACTGCTTAGTAAGCTCTTCGAAGCTCAAATGTCGACTAGAACTGACCTAGTGCTGCCATCATAAATCTAACACTATTCAAGTTCTTGATCTCACAACGAGTCCCGAACGGGGTCCCGGTTCTGTGAATGGACACGTTTGCGTCGACTCGCATCGAGCCCTGTGCTTAGCGGTCAGCGACGGGTCATTCGGAGAGTTTCGATTATCAGCACACCTTTTCCATGTCACCATCGCTAGCCTTGATCCTCCTCAACAGAGCTTGCAGTTTCCGAATGAAAGCACCGGCTTCCTTAGGAGATCTGCTCAGGAAAGATATTAAATCTCTTCACGATCAGCGTTCCACTTGGCTTTGCCAGACTGCGGTCAGCTCGGCATACCTCATATCCGCCTCGGTAACGATCTCCATCAACCCCATCCCCGCTCGATTCAAGTCGATATGGGTGCTCCCATCCGCGAGCTTTGTCGTCTTGGCCGTATCCTGTCGCGAGTTACCCAAAGATTAGTTCAAAATCTTAAACCGCATCGCATGCAACAGACACATTTGCAGCGACCGTATCCTCACCTGTTCGATCTGGATTTGTTGGATCCTAACGGTTACATCCCGATCGAGCGTAGGGTCGAGGTCGGGTGATAATTCGATTTTACCCTCCGTAGCAATCGGGTCTGCTCACCATGAGTACAATCGGTATCAGGGATCCGGTCCTTCGTCGAAGAGGCGTGATCTGACCGAGATGTGAGCTTACTGTAATGTTGCGTGATCTGGTATGAAGCCGGAATATCGTGGTAAAAGTAGTGTTTCCTATCAAACGTCGACCTGGGATTCTGAAGACAACGAAAACTCATATCAGCGACTCCAGTCTCTCGGTTGCACGATACGTCGGCAAGGAAGAACGGGGCTTACTATCGTGCAATTCAAGGCTAGTGCCGTTGAGACGGTTAGATCTACCGCTTGTCGATTCAAGACCTACACCATCAGCACGATTCCCATCAAATTCGATATTCGGCAAGTTACCGACACATCGATACGATAAGAATGAGCTATCATCCCTCAAACATAGAATCACGAAGAACATCCAAATAGGGCTCACCGGCAAAGTCCCCGGGAACCCGGCATCGAAAGGTACGACGTTCGTATTCGGTTCCTCCTCGAACGAAGTCCTACTCGCCGAAAACAACTTGTGATCCGTCCGGATCTGAGCGTGGATTTCTAACCCGATGACCGTCTCCCAGCCTTCCAACCCTGGCTCGGAGACGGGAGGTGGTGCGGTTGATGTTTCTCCCAATGTCCTGCTTTGATGCGCAGCTGCAGAGCTGTAATTCCGGGCAGGTGTAGAACTAGAATCTCGATAGAGGTGTCTTGAAGAAGGGATGATATTGGATGAGGAAGCGAGCCTTGCAGAAGAAGGCGAGGCCGGTCGTGCATTCCGAGCTAGAATCCGGATAGACCTCGGATGTCGTAAAGCCCGTGTCAGGCGAATTATCGAACCCGCTGGCCGAGGCAAACTTTGCATCTTGCCAAGGATACCGGTAGTACAAACTGGTGACGTATATTCGGCCCTCCGAGTGAGCTATAGTCAAGAGGGATCTGATAAAAGGTTAATCAGCGATATACTGCGCTACTACAGCGATGCCTTACGCCGGGTCATACTCGTGTTGGAAGGTTGAACGACGATCGAGGCTCGGACTTTTTGACCCGAGACTCGTCGTTCGCCTTGGCAGGACCATCAAGATCGCCGAGGTATCGTTACGACAGCATGTCTTGATAGATGATAGAATGGTATGTCGATGTAATGTCAAATCACATATGCGTATGACGACCAAGTAGAAATACATGATCAAGATCAAGAGCAGGCACCTAGGTCTCTCGCCTACGGAGCGTACGGAGAATACAAAAACCTAATCAAAAACCTTCTTCCGACCCGCTTCAACCCCCTCCCTAGTCAAGAACGTCGACGACCGGTTTTATCCTCGGTTAGGACACCCAGCGCACTTGCAGACGTCCCCACAGGTACAGGTGGTCGATGAAGGGCCGCACGATTGACACTTCTCGCCGCACCTAGGAAGAGACGAACGACACGAAATGACGGACTCGGGTAAGCAAAAGTAGAACGTATAACGAGAGAGGTCGAGATGAGATGCCAGAGCGGGAACTCACTTGCAACCGGTCTTCTCCTCCTTGGCCTTGTTAGGACATCCCTTGCATGCACAGTCGGAACAACTGCATGATCCGGCTCCGGTTGAGGAACACATCTTTCCGCACCTGTACGTCGCCGAACCGACCACAAGTAAAGAGCTCGTCAGCGTCGGTGCACAAGCACGAGTGAGGAGAAAAGAGAGGGGGAAGTGGGACACTCACGAGCATCCGTCCTTGGGATCAGAGTCTACCGCCTCGGTCTTCCTGTTCGGGCACCCTGCGCAGGTGCATTGTCCAGGGCAGGAACAGGCTTCAGAGCCGGAGACGGGGGAGCACTTGGTGCCGCAGCTGTTGAGGCCGAATTAAAATCGAGGACGAGGACGAAAGAGGTGGGCGAGAGCGTCAGCCATGGAAGTCGATGAGGATGATGAGAGGATTGGATGATCGACCGGGACTTACGAGCATCCGCCCTGAGTCTGCTTGATCTCGGCCTTCTGGGATTGACAGCACGACATTGTTGATAAGTGTTTGTGTTTTCGGGGAAGGTTTGGGTGTGTAATGGCGAGGGTGTTTGCGTGTGCAAGAAGATGATCGATTGTGTGAGTTGTCGAGTCGAGATGAAAGAGTGATAGAGTTGCTCGAATGTCCAAAGTTCTTGTAGGGTTTATATATTCGACTCGTCGACTCGGACAATTCCCTTTGATGGCCAAAACAGCGCAAAACTCGCTCATCTCCCCCCCTCGGTACGGAGAGTGGCGAAAACAGCGCATTACTCGCTTAGACGTCATTTTGGATCCGCGTGGATCTTCTGCCCGATCGCCTGCCGATACCGAGCTGGCGAAAATCGCGCATCGTGACGGCATGCATGCTCGGCATCAATACCGCAGCCCCCTGGCAACATGCCGCTCTGCTCGGGGCTTCGCGCTTGGGACATCGGGTTTGGCTGGAAGTTTCGAGAGGCAACGTCGCGATGTCGAGGCGAATCGAGGCGAGCGTCGAGAGGGATTTGTGCCATCATGCTGGGGGAGATTATGCCATCTACACCGAAGCGGTCGACAAGAACGCTGTGCGAGATGATTCTCGAAGAAGATCGAGTTATCGTCGTTCGCTGTCCGGCGCAAGACGAAGCGCAGACGGCGAGCTCTCGCGTCAGGACCGCCTACATGGAACCGCAGGCTGTTAGAACTGCTCACTGTCCGCACTGACAGCTGTAACAAGGTAGGGTTCAAGAACACCGGAGATCAGGGTAAGGCAATGTATCCGTGCTGGTCGTCGCGTATAGGAAACCGAAACGAAAGCGCAAGTCGGCATGACCGACGCCGAAACCTATCCATTTGGGAAACAACTCCGCGCGACACGCAGGCTTTGCAGCATCACACCCATGGATTATACGTCCAGTCCATAACATGATGGAGAAGCACACGAACGAATTCTGACGGCTCAGCTCAGCCTTGGAAATGTGCTAGACATGAAGACGATATGCCACGTTGGCTCAAGAACCGTGATTCATGTGTCGTGATCACGTGCCGATTTCGTTCTCGAAAGGGTGTAGTATGAAAGGAAGTCTTTCGTTTCAGCCGGTTGAGACAGGGGAAGGATCTCTGTGTCTTGACTATATAAACTGTGATACGTTGGTGCGGCTGGTGTCTAAATTGAGTTCGACTAGCTGAATGGCTGCCATTATCCTGACGCGAACAAGAGATTTCCAACTCGACGGTCGACCATCTGTCTGACATCATTCAATATGCCTGGATCCACTCACGACCAAGAAGCTTACTCCTACTCCGGCCGTAAGCGTCCCAATGTCCATTTCGTAGCGACACTCACTAACCTGCCGCTGCGCAATATGGTTATCAGATTCGCACACTCCCTCCACTCAGCAGAGCAATGGAGGAACTTACAGCGACTACAATTACCCGGCGTCGTCTGCGAGTCATGGAGGGTATACTGGTACTGGGGTCCATGATCAGCAACAGACTGCGAGGGAAATGAACAATCAACGGGAGCAGGACCAATGGGCGGCTGATCAAAACCGCAAGGATCAGGAGGCAGCCGAGAGAGCAGAGAAAGCACGTAAGAGGTTGCAAGGAGTGACTTGGGAGCGTGGGAAGTCCTGGGACGGGAAATACTGAACAGCATTCCAGTTGTGACTGAGCGCGCGTACACTTGTAAACTATTCATGTCAGGTCATATCTTTACGTATCACAATCGACGTACGGGGCGTATCAAGACGATCCTGTCTTGGCATTCGCTTGCAACCCTTCCAAAAGATAACGCGACCTTCTCGATATGACTAGAGTGAAGCGATTTTACTGCATCAGATCCAGATTCAATCTGGAGCGATCGACGTCTTTACGGAAGAAGCGCGCTCGCCGGAAGTGACAAGTCATTGATACTGCTCATGCCCCGCCTCGTCTGTCTCTCGCCTTCACGGGTACAAGCGCTCTCGATCAAGCGAAGAGCAACGGATGAGGACGATATCACCTGACTGATGCGTCAAGAAGCATAACAATGTAGGCCCTTTGTGATAACGTGTTCGCCGCGAGATTACGCCATAGCACGCTTGGTTTCGCACAACGCGACCAGCGATGAGGTTTACTGCGGCTGATTGTCACGATACGCTCGATCAGCTGACACTGATCTCCTCAGATGAACCCCCCATGTTGTGTCAGGTGGGCAAGATAGCATGGCTACGGCAGCGTATCTCGTCCGACTGGGCCGACAGACAACTAAGAACCTGGAGAATCTTGCCGCTAACCACAAAGGAAGAGGTGGTAGACTCACTGGTACGATCGCGAAAATAGAGGGAGGGTCACGACGGCCGCTTTCGCCATCATGCGATTGAAAGGAGAAATGACGCTACGTACACAGCCCCTGCTGCGTGAACGGCTTGCCGAGCTTCTTCTTTACCAGATGGCAATATCGGGGGCTCATCACGTGATGCCTTCAAAGGCTCGTTTCACTCTTGAAAGGCCTTCAAGATGACGAATAAAGGGGTGCTAGGGGAAGAGTACGACTGTCGAGAATCAGGTCGGACGGCAGTTGGACGACAACCCCTGGGTTCCGCCATTCGCCGCCATTTGTAGTGGGCGCGGAATGAAAGGGAGTCTGCCCATAGACATCGCCATTGTTCATACACACTGCGAGGGCAAGCCTTCCAGACGAGTATAAATGACAGCCTCTGGAGGGAGGGATTTCCGTGTCCCCTCTTTTAGATGGTATCATCCATCACTCTCACTCCAGCTTCATTGCGCTACTCTTATCTTACCAAGTACAAACTCACTTTGACCCGATTACAATGGCCTCTTTCACAGGTAATGTTGACCTACTGTATATTCAATGATACCTCCACAACTCTATGACTGACATATTGTCTGCGATATCACAGGAGATCAAAGTTTCCAGACGGAATCGAGCGCCCCATCAGGATCTTTTGTGGACGGAGCCTTTTTTGTGGGCGATTCAGGGGATTTGACTGCGAATCATTCAGTCAGTTGGGTTGACTGGCAGAAAAACTACGAGACGAGAACCTTTCGTGCCGCCACCCTGGCAGACGCTCAAAGAATCAAGGAGGAGAAGGAGAAGGAGAAGAACATCTCGGACGTCCAAATACATTCAGAGGGATTGTTTGCCGTCTTGGACGGGGCGGGAGGCGCTCAGCTGAGCATGCGCATTGACGATGCCAAGGCCGCGCGAAACGCCTTGAAAGAGATGGTTCAACACGACAAGGAGGCGAGCGAGAAGATCGAGCTGATTCCGATGCTCGAATACTACAAAAGGCAGTATCCGGAGGCATGGCACGCGACGCAGTGAACGACGGCCGCACCTGATGAGGTGATTTCCAGCTACAGTCATCGTCTGCATCCCTCGATACTGTGTCGACCTTCTGGTGTAAACTGTACCCGTCGACCGTCATGTAGATGTATCAATGGTTCGTTCGCAATAGGGAGATGACACAGAATCATAAGTTTACGTAGATCGAGGATATTTTTGTTCCTGTGCGGTGTCATTCACGGGTAGGTGATACTGCGTGGCGCAAAGTAACGTATCCTGAGAATCGAAAGAAAGGGTTAACCAAGATTCCTATCTTCGAAGCGATCAGAGGGTATTTGTAGGGCAAGTAAATCGGGCAGCATTCAAGCGCGGACATGTCGTTACGATGACTCCAAATTCTTGCACACATCGATTTCGGCTTGGAAGGCTGGCTGTCATCGTCCACGAATGGCAAGGCGGGCGTCACGAGCGCCATCACGACGGGTACTGGATACTGATAGAACACATAGTCTGCATCACGTACGTCGCAAGGTTCTAGCGTTTGGGTCGATGCGTATGATCATAATCCCATTACCAGGTCCTCGCAATCGCAAATACATTCGCTTCAAAACATTTCGAAATCAGGCTTTCAAGTTGTATCATACAAACTACCGTATTTGACGTGTCTCTGCTTCATGCGTCTTAGTCTGCCGTGATAATGCTTTCACTGAGAGTGTTGTGGTTCTTGTAGGACACTACAAACCCCCTCATCGAGCGTTCTCTACATCTGTAAAGGTACTCAAGAGAGATGTAAAAGGGTTGAAGTCAAATCGCTTCGGAGTGCGGGTTTTGCTCAAAGCTTTGTGCTTTTCATCTTCATGGGATACCGAAATTAGGCACATTTATCCTACTTTACGCCGTTCCAAGAGAGTATGGTATACGTTCCTTTGCCTAGTGCAACATTCGTATGATAGCGCTATCTCGAGGTGTCGGGTTTGAAGCACATGATAATGGCGTGATATTTTGCAACTGCATGTTCAGCTGTGTCGACAATCTCGATACAGGCGCGAACGCTCATATCAGTGATAACACTGTATCGCTGAAACGATTGAGGGTATAGCATCATTTGCCTCATATAGGCGCAGCTCGCGTCTGTGCGAACGCTTCAGCTGTGCCTGTGAATCGCCTACAGCGACTCAACTTCTGCGCTCGAGCGCTCCCACGGGGAAATTTCCACTGCACCGGCAAACCACCATCTGTGGTTAGCAGGAGATTTCCAGGAGGTATCATCATCGCTTCTCTTTGCCTCCCGATCGATTCGTTCCATTGTCCCCCACCAGTATGACGTGCCCACCCGTAGCGATCCTTTCATCTCATCACATCACACTAACAGGGAATTTCTCACAACTCTACCGCGGCCGATACTCGAGCGATCACCTGCTCACACATGGGCGTGACAACATGTAGGGGGATCAAAGGAAGCGGCGAGCTCGCCATCGACCACTATCGAGAAAGAGAGCTAGATGGGAACGGATATAAAAGCTGAAGGGGGAAAGTCGAATCGGCGCCCTCCACGATCGTCGTCAATTTCTGCATATCATCACCTCCAAACAGCGCTTCTGCACACCATCGCGCATTACCATTTAACAAAAGCCTATCTTTTTTCCAGCGATGTCTGACCATACCCAATCAGGTAAGACTCTTCGAACAACTTGCAGCAGTGATTCTGATTAGCTGATAGTCGCCTGCTGACTGTTTGTTCGGACTTGCTAAGTGGGAAGCTTCAACTCTGAAGTTACAAGCGTGGCAACTCACGCGCCCGCATCGGGCACCAGCAAAGCCTCTTCGGGCGGTCGTCGGTCCCACTACGAAGTGTGCGAGGTGGTAAACGGCGCGGAAGTGTGTATTAGCAAACATGTCACTTATGAAGGCGCACAACAAGCATGCCTAAACTGGGCGAAACAGGCCAAGATCGGAGAACAGATCGTGCCGCGTTTTACTCATGGGCCGATGCCGGAGACTATCCACTGGAAAGGAGTCACAAAGGCAGGAGTCGTCGAATACTACGAGACCTGGGAAGTGGCGAAAGAAGCTGCGAAGAAGGACAGAGAGCTTCGTATCACTATGATAGAGGGACCGAGTGAGTCGAAATTTCCAAAGATGCTACAACCGGTATGCGCATCTGATTCTAAAGCCTTCTCATATCCAGTGAGTGTTGAGGCTAGAGTAGCGCAGTAGACGTATCCGTGTTGAAAGGGTAGAAAGATTGTAGTTTGTATGGGGAAAGCATGGCATCAAACATCGCTCTTCTGTTGTTGTAAGGTAACTTCTTCTTTCACCACAAAATGGCCATGTCTACCGAGATGCGAGATCATACGAGAGGCGAGAGGCCTGACGATACCGAGCGCCAACAAGCAGTGGCTTTTCGGCGCGATTTTGTATGCCTCAGAACGCATAACTGCTATTACGGGTATCAACCCAACCAACGAGTACGCCTCCACTTCTGAGGCCGCACTTGTATTAAGATGGGCAATGAAGATCCGATATGTCATAGCAACTAGATAGAATCAGGCTACAAGAAACTGCCAGCACAAAGTCAGATATGTTCGGAAGTGTCGCCAGGTGGGCCGCCGCGGGATTGCTCGTCGCCGCCGCCGTTCGAGCCGGTCTACCAGGAACAGTGGAACATGCTCATCAACTGACGGCCGAGAATTGGGAGGAGAAGACACGGAATGGGATGTGGTCAGTATCTCGGCTTGCGGTGTCTTGAGATACGGGATGTGATGCTGAAGGCTCGATCTCTACAGGCTAGTGGAGCATTTTAGTCCTGGATGTACGTCTCGTACCAGTCACGAGACCAAGGCAGACGAGCTCATCGTGTAAATCGAACAGGCGGGCATTGCCGAGCTTTCGCTCCCACATACGAGAAGCTTTCGGAGGAGAACAAAGACCTAGAAAAGAGTCGAGGGATGTTCTTCGGGCAAATCAATTGTCAGGTGCAGGGAGGTAAGTCCACCCGGAGCTTTCGTTGGACAGGACGTTCACAGCGGAATGTAGCTAGCTCGTGGAGCTGACTCGTGGCAATGGATACACTTGTGACAATAGATCTCTGCAACTCCCACGAGATCAAGTTCTGTAAGTATTCTTCGTTCTCGATCAAAGCACTCATCATGCGAAAGGACGTTCCTCACATCTGACTCGACTCCCTTTCATCATACAGACCCCCAACTGAAGCTCTACCAAAACTCGCAAGAAATTGACCAATACACCGGCGACCGCTCCCACGGCCACCTCACCGAATACGTACAGGACAAGTCCCGCATCTTCGCTCGGTCTTTGGCTCAGAACGTCTTGGTAGAGTCTGGGCGGGAAAAGGTTACGTCGGGGGTGAATGCTGAGGGGATCAGTGTGAATGCGGGAGAGGAGGAGTTGGATAGGATGATCAAGGATGGACCGGTCTTCGTCAAGTTTTACGCACCTTGGTGTGGACAGTGAGTCGGTGTGGTATGGTCAAGTTGTTAAGTAGTCACGCTGACATTCAGCTTGCCGATATAGCTGCAAGAAGTTGGCTCCAAGTACGTAATCCGGAACTTGTCAACCTGAATCGCGATCGGCCCTAACCAACTCATCTATCTTGTGCTTGCCTATAGCCTGGGCTGAGCTAGGCACAGCGATGAAAGACAAGCTCGCCATCGCCGAAGTCAACTGCGAAGCACTACCCGCCTTGTGTAAGAAACACAAGATCACCGGATACCCTACCTTGAATCTGTGAGTACGATACGAGCCGCATCTGACTGATGACTTGGGCGTCCACAAAAGAAGAAAAAAGCTGAGAAAAGCTGAGCGCGATCGGAAATAGGTACAACGCAGGCGCCGTCAAGCCTTACAACGGGCCTCGAAAACTGAACAAGATGCAAGAGTTCGCCTTGAACGCCATCATACCGTAAATTTATTCTTTGAGGGCGTGTCGACGCGTAGAAGCTTACATAGCCCTTCTTGTAGACCGACATTGCATCACGTCGATGCTGAAGAGCTCAAGACAGTACAAAAGCGGAAGGACGTCTTTTTCCTTTTCCTCCATACTTTCGGCACGAAACCTAACGATCTGGTATGACGCCCGTGATCTTCGTCTTCTGAATTTGGCCGACTGACGCTGTATCCACAACAGGCTATGCTGAAAAAGACGAGCACTTATCGAGCAAACGACGTTGCCTTCTACCAATCCTCAGATCCCGACATCTTCGCTTCCTCCAAGATCGACGGTACCAAAGGTAGCGTCCTGGCTGTTTTCAAGGATCACATGGACAAGCCCGTTTCGACCCTTTACTTCGACGAGGCCCACCCATCGACCGACCAGATCAACACGTTCATCATGTCCCACAAGTACCCATTGGTCACCGAGCTCACGCCTGACAATCACGAAGAACTCTTCAACTTGCCTACTAGGGCGCTGATCGTCCTCGCCGCTTTGAAACCGGGTAGCAAGAACCGGAAAGAGTTCGAATCTGACCTGGCGTATTTTACCAAGGTCTCCCGAGCATGGCAAAAGGGTGGTAGACAGTTCTCCCAGCCGGTTCACTTCGTGTGGACCGATGCGACGAGGCAATCCAAGTGGTTGAAGCACACTTATGGGTAAGTTTCGGCGAGCAGCGGGAGAGGTCGAGTCGAGCTAATCAGGTGAACATGTGATACAGTGTCAACCCGAAGAAGCTCCCGGCTGTCGTCTTGATTGACCCACCTGTGAGTACGAAAAGCCATTGGATAACTGGGATCCGAGTTCACTAAACGATAGTCTTCATACGACAGCTCAACCAATACTACGATACGACACTCGAACGGGACTCGCTCAAGTTCGACGGGGCTAGCATCTTTTCTACCTTGGAGGGGATGTACCAGCATTTCTTGATTCCAAAGGCTGCTAGTTCGGCTCTAGAAAGGGGTTCAAAGGTGAGTCTCTGGATGTGGTCTTGTATCAAGGCGATTTTAAATTGAACTTGTCGCCATTTGCAGCAATTCGAAGACGGAGTGATGGGTTTGATGGTGAGCTACAATTCCTCTCGGATCCGCCGCCTTATCGGTATCGCTGACTCCGCGTTCCTGTCACAGAAAATCGTCGCCCGGCATCCATTCTTGACGTTTTTCATCCTAGGGGCCTTTATCGCTTTTGCGATCTTTGGCTTGGGACGATTCATCGATTACGACTTGAACAAGACGAATGCGGCGAATTCAAGGTTAGATTGATGTGGCTGTCATTAGCGTTCCGTGGAGGTTGTTGTAGCATTAGACATTGTTATTATCGGATGGCTTGAGACAAAGGCTTGGAGCATTTATCCAGACGCATCCTCAGTACGAGGGGGATTGAATACCACAGGATCGGTTGTTTACAAAGTCGTGGCATGAAACTCGATCGTGCCCGATGATGCTCAGAGGTCAGACTTGTAGTCGACCATTGTGAATATGCGCAATCGTCATAATTCGAGGTCTAGCATGTACAAGGATTTAGACGGCTACAGAACACCAAGTGTACACCAATTAGTCCGCTTTTCTACCGAGATCAACAGATACAAGTAGATCGGTCTGTTGTCAGGGATAGGCCAGGCCAGAATCGTATTAGGACTCCGGCAACAGCCGAAATTAACGCAACTATCGACTCGGCTTCCAGGTTCTGGCCATGAGCTTGTTTCGCAAAGGCGACGAGAGCGACTCTGGCAGCGATGCCGAGAACGAGACTCGAATCAGGTCAGAGGTCGCATCGAAGCAAGGTGTCTCCCCTGCCAGTCCCGATGCCAGGGCGGACGAGCAGGAAGACGCTGGAAGCGATGAAGAAGGAGGTCTCTTTGGGAACATGATGGACCTGCCCGACCCGAATGCCGGACCATCGCCAGAAGACGAAGCGGAGACATCGACCATCAGAATCCGGGATCTTTCTGTGCCCAAACACCTTCCTTCGGCCTTCGTCCTCCCTAAGAAGCTGCTCTCCGAGATGCTTTACGCCAATACCAAGACCAAAGCAGCGTCGGCGAGCCAAACCAAAGATCCAGCTCTAAAGGGAATCCCTACCAAATTATCGGTCGTAAATCTGAATTATACCGACTTGAGTAAAGGTTCTCGGGCCAAACGAGTCAGGTTGGATGTGGAATGGTCGCCAGACATAAGCGCTATGAAGAATAACGTCAAAGGTGCAGGAAACAAGAAGGCGTTAAAGTCCGGGTCGACTACGCCCGCCAGTCGACCGGATACACCTGATCTTCGGCTCTCAGAAGGTCTAAACAAGCTTTCCCTTTCCTCATCTACCGAACCCGGTGTTCCTGCTACCTCAATAGCGACTCCTCCTGCACCCCCTGCTAAACCGACGTACAAGTACTCGATGGAGATGACCTCGACAGGATGTGCAACTCTGGTCGAAGCGGAAAACTACGTCTCCCTCGTCCTTCTTCACGAGCTGACCACATCAACACCCCATTCTTTGATGCTTGAAACGAAGTCGACTGGGCTGGGGATTGAATTGCCTAAACCGCCTAAGCCGCCTGCGCCGGTCGTGGTGAAGACGGACAAGCCGGGCGAGGAGAAGAAGGAGGTTCCCGCGGCGGTAGATCCCAAGACGAAGGAAATTCCAGTATCAGGTACCGACTCGAAAGACGATACCAAACCTCTTCCCTCCGATCCGGCCAAACCGACCGAAGAACCCAAACCCGAACCCCTATCTCCGCTCGAAGCGTCCGTTCCCCTGTGGCTTCCCGAGTACCCGCCGATCAACTCCAAGTACCTACCTTTACCTTATCGGGACGTCTGGGACGAGCTTGAGAAGATCAGGACGAACTGGGAAGATATGGCCAACCGACAAGTTTGGCGCAAGTTGGATGGTCTGATTAACCCCAGCGGGAAGAAAGACTCAGCAGAGGAGTCTGTACCTGTCGAGGAGAGCGGGAAGGCGGCTGAGCCTGTAGCAGGTAGTCAGGCCAAACCGAGAGGAAAGAAGGAGCGGACGAATGGGCAAGCGAAGTTGACGGAGCCCGACCAGAGAATCTTGGATTCGTGGCAGGTCCGAGCGAACAGTCAGGCTTATAAGAAGATGATGGTTAGTCGAGCGAGAAATCCTCCTCAGCCATGACCTATTAATGCTCATATCAGTCGAGATCGAAATCAACAGGAACAACGAGAAACGTTACCGATTGCTTCATTCAGGGAAGAAATCGTCAACACGCTCAAAAACAACCAGGTTTTGGTTTTGAGCGGAGAGACCGGTTGCGGGAAGTCCACCCAATTGCCTTCCTTCATCCTGGAAGATCATCTGTCGCGAGGTCTTCCCTGCAAGATTTACGTGACAGAGCCAAGACGTATCTCGGCTATCTCCCTGGCTGAGCGAGTCTCGAGAGAGCTGGGAGATAAGGGGGTTGATGCAGGGGGAGCTGGGGATGACGGTGGCCTGGTCGGATACAGCATCAGGCTGGAAAGCAAGATGGGGAGGAATACCGTAAGCACGACCGATGGTGCGAAGGTTTTGCATATGTCGCTGATCACGATCGCCATTACCAGCGGTTGGCTTTCGTGACGAACGGTATCGCTTTGAGGATGTTGGAAGCTGGAGCCAGCGGATCAGAGGGACGCGGTTCTACTTTCGACGAAGTGACCGTAAGGCAGACCTATGCAATGGTGCGATCGTCGCACTGGCTGACCATGAGTTTTCATTACAGCATATCATCGTTGACGAAGTGCACGAGCGGTCTATAGACTCTGATTTCCTGCTCATTGTCTTAAAGTCGCTCATGGAGCAGAGACCGGATCTCAAGATCGTGCTCATGTCGGCTACTTTAGAGAGCGAGAAGATCTCGGAATACTTTGGCGGATGTCCCGTGCTGAAGGTACCAGGCCGAACTTTCCCGGTTAAAGTGGGCTATCTTGAGGATGCTGTCGAGTTTGCCGGCTGGGCTATCACCGACAAATCGCCTTATGCCTTGAAAGGTATATTTCAAACCGCCCTCTCCCTGATGAAGCTCGAGCTGACTGTCCCGCTGTGTGGATCGCAAACGCAGGCCGTCAGAATCGAAATCAATTGGAATGGGCGGAGGAACCAGCTCTTGACGATGACGACGAGGGAGAGACGCCTGTGCAAGCCGATCCGAAGCAACTGTCGTCGGCGCTGTACAGCCAGGATACCGTCAAGACGGTCAATCTGCTGGATCCCAAACAGATCCCGTACGAGCTTGTCATCCGCCTTCTCGAGGAGCTCTGCCTCGAGCAAAAGTCGCCTTACTCGCAAGCGATCCTCATTTTCTTACCGGGTCTCAATGAGATCAGAAAGCTGCATGATTTGCTACAAGACCACAAATCGTTCGGTATGCCTCAAGACTTTAGGGTATACCCGCTCCATTCGAGTATCTCGACGGAGAACCAAGGTGCTGTTTTCGAGATACCCCCTGAAGGCGTGAGGAAAATCGTGCTGTGTAAGCCGTACAGCACAGGCAATATTACAGGGAGATCTTACTAATTTGTAATTACGCTTGCCGACCGATATAGCAACAAACATCGCGGGTAAGCTTCAGCTCAAACTAGCACAGCTGATAACAGCTGATAGATTTCCGCTTCCACAGAGACTGGTGTAACCATCCCTGACATCACATGCGTCATCGACTCTGGAAAACACCGAGAGATGCGTTACGACGAGAAGCGCGCGATCTCGAGATTGACCGAAACGTACATAGCTCGCTCGAACGCTTCTCAAAGAAGAGGTCGTGCGGGTCGTGTACAAGAAGGGTTGGCGTTTCATCTATTCACCAAAGCCAGGCACGATACGCAGGTAAGACCGTAGCTTCTTGACTTTTTATGATTTGGGGATACTGATGAAGTTCCGTGCAGATGGCTGGACATCCACTTCCCGAAATACTTCGGTTGTCATTGCAAGACCTTGCCCTGCGCATCAAAATTCTCAAGGTAAAGATCGGCAATACTATCGCCGAGGGACTCTCGCGAGCACTTGATCCTCCTCTTCTGGTGAACATCACGCGGGCTGTCAACTCGCTTATTGAAGTGGGAGCGTTGACCTCGACCGAGCAAATCACACCTATGGGTCTTTTGCTCAGTAGATTACCCGTCGACGTTCATCTTGGTGAGTACGGTTTCGTGAACTCCCTCACGTTAATGGCGCTCAGAATTCGATTACGTTTTACGAACAGGGAAATTCCTCTTGTTCGCTGCACTGTTCAGGTGTCTTGACCCAGCGCTCACAATAGCTGCCACCCTGAATTCGAAGTCGCCCTTTATTACACCCTTTGGACAGGAATCCGAAGCAGACAGTATCCGGTCGTCTTTCAAGACAGGTGAGCTTTCTGTCGATCGAGACGCAACCAGCAGAGGAGCATGCGTCAACAGCTATATCCCTTCCATGGCTCTAGGCAATAGCGACTTTCTTACCATCGTCAACGTGTTCTCCATCTGGCGACGTATGGCATCCACCAACCCCAATCAGGCAAGGACTTTCTGCCGAAGGAACTTCTTGTCGTACCAGGTGCGTCCATCAGCGATGCGGAGTGAAGATACATGTGCTGATACCGCGACGAACCCTTAGACTTTGCAACAAATCGAGGAATTGCGACAACAGCTTTACTCGTCAGTAGCGCTTGCCTCCTAATCATGGGCGGTTGCTGATCTCATACCTATTCCAGCTACCTGATCGATTCACAGTTTGTGCCATCTACCAAAGCTGACAAGGACGAAATCAGCCGGTGTGTGCTGCATCGGCTCCTCGTCCGGGAACATGCGGAAGGGCATTGACTGACGCTGTGACCTATTCGCCCATTACAGGGCAAGATATCACAAGGGCTTCCGAACGATGTTCGTTAATATTCCAGCAGCGTACAACGAGAACGCGGAGGATGAGAAGTTGGTAGCCGCAACCCTGGCCGCCGGACTTTACCCCAAGATCTTGACAACGAATAACGACACCGGAGGTTTGAAGACGCTTACAGGAGGTCAGGCCATCAGTATCGTAAGCGATTGGTGTACAGGACAGAATCAGCATTAGCTAAGAAACTTGTTCCCGCAGCATCCAAGTTCAGTCAACTTCCGCATGAAAATGAGCGAGTTCGAAGCCAATCACATCGTCTATTTCACGATCATGCAATCGAAAAAGGTATGCATCAGAGGATCAGAAGTTATCGGGCGGAAACGAGTTGGTCATTCAAACGTTATACCTGCCAGTTGTACGCATGGGAGACTGGCCCGGTCGAAGACATGGCTCTGTTCCTGCTTTGTGGAGAACATCTGGAGATCAAGGTTGGTCCCCCGAGTAAATACATCACGGATACACTGTGCTCATACCCATTGCGACGACTAGACCTGGTCGGGCGCGGCCATCATCGATCGAAAGATCCGATTCAACGTGTCTGGCGATCTATTGTTGCATCTCAAGCGACTACGAGAGGAATTTGCGCAAGCGCTCTCACTCAGGATGAGTGGCAAGCAGTTCAACGAAGATCAGGCAAAGTGGTTCGAGCTCGGGCTTAAATGCCTCATGACGCCCCCAACCCCAAAGGAGGAAACGATACAACGCATAGGAGTTCAGATCAAGTAATGTAGCACAGGCATAGAAGACATTCTGACCATTTGTAGCGAAACGAGATAGACGGCATAGGTTTGTTTTCAAGTCATGATGATCATAATAGCCATGAGCAGAAGAGCGGACGGATCCAGAGATACAAGACGGACCATACGGAACGGAAGGATGCTACCCGGGTTGACAATTATTTCGTGCTCAAGTGAAGTTCATTAGACGGTCGAGATGCTATAACGGAAGGGCAGTACCGCTTAGCATGAACCCCAGGGCGAATCAAGAGAGCAAACTTACATAGCCTCGGCCTGGTTGAGGGCTCCAACCATCTTGATGCATTCCTTGCGCCTCGAAACGATATCAGGAGACTCCTTCAACAGTTCCTCCAGGATCTCAGGTTCTGGTAGACATGAAGCAATCAGTACAGGCGGCTGAGCGCTGTTTTGGTCAAGCATCATGCTGCTTACTGTAAAGATGCTCCAGAAGCACACGTTGCATGTTCTCCTTGGCAAAGTTTACCAAGGTCAAGGTGATGGCTTTTGGCACCATGTCGATCATTTCGCCTATAGAGAAGCACAATTAGCGACAGGATTCTCAACCTCCCCCACTCGATTTCGTGACTCACGCTTTACGATAGAAAAGTATGACACGATCAAGAGCTCTGAAGGATGATGTTTTCCTAGTTAGCGATAATTTCCGAATACCAGCCTCCGGGACGGATTACGCACTGATGACCTCGGTCTCCATCAGTTCTCGATCGTTTAAAGTTGCAACCGGTCGAATGACGGGGGGCGGCTGTACGGAGATCGTCTGGTCAGCTGAATTCGCCCCCACTCCTCTGCACACATCACTCACAGCCTCCATGACAGGGGTTCCCTTCCTCTTGGGTGTCTGGTCCTTCTTGAAGAAACTGTTAAAGAAGCTAGGCTCCTCCTTCTTGTAGTCGGCATCGAGGTCCCTTCCGTTGTTGAGCGCACCGGGAGCGAGCTTGCCCGACTTGGGGTCAAGAGGCTTCTCGACAGGCTTGTTGGCGTTGAGACGGTCTTGTACGATCGACATGGCCTTGTGACCGTTCAAGAAGTCCGGGTGGGTGGTGTTGACGTAACAAGCTTGCATTCTGCGGAGCAAGCACAAGAACGCTGAGCTAACCGTCCGTCCAGTTGGATCAATCGGTCCTCTCTGACTCACGCTACCATATCCGTCACCAGCTTGTTGGTAGGTACCATCGATTCCTTGAAAAAGTTGATGACGACCGCGTTGAACCTGTCTCGCAGTTCCGGGTATCGCTTGAACGATGACTATGCGGTATCAAAACGGCTTAACTGACGGTCTGAACCTCCAATATCTCCATCCGGGATGCTCACCGTCTTGACCAAAAGCTGACCCAAGATCCTGATCAGCTCGTCGTACACGAGCTGACAACATCGCAGGGCGGGTTCCTCCAATCTTCGGATTTGCTGCTTGACAATGACCTCAAAGGCGGTCGTGCCGACAAAGAGGGAGGGAGTCGAACCCTGAATTTCGTAATCCACATAATTGGCCGTAAGTACCCTCTATCAAAACCCGTCCGCACCGACAGACTCACGGCAGAGTTGTACAAGATCGTCCTGATATCTCCATCCTTGTTCTGATCAAACGGATCGATCCCCCTGACTCCGTTGTTGAACAGCTCGTGGAAGACGAAACTGATACGAGCTCCACCGGACAACTCGTTGAGCGAGAGGTCGTTGGTGTTTCCGTCGATCATGGTACGAAATTCCGAGCAGAATTCGGTGATCGTGGAGAGGACCACGCTTCCCTGCGAATGCCAACATTTCCAAGAGGGATATTTTTTTTGGTGAGCCAAACTGGACTGAGTGTCGACAAGACCGCCTCGACTGGGACGACGTACCGGGTTAGTCTCGCCCATAGCACCTCCAAGCGCCTTCAACTCCCCCGAGTACTTGGCCAACTGCGACCCGATCCTCGCCTTGATATCCGGCAACGTCGATCGAATGTGGTGCATCAAGATCTATCGTGGACGTATGATCGTACCGCCAAGGGAACATCTTAGCCACACATCCAGCCCCGAGCGCACCACCAAACCATGGCGACGACCGAGGACTCACGACATTCAACTTTCGGGCCAAATAAGGCGTCCCGCAGTACTGCGCCTTGCTCGCATAACTAGCGTGGTTCTGGAAGAAGTTCCTCTCATTCTCCAAGGCCGACCCGATCGACTTGCTCTGTTCGATATCCCTCTGACCTCGGTTGACGACGGGGACGTAACCGAGTCGCAAGGGAATGATCCGGCCGGCGAGGATATCAACGACGTCGGTTCCTTGGTCCCTGCAAGATTTTCCAAACGAAAAACAAAAACAAAAAATGTTGAGCCTCCAGATTGAGGGTTAACGGGGAGAAAGCGACTCGACTCACATGAGATCGACCTTGGTCAACACCCCGATCGTCCTCGTCCCTTCCGGATCCACATCTCTAGCCATCTTCAACCCGTCCGAATTCGCCAGATCCGTGTTCGCCGCCGTCACAGCCAAGATGATTGCATTCGGCTTGCTGATAAACTTCAACAACATCTCCCTGATCTGCCTCTCGATGTCCCTAGGCTGATCCCCCACGGGAACTTTTGTCAATCCGGGCAGGTCGACCAAAGTCAAGGTGAGGACGTTGGGGGAAAAGATACGCAGGTTGATAGGGTTCGGGGAGATGCCGGCGTTCTTTCCCGTCATCTTTTCGGTATCCCTGACGATCTCGTCCCGGATCTTGGAAAAGTCGTGGAATTTCTGGTTGGGGAGATGAAGGAATTCACCCCACTCGTTCTCGTTGTTGGCGTTGGTGCGTTCCTCTGATGCGCCAAGCCACATATGCTCATCAGTGCCTTCTTCCCCTTTCTATCAACCCGGATGCGAGTCGGTACTGACCAGGCTCCCCATCCTTTTCCTCCTTGACGGGCTTGTTAGCCGCCGGCCGGTTGATCAATTGCAAAACCTGTCGTAGACCATCCCACCATCTCACGTCAGCATCGTTTCACACATCTCGAAATCGAGCAGAAGAAGGCGGCTCGGGCGACTCACCAAAGGTCGACGGGTGACGATACCCGTTCCTCGAGGTAAGAAATCTCGTCCGACGATGTTCTGCTCCCCGCACGCACAAAGCCGAAAGCAGTATCGTAGGTAGATCGAATTGATTCCGCCATCGCCATGAGAGGTAGTTTCGCCAAAGAGAGAAGTCAGGGTATATGTAGACCAGTCGGACCAGAAACACCATGCGTGTAAAGAGGATGAGATTCCGATCAGCTTTCAACCCTCCAAGAGCTTATCGCAGTCGAAGGGAATGTCCAATGGTGGAAAGAAGAAAGACAGGGCCAGACTGAGACTGACCTCGAGCACACTACTCTTCCCGCTACTCTGCGAGCCGATCACCGTGATCTGGGGTAGGTCCTATGTATACCACATACCACATAACACATATCGTATGAATCGCGAGAAGGCAGAGAGGGTGGAATATATGGTTAGATTTCAACCACTGCGCTCATGAAAGGTAAGAAAGAGGAGGTGGGCTTACGATATTGTTGCTGACCCCGATAGATGCGAATACATCTTGTAGCTATGTACCATGATGAACCAGAATCAGCAGTACCATCGTGATCAGCACCACCGAGGTTGACAAGACAGAAGAGACAGAAGAGATTGAATAAGAGTGTCAGTCATCTTGCTTGCCGTAGTAATCGCTTGAACCAGGTCGCTAGCAGGACGAGACGAGAAGAGGCTGTGTACGGTATATGTAATAATGTACGCCATCTTCGTGTACTCTCCTCTCGTCCTACACCGGTCCCGACAATGGGGCGATCGTCTCACCTTGTTGATGAGTGCAATGAGTTGTTGATCCATCTTGTCAGATCTCTATGTGTATTATTTGCAAGAAGCTAGATCCGAGTTGACCAAGTCTCCGAAGTAGACGATGATGTGTATCTATATTCGACGTTCGATGTTCTGATATCGGTCGTAGTCCCGGTATGAGCTAGAGCTATGAAGTGACGACACCCTCCCTCGGACGCGTGGCCCAGCCCTAGGCTGCCTTAAATCTAGGTAAGATGACTTAAGGTGGCGAGCCATATTTGCGTATCGACTCCTACACAGCAACGATTGGTTCTTGACCGATCTGAACGCACAGATCGTCTCGAATACTTCTCACCTTCATTCTCTAGGTATTTGAGTGGTTCTACGATCGGTATAGTCTTGTATATGGTGGTGATTATGAATTAGGTCGACGTTGATTCGAGAGGCGGATCTCGGAAAGTGGCGGAACTCGCGAGAGTCGGGAGTCGGGGGTGGAGGCGAGAAAGTCGAGGATATGACCAAGATGGATCGGTTAAGATGTGCTCTGCCTACCCATACCTACCCTATCTTAGCCATATCATAATAGCTGCGATTACAATCATCTCACCCCGAGTAACAAACCCTCTGAGAGCTAGTCAAGAGATCTACCGCGCCGTAATCCTTTCTACAGCATAATCAATTCGATCATGGCTTCATTCGCAAGATCCTCATCTAGCACCATCTCCCGGACTCTGGTCCAATCCATTCGAGCTCAACGTGAGTTCAGCAACTCTACAACCACAGGCAAACTCATTTTGAATAAGAGACTGAGGATGAGTTCTCACTTTCTACGGCTTTCACTTTGGACAGGTTCCGAGTTGATCCAGGGAAGCTCTCGAGGTAAATCCCAAGCCCGCCTCCCAGGTCTTTTTCCTGCATGGACCCGCACAGACCCGCTTACAGACAACACTTTATGCTTACCACCGCGCCTACAGGAATTCTTAGTAGTACCACTCGATACATTCCGACCTCATCCGTCCAGTCCAGCCGGGGCTTATCGACCTCGTCAGCCCGCCGAGGCTTGATCTCGAGTGCTGAGCGGGGCGTACGAGCAAAGAATGTCGGTCGGAGTTCAGCTGGGTTTGGTCAACAAGGTGAGTCCCAATGTGCCATCAGCTTGCACGAACCACAACAGTATTGACTAACCTATTCGCTGTGTGTCGATGGCAGTCCGAACAATGTTCATCCAGACCGAATCCACGCCCAACGAAGCCTCCCTCAAGTTCATCCCCGGAGTCCCCGTCATGTCCTCCGGAGGAACCTACGAGATCCTCGACGCCCGTTCTTCCCTCGTCTCACCCTTGGCTGTCCGGTTGATGGGCGTAGACGGGATCACCTCGATCTTCTACGGTCCTGACTTTGTCACCGTCTCCAAAGACGATTCCCAGCCGTGGAGCATCCTCAAACCGGAGATATTCAGCATCTTGATGGAACATTTCACCTCGGGCAAGAACCTCTTCAAGGATGACCAAGCGGAGATGGACGGGCCTCAGGATACCAAGATCTTGGATACCGACTCTGAGGTCGTCGCCATGATCAAAGAACTGCTCGACACCCGCGTCAGGCCTGCCATCCAGGAAGACGGCGGGGACATCGAGTTCAAAGGATTCGAGGATGAAGATGGCGAGGGCATCGTCAGGCTCAAGTTGAAGGGGAGTTGTCGAGGATGTAGCTCGAGCAGCGTGACGCTCAAGAGCGGGATAGAGAGGATGTTGACGCATTACATACCCGAGGTCAAGACGGTCGAGCAGGTCAGTCCCGCTTGGTGCTTTGGAAGCTTTTCCAAGCAATTTCCTCCCCGAGAGCGTGGCTCATCTTGGAAATTCGCTTCTATGGAATACTTTTCACGACCATTCAGGTCTTGGACGAGGAGGAGATCATCGCTCTGAGCGAATTCAACAAGCTGGAAAAACGTCTAGCGGCCAAGAAGGGCAAAGACGCTGGTTCTGAAGGAGGGTGAGTGCACTCGACTCGTCAAATCATCCGGCTATCGTTTTGTATATCGTGCTGATCCTGTTATTGCTGTTGGTGGTATCTCGTGTAGTGATGGAATGTCGCAATACATGTCCCTCTAGATCTAAGCCACGATCGAGGGTATTCGGCGTAGCATTGTATTGTACTGTATCTATACCGCAACGAGGAATATCGTTCTGTACTTGCGGTCCGCCTGTGCTTGGCATAATTGAAGGCAAAACCTCTCGCAACTTCGCTCCCGGGGTCAAGTACAGGTATATCGTCTGTATTCTCGCTGTGCTAGCCTTTACCAGCTTCGGCGCTCCACCTCGGCCTCGTGTCGCAGTGTCACCTCCAAGATATCCACCCGGTCATGCCGGCCAGTCGATAAGTCATCTGTCCGATAGATTTCCGTTTCTCAAAACCTTCCGTTCAACATATCCCAAAGTTTGTGAAAAAGACTCTGAAGAAACCTTAACGTATATGTCGGGCCAAGAGGCGTCCTTTGGACGGCAATCTTGAGCGAATCACGGCCTTCATGCTGCAAAGGCTACAGCAGGAAAGTATTGGCGGGCGAGCGAGTTGTCTGGTGGGTGTCTACTTACATAAACAGCCACCACCTGTAGAAAGTTGTTTGGGACTCCTGACCAATTTTGTAGGAAGCCAACAAATGTTTCGGCAAATGAATGGATATTGTAACCTTGTTCCTGGCCCTGCCACAGTTCCAAGTCGCTGCAAATGTCGCGTCTTCAGGAAGTCACTACCATTCAGCCTCGCGCAACAAAGCTGGCCAGCTTCAAGGCTTCTGGTGACCCGAGTCATGCGGGTCAACTTTCCGTGTGCGTGAAGGCTATCCCGTAGACTCTCTTAATAATATGCAAGCTCAGTACTCTACAACGGCAATCCGTTCCCGGCCGGGGACTGACTTTGGCCTCCTCCTTGGTGATGTCACGGTAGATCCACTCGATTATGCGACAGGCGGTAAGAATCCAGATCTTCACAGTCTCAATACTATTATATTTGAGATGAACACGTCTGGCTGCAACCTCGAGCCGGTGAACCAAGTATTCCTTGAACTGGATGTGTAAACACTTCCCGCCAGAAGGTCGAAACCTGGTCTCGGAATTTGCATCCGCAGGCTAGGACAGTGTCTCATCAGCAAGTGACGATGAAGCGAGGGATGATTGATCGTTAGGAGCAAGAGATGAAAACACTCGCAGTGTATGTCAATGCCATAGCAGCCTGTGGTATAACCACGCCCTACGAATAATGAGTGAGAATCCTGAAAGATCACGGCACAAGCGAGACGTTACGAGATCACCGTAGTGCTGCGTTCTTGACATCCCAAAAAATCAGCCTTCAGACACGCAGCTCACGCAGACGATCAGACACTGCTCAACCCCCCAAATCTCAAGGACCTCAACCTTCCTGCCCATAGCACAACTGACAAGATGGAAGCACTTGCAGTCATGAGGATTGAGGATGCTGCGGTTGGCGGTGCAAGAATAAATGCTCTTCAACAACGAGGACAAGGTAGGGAGAGTGCGAGTCCGGGAGATTCTTCGGTGAAATTCCGGGGATGAGCGTCGGGGGGAGCATCATTGTCCCGTTTATGATGTCGAAGTCGAGTACAAATAGATCGTCCACCATCATATCACCGCCCATGCCGCCCACGATCAAGATGAAGATATGTACCGATCCTCGACACTCGACACACTTCTCATAGCCGCCATCTGCCTCGCCCAACATGACCACCCTGATCAAACACGTCAACCGCTACTGTATCACCCCCTCCGGTCTCGAACTGTTTGCGAACTTTTATTACCCGCCCCATTGCCAGGATAGGAAACCTAGGGGGTTGTTCGTCGCTTATCATGGAGGCGGGGTCATCAACGGCTCGAGAGATGAAGAGTTTATCAATGAACCTGTCAGACGTGAGTTGGCATTTCATCGAAGTCGGTAACGTCAATGCCGTTTGGAGTTGTTCTGTTTGTGGGATTCGGAAATGAGATTGGCGAGCCGAGGCTGACCTGATTTTGATCGCGATCACTCCTGGTGCTACACATAGGCGCCGTACTGGACAACGGCTACATTCTCGTCCAACCGGGCTACCGTCTCCTGATCCCAACAAACGGCCACGATATCATCTCAGACGTCCGCAACTTTTACGACTACCTCGCTTCCCCGGCTTACACCCGGACTTTACCGGAGAACGTGCGGCCTGATCTAGGAAAGATCGTCGTCGCGGGCTTTTCTGGTGGAGGGTACGTCTCAAGGTTGGCGGCGATCGAGCTGATCGAGAGCGCCAAGGAGGGCCGACGAAAGGGGATCGAGTGTACGGGGATGGTCTCTTACTTCGGAATGGGCGGGGACGTCTTCCAACCAGACTGGGCGGAGAACAAGACTGGGAAATCGGACCCTATGGACGAGGTCGAGCATCTCTACAAGCGCAAAGAGATCTCGGATTCGCCCTACACCCCCGGGCTGAAAGGGTGGGAGAACAGGGTGGATAGGGATATGATCTGGGATTGGTTCAGGTCGAACGGGGTCTTTGTCGACGTGCTCGCCGGGACCCGGGGGACCGTCCTTAGAGACGCTTGGGCGAAGGCCAACTCGGGCTCGGATTCGGTGTCGAGGATGGAAATCGTCCGACAGATCGTCCCTGAAGAACACCACCCGGTGATCCCCCAGATCTGGTTTGAGACCCCGTCGAACGCCTCGTCCTTCCCACCTAGCATCTACGTCCACGGGACCGCCGATGACAAGGTTCCTTATGCCGAGAGCGTCTTGACTGTCGATCAGTTACGCAAGGCTGGGAAGGGAAAAAATGAGGTCGAGTTCATCACGATCGACGGGGTGGATCATGATCTCAAAGTACCGGGAGAGAGCGAGTGTAGGCCCGAGGTAGACGAGGCGCATGGGAAGGTGGCCGATTTCATTTTGAGGCAGCTCAGGGCTTGATCCCGATCTGGGCGAGACGAGACGGGGGTGGTATGAGGCGTGTACATGATCTGTATGCAGAGCTCAGATGATATGATACCAATCATCGAGTCATCGAATTAGATCGTTTATTTTCCCAAGCCTTTCGAAGCCAAGCTTGTACGAGATCAAGCACCGAGTCATCAATTCCGTCAAACCTTGTTCCGGTTCCATCCGAAAGGGTATCGTAACGGAAGGAACTGAGCCCCGAAAGAGGGTAATGTTCGGTTCGAGATCGTCCTTTGAAAATCGTCGTTCGTGATCACTCCACCTGCATCGGGTGCAGTAGGGGGTAGGGAGGTAAGGCGCAATAGTACCTTTGTTCTGGGCGACGACCAAAGGGGAACGACAACCCTTTCGAAGATCCTTTGTCGGACAGTCTCGTGATCGTCCGCTGAGGGGATATATAAGGTAGAGGTCTAGCTGACGGAAACAAGCTTTTCCGGATCGACGTCGATCGTCTACTTTATATATCATACCGCACAGCGACTTTACGATAGAGCACACGCGCGCGCTTATCGAAATCACGAATTCGCCCCTCGACCCCGACCTCTTTTACTTTTACATTTGCGAGCCATGGGTCTTCTTGGCTTTCATACCAAACCAGCCCCGCTGCTCAACCAGAACTACACTGTTTCTCCCGAGCGGAAGAGCAACATCTTGTCTCAACTGACATTCGCTTGGGTCTACCCATTTCTCAAGGTGGGTTTCAGTTCACAAATCCAAGCGCGAAAGAGGCCATTCTGAAACTGCCAGCCATTTTCTTTTGTCACACATAGATTGGGTACTCAAGACCCCTTCAACTGACTGATCTCTGGAGACTTGAAGACGAAAGGTTGTCCTGCTATCAATCGAACTTGCTCGAGAACAACTTCTATGAGAAGTATGCGCATGTTGATGCGGCATTTCAACAGCCTCAACCTGATGAGGATAGTGTCCGAGCGGAGAGAAGCGGGTCGGTTAAGGTTGCCATTGACGGCAAAAACGAGACGTCAGAATTGGGTCACAATAAGGAGGAGCTTGAGGCAGCAGCCACACAGACCTTACAGCCCATGGTCTCACGAGCGGATTTACCTGGTGCCAATGTCAACCCAAAAGCTGCCTCTATCCGACAAGCTGAAAAGACCTTTGTGCCTTCAACCAACCGCTGGACATGGGTGCTGCCACTGTTCTTAAAGAAGAAAGACATATCTGGTTCAATGTTGGCAGAGAAACATGAGAAGGCGGCCATGCGAAGCCATTCAATCCGCCTATTTTGGTCTTGCCTTCGTACCGTCCGGCGAGATCTCCTGATAGCGCTGTCAGTTAGACTTGTATCGCGTGAGTGACGGTCTGGCACTTCAAATACGCTTGAGGACTGATCTGATTGCCCAAATGTTTGATCCCACATGTAGGAGGCATCATCCTCGCTTCATCTGTTGCTGTCAAGGAGTTGATACGTTTTGTCTCGGAGTCCCATGCATGGAGCAAAGCCTCAGACGACGAACGGATCAACTTGAGTCAGCCGAAACATATCGGCGTGGGGTTTGGCCTCGCCATAGGTCTGGCTGCCATGCAACAAACTGCATTCATCCTCAACGGAGTCTATGGATACCGGTCGCTCTTTGCAGGGTCCCTGCTGCGGATAGCTCTCATTGACCAAATCTCTCGGAAATCCATGCGACTTTCCACAAGAGCCCGGGTCAAGCAGACTGCTGGCCGACTGACAAGTGCAGTATCAGGGGATGCAACTTTTATGGATACAGGAAGCACCAGCATGGTTGATGTCATTGTGGAACCCATTGCCATTACAGTGGGCTGCGCGCTGTTGATCTACAACCTTGGGTACAGCGCCCTGGTTGGTGTGGGTGTATTGTTCGCATCATCACCAATTTTGACTGCAATGATGAACCAGCTCATTGGCAGCCGACAAGAACAGATGAAATTTATCGACAAGCGGTTGAGGCTTCTAAGCGAGATATTCAAATCAATTCGTCAGATCAAGCTGTACGCATATGAAGCGTTCTTTGGAGAACGGATCATTCAAGTCAGAGAAAAAGAACTGGGACGGCTCAAAGTCATTGTTTGGAATCGAAGGTAAGTAACAGCATTCTGATGTGCATCAACTGCTCTTTAGACTGACTTCAATCTCCATCATCAGTATGGTCATTGCCACAATGACTTTCCTGCCAACTCTTGCTGCGGTCTTGACTTTCATCACCTATGGACTATCCGGTCACAATCTGGAACCTGCCGTCATCTTCTCTGCATTCCAGCTATTCAACATCATTCAGACACCTCTTCAAAATCTACCCGCCTCATTTGCCAATCTGACTGATGCATGGGTTGCCCTGACCCGCCTCTCAGACATCTTTTTGGCTGAGGAATACTCTGGAAGCGGACATATCGAGAGCAATCCGCACTCTGATGCAGCAGTAACGGTCCATGGAGATTTCACATTCGAATCCTCTGAGCCCTCCAGCAACAGCAGTCAGAATGAGACTGCAGGAAGGGATCGTAAAGCTGAAAAGGAAGAAAAGAAGCGGAAAGCTGTGGCTGAGCGCGTGGCCAAAGCACAGGAAAAGCAAAGCTTGCCCTTGGTGGCAGAGGAAGAATTGGAAGATGTGGCCAGCATCCGTCCTCCTTTCATGCTGAGGAACATTAACCTGTCAATCCCACGTGGAGCATTTGTTTGCGTAATTGGCCGCATTGGCTCTGGCAAAAGTGCACTCATGGCTGCCTTGATCGGCGAGATGCGGCAGATCAAGGGCAACTTAGAACTTGGAGGCACGTTGAGCTATACAGCACAACAATCTTGGATACAAAATGCCACTCTCAGGGAGAACATCACATTTACCAATGACAATCTGGATGAAGAAAGGCTTGCAAATGCCATTACAAGCTGTGCTTTATCCAGAGACATAGAACAGCTGCAAGATGGTCTAGATACTGAAATAGGAGGTGAGCAGAGTGTTCAAATGTTGATTGCATCAATGGGTCTCCTGACAACACTGCTTGATTGCAGAGCGCGGAATCAACCTATCAGGAGGTCAAAAGGCTCGAATTGCACTTGCACGAGCAGTGTATCATGATGCAGACATTGTGCTGCTGGATTCTCCACTAGCTGCTGTGGACAGTCATGTTTCAGCTCACCTGGTTGAGAAGTGCATCTTAGGACAAGGTGCACTTGGAAACAAAACCCGCATCCTTGTGACGCACCACCTGGAAGTTTTACCAGATGCAGATATGATCTTGGTCATGGAAGAAGGGCGTATAGCTCAACAAGGAACGTACAAGGAGCTGATGAGTAGACCTGGCCTGCTACAGAGTCTCATGGCAGAGCATGGAAACAATCAGGCAGACCATGGCAAGACGGGAAGTGAAGAGACCGCTATCGCTGAGAAGGAAGACAGCAGAACTTTCAAGGACAAGCCTCAAGATGCCACTTCAAATACCAAATTGATCATGGATGAGGAGCGCAATACTGGCAGCATATCCTGGAGAATCTACATGGCTTATGCACGTGTCATGAGCAAAGAATGGTGGTTCATCACATCAATCTTGATGTTGATCTTTGGCCAAGCAAGTTCTGTGCTCAACACACTCTTCCTGGGTTTCTGGAGTGGTCAGTCAATCTCAGGATTCAGGCAAGGAGATTACATGGCTCTTTATGCAGCCTTTGGTGCCGCAAGTGCCCTGTGTGCATTTGCCTCAAGCTATGCAATGTTCATGGCAGGGGTCCGCGCCTCCTTCATCATGTTTGACAGCGCATTGACAAGTGTCTTGCGCTCACCAATATCATTCCATGATGCAACTCCTGTTGGCCGGATTATCCACCGCCTCACAAAAGATGTTGAGAAGCTGGATGACAGGTATGTTCAGCTCGAACGGAACAGACCATTGAGAAGATGCTTATGATGAGTTGCCTCCATCCTTGATTCTCATCCACTAGGCTCACCTATCAATGGTATTCTGTCCTGGTCAACTTGGCTGCAGTTGTAGGCACCATATTTCTTGTCTTCTACAGTAAGTTACTTGCCATTTCTCTGAAAATCATACCGTCTCATCGTTACTGACAAACACACTGGACTTGCTTTTGTCACCTAGCTTACCCCTTATTAGGGATCCTCTTTCTACCTCTCACTCTCATTTATATGGCTGTAGGGAAATTCTTCAACAGGTCATCTAGGGAGATCAAGCGTTTGGATTCTCTACAACGGTCATTTGTCTACAGCTCTTTTGGAGAGCAGTTGGGAGGACTTTCCACTATCCGGGCCTTTGGTATGCAGGACCATTTCCTTAAAAGGCTTCAAGAAAAAGCAGATCGACAAATGCGCTCGGAATACCTCATTGTCACTGCCAGAAGATGGCTTGTGCTTAGGCTTGACAGTCTTGGCACTCTTCTGATTTTGGGAATTGGTCTCTTTGGAGTTGGGTTGAGGAACCAAGTTGACCCTATCAAACTTGGAGTTGTCTTGACATACTCCATCAGGACCGTTCAAGTCTTTGGCTTGATGGTACATTATGCTGTGCAGGTTGAGCAGGAAATGAATACTGCTGAGCGAGTGAGTTACTGTGGGTTACAGTGAACACATCTCTGCTGATGCCAACATGTCTTTCCAGGTTTTACATTATATTGACTTGGAGCATGAGGCTGCACCAAGCTTGGGATGCGATCCTCCAAGCAACTGGCCTCAAAACGGTCATGTCATCTTTGACAATGTTCAAATGCGCTATCGACCGGATCTGCCACTGGTACTGAAGGGCCTTACATTTCAAGCACAACCTGGGGAGAAGGTAGGACATATCAAGCATTCAACATAGAGTCCCACTGATCCTCTGCACTTCTTGACAAACAGGTGGGGATCGTTGGCCGTAAGTTGGTCTGCGGACCAATGAATTTGTGACTGTAGGAGGCTGACACTATTGCTGCCGTGTCATAGGGACTGGAGCAGGGAAGAGTTCACTGGCTCAAGCACTGTTCAGAATCGTTGAACTGGCAGAGGGCAGCATCAAGATAGATGGCTATGACCTGAGAAATATAGGCTTGGATACCCTTCGTTCCCAACTATCAGCATTACCGCAGGACACCCTTCTTTTCTCTGGAACGATGAGAGAAAATTTGGATCCAACAGGCATCAAATCTGACCATGAACTCAATGATATCCTTCATCGTTGTGGCCTGGTTCCAACTGCTGCTCAAATTCAAGCTGGATCTGATGTGGAACGCTACAAGAAATTCCAGTTGGATGCAATCATCAGTGATGACGGCGAGAACTTCTCGTAAGTCCAGCACAGGCTAGAGGCTGCCACTATAATGCTATTGCTCATTCAGTTTCCCCCTTGTGGCAAATCTCTCCCAACAGAGGAGGAGAACGTCAACTTGGTGAGTTTCTTGCATACTTGGTGTCAGACGACTTTGGCTGATCTTTTGCATACCTCAGTTGCTCTGTGTCGAGCCCTTGTGAAAAATTCACATGTCTTGCTACTAGATGAAGCTACCAGCAGTGTGGATCCTGAAACAGATGCAATCATCCAAGATTGCATCAGGAAGGAGTTTTCTAGCACAACTCTGTTGTGTATTGCTCATCGACTTGCCACTATAGTAAGGGAGAGATCATTCCCTCATTCCAAGCCTTGTCTTGCTGATTTATAGTTGATCTTGAATTGCAGGCGTTTTATGACAAGGTGCTGGTGATGGATGCAGGTCGGATTGCTGAATTTGCCCACCCGTTAGAAGTGAGTTTGGGAGAAATGTTCTTGCTTTTCATCCCAAAGCCAGAATCAGCTGATACTGGTGGTGGCAAGTAGCTGTTTGATAGGCCCAACTCGATATTCCGTTCGATGTGCGACGCAGCCAAACTGACCCGTGAAGCTATCATCCGGATTAGAGCAGGAGAGAATGCGCGCAATGTTGAGGGAGAGATGGAAGCCGGAATGCAGCCTGAGAGCGGTGCAATGGAAAAGATCCCGGACGAACCGTATACGCTTGGAGAAACGGCCAGAAAGGCGGACCAGGCTGATGAAATTGTCGCGGTCATCCCGACTGAAGATCACGCCACTGACAAGCAGAAAGACTAGATAGAAAGAGCGAGTGCGAGTCATGATCGTATCACGCATGCAATATGTATTCTGAATTCTCTATGCTACATCCGTCGCTTTCGCTACATATCTCATATATGCCGTCGAATATGGCAATATCTCGCTTGCTAGTCGTGTGTCGCAAGACGAAAGGCTATACGATTGTGTCGAAAATATGCTTTATAGTTTCCGGCCAGGAAGAGAAAAGCAGTGTCGTGAGTTTATGTCGTTTCATCAGGAGCGCCAGCGAACAAGAGACGCGATGATGGCGGAGTCCCTAGCGTTCCTCGATCGAGCTCAATTGAACCTCTAGACCTTCAGTGTGATCCCGTCGAGATCATCCCATCAACTTTTCCAAGTAACGTTTTCTCAACGGCTCGACGAGCTGATCCGACAAGCTGACGGGCGTCGGGATCGGTTTCCCTCCAGCGATCCCCATCGTCAACCAAGTATCCACCAAGCCCATCGTCGCCGTCGTAAAATAGACCCAGGTCCATACCCAGCCGACCGGGCCTTGGACCCGTTTGCCCGTGATCCGGCGAAAGAGAATCTCGCACGTCATCCCGCACGCCATGAGGATGAAGGATTTGGCGACTGCCCAGTTTGGCGAGGTGTGACCGACGAGTGTGAGCGTGCCGAATTCGTGCATCGCCGCCGAGATGAAGAAGGCGAAAAAGGGGGCGACGAGGGAACGGTATTTCTTGGGTACGAGGCGCGTGGGGACAGTGAATGCTTGCTGAGACGAGAAATACAAGGTTAATCGTTAGAGCCAATCCCGTTGCATACAATGAAAAAGTTGATCCGCAACTGACTCGGAAAATCTAAAATTCGAGAATAGACGCAAGTCCACCGTGAGCTTCTCGATACGTCCATGACGCATCTACCTCTGCTTTCAAAAGCTATCACGAACTCACCTGATGCCACCTCTTCCCCCAAAACTCCAACAAGCTCGTCGACCTCCAAGGCTGGTTCATCAGTCTCGGCCACTCGGACGACGGGTTGCCCAAGAATTTGACGCCGACGAAAGCCATGATGTGGTAGCCTAGACAGAGGGCTGATTTGTTTGCGGTATTTCAGGATCAAAGGAAGCAGGATTAGAAATCGCCACCGAAAAGAACCACGAGAAGGGATTCAGGTATGATTTGCTCACCCTGGTAAAACGCAAACCCCATCGCTCCTCCAACCCACCACCTGAATCCAACTTCCAGAACCCATCGCTCCCAACTCGCCTTCTCCCCACTCAACCCTTCCCTGACCCACCCCCACCGCTCCATCATCCTGATCCATCCTCCTACCGCCTGCGCCACGCTACCACCTTGCGGCCTCCCAATCCCCCTGTACCCAAGCCCATGAAACGCGTACATGGTCGCATCGCTCCAAAAGTAATGATAAGCCGCCATCTTGAGCTGGTCGATGGCGAACTTCTTCTCGGCGACGTCCGTGGGGAGGTCAGGGTATGGAGGGGGCGCTAAAGGGGTTCCTGAGGACCAGCCCACGAGACGGGATGAGCAGATCAGGTGGGCTGCGTCGAGCGAGGGGGTTGTTCGGTGTGTTCGGTGGGGTCCTGTGGGAATAAGAGAGTAGGAGAAGAGGAGGACGGTATACTAAAAGTACGCATATAGTCAAAAGAAGGAAGGGATACGTGAGTGTTTCCTAGATGACTATCTGACCGGACGTACGAATACGGCAGCGCATCCGAATGCAAAGTTGAAGATGTTGTATTTCGGAGCTATAGTCGATCAAAAATCATCCATTGTCAGTTATAGCCATCAAATCTACACGTTTCAAACAAGTCGACCTACTCATGATCCTATATCCCAGCCACGCCTTCCCAATGCTCCAAAGACCAACGGGCAGCAGAGCCGCCCTGACCAAGCGAGGTCCCGTCTGCTTTCCATACTTTAGCAACAAGTAGGCTTGTACGTAGAGAAGGATGAAAGGTAGAGTGATGATAGGTAGGACCGAGGGGCTGTACGGTTGCAAGGTGGATAGGTCTATCGTGATCATGGTCGACGGGAAGAGGTGGAATGCGTTGAAAGGTGGAGGTCGTGAGTCGTGATGCTGTCCGGTTCGTTCGAGATGTTCGTGCGCAGGCTTTTCAGGATTCTCTGTGTGCTGATGATGATGAATAGTTGCTTGAGTGATATTGTGTTGTGCCAAGGATGATGTCGATGACGTCGATGCTGATATTATGATTGATTCTTCTGATGAACGACGTCGTCGAGAGACCCGGTTGCTTGTCTACCCAAGGACGAGGGGATGATGACGAATATCACCAAATCAAACGGACATTGACACATGTTTCTGAGAAAAGGATGATTGAATAATGTCCGTGTGGGATATACAGATTCCTGATCCAACTTTTGAGACAAGCGGATCGAGACGGGCAAGGAAGGCAAGAGGGAGGCACGGCTGGTCGCTGAGAGATGTCAGTGTTGCTAGGCAGACAGTACTGATCACTACTGATCACTGGTGGAATAACAAACATCCAACTCCATATGCGAGGGCAGGGGCCTCGGCACCGAGTTGCGCTGCGCCACTCCTCTTCGGGTTCGGGTCCGCCGGACGACGCGAAGGTCGGTAGCGGCAAAAAAGTTATTCAGAATTCGATCATCTTTCGATCCTTCGATGATCTTGAGACATCCGTAGATGACGGGAGGATGGCGACGGTGGTAACCTGCACAGAGGCCGGAAGTCATTTATGCATCTATAATAATAATACTAGTCTCCGAAAGGTCGAACGGCGGCTGGGTACCGCTGTGCATCCATGAGAACGGGGAACGTCTGGCGAGCTAGTCCTTGCCTCCGTCTGTTCATTTAGCGTCGCGGAGTCGGTGATCTCTGTCTGTGTAACAGTAGCCGACTGCCGACTGGCGACCAGTCATCGTCCAAGTCACAGCCTATGGCTCTGACAAGGTCTTGCTGTTCCAGTCGTGGCAAAGTCGTGGTCCAAGCTCCTGGGTTGTGAGCGGGCGATACGAATAGTAGTCAGCTACTCTGTACCTCGGCCTTGGAACTTCGCCCCCTGAATCGCGGATCCGAAGAGGGATTCACCTTGCACCTCATCTCTTCGAGAAGACCGAGAGAAAGTCGACCAGTTCAATCTACCCGCCGATTCCCACATCATACAACCCATCACATCACCCCCACACACTAGCTACACTTTTCTCACAGACCACTCGCACGATCATCCAGAGCTCCCCGCCTCGTGTGCGGGCCCACCCACGGTAAATCATGGCCATCCAGCCCGATCCCGCCTGGCAGTACCCAGGTCAAGGTCGAGGACAAGGTCAAGGTCAGGCAGCTTTCGGCCAACATCCGCGATCTCAATCACAATTGCAGGCCATGCAATTGCAGCAACAGCAGCATCAGCAGAAGCACCAACCACAGCAACAGCAACAACAGGGACAGGTTCTGCCTTTACGGCCGCCTCATTCGATCAAATCGTATTCAGAGGAGATGATGTACTTCAACCATAACCACGGACCGAATCAGAAACAGGGCCTTGCCCACGCCCACGGTCAGAACCAGATGCAAGGCCAGAATTCGGAATTGGATATCAAACCGAATATCCAGCATAATCCTTACTCTCACCCTATATCCCGTCATTTCCCACAATCTAACGCGGGACCGGGCTCTTTCGATCCGTATACCATGAATTCGAATATAGGCATGGGCATGGGCCCGATGGGGATGGGTATGAGCAGGGGGGATAACGCCATCGCCTCCGGTAGCGGTACGAACTCAGCGTCAATGGCAACTGCAAGCTCCGGGTCTGGGTCTGGTTCTGGACCGGTAGGCGGGGGTAGGACTGGGACGAGTGGAACACCGAGTACGAGTACCGGGTCTGGCTCAGGGTCGGGGTCGGGGTCGGTTCCACGATCAGGAAACGGATCAGGAGCTGGGGCTGGAGCTGGAACATCGACTGCAAATGTGGCAGGAGCAGGGTCCGGTTCTTCAGCTGGACCCGGGAATTCAAGCTCGACAGGACCAGGCAATTCAAGTACAACTGCGACTGCGAATGCGAATGCAAGTGCGAGTGGACCAGGGGAGGGGAACAAGAAACGCCGACATAACGTAGGGAAGGCTTGTGAGAATTGTCGGAGACGGTAAGTCTCGTCTTCTTTATCCGGGAGTTTTCTTGTGATTCCCGGGAGTGAATACAAAGCATGAGGATTTGATGGTTGGGGGGTTCGATGGGCTGATTCTGGTCCGTTTTGAAATGTGGGTGGGTGGGACAGGCGGGTCAAGTGCGATGGAGTACAGCCGTTTTGTGGGACTTGTAAAGTCTACAATGTGAGTTCTATCGCTGCCTTTCCAGTGTTTTTTATCGTCGTTTGTTGGTCCTCAGCTGATGGATGATGCATCTTGGCTCGATCTCGATCTCAACCTCAACCTCGATTTCAACTTCAACCTCTACCTCGTCGCCTTCCTCTCCTCGACCCTGCCTCGTACAACAGGACGAATGCTCCTGGAACCCACGTGAAGACTACCGAAAGCCCCTCTCTCGACAACAAGTCGAAGCGCTCCGTACTCGGGTGGCGGATCTAGAGAGGATGTTGAGGGACCATGGGTTGGACCCGGGGACGGGAAATGAGGGGAGTGCGGTCGAGCAGGTTGGGGGTGGAGGTGCCGGTGGGACGATTGGCGGTACGGGTGGTAGGAACGATGGGGTCGGAGGGTCTGGTGGTGGTGAGGGAGGAAGGCCCGACGAGACTAGAGGTGAAAGGGGGGTCGGCACGGACAAGCCGATGTTGGAAGGACCGGAGGATTTGAGGGATTGGTCACAGAGTCACTTGGTACGTTCTCCTTGTCCGCCTTTTATCCAAGCCAATATCGCGATCTAACCCTTCAACCTCTCGCTCGCAGGTCGAACACGAATCCGGCGATTTTCAGGTATACGGCCCGACCTCTGCTTTCCGCCATCTAGGCAAACAACACGCTAGTACGACCGGAAGCAGCAACGAATTCAACCCGGATTCCTCTCCACCTGCATTCGGAAGCGGTGGAGGCCCAGGATCCCCGTTCTGGAACGATTTCAGGAGGTACCTGCCCAGAGAAGTCTCGTTGACCGAGGATCAGCACGAGGCGGCTTTGGATAGGTTCTTCAGGTATTACGCTCCTTGGGGTGAGTTGGCCGTTCCCGGTTCTTGTCGTGCTGGTGCGAAGGACTGAACAGGTGGGTTTTCAACCGGCAGGTCAGCGAACGCACCCGATCTTGTTCCGAGAAGACATGGCCCTAGCTCTTTCTTCCGAGACGCCCATCAAGACTCCGCACTATTCACCCATGCTACACAACGCTATTCTGGCTATCGGCCTCTGTTACTGTGACGAACCGCACCTCCGTACGCCCGCACTGAGAAAGGTCTTTGTCACGGAAGCGAAAAAACATCTAGAGACCGAGGGGATGAACCCGTCGGTCGCGACCGTTCAGGCGTTGGCGCACTTGGCTTCGGGACACAGTGTGGATGCCGAGCATAATTTGGGGTGGCTGTATATCGGCATGGCACTGAGGTGTGCTCTGGCTCGTGAGTTTGACGTCGTGATGATACGGTAGTGCTATCGGACAAAGCTAATGCGTTGCTGCTCGTCGCGAAGTCGGACTGAATATGGACAACACGCCAATGTTGAAGAACGGCAAGATCACCGAGGTTCAGGCTCGGGAGGTGAGTCTCGTGCGTCTTGTACGCTCAAATTGTCAAAGCTGACGTGTTCGACTCGCAGCGTAATGTCACATATTGGACGGCGTTCATCCAGGAAGGCTTGTGGGCACCTTACATCGGACGGCCGGTCTACGTCCCGGACTGCACGTGAGTACAGATCTCTTCAGACCTTTGATCTTGAACAACGTGTAACAGGGTGTCTGATCGCGTTTGCAAATCTCGATAGGACCCCCGCTCCAACCGTAGACGAGCAACTAGACAACCTGATCTGGATTCCGCACGATATTCCAGGCAGAGTAGTGGAGCTCTCTTTGAAACCGCAACCGAGCATGGTCAGCTCGACCTTTGTCGAAACCGTCAAGTTGATGGAGATCGGGGCGCGAATCATGAACACCCTGTGAGTCGAATTCTGAGCTTCTCGGTTTTCAGACCCGCTGAATAGAGCTGGTCATGCCCTCATAGATACGGGATCAAGACGGATATCGCCACTTTGACCCGGTCAGGAGTGATCAGCGAAATCAGGTTAGCCCTCTTCGATTGCATACTGATCGCAGGCTATAGCTGATTCTCGTCGATCAAAAACGCAGTCTGGCACTAAGCACATGGCTCGAGAAGCTACCACCTACGCTGGTCTTGAATAGTCACTCTGCGAAACACGCGCTTCCTCACATCTTGATGATGCACCTGAGTTGGGCATGGCTGGTCATCCTTTTGCATCGACCGTTCTACCGACCGTTCGCGGGTTTGCCTGGGAAGGACACCAAGTCGCCAAATTCCGCTGGGTACAATGCGGCATTGGCAGTCAAGGTTCGTCTGATATCGACAACAATCACCGGACGCTACAAGCTGATATATCAACTGCATAAACAGCACTGCGACCGCGCTGCTATACAGATCGTCGCGCTCTTGCAGACCTGGCACAGGCTCCACGACCTTCGGTTCACTCCACCAACCGCGTTGCAGTGCTGCTTCGTGGCGGGCACTACCCACCTCTTGTCGTTTGCGACATCGCGCACGGAAAAGAAGAAGACGGACGCCTTGAACCGCGCACAAGACTGCATCAGGCTGATGAGCTACATGGCTGTTAGCTGGCCAGCAGCGCAGCAGAAGCAAAAGTTCCTTGAGGATCTCTTGGTCGAATACGGAATGACCGCCAAGACGCGATCCGGTGGAAACACACCGACGGAAACGGCACTGCGAAAGGAGGCACGAGTCCAGCCGCCCGTCGTCGTCAAGATCGAACCGCAGACGATGCCAGCTATGCAGCAGTCGTCTGGACCATCAGCGCCCATGCAAATGCCGACATTCCACCAGCAGCAGCAGGACCCACCGATGATGACGAATTTCAACAACATGTCCCAAAGCTCCAGCTATATCGACCCCATCCTGGCGGTACAACACATGTCCATGTCGTCGAACAACCCGGTCAACATGTTCCAGCCGACGCCGCAGCAACAACAACAGCCGCCACAGTACTCGGGCGGCAATGTCGGTCAGAGCATGAACAGGTATGTAGACGTAGCGAGCCTCCTCATGATTGAGAGACTGACCCATGGCTTCTCTTCGCAGTCAATCGATGCTTCAACCCAACCAGCCCATGTCAGCCGTTAACCAATCTTATGTCCCCATCAACGACTTCGACATGCAATTCGGCAACTTCGATTACAGCCTCCCTCCCTCGGACAATCAACCCCTTGAGGCAGACTGGGACCCGAACAACTTTGTTATTCCAGACATCCCTGCGCAACGATACACACAAGCACTCTTCGACCATATCATGCAGCCTCATACTCAGTTGGGAGTACACTCTCAGCAACCGCCGGCACGCCGATGAATAAAGGAACAACGCTTTCCTGATACGACCTTTCGATTGTAGCTCCCCGGAGAGCATTAGACAATATGCAATATTGAGCACGCAATTCGCTTGCCCTTTCATTGCGGCTTGGCCCAGCAGCGCGATCTCATCGCCGCAGCTTTCTCGGCCGATCCTTGGCCACGTCAGCTGACGGTTGTCAGGCATCCTTCCAAAGAGCTAACGAATGATGTCTGAAGCTTTCTCCTAAGTTTTGGCGCGGTAGCCGCTGAACAATGGGTGAGCTGGAGATCCTTAGATCAGAGAGTCTCAATGAATCCTATCGCCATCGCTCATGACTCTTACGAACCAGGGAACTGGCCACGAGCCGTTACCGCCCCCGCGAGGAGTCAGGGTTTCTAGGGGTTAATTACACGCGATCCTTTCATGACATATCCATGCTTCAGGTAGAGCTTTCGTACAGTCCATGCGGCCATATAGTCGAGAGCTCGGCTGGCGGCATCCAAGCAGAATCCAAGTCGCCTCCCACAAGTAAGGTAGATCCCCATCCCCGTTTTGCACATTGCATTCTTTTAGACTCTAATTCGTTTGAGGCCAACATGGAGCAGACCACAAGCGCGAACCCTACTAGGTTACAAAACATGCGCCGGAAAGCATTGCCAAGTCTCATCTCGCGTGAGATACATGAAATATTTCAAGAGAGCGACACGGTTTGGGCGAGCGAGCAATGGTTTCCAGGTCAGTCTTGTGTAACCAAGAGCGCATTCAAGTCAAGCTCATCGATTCCGACATGACCGATGTTCAGCTCGTAGACGTGGACGCAAGATGCACCTGGCGAGGGCAATATTCTCTGGTTTCAAGGATAGAAACTCCAGCATCAAGGGCGTGGCTGTGATCAACAAAGAAGTTCAGGCTGCCACTTGGAGGGGCTATAATGCTTGGGGCGGCGCCGCCAAGATCGTCACGCACGTCGTCTGGGCAATCATATTAGCAGATTGCGTCATAAAACAACAAAATGTGTGGATGGACAGAGCAGAAAAATTGTTGGCCGACGGCGAACCAACTCGTGCAGATTTGATGGAGCTGGTCAGGGCGATCTTCGATTATCTCGCATCCGTGAGAAAGTTAAAGGAAACCTCGCCCACTCCAACCGGCATTCACTGCGAAATTCTGAAAGTGATCGAAACAAGCTCATACCAGCTTAAAAAATATATCGAGGGCATGGCATTGGAGCGATCCACCTCACAACTGCTGGGAGACACGGATATCGATGCCCTAAACTCCATTCTTCTGAAAACGATCGAGGATCTAGGCCTGATACTTTCCGACTCGAGCGAGATAGACGTGGCTGCTCAGGCAAGAGCCTGGGACGCCGATAGTACTGCAACGTCCGTCCAAGAGAGCACTGAGACTCTGTCTTTGGAACAAGCATCCATCGTCAGCCATCTTACGGGAGCTTGCGATTCCCAGGGGGACTGGTCGTCTCGCGATAACGCGACAAGCATAGCCGCGAGTCTTCTGAAACATCTCGCAACAGTAGTACAAGAAACGCCATCTGTCAGCGGGAAAGTTCCCGATTCTGGGCATTCTCATTCGCTTTCGGCGCCATCCAGGTTCGAAGGTTTTGTGCCGGATGTAGAGGTACTGAAAGCCCAACTACGGGGCTCAATCATCTCCGCCGTATTTTCTGAAATGCCTCAGGGTCAGTATCGCTTGTTGATTTAGTCTGATAAGTGAAGTTGATGTTCTTAGCATCTGTTCCACAGATCAGACCCTTCTCGACTACATCGCCTTGACACACCGACTTTTTGCCGGGCTCAAGGACAAACATCCGAACTCATCCATTGTCATGATCACGACAATTACCATGAAGGAGTGCGGCCTCAATCTATGGCGTGAAGCAGCTGAGGCGGCGACCAATGCTGCTTGGCGCGTAATCCTAGAACGAGGTCTCATTCCTTCAATCGGAGATCGGAGGACTATCTTTTTACGAGGGACACCATTCGATGAGGCTCGGCTTCAGGTCCAGAAGGAACGAGATGACATGCTCCTTTTACGGAAAGTCTCCCCAGTTTATACCCTTCTAGTGGATGAAATATCCACTATAGCGAAATCGGGTTACGACGCCATCGAATCTGCCCTAAAAGAGGTGTCTCAGACAACTGATCAGTCGAGCGGCCGACTTCCTCAGTGGCAATTGAACCACAAGCTCAACGTTACCATTGCCCAGCTCTGTTGTCTCACTGAAGGCATGCAGGATATCGAACCGGATCAATCAGCAGAGATATCTGAGATGCACTTCGGGCCCTCTGACCATATGTCGAGTGCCTCATGCGACTCGGATGGGGCCACCACGTCGTCTGGATCTAGTGTTGCGGGTGACTCTGTCTTCTCGTATCAGTCACTCAATACCTCCAGAAGTAGTCTACACCCAGATTTCCAGTGCTAGAATCTGAGTGGCTATTCGTCTCTTTGCGATGGCAATTATGTACAAGCTGTATTCGGATCCAACTACGCAGCCTGACTTAGTGGATGATTGCTTTTCGTAATTTCCCGATTCATCCAGGGGGACCATAAGCATGTTCTCATCCCTTACAGTCAGGGATTTTCATGGGTGAAGCAGGGGGAAACGGAGAGGAGACGAAGGTTCCTTTGTCCCGTTGTGAATGATCAATTTAGCTCCTCGAGGATGTCTACGGGGTACTGCTCAGTCAGTTCCCTGTATATCTATCACAGCCCTCATCCGGAGACAAGGCATCCGTGTCGGATCGATCAATGTATTTCGAACAACGACCTCATAAGTAATATCGGCACAGACTACATACCCGTCATGACTGATCTGAGAAGCAGAATTACGCTGAATGTCGAAACGTTCCTGCAACAGCCTAGAAGTCAGTCCGGTCGTCCCAGACGCTGTCTTCTCGTGATCAACCTCGATACTTACTTATCCTGCTCCAATACGATGCAGTCACCACATTTGAACGATACTGTGACGCTTCGAGCCGTATCTTCCGCATGTTCAAGGACCAGAACGGGATGTGGAGCGTTGATAAGCTCATCGATTCGGCGAATGCCTCCAGGAAGGATGTCTCGACTACTATCACCATGGTCGTATTGGAAAGATTGACCACAAAAGGCTTGATCCCTCGATTGAATACCTGGATCGGACCTCATTACGGCATGAAAAGCGTTGGGCAGGACCTAGCGTCTGTCAACAAAAGAGTAAAGACAGTCATTCGCACAGCACCGGTTCGTCGGAATGATTATATGGCCGTATGGGAGTCCGTTTATGCCATACTCCTAGGGGCTTTGCGAACGGAAGGGAAAGAATTCCTTCGATTAGCTGTAGCAAGATCTACCGATAAGCTCCTCGACTTCGTCCAGGATTGGGCGGAAGATGGAACCTGCGAAGGTATCCTGGAGGCATGTTCATCAACGTTGGATCGCTCTCTGAGCGAGTCGACCTGCTGGTCACTCGCTCCCACAGCGGTTACGAACCATCTAGAGTCTGGCGGCGATCCTTCGGAATGGTTGCCCGAAGCAGAACCAAATTCATCCAGCTATGGATCACTCTCGTCAGTCGGGGGCGACCTGGCAGACCAAGCAGGGTTCACTCAGAACCTCCGGGGTCTCATCGGCAATAGGGTGAGGAAATGCGACACGGCTGAGGATGAGCTTGCTCGTCTTTTGAAAGCTGAGCGAGATGAGCAAACCGGACTAGAAGCCTGTCTGAGTACTTTCACGTTCTCCGCCCCGGGCGGTGTAAAATATCTTCCCCGAAGGGGATCGATCGCTAGCAGCACAACGAGCAGTGAACCACCATCAATCTTCGACGAAGAGGGCGGTGATCCTTCTAGCAGGCGCAGTTCGATCTCGTCACAAGGATCCAGAGATCTTACAGGGTCCATTCCAGAACAATCAAGTTCGATGAATACCCTTGATAACGATGATTGGCGCAAGGCTGATTGGCGCAGTGCTTGTGATGACAATCCCGATGTACCAGCGGGATACGTTAGCCGTTATTAGATTGTACGAGCACGAGCGACATACTACACCCCCTCGTGTTAGATCCTGGTATCAGGAAAACACTGAAGATAATGTGATACATGCGATGAAACGTAGCAGAGGGGCGACGCGCATTGTATGATCGATCCGGCGATCAAGTAACCGGATGGCGATCAACTTGTACAAGGCAATCGTTCAAGCATCAATTCATGTCACACCCTGTTTTTCTTATAACCCCATCATAAGTCTGTAGAATCGTCACCTCATCATTATGCCATCCAAGACTCCTCAAATAACGTTACATCACCTGAACAAGAGCCGGAGCGAGCGATTGTGTAGGTCGCGTACCGAGTCTACTGCGCTGCTACCCCTATCTATCGATTGACGAGACTACGTCTCCTACTTATATAGTCTGGCTATGCGAGGTAGGACCGAACTTTGGTAATATAAAAGACTTTCAGCTGAGTCCAGCATATCCTTTGGGCGCTCTTTAGGAACTCGAGCTACCGTACGAAGTGAAGGTATGGCTACGAAAGCCCATCCGAGCACCATCCGAGCTCAAGACCATACATCCTCTCGGTAAAGTGAGTCCGGGGCCGACTTGGGTTTGCCATCAAGCAGAACCTAGCTAATAACTGAGTTGAAATTCAAATTGCGACTTCGTCACAGGCTCCGGTCATGACGGACGGCGACCTCGTCATCGCGTAAGCCCTCGATCTCCCCACTCAACCCAACCCTGCACAACCCAACTCACATCCATTATCGTCGACCTTACTAACAGTGAAAGCGGAGCGATAGTCGACTACATCCTCAATACCTACTCTCCCACCCCACCCGCTTATTCTCTGCATGACTCTTACTTCTCGCACTACGCCGAGGGGAGCTTGACGTTGTTCTTGCAGATGGGGATCACTTTCACGGGGTCGGCGAGCATGGCACCTTGGTACATCAAGCCGGTCATTGATGGTTTTGTCGGGAAAGTGAAGGTGAGTCTGAGGTATACTGGCTGCAAAGTTGTTACGTTTGTAGCTGAGGGACGATCATTCTCATTCTGGTATATAGGCGGGCTACGTAGATGGGCAGATCAAGATGCATTTCAACTTCCGTAAGTCTACTCTCTCGAATGGGTTATTGACCGATTTGCGCTGATATCGAAGTATTATTGCGATCCGGTCAATAGTGGAAGAAGAACTGGGTAAATCGCCTACGGGTTGGTTCGGGCATAAAGAAGAACCGAGCGCTGCCGACGTGAGTCTCTTCTTCCACCTTTCTTCTGCCTCTCTACAAGTATACCGGACGCTGAACTGACCTCTGCCACCTCGACCTCAACCTCGGGCTTGATCTTGATCTGCAGTACATGCTCCTCTACCCGATAAACACCGTCATTTCTGACCCTTCCCGCGTGTCCGGCCTGACCGTGGGGCCTCGTCTACAAGATTGGATGCAAAGGGTGAAATCGCGGCCGGCTTATCAGCGAGGCTTTGAGCGATTGAAGGAAGAGGAGAGGAAGGCCAAGGAGGAAAAAGAGAAGGTTGAGGGTGGGGAACAGACTGTTGCTGTGGAGCAGGCTGGGAGTGGGACTGCGTGAGTTCCGGGAGGTCTTGAGCAGGTCAGAGCGTGAATGAGGACAAGGTCTGACGGTTCCTGCTTGACTTGTGCTCGGAAAAGCTAGGAGTACCATGAAGAGCAAACTATGAAGTGATACGACCCCTACAGAGAACACCCAGATGGGCTTAGCAATTTGACGAGGAACAACCTTTTCGAATTGTATCATGAGGCCAGCGAGCTCGATCCTGACAGTTTGCGTAAGAGCTCGATGCATCAAGGGCATATCGTTGAGACGCTCTCAGTCGAGCGCAGGACACGATCGAAGGGATGCTTTGTTTTTACACTACAATATGGTGTGCATGCAAGATGCGACTGTCTGGCCCAGTCAGGGCATTGTCCGTTGCCATGCTGTATGAACGATCTTCAACTGTAGGATCGCTGTTCCGTCTCGGGTCCGCTATCCCCAATTCCAGCTATCTCGGTCCCCTCGGTCCTGACCAGTGTCATCGCCCAGTATACAGCTCGGCATTGACCTCGTCCACCGCTCTCCGTGCCGCTTTGAGATTCTCCACGCACTTCTCAAAGTCCGAGTGGATGCACACCGAGAATGGTCCTCCCTTGACCCCTATGTCCAGCTCCTCACCGGTCACGCTCGGCAAGACCCCCGTCGTTCCCAGCTTTTTTGTTACCCCGTAGATATATTCTGGAGTCATCGGGTTGCTCTGGGCCACCCCGAGAAGATGGCCAGCGTTCGAGTAGTTGAGGTCGACGAATGCTTCGGGGATGAAAGGGATGCCGTGCTTGGCAGCTCCGGTTTGATGTAACGTGTTCGGAAGACCGTAGAGAGGGACGTTGAAATGTTTGATGGCTCGCATGGTTGCGTCGTTGAAAGCTTCGTCGGTTTGCATCAGGATGTACTGTGAGATCGAAGATTGAACAGGGGCATGGTCAGCTTTGGTAAGAGGGACTGGATCGAGTAGCAGCAGATGACTTGCCCACATTCCATGCGGCTTGATATGGTTGAGCGGCAGACCGGCTTCGTCCAGGAACACCTTTAACGCTCCGACCTGATATAGTCTACGGGGTGTGCGTGGAGAGTTAAGCTGATGCAATTCTCTTCCGTAAACATCGGATAACGACTCGACTCACACTTCTGCATAAGCCTGTTCCGGCGTCATCACTAAAAGCCGTCGACCGAACCCGACCTTGTCTGGGAATCCAGGATCTACAGGGGCACCATCATACGTTGATCAGCTCTTGCTCTTCACCTATCAGATCACTCTGGCCTTCCTTGTTAAACTCACGAGCCCCAACCTTGATCCCATGCTTCTTCGCGGCGGCGATCGTCCGTCGCATGATGACCGGATCACCAGCGTGTCCACCACAGGCGACGTTGGCGACGTCGATCATGGGCATCAACAGCTCATCCGAGGGTCCACAACTCCAGTGACCGAACGATTCGGCACAGTCTATGTTGATCTCTATCCGGGGCAGCGATGGGGACGACATGGTGTAAGGCTGGGGTTGAATGTGTCCTTGATTTGGGCCGGTGTTATGGTATCTAGCGGAGTGTAAGGGACGTGATCGAGCAGTCCTCAGATAGGGGTTATTGCATGATGATTGATAGAGAGAATGTTATAACAATCCAGCTCGTCGAAAATCGTAAACTATCTCTCCGTGGCCTCGGTTCGAGTTCTAGAGACAAGTCGATCTGGACGTCGAAGCGTCGGGTATCGTATCGTCGTGTCAAACAAAAGTTGTAGCTGTGTACTTCGGTTACCCCTGTCCACGGAAGATGCGTTGATCTTCCCTCTGGTTCGAATTCCTGATCCATTCATCTTCCCGATCCCACACCGCCCTTTGGGTACCTGGAGGCAACAGCTGGATGGCGCACGGAATGTCAAGAGGCAGCACGGTGGGGGTTCGTGTGGCATGTCGTACACGGACGGATCTCAATGCCATACGACTAGGTTCAAGCCCGGATAAATGCTCCGAGCACAGGAATACAAGAGGAATACGAGGCGTAGAATGGGAAGTGGGCAGAAGCAACGACACCGCACTTTGCCCAGGAATTCGACAGGAGAACACACGCAGGAAAAAGAAATAAATTCCGAGCGTTTCGGCGCTTGTACGGGTGAAAGCGAGGGGGTTGGAAGGGCCAAAGCCACCCGGAGGATGTGTCGCCTGCAAATCTCGTTTCACGGTCAATCGTCATTCGGAACCTTGGCTAGGGTAGTAAACTTCATTCATTGTTCCACATTATCAACGAGCGACGGGCGGGGCTTCCACCCACTCGTCGTCCTCATCAATCACAGCAGGCTTGACTTCGACCTTGTTCTTTTCTCTAGGCTTTTCTTCCCGCTTCTCCTCTTTCCTGCGCCGTTTCCTGTCTCTCTCCCTCGCCGATTCTTCTTCCCTACCGCCTTGATCGTCCGCGTCACCCTCGTCATCCCCCATATCGAAACTGAGCATCGTCTTGGCTTTTGCACGGTCCCGCTTCTTGTCCTTTTTCTTTATCGACAACTTGGGAACATCAGACTCGGGCTTGCTAGTCAGGCGATGGGCGCTGGGAGCAAAGACCGGTCGGGCAATATCGCCGGCGATAGGCAAGTTGGAAGGGGGAGGCGGGGCTGGCGAATATTCCCTGTCCGCTATCGGCTTTGGCGCAGGTGCTGCGGAGATTGCAGGTTTGCTCTCGATGACCATCCGGTCTGCCGCATCATTGTCATCCTGATCCTCATCATCGCTGTCGTCCCCCTCGTCGTCACTAGCAAAGATGGCTTTGAATATGTCCATCTCGGGCTTCTTGTACGTCAAGGTATCTCTACCCTGATTGACATCTTCTGCCAATCCGACCTCGCCGATATTACGCGGTTGGCGTTCCTTAGGCGGTTCACCCGGAACAGCAGTCTCTTCGGTCTGGCTCGACTCTGCGGGTGTTTGGTGGACGAAGTTGTTCTGCCAAGCGACATCCTGTCCAGGAGCGCTTAACAGGGGTTTCGTACCCAACGCTCGTCCTGCAGAAGGTACAGACGCCTCGGCAGCTCCCGATTCCTTGGGTTTCGAACCAGGCGGACCGTCCGGCCAAGGATTGGCCACGCCGAACCGTTTACACAGGAGCGCATGGGGGACCCAGTCGGATGTCACTCTGGTCATCTTGCCGAACATCCCCGCCCGAGCGGCCTCTTCTCGCGGGGTCAAGACCTCTTTGATCTCTTCCTCGAGCCTGGTCTTGTCTTTCCACTCGTCCACCTTGTTCGGGTCCGGAATGTGGAGACCGGGTTTAGGCTGGACCATGTCCTGTGCCGATAGCTTGGACGAGGTGAAACGGTTGGCCATGGCGAAGCTCAGCGGACGGAACATTTGCGCCGACTTGGCAAAGTCTGACAATTCTTTGTTGATCTGGTCGAGTTGCTTGACCGGAAGCAGCTTGGGGTTCGGTTCGCTACTGTCGTGCGTCTGTGAACGCAGATACGACGTGTATCGTTCTTGTTTCGCTGGATCGTCGCCGAACGGTATGAACCCCTTCAGAGCGGCCGATGCAGTTCGGGGAGAAAGAGGCGGGACGATCACCCCGTCCCGCGCAGCCGCAGGCTCTGGCTTGACTTCCTGCTCGGGTTCCATTGAGACGCCCGCTTGTCGGTCTCCCGGGATGACTTGAGCCAGCCTCTCTTTGCTCTTGGCCGACATGTAATCAAAGATCGATTTGGAGGGCTCCTTCAGTTGTTCCTCTCCTAAAGCCTTCCCGCGCTGTGATCAAGACCATATTAGTCAAAGGGAGGTTCACAGTCGACAAATGCACAACTGGGACTCACTTCATCCGCCGTCATCTGCGGTCTGTTGCGCCCTGTCGGTATCACAGGCTCCTCCTTCTTCACGGCTGCCTGATCCCACCGGCGGTTCGTCTGCCACACCCGTGCGGGTCGAGGTCGCCATCCTTCTGGGATATCTGGGAAAGGAAACCTGCAAGCCAAAATTGTGTTTTTCAGAATAGTGTCTGCGTGACTCAGTCAGCCACGGGCGGACGACATACCACTTGTCGTTCGAGATGACGTTGATATCCACAACGAAACCGGGAATGACAGGTCGACCATCGTGCCACGTATATCCAGCTGAGCCTGAAGCTCTAGCCTTGTTCCTCGGGTCTTCATTACGTGGCACATTGGCTTGCCGTTTCTTGTTTCGATCCGCACCCACCATGCCCTCGCCAAGAAGAACAACGCCATGATCCATATCATCGTCTTCATCCCGATCGTACGCTGTCCTCCTGTTATCCAAGTCTCGAAGAGCGCTAGGTCCGGAGGAGTAGATGTCGAGGTCGTCCTCGTCGGCATCATGACCCCCCAAGCCGAACCCTGAACTGATCTGCGGTTCTGAAGGGGCGGTACGAGATGGTCCAGTTTGGGTTTGAGATTGAGACAAGTTCATACCGCCGCCCCGGATATAACCTAGACCGGAACGATCTTGCTTGTTGTCGAACAATAGCAATTTGGTATCTCTCGGAGCGAACGTGTGTTTCTTCCCGTCCTTGTCCCGGGCGTCTCCCATTCCCATTCCCATCCCCATGTCCATGTCCATCTCTTCATCTCCATCCAAGTCGTCCACGCCAACCCGAGATTGAGTTTGACTAGGTAGAACGCCGACGTGGGCGGCCCGTCGTCCGATCTTGCGTTCCTGCAATCTCAGCTGCCTCGCCGTCAAGCGTGGACCGACCCCTTGACCGGGCTTCCAACCCATCTTCATCAGCAATTTTTGACCGATAGAGGAGGTTGAGGGTTGGATGAGCGAACTCAGGGCCGAGGTCAGGGATCTGATCGAGGTCAAGGTCAAGGACGATATCGTCCGGGTTCAGTATCATTTCTACGGAGACGAGACGAGTTGAGTCGAATTGCGAAGGACTCACCCTTCCCCAGCCTGACCCCCCAGTTCAGCTGCAGTACCGAACCCTTCCCCAGATCTGAACGTCTCGGTGTTTTCCAACTTTCTGCTATCCTTGAGATCGGCCAGATCTTCGTCGTCCATGAAATCCTCGACGGCTTGGGTTTTGGAAGCTCTTTGGCCGCGGGATGAGACGAATGTCGAGGGCGTCCATCCTGGTCGGATTGAAGGTTCAAGAATCAGCGGTCGGGGTTTAGTAGAGTATACTAGATGTATGGCTGGTGCCAGCTTGTATCTGTAGATCGCTCACCTTCTTTCGATCCGACGGTGTTGAAGTACCCTGCACTGAACCCTCCGGTGAAAGCTCCATGGAACCGCCTTCGACCCTGTTCGTCCCTAACTTCCTGCTTCCAGACGGGTACGAACTCGTTCTTGTCCCGTTTAGTATCAGCCAAGGAAGGTAACGGCGTACCAATCTGGAGTAGAACGGTTGGTGCAAGCTGTTAGCGGGCGAAATGGATATGGGGAGGGAAGGGGTATGACGAACCAGGCAGAAGGATTCGTTCAGGTTGGTACCCTGTTCTTCCATGTGGTCGAGCTTCTTTTTGAGCCTCGACGTCATCCTGGCAGTCTATGTTGTGGTCTAGGTAAAGTCCTGGCAGGCTGCGATGTCGTTGGTGTGTTGGGATGGAATACAAGTTATGAACGAGTTACGATCGAGAAGTCTGTCGAGGTTGTAACCCTCGGCGACGAAGCGGGAAGCGGCAGGGGCACCAATCGACTCGAAGGCAAATTACTAATTACTAATCGACCAAGCGGTAGTTCAAGGTTCCATGAATACTTCTTGGCATAGAGGGACTTGCTTTGGTTCTGGAAATATGCATGCTTCAATCACATCTGAGCGTTTCATCGTTTCTCATTATGACCATGATCAGGCTATATCGCGCCACATGCCAGTCATCCGTAATGATGTTGTTGAGCTTTTCATACGAGTTGGCAGTTTCGAACTGATGGCCAAATGACAATCGCCGATTTGGCACATCTGCTTAGAAGTAGTCTGTTCTCCTCGTCCCGACGTCCTGAGATTTACCCCATACTGCCAGTCCCCCAGTCGCATCCTCCTCTTCCTTCTCCTTGACCGCGCCGATCTCCTCGGCATCCCCGACAGTACTCGTATCGTCCGCGATGACAGGAGGAGAGGTTTTCTTGGTGACATACCCCACCGACCCGGGTCCGAACGCCGGACGCGGCATAGTGAACGGTTTGGCAGCGAGTACGGGTCGACCGGATGGTAAGAGCGTCTGGAGGGTCGATGCGAGAGGGATCGGTTGAAAGTGTACCTGCGGGTCAATGCTCCAGATCAGCGGGGACGCTCAATTTCGGTCTGAACAACAGTGGCGGGCACTGGGGATAAACTTACCGTCTGGTTCATATGCTTGTAGAGCTTGGTAAACGCCTCGATATCGGCTTCTTCGACCCCCAACCTTCCCTTCCTCTCTTTCCTCTCCTCCCTCCCGCCCGAGTCCAACTTGAGACCCTTCATCTTCTCCTTGAACCCGCTCGTCTTGCCCCCTCCGACCTGTCCACCCGATTGTAATTCCCTCAAGCGTTTCGCAGCGTCCTCCAACCAGGCCAGAGCCAGTCCGATCTTGCTCCCTCCGGGAGTCTCTCCGGCTTCCACGCCTAACCACTTCCGAGCTCGGATATCCGCCAAGCCGGATTCCTTTTTGAGGTAGTCTAATAGCGGGCGGTCTATGTCCTGGCCGTTTGATTTCAGGAGACTACGTGCGCCCGAATAGAGCGAGGCGACGTGCAGGTTGAGTTTGGCTAGCAGGCCTGGAGGTGGATGGCCCTTGGGTAGCGGGAGAGAGGTCGTCTGGAGGGTTATGGAGGGGTGGAAGGGGGAGAGGAGTTTTAGGATGGCGATGGCGTTTGCGTCGGCGAGCGTCATCCTGGGTAGTCACAGTGTGGTTACAGAGAGGGTGTTCAGCACAGTATCCAGCTAATTGGCTTGACACAATGATTCGAACTCACATAGCCAATGCCCTGATAACCTCGACATTGCATTCGAGCGGCATCTTCCCCTTCCCCTTCCCACCTCCGGAAACCCCAGCCCCTTTCAGGCTCAACCCTTTCAACGGGTTCATCTTGGACATCTTCCTCCCCATGATCGGTCTTACGTCGGGATCACCCTCGGCATCAACTTCGTCCCCGATAACTAGCTCCCCCAGCTGTCCCTCCCAACTGGGGATCAACTGGTTGGCTATCGTCTCGAACACCCCGGAGGCTCGGCAGAGATGGTCCGCGGCGTTGGAGAGGTTGTCGATCTGACGTTTTTCCATGGAAGAGGTCATGACTTGAGTCGAATTTGAAGATAAAGAGGATGAGGTGGTCGAAGCGGATTGAATGAGGGATTGGGAGAGGTTGTTTAGGCTCGCTGCGAGGGCTACGAGCACGAAGATGAGTTCGTGACCGAGTGCCCAGAGGTTGATCGATGATGCTGATGGTGTCAAGGGGGACTTCCAGCTGATGGCTGTCGGACCATAACAAGAAAGAGGTGTCAGTATGTAGTGGATACTGACGAGTCATGTCGAGCGATCTCGGTCGAAACTCGAAATGCTCACCCAACTCGGACTTTGTGAGAATGTCATCCTCGTCCAGACTCCCGATCAACCCGGTCAACAATGGCAAGTACGACTGAGCAGTCTCGACGACAGAAAGTAGTTCTCCATCTCCCTTGCTATTGCTATAAGCCTTGAGGGCGTCCCGGAAACGGCTCCGATGTTCGGTAGCATCGGTCAGGTGGACCGTGTACGACCTCGAGCTCGTGGGGTCGGTGAAGAGCGAGGAAAACGAGACCAGGCTCGTCTGGGTCGGCGGGAAGACGTAGGGCGGCATGACTATCTGGCTGGGGTGAATGAAGTGATGGATTCCTGAATGGCTACGGAATTGTAAAGTGGTTATAAGAACGACTCTTTATGATATTGGTCAATTGGTCATTTGCCAAGCCGAAGATCTCCCCGACGATGCGGTGACGTGCACGAGTACGTAAAGCGCCAAACCTTAAATTTCGAATATGCGCAACGACCATCGATGGATCATTCACGTTTAAAGTCGCATTGACTGCGCTGACGTTGCAGACTCGGCCATACTTTGTGAGCAAGCAGAACTTGATGGCCCAGGCTGGCAATATCAACTCGGCCGATTTTTCGGGTTTCTGGGTGACGCTTCACATCTGATCTTTCAGGAACTTCTACCGCTCCCCAATAAATTCGACATCAATGGATTCGATATCGACTCATTCTTCACCAATCTTGGTGATGTCAAAGCCGATGCCCTCGTTCAACACGTCCTGTACTCTGTCATGTCGTTCCCGTCAAAATCCGATTGACTTTTGAGGGCTTGAGGGACCTCAGTTCTTGTTTAAAGCTTGATGAAATGAAGTGGTACATCCGGCTGTGCAACCGGGGTGATTTCTACAGTTTGGCTCTGCTAAGGGCGATCAGGGGATACACGATCTCTTCTTGTAGAGCGCTCCCTGCCACGCCTTCTTTAACATCAAAGGAGGCTACACGGGTAAGTTTCAGCTTCCAGCTCGCCCGTCCAACCAGCATAAATAGCGGCGCGAGCGGTTCCCCGGAAACAAGCGATAGGGTTTATTCGATCGAATCAAGTCTCGAGACCTATATCCCTTGTTCCTCCACATCCGCAACTACCACAATGTGTGAAGGCGATATCTTGTGTTGTTGCTGTACGGGTTGGGGCTCATGCAGCAAGAAGGAACCAATTCCCGTACGTCAAATGCCATCTGGGTCGCAGTCGCAATCGCAATCGCAACAATACAGCAGCGGAGACGTTGAGATGCGTTACCTGGGACCGTCGGGCGCGGCGAAGAATGGTTCGGCGGCGAATGCGCCTGTCTCAAACTCCCAGTCTAATACGCAGAGACCAGTACCGGAAGAACCCGCATCGACCTTGCCTCCTCGGTATGCAAACGCTCACAGACGAGAGACTCCGGAATCCCCGGCTGCCAACTCGGAGGAGCCCCACTTTGGAAATTCATCCAGCTTTCCCACATCGTCAGTCGGTGGATCGCTTGGACCCGGATCGTCTGATCACTACACAGTCCTCTCTGCACACTCTCACGGCTCCGGTGTCGGGGACGATGGCGGCTATTTGGAGGCCGGAGAGTCGCAAGGATCCTCCAGCCGAAGGCGCTGAACTACGATCCTCAGCGGAACACTTTCAATCTGATACAATGCGTCTCTATGCACTTTGTAGTATACACACTGTACGTTTGATCCATCATGAAGCGATAGGCGAGGATGTTAAGAATGCCCCGGCAGCCCATAATGATCGAGATCGACACGGCCATGACGGCAGTGTAAGCGTTCGGGAGGCTTGGGACTCAAGGGCCATCTCAGACCAACGACATGTCTCTAGTATGTCTATACGTCTCCCCGCTACGACCCGCGCATCTACCACCGAGTGATATCCGCTTCGGCCTCTCCAAACAGACTCTCCTTCTTCACCCCGAACCCTTCTTCACCCAGAGCGTCCGTGTCGATTAGAGGCTCCCGCTCGTAAACTTCGGGAAGCTTGGCCTGGAGCCACCGTTGGATGTGCGAGTTGATCGCTTCAAACTCGAGCAAGAACCCGTCGTGCCCGTCCGGCGAGGGGATGATGACCAACTCGGAATCCCGGATGGATTTGGCGATCTCGCGTTGTTCCCTCGTCGTGAAGAGACCGTCGGATTCGATGCCCATAACTAGAGCAGGGGGTAAGAGGGAGAGAGCGTGGGCGAGGGCAGAGGTCTGTTCTTCCTCCGAAGCGTCCGAGCTGGGGAAGGGGAGTTGGTGCGAGAGGATCGAAGGGTCGGAGTCGAAGCACGAGGGGAAGGAAATGTCGTGCGTGTCCATCTTGCGGGTGATGTGGATGTAGCAGTTGGCATCGAATCGAGAGGTGAACTAGGGGGTCCCAAAGGGAGTTGAGACTTGTCAGCACTGGACGTCGCAGAGGCTAATCCGACAAGACGCCTCGCCTCACCTTGTCACCCTGGTAACGCAAATAACTTTGGGCAGAAAAGACCTGCCTCGAAGCCCCAGTCCCGAGCTTTCCCTCTTGCTGAGCCGGCGTCCTACTCCTACTACCTCCCGGCATGCTCAACTCGAGATTGGTCAACCCGGGACCTCCAGCGGCTTCGCTTTGGGTTTGAGTCTGGGTCTGATCCTGTTGATCCACTACGGTGGGGAGGGGAACATGCAGCTGCTCGAGCACTTCACGGGTCTTTTCCAGGACGGGCGTCCCGGCTTTGCTAGACCCGGTGGAATCCTTCCTCGCTCGATGTCCGTCGTTGTGAGCCCGGAGGTTGTCCTCTCCCCTGGGCGTGACGGTACCCGATCCAGCACCGGATCCTCTCTTTCTACCGTTCACACCTCCGGGGGATAGGGCTCCACCTCGACCCCTTTTAGCGGGCTGACCGTACTTGCGGCCGAACCGGCTCTCGAACGAGTCTCGACTTCGGTACGTCAACAAGGCGGCCATTCTAGCCGCCGCTAATCCTCTCGTCGGCTGTCTCTCCTCGATCCGCCGTTTCCTCTCCTCTTCCGTCTCGTTCGGCACGGCGTCATCGTCCTCGCCCTCTTCATCCGAGTAACAGTAGTACCCGTCGTCGTAAGCCGGATCAGAGTAGATGCTCTGACGTTGAGCTTCTCCCCAGGAGATGCACCAGGCGGAATGTCGGGCGGAGGTGGCGATGGGGATGATGTGGCGGATGTAGCCTTGGGGGGTGTTCAGGGGGTATTCGAGGGTCGTCATCCCGCCCATGGAACCGCCGATTACGACGGCGACTTGTTTGACGCCGAGAGAATCGAGGACCAATTTATGTAGCCTGGCAGATAGTACAGCTTTGCCGGTCAGAACATGTCTTTGGCTGACAACCCGGGTTGATATGAGTGAGAGGGGAGACTCACCTGACATCGTCCTTGACGCTGCTCCCCGACAACTCTGGACCCCACTTTTTCCCCGTCTCAGGGTTCAACGTCACACTGCTCACGGTCCCATACGGCGACCCGATGACATTCGCACAAAAGATGAAGTACCTCGTCGGGTCGAAAGCTTTCCCCGGGCCCAAGAGCGGTCCCCACCAGTCTTCCACGTCGGCGCTCCCCGTCAGGGCGTGACAGATGATCATGACATTGTCCTTGGCTTCGTTCAGCTTTCCCCAGGTCTTGTAGGCTACGGGCACGTCGGTGAGGGTCTCGCCGGATTCGAGAGTGACTTCGGGGATGATGGCGTAGGTCTGGTCGATGAGGGCCGCATAGCTTGAGGACGGTTGAGACAGGGTTTCGAGGTTGGTCTCTATTTCGTATGGAGAGATGTAGGTTAGCTGTATGGCCGACTAGCCTGACCTGGCTTCCAGGGACTCGCTTGGGTATGACATGGCTCGTTCAGAGATGTCTTTTCTAGTCAGTTGTAGGTTATATGTGGCTTTGTGAAGCTGTTTGAGGGGGTCATTGAGGTGTTTGGACAGATGTATGTCTTATCGAAGAAGTCGAACACCTCGGAGCGAGTCATCGCGATTTCACGGAATCGTCATACGGACATGGACATGGGGCGATGGCGACGAGTCAACGCCCGGCTGCCGGACTTCTGGCTTCTGGTTCAGTCAGGTATGATGCTGATATGCTGATGATGATGTACGATTGTAGGATACAGTGGGGCTCGAAGCATTGGTACAACGAGCGAAGAACACAACGCAGAGTCTGACCTGCTTCTCAGACCAACCTCGCCCGAGGTTCCGAGTTCGCAGCACTACTACTCGTGCTCTTGACGGTCGCATCCACTCCCCACTCTGGAACACCGGCAGGTCGAGCTACTCGGACGATGTCGTATTCATCAGACCCGATGCCGAGGTTTTGTAGTCGCTGCGAGCAGGACGGGAGGAGACGTTTAGCCAAGAAGATGGTTGTAAGAAGAGCGGATGGCTCACATAGTATTCTTCCCGTAGATCGAGCTTCTTCCTGCCTTTGCTCATCTTGAGCTCGTCTTCCTTCGTTATCTGGGTTCGGGCCGGTCGTCCGCACAGCGATAGGTGGTGGGTCGTTGAGGCGAGACAAGCAAGAACCGAGTTCATGATCGTCAGCCTTCCTCGTAACCCGTTTACATCTACTCTCCCCTTCTTCGCAGCGACTCACCGTCTGAACCTTGGTATCATGATAGTCATACCTCGTCTTCGTGAATCCCTGCAATCCATAACTCGCCAGGACGACGATGGACAAGAAGGGCACGCCAAAGTAGAGAAACGGCCGGTTGCGGAGTCGTGAGGCGACTGTTTTTTGAAAGGGAGTCGGGTTGAGGGGTTGCGAGGGGAACATTGAAGTTGGGAGATGTGGTCTTCCTAGGGATACGGTGTGGGCTAGATGATGTACGTCGCTATGATGGTAGGTAATCTAGGTCGGTACTGTAGCAGTATGAACAGGAAGTGATAGAGGCTGTAGTTGGAGACGTGAATGCCGCGATCCCCGATGACCTCGATCGCGATTCCCGGAAACCAACAGTCAAGGTCAGAGCACAGAGTCAAAACGAGAACGCTCTCGATATGGATATGCACAGTACTGCTCAGAGGCTAGGAATACATCCCCAAACATCCTTCGCCTGATGGCCTATGTCGATGTTCAACGTCGAAAGCTCGAATCTCCGCCAACATCTAGATGTCGGATCAAGGGAGGCCTGCTCGGCCCTCATGCACCGAATGCTTCAGGCCAGATACAACCATCACAATCGGATCAGACATGATATGCAGTGGACTCGATTGCCAAATCGAAATGTATGTTGGCATTTGTAATTACGACAGGGCAGAGTTTTGCAACGTAAAAATGATTCGTGTTCGAACAATCCTACATCGGTCGACCTCGGTTCTGAGGCTGCAGGTAGAGATGCAAACCCTTGTGTTTCCGGCATCATGAACAAAATTGAGATTCAACCTCGCTTTTTATCAAACACCTTGAGGATCAGTGATCAGAACCATGCCAAAGACCGTTGAACAACACCTTGACAAGGTCGACAAGGCGAAAGCGGCGGTCAACAAATTTTGAGCACCACTTTGACAAACCAAAGGGGCAATCACGACCGCAGCCATGGAAGTCAATGAGAAGTTGACCGTAAAGTTGGCGGGCAATACAAGCCAAATACTATATACCACCACTGCAATCGGGTCGATCACACATCACATCCAGTGGAATCTCAGAATCGATCTCTCGACGTATTGTATCTCGGTACGTAATATAGGATCCTTGTACAACGATCCTTCAGCCTTGAGCAATCGTAGCGGCGGCTTGACCTGGTACGACAGGACCTCTAAACCTGGAGGTGCAGGCGCAAGCCCTCGTCCTTGCTAGCCAGATATTCCTTCGGGTTCTCCTCGTACATCTAGAGGGGAGAAACAACCGAAACACGTCGACGGCAGAGGGGCGATAGGGAGCAGCAGCAGGAGAGAGGATGAAGATATCGAATCAATTGAGAGGGCCCCGATCTTCCAGGGTTGCGCAAACTCACTTTTGCATGCAACGCCAGCACCTGCCTCTGAAGGGTCCTCGTGTCCTTCTCCGCTTGGAGCTTCGAGCCCCATCTTGCGGACCTCGGCCATGACCAGCTCGCCGGCCTTGGTGGCCTGCTTAATCTCGGCCTCCTTCTCCTCCTTCTCCCTTGCCGCCTTCTCCGCCTTCTCCCGCTTCTCCTGCTTCTCCTTCCTCTCCTGCTTCTCCCTCTCCTTCTTCTCCCTCTCCTTCTTCTCCCTCGCCGCCCTGGCTTCCTGGCTTTTCTCCTCGTCAGAGGGGGCGTCGTCGACGCGGGTCTTTCACCCGTCCTTCCCGCGTCCACCACTCGCGGAGCAGGTGGCCCTTCGTTTAGTGCCGGTCGTGCCGCTGGTCGTGCCTTCGTTGTTGTCGCTGGATCCGATGTACGTGGCTTCGTCGTGGTCTTCTGGGTCAGGCGGCATGATGATTGTAGATGTGGTCAGGTGTGATAAGGTTGGATGGGTACGGACGAAGGATCGACTCGAGAGAGTGCTAAGATGGAGTTCTAGATCTAATTTTCTCCGACTATCCGCGAAGGTCAGGCATGCGCTAGGTCACCCTGCATGGAAAAGCGCCTGTGAAGCGCAAGTCGCAAGTCGCATGCCAACAAAAAGCGCAAACAAACTCTCTCACGCGTTCCTTGCCATTGAATGAAGCAGTCACGTGCTTGTGGGATGACGCGTCAGCCTGTATCATTATGGCAGTGCCCCGCTGGGTTTCCTGTGAGGCTTTGAAAATCTTGTACCTTTTGGTCTTATTAGGTTTGATGGCTTTGTCAAAAGCAAATCGGAATCAAAATCGGAACCGGATCTTGCGCGCCCAAGAACTGGAATCATCTAAATATATAGACCTCCAGATCGACAACCACATCGTAAACAGAAACGTAAATCAACCTTGCTTTTTACCAAACACCTTCCACATCAGCAATCACAACTATGCCGAAGGCCATCGAACAATACCTTGACAAGGCCGACAAGGCAAAAGCGGCCATCAATGAATTTCGCAAGAAGAAGGGACTGGAGCCCTACTTTGACAAACCAAAGAAAGCAAAGTTGACAGTGTCACAGGAGGGCTAGCCGTGTAAGCGAAAGGTGAAGTCCAGCGTGGTAGGGCACTTTACTGTAAGGAACTGCTCGTAAGGGTGGCTAACCGTCAGGATAGTGACCTTTACTCTTGTGCAATGATCAAGTATCGAGGAGATGTAATATCAACGCTTGAGTCCTGTTCGGTACTCAAGCGTCTCATAACAAGTACGCTACGTTACAGACAGCTAAATACTCAAGCCGAAGCGTACCTGTACCGTCAAGTCTGATCTCGAGAGCGACGCGTACGTAAGGGTCGTCAGGCTTGTTGATGATCTCGGCCAAAAGTAAGGCTCAAGTTGCGCATGATGTTGATCGTCCTGTGGCATTATCTTGGTACGGTGTTTCAACAAGTAGGTGATATCTACGCTCATCACCATCACATGTGCCCCAAATAGTCTTGGATTCTTAATTGAACTATTATAGGCATCCGCGGTACGCATGTTGTACACACGCGGGATGTAGGTTTTCACCTCGTATGGAGGTCCGTTCAGAGATCCTCTCGGAGACCCTCTCGGAGACCTATTAGGAGATGTGTTTGAAGATGTCTAACTAGCACCTTGTAGGAGTTAGACATCCGTTATTACAGTCATTACCCTACCCGTACCTTCTAGTCCCGTGTTTTACTATTCAGGCTTGCTGGCAAGCCTTATATGAACTAAAAAGCCCAGCGTTGCAACATCCTTTTTGTGCAGGTGCAATCTAAATATGGAATGAGCAAGCTCAAGCCCCCTTCAGCATCAGTTCTCCCATCACCTGACATCTGTGCTTAGCTAGTCTCATGATCATCGTTGTTGTCGCTGCTCCATGCCTCATTGACATGTTTCAACTGGTTTCTGGATGCTAAAATCCTGGTAATTCCACTTCTTGTTGGGAAGATGCTGTCTTTTGCTGTGCCCAATGAATGTATGACCCCCACATGTGCATTGCCATCACAGGCCAAAGAAGCCAAGGGTCAAGCCTAGAGCTGCTGCCCAAAAAGGAAGGCCAACAGATGATGCTAAAGAGAAACAGCACCCTTCTGCAACCAGTCAACACAAGCAAAGAAAAGAAGAAGAAAGCGCGGCGCAGCCGCGCAAAATTTTGGCACCTTTGTGAGTATGGGCTAGGGAGCTTGGTGAGTCACGTGTGGGTGTGAGGAGGTGCACAACGTTCAGCCGGGTTGGCCCAATGGTAGGCGGGACGTCCGCCTCGAGTTTTGGCACCTTTGTGAGTATGGGCTAGGGAGCTTGGTGAGTCACGTGTGGGTGTGAGGAGGTGCACAACGTTCAGCCGGGTTGGCCCAATGGTAGGCGGGACGTCCGCCTCGAGTTTTGGCACCTTTGTGAGTATGGGCTAGGGAGCTTGGGGAGTCACGTGTGGGTGTGAGGAGGTGCACAACGTTCAGCCGGGTTGGCCCAATGGTAGGCGGGACGTCCGCCTCGAGTTTTGGCACCTTTGTGAGTATGGGCTAGGGAGCTTGGTGAGTCACGTGTGGGTGTGAGGAGGTGCACAACGTTCAGCCGGGTTGGCCCAATGGTAGGCGGGACGTCCGCCTCGAGTTTTGGCACCTTTGTGAGTATGGGCTAGGGAGCTTGGGGAGTCACGTGTGGGTGTGAGGAGGTGCACAACGTTCAGCCGGGTTGGCCCAATGGTAGGCGGGACGTCCGCCTCGAGTTTTGGCACCTTTGTGAGTATGGGCTAGGGAGCTGGGGGAGTCACGTGTGGGTGTGAGGAGGTGCACAACGTTCAGCCGGGTTGGCCCAATGGTAAGGCGTGACTTTCCTACGCAATAGGCACAGGTCGAGATTCTGGGTTCGACCCCCAGGCCTGGTTCATTCTTTTTGCCCTTTTTGGGCGTTCTGGCATGATAAAACCCTCAACCTACACTCACACAACTCCACCCCAAACAGATGCCAGGAGATAAGCTAGTATTCTGGCTCCAAACCCCAGGCGATGTAGGCTGCACACCTCCGAGATGATGCCCCATCAATGTACATTCTGCCCTATTGACTTCATTTTGCCTTGTTTTCCATTTGATTGCCTTCAGGATCCCAGTGTCAACAAGGCCCATTTGAGGTGCCTCCTGGACTCAACTCCCTGGCATGTGTGCTATCCCACCCTTCCCACCTCTACTCTTATCCTTCTCCATCAACTATTGATGCTCCCCAAAGAGCGTTCTTGACAAGGTCCAACTAACTTGGCAACAGGTCGATGACGAATCGCGAATCGCGACCGTGATGATCGATCATCGACTGAGCGACCTGATGGGCTGATCGTATCGAACCGACCCGCTGCGTCAACAAGCCCTACACCGATTCGTACGACTGTCACGACGTCCCTTCAATACGGTCTCACCGCCCACCATGCCCAGCAACGCCCAAATCGATCCGCTCCTCACCGAGCTGTTCGAACGCTCCCCGCTCCCGCCTCTCGAACCCGGCAAGACCGTCTATTCGACATCGCTTCAGACCCGCATCAAATCCCTCCAGACGACTCCGGCTGTCAAGGCCGCTCTGAACCTCGCCAACGACGATATAAAGGGCTGTCACGATATCGTCGAAAAGATGCAAGGCGAGAGCACGGCCGATTGTCTTCACGCGATACTGCATCGGCGAGAAGGTGAGCTGATGGTCGATTCGGCGGGGATGTTCGGGGCATTCGTCTAACCCTTGCGCCTGATCATGCTCTTCAGGCGACTATTGGAATTCGAATTGGTGAGTAAATGCTGCGGAGAAAATCTTCTGCCAACGCGACACCGTTCTGACACCCCCTCGTGTACTCGCAGGTGGTGGTCCCGAATCCAACACCCCCTATTCCCGTCCACCCGCCAATGCAAAACCTTTGTCAACGCCTGCGAAAAGTCGACTCCGGGATCGGAAGAGGACGGAGAATTGCGAGAGCAACAGTGGCAAGAGATGAAGAGGGTCGTCCGATGGGTCGTCGATAACAAGGCTTGAGAGATATAGGGGGAGGTGCGGTCCGAGATAGGGGTTAGGGATTGTATCGCTTACGTCCAACTGTATCCATACTTCTTAGCGGCACTCCGAATCCATGAATCGAGTACGATATTATATGACTCCGAAGATCCGTCTCTCAGGACCCATCAGCCATGATATAGTCATCGAGAACGATGGATCACGAATGGCCGCACGAATTCGTGGTTCACATTCGCCGTTTCTTGGCCTTCCCATCAGGTTTGGCGTTCTAAGCCCTGCTCACTACGGAGATAGCTCAGCTTCATGACCTGGACTCAAAGGCGCTCTAGATCATCAGCCGTGAGAGTGTGCCTTGTCCCCCTGCCTTGAGGATCTGCTCGAGCATTGCCACACATTTGTCTCTTGCGGATGGTATCCAGACTGGCGCGAGTGTATACTGCATCGACAGGTGTATGAGCAGGTAGCCACAGTCTTCGTCGCCAAGACAAAGACAGAGTCGGTATAATGTATAGCTAGCAGTACAACGATAAGATACAAGCACAAAACCGATACAATATCCGCAGTCCAAGTCATTTCGTAAGGGAGCGCCCCATGATCGTGTATCCGTCAATCAGTGCCTGCAATCCGCACTTCGTCACCACTCATCCACCACGTTCAGATCCACATAGGTCATCACGCTGCATCGATCCACACGGACGTCTGCATCCTCGTCTTCCTGTCCCGTGCGATCGCTCGTCGACGTCGTGCCCTCCCCTGCATCCAGACCGACGTACTTGCGCTCGGGCACCGCCAGACGATACCACTCTCCAGCGTGAGTGACGATGACCAGCTGCAACTCTGGCACGTAGCCTAGGGGATCCGATGCCCCGACGCCGACCCTCGCATCCCTGACAGCCTGCCAAGCGACGACGTACCGGTCTCGAAGTGCCAACTCGCGCATGCTCGGACCCGACGAGCTGGTTCGACCCAGAATTTGAGGCCTCGCCGAGGTCTCCTCCAAGGGCAGTCGGAACAGGGCGGACGACTTGGCCGCCTGAAAGTATTTGGGGACGGGGATGTACGGTCTCAACAACGAGTTGAGGGCCTGTTTCGGCGTGACGCTACGAGATGAAGCAGGTGATGTTGATCAGTGACGCGTGTTTCCAGGAGAAAAACACCGCATGTGATCTGTGATCCCGGGACCCACCTCTGATTCCTCTTCGCCGCCTCGGTCTGCGCCGCCGTCGGTTTGTTCTCCCCCAGAACGTCCCCCCAGACATGTACCGTCCCCTTGTCGCTCCAACAGACCATCCACAATTCCCTTCCCAGCCTCTTCTCCGCGTTGGCCGGACGATAGACCAGGTCGACACCCCAGATCACGGCCTTGTCGACCCCTCTCCGCAGTTCCCTCTCGAGCGAGCCCGTGGCGACGTTCCAAACGCGGAAGATCGACCCTCTTTCCGAGGACGAGACGAGGTATTTCCCGTCCGACGAGCATGCCAACGAGGACAACGTGTGGGAATGCGCGTTGATGATGGGCGACCGAAAGGCGGCATGAGGATGGGAGTCTGACTTCAACGCCGTATTCGATTTCGCCGCTCCAACAGCCAATGTGGAGGACAACTGGACGAGCTGGACATGACCCGGTTGTCGGCCCGGGATGGCCAACAAGCATGATCCCACGTCGGCAGATAACGCTGCGAGGCCTTTACGTCACAAATCGCTCGTCGCCGGGGTCAGCACTTCCGCCCATGACCCCGATGTTTATGCTGACGGACTTACCATCCGGGTTATAGGCCGTCTTCCATTCTTTCCGCTTGACCAACCAAAACCCTGCCTTCTCCTCCTCACCTTTCCTCGACCCCTGCGTGTCTCTCATACCACCAGTGGACGACGAGTCTCTTTCCGTCTCATCGCCGCGAGATTGCGCCTTGTCAGACTTTGGATGCATCCCGTATTCGTACCAGATGACCGACTCTGAGAGTACGACGATGAGGGTGTTCATCCGGGTCTCTACCGCACGTACCACTTCGCTATGATGCGCAACCACCAACCAGATTCCGATTCCAAATTCGATGTCGTCAGCCTGTATTCTCATCCCCTTTCGGATATACCGATACGTGAGATCCAAGCCGGTGAACTTACGGATACTCGATACTAGCGATCACCCTCCCCACTTGTCCCTTCTTTATTCCCGGCCATCCATTTTCTACTCCTCCACCATCTCCATCTCTATCTCCTTGACCGTCCTGGTCTGACACTTCCGGGGCTGATGGTACAGGCCACTTGTCGTGATAGACGACCACCTTGTTGGGAGGGAAGACTGGTTCTCGACCGCCTCCTACTAGGGCGAGCAAGGGGGTGAAGGGGAAAGGGAGGGCGATATCGAGTGAGCCGCCGAGGTCTGTCGAGGATGGCACGCGTATCAATATATGATCAGTGTCGCGGTGACAGAGTCAAGATGATGACCAGGCCCGGAAAGGATGGCAAGAATGTGAGAATGGACGATATATAGCTTACCTCGCTCGCAGAGCTTGATAGGCTTGGCTTCCTCTGTCGGTCTCGTCCTGGCCGGCCCGTCGTCCAGGTCTTCCTTCTTCTTCCCCTTATCTTTAACCTCTTGTATATCAGCTTTGTCGATGTTGACAAGAGGCGAAACGGGCCGTATCGAGTTGTTCCAGATGGTATACCCTTTTTCGCCAGCTACGATGAAATGTCCATTCTTTCTGCTCTTCAGCTTTGCCCGGACGTCCTTTTGATGATCCACCTGAGAGTTCTTCTTGTCTCGCCTCTTTCTCTCACTGATTGGGTTTGAAGACTCTGCTGTAGGTACAGGTTCTGGGATGGGCAGGTTGGTAGGCAGGCCCGAGGAGAAGCTGATCGACGCATAGGTCGGTCTGTAGGTCTCGACGAGTTGGGCACGAGCGAGGTTCATCCTGGTCGACTTTCGGATAGCATGAGGAGTGGCGGAGGACGTTACTTGCACTTGGTGGCAGTGAAAGCTTATGTATGTCAGAGTGATGCCTATGTTGACAGCACTTATGGGTTATACCTGCACGAAGGTTACAAGCAAGAACGACAAGAGATCCAAGAGATCAAGCAGCAAGCAGGAGGTTGATGCCCCGGATTCGGATATGAGCGAAAGGTCGCTCCCGATCGAAACATACAGCCCATCAGAGACCGGTGGTGTTCTCGATATCCAGTCCTCAGAACGACGAGGTTGACAAGAGCTCAGTGATGCAGACCTTCGGTAAGGATTCATCTCTCTAGGAAGCGACTCGTCAAGAAGCAGGCCTGCCATGCCGGTTTGTCGTCAAAGTCGACGTTCTCCCCGATTGTTCTCGTCATCGAGGAGGCGCTTATTGGCAAGAAGCAAGAAGCTAGAAGTAAGTCATTTCTTCTTATAAGCTCATCTAGGCCTGTGATCATTTCCAGTTGCTCATTCAAGAATCCGTTGTAGGTGTAATGGCATTGCAGCTCAAGAGCCCGTACCATTCAAACAACTATACCCATCATCCTGAGGTCTTCTCTTCCGCTCGTCATCATCATGCCCAAGAGCCAACAGTCGCCAAAAAAGAGTCCCAGCAAGCTGCACATTCTGGAACCCAATTTTGGCTATCAGGTCACGATCCCGGGACAGCGCATAGTGATCCCAGTCGGACTCGGCTGGGCCAATCACCCTGAGTGTGATTGAACCGGTGGAGGAGGCATTGTCGATGTAGGGCCATTCATGAGTAGCACGAGCAAGCTGATGACCGGATGATGAGCGATTTCGATCGAGCTGACAGTCTTTAGGCGACAGAAGAACCACGATGACAGGCCGTACAAGTACAAGGTGGACGTCAAAGAGGAGAGTGATGATGATTGGGGTGATCCTGTTGACCGGGGTCCAAGTGTGTTGACACGTCTGGCCAAGATCAAGAGCAAGAATGCTCTGTTTGAGTCGTCGTTGTCGGGAGCTGATCTGTGGTCGTTCTTGCAGCCAGTAAACCTCGTGCCACTTGGTCTGCAACCCGTAAGGCAGCTGAGATCGATAAGATCCACCTCTCTTGAATTGGGGCTGATCGGTGATAGTCAATCCCAGTAAGCCTCTCCATCGAAAGACACTCACCTCCATCACATTCCAAAAAGAAAACTCTTTGTCATCATCCATGTCGTCTCCCTTGGCCCCCATGCCATCTCCCTCGGCCTCCATGCCATCTCCTTTGGCTACGGCATCGACCTTGGGGGTACCATCTTCTCCCCCAAGTAGATCCAGCACTTCGAAAAGACCAGGAAGCCCCATGGCAAAGGATGGCAGTAAACGACAGAAGGGATCGGGCGATGTAAAGGGAAAAGGCAGAGACGAGGAAGAGCCTGACGGTGTTATAGCATCCGCGGTACGCGTATCGCACACCCGCGTCGGGTAGTTTTACAGGGACCTCCGAGGGGATTTCCCGTACGGAGTATATCTAGAACACCCCCTATGTGTTTACTGTAATGTAGTACTAGTTGTACTACATCCGTTATTACATTCATTACCTTACCCTTACCTTCTAGTCCCGTGTGATACTATCTCAGGCTTGCAGGTAAGCCTAATAGAATAACGGATCTACAAACTTCACCCCGACTAGAAACCCCTACGCGATGAACACTTCCTTCACCCAGTGTTTTCGCCCCGATGGGACCCCCCAAGGAATCCCGCCAGGGATCTCGCCTGTGCTGTCCGAGGATGGACAAAGCCAGCAGGTAGATGGGGAGGGAAGGTTTTTGTGGTTGCGAACGACGGACTCCGGAACGGAGACCACCGCAAACGAATTGCGGGTGTTTGCCAACCAGCAACCTCAAACGCAGGCCACGCCGGCCAACAACATGGGAACGGTCCCCCCACAAGTGGTACCAACCTCTCCTGCGAGCAATCCCGCAGCCACCCCAGCTCCCGTTGCCGCCGCGCCGGACTTGAATGCCCTCTTTCAATTGATGGCCAACATGCAAGTCCAGGTGCTGGAGTTGGCGAGGGCAAGGGAGTCGCGGTCGACGTCGGACGAGGCCCGGGCCAAACTGTTTAAGTTTGGAACGCCGGACAAGTTCGATGGCAGCAAGAAGGAGAAGGTCCGAGGGTTCCTGGACCAATGCAACCGGGAATTCGAGGTGAAACCGGGCGTCTACGTTACCGACCGCCTGAAGATGATGTACGCGGAGTCGTACATGGAAGGACAGGCCGCCGATTGGGCCCGGGAATACTCCACGGGTCGGGTGCCGGCTACCTGGGAGCAGTTCGAGCAACTGCTCATCTCCACTTATGGTGGAGGACGAAACATCGCGGCAACCGAGGCCGAATTAGTTCACTTAAGGCAGGGCACCAAGAGCCTCGCGACGTACATCACCGAGTACAACGACCTCTTGGCCCTCCTCCCCAACGTCTGCGAATACTCTCGCCGGATGCTGTTCAGGGCCAACCTGAACCAAGCGTTCAAAGACGCCATCGTCCCTATGCCGGGCCAAGAAACAATGACTTTGGTGGAATTCCAAATGGAATGCCGCCGGTACGAAGATCAGGCGGATGCCAGAAGGCATATATCCTCGGGAAACCGCTACAACTCGGGCGGTAACCGACAAGCGAGTAACCACTCCGCCCCCCGTAACCCCGTTGTGGTCAATACCACCGTTGCGACTCCTACCCCCGCCGCCAACACTTCCACCGCTGCTCCCATGGAACTCGATGCGGGCAGGATGAGGCGGAACGACCCCTGCTACCGGTGTTTCCAACACGGGCATGTAGCCGTCAACTGCCCCAACCAGAGGGTCCCTGCCCCTGCTTGGTTCAAGGGTAGGAACAACGGTCGGATGAACGTCTCTGGTGCCCGGGTGCAACCCGTCGAGACCGTCCCGGAGGGAGGTTGGGAAGCCGAGCTCGCGAGGCAGAACGGAGAGCAGCCTTTGCTCTGGACCCCGACTGATTAGACGTACGGTTGTGTTGTTATTGGCTCATCATTTGTTGTACCCCCACGGCAGGCCCGGCGGGGATGTTTTTATCACCATTCACTTTTTCAAGCACCCGACTTCACAGTGACTACGAGAGATACACTCACCAAAGTATACGCCATCAAAAGGTAACTGTACAAGAAGTACAATACGAAACATGTCCCTCGCGAGGAGTAAACGCATACTACTGAAGAACACAACCTGAAACGAGTCCCTCGCGAGGAGTAAACGCACAAGTCCCTGGCGAGGAGTAAAACGCACAAGTCCCTCGCGAGGAGTAAACGCACATAGAGAGAAGAAGACGAAGTCGGGACTCTATTATGGTATATCAAAATACAAGAGAAAAAAGAGACCCCGACGTAAAAACAATCCGGAGAGTACAAACACGACGAAACTCCAAAAGACCCGGAAACCCCTCACTCGTCGCCTTCCGAAGCGGGGACGACCTTCTTCTTCTTCTTCTTGCCGGCGGCGGGATTCGGCGTCGGGGACGGAGGAGGGGAAGGCGTAGGGGTGCGGAGGACGTCGGCGTCGTACTCCTCGCCGACCGGTCCGTCAGCAGCGACGGGGGGTTCTCCAACATCCTCACCATGACCTTCGAAGAGGAAGTCCCGATAGGACTTGTCCTCGTCCCACGCGTCACGATCGGGGATGGTGACGGTCCCGTTTTCGTTGGCGACGTACGGGTGCTTTCGGCACCACGACAGGAAGTACCTCTTGCGGTACTTGTCCTTGACAGCGAGCCAGGCGGGATAGCATCGGGTCTCTACAAGACAATCGGTCTTGTTCGAGAGAAGGGGAAGAACCTACGCGAAAGGCGAACGTTAACTCCGAGGCAGATTCCCGCCGGGGGCTCAAATCGGAGCGACTGCTTACCATGAGCTTCATGATCCTCTGAAATTCGTCCGCGACGGCGATGGCAACCGGATTGGGGACGTTGGGGATCGTAAGGACCTCACACGCCGCCTGGTACCGGGTGCGGATACCGTAGGCCGGATCGAAAACCGTCATGAAGGTGGACGGCAAAGGGGCGCACTTGATGTTCGTTCCCCGGCAAGGGAAGCAGGAACTCCCCTGTCCAGAGGATTTCCCCGCGTCCGGTAGAGGGTGGCGGCAAAAGAAGATGCCTTCGAACTCCATCACGTTGTACCACCCTTTGACCCCATCCTCGACGTAACCGGGAACCGAGTTTTCGGCGGAGAGGTGGAAGCGGTCCTCGTGACCGAAACAGTTGAGGCAGCACCACTTCCAGCCACCACGGTACTGAGCCTACGTACGCACGATTGGAATCAGCATACGACAACCCCACCGGAGAGAATAAAAGAAAAGAACAATACATACCATCAAACCGTCGAACCCCGCGACGTTTCCCTCCTTCCACAACTTCTTGAGGGAAGGGATGGAAGGACTATCGGCCAAGAAGGCCGTGCGAGCAAGTTCTTCGGACTCAACTTGCCCCTCTGAAGGAGCGACCGACGTATTAGCCACAGCGGACCCCACCCAGACGGATACCACTCACTCTCGTCGGCGGACTTGGTCTTGGGGTATACGAAACCCCTGCCCCGATCTTGCTCGAGCTTCGACGTCCCTTTCGGAGTCGACGGAGAGTACGGCTTATCGCCGTGGTTCTTGGAAGTCTTGGGAGTGGGAGGCATGTCGAATAGAATAGAAAGGTAGATGGGGGATAGATAGCGTAGGAGGGGAAAGTGAGTAATAGCGAAAGGACACCTACGACTTACTCCCCACCTCGCAAACGCGAACGCGAACCCCTTTATACCCTACATCCCTGCTGCTACAGCGGCCCAAACAAAAGAAGAGTTGCGATACTAGCAAAGAGAGCAACTAGAACAATACTATTGCTATGGATATGGGCATATGGAGAGAGGGTATCGTACAACAACAGCGGTATAGACGTCAACATCAACGACGGTCTCCTTTGTTTACACCTCCCGAACAATGAGTCGGACATGCGCCCATCCGGATGTCCGCGCCAGGACAAAGAAAAGAACAACAAACGAGACGCGCCCCATCGGGCCCGAAATTCGGGTACCCTGTGAAACAGGTAGACG